AGTGACGGATCGACGCCACTGCACTGGGCCTCTAGGTACGGGCACGTCGAGGTCGTCAAGCTGTTGCTCGATAATAGCGTCGATGTTGCTATAGAGAATAGAAGTGGCTGGTCTGCCCTGCAAGTAGCAGCGCTTAATAGACATGAAGAAGTAGAACAACTCTTTATACTCTATAGAGCACCTGAGCCAGAAGACTTCTATGGGCTTCAAAAGCTGTTTTTATAAAGGGCTTTAAATTGTATTATATATATATATTATACCTTTGATAAAGAGAGGCTTGGAGTAGCTGGTGTTTATATACTTAAGATACTCAAATGCTAGTATACTTTTGTCCAGGGATAAATAATCGCACTCTTGAGGGCTTATACCTCTAGCACTTTCCACATACAGTATATCTAATCTATATGCTCTATTAGAGTGTCAATTAGTCACTCTGAGAGGTTCATCTAATATGTCGGTCATCTTTTCACATCTGGGGTAATTCATTTGATTATTGATTACAGATCGACATACTACGTGTAGGTCATCCTGTATCCCCCTTCGTCTCATAGACCTAACCTCTCTATAGATCATCAACAGTTGACACCCAGGTCTTTCCCATGACGTGTAGCCACATCAGTCACGTGATATTTGAAGGAGGAAGAGGAACCAGAAATGACAATGCAGAGACCTGTAAAGGGATTGAGGGTAGGCCCAAAAAGGTGAGGAACTTGAAGTCGAATCATAGAAATTCAACTTGACGCAAATCAATACCCTACATAAATCCACATAATCTGCTTCCATTGCTGAACATGCCCTTCTGTTGCATCACGCGAGGAAGTCACCTAGCGCGTGTACTTCTGCTGCCTATCACCAGATTCTAATTTGTGTCTAGCTCGCTATAGACTGACCAAGGTTCACCCTACAGCCATCAGCGCTCGATAGCACTAATGTGAGCCGCTGCTTTTCACTTCCCACGACTTCGTTCTTCTCCCCTACTGGCAGCTTAACTAATGGAAAGCTCTGCAACAGTCTTACGATAGTATATAAGACTTCCATAATCGCAAAGTCTTCCCCGAGACACGCTCTTGGACCGCCGTTAAATGGAAAATAAGCCCAGCCGATGTCCTTTAGCTCGTCAATCTCCTATCTCTTAGGTCGAAAGTCGTCTACATCGGGCCCGAAAAAATTCTTCTTCCGAGAGTTGACGTATTGCGACATTATAACGACTTTTCCACGTTTTACGAGGATGGGAGATTTTCTATTCGGTCTACTACTTGTTGGTAGGATTGTTATTCTCATAGCTGTCTTGTTGTTTAGGGGTACAAGTGGGTAGAGACGGAGGCCTACATAGTGATGTTAACATATAAATGCCAAATTACGAAAAATTTTCATACTCTCTTTAATAATAAAAGCAAGATACCACATCTTTTTGATTTAAGCCCGGCTCGGATGCTCTACTTTCCCCAGGACTGAGACGATTTCGGTCCGAACTCGATCCATGACTTCAGAGTGACGGACTAAAAAGCGCCTACGAAAAGGTTAGAGGCGGCAGAGAAGAGGCATTGAAAAAGTCTCCAATACATACACTATCCAGGACAGGCAGCAGGCTGTCGTGTCTCGTCCCGCTAGCAGGACATTGAGGAGCTGGTCGCGAAGCTCAGCAGTAGTACCGCACTTCTGCGCTAGTTTATCAATAAAGCCATATAATTCACCTGCTTCACTACTCTGCAGATTTCTCTCATGGATATAGTCCTCAACAAATCGGTGAGTCGTAGAGCATACTCGCCGAAAACTTAAAAAAGCATACAGAAAATAGAAAAATGCAATTCGAAAACGCTTTACCAAACTTTCTTGTGCTGTAATAAAACTCTCAACAAAAGCCCTATTACTATCTTCATTGCCGTTATCAATTCTCAAACTATAAACCAATTTACCAAGTAGCATAGCCATTGTCGTGTCTAGAGTGAGATTGAAAAAGAGGGGCTGTAAATCCACCACTCCTCCTTAAACGGGTAGACGTGCTATAAAATTATCGACATACTCGCGGAAATAATCCAGATTTTAATATAGTGCTCAAGCGAACTACTTTCGCAAAAGTTCGCGTGAATACTTCCAAGCAGCCCCATCTTGGGTAAAAATACCACTACCTAGGAAGGGGGCAAAAACTGCACGTCGATCTCCAAAGCCATAATCTATGCAAAAATGTTTAGTGTTTTTTGTGATAAATCATGTATAACATAAAATAAATCACCATCAAAATTTTCAAATAAAACCATCTTAACATTCTCGGGATGTAAAATATGAAACATTCGAAGCCCAAATAGCAAGAACTAGAATAAATTATTGCGCGGCTCGTAATTTTTAGCTATCGAACACAAAAAAACAAGAAAACAACCATCGGAGTCCGAATCCTAGAGTTCTTTCAAATGATCAAATCCCAAAAACCACTTATTAGAGAGTTGCGGCGGCGGGCGATAACTATAACAAGCACCAAGAGCCATATTTGCCTATAATACTTAGTAATCAGATCAATTCATTATAGCATTCAATGCGCTAGCAGCCCAACTTGGACTCTACTCACACGATAATCGATATACTTTCTCGCTGCATAATGAATAGTAGGTAAGGCTAGCACTAGAAAGACGATTGATGATGAGAAAGGAGTTGATAAAGCCAGTCGGATCGGCTTTCACGAAGCCACGTCATAAAAGTATGTTCCATGGTCGAGGACACAATCTCTGACTTTCGACTTATAAGGCCCAAGGAAAGGCCGCTCTTTATTTCCTCGACCCAAAACAACCACCAACGAGGCTGGCGAGGGGCTATAAATGTCATCTCGCGATGAGTTCTCTTAATCATCTCTTGCGACTGCCACCACAACCTACTTCCGTCAGAACTGTGTTCGGCCGCTGCATCATCTCTCTCAAGTCTCCGCCCCGAGGAATCAAGACATGTCGCAGGTCCATGGAATTCAGCAGTTATACCTTCCAGAAGGGGAGCCTACAATCGAGTAAGTCCACACACGACCTCCTCAGTTTAGGTGCATCGAAAAGTCCAAAACAGTATCTAAACTTGCGAATCAATCTAGCATTGTCGCAGTCCATGGCCTCAACGGAGGTGCCAAAATTACATGGAAATCCAATCACAACGTCTGCTGGCTGAGCGACCCAAACTTTCTGCCTAAAATATCTCACGACGGCTCGCATCTTGACGTGGGGTTATAATGCAAATGTTACGGATTTTTCAGGAACAACATCTTCAGATCGAATATTGCAGCACGCGCACACCCTAATAGCACAGCTATGGGCAGACAGAGAGGTGCGTATTGCGTATTCTCTGTCCTCGATGGACACGAACCTGATACCTTAATGTTTTGAGGCTCGATTAGTCAGGGAATGTCTTGCTGATAATGAGTAGCTCGAGAATGCAGCAGAAAGACCGATTATCTTTCTTTGCCACTCATTGGGTGGTATCATAGTGAAGAGAGTATGTTTGTATACACCCTGTTTCGAAGGGTAGCTTCCCTCTTGATTCAATTTCTAGTCAGGGATTTCGTCTAACCACGCGCGTTTGTTAATAGGCCCTAGCATATTCCCATAGTCGTACAGCTCACAATATCGCACATCTTCATTCTATCTACACTTGCACGTTCGCAATCTTTTTTTTTTTTCGGCACTCCACACAACGGCTCCAAGATGGCCAGCGTCGCTGGCAGCCTCTTCAAACTTACCGCCCCGATCCCCAAGAAAATACTTCGCAGTAATTCTAGCCTAGTGCATGCGCTCGAACCGGAATCTGAGATCCTACAAAATATCACCGATCAATTTGCTCCGCTCATGTCTAAGTTTCGTGTGTACTTCTTTTGGGAACAAGAAAAAACAGATATAAAATACACCAAGGATTATATTATTCCCAAGGCAGCTCCTATTTAAGACAACACTAAGAGATCAGGTATCGCTGCCGATCACAGGGGAATGTGCAAGTTTGAGGACAGCACGTGTCAGGGCTTTCGAACGGTGGTTTCCGCTCTGCGGAGGTACAGTAAGGAAGCGCCCCAAGTTGTGAAGGCAAGGACAAAGAAAGCCTCAATCGATATGGACAGCCAAAGATGTGATGAGGCTGCAGAGCTTCTAAGAGCTGTTCAGTATTTCCCGATGGGTACCTTCCCCCTTTCCGCAATCTCCAGCTTCCGTCAAGATAAAGCCTTGCTTCTTCCGCTGTCATGTGTCGTCGAGCCCGCCGAATAGCTCCTTGCGAGGTATGATCTGAGTGTCTTAGTAAACTTGTACAAGACAGCTGCACATTGCCGCATACCAATGTGACATGCCTCCGCTAGCGCATCGGGTCGTTGCGGAGTCCCCATATCAATATCATTCGAGATATTTTTGTCTTGATGACTGGATCGAAACTGCTGGCGGATTCAGCAGATAAAAACACTTGTAAGGCAAGGCAATACACGCGGTAGTCATAACACAAGACCAAAGTGGCACTGAGACGCCTTTTCACTATTTCCGTCATATGGCTTATGTATTCTTGCTTTTGTGAACCTTTGACATCTAGATGCGAGATGTCTTTTGGCACTGTGATCATCTCGAAGCCGTGCTTATCAATTGAAAGTTCGTGTTCTTGTCCACGGAGATTGTAGAAGGGAACTTGACCACGTTTTTCGAACTGCATATTAGTACGGCAGCTTTCGTGGTCTGCAGATATGATGCCAGAGATATGATAGGGCTTGACTTCGTCATATTCGGATAGATCTCTCAGAAAATTGAGATTTACACGAGATTGCGTAGCTGACGGGAAGTTCGCGCGTAGAGACATGATTGTGAGTCCAACAGTGATAAGTTGAGTGGATGTCGGTGATCGAAAGGTTGGATAACCCGACCAGAACTTTTATCACTGAACTCCAAGCTGCTTCAGCAATAGAAATTTAGCGATCTCTCCGCCAGGACGCTAAAATTCACTGCAGCACGTAGAAGGACCTCTCCGGCGGAAACACAAGGATGAATGCATTCCGTCCGGCAAGAATCTCAAAAGTCCGGTATGTGGTTTCTTCGTATTGATCCCCTGCCCTCCCTAGACACCTTTAAATCTTCGAGAAACGAGTACAAAATATCATAGAGGGTCTGATATAGTTTCGCAAAAATATGCACCTTGTATTTGGTTGGCTTTTACGACAGATGCGCGAATTAACGGCCACTTTATCTCTTTGCCAGAGAGGTCATACAATGATGAATCAGGAACCAGGAAGAACGACATGTTAATATCCGGAACTAGCAAACAAAGTCTACAATATATTTCCTACCAATGACACGAACACAAATGTAGAAATTGATGCACACAGTTCAGCGGGTAAAATATTCATTCTATTTTGCCAATGACCAGTTATTTCAATCAAGGCCACCGCTTTAACAACTTCAGTGCTAATATTAAGCGTTGGGTGATTTTGTTCAGATGCGCGTGCGAATGCTTCCCGAAAATCTAGCAGGCCATACTTCGATTCAGTTCGTAAGTTCTATCTTGCCTCCTCCATAATAAGCGAAGAAAGAAATTTCAAACAAGAAGGGGGTTTATGGTCTTCAAGTCAGGTGGCTGACGCTTCGGGAAGTTGGCCTCCCAAGCACTTTGCACCCGAACCAAAAGAGCTTCCTGGTGTGCTTTGGCAAACACTTGTAAGCCGAAAGGTCTACCATTGAAATCCGAGTATCCTAGGGGTAGCGAAGCAACAGGGTAACCTGAAAAAGCGGATTCGTTAGATAGTGAGGACATAGACGAGCTCGGGATCACTCACCAGCACCTCCAACGAGATTGAACAGAGGACCATCTCCTGGACCTATTATGACATCAACGCCATTCTCCTCAAGAGCTTTGTCGATACCACTCGGGCCGCAAGCTTTGCGCGCATACTGCAATATCTTGTGATATTGATCGTCTGTCATGTTGTAGTTTAAGGCTCTGAGGAGGCCTGCTTGGTTGTAATTTGCGCCTTAACGGATTCATGAGACTTTTTCGTCATACTCAGTATCCAGAAGACTCACCTGCTGATAGCTCTTCCTCGGCATGCTCTTCGTTGAATTTGACGAGGTCTTCAAGGGTACAAATCTTGCAGTCATCAATACCAGCGAGATATTCCTCTAAAAGTGGTTTGAATTTGTGATCTGACCAATTGTTAATGAAGACCTTTCAATTAATACTGGGAGTGCCTTACGAAAAGCATTCCAAATATCCATGTCGCCCCCAGCAGTTGCCTCTTCCAAGGATACTATTTTGACAGTTTTCACAACTTCCGCTAAGGACGTGAGTTGTTTGTAGGCTGAACGCCAGTCTCGTAGCTAATGTCTTTGTGAGCCCCGAGCAGTTTAGTGGCTCTGTATCTTACCATCTGATCCGTTACGTCCTTCTCATACTTCACGATCTCGTGGGGAAACAACCACGTCTCTGGTTCCACCCAACCGACTCTGATGCCATCCCATGAGCCAGTGACAGCACTCTTGTATCCACCTTCAGGTATAGTAGTCTTGCTGGGATCGACAAGGATATCAAGAAGATTAGCAAGGTCCAGAACCGATTTCGTCATTGGACCTGCCGAATCTGCTTCAAAGGAGATTGGGATAATGCCGTCTTGCGGAATCAGTTTGACAGTCGGTTTGATGGTATACAAAGCTGATCTGTCGGCGGGCATGATGAGGGAGCCAGTGGTCTCTGTGCCAATCGAGATGGGGCAAAACCCTGCTGCAACCGCAACAGCGGAGCCTGAAGAGGAGCCACCAGGATTCTACAGAGGAGTTAGACAAGCGGCAGAAATTTCCTTGCGTCAGGGCTATTTTTACGCTGTGTCCCCCGCCCGTGTCATCATCGCGAAAACCCCCTCGAACATACGCAGATTGTGTTTGACCACCCACCGCAGACCAGCCAGAGTCTGCAAGATCGGACCTTGATGAAAAATCAGCGACTTTGCTTCACGTCCTCAGCAAGATGGACGAACTTGTACCAAGCCCATTCCTGCCAAATGTCAGTCAGGAGGCCATTGAAGAACTTATCATGTATCGGCACTTACCGAAAGATTCGCCTTGCCTAGAAGAATGGCACCAGCTGCAATAAGCTGCAGCAAAGTCAGAACAGATTCGCTTTGCGGTAACAGCCAAACGTACACGTTCAATGATTTCGGCATTCCTCCTTGGCTTCGAGCCCACCAATGCGAGACTACCACATGTGGTCGGGACACCTAGTTCTGGAATCGTAGCGATGTTGTCCTAGTCTTGTAAGATTTGATATTCTGCATAGAAAATGAGAGCGTGGATCGACACCTTCACGAGAAATGGAATGCCGTGAAGTGGTCCACGGACAGTACCAGAGGCACGCTCGTTGTCGAGTTCGGCAGCGGCCTTCTCAAGCAACTTTTCTGGCACGGTTGCAATGACTGCCTTGAGAGATCCATTATGGCGAGCTATTTGGTCCAAATAGATCTTCACCAAATGCTGACTGGTGATGGAATTGTCCGTCAACTTGGCCTGGAGCTCCGCCGCCGTTGCAGTCAGGGGATTGATAGCCATGAGAGGTGTCGAGAGTGTAGATTGCTGACCAAAGGGAGGAAGCTGGGCCTGAGTAGACATGCAGGCTCGGAGGCGTAAGGCATGAAGAAAGAATCGTGGGAAACACATGTATATCTCAGTTCACGCGCGACAGTTGATGTGCGAGCCAAACAGAAAACAAGTGGGCTATGCTACGGGCGGAAGTTACGACATAAAGGTCGCACCTACTGACTATTCACTTTTTGGAGTATTGACTATCGAAAAATTTGCCCAAGTACTTGAATTTTCTATGAACGCGCTGCAAAATCCTATGTACATTTTCAATAGCTTTGCATGATGCATGCTTACCGCCATGATTTTCAACGCTACAACGCTAATAACATAACTTGCCTAAAAGAGAAGTTGAATTTACTTCCATGGCAAAGATATCTCGGATGCCCGCTAGATTCGGGAGTAGCACGAGAGTGACATCCTCGTAACAGAGTGTTTTCAGAGCTTCAATATGTTCTTCTGGGCTCGTAGGGTCATCATCGACGTCCATCTCGTCCGCGTCCAATTCATCCATTTCATCCAAACTGTCATCCAAGATTGGGGAGGTGCTTTTCTTGACCTTGATATTCCTTTCAACATATACCAGCGCACCAGGACGAGAAGCGGTATAAGCACACACAAGAATCAGAAGTGCAAGCTGCAAGCGCTGTCGACCATCGGGGAATATTGAGACGTCCAAGATCCAGTGGTGGTGGAGAGCAATATAAACATCATCTACGTTTATGACCATTTTTCTCACGCATAGAGAGGTCAAGACCATATGTTGTAGTCAGAAATCCGTTGATATACTTATCACCAAAGTTATTAGCATTTTCATAGCACACAGGAGACATCGAGGAGCATGTACATCATTGACGTCTTCCGTAATCTTGGCATGCAAACTTTGGCCGACGCGTTTTCGCCTCAGCATACGAAATTGCCTAAAGTATTGGTGCACACTGCTTTGCTTTCGTATTTTTGGATAATTATCTAATATCTACTTTAAGAAAGTCATGATATTTTCTTTTGCAGCACGTCGTAGGAACTGCAATCGATCTTCTCCAAGAAATACACAATGTCTATCACTTCTAGTTAGCAATTTAAAGAAAATTTTAAAGGCAGTTATAAATGCTCACTCTGTCCATTTTCTCTTAAGTCCATTGATATTGTTTCTGGTGGAGGGGGCATGCTTCTTCTTCACTATCCCTTTCTCAATCAGATCTTGGCGATGCTGGCGGTAGTGCTCCGGGCCAAACTTGGTGCTCAAAGGCCTCGCAACTCCCATGCTGTTGCTTTCACCGGGCAACAGAGGAGGAAGTGTGTAGCGGTAATCAATGGTTAAGCAAAGGAATTGACAACAAGATGATGAAGAATGGCAACAGTACAGCTAGGGCATTTTGGAGGTCCAGAGTCGATATAAAGTTGGAAGATCTGGACGAAAAGCGGGGGGGAAAAAGAAGAGTAAGTATCTTGAGGATAGGAAGTCCAGATCACGTGGAATGTATCGACAATAGGAAATGATGCCGCCGCTGCTGGCTGAGCGGAATGAACCAGCCATGATTATAACGGCTGATATGGTGAGATCTTTGGATGAAATAAGACAGCGCTTTTTAGAGGGTCCTGCAAGAAATCATGGGGGAGATCATCTATTATTCACCAAGTGGATTCTGAGGCGGGAGAGCTTCGGTAGTAAACGAAGCGAGCGCACTTGCGCCCTTTTGTGGATCCTTAGGTTGGGACAATCGTCGCATAAAACAGCGACCAAACTCGCTGAATTCGGCGACCATCGCCCTTGAACATAGCGTTTATGTGTAATGTCCTTTAATTATAGGATAAGTAAGAGGATTATATCTATGCTCTAATAAGTGTTTGCCTCCTTTTTTTGGGGAGCATAAAAGAGACTTTAGAATGTCCCTTGATCGAGGGACATTGACGACTTCGTGCACAATTTTTTATTACAATGTCCGTTGATCGTGGGGCAAGTATGAGAATCACATCGATGTTTTAATACGTTACTTTTTGAAAGCATAGAAGAGACTTGAAAATGTCCCTTAATCATGGGGCATTTACGACTTGATGCTCAAGTTTTAATTACAATATCTGTTGGTTATGGGAGAAGCAGGTGGATCATATTAACATTTTAACAGCTTGGTTTTGATGATTACAGAAGAGAGTTGAGAATGTCTTTTGATCGAGGGACATTGATGATATCGTGCTAGGCTTTTGATTTACAATGTCCGTGGATCATGGGACAAGGGATAGCGTCGATATTCTGCCAGGCTTTTTCTTAAGAAAGCATAAGATATACCCAAGAATGTCCCTTTCTTAAAGGACATTACCCACACCCTTCAACCACTACATCACCATACCCACCTCTCCTTCGCCTTATTCAACCCTCTCATCACCCGCCTTCCCACCCACCAACACCCCAAAATCACCATGACTAATCTCCTCCAAACTCAACCCCCTCGTCTCCCTTAAGAACGCCCAACTCCCCACCGCAATCACCGCATCAAACAGCCCCCACAGCAAAAACGTGCCCCACCCCAGATTAGAAATCATGTACGGCGTTGTGAGGGAGAAGACGAAATTAAAGAGCCATTGGGAGGCTACTCCGGTCGCTATCCCTATCTCTCTGATTCGTGTGGGGAAGATCCTGATTTCCTCGTTAGTTAAGCGAAGGGGGGAAGAGAAGGGGAGGGAAAGGGGAGGGAAAGAGAAGGGAAGAGACGGACTCAGAAACATAAGGCCACGGCAGCGGTCCCCAACTGAGATTATACGCAATCACAAACATATAAATCAAGGCAACAGTCGCAATGCCGCTACTTGTGACCTCCCCACCCTCTCTACCAGCAGGCTTCGCTTTGACGACCGCCGCAGTGGTGATCTGACACGCAGCCATGAAAGCCGCGCCTGCTATCAGCACTTTTCGGCGCCCGATGCGGTCGGAGAGGAAGAGGACGAAGAAGAGGCAGGCGGCGACTTTGATGGCGCCGAAGATGGCGGTTAGGAGGAGGTTTTTGGAGGCGGAGCCGTTGACGAGGAGCTGGGAGGGGCGTTAGTGGATTTATTTTGGACAATAAGGGGTCTTGGGAGTAAGCGAGCAGAGCTTATGGGACAAGTAAAAAAAGGGGTTTTAGCTGAAAAGAAGTCACTTACCTTGAAGTACTGGGGGCCGAAGTAAGCGAATGCTGTTGCGCCTGTTGCTTGTTGGGCTGTGAATACTGCAGCGGCGGTTGCTAGACGAGTAATGTTTGATCGCTCGAGTAGTTCTGAATAGCGAGTTAGTACTTTGGTACCATAGAAGAAACTGGGATGTGATTGTCCAGAAGTTTGCCGGACATCAAAAATGATTAAGAAAACCGGGAGCGGTACCAGCAGGACGTAGACCTTCAGTCTCTCGCGCCTCAATTTCGACGCCCATACGGATCTCCTCCATCTCATCCACAGTAGCTTGACTTTCGTCCGCACGGATCCATACCAAGCTCTCCCACGCTTCATCGTGATGTCCCTTCTTGGTAAGCCAGCGCGTACTTTCTTTCAGCGTGAACATGCCGATACCGAGCAAGCCAGCAGGCACGAGCTGGAGAGCGATGGGGATTTGCCATTGTTGGGCTGTGGCGGGGAGACGTTTGAGGACCGCGTAGTCGACCCAGTATGAGGTGAAGATGCCTGTGTTCGTTGTTAGAAAGAGAGACAGACAACGCAAAAGGGTAAAAGTACCAAAAGTGTAGAATAACTGGAAGAAACTGCCGATTCGTCCTCGTAGTTCTTTAGGTGCCATTTCACTACTGAACATGGGTACGACTACACTTGCGCTACCGAGTCCTATACCTGCCACTACGCGGCCGACGTAGAATGCGGCCATGGAGTGGGTGTTGATTGTTTCAATGATGGCTCCGATGCAGAAGATGGCGGAGGATAGCATGAGTGTCTTCTTTCTGCCGAGATAGTCGGCGATGGGCCAGATGATGAGACATGCTAGGAAGGCGCCTGCTTGTTGGAGGCCGACTGCGAGGGAGTTGACGCGGGTTTGGTGGGCTTTGGAGTATTGGAAGTCTTTGACGAAGGAGCTGAGGGTTAGGACTCCGCCTAGGTAGGGATGTTAGAGAAAGATGTATAGTCTTAATACCGTGAAGATTGGAACATAAGAGAGTACTACTCCAGAACTTGTCAGATAATATAGGTGGGCATAAGTCGGACAAGCAGGTTCTTCGAGAAAGCAGTGAACTCGCATCGTTCTTGCACCCCTTTATCCCTCAGACCCACATCACACTTGGGACTTAACCCATTTATATTGTCTCACAAACTCTGGAACAATAGTATCTTATTTCCCAATTCTTACAGTAGGGTAGAGGTCCTACCAACGCTGTGACAAGAATCAGCCTCATGTTCGAGAAGGAAAGCATCGGAGCGGGGTAGAGAAGCTTACATTCCGCTGTCATATCCAAACAAGAATCCTCCCATACAAACCACGCATCCCAGCCAGTACGCCCTCAGCTTTCCCAACGTCGAGTTCCTCATCTCGGTACCGTACTCCGAATGAAGATGTACACTTTCAAGACATGGCCGGCACCCAGCATGACTTAAGTATGAAGTATCATTACCGCTACGCCCTCACCTATGGTACATTAGCGTTCGACTGAATCCCTCAGTTGACCAAATCTGGAAAGTTGACGGACAGACATGGCGTGCTCCCAGCTCCGATATTTCTCATCTTTTAGCTGCATATTTGGATGGGACACGGCAAGGAAGGAGTAGCTTTGACGAATTAAAAGGGGGGTGTAAGACAAGGATGAGGGACAGAATACAGGCCTTTGCATCTAAGCGTGTTCTCGAAAGCGGAGAAATGCATCCGTGAGAGCTTCACGGCCGGATGAGCGACGAATGCGGGTCTGATAATGCGGGGTGAGCCAGATATGAGAGGTGATTGGAAGCGAAGCGAACGTACCGTCCACGGGAACCCCCCTTGATCATACGTTACCTAGCTTGCCAGAAGTACCTAGGTATGGAAGCATGCTGCTTCACAGTGCAAAGATAGAATTTGTTCAAAGATTCAAAGTCCATCAGTAATTGAGTACTTTATAGCGGCATAAGTTCTCTCCTCTTCAAGTTAAAATATATGGAAGTATGCTACTTCAATTTGAAGGAGTGCACAAACAGACTTTATAAAAGGATTCAAAGTCCGTTAGTAATTGAGTACTTTACAGCGGTATAAGTTCTTTCCTCTTGAAGTTAAAGTAATATAATCCAATAGCAAGCAATTAACATATAATCAAGGGTTTACACTATAATATTTCAAGGGGAGCAAGGATGAAATGTGCTCTGTTGTGTAAGAAGTAAAAGTAATAATACACGGCTCATGAACCTCGAGCCATCTGTTCCTTTAAAGAAATTTATAATCCGCCATGAAGCAAGTGAAGCCCGTTCCCTTCCAGGGTATCTACGCCAGTTTTTGCTTTCGTCCAACATGATGCTGCCCATAAGTACCAACTCCAGACCCGCTGTATCCTACAGGGTATCTCAAGCTATCCGTTCCTCGTATGCCTCCCATCCTTTCTGTCGATATCGTTCTGCTTCTATAATAGGATCCGCTGCCTTGATGATTCCTCTTCCAACAATAATGATGTCGGCGCCCATCTGTCCAATGAGCTTTTGTGGTGTATTGTACTGCTGTCCCTTTCCATCTCCCTTGACTTCTGCGTCCTCGTCTTCCGCCGGCGGAAGTTGGCAACCAGGTGTCATGCACAGGAATTGATCGTCTTCTTGTCTGTTCAGACTTTCCTGAGCAATAAATCCCATCACAAAATCACTGTTCTCCCTCGCACTCTCCACACAAGCATCCGTATACTCCTTATTCATAAAGTTCCCCTTACTGCTCATCTGCGCCAGAATAAGCAATCCCCTCTCCAACGGCGCCTCCTCAATCCCCCTCAAGACCTCCTCTCCAAAATCCTCGCCTCCACTCCTCGGTGAGTTCGCCGGCTCGAAATGCTGTGACACCGTCGTGATGGACACGATACTCGCTTTCCGCCCATCTCTCTCCCTTTGTCTATCAGCGCTCAACCCCACATTCAACTCATCCAACGGCATCGGCGTCCCACACTCATCTCCATCCAAATCCTCCTCCCCTTCCCCATCACTATCCACGCTCTCCGCCCTCGGCGTCCCAACCGAGATGTCGGTCTTCACCTCATACCTCTTCCTCTCCCTCCACTTCCTGCCCGCCTCCGCCAGGGCATCCACGGCTGCCTTGCCGGGCACCATATTCACATTCGTGATGTTCGCCCACTCGACGATCCGGGCCGTGCCCTCGGTATACTGCAGCTGCACCGTGTTCCCGATATCGCCAAACTTGCGGTCCTCGAAGATCAGGAAGCCGTGGCGGCGCGCGATGCGGGCGAGGCGCGCGGCGGTGCCGGTCGAGGGGTTGTAGTCCCAGTTGCTGATGAGGTCGTAGTGGGTTTTCAGCACGACGATGGCGGGGCCGAGCGAGTTGGCCAGGGAGAGCAGTTGGTTGGCGGTCGAGACGTCGGCGGAGAGGCAGAGGTTGGAGGATTTGAGCGTCATGAGGCGGAGGAGGTAGGAGGTTAGTGGGTGTGTTGCTTTCTCTGCGCGGAGGGCGTAGGATTGTCTGGCGGTGACATGATGGGTGTTGGAGGAGGTGGGGTGCTCGTTGTTCGGAGACATTGTCTCGTTGGGGTGTGTCGAGGTGAATTCGCAGATCGTAGACGAGACTCAGTCTTGCAGTAGACGAGGAGGGAAGAAGGACTTCTTAAAGCGAAGGGAAGGGATGTGGTGGGTGAAGTCGGTCGCCAGTTTATTTATTTTTGCTGGCTTTGCTTTCTTTCGTTCGGCGGGCGACGCGAAAACGAGAAAAATGTCGATCAGACTGGGCCGGGCCTACGCCGCCCCACATGCAGCAGCCAGCAGCCAGCAGCCAGCAGCACTGCACTGCACTGCACTCACGCACTCACGCACTCCATCCAAGAACTAATTTTAAGCCTTTACTCGCACATTGCAGGGGCGGCGGAACCAGTGTGATGGTTCTTCTGGGTTGCATCCCGGAAATTAAATTGCGGCTGTATCAGCACTGTCACATTGTGTCACAATCAGGTCATTGGGATGGGAAGGGAAGGGAAAGAAGAAGAAATATCTATTTGAGTTGTTGGTCGAGTGTTATATATGGTTACCGTTGGGGTTGTCTGTCTGTTTGCTATGCCTGTGCGCTTTGCTGCCAGCCGTCCGTCCCGTCTGCACGCTCCGGCCGTCAAAGCCTTTCCGGTATCTGAGAAAGCCACCAACATCCGAGAATCAGGTCATGTCCATGTTCGCGGCCACGGTCCAGGGCTAGACCTAGACCTCGGTGGGAATACTTTGTACTACCATGAAAGCTGACAGGGCAGGTGCTCGGTTGACTTCCGATGTCAATATAAATAAATAAATAAATGTCCCGACATCCGAAAGAAAGCATGATGAAGAGGGAGTCCTCATCCTCGTCCTCGTCCTCGGTGCAGTGTTGCGCGTGTAAGGTGGGGTATACCGAAGTCGGTGGAGGGGTGAACGTTGCTCTCGTTCTAGTGATATGTGGGATCTAATACTCTGTATCTTATTTTCCTCCCAACTCCCTTCCCAATCTCTGCTCAATTAATTTCCATGATTATTGTATTCATGCTCTCCTGCTTGAACCCTCTTGGCAAACTATCAAGTACCTAATCGAGCATACCAGTCTTGAGTCCATCCCCATCATGTCCTCCAAACGTCCCAATTTCCTCATCATCGTGGCAGATGATCTTGGCTTCAGCGATCTCTCATGCTTCGGAGGCGAAATCCGCACTCCAAACATCGACAAGCTTGCCAAGAAAGGGATTCGCTTTACAGACTTCCACGCCGCAGCAGCATGTTCGCCCTCACGTGCCATGATCATGACCGGTACCGACCATCACATCGCTGGTCTGGGGAACTTGATCGAGTGGACAAACATTTCAGGCCAAAATGATCCGAATGGCACAATGTCTACTGCTCCTCAACGAGGCATGCCGGGCTATGAAGGATACCTGAATGAGCGTGTGGTGACACTTCCCGAGATGCTGCGAGATGCAGGTTATCTGACGCTGATGGCAGGGAAGTGGCATCTTGGTCTCACACCAGAAAGGAGCCCAAAAGCTCGTGGCTTCGAGCGAAGCTTCGCTCATCTGCCTGCTTGTAGCAATCATTATGCGTATGAGCCACAACTTGAAACTCCAGACAAGATCCCGGATTTCATGACGATGAGCTTTATTGCGTTGCACAGTGAGGATGGAGAGTATGTGAAGAAGCTCCCGGATGGCTGGTATTCGAGTGATGGTTATGGAGATAAGATGCTTAAGTATCTGAAAGAGAGGAACGAGAGCAAGGATGAGAGACCGTTCTTTGGGTACTTTCCTTTTACAGCACCGCATTGGCCTTTACAAGCACCACCTGAGTATGTGGCGCATTACAAGGGGGTTTATGATGATGGACCAGATGCACTTCGACTGAAGCGATTGCAAAGACTCAAAGACCTTGGAATGGTAGACCAGGACGTGGAGCCTCATCCCGTAGTAGCGGAAGAGGTCAAAGAATGGTCAGATTTCACACCAGAAGAGAAAGCAAAGTCTTGCCGCGCCATGGAAGTCTTCGCTGCGATGGTAGAATGCATTGACGCCAATGTAGGCAAAGTGATTGACTATCTCGAGGAAACAGGAGAACTCGACAACACATTCGTCTGCTTCATGTCAGACAACGGAGCCGAGGGCGCTGCCTACGAAGCCTACCCCATGGTCCAAGGAAGCATGATCCAGCACCTCCAGAAATACTACAACAACAGCCTCGACAACCTCGGCAACGGCGACTCATTCATCTGGTACGGCCCCAGATGGGCACAAGCAGCCACCGCCCCGAGCAGGTTATACAAAGCCTACACTACCGAAGGCGGCGTCCGGATTCCCTTCCTCGCCAAATTCCCCACCGAAACAACCCTCAAAGCAGGCACAGAAGACAGCATCACGCACGCCTTTGGAACAGTCATGGATCTCGCGCCCACGATCCTCGAGATGGCAGGCGTCAAACATCCAGCGCCCACCTACCAAGGCCGAGAAGTCGTCTCCATGCGCGGGAAAAGCATGCTGCCGTTCATCACCGGCGCCTCGTCTAGCATCCACGCCTACGATTTCATCAACGGCTGGGAAACCTGCGGTCGTGCCGCTGTGCGCTGCGGTGATTACAAGATCGTGTTCATACCCAAACCTAAAGGGCCGGAGAAATGGCAACTGTACAACCTAGCTAGAGATCCGGGCGAGATCCACGATCTAGCAGAGAAGGATCCGGGGAGGTTGGAGAAGATGATTAAGATGTGGGATCAGTATGTGTTGGAGACGGGGGTGATTCCTCTAGCGCCGGAGCTGGGGGAGTGGATGAGGGCGACGGAGGAGCAGATGCCGGAGAATGTGTGGATGGAGTATGAGTATTGGAAGGATGGGGCGAGGGAGACGCCCGAGGAGTTTATGAGGCAGCCGAAGAGGTTTCAGAGGGTTGTTAAGGCTATTTGAGGGGATTGGTTGAGTGTGGAATATTTGGAGTATGGCAAGTGAACAGAGCTTCAGAATTGCCTTGAGAGTCTTTGAATTATTGAAAAATTTGGACCAGCTCTCAATGTTAAAAAAATAAGTTTGGATGTAACATCACAGCTTGGTACTCTAGTGCAGGGCCATGGATCACTTGGTCGCTGAACAGAGCTTCAAAGTTGTCTCGAGCTCCTTAGGAGTTTTGGAAAGTCTTGGACCACCTTCTGAGAACAATGAAACGAGCTTTTGGGTTTGGTTGATGATGAAAATGAGAGTGGAGAAGGTTTAAAAATTTAAAAATGCCTTGTTCTTTTAACTATTGAGAAAACAATATGTTTGTAGACGACAGCTAAAGACTTGATAAATAAAGCGCTTTTCGTCAGTTGACAGCTTCGCAGCGCAGAAACATGGATGGCTGGCTCGCTGTGAAGAAAACTTGGAAGGTTTTCTCTAGAACAGCTCTTGGTAGTGTGCACTTGCATCTCCCAGTATCTCAAGGCGAACAATACCTCCTCGAAAGTAAGTCTCCGAGTCCAACTGAGCACCATACAAGACAAAACAGTGGAGGAGCTAGGAATGCACTCCGCCTCTCGAAAAGGGGAATCATCACGTGCTGACACCAAAAAATAATCCGCGCTAAGACCTCGTTCGACAATTTATTTTCCAAAGCATCATCAATTCCAATTCCACATCTCCTCTCCTTTCTCACTTTTCCCGTTTGTGTTTAATCCCAAAATGGTGTTTGCGCGCTCAGTAGTCCCTTTCCTGCGGACAGCACGGTCTGCTCTGCAACAAGGCAGTTCCGTCAGTCCCTTGCAGCACGCTCTGCGGAGACAGAATGGAGGTGCTTCGGTGCTGAATGCTGCTCGCGCATATGCTACTGTCTTTGAGCGGACGAAGCCGCATGTTAATATCGGTATGCTCTATCTGCGTGGTTCTCTCGGAGCTTTGACTAATGTTTAAAGGCACAATTGGTCATGTTGATCACGGCAAGGTATGGGCGACTCGAAAGGAGGCAAAGATTATGAACTGATGTATTCGGCAGACTACGTTGACAGCAGCTATCACGAAGAGACAGGCAGAGAAGGGAATGGCAAACTTCCTCGAATATGGCGCCATTGATAAAGCTCCGGAAGAGCGAAAGCGTGGTATCACCATTTCGACGGCACATATCGAGTACTCGACCGAAGCTAGACATTACTCTCACGTCGATTGTCCTGGTCACGCAGATTATATCAAGAACATGATTACGGGTGCTGCCAATATGGATGGAGCTGTTATCGTCGTTGCTGCTTCGGATGGACAGATGCCTCAGACGAGAGAACATCTTCTGCTTGCTCGTCAAGTTGGCGTGCAGAAAATTGTTGTCTTTGTTAACAAGGTTGATGCTCTCGAAGATCCTGAGATGTTGGAATTGGTCGAGATGGAGATGAGAGAATTGCTCAACACATACGGTTTCGAGGGTGACGAGACGCCAATCATTATGGGGTCTGCTCTCTGTGCCTTGGATGGACGGAGACCTGAGATTGGAGAGACCAAGATCGACGAGCTTCTCGAAGCTGTCGATACCTGGATCCCAACACCCCAACGTGATCTCGACAAGCCTTTCCTTATGTCCGTCGAAGACGTCTTCTCCATCCCCGGTCGTGGAACCGTCGCATCCGGACGTGTGGAGCGTGGTACCTTGAAGAGAGACCAAGAAGTTGAGCTCGTCGGAAAGGGAGACGTACCAATCAAGACCAAAGTCACTGACATCGAGACCTTCAAGAAATCCTGCGACGAATCCCGAGCAGGCGACAACTCCGGCCTTCTCCTCCGAGGCATCAAACGTGAAGATGTCAAGCGAGGAATGGTCATCGTGCAACCTGGAACTACAAAACCACACAAGGAGTTCCTGGTCTCGATGTACGTCCTTACCAAGGAAGAAGGTGGTCGCCACACCGGTTTCCACAACAATTACCGCCCGCAAATCTTCCTGAGAACAGCTGATGAGGCCGCGGCTCTGTTCTGGCCAGATGGAACCGAGGATGCGGATTCGAAGATGGTTATGCCGGGCGATAACGTCGAGATGAGATGTGTGATCCACAACCCAGTCGCTATCGAGAATGGACAACGATTCAATATCCGTGAGGGAGGAAGGACCGTTGCTACTGGACTCGTTACTCGTATCATCAAGTAAAACGACCAACACAAAAATGGAGGATAATAGATAGATTTGTTGTACAACCTTGGATGTGTTTCATTGGGCGGGCATAAACATGGGTGGAGTTCCTCTGCGAGGCGATGTAAATTATGTCTTGTCTCTTGCTTGGGATCTGATCTCCTCTCTGCATTTTTTTTTTCTTCCTTCTTTCCAACTGTGTCTTCTTACATATGATGTAGGAATAGAGAAGGGCAGTGTAGGAAGGAATGATATGCTTGTACAAAGAAAGATATTTGTTGGTTTTATGTGAGGAGTTTGTTGCGCAAGTAAGTTCTTGTGAAAAGTTGCAAGGGCATCCATCTGAGTCGTTCTTATATTACCTCATCCTTCAAATCTCAGTCCTCTGGCGGTACACACTTAGCTCCCTTTTAATGTCTTGCAAGGTCTAGAACAATATATCACAATTTTCACAATATACGGTAATCCGTATTTTTCCCGGCTGTTTGTTCTCTCCACTATCCCCCCCTTTTTTATATATATAGAGAAGTTGTATAGTAGCGAGTCTTTGATCCATGCCAGCACATCTGATTCGTATCGACTGATACAAGGTCTTTCTAGTGAATTCCTCTCCCTCGTGACATTCGTAGCGTTGTTACAATACCTTAGTCTTGGGGCATTCTGGTTAGCTCACAGGCTTGTGGCGGCTCAGAGGGGCTGAGTTCAGCTGAAAAGCCATGCCTCTCGTCACGTCCCACTTGCCGTATCTTAGCAGAGCCTTGTCTCGATAGCGCATACCTTTTCATATCGTGTACTTATAAAAACTGTGGCAGTCTCGCCTGATAGTTTTGCGACGCGCGACGATTGAGAAATCATGAATTTCACTTTGGTGGTACCGAACGGGACGACAAATCATGGTAACCCACATTTGCTCTGCACACCTCCCAAATGGTACGACGTGGCACTTTTCTACTTTGCGAATTACTTTGCGCATGCCGCGACCGTCGTCTCATATCCTGGCCAAGGTACTCTAGAGACCGCTCTGGCAGTTGTGAAAGCCTTGTTGCTGCCTGGAACTGGAGTATTCCCAGCGGCGGAGACTACCCTTCGTCATCCAGCTTTGATCAGAGGTGACGCTCTTGCACAAGCAAATCGGGCTAGAGCACTGTGTATGGTGGTCAAGTCGAGGCCTAGACGACTGTGTTTTGTGAACAATCCGAGGAGAGGAATCGCGGCATTACGGCCGAACAATTTTCAACTTGAGCGTCTTGTAGGTTGAAAGAATGTGCCTTCTTCGGATATTGGCCCACCGCATCTGATAGGCTACCTGAGGACGCGAAACATCGGTGGTGGGAATGTAAATCTGCCGAAGGACGGGTTTCCATGGGTTCCACTATCCATGGAGAGTTCAAATTACCTCGTGGGTATGATTTGAATTATGTCCCTTTAACTGCTTCACTGGAATTTGCCAAACCCGGCGAGGTCCTGGTGGACCCCGGAACGACGACTGAAAGCATGACCGGACCGATGTTTTTGGACTACTCACCTAGACTTGAATCGACCTACAATTTTCCAAAGCTCTTTGTCAGTCTCGCTCAAGCGACTTGGGCATGTGTCACTTTGTATCGAGCTCGAGGAGATCAAATCGAACGATATGGCTATGCAGCATTTGGACTGACCGTTGCTCCCTACGCATGCATGTCGATAATCAATATTGTGGCAAATCTACTTGCACCAGACTATCCATCGATATTCCTCGTCCGAACCCCCTCCATGGACGAGGCTGAAGCTAAAGGCGGCTACTGCAGTGGAGAACTTCACGTCAAGATCAATCCTGAAAGCGCTGTAATGCATGATGAATATACATACAGTGCAGCTGAGAGCGGGATTCTTGGAGTTCTTCTTTCCCTGACACCGCTTGCCATCATTGGAGGACTTTCACACTTCCGGAATCAAAAAAGTACGAGTATTCAGCGAGGTTTCACGATGTCCTGGGTGGTCTTTGGCATTTTTACAGCAGTAAATTCAGCCTCGGTGTATTCGTCAGTTGACTATGATTGGTCCGGACAACGACTTTTGGGCAACGGAAGATTTTCAAGTTTAGGGTATGCTTATAAATCAAGCTTAGTTCTTAGGAACATATACTTCATGGCAGTTTGGGGGGTAGCGTCCATTGGTGGTATGGTTGTCGTGGGAAAGATGATCGCCGAATATGGTATTTGTACATGGATTTGATAACGCAACGTTGGACATAACATATTCAATCTCTTACAAGTTATACACCGTTATTGAGGGAATTTGAGAGAAAGATTTACATGTTTGGGAAGGCCATGGACGAGGGATATGTCATGTACATACGTACCGTGTATAGAAGCGCCACCGACACAGCTAATGCTCTTGTATCAGTATGCCCAAAAACTCGACTTTCCACGAGAGCACAAGTAACACTCTCGTCATATGATATGTCTCCGGGAGCGACGTTTCCACAGCTGGCAACCAACGGCTGAAGCAAACGGCAAAGATCTCCTTAAGGTCAGTCACCGAGCAAAAGGTAGAATCGAGTCTCCATTTTACCATGAAGTTGCAGCTTGCGGAGACGTCACTAAGTCCCGAAAGATAGCGAGGAAAGAGACACCTTGATCAAATCCTCTCAATATGAGGCATGAGCTTGAGGGGCATAATGCGGTAGCGAGTGAGGGAGCACAGAAGGGAAAGTACACTGTTGAAGATACGGTCCAGCCACCGGTTCTGACTCTCGACGGTCTTGGGAATGCTGGATCTGTTCCAGCTCAATTTGAGGTGAAGTTGTTGACAGTGACTGATATGGGAGGTACAGATAAAGAGCTTGATGAATGAGAGCTGGGTAAGCTCGGTTACAAGAGCGAAATCAAAAGGTTATCTAAAAATCCAGCAGGTTGAAGAAGAGAAAAGCGGCTGCAAAGGAGGATTAAGGATGCGGAAAAAGGGATGCAGATAGAGAATCATTAGCGAATAGTGGCATACACAACAATATAACTACTACCCCTTTCCATGCCTCTCTCGCCGAGTCCTATGTCGTTCCATTCACCTTCCAAGGTACCCCCGTACCTACGTAATTTTCGAAGCAGTCGATGCTAAGGCTACCTGCTATATAGAATCAAATAAGCGAATCTTATTTCAGGAAAGTCAGCATGGCTTAATGGTAAAACATTAATCCAGATTGGCGAGAGCCTAATCGAACGACAAATTGAGCCACGAGCTCCCCAGCAGTGGGTTACAACTGGCGGTGCGGAAAACACCGGGTGCCAAAAACTACGTCCGGAAACAAAAACCTATTCAGTTAGGTTCTCTGCCCAGTGCACCACGCTTGAAAGACAGCGTGCTGCGCTGGGATGAGTTTTGTCATTTTGAGCTAGAAGTTTTTTTTTTTGGCTTTCTTATTTTCATCGCCAATTTTCAACATGTTTTGGACATGCTCAAGAGATAGTTAGCGGGGTTCGAGTATCAAATATCTTTTGGCTTTTAAATACTGATACACAATAACTTTCAATGCTCGGTTCATTGCCATGAACCCAACTGGGTTGCGTGCGGAACCACCACTCGCAAAGGCCGGTCACGTTGCATCCTTTTGCTGATATTTTTGAAATTACAAAGGACAACTACTCGGAGCTCTAATCGCCCTGCTTCACAAACTAGCAGGAAAAAGATAGTCGACTATCATGAAGTCGGCTTACTCCATATGCGCGATTCGCGGCACTAGCGCATTTCGCGCCTTTTGCGCAACCCGCGCGAATTGCGCATTTTTCGCATTCTTTCACTTACCAACTCGCACCCGGTGCATATCTCCAAAGAGCCTTAATATTAAGCTTTAATCACATTCATCTTGTTACTTCCGACGCATTCACTGTGTCCAGCTTTCAGTCGTACAGTACCGTCACCCGGCCGAGTGGACACTTTATGCCAGAATTCGGATTTATCTACAGTTCGGGATTAGTTTCGTTGGAGATTGAGCTGTTTCAGGAGATGATTTGAGGTTGGAAATCTAGTGATATAGGGGAGTTGAGGATGTTGCTGCCGGATTGTAGAGTGGGTCAAGCAGCCCCTTTTGCTAAGCGAGGAATGGCCATTACTGGTTTCAACTTTGACACCCTTCCAACTCATTCCATCCTGACAGGAGAAAGACCAACCAAGTTTTCATTCCTATTAAATTCGATGCTTATTTTACTTAGGTTCCATGGCAAGGGTGCAATAGTGTTATCAAGGGCCACCAACAAGGAGAACAAAAAACACTTGTATCGAGGTACTTTGCTAACTCTGTCGAATTAAAGGGTTGAAAAACATGCATAAATAAACAACCCAAACTACCAAATCCCCCCTCTCAAAGTCTAAACTAGCAGACAAACCCTCTAAACGCGCCAAAACCTCTTCCCAACACCCACCTCCTCAAGCTCCTCAACCACCACCTTCGCCGCCTTCGTAGTGCCATTCGTCTTACACTCCGACCCGCTAACCTCAAACGTCTTATTCCAGACCCCAAACCCATTATCCGTAACCGACAACCCACCCAACGTAATCGGGCCCGGCGCACACTTCGGGGCATGGTAGCTCAATTTCGTATAAGTTTGCTATATCCCCAACCACCATCATCAGCCGCTCTTCTCCCGCCCAAAAAGAAAGAAAGAGAGAAAGAAGAACTCACATTACACCCAATAACCATCGAATGCACAACCCCATTCCAGCCGCCCTCCTTATTCTTCCCACAACCCGGAAACACTACAAAGACACCGCCCGTATCCGAGAACGAGCCCACGGGGACCCCGTCCGCGTCGCGAGCGTGCAGCATCGCGCCGTCGAGGGCGACGCCTGCGGCGAGGGAGTCGAGGATTAGGAGGTTGGGTTTGCCTGCTATTAGGGAGGTGGAGGTGCTGTTGGCGAGGGTGACGCCGAGGCCGGGTTCGATGGGGGTTATGCGGTTGACGGTGTTGTCTGGGACTCGTTAGTGAGGAGAAGAGAGGGAGTGGGAGAGGGAGGGAGAGGTACGGAAGGATGCTAGCATGTAGCCTGTGTTTCCGGGCTGGGAGTTTGTGACTGCGACGACGTTCAAGTTCGCGGATGCTGGTCAGTTTTGTTAGACTTTTTTCGACGACGAGGAGGAGGAGGGAGGAGGGGGGGACGAAGAGGAAAGTACCATTGCTATTAAACGCCAGCGCATTATTCTGATCCTTAACCGTGAACGGGATCAACTCGCCCAAACTCTTCGGCAGACCATCTGGTTTTGGATTGCAGAAATACGCAGGAATGAGGGACCCGTTCGTGAAAGCGTGAGCTGCTGGGATGACCGTCGCGAGGAACAGTAATGAATGGATGATAATGTGCATATTGAGAACAGACATTTGGAATGAATGAATGTAGGAAAGAAAGAAAGTAAATGAATAGAAAATAAAGTCCTACTCTTGTTCCTTCCATTTCCACGAGGGAAATCGACTCTCTTTTGCTCACTCACTCAAGCAAGCCCAAAACCTCGCGCCGGCCATAGCACTCACTCATCGAAGGAACAGTGACATCCCAATTCCCTCCGTCGTAAGACTTGCATGCAAAACACGAATTCCCAATCCCCAAGAAAACCCAACTCAACCAAATAAAAGACCTCAAGATGTCTCCCTCACTCCAAGCCCCCGTTTCAACACCCAAGCGCATCCTCCGCTATGTGAAGAGAAGACATGCCCCATCCAATTGTAAAACGCGCATTTGAAATCCCTCCAATCGTCCGAAGTGAGCATGTCGTCCCAAGTTTGGAGCTGTTTGAAACGCGGTGGCTTGCGTCATGTTCCACCCCGCCACGAAGCGCGCGAGCCTCGGTGCGACGAGCAATCCGTCGGTGAAATTCGTAGCCGAATTCACAAAATGTAAAGGATTGCGCACAATATATTAAGTTTATACTTGATATTTTTAATGAGAACGTAGAATAGCTTTTTGATAAGTTAGAACCGAAGTCTAATTAGAAATAAACTATGTAGTAGTGTACAATGTTGGAGTTAGTGTAGGGCATTTTGGTGTTTTCGAGTACTAAAATCGGCTAGGAATTTCACAAAGGGAGAAGACGAGACGTCGGGAAATGTCTAGGACTGCTGTAAAAGCAATATTTAGAGGTCACGACCAAAATAGGATTTCGGAAGGTGTTTTGTATTTCGGTGAGGGTCAGATAAGGAAAGAGTGCAGCATCGTGACATTTGGAGGATGCTTAGTCATTCATTCACATTCATCACAGGAACGAAAATATCTCGAAACCATGCATGCATTAAGCGTCAACACGACATACGTAAAGAAACCACTGCCCTCTGTGTCCAGTCCTCCATTTCTCCTTCCCCATTTATTTTTTTATCCCACCTCCCCAGTCATAAAATCGAGACTAATAAAACAAGGGTACTCATGAAAGCCTCGACAAACAGAAAAAGCTTCTCTCCTCCATTCCCATTACGTTCTCATCCCAAGCCAATTGGTATCCGCGTAGTGGTATCAAGAAAGCATCAATTCCCCGTTCCCCGACCGACCGAAAGAAAAGAGAAAGGACAGTCTGCCTGTTTCATCAGGTGGTTTTCTGTTTAGATAGTACCAGTCATGACTGGGTTGTTGGCACCGAGTGTGGTGTTGTAAGTATTTCCGCTACCGGCAACTGGAGTTCCGTTGCTCTTGCCATTGGTCAGAGATGGTCCATTTGCAGTATCCTTGCTGAAAGCTTGGTCAACTTGGTTGCTGAAGCCAGCTGTGTTGTTGGAGATAGATCCGTTACTGTATCCAGCAGAGCCATTTCCGGTAGATCCAATACCAGCTGTAGTGGGAGCAGTGGTGTTAGATCCGAGACCGCTAGTTCCAACGCTCTGAGCAGAATGATCAGAAAGTTGGTTGCTCATAGAACCAGTGTTTCCGATGTTCTGGGGGCCACGAACACCACCCGAAGTGACGGAGTGATTCTTGCGTGTAACTTCTTGAGCACGAGGAACGTCGTTAGAGACACCAGCAGTACCCAACTTGAAGATTGGAGACTCCCAGCTATCGCCCTTGAGAGCCAATTCCTTGTACTCAGTAGCCTTGGACGAGATACCACCTGGGAGATGGATGTCGGGGAAGATCGAGTCTTGCTTGGTCATGGCGACATTGGCCTTCTTGTCTGCCATTGAGTCCGCGGCATTTTGAGCCTTTTGCTTACCCTGAGCGAATTGCTTCTGGGCAGCGGTGACATAGCGTTGGTAGATGTTAGGGGCATTCTCGGGGTCCTCAATAATCTAAATTTCATTAGCATAATTCTCACAAGGAAAGGATCGGATGTCTATTTACCTCTTGTTGAGCACGATCAGCCTCGACCTTGATCTTGTACGCAAATGAATCCCATTGGTTGAACTGGTCCTTGATCTGCTTCTCCATAGCCTTCTGAAGAGCTGGTCTGATAACCTTCAACATAACAGGCTTGAACAGACCGAAAAGCACCTTGTGCTTGGACTGCTTAAGCTTGATGTTAAAGTTCTTGACATCAACATCAACCTTGTCGACCTTGAAGAAGTTCTGTTGATCCTTCTTGTGGGCAGAAGACAACTTCAGCTTGAAGCTGAAACCAGTTCCGCCGAGGAAGATATCGGCAACACCAAGATCAGTAATGCTTGGGAATCCCTCCTTCTTCTTGACATAGTAGGCAACATCGCGAAGATCCATTTGGATACCGGAAACGGAGATCATGAAGCTGTGGTGCTTCTTGTTGGCCATTCCCTTGCGGCCCCATCGGAAGTAGTTGTCACCAGCAACTTCCATGACATTGGGCATGAGGTTGTCGCTCTCGATAACCAAGTTCTCAATGACAGCATCGATCATGGGGTCAGAGTACTCAATTCTGGGAATTGGTACGTAACGGATGGACTCGAAAACACCAGGAAGGATAACCTCAGTCAAGTCCTTAACAAGATGTGGCTTGAAAGTTGGCTTGCCATTCTCGTCGTTGCCAAGATCGTTGAAGAGCTTCTGCATGGATTGACCGAACTTCTTGTTCTGTGGGTCCTGGTCGAACTGATCGGCCAAGAACTTGGTCTCGTCGACAATACGATCAGTGTGGTTGCGGTAACGATCACGGAGGAGGAAGTTGCCTTGGTCATAGAGACGGTTCCACTCCTCGGTAGCAGCATCTTCCATAATGTAGCCTTGTTGCTTGAGGCACTTGCGGATATAGGCGTCCATCTTCTTGAACCAGCCCTTCAATTCTGGGTCTTTGTCGGCATCACGGTAGATGGTGTTGAGAGAGTCGAAGAGATCATCCATGCTGGTGTGGTTGGCGAAACGCTCGATGAGTACGCGAAGATCGGTCTCAGCACGTTGGAGAGCGGTATCAGCATGAGCACCCTTGACAGTTCCGGTAGATTGTTGAGTAACAGTGTTAGCATGAGTAGCGTACTGTTCAGCCAAGTCGAGCAAGGTGGTGATAGCTTGTTGGTCTGTAACTCATTAGCAAGTTTCAATATGATCATCGCTGAATAAACTTACAATCAGGATGTCCCTGGCACTCAACAACAAGCTTCTTCAAACGCCAAATAGTCTGCTCACGACGCTCTTGTGGCATCTTCTTGGAGAGATAGTTCTTGGTACGATCTCTAGTCTCACGGCCCTTCTGCTTGGTATCCGCATCAATGTTCTCAGAAGCACGTTGCTTGAGAGTAGCAGCACCATTTTGCACACCAGATTGAGCGTCAACACCGGAAGCGGTACCGTATTGTTGGTCTTGACTGGCGAGAGCAGCGGTATCGGTAGGATCACGAGAACCATCTGGGTGAGCAGCTTGGCTGGCGTTTCCGGCAGCATCTCGGACGTCATTGCGGTCAATTGGCTTGTTTTGGTTGTACTGAGACTTAATCTGTTGCTTAATGTTTCCTGCAGACATGTCTGGGACATCATGCCAAGTATTGTCGTCGGCTGGTTTGTCGATCTGGTTCAATTGATCTTCGGATGGGTTGACCTTGTCGGCAGCCTTCATGGCAGCATCTCCAGCAATATCTCTCATAAGGATGACAGCATCGTTCACTGCGTATCTGTTAGTGCGTCTCTGAATTCCCAAGACATGCGAAACCTACAAAGCTTTCTGAATTGCCCATTGCTGAGGATCAACGTTCCGAGTGTTCGCAGACCCTCCAAAGCTTCATTTCCATGCTGCTTGGCAGTCTCCTTGTCAACTGGTGCCCCTGGCAGAGCAGCGTTCGCGCCATCGATCTTTTGTGATTGCCAGATGAAATCCTGGAGGAGATTTCCCTCGTTCTTGCTGAGAAGCAGGTACTTAGCCTCGGAAACTACATTGCGGAAATCGGCGACCAAAGCTTGACCTTCAGCTGAGAGCTTCTTGGATGGGCTGGAAAGGGCTTGGGACTTCAAGAAGCTGTTGAGAGCAATGTCAATTTGTTCGTTCTGTTTGCAATCAGTATTTTGGTCATTTCACCCGTTCGAGATACTCACGGATGGGACTTTGCCAGCTTGGAAGGCTGTGTATGTTGTCAGCAGACGAATGACAGAGTAAGGATAATGACGTACCTGAAGCAATGCCGTAGAATTGGAGTTTACGATTAACATCCTCCTCCTTGGCCTTGATGTTGGTGGGTCTGTTAACCTGCGCGGATGAAGACATGATGAATGGCGAGCGCGAGATGGGTATCACTAAAAGCAAAAGGAAGCAGAAGTGGTTTGTTGTTGTTGAGTCGAGTCAAGGTAAGGTTCGAAAATTTCGATCTTGTAGACTAAGAAATGAATCAATCCCAAGCGAAGCTTAAGGGATGATTACGTAGTTGATATTGAGCGTTGCGGTGAATCGTAACTTCGTGAAGTTGTGATGGTCTTGAGAGGAAAGAAAGAGAGAGAAAGTTCTCGAGCGGAAAGGGACTTTGTTTGTATGTGCGGTGGCAGGTCACCACTCACTCACTCACTACCTTGATTCTAGGATGAGATCAGATCGGGATCAGCTCTCTCCTCTTTTGGCGCGCTCTTCACTTATTCGGGCAAACGCATTGGAAATTTCTTGCTTGCTGGGCCTGTCTGCTGCTACGCAACACAGCCGTCAACCCTTTGCTTGGAAGCTCTAACATCATTAGCGTGCTTGCGAACTTACCGTAAGTGACGTCGTTTCGTCAAGCTGGAGCTTAGCTCCCCCTGGTCACTCGGAAGAAAAGTTCAATTCATCATCATTGGCCGCACTCAACGCCACCTCATTTAGCGATGGCTGTCTGTGGCTAGAACTTCCCCAGAGAGACTACCCGCCCTTGAAATGATCCCTGAAACAGCATAGCTCTCCATTCTCCATACTACGCAAACAGCTTTTCTGCTACTTCATCAAAATATGAAATTGCGATCGCAGTCCTACATCAACCCAATTCGTGTCACGAGAAGGTCATGCACGTCATGAATCAAGACCTTGGAAATCTCGTACCTTTTTCCTCTTTCTTTCGTCTGATCTTGTCGGAGCACTGTATGTATTCGTGACCCGAGATGGATGGCATTTCCTCGATTCCCATCCAGGATCCTCAAACTGAACTGACGTAGCGACCATCCTTGCGCTGATCGCAGCCATAACCAACAACAACCATGTGGAAATGTTCAAGGTCACCCCATCCATATCCATCGCAGACATATACTCGTGCACATGTGCAAGTACCAAGAATAGGTACTTAGGTATGTACCATACCTAGGTACTCACGTAAGAACCCGAGAAAAAACAATTGAAGCAGTCACGAAAATCTGCATCTTCCCATCGTAGCACGCACTGTACACTTGACACCGCATCAGTCCTCCCCCATCCAATCCATGACTCGCCTCCATCAACAACACCTAACACACCGTACTGTACTCGCAACACCACGCGTCGCATCCCATCCCATCTGAAATCAAAGCCCCCAAAAAATCGATGACTTCATCAACCCTCCCCAAATTTTATCTCATTTCCGCACTACTCTCACCCCCCAAAAGTCTAGACCGCTGCCGATCCGGTCTCTGACGACGCGGCGCTTCCGTCCCGCCTTCAGGCCTAGAATTTTTCCTTTGGCGAGCTCGCTTCCCCTGAATCAGGGTCAACACCACACCTATGTCTTTGGGGGGAGAGAATGATGGTTGTGGCTGTGCAAAACTTCTTTGAATATTCTACATATTTGGGGACCAATGAGATATTTGCATTGAGCTCTGATTGAGCGCCACAAGTTTGTGGAGGAGGCAAATACTTCGGATACCTCCGAGTTTCTTTCCTTGGAACCGAACAATACCAGACGGTTTCAAGTTGTGCTAACAGCTTCTTCGGGTATTCTCAGAGAAAAGTAGGTAGGGGGAATGAAAGAAAGATACCTGACTACTTTATCTAATATGATATAATATATAAGAAGAAAGAAATGTGTAGAACCTCGAACTGATTCGTACAGAACGAAAATACCAAGGCACACGTGGCTTGCTTGGTTTTCATTGACTATTACATTTACTCGTTCAAATACTACACTATGGGTATCTTGCTTCATTGACGGCCGTTGTCTCCACGCCTAGGTTAAATTCCAGTCACTATGGCAGAACTCCAGACTCCCCCATCCTATACTTGCACAGAACTTTTCCCTACGCAAAACAAGTCAAGGAGTACGTACCCCACTGAAGGAGACCCGGACACGAAGTCAAGGTCCAAAAGAATCATACATAATCCAACATCTTAATCACAAACCTCCATTACCATAATGCCTCTTCTCTTCGCGTGGTCTCCTTCACAATCATTCATTGCCAGCCACCTCTGCCCTTCTCCTTCATCTCTCTAGCGGTGCTGGTCACGAGCTTGTAATCATGCCAGAGCTGCTTGATCTGATTCATTTCTTCCCATCTATCCACAACCCCATTGGTGTACTTGGTTCTCTTCTTCGCGTTCATGTCGTCACGCTCAGCGAGCTTTGCCGGTGTGAGCTCACCTTCAGCTTCTAGAGCCGAGATGACCCATTGATTAAGGTTGTATTTCCAGTGAACAAGTGTGTGAGTTTGTTGGGCATTTGTCTTGCAGACCCTATTTTTCATATTAGCATCATTGCGCCATCAATCGGTAAAATGTTACTTACGGGCCAACTGCATAACGTCTCGTCGCTGGAGGAATATCTTGATCTTGGCTGTTGACACTTGTGCATTTATCATCTGCGGCTTGAGGATCATCCGAGTCTTCAGAGTCTTGAGCTGACTTGGATTTATCCGAATCACTGCTGCCTTGGTCTATTTCCTCCAGAGTGACTTTGTCATATGCCTTTCCATTGAAGATAAGTGCAACAGAAGGCTTGTGCTTTCGGTGATTGCAAGCGTGGCAGATTGGCAGACCACTTGCCATATCAAAGCCTTCACCAGGTATTAAGACATGCTCTTCTAGCAAAGGGCGAGCGTACACGGCTCTGGTAAACTCCTTGGTCCACTGCGAACTTGCAAATTTGCTCTTTGCCAGTCCTGAGCACTCATCATTCAGCTTCTTGAATGCTTGTCTGTAGATTGGATCATCTCGAGCAAAAGCAGGGTTGATCTTGTTGTGAACCATCCATTCAACGGCATCTTTGAAGTGGTCTTTGAGTTGTTTATGAGCGTGATGCGTAAACTCCAATGGGATAGCACTCAATCCTGGCACGCCAATGTCGCCATCTTCATCATCTGTAATGAAATTATCCGAATCGGCAGCATCTCCGGTCTGATTCGCTCGTGGACGTCTGGATGGTCGGACGGGTGCTTCCTCTATCTCCTCGTCATCAAATTCTTCGAGTTGCTGGAACTCTTCTTCGCCATCTGACTCAGATTCCGACTCAGAATCCGTCAATTCGCTATTGTCTCCGTTACGCCTACGTTTGAGTAATTCCATCTGCTTCTCTTTGGCAGTGCGATGCTTTCTCTTTGTATTCTGCTGGCGAGTTATCCGCTGTGGTGTAGTACTCTCTGAATTTGAACTTCGTCCTCGAGAAGATCTGTGTGAACTTGAAGGTTCACCTCGCTTACTGTCAACATTTCTCTGATTGCCTTGACGTCTTCGCTTGGTTGGTGAGATATCATCATCCGGGGAGGCAGTAGACTCAACAGTAGGCCGTGGACGCTTGAGTGGTGAGATGACAGGCTCTTCGTCAACATCATCTTCTACAACAGGTCGTCTATAACGCTTGATAGGTGATGGTTGAATATCTTCATCCTCTTCGTCTTCATCATCTTGCTCGACTTGGTATGTGGGTCTTTGTGAACGCTTTGGTGAAGATATGATCGGGTCATCCTCAGAGCTATCATCCACAACCTTCTTCCTACTAGTCCTCAGTCGAGGTAGGACAGGGGTGTGAGGAAGAGCCTTGCGAGCTGAACCAATCTTCGATAATGGAACAAGTTCATCATCATCAGAGTCCGAAAGTGTTACAGATTTCTGTCTACGGCTCTTGCCATTCGAGTCGGAGGATCGGGTAGCACGGCTGGAACTAAAGGGTCCCTTCTTGACTGGCTTTCTCTTTGGAGTGACAGGCAGAGCATCATCACTCTCTGAGACCAGGTTGACAACCGTAGTCTTCTTTTTTGTTGATGATTTATTCTTGGTAGGTGTAATATCCTCGACTTCGGATCCCTCAGAAGAATCGTATCCTCCATCATATCCAAGCGATCGTTGTTTCTTCTTGCTTTCAAAAGTCGGCATGAATTTAGCAACACTTCGAGTTTGTCGGAAAGTGGACGGCTTGGGGCCACCCTCGATCTCTAGACTGTCTGGCATACTGTTAGCAGTGAATCTTGAAATGCCAACCCTCTAGGAAATTGTGAATCCAATGTGCGGATCCTGAAAGGCTTGCGATATAGAAAAGCGACTTACCAGAAGAATCATCAGCTTGAGCTTGCGGCTGGGAAGACTTTGCAGGCGTAGGTAGCGGCTTGAACGGCAGCTTTCCAGTCTTCTTACGTGGCGCTGGACTGAAATCATCTTTATTCGAAGAATGTGGTACATTATCGCTCTCAAACGCATCTGCGGAACCTTGCCCACTAGATGCAGGTGTTCGCTTTGCTCCATCGAGCTGGTATCTGACTTTTGCAGGAGACATCGTGGACGGTGAGGAGGAGAGATCAACAGGATCAAACGTGAGTCGTGTCTGTCGTTTGCGCTGCGACTTGCGTTCGAGGTTGGATGGCATTGTGCTGATCTCTTATCGCGTGGTTGTCATTTGTAGTGGGGGACGCGTTTCGGAGAGCCGCAGCAGGTTGGGTTGAGACTGCAGTAAAGAAGTTGTGTTTTGAAATGTGAGGCTATCAAAAGCAATATGGACAGCTGCTATAAAAGCAACAGCTGGAAGCGAATTATTCCGAGGAAATACGATGGCAGACTCTTGATGTTGACTTTGCGCGTTGTAAGTTTCTATCCGATAAAAAGATAGAAATTCGAGATGACGCGCGAGGTCACGAGACTACCATTAAAAATGGATTATTCTCACTAAATGAAAAATTGATCTCAAGCTCTTTAAGATTTTACTAGACTTCTCAAGAATTAACAAGTTGGAATGATATTTCATAACAGTCATTCCGTACAATTTGTATCATCTTAATCTGTCTTGTTCTACATCTCAACGGCAGTATGCATAATATTGAGTACAGTACCAATACCAATAAAGACACTCTATTTGACCCAATGCTCCTGAATGCTAATGCGGACGCCCTCCATGCTTATATGTACTTCTAGGCATTATTGGCATCAAAATAATCGCTTCCACCTGATCCTGCAGACACCGTCCCTGGACTCACAGCACTGGAAAGCCTTGATGTCCTCAAGTTTCTGATTTCAACCTGGTCATCATCCCTATAACTTCCACTCCCTTCTGTCATATCACTCACAACAAAGCGAACTCCACTTCTAACACCGCTTTCCTCGCTGGTGTTCAACTCTCCATCATAAAATTCGCTGCTGTTATCCGATTTTGGCACTGCTGACACTCGTGGGCGAAAAATTCCGCCGTCACCAGGACCTTGGGTTTGCCAGGCGGTTAGCAGTACTTCGACCTCTCGACGGGTATCTTCGACTATATCGTCCATGTTGATATCGATCTTGGCAACCCCGAAAGGATCTTCATAAGTTTGTGCTATTCCTTCAATTCCGTATCTATAATAATCAGTCAACTAAATGTAGGAGGGCAGAACGTGGCTTACAAAGTAAAGGATACAAATGCAACGAGAGGAACAGCCCACCAGTCCATCTCTGAGGCCATGGCAAAAGGCAGTATACCACAATAAAGAGCTAGCGTCTGCTTATGATGAATCCTATTTCACGATTAATGGCTAGGAAGATATTGAGCAGGGAGCGTCAAACTCACAAATGTGCAACGGGAATCGGAACCAGTCTAATGACTTCCATGGCACCATATGCCTTAATGAGAGCATTCAACTCGCCGAGCATAGCCGCCGAAGCAGCATTATGGAACCAATTTCTAGAAGAGATGTCAATCATCTTACTGGAAATTCCAGGGAAGGAATCTCACTTTGATACGCCCATGTTGATGAATTTCTCCACGAAAGTGGCCAGCTCAAGCGTCAATCCCAAGCCTCTATGCTCATAGCCCTTTAACCCAGCAGGCAACAAGTCTTTGTATTCATCGCCGGTACTCTCTTGTCCATTCTCCGTAAGACTAGTCCCAGGAGACAGAGCTACACCCCACTCGGCACGAAGATGATTTTTGATGGTGTACAGCATAGCAATCAAGATGTTGACGGTTTCGATTGTCCTGATCTCATCCGACCTCGATAAGACGACTTCTCCGGAAGTAACAGCTCGATCGGATAGAGTATCTCGAGAGTTTCTCATAGATTTAGGAATCATGGAATCATTCGACATAACAGTATGAAGGCTGGTAGAGCTTTGCATCGGAGGTGCAGGTACTAGTACTAGGATCTGACGGGAAAGACATCTTATTGAAGTTGTCACAACGCTGAATTGGCAACGGCCGTCCCAAAACCGCTGAAACGCAGTCTGGTTACGGAACACAAGCATGAGACCAACGACTATGGACAGTGAAGGGATCTAGTATAGTATTAGTGCATAGATTCAAGAGACCCAGATTACAACTCACGATAGTACTGGGGAGATTGAAATCTCTTGATATATGTTGATTGATCCATACGATCAGAGCAGTCAGAATTGAATGTATGAAGACAGGAAAGAGAATTGCTTTTCTAAGTCAGTGACCTGATCGACTGCAATCGATTCAACATACCAGAGTGAATGGATCCCTTCGTGAACCGTAGTACAAGAGGCCATCTGGATCAATGAGTATGAGACACCCCAAATAAGGTCTTTGAAACCCTACCTTCGATCCTTTTTCCTCGAGCTATTGGCTAAAGGACTAGAGAACAACGATCAGCTCATGAGCTTCTAGAATAGTCTGTAGAGAGCGTGGTACCGGAGCCCTAAAAGGCGTGTATCGGTACCAGTACGTCATCCGCAAAAACAGGGGCAACAAAAAAATGAATCACGAACTATGTGCTTTGTCGTTGTCTGTCTCGGGGAAGTATTGAGACTCGTCTACCGAATGAGAGAGGCATCTTGAAGGACTTTGATTAATCAAATCACGGAAACATGATGTGTGAGTTGGATGATGTTGTTGTACAGTTTCATGATGACGATTTTTCCAAGGTTCAGAGGAAGGTGTGGCCTTGCATAAATGCACGAATTGGGTAAGATGAAACAAGACATAAATATTTTCTTTCGGAATTCTTAATTGAATATTACGTAGTGCTTGAACTCACAGAATTTGACGCATTTACAAGATGGCAGTCACAAATGCGGTTGTGCTCTGAGAATATTTGTAGAACAAATTGCTCTGGAGCTGAGATACCTAGAATTACAACAGAGGCATGATTCCCTCATCTGCCGATTATGCAACCATCCTACAATCATTGATATACAATGCAATCATTTCATGCTTTCGTCCCATATGCCCATCCATAAACAAGCCCTGATGTAAATCCTATCCATTCTTACAAAGCTGGCTTTCCTTGTTGAGCGCCGAGTTGTGCATTGAGAGCGCCAGCAGTACCTGATCCACCAGATGACAGAAGCTGAAGTAAAAGTCAGCATGGTTCCGAGTGCACCGCTGAATGCCACAATTCGATAGAAATGTACTAACCTCTCCGCCCATCTCACGCATTCTCATCTCCTTTTCCATCTCAACCATCTGCTGCTCCTCCGCAAAAGCCAACGCCCATGGTACGCCCAGCAATAACGCACTCGTGCTTATAACCCAGAGAGTCTTTCCGCTGAATAATAAACCTGACTTGAACCAACTTGTGGTGGTCTCAACCTTGCCTGCGATGTACGATCGAGTGGTCGGTGGGATCATGTCTTTCAAGGCCACTAATCGGTCTGCGATTGTCTCTTCGTCCGGCACATCTTCATCATCGGTGGATATCTCAGAGTCTGCGGAAGATGTTAGATAGGTATATCTTGAAGCTGGATGGAGAGGCAGTACCAGTATCGGTATAATAGTCCTCCTCGTTGTCTGAAGGGCCGATTTGCTTGGACTCGAAGGACTCATCCTCAACTTCTACTAATTCAACCATATTGATAGAGATTGAGTCGCGTCTTGAAGGAAGAGTTGGTTGTGGTTGTTGCAGGCTGTTAAAGGGATAAGAATGTTCTGAAGCTTCAACTTTTTTGATTGAAGCTAGCAGGGGTATCACGTGTTCAGCGATAAGACGGGTGGCACGCCTGCACTTGCGCATCTCATAGGATTTGGTCAAATAAAGAATGATTGAAGTTCTTCTTGATAACGAGTCTATTTCTTCTGTTCTTGTCCAATACAATAAGTCTTCCTTACCGTCGTTCCTCGCACTACCGTAGATACCTACCTACAAGTTGAAGCATTCAACTTGAAGACGCAACAGAGGCAAACATCACAGTGGAAGACCTAGTGAGCTGCTCATGCATGACAACCTCCATCACCCATATGCTTCTCCGACTTGCCAAAGGATAAGGCGCCAAGACCGGAGCCGAAACGGGATTAGACAAAGCGTTCAAGCAAGCTGACCCTAATGCCTCTCGGCTTTTCCATAGTTCGGATGAACAGATACCCAAGGCGATTATGAGCTATCTAAAGAGTGGTGCTGGCAGAGCAGTGATCTGAGATACATCCACAGAAGTGAAGCAGAGTGTCTGGTGTCGCTGAAATCATTGGGGTGAGAGAATGTCTGATGACTGACCAAGCAGCAAGATATTTGTTCCAGATCACATAAGTGTTATCGAGAGATATGACACGTATGGGATTTTCACCTGTGAAGAGACCATCTCAGGCTCTTTACCTAGCATCAGAACGTTCTTTGATCGAACGTTTCCTATGCTTGAAGCTCCTCCTATGCACCTGATTAGTCGTGAGGTTTCGTGAGGTTTGAGATGCTGATCCATGGGCTTAAAGATGCCGGTAGAGGCTCGACTCTTTTGTTTTCAGAGTCGTTCAGATAATGGCTTCTGGGTGCTAAGGACTAGCCGCAGGAGGGCTGTAACGGGCCTACCAGAAGTTTGAAGATGTTGGAGAGAGACTTCGACCTGCACTGGGCCTAAAATTCATCCTCCCACTTCCAAGCTTCAGGTACAAGCTCCATGCAAGCCAAATACCTTCGACGTTCTGGTACGACGTTGAGTTGAGGGGTTGATGCATGAGGCATTAGTCTTGAATAGCTCGTTTGTGATGGAGACTTGAGCTTCGTGCTAAGAGTCAACGAACGATTATCGGAAAAAGATAGAAGAAAGACAGTTGTTCCAGCCCAGGATAAATGTAAAAATTAGACTTTCAAATACAGTATGAACTGGCTTATCACAAGAAAATTTATGCTTACTTCATCTCATCAACCCCGCCCTTTTGGGACGACCCTTGAAGAGATACAAACAAAAGTTGCCCGCGAAACCTGCACGGCATTTCTTCACATGATTAAAGAGCACCGGCAGCAGGGTCTGCAATGATATGGAAGTCTAATATATCGCGAAGTCTTTCTCCCATTGGCCATCGGTCATCCAACTGACATTCGCAAGAGATCTGTGCGTACGAAAGGAATGGGGAAGAGAGGTCAAAGCGGAAAGTGTCCCGGTCTGACAACGTGTGTTCCAGAGGGTGCTCTAGAGAAAACGTGCTGCATGAATCAATGAAACTTCATGCAGACATCAAACCGTTCACGACTGTCTTTGTCCCTCGTCACATCCAGTATCATTAACCTTTCGCGCTGTGCTGGCTCGTCGGCGTCAAAAAGTCAAAAATAATACCTAGGTACAGCTCAGAAGCTCCAGAATCGGCTAAAGTATTGTCTCTTTTCGTGAGGGCGCTAGAGCACGTTGGCGATTAAGTCAATCAAGGGGAAGAAAACAATTTTGGGACATTCTTTTCAGCGACTTCACTCATTATCGTCCTGCGACTGTCTTGCGTCTTTGATTGCAAGCCTATCTGTCTGGACATTCAACTTTCAGAATCTGCTCGCGGCAGATGGACTGCAATCGCCGTATCAATGTTCCGTCCTGATACCCCTGAAAAGCGAATCCAGAGGTACCGGCGACTGCGAAGTCGAACCACGAAGGAGTAGCACCGACAATCCACACAATTATTGCGAGGCAATGTCGCTGAATGGTTTGGATGATCAGAAGATCAAAGAGGCCCATGATACTGCGGTAGCAGAACCAGGAGGATGGTAAGCGCCAATCTAGCTATGCGCACAGTAGTCCGCTGCATGAATACTTACACATTGGGTCTGTAGGTTCCTCCTCAAGTACATATCTAGGGACGAGGTGGAGCTGTTGGGTCGAGGAAATGGAGGAATTGTTGAGATTCGCAATGCCATTGCACAATATGAAGAGCCGTCGCCGTTGTTTGGGTTCCTGCGGTACAGGAGGAGAAATGTGCTGATCAAATATGTACCCGAGGAATGTTCCAGACTCGTGCAAGGTGAGTTCTCGCAATGACAGGAGGGAACAGTTTGGTTAATTGATATATCAGCTCGAGTAACGGTACACTTCAACGCGGTGACAGAACGGTTTTCTCCACACGATACAGTTTTCCCCATTGCAACCTCCAAAGAACTTCGAGACACAACACTTTCTGCTGCTTGCTCTCTCCACACCGCGTCTGGCTCTACTTCTTCATCAACAAGCTCTCTACGACGAAGGCGACTAATGGAAATTGCTGAGGACGCTGAGGAGGAAGTGCGGGCTAAAAGACAATCTACAGTTCCTGAAGAGCGACCTCAAACCGCAAAGACAGGCTCTGTAACTGGCACACAACCACTTTCCCCTGCGCAACCTGAATTACCTCCTTCTCTTGTACCTTCTACGAATCACCAACCCAGCACAGAAGCTGAAGCCTCCTTACCTCCACGGGATACACACTTACCTGAAATCAGATCGCGCTCCCCAACGCGATTGGAAGGGGAACCGAGGAAGTCTTCACAATCGACGCGACCTGAAATCTACAGCTACGCGTCTTACAGCTCCAGCGGCCGTCCAAAGGTCAAGTTGGGTCCAAGACCGTCTCTTGATGTTGGTGGTAGACCACATACCTCTGGAGCTGCGTCTTTCTACCGTCCGGTATCTACTCTTCCTCCAGGTTTGAAGTTGTTCTCGAAAGGGTCCAAGAAGGATAAGGACAGGCCAAAGTCACAATACACTTCAGATACTCCTAGCATGACACTCTCTCCTCCACCCATCCCCAATTCCATGATGAATCCTACTCAAGAAGTACCAGCTAGGCCTCATACCAGCGGCGGCAGGTCGACTGTACATTCAGGCAGCTTTATGAAACCTCTCCCCTCACCAACATTCTCTACAGCTCCAAAGACCCCTGGCATAACCCCGGAGAGAGCAAGACTCCTCAAAGCCATGGAACTTCGAAAGAAACAGATGAGTGCGAAAGTTGCACCGCCCCAGGACATAGCCTCACCACCACCGAGTGAGCAATTGTCAAGTCCAGTATCCGAAGGTCAACGATTGTCTAATGGTGCTCCCAAAGTAGTTCATGATACTTTGGTCATTCTTGACGACATGGCAAAGGTGGATGACTCTGCAATTGCTTTCGATGCTAGGTCTACACTTAAGACGGACGAATCAGATGCCACGAGATCTGATTCGTATCCAGTCTCCCCTGTCGGTCCGTCGGAGCGGGCCGAGAGTACCAGAGCTTCCTCCATCTCAGAATCAACAGACGAGACTGTGCAGGAACCTGTCCATGCTAAGGAAGTTGCTGACCAGGAACTCGATCTTGACGAACAGAAGGTTGAAACAGAGGTCCGTGACGAACCTGAGAATATCACGCAGGAAAGCACAGACATTCCATTGTTGAAGCCAGAAGAGCATCAAGCACCTTCACTTGCACTACTCAATCCCGTCAGCACTCCATCGGAGATTAGACAGCTCGAGCCGTCTGTAGAAGAAATGCCTACACTGATGGAGGATTCTGAGTCAGCACAGCTACCGAATGAGGTTCCACCAGCAGAATCGAGTACAGCAGCAGTTGAGGACAGCCTGGCGAGCCCAGATACTTCTTATCCAGTTAAAGAGATTGTGATACCCGTGGCCGAGCAGCTGGCTCAGCCTCTTGTTCAGGAAGCCCAGCTTGAACGAGAGTCAATTCCATCACCAGTTTCGCCTGTGAAGCAGATGAAGATACCAAGATCAAAATTCAGTGTCCAGGATCTCCGAGCTGTTGATATCGCCCCTGAACAGCCAACAGCACCATTACCCTCTTCTAACAGCAGATCCACAATGCTTCCAGCAGAGAAATCACCTGTTGCAAGTTCTTTCTCTGACAGATCACTGGCAGAAGATGGCCAACCAAAGAAGCGCCAGAAGCGAAAAGGCATTGTGGAGCCTATTCGGACGGATCTTGACCTGACGGACAGGAGTGGCGCAAACTCCGATGCTCATTTCTCAGATGATGACGATCTCATGGATGAGCTATCCTCAGCAGTGGTTGAAGAGGCCAAGCCAATATCTGTGTCAAAGTCTCCAATTAGCCCGGTTTTCCCAAGCCCAAAGAAGCAGAATAGGTTCTCCCGTGTCTTCTCAGCGCCAATGCGAAAAGAGTCCTCGCAATCTTCGATGCTCGACCCGTCGGATGCAAATAAATCGACACCACAAAGATCACCGTCCAGATCCGTATCAGCGGCAGCGTCTTATCTCAATCGCATCAATCAGGAACCTGCTAAGCCGATAGCCAAGACAGTCAACCTTGGGTCTGGAATATCACAGAGAATTAAGGCTCTAGAGAAGTTGTCCAGCTCGGCTACACCTCCACCAGGATCAACCGCACCACCGCCAGGAACATCAACAGCATTCTTCTCGGTTCGGAAAGCTAGCATTCAAGCTCCTTCTAAGTCGCCATCAATCGCTGAGCGGGCTAACTCACTAACGCGAAATTCACCATCACCCTCAGTATCTCGAGATTCGTCTCCAGAAACCTTAAAGATTCGAGAACGATCTGGCTCTATACAAAACCGTCTCGATGCGTTTAAATCAAGTTCGACCCCAACTCCAGCACCACGATCTCGGCCAGAATCCATTTCCGTTACTGCACGGATTATCAGAGACCCAGACCAGCCATTTCCTGCAAAGTCGGAAGCTGGTAAAGATCCTGCGGATTACACGCCTTTAAATTTAAAGCAGTCTCCTCTTATTATAGATCACCAGAAAGCAATCGTGGAGCCTCCAAAGGAGACAATCCAGGAAAGACGACTTTCTAAGGAGAGGCGACTTTCGAATGCGTCCAAATCCACTACCAAGGAACGCAGATCATCGATCACCATCATCAAGGATCTCATCAGTGACCGAAGAACCTCGTTCTCAGAGCGCCGTCGGTCGATCAACCTAGAAATCTCTGGTGTCTCCTCGCCCGGAGCTCGGTCACCATCCCGGCCACCCTCCGTACATGCCTCTCCAGCCCATCATCGACCCATGTCTATCAGTAGCCGCAAGTCCACGTCAAGTCGTGATCCTGGAAACGGACTTTCGCCTCCACTAACCGCGAATTCCTTGTCATCGAACGGAGAGGACAAGCCTGACAAGAAGTCCGGCAGAGCCAGTCGAATGATGAGGAGGATGTCTTCATCGCTTTCGGCCGGACGAAAACAGATAGCGGCTGTCATGTCTCCTACTGTTCGAGAAGAGAATGAGCCTATCCACGGAAGTGACTCCCAATCACTGACGCCCTCATATCCTTCAAATTCCTCGATGTCTAGTGTCAGCATCGGCGATGTCAATGTCCAGTTCCCGGACTCTTTGTTGTGGAAGCGTAGATCAGTGCTTCTCGATTCTCAAGGCTTTCTCCTCCTGTCGCCAGCACTCACTGCACATGGAAGTGGTAGAGATAAGTCAGCTGGTGGAGCTCTTCGTCGATTCCACCTGAGCGAGTTCAGAACCCCATGCATCCCGGATGTAGAAATGCAGGAATTACCGAACAGTGTCGTACTGGACTTCGTTGAAGGAGGAGGACTACAAGTTGCATGTGAGGATCGAGCCGGCCAGGCACGTGTCTTACAAAGTTTGTTACTACTTAAGTCCCAAACCCATTGATTGTTTTACTGACGAGATTTAGTCCTTGTTGAAGCGCACCGTACCTGGGCTGCATATGGTCAATAGTACCTTCTCAGAGTCGTCTCACTGTAATCATACAACACCGGTCACATACTGACGCTTCTTCTTGTCCATATTTTCTCGCACTCTTTCACCACCACCTGTTCTCACGTTTTTACGATGCATTTTGTTGCATGCTGGAGGCCACGTTCTGCTTTTGCATCATCCGGGGCAAAGCCCAATATACCAGATCTCTTCGATCAAACCTTGTTGATTCTCTTGTTTAGGGTTACGTTAAGTAGGATAAATGTCTGAATACCGACTAGTGGGCCCGTTTTCTGAAATTTTCGGCCCCGCATAGGCTGGTGTTTGTGGGGAGTAGAATGGAACATTTGAGATTCATAGACTTTTGATTCCCCTCTTGATGTGATTGTGACGTGTGACTCAATTCGCTTGGCTGCATATAGTATTTCCGCTTTGCGAATACTTGATGTATGTAGCGTAGAATGGAAGACCTTCGGCGAAGATATTCAAACTCCAAGTTCCGGTAGTATTTCGTTCTATATAGATCGAGATATGTGTACCTAGGTACATGATATCAATCCACATTGCACGCTAGAGAACATGCTCTATTATCCCTTCACTAAACTAAAGTCAAAGGGGTATATGTATATAATACAGCAGCGGGGTAGAGATTTCGTCTGTGCTACACCAAAACTCGGACCCTCCTAACTATCCTGAATGTAGATTCCAATTTGGGGATGGAGGAGATAGCACGTATTCATTCACCGAATAGATATATCCTCAAGCTTGCCAGGATCTTCTGGGTACGCCTCCCCATCCATGATCCCATGGACGTAGCAAGGTCCAACAAAGCGGTAATAGCTGCCATTCGGTCGAAGTACAAAAGGAGTTTGTCCTCCAGCCAGAACCGCAACAACATCACCGACCTCAGTCGTGTATGGGACCGATGCTAGGAGGCCATCTGTTGTACGACTCAAAGGTGCATGATACTTGATATGCAGATGTAGAAGGTTTCTTTGAGCAGAGACTAATCTTTCCAGATAGTCTGCATTCTCACTAGACAAGATCAGATCTATCCAATCTTCAATTTCTTTCCAAGACGTTATATCCGAAGATTGGGGAAGTGGAGAGCCCGAGATAGTGTTATTCCAGCACATGGTTCGCCAAAGTGCCTCCTTCATAGATTCTCCTCTCCGGTAAGAGCTTCGGTAAGAGCCTTTCAAATCAACGAATCGGCAAGACGCCTGCCAACCAGGAATGATTGCGCGTAGTGGCAGACTCCATCTGTGTGCTGCCCAACTGGCATGGGAGATTTGAGCTATGGAGCTCACTATGACTCCCTTGACTTGCAATACATTGACACTCGGTATCTCAAAGACAGCACTCGAATTTCGAGAGGCGTTGTGTGAATATGAATGATAAGCGGGTACAACAGGAGGCCCAGATAGATTTGGAATCCAAGAAGGGTAGTCTGAGAGAGGTTCACATGACGCAGCGAGGTTGAGAACCTCGAGCGATCGGGACTGATTCAAAAAGGATATAACCACATCTGTAAACACCTCGATCGGGCTTTTGAAGTAGTCCGGTGCCGGTAGTATAGCGTCAAGCTTTTCAAACAAACCACTTAGAGCAAAGATCTTATCTCGTGGATCCGATGCCTGTAAAAGGCGGAACGCCCAGACTATCTCGACGGAGCCCGTATCAAGCCAATTAGCACCTGATGTGCACCACTCGACGGATCGGAGGTGCGACCTGACGTTGTCTAACTCGACAGAAACAATCCTAGCATCATTGTCCTTGTTGCATTCTGAGACGACATCTGCCCATATTCGCAAATCAAAATAGTCCAGTGTTTGTTCTGAACAGATGAGAACCGCGGACTTGGCAAATGATGCTTCTTGAACGACCCAAAGACGAGCCCACCAAGGCCAATCCACAAAATCAAAGAATGACTCTAGGAGTGGAGTGGTGGTCATCATACCACTTTGCTTCCAGGCAAATATATCCGCCAAGAGTTGTCGATGAAGAGGTGAAGTTTTTCCAGCTTTGCCAGCGGCATGGAGTTCTCGGATTTCAGCTGCCATTCCCTGCAGATGTTTCATAAAAATGTGGGAACAAGAAAGCTTGCTTTCAGGATCAATTTCTTTTGATGCTTCTCCTAGCCAAATCAATACTCGAGAAGCATTGCTATACGTCCTCCGCATGAGTTCAATCTGGGAGGATCTCTCTGTCGTGTCTCTTTGATTGATGCAAACAGCATCAATCCACAGCGTCCGATCTGACTTTGGGTGACGGAGCCAGGAAAGTGCAGTTGCACAATTCTTGGTAACCTTCATGCGAAAATCGTCGCAGATAATTGAGGCTGAAAGGCTTGCATCGCCATCTTCGGACGCCCATGTATAAGACAGAGCCTCATACTCGGCACTTTCCAATGACCGGACCTCGCGCAAACTTGTCCGGAGGGGCGACGATCCTTCTCCAGCGTACAATGTTATCAACCTAATGGAATCGGGATATTCCAAAGGGGAGAACTTGTAATCCTGATATCGTTGTGGCAGGAGCCTTTCACCAAAGCGACGAAGGCCGGTGGACCGAGGGTGCTCTCGTACCTGCAGCTCTGTGTTCATGGTTTTCCTTGGTTTCGGTGATAAGGCGCGCTATTCACGGTAATCCACTGAAAATTGAGAGTGAGCAAGGTTTAATTATCTTGCCGTTTGTTGATGAATTGAAGAGGTTCCAAAGTCAGCGAGATTAGGCAGCAATCCCAGTTGCGCCTTATTGGACTGTGGCTTCAACGGATTTGCATTGGGGGCCAAAAAGTAGCGGCTCACTTGGAGGTACAGATTCTATATGAAGAGATAAGAGCTTGAATAAGTAGACGACTTGATAATTAGACTTTAAAGCTCTGAATGGGAGAACAGAATTAGGGGGATATATTCGAGTGAGTTAAGTACCTAGGTAGGCAGAACAAATCTCCTCAGCTACTCGTCAGGTGACGAGTCACTTGCTCATGCGGCACTTCAAGGTTCTAAGAGGTGTGGAGTTTTTGATAAGTTTACCTTGAAGTATGAAAAGCAGACCCAATTCGTTGATGTGGGGTCCACTCTCTTCAGTCTTTAGATTTAATACGATTATTCATTAAATATAAGGATGCTACAATTGTCAACCGTGAGTTGATATCTAGCGAAAACCCCTCAACGCCCATGATTATGAATAGCTTAGATACCACCATTAAACAACTTAGTCTTCACCGTCTTACTCCCCAGACTCCCAACTGCCACTTTGGCGATCACACCCTCCACATTCGATACCGACACCAAACCATCAAACAAAGTGTAGTTACCATTCGTGCTCAGAAATTTCATGGGAACAGTGACCATAGTAATCTTCTTCGCCATGCTTCCCTGCTGAGTCTCTGGTACATACAAAGTGCCCTCCATGGTGCCACCAGCAAGTGAAGAAGTCAAGACCGCGGCCTTGACCTCGATGGTGTTTGCATCTGGCTTCACCGTAGACTGGGTAGGAAGCACGAAGATCGTATCATCGATAGGGTACGAATACCCCTGGAAATTCATCGACGTGGTGCCAGGTGAGTCGGTACCGATGACAAAGTGGTAGTAAGTGGTACTACCGAAAAGTCCTGATCCGGAGCCGGACGCGGCGTCAGAAGCGTGTTGTCTTGAGACGTTTCCGGAGCTCGTGACGGTGTTGTAGGTTATTTTGTTTGGAGGAGGGGTGGTGGTCCAGAGTGCTCGGATGAAGCCCTCAATTCGAACGCTGCCGCCGGGAGAACAATGCATTATGAAGTCGACAATTTTCCAAGGCATAGGAGTGATTGGATCTGAGAGAGTGACTGTGCTGGGAACAGTATTGAGCATCTTTTCGAAGAGACCGCTGCAGATTCTTCCAGTGTTTTGGGCGAGGTTGGTGATGGTTACGTTGTTATCTGATGAGAAGAGACGAAAGTCTGAGCGAGCTGACACGTTGGAGGTGGTAACAAGTGGTCCACCTCCACTTCCAGTTCCTGTGAGGTACTCGTTCATACCACTGGGGTCCAGCACAGTTGGAGTGCTGTCGAAAGTCACTCCTCCATCAAGACTAGATCAGGTGTTAGCTTCGTCCGCTGCAATGAGAAGGAGTATTTGCTTTGTTGAAGTAATTGGGCTCTCTCCAACTGTTCTTGTCAGCTTCTCATATACAAACGAGTGCGTTGAACATACCAATTTCTGGAAAGTTGACAGCGTGCACACGTCCCAATGAATGTCCACAAGCACTGATATGGCATCAATGTCAGGTACCTTAATAAATGATATGGAGGACATACACTAGAGCAATCGTTTCATTCGCAGCGAAACCAGCTTGTGCAAACTGTGCGAGAGTAGGTCCAATAGGCGTGAATGGAGTTGGTACGCCTGAAGGGCCGGCAGCGAGAGCGTCAATTCTCCCAACACGCAAGGGAATTGCAGCAGCATTTCCTCCACACTCGGCAACAGACACCAAGACGCCCTGGAACAATCAATATCGAGAGCTCTTTCAGTACGTATATACTCACCAGTGAAACTTGATCGGCCATACTAATATATGCATTCATGGTCTACAAACTTTCAGTAATGATATGATATAAGTAATTGGAAAGAATCTTACAGGTGCTAAGAACTCCATAGTGTCGTTTACGAAAAGGCCATGATTCTCGGCACGATCGCTCTCAAAACCTAAAGATGCATCAAGTCCTCTACGTTTCATTAGTGACTGCGAAGCTCCCATAGATACTTCTCAAGACATACCCAGTACCGGCCGCTACATCAGCAGTCACGAAGTCATGGAAAGGAAATCGAACCCATTGGGCTGAAGTCTGCTCTCCTCGATTCTGCGGATCCGAAGCGAAACCAGCATAATTACTGCAAGACGAGACAGCGCTGACAATTGGTACCGAGTTGGTGCCTGCGTTATCGACGAGGTAGTGTTCCATCTCCTCAATCATATCTTGTCGATCAATACCCGGGAAGTCTGCATTGGTAGTACAAAAGAGTGCCAAGACTGAAACGATAGTGAGAGTAAACGACTTCATTTTGAAGGGCTCGGTATACCTTCACTGTGAACGAACGAGGGTGCAGGATAAGAAGCAGAGTAATTTGGATAAATGCGATCTGATTTACTCTTATATATATTCCCAGCTTCTCGGTTCGCCTTGTGACACAGAGCTTCCGATCGGGTACACTAAGATTCATGGACACGCGCTGGTGCATATGCTGTACTCAGCTCTAGACAATAGGAATCGAATCATAACACTTTCAGTTAAGTGCTCGTATCCATCAAGCCAAAAACCTCACCATCAGCATTGGCCTGCTCAAGCCGAAGGTCTAAGCAGATGACAACTAGGCGAGAGGCAGTGTTCCTGATGCCCAGCAACACCGGTTCCTGCAGCACCGTATGCTTGGACACTTCAGCTCGAGCAGACACTTGTGCTGGAGTTCCCCAATTGCTCGCAAAAGTTCCCCACTCTCTAGAGGTCTAATTGTGGCAAGGACTTGGTACCATACTAGCCTCTATTCCCATTTCTCAGCAGTGAGATGTCCGGATCGTGCGAATCAAAAAGTTTAAAACGACCGCCACACTTTATTTCGACCTGCAGTGCTCCTCATCAAAGCTTTCATGGATCTCCACAGCTTCATTTCAATTGTTTCAAGAAATTTTTAGAATTGGTAGCATGTTTCCAAAGCATTGAAGTCTTTTCGGTGACAGTAAGCGCGCAAATTGGCCAAGTCCGTTCGTCTGATAATTAGCTCAATCACGATCAATCACGCTCAGCATCGCTCAAAACACACCAAAATGACCAATCAATCCCAATCTCATTGTCAGCCGTCAATAATTTATCTGCACGTTTCGGTGTAAGAAAATCTCTCCACATTGACAAGGCTCTCCAAGACCCTTGGCTGGGGGATGTCCGCGAGATTATTTGTTGAAGTGAGTATCTCCTGATGTCAGCACCAATGACTCTCGGATATATCCTCGGACCGAGCGTTAGGATCTTCATGGCCAAGATCGAAGGTGGGGGCTTCGTTTTTGTATGGTTAGAATTGGACAACTGACTTCACTTGGATTTCGGAAAAGTGGTAGCGATGACAAATATAGTGTGTACTTTTGCACAAGAGTCGAAAAGGAGCAATTTGACTTGAGTGATGCCTGGAGCGAATCCCTCGCTTAACAAAAAGGGGTAAGAAACACCTGCTCTCCAAATAATGTCTAGATATACATCATCTTTGAAGAATCCTCTCAAACTTTTCCGTCAGTTTGAATTTCACTTCGCTTCACGAATTCAACAAAAAGGCTCGTATTTCGTTTCGATCACGTGAGTTCATTTATGTCAATGTGCAGAAAGAGTTGAGGACTCGTATAGGCTATCCGCTATGGCACGCAATAAGACAGGCATCATTTCCAGTATCTCACGTACTGTGCTGTCAAAATATATCTTACAGTGTTCATTCTCCGACCACCCGTCCAATAATCCTAGTCCCTCATTATTCCTCATGATCTTCATAGTCTGGCAAATCATCACCATTATCATAGAAAGGACTGGGAGATGGCTGTCGTGTCTCGGCACCTTCTTCTTCTTCTTTCTTCTGAGGTATATCCTCGACATTTCCAATGCTGGGAGATGACTGCAACGTGTCGACAACTTCTTCTTCCTTCTGTACTGGGACATCCTCCACTTCCTCAATGCTGGGAATCGGCGGTGGCAAATCTATAGCTCTCTTGAATCTGTCATCCTCTTCGTCGGAATCAGAATCAGAATCGTCGAAATCTTCATAGATAGTTCGATGATTCGAATTGGGATTTCGGAAGTTAGCGGAGAAGTTGGGTGGGATGGTCGGAGCTTTTGCAGGGATTTCGTGGAGTTGCGATTCGTCCGTAACAGATTTCAAAGTTGTGATGCCTGCGCTGGTCGATGGGGTGGTAAGGTCTTCGTCTTCCTGCAAGACAGGTTCTTCTGTATCGGCGAGCCCTTCATCCTTTTCTTGCTCCCAATCCTCTTCAGCTTCGTAGTCATTGGTATTGTCTTGCAAGAAGCTCTCAATCGTACTGGTGACATGCTTGGATGACTACTTTGCGTGTTCCGCTCCATCACCAGCCGTGAGTTCAAGGTAAGTATCCGAAGAGAAGACTAAACCTAGGAGTAACGGTTAGCTTGGAAACTTATATCTTAGCTTTGACTCACTATCGATGATTGCATTTTCCTCAATTTGCTCTTGGAGCAATTGTTTCTCATCCATACATTTCGCTTCTTCCTTGCTCATATCTGTCTTAGAGCTCATTCCACCTCCAATATCCTCGTTCCTTGCGAGTACTTGGGCTTCCGGTACATGTCCGTCAGAACTTTGCAACTTTGGAATAAGTTTATTGTCCAGGCTAGATTCGGAGACTTTCGTAGAGGAGTTCTTGGTGTTCCACTTCAAGCCAAGTACCTCCATCTTCCCACGCCAGTACTCCTCAATATCAGCCTTGCGCCATGCAGCAGAACCCGAAATCTGATATCATAATTAGCCAAGAAAGAATGAGAAAATTACATAGTTTCAAGTACTGTACCTGATTCAGAGCTTGAGAGCGAATGCGGACTTTTTCTGCGGAAGTCATGTTTTGAGGGTGCCAAAATCGGTACTTTTGATGGACCAGTCTATGCCAAGCCATTTGCGCCTTACTCCTCATAACCGTATCTCCATTCAATTGCTGGAGGTCGACAATGAAGAGCTTGTATCCTATTGTGTTCACAAAATGGACGAAATCTTTGGCATAATTGGGCAGGCGCAAACCCAGCCTTTCGCCAATCAATTCAACATTCGACTTCTTCCGGTGTGCAAGTGGCTTGTTCTCGCGCGCAATGATAGCCATTGACTCAATACTTTGAGAGCTGTCCATATTTTCAAGGAGGGTCGTGCTTTGTCCGCTTCTGTGTATGTTGTATTGGTAGGAGTTGATCAGGTTGAAAACTGGCGAGTATCAACGCGCTTCATATGCGCAACCGCAATTAGATATTTCGTCACGCTAACCAAAAATACTTAGCATTGTTTTTTTCAAGCGAGATAAAATAAACAAATCAAAAAGTTCGAAGGGGAAAAGGACAAAAAGAAGAAAAAAGCGTTGAAAAGAATTGACCTAGGGCAGTAGAGATCCCTTGAAAGGATTCTGCCTCAAGTATACATGAATTCTTTCCAAAAATGAATTCTGGATTACTGTTTTGAACTAAAAAGAAAAAAAAGGTGGTCTATCCCAGAAGGATAGATATTTCAACAGGAACCCAGATACGTTAAACGTAGATATTAAATGTACTGCCAGCGCCCAACCAGACCATCCGGAATCACCCAGATGTTGAACAAAAGAATGATTGTTTTATTCTATAAAGAGCAACATCAAAACGCGCTAAACAGAGCCTCGCCCTGTGTTGGCCGTCGATGTTGTGCTGGTGGTCGCAGTCTTCTCATAACGTGCTCGACAGACTTGAGAGTATCGCTTCGGTTCGAATCTGTAGACAGGCTTCCAAGCTCAGGATTCATCTCGAAAATCATGGCTAAGAACGTAAGCATAGAAGAGTCAAAGGTTATTAGGAATTACCATTTGATATGGCCTCCTCGAAACTGTCTTGACTTGGCTCATACTTCTTCATTGGGCTGGGACTGACATGCATGGCTATGTTGCGTCTCGCGCATTAGCAAGTTGCGCAAGGAGAAACATAGTACCTAAGGCTATTGCTCACCTTCTTCAAAATCATCTCGAAGATCTTCAATCATATCCTCTTCCATATTGGCTGTTTTCTTGGTTCGATTCGAGATCGAGAATTCAGAAAGTTGTTAGGTTGAAGCTGTAATTATGTTGTTGCGAAACACACGGGATCCTGCCTTTATATCGTTGCAAGCGGATTTCATTCACCGCAACAATTTACTTCCGAACGTTACATGCTACTACAGTCGCTAGTAGTTTGGATTCCACTGCACGAGCATCGCTGCATACTAGTAGCTTGGATTGAGTCTATCACCTTGACCCAAACTTCTACATGTCCAGAATTCCAACCAACACTATCAACGGTAATTCATCGTCACGATGCCACAGACAAACTACAACCTGTCTGGAATTGAGGTTCGCGTCCCCAGATTCAGGAGTACGGGTTTCCTCAACACCGTCACTATGGTGGATTTTGCGCATAGGGTTGATGATATGAATCCCACTATCTCGAGCGCAATTGACCGTCCTACCACGAAACATTGTTGGCTCCGAGTCCTCAAAAGAGAATTCCGCCAGTGGATCGGAGGCAGTTTGTCCATGTCAGATATGAAAGACATTATTTCTTTTCGTAAGTCTTCATTTTATTATTTTTTCAATAAATACGGACGCCTCAGAGAGAATTTTATCTCCATAAAAGGGATACTTGTGTGCTTTTCCCATGATAGAGGATGGCAATGAGGAATTTTAGGAATATCAATGTACTACTAATTTCTTCACAAAACTCTAAGGAGCGAGTGCGAGTGACTTTAGATTTAAATTTCCATTGGTTTCATGCCTGTACGAATTGACTCGATAATGCAACGAAAACGCTATAGAGTATTGATAAGTTGCAATACTTCAAGTGAGTAATCCGTAGTTCTTTCGCCTTACACATCAGGCCGCAACATGGTAGTCTCGGTTAACCAGCCACTAACCTTTACTCAGCATAGCGCCAAATCTTCATTTCAGGTCTCAGCATACCTTCCCTATCCTTAACTTTTTCTGGTACTCACCGAGGCCCCAAACTTCAAGAACATTCATCACTCATCATGTCCCACGCTTCAGTGCATCTCTTCAACGAAGACAGCGACAACATAAACCTCGGAGTTATCAGTGTGGGTCTAGACTCGGGAATATGCAGACTTCCGAGCTGACCTGAAGTTCAAACGCCGAAATCTCAAAACATAAAGCAAAACGCCCGCGCTCCAACACCTCCGTGAACCCTGATCGTCCACCCCATTGTAGGCTACAATAGACGCCCCTCCTTTAATGGATCCTTCTGCTTCGGGTAGCGAGCCACAAACGGCGGGAGACACCGGAGGCCGTCCCCTTAAAGCCAACAAGGCCAACAAGGCATGTGTGCCCTGCCGTGCACGCAAGGTTAAGTGCGATGCCGCCGTGACTGGTCTCCCCTGCAGCAGCTGTACGAGCAGACGGGGTGCCAAGGACTGTGTACTGCCGGTCCGTAAAGGCCGGACCAGGTGAGTTGATTACTTATAGGATGGTTCATGGTTATTAGGTGCGTGCTAACTTATAGGGGCTCATAGGAAAGTGATACATGCTTCACCAACTCCTAGCTATGTACGAGTTTTCTTTAGCTGATTGGCATCATATCAGCTGCTTCTCTTCTCCGCCTTTTCTTTTGCTTCTTCGGCGATTTTCCAGAATTCACACTTACTGTTGTCAGATTGCAGGCATCTCGGCTACATCCAGTGGAAGCAAGTTAGAAAATCTCAGTCAATATAATCAATCAAATCAATCAAAGCCGCCTACTAGTTCCAATTCCCTAGACTGCCAAAGCCCACGTCAGGCTGAGCCAGACCTGCTCTACCTCAATATCCTGAATGACGCCGTGAAAGAAAGTCCAGAGTCCAGTGGACACCACAACGCTTCCAGCACCCCCTACCGTATAGCATCGGAAGCTAGTTCTACTCTGCGGAACTTTCCACGGACCGAGCTTCCCCAACTAGACAACATTGACAATGAGTATCTTCTCAAGAAGGGTGTCTTTGATCTACCTCCTTCACGCCACTTGTAAGACCATCCTTCATCTTCTTTAGGTCTTCGTCTTCACTCTACTTACAGACCAAACAATAGAGATACCCTCATCAAGACATACTTCGACCACGTTCACCCTTTTGCTCCCGTGCTCAATAGAGCTGATTTCGTTCGAGGGTATCAATCCGGCAGCTACTCGCTGTTCCTGCTCCACGCCATATTAACACCAGCCAGCCTCCATGTGCCAGCAGATGTGCTATCTGCTTGCGGCTTTGCCAACCGTTCAGTCGCGCAAGAGTCGTTCTTCTCCAAGGCTAAGCTGCTCCACGACTTTACTGCTGAAGGTGACCTGTTGTTGATGCTGCAGGGTTCCATCATCTTGTGCATGGTGATTCTCGACCACCCCACGGACCGAGACTTTGGCTATTGGTTCCACAACGCAATTCGTCTTGCCACAAAACTTGACCTATGCAACACGTACGTTTTTGACAGATGTGGCATGTATTGCGGGTACTAATTGCCTACTCTCCAATAGGTGTGTTCAAGAAGACAAACCTCGCAAAGTCTTAAAGTTATACAGAAGAATCTGGTGGGCTCTTTACGTAAGTCCCTCTTCTCATCACCATGTTCTGTTCTTCCTGCTTTATGCTTACTATAGCTACCTAGTCTTTAGACATTTTCCATGTCTTTATCAATACCAGACGCTCACGACTACTAGAAAACACCTCCGTCATCATGCCTAGGACGGAAGATGACTGGGAACCGGAGGATGCCTCGGGAGCGTCGTCCGGCTTACTATCTGCGGTAACGCCCCAGCAAAAGGCCTCCCCTGTTGTCCACTGCGAGTTGGCTCAAATATGTGGGTGTTTGTTTTATTTAATCCTATATTTTATTCTTTTCTCCTTATATTTCGACCTGTAATTGATACCTCAAGCATGGCTAATTCTATCCAGTCGGACAGTGTTTGTCCATTGTGACCAACAAGCCACAACAGGATCCTCGCCAAATGATGCACCCACTCGATACATGGCGCACATCTCTCGCTACTAAAATGCACGTGGTTGGGAATACTGGAATTGACGTGTACTATCTGAATATCCAAGCCTTAAGCTACAGGTTTGAGTGCGTCTTGTGTCGTTTGATACGACGGCAGTCCCGACATGCGGACTGGAACGAGTGGGCCAAGCAGCGACTTCGGTCCGCTATTCTGGAGTTGGACACGATTGCTATGAGGGTGTTGGCTGGTGGTACCCTCCAGGACTTTCCCTCATCTTTGTAGGTGCTGTTCATTTCTTCCCTTTCCCCAATTTTTCAGACGTGCTCAATAATTTGTACCAATGGAACTAAGAATGGCCTTATCAGCGTAACCACAATAACTGCGCTGCTTGCTATACATATCGAATCGGCACTCGATCCAGCAGAGACAGACCTCGTCCGTTCTATGGCTCGGATATCTATCAGCCATACAATGCTTGTTCTCACCCAGGGAAAAGATATACCCGTCCTGAAGAGAGCGCTGCCGATATTTGAGAAGATTCTTGCCAAGCAAAATCTGTACTTCGTTCCGCCTGATAATCAAGTTTCTGCGCAGTCACAGCCACAAGACAGCAGCATGGTGGATGCATACGCTTTGCCCCATACACAGACCAGCGTAGTCTCGTCTCAACCGGAGCAGTATGAGAACAATCCGTCGCTCGATATGGATTTCCTAGGTTTTGATTTCCTGGACGAGTGGCAGATTGGACAACTGGATTTTACTGGTCGATACTGACATGGGTTTCCCAAGAACAGGCAACATAAGGCACAAGCATTATTTGGGGCAATTTAACAGTATTGGAATCTATTAAAACATAAAACTTGTCGATTTTCCTCCCTCTGCGTCTTTCCCCATCATTCAGTTACAAATATCCAACCTGTGTCATTACAGCAAGCATCCATTTAGACCAAGATCATACAGTTGGCTAAGTAGCTCAAGGCTGATCGAAATTTCTACCAAACAATCTATTCAGCCTCCCCCTCTAGCCCATTTGGCTTACCTCTAATTATGACGACGTGCCGACGACGCATCATCTCCAGTATCTTTGCTGATTCGGAGGCATACTTGCATTTGGAACGTATCTGCGGGCCGTACCTGTGGAACAGAAACGGGAAAGGCAGGCACCCAAGTAACAGGAACGCAGGAATAGAGCTCGCCCATTGATTTCCGAGATTCTTGTACATTTGAGTGGTAAATAGAGGAAAGGCGGTGCCAAACAAGGACCGAAGCACTGAGTTGGCCGCCAGCACAGAAGCAGCATAGACGACATCTGTACATCGATTAGCATGAGTATGTATGTGCATTGTTGCAAAAGATCGCGAAGCAAGGATCAAAACGTACAAGAATCAACCAGATAGCTCGTCAGCGAGATGAAGACCATGACAAGTCCACAAGAGAAAAGCATGGCACCGGTGATGGGCACTATCCAAGGTATCGACGGATACGTCGTCCACGCAAACAGGAACAGACCAATCGGAAGGACAATCGAGCCTGCCATGGCGGTACCCAGTCTGGCTTCCGGCTCGACTGCACATCCGTTTGCTGCAGCCGCCTTGCACAGGCGCACGTAACGCTTGTTGTCCACACCGGCGGCCAGTGTAGCAAGACAGACGCCAATAGCAACACCTACAAATGGAAGTCCGGCAATACCCTGGCTCCACCCGCGAGTAACTTGGAAAACGATAGGAATAGCGGCAAAGAACATATACAGGGTACCGTAGATGATGGAGATGTACAGAGACGCCAGCAAGACAATGGGTTCGCGGAACAGTAGCATCCAGACGCGGGTGAAAGAGACCAAGAGCTGCTGCGAGAGTGTCTTGGGTGGCATTCCCGCATCGATCCGGAACACATAAACGCTTCCTGTCATTCGAGAAAGAGCCTTGGCTCGACGTCGTAAAATGAACGGCGCGTAGGTCTCAGGGGTGACCAGTGTCGTGCCAATCCAGATCACACCGCCCTGTATGGCTACCAAACCGAGAAGCCAGCGCCAGCCTTTGGTCTCGTTAAGAAAACCACCAGTAATGGGCCCTGTGGGGAAATGAATCAGCAAGTGTACATTGCAAGGGCAATAAGGGCTCAAATGGCGGTATGGAAGGAGCATATCCATTACGTACCAAGTGCAGGTCCCAGAAAGGGAGCCGTAGCAAACATCCCTGTTGCTAGTCCGCGCTCTGCCTTGCTAAATATGTCTGCGATAACGCCCCCAGCATTCGACATCGACGACGAACCAAACGCACTCGCAAAGAAGCGAAGAACCAGCAAAGCCGTAATGTTGGGCGCACAAGCCGCTGCCACACAAAATGCTACATACCCCGTGTACGAAACCACATAGATTGACTTGCGTCCGTACACCTCAGACAGAGGGGCCCATATCAGCGGTCCTACGGCGAAGCCCAAAACGTAGAGCGACAAGCCAAGTGTAGCCACCTCCTCGGACACCTCGAAGCGCTGCATGACACCCCCGATGCCGCTGGCATACACCGAACTGGCATAGGTTACCACAAACATGGACAAGGACTGCAGAACGGCAATGGCCCATTTTCGTCCCTTCGAGAAATTCATGGCGTCTTGACGGTCGTTCTGCAGGTAATCGACAATGTAGGGGTTGTCGTCTGTGCCACTGCCAGCGTAATGCTGGTTGCAGACATCGTCGTCGAGGTGGGTGCGGAGGAGAAGAGAGCGAATCCAGGATATAAATCGGGAGGAGTCCTTGGCTTTGTGGGGGACATCGTCGTCGGAGACAGCGTGCTCGGGAAAGACAGCCATGATAAGAAAATAAGGAGCTACAGGATTTCAAAAAACGAACAGAGGAAAAGCAAAGCGCTCTTTATATTCATCCATCTTATTATGTGCGAGGAGAAAAATGTGCTCGCGGCCATATAATTCACCTCGGAATTATGTGTTCGGAGTTTTCAGGATGACAAAATTAGCGAGAAACGAAAGGCCGCGGCATTATGTTCGGAATTATATGATTTGCGGAATACGACGCCACAAACCAGGGCACATCTGTAATACTTTTCCTAGAATAGAGGAGATATGTGAGAAATTTAAGGAACGAGGGTGAATCATCTGATATCGTCATTATTTTCACTTTCGACGACTTGATGATACTCCGTACAATGGAGGTGCTTCAGGGGTAAGTGGGGCTCGCTTAATTACGGTAGCGATGTTTCCCTGAAAACGTTTATAGTGTTCGGCGTGGAAAGAAGTGCTGTGAAGAAAAGAGTATAGGGACTCATGTAAAAAGAAGATACCAAAGTAGTTTTATCGATTTACTTGTTTCATAATGATCCAAGCCATTAAGACACGATTACTGCCGCCTACCCACAAATGAAGGTCTGATAATCCTCCCTGTCCCAATCTTCTCCTCGTCTCTAAGGGCTAACTTAAAGATCTTCCTGATCAAACTCGTCTCTATTACGGTAGGAACCAACCCCGTTGGATCGCCTGATAGCAAGAACGACTTTGACATATTAGCATTAAATCCTCGTCAACAAGCCCTAGAACTTACTTGGAGCAACCGCGTTCTCATCGTCCTCACCACCTCTGGCTACTTTATAGTCATCTTCGCTATCAGCCTTTCGACCTCTCTTTTTGTTCTTCCTCTTCTCCTTGGGTTTTTCGGGCTCGGGAGATTCTCTAGGGAGCTCAACGAGTCGAAACATCTTCTTTGGATGCTGGATTGGCTTGTAGATGTCGTTGTACTTGACCACGATTGGCTTGAAGATCATTTCCATCGCCTCAACTGCGATGGTGCTTGTGAGGTTACTTGCAACGTTGATTTGTTTCACGCAGAAGGTGTCATAGAGGGATGCGTTGGGCTAGAACAAGTCAGCCATCATGTTTGCCATTGTGATTCGAGATCTAGCTTACCTGAGCAAGAGCGTTCCTAAGTGCCATCTCTCGGATTACCTCAGAATGATCCGTCTTCCAACCTTCATAAGCCTCCATAACCAAGTCTTCCCAAGCCTGATCGACAATCTTGCGATGTCCGAAGCACAGGAGAACGTCTCCGTTAGGCTCTGCATTAAGCTGAGCGACGGCCTCGAGGAATCCTCTGTAGCTGATGCGAGAGATGATATGGTGAAACTTCTGATTGTAGGTAGGGATTTTCAGGCAGCGGGGTACGACTTTGATGGGTTGTCAGTACTTGCGCTTCAAGGTCTGTTCGGAACATGAGACTTCACCTTCTTCCTCAAACTCCTCCTCATATTCCTCCACTTTTTTGCCTTTCTTTTTGTTCGCCATTGTGAATCCTGCGCAGTGATCTGGACGTCGAGTTGGCCGCGCGCAAGGAATGTTAGAAGCAAACAAAGTCAAAACTTGGCAATTGCAAAGAATTTGTAGACGGAAGGTTCTTGGTCTCGTTCGCTTGTATATCAAGCTAGCGTACTTCAATCGGTGTCGGCGTAAAGACAAAAAAGCACAAAATCGAACATACGTCAATTTGAATAGGCGTAGCCTCGTGTCAAAAAAAATTCCGTCCCCTCAAATATTCTTCTGCTCTTGCAACTTGCAACAACCGCAACCACACAACACCAATCGAGTCGCATCCTTTGCTTCACATCACCAACTGTAGTAATTATACATCGAGACTTGTTCGGTCCATGCGCACCTTCGCAATGGATCTCGGAACAGAAGACGCAGCAATGGCAAATTTGCGCCTCGCCTTTGGTCAGAGTAAGTACCAAATCACGGCGCCATAAGTCCCAATGACCCGATACTTACTGGCGCATTAGACTTGACCGTCCGTACAGGAGAACAGAACCTTGCTAGACTGGAGCGAGAGGTCGCGAAACTCAAGAGCAACTTGAAGATCCTCAGCTTCACGCAGCTGGTCTTTGTAATCGGCTACAAGGGCTTCCTCAAGGATATCGAGACATGCAATGGTCCATTGACTCGCAACATGCGCGACGTCACCGACCTAGCATGGTTGAAGTTTCTTGAGCAAGAATTCTTGAAATGGAAGACCGAGCATAGCAGTGAGGAGACCAAGAAGTCGGTTCTGGGTAAAGGTTGTGAACAAGTATGCTTCCACAGCATTTGCCACTCCTGTGAATATTCTAACAGAGACAGATTACTTCTGCAGGAATCGAAGAGTTCTGGGCACAGAAGGCTGCGGAAGAGCTCAACCCAAAGGTAGAGGAGAATATCATGACCCAGATTCGCGCTACGAAGGATGAGTGGGAGGACGATGAAGATGTCGATATGGACCAGGCAGTATCCGGTAAGAGTGGACCATCCATCAAGAACTCGCTCTCCACTACAGAATTCGTGCAACTTGTCCATTCAATCAAGTTCAGGGGTTATCTTGGAAACGTCGAATCCGTGAATGGAAAGGGCAAGGTTCAACGAGGAGCTGCTGAAGCAGGATGGAGAAAGATGGTTCGAGAGCTATTTTCGGTATGGGCTACCGATTCAAAGAGCCACGGATATGACAAGGAGAAGGAGTTGCGAGACGCTTTGGATCAAGTAATTCCTACCAATTCTAAAGCTGGTTAACTTTTTGTTGACCGATATAGGTGAACGGACATGGAAAGTTCGAGCCAGAGATATACTGGGAGAGCGATAAAAGCAATGCGGTGAGAAGTAAGGAGGATATCAGGAAGGCTCGCAAAAAGTCCGCCGCCAAAAAGGCTCTGAAGAACAAGGCCAAGGCAAACACCACTCAGGGAGGAATTGCCAAGAGAGTGACCATGACAAGAAGCCAACGGATAATGGAGAAGAACTTGAGCAAGAAGGCAGTCTCAGCTCTTGAGTCGATGATCTCCAACATGGGTATCAACGATTCCTAGTCACTTGGACGTGAGTATCATACGTTGGTATGATCTGGGTAACACGATTGTGAGCGGTTGTTTCTGGGAGCTGGCTTGCATGAAGCTTCAAAGCTCCATCTCATGCTCTCACACCTCCATAGCTAATCTTTCTTTGCCGTTCGTAGCAATTCATTGAAACAGACTATACAATGTTGTTGTCTATAACCATGTGAGGACCGTTTCTGATAGAATTGGCTTCGTCTATGTGTTCGTACTGCTTCAGTTGTGACACTCTCAGAGGCTGCAATTCCTGTCGCACCTAGACTTTGGTCTGTATTGTTCGGAATTTTGGTGAATCTCAACTTCTGGGAGATCTATAGAGCCATATAGACTCCCTGAGTAAGCCCTGTATGTCCTGCGTCTAGCAGGCTAGTTGAGCTCCAGTCATAGCGGGTAGGTAGATATCACGTGCGTAATTTTACGTGCATGTATCTCAGATGTCTCTCTGTCTACCTACTAATTGACGCTTTCATAGAGACGGTAGATTTACAAACTCAAACGTGCTCTAGTTGATCTAAAGCTTCTTCTTGGCTTTAGTACTGTGCTTCATGTCCGAGGAGAAGAGAAGTGCGAGCTAGATGGTAGAGCCTAGCTTTTACACTGAACCACTGAACCACTTCCCTCAATCCTTGCATCTTTGTATCTCTTCTTCCCCATTTTGTGGATTCTAGACAGTTTAGTAGCCCAAAGCTCAATATCATGGTCTTCTCATTGAATTTCCCTTTGCGTCAAGCTACCCACAACGTTCTTCAGGTTCTTTCACAGAAGCCTTGAAATACGAATGATCACCACCTCAAAATCTGCGATATTGGAACTGATTCAAATCTAGTAGTCAAGTATGCATAGTATCTTCGGTATCTCTAACCCAAGCCTCTTCCAAAAAGCAAGCCTCCCAAAATCTCCTTCTCTTGATCACAGCTTAGACTTTGGTGCACAGCAATCCGCATCCTTCTCCCCAACAGCAATCGTCAACGCAGTATCTTCAACCAATTTACTCCCGTTCGACTTCTGCGTACTCTGCGGGACATCCAAAGCAGGATTCTGATCAAAGAATCCACTAGGTTTCAAGCTCACCACCATGGTATCACAAGGCATCACTGGGTAGTCTTCCGGCTTAGGATTGTGAGTGAGCGAAATGGAGTGCCAAACAACGATATCCGTGTCATCAGTCTTGTCTCTCCGATCAGCCCACCCTTCAAGATCCGACTTTCCGTCGGGAAGAGATTGATATGTATAGTCTCCCGCCGCGTACAACTCGGTGTCGCGATGTGCGGTCACCCAGAATGGGTGGAAAGCATATCTCGCCCGCTTTCCGTGCCAGGAGTTGGGGTGCGCAAGGAGCATCTGCTTCATGGGACTGTGTATGGCGTATGCGACAGGCTTTCCGGATGATTTGTTGAGTACAGATGGATTGATGATCTTGTGCACCCGGTTCGGTGCTGAGTCAAGGGGAGTGGACTTGCTGATCAAGCGGTTCTTGGTGACATATCCCACGCCGAAAGGATTGCTGTCATCCATAGGCATGGCAACTGAATCTTCTTCGATGACGCTGTTCTTGTCGCCATCGATACAAGGATCGATACGCAGACTGAAAACGTGTTGATGGAAAGGAGCCATGACACCTTCATTGACATTGGTGCCCCATGGCACTGTAGCTCCTTTGTCTATCGGCGCTGTCGACAGGATTCCAGTAGCTTGAATTCTGTAGTGGAGACCGGCCGCTTGATCTAGATGCCACATGAAGACGTATTCGTAATTTCCTACAGTGATGATGGTTTGGAGTACCAGCACTCGAGACCGAATGATTGAAACGGCTCCTGTTCGGCTGTTTGTGTGCTTCCATCCTATACCATCGTCTATCTCATGCATACATATCGCATTTGGCTTCTGTACTGGTTGCCCTTGGGAGTTACTGATGACAAAAGAAAAGTACTAAGGATTGGTCAATCCTGACCACTTCTCAAAAGTAGGGAGGTACCTACCTTGATAACACCCAAGCAGTCACATCCCAAAGCCAAATTGTTGGCTGTGACACCCGCACCAATATCTCCAACATCAAAAACACTCTTTCTCGAGTAGGGGTATCTAGGATCTCCATAAGGAACAAACATCTCGCTCAAACTTAATCGGTGGAACAACTCTCGACCATCATAAGTCACATCGTGCAGAACCATTCCCTCACGCCACGTGAAGCCAAATCTGAACCTCCACTTTTGCCACTTGATCAAGTATCCATCAATGGTGAAAGAGACTCCTTCCGGCTGATGCACAATCAGAGGCTTCAAATCCGTTCGTGTCGGTTGTGATTGCAGATCGTGGTGGTACTCCTTTGGCGCATGAGTTTCAAAAACGGCGTCGTGATTGAGAGTAGCATCTGAGCCAGTAGGAAGTCGAATGATATCGATAACCTCTTTTGTGATCATATCCATGACTGGAGAAATCGGGAGTGGGTTGTCATAATGATTAGAGCCCGGGTGTGACGAGCGAGCGAAGAGGTAACACTTGAAATGTGAGCAAATTACTCTGCAGGGTATAAGGTTTACTTACTTGAATGTAGCGAGGAAGATTGTCCTCAGAATCTCGTCCGTAAGGCCAAGTATCACATACGACTTCCAGATGTTCTGGGAGCTTGTACTTTGCAAGTTGTTCAAGTACCTTTGGGTCTTTTAAACATGCATCTCGCAACTCAATGAGTTCATCGATATCATTCTGGCCATGAAATTGAGGATCTAGCTTTTCGACTTTGTCGACCGAGTTAGATTCGATGTTGACTTCTGCCAGGAACAGATCTGAAGTTCCACGGTGGTAATACAATGCTGAGGCTCGACGAGGTAGTGGTGGACCAGCAGTGCCATTTCTCTCGGCCTTCAAAAAAGGTCGTAGTTTGGCCTTTGGCGGCTCAATTATGGTGATGATCTTGAAGTGTAGGCTCTTGTCTGGTGACTTGGCCTTGAGGAGGGACGAAACTTGAGTCAGCTCTTCCGCATTGAGCGGGTCGAGAGGGTGCTTCAGGCTTGTCGAAGCCATCTTCGGAATTGAATGCGCGAGTTAATTTGAGTCTATATCACAGGTCAGCCAATGATGCTTCGATTGTCGCAGTTCTACAAACGGCCTCGGTTACCACTTCCGGGGTGGCAAAGCACAGATGAATATAATTACATACCTTACTTAAGATTCCAATCGACTTCTTATACACAACGACAGCCATATATACTCGAACTCAAAAGTGGATGTACAGGCTGGAACTCAAATAGAGTTCCCGCATCGGCCAGCAGCCCGAGATAAGAACAATCACGTGAAACCAATCATTCTTCCATTTAGGGGCTCGCTAATCCCACTCTTCGGCTTCAGATCGCTGGTGCTCGGGTAGACCATCCTAAATTGGATGAGAGCAACGTGTTCTAAGATCTGACGGTATGCAGGTTGCCACGACTTGCGGCTCCTTGGGACCTTGTGCATCAATCACTGTCCTCGGTTCTTGTGTCACCAAGGCCGTCGGGAAAAGTTTCATTGTTCTTCATTTGGATGGACTTTTGTATTATCCTAGATTTTTGTTGAAGTTTCCAATTATTGCCAAGTCCCACTCTTACTATCTGTGTGACATCAATTCAGAGGCTCGAATATTAGCTTGCAAGTCTGATCTAACGGCCTACTCGAGATGACTTGATCAGACAAATTCATTCTTCCCCTCATTTCTGGCGCAACTCTGGTTTTGTAGCGAATATACACCTCACGAAGCAAGCATTTCATCTCTGCTATTGCAAGACTAAGAACTGTCAGTCAATCACCCGAACAAGGGAAATCTTGCACTTACTGTCTACCTGTGCAACCTCTTCCGCCTGCGCCGAAAGAGAAGAAGAGCCTGTTCATTTCCAGAGCTGCTTTTGGATCGAGCCACCTTTCTGGCAGGAACTGATCTCCTTTTATAAAGACATCTTCGTTGAGTTGATGTACACTCCATGCCTGACAACTAACGATTGTGTGGCCTGGGATGAAATACCCATCGATTGTCCGGCCTCCAGTTGGAGCATAGCGGGGTTGAGACATAGGTATCGGAGGAAAGCACCTCAATCCTTCCTTGATGACTGCATCCAAGTATGGTAAGTCATCGAAAGCTTTGTCTTTGTTGATCGAAAGTTCTGTAATGAGTTGATCCTGGACTTGGAAACTCTCAGATAAGGATAATTGGTACATGAGGAGGCACAAGGCGTCTCCAGTTGTATCGATGCCCGCAGCCATGTGATCCATGCACTCAGCAGCGATTTGGATTGGTTGAAAAGCATCTTTGCTGTTCTGCAGCTTGTATGTCAAGCTGTGCTCTCCTGAGTCAGACGTCCTGCTTGAGGCTAGTACGTAATCGTTGGCGAGTGGTGCAGGTCTAGGTTTGAAAACCTTCTCTAGCCAGAATGACATGGTTGGCCAACGATATTGAGCCAGGTTCCCTGAGTTGGTGTTAGTCGCTACGTGACAGTGAAAGCTGGGTCTACGCACTCATCAGACTGTCATGATAGGATAGCTCCTCCATCATATTGAGATCTGCCCCCTCGATTGACTTTGTTCCGTACGGATGGAAGAGATGATGGGAAGCACAGTCCAAGGCAAAACAATGCAGGTAAATCTAAGCTTGTCAGCTTGGTTGCACATCATCATAATTGGTTGGACATACATATGCATCCATTCCAGTCCCTTTCGACTTCTCGCATATTCTAATGAAAGCATTTGCTCGATCCTGAATACCTCCCAAAACTTCAGGATGCATGATATTTGTGTTTGCATACTGGCTTGCAATATGCCGTTTCTTCTGGCTATGCTAATCAAACATCAGTAACCCAGCTGCACAACTGTTATGACTAGCACTGACGTTTCCCTTATCAAGTGTCGAAAACATTGTTCTTCCGAATGTTAGCTCTTTGAGCCGGCTTCAAATCTCAGAATTACGCACCTCGTTCCAAACTGCTTAAACAGAGTATAAAACTCTGTCTTATCATACCCACTCCCACCACTTTGGTAAATCTCCTTCAGTGCCTCCAGAGAAGTGAACGAGACCTCATTAGGACCCAGCCGAACAGCAGGCCCATATGTTTTGTGTAGCTCATGGATGTATTCTCGACGCTGACCCGAGAATTCTTTGTACATGAGATACAAATCTGTGAAGAGAGAATACCATGGACCTGGTAGTTTGGAAAGAGGTGCGAAGATCGCTCTGTGGATGCATAGTTCAAGCCAGCTGATGCTGAGTGCTATGAAGCAGAGTTGCCAGAGTTGAAAGGCCATCTTCTCCAAAGTTCTGGTATGGAGAGGAAAGAAGTTGAAAGTACTGGACTTCACAGGACAATGTCCTCCACCCCATTAATATGAGATGCAACGCCCAAGACTATTCCGTGGCCATATCACCCGACATCGTATCCCGAAAGAGAAAGAACAGGAGATGTGAACTCTCCTAGCCGTCCCGGTATCAATGTTGACAAAACTTCTTCAAAAAATTAAAGCAAGCTCATCGCGAAGATAAGCATCAGACGAGGGAAGCCCCGTTGTCTCGCCGTCTGAGATTGGTCGAATCAAAATGTCTGTGATCCAGATTGGATTTTGGGAGTGGCAAGGATGTCCACCAAAGGTGGGGTGATGAACGCTATGCCCAAAGGAGGAACTCTACGAGAACGCTAGACCTAGACTAGATCGACATGGGAAACTTGAGGAGAACTTCGCTTTTCCAGATGTCTCCACGGGGAGGTGATGATAAGGCATAGTGAAATTCGAGATCACTGCAGGGGCTGAAGATGAGATCTGATAAGGATGCAAAAATTCTGACGATATAAGAGTAACATCCATCCTCCTGTTGGTCCTCAAACCATTTAAAGTTTGGCGAATCTTTTGGTTAGTTGTTCGAAAGAGAGTTGGAGAAAGCATTTCTACAATATTTGGTTTCCACATCATGTCTTCCGAAGATATTCATTTCGGAGTATCAGAGAAGTCTTCGCCCCGGCCGCAAGACTCGAGTCCTGACAGGGAACCAGGCATCCTTCACGATGCCAGGATGGACGAATTTGGAAAGTTTCTAGTACCGACACCTACGACAGACGATCTGGACCCCCTCAATTGGCCTAATCTCCAGAAGTACACAATAGTCGCCATTGTGTGCTTCTCCTACTTTATGTTGACATACTTCACGACTGCACCTGTGCCATCGTTCACCCTCCTTCAAGTCCAATTCGATGCCACGTACTCGCAGGTCAATTGGACTTTCGCAATCCCTGCTTTGGGTCTTGCTGCGGGACCTCTGTTCTGTTCTGCTTTAGCTGATATCTATGGTCGTCGAGTGGTGATGATTGTCGGTACCACGATAGCTTTGATCTCGAGTGGCTGTACCTCCATTCACGGGATAAGCTTTGGAGGTTATCTTGCTGCTCGTTTCTTCCAAGGCTTTGGTATTGGCCCTGCTGCAAATGTAGGCTTGAGCATTGTCAATGACATCTCTTGGGAACATGAACGCGGGTTTCGAGTTGGGCTGTGGGCCATGTCTGCGAATATGGGAACATTGGTTGGAGGTCTTGGTAAGTATCTCGTCCACCAAACCTCGTGGTTCTTAGCTGACACCAAACAGTTGGAGGTTTTCTGGCAACAGTTGACCAATATTGGATAGCATACCATGTGACGATGCTTTTTGCGGTTCTTCTCGTGCTCGAGTTGTTCTTCCTGCCTGAGACGTTGTTCCCCAGAACTCTTGTAGTCTCGTATGAGCAGAATTCAGATTCCCAGAAAATTTCGGAAAGCGCCCCAGCTGGATCCGCGTCTTCATTGAAGAAGACGAAACAGCTCGGATTCCTGAACTTCAAGAAAGTTCCGGGGATACCACATCCAAAACCCTACGTGACTGCAGTCCAATTTTGCATGATCTGGTCATACCCGACGATCGTCCTGAGTACGCTGGCATATGTCTTCTTCCACTACTGGTGGTACGTCGTTACCTGGAAATGGATCGTCAGCTAAGCTGACATCACATATAGGATATGTTCTGTACTTACCATGGAGCCTGCAGCTTACTACAATTACAAACTTCAGATTCAAGGACTCTTTTTTCTCGGTTTAATTGTGGGCGTTGTTCTTGCAGAGATATTCTGTTCAGGCCGACTCAGTGATTGGATAGTAACTTCGTAAGGCGATTGACTTTGAAGCATGGCGGCGAAAGACTGCCCGAGATGAGATTGTGGTTGGGGTACCCAGCTGCTGTTGTCTCGTCCATTGGGCTCATCGTTTGGGTTCTGTCGATAGATCGGCAGTGGCATTGGATCACTGGCCAAATTGCTTTCTTCCTATGTTTGCGACCCCGAGGCACTTCCTAATAGCTTTGCTGACTTGGAATAGACGCTGCTGGTTTGCAAATCGGCAACACCGTTCTGTCCACATACATTGTGGATAATTATCCAGAACATGCAATGGAAGTTATCACGTTCTATACCGTGATAATAAATGTATGTCTCTCTGCCAAGATTATTGAACATTATTACTGACTTTCTGAAGATGTCAGCATTCATAAATCCTTGGTTTATCAATGATTGGGTGGAGAAATCAGGTGCGTACCACTCCCTCATCATTCCAAGTTCATTCAGAACTAACACAACTTCAGGATATACTTGGACCTTCTCGGCGCAGGCAATTATCTGCACGTTCGGAATCATTCCGACATATTTCGTGTTGCAAAGATATGGACCAAAACTCCGTCGACCGATGAATCTTGGTTTTGCAGACCATATCGACCCTTGACCGGAAATTGTAGTCAAATCCTGTCATTTAAAGTGTGCGATAAATGTAAATTGCGATTTCGGATAGTCGAGGTGGTTTTGGGTCTTGCTCTCGAGCAACATACGGCGGCGGTGTCATAGATGAGATCCAGTATGAAAATTGTGTCGAGAAGGCAATTCTATTATCAATATGGAATGAAGTCCCAATTCTGACCGCCTGCCGTAACAAGTGATTAGTCCCGTGAACGTGATAAACTCGTGAAAAGCACTCACGAAGCACAATTTCAATATCATCATCTGGACCACAGTTCGCCCAGTAGTTCTCCAACACCTCCAAAGCAAGCTTAATATTGCGAATCTTCAAACAATCATAGAGTTGGATCAACAGCTCCTTTATAACTGTCCGGTCTGGACCCAGAGCTTCACAGCCAGCAGCGAATAAGGGTGTCGTCAGTACAATTGTTGGCGATAGTCCGTAAGCAGGGGTAATCAATCGAACACACTCAATGATCGTCTTGACCGAATCTTGAATTTCTGGGCTGTCGCTAGGAAGCTTCCGTAGATGACGCCGGATGTATATCAAAGCAGTATGCTGGTACGCTTGATTGCACCAAGCGTACTCTTGTATTGCGTGTGGACTGAGCTTCTCAAGCACGCCGGGGTAGAAACTCGGCGTTGCTGAATTGTCTCTTTCCATGATTTGGCAGATTGCATTTTCGAGGAAGTCTGCTTCTAAGTTGACACTCAGGCCTGGAAACAAAAGATCGCGTCGCTTTTGGGCCACTATAGCATTTCCGATCCTGCCGAGGAGGTATGAAAGGTCGGTCGAATAGCCATTGTAATCATCTAGGTAGACTTGGACATTCTCAAGGTTCCTAACATCCTCAGGCAGCTCGCTATCTTCGATCGGGGTGCTGGAGGATGAAAGCAAAGCCAACGAGTCCAGCGAAGCATACCACCGATACAGCAGCCTTGGGCGAGAGCTTGATGCTGCCCCTGAGTGATCAATCGTATTCATGAGGGCTTTGGCTCCTTTAATATGTACTCGCCACGTACTGCCGTGATCGCTACCGGAATGTATCTCACACTGACATAGTGTCCGGATAGTAGCAAGCAAAGCATCAATGGAAGTCGAGGCCTGCAACTCTCTTCGAAGACCCTCAATGCTTCTCGCCTTGAACTTGGCAATTGTCTGCATTGCCTCAGTTGCTGACTCTCCAGCGATACTGCCATAGAACGTCATGCTGTGAAGGGCTGCCCAAGCTAGGGTTGCGTTCATCAACGCTGGTGACTCGACAGCCATCGGCACGATCAACGAACAAAGTTCCTTCTGCACGTGAGGATTGCAGCAAGTGATCCTCGACGCCTCATCCGTGAAATGAAACAAAAGCCTCTTTTCCTCCATCGTCAACGACGGAAACGCCTTCAAGACAGCCGGTTCCGGCGTTGCTACATTAGCTAAAGCCGTATACACAAACTCCTTCTGTCCTACTTCTCCATCAGCACCATAACTTCGCCGCCAAATCTAATCAGACACTTACTATCTCCAACAACCTTCCTCGCTCCAGCTTTCAGACAATCTCCGAACCGTGAACGATCAAAGCTACGGCCGCCCCAGCGTAGATTGACGGCGTATTCGCAGACCACGCGAGCTTTGGTGCAGCGTCCGCAGGGCTTGCTTTCGTCGCATTTTTGTCGCCGCCGTTTGCAGCGTGTGCAGCCGGCGTGTGAGCGTTGGTGCTTGTTGGTTGAGATGGTGTTGTCCATTGCTCTGGCTGGACTGGACTTGACGGTTTGACTAAGGGGTGATTGATGTGAGAGCTCATGAGTGATCGATACCCCACCTTTGCTTAGGTTTGCAGCTGGATACATATCCACGTGACTATTTTTATCGTCAAAGGCCCCGGGAATACTGGACAAGTAAGCATTCGGGAGTTTAGGTGCTAATTCCTACGTGGGGGCTTGTTTACGGAGATCTGAATATCATGTTTTCTTGCAGTGCTTATATTGGAAGGTGGGGAAATTGTGTTCTCTCAAAGAGGACAACCCTCGGTACGCGGTGTGAAATAGAAGATGAAATCACCTAGCATCACATATGCAATCAGAAGAGACGAGGGATAATATAATTCATGGATAGGATTATTAGGATAGCAAATTCATCCTCTCCAAATGCCATATATCAATCGGCCAGTATGCAATTCGAAGCTTATAGAGTTCGTCTTTTGAAAATGTCGTCGTACCAAGGAATATTAAAAGTTGAGAAAGCTTATCCAGCTGTCATGCAAGCTTCAGGCCTCTGCTAGATAGCAACGTATGTATGTTCAATCTTAGTAAAGATCTTCCCAGTTTTCAGTTTTGACCCAAGAGTTGCGAAGGGCCTGCTCTGCCTCTTCATCAATCAGTTCAATGAGGCTAGCACCACAGTGCTCTTCGATTTCCTGGCCGTCTTTGCCGATCAGCACTGCTTGGTTCTCGTTGAATGCATTTTTTAGGTGGCCAACGCGGTGGAAGCGGGTTGCACAGATCACAAGCCACTTGAGAAGGTTAGCATGCCGCTCTCAATCGAATGCAGGAGCTTGGGGTTTCTTACTCTGACTCTGAATGCCCCCGCACTTTCCCATGTGATGGCGCGTTGCCAATGTGGAATCTCTACGGAGCCTGGCAGAGACTCCATACGAGCCTATAAAATTCAACGCTACTCGTAGATGTAGCTAAGGGGTAATGAACTTACATATCCTTGAAATGCACGGCTTTTATTGATTGAAAAGACCAAGATGACATTTTTGCAGGTTTCAAAAGCCTCTTCAAACACGGGTCCATTTTGAAGTTGAGTTGTCCAGACAGACTACCTGTATTAGAGATTATCTGGGGCATCAAGAGGAGACTCACATCTTCGATACATTTCAACACGTTCTCTTCGTTAAATGATTTGACGATGAAATATCGAGTATCTATTCAAGTTAATAATTACTGCATTCAAGTGCGCTGGGCCAATTCTAAACTTCAAGAAGCTTGCCACTTGATACCACAAAGGCAGACAAAGCAAAGGGTATTTTTTGACGACTTGGTATTCTTTACAATGATAAACAAGAGCTACAACTTCATTCCAGTAACTCCAAGAATGCATTTTCACACAAACAAAATAATGAACAGACGTAGTCCAAGAGAATGAGATGAAGGACAAGAAGATGGCGCTCACGGACCTCCACGTCCACCTCTCTCAAAGCCTTTCCCGTCTCTGTATGGTCTGTTGTTTGCGATCTTGGATCCCCATTGCGGTTCGTTCTTGAAGTCTTGGCCTCCTGATGGATACTCACGTGAATCCCGAGAATCACCACGGCCTCTGCCTCGACCACGACCACGATAGTTAGAATCCTTTCCCCTATATCCAGATGTATACTCAAATGAACGGTCGTTGAAGCTATCTCGTGGATAGTAGTCTGAATCGTATGCTCTTGAGCGAGGTGGTTGTCGGTCTTCATATGGTCGACGACCAGGTGACAAACTACGTCCATCGCGACTGCGACTTCGTCCTCGTCCTCGAAAGTATTGACGTGGTACTTCATGATCTTCACGGCGAGGTGGGGATGATCGGCGGTTTGAATCAAATCCACTTGATCGAGGGCGGCGGGTATCGAAATCATCTTCATCCTTTACTTTTTGGGCTGGGTGGGCATAGCTTCTCGGCTCGGTACGTGACATCTTTTCTGTACTAGGGGCATCTCGAGAGTCTTGAAGTTCGCTATAAGGACGCTTGTTAGAAACGACTCTCTCAGGTTGAGCTTCAATGACAGAAGCGATTGATTTTGATTCGACGCGATCTTCTGCTCGGTTAGGAATTGGCGGGGGTAACATGGAAGGAGCGGATTGTTGGAGAACAACAGGAGGGGCAACTCCACGTTCTTCAGCGGCCATCTCTGCTAGAAGTTTGTCTCGTTGAGCATCCAAAGCTGCGATTGCTCGACGACGATTGAGAATCTTGCTTCTGTATATTTCATTGTGGTAGCCAGTAATTTCCAACCACTCTCTCAAGTCTTCATCATGAGGAAGAACGTCAAGAAGAGAAGGTGGATTTTGCTCTCGAATTTGTCTGTTCAATTCCACTCGTGCAAGTGCACCATTGGATTGCGGCTGGCGAGTAGCTTCATTGCGAGGTTCTGCACGAAGGACAAGTTGCCTCTCTGCATCTGTGGGATGCTTTCCTTCGAATTTGACCGAATCCGCACGTTGTCTTCTGTCCATTCGTGATTCAGCCTCTTCCCGGCGATCATCACGTCCATTTGAAGGCGGAACTCTGGGCTTGGGGGACGGGGTACGACGGCGAGCGTCTTCGCGATAAGATCGAGGATATGGTGGCTTGACGCTGTGATCATCTCGTGAACTACGGTCTTGTCGATCCTCTGGCATTTTCATCTTGTCGTTGGACTTTGGTTCAATGCCGTGCATGGGGGAAGCCGCTCTGTGGGGTATGGGATCTTCGAATATCTCACCCTCTGAGACTGAACCATTGCTCGTATGCCTGCTTCCAAAAGCCTTGTCTTTCGTCCTATTTGTTTGTGTCTTTCCATTATTTGCCGCCTTTGTGACTTTGTTTGAAGGTACTTGCGGCTTCGCGGAAGGAGTAGGGCTTGCAGGAATCTGCGCGACGTTGGTTATGTTGCTGGCTTTCTTCTCCTGTTTAACAGTTGTGGCGGGTGTACTTTGTCCAGAATACTGTGAGATTAGCTCATTCACATCTTGCTCGCGCTTTTGATCAGCTGTATTAACATTTTTCTCGGATCCATGCTTTGAATTCTCTGGATGAGCTGCTTGCTTAGCTGGGCCTGGAGGAGTTGCAGAGCTGGCTCGTTCTGTTTTTCTCTTGAGTAATTCAGCTTTGAGCTCTGCAGCTCTAGCATTCATTTGGGCCGGAGCGCGGCTGGCAAGGGAGACTGGTGGGGTAGCTTGAGGAGTCATGAAAGGCGATGGTGAGAACTGAGCAGAGGCGGAGGTTGTTAGCACAGATCGAATTGGAACACAAGGTTCCAATGAGTATAAGCCGCCAACTAGCTGCACGATAACTTACTTGAGGACCAATGTTTTGGTTCTGCATGAAAGCTCCTTGAATGGCGAAAGGTTGATCGACAGGTGCATAGTTTCTCTCTTCAGCATTTAGATTGTTGAATGGCATCATGCCTTGATGTTGAAAGAATTGCTGGCCTTGAGGTGCACCAAATGGCATTTGCGAGAACTCATCTGGATTGAAATTGGTCTGGAAAGGACCAGGGGTTCCAAAGCCGTTGGGCCACATGGCTGCTAGGTCTTTCAGATCGGACAGCTCGAGTGTCGATTGAGAACGCGTTTGCAGTTGGTCAGGTTTTGTTCAAGGATAAGTTGTTGAGTCTAGAGATGAGCCAGGTGCGCTCAATATCGAGAGTATTGCACTGGAAGTATGTTGAAGTGGAGGGGAAACTCTTTAGGATATCGCAAAGCTCAAGCTTTTTTTTGTTCTCGATCAACAGAGCGCGTCAGGAGATACCTAGCACCAATGAAGCTAGCGTTCTCTCGGTGTTTGTCGGCCGCGTTGTCCGGTCCAGGGGTCTCTACCACTATCTTTACGAAGCGAAGTAAGGATGAAATAGGGCGTGGTGTCATATGGGACGATGTGACTTCACTTTGTCTTAATGGCCTTTCTCACGCAGAAAGTGTAGAGGTACACTGTTCAAGATATGAGATCCTACTTGTGTCTACGATCACGCCGTACGGTTACTTGCAGATGCAGGCACAGATACATATATTCTCTCTTAGGATCATGCTTGTAAAGACAATTTCCTAGGTAGTCCAACCCAGCATCTTCTCTGCCTTTGTCAAGCAGGTGGGAGGAAGGATGCATACAATCCAGCTTGTATAACACCATAAAGAACCATAAATTTCACAAATATCCCAAGCAGTCTTCCTTCGTGAGACGAAGCTGCAAGATACCATAGCCATACAGGATAGGCGGAGGATATCCTTGTGATAATTTGCACGTGGGCGGTGGTCAAAGTCATTCCTGCCAGAAATAGTTGACTGACAGCCATATTGCGGAGAACCGAGATTCCCTCCCTGCCAAACGAAATTTGACTACTCTTCACATCATACTGCTTTGTTGCTCGAGGCGGTCCATTGGCTGCTGTGTATTGAAGTGCCCAAAGACCAGATACGATCAGAATAGTAAAAATTGGTGTACCAAGTACGAAGAGTGGTATGTTTGACACTGTCCAGTATCGGAAAGGGCCACAATTCCTATGAAAGTTAGAAATTACTACTTCACAAACATGTTTTGGCCTTAGTACACACCAGTAATGACTTTGAACGAAGCTGTAGATGCTTGGCAAAGTTCCTTGGCACCAGATTCTTGGAACTGTATCTTTGCATCCACAATACTCTTGATATGCAATGTACTGTGGCAGCAAGAAACCTGAACCAACACACATCCCTCCAAGACCAGCAGCGAGAAGACGACGCAGTGTTGCTCCGCTTCTCTCGTAGCTGAGCACGAATAGTGTTCTGAAAGCTTCCTCTAATAAAAGCAAACCATTTAAAATTCCATTGCTGCGGAAAGTTGTTGCAATTCCAAATGAGACTCCCGCTAAAATAAGGTAAAGGTCATGAATTGCTGTGGCTCGACCATTGCGATTGAGGCTCTTCATAAATAACAGACAGCCGGCAAAACTCAATGCGGCACAGGAGCTTTCAGCATACGGGGCCGAGAGGAAAAGTCCAGCTGGAGAGATAACATGGAGCGATGCGGCAGTTAAGGCAAAATTTTGTGATGAGCCCGGAAATACATCTGAAGAGAGGTAAAAGAGGAGAAGAACCGAGATCAGATGGGCAATATGAGCAAGATTGATTGCCACCCAAGCTTCCAACCCGTCGTAATGAGGAATTCCAGCGGCTTTTAAGACTATACTTCTTAGTGATCCTGGCAAAAGACAGGGGATTGATACTTACACTCAGTGCAAGCAGCTATAACACGGGTAAAGCCCCATCCAAATGCCCACTCTTGCTCGAAAGAGTAGCCTCTTTCAGCAGCCTTCACGAAGTAAAGGGCATCCCATCTTATTAATTTGCTGATTGTGTGTCGAAGTGCAACTGGCAGCTGTTCTTTCCCGTGGCTTGCCTCCGTGAGGCTACCTGAAGTATCATAGCCGGGCCCCGGGCTGCACAACGCTACCAGCAGGAGTAGCGTTTTCCAGCAAAGAAAAAGGGCTACGAGTTTTCGAATAGGATGATCCAGATTCCGAGTCAAGAACTGCATGATCAAGGTTGCTGCACTTGACGAATGGGGCCAGAATTAGCGGTGAAGGAGGGAAAATGCATTCGATGCGGGCGTGCTTAAGCTTGCATAGTCGATGAAATTGACAGCTAGCCAAAGGACACAGGCCTGGTATAGTTGTTGGCTTAATTGAACTGGGCCGTTTCGAGGAGATGAAGCAAGTTATATTTGGCCACGTCCCGATTGGGTCGTCGTTACGAAACGAGAAGCGTAGTCACGTGGGACATTAATTTCCACCTGGGCACTCCCGCTCCTTTTCCCTACCTGATCCTGGTCTGCAGCTCCGCCCGCACGCACACATCCCCCTCTTTTCTTCCATCTGCCGTTGGTGCAGTGTTCCAGCAAATCACAGTCGGACGTCGGTCGAGTGAAATTGAAACATTTGTGCCTGATAGCTACTAGTGAGTGCACTTTGTGCATACGGAATCTTCGACAGGCCGACTCCGAAAATCTAAACACCCAAGGAAGTGTTTCTTGCCCGAAAGCCGCAAGAGTCTAAGGACAAAGAGGAAATTGGGGGGACCTGCTGAGGACCTGCTGAGCATCCAGGGCTCCAATCCTCCCACCTCCAGGGGCATATTATTTGTCCACAGATCATAATGTGATCACAGAGATCAAGGGCTTGCCCAGTCCGTTTTCCATACAGTCTCCTCTTTTGCACAGAGCATCCGGGCTTCCGACGACAACGTTCTTTGTTTTTGGTTTGTGCTGCCCCTCGTTGCTCCACCCAGCACACACCGCGGACGGTTCCCAATGACCGTCTTTAACGCTCACCACTACTAATCTTCGCGGTATGGTTCGCAGCAGTTGCAAACTGGATTCTGTCAAAAAAAAAACTTGTCCTCCCGACACGGCGGTAATGCCTAGGTTGACCCGTGCTGACGAGAGCTCATCAATAAGATATCCCAGGTCAAGGTCTCCCTGGACACTCTGCACCACCTCGCGGCATTCAGAGCCTCAGAAATCTTACCACCTTCGTCCGACCTCCTTTCCATACTGTCCTTGACCATCATATTCAATCTATCGATATCAGGTCATTTATTCATCTCTTAACTCAGTCTCTGCTGATCGTGGGCTGCCGCGACTCATCAAATCATCGTTCGTGGCTGTGGGCTCTGACCTCAGCCTGACCGTCAGCCCTACGGCACGTCTCAGCTGTTTGCCCCCAATGTTCCCAAGTCGAAACGAAACATACACTCGACACAAAACCACCGAAAGACAACAAACTTGAATATATCTTGCTTGGACTCCCAGTGAGCGGAAAGGCGCCCCTGGGGCGCTGCTTCCGTTCCTGAACGGTCAAGATGTTCCTGAACTCTGGTGTCGGTTCGCTGTGGAACCACGAACATGAATTCAGTACACGTACTCAATTACAACCAAGCAATTCTATTCCAAGGAGGAGTCCATTGACAAGATCGGCCTTTTCCACACCTCCACCACGAAAATCTACAACTTATGAAGACTCGCCGGTGGTGATACCACGACCAGAACGACCACTGTCTGAACAGCTACCACGAATCAAAGAACCGGTAGTCCGCTTTCAAGAAGTCGAGCAGGAAGCGATGAGCGAGGATGGCAGATCTGTTGCCAACTCGGAGGGCAGCGAGACAACAACGGTTGGCGGGGGTAAACAACGAAGACGATCAATACGGAAGAGCACAACATTCCAGCTCGCACACCCTGCGCCGACCTTGACGCAAAAGCAGAGGCTGTTGCAGATTCGACCAAAATTATTACTTCAGTTACAACGATTATCGCCAGGGTCTCGGCCTATACCTACTCTTGACATCCTTCCTTCTACAATAGTGGTTCCTCGGTTAATGAAGAAGTTTCCACGGATGTTCAGGGGTCATTCAGCACTTGGATTCAATGATGTGCTTATTGTGAAAAGCGAGGAGTATGATGCTGGATTTGAGACTACTGTCGATGAGAGTGATTCGGATGAGGAGGGCATTGCGAGGCGAGACTTGGTCGCCGTCATATGCCAAATGAGACGAGACTCAGGAGGATCTCAGGGGAAGGCCGAGATCGTGTTAGGTGATGGCTCCTTGTGGGTTGCTAGCCCTATGCCCAATGGTCTCTACGAATTCACCACCACCGACGAAAGAGGTGATGTGACAACTGCTCGGTGGGTGCGGAGAGCCACCAAGCGAAAAAGTGTCGACGTTTCGGATGCTGCCAATCTCCATAACGATATCAAGTTCACATTCAGTATTATTGACCCTAACTCACGTCGACATCCTATCCTGGCGACTCTCACCCAAAAAAAACTCGACATACCGGATACTTTTACTTCTCTTTCCTCGTCAGCAGGCAGGCACCCGCCTACTTCCCCAATTCCACATCTCCCAGGAGAGCTTGATGGAGACGAGGAACGCTCGACGGAGAGAAGCACTCATGTCATTGATGAGAGCATGAAATCACTTATTCAGGTCACCAGTATTTGGGTTGCATTACGGCAAGGATGGTCGCCGTACTTCAAGTATAACGATGCCATGGCTGTACCAAATAGTCACACATTGGCAACAGGACGTGTGCGATCATCGTCATTGACGCCCGAGTCAGTTCGTCCGCCTATTGCTAGAGCCGGTTCAAACACTCCAGACTCTGGCAATAGTGCATTCGGGGCAGCATTAAGCAGTAAGATACGTCGATCTTCTGCCAAAATAAGCCCTGTAAATGGAGCTCTGCCTCGAGGGGATCGTTTCGCTCCTCCGAAGAGATCCCTTTCTACTGGCACAGCTTTTGTGCAGCGGGCTGCAGCCCGCAGAGCAGGACTTCCACCGAGTACAGTCGCTAGCGACAGCGAGGGGGAGAGCACACAGAGCAACTTTCCGATTCACGAGAAGCACAATGCTCTCAATCGAGCATCGACACCTCCATGCCTTACGCTTCCATGTTCATCCACTACAACACCTGACACGCCAACTCGTCCTCACCGACGTGCTCAATCAGCCTACATACCTACGAGCTCCCTCCAGAATGGGTTCACGAATAGTGCTTCTGAGATGAATAGCTCGACAATTCCTCCATCGAATCAGTATATCGATCCTATCGTTAAGGTTAAGATAGGACGATGGAAACAATTCACCAATCTCTTCCGCCGAAAACATAATTCCAGCGAGTAAGCCAAGGGAGACTACCACCTTGTATCAATATTTTTTGATTACTCTTGCAGTGTAGGATACCACTAGCGTCTGAATTTTCTTTTGTAAAAAGGCACAAGCCATTGGATGGCGTTGATAGGAACTCTTGGATGGTTACCAAAACAGGCGTTGGAGGAATAACATGTATATCTACAGTCATTATGAAGCAGAGTATCCATTGCAAATAACAATAAAGCCTCTCGGCTTCTTTCAGACGCCGAAACAGAACTATACAACCCAAATAGTCTCGCCGTGCAAATTAATAATGTAATCTGAAGCAAGCTCTAGGCAAGAGTGCTCACGTAGGCGCATGAAGGCACGAGAGCTTGCGTACAATTGTAGCGCCTAACAAATGACCAGTTTGAAAATGGATGAAACTTGTACTAGTGTTCTAGAGCATAAAGCCAGTGAATATCCTACTTAATTTCAACTTGACTGCACAGTTGGCAGTACTTACTCTGTTGGTTCCTTGCAACACAATATCTTTGTCTTCGTTGTTGTCGTCGCTCGGATCATCAGTCAGCCACCGCACTTAAATCCGCGTCTATCAGCAGTGCAACCCAACACTTTTTGACAGCCGACGTCGCTGTCTCTCATATTTCATTGAAAAATTCAATGCGGACATAATACTCGCTCTGCCATCGCCTGTCCAATTGTTACCAAGGTGTTTATGCCCTGTGGCGGCGCAGACTTTCCGTTTTCGAGGTCGTGTGATTGAATCTACTGGAAGACCTCTCGCAGAGAGCTCTACATTCCAGGGAAGGTACATCTTCACCGCTGTCACGTCGCACACGAGCGCAAGAAAGCATCAGCTAATACAATAATGACTTCAGAGTCCCCTCGCAAGAGGATAAAGCTATCCACGGTCTCAGATTCGAGCGCAGACAGCCATCCGAAGAAGATGGAGGAAGGCTATACGAATGGTCGCAACCATGCGCAATTCCTACAACACATACTTCAGAACGGACACTCGAGCGACACGATATCGCGTGCAACATCTCCAGGTTTTGGATTTAGCTCCAATGGAATCAATTCCGAGAAGGAGAAGCGGTACCTCCCGCGAACCTACCCCTACTTCGAGCTATTACCATACAAAGTTGAGGAGGAAGCGGAACGGAGTGCGGCATTAGAAGAGATATTAAGGCAGCTTTATATTGCCGTCAAGGCGGAAGACATATCACCAGGCGCTGTGCATTGGACGAGAGAGCTTCGAGGATGGCTGAATCTCAAATTCGAGATCTCGCGAGAGCTGCGAGTGAAGCTTGTCAAGATGTATTACATGCTAGCTTTAGCTCCCGGGATGGACTGGGTAGCTACAGATAGATTTGAGAGCATGTTTAGATTTCTGATAAAGTATGCCGCTCCCTCCAAGATTCGTCCTTGCGTAGCTAACAATTCAAGGAAAAAACATTACCTTAAGCCTGGGGAGGATCTGTTACTCGATTGGCGACCACTATGGAAAGAGATCAAATCCATTGTATTACCATCCGAAATGGCTACAAATCAGGGAGGACGCAAACGAAGCCACAAGAACATTGCCAACATGTGTGCTTTTGCAGCCCAATACTTTGATCCTAGGGAACGGCAGGCTATGTTGGAGGAGGTTCTACCATACTTCAGTACTTCCGACATAACAGGAGCTTTCATTGTACTTGGTACATTAAACTTCCTCATGCCGACACACCCTGCTCCAAATGAGCCTGGCCAGCTCCAACCCCAAGATTATCTTCCAACTTTCTTCCATTTATGGTCGCTGGTCAACCGCTCGAAGGCTGTTGACAATATCTTCTTCGACCTCTTTTCAAGATTAGCTCGAGACTCTTTAAGCAGTGGCCACGTTGAGTTTTCGGAATTTGGTATCTTCACGAAAGACCAATCAGACCTCATCTTCACTGCTCTGTTACGTTTGACTGAGATTCCTGTCGGCCAAGCATCATCACCGTATAGCGGCATGGTTGATCTTGGCGCGGGTCTTGGCATGTACCTGGAGAGAGACAAGAAGAAGGCACCGGTAGGATATTCTATTGCGCGATGGATTGTTATGTCCTTATCGCCATTATGTATAGACAAACCGGGCTCAATCCTCTCGAATCTTGAAGGCCTAATGGTGTCTATCGACACATTTTTCCATCCATCAAATAATGGTGCCTGGACGGATATGCTAGCTCAAATCGTCTTTCACCTCGTTGACTTCTTCGTTATGCGCTGGAATCGAGAGCAGAGTGGAGAGTTAGACACTCCTCCCGAGCGTCGTATCAACGATGCCTTGAAGAGAAGATTCGTTCTGAGCTTGAAAGAAGTTATGTTCATGGGATTATTCTCCAAGAAGGCGAAATCTCTGAATGCTTATTTTGGAGCGATACAAGGCCTATCTTATCTTGAACCGCATCTGATATTGCCTGGCGCCCTTCAGCGCTTCTACCCTTCCCTTCAGGGACTGGTGGAAGTACATCGAACACAATCTTCGCTTTGCGGGCTCCAACTATGCGCCAATGTGCTAACCAAGCACAAAGGTTTGCGATGTCACGTTACCGCGTTACTCGCCTTGGCATTACCTGGTATCGATGCAAATGATCTGACGAAGACCATGCATACCTTGGATTTCATTAAGTCTGTGGCATACAGTATTCCGTTTGTCGACCTCACAAAGGAGCATAGCGAGATCCACGATTCATCCTTGGCTATTCAATGGGTACAAGGCGAAATGGAGCGAATGGAGAGAGAGGGTCCAAACATTGAGATTGACTACAGGACTGAGCTAAGCAATGAAGATGAGGCCAATATTCTGCGATCATCTACAGCTGGTTTCGGGGATTTTGTGTTGTCTTTACTTGGGAGAATCTTCACTCTTCTAGAGAACCTACCGGAACTCTCTCGGGCACGCTCTGGATCCCCTGAGGAGAGTGTCATCAACACTTTACCCGCAGCATTGACCCCTCTATTCGCTTCGCTCTCCCCTGAGATCTTCGACATGGCTCTGGAAAAGGTTGCTACTTTTGTGGGAGGACATGTGGTCCACCAGGCTCGAGATGCAATGGCTTTCATTTGCAATTCGCTTTGCAAGGCCAACCCAGAAAAGACCCTCAAGATCTTCATTCCCATGCTAATTGTTGGTATTCGCAATGAGATTGACTATAACGACGCCGCATCGGATAGAAGTAGCGGCAGTGACGTGCTTCCCCGAGATCGTGCCCTGGTGTGGCACATCAGCATGCTGAGCATGATCATTGTTCACATTGGTGATGGCCTCATGCCATACAAGAAGGAGCTTTTTGATATTGCTCTGTATATGCAGGAGAAGTGCCGCGGCATCCCAACGATTCACATCTCCAACTACATCCACCACTTACTCCTTAACTTGACTCTGATCTACCCAGTGGATGGTTCTTTGTACGAACCAGAGGTCTTCAAGAGAGGTCTAGATGTGGAAGACTGGGGCAGAATGACCAAGCCAACAGAGCTCACCATCAACTGGCATTATCCTTCCGATGCAGAGATTGAGCTCGCGGTCGAGTTATTCGAGTCCCAGGTCAAGACTGCAATCGAACGGCTCACAAACTTGACGGGTCCGAATCCAGCTGTTAGCAGAAAGGGGAAGAATAAAGAGTGGTCAGACGAAGTTTCACGGAACCTGGCACAATTGCGACTCATCACTTCAGGTATCGCTACGTTGTTTGACCCCAAGAAAGCTTCAGGTCAACTTGACAGGGGACATGACCATGATGGTGACATCCCCATGAACGGAGAAGCTGCGAATGGAGATGACGAAAGTGACGAAGACAACCCACTTGCTGAGGCCGCAGAGGATGAGGAAACCAGACCTCAATTCCATTATAGGGCTGGTTATCTCTTGGAGAGAAATAGTGCCACATATCTTCACATCCACAAATTACGCGAGGATGTGGGTCAACTCTTGTCCAGAATTCATGGGTTCTTGACCCAGCACCAAGAAGATGATGTGGCGTGCTTCACTGCGCTGTACCAGGCTTACAGAACCTGGATCACGGATGTGGGTAACGAGCGATCAGCCCACATGTATGAACGGGTCAGCAAACTCTATGATGCAGACGTTCGCGCTTTCAAAGTCACCGGATTGCGAAAAGTATATCCAAGACCTCTATTGATCAAGCGAGCCGGGATCTACCACTTCCACAGAGCTAAACATAACTCGTCTGCTCGACACAAATCTGACCTCGATAAGAAGCTGCTCCTTGAGCTCGCTTCGTCTTCTGTATCCCTGTATGCAGAAGTTCGTATCAATGCACAATCGGCACTTGAGTCTGCTCTGAAGAGCCTTATCGGAGGACGTCCTCTAGTTATTCCACCTCTCTTAAGCACATTCAGAAAAGCTCTAGATGAGAACGACTTTGATCGCATTAAAGGCTCCATCTTTGCTTTGCTCTACGGAAGCTTGACAAAAACCATGTCCAAGGATTGGCGTTTCGCCCCTGAGTTAATTGATCTATACATCAAAACGGTTACAGTAGACAAGCCATCCATACAAAAACTCAGCAATCAGGTCTTATACGGTGGACTTCTTGACTTTGGCAAATCTCTCGAGAACTTCCTTGTCATAGATCATGAGCTTGTGGGTATCTTCGAGCCTAGATTTGATTGCTCGGAAAAGATTTCCGCCAGGCACAAATTCATTCTGGAAAGACGAGATAAAGTAGAGGAGAAGAAATCAGCATTAGCTTTGAAGCTGATTGAGACGAGCAAGAATTCCCATTGGAAGATAGCTGGCCGATGCACTCTCTTCATTCTCAATGCAGGTGTTCGGGTTCAGAGCATTGCACCGCCGTCTTTAGTCGAGATAGCTATCAACGGTGCCATCAATGACCACCCAGGACTTCGCGCCAGCTACGCCGAAGCCATGTTGCGCATTTTCAATCATCTAGAAACTCGAGCAGTCTATGGCCATAGCGTTGAGAACTTTGTGCGCGAGATTGAGAATCCCGTTAACCGCGTCGAAGTGACAGTTCCGAAGGATGATCCGAACTGGACCCAGAAATTTCTGGAAGCATTTGCCAAGCCGGAGATACCTGAATACTTTGTCGACAGGGACTTTCCAGGGTGGCTTGTCTGGGGAAAGAAGTTCAGAGCAACTAAAGGCCATCCAGTTGACTTCGAAGACTATGACGATCTCGAGAACTCCATCAGGAATCAGATGGGGGCACTTCTGACTCGGGAATGGTATCAGAAGTACTTCGGTTACATGAAACAAGAACCACGGGATTCGACTGCAGACCGATTCAGAGTTCACAATGCCGCACTTCTCATCCAGACCTTTGATCTTACATTTAGTGGAGTTACTTCTGCAACCTTTGAAGATATCAAAGACTTGGTCAAGGCAACTTTCGAAGATGGCAGCGACAAGCATCAGCACCGTGCTACAGCGGAAATCATGGCAGCCCTGCTTCTCTCACCCCTTGAGCGAGACCTGAAAGTCCGAAACAAAGTATGGGCGTACGCAGTGCCTATCATGTTGGATGTCTTCGCTGATGGACTTACTCCTGAGAACATTACGTACTGGATGACTTGCTTGCATATGATCATTGGAGGCAGAGATCCCCGACAAGCCCATGAGATCATTGACAGACTCGCTTCCTTCCGACTCGACATGTCATCCAATGCAGCATTCAAGGAAAGCAGCAAAGTCCAGCTTCTGGAATTCGCCATTCAAGATGCTGGATGGCATTTCAGATTAGAGAAGCCTATCCTAGACGACTTCCTGGCTCATATCGATCATCCGTACAAGGCGGTACGAGAATCAGTCGGACGCACAATCGCCTCTATCTACCGCACACGCTATTATGAAGCATTCAAGGATGTTGACACCCTGTTGAAAGAGAACAAGGCGTCTTCCTCCATCGGCGTCAAGCCATATGTCCCAGAAGAGCAGTATTCAGCAAAGATTAAGGATGTCTTCAATCGACTTGAGGTGTGGCGTGGGGAGCGAACACCTGGTCAACAGACACCGTCGTCGTATACCTCAGGAAGCAAGACTGTTTTGCTTTGGCTTGACACAACATTGCAGTCCTACGAGTGCACGCAACTGCTCGACTTCTTCCCAGATGTGTTTATGGAGCAACTCTTACACATGATGGACGTAAAGGAAGATCCCGAACTTCAGAGATTGGCATATCTGGTTTACCGCCATCTGCCCAATGTTCCTTTCCGCGCAGGTGAAGATGGTGAATTCATATCAGCTCTTATCCGCATCGGCAAAGTATCGACATCATGGCACCAACGTCTGAGAACTTTGATCAATATGCAGTGCATCTATTTCCGCCGTATATTCCTCATCAAGCCCGAGCAACAGCAAGCCCTTTTCGCTGCTGTCGCAGACATGCTTGAAGACACTCAACACGAGGTCCGTTCTGGCGCTGCTACAACTTTGTCGGGCATGATTCGATGCTCGCCTGTTGCCCTCAGGAACAACATACTATCTGCATTACGAAAGAAGTTCACGAATGCATTATTGAAGAATCCAATGCCGAAGAAGTCGCCTGGCACGAGTACACCAGTCAACACAAACCAGCAGGTCATTCGTCGGCATGCCGCTGTGCTTGGTCTTGGTGCTCTGGTCACTGCATTCCCCTACGTGACTCCACCTCCAGACTGGATGCCTGAGATTTTGGCCCTGCTCGCTTCGAGAGCAGCAAACGATGCAGGTGCAATTGGGAAGACGGTGAAGACCATATTAGCGGACTTCAAGAAGACGAGACAGGATACCTGGGTTACTGATCAAAAGGTATGTGTTCCATTGCTAACAACTGGCGAACGAAATGCTAACGTGTGCACAGTACTTCACACCGGAACAGCTAGAGGATTTAGAAGGGGTGTTGTGGAAATCGTACTTTGCATAGTTCGTCGTCGTTCATTGATATGGAAACGGGTTACACGCATAGGATAAGGAGTTTTCTGGTTTTCTTGCCTGTGTCTGTATTATGCTGCTCAAGGTTGGGGACGGGTGGTGCTTGAGGCTCGTTCATTGCGAGGTGTGCTGGCGCTCGCTGGTACCGGCTTAATGGTTTATGTTGCATCGTTAGCATTGAGTACTTGTACAGGAATGAGAAATGACCGCTTTCAAAGATGAGAAGTGTTAAATACAATTGCGCTAATTGAGTCTTAACCCTTCTTCCCTCGTTTTCTTTTCCGGCCAGCCTTATTTGGTTGTGCTGCTAAGGGTGGTTCGGCTGTTACTTTCGGTTTCTCTTTGGGTATCTGTTTTGTTTTGGCTCGGCCTCTTCACTTGCTTTCTTCTCCTGCTCCTTCAGCAGCCACCCCTCAACCTTCAACGCTAAGAACCCACCAACAATATTTCGAAAAAAGAAAACTAAAGACTAGAATCGGTCCTTCATATACTAATAAAGCTTCTGACCGAATACGCTTTCAAGCGCATTAGTATTTGTCTCAGGAAAAAGTTTTCCAGGGTGGACGCTGCTGTGACGACTTTTCTTGTAGACGTGCAACAAAGATTTGGGTGGTTCACGTGAATGGAAAGTTCAGATACACTTTGATGCATTATAAGGGGTGGAGTATGTGGGAGGAAAGTTTCAGTCACTTGGTATTAAGTCGCTGCTTCTCGTGCGTACAGCGCATTTCGCATTTGCCCTCACTTGACTTCAAAGATATAAAACTTGGCTGATGTAGTTCTAAGTACTTTGAGACTATTGTTGTATCCTTGGTACGAAAGTACGGTCCATTCCGTGCGGGAAAAATCATAAGAGGTCTCCAGTACACTTGTTTACTTGATTTTGAGATATGTGCAATTCAAGGACAGCTTCAGTTGTTTAAGCGAAAATATGGGTCACAAGGCCAGAATCAGGTCAATGTATGCCAAACTGGCCTTCAGATTTTATCTCAAAGAGCTTGCGATAGAAGCACTGTCACAATGCTAGCTACAACGATCCCCAAGGATACTCGCCATGTCAGACTCAAGGCCTCTTTCCCCTTTGACGGTCCCTCTTGCCAAAGTCTTCCGCAATATTGTTCTTGACATCTTTGCCTCCTGATCCGCCGAAAGAGTCCGCCTCACCTCCATCTATCTTTGCCTGACCAAAGATATCGGAGACGCCACTTGCTCCTTTTGCCCCAAGTGAAGCACCGCGCTTTTTATCACCTGGTCCATCGCTGATGCCAAGGAGGTTAGGTTTATACTTCGCTGGGCTAGAAGCTGCTGGTCCTTTGGAGGTGCTTCTGGTAAGGGTCTGACCGGGTTGGAATATTCTCTTCTTCTCTCTGTTATCTTCGGGTGGGCTGACCTTGTGTTTGGCGGATTCCATATTAGTCCCCTCGCTGGCCGAGCCTGATTGTCCGCGGCCTTCCTGTCGAGATTAGCTGTCCTTCCTAGGAGCTTCTTGATGCCTCGAGTTCCTTGCTATGCTCGAGGAGAAACATTTCCGCGATTCGGATTCTTGACAGTCATTGCTTCACCTTGCCCTAATGGCTCCACCTGCCGTCCTCTTCTGATTTTGTGCTGATTGTCTTGCTTCGATTCAATATCTCCACCGCCATATTATTTCGTTACTGTCCAATCTTTTATTTCCAACAGAAGCCTTTATAGGGTTCTAGTACGGTACTAATTGGTTTCTAAGATATCATACTATAGGCAAATGGAGGTGGGAAATTCGTTGGGGAACCACGTCTTATTCCACATTCAATATCCTATTCCTAGTTAGGTTTTAAAGTCCTGCGATACTTCCAAGCCATATTTTACTTAATAGCGAAGCACTTCACTTTACGGCACTCAATTTAGCATACCCTGTTCAGTGTTTGCCTTTAGTAAAGGCTCAGGAGGACCATATCTTATAGGGCCTGACTCCTTATTTAATAATGATATCATAGAGACTAATTAATACGGTAGGGCACCATTGAGGTATGAAACTTTGTTTCCCCAGTCCACAACTCCCAAAGGCATTGTTAAAGTATAAGGGGAAATAGGCAAATTCGGTACAGCTTTAATCTTGTTCTGTGGCTGCTCTTCTAGCCAGTTCCTCCTGAACAAGTTGTCGCATTTGTCCAATTTGCTTAACGAGTTCTTCGCTTAGTACCGCGTCACCTATTTTGAATGGTCAGTACCGTGGCAACGGTTCATTTCGAGGACTTACTGTTCTCAGTTTCGGCTCCTTCTTGGTTCGAATTCTCTTCTGCCTGGATACGTTCCTCCACTGCGTTGTGTAGCATCTCGAAATGCGGGTTGAGTAATCCGGCAGTGGAGATATCTACTCCGCCCCAACTTACATCAACGTCTAAGCTATCATCGGTTTCCGTAGGTAGAACGAACAAGGAAAAGGGTCCTAGTGATCCTGTTCCGTCCGTTTTACTTATCTTGATGGTGGTGTATGATTGAGATAGCGACTGAGATCCATCGAAGCTTTGGAATACCCAAACATCTTGAGGACGACGAGGAAAGACTTCGAGGTCCAGGCGGTGAACTGTGCTAAATTTTATGAAACTGCAGCTAGCTGAAGTATCGAGGAGAACTGTAACGTTGTGGCGCTTCTCATGCACATCGATGATCTCGACAGATCGAGTCCATGGGTTTCTTACGCGGGGTTTCTGGATTCCAAGGGTAATAGCCGGCCACGTATCTGAGTCCTCAGACCCAGAATCATCCTCTGGAGGGTGCCCGTTAGGATCGTCATCACAAATAGCATCACTCCCACTCTGAGCCGGTCCCAATGGTTTCAACACGATGGGGTTGCGATGTCCCATGATAATAATGTGATTAGGAGACTGCTCTTCGAGACTCGGATCCTAGTGCATGACTTTATTTAGTTGGCTCAATAGTAACCCATTTGGACGACTGGTTGGATCTTGGAGGTGGTGAATGAGGGCTGAGGTGAAAAGTGACCCTGTTGCATACAACCCAGCTGTTACTTCTCTGCTAACTGCGGCCAGAACTTCCATAGCTTTGTTATTAAACCCCTTGATCGTGCGTGCAGCGTAACAGCAGTCCATGAGTAGGAGCACATCAAATCCAGGAGCGCTTTCTAAAAATCTTTGTACGTCCATCCAGGCGATTGGCGGCTGCGTCCCACTATGAACTCGGGTTAGTTAAAGTGCTTATACTCACAGGCTAGGAGCTATACCCCGATATAACCAGGTCTCTGCTCTTTGTACCAATTCCCCCATGACCATTGTAGGAGACAATCAATAGCTTCCGCTCAGACGTCTCCAACTTCGAAAAGTCCAGGACAACCTTACTCATGTATACTTTAAGCTCCTCAGCAGGGAACTGGGATGGAATTCGATATATGTCTTCTGGGGTCCCGGCGTCAAAATGATATTGCTCACGAAACACAGTCTGAAGCTTGAGAGTCTCGTCTCTGACCACAGGGTCCAGATCGCACTCGGCCCAGTTCAGAAAAAGCACCTTGACTGCACTGTAAGTCTTCCCGTGGCCATGATCGATCAATTGTTTCAAGTCGTTGTCAAGCTCAGCGAGAAGTTTCTGGAGTTCGGAAGAGGATAGTGGCTGCTGATGGCGGGCTTGAAGGTCGGCGGCCGCAGTGCGCGCATGAATCAGCCTTCGCAACCTCGTCAACCGGAAGTGAAGTCATAGTCGTAGACGAAAGGTCAATTCACGCATAGGCTGGGATGAGTTTAAGAAAACGTATTGAAAATCGTCTAGGCTCCTGAAGACTGTTGTGATGAAGCTCTAGCAAGTGATAGCCTGCTGCCTGAAAGACCTTTGGTCAGAGCCTCATTACATAACCCACTCCACTAGTCTGTGCGCTGTCCAGGCATTTTCAGGTCTGCCGAACTCGCTTACCGGCTCTCGAAAACCAAAGTCTCACTTCGAAGCTATGAGACCGCACAATGCCTTACTCTAGCTAGGCGGACACGGTACTCCACGAATCTTTTCTGTTTAATGCCTACAGTACAAGAATAAGTACTCATAAGGGTCTACTAGTATCAGTCGCAGTACTCAGTCATTCTCACACAAAGAAGTATCAAGAGCAGATCCAATACTCTGTTTCGTTTCAAGGATTAGACCAGTCTTTGAGCCATTTGGGCAACAAGGGAATTATCTGCTCCGTTGGACACAGCATCAGATCTAGCAGAAAGGATGGTTGGCTTATTGCCAATTCCTTGATCCTTTCTCCTCAAACTGTATTCAAAATTTTCTTCGCAGAAAGAATAAAAAATAGCTCTTTAGCCAGAAGAGGAATCGAACCTCTGCCTCCCAAGCTCCATGTCTGTCCAAAATCCGGCATAACCGGTGCCAACCCAAGTGGCAAATACAGACACAAAGAAGGACATGCCCGTACAACACCTGGCCTGTGAACCGACTCGGCCATAACAACTAAGACGTTGTTGTGGGAAGAAAATTGCTAATTAAGCGCGATACGGGGCGTCTGATGGAGAGGAGACTAAGGGGTACAAATCAGGCCACTTTTTGTTCACGTGGATGGAGGTTGAGTTGGTTGGTATCTGCGATGCATGATGACTTGTGAATGCTAAGACGTTCTCTTGTTGAGAGACTGCAGTGCAGTTGATGTCTTTCTTTGTCATATGTTCAATGTCTGTCGTCCCCTGGTGTCTTTTCGCTCACACATGCAAACTCTGCAGAATGGCTTCAAAAATACAATGGTCAAGTAATCATTGCTCAAGGATGGTATCACGAAGCCTGACGATCTTTAGAGCTAAACAAGTAGATTCTGAGATATTTCACTATTCTCAAAAATCAAGTAGAAGCCATTTATGTTGCATGATGCCAAGCTAAACCTTGTAGAATTTGGCATTCAAGTCTAGAAGGAGACAACCTATTTGAATGACATCTCAATCACAGAGCGGAGAGAAATGCTTCACTAAACAAGAAATCGCACTGTACTCAAATGCTGGATGAAGTTCTCGGACTTCTTGCACTAAGAAACCTTTGTTTTCTCTCTGGACTCGACGTCTTGACAGCATACTGCGAACATCAACGACAATCAAAAAGCGAAAACACAAAACTAAATGCAAAGAACGAAAAACAGCGTCCCATACCCCTCCTATTGAGCCGCAGTACTACCTTCAGCCATGATTCAGAGGGTCCTCCACGATTTCTCCTGCTTCAACTTCACCGTGATTCTCACCACCAATGTCCTCGTCAGGGTGCTTAGCACGAACGTCTGCACTATTTTCATTTCCTTCAGGCACCTCAACTTGCTTCTTGGCCAATGGAGCTCTTTTGGATAAGCCAACGTCTTCTCTCGCCTTACTTGAACCACTCTGTCGAGACCGCTTCGAAGAATTGTTCTCGCTAAGTTCAGGGGAAGAGGAGGCTCGTTTAGCTCCATTTGAATTACTGGCAGGTGTTGGAGCTTGCTTGCTTACAGTCACCGGTAGCTCGGGAAGAACCGTCGAGGTTTGAGTTTGAAGGAGCCAAGGTATGTCCTTCATCATCCCAAGAACCGTGTTGCCAGGCCTAGCGTGAGTTTGCATGACGGGTCGAGCTTCTGATAGTACAGTTGCCGAGATTTCGGATGCTGCTGTCTGAGGTCTTGACGGGTTGTATTGATAACCAAGATTCTCGTAGCCATGCTGGAAATGACTGGGTCTAGATACCTGAAGTTGGCGATTTTTTCTCACATCATGGGTTTGCGGGCGCTCTCTCATGGCTGACGGATTGATCTCAGGCTGCCTGTCATTCTTAGATGGACCTGTGAGCCTGGTATCTGGTCTCTTCAACTTCCCCATCAATTCATCAGGAATAAATACGCCACAGTGGTCTCGTACTACAGTGGCTCTATCCTTATCAGCAAAGGAGATATTGTGATCCACCCTCAAGTGTTCCGCAAATTCTTCCACGGCGTTAGATCTTTCTACTGGGCGAAAGTTTGCGCAATGAGTGCAATTCAGCCGATAGTAACCCCGAACTACATTTTTTGATCCTGGCAAATATCTTACTATATCATCGTTCCGCTCATCATCAAGAGACGGCTGTAGCTCTGGGATGTCAATCGTAGCGGGAAGAGGGGATTGGTGCCCACATGTAGCGTGCAAGCCCGCGGGTGGGTTTTCAGATGGACTGGACTTCACGCTTGTTTGTGTATCAACTCGGTCGGATCGATTGTTGCTGACTAGGTCATCATCTTGAATGATGCTCTCATCGAGATGCGCATTTAATGCAGGTGAAGCATCATCGCGCTCGCCTTCTGAATTTTGTGCTTGGGAACCTGGCGATCCCGCTGGAGTCACCATAAGACAAGGACTTCCAGGTGGGCTATGTGATTCCACTGAATCAAATTAGCACACTCTCCATACACCTAGAAATATGCGACTAACCCTCGTTATCACTACTTGACAGTGCCATCGAGCCGAGTTGCTTTGCAGTTTTGCGTCTAAGCTGAGGATTTCGACCATACAGAGTAAGTGGACTTGCGTCTGGTGGGAAGACATATTCGTCATCAGGATGTTCATCGACTCCGTCATGTTCAACAAAGCCTGGATCCGAGCTGAGTTGTGAAGGTCGCCCAGAATTCGAATGTTTTGCGGCTGTCGTTGAGCTAGTGATAGGACCATTTTGTCGGCGAGGACGTTTTGTCTTGCCTTGCTGGTCTCTTTCCGTATCTATCGCAGGTACCTTCTCCTGCCTCTCTTCATCCTCACCGTCTTGATCCGACTCGTGACCTCGTTGCCCTCTCTCAGCTCCCCGTCTTCGCGACATCCTGCTGAGAATCCCAGCTTCAACCAAACTATCAATGATTGATCTTGAAGCATCCTGAACGCTTTTCTCGTGAAGGTCTTCATCCTGGTCGTTCTGGTTACGCACCAAGCCGATCACGTCAAGGATATTTTGCTCTCGCAATCGTGTTCTCTCTCGAGCCATTCGGCCGTGTTGGAGATATTCTTGAATGATTCGATTGACCTCGGCCGACTCCGAAGCCTTGGGAGTTCTTGAACCAGACATAGTGTGGACAGACTGAAGAAGCTCTAGTCTGTGGGAAAACATGGGCCGCGGTGATATAGCCAAGCAAATGTGCACGTTTGAAAGCAGGATGAGCGAGCAGTCCAGAAGGTCCCACGGGTTTCAAGATCCAGCAGAGTTATTACGAAGACAGAATAATTGGATGAGTTCCAGAAGCTATCGAGAAAGTAAGATCTTACCACTCGGCTGGTTAGGTATCCTTGCATCATGTTAAAGAGCGAACTTACTCCTCGCGCCTCCAGAATTCCACATTGATGTCACTAGCCCCTTCTTCTTCTTCTTGCATAAAGCCACTCTTCGCTTCTCTTGATGTGGTCTTCGCAGTCAAAGCAGTAAGGATACCGTTCAGGGATCTGCTATGCGTTTGTGGAAGCTCGATGGTCTGGAAGACTCCAGATCTCAAAGTAGACTGAACGAATAAAGGCAGACACAACATGAACCTTCAGGTTCATAACAGGAAGCAATAACTCGACTAGAAAAGCCACTTGGCTGACTGGTAAAGGAACAGCATGGCTTAAAAAGGCGTGCTACTTTGAAAGTAGAACAAACCACGCCACAAGGTAAATGTTCCTCCCAAGCCTGTATTTGACTCTCGTGCTTCTCATTCTATCTGACGTCTCCTCGAGTACAATACTCCAATCTACAGTAAGCCCCTAGCTCTAAGCTGCCCAGGGAACATCAATCGTCATCAAGCCACCCACCCGGGCGGTCATCACATCATCACCAAGCCCTTTCCTATCGAGCCTCTCGGATCAGCCTTCAAGGCAATCCTTCTTAACTCCCCAGTCATTCAAGAAATTCATAAACCATCGCATCGCCATCTAGCTCTTCACGCCCATTTCCCCAGTAGAGCCATAAGCCCAGCACCCACACACATGCAGAGGTAAGCAAAGAGCATCATCTTGATCGAACTCTTGCGCATCTCTGGATTGAACATGAACTCGTGGGCCATGAGCTCGACTAGCCCGGTGTATATTAGGATACCAGCGCTGATCGAATCGAAGACTCCTTGGATGATCAAGGTCTTGTTGCTTCCAGGCGTGAAACTTGTTCGGGCAGCGAGTCCAATGGCGATAGCGAGTGGTGTGGCAAGTCCATATGCGGTACCCAACGCCCATGGCATCCACTTCTTCTTTGATGGCCACTGAGCAGTAGCAAGTCGTGAGCCTAGACCCAGACCCTCGAATGTTTGGTGGAAAGTGAGGACGATGTACAGGACTGTGAATTCGGAACCTGCTACTGCCAGTGTGAGGCCAATGAATACTGAGTGGAAGATGACTCCGAATTCAAGGATGAAGATCGCCGTCATCTGAGCAGCGAAATGATCATCGTCGATATCGTGCTCTGCTTGATGACCAAGGTGGTTCTCGCCTCCTGGAGGGTACGTGAAATCATCCTCGCGTCCTGGGATTCTCGAGTTCACTCTTGAAGCGGGTGCTCCAGAGCCAGCAGGATTGTGAGTTGAGGTAGTAGGTCGAGAAGATGACGCAGTGCTTTCTTCATGATCATGGCTTCGTGTCGAGAGCTCCATATTCGCTGTCTTGTCTACAGAGTTCTCACTATTTTCGGCCAACTTTTCGGAGTCTCTGAGGAGATTCAGAGATGGGTCAGAAGCTTCAACACCACTATCCTGGTGACCAAAGATGTCGAATCGGGCGGCCATAAGTTCAATGAAGAACATGGTGAATACTGTCATGAGAGCAATTCCTTCGGCCCAGCTATAGTCTGTGATAGGTCCTGTGAGACATGGTGATTGTAACGCTTGGGTAGCGGGTGAGAGAAGCTATTTCCTTGTTAGTCTTGAAACTGATTCTTGCAGATAAGGCTTAGAAAGTTCGGCAACTAGCTAGACGCCATGGGAGGAAATCTTTGAGGGTACAAAGCTACTTACATGGATGAAAGCAGTTGCTATAATGACACCAGAACCAAAGTACTTTGTAATGAAGAAGGCTACCGGTGGTACATGCATGCGCTTCGTTCGAGCAGCGGCGATTGGTAGTAGAGCTCCTACATGACTTGTAAGTAAATGCCATTCTCAACTTCTTGTGGCAGATATTCAGCACGTACCAAGCATGGACCCGATTCCAATCACAAAGACCGAGGATACTCGAAGGCCCAGACGACCATCAAAACCGTTCCCATTGTCGCACTCGACAACAACTGTCGGTACTGCCGACATGATCAGATCGGTTCTGTCTACCCTCTCGTAGTGCTTTTGCTCTCTTCCCCTTATATCTACCAGGCACAATTACTTCTTTGACAAGCGTAGGATGTTCGCAGACGCTCCGCAATATGCTTATCAATCGACTCCTCGATAAGGGGACAAGATCGATCTCGAGGACGAAAGTTCTGCTGCAGATTCTTTGTGCAGATCCGGGGTTTGAACTGAGTAGTAGAGTTCAACAGGTTTAGAGGCACAGAGTTTCCGTCGGCAGACTTTTAGCAGGAGAAATGCCGTGAACTAGAAGGAACAGTCTTGATTAGTGGGAGACATGAGGAGAGTGAGAACCTGGATGGCTACCTGAGTGTCTGCTGAATCACAGGCTTCGAATCATATTTCTGCGCTGTGAATGTTTGTCTGGACGCGCCCAATTGGGTAGAGACAACGCGGCATGATAGATCGGTGGTGCGCATTAGGAAAGTTGAGAAAAAAGAATAGAGACAAAGGGCAGACTGCCAGAAACATAACTCGGCTTGTCTGCCAAAATACCTGGATGGGTAGCTAAGCCCAGAGTGAATCGCAAGGAAAAACCTGCAAAAAATTCATGATGCATTACCCGGCAAATATCTTATTACTCATTCGATGCTGCTTCTGATGCGTAATTGAAGAATATGCCAGTCACATCTTCTCCATCTCTTTTGTTTGATAGCAGCATCTTGCAAATACCATTCATCGTACATCGCCGGTTCATCGTCGGGAAGATGGTGGCTTGCTGCTTCGGGTTTAGCGCCAGGGTCCATTCTGAAAACAGAGTGATCCCGTCATGAGGTGTATCATGGGCTTGCGCCTTGTCTCACAACTGAAATCTCTTGCTCGGATGAGGAAAGAGAACAACAACAGGAGACTGAAAAGGAGCTGAAGAAAGAATGCGATGCCGTCGAAGTATTATTGGACCACTTGCGTTGACACTCACTAGTGACCGCGGGCGTTCCGTGCGGGATAACTATCACGTGGAACCGTTCTCGAGACTTCGAGTACGGGATTTTTTTTTAGAGAAAGTGGATTGGTTTGTTTTCTTTTCCGCTCGTTGACTTTGTTCCTCGTTCGTCGATTTTGGCGAGGTTCGCTGCGGGATTTTTATCGTCCAAGTCACCACAGCTCCTCACTGACACACAGCATGAACCAGCACCGATTCACAAACCAGTTATTTGTACTTCGAAGCACCTATCGACACCGAGCACATGTCTAAGCAGCAATCTCTTTCCTTCCCGTCACACCCTCTCAATCTCGGAACATCCGCTCAAGGATCATCTCTGCCTGTCCTCGGCCTTCGCCATATCAAACCCTAAACACGAAGATCAAGAGGCTCAACACGCGTCCAACTTGGCAGCGCTGCATATGCAAGCCCAAGCCTTTCCGCTCACCCCAAGCCCATCCCTCACTAGCGGGCGCCCGCTGGCTGTCAGATGTACAGTACTGGAGAAGATGCGTGCGGGTGAGGTGAGATGGTGCTTTAGTCTCTCGCTCGCTCTCTCTCGCACCGAGGACCGCATTAGTCCCATCTCTTGTACAGCACCGTAGGTATATAATCTTGATGGAAAGAAAATATGGAAGGCATGCGAGTTGCATGTGCTAATGCATGCAGAAGCGAAAGTGTACTCAGCATGCTGTACATAGGTATATGATGCACTTGGTTATTGGCCTGAGATAATGCATGTGGAATATGCATATTGTGTCCCGTTACGATGATCTACTGTTGTGGTGTGTTGAGATTTGTGCTCAGCCTTGTCTTGCTTCGTTTAGCATGTGAAATTTCGACTGCGATTTTTGTGTTTCATGAGGAGATGGGATGAGATTTGCTCGTGGAGATGGGAGATACAGTCATATCGGAACTGCTTCATCGGCTTCACCGGTCAAGCTCACACCGATTCTATGCGATGAGATTTCGATACTGATGTCGATGTAGATACAGTCATGCCAGACTCTTTTTCTTCAGTTGTATTGGTCGACTTGGGTGGTTCTATGTCCGCGATTGGAGATGAGATGAGATTGAGTTAGATGCAGATACAGGCATACCAAGACTGATCTACAGTGCCATCATTGTGTCACGCATCGAACACAGACAGTGATGGTAATAGAGTATCATTACTATGAACTTTGACTATCGTAACTCGTGCAAATTGAGTATCTCCGAAACGCTCATTCTAGCGAGAGAACATCTACCAAACTCCCAAACGCAATGAAACATGTTGAGGATCAACAACTGAGTATAGCTTCCTTCTCCCCAGCGGAGGTATCTTCTTCACTCTCTCCCTCCAAATCAAAAATGTGATCCCAAGCATCAATGACCATTCGCAATCTCTCATCACTCGCGGGCGTCAAACCAAACTCGAACTTTTCCGGCTTCGCAATTAATAGGCTTGTATACTTAGCCAATGGAACCTCGATCTCCCTTCCCAGATCATCCTTCTTCTTCCCAATATCAAACGCCCAAGCCATGCCACCCATGGTCAAAAACAGTTCTTGCTCAACGATGTCCACACCCTGACAAGTCCTCCGGCCGAAACCGAATTGCGAGAAGCCCTTCAAGCTCGGATACTGTGTCAGAGGCTCGCGATAGGTAGGAAAGCTTGGAGAAATCCAGCGGTCGGGACGGAACGAATCAGGGTCGGGATATGTCTTTGGGTCGCGTGAGATACCCCTGTATGCGAAGCACACACAGCGTCAGCCAACATTTTCTTTGTCCCCCACGCACGCCACAACAAAAAGGAATATGCCGATCACTTACCACTCCAGCGCATGTATCGTGGCACCCGCAGGTATAAAGTAGCCATTATACACGTCGTCTTGCTCCAAGCAGTGAGGGATACCTAAGGCAGAAAAAGAGGCGTCAATATTCGGCTCCACATTAATGCTGCACGTCTCGGGACGATCACTCTTAGTTGCGACGGCCGACTCACCAGTAGGTACAGGCGGTCTCCACCTAACGACCTCTTTGACCACCGCCCTGAGCAATGGCATCTTCTCTCGATCTTCCCATTCAGGACAGCGTTCCCCACAGACGTCGCGCATTTCCTCTCTCATCTTCGCTTGCCATTCCGGATAGTGACACATAGCCAGGATGTAACTCTGAATCGGGCTACCGATCGTCAAAGCGCCCGCGATCGCCATCATCCCAACCACGTATTGGCCTTCTTCTTCTCGGATCCCTACCTTCTCTCTGCCCTCGAGGAACATCTTCATCAGACTGGGAACGGTGGTTCCCCCTGCCACCGCATCTTTGACTGTGTTCAGCGCGTATCGGAAGAAGGTCGCTTCTCGTTCATGTCGGGCGTTTTCGATCTTCTTCCAGGGACTGAGCCAGGATGGAACATGAGCAAGTGGAGACACGACATTGGGTACTGCTCCAGATGGACTGATAGTTTGGAGAAGTCCGAATGTGCCTCTTCTCAGCTCTTGAGCATGGCTTGCTGAACCCCAGGAAAGACGTGATATCGTGCGACTGGTGTACTCTTCCACATGCAGTTGATAATTTGAGGGATCATCAAGCATGTTGTATAAGAATCGCTTGCACTCAATGGTCGGATAGTCGTAGTTATCGTCGCCAGCCGCCTTGGTCATGATCTGATGAGCAAATTTGCGTTGTCGTTTCCATGTATCTGTCCAAGTATGAGTATGAAACATGAATCTGTGTAAGGCTGAACGTACCAGTGCGGCCCAGAAGAGCAAGGTAGTTACCAGAAGTTCGATTGTCAGGTAAGTTGGGAATAACGGGTCGATCTGAATATATCATTCCGCGCTTGGAGAGCAAATCGTTGGCGATTCCTTCATCTGATATCCAAACATGAACAGATCCAAAGATCTCCATCTGGTATATGGGTCCATATGTCTGATTCCACTCCCAGAACTTGAGCCATGTTGCAACACTTGGGACGTCATGGACACGACCAACAAATGGGAGCCCTGAATTTGGCTATGGTTAGTTTGGCGTTCTAGAACAAAGAGGAAAGCAAGCACTTGCCCTTCGGTCCTGGCAATGGGCGGGACCCTTCAGGGAGCTTTTTGGACTTCTGAGTTTTGAGGATATAATATACTAGTGTAGAAAGCACGCAGGCAAAAACATAAAAAGTGAGCGAGATCATGGTGAACGAATGAATGTATAGGTATATTTCGCACTGTCCCTAGCCACCAGGCTCAAAGAAATTTATCCTAACCCTTCCCTTGACTTTATATATGAAAGACGATCGACAGAGGCCGGACATGACTTGGAACCATGGCCTCATGAAAGGGACTTCTTGTGATGCAAAGCACCTGTTCACCAGTGTACTGCACGCCATAATCTGGATTCAACATTGGGGATGTCCGTAGCTTCAAACCATCATCGTTCCGCATGGATAATAAACAAGGGTGGGCTAAGAGAGCGTCTTTTCCTGATGCGTGTCAAGCACGGAATGGTGTCTGCCCAGTGCCATGAAGACAACGCTTGTTGACGGCTGAGCCACGCTAGGATGCTCTGCATGCATGCAGACGCCAGAATGCTCAAGAGTGCTCAAACTCCCGCGTTGCTGGGACATACCGTATGAACGGACCGTATAATCCGAGCGACAGCAATAATTTGAGCCAGCTGTATCTTTTGAAACCAAGAGAACGGAAATAGACATTAGAGAAGCACGTTCAACCAGCTTTACTCGGTATAGGTCCCCAATACGGCAACAACGGCACGGCTGATAATCTGATTGTCTTAAAAATTGGAGGTCAGGACCCAATAGCGCTTGAGGGAATTGATTGAAATCTTATCTCATAAGGAGATGCAGTATGGGGAAGAGCCTGGCATCAGAACAAGCTGGAACACGACCATGGGTTGCATCGTGGGATGTTTAGCCTGTACCCTGTCGTAAGCTCTGGTTGATATGATGCAACAAATTTTGGATAGTGTTGTTGATCTGTCGGAACTCGGGACCAGAGCAAGAGAGCAGGCAATGGGAGAGGCGTCGCCAAAATCTCCGGCTCGCCTAGTGCAGATCAGAATGCTCTGCCGAGAGAACTAAAATTCCATAATGTCAGAACTAAACTCAGGACTGCGACCGAGCGAAGACGCTTCACCGTCTGTGCAATATTGGTGGAATCGAGTGATAAAACAGAGTCTGCAGCCACTTATCCGACAAAACTTCCCACTGCGAGCGGCACCAGCACATGCACACAATCCGTTCAGAAATTGTGTCTAGACACCAGCGTCAATAAACTCTACATGAATTCCCCAATCACGTCCCAGCAAAGTGGGGTCCCTGGCTTTGCAGAAACCTACACCCGGGTCAGCCACGAGACTGCAGCAGCAATGCTTCCCTGCCGTTCCAAAGAAATTATTCCCGTGCTGCCCATGAGCGCTGTGTGCATGGTCTCGGAGTGTCGATGCGCTTGGAGCATCGAGACGCCTTCCGGCACTCTTGGAGTGACACAATTCACCTCCGATACATATTCAGCAGCTTTTCCTTTTTTTCCCTCTTACTATGTGCATTTCACATTCATCAAAGGAGAAGCCTCCTCGTGATGGCCGTGCGCTTGCATCTCGCTCCGCAGAAGCCAAGACGAGCTTGCAAGGATCGAAGGACAAAGGCTCCGATCGCATGGCGGCTGAGAACTCTATTTTTAGCGGCTTGACCCCAAGGTACTGTACCAGCAAATGAGGCCCTGATCCTACTCGACTCCAGGATTCGAATGACAATGGATGAGCAGATTTTCAATAAAGATTGCTTTATTCGATACTCATAGTCTGTTTTTTTGGTGAAAACGTGGCGTTCATGCCCAGGTCTCACAGCTGGGTCCAACCCTGAAAAGGTGTGTCTTTTCATCCGAATTCTCAACGGTCAGGGGTATTCGCCTATCCAGCGATGCTATTGGCGAGCCGAGCGAAGCTGTATAGCACTTCCATATGAGCATCTAGGTCTGTGAGCATGTGGAAGCAGATAACCCGCGGGGGTTTGGGAAATTTCCGACCTATGTTTACAGTCGGAGAATAAGCCACGCGTTGTGAAGCGATCCAGACGAGGAGGATGAAAGCTGGTTCTGGTCTTGTGGTCTTTGGATAGCGTCTTGATAGGGCGTAATGTGTCCCCAGTTGATCATAGCCGGCCAGGCTGAATACTGTCGAAAGTACGGGCATCAAATATGACGACGCAGACTGGAGAGACATCCGTAGGCTGGGAGCTGTCCTTTGGTATTGCCAATCTATATCGCTGTCGAAGCCTGCGCAGCTCGGTCTCGCCTCCTCGAGAGAATGTTGGTAGGAATTCCAATATTTCGGTTATAGGGTTATGACGAGTACTGCAGCTCCAGTCCGATTGCTCTGAAAGGCTGGTCCTTTCGCTTCATGTCGATTGATGACCCCAATGTGAAAAGCAATTCTTTGATCCTGCCTTCCCATAAAAGTCCAATCTTCCAATTCTGGTCCACCCTTGCCTTCAATACACCAGCAACAATCTCTGGCTCTGGGACAGGATTTTTCTCTTCCGGATCGAGTCTCCATTCTAGTTTGGCAGCCATGCTTCTTTCTTTCTTCTTTGGGACCCTGGCCTTCATTCTCCATAATTCACACCCAAGCATAACATCGCTCTCATAACTGTACACATTGAAATCGAACTTTGAGCACAGCGCTAAATTCTTCCCGGCTCTGACTGCATATGTTGTGCTCAGATTACCCATGAGCGGATTTAGGGTAAGTGTTGCTGTTAGAGGTACCCCTTTATGTGCAGGTAAGGTCGCGAATCGGCCACCAAAACTGACGCCACCTGACTTGTTCAACGAACCATAGTACATCTCGGCTCCTGCACTAAAGCGCCCATAGAATTTGTCTTCTGTTCTCGGCGCCTCCGTGACCTCTTTTCTTGGGTCGGGTCCGAAATTGTACAAACCCCGAACTCCGATGAGGCCACCATCCGTAGAGTATAGAGTCTCGGCACTGTATTTTCCTACATCGTATTGATGCAAAGCAAGAATCGTGCCACCGTTTCGTAACCGGCTATCACTTACGGCCGATAGTTTCAGTTGCTGTGTAGGGCTCATCCGGCGAAGGTATAGCGCCTCCAGCGTACTTTGAGGCAAATACAGTCGTCCATAGAGGAGGGTATCGCGTTTATCGACTCGTCTTCCACCTTGCCACTGCTCCCACATCCATGATTCGTCCGGTTTTCGAAGCTCCTGGATCTGTCTATACCCTCGTATAACTTTATGCAAGTCAATATCACCACTTTTCGAAGTGGTATGTAGTGGTAGAGAGGTGTAGAGGTAGGAGAGTGAGCCGTCAACAAGGCCGACGCTACCAATCGCGTATGAAGTCGCGAAGTTCGGTGATGATAGAGAGGAAACATTCAGACACAGTCCACGAGGAGTTTCGAACTCGAGTAGAGCTTGATAGAGCATTAGCAAGCTATAAGGCAGTGCAGATTGTCATAATACCTCTCGCGGTAGCTGTCAATTGAGAATAGGAGTTCTCGAAGTTCCAATGAGATGCATTGTAGAATGCATGCTGCACGTAGTCCATGAACTCCAGCATGGCTAGGTATTTGAGCAACACTCAAGACGTTGCTTCAGGTAACAAGGCCGCTGCACGTTCGAGTCGTCCTTTCAAAGAGCTTCGAGACGGTCGTCTCGAGCTTCAAGAAGAAACATGACCGAGGGCGGCCGCTAGCAGACCCACTAAAGTCTTATCGCCGATAAGCAAAAAATAAAACTTCGAGACGACAAAAGCGCATGCGAAAATCCCCCACATCCACCAACCTCCAACATCACAATGCCTAAATCAAAGCGCGCAAAAGTCGTTCACCTCACGAAGGTCGACAAGAAAGGCAAGGAGTTGACTCTGAAGCTCTTCGCCAATGTTCGAGAATGTCTCGATCAGTACCAATACTGCTTCGTCTTCTCAGTCGAGAACATGCGAAATACGTACTTGAAAGATGTGCGCGCTGAGTTCAGTGATAGCAGGTTTGAATGCCGATCCATTACACTAGTATATATATTGATTGAGCAATAGATTATTCTTTGGCAAGACAAAAGTAATGGCAAAAGCCCTAGGAAGCTCCCCCGAGGACGAATACCAACCAAACACACACCAGCTTGCCAAATTCCTCGTTGGCAATGTAGGACTCATCTGTACCAACCGAGAGCCGAGCGCGATCAAGGAGTACTTTGATACTCTGGCGAAGACCGACTTTGCACGCGCGGGCACACCTGCTGCGAGAGAGTTCACAGTTCCTGCGGGCGTGGTGTATTCCTTAGGTGGAGAAATTGATGCCGAGCAGGATGTGCCAATGGCTCATAGTTTGGAAGTCGAGTTGAGGAAACTCAACATGCCGACTACGTTGAAGAAGGGAAAGATTACATTGGACAACCCTTACACCGTTTGCAAGGAGGGAGATGTACTGGACAGTAGGCAGACAAGGTTGCTGAAGCTATTTGGTGTTGCAACAGCTGAGTTCACCGTGCAACTCAGGGCGTATGTAACTCTGCTGAAAGAAGTGAAGTTCGACTAACACTAAGTAGATACTGGAGCGCGGCAACGAACGAGGTCACTGATTAGAGGAGGCAATGGAGGAGTAAAAGCATTAAGTGCTCATGTCCTGTTTTCTATCGTATCTTACATTCAAGGGGATCATGGCCGGCGTTAAAGCGGGACTACCTTTTCTTATAGGAAAATCAAAGAGCAATTTTACTGCAGGGCTACCTCGTCTTACCACCCATTTTTCTCCTCCTGAATTCTGATAATACAAGCAAGAATCCTTTGGGCACTGAAGTCAGATGGTCAGACGGCACAATGCCTTACCTCTGACTGTACCTCCAAAATCCAGCGCCAGTATTATGCTCACCCTGTCGAGATATCCGAGTCGAAGATGCAAATCCAGGTCCCAATGCAAAAATAGAGCAAAGCCAGAGTACCGAAAGAGGCGAGTCGCATTACCATGGACAAATGGGGGAAGGTTTTGAAGCCAGTGAGAACAGAAAGTAGGCCGATTGATGGGGTAAGTATGAGGCCATAAGGCAATACCACCTGGGTGAAAGTGCATCGAAACCGCTTACCCCTGGTGAAAAAGGGAAGAATGACTGAATACTCGAGAAACCCACCACAAGACAAACCGAATATGTCCTGCTGCTTTTAGTATCTCCTCAGTTTGCGAGGATCTTCTTCGTAGCTGTTGCCTTCGTAGCCTCTCTTTCGTGAGTCGTCTTCGCGTGGTCGACCACCATATCCTCCATCTCTGTCTCCTCTGTCTCTGTCGCGGAAGCCGCCGTCTCTAGGTCTTACCGGCTCCATGTTGCTGCCACTGCCACCTCGAGGAGCGTCGCGATCGCCGTAGCTTCTGTTGCCGCCACGATAACCGCCGTTCCTGTCTTCATATGAGCGACCGCCACCACGCGAGTCATACCCACCAGATGGCGCAGAGTAGCCAGGACCATTGCGATCTGGAGAGCCAGAGCCACTGTAACCTCCTCTGCCCCCACCAAACCCACCACCGCCTCGTCCACCGGGACCAGCTGGAGCGTTAGGGGGAGCACCATAGCCGTTTGATCCTCCATACCCACCACGATCTCCTCCGCCTCTGGAAAAGCCTCCGCCTCCTTGGTACCCAATACCGCCTCTTCCACCACCATACCCACCACGATCTTGGAAGCCACCTCTGAAGCCCCCACGTCCTCTTCCTCCATCGAATCCTCCTCGGAAGCCGCCTCTGAACCCGCCTGGTCCACCTGGAGCACTGCCAAATCCACCAGGGCCGACTGGTCGAGGGGGAATTGCCTTTGTGTATCCACGTCCTCCAAGTCCTCCACCAAATCGACGAGGTTTCCAGCCTTTGACTGTTCGACCACGCTCAACATCAACCTTGACTCTACGGTCTTTGATACGAATACCATCGCAGTTTTCTAGTGCAGCTATTCACGAAGCGCCAGCAAAGCGCGATTGTCAGTCATACTGCCCATACTTAATATACCTTGAGCCGGGCAGAGAAGAATAAGGAGAGAAGACGGGCAAGCTTGAGGGCCACGTCTTTACAAAACCACGCATTCAATCCAGAGTAAGGCTGCAGGGTAGGGGGTGGTGATCAAGTTTACCTCTCATATCTTTCTCTCTCTCATAAACCACAAAAGCATATCCACGATGCTTCTTTGCTTTCTTGTTCTTCTTTTCGGCCTGATGGGTATCCACAACAATACGAATCTGATACAATAATTAGCATGAGTTTTTTATGAATGGATTGTGACAATACATACTCGTTCAATAGAACCAAATCGGCCGAATTCGCTCTCGAGATCTTGCTCCGTGGCATCGTAACTCAATCGTGCGACAATGAGTGTCTTGAACGCATCACCACGAATATTAGGATCATCTTGAGGTTTGTCTATAGAAAAAACTGTCAGCATATCTTGCTCCAAATGAGACACGTGTGTCCAGATCTCGGACAGGGAAGATAAAAGGTATTCGGGACATATGGGGGTGCCCTCACAGGACATAGGCCCTTCCTTCAGGAGATTCTCCTGCCTCTCCTTCTTCTCGAGCTTCTTGCGATCATGCTTCTGTAGCCAGGATTCGGTAGGTTCGTATTCATCAGTTTCGACGTATTCCTTGAGCGATGGCATAAATTGTGCAAGGCCAGTGATCTCGCGAGTCTTGCGCTCTCCTGAAGGATGATCGGAAGGTGGTAGGAAACGGAGGGGTGGCCTCGGCGCAAATAATGCGAGGAGATTTGGGGGGAGCTTGTCAGTCATGTTTGCGACTTTGTTGAATTGATGACAAGGACCGAAGGGACAGCTCACAGAGCTGCTGTTGATGGAGATGAAGGTAGGGAGCCTGAAGTTTTGTCGCGTCGCAAAAGCAAGCGTGCCTGATATGGAGCGGAGCTAAGCCTTGCACGTGATAGCAAATAATTTGACTTCCCAGTTGCCAGTTGATCAACGAGCAAGACAGAGCGACAAGCTTAAGCTCACCTCACTCACAATGGTTGTCCAAGGGTTACGGAAGGTGACTGTTGGTCAAGTATGTCTCATTTGAATGCGCAGTATACACAAAAGGTTAACATAGGTATAGAATGGTGTGGGCTCATTCATATTACAATGCAAACGACTCGACTTCCATTACTGCGACTGGATGGGCTCTTCAAAGGGCATGAAGTATGTCAGCAAGAAGCATCTCAATATATTGCCTGCTAACCCAATGCCCAGCTCCTTCATCGCCAATTCTCTCCAAAAATTCGCCGCTGCACATCCTCAGATCGAAATCAACGTATCACCACGACCTCGAAAACACCCAGTAATAATCGGTCACTACATCAATGGCCGCGAGAAAGCCGTCTGTGTGCGAAATCTGCAGAAAGAACAAATCCTAAAGAAGGCTGAGCTTCTGCGGGATGCTAGTGGGGAGAAGCTGAAGAAGGTTACAAAGCCAGTTACTAGTATCAAGGAGTCGGTCCGTGGCGTATGGAGTCCTTATCACGGAGGACCACTCACTGTATAAACCTGGTTCGGAGAATTGTATCATATGGATATGCATGGCGGCTGGGCGTTTGGAATATCAAGAGCGGCATGGGACTTCGAGCTCTATGTTTTGTGGCTATACTAGGCTTACCAGAGTTGAGTAGCTCGAAGTTGTAAGAATGAAATTTCTCGTTACTGTGTATATCAACTACATTACCTGGGATGGCAGATTTTCAATTTTGATTTTCGATGCTCCTTTATTCGCATTTGCCGCTCCTGGGACATTTTCACATCCTCAGTCATTAATCAAGCAAATCAACATACAGTGTTCAAAAGCACTGACACCCTCTCAGTACTTCATTCAACTTTTTACACAGAAAATATCTGTCCAAGTAAAACAATATACAACATCCAAAAGTATTGATGCCCTTTCAGTACTTATTCAGCTTTCCATGTACATAATATTATCCACGCAAAGCAACATCCAGTCTCGAAAATCTTTGACTCCTTTTCAGTCCTCTATCCAGTGAAAAGTACTGTGCTAAAAAATACTCAGTGTTAACATTCACTTTTCTCACTCACTGGTTTCAATCCCCTCCACCACACAAAAACAGTCAGTCACAAGCAAGGCCTCCATCCTTGGTCCAAAACGGCGCTAGTAACTATAAAACGGCCTGATTTTCCCACTACAATCTCTATCCAAGCGCATATCATCGTCCTGTCTCTCGTATCTGGTTCCGGCTCCCAGGGAGTACTGGTACCGGGTGCTTTTGACATGCTGCTATCCTGTCAGAATAGGAGGGGAAGATTTTGTTAGTTTGTGTGTAATAAGCATAATGGAATGTGTTGTCAACTATATAAACATCAACTCTAGTCCTCTTTGGCCTACCTCATGGTCCGTCAAGCACGGTTTGGGACACTACTGTTGTTCGATGGCGCAGTGAATCCTTGGATCCGGGCTTCCTAGGTATTTTTCGAATTCTTCGAATTCTTTGGATGAAGTAAATTATCGTTTCAGACCTCTGTATTTATAGACCTTCAGATTCTCAGCTCCTCAATTCACCGCCTCAGCCTTACACACTGTCCTTTATTCACCTGTACTTGTCGAAGTCGTATTTCTAGCCTAGACATTCACAGCTATCAAAAGTCTTCAGAATGCGTCCCGACTTGTCAGAACGAGAAGTCACCAAACTATTTCAAAGATTGATAACCCCCGATTCACCCTCAAGAGGACAATCACTCAGACCCCACAAAGTCGCAAGACAACCAAAAACATTTTCGTGGATTTAATACTTTCATTCACCAAATATTGCTTATCTGTCCATCTACCTATCTCTATCCCTACTCAAAGTCTCATCTCACATAAAGAAACGTCAAACACCAAACACCCCAAACCAATAACCCACCAAACCCCCACCCTTCTCTCCCTCTCCCTCTCCCCATCCCCTCACTCTTGACACCATGAGTCGGAACCGGCACAATATTCGCAGCCTCCGCATAAGTAGTCTCTCCTCCGCCCCAAGCCTCAGCTGTTTGACCTGCACCTTCGTCCTGCCAGCTCGTAAGAGCAGGAACATGTGGTAACGTACAAGTCGTTGTAATAATGAAGGTCTCTACAATAGTTACCATTTCACCATCACCACTTGCTTCGATCCCCATAGTCGCTTCCGCCAAACTACCGGATGCAGAGGCGTAATGCTGAAGCGTACACCTTAGGGTTGAGTAGAACGTCTCGGTGATGGTTACGAAGTTACTGGTTCCCTGCTGGGTTGTTGAGGGAAGGTTTATCTTGTTTGTGATGCTGTCGTATACCATCGAAGCAGCCATTTGGATGTCTGTGAGAGTCGCGAACTTCTCGAGATCTGTTTGGAGAAGTGGAGATGTGATGGCTCTAGTGTGGGGAGCAGTGTTTGTGTATGTGATGCCTGAGTTAAGCATGCCTGCAAGATTTCCATTTTGGGTGAGGAAGTCTTGAGCAATTGTGCCTGGCACATCCTGGGTTGTCGCTACCGTTGAGAAGACGACATTTTCTGGGCCAGAGATCTGAGGATGTATTGTTGTTTCAGGCACGGAATTGGGGATGCTGATTGCTGGTGTTGGAGAAGGAACATTTTCATTTTGGAGGCTTTAGGTAGTCAGCGAAATGGTAAAAGAGTTTGGAGAAGACTGAGAAGGAGAGATGAAGACTGTTGTATAGCTTGCTATGAGCAATAGCCGAGAACTCTTCAAGATCTATTCGACGAACAATTGTAAAATATGAGGGGAAACACATCACTTACATTGAACTCAAACCCTCTTGAGTAGCACCCCCACCCATCAGACCAGGTAGCATCGAAGTAAACGGCAACACCCCAACAACACCACTAGTCACTCCTCCTACTCCTCCTCCCTCACCACCAACCGTCGTCATGGACACCACACTGGTGCCTCCCCCACAGCTGGTAACATTCACCAAGTTCGTATTCAATGTAACCGCTCCCCCCAACGCAAACAGCCCACCCTCACAACTCGCTCCCGTGACCATCGTAATCGACGCTTCCGCAAGAACAGTGCCCACGAACTGCGTTGCCGCACCCAACGTCGCCGAACTTCCCACTTGCCAATAAACATTACAGGCTTGTGCCGTACCTTCCAACAACACTGACGAGCCAGCCGCGGTCGTTAATGCTGTTCCGATCTTGAAATACCAGGACGTGTTTGAATTCGAAGTACCTGACAGAGTTAAGATACCAGTAAGCTGTGCAGAGCTGGTGAAGGAATAAGTTCCTGGTTCTAGAAGTTGGCCGCCGAGATCTTGGTTTGTGAGGTCAACGCCGGTGTATGAGTTCATGGTATTGTATGCTGCTGTGGCATCGTTGAGAGGAGTTGTTGCTTGGGTGTATATGTATGTGTTTCCGTTGACGATACCGGGTGGAAAGCCGGTTATGGATGTTCCACCTGTTCCTATATTGCCATTGATGGTCGAGGGACCAGTGTTTGTTATAGTTGATAAGCTGAGAACGGCGAACGAAGATGCGGATCCTAGGTTGATCTGTTGGAAGAATCAGTACAAGGGTTATTTTATGAAAGATGGGTACTAGACCCCAACTGAGATAGGAACTATGAAGCACAGCGAGTACAGGAAGAGTGATATTTTCATTCTCATGAGCTAGTCAGGTTTAAGTGAGCAATGTAAGAGAGGGTGTCGATACAGAATAACAAAGAATAACGGTAGAAAGAGAAAGAGAACGATCAAATATTTGAAAAACAGGGAAACCCCTTCAAGATTATAGGAGCTTCTGATGCAAATTACAAATTTGCAAGTCTCAGGAAGGGCGTTTTCCCAATGTAGATCCAACGGCTTGGAGGAATGTTATAACTTTGGCCAAAGAGAAAGACGAGGAATGCGGGATGAGCTCATTCATTAACTTGAATACCACTCTATACAGAAGTAATGTGCTGCGTGAATGAGAAGTGTTTACAAGATTTTGCTTTCGGAGGAAGTCTTTGATCCGGTCGGAAATTGCAGCTAGAACCTGGATAGCCTCGATTATAAAGATCAGGCCCGATATAATCAGTCTACCATGTCTAGCTGTGAAGATTCAAATACTAAAGAGGGGATAACATACCGTGCGCACGGAGTACATGTAAGATTTGTTTTGAGATTTCAACCAAACGATCTTAGAAGCTCACCCACCTGAAAATAAGTAAAGCTTTGCGTGAATCAAAACCACTCATCACAACCCAAAATCTAAGAAGTGAATCAACGTCCTTAGAAGCTCCACAACTCAAGGAAAAGTGAATCAAAAAGCCCCTACCGCAACTGAACCAGCAAAGTTGTCTATAAATCGCCGCCCTCTCTGCGCTTGACTGCCAAAGATCCCCGATGCAAAGAAGGATGTCGTCCAAGTTGGCAGCGGTACGAATAGACCATCTGCTCTGCATACTGCGATTGACGCCGTTCTGTTTTCGTACCAACTACAAACAATTATTTCTTAGCGACGACAAAAAGGAAGACGACAACGAATCAGGATGTTGTCAGTAGACCGGCCTACTACCTTTGAGTTAGGCAGGCTTCAACCTTGTACGAGAGGTCTATTCATTGTGGGTCCATCACGAGCCCCTTTTACAGCTCTGTGAAGGTGAAAGTGACTCTTTTCTAGAGTTGGTTGGTAGTTGATCTTTCTCTTCGAGCAGAACTCGCACTTCATACATATGTGGGCAGAAAGACTGTCCTTGCGTCAAGAATTCCTCATGTATTAAAGTGCATATGTAAAATCAATCATTGAGAAAGTTTGTCCTGTTCAGAACCGTGTTTCATAGCTTTTATCATTATCTTGAAATCGACATTCTGCTGGTGATAGTATATGATTTATGCATTAAAAAGGCGTGACTGTGCTAATTTGTTTCCTAATTTCAAACAATTCGACCAACAAAAATTGCAATTCCAATCCCCAACATTTCAGGTGAATATAATTAGTCAAACCTATTCGAGGACTTGAAAGTCAGAATTACAACCACTAGCAATGTTCCTTGGGATAACACGAGTTGTAGTCAAGGTATTGTCTATTCAATGCCCAGACACTCATATAGCAGAAATGGATCACTTCAATGCTAAGTTTCGTTCACAGGTTTCAGTATGAGAGGGATGATTGACATCAATTCAACTCTTTGTTGTTCCATACGAATTCCCTTGGACAGGACAGAGCAAAGCACGTGTTCGCGCGTGGCAAAAAGCGCTGACTTTGACACGCTGGTTCATGCAATGCACATGCAATATCACCATGCATCATCTGGAATCCAGTATAAGATCAGCAACCCATCCTGGATCAAGACGAACTCGGTCGATCATTTAGAACGAACAACACATTCTTTCTGAAACATGTGCCCCTCATCTGACAATTCCCGTGAGTGTATGCGGAATATCCTGACATTTAATGGGGCTGACTGAAAGATATGTTCCAGAACAACCAAGCTTATGTGATTGGTTCTGTGCCTGGTGGTTGCCACATGAATCCAACTACCTGGTTGCCAGCAGCCTCACTTTTTAGAAGACGTCCTGGAATAGAAAAAGAAAATCATGGGGACATTGTCCCTTCCTCTGGCTAAAACAAATGGGACAATTTGGAAGAGAAGTGTCCGATAGTAAGAAGAGCTTGCTGCAGTACAGCTTGGACCAAAGCGCTCTCCGCCATAGATAGAGCATTGACAGAGCCTCAAGATGAGTAGCGACGACATATAATTGCCTCAGCAAACATGCGGCTCTATAAGTAACAAAAAGAAATAAGACTTCTGCAAAGGTGGGTAGATCTCTGCACATCAACGTTTATGTTGCACGTCGCAAGCAGCGCATTGATGCCCAAAGTACCAAAACACCACCAAGTCTGCTCATTGGGCTGCACAACAAAACCGCGTTCGCGGATACTCGGTGATAGTGACGCCCTGATTGTCTTGCGCACAACATATAGAGTACACCTAAAATTCAGGACGATCGACTCGGTGGCTGCGAGTCCACGCACTCGTGATTCCGTCTTAATCCCAGCGCACAACATAGAATTCCTGTCCGGATGTAACCTTCACTCGAAAGATTGGCAACACAGAGTAGGTAGCAATCATCTCGAGTGCTGCCTTCCCGCATCGTCGCATCATCTTGACAACCCCGCAACCCTTATTGGCGAATGCCTATTATCGGGACGATCCTTTCGCTGTGTGACCAAGTGCAAGCCTTATTTTCCGTTGGATCGGAGAAATTGATACGGCCCTGAAAAGAGAAGGTTCCGGATATCAACTATCAGTTCAAAGTCATGGAGAGATCGAGCCAGTAAGGGTAATGTGGAAGTTTAGTCGGGACGAAAGATGGTCAGCTGGCTCCAGCGGAACGGTGATTGGTTTCCCAGGGTGTTGGTGTCCTCGAGTCCGGGAGGGGAGCGTTGCGAACCGTCTTTCAATAATCTGGAGTGGTGTGGAGGGAGACACGACCCCGCAAAGCATTGCCCTTATGAAGCTTGTTTGTGGTTAGACTTTGGAAAGTTTATCCAACTCTAATTCCTAAGATTAACGCTGACCGAGACTTCCAAGAATTTCGCCCGTCTGCTGTACGTGATTCCTGTAGGAGATTCCAAGGATCGAAGTCAATCGCAGTCATGCATTGTGGCTGCAGCATTTGCATTCCAGGTAGGGCGAACAGGGCGTAAGTGATTGCTCGTGGTGGAAAGAACACCTTTTCTGGCATCACGCCACGATTATTGCAATACCGAATAGCATGAACTCCAACGCAAGAGCCCGCCGTCAATGCACACAATCAGAAACAATGTCCTCAGTGCACGAAATGCCGACTGTATCCAGGAAGTCAATCCATGTAGATCTCACCGATATCCAGCAGAAGGAAATATCAACAGTAAGTGATACACAAGGTGGGCGTGGAGTCGGTCAATGCAAGCACGGGCAAAGCTGCAAGCCATCGACACACGACGTCACCGAATACTGGTCCTCGTCCGTTCGAATTATGGATGATAAGAGCAACAAAACTCAATTCTTATCGAATGTGACCGAATATGATGCTGGCGCGAGTTTCATGATTGCGAGTCCATGCTGGCAAAAGCACGCATTCATCTGGATGATATTGGGAGGCGCGGACACGGTCTTATTTTGTCTTGATTCGATTCGTAGGACTTTGGACAGAGGTGTGGTACCCGACCTTGGATGTTCAAACTTCGTCGGTGAGCAAATGTAGCCTACTTACGCAAAGCTGGGCGAGGTCCGCATATCCCGCAAGCATCTCTCTGCCACCCTTTCCGCACCTTCTTTTTGTGGAGATTCGGAACGGGCCCCGATGAACGGTTGAAGGATTTTGTTTGTTGACTTTGATCGTCCAAAATAAAATAATGAAGAGAAGAATGGAATTAAGTGCTTGGGCTTGCTTGAAATGTGGATCCCACGAGGCTAGCCTCCACTGTCACCTGACTCGTTGCTTAGGTACCTAGAGACCTGCAGATTGCAGACCACAAGCACAACGGCGGCTTGCAGTGCAGTCGCCCTTGTGCGAGAAATCTTTGACAACATCCACCAAACATCCGTTCTGCACATCAGAAGTTTCCACATCGCAAACCCCATCCGGGCACACGGCTGAACCGTTTCGCAGCATGTCCGCTCTCGTCGGATGGGAACCTTATTCCGTAACAAATATATGCCAAGCCGTTGCACGAGAGAGAACTCGAAGCCTGTGCGGGTAGCCAGAATGCAGGCTGCATGAAGCTGAAGAGTCAGTCACTCGAAACATCCACTTTTGCTCCTAGTGCTGATGGCCAGGCCAAGCTGCGATTGGCAATTGCTCATCAACCCCAAGACGGGCGCCAGAAGTCTGCCTCGCAAATTCGCCCCGTTACATACAGCCCAGGCCAGGGCAAGAAAGGGCAACGGAGGCTCAAGGTCTCCGATCCTCCTAATGGTTGCCTGGATGGAGGTGCATCGATATGCATCAAATCGTGAAATCCAGTCAGCCAGGCCTCGTGCATCCCCGGGCGTGAAGGGAGAGGCAGGGAGGGATGGGAAAACAAAGAAGGGAAGTAAGTTGTCTCTCCGTTTCCTGGCTGCGTGTATGTGTATGCGACGTTCATTATTCATCCTCATGTGTTTGTCGCAAAAATAGATAAGAGGAACGGAGGAATAGCCGGGGACATGTGTGAGTATGCGTGTCGATCGTACTCGGTGAGTCGGTTCATCAATATTGTTCCCTTCTGTCTGCAGCCAAGTGGTGGCATTTTGGTGGCCTCGCTGGCTTGCAGTGGTGCATGGCTCGATGTCGGTAAGGCCCAAGCCCCCAACAGCAGGCCCTGTGAGGGCCCCTAAACGAATCGTATTGCCCCGCTTTCTGACCCCTCACTCTGCCATTCATTCGTGAGCAACACCACTGCACCAGCCAGCAGCAGCACCCGCCAGCGCCCTGAAGAAGGAGCAAAGTGTGTTATGCAGACTGTCGCTCTCTCTGCATCTTAGCAAGCCACAGCTAGGGCCTTGAGAGTGTTCCATATATCTTTGCTTTGCGCACCCACACCTTTTTTCTTATTGCTCGCCTCGTTTTGTCTTGAGCAATCGGTGTCTGAGAGGAAAACCTTGCGGCTTAAAGAACTAGGCTGGACTTATAGTCGCCCGTCGCCTCTTCCTTCTTCCCTCTCCATCACGCCCGTCTTGGTCCCTTGTCGGAATATTTCACTCCTGCTTCCATTTACTAGGCGGACAGCAATCTATTTGCTCTCAATCAACAATCATCAAGCATCAATATCATCATGGCACACGTTGGAGGTCCCCCACCGCCTCCTCCCCCACCAAATTTCCGCCCCCCCGGACTCTTCCCTGGAGGTGGAGGTGGAGGTCAACGACCTCAACCACCACCAGGAGTTCGACCACCAGGAACGGGAGGTGGTCATGGTCCAGGACCACAATTGCCACCAAAGATCATTCAGCAATCCAGCCGAATTCGGGACATCACTCCGCAAAAGCTTCTGACAGAGGCCGATTGCCTGCAGAAGCTGACGACATATGCCGCATTCAGTGTACGGAAAGTGCCCGCACTATCACCCAAAGAAAGACCATCATGGGCCAGAGCCGAAGTGACAGAGGACCGCCTGGACCAGGCCGATATCAAGAAACAGATCAAGAAGCTGGGCGAAAAGGGAAAGACTGTGGCAGAGAAGAGAGCAGCTCTCGCTCAGTTCCAGCAAGGCCAGGTGACCGCTCTTCTCGATGACCTTGCTTCCAAGGAAACGGACAGGAACTTCGAATGGTCCCTCGTGCAGATGGACCGAATTGAGAAGGAGGTCCCTAGCATGATGAAGCCGGGCAAGAAAGCAATTGAGACTGTGGTGATGATACTGTATATCAAGCGAGCTCCGTTGCCAGGACTCAATGCAGTGATGATGTTCCAAAACATCGAGAAGAGACGAATCGATTCGCTTCGACCTCCCCCTCCTCCACCACAACAACACCCGCCACCACCACCCCATGACTTCCGACCTCCGAGCGCACACGGGAACAAGATGGGTGGACAAGAGCCCTTGTTTGTTGATATAGGCAAGGGACATCAGAAATCGCCCAAGATGAGGCATAGAGACAAGAGGTTCCATGATCGGGACGACTCGAGTACAGGATCATCGGATTCGTTCGATACTCTAAGTGACAGCGAATCAGATGCCAGCAGCTCGCTGGATACGAGTATCAGCGCCAGATCTAACCATGGGAGGAGGAGGAATAGCAGAGCAGCAACACGCTCCCACAGCAGACACCGCCCAAAGTACTCTTTGGAGGACCGAAGACAGTCTCCTGAGCGAAGGCCAAGCGATGCATACGGTGTTCCTCACCACCCACAACAGCACCACCAACAGCAAGGTCCTCAGCGTCCATATGTCCCTGACGTCCCACGTGTTGTTCCGGCTTTCGACCCCATCACTTCCGCATATCAAGCTGGGAAAGAGGATGCTAGGGCCGAGTTAGGCGATAGAATCCAGTCTCCTGTCGCCCCTCAACCCGTTATCATCGAGCGTATAATCGAGAGACCACCAATTGAGCGAGTCATCGAGCAACCTCGCATTGAACGCATCGTTGAATCTCCCAGAGCAGTGGTTTCGTACGCCCGCCTTCCCGAGCGTCCTCGCTACAGCGAACCTCGCTACGCGGAAGAGAGATACGTCGACGACATCCGTAGCCAAGAAGACGAGTACCTCATCCGAAGACGAGAAGCCGATGACCATGCCATCATGAGGGAAGAGCGGATGCGTCGCGAAGCCGAGGAATACATCGATCGCCGACCTCTCGACAGACCCGAGTTCCTTCCTCGTCGACAGAGCTACTCATTCCGAGGCGATAGCTCACCGTCCATCTCTCCAACTCGAGACATTTTTGATCGTAGACCCAGCGATCCCAGGGAACGAGAACGAGAATTCCGCAGGCCGGAAGCGAGGAGAGTCTTTACTTCTCCAATCTCTCCTCATCCGTTCGCTGCTCAGAATCTTCCAAGACGTTATCCGCCCAGCATGTCTAGCGCCAGTTACGATGACCGTGGCTGGTAATTGGCTTTCCCTCTCATGATGAATACCTTCTCTTTCTGTCTCGTCTAGACTGGGACCGCGAGGAGGATGAAGGTTACCTCTGTTTTATTCCTTCTCTTCTGGGGGCGGCAAGATTGAAAGATATGCAATTCCTTCTTCCTGTACAAGGTTAGCTTTTTCGGATGCGTTGTTTATGGTCCAGCGTCTGTCTGACTTGTGATATCCACGAATTTTCTTCTTTTCTGGGACGCTACAATTTCCCACTTTGGGCAGAGCCAGAAAAAACATCTGGCTACGAATTGAATGATGAATGATTTTCAAATTCCCTCATAATAAGAGGAAGGACCAGATACCACAAATGTACTGTACCATCAATTGAGCAACTTAATGAACCATCAATTCCTTCAATCATCGTCGCAGAACAAAGTGCGGAGAAATCCCCTTTTATAATACCCATTGCGTGACTGATTAGGTGGTGGGATGGACCATGAACTCCGTCCGGTCCTCTGCTGCTTGCTGCTGCATCACTGCCCAAACTGGAGGGCTGGCAGTCCAATTACCACCTGCAGCGCATCTCATAGGGTAGGTACAATACCAAACATGAAGGTACATACAGGCCTGACCCTCTTCGCTGGCAAGGCAAGGCTTTTTTTTGCGGGGGGATGTTCCCGGCGCGGAAAACAGGATGATCTCCCTTTCTCACTCAATTACCCAATAATCTACTCCATAATGATTGGTGAACCAGAGCGTGGGATTTTACTTTTTCTGATTCGTTTCTGAAAGAAATTTTTTATGAGTGGTATTCACGTGTCTCGCGGCGAGTTTTCGTCATGGAGGGGCAGCAGCTGCTGGATCCCACCCACCGAATCTACCCATCTCAAAACCTTCCGATTTTCTTCGATAGGTTTTGTCTTTCGCTCAACAACTATTCAATTCTTCGTATTTTTCGTGGCTGAGAGGTATCAATCGCAATCATGGCTCGTCAATTCTTCGTTGGTGGTAACTTTAAGATGTCAGTTTCCCTTGCTTGGTGCGGGGTTGTTGAGGTTGAAAGAGAAAGCTGATTGTTGCGTAGGAATGGCTCTGTTGAGACCATTAAAAAGATCATCGGATACCTGAATGAAGCTAAATTGGATCCCAAGACTGGTTTGTCCCCTCTCTCCTCTCTGCTTCTCGTTCGTCGGCAGACTCTTTCTCGAGTCCTCGAGTCGGTGTAGCTATCTATCGTCAACAGTCTCACAACTTCACCGTGCAACATAAGCTGACCACAACGTTTTTTCTACGATAAACAGAAGTAGTTATCGCCCCACCAGCCCTCTACCTCCTCCTCGCCCGCGAGCACCTCAAGCCCGGCCTCGAAGTCGCCGCCCAAAACGTCTTCGACAAGCCCAACGGCGCCTTCACCGGCGAGATCTCCGTCGACCAACTCAAAGACAGCAACATCACCTGGACATTACTCGGGCACTCTGAGCGCAGGGTGATCCTGCAAGAAGACGACGTCTTCGTCGCGTCCAAGACGAAAGCCGCGCTCGACGGCGGCATCGGCGTCATCTTCTGCTGCGGCGAGAGCTTGGAGCAGCGCGAGAGCGGGAAGACGATTGATGTCGTGACGTCGCAGTTGAAGGCTGTGAAGGATAAGGTGGCGGATTGGAGCAAGATTGTTATTGCGTACGAGCCGATCTGGGCGATTGGGACGGGCAAGGTGGCCAGCACGGAACAGGCGCAGGAGGTTCATGCTGCTATCCGGGGGTGGTTGAAGAAGGAGGTTAGTGAGAAGGTTGCGGAGGAGACGAGGATTATTTATGGGGGGAGTGTTAGTGAGAAGAATTGCAAGGATTTGAGCAAGCAGACTGATATTGATGGGTTCCTTGTTGGTGGTATGTATTCTCTGTTTCTTGGATTTGGGGACAGTGCTGACTTTGCTCGATAGGTGCTTCTCTCAAGCCTGCTTTCGTGGATATCATTAACAGCCATCTGTGACTGCACGATGGTAATTCTGGGTCTGCACGGTTGTGAGTTATGAGGACATGACATAGAGAAAATCGCCGCTATGAGTTCCTGAACAAAATTGATGAACAGACAAAATTTTGACAGCTTTATTACGCGTGATGTGAACGCCTATAGTGACTTTCTGAAAGAGGCAGAGAGCCAATTATCAAGTGATCACACCATATGAGAGATATCTTTGTTCACAAAGTAACATTTTCGTCCTTAGCTGCTCTATCCATTTCCCATTGATTGTCCCGGCTAATCACAAAGTTCCAGAACATATTTGCGGCTTGTTGAGAGACAGAGAATACAACTATTCACTCTTCTACCCAAGTATTCCTCTAGTCAATCTCTCGTCCGAAGTTCACCTTTTCATCTCAAGCCATCTGACCCTTCCTATTCTATCTACATCATCCTCAAAGGTCTCGCTTCTATATCACTCGACATCGGATCAAAGGCTCGCATCAACCTTCTCAAAAGAGATGTCTTGCAATCACAATCTTCCTCCCGCAAACCAAGCTCTATGAGAATTTCTTCACAATTCCCTGGGTCTGTGTCTGGGACGAATACTCAACGCGTTGGGTTTCAAATTTATTCCAGATCATTTGCTACAAAATATATAATATCTGGCTACTCAATCCAGAAGCCATTGTCACCTCTTCTTCTACTCTCAACAAATTCTGATCTCCACCTCCCAAAATTTCACCATAGAGAACAACTAAAGAAGCTCTATCCACACCAATCAAAAGCCCCCTCATCTCACAAGTAAGGTGAACCTTACTAGATGCCAAAGAAATGTTGTGGATGAGATCACTCATGAAGCTGGACATGATCTCAAACCCCACTTTATACCTTGCTCGCACTCACATTCACTCTTCCGCATCACACCGTCCAACCTTTCCTTGCCCGCTTACCCTTAAATTCACTCTTCCATATCGCACCGTCTGAACACCAAATAGGCCACGAGGCTCGTATGGATTTGCTTAAAAGAATTGTCGTCCGACTCGATATCTTCTTCTTCTTGCAAACGAACCTTGACAAAAATTGCTTTATGGTTCTTGGTGTCTTTTTGGCAGGATTGGTTGAGTCGAGTTTCTTTTACGTAACTTGCTATATAGATTTCTAGTTTTGTAAGTTAGGTTGGATTGAGTTCTATTGTTAACTCTTATTCTATTGTCAACTCTCTTTATATTATCAATTCTCCTCTATTACCAACTCTTCCTCTGTCATCAACTCTCCTTCAACCATCATTCTTTCCACTAAACACATATTCGCTTTCTATAGGAAAGTACTCAACCTACATATACATGGCCAAGCTCCATACATACACATGCCAAAGAAATCAGAACAAAACCCTTCTAGCTCCGACCATTATTGTACTTCAAGAAGTTTGTTTCGCGTTGGGAGATGAACCAGCTGTTCGTTTTATACCTTTCTCAAACTCACATCAAACACCGTCACACCATCCACCTCTCCCTCCCTTTCCCGCCAAATCCCTACTTCACTATTTCACTCTCTCACAACATACCGTCCACCTCCCTCAATCCCACTTCACTCGTTCGCACCACACCATCCAACCCGTCTTCCGCAAGACAGCCGTGGATGGATGACGCACCCTCACCTCTCTGACGGCCTAACGAGGTATATATATTTCGCCCCCGCCCCGCCTGGACACAAAATCCACATCTCTTGGATTCCGCTTCACGACCGCTTGACGGGGGACTTGGTGACCCGTGTTTTTTTTGTTCGCGGTTTACTGGGTGTATGGGTTTTTTTTGGTTATAGAGTTTGATTGGGTGGTTTGGGGGGTGTTGTTTAGTTTTTGTTGTTTGTTGTTGCCAACTCTCCTTCAACCACCAACTTCCCCCCCCCCCCCCCCCTCTCTACCACCAAAAACCCCCAAACCACCACCCCCCTCACCTCCCAGATCGTTCTCAGCAAAAATAAACACACCCCCTTTAAGTAATAAAGCAATACCCTGCCCGCCACCAGGTCACCACCGGGTCACCCTGCCACCGGGGACCCAAGGATCCAAGGAGCCGGAGACCCTTCCACACATCTCCTGTGCTGTTAAGGATTGGGAGTTCGCTGTTGTTGTTGTTGAGTAGGAATCGAGCAGATGGGTGGCGTTTTATATATACCCTATCATCTCCTAGTCTAGTCTAGTCTACGAAATAGGGAGGCTTTATTCACTTTATTCGCAGTGTACATGTCGTACACCTCATGACTCAAGAGTGAAGTGAAAAAAAAAAGTCTGGGATTAGTGAATAGTTATTCAGGAAAGAAGGAAAGAGGGAGGGAAGGAAGGAAGGAAAGAAAGATTCAATCTAAGGTTTATATATGTAACTTGTTAATTGTCTTGGAAAATAATGTTTGTTTGTTTTCTGGATACTATTTCTTGCGTGACCAACGAACAAATTAAAGTGAAGTAATTCTCTTTCAAAGATAAACAAAGATATACATAAGAAGCTAAGATGAGAACCCACATCTACCTTTTCTTGAACCCTATTTCCTGGACAGACATTTACACAGGACAAAATTTGCTATTTTGATGTAGAGATTATTCTCACCTTAAGAATCCGGTAGCGTTTAGACATTCACAGCTTGTCAGGCACCATATCATCACCTAGAGAATCACTCCTAGCCACTCCAAACAGACCAGGAACAAATTCGAGAAAACCAGTTTCTCATTCTCTATCTACAACTAACCCCACACCCACTCTCCTCTCCTCACCTCTGACGATAACACCATACACCAACCACCCACAATCTTATTTACACACTTTCATCCCATCTCATCCATCCCACCCTTTCACGCCACCATTCATCATTAAAATATTAAAAATTACCCCATCCAATTCCAGCTCAGTTTAATCCACCTTCAATTCCTTCAAGCCCCTCATTCTATTCGGAAGCAAGAAGAGAAAGAAAGGAACAAGCGAATGAGGTACCGTAGTATATTAAAAAGCCAACAGCAACATGACTCTCTCAAACGCCGAGACCAAAGATCAAATTTCCCAATGCCATGCAATGCCAAACCCTAGACTTCAGGCCATCAACAACGGAAAATGCAAGGTTGTGATGGATGCCTGTAACAAATAGTGTAGACCCCCGAAAAAAGGCAACAACGGAAGAGGGTATCTATGCGTGTGCCGCTTGAACATGAACGATTGTAATCAGAATGGTAATATACAAGGTTAGACCTTCTCAACGATGGAGAGAAGGTGGAGTACAGATGGCTGCAAAAAAGGTGCAGTTGCGAGGTGTCTCGCAGAGGGGTCCAGGGAAGTGACCGGACCACCATCATCTGACTCCGTTTAGACAACCTCTGAGGTTGCCGTATCGATAGGAAACGAATCACCTCAAGGGCTGCTTGACATCTTGAACACCATTGGCAATGACTTCGCGGATAGACCATCGAGGTGGCGTAACAACACCTTGGAGACCATTCGCTTTTTGCCATTCCTTCTCCATTTCGGGAGTCACTCCGTCTGGAAGGTGCTCGGCGCCTCCTGCAATACCAGTGGAAAACTTGAGCTGGAGAACATTGCCAATCTCGTCACAAGCAGCGAGGACACGATCCATGTCATCCTTATTGTGAGCAGCAGAGACACAGAATCGAGCACGGGACGAAATCAGAGGAGTGGCAGGATATCCAACAATGACAACCGAGATCTTGCGACGAAGCATTTCGTGGGAAAAGGCAGGCATCTTAGCGGGGTTGTAAAGCATGATTGGGATGATAGGAGAATCGTCGTGACCGTAAACAATGTATCCGAGACGCTTCAATCCCAAGCGAAGATAACGTGAGTTGAAGGCAATACGTTGAAGGCGTTCCTCTCCTTGACCAGGAACCATCTCGCCAGAAATGATTTTGAGAGCGCTGAGGATTTGCATCAGAACGGGAGGAGTTGGTGATTCGCCATAGATCGTTGCCGCGTTCGTCATGCGGAGTTTGTCAATGATATGCTTCTCGGCAGCGACATAACCACCATTGGCGCCAAACGATTTTGTCAATGTACCCATGAGAATGTCAATCTCGGAAGGATCGATACCAAAGTAATCGCATACACCACGGCCCCTGGGACCAAGAGCACCAATGGAGTGAGCTTCATCAACAAACAAGTTAAACTTGTAGCGCTTCTTGAGCTTGAGAATACCTGGCAAATTGCACATTGTTCCTTCCATAGAGTAGAGACCTTCAACGACGACCAAAATCTTCTTCCATGGGCGGTGGGTTCTTGGTTGACCTTGAGAAATAACCTCGCGAAGCTTTTCCTCTAGATCTTGCATATCATTGTGCTTGAAGGAGGTGATCATAGCGCCGGAGAGACGGGCACCAATACGGATGGAAGCGTGGTTGAGCTCGTCAGAGATGATCAGAGATCCCTTTCCAACCAAAGCTGGGAACGAAGTAGCATTTGTTGCGAAACCCATAGAGAAGACCATAGCAGCTGGTTTACCAACGAACTTGGCAATCTTGTCTTCAACTTCCATGGCCAGTTCTGAAGTACCTGCATCTGCGCGAGGGCTAGCTGCACTAATACCGTATTTCTTGATAGACTCCTCGACTGCGTCTGCGCAAGGACCTTCTGATTGAGCGAAGCCGAGATAATTGTAGGAGCTCATGTTGAGAGTTTCGGTGTAGGTGCCAGTGAACTGATAATGACGGTTGTAATCTTCGGTCTTGCGATCCATCAAGGTGATATATCTTCCAGGTACACCCGTTATTGGCCGAGCAAAGCAGTCGTCAATTCGCAACTTCAATCGGCGCACGTAGAAGTTGTCGAAATCGCTGTTGAGAGCAGCATAACCGTTGGCCGATTTGAGATGCTTGTAATTTTCGGCTCTGAATCGCTTGCCAAAGAAGTCTCGAACGTGGCCAAAGATTATCAGGATAAGATAACTTATGTACGTCGTCAGGAGGTAATAGTAAGGGGGTTCGTCCATAACAGGAGCTTCGAGCTCTTCACCCACATGCTGGGAAACATATCTGTGACTCTGGCTTCCAAGAGGTCCGAATTGTGCGTCGATTCTTGCTTGTCTTTTAGCTTCTGCAACAGAAGGTGGTTGGAAAAGAGTCGTAGGGGGCTCGTCCATATTAGCCTCACCGGCCTTTGCTGTGGAGAGAGAAATGGTGGGTAATGACAATGATGGAGCGCTGATATGTGGCGATGGGTTATCTAGCAGTCGTTGCTGCTGTGCGGCCACCGCAGAAAGGAGAGCTGCCTGTGCAGATTGCTGCTCCTTACTCTTTGGTGAGGAAGAGAAGAATTGAGTCAATCTGTTGGCCTTCGAGGTCGAAGGTCGCCGGGCTGTAGGCTTGTCGGAGGGCGGTATGGCAACCGCTGTGCTGGGAGTACTGGCAAACGGATTTCGGAGTTGTCTTTGAGGCATTGTGCTCATGGACTGTAATAGCTGCTGGAAGCAGAAGGTATGAGATTTCGTGAGGGCGTGGAGAGAAGAGTCGCTGATAAGATTGCTCTAAACCAATAGAAATCTGAGTCGTCGAGTGAAACTTGTCGGTGCACTGAGGACTGATTCAGGAAGGATGTCGTAGATCAATGTCGCGCGGATTTGTCTGACCCCGAGGTGCAGCGGTGAAGGTATGTTGCTCGGGTGGCTGAGTCTGCAATATGGTCGGCGGATTGTCAGTTTTTGAAATGCTTGGTTGAGAGGCCGGAATGAATTTTCGAGGGAGGAGAAGAGTGAAGTAAAGAAAAGTTTGAGTTTAGGAGCAAGATTTGAATTGGAGCAGCCCAGGTGAGACGCCGAGACAGCTGTCTCAGGCCCAAATGAGTGAATTGACCCTCATCCAAGTGAACATAGGAAGGAAAGGAGATATATGTGCATACCGGTTACCGTCGAAGCAGGTTCGTGTGATAGATGTGGTGTGCTGATTGTTGGATGGTTGTCGCGAGGAAAGCGCGTTCTCGAGGTGGCGCCACTGATATCTTTGTTCCACCAAATGCACGCCTGGATGTACCTGCTATTTGATAGCTTCCTCTGCTGCCGACCACGACCGTTGACGTTTGAGAGTCTGCAGACGCACAGGCAGACGGGACGAAGAAGAAACGACGAGGACGTGGAGGGGAGGTGAGGGGAGGTGAGGGGAGGTGAGGTGAGGTGAGGTGAGGTGAGGTGAGGTGAGGTGAGGTCGAGACGAATGGATGCAATAGGAGAGAGAAGAGGGAGGAGGAAGAGGAAGAGACGAGAGAAGTGGCCGAGAGAAGCACAGGAGAGAATCTTATGAAGAGAGACGATCGATGTCAGTGCAGCAGCAGCAGCAGCAGCGGTCGCCAACATTAAAATTCCGGGCTGGGCTGGGCTGGGCTGGCTGGGATAGGTCTGTAATCGCCGGTGCATCCGCTTCGCCCTTTTCTTTTTCGTCGGTCAGGGAAGAGAGGGAAGAGAAGACAGGGCTCGCAGTGGGCTGGTCTGGGCAGGTTAGGCTGGCTAGGGCTCACGGCAGCAGGCCTGTAAGTAAATTTACTGGAGAGTCTGGGGCCAGGAGTGATTTAGGGGCAGAGGCTCAGGCTCAGGCTCAGGCTCGGGCTCGGGCTTAGATGAGGCACAAACCGATGCTGAACAGGGGCAGCAGCACAATTTCATTAAAGCAGCAGATTGCGATCCAATCACCGCCATCACCTGGATCCACAATCTCCATCCATCCATCCCACCCACTGCTGATTTGCTCGTCTAACGACGGGAATTGCGGGAAGCTCCCAAAATTTTTCCCTCTCTCTTTTTGATCGGACCCTCGGACTTCGCTTCTTCTCTCTGTGCATCGAGGGGTCATTTGCATTTCAGAGCTTTACTGTAGGAGGGCCAGGAAAACCGAGGAGCGACATGCGAGATGAATTGTGGAATGGCACTTTATTCCATTGCAGGATTTGTGAAGAAGATCAATTGATTTATGTCTGCCAAGGTGAAGTAGAGTAGAAGCGAGTTGTGCAATTTGTGCATCCAATTTCAAATTTAGAGATGGGATGCGATGCGATGCTTACCGAGTACAGTCAGCATGAAACCGATGCACGAAATCACAAAGAACCACCGCAGCCTCTTCCCCGTCTCTTGAAACAGCTCCAGGATCCATCACACAACTGAAATCACAAACCATCCACATCCACATCCACATCCACATCCACATTATTCGGATCTCGATCCCACGATACTGTACAAGCCACATCTTGCGTCCATGATTGTTCCATTGTTTGCTTTCCCCTGACATCCGGGATGATGCTGATGGAGCCAAAAAAAAACATTAATTTGGCTTCGACCGATGATCTCATCGCACACGGTTAGATCGTGCCCCTTTGCGCCAACACCCGTTGGAAGATCTAGATGCCAGCGCCCGCCTGCCATCTGATTGCTGGCTCGGTCTGCTCGGCATCGGCAGCGGCAACGCTGTTGAGAGGGTAAATAAATAAAAGCAAGAATTGACGTCTTGTCGACTCGTCGGATGGAGGAGAACTCGGATACGTATCGTATTCCGGTTACGGCTACATATCACGAGATGTTGTGGAATTGACTTTCCCTTTGCGAAACATTGGAGGAAGCTGGATCACGATCGATGGGCTTCGTCATTGCTATGCAACGAACGACTCATGGGAATCATCCTAGACGGTGAACGAAGACCGAGTCTTCGAAACCTTCTCGATGTTTGGGCCAACGACGCGTCCACACGTTGGCATGAGTTGTTAGACGCGTTGAGCGGGGTTCATACCCAGATCACTATGCATCGTGGAGGTATACAAGTCCATTGATCTTCTGAAATACTTGGGGAATGCTGGAACAACCTTCATTTCTTGCGTCACGGTGGAGTAGTTCTTGGATGCTGTGTCGAGTGATGAGGCATCTGGGACATACCCTGAAGATCGGACAAGTATCAGTTGAAACGAGGCGCGAGAATACAATTCGGTTTCTTTCAGGCCTTTGCTTTTCCTTCGTCCTAGCCGCGTCAACATTCAGCTATTCTAGCCTCAAAACTCATTTGAAGTTCTTGAAACAGTGGTTTGGATATCACTATTCAGAGGCGCCAAGATTTCCCCTGGAGTAGCGCCTAGGATTTGAGGTGAGAGCAGAACTTCAGGTGAGTATTGGAGTGCCGCCTAAGATTTGAAGTGAAAGCAGAGTTTAAGGTAAATACTAGAGTAGCGCTTAGGGATTTTAATTAGCATACCCTGTGATTAAAATTAAAATTTTTAATTTAATTTTTAAACTCGTGATTAACGCCTTGTTTTGGCACGTGCTTCTAGTTAGTGAATTATATTTTTATATCAACCCCGAAAACCCGTTCACCGTCCAACAGCTCTCTTCAAAATCTATATAAACCCGACCGCCCGAAGTTTCTCCGGATTCTTTAACAATATTCGAGCACCAAAAGAAAATGTATTAGGTGCGTGGGCCCGGTGCGTGGTGCCCGGTACGAGGTGCCCGGTGCGAGGTGCCCGGTGCAGACGCACCTAAAACATTTTCTTTTGGTGCTCGAATATTGTTAAAGAATCCGGAGAAACTTCGGGCGGTCGGGTTTATATAGATTTTGAAGAGAGCTGTTGGACGGTGGACGGGTTTTCGGGGTTGATATAGAAATATAATTCACTAATAACTAGAGTTTGGTGGCAGGAGTTTTGGTCACTGGTGATAGCGAAGGGCTAGAAGTATATCTATCGTCTTCTGGAATGTCTGGGGAATGCTGGTCAGAATATCTTCAGTTGCGTCATGGAGGGGCAGATTTCAAGAGGTCTGGGTTGCGTTGTTTAAGCGATCCAGGAGTAGCCCTGGACACTGTTTAAGGAGAAGATGACGAGTGTTGTTGGAGATTTGGGATATATGCATTGAGCATGATCCTCGATCGATCTGATTTCCATGTTTTTGTCATTGTTTGTTGACCCGCAAGGTAGCAAGATGTCTTTGCACACTGTTGTAGAAAACGCCTCGATGGGACCAGATGGGACATATCCAAGACTTTGGCTTACGAAGAAGTAGTCTTTCCGACTCTGAAGTATTGTGTCGATTTTGACCACCTGAGTCGTTCATCTGATTCATAAGAGAGGCGGTGGAGATGAATGATGTAGAGAAAGAGCTTCCCTATCTACTGAGTATTGCGTATAGTGTTTCCCCAGCCCTTTTATTACTTTTCCCTTTGATTCGCTCTACTCCATATCCCAGAGACGTACTTTGCGAGACCTCTTATTCGCTCTGGAAACCTTGGACAATGTCGACTCTGGACAACGAGTTCTGTGGTACCAGCTGTATGGATACCCAATGTCTTGGAACACGAATAGCTAAGTCATCAGTGCATCAATAACATATCTTTCTATATAAAACTCTCGTTTTTCCACCCTCCCTCATCTTTCACCTCAAAACTTTGGCACGAACTTCGGCGTATTCTCCTTCCACTCCCTATACTCCTTCCTATCCCCATACCTCTTGTCATACTTCTCCTCACTCAACGGCACTCCACTAACATTCAACAACAAAAAAGTCACAAACGCAGGACTAACCGCCGCCAATCCAACCCCCAACACCCTCCCCCCAACCCCACTAGTCCCCATGCCCCTCAACCCCACACTCGAAGCCAGCACCCCTCCGGCCATAACCGCGATCCCGGTCCACAGCGTCGCTTCCCCGAAATAATTCGGATGCCTGGATTTTGCCCACAGGCCCGAGGTCAGGAAATCCTCGTCGTGCTCCTTGCGCTTCTTAGCCGCGGCCCACGCGGCTTTCTGGCGGTCGGCGACGATCTCGAAGGAAAGGCCGCCGGTGTAGAGGAGCAGACCGAGGACGTCTGTTGTTTTGAGGGCTGGGAGGGTGGAGAGGAGGGGGTAAGGGATGGAGTTTAGGGCCAGGAGGGGGAGGAGGCAGAGGGAGACCCATGTTGCTTGGGCCATGCTGTTTGAGTTGTAGTCAGTACTGTATGTAGAAAGCGAGAGAGAAGGGAGGGGAGAAAGGAGACATACAACGCAGTGAAGAATTTCGGTGGACTCTTCTTAATCTCATCGAAGCGCGAATCCTTCCCATCACTCAGAACTCGTTGGAATAAATAACTGCCCACTGTGCAATCATCATTAGCCTCTACCCCATCCTATCCCCTCCCCCCATGTGACTCTTAACTTACACCTAGTAGCCCAAACCCCCACCGCAGCACTCAAAACCACCTGTCTCCAATTCAACCCCTCCATCCCCCCAATCCCGCTTCCTCTGCCCAACACTCCATCCCACAGCCCCGGAAACGGCGGTTTCACTCCTCCAGCTAGCGAAGAAGCAGCACGTGCCCGCAACGCCGGCAAGTAAAGCGAAAGCGCAGTAACGGATAGATACGTCAACGAGCCGGAGAGATCGTAGAAACGCTCGGATTGGACGGCGATGGAGGGGATGGCTACGAGGGTTTGGAGGGCGAAGGCCGTGCCTATTGTGGGGAGGAGGGTTCTGTGAGGGTTGGTTGTTAGTGGGTGAGAGAGAGGGAGGAGGGAAGGAGGAGGGAGAAGAGGAGGGGGAGAGGAAGAGAGGAGGGGGAGAGGAAGAGAGGAGGGGAGTGTACCGGAGGAAGGGGTTGCGGAAATTGGTTATTGAGAGGAGGGTGTTTAGGAGGGGCATTTTTGGGTGGTTTGAGTTGGGTTTGGAATAGAAGGGATTGAGGAAGGGAAGAATTTGGTGGTTAGGAGTGAGGTTGGACTGGATTCCCTCTTAAGAAGTGAGGTGAAGTGAGGTGAGGTGTTTCACGAGGCTAGATTCAGATTCCGTTCAGCCTTATGCGGATGTACATGACGACATTCTGCACGTCAACGGACACGGAGTTGCTGTTTGTCCGTTCAGCCTTATGGTTAAAGCTATTGTGGATCATTCTTATTATTTGAGAGATTCTATGGGTACGCACTCGTCTGAGGTTCTTTCGTTTCCCGTTTTGAGAATACGATTCCTGGACCAGGTTCACGGATCGAGATGGGATCTGGCGTGATTCCAGAAGTTAGGGGTGTTTGGTCGAGATGAGATAATCTAGCTTTGGAATCTCGAGAAGAGAGTCATCCTGAGTTGCGAAGAGAGCTGGCTTGAGTTCATCGTCATATGTTGTGGTGCACGAGGATAGGCTGCTGTTCTTCTTAGTGCCTCCCCCTTTTCGAGCTCGGCTAAGTCAGGCTTCCCAAAAGCTCATGATTGTTCATCTCTCTTCCACGAGAAGAGGCTCAAGTGACGTTCATCCATCTCGAACATGGCCTGCGGTAGCTACCTCCAATATTTCCTTCTCCATCCCTTCAACAAGAACCACATTTATTCCAGCATCTTCCAATTGTTTCCTCCCCGTATTCTCTCCCACAAACTTCTCTGGCTCTTTCACTCCCACATACACGGTCTTTATAGCTTTCCCAAGTCTCAAGATCCTCTGCACACACGGTAAATTCCCGCTCAATCTCTTAAAGCATGGTTCAACCGTCGTATAAAGCACCGTCTGCTTCGGTAATATAGATGCCAAATCCTCTTCAGCTACCTCGTGCTCTCCCGCCAACTTGATAAAACAAGATTGCTCCGCATGTGTGTTGCCCTCGCATTCCAAAGTATATCCACTCGCGAGAATCGTATCCGCGCTCGCATCCACCAGAAGCGCTCCAACTCGATAATTCGTAGGTTTGGGAGGTGATTTTCGTGCCAGTTCGAGAGCTTGTCGCATGTACTCGATGTGATGGTCAGACCGAGCTATTGAAGACATGTTTCGGTGTTACTGCAGGTCTGCAAGCTGCTGACGAGAGAGGTCTTCGAAGGTGGATCAAAGATGTCCCTGTTAGATCATCTAGTGCGACCTTTCGACAAATCACTCTGGGCTGAGCAAGACATAGACTTCCATATTACTGCCAAAGTTGGTAGAGACTCGAGCTGAGGTGAAATTTAGTGTTGAAGATGCAAAACTGTCAAATGCCGACCCCGCGGCCGCCAATCTGCACCTCTTCGAGAAAACGACGTCACGGGAAAATCCAAGAACTGCAATATCTGATGGCGCAAACCGCGCCGCGATGGAGGGCCAATCGATACCACCTCAAACTTTAAGGTTGCAATCCTGAAGTACTTGGGTATTCTCGGACACGATCCTTCGAGCTGTCGCTTCGTCTGCGAGTTTTCAGCCCTGGTTTTCGTACCAGAACGAAGAAGCCTTCGGCATCCGCGGATGAAAGAAGCACAAATCGCAACAGCCCACGCCCACACGTCTTCCTTGCGCGATCACCTCAGACATCCTTTCAGATGAACACACATGGAACCTCCTAGGCCATGGCTGACCCCCCGTTGCCCAGAATTAAGGTGACCGATGCTCAATTCCCTGAGGGCAGCGCCACGGGCACCTCAGGTCTCGAGTCACCTTCTACCACCACGGATGGCGGACAGTCAGCGAGGCCGAGGTCAGCTACTTCTTCTGAAGGTAGGTCATATCATGTATATACGGCCTGTTCCTCATATCGAATCATCTTCAACTCGATCAAAGATGATCAAATGCTATTATGGGTTCTACTTATAGCCTTTGTGCTTATGCTGACAAGAATCTTCCCACCAGGTAATGCGCAGTCCAATGGCAAAAAGTCACCGATTAAGATAATACGAAATAATACTACGACAATCAAAGAGGTCAATGGATCAAAACCGACCTCTCCTTCCGCAGCAGTGCAGCCTTCGACTGCCATCGATCCTCTCTCCCATGTACGTACAGCTTCAATCTTGCCCTATATTGCTATTGGAACACCCGAAATACCAGATGAAAGCTTGAAAGACCGGTTATTGATATAGCATAGCATATACTTAAGAGGACCAACACCGAGAACACAATTCCGCAAAAGCTGCGAACTGCGACTGGACCCGAGAGTCCGAGTACTGACCTCGGGAGCCCAATCAGTCCGGATATAGCCCCGCCAGGCAGACAACTAACGCCCGACGTAGCTCGCAGCGACAGCTTTCCTGCCAAAGAAAAGAAGTGAGTTGTCCAGTCTCCATAAGCACGGGAGGTTGGCTTACTGTTGGGTCACCGTTTGTGGCTTGCTTATTGTCCCCGTGGCAAACAATGAAGGATGAGTCGCTAACAGTCGACCCTGCAGGAAAGGTGTATCTTTTCTCAGTCGGTTCTCCATAATTGGCGGCAAGAAGAAAGATCAGTCTGGAGATGCTGATGACGATGAATCCGAGCTGGGCGATCACCGCACGGAAGGCATGAACGCACATGTCTTCTCTTCCTCGATTGGAGCGAATGGGTACATACCGCAGCACAAAGAACCGCCCAGGTACATCAAAGTTCGAGCGCACAATAAGAAGGTTCGGGAGTTCAATCGCATGTTCTTAGCCCAAGAGTTGAGTGGCACGAAACATACATCGAGCGACGAGAAAGTGCCCGGGTTGACTACTTCTGAGGTTGACTCAACTTCTCACAAGCTATCGAAGTCGCCAAAGACGAACGGTGCAGTTTGGGCGACAGAATTTAGCAAAGATGGCAAATATCTTGCGGCAGCTGGCCGTGATCAAGTTGTGAGGGTATGGGCGGTCATCTCAACTCCAGAAGAAAGACTGGCGCATGAGCATGAGGAAGATGTCTCGTCAAGCACTTCGGGCGGCGAGCGACTAAGTGCGCCTGTATTCAGATCAAAACCAATACGAGAATTCGATGGTCATACTGGTGACATCTTGGACCTTAGTTGGAGCAAGAACAACTTCCTGTTGTCATCGTCAATGGATAAAACGGTTCGGTTGTGGCATATATCAAGACAAGAATGCTTGTGCACTTTTAAGCATAAAGATTTTGGTTAGTAGCCTTGTTGTTCCTTTTAGCAGTGTGGAGGTTTTCTCGGCCGAGTCTTACATCTCCACACCTTTAGTTATGTAACTAACATTAAGCAGTCACATCCATTGCCTTCCATCCACGAGACGATCGATTCTTCCTCGCCGGTTCCCTCGACTCAATTCTTCGATTATGGAGTATACCAGACAAGTCAGTAGCATTCTGGAACCAGTTACCGGATCTCATCACAGCCGTTGCTTTCTCTCCCGATGGCAAGATTGCTATGGCAGGAGTACTTAGTGGTCTTTGTCTATTCTATGAGACAGAAGGTTTGAAATACAATACTCAAATCCATGTGCGCTCATCACGTGGCAAGAATGCCAAAGGAAGCAAGATCACTGGCATAAGGACTACTACCTTTCCACCGGATGATCCGGAAGGCGAGGTCAAGGTTCTGATCACGAGCAATGACTCTCGTGTCAGGTTGTATAACCTGAAAGACAAGTCATTAGAGATGAAATTCAGAGGACATGAGAATACATGCAGTCAGATCAATGCTAGTTTTAGCGACGATGCTCGCTACATAATATGTGGTTCGGAGGACAGAAAAGCATATATCTGGAATACAGGTCCTATCGAGTCCGAGAACAAAGACAAACGTCCCATGGAATTGTTTGAAGCACATGCCGATATGGTCACAGCCGCAGTCATTGCTCCTACCAAAACTCGGCAGCTTCTAAATGATTCTGGAGATCCAATATATGATCTTTGCAATCCTCCACCAGTCACTCTGCTGAGTCGAGAAGAGTCGCGAGGGGAGTCTGCTGCTTCGTCTGTTGTTCGTGCTGGCTCCGAGAAACGGCATTCGGACCCCGCGAGCGTGTCTACCAAGACACCGGCATACTTGGCCAGAAGTGAGCATAATGATGGTCTTATAATTGTCACAGCAGACTATCTTGGCGTAATCAAGGTCTATCGGTGTGACTGCGCACACAAACGAAGAGTCGATCTCTGGGAAAGCAATTCTTTCTCAAAAAAGAAGATTTTAGCCAGATCTGGCTCGATAATGACGAAGAACTCAGGAGGCTCGCATTCCAGGAGAGGATCAATCTCACAAGCTTCATTTACTGGACCTCAGATACAGTCAGATCATATTCTCTCATGGCGGAATGGCATCACGGACGATGGAAGTGTACGGAGAGGCTCTGATAGAAGCGTCTCACCTGGCAAATTCCATCGCAACTCACAATCACAATCGATTTCTAATTCTCAAAATAATCTCGCTAGTCAGGCTCGTCAGCAGCAATATGCTGGAACACCTACGATGACACAGCAGACGCCAAGTGTCTCCACGACTAGTCCTCCTCCAAGTATCCATAAAACTACAACCAGGAACTCAAATGCCACCGCCAGCCAGCCACCGACTCCGAGCTTCACCTACGCCGCCGCTGACGAAAGCCCTCTGAAGCTCGATGCTGCGGGAAAGTCAAACCAATTCTGGAATCTCACCGCCTGGAAACAACAACTTGGCACAGCACGAGATCCGAGCAAACTCGATTCCAGCAGCCTAATGCCACCCATCGAACGCGGGAGCAGCGTGATCAGCAAACTGAGCTCCGAGGACGGCACATCGGCCGAAGACGAAGACGAAAGTGAGAGCGAGGCATTAACCTGTCGGAAGTGCGGCGGCAAGGATTTCAGGGCGAGGAAATCGCCGGGGAGAGGTCTCCTTATGGTTTGTACGAGGTGCGGATCAACTGTAGAATAGGGTGGGAGATGATCGGTCATGACTATGATAATGTATATTATGAAGGGAAGAACGGCATTCGTGGATTTAGCGTTGGATGGCGCGCTTCAAACATTTAGTGGGATGTGAGATAGCTTGTATGAAGTGAAGACCCTAAAGGTCTTTCAGGATCAGCGTCGGATTTGGAAAGAGACGTTTAGGGCAGATGGATTTGGGACAATGGGGCTTGCTAGCCTAGATCCAAAACCATTCGAACATTGAAATCTGCGTCTTGTTGTGAGATAGAGTTGTCGGTGTCACCTTTTCACTCATTTGCTCTTTTTCAGATCTGCTTACTTCATGTTGTCTCCTCTGCCTTTTTTAAAACTGCAAACGTTAGTTCTCACTCTGCTTCCTCATCATACTGTCTTCAGCGACCGCCATGCTTACCAATTTGTCATCCATTCACAGAGAGATTCCAGGATGATTCCAGATTCTCACGGAACTTCGTCCGAGACCTGTCAGCAAACACCCAAACTACATAGGACATCCCAAGAATTCAAAGTCTGACTCTAGAGTGAAGCATTGTACCATCCAAAATGTCCATCCTAAACCCCAACCCCCGATGCGCCAAAATATCATTAATTACAAAGTCCCACCTCTCCTCACCTACATTTCTCCCTAAACTCCTCAACCCTTAAACGGACACCCTCCTCCCTCCCTCTCCCCCTCCCCCACCGGCATCATCACACTCCCCTCCCCCTTCGACAAATAATGCCTAGCAAAAAGATCATTCTGAATCCAAACCACCTTATTCAACGCCCTAATCACCCTCCCCTTCATCTCATTCGCAACATCCATCTCCATCACCGCTCCCACCAGGATATCAACCACATACCCCAGCAGGGCGCCCATATGGATGTATTCTACTCTTAGCTCGGGTTTCTTTTCCCGGTGCTTGAAGCCGGGTTGGCCTGTGTGCATGATGCCTACGTTGTCGAGGTATTTCCAGAACGGGGAGGTGGGCGTCAGGTCTGGTGTTGAGACGAGTCTGACGATGTAGTTCTGTTTTTATCCCCTTCCCATCAATACTTCTTCTTTTTTGGGTTTGAGGGGAGAGGGAAGGGAGGGGGGGGCAAACCTTCAAGAAATCCTTCCTCATAGCGATCTGTGGATGTTCCAACGTCAACTCCTGTACATTCTTGACCACCTCACCCTCATAATCCGTGTTCCTCGGCACGAATGTCTGGGCCGTGATATCGAACGAGAGCAATTTAACGTAGACAGCGTCCAAGACAGCCGGGACGAGGGGAGCAACGAGGGGTTTAGCGGCGAGCAGAGCTTCGCCGTCTTGGGGCGTGAGGTTGAGGAACGAGGAGAGGTATGCTATTCTCGAGGGGAGGTCCTCGAGAGAAGAGGCTGGGATGTGTTGCATCGTGTATGTACCTATGTATAGATAAGACTATAGACAAAAAGACTGCTTGCTTTAATTGATCACTGCTTGATACTGCAAAAGGTAAAAGAAAAGAAGTCTCGACTTCGAGGCCCTATATAAAGAAAGCACAACTTAACATTGACACCTTCCCTCACAAAAAACCAAACACCTCCAAGGAGAACGCGGAGAAGTACCACTGCGAGATAATGTATCATGATGCTGCTGACCAGGGACTGCATTGCTCCAGGGTAGCATTTGGACGCCGGAGCGAATCAGCACCGCCTGATTAGCTACCGACCATTACCCGTTGCGGGCAGTATTAGAGATCGCATTGCTGGGAGAGAAAAATCGGGGACGAAAGAGCGAAATCATATGGTTATTTGTAACGGATTTGCTGAGCCATGTGCAGGAGTGGGTGGATTATGTAAAGGTCCGGTTTTGTCCGGTGAAGCTGGGAATGGGGACGAGTCAGGCCATTTCTGATGACTAGGTACGGGAAAGTCTGCTTTATGTCATCTCGTATAGCTCGATTGCTACAAGTAATCAACACGGGATATGCAGTTGAGAAGTGTCAATGGGAAGTAATATATCCGTCCATTTCCCTATGCTGTACATATACAAAGTATGCTCTTCCCATCTCTTGTTTTGTTCTCTTGTTCTGTTTGAAAATTACATCCAAACACTCAAACATTAACGCCATCTCATTGCCAATTTCTGGCAGGGTATAGTGCAGTAAAACGGGTAGCCCGAGACATTATCCATCCTTCATTACAACTCCCAAATTTCCCCCTTTTATATGATATGTTTTTGTGCTGGCAGTATACAAGACGCCATCTTGCGCCTCACTTTGAATGTATGCCGATGAAATAAGACTTTTGTGTACGAAATTGCTCATGCTTAGATGAGCACAGACACCAGAGCGCCGATAAGTGGTAGAGTGAGACCCAACGGATTGAGTTGGCACGAAGAGACTCCGAACGACTTTTTCGTTGTACTCGGAGTGGCCGTAGCGGTAAAGAAACCTGTCAGGATCTCGGTGGTCGTCGTCACTGTTACTCCTCCAGAATTGACAGATACAATTGCGGTAGGTGTTGCTGAGGTACCGGGAGATGTCCAGTCAGAAGAGGCATCATAGAGAATGCCATTGATTATAACTCCTTCGTTGTTGACAATCATGTTCTTCTGATCGCCGTTGCAGGTATCTGGGATATTCCGCAACCAGCATGTTGCCGAGGGCGAAGCAGGAAGACTGTTTGTTTGAGTGGCATTCAAGGAACCCGAGGTATTATAAGAAGAGGCGTCGATGACTTCGCCTGTCGAAATTGAGGTGCCAGTCATGATTCTAGCGAAGACTTGGAAGGCTGTTTCTGGCTGGTATGCGGGCACGCTGTGCCCCGCGTCGTAGATCCTGCTGAAGGATAGATTGCCATATTGACGAACGACACCACCAATATAGGTCGTGTTGACAATGATAGGAGCGTAGCCAGAATTTGGAAATATCGAAGCATATGACGGTGAGGTCTGAGCAGCAACAGCTAATGAGATGGCCTCCCCACCGAGCCAGTTACAGATGTAGTCTCGATCACCATACATGAACCCAACACGGATGCCTTGATTTAGCAGAGCAGCAATATTGGGCACAAGGGCTTGACGCTCGTAATCACCCGTCGATGTGAAAGCACTGACGACTTGCATGTCAGTTTGTGTGAAGTTGACAGGTGATCCAATTGCCTCCAATACGCTGGCAGTATTCAGATATTCCAGATATGTGCTGGATGGGAACGGGTCAGGCAAAAAGTGAGCTATGTCGTACACGCTCCTCCCGGCGTCATAGTATGGCTCCATAACATTGTTGACACAGTTGTTGTATGCATCCGAACATATGCTATTGACCACAGAAACGTCGCCGTCATTGTTCGGATCTTGAGAATTGACTGCTGTCCGGCATTGAGTAATGAGATCTTGACAGCCACCTTTGGCATAAAAGCTTCCTGTTGCAAGCTGAGCTCGGGTCGGATTAATGGCTTGCAGGCCATATGTATTGTTGACTGCCATTGTTGGATAGAATGGAGCCTGAATTAGGTCGTCGACACAACCATTCACAATACCCAGAGAGGCTAGCTTGATCTCAAAAGTCCCAGTCTTGGATATTGTTCCATTAGAGCGTCTTTTGTTCTGCGCTTCCCAAATACTAGCAAAAGCAGGGCCGTACTTCCCCCCATAACTTTCGGCAAACAAATGAACACCCATGGATGTGCTATTGGGTGCGTATTGAGGGAATGCTCCTAGAAATCCTTGAAGCATATGCCATATTGCCATTCCAGCAATCTCCGTGGTGTTTGCGGTATTGTTGACATTCAAAGAGCTGAAGGTGCCATTCATGAAGGTGGTCGCAGGTTGGCCGCTCGGCAGTACTTGAGGAGGAGTGTAGAGATCAGAGGTAAGGAGGTCGAGAGAGCCATTGGTTGGAGTATCGTAAGAAAACCCTACTTGATTGGGCTATGAAGTAGTTAGCAATAGCTCGATGCAATGAGGGACGGTGACTCGAATACAAGCTGCAGATTCTACCACTTGGTCAATGCAACTGCATTGCAAGATAAACTGCTCAGACTTGGTGAGCAGATTCAAGCCAAGGAATAGTCATTTTTGTTGAATCCTTCAACGCTTGGCAGAAGAAGCAACCGATTTGTGTAACATGAACCACTCTCACCTGATCGATGTAGAGCATATTCGACCCTCGATCCCATCCCCAATCTCTCACTTGTGTGCCCAGCTTCCCGATCCCTTCCTCAATGACTTCACAGGGTCCATTCTCAGTGAAGAGGCCGATCATGGAGCTAGAGCCTGGTCCACCGTTAAGCCATATTGTCAATTGATCAGTTGCATCGCGCGCGCCAATGAACCAGAAGAAGGTATTTGTCGAGTAATTCCCGGGTATGTGAACCCATCCTGTATATTGTTCTTGTGTCGAGAATGCAGTTTGGCAGGCTCCCGTTGGAGTTTTATAGCTGATGGAGATGTTGCCGTCGACGGGGCTGGTGATTGTGGTTAAGTTTGAAAAGACCGGAGGATACTGAGCATTCGTGATCGTGACGAAGAGAGAGATGAGGGGGAAGGGGAGGTACGATCCGTACATGGCCGTCTCATGTCTTTTCTGTTTGTTGTTGATGAGAGGAGAAGAAGGAAAGCAAGTCTTCGTAAGCTGAGAAACAGCGGTCGATCCTTCACCAAGCGAATGTTCGTACGTAGCCTGCCCTGTCTTGTCTCGGACCTCGTATTACATGTGCCCTCCCACTTTTCTGTTTCTGAGGTGTGTTGCCGAGTTCCAAACAAAGAATATTGATACTACGATTTATGGTTCCTCAAAGTCTAGGAAACCTGCTTTGTATGAGGTTACATTGACAGAAATCACCGTGCAACACGTTAATTGTTCCCCAGACTTGAACGATAGGCACGTGCGTAAGACTAACCGGCGTGTACCTGCATGATCCCGTTATTTGTCGCGATGTTTCAAGTAAGCATTGATCCTCATGAACTCTGCCCTGGATTGGAATTTAGCATCCTGGATTCTTGCAACGAGTATATTTTCATGTTCTACGTTGGCAGGCCACTATACATTCCTTGGAATTTGACTTTATACTTTCGGAAGGTATATTAGTAGTGTGGTATGGATCGTTGGCTGCCGATTGGAGCCGCGCGGCATCAACTACCGGTATTTTCAAGATAGCAGTCACAACTATCGCAGGGCCCTTATTGGATATCCAACCATGCTGCCCAGGTTTACAATCGAAACAATTGGAGCCTTTTCAGTCAGAGTAAGTTGATGAGACTTGGTCACGGCGTCATTCAATTGTTATGATCAAAGTTTGTGAACTATCTGTACTTTGTTCATTGCTTGAATCTATCTATATTGATTCAAAGAGACAATTCATGTGCTCTTCTGAAGTAAGACTGTTATTTCTGTACATGTGAAAATCAGGTCCATTGGAAATTCATGCCACTAAGCTGACTGGCCTCAAGCATGACTTGGGCTTTCGAATAGCAAAATAATTCATGTGCTGGTGAAGATCACTCGATAACCCAGCAACTGCAGCCCAGAAAACAATCAAGCATGGCATCCACATACCTTGTGGTCTGAGATGGCTACTTGGGAGAAGGGCCAGCGTTGAGAGCGATGCCGACAGGAGACGAGACCTTGCCACAGGCGGTAAACTTTGAAATAGTCAGCTATGGTCCGAAGTCAAGTACAATAGGGACTAGACATATTTCAAGGGAAATTTCAGATCTACTGCCTTGTCAAAGGCGATCTCATCAATACCAACGTGTGGCTATGTTGACCGTCGTGATAAAATTGATCATCATATGAAGAGGACTAGGGGAGATGCAAGAGATGCAAAACGTACCTATAAAGCACCAGCAAGAGAGGACAACGGTGTTATACGCGTCATATGAGCCTAGTATTGTTAGCGACATCCACCATCAGAAGATAGAGTAGTCCGGCCAACAAAGCATATTCAGTAAAGACAGTCTCGTCAATGCCCGAAGGCTTGGACATATGCTTGTCATTTGTCGGTCGAGGTCATCATGATGCTTGGGATTGTAGACGAGTAGAAAAGATCAATATGCTTACCATGTATGTGGCAAAGAACCCTGGTGCTGCAGGCCCCAGCTGAAGCATATCCTGAAAATATCTGCTAGCACAGATGACAACATCACAACCTCTATACTGGCAAGAGTTTGGTGACTAAAAGTAATATATCAGCACACTGTAAAGAGCTCATGCTGGTAAGAAAGTAAGTGTTAAAATGAAATTCAGTTGGCATGAATGGTATAAATTTGATTGTGTCAACATCGGTAAACCGGATCAGACTCGTCATCTAAAATTGCTCATCATAAAATCGGAAAGTAATGAGAAAGAAAAGTCACACATACCATCATGATTGGCCGAGAGACGGTCAACGCGTATCATCAACTCGACATATCGAGCGTGAGTATATAATCCATCAATCTATTGTAGTCCTCGTTAGAGACTGGATGTGCCAAGCGTAGGTGAATCAAGCGTAATCGGAAGACCGAAATCAGTGGGCGAGGTTTTCTAGGCCTGCCACAAAATGGCGTCTCTTTCATGAATTCAGAGCCCAGTGCCGTATCATCATATTGCAGTCGAGGGTGGGGAGACAAAGGATGTGTGAGGAAGGGATTGCCGTACCAATTGCGATCCATGATGGTAGAAGATTAATCTGAGTTCCAGATATGTTAGCCCAATGTTACGGAGTGGGATATTCAAATTTCGAAATAGGTTGAGGTAGCTCAGAATCAGCCATTTGTGTCGTCAAAGACTTGTGATCTCAGTCGGTAATTTCCAGCGTGCAAAGCACACAATGTTCATCATAGCCAAGGAGATGTGAATTGGAAGGATTGGTGCTCACCAACACTGGGTATATGCCGAGCAGCGCAGAGCTTTCACAGCGTCGATTCGATACGAATCTGCGATTCGAAGATTAGCTATAGAGACTAGCAAGAATGTATGCAATTGCGTGTGATTCGAACATAGTTCAGACTGACGTGTTACAAAAGTTTCATTCCCCTTGAGGTCAAAGACTCTAGTTTGCGGTTGTATGTGTGTCATCACGTAGAGGGAGGATGGAATGAATGGGAGCGGTGCTTACCATTGCTCATATTGAAGCTCGGCAGTGGCTAGGTACTGCGACAGCGCTGCAGTTGTTCGCGTTGTTTGTTCGAAAATACATGTAGAAAACTTGGAGAAAGCTTCGAGCTTGAAGACTTTGGTGTGCGCTAAGAAAATATCGAGCTGCAAAACAAGGCTAGCCCCAGAGGGTAAGGTCAATTACTCACGTGTTGTATGGGTCCGAGCTCCAGGTCGAGTCAGTTCGGCTCTGCAATCGTGTTTTCCCCTGTCGGGTTTCTCTCCGCCATGATCAGGACAATCAACCTCCAAGGCGTGGAAGAACATTTCTCCACTGAGATAAGACTCCGAATTTGCCCGTCATTGGGACTGCAGTGTCGCTGCCCTGCCACTCTTCCAGACCCTCAAAACTCTCCCGTCGTGGACTTGGATTGCCGGAAAATCATCGTCTGCTCCTTTTCCGTGGCTGTTCCCATTCCTCCGTCATTAGCGCGGGGCAATCCCGACGAGCTGAGCGACTCTTATGCCGAGAAGACGCGGGGCAGCAATCGCTGGACCTGCTTGGCCTGGTGAACAACGGCAAGAGCAAAAGTGACTGAGTGACTTGCGGATAACTGGATCAAGCGCCTATTGCGGAGCATCGTGTGATGCAATAAAACTCCTATTAGAGAAGTCCTTTTCCTCATCATATCCTCTTCTCACCTCCTACCTACAAATCATACCCCCCTTTCATGAATTTCATTGTTGTTCGTGTTTCGAAGCTTCACTCTTAAAGCATCCGGGACCACTCCGCCTCGACCCGAGGTCCAGCTTGAGGAAACGACAATAAAGAACATTCTTCTCTTCAACCTCTCCCTCTTTCATATTCTCTTCGATTTCTAACATCCAAATCCCCAACAATGACTTCCAACGGCAACGGCGCTCCTATGCAGGAGGAGAGGATCAACGTTGACATCATAACCCTCACCCGTTTTCTCACAGAAGAGCAGTCAAAACATAAGGAAGCCACTGGAGATTTCACGTACGTTCTGTATCCCTCTGCGATTTTTTTATTCTGACTTATAGCCCTCCAGATTACTCTGCCACGCTCTCCAATTCTCCTTCAAATCGATAGCATATTACATTCGACGTGCGACCCTCATCAACCTTACCGGCCTCGCAGGCTCAAGCAACACAACCGGCGATGACCAGAAGAAGCTGGATGTTATTGGCAATGATCTCTTCATCGCTGCCATGCGTTCGTCAGGAAAGTGCGCAGTGCTCGTTTCAGAAGAGGAAGAGGAAGCCATTTTCTTCCCAGAACACAAAAATGCTCGTTACGCAGTAGCATGTGATCCTATCGATGGATCTTCCAATCTGGATGCTGGTGTCTCTGTCGGGACGATTTTTGGAATCCACAAGCTGGCAGAAGGCTCAACGGGAACAAAGGAAGATCTTTTAAAGCCTGGTACAGAGCTGATTGCTGCCGGGTTCACCATGTATGGTGCATCGGCACAATTGGTTATTACTATGAAGGGCGGTAGCGTTAATGGCTTCACCATGGACAACGCCCTGGGAGAATTCATTCTCACTCACCCTGACATGAAGATGCCAAAGAAGAGAGCGATCTACTCGGTCAATGAGGGTAATTCACTGTACTGGGAAGATTCAACCAAGGATTACTTCAACTCACTGAAGTACCCAACCGAGGAAGGTGGTAAACCATACTCAGCCAGATACATTGGAAGTATGGTTGCGGATGCCTACCGAACTCTGCTCTATGGTGGTATCTTTGCCTATCCTGCGGATAAGAAGAGTCCGAAGGGCAAGCTAAGAATTTTGTATGAGTGTGCACCAATGGCTATGGTTTTCGAGAATGGTAAGAGAAATGTCACCGTGATAGAGAACTTAGGCTAATAATGTACAGCGGGTGGTCAAGCATTGAACAGTAAGATGAAGCGAATGATGGAGGTCGTACCCGAGCACATTCATGACAGATCAGGTATATTCATGGGCAGCTACGATGAGATGGAGAAGGTCAAGTCATTCCACAAGTAAGCTTTGGTTGGGCTGGTTTTTGGATAGCACGGCTAGGATGGAATTCAGATTGTATATACCTTTGAGGAGTACGTAGGCAATTCTAGAGCATGAATTTCAACTCTTTGCTCGTCCTACATGTGCGAGAGGAGGGTTGGGGGTCAAACCGTTGTCCGTACTTGACGTAGACACGTGATTTCGTCCTGGGTACTCATGCAGGGATGATGTTGAGATGCTGAACTTAATCTGAGGAATGGTCTATTTTGAACAATTGAGACGAGATCCGACATGAGAACCAGATCTCAAGTCCCAATTTATGGACGAGTATTCACAGCTATTCATTGTGCCAACCCAAGTCAAACAACTATTCCAAGGTCCACCTCTATTTTGTCCGGACGTACATTACCTGACCCAGAAAGCAGATCTTGTGAAATTTACATGTAGATGAGGGAGAAGAATCTCCCAACAAACACAGAAGTCTTAATTACAGATGTCTCATCTCTCTAAGAACATTATTGTACGGCTCACGCCACAGACATTATACATCCAATGAACATGAAAGTCCACCTCAACTCCGAAGGCACCCAACCTTGCCCACAATCATGGGCCCTCAGTCCAACTTGCGCAAGAGACGACGAGTAGCATGTTGATCATAATGAGATCGGCCAACGAAGTTTCCCTCGAATGAAGAAGCCAGCAATTTCTCATGGAGATATGTTCAGCTCAAAGACAGAAATTGTCCATAGCCAGGCATATTCAACAGTGGTTTGCATATGAAGAGAAAACATGTCTTGGAACCGAAACCGTACATTGTGAGCAAGAATCAAAATGATCTATTATCACAAAGACAGACATTTACCCACATGTAGATTCCCCAACCTGCACAAGTCTTCCAGCCCCTTCTTCACTGATTCTCCAGAAATCAAGGATTTCGAGCGGCAGTCCACCATCTTAGACCGTCATTATAAATATGGGACTTCGTATCAGGACAGTCTCGTATACTTAGGTATCGACGGGCCGTACATAACCGGGTCTTCAGAAGCCATTAGGCTTTTTGTACATCAAGTAATTGGAATCGCATGGGTTGTCACAAGATGGGAAAGCATTTTTCCGGCATGCATCATCGCCGACCTGATGGGGCTTGGCAAGATTCTACAGGGTAATGTAGTATTGGCAATGGGGACCACCTCCTCGATTCCAATCTCCTCGTAGCAACCAAGCTAACCTCCGGCCTCTCCAACCTGCTCCTCCTCGAGGTGGTCGTCGAACAACTCCCCCACACTCACAGAGCGAACCTGGTACAGTAAATGATTGAAACTGTGGGTTGTAATTCTAATTTTGGGACCGACATGTTCTTTGCTTGATAATAGCAATCATCAAGGACAACAATTAGGTGCTCTTCCTGCCTCGATTGTCCAAGCCGCTGGTACTAGAAGCAATGCCATTGGAGCGAGTGAGCGATTCATTCTTCTTTCATGTCTGTCACTCGAGCTAACAATAACGCAGGGTTTGAAACTTTCATCGCCTACTTAATATGAACACCGCCACAACCCCTTCCTAGGTTTTGATTGAACGAACTGAGAAGATCTACAAAGCAAGATCTTTCCCCAAAACTTCCTCATCTCCACAGTCCAGCCTTGCCCAGAAGTTTGAATGCGAACTTTAAACCTCACAACGTCCACCTCAGTTTCAATCTTAGCCTTGACATTTAGTTCAAGAAGAGAAATAAACAATACATGAGACGGGTTTACGGGCTCATAACAACACCTTTCTTCTCGTCAAACAAGTTCCAAAGCCAGAACGCACAATGGCCAAAATAGTCTTATACAAAATGTCGATAGTGAGCAAGCCGACACTACTGTATGATTTCAGCCCCTCAGCTAGCAAGAGTGAGCTCTGTCTGTACCCTAAAATATGGCTTCTAGGTATCTGGAGAAAGTTCTTGTGATCTGAGGAAACTTAGAAGTATAGCAATTAATTGAAACGTAATTTGTTCGATCTCAGAGGTAGAAAGCCATTAGACGCTTGTCCATGATACAGGTCCCAATATTGACAAGAAAGAAAGAAGTTGCTAGCAAAAACAAACTGAAAAGGAGCAAGTCAATCACATGACGACCGGTGATCGCAACTTCTTACGCTCATAAGCCCGCTAAATCCGTCGTTACATCTTAGATGTTTTCCACCACATTTGGTCACCTCATTGCCTTTCTTGCAACGGATATAATGAAGTACATCGGCATGTCTGTTTTTCATACGCCGATGAATCTAATCTCGTCTATTGGAGCTCCAATAAGTATCGGAGCGTTCGCGGCTCAGTGAGGATACATCTAGAGCCAGACTGCCTCTTAGAGGAGCTCCACATCTCAAGTAACCACTTAGTTAACATAAACCCATTCAGGGACCAACGTCCATTTTCCAACAATGTCCCCACGCATCCAGCCATACGCCGCCGTGCATGAACACCCTCAAGGCGAGGGCGATTCTCGTCCCACCGCTCTGCAGATCATCGAGGACGAAGGACTCATCAACAAGATGACCGACAAAGTCATGCTCGTCACCGGCTCCTCTTCAGGAATCGGCATCGAGACGGTTCGAGCCCTGCATGCAACAGGCGCGCACATCTTCATGCAAGCCCGCGACATGAAAAGAGGACAAGAAGTCCTAGACGAGATAGCCTCCTCCAGCAAAGGAACCGGCAAGCTGGAACTTCTTGAGATGAACCTCGACTCTTTCAAGTCCGTTCGAGTTGGTGCTGAAGAGTTCTTGAAGAAGAGTAAGAAGCTTAATGTACTTGTCAACAATGCCGGAATCAGGAATCCACCAGAAGGGAGGACGGTCGATGGCTTCGAGATCCAGTTTGGCACTAATCATCTTGGTCATTTCTTGCTGTTCCAGCTTCTCAAACCCACGCTTCTTGCTTCCAGCACACTGGAGTTCAACTCCCGTGTTATCAATGTGTCTTCTGGCTCCCATCGTCGAGGACCAATACACTTCGACAACCTCAACCTGGATGGCATCTACACTCCTCGCTTAGGCTATGCTCAATCGAAGACGGCAAACATCCTCATGGCTAATGAGATCGAGAGACTATACGGAAGTCAAGGTCTGCATGGATTCTCCATCAGTCCAGGGCTAATCAAAAGTCGTGCTCAACGACACGATGATCCGAAGGATTTAGCAGCCATATTGCCAACGATCAAGGATCTCTTGAAAGACCCTGCTCAGGGTGCTGCGACCACAGTCTGGGGAGCTGTTGCGAAGGTCTTGGAAGGGAAAGGTGCTATGTATTTGGAGGATTGTGCAGAGGCTGTGGATGCTCCAGATCAGGATATGATGAGGGGTGGGTATGCTCCTTTTGCATTTGACGAGGAGGCTGAGAAGAAGTTGTGGAAGGTCAGTTGTGAGATGGTCGGTGTGGAGGAATGAATGTCCGTATGAGTTTCCCTACTTGCTGCAGCCTTAAGTCGGGCCTTCTGTTGGGATATTGTGATAGTGAGGAAAAGCCTTTGAAATATATGTGATGATCAGATAATACTTTCTGGTACCAATGTCCAAAATGCATTTCCATGAATTCGTTGCAATGGCTTCATTGTCCGTCCGGATGTTGATCATTGCCGTCTCACATTGTCTGACCATAGTATAGACGAGATTCGACAGTAAGAAGCACATTCCAACGATGCATTGAACAATGTCAAGCAGGGTATCTCGTCCTCCAAGTCTTCACCATACCATATCATACACAAACGTACAACCTCTCTCTGCACTTGTCCTCAAAAGTCCTTCCTGATCCCAAAGAAGTAGTTCCCCACCCTCTCACTACTACTGACCTCCTTCCATCCCAACCCAGGCACATAAACAACCCCCATAACTCTCGGACTGTTCCACCCCCTCTCCCTCAAGAAATGTGCTCTCAACTCCTCCTCATTAATATACTTCTCCCAATCATGCGTTCCTCTCGGTACAATCCTCGCCAAATCCTCAGCAACCAGCTTGGTCGTAAACCAACTCATCCACGTCCTCGCTATTGTGCTCATTACTATCCATCCTCCAGGTTTCACAAACGGTGTACATTTGTCCAAGAACTCCGCTGGATGGGTAATATGTTCTATGACTTCGAATAGCGAGAGGAGGTCATACTGTTCCTCCGCAGAAGTTAGGAGAGGAAGTCCTTCAATCGAGGTATTCAGGTACGTTAATTTGTCCTTGAGACCCGGATCTCGTCTCGCATGTCCCTTCGCAACAGCTAAAACCTCAGACGAAGGATCAATAGCCGTCACACTACCCGTACTACCCAGCCTGGCCGCGCTCTCAGCAAAGATCCCGCCTCCACATCCGATATCTAGATACTTCAACCCCGACCTGAGAGGAGCGTCTGGTTGTGAAGCATGGCAGGTTCGGATGAAATCATGTCGAAGCGGATTCATAAGATGGAGGAGTCGAGAAGAACCATGTGGATCCCACCACGTCGAAGCCAGAGCATTGAAATGCGAGACCTCTTCTGGGTTCACCGAAGAAGAAGCAGACGTTGTGCTCTGCTGGCGCCGAAACTGGTTCTGCACGAATCGAGGCGCGGTTCTGAGCAATAGATTCAAATTGCGCAGTGAGGTCGCTCGAAGCGGTGCCGGAGCCGCCATTGCTTCCCTCCTCAGCTTGCAAGGTCGGAAGTGAGGTAAGATGTTGGTCAATGGCTGATGTCTTGATTGTTTGTCTTGCTGACGCACGATTTATTTGGGCTGCCGTAAGCACGCATACCTAGGCAGGCTCGGGAAGGCCTCGGCTCTAGAACCCGACGTTACTCCTGCAGAAACGGAACCCTGTCAATCATCTGTAATCCATATGCAAGCCCCGGAGCACCATCCCATTTCTTCGGGTCGCTGTCGTGATCAGTAATAAATATCCGGGAGACTTCACTCCTGTTTTCTTGCTCATACTTCTTGGATATCTACCCTCAATTCTCAACATCTGGACATAATATTTGAAGCGATTGAAAGCAAGAGAAGCAGTTCACGACCCCGCCTTCAGATATTTCGAAGAGCCGGCTTCAAGCGGGGCATTTTTTTTTTTCTATCCTCACTCCCAACTCACTCAGTCACACGCAACACGAACGAACACACAATTACCCAAAATGCCTTCCCAATCCATAGCCCAGAAATTTGACTCTATAGAAGATACAATCGCAGCCTTCAGTACGATTCCCCGCCCTCCCCTCTTCCTCAACCCTCACTAACCACTCTCCCAGAAAACGGCGAATTCATAGTAGTCCTCGACGACCTGTCCCGCGAAAATGAAGGCGACCTCATAATAGCCGCTTCAGCCAGTACGTTCAAGTCACTCTTGCTCCAAAGGACATTTTGGGACCTCTACTCTTGGGCCAGCTACCTTAGCATTTATAAACCATATTCTAATCCTCTCAATCAGTAACGCCCTCAAAAATGTCCTTCATGATCCGCCACACCTCCGGCCTAATCTGCGCGCCCATGCCCCCCTCCCTCTGCACCCACTTCGCCCTCCCGCAAATGGTAACCTCGAACGAAGACCCGAACCGAACCGCCTACACAATCTCCATCGACGCCAACTCCCCCTTAACCACCACCGGCATCTCGGCCTCCGACCGGGCATTAACCTGTAACCTACTCGCCGAGAAGAGCTCCACGAAAGACAGCTTCCGGAGACCGGGCCATGTGTTCCCGTTGAGGGCGAAGGAGGGCGGGGTGAGGGAGAGGACGGGCCATACGGAGGCGGCGGTGGAGTTTTGTCGGTTGGCGGGGATGCCGGAGGTGGGTGTGATTTGCGAGTTGGTGGAGGATGGGGAGGAGGTTGAGGGGCAAGCGGAGAGGAGGGAGGGAGGTATGATGAGGCGGGATGGGTGTTTGAGATTTGGGGAGCGGTGGGGGTTGAGGGTTTGTACTATTGAGGATTTGGTTGCGTATGTGGAGAGGACGGAGGGGAAGTTGGGGGGTGGGGTGGGGAAGGAGAATGGAGTTGTTAATGGGAGTTCGTGATGGCGTTAGTCGGTGGGAAGGCGGTTTGGAAAATTACTGCACGTTTGGAAAATTAGACCGTTCAGATTCAAGGGCAAGTGTGTTTATAAATTTGTCATCTGGTTGATCAGGGGCTCTTGAACTGCCGGTTTGAAGTGAGACACAGATCAGTCCAATGGTCCTCGTGCAGCCACTAGTCACCGGTGATCATCGAGCTACAAAACAATAGTCAAGAGTATGCTTATATCTCTCTCTTAAACTAACTAAACGCTAATCACCTGCAAGCGTCGATACTCACTACACTCTCTCAACCCAAAAATGCCAGATACATACCCTAAAGAGACAATCCGCCAAGTTCGCTTGCTTCAATCCCACATCAACCCCAACACCTGCATTCCCCGCGAGGAACCACAAACAATTACCAGCATCCACAACCCATCCATCACCAAAAACACCACATACTTCTCCAACCATCTCTCACCCCACACATCTCCCTCCCAAACCCTCAGCAAACCCAAATAACCCCCAACCTACCCACCCTCTAACCTCGCCGGCACCTCCTTCAAGTCTTCACTAAACCGACCAATTTAACAAAACCGGTATCCCTTCACTCCCGTACTAGCAGACATCCGGCTTCGAATATTGACCGAGTTGCCCTCGTAAAAGAGGTGTTTTTTCTCCGTTCGCGGCCCTGGTACCTGATAGGTTCGACCATCCTTGGTTGAGGGAATGATAGGAGGGTTGTATACAACTTGCCTAGGTAGTCAACAGGATTCGCAGGCTTTGAGTTGTGAATTGTGTTAGTTGTGTTGGTATAACGTCTACTGATGGTTTACTGTACTCAGCTTGTGAATACTTTCCTGATTGCGTTGTTATGGCTTGGAACTGGCTGGTGGATAGGATACAATTTCCCATGACAGAGAGAGGCTGACTGGAATATTTACTCTGAATTGGTCTGCTAAGACTATAAGTTTTGAACATTAGACTTTCTAGTACGAGAAGGAGACGTCATCTACAAGAAAGTATCGTTGATATGCAATGCCTCGTCTGGACGAACAGGTCTCTACACTCCAGGCAAGTGGCAGGATTATCTTCTGCCTGGGCTGGATCTATCTCACGCCGATTTTCAAGATTGTATGAAGTTGATGTGTTTCATTGCTCACAGTCTTCAGCTAATCTACAGTGCAGCATGCACGATTTCTATTTTTTTTTTCTCGCAAGCCCGCCAGCAATCAAAATTCCCGACCAAATGTACCAATTGCATTGCTAGTGTCCCTTGCGAACAAAGAAAACCACCCGCCATGCCAAATCAATGAAAAGCAATTGGCCAGATCCTCGTAAACGTCGTAGATGGCTTTGCAGCCCGCACACCATCTTGAGTCATTCGGATACATGTGGTGTATCAGACCAGGTCTAATATGTAACCACCCCGCTCTAGAGGCAAAGAAAATTCAGGATACAGTGAAAAGGAAAAGAATGAAGAAAAATGAACGCCAATTTTTGGAGGTGCTGTAACCCTGTGATGTATGCTGCAATGCCCGCAGAACTCCTTGAGAATGAGAAATATACAGGGTATCGAACACTTCTGTCGAGAGAGGCAAAGAAAGTTGTCGCACGAGTGATCGGAGATGCTAAAGAGGTTGTAATGTCGAGTGGAGTGAACTAGGTTCATAGGGTTGTGTATGTGCTTCATTGGGCAGCGGTCCACATTTCGCTGATTCGAGGTTTGACGTCGTAACCATCTACACCAGAGTTTTGTTGTCTAGTGTTAGAGCTCGGGTAGTACATCTGCTGTTGAGCAATCGCACCGGAACCGTACGGATCGGGGTCTGGATAAACGTAACCGTTGCTTTGCGAAGGCGATGGCATATTGTTCTGCGAAGGGGATTGCCAGCCAACAGTGCTCATATGAGGACTGCCGTTTGCACTACCAGGCTGACGCTGCTCCATGGTGGGAGTTGGTTCGAGAATCGAAGGTGGTCCGTAGCCCGTGGGGTGAGACGTTGGTCGCATGCCATTGGGAAATGTTGCGGTGGTCTGAGCCGGTTGATTTTGCATGTGGTACTCGGTACGGAGATGGCCTGGCAAAGGACTGTTGCTCATGTACGGTTGGTACTCGGATGGATGGCGGGGCATTGCGTTCAAGGGAGCAAGCTCAGAGTTTGGTGAGGCAGACATAGTTCTTTGGCCAGGCGATGGTGTAGACATTGGTGAGCCATTGTTCGAGTATTGCTCGCCATCAGATCTTGGTCGACCACCACGGTTACTTCCTCCACCGCGTGTTGCTAGAGCTGCTGCTGTAGCTGCTGCGGCTTCCTCGACGGTTCCAGTGTGATGATTTTGGTGGCGAGTAAGTGTGGTACGACGAGTGAAGGTCTTTTGACAGTCTGCATAAGGACATTTGTAAGGTCTCTTTCCTGAGTGTATCCGACGATGTCTTGCAAGGGAACTTGAGTCGCTGAAGGGCTATGATGATAATTAGTTTTGTCAATATCGTTGGAAATCCGAGCTCACCTTTCCACAACGTTCGCACATGTGAGGTTTTTCACCTGTATGTACTCTCATGTGCACAGTCAAGGCGGATCGTTGAATGAACTGTTTGCCACACCCTGGGTGCTCGCATACATGAGGTCTGTGGCCACTGTGGATACGTTCTTTGTATTCTTAGCATGTGAATCATACGTCTAACAATTGAAATGACTTACCATGTCGTGCCAGATCACTTCTTCTCGCAAATCCCTTGCCACAGGTGCCACAAGGGAAAGCTTTCTGAGTAGCGTCTCCTGGTTGACGTGGTGGTCTGGTAGTGTCTTGTTGCATCATACCATTATCGAAGCTGCTGTCAGTTCGATAAGGTTGCTGTAACATAGGGAGAGGATTTTGCATGGCAGTTGGAGATGGGTAGCGCATGGCATTAGGTCCACCATTGATTCCGCCCATCTGTCCATATCTAGGAGCAGAGTACCGTGAGTGCTCTGAGTCGTGCGGTGAGTTCCCTCGTTCTGAACCCGTGTCCGACATCGGGATGCTGTTGGCTTGTGAAATCGAATGAAGCAGATGAAGATCCTGCGCTGTGCCATTTGCAGCAGCAACAGCGGCGGCTCCTTTTTGGCCACCTTTGGAGTTGACAATCTGCTTGATATCCATAGTGACGAGATAATGGTACTGACCGTCCAAAGAGGGAGGAGTAGCGGACGACCGCGATTATAGAGAAATTACGAACGCTTGGATCAGGCGTTCGTCCAACTGTTCGGTATGATGCGGGAATCTGAGATGTCTCTCGATTCTGAAGGTGATGTCTCGGGGAGACGCGTTCGGAAGGCTGTTTGCAGGTGTCGAGCTGGACTTGACTCGCCAGATCCTAAGCAGATCAAACACAGCTTAATGGGTCGACAAAGTCAACACGCGGCCGATAACGTGACTATTTGGCCTGTGTTCAGAGTCTTTCTTCTCGTGCACGACAAGACGATGGTGATGCGCCTGGTGGAAGATTCTATGGTTTCAAGACGTCAGCTTCGCGTAAAAGATCAATGGTGATGGAAGAAAGTAGAGGGCGCGAATAATGATCGGCGTCGTTGCTAGCGGACAACATCCACACCGCCAATTCTCGGGTGGAGGAAAAAAGTACATGTCAGGAAGAGAAAGTGGAGGAGAGTGTAAGTGAACATGCATCAATCCGAACGTGCTCACCTGGTCGAAGATGACAGAGCGAAGCCAAATAGGCGCTAGACTGGATTTCCTTCCCAGCTTTGCGGACACTGGGTTCGCGGGGGGCGGGAATGTCAGAACGCACGGGCAACCGAGCCGCCGGTTAAAATTGGGCGGTTTTTTCTTTTACGACCGTGAAACGCAGGGCAGCTCGAAACCTTTGTCGCCCAATGCGTATAGCCTGGCCGAGTCTGATGGCGCGATATCACCGAGGCAGAATATGCGTCGACCTTGCTTGACCTGGTCCTCGGACCCTTGTTTCCGGTGCAATTCTTTGACGGAGAACCTGAAAAGGTCGCTCTGCTTGTGGGACTGATGGCTCTGGGTGCGTGATAAGTCTGACTTCTCCGTTAGGAGTAACAGGTTTGTGCGGTATGCTGCAGTGTCTTAGGCACGAGCCAGAGGTTCGTCCGATGAAGTGATGTATCGAATTGGTAGAACTTGGAGGGTGCCGTGGCGTGGCAGAGAACAAAGATTGAATGCCGAGATGTGTTTCCTGACTTGGGGCTGATCAGGCCGTGAGACTGCTCGGTGAAGGGCTGGGTCCTGCTGATATCGGGCAGCAGCGCTCAACTCAATGCGCTTCTCGCTCTTTGTTGTAGGACCTTTCGACTAAGAAGTAATGTAGAAGAAGGATCGAATCGAAAAGTCGCGCAGAACAGATGTGTTTGTCCTGTGAAGGGCGTCGTCAAGAGATCGATACGGGCAGTGGTAGAAGAGGAGTGTGGGAAAAATCGAGAAGTGTGTGAACACGAGGCTCTCTGAAAATCGGAAAGGCTATTGTCGGTCAGCATCTATTCCCGCGTAGGTCAAGCTTGGATGGATTGGGGAAATACTTGCAGTGAATGTCGCGCTTTCAGTTGGAATCGAGTCGAGCGAGGTTGCGTTGGAAGTAACACGAGGATACCTCGGACCAAAGCACGCCGGCTTCTGGATGGCCAGGTTTCGAGCTCAACGTCGTCGAGGTCTCGGGGCGGGAACTGGGGATAACGAAAGGTCGTGAAATTTTGTCTGAGGATCTGAGGAGGATGGGGGTCTTTGAAGGCGGAGGGCGATGAGCGGTTTGTTCGAGATGATGCTCAGGAATGGAAAGTTCAGATTCGTGCCGTGTCGATTATCTGCGGTAGGTGCAGCGTGCAGAGTGCAGTTGGGTTGCAGGATAGGTAGGACAGAACGTCGTCGCCTTTTCCATCCAAGATTTCTTATTATTTCTTCGATTGCCCTGCACTGGACTGGACGACAGAGTGCTCAGTGCTGGAGGGTGGACAACACCGCTAGACCTCACTGGGGCTGGGATGGCGCTCTCGCTGGGCCGGACGTGGATCGTCACTCAAAACGTGAAGGTGCCTGGGAGTGGGAGCTTGACCTCGCTAACAACGACCGTGCAAGGTGCAAGAAAAATAATCGAAGCCCAAACCCAAACTTGCATGGGGGGGAGGGGAGAGGATTAAGAAGGGTCAGGTCAAGGATCACAACCCTGTCGGTAGGGAGCGGTGGTCGTGGCTGAGGGCGGAGTGGGAGTCAGGACGCCGGGTGTTTCTGCTGGGACGCTGGGAGTGATGTATGGATGGATGCGAATGAACCGTCTCCCGCGAGATGGCCAGTGAGAAGGGCGGCGGGGGGGTGGACTCTGCGTCTTCTGTTGCTCACTAACTTTCTGCTGCTGGTGCTGGTGCTGCTGCTGCTGCGTGCTTTCTTCTGTGATGCTGCACTATCGTCTCTCTTTTTAGGGTCGTACCGAGGCTAATGGCGATCAATGTGACCAACAAGTGCTGGGTCCTGCGAACGTCTCGAGTAATAAAACGTCCACCCTCGTAGGGAAGGGTACGATCGACTCGAGCAGGAGACGGAGAGTGGGAGATTGTTGATTGTTGGTGCAAGAAGGGCAGGCAGGCCGCGGGAAGAGAGGTGGGTGAGTAAGTGAGGGATGAAAAAGGAAAAGAGAAATTAGGAAAAGAAGAAGAAGGAGGAGGAGAAGGAAAAAAGGCAGAGAGAGGCAAATTGATGGTTGTCCCTTCCTTATGCTGATGCCATGCTATACTATGCTCGACGACGGGCACACCACACGATGGTTGCTGTTCTGTTACTTGCTGGCTGGTCATATTATTCATTCATGGGCGTTGACCCCGGCCACGATGAGCAATGGGAGTTGAGAGCATTGATCGCGCCGACAGGGTTGCGGGCTTCTAGTCTTTCTAGAAGAAGGCTACCCCTGCTTCTGGAAGCTCAGAAGAATGCACACGCGCAGACGAGTGGTGGCAGATGGTGGTGTGGCCGTAGGTGCGGGTCGACGAAGGGGGTGTGCGTGGGTGTACAGTGGTACCTACCTACCTACTCAGCACTGTGTGTAACTTGGCTATTCTGTACTTACCGCAATCTTCTCTCGGCGGTCCGTCCGTCTCTGTTTTGGTTTGGTCTGGTCTGGTCTGACTAAACTCCTTTCTCTTCTTTGGATATTTCCTTGCAATACTTAACTACCTAGGTATAGTTTGTATAGTATATGGCTGCCCTTCAGTAACAGGCAAAGATCCCAGCCACACCGCACCGGTTCATGTCACTGCCTGGCTACTGCTGCTCTGGCTTGGACGCTATCGATCGCCATCTTCAACGCTCATTTTCCCATTCGAAACATCTCGTCGCCAAACTTCTGCTTCTCTGACCCGGGCCCGCTTCGTCGGTGGACTCACTCCACATGCCTGCATACGCTACGGAGGAATAGGGCTATGGGAAGGGAAGGGAAGGGAAATACTTTCCTCGTCGACCACGTAGACCGGATAAACACAGAGCTTGCGAACCACTCTTAACCTACTCGAAGCACTCCAGAGTCCAGTCAGAAGGGCGGACAATTTCCATCCTTGTTTCTGCATTTTTCCCTACTGTACCCTCCTCTCCTCTTTTCTCGTGTCTCCTGCAATCAGGCGAAGAGAACAGCCTCACAACTCGACCGTGTTTCACGTTTAGATGGGACGAGCTCGCAGCGAAAACGAGGCAAAACGTCTGGTTCAGCGACAAAAGCAACCAAGCCACCTGGAATGGAGTCGATTCTTAGCGACGGTACGGCATTCATCTCTGTGATCGATCGCAGTGCCTGTCCACTCAACGCTCATGACGACTCCACGGTACACGAAAGGGTCCTGCTGCTCGTGAATCGTACAGATGCTGTACTCCGTACAGGGCCTTTTAAAGGTTAATGCTCAGACCCCTTGCCACTCTCTTTCCACACCTAGGCGCACCACTTATGGCATGCTTATAGCACGCTGCTTTTAGTCACTTTCATAAAAAATGAAGCTATTTAGACTACTATTTTATATATGCTCCATGGGCATCTATGACATCCTTACAGCGCTGGGGCATAGTGCGAATGATGTCCCATGCCTCATTTACAGCTGCTCTGGCCCTCCTGTAGTTTCTGTGTACATGAGGATCTAATGCTTCCAGAATATCCTTCATTCTATTCCATATACTCTCTATAGGAGAGAGTTGAGGGTGCTGGAGTAGAATGTCAGCAATAGACCAGCCTGCAGTATAATAGAGGGTCTACAGCCTAAGCTTATCATCCCTAGAGAGCTCTCTATTGCGTGGAGTCTTGGGTACAAGAACATAATAGTTTTCCATGATAAATTAGAGTAGTAAAGCAGCATCAGAGTAGCTGGAGAGAGCAGGAGATGCCCTTTATTATGATTGGAAGATGGCCCTTGCACCTGACAAGTGATAGGTGGAGTGAGGGGTGGCAACATCACTTCATTTTAACCTTTAAAAGGCCCTGTGGGTTGTACTTCTCGTGGGGGAGAGCGTCCGGGAGCATGTGTGTACAGTAGCAAGGACCACTTCGTGCACACCGCCACCTCTGGTCCGAACTTACTATCCCCCCCCATGAATAAAGGGCCGGTGGAGAACAATAGGGCTGATTAGCAACAAAGGGGTGTCTGCCAATAAAATTAAAAGTGTGATCTCCGCCTTAGAAATTTCCAGATTCCTACTGGCACACCCCCTTGTCACTACACAGCCTCAAAATATCTCCACCGGCCCTTTATTCATGGGGGGGGGGGGGGGGGGGATAGTAGATGTTTGAACGTCAGCAACCCAAATTTTACAGGCTTTCACAGGCTGGCTTTCTTTTAAGCTCTTCCAAAAGTGGACTGCATCTCAGGGGACGAAATGACAGCTGAAACCTTTCCGTCCAAATTGAGCTTGCCCTTTAGAGCAGGCCAGAGGACCATTGCCGATATCTTCACGAACAGCTGTTTGGAGTATAGGTACGTACACATACACGTACCAACCTCAGTCGACTCTCCAACCCGCTCCAACAATCAGACAGAGTCATCTAGCTTGCCGCTATCCTGCTGCCGACCAATCGTCACATGCCGTAGCCGATGTGAACGTGTATTGGGGCGTCTAGACGTGAGCAGTGGCATTGCGCCGGGCTCACGGTGATACATCACTGTCTGGATTGTGATCCGACTCGTGAGGCGTCCAACAAGACCACCTGTTTCTTGTCTGGACGCTTCGACCATCGAGTGGCATGCGAGAAGGTTGCTGCTGCCGCGTCAGTGGGCTGCCACGCGATGGCGAAGGGTCTGTGCGACAAATTTGGCGGCATATCAGAGAGAAGACGGGGGAGTCATGCCATGAAGCAGGTCAGCGTGACGTGTGATTGGCAATTAATTGGTACCTTTTCACCAAATTGCAGCAGTTAATTAAGTACTGAGAGCAGGGTCTGAGCATCTGAACCCTTCAGGCTTGGCGACCACTCTCTTTGGACAAGCTTAGACCCCGGATGTACCACTGCTCAAACTTACTCTCCGAATCCGAAGGATGTGCTCTCTAACCTGCAACCTGGAATCCATGCTGATTCGCCAAATCGACATAAATTCATTCCATTGATTTGGATGTCCATGGGTCAGGATACTTGCAGGTCAGAGAGGGATGAGGTAACGGCGGATTGGCCCCCATGCATTGTTGCTACTGTAAGTTGCTAACCAACGCCGTGCCCCGAGTCTCCCACGGTTAGCGAAGGGTTTCCTTTTTCTTTTCTTTTTATCTGAGGTCTTTTCTTGCGACTTTCCTATTCAGACGCCGCCATTGACGCTCGTGAACGGTTTTGCTTCTTTTGACTGATTGATAACGTTGCGGGATGAACGCGGCTGACTCACTACCCACTACCCACGATCAAAGGTGGATGTACACTTGGCATTGGCCACCGTTGGCTCTTCTCTATGCAGCTAACTTGGTCGCCTCTGGCTTCCTCAAGTCCCAGTCCAAGCATCGGACGAGGAACCTGCTGAAAGAAGGCCCGCTGTCCGTCTATCAAACGCCACTAATTGCGACTTGCGATCTCTTCGGGAGATTGGCCGAGCCTGCCGACCTGGGCAGGCCAATACTGTAATTAAATTTGGGAACAATTGCTCAACTGATCTCACTCATTCAAGCGTCGCTATGGTCGGCAAAGGGTCATGAATCGCACACTGGTTCTTGTCTCCACCTGCATACAAGGTTTGCGCTCTGCCAAGGACAGCAGGACTGAATCGTGAGGGACCAGGGAGACATGCCAATCCAATGCAGAGGGTCAGCAGAAAGTTTATGAAATGATGACAAATTAGGTCTCTTTCGGAGGATGAATACTAAAAATCGCCGGAGTGTGGAGGGCAGTCCCAGATCGACGAGTAAGTTCCTGGACCATATCCAAAGCAGACGGCAACCCGGGTCTAGGATGAAAGAAGAAAGTATCCAGAAGGCTTCTAGTTTCTTTCTAGAAGCATGAAAAAAGCATGAATGTTTCATCTCCCACACTACAGGGGCCTCTTGAAGGCCCCACATGAGGCAGCGGGCGGGACCAGCCAGGTGTTGCGTCAAGAGAGGAGGAGGGAGGTCAACGGTCGTCCTGAATTGTGAGATCCTTCACCGAAAGTCTATGGCAATCTCGGTGACGCTGCGGCCTAGTCCCCTTCACCGTCATCATTACCGTCATTCTTCAGGCGGACGGGATGCATATTGCTTGCTTCTATTTGCAGAATCGTGGCGCCTCATCTGCAAATAATGCCAGTGCCTCAGCCAGAATCTGCGTCCGCTATTCGCTTCAATACTTCCGGTGCTCAAGTCTCCAGGAATGCCTGTTACCCAGCAGCAGGACAAGGTAGCAACGCACGCCTCACTGTCATGTCGAATCGACGATCGCTCATCTGCCCCATCTACTCCTGCACCAGTCGGTCCAGTACCGTGACCAATCAGGGCTGCAGGTCGAACACCACCAGGAACGACGCTGAAGCCGCTGCTGCAGTCTTGATGGGATAGAAAACGCTTTGGCCGTGTCTATGTATCGGCCGGGTTGCAGAACTCACTTTCCAAAGCCTTGATCCCGGACAGAAGGAGACCCATTGTTGCATCTTACATCGGTAAGATAGGGGGATGAGGATGACCCTAGCTTGCCCTAATTTTCAGTTTTGTCTTCCGAGCACGGTCGTCAGTTTCGACCGGCTTAGGATAATGACACCACACGAGCTTTTGAAGCACTTCACATCGAAGGATCTGCTACTGTACGAGGAGAACGGCACGGGTAACTAGTCTTCTCGACCTAATTGTTCCTGCTACCGAGGTAGTTTATCAGATCGGGATGCCATGTGGACAAGATTAAACTAACACACGCAGGATGACGAAGTCACAGCCCAAAGTCCTCGATTCTTGACGACGAGACTTGGCTGTAGCTGCCAACTGCCAACCTGGATCTGAACATGCCAAGTCGGACTGGGAGCGACATTGTTTCCGAAATGTCGGGCCTGCTCAGCATCAACGAGTCGCCGACAGGAACGATGGATGGCATGCTTTCGGCAGGGGACTTGCAAGGGCGCCTCGTCTCCAGACGATCGAAGTTCACTCGACATCGCTCTTCCTTGAACCCAGATCAGGTCATGGCCAACCTGGAAACTTGGACCAACTCACGAATCACGTCAGATCTTCAAACGCCCAACGGGGTTCGTCTGGCTGCAACATGTCTCAACGCACGACTCGCAGCGCCAGTGCGCTCGTTCCTGATGTCTTCAAATCTTTCCAGAACGGTCTTAGAAGGAACTTAGGCTCAGGGTCTTTCTGAGGCTGACGAAATTTAAACTCTATCTTTATCTTGCGCGAAATTGGGCATCAAGAGATGCTAGCACCACCTTACGTCGCGCATAGAGGCCAGTGGCGATCCACAATACCGTTCATGCAAGATCTGCTGTCGAAAAAGGGATATTGGAAATGGTTGCGAATCTGCTTTATCAGTCAACTGTCAAAGGCCGATGGCACGTCTGCAGGTGTAGCACCTGCAGGTGATTTTGACTTTAAAACAATCTAGCCGTGGAGTGCCACCGAGCTTAAGCAAGCCCGCATCGTTAGCCAGCGAGTAACCTCTTAGAGATCTTCAACCGTCGGAGGTTGCTCCTCTACACATCACGGCAGGTTGCCAGTCCAATACTTCTGATGGGCTTGTTGATTTGGCACACCGACTCAATGAAGATAATATGAATGGCCGTCACTTGACGCCTTATGATGCAAGTGGCATCGTCTTTGAAGCAGCGGTCTGGTGGTGATCTTGAAATCGCATCAATTAGCGCCTTCTACTATCCTCCAAAAAAGCTCTATCGGCCCCACATCCGTGTGGAGGAGGCGTTCGACTATTGCTAGACTCATGTCCAAATCGCAGTCAATCTGAGCTCGCCAAGCTTCATCGTTCTTGATTTGGATATCACCAGCCTCGCGGGATCTACCGAATTGATTAAACTAAATCAACGCCCTGCGATGGTGCTTCTGGGTTTTCCCCTGCTAAGCGGCGGCGACGAGGTGGAGGGTGGGTTGTGCTTCTATCCACAGTATCTAATTTATTGATCCTCACAAGTTGCAAGTTGAGGGGAAGTACATTGATTCCTCGCTGACCTGTCCGTCAGGCAAGCCTCAAAGTTCTAGACCAGAAAGACTAAGACCCTACTGCAGATCGTTAGGCCCAATAGTGAACAGTGAGGCAAGATCAGCTCAGATCTCACTTGGATCGATTATTGAAATATGCAGTGCTACCAGACCTGCTCGTATTCCTGCATCCAATCTACTCTAACAGGAATGCGAGAAATAAGGTTTTCTTTGACGTAGTATTCGGAGATCATAAAGGTTGCAGTTCGTGCTAGTGTAATACAACTGGTTCATCGGGCTTTGAAGGTGAGATTTTCGCACGTTGTTACCACGTGGAGATAGACTTCTAGTTTTAATTCTAGTGTTGTCTAGCTCAAGATAGTCAACCCTCCAAAAAAAACAATGTGCGGTTCGTATACTGACTCGTGTCTTGGCGCAATTATATCCTCTTACTCGATCGTCCACCACATCAACAACTTCAGTGGCCTTGAAATGTTTTCTTTTGTGTGTGGCACTCCCTGTCTGTACAAGCCATGAGATCTGCAACTACGAGGAATATTGGAATTCTTCCTTGTTAAAGATGGTGGTTTATGCTTCATCTGCAGTTCGGGATGAGTCAAGAGTTGGCTTTCTTCAGCTGTCTTGTCAACAAAGTGCGTGTTTCCCATGGAGCCACATCATATTATCGATGCAGGACTCGACTACTTAGTGGCGGTGGAATGGTCCTCAGAAAATCAGCCAGTAGGAAATGTGCCGGTCCGTATCGAAGGAACATTCGGCGGCCCCGATGTGCTAGCCGTGGTGACCCAATGCATGCGGGCTTCGGTTTATTGCTGCTACACGTTTCCCATCAATGGTGTGCGGGCCGCTGCCGAATCTTCCTCTTGATTGCTTGCCGACGGGAACTGTCATGCTAGCGAACGGCGGCACCTCCCCCCTTTACTCTGCATAGTGTAGGGAGGGAAGGGATAGGTTCGATTCGACTCTTGCCAAAGCTTGGACGTGGATACTATTGTTGAGCTGACGACGCTCTTCACCGCTTGCTCTGAATCGTAGATTGTGTGAATCATCTCAGCAGTGACGATTCGTGTGGTGATGTGGCCTCGATTCTGGACATGTCCAGGTGGGAAAATGCTCAGGAGTGAAAGGCTCCTGTGAGGGTGCGGTGTAAAATGGACGTGAATCTGCTTTGTGCCATTCTGTTGCTACATCCTGCAAATTATACATCGTGTTTGTATAGCAATGCCTGAAATGTCTTCTTTCACTACCTTAATCCTATACCCCGTGAGGTATTGCTACACTTGAAATTTGATCTCCTTGCCATGTACAGTTGCGATCAAAACATTCAACGAATAGACGTTCTCTCACGTCATCAGCTCACTATTCCTGAACTATGTCACTCAACTCTCAAATATCTTTAAAGATACTGGTGATTGATCTTGATGCCAAGTTTCCACCAGTATGATACAATTCACTCATGATGTTGACTCAACTGCCTGCACTGTTCTGTGAGTCACTATTTTCGTAGAGGCCATATCATTTACCATCGATTTGACCCTCCACCCTGAAAGAAACACACGGTCAAACATCTATTTACATATGGCCTTCACTTGAAGCACAAGGACATAAAGCCTGCCGGGGCCAAACCGCAATATCTTGGCAATTAGGTCTTGCTCTTATAACAATAAGTCTCATCAAGCTCAAGTCCTACAAAGGCATCATCGTCAAGGTTATTAGCAAATCTATCCCAAGGACAAAGAAGGGAGAGCTTCCCATCTATTGATCACACACCTGAACTACATCCAAGGTAAATGGATCCTCATCCTCAAACACTAGAAAGATCATTAACGCCCCTCCCAGCCCTCAAAAATGTACCTCACCACCCTCACCCTCATCCTCGCCTGCCTTACGCTCCCCATCCTCTCCCACCCAACAACCAAACCCCTAGCCTGGGTCAACCTCCTCCCTCTCCTCCCCCGCGACTCCACCTCCACCACAACATCCTCCTCACAGTACGTCCCACTCCTCCCTCCCTTCCTCCCTCTCCTACCTTAAACTCTCACTAACCTCTTCCCCCATCTTCCAGCCCCCTCTGCACCCCACCCCCCGGCTTCACCCTCGGCTACCAACACTGCACCTTCGCCTCCGCGATCCTGACCCCGTCCCTGAACCCGCTCTCCAACACCAGCGTGCTGGCAGACTGCTGGGTCTTTGATGCGGTGTGTGATTTAGTTGGGCAGGGGCTCAATGTGCAGGTTGAGGGGTTGGTAGGGGGGTGTTTATGGGTTGGGAGTGAGTTGGAGAGGTATGTACTTTTTTTTGGGGGGGGGGGGGGGGGGGGGGGGGTTATGGGGATGGTTGGGGAACGTTGCTGATTGTGTGTGGTAGTGCTGTTACGGTTAATTTTGGGGATGGCAGGGTGGGCACCGGGAGTCCGGTTGTGGGGTATGGGGGGAAGATGTGGGACGGAGGGGTGGGGGATTGTTGGTGGTAAGTCAGCTTCCTCGAGTTTTAGGATCCGATCTATTTGTGGGATGTGGGCTAATTGAATGTCGGATGGTTCAAGATGATATTGGAGGGATTTGGGGATGTGTGTTTGAGTTTGATTGCTATTGATACTCGGTTGCACAACGACGAGCGATGCATTGAGGGAGTGTAAAGCGGCTGCATGGATGTATAACTCGAGACCGGTGCTTTTGTGGGGTCGAAGCACTTTAGTGTTACGTTGACTTTGCATTGGGATTGAATACTCTTCTCCGCTTGTATGTAGTTTAGATATCGTTGAGTTTGGTAATCAATTTTCACTTCAAATGTTCTAGGGATGAATGGTTCAATCTGGAATGCAGAGTTTGAGTCCTGTAAGTACTGGGGTGAGTGTATGATTTGATAATCCTGAAGTTGTAAATCTTTATGGCAAATAGGGCCGGAGAAAGTCGTTTTTACTGAGCTGTCTCACTGAGCTGAATATAAAACTTGAACCTCTTGAAAGTCCCAACTATATTAAAATGAAAGAGACCATAGCAAGCCAGATCTACACATAGAATTTGTATAAACAACAGAAGAGCTAATCTAACCCTGAAGTGTCACCTTCCTCTGATCACATTAAAATCTTGTTGATATTTCTACTCGCTTCGCTTCGCTACCCCTTTTTGTGTCTTTCCGTGTGCTCAATAGCAAACAATGGTACAAGTTACAGAGTAGTAAACACGATAACTATGTAATTATTGTTGGGTGGAAGAATTTCAGGGGTTTTGCAAGCAGAAGCGTTTCACACGACTGATGATATTCGCGCTGTAGGTGCTGTTTATTTAGATAGTCGTTTCGCTTCGATTCTTGGTATATCTGACGATTCGGCAAACAATGATGGACTGTCATAGTTTGTTATCATGTAAATGTTGGTAGTAAAGTTGCAATTCACCTTATTCCAGTGAAAGATTGTATGTTGTCTGCGCTCAAGTTCATATCTTGACACCAGCACGTTCAAACTTTCCATTCATTCCCTTCCTCCAGCAACAATAACTTGGGACAAATGGAACTCGCCCAGAAACGAAGGTCAACCGTACCACGGACAATAACAACACAATGTACACCAACATCTGGACCGCACTCATCACCCTCCTAGTTTCCCTCCTAGGTACCGTCAATAGCCAGACGATCACCATCACCAAAACCAACAACCAAACCACTCCATCCAACCCAGAAACAATCTCTCATTCTCCCCTCTGCACACTTCCCCACCTATTCGAACAATATCGGAACAGCACATGCACATTATCCTCGGTCCTGAATCACAATGTCAGTACCAATGTAGATATCTCAGTCTTCGACGTAAACTGTACTCAAGTCGGACATGAAAGTGGTGTAATGATTGGTTTCCCCTACGCCATTTCAACCTCGTAAGTTCTCGGACATTGCACTTGTTTACTCATCACACCTTCTTGTCTGACCTCGAAGACTAACACCACACGAGGCTTAAGTACGAACTCAAAGTCAAATTTTCGAACTTGGGTGGGCTGTCAGAGTATGAGTATGCTGGGGTCCATTATGTTGGTCGAGAGGACGGGTATCGGACCGTTTGTGTGAATGATACGTTGGCTAGGGTCTGTGAGATGAGGTTTAGTTGCGAGTGGATGGGGTTCCCGGTGATAACTGTATGAGAGGAATGTGGTGATTTGTGATCGGACTTCGGTGGAGGGCTTGATGTTTGTCGCTAGAGATGGCTTGGTGGGATGAAGGTTGTTGGTTCATCTTGACAGCGGTTAGATGGGTTAATGATTTGTGATCCGACGGGTGCCGTGGGATGATTGGGCACTGGCTGGAGGAAATCTTGTTTGAGGAACATCCTCCTGCATGTGGAGCACACTAGTTGGCACATTCAGGCAAGCCGAAATACAGAACCTTTCTATGGTCATTGAACGAAAAGTGGTGAATAATTCATCAATGTGCCAAAATACTAAGGACAAGTTTAGAAACATGACTCAATCTTGGAGCTAAGCCCAGTACCATGAACGAAACAATATACACATCGAGGCAAGACCATTGACACCAAGCTCCAGCAGACAACGCAGATTTGATCTTATCTCCCTCAAGCCTTTGCGCTCTTGGAAGCTTTGATCTTCTCAAACAAGTTCAAGAACACCTCCGAATCCTGAGCCCCGCCAACAATGTACTTTCCCTCAAACGTGAAATTTGGTACACCACTGATTTGATTCAATCTCGCTTCCTCGACCTCTTCATCAACTGCTTTCCCACCCTTATCACTCTCCAACCACTCCTTTGCCTCTTTCTCGTCCAGCCCCGCTTTCTTAGCGGCACTCAACAACACCTCATGACTAGTGATATCCTTCTCGTTCTCGAAATATGCAGAGAAGAGCTCTTCTACAACTCGAGTTTGGACGGCTGGCGACTTTGATTTTCCGAGTTGGATCAAGCGGTGACTGTCGCGTGTGTTGCCAGTCTTGCCTCCGAACTTGAACTTGATTCCTGCTTCTTTGCCGACTTGGGAGAGGCGATCAAAGATCACTGCTGTGCGCTCCTCGCCGAATTTGGTTTTGTAGTAAGTGGTCTTATCAATTCCTATTTAGTACTTTTAGTAAGTGGAGGCTTCATCGTGTATTTGAATGCAACTGTTTACTAAAAAAAATGTATTATGTTGCCTAACAATGAATGATATCATGAATCATAGACAGGAATCAAATACAATAGCTCTTCACCCCTCAAGAGAAGGGCGCAGCAAATAGTTTCAAGTTTGATGGATATCAACACTCCAGCATTTTGCAACACTAAAATGGACTAAGAGAGACTGAAAACTTACCAGTCTTTGGCGCACCCGGATTTAGATAGTATGGTTTCCACGTGGTCGAAAAACTATCGTTTGATTCGGGATGTAATTCCTTGTAGGCCTTGATAGCTTTCTCCAACTTCTGCTTCCCGACATAGCACCACGGACACACAGTATCGGAGACGATCTCAATGTCGAAATTGGTCATTTTGCGAAGTGTTGGTCTAAACATAAAATGATGTGACAACACAAGAAAGAAGTAGCTTTATAGTGTAGGAGCTAAATGGGATCTGCAGATATTTGCGGGGTGAGCTATTTTATATGGAACGAGGAAATGTGAGGCGACGCAAGGGAGGAGAATAAAGATTAGTTATCATGGAAATACTTGGAAGGTACATGCGCTTTGAAGGCTGAATTAGGACAGGAAAAGATTAGAAATCAAAACGGCGTCATTTTTTTGCGCAAGCGAGACCGAGCGAAGGCCTCGGCGAGGGTTTAAACTCCGCCGAAAATGTGGGGAAGTCACATGGAGGAACAATATTGTGAGCAGTTTTTGTACTTTCAAGGTTTTTTGATTACCCTGAGATGTACATGTAGTGAAAAGCCTTCGAAGAAGCATATGGAGTTCCAATTCCTCGGCGAAAGGAGACTCCTCTCGAAATCAGCCATCAACCGTGCAGAGCCTTTCCGTGAACCGCACATACCATGATGCCTCACTCTTTTTTTGTCTCATAACCAAACCAACGCCATCGCTAATGAAGAAAAAACGACCCTCTCAGAACGCTTACCAATGAAGTCTGTCGATTACCATGGTGTCCCAAGTATACCTCAGAGATTCTTCATCTTTTCATATGAGAGAAATCTTTGAGAAGATGCGCCATATGTGTATTCGTAGTCTTTCCACCACGTCTTGGAGCTCGCTTCTTCTTCTCCTTTGGCTTTGGAGCTGCCTTTATACGCTTGCTGGGATCTTCACTCGCTGGTTTCTGTCCTGCATCTTGGAGTTTCCGTACCAGTTCGTCCACGCTTGGAAGTTCGATCTCATGCCACATTACTTGGAATTCGGAATCAACATCATGGTGCAGAGTTGGATCGTTGCCCCAGACCATTCTAGCATGATTGTCCTTCTTGGTTCGAGTAACCAGGATCTTGTGCTCGGCCTCTAGCTGGTCGATGGCATCTTCGCAGTCTGGCCATCCGTCCTTTAAATCCTTGACAGATACTCCTTGAGCGTCCGCCTTTGTTTGTAGGTACGCGATCAAGTCCTTCTTCGTACGGACGTTGATAATCGGCTTGTGCTCGAAGGTGCCCGAATCCCAAGACTGGACCTTCAAGTTCGGATCGGGGGTATGGTAAACTCGCTCGTGCTGAAGAAGAATTCTCGCGATCAGTCTCTTCTGACGCTCGTCGGCATTGACTTGGCTCAGATATTCCAGAATCTCCCGGAAAGTCTTTGGCTCGTTCTTCTTCTTGAGAAATTCGATAACATATGTGACTTGCGTGAAAGCCTCCATTCCATAGCCAGTCGCCGCGGGCTGCGAGTAAACCACATTCTGAACCTCCCGCTTGCGTTTCGGGTCTTTACTCTCGCTCTTCGAAGCATTAGAGGCGTTGGAAGGAGCTGGAGATGGCGCAGACTCGGGGGCAGGTGGAGCGAGATTACGCTTGGTTGCGACTTTGGGTGCAGCAGACATGGCATCGCTTTTAAAAGCGGCCTGTTGCTTTGCCAGATAGGAAGACATGATGAGGTTCGTGAGATCGTGTGCCTAGAACAGCGGGAGAAGGTTTGCGAAAGATCTACCAAGCGCAGACCGTGGTCATCAGAGTCGAAGAGTTTTTCGACGTGCTCCGAGAAGAAATTGCTTCGGAAAAAAAAATCTTACCCTTCCTCTTTCCGGAGGTTGTTGAAGTTGAATAACAAAGGAAACGGTTGTAGAGATTGACGTTGAGGTGAATGCGAGCTTTCGACAAGGCTCCGATCTTGGCATACCTTAATTTTGGCGCTAGCCTCAAACGTGCACTTGTTAAAGCTATCAAAGAAAGACCTCTTGAATCTACGCGCTGGTCCCCACCACTACTTGTTCATTCTCACGGGCAAGTTGGTAATAATTCCGATCTCGTGTTTCTTCAAGGTAATGCGCTGATCTCGCAACTCGGAATACGCCTTGGAAGATTGGTCGCGGGGAACAAGTCAACAACGCGTTTACGTTTTCTCCATTTACGCACCAAACCAGCAACCTCTTCTTCAATGATTCCGCGCCACTTTGGATGACGATATCCTGAGATATGGCTGCGGCGGTACTGGATGTCGACTACTTGTCGAGATATCTGGATGTGCCACAACAATCCATCACCACTGCGATCGATGCTCCTACCGCAGAGCTTGTCCAATCCATCCTTGCGGCAGTCACAGCGAAGGCGCGCGAGCACGATGAATTAGATGCAGACAAGGTACGGGTCGATATTGAACTTGAAAGTGCTGTACGGAGCTCGGAGACGCGCATCGAAGGCCTGAGAGCCAATGTCGAGAAGGCGCAAAAGACAGTTGAAGAGGTTCGGACAAAGCTGAGCGAAGAAGGTAGCTACACTGCTGCTAAGTCTAGAAGGATATGATTGCTAACAAGAGATCTACAGAAAACATACGATCTTCTCTTGAGACGGAGCTACAGAGCCTGAAATCTTCCTCAAGTACTTCTACGTCTGAAGTCGAAACCCTAAAAGCAAGAATTGCAACCCTCGAAGCCGCAAACAGAGATACCGTTGCTGTGCTGGACTCAAAGACTACAGCCAACGATGAGCTCGCGAAAGATGTTCAGAAGCATCATCAGAAGGCACAGGACTTGGGCAAGCAATTAAGTGCGCTACAACAAACCGTCCAACTGGCCAATTCTGCTGCCTCGAGCGCGAAATTCCGAGAACAATCTTTGAAGCAAGAGATCGAGCTCGCAAAGCGTAATAACGAATGGTTCGAGAACGAGCTCAAGACTAAGAGTGCGGAGGCCTTGAAGTACCGGAAAGAGAAGGGTGCCCGGATCGCTGAGCTGCAGCGCCTCAATGAAGAAGCTACATCGAACGTCGAAGCACTGAAGAAGACAGAACAAGCTCTTCGAGCTCGGTTGGAAGAGGTGCAGAAGAAGGCGGAAGATTCTTTAGAGAAAGTACAACAACTCGAAGAGGCCGCGGCCAAGACAGAAGAAGGGTTCCGGCAAGAGCTTGAGAGCTCTCGCAGACTTTCCGAGCTCCAGGCTCAACAGACAGAGACTCACCGTAATAGGCTCAGAGAGGTCGAGGCTGAACTTGAAAAGGCTAAGGACGATGCAGCTGAGGAGGTTGGAAGATGTAGGCAAGAAGTCGAGTCAGAAAGACAGGAGCGCGAACAAGCAGATCACAAGATTGCAGAGCTGGAGGCAGAAGTCGATCGTCTGGAGGCTCTTGCCTCGTCACATAATCGGCCTGGTTCTGTACCTGGAACTCCTCGACAAGGTCTGAATGGCTCGATGTTTGGGAGATCGGGATCACCAGCTCAATTCGGCACTCCAGGTTCTGTCCGAAGCAAGTCTGCTATTACTGCAACACAAGCTATCGAAGAGCTTTACAAGGTCAAAGGACAACTCGCAACCGAAAAACGCAGAGGTGACCGCCTGACCGCTGAGCTGGATGAAATGATGCAAACCTTGGAGGCCAAGCAACCGGAACTGGAAGAGCTACAAGCTGAACATGAACGCCTCCAGCAAGAAGTCATCGAGATGTCGAAGGTTGCGGATCAGAGTGGAAAGGAGAGAGATCGTGCCAAAAAGGAGGCCAGGAAGGCTGAGAACGAGGCATCGACCGCTCAAGCTGAGGTCAACATCTTGCGTCAACAGCTTCGAGATCTCAGCGTCCAAATCAAGATGCTGATGTGTGAATTGGATGCTCGAGAACGTGGTTTCGATGCTTTGTCTCCCTCCGAACAATCACAATTCGAGCGCTTAGCTAGGGGTGAAGTTGGAGAAGATGCATTCGAAGGTCTCACTGATACAGACCGACTCATTAGTCAAAGATTGACGGTCTTCCGAAGCGTGAGCGACCTTCAAGAGAAGAACCAAGAGCTTCTCAAGATCACAAGACAACTCGGAGCTCAAATGGAGAGCGAGGAGGCACTGGCCGCTAAGAATCAAGCTGTGAAGGATCACGAGGAAGTGCGAGCGCTTCAAGGAAAGATTGAGAATTACAAGGACGAACTTCAGGCTATGCTTACGCGATCTGAGAGCTATGTCAAGGAGCGAGATATGTTCCGACGTATGTTGCAACATCGTGGGCAACTGCCACCATCCGCAGATCTTCCTACCGTCTTTGGTCAGTCAGTTGATGGCTCGACCAATGGAGTCATGCAGACCATCGAGCAAAGTTCTCGAGACAATGGCGCTCTAGTCCGCGAACTCCAAACACATTTCGATCAATACCGAAACGAACAAGCCATTGATCGGCGAACCATGAAAGAGCAGATCGAGACTTTGTCGAGAGAGAAAGGCTCCCTCCAGTCAGAGATCGCGAAAGTCAGCAGCCAGCTTACGTTGGTCAAGGAACGACGAGATCTAATCGAATCAAATTATGCAATGCTTCAGAAGGAGAATGTAGAGGTGCAACGTCGATCTCATACCCTCTCGGAGTTGTCGGCCAAGCAAGACCTTCGTACACAACAAGTTGCCGAGGATCTTATCGAGGCTAAAGGTCTTCTTGAAAGCATGCGGAATGAAAATGCCAACCTCAAGGCGGAGAAGAAGCTATGGAAAGAGGTTCAGGATCGCCTCAACCAGGACAATGAGGCCTTGATGAATGAGAGAAGTAGACTCAACAATCTAATCTCAAATCAACAAACAATACAGAATGAACGAGATCTGTCAGATTCGGAGACTAGACGACGCCTGCAATCCCAAGTAGAAACCCTAGAGACCGAACTGTCGACCACGAAGCGCAAACTGAGCGATGAGGTGGAAGATCACAAGAAAACCCAGTTGCGGAAAGAATATGATTCTCAGCAAAACCAAAAACGCATCGACGATCTTGCATCGAGTCTGGGCCAAGTTCGGGAGGAGCTGGTCGCGGCAAAGACTACTCGTGACCACCTTCAATCACGAGTTGATGAACTCACGATTGAGTTGAAGAGTGCCGAAGAGCGTGTTGAACTGCTGCAACCTAGACCGACGCCACGCCCTGGAACGAATGCTGATACAGATATGAACGGCGATAATGTCGAAGGTGATCTCATTAGGGAGCAAGAATTGGCTATTGAGGTCTCTGAGCTGAAGCGAGATCTTGAGCTTGCCAAGGCGGAATTGGAGAACACAAAGAACCAGATGGAGCAGTACAAATCCATTAGTCAATCAACCGAGGAGGAACTGCAGAGTCTGAACGCAACTCAAGATCAGTATCGTGAAGAGATGGACCAGATTGTGGAAGAGAAGGACACAAATATTCGTGAACTCCAACAAAGAGTCGATGATATATCTGCGGAACTGACCAACACAAATAATGAGCTCACCACACTACGAAATCAACAATCCGAGGTCACGAGACAGGTTGAAGAAGAGAAGTCTGCCCTCGAGGCAGAGATATCTCGACTCAAGGACGAAGATGAGAAGCACGCCACAGCTGCGCAATACCACCAGCAAGACCTTCGAGCACAAGCAGCTATAGCAACAAAGGCCCAACAAGATTACGAGAATGAGCTTGTGAGGCACGCTGAAGCCGCTAAACTTCTTCAGAATCTGCGAATTGAGCACAATCAGTTGAAGTCTCAATCTGCCACTCTCCGTGCTGAAGCTGAGTCAGCCAAACTTACTCTAACTCAGAGCGAAAGCTCATGGGAGGAGCGTCGCGAGCAGTTTGAGCAGGAGCTGAAGGAGATCAGGACACGTCGTGATGACTTGAACTCACAAAACAAGGTTCTACACCAGCAGCTCGAAGATGTTGGAGGCCAGATCTCCGCTTTGCAGCAGAGTCGTGTCGCAGCTGATAACTCGGACGCAAATGCTGGTCCCACTGAAGCTACAAATGACCGTGCTGCGGATGGTCTTCGTGAAGTCAACTCCTTCCTGCGCCGAGAGAAGGAGATCATTGAAGTCCAATACGAGCTCAAGGTGCAGGAAGCCAAGCGTCTACAGCAACAGTTGGACTACGCACAATCCCAATTGGACGAAAGTAGACTCAAGCTTGACCAAGAACGTCGACTTCATGCCGACGGCCCTCGTAGCTCTGTCGCACACAAAGATCTGATGGACAAGCTAAATGAACTGAACTTGGTCCGCGAAGCGAGTGTCACATTGCGAAATGAAGCTCGCCAAGCTGAGGCACGTTTGGCTGAAAAGACCAAGCGTGTGGAGGAACTCACAGAGCAGATACAGCCATTGGAAGCTAAGATCAGAGAACTTGAGCATGGGAAGGAGACTATGGACGGAGAATACCGGCTTCTTCAGGAAGATCGTGATCGTTGGCAAAAGCGGACGCAAGATATCATCTCCAAATACGACCGCATCGATCCCCAGGAAATGGAGCAGCTGAAGGAAACTATCGAGTCTCTGCGTGCTGAACGCGACTCTCTTTTGGCTGAGAAAGAACCTTTCCAGGAACAAATTCAAACACTGGAAGCAGAAAAGGCAGCTTGGTCGCAATCGAGAACCAAATTGATCGAGCAAGCTAAGGAGAGGAATCGCATCAATATGAATGCAAACAAGGATAGGACAGCTGAGAGAGATGCCGCTATTCAAGAAAAGGATGCCCTTCAAGAGCAACTTAATGGTTTGAAGCAAGAGCTCGAGACAGCTGTCATGGAGAAGGATACGGCACAGCAACAGCTGAACTCTTTAGGTCAAGAACTTGAGTTGGTCAAATCCGAGCGAGATCGCGCTCTCTCTTCTGTCGCCAAATCTCCCCCTCAAGTAGCAGCAACCCCAGAAGCCTCACCACAAATCGATCCTGCTCTCGATCAACAAATCTCCACTCTTCGACAGCAACTCGAACAAATCACTCAAGAAAAGCAGTCACTACAAGCACAACTGCAGGATCTTCGTGCACAGCTTGAGAAAGCCAATTCAGAGAGAAACACCGCTCTCGCTGAGGCTGCGGAGGCTAAGGCAAGCAAGCAGACTACTCAAGTATCCGATACCCCTATGCAAAATGGCACCGAAGAGGGTCAAATCGATGAGACTCAAGGTGTTGGCATCTCTGATAGTGAGAAGAAGGCTCTCGAAGAACGAATTGCTGCAGCGGAAGCCAAGGCTAAGGAGCAAGAGGACAAGGCTGCACAGATTGAGGCCACAATGGAGGCCACATTGAAGACTCGTTCGGATAAGATGAAGACTGCCTTGAACAAGAAGCTTGCGGAATCAAAAGAGATTCAGAAGACTGAACTCGAAGCAGAGTACAAGCTGAAGTTCGAACAAGAGAAGCAGATTTGGTTGGCTGAATCGAGAACTTCGGCGACGAATGCACCAAGTAGCACTCCTGTAGAGCATCCCAAGGCAGACTTGGAGGTACCTCAGGCAACGCCAGCTACTCCCGTCACTCCAAGTCAAAAGACATCTACAACCGCTGCTGACATCGCGAGTATGTCTGATCTCGAGATACGAGATGTCATTGCAAAGAATCCAACCGCAAAAGCTATCATTGTCGATAACGTCAAGAAACAAGTTAATGCTCAAACCCAGAAGATCAAGGACGAGCACGCGAAGGTGATAGCTGAATTGCAACAGAAGGCTGAAAACTCAAAGACACAAGCCGTGACAATGGAGGGAAAGAAGTCTGCCTTACGGATCAATATTACCGAAAACAAATTGAAGGTGACCACTGGAAAGCTTGAGGTTGTGGAAAAGGCTGCTCAAGAAACACCTGAACGACCAGTAGTTGAAGTCTGGGAGGAAGTCAAGGCTTATAAGCCTCCCCCACCAGCACCTGCTGCAGTTGTGGCCCCAGTGACCGCTACCCCCGCTGTTGTTTCGAACAAAGGTAAAGTACTCCTACAGATGAGATCGAATCATTATCACTAACTTCAGTCCAGAGCCCATGACTGCGCCGAACGGAACTTCCGCTCCAGCTACGAAGCCAGTGGAAGTCAAAACCGATACTCCAGCGGCTCAGACAACTTCCCAATCGTCGAGCATCCCTTCGGCACCAAACGGTACAGCAGGCATATCCACGAACCTTCCCGCTAGCAACATCCCTGGTGTAAGTTGTCTTCTGGTTTTCGGAATTCTAGCGCTAACATTGTCCAGGCACCACCACCAAATGCTGGCGGAGCTCAAAGATATTCTTCGATCCCAACAATGAGAGGAAATGCATCACTTCGTGGACGTGGAGGCAACCAGCTCTATCAACCACGCGCCGGAGCCCAAGGCGGCAGAGGCAGAGGTGGTCCTCCACAACAACGAGAGCAACGAGGTGGATTGAACGCGGGAGCACCAACCTTCAGTCCCACAGGACCGGCAGGTGTGAAGCGACCTAGAGAGGAGGGATCAATGGGTGGTCCTCAACAAGGACATGCAGGAAAGAGACCCAGAGGCGGTGGACAAAATTAAGAACAAAATTACGTGGTGATTTTTGGTTTGCTTGTATGATATTGCTGCATAGCCGGTCGGCTTTCATTTGTCCACACGGCGTCTTCAAGGAGTATGTGAACGAGGGAAAGCATTGTAAAACAAATAGGTAGAGGTGGCTATCTCAATGCAAAGAGAACTTGAGCTATTGCCAAGAACACAAGGTGATTACTAGCTCAATTAAACCCTTTATTGAAATTTTGCTATTTTGCTGGGTATCAATTTCCTCAAGACCTCAACCTGACGGGCAACCATCTTCATCTTCAAATCTTCTACTCCGCTGTTGTCTATCCGCCGCATCCCATTCCCGAATAATACTGTATAATCTGGGAGAACTTCGCCTTCGGCCACCTCGCACAGCGGACCAATCTTGCAGTGCTGCTAGATGTTAGAGATATCTCTTGCCAGCAAAGTCATGAAAACATACCTTTCCTAGCACGGCGCCTCTGCCAACCTTAGCATTGACTTCAATGACACTACCCTCACCGATCCTCTTCCCCTCGACCACAGCACCGACCTCTATAATAACTCCATCCTCTATCACGACCGGATCTGCTTCCTCCTCATCTGGCTCGTTTTGGATGCCTATTTGACTTCGTTCGCTAATGATACAGCTGTTGCCGATTGTGATAGGAGCATATGCTGAGCTGAGCTTTGATCGTGGGTGGATGACGGTATTTGAGCCCAGAGTTATAAGCTTCGTGCCGGTCAACGAGGCGTGTTCTGCGATGACGAGGGAGGACGAGAGGGATGTAGGAGGCTTGGGAGCCGGAGGCATCATGGAGGCGCGTTTGCTCGACATTTTGGTAGGGCCAGTTTCTGCTTAAGCTGCCACGAGCGTAGGTCTTGATATCTGATCAGACTGTAGTCAATAATGTTGTGGTAAGTGTTTGGGCCTGGAAAGTATAGCAAAACCAGATATCAGAAAGGGTATTGTCAGGACCACAATTCGATATCGCTTACTTCATTCATATTTTTCAGAGAATAAAGGATTGAATGAATCATCCAGTTTCAGTTGTGTTGTCCATCGTGTTGGTGAACATTGGAGCGATTCCATTGTCGTCCAAATGCAAGGGTGCATAAGCTTGAGCCGCTAAAAGCTTCAAAGCCGCCACAACCAATCAATGAGTAGGTAATGATGCTTTGAATCTAAATGTCCCTCAATTTCAACATCAACGCTGCCGTTTCCTCACAAGTATCGCTCAATTGAGCACAACCAACCTTCAAAATGCTTTCGCGACACGCGCCTGTTACGAAGGCTGTATCTGCCCTCTCCTCCCGTGTCCTCCCATCAACAGCGTGCGCTGCTCCTCGAATCCCTCTGGCCGGTTCTTCGCAGCAAAGTCGAGGACTTGCCACTGTCCAGGACGCTCCCCCACCCAAGCGGACATATGGTGGATTGAAAGATCAGGATAGAATATTCCAAAATCTGTACGGACACCATGGAGCAGATCTGAAGAGTGCAAAGAAGTATGGAGATTGGTACAAGACGAAGGAAATCTTACTCAAAGGCCATGACTGGGTACGTTGGGACCATTAATATCAACGAGGGGACGGCCATTGACTATTGTCACAGATTATCTCAGAGATTAAAGCGTCTGGTCTGCGAGGACGTGGTGGAGCTGGTTTCCCATCGGGTATGAAATGGGTACGTTTCTTGTACGGCTAATACATCAGAATGGAATTGACAAGATCTAGTCTTTCATGAACTTCAAGGACTGGGACAAGGACAACAAGCCGAGGTATCTGGTCGTCAATGCGGACGAGGGCGAGCCTGGAACCTGCAAGGACCGAGAAATTATGCGAAAGGACCCCCATAAGCTCGTCGAAGGATGTCTGGTTGCAGGTCGAGCAATGAACTGCACAGCTGCATATATCTACATCCGTGGAGAATTCTATCACGAAGCGACTGTTCTGCAACGAGCTATCCAGGAAGCATACAAGGACGGGTTGATTGGAAAGAATGCTTGCGGTAGTGGCTACGACTTCGATGTGTATATCCACCGAGGAATGGGTGCATACGTCTGTGGTGAAGAGACATCACTAATTGAGTCTCTGGAAGGCAAGCCTGGCAAGCCTCGTCTAAAGCCTCCGTTCCCAGCTGCTGTCGGTCTCTTTGGATGTCCATCTACGGTGGCAAATGTCGAGACTATTGCTGTAGCACCAACGATCTGCAGACGAGGAGCAAACTGGTTCGCAGGTTTTGGTCGTGAGAGAAATGCCGGAACTAAGCTCTTCTGTATCTCCGGACACGTCAACAACCCTTGCACGGTTGAAGAGGAGATGAGCATTCCTCTCCGAGAGCTCATTGACAAGCATTGCGGTGGTGTCCGTGGCGGTTGGGACAACTTGAAGGCTATCATTCCTGGAGGATCGTCGACACCGATTTTGCCAAAAGCCGTCTGCGATGAGCAGCTCATGGACTTCGATGCTTTGAAGGACAGTCAGTCAGGTCTTGGTACTGCGGCTGTCATTGTGATGGACAAGAGCACAGATGTTGTTCGTGCCATCTCAAGACTTAGTCACTTCTACAGACACGAATCTTGTGGCCAATGCACACCATGCAGAGAGGGTAGCAAGTGGACTGAACAGATTATGAAGAGATTCGAGAAGGGACAAGGACGGGAGCGAGAGATTGATATGCTTCAAGAGTTGACAAAGCAGGTTGAGGGCCACACTATCTGCGGTAAGTAATTCTAAATGATACGTAAAGAAGCTTTTGCTGATTCAATAACAGCTCTCGGCGAGGCTTTTGCTTGGCCCATCCAGGGTCTGATCAGACATTTTAGACCAGAATTAGAGGCACGGATGAAGGACTATGCTGAGAAGAGCGGAGGAGCAGCTTTGGCTGGTGGCTGGGATCATAATGCACTTCAGCAGGGGAAGTTAGTGGCACCGGGACAATAGATTGGGGATAGTAAAAGATTGTGTATAAGATGCCTCTTGTATTTATTGCTCTTAGGCACAGGTTTCTTTCATGAGCAATGGTATCAGACGCAAAATTACTCGTTTGTGACTTCTGAGTTGTTTTTATGCCTCCATAATTGCCACCGTGAGAATAGAGGCAAGCATTCCATTTGCTCCTATTTCATGCGCGGGCCACTAAGCGAGCAAATATCTCGTGAAGAAAGAAAAGGTTGATGGTGACCCATTAAACTCTCTCAACAACGTCACATCGTTCCTCGTATGCTACTATCTCAATCCACGCCGACTTTTAAAATAGACCCTTACATTTCCTTTGAATAAAGATGGGATAATTACAGACATCCTACGCTAATATCTCTGTCTCTCTCTTCGTGGCCTGAGCCAACGTCTTTCATCTATCAACTCCTCCTCATCCCACAAGCCCGAATCGATTCGACTCTAGTCACAATGTCTCTCAAACAACTCATTCACTTCACAAACGACGCTGGTATACACCCTTTCTCTCAATCCCCCCACCCCACACCACTTCAACTACATCACGTGATTTCAACCTTCAATTTTCACTAACACCTTCCAGGAGCGTTAGAAAAGATCCTCCGCCTCCTACAATCCATCTCTCAAGTCCTCGCAGTCTATCCCCTCACCTCCGAAGACGCAAAAACGTGGCTTCTCCTAAGACGACAATTTGCTCTTGGTACGTCTAAGCTTCTTTTCTACGGGCACCACTGACCTGAAATAGGACGGCGATATATCCGGTTCTTTAGATGGATGGATTGTCTTTCGAAGACTTATGTGGCGTTTGGAGAGGAAACGGGATGGGTTGCTGTGTTGGGCGTCGGGAAGTGGAGTTGTATGGGGGCGTTTTTGTTTTTGGAGAGTGTGACGATTGTGAGTGCGCTTCTTTTTCGAAGTGTGGGGTGGAGGTGCTAATGGTGTGGTAGCTAGATGTTATGGGTGTTTGGGAGACGGAATGGACGAAGTGGTGCTTAGTTGAGGCGAATAGGTTTTGGTTTTATGCTTTGGTGTTCTCTTTGCTTTGGGGGATTGTGCAGCTTTTTGCTTTGAACGCTATCGGGAAGGAAGTCGAGCTGAAAGAGAAAGGAGATGACGAGTCCTCTTCTGATGAAGCTATAGAAGCTCGGAGAAAAACTGAACTTGAAAAGAAGCATAAGAGAGCTGGCATCACGAGAAGATTAGTGGTAGATGGACTTGATTTGCTCATCCCGGGACACGTTGTAGGTTGGATTGTCACATCTGCAGCTGTCACTGGGGTTGCTGGTTCGATAAGCACTGTGCTTTCGATGAAAGATGTATGGGATAAATTAATATGATAAGTAAGAAGTGTAAGAATCCCTACGCCGAACCGTCTACAACTATCCATGACCATGTTCCCCAACTCCCTATGCTCATCATTCAGATACAGTTCTCCGATACAGTATCACCCTTCATCTCAGTTCGTCCCATTCTTGCTCATTCATACCAAGTCTTCAGCAGATTGTCTTGGGTCTTCAGCCTCGGGGGTTCGTCGACGAGCAGCACCAATATCTGCTCCACCCATAGCAGTCGCTTGATGAGACGGGAGCTTCGTATCTGGAACCTGTTTCCCTTGATTGTCGTTTAACTTGAAGGTAACAGTCAAGCTCTTGGTCTCAAGACCTGGAACAGCGAGCATGATCTGCATCAACCTGAGAATATCATCAGCACCGCTCTACCGTCAAACGATACAGGGAGAACTTACACCACGAAGTAACCAACGACTACAGCACCCTTCCAAGCACCACCATACCAGCCTCTCTTGACCGCATTTCCAATGATAAGAGACAGCGTCAAGGCCGCTGCAAATGAAAGATCCAGATAAGTTGAGACCCTCGGCTTCTTGCGGTCTCCCAAGGCATACGATTGCTCCCTAACCTCAACAGTAACCTTGACAAGATGAGAAACTGTGTAGTGGACGAGCATCAAGACATTGATGATCATGATACAAGCCAGGAAGATATCGGCCGCGATGAAATCTCCTCCGCCATCGACAACGAAAATGATAAAAGCGACGAGCGACAAGATAGTGGAGAGACCGCGAAGGACAACAATGGGGTTCAGGGTGATGGACCAGCTGTGGTTGAAGTTCTTGAGGGAAATGGTGGGGAGGAGATGATCGTGAGGGGAGTAATCACGCTCGTCCTCTTCGTGGGGAGGGACGACGTGATAGCGAGAAGTATTTTGGGATGCCATTTTATTACAGTATGGAGAAGTTCTGAAAATATATGATGGGACTTGTAAGAAGGACACTGAGCTGGATGAGATGCAATAAAGTCTGAGACTTTGGTCTTCAAGATATACTTCTTGGATTACAATACTACAACAAAGAATGAATACCTGGCCACAAAAGCTTCCCACTCTTTCCCAAGATTCTGCCTTGCCCAGCGGATATTAAAATCCCATCTGAGCACCGATAGCCACACTTGGAGCTCTTAGTGGTGGGTTCGAGTCTCGAACCCAGAGTGTTGGCTGTACCAACATGCAGACATGGAGCATAGCCATACAGATCATCGGAAATCTTGCTACCTAGAGTGTTGGGCTTTGGAGAAGGATGCGTTAGGGTATGGCTGTGGAATGCGGCACAGTCCACAGCCCCTCTGAGGGTGGGGAAATCCGTTTTTGATATTGGCGCCCTCGAAATACTGCACGTGCAAAGTATTCTGAACACTACATTGGTATTTCTCTGCTAAGAAATTTGAATCGTCGAGATCTTCTGAGTCTCTAGGATGCTGTCTGTCAGCTCTTTAGTTTCAAAATGTTAGAAAGGCCATGCCAAAACAGTACGTATATTAACGGGTGTGCCACTAGCAGCAACTTTTTCCCCACCCCCTAAAACAGCCGAGTCGAGTGTTGCCTTCAACACGAGGATTCTAGGCCTGTAAGGACAAGAAGACTTAGGAGTAAGAACTTCACGAAAATAACAAGACTTTTAGTCCTCAACCATTTCGTACAGTATTCTTGACACCAAACTGTGGCAATTGTCCGGACACTGGTGCGGAGCTTTCCTTGCTGACAACTCGGCGGTCGTTCACGCGACACCAAATATCTCTTAATCACGTCAAAACCCTTTTTTACGATAATAATGTGCTGATTGTCTGAATCGCTACTGGAATTGTCAAGTATTGTAAATCCTCAAAAACGAAGCATCAGATAGGTTGTGCTGATTATCCGAATCGCTGTTAGAACATTTGGATATCATGAGTCCTTAAACACAAAGTATCAGGTGCAAAGGATTCATAGCTAAATTTAAGCTCTCTATGCTAAGCAACGCAAATGGGTATCAGTGTACACAATAGCAACAAACGCCTGCCATCAACTCCATCGCAATCCCAGTCCAACTATGCCATGCAAATGCAAACGTTCTTCCCCTTGTCAATTATTCGAAGTCAACGAAATTCTTGAGAGAGTCAATCAGCCCTTGATCAACTTCGTTGGTCCATTCTGGCTGAGATAGTTCTTCAACCAATTCAGCGTTAGACAGTCGTAGACGCTTCGCAGCGGGCTTAGCATCCTCCGTAGATAATTGTCTCTGCGGTGGGTTCCGAACTGCCGGTGACGACGACTGTCCTCCCTTCAATTGATCTGTGCTCGCCTTATCTGAGTGCTCATGATCGATGTCCATCATACCCTCATAAGTATTAAAGTCGAAAAGGTCATTCGAAAAGCTCACATCGGGTACAGAATCTTGTGGAGCATGAAGAGGGACCTGAGGTGATATAAAAAGACTCATGCCTGCTTCAAAGCCATGCATAGTATCGTCGTGGAGCGAGGAGGGCGAGACTTCATAATCATCTTCCGGGGTTTGTTCGAAGTAAGCCTCATCGAATCTTGCCATATCGTCATGCAGACTTCTGATCGGTTCAAATCCATTCGGCTTCTCAGGCTCCAAAGAGTCAAAGAGGCCCCTAAGATCATCCTGCTGTTGAAAGAAGGAGAGTCCTGGCTTTTCGCCGCTCGAGGAAGAAAGCTGTGGCTTGGTCTTTGGCAGGGTCGGCACGTCCAATTGTCCCTTTGTATAATGATCATGAAAGTTTTGGTGGTCCCGCGGAGCCGTCTTACCATACGTAGCCGTGGCAGGAGCACGCACTTCAGTCAAATCAACAAGCTCCGCATCTGAGATGTCATTTACGTCAAAAGATGATTCCTTGAGCTTGGGTGCAGAGGATCCTTGGGAGCTCTTCAAATTGTCAGCCTGTTTCGAGAAAAGGGGTCTCTGTCTGAACTAACCTTTATCTTCTTAGCAGCTGCCGGCTTTGCACCTTGAACTGATGGATCCTTCGTTTGCTTAAAGTCAGCGATCTGTGTGAGAGAAGTTTAGCAAGTACTGACCTTTCTTGCTTGAGGTCGAGGCTTCTCCAAGCCTTCCTTGCAGCATCGATGCTTGCATGGCTCGCCCGTCTTCAAGACGCGACCGTCACGGCAGACGTGTTGGCAAGTCCATCTTCCGTTGGCCATTTGCACCGACTGGATGATATCGTCGTCTTTTGAGTCTTCCTCTTCATCCACACGCTGCGTATTCTTCTTGTCTTTGACAGCTTTGGTCTTGCCATCGAGATCGTCAATATCGTCAAAGTGTTCCGTATCTTGCTTGTAATCCTGGAGAGACTGGTATGGAGGATAGTCTCTATTTACGATGCCGACCTTAGAATCGATCTTAGAAAGTAAGTATTTCTTATATTCGACTTCATCTGCGGCAGCCAACATCTCGTCATCTGAAAGTTCATCGGTCCCGAACTCATCAGACTTGCCACGAGGAATTGCCTTTGGAACAACTTGGGCCACTACTTTGGGGGAGACTGCGGCCTTAGGTGTAGGCTTTGGGGCAGGTGGAGGGAATGCAGAAGCGGGGATGTTGGGTTCAAGAACACATGTCTTCACAGTTCCAACTATCTCGTCACAGGCAATCCAGCACTTGATCTGTTCCGCGTGTCCTGACAGTTCAACCGTGAACTTCAGCTCAAGCCGTTTCGCCATCTGTGTGATGTTGCCACGCCAGAAATGGACAAGCGTACCATCCGTGGTTTCAGCCATGAAGGTAACCGATGGCTTTCTGTTAGACCATACCGGGATTTTCTCATTTGAGTATCCTAATTCGGCTCTGACATTAACCTTGGGGCTTTGTCCTCTCCTGACGGTAGTTTGTCCGGTGATGTCAGCTGTCAAGATCAAACGAGGGAAGCCAGCTAAGAGTTCCTTCATTTTCTGGCCAAATGTTGGAGCCTTTGATAAGATTGCCTCAATACGCCCAGTTTCAGCCTCAGCAAGCTTTTGTACAGTATCGATGTTGCTGTCCACGAGCTTCCTATGTCCTACTGGGCCTATCTGTGGAATCTGTCGAAGCTGAAGGTTTGAGTTTTCCCAAAACTGCGCGGAGAAGCTTCTAGCCAGATCCAAGGCATGGCGAACAGCAACAGAATCGGAGTCCGAGGCTTTGCAGTCAATCACACATCGAATAAGTCGTTGTACTCTCTCGAAAATAATGGTTGTCTCGATGTTGAATTGTCTCCTGATCATGTTGAATTCCGTATTATCCTGGGGTAATTCCACGCCTCCAAGCTGAATTTGTAGCATCAAAGCTACCTTCTGTGATGTGAGACTGAAAGTCCCTTGGACAGGAAACTTGATGAAGGGACTCTTGTTAAACCACTCCCGAAGTACCTTTCGCTCCTTGATCTTTATTCGTAGATCTTGGAATTCAGCAGCCTGGGAGATCGTTTGAAGCTATGCCACTGTTAGCCAAGGCGAACGGAGTACGAAGACCTGAGCTTGAACTTACAATTTGCTCCATCTTCGCTAGCCTCGGGATATTCAATATTTCTTTCATTGTTTCAAATTGCACCATGTACCTAGACATAGCTTGTCCGTATTCAGTGCAACTGAAGAAGCGCTCGCCAATACCAACCAAACCGTGCTCTTGTAGAAGCTTGATATCCCTTTCACAAACAAGTTCAAGCCGCTTTTCAATGTTCCAACCGTCTGCAACGTCCTTCATCTTATAATGATCAGGATTTTGTCTCATTCGGACTGCTAGAAAGGTACCCTGAATCCATTTCTTTGCCTGAGACAAGTCCTTGATAGTGCCCAAGCTGATTTCAGAATTCAGATGCTCGATCAGGTTGAGATGCAAGGTACTCTCAAGGATTTGCTGTCCTGAGAGCATTTTCTCGTATTGTTTGGCTTTGTTTGAATGTGTCATGATGACAGCTACAGCTTTACTGTCGAATTGTGGTCGTCCAGCTCTACCTAGCATTTGCATGACATCCAAGTCGGAGTAATCGCAGAGCTTACCACCCTCTTGATAGCCAGAAGTGCCTTTCAGAATCACCAGGTGGCATGGAAGATTGACACCTACAGCCAAAGTCGATGTGCAGCAGATAACACTGATGTTGCCATTGAGGTACGCTGTCTCGATGGCGTGACGATCTTGCGAATCGATACCAGCATGGTGAAAAGCCACACCACAATTGACTAATTGCTGGTGTTCTCCATTTCTTACAGCAGTTTTCTTAGGAGGTGCAGGCCATGCTCGATCCGCAGCATGCTGTCGTGTCCAGTGCTCAGCTAATATGCGTGCAGTAGACTCGCAAGACTTTCTGGTGAAGCAGAACACCATGATAGGCTTCTTCTCACTATATTGCTGAACCACGGCAGGGAGCTTGCCATCTAAAGTCTTGTCGAATTGAAATTCGTTCAGGGAACCATCAAAGCCACGAACCCACTTTACGAGCTTGACTGGCCTGTATTCTTCACCAAAGGCCTCGCGATGAGCTGGCAGATGTTGATTTATAGGATCCTTGCCGAGCCACCTTGCGATGTCAGGAGAGTTTGGGACAGTGGCACTAATGGCAATGACACGGACATCGGTTCCCATGCTCTTCATGCGAGAAACCACTGCCTCCAAGGTTGCACCTCGAGTATCCTTCAGAATGTGAACTTCATCGATGAGAAACAGTTTGACCATTTGCACCAACTTAGCATGATCAGTCCATTTCCGAGTAATACTATCCCATTTCTCGGGAGTTGTAACGATGATCGAGGCATTACGGACGCGAGTCATCTCAGCCTGATGCGTGTCTCCAGTCAACTCGGCACAAGCCAGATTGAGGTGGCTGAATTTCTTTTCCCAATCATGCAAGCGTTCAGAACAGAGTGACTTGGTTGGAGCCTGGTAGACAATTTTGAACTGGCCTGACTGATGGTTTTCGACCAATCTGCAAATGGCTAACTCGAGCAAGACAGTCTTGCCACTGCCCGTAGGAGAAGAGACCACGACGTTATCATTGGAGTTGTAGATTGGACCGAAGCACTTGGATTGGACAGCATTGAAAAGGTCGTACGGGAAGACATGCCGGAATCTATCAGGCAGCTGGTGAGGACTGACAGAAGGAATTCCATTTACCATCGGCGGAGCATGGCCAAGAGCAAGTGTTCGAGGTGCATTTGCGTTGAAACCAACCTTCACTTGCGGTGACGGTTCCGGAATAGTATATGTGGCACGACCTGAGAATTGTTCCAGCTTAGTCACAGGATGTGAAGGTGGTGCATTGCCAAAAGGAGGTGGTCGACGTATATACCAGTCTGGTTGAATGATTTGTGGCGGTGTCTGTTCAGGCAATGAGGGTGTGGTGTCTTGACCTCTATCCATGGGATATATTGATGAAGCTTGCGAAGCCCGACGTAGACTGGCTCTAGTTGTCGGACTTGAAGCAGATCCGACCATCGGCGACGAGCTGTTAAACTCTTCTTGTTCTGGATCTTGTTCTGGACTATATGTAAAGTCAACTGTGTCTGTTAGTATCATCCAACAGGAGAACAAAGCAAGTAGAAAGTAGCTATATCATATCGACCAGAAGCCAGTGCTGAAGTAAAGAGAGGGTTGTTCGTTGATTAACTTACTTAGTCTAAATGGAGGTGTGATTTGTTGCTTTTGTGGTTGCAACTGGCCGACCTTATTCGCTTGGAATCCTTGGAAGCCATTGGATGGTCCAGCTCTCTGTAGCTTCGGAGCTCCTTGTGTGAGCATATAGGGTGCCGAATTGTCTATCAAATCTGCTGGTGGGGGGAATTGTGTTCTTGGCTGTGATTGATTCAATGGCATGCCTTGGCGTAGATTTTGTGTAAATTTAAAGTGATTGTCGGCGTCGCTGAGATTCTTGACTGGGGAACTGACTTGTGTGTAGGTATTTCGAGGTGCCAAGGATAGCCTGCTTGGGCCTGGAGCAGCACCAGTACTGAATGGTGACTGATACTGCGAGGCAGCCTCGTTGGAAGGAGGGTCTGAAAGTCACACCATAATCAGACGCGTAAATATCCTGTTGGGAGATGACATACCAAAGCCGTTGTACATCGAAGCCCGCTGGTAGATCGGCGGCAAGCCAAAGCCAGGTCCACAATCTACCACAGTATTGTGCAGGTTCGGGATTGGTCCAGAAGAGACAGCTTGGTCATTGCTACCACTGGCATCGTCAACAAGGCGCTGAAGGTGCCTGTCTTTGAATTGGCGGTCCATTGTGCCTTCAACGAAAGCGGGGTTAAGAGGCGTCAACAGACACCTTGAGGAAGTGAAACGACAGGGTAGGGAGGTGAGGTAGGTAGAGACAAAGGTAACGGGCAACTAGTCTACCTATTGCACGCCCGTAAAGAGCTTCCGTGCAGTGGTAGCGTGAGGTTTAAAACCGAAATTCTTGACGCGTCGTGTTCTGTATCTAGACAAACTTGTGTGGACGAAAAGAGCCGGGTTATCGGCGTTGAAGTTATTCCGCGAAGCGAGGTATCCAGGAGAAGAAGGCACGCTAGATAGTAGGAGAACAAGAGACACTATCGATAAGAAGAAAAGATACTAACGAACAGGAGAAGAAGATATGTCATCGGTAAGAAAAAAGATGTCAACTGGAAGGACAAGAAGAGAAGATCATGAGCAGACGAAGAGCCGTTATCGATAGGGGATAAAGGTACTGATGAGCGGGAAAAGAGGAAACGTTCAAGAGTAGGGGGTGTGCTAATTAGTAAGACAAGAAGAGATGTTATTGATAGGGGAAAAAATGCCAACCACCTAGGAGAGGAAGAGCAGATATCCATAGGATAAGAACATATTGGTAAGTAGAGGAGTAGGAGATGGTAATGAAGATATGAACAAGGGATGCTATCTATAGGAAGCAAAAATACCAACGAGCAGCAGTAGAAAAGATGCTAAAGAGTAGGAGAATAATGACCGCTCACCGGATGCTTGGGTTTTGTTTGAGCCGTGAATTTCTCCTAGAGATTCTCGGCTGGTATCATAATTTGTAAGGCCAAGAGATGTTTAACAAGGTCGATGATCCACAACTTAGAGGTCAACTTTTGGTAATGTTGGTAGAGAGCATTTCAGTAGAGCACGATCATATTGCGGATTGCAGGAGTGAAAAGGGTGCAGAACATATAAGGATCATGTTCAAACAAAATCTGTTCATATTTCACCTAAGACTTCCCTCTCCTAGATAGGAATATGGTGATCCTGGCACTGCCTTTGCCGGAGAGATATGTATTGCAGAGATGAGCATTCCAGAGTGAAAAAGGAGGAAGTAACACGCTTCACAAAATCTGTGATAACCCACTTGTGGAGTCAAGGACTTCTAGTGTGAATAGAGGAAATGACAATGCTTCAAAGCCCCGGGATGTACTGTGAAAGATATGGGTAGTAGTCTGCCAAGTCCACACTCAGCAGAGAAGTAAATCTAGGAAGTGCAACTTTGCAGAGGAGGAATTAATTAATTCTAGCAGAAATAAATGATACGATACATGCTAAGGCACTATGAAAGATGAGCATGGTTCTGAGATACAATAGATAAATCGGAGAAGCCGTCTTAAAAGACAGCTGGGACACAAGCATCGCCTGAGGAATCAATGACGCCCCGAACCAGTGGGAGAGACGGAAGCAATTTGAGAGCTCGGGCGTGCTTCTTCAACGAATCGGAGACGGCTCTTTTGAACGGCACTTGGCGCAGAAAGAGTCAAGCTCGAAGAGTACCGCATAATATTATAAATTCAAAAGCAGCCTAGAAAGCAGAAACCAATGACCAAACGGTACTCAAATAACCATAAATTGTTGTTAAGAAATGCAATATAAGACGAATTGTCCACGTCTTCTCTTCTGCTGTGAACGACTCTTTGAACGAAGAACCAAATTAAAGACAACATGAACCCAGAAGCCTTTCAACTAAGATAGTAGAACTTGCCATGACCCGCTAGCCATCATCAACCACTAGGCTCAGGGAAAGCAGGCACGTAGCCGAACTCTCGCTTGAATAGGAGCAAGCGAGAGCATGGTCGCTGCGGCGATGGGCCGTCCTAGTGTGTGCTAAAGAATCATAACGATACAAACATTGTCGAGAAAGGACGTGTAACCGAGACCTTGTCCGAGGTTCTCGCTTTAAATAGGGGCAAGCGAGATGGTCGCTGCGACGATGGGATGTTGAAGAGTTAAGATTAAGGAGTTGCAGGACAGTAGTAGGATGGATTTCGAAGCTCTGTAAATGAGACGGCATAAACGAACTTAATGAATACCAAAGAGTCAAAAACGATGCAAATGATACCAAGGAATTCAATCGACGGAACGAAAAACGTTCTAAAAGCAATATCTGCAACTTCTTCAGCGTGTCGACATCCCTCTGAACATCTTTTCATTTGAAGTCAAGCTCGACGAGCTATCAGACAGCCACGCGAACTTAAACTTAGAAGCCCTTTACCTCAACACAGAAACCGCGACCCTCTCATCCGACTTGAGACGGATTATTCTGCAACCGAGACAGCTTTTACTTCAGCTCAATCTCGACATTCAGCACTCAACATCACAAGCAAGCAAAGGCACAAAAAACAACAAAGAAAATGGGTCCATACAAATCTTCATCATACTACCTACGTTCTTTTACACCGCGCACATCAGCTCGAGACGCCTGCCTATACCCCATCCCGTCCCTAGCAGGCAATGCTATCCCAAGTTCTGCTTGCTTGCTTTCGCTACCCCACCCAGATCATGAAAATCCTCGTAACGCCTAAAATCATGCGCGCTGCACTCGAACATGGAGGCCGCTCCATGCATCCATCATGCCATGCTTGCTAAGATAGATATCCTTTCTTTTCCCAACCTGATTTTGCAAACACCGTGCTTGAGCACATCCATTTTCCTTTCTTTGGCTCCGCCGTATGTTATGTAATATTACACAGTTGCTGTCCCAATGCCGCCGTCGTATGTTCAATCGTCTCGTTTTATCTTCCCTCTTGAGGAGCCTACGCGAGAGTGGTGCCGTAGAGGTGAGCTGGGTCTTGATGTGGATAGACCTGCTGTCTTTAGGTTCTCCAGTGGGTCTAGCGTCAGTGACGATTTGTCTTCCTCGAATCTTGGTGTGTAGCCGTTGTCTATGGTTGTTTTCTCGTAGCTGGCAATGTTGATTGGTGGAGGTCGGTTTCGTCTCTTGTCTTGTCCGCTGTATAAATATGTGCTGAAGATGACAATTCCCGTACCAAAGATAAACTATGAAATGTCAGTAAAAAGCATTCGCTAATAATTGCCAGGTGGGGCAACTTACGTTCCAAGATACCTGGAAATCAAAGAACCAGACGCTGAACAGAAAGCTGATGATGATACTGATCGAAGTCGCAAAGTTCTTCGCAATATTGTCGGCGTAATTTATGCACATCGCCACTAATACGCCACCAACAGCTTGGAACACAATAGCCGTCCAAACGACAGCGTTGTATCCATCAAAGAACCCATTCTTTGCAATCTCCTCTCCGTCCTTGAAGATGACGCCAATTATCAAGGCGGGAAACAGAGAATAGAACGACAGTTGGACATTCCGGGTCCACACTGTGACGTGCTGTGTCGATTCTTTCAGCACTTTCTCAAAATATACTCCTGTCAGGCCACTGATAACAGCTGCTACCAAGACAGCAGTCAGTCCCATCGAATAGTTCATGATAGGTTTGACAAGCCCCATATCCTCCTGTATTCCCTCGTAAGTCGCAGAGCGTTTCGAGAGTCCTTGACTGAGCCCCTCTAGTCCACGCTTCGTCAACTCTCTAGCCACTTCCTGGACCCCACCACCAATATTCCCTAACTCGTGAAATGACCGAGGAAAGTAGAATCGAGATTGTGAGTCTTTGATCGGCGCATATGCTGAATGCTCTCCGGAGGGTAATTGTACAATAGCAACTCCAATCGTAAGCAGAACAAGAGCCACCCATTTCTTAGGAGAAAGCGTTCGTCCAAGCATGGTCACGCTGAACACAGCTGTTGTGAGAATCTATCTCTCGTTAGTTAAGCTCTAATGTCTGCCATATGGTGATCCCTACCTTCAATTGGTACAGGATCTGAAAATGGACCGCATCCAAGTTGCTGACTGCAACATATTGCAGGGAGTTCTGGAGCGTGTACAATGTAGCAGGAATGGCTAGCTTCCATCCATCCCCGGAAAAGACTGAATTATACAATTGTTCGAAAAGGACTGTCGCTGGGGTTTGCTGGGGTAATGTGGAGCTTATATCGTACAGTGCAATCGTGAGAGAAACGGCAAGTTTTATCTAGATACAGAACCTCATAATTAGCATATTTCTTTCTTTTGTTCCGCAAGAGAAAGCTGCACGGTCTTGGACTTCTCGAGCAAGCTGGTGGCCGCAGATTATAAAGAGCAGAAGGTGAGACGTACAACTTCATTGAGAAAAACAGCAGTCGAAGTGAAGTATCGATGTCCACCAACAAGAGGCATTATTCGTGAATAGTGCATAATCTAATCCCGCATCAGCTTCAACATTCAACGTCGGGTTGCCTTCTCTGCCAAGCTGTGTAAGACATATGATGTCAATATCGGTACTCACCAGTATGAGCGCGGAATTTTGAAAAGTAAGCTGGAGAAGATTAGCATCTGCGTATCCTGTTGAAGTTTCCGCATATTGGCTCTTACAGTGATGAGAGAAACATGCTTCATAGGGACGCCCATCACGCTGGGCGTCTTGCCCGGCGCGTCCATAGCTACCCTTTGCCCTCTAGGCACTATTCCAACAGCTGTCTTCGACGATTGTTTGCGGCAGATGTAGAGAATCGCTCTATGCTCTTCAGGAAAGCGACGATGGTGCAAATACGACCAAGCAATGCCTTTTGCGCCGGCTGACGGTGTAGCAGAAATAAAGGAGGGAGGTAAATTCGTCGACGACGTGCACCTAATCCTGGCCTAGCACTAAAGAAAGATTCGCGCACAAGTAGACTACTGGGGTCCCGATCGTCTAAAACCGAAGCCAATCAATATGTCGACTCCTGTGGCTGGAACACTTGGCGAGATCTGTAGCGATCCTTGACGTGCATTTGATGAAAGGAGCTCGAGTAGAAACCCGCCGGCCGTGGGAAAATAGAAAGAATTTGTTTTGGGGTCGAGAGCTCTTCGCAACAGCTGAACTTGAGCAAAGTTTTCAAGAATAGAGGAGGAAAAACTCTTTCCCTCAGAATAGCGGACGTTTCGGTCTGATCTGGCGATTCGAAACATCGCTCGTGATATCATTCCTGCCCAAGGTTTGATGGTCACATGTATGCATAGAGACCGCTCCACATGTGCAGTAGCAGCTTTCTTTTTTACGTGGTCCAATACCCTTGAGCAGCATCAAGACTCATGACAAGGTTATTAAAGAAGTGCGATCAGTCTTGCACCATACAATTGGTTACTTGATTGTCAGAGATGCTCACGAGACATCTCCGGGAGAGTCAAGTCACCTGCAGCGGTCTGAAAGCTTGGCTTCCCCAGAACCGTTTGAATCACATTCACGGCAACCCTTTCCCTTCATTGCCGCAGCATAAGCATAATAGAAGACTGCGGAGAAGCTGCACAGAAGCTATCTGTTTGAGAGCATGCCGAAACACCTAAATAAAGCTCAAGACTTGTTTCAGGACAAGGTTAGTATGAGCCACGTGATACCGGCCACGTAGGTCTTGAGAAGTATATCAAACAGAATAGTTCATTGTTTAAAGTGTGGGGTATAAGATGCTGTAAATATTAATGTATACAATCCCGCTTCTTCATGACACATTCCCTCCGACCTTTCCAAATATCCATATATGCAACCCAACCCATTCCAACCGGAAAACCTCGAAATCCAATGTATGGGTATAAAGTGCCGCAACGCTGTATGACCAGGCAAAAGAAATGACAAAGAAGATCCTCCACTATATATTATATTACAGACGCCACAGAACTTCGCTTTCGTTCTCATCTAGAAGGAAGTCTTGTGCGTTGACTAACCGGGACTCATGATCTAAGAATTTAACTCCTGTATTCCGCTTCTTGGACACTAGGGCTTGTGAAGGTTGGCGGTCCTCCCTGTATCCCCCAACGCCTACAGCAGACAACCTTGCTGCTGATGGAGGAGTTCTTGGAGAAGAGCGATTGAATCTGGGTTGTGGCGAAACAAGAGAGTCTGGCCTTGGCTCACTCTTTTTTGGGGGTGCCCAGCTTGTCCGCGGTGTTGAGTCGTCATCTGAACCGTAGCTCAAAAAGTCACCCATGTCACTGAGATCTGGTGAAGGTTCTGCAGCATCAATAAATTGTGTTTCTGATGCTGGCGTGTCGAGATACAGGAGGACTTTTGACGTGGACTTTGGTGTGCTACGAGGGACACCCCGAACTGTGTTGACAGATGAAGTAGCTGAATTTCTTGAACCAGCTTGTGCTCTCGAAGCTGACCTTTGAGGGATGCGCGGCGGGGATGGTGATTTGGCCGTCTCATGCTCCTCGATGATCTTCTCTCGCATACGTGCTCGCTTCTGTCTCAAAGCCTCTAGAAGAGCCTCTTCTTGTTTTGTCACCGCCATGAATCGGCTGCTTCTCTCTGAAGTCTGCCTGAATTCAACAGATGTCGGTGATAAAGGCGGCGTCGGCTGCTGTAGTGACCTCTCTGACTTGATTGAAGAGGGTGCCCTCGATACTTTCTTGTCTTTATGATTCGACCGCCGTTGCTCCCTTGCTGGCGCCGGTAGATTAGCGCTCTCCTTTTCAGGTTGCGTCCATGCACCTGACATTCGAGAATTCGATGATCTCGTCGGCACCTCTAAGAAATGGGTCTCTTTGTTGTTACTAGGGACTTTCTTGCTCTGACTCCTTGCCGTCAAACCACCTGATTTCTGTCCCTGTTGGCGTCGTTGATCTTTGTCAGAATGCGCGGAGCCATTATTCAACGCCTCTGATGTCTTGTAATTATTCTGTTGTAAGACATTAGGAGAATGAACCGCTTCTCGGTCCGAGTCATCGCCCTCCGAATCGGAAGAAAGTGACAAAATGCTCTTTTCTTGTAAATCAGAATTAGAAAGTACACTGCCATTGGTGTGTCTCGAAGTTCTCGTGTTCCTACTGGAAATGCTAGCCGCACTTGAGGACTCCCAGGGTGGTGATATCATGCTCGCTCTCACATTTTTCCAAGAAAAAGGCTGGTGCTCTGGTGTATTCGAATAAGAATCCTTATTCGGCTTCTGATTCGATGACCCGTTCATTCTGGACTGACCCCGTGGGCCACTATCAAGAACCCCTGCTTCTGGAATACGGTCCATATGAGGAGAACGAACTGGCATGTGTTCATAATGATCATAGAGTGAAACCAGTGTACCATTAGTTTGGCGTTGTTGAGTATCGTGAGACTTAGTGGAACGAATGCTATGCTTCTGTGATTGCATTGACTCCTTGGAATTTGACTTCTTCAATTTTCGACGTCCAGCTTCTGCGTTTAGGCTGGTGTCTCGGGAAGCATTAGTCGTGATAGATGATGGCGAAGGAGTCATTGAACCAGGCCGTTTCGAACGTGGAAATAACATTGAAAGATCCAGTCGTGCCGGCTTTTTCCTTGAAGATTTTTCGAGAGACCCGTCCGGTTCATTCTCTTGGACATATCTGCCGTTCGCCGAGAATTGCGCATCAAAAGGATCGAGAGATGATTCGACCTGCAATAACGGGCTCCTCTGGATCACTGGTGGAAAGCCCTTCCTTAATGCTAAATCCCGAGCCGACGATGCCGAGGTCTGCTGTGATATGGACAGTGGTGATTTTTGTCGGTCGTAGTACGATTTTAGCGTTGAGGACGAATCCTCGTTTCTGAGACGCCCACTAACGCTTGAGGTCGTAGTCGTTCCATCCTCTCCAAGTCGCTGTCCCAACAATGTAGACGAAGCTTTTCCGTGTAATCGCGAGCTTCTAGGCAAAACACCTGACTCTCGATCCCACTGTTCGCTTTGGTATTCATGAATACTTCCACTCTCATTCGTTGACTGCGTAGACTCTGAAATCGATATGCTCATCCCACTCGATCGAGAGCCAGGATATTTCCAAGGATGGTCTTCTCGCGTGGGGGAGTCAATATTCAGATCGTTGTCCGTCCCTAGAATTCGTTGCGCCTTTGAGAGGTTATTTCCCGCAGCGCTCGAGGACTTCACGCCTGGCCCTTCTTTCGTTGCATGCTTCCGCCCTGGTATAGGAAAGGAGAACTTGGACGTTCGACCCATCGTTTCTGACAGTCTCAAGCCGCAGCAGCGAAAAGCTTCGACCAGCGACTTGAGCGCTCCACCGTTCTGCGAAGCGTCTGGAGCTTGAGATTATGACCTGTCTCAACGAGATAGCCGGCCACGAGATTCAGAAGCTTCACCGAGACATCGTCCGGTGACTAGTCGAGAAAGGAGGGGAGCGTTTCGAAGCGTCTCCGCAGCGGGGTCGAACAGAGGGAGGCAGGCAGGCAATTGACGTGGTTTCAACAGCACGCTCCGTGGTCGATATCTCATTCCAGCGCTCTTGTATAGTGATGAAATAAATCGGCGTGGTGAACACGACGACCTTCGAGGGACGAGGTACAAGTAGTAGTACTAGTATTGTACTGACAGGACGCTCGGGCACACTTCATCTGGCCTGAAGAGAGATGACCGTGCCAGAAAGAAAGTTTCATTGGACAATTCCACGATTTGTGGCTCGTGGCTCTTACCCTCGTTAGCCCACGCATGGCCGCCATCTCTCGAATTCGTTAGTGTCGCCAGCGCGACTCAGGGATCCTAGGGGAAGTTGATCAGGGATGATCGAGGATTCCAGGGTCTCGCCTGCACGTAACCATCGCCAGTGTTTGCGATTCGGAACGAAGCGCGCTGAGAGGTGCGAACGAGAGGAGATCCCGCGGCACCTTTGGGGACAGGAGAGTGCAGTGCCAGCAAGTGCCAGCCAGCGGGGACAGAGGGACAGTTCAAGGAAGGAGAAGAAGGAGCCCATCCTAAGCCGGCCAGCTCTCCTGAATGCGGAATGATGAGTTTTGATCGGACCTGTCGCAGAGTCCACCAGGGCAGAGCAGCCATCGACCGGACGGCCCTGGGCCCCCCTGATTCTGATTGACGATGCGCAGAGCCGACGCCACAGGCTAATATTTGGCGATAATGCCCATGGCCGCCCAGCAGTACTGTAACGAGTAAGTAACAAACAGCGCAATAAATAATTCCAGCTGCAATATTACAGCATGCATGTGGAGAACAGTGCGCAATCTGGCAATGTTCCATCGTCCACCGTCCATCGAGTCTAGGGCCGGAAGTGCAGCTCATCATGGCTCACCTCACCTCACCTCACCTCACCTCACCTTACAGTACAGTAGTTCGGTTTGCTCGGCACTCTCAGACGTCCTTTCCATCTCAAAACTTCCCATCTGCGACACTTGTCCCTTTCTTACCGCTCTTTGCTGTCGTCGCAACCTTGCCGGGCCCGCGCTGAACGGACATGAATCGAAGCAAGTCGGGTGACCTCCTTGGGAATAGAACCTCAGATATTCCTCCGTAGTGCGTTGCTTTTTTGCTTGCGATGGCTGGTCCCTGGCTAGCAGGGAAACCCGAGATTCCCAAAGCGGTGGAAATGAGCGTGTGCTATTGGCCACGTTCGACGACCAAGCTCACACATGACGAAGTCGCATCAAATATCTGGTTGCGGATGTTCAAGATTGTGGTCTCGTCTCCGACATACTTGCGAATCTGCCGCCACGTCGGGGATATGAGGTGGGTTGGCTACACTTCTCGGTCTGGTGTAGATCCACTCATTCATGATGGACCAAAAAGGAAATAAATGGGACGAGGGAAAGACTTGTCTCGCGCGAAGACTTCGTGGCTGAAACCTTCAGCAAACAAAATATCTATCGAAAAAAGCCTGAGCAAATGTCATCGATGGATTATCTTGAGCTATTGTACAGTACAGAAATAGCGACCCATAGCACTAGATTTCAATCATCATGCAGCAAACAATTCGTGTCAAATTCGGCCACAATGAATTAACCTTCGTTAGAGCAATTGGCGGCTGCCTGCGAGATCCGCCGCCAAAAATTAGAATACTTTTAGAATCTGTGCGCCCCCAAGTTCTCAATTCCTATTGAATCAATTCAATCCCGTGGACTCGAGAATGGGGCTGGCTCGAGAAGTTCTCATGCGCTTGACAGCTTCGACTGGAGAATGGGATTCTGCGAAGCGCTTCGAGGCACGCCTACCAGTTTCGTTTGGACTGAAGAGCAAACCGCGTCGTGCAATGCTCTGCAGATGATGAAACTCATTGTCACTTGGTAAGGGTGTTCCGCATGTCGAGAGTCGAGGACTCGGCTCTCCTTCCGTCGTGCCATCGTCGAACACGTGTGCTGGACCTGAAGCTTTGGCATTGGGTGTATTGAAATCGTCAAGGGCAATTGAAGACTTTGGGTCTGCAAGCTTTCCTAGACGGGGTGCATCTGGAATTGCAAACTGCGCAAACTCAGCACACTGTGGCAAAGAGCCGTTTCTGAGAAGTTATGCCAACACTTACCAAATGGTTGATATATCTCTGCGGCTGGAAGTATTCCTCACGCAAGGAGTCGTCATTGCCAATATATCGGAAAGTTTGATTGCGAAGCTGTTTGGTCTTGTTGAGCTTTTGAACGAAACCAGAAAGCTCCAGGACTTCCATGAGCTCCTCAGTGAACTCGAGACTACGACCTGCGCAGTTTATTAGCAAAAGTAGAAGAACCCCAATCAAAAGCAGGTCATCCTCACCCAAGTAATCAACAAGCTCTGAGAAAGAGACTGCAACGCGTTTATTACGCAGGAACCACAAAATGTGACGTCCTACACAAAGTTCAGAAGCAGCGGTGATCTGTTGTTTCTCTTCCTTGTATATTTCCGCCAAACAACTGTAACAAAGATGGTTCGAGGGTCCTTCGCCATCTAGATATCCATAGCATTCCGAGTGCTGGGAACGTCGGCAGTCCACGCAGTATATCTGCAGTCCATCAGTACGAACCACGGCAATCCCATCATATAGTATCCTCACCATTGACGGACCATTCTCTTGGCAGCCGCATTCACACTCGACAATACGGTCACCATTGTAGCCGATACTTTGAGGTCCGTCGAGATCATCATCACCTGCAGCACCTGTGTGCTCTGCCAAGCGACTATTAAAATAGTTCATGATGTCTTGCGTGTATGGAGGGGCAACGACTGGCTCAGATTGAGCTTGCTGGGATTGACGAGGTAGTGATTGGTCTTTTTGAAGGTGTTGAGTATCTTGAGTGAAATGGTGTTGAGCTCTAGAATCACCCTACCATACCAGTGGATCAATATACGACTTATTTGCTGAGGAAGACTTGACATTACCATGGTTTGGAGCCGATGTGACATTTCCCTCTGGATTCCATCGCCATTGATGGAACCAAGACGAAGGTAATGTCCACGTTTCTGGGGAGGTTGGCTCGACTCTAGTCTACCGATGGGTTGTGAAGGCGCCCTCGACTCGGCTGGCGAGGTGTTACTGTGTGCGAGTATTTGTCTTTGTGGCATACGCGCTGGAGAACTTCCAGAGCTTGGAAGAAGCAGTCCTGCAGAGATTCTATATAACGTCAATGGGCACGTTCTGAATATCACGAAAACAAGGAACATACCTATGGTGGCCTGTGTCCATCGAGAGCTCCGGATCACTATTGCAGAGACTCAAAAGAGCTTCTGTGGCTAAATTACCGGGCTTGAAATAGGTCGGTTGATAACTTGTAGGAGCAGAGTCGTTATACTCGGCGAGTATATTCAAACGATAATCGGCTTTGTTGGTCAGTAGGCATTGTTATTGGACAAAGCTAGCTTCATGCATAGAGTGAAACAGAACTTGCCTGGTAACGGATACTGCGTCAATCTCCCAAACCTATCAGTGTGACCTAGACGCTTGAATAACTCTTCGGCCATATCAATGAGCTTTCGGCGACCTTCAGACAGAACCAAAGTCGTGAACTCTTGGGTTACTGCATTCCTGACCCGTTCACTCAGCCGCGAGGAAGCCCTGCCGTTCACATATTCGAATGTCAAACAGTATGACTCGATGAGGTTATTTTCGGATACTTCTTGTCCGTCAGCTGTATGAAAGCATAGCTGAAGCTTTTGCAAGTATCTCTTCTCAATGGGCTCTTTTGCAACGGATTCCTAAAAATGTTGATCAGTCCCGTCAGAAGGCGAGGATAGGAAGAACATACAAGAACATTCATTAATTTATCGACCTGTTCGCCCTCACCGCGCTTTGGAACACGCCAATACATGTATTCGTGTGGAGGGGGTGCGAAATCTTGACGGTTGACGTAGGCATCGTATGAATTGTTGGGATCCTCTGGGTGATAAATTCGTGGCTGCCAAGGGTGGTCTTTAAACACTTTCCTACCAGCAAGCTTAATACAAACATCAAGAACATGACTTGGCGACTAACCTAATGTGAATGATCTGGAAGAACTACCAGGGGCAGAATGTCAATCGAGACGAACAATTGGCACCGGGCGGAAACTCACGATAGCGGCCACGGCTGTTTGGACTATTTGAGTGCTGAGAGCTAAGTCGAGCTTTGTATTTGGATGCAGTGGCTGTGGGACCACAGGTTGAGCTCGAATTGCACTTTTGCCACGCTTGCGTTTGCTGGCCTTGCTTGCCTTGGCGGGCATGTTGCAAGTCGAAGGGCAACCTTCACCTGTTTGACGTGGGAGATGTGAAAATTTTCCGGACGAGTCAAGATCTCGACCGTCAATTAGGATGATAATCGATGAGATATAACACAAAGGTGGAAGGAAACTGGAAGAAAAGTTGAAGGAAATTTGAAGATGGGGGAAAGAGATTCAAGTCGAGTGGATTTTAGCGCGTTTTTGAGTTGATGCTCGTCGAGGAAGGAGCGACGAGCGACCAACACAAATATTTAAATCGAGCTGGCATACCTGCCCTACCCTGCGATAATATACTGAAAGACTGTGCAAGAGTTCTGGAGTCAAACTTGCTGTGAAGTATGACAGCAAGATGAGGGAATCTACACATAGGACCGTCAGACCTTGAACGGGGCTCTTTTTTTCAACAAATAACATGCACGGATCGCAACAGATGAAGTGAGGCACGGAAACAACCAATCGGCAATATTGATATTGTTTCCACCCTGAGGGTCCGGTTTAACGAGTAAATAAAAACATTCTGCATTGACAGCAAGACCAGGCAGATGACCTCGAGAAAGAGGTGACGAGCAGTCGACGTGAACTCAGTCAATCAAATCAAATGCCTTGATTGTCTCCCGAATTCAAGCATGAAAATAGTCATACCAGTGTTTAAAGGATTTTGGACTATGCGGACTAACCAGAGAGGGCAAGACAACTTCACAAGAACTTGAGAAGCCAGGACCGAGACCACAAAACTCACTTATTTAAAGACGGACGGAAGCCCAAATTTGTTTGATAACGAAAGGCCTAGTCGGTATGCCCAGCCTACACATGGAAAGAATCTTCTCCAAACGCAAGTTTGGAGAGCATACCCAGCTGAAAGAGATGAATGCTTGACAACAACACTTAAAGTCGCTGTTACGAAGTATTAATCCTTCTCAAGCTCACCTGAAAGACTCTCCTGTAGGATTTATACGGGGGACGACAATTCCTACCGTGTACCTCAACCCCTTAAATAGTGAAGGAGGGGTAGGGAAGATCATCGACCGATGTATTGCCTAGCCTTGTGGTGATGTACAGTACTCAGGTAAAGACTTGATAGAATCTACCAATATACTTGAGCAATAATCGCGTCTTTTAACAAGCTACATAGACAAAAGCGGTATCTCCGTGCTACCCCTCGACTTGTGTGCCTAGCTGCATCTACAATACTTCTTGTATTCCTCGAACAGAGAAAGGAGAAAGGAGAAAGACAGTAAAGGAATCATTGCCAATAAGGAGAAAACAGGAATATCTTCGAAGAACGTCGAGTGGGAGGAGAGTTGACTTCTAGTGCTGCTGTCAGCTTGAATTGCCTCTCGGTGATGATTTGTGTGATGTACGTATGCGTCGTGAGAATTTGCGGCGGCGAGGAGGCGAGTGTCCCGCTAGTGCAAGCGAGGCTGTTCACGGACGGAAAGATCTCGACAAGTCCAACCTTCCCCAGACGGCGAATATCAACCTGCTCTTGCCTCAAGCTCGGTCAAATCTCGATAACATTGTCATTCGTATCTCTGCTTCTTCTGCTCTCACCCTTGATCGACCTCGAAAGGAGCGCAACGTTGTAAACACGCCTCAGCATCCGAGATCCCGGGTAATCGAGCCAAATCCTTCCTCACTCCCAATACCCCCACTACAGGCACAACGATCAAGAAACATCTGCGAAACCTGGCTATGGTGATATTGGCACACTGTTAAATATTTGGCGGAGCGAACACCTAGGAGCAAGCCACGCGTTGGTGGTCTCGTGTCAGGGACGCGTTCTGCTCAACGAGAGAGGGGCTGGTCTGACCCCGAGGATTTTACGAGATATCCCAGGATATTCAAAGTCAACCACAAAGAAACACGCTCAACACAACATACATCATGGATCCTCCGACTCGATCTCAAGTCAAGCGCCGCGCTGTCTCAGCTCAACATGTTGGTAACAACCTGTCCGCAAACCGCATGTCAGATGAATCTCCGAGTACCTTCACCTCGAAGTCAAAATATGGACAGCTTGCTGTTGACGGACAACCTCTTCGGTCCAGAAATCAAATGGTCTCGGTAGGATGGGTTGAAGGGGACAATTCAGTGTCCAGAAGGACGTCTAGTCTACAATTCGAGCTCGCCGAATGTGTCGAGACCAAGACTATCACCACAACCACAACAACTAAGCGATCATACCCCCCTCTTCTCATCCGACAAGACCTAGATAAATTGGATCCCAAAGAGTATCCTTTGGCTCTTCAACAACCTCCGCCTGAACTCCTCAACTTCTCCTATGAGATTGATGATTCATCTGCAGGTCAAAGTGAGGATAGCACCGCCAAATTGGTCAGTAACATTCACGGCGCAAATACTACCGTTACAGCTAACAATCTGGTATTAGAACTTTCCAGCATCCATGATTCTCGATGATATATCTCCCAAAGAATTCGACGATCAAGACAACCTTGAGACCTTGAAAACATACAAGAATTTCTCGGCCAACACCTCCGGCCAACAACTATCAGAACGACTTAGCCAAAAGCTAGATATGGTTAATCAGAGAAGATCAGTGAAAACCGCTTCAGAAATACGCTTCAAGACTCGAAGAGCACAAAAGACGATGAAGCAAGAGCCCAGAGATAGCGAGGAACTCGAATCTCCGAGAGAAAATCACCGACGCCGTCACGGCTTGGGAATGCACCTTTCACACAATCCTACGTTTCCTGCAACACCAGACATGTCGGAAGTAGACGTCTCCAATGATCGTACCCAGCCATCGACCAAATCATTTTTCGACAGTGCATACACACCACACTCAGGCTTGAGTCAGAACGACTCATTCGAAGATGTCCCGAGCCCGCCAGAGTTTCCGAACCAGGAAGCTTTCACAAATGCCGTTGCTACACCTCCGATTGCAGAATCCGATCTAGAACCATTAGAGGATACTACTTCGTATACATTGGCTTCTGGACAACGACCTACGGTCAATACTGCTGCCGCGCAGAATGCAAGCTTACCCAGTCCTGGTCTATCTCCTACTTTCTCCTCTGCCAATATTCCCCACGATCTTTTCACTCGAGCTGATGCTATCAGAGAGGATGGCACAGCATCAGCCGCTAGTCCTGCCACTCAAATTGGCGATAGTCAGGAGACTTCTGATGGCGATGACTTAGATCTATCAGAATCTCAAGCCTTGCGTCCGTTTCAGCAAAGCTCTCGTGGTCATCCGACTATGTTAGATGCCCAATCGATGCTTGAGACTTTCGATGCAATGCCAAACGATATGAAGACTCTAATGATGTATCAACTGCTTCGGCGCTGCTCGAGGAAAACCCTACACGTTATCGCGGATGTTGTCAACCCTGCTTTGAAATGTGATTTCCTTGATCAGTTGCCCACTGAACTTAGCTTGCACATTCTTACCTTCCTCGATCACAAGGATCTATGTCGTGCTGCACAAGTTTCAAAGCGCTGGAGAAATATTATTGATTCTAATGAGACAGGCTGGAAGGAGCTGTTTGATAGGGATGGATTCATCCTACCGCAAGGGGAGCTCGATAAAGCTATTCAACAGGGCTGGGGTTGGCAGGATCCTCATGGACCGGATGGAGCTGAGAGGGATCTCAGCGTGCCTCCAGAACCATCATCGTTAGATACTGTTGCTCTTGCTGCGCATCTCAAGATTGAGGCTGGACCGTCTCGAAAAGGCCGCGCTCCGACCAAGAGGAAGCGCGCCCCTGGTGGTTCAGGAGCTGATCGAGCCAAGCGCAGGTCCGTAGGCCACGAGTTTGCCGACAAAGCCCAAGGCATGGTCGCAAAATATCCGACTATGCCCAAATTCTCCAAATCCGAAGGGCCTTTGAGTTCTGCAAGCGCTGCTGCTGCTGCGGTGCCAAACCCAGAATTGGGTCTCCCTGGACTTCGGAAATTGCATCTCTACAAGTCGTTGTATCGCCGCCATTTTATGCTTCAACAAAGTTGGATGAGTGGCAAAGTAGCTCCTCATCATTTTGCATTCCCAGCTCATCCTGCACACGTTATTACTTGTCTTCAATTTGACGACGATAAGATTTTGACAGGTTCTGACGATACACTTATTCATGTCTATGACACAAAGACCGGTAAACTTAGGAAGAAGCTTGAAGGTCACGAAGGTGGTGTTTGGGCCCTTCAATACGAAGGCAACGTACTGGTGTCTGGATCCACCGACCGCTCTGTTCGAGTTTGGGATATCGAAAAGGGACTCTGCACACAAGTCTTCCATGGCCACACGTCAACAGTACGATGCCTTCAGATTCTCATGCCTGAAATGACACGACGGACGGAGCAAGGTGTCCCGATTATGGTCCCAGAGAAACCATTAATCATCACCGGATCCAGAGACTCGCAACTGCGAGTATGGAGACTGCCCTTAGGCGAGCAAGGCGACAAGCGCTACAGCTCGACAGGCCCACCTGCAAATGATACTGACTGCCCTTACTTCGTCCGCGTATTGGCTGGCCATCTGCATTCCGTACGTGCTATTGCTGCTCATCAAGATACATTGGTCAGTGGCAGCTACGATAACACTGTAAGAGTTTGGAAGATTTCTACTGGAGAGACGATTCATCGACTTCAAGGACATGCTATGAAGGTTTACAGTGTAGTCCTTGACCACAAGCGCAATCGATGCATCAGTGGCTCAATGGACACTTATGTCAAGATCTGGTCGCTCGAGACTGGTGCCTGCTTGTTCACGCTCGAAGGCCATTCATCGCTTGTTGGATTGTTGGACCTCAGTGACGAACGCCTCGTGTCTGCAGCAGCAGACTCAACGCTTAGAATTTGGGATCCAGAAAATGGACAGTGCAAGAGCACACTGAGTGCCCATACAGGCGCCATCACATGTTTTCAACATGACAGTCAAAAAGTCATCTCTGGGTCTGACAGAACTCTGAAGCTATGGAATATCAAGACTGGAGAATGCATCAAGGATCTTCTAACGGATCTCAGCGGCGTTTGGCAAGTCAAATTTGATGAGCGCCGATGTGTAGCTGCTGTTCAACGCGACAATCTAACATATGTTGAGGTTGGTCTATAAAAGAATATCCTATGATGATTTTGCTAACTCGGATATACAGGTTCTTGATTTTGGTGCTTCTCGGGACGGCGTTCCTGCATGGAAGCGTGGTGCACGTCGACTCCTCGCTCCAGATGCTGATGCCGAACCGGACCTCACCATCGTTGAAGAAGAAGTGTTAGACGACTGAATAGCAACCTAATCGTTCACCAAAATTAATGGAAGCAAAAGATACCCGGTATTGCACAAGATTCAACTTTTATTTTGTAATTCGGCGTCAAAAGGGTCGTGGACGGCGCATTTGCATGCATAGCACAGCGAGGAATAACGATTGTTGAACGTACATGCCCTTTGGCGTTTATTTTGGGAGATGTATAGCATAGGACGATGGTATATCATGCATTGCGTTGCGTTTTCTCTCACTGAGCTAGCTGCTTTGCTGGAGTAACAGGACAGTAATGTCATGAGCGTTGCTTTTGTGATGAACTGCATGAGGCAGCTTGGTATTATACATATGTGTGGAAGGCCGAGCAATGCAATGGTCCACATTATTTAATATGCAGGTGTGCGTGCGTGCAACGTGGATGCTTCTTTGACTCACATAGAAGCTTCCTCATAATCACGACCTCCATCACTCAACCAGATTATTGCCTGAATCAACAAGATGCTATTTCTCAAGCGAACACTCGCTTACCGATCCAAATCCTTCAAAGCTTTGAAGCTCACGAATAGGGGTAAAAATTCACTCCTTGCCTCAAGCGAGTCGAGAAGGGGGTTAATTAAGCGATACCCCCTATCCCCACTCACATCAACATCACCTTCCCCAACCACTAAACACCACCAACCCCCCTCCTCATATACCTCCAAACATACTCTCCCCACTTCTCCTCCCCGACCCCTTCATCCTCCACAAAATCATCCAAACTCAACTCCAGCCTCCCCACCTCCCTAAACCCACACTTCTCAAAAGCCCTATACCCATCATGACTACTGCTCACCCACGTATACACCCTCTGTTCATCAGCGAGCCGTGTGCCCCAGCGGATGAGAGATGAGCCCACGCCGTGCGATTGGTGCGAGGGGGCGACGTTGATGCCCATTAGGATGAGGCATCTGACACCCGGTGGCGTGAGGAGGGATGAGTAGTGCGTCATTGCTGCGTCTGTGAGGGTTGCTAGGTGTTTGATTTTTGGGACACTGGGGTTGGATGGTGGTTTTGGTGGGGGAGGGAAGGGGTCTTCTTGTGTTTGTGTTTTGGTAGGAGAGGGGGGAGAGGGAGGGGCGTCGGTAGGTTGGAAATTGATGTAGCGCCAGGCTGCCCAGCCGACTATTTCGTGGGAGGGAGAGACGGCTTTGATGACGGCGCCTTTGGAGGTGTCGTTGATCCAGGAGGAGAGGGGGGAGGACATGCCTTCGCCGTGGTTGTAGCCTGCGTAGAGGGCTTTGAAGCGTGTGTGGGTGTCTTGTTCGAATGCGGCGTGGGAGATGGTTATGAGGGTTGGTATGTCGCTAGGTTCGGCAGGGAGGAGAGTAACGCTGGAAGTCATGATTGGTGATGGTGTTGTAAGCTGAAGATTATTGATGTATGCATTGACATGTGGATGGATATGTTGGGGGCAAGTCCTGTAAAGTACTTTGATACCAGAGACAATTGAACTGTTTCAACAATTCTCCGCATTGACCTTGAGCGACTGACTCACCGGCCAGTGACTTGCATGAAGGACGAAGCGAAACGGGTAGGGGTTAGTGCTGACTTGCACTTCGTTTGTGGGGTAAAGTGAACAATGAAACAAAACCATTGTACAGCATCATATCAAGACGTATCAATGTCCATCAAATGGTAAAATAGTGTATGCGTGACAATAATTAACGATAAACATTAACAATCTAGGGGTATCGTGAATACAATACGACAAAACGGTATCTAATTTCAGTCCAAAACGCCATGCTCGAAGTTACGTGCCAGGATACGGTTGACTTGGGGTAGTAGTAGTGACGCCTTCAGAAGGTGCAGTATTAACTCCATTCGTGCCAGTCGTGACATTAGTGCCATTGGTTGGGGCTGTGGTCGAAGCTGTGGTTGGGTTCGTATTGTTTGTCGACGGCATTTCCATCGAGGCTTCTTCCCCATTATTCTTATATGCCGAGGAAAAGGGACCGAATTGGTCGTTGTGCTGAAGAGACTTCCACATAATGTAGGAGCTATAAATCGAGCTGTTAATGAGACGTTCAAGAAAGAGCAATTCGTCGCACTAACCTCGCAAAACTTGCGATAACACCCGGCCACAAGATGACTGTTGAGGCAACGCAATATGCATTCTTTCGATATATGGGATTTGGTGGGCCGTTCGCTCGAAATAAGTCATCGGCGAGGGCTGTTGACATACCAGAAATGTAAGCTCGGTGTGTGGCAACGATGACCTAGAACATATATCAATAAGAATAGTAGCTTTTGGAGAATGATCATCTCTTACGGTCAGAGCAATCGCGTCTGCCAACGCCATGATAGAAACGACAATGGAGCATATCTTCCACGCCCACTTGACAGATGTACTCTCGCGTCGCTCGGGCCAGAAGAGATCGAAGAAGAAGCCTGATCCAAAAATGGTCGCAACGGCTATGCCAACAAAAATGTTGTATGAAAGTATGCCGACAATATCGTTATTCTGCACGTGTGCTCGTCTGCCATCTCGAGTCTGAATACCATCTTGTTCATCCACATAGTCTGTTATAAGTTAGCGTTGCTCAATCGCAATATCATTGAGATCATACCTGATAATGCTGCCGTCCCAACTGACTCTGATACCACACACAGAATCATGGCAATCTGATAGACTATCATCTTCACCTTCCGTAAGTGATACACATTGTTGAACATGTAAGATCCTTTGAACTTGGACCACTGCATGTCCTTCAAATCCAAACCCCATATTACCGCCATTTTATTGCTTCGCAGAACACAAGAAAGTGGATTAAGGGGTGAGTGTTCGAATAGCACAGATGTTTGAGTAACTGTGCTTGCAGACTTAAAACTGCGACAGAGGTAGTTATATGAGGGAGACGTATGGAAATAAAAGTGCGAGTAGTTTTTGGGTGGGGAGATTTAAAAGCAACCATGAATTGATCTGCTGCAAGCCTGATGACCGAGACCGAGCCAGCCCAAGGCTTGGTAACGAACAAGTCGATCTAGTTCCGGGAATGCCAAAAATTAATTAATAAGGGAAAGGATCGCATGTCTGGACCACAAACGACGTCCTGTGCTGGTTGTGGCTGGTATGAGGGCAAGCTCCGGCTGCTATCGGCGGGCTGGGGAGACGTCATACCTCATGATTCGCATCAGATCCACCGGAGAAATTCTGATAATCGCTCGGCTTCTGCACCATCCCAAGAAGCTTCGGGTGGAGCGGAGAGCTCTATTACTTAGAAAAGAAAAGATTGAGCAGGACTAAGCAGGACTAAGCAATACTAGTCGTGCTTGGAGACATGGAGGCGAATATCAGATCAAGGCGAGTGCGGGTATGGCGGGATCGTGATCATTTCCATGCAAGTCTGGGATTTGATTTTATCTGTTGACCAGTTGAATCCCGCCCTGTAGTTCCAGCTACAGAGTTTTTGTTTCATGTCGTGTGCGAGGCTGAATAACAACATGCCTGCAAGATGACGTTGATTGCTTTTGTCTCCCAATCATGAATGGTGGCTGATCTTTGATGGAGCTTTAAGATGAGGATATACCCTTCTTAGATCGCTATCCCGCCTTGGCAGATGTAGGTGGAACGGGGTTCGAGACTTACTTGTTAGGGTCCTGACGACGCGAGGCAATCGTCCGTATTTGAGGGTCTTCAGACTCCTATGATGCTATTTTGAAAATCCCATAGCACATCATGCGTGTTACACGTCCAACTTAGAGCTTGACGGGGTCAAGAGCCGCGTCAGGTACAACATGGCACCAGAGAACCCGTCAGTGAAAGGGCCGAGTCAAGTCGAAGCTGCTCTGCTAAAGTAGTGCATTCCGTACTGGAGTACGCGGCTCCAAATAGATGTGGCTTCCTCTCTGTATTTTCGAACGAGCGTTGATATATTTACCGAGGAAAGACGCTGTTTGTTGGAGAGTCCTCAATGAAAGTTCCAGGATGGTTGAAGATATACTTTCCTTGGCGGTAGGTACGTACCTATCTAGGTACTCGTGGAAGTTCTTCGACGAGACATGAAATTGCCAACTCGCAAACATTTTCGAAGTGCTCATGCGTCTAAGTGTTTCTCAATGCAAAAGAATACTGCTTTTTGGCTGACTTAAAGCTCCTCAATGTGCCAGTTGTTGAAAGACAATTCAAGATGCAGAGTTGAAGGCCGAGAAGGCTCCTCCAAACTCACTAAACCTCTTTCGTCCTATCACATGATGTCCCCACTAAGGATTGAGAAGCCGAGACGAGATTCTTCGACCTTCGAAATTCCTCTTTCTGAGCCTCACAACCTCCCCAAACAGTTTCCTACACTCAAACAATTTGGGAGGTTGGCACTGCTTGGACAAAAAACTGCGTCGACGCCCACAAATCGTGATCCTGCGACTTCGACTTTGAATTGAGGGGACTTGAAGAACCCCACAATACTCAGCTTTGTAAGGTATGTAAGAAGCCAATAGCTACACGCAAACCCCTTCCTTCATGATGATATACAAGCTGGCACCAGTCTTAACGAACGCGACTGTACTCTCTGTTCTTGCTGAACATGCTATGACTTCGGTCTCCTTCTGATCCTTTTCGACCTCTCCACAATTATTTGCTTCTCTCGATAAACTTGTGCTGACATTCAGCTCTCGCAATAGAATTACCTTTGACCCCGCCTACTCTACCTCGCAAACTCTCTGCCCAAGATGGTTCTCCACAACCCCAATAATTGGCACTGGGTCAACAAGGATGCTTCGTCGTGGACTAAGCAATACATCGAGGACAGTATTAAAGGTCTCGAAGCCGAAGAGAATGGCGTTACCGCAAAGGTGGACAAGCTGATCAGCATGGATGGAGACGTCGATGTCAGTCAGCGCAAGGGCAAGGTCATTACCATCTTTGACGTGAAGCTTGTCATCGAGTATTCTGGTATGCAAAGATTTCCTCCAGGAAAAGTGTCGTTACTAATTGCTCAGGTACCACCAAGGATGCAGAGGATGTCAGTGGCACAATCACAGTTCCCGAGGTTGCTCATGACACTGAAGAAAACGAGTATGTTGTACGTCTCTTCGTCCCCATGGGCGCCTTGCATGGCACAACTAACCGCCCTAGTTCGACATAGACATCTACTCCGATGCCAACTCGAAAGCACCAGTAAAAGACCTCGTCCGATCCAAGCTCGTCCCGCAACTCCGAAAGGAATTCGCAAAGCTCGGTCCAGCTCTTATTGCTGAGCATGGAAAGGATATCCAGCACGCACCAGGTTCCGGCCCATCTAGCGGTGTCTCCACACCTAAGCTTCACCAACCTTCCGCGCCTGCTTCGACCACAACTCAAGCTTCACATACCTCCAAAGGCGACTCTTTGGTTAACACCACAACTGTCACCGACAGCCAAGAGTTCCGCGCTCCGGCCTCTGAGCTTTACCAAACATTTACCGACCCCCAACGCATCGCAGCCTTCACTCGAGCAGCACCCAAGCTCTTCGAAGGTGCTAAGAAAGGCGGTAAGTTCGAGTTATTCGGCGGTAACGTTACTGGCGAGTATCTCGAGCTCGTTGAACCTACACAAATCGTTCAGAGCTGGAGACTGGATCAATGGCCCAAGGGACACTACTCTCGTCTCGAAATCAACTTTGACCAGAACGATATCGACAATGTCACGGTGATGAGGACGAATTGGAGCGGAGTTCCCGTTGGACAGGAAGAGGTCACCAAGCGTAATTGGTCGGAATATTATGTTCGTAGCATAAAGACTACCTTTGGGTAAGCACATCCATCCATTGCAATATACTGGAAGATAGCTAACAGCAATCCTAGCTTCGGAACTGTTCTATGATTCATGACTTCTGTACTGGAAGATACAGGACAGCACGAGACATGTTTCTGACGCGGATATGAGACCTGGTGGTGGCATCCTTGCTTTTCTGGTGGAGTTTAGAGATAGGAACCTGAACTTATATCAATGAATAGAAAGCAATTCGATGACTTACTTCACACTAGAAATCTTCATTTGAATTTAGAACTGTAATTCATTGTTCATTCTCGCATTTGTATGCCAAATAATCATCGCCTATTTTATCCACAATGCAAATCCAATCGCGCCATCCGTATGCACATGCGTATGCATCAACCCATCCAACTCTACCGATTCCGATCCTATACAACAATCAAACCAGAGCGTGCCCGAATCTAGGGTATATAAACGTTCATACAATCATACAGCCATCCCAATCCTTTCCTATCTTTCCTTCCCTGCGTTATCTCCTCCCAAGCACCTCCGCAACATCAACCGAATGCCTCGTCTTCGGCACCATCTCAAACTCCTCCCCAACCGCAAACCCCAAACTCCTTCTCCCCTCCACCGAAAACTTCCTCCTCGTCAAACTCCCCATCGGTCCCCTCCCCACCGCGGCCCCACCATCCTCAATATCAACTGGGCTCCGCACCACCTCCGCTTCAGGCATGACTCTCCTCCTTTCCAACAACTCCTGGATCTCTCCTTCCCGCTCCCTCTGCGCATCTTCATCCATGCTACTTTTGATTTGCTCTTTATCCCCAGCGGCAGCAGTAGTGGTCCCATCAGCTTCCTGCTTCAGCCTCTCCTCGAACCGTTTCCGGATCAGAGGATCTTTCTGCAGTTCTTGGAAGAGGTCTGTTTCCGTCGGCCAGAAGGATTTCCGGATGCTAGATATGCCGAGCTCCATTAGGATGAGAGAGCAGAGGGTGAGGAACAGGACGAGCCACCAGAGGAGGTTGTTGCCGAATTCGTGGAGGAAGCCGGATTTGATGGGGTAGAGGAGGTAGGTTTTGGAGGGCTTGAAGAGCGCCGAGAGGACGATGGTCCAGAGGAACCAGCCGCCGACTGAGAGGAGCCAGCCGAGGGCCGACATCAAGGTTTTGTTGTGCATTTCTAGGAGACTTTGGGGGATTATTAGGTTGTGAGCTAAATTTGTGGGTGTGGATCAAGAACTTACAGGAGTTTGGTGTTGATGAATATCACGGCAGCGGTGAAAGCTAATGTGCCCATGGAGAGAAGATTGTCGTCTCTGGTGAAAAGTGCTTCGCCAAAAAGGCCGAACATTGTGAAGTAGATAATCATTGACCCGGAGACGGCCATGAACATCCAAGACACGTATTTCTTGATGTTGAAACCTTGATATCGTTGACCCATGGTATAGAGTTCCGGTACGGCAAGAAGAGTCGAAGCGTTAAGGTCTTGCTCGAAGACACCAAGGAAAATGACTGGCAGGGACGTGAACAATGTGTTGAAGACCGTAAGCGAAGTCGACTCGAACAATGAGGTGCCAGTGTAACCATTCCACTTCTGGTAAGTCGCTTGAATTAAGTAGAACATGAGTTCTTTCCAGAAGGTGGCGAGGATATACTTTCCAGTCCTAACATAGTTCCATCTTCCATGGACAAGCAGCAATCTCTGCAAGAACCTGAACTGCGCAATCGAGTAATCAGAAATTCTAGCTGCTTGCAAACCTTCCTTGCCAGAAATACCAATTCCGACATGAGCTTCTTGAATCATAGCAATATCGTTGGCTCCATCACCAATAGCCAAAGTAAGCGACTTATTGACCTTCGTCCGAATCTTCTTGACAAGAGAAGCTTTCTGGCTTGGTGACGCTCGACAGCAGATGACAGAGTCGGCAAGGACAACAAGATCGAAGAACAATAGAGATAAAGTCTCGTTGGCGTCGATCTCGCTTAATGTCTGTCCGTCAACCACGATCACTGAGTGTGCTATGGCGCCTTTGGTGATGTCCAACAAGGTGGTGGCCATTCGCTGCTCAACCTCTCCTGTAGTGTGATCCAGGATCACGACTTCGGAGTAAGGTTTGCATATCCTTGCACTATGAGCAATGTTGATAGCCGTCTCCCTCTTGTCGCCTGTGAGCATCCAGATCTTGATATTCGCTCTTCTGAGTTTGTCAATCGTATCTGGAACGCCTTGCTGCAACTTGTCCTCAATAGCAGAAGCGCCAGCAAGCTCAAAATTCTGCTCGATCATCTCTCCAGCGTTTTCTATTAACTTCTGGCGGTCCACAAGACTCGTGGTAGCGTCAAGATAAATCTTCTTCCAGCCATCGTATTCCTGTTCATCCAAGAATCTATAGCCAAAAAGAAGGGTTCGAAGACCTTCTGAAGCAAAGTCATCGATATGCTGGAAGCACCTTTCAAAGACAGCTGAATCGTCAAGAACCAGAGCTTCGTCTACCATATCATCAAACCCATCATCATAATAAGCAGACGACCGTCGTTCACTAGAAGCAAACGACATTCTATTCATCGAAACTCGTGGTGTCTCGTACGCACTCGTATCATCTGGTGCCGCTTCGACATCCGTTTCGCGCTGCTGTAGCCAAGAGTCAAGCTCATCTCGAATGGGTTGCAATCTCGTGCTCGCCATGCTCGGTCTCCCATGGCCAATGCTCTTCCGGCTTAAGGTCATGCTCCCTCTATTCAAGCTGAAGCTTGTTCTGGGACTGTGCTCGCTCATCCTACGCAGAGCTTGTTCGGCCTCCATACTCTTTCGCTTACTTGATCGTCTCGAGACTTCTGCTTTCTTCTGGAGGGCCAGTGGAGCCATTTTCAACCTTGGCATGATCGCTGAATCGGCACCTTTGCAGAAGATACATATTCTGCCATTCGGGAATCTGACAATAATTGACATTCTCTTCCGCTTGCTAGAGAACTCAATGACATCAAGAATATCATAAGATTCGACGATATTGTCAGAAGAGTCGGGACCGCCAGGATAAGTAATTGTTATTGAGCGAGCTGGTCGGTCAATCACAAGGTAACCCAGCTCCTGAGCGGCTTTGACAAGAGCCAACTCGTCAGGAGATGCTGCTTGAAACTCGATGTCCCCATTAGACTGCACTTCTGGCAGACATGTATGACAGAGTGCCATTGAGAGCAGGAAGAATTTCGCTTTCCTAGTAAAAACACTATGTGGCTTTTGTTGCATGAACTTTAGCAAATCCTCTGTCCGCATTTCCGGTTGAGCCTTATTTGGCCGAGCTGTAGATCTCCAAATAGACCCAGACCTGCGAGGAACAGATGATGGGATGACGCTGCTTGACACTTCAGAAGACATACGGGATGTTTCGACAGTTGGTCGCCGAGACTTCTTCTTAGAATGGCGCTTAGCGATGCCTTTGCCTTTACTCTTCTTTCTAGTCGGACCTGTGGTTTCTCGACTCTGTTCAAGCTCTGCAGCTTCTTTTTGCAAATCGAAGTCGTGCAGCCAGGCATAACCAGCCACGCTTAGCTTTCGGAACCTCATCACGTTGTCTGTTAAGGTACCGGTCTTGTCTGAGAAGATGTAGTCAACCTGACCGAGATTTTCCAAGATAGTGGTTGTCTGGTATATTGATCAGCAAAGGTTCTAACAATGTACCTTAAAACATTAATCAATAAAGGAATACCAACATTGCAAGTCATAGGAGTATCCGACACAGGATCATACATCTCCACATCCGCCATAAGAATCAACTGTCCAACCTTAATGATCTCCAGACTGACATAGAGCGACAGCGGGATGAGCGTATTGTAAAGAATGATAAACCCAATAATGATCTGAGTGAAATTGACATGAGCTCCTTTCAGGTAAAAGGCTTTGCTCTCAGTCTGCCTTGCCCAGATCTGGTACGCAATAGTGCAGAAGAGAGCAAGAAGGACAACGAACACTACCAGCATCACCACAATCTTATTCGTGATGAACTGGATAGCAGGAGCTTTGATGCGAGGGTTCTTGTTCGCATTCATCCGAATCTTGCATTCTTCTCCTGTGTTGATGACCATACCAATAGCTGTAGACGTATTCCTGAGCGTGCTGCCCCGGAAAATAACCTCGTTGGTAGTGAGAGGTAAAGTCTCGTCTCCAACCGTGACTTTCCCGTCAAAATTGTACAAATCGATGTTCGGGTCCTCGACGACGACAGTGGCTCGGCATGCAGCAATCTCTTCAACAGAGCGACAATGCTTTGCCAGGTTCGGTGGTGCTTGCTTGCTCTTCAGATTCGTCTCACCGTCTAGAGCCATGGTTTCGATATATGCAATGCCATTGGCACCATCAGAGTGGATTAACACCATGTCCGCAGGGACAGGATCATCTCTGCTGAGCTTGATGATATCTCCAACCTTGACATCTCTCCACTTCAATGAAGCCCAGTGCTTTGGTCCATCGACAGGCATCACAAGTTCACTCTCCTCACTACTCTTAGAAGAAGGCACCAAACTCTTCAACCCTCTTAAAGGCTCTTTCTTCCTAACTTCTCCCACAGGTTTGTAGGCATGCAGCACCGTCGTCGTCCTATTGTTCTCCACTTTATCCAGTTTATACCGCCTCACATCATCATAACCCTCCTTGCCCATACTAATAGTAACAAAGACCAGCAAAGGCGCAATCGTAGTATAACTACCTGTGGTACTCAACCCCGGAATCATCTGCAGAATCGAAACCAGCAAAAAATACGCATTAGCCATTTTCGAGAACTGGAAGAAGAGTTGCCGCGGCACGAAGTTCCAGAGCGTGTATCGAGAAGACCGGATCTGGTTCCCCAGGTAAGGATGTCCGGTTCTCTCGTCGATCAATGTAGTCTTGCGGCCAGCATCGAGGTCGATATGTCGTCCGTCTTTGCTAGGCGGTATCTGCGTCTGCCGCAATATGATTTTTTTGATTTGTTTCTTCCAGCCTTTCGCCCTCTGCATCAACGTATTAGACTTGCTGCTTTGTCTCGCCCAGACATCGTAGTTCGGCAGATTGATTGTCCCAAACGTCTTCTTGTCCTTGCTTCTCGAGCCTTCATCCAGGGGGAGATCCTCATTCGAAATCACCATATCATTCTCAACCACAGGAGAAACCGTCACGTTGGAGGAATCCCCCCGCTTCTTCCCCCTCTGCTCAAGCTCGTCTTGCAAACCTCCAGATGGTCCCGCTTCCACCAACTCGATTGGACTATTCTCCGCCTGACCATTGATCGTCCTCGCAAACAACGACCGCCTCAAACTATATCCTCGATCCCTCGTCCTCGGCGACACCGGATTCGGATTCGCTCCTTTCCTCGACGACGGAGAACCCTCCCTCCTCACTCCCGACGTCCGAGTATCAATCTCCAACCTAGGCGCCGCTGCCGCTGCCGCTGCCGTCGCCCGGTCAAGATCTTGCGAGAATCGCACTCGAGGAGGTCCCGCAGCAGCCATCGTCGTCTCGCCGGAAGCCAGCAGCGTCGGATCCGTAGCTGCTCTCCTCACTCCTCCGCCTCCGCCTCCAGCCCCGCCTGAAGAATTCGGGATACTACTGCTATCGTCCGCCATCTCGACGTTGTCGTCGTTGTGCCAGGCCAGCGTTCTGCATTCGAGCTGCTGTACGTACGTGAGGTCGTGTGTTATGTTCCAAGCAAGTCTCGTATGGGGCTTAGACGCGGTTTGGGCTACCAATAGTTTTCGATGGGAGTGTCACCAAGACATATGAGCTGACACCATTATTTTTTCCCTTCCTTCCCTCTTTGTTGATTAATAAAGTGAAAACGAGAAAGTTCTGAAAGATACAGTAGATACAGTAGATGGGAGCCTCTCTCTCTCGTATCGGGATTTCTTGGCTTGGGTTGGTGGTGGGGCTAATTGCAGATCATCTCGTCACAGGAACAGGGCGCAGTTCTGTAAATTCGTACAACTTTTTTACTCAAATAGAACATTTCAGGCACGACATTTTCTTTTTATTCGCTAGCTTTTCCGAGGTGAGAATTTTGGATGCCTCAACGGAATTGCATACATAATATCCGAGTATTGTCTGGAAGCGTGAGGGATATTGTTACGTGGCTCTCTCTTTGAACGGCTAGTTGAAAAGTACTGCGAGTTATTAAATGTCCGTACATATTTTACTTTCTTTCTGTCTTTCGCAATGTTGGACAAGGAGGGCATGCCTTAATGTTATGTTGTAAGGTAAGCAACAAGTGGCAGTGTCTATGAGCTGATCGTCATTGAATCATGTCTTGACTCTCCTCGTCAACACCTCTCATTTGACCGCGTCCGATACTCGTCCTTCAGGCAATTCCAAGACTGGAGAGCGACACCTTTCTTAGATTGGTTTCATGCTGCGACGCTAAAAGAATCCAAAGAGTAAGCATTGCACATACTGGTTTAATCATCTCACAAGATTCAAGTGGAGTGTAAAGTATATCAGATATCTTATGATGAATTTCCATTATTAAGCCCACCATGTGCACAGTTTAGCAAATCCAAGGCAAGCTCCCTCATTCTCAAAGTGCTATCACTTCTCCGGTCCGTATTTATACCCTTCTCTCTCTCCTCTGGAGACACAAAAACAACATGAAGAGATTATCCTTATTGAGGACAAAACTCAGAAACTCGCGCCAATAGAAACCCAAAAGACCGATCGCTGTGCCAGCCATGATCGAACGAGAACGAAGTCGTCATGCAAGGTCGTGGCGTCAAGACAAGGAAGGAAATAAGGAGATGGCAAAAGAGGAATTTTTCGTGTTGGTGAGGCGCACGGAAAATTAAGTGCAGAAAGTTGTGACAAGAAGTGAAGGACAAAAATTTCCACACAGGCCGTATGTACCGCTCGTCCAGAAACACCATCACAAACGCCCCTCCCATATTCTGCTTCAGTCTCCGATTCTCAAGTGACCACCGTCTCCGTGGTTTACTCCAGAACCGAATCCAAACGCAGTCGAGTATCAAGAGGAACAGTCGGCAGGCTCACAGAGAGTACTGCCCTATTGAGGCACATTCTCTGGGGACAGACTTGAGTTTTCGCCAGCATCGAATGATACCAACTGGCTCATATCCATATCTCCTTGTGACTGTTCTGCGAAAGCTGGAGAATGAGGGTGCATGGGGAGATTGAGAGTGTGTTTGGAGTACATCTCATTCAATCCATTTCCATCGTCTGAGATGTTCGAATGATCATGTGACATATTATACACATCTGCTGAAGCACTTCGGTGCATCATAGATAGAGGTGGCGACTGGTCAACGATTGCTGGGTCGCCGTGACTGCCGTGGCTCATGAAGGAGAGCGGAGAGACTGATGGTTGAATCATTCCTCCAGTGGTGTCCACCATTGGATTCGGCGAGAGATATGGAACCGTAAATGGAGTGTTATTATATGAAGAAGCTGGGAGAGCGCCTGTGTCTGGGCCTTGGGAGAAGAAGCCAGGGCTAGCGAATTCGGAAGGAGATGTGGTCGTGGCTGCAGACATGGGATATTGTCTGAAATCCATACCATATCCAGATGAGGTATCGATTCTGAGATTAGGTCCGAGAGGGCCCAAATTGTTCGGCTGCTGTGGTATAGGCGCGAATATGTTTGGGTTGTGTGATTGTTGGGTCTCGCCTGGGTGTTGGATGAGGAATGATGGCATAGGGTTATTAAACATAGAAAAGTCGACAGCCATCGGGACTGATCTACTTCGCTGTCTCTTGTGTCCTGGACCGCGAGGACCTTGGTGTAGATTGACACCCCATCCTTCTTGGAACATTCCGACGTGTGCTTGGGCGTTGTAATTAGGTTGAGATGCTGGACGGTTGCCAGTGGGAGAGACAGGAGCAGAGACGGAAAGTTGTTGATGTTCGAAAGGATTGTGACGAGTCATGAAAGACTCCAGTGACACCAGCTTAGCCAATTGGCCGCTCAAAACTTTAGGATGCCCTCCAAGATGATGTACCATGATCTGCGAAGCTTGTTGATCCTCCGTGAAGTCACCGCATTGGAAGAACCCGCCTGATCCAGAAGAATCCATGAAGAAGTTTGGAGGTCGATTGAGTTCGACGACCAATCCACCCGGCTTTCCCGATTCGATATCTCCATTTTCCAGGAAGATATTCTTGATAAAGGCGAAAGGGTACTCAATCTTGTATCCGGCTTGGTCATTGTTGATGTAGTAAGTCATGCATCCCTTCTCCGGCGAGTAGAAAATGATCAGATCCATGGCATTTTGCCCCACGCGTCTCCATGATCCGATACTTAGCGAACGACATGAAAGATGGTGGATCACTATCGAATCGTAAGTCAAGTCGATACAGAACGTCTGCGACGATGTTTGCACTTACCAACTTTGCCTTGAGGACCTTGGTCGCCTCCCATCATCAAGCTACCACTTCCGTATGGCATGAGTCCAGAACGGCCGAGAAAGTTTCCACCCAACGACTTTCCAGACTCTATGGCCTGGATGGCAAGGTACTGACGCATCGACTCTGGGATAGCATCGCAATCCTCGCCCGTTTCGATGCTTTTCTTTGCCAACAACTTTATTTTGGCTCGTCTAATTATACCCACTTAGTTCTGTATGATCGACAATGTTTGCATAAACTTACCTGTTCTGAAACCAAATTTGCACAGATCGCTCGGTCATATTGATATCCTCCGCTATCCTTTCTCTCACGGTGGCTGTGGGTGTCGGGTTCTTGTTGAATTCCATCTCCAAAGTGACCAATTGATCCTGAGTCGCACGCTGTCTCTTCTGATTTTTCTGCTGCTGAGTCAAGGTGCTCTTCCTCGGTGGTCGTCGGGATGCTGATGAGCTGCTGGCTGAGTTTGACGCGGTTGGACTTGGGGACGAAGACATCTTGATGGCCGCGTTCTCTTGCGACATATCGGCCATCTTGATCTCTGGCGAGGCTGTAGACATCGTCGTGGCGCGTAAATGCCTGGACAATGGCTTCCCAAACTCTCCTAATCTAGTATGCACCTCTCCTGGCAGTGAGTGGCTGCCAAAGGTCGTGTGAGTGAACTGTGTAATTGTTCGGTGTATATGTGGTGTCGAGACTCGACAAATGTGGGATCGATATAATAGATCGACAGAATCAAAAAGGGATAAGTGTGAGTGTAAATGCGGTTCGCTGTTCTCGCAGGGAAGTGAAAGGTACGTGTGTCGTCGAAGACTGGTGGTGTGAAATCGTAAATGCTCGGTGAAGGAACGTGGGTGTGAATTGGGCAATGGTGAAGCGTGAATTGGTGACTGAAGAAGCCGAAGGAGTGACTTGGTGCCGTTAAATGAATGGAACGGTTGACCAGAGTGGCTTGAAAGAAAGTGAAAAGAGAGCGAGGCGAAGAGGGAAGAGGCGGAGGAGATGGCACGATGATGGGCGAGGAAGAGTGAGGATAGTAAAGGAGGGAAGAATCTCACGATTTTGGGATTTTGGGACAGTACATAGCCAGCGCCCAGTGAGCATGGGCCAGGGGGACTAGGGCCAGTCTCAGAAGTGCCAAGACCGCCAGGCTTTAGTGGGGGGGGGGAGTGAGGAAGCAGCAGCTAGCAGCAGCCAGCAGTAGCCCAGCGGTGAAAATAGTAGTAGGTCCAGGTTGATCCAGTAGCGAGTTTACACCGGATTCTGCCAGCGATGCCAACCATCCATCGCACTGGCAGGCAGTCTGGCATAGCATAGCTCCCTCCTGGCACCACATGAACAGCAGCATAGATAGCATGGGGCCGGCCAGAGCGACAAAACACTTTCTACTATTTTGGATGCTACTGTACAGCGAGGGATGGGCAAACCCGCTCAACAATTCGACCAGAAGACGCATCCACGGCTTGCCGGTGTGGAGGGTGCACGGCAGGAACCACCTGCACTTCTTCGAGAAGGGTGAGTTTCTTTGTCCTTACTCGCTGGCCTTATTCGGGCCATGGTCACGATGATCGAAGAACATCGACGAACCAGCACTCCATTCGCAGTGGCTCTCCCGCTGTCTGCCCACACATGATGTTGTTGCTCCCACTCACTCACCAGTGTCAACTACGCTCTCGCTGGATCGCAGGCCCGTAAGCACAGAAAAGGGGAGACTCGACTCGACGACGAATGCGGTGGTGCATCCAAAACGACATGCATCCCATCGCCCAATGGCTTCATGATCCCCGTCGTCCTCGTCCTGCGTCAGACCCCTGAGACCAGGAATCCTGCTGCCACACGGCGGCTGAACCACCTGGATCGTGAGCCTTGACGACCCCCAGGCGCGTGAACTTCCATACCCTGGCCTGGCTCTGCTCTCCCTCACACCCCCTGGCCGTACGCAGGTACGTTCTCGCCCGAGGCCAATCGAAGCCCCCTCATCGTCAGTCATCGTCAGTCATCGTGAGAAGCGATCGAGTTGGGATGCACATGCAATCATCCGGCGCAGAGTTATAAAATAAAATAAAAAGTCATACATACATACAGCAAGTAGCAGGAAGTGAGTGATGCATGCTCCGGTGCTGCTCTCATGCAGGCCTGCATCAACATTACTTATGTCTTTGGTCGTCGGCATCGTCATGATCATCATCATCGTCAACAGCATCGTTCTTCCTTCGCGAACCGTCCTGTGTTACCGTACGGGACTTGCCCTCTCTCTCTCGCTCGCTCACGGGAAGATCGCGGTGCACACACAGAAAGAAGACTGACCTGCTGATTCCGTCTGGTCGGTTTCAACTGGAACTGGACCCAATCCCGTAGCCATGCTCGCACACCCTGTCTGGAGCGAAGCATAATTGCCGCCTCTCACGGGCCAATTACGACTTTGATGCTATCCACAACTGGCTGGGATGAAAATAGAGCATTCGCATCAGCATCAGCATCTTGCTGCTAGCTAGCTAGTAGAATCGCGTTAACAACTCCTCGGCATCCTGTACACGCGCCGTTGAAGGCGTAAACATGTGGGCGGAAGAAAGGAGGTTGGAAGTCAAGAGTTTGAGGTCGACAAATCATTTCTATTTTTTGCATTTTTCCACTCGCTCGACTGGCGGACTGGACTGGAGCATCCCATGACTCCATGAACCCACGACTGACGAGCTTGTCGGAAGCCGTCTCTGTGCCTTGCCTTAGTGTGCGTCTTCACCGCAGGTCGATGTCTGGTTCACACCCTAGCCACTTACTCCATCGAGTCAAGCGTCAGGTACGAGTTTAGCCCCCTGCACTAACAGAGCACCGACGGCGGGCGCATAAAGGGGCAGAGCTCGACGACGCCGACATCCATTCATGATTCACCTCAGAAGAGACAAGACCTGCCCACTGCAACACATCCGGAGAAAATCCCCTAGACATCTGGTCACCGCAACTCTCCTGAAGCAGTAAGGTTGGAGGGTTCGGTGTCTGGCCGATCTCCGCGCGCGCAAGAAAAGAAGAAATCTGAGAGAATCGGGGTTCAGAAGGAGAGTCAGGCGCACGTAAACCGCTTCTTCAAGCAGTGTTGGACGGTTGAGGAACCGTTCTAAAACGTTGTCGATGGGGACCTTGTCCATCCACCTAAGACAGTATGGCGTCGACTCTGCGTCCTATGAAAGTCGACGCTTTCTAGGCCTTGCTGCTGGGGGTCTCCTAGACGCACAGATAAATGCAATATTTTAGGCTCGAGATCCTTATGCATCGCCGTCCGAGGAAGAGTCGCGCCGCTTGCGCTCGCAGAAAAGTGGCGCTGATGAGTGGACGATAATCCTCCGCGTAAGAAGGAGATCCTCGAAGGACCATGCGGTCGTGGTGTGGTGCACACTTCGGACGAAAGTTTTCATCTAGAATTGTCTGGAGTAGAACGAAACTGGAGAACCGTAATTCATGCATCGAGATGTTTTTCATCTTGACAGCGACTTAGCTCCAAACGACTCACGGAAAATCTCCGACCTTCCATCCCCATTTCTCTTCTTCCTTTGCCAGCTCGAGAAAAAAATTAGCTCTATCGCAATCGATATCCCCCACAACTACTCCTCGTCAGTCTCCCACCAAAGCTCCTATTCACCCCACTCGTCACCAACACACATTATCCGACCATTTGCATCTGACAGTTCATGCATCCCAAAATATCTTTCTTTCCAAAACTCGCCGCGTCTTCGTCTCTTCTTCTGCTTCCAATTTTTGCCGTGCCAAGCATTCCCATCCGGGGAGCACGCAATGCATATCCTACGCGTTTGATCTCCTTCACCAAAGGCAACCCTGGGTATCGAATAGCGCACTCCGAAGGACACGCACTCGGTACCAGCAGCCCTTTTTCACATTCGGCATAAATTGTCAGGTCAAGGTTATCGATAAAAAAAGTGCTGTTAAGGAGATCGCATGAGCCTCCTCTATTCCCCGCTTCTCTGAATGGTGAGGGGCAAGCTGAATCTCGTGGCTGAGCGTGGTCAAACACCTTTTGCGCGCCTCGCTTCACCCTCCTTGTCTTATACCGTAATCCATATCGAGATGCTCGACCCGAGATCAGCGACATGGACAGGACATCTTCTCCGAAGTCGCCAGGTCCATGCTCATCATACTGCACCGGAACGTTTCGTTCCATCAGTATATCAAACGCTGGCTGCTTGAATCCAAACTTGTCCTTGGTAAGAGATTTTCTAGTGGCTAAGTACTTTTGTTAATGAAGCGAGGCGAGGCCTGACCTGCCTTCCGGTTAGATTTTCTGGTGCACTATGGTGTAAGAAGTCTCTTTCCGTCGTGGGTCTATGTGCGGGCTCGAGTTGAGATGTGCACATACAACACTTTCAAACTTCTTTGAGGTCGAAGTCTTAATATCTCGCTTGCTTCCATTTACAACCAACTCTTGATGTGGAAATCCTGTGGACCTGCGATCTTTTATCACGGACTTCGACTCTGCGAGTTGCAGAAACATTTCCACAAGCTAGTCTCAAGCTTCGACCAACTAAGAATTGGACAGCATGCTTCGGCCATCTCAATTCTGTGAATCTCCTCACGAGTAGTTCTAGTGAAGGCTCCTGCGGCCAGAGGTCAGCAGCTAGAACCACCCAGCTATGCTCACACATCTTCTATTCTCTACAGATTTTGTACTGCAAGTCTCAACATCACATTCCTCTAACCACCTACGTTCAATACAGCACATAGCCTCAAAGCACCCTTTACTCACATCACATTAAATGCACCGAACCCACCAGCTCAATCACACGCAGACATATCACCACCACCTCAACAAAACCCCAAAACGATCCTCCCTATCCCCACAACCCAACCTCCCGATCTCAGCATTCTCCCGATCTCTCTCTCCAATATAAGCCTTTAAGAAAGGAAGCGAACATCAGACGAAAAAAAGATCAGACGAACGACCCCAACAGCCTAATAGCACCTGCCACACCCCAAACCCTCCACGCAAGCTTGGTTGTAAATGCCTTTGTCGGCATTGGATGGTCGTTAAATCTGCCTCACGAATCTGCCCTCTGTCCTCTGCTGAAGCAGAGTGTTGCTTTCATGTATATTCGGCATTGCCAATTCCGGTTCAGAGTCTTTTGTGGCGGCAATGATCTCAAACTACGTCCACTGGACTGGACGGGACTTCACGGGATGGGACCCTGAATTGGTGAAGTTTGGGTCGGGCTAAAATGCATCTCAAAGATCAGACGAACTGGAGATAGGCTAAATGGGGGGATCATGCTTTGTTCGGTAAGTATGATGTCCCTGGGCAACCTTCAGGTTTGGGGTAGGACACGTGATGGCGGAGGAAGATGGGCCGCGTGGCTGTGGTCTGTAGTTGATCTTCGAGAGATGATGTTCCTTTTGTATCTCAGAAGTTCGTTGTTAGTATTCGGTTGTACAGGTTCTTGAGAGGGGTGAATGTCGATTCTATTTCTCAGCCGATGACTACCATTCTGCTCATGAGACTTTCGTCCCGACTGAGCAATGTTTAGAAACTTGAAAGCTCTTGGACATTGACCCAGTAAGTGTTGTCATGTGAAAGTTCTTGCATTTGATCATGGCTTTTCCAATTCTCGTGTAGTTCCAACTGCTCCCACGGTATTTCAATTCCAAAAGTCTTAGATCAGAATACGACTTCTCAGATCCTCGTATGTTAATCTCACGTTTCCACATATCTATCTCAGGGCCTAATGAATTCTTTCTATCTTTTATATATTCTACGTTCTGGGCGCAGACAGCGCAGATTGCGCTGTTCGCGCGTTTTGCGCATGTTGCGCTGTAAGCGCTGTACGCGACTTCCGCTGTCCTGCAGCACATCTAAACAATTGGTTATAAGCTGTGTTGAAATCACGGAAAAGAATGCACCGTTTTTGTTGTGTTAGGATCTAGTGAGTGAGGTGTGATGCCATCTGAGAGGTATTCGAGCTTGACATAGTAAGTAAGGGTATGTCACTGACTTTTTCCAGTTCTCAAGGAAAGATAAGTAGGAGTCGAGTCAAGGCATTGTTGAGATCAGTGGTTCTAGTAAACTAGAGATGAGGACTTTATGATGAAGGGTTGGTTTTGTCGTTGAAGGGTTGGTAGTTCCTAAGTTTGATTCCTCGTTGCTCTACTTCTTTGCTTCTACGTCCTCATCTAACGGAAGAGGTCTCGGAGTAAACGAGTAGGCTACTCGGTTGTTTCTTGTGGATATCGGTTGTCTGTGGCTGCGTTCTGGTTGGTGCTTTATATCACAAATCGAAGAATGTTTGGTGAAGGTGAGTGTGAAATAGATGGTCTTCGCTTAATGTTTGATTCACAACTTCTATTGCTTCTGTTATACATGAACCATCCCTCTCGTTGCTATCTAGTAGAAAAGCTGATCTGTTGCTCGGTTTCAACTTAAAGAATTGGGAGGCTAAGCTTCTGAGTGCGTTGAGCGGAGAGTTGTTTGGAAGCTGACGTGTGTGAGAACGTAATGCTGGTGATGTTCTCAGCGACAGGAATCCGCGAGGTGTTGATGACGTGGTCCTAGAAATATAGTTGATCCATAAGTCGAAAGACGAAATAGCAGTACTCCATCATAATACATACTCGTGAGATCCTCGTCCATCTAGTCTTGGTCCTACACGTGATTTACATAGCAACGAGAAACCACCGCACCCTCATCTACTCCTCGAACGGACTCGCGGGATCAGGAGCAACATAACCCCTTCTCATCAAGAACCCGGCGAACCTCTGTTCCATACGAGCAAACTACATCGAAAAGCCATCAGTCGAACTCTTCCAACCTACATGCCTCCCCAAAACGCCATTGACAACCTCGTCACCCAGGAAGAAAGAAAAGACTAAACTCACCAAACTGCTCCCCTCATACCCCACCACCCCATCCTTAACCCACACCGCATAGCTCCCCATAAGATTCGCCATCATAACATCAGTCGTCAACCGATCGCCCACAACAGCGATCTGGTCGGGCCGCGTGACGCCCGTCTCCGGGTGCTGGAGGAAGTAAGCCATGATTTCGGGTCCGCAGCCGGGTTTCTTGGTGCTGTGGGGAAGCACGGAGAGTCCAGTTGAGGTCTCGACGGCTTTTGAGAGGGTCCTTGAAGGGTCGATCGAGGTGGCGCCTGCTGTGTTGGATACTATGAGAAGTTTGCGGCCGGGGTAGGCGGCTTTTAGGCTTTGGAATGTTTGCTGGCATTTGTTAGTCTTTTGGGTGATTTTGTGAGAAGAAAAGATTGTATATCGAAAACAGAATGAAGGCTTCAAAATAGTGATAGGTTACCTCATATGGCTTGTAGACCTCATTTGCATGAGGAACAGCAAAACAATTATCCTTATCCAACACTACGGCTCTGATGTCTATCTTCCTCTTTCCGTCCTTCTCATACTTGGCAAAAGCTCCATTCAAGGGAACTGGTAGCTGATTAAAAGTCGATACGGTAGCATGAGGAAGACATAATGTCGGCTTGGTGACTAAACGGAATAAATTCAACGTAGCTGAGACATTGAAGGCATTCATATCCATTTGTTCCCTCTCATCCTCGAAGATGAAGTCTCGTTCATAAAGTGAAGTATGAGAAGTGAAGGTCGACCTTAAGCTTGGAAGCCTGAACGACGCTAGGCGAACAGAGCTTCAAAATTACTAGCGCCGTTCACCACCAAAGAAATTCCATCGCACACGACACCGCGCAAACCACCACGAATCCAGCTCTCCCACCGATCGCGCCTTCCAAAAATCATTGAAAATAGAAATCAGACATCATGACGAGCACAATCGGTATCCCGATCAAGCTGCTGAACGAGGCGCAGGTTCGCATCTCCATCTCTTCACACCCCGCCATTTGCTACTCCTTCTGAGACCAGACTCGGCGCATTGCATACAGGATAGTTGGCTGATGAATGTATACAGGGACATGTCGTTACTCTCGAAATTACGTCGGGGCAGGTGTATCGTGGCAAGCTACTCGATGGTTCGTTCCTACCTCTTTCCTTCTTCGAGACCTCCAAACACAAACTTTCCGTCTACACGCACAAAGTCGAGGACGTATACTGATGTATTGGGATATAGCTGAAGATAACATGAACGTCCAACTCAAAGATATCACCGTCACGGCGCGCGATGGACGAGTCAGCCATTTGGATCAGGTTTATATTCGAGGCTCGCACGTTAGGTTCTTTATTGTGCCGGATATGTTGAGGTACGGACCAGTTCTCCTCTTCCTTATTACAGATACAGCGGTATTTGGAAGGAACAGATAGCTAACAGGATACATAGAAATGCCCCCATGTTCAGAAGTAGAGGCGTAAAGGGTCGTGGTGTTGGTCTTGCCAGAGGAAGAGCTACAGTCAGCAGAGCGAGAGCTAGCGGCAGAGGCGCACCTAGAGGAGCACAATAGGTCTCGAGGGGATAGAGGAATCGAATAAGAGCGGTTAGGTTGGGCTTGCTTTGCTGGCGTTTGGGAGAGAAAGGCATAACTTGGCATATTGCCAATTGAAAAGCATACCAATTTGAAGGCCATTTTTCGCGAGACCATATATGTGTGATTATGATGAGTGATTTCTAGGCACTAACAAAACTATTTGTGTCGCATGCTTTGCTGCTAGCAAAGCCACTTGATGCTGAGTTTCCAATGAGATACCTACAAAAGTGGAATCACGTGTCAATATATTATCACCTCGAAATGCTCTTTCCAAATTCCTTCTCGACTCGTCAACACCACCGCCCATCTAACAAAATGGAAATTCCAAACCCAAGACGTATCCTCGCTGTCTCCCGCCCAGACCATGGCCTTCTTGACCTCGTCAAAGGTAAATCTACCCCTCCCCGCCTTCTCCCCCTCCAACTAACCCGTGACCAGGCTTAACAGGCACAAAACCAACCCTCCCAGACCCTTCAACAATAGCAGGCACAACCCACCCCTATCCAATCACAACAGCCTACTACAGCGCCACCATCCCCATCTGGCTCGACGAGATCCTCTCTCCCTCTACATGGTCCCGTGAATTCTTGGCCCCAGAAGCGAAAGAAGTGCTTTCCGCCCTCGGAGCCTTTGTTGTTTGCTTCAAGAAACCTTTGAATAAATCAGAATTAGATGAGATCAAAGATTTACTAAAGAATGTGGGGGAAGTGGTGAAGGAAGGATGTGGGATGGTTTGGGACGGGGTCTGCGTTGCGGTCGGCATGCCGAGGGGAGAGGTTGGTGGTGAGGAGGGGATTAGAGGGATGAAGGGGGAGGAGTGGGAGGATCTGTGTCAGGAGTGGGGGTTTGAGTGGGTTGATTGGGAGGAGAGGGGAAGGAATGAGTATTCTGGTATGTTTGTGACTCTTTGGGGTGAGGTGGCGAAAGGCTAATGAGAAGTAGAAACTCAAGGACTGGAGAGGTTGAAGGAAGCGCTGGAGGCAAACGATTGGGAGGCTCTGGATGAGTTGGGTGATGCGATGGGTCTAGAGGATTTCGAAGGGGAGGATGATGACGAGGATGGGGAGCTTGGGTTTGATTTAGGACCCGAGGATAGAGCTGAGATGGAGATGGAGATGTTTGGTATGAAGAGAGCTATTCATGAGGGAGGTGGTGATGGAGAAGCCCATGAGGAAGGAGAAGATGAAGAGGTTGAGAAATTGCAAGCCATGATGTTAAAGATGCAAGCTGTGCGAGGTGAGTACTCAAATTAAAGGGCAAAGAGTGCGACTAATGATGATAGACCTGGGATCTGATATGCCAGAAGCTGAGAGGAAGAGGTTTGCTGCAAAAGCAGTAAATGACATAATGAAGAAGTTATAGAAATCAACTTTCTTCAACTCATCATGTCTGGCAGTACTTCTCTCACAAACTAGTTTGAGCTCCTTGACAAAGTCTGACACAGGTGTCTATAATGTAGTACAGATGCATGAACAATTCAACTCTTTCAACCCTCATTCGACGAGAGTTGAACGTCTTGACAACGGTAAAAAAAACACCGTACAGACGCATCAATTCAGTACATCCGGAGTCAATCGCATTTTTGACAACCGTCAGCCGTCCAGAAACCGGATCCCGATTCGCCGTTTGTTACGCAGCTTGACAACGGTACTTTACGGGTTTATGAGTGTCTACTGCCACTGTCTCTGCGTTCTCGTTGCAAAAATATCTTCCCCTACTGAACATTACTGTTCCTGAGAGTCTTGCTGTCCTACCTTTATGGCTCCGAGGGGGAACAACATGAATGCTTTATGACCAACTTCTTCTGGTTTGTGTGCAGGAGTTGGGTCGGTTGGAGGGTATTTTATACTTCGAAACGTGGTATGAATATACCGACTCTGGCTTCTTCGCGTGAATTTTTGGTGGAAGCCTACAAGGAGTTTTTTTTCGTTCATTCACGCTCTTCGTTGCATTCACGCTCTGTGTTTCATTCACGCTCTATGTTTAATTCACGTTCTATCCGTCATTTACGTTCTGAAGCACCTGGCTTCCCATCGGTATGAATCACCATGGGCATCCAGCAAGAACCTTCTCTCATTCACGCTCCAGAAGGCCTGGCTGATGACTGATGCCGGCTGCCTAATTCTCGTATCTTTGCGTGAATGATTGGACATCAGACTTTCTTTGTCTTCATCTCATCCTTTACCATTACTTGGCTTGGGAATGATCACATTTCCTGTCACATATCGTGGTGATACTAGATAAAAGAGCGGCACACGGCAGCAAAGTTCAAACTCAGAAGCAGAAGATAATCATACAAAACAGTGAGCCTTCTGCTTGGATCATCTCGAGCTCATGATCTATTTGCTCGTTCCCAAGTATCCCAATAATTGAATCTACTTCTTAACTCTGAAGGTATACTCGTCCATCTCAGACAACATCTTATAAAGAAATTGCTAACCAGTATATGTAGAACTTACTCCCCACACCTAAGAACTTTCAACCCCCTATCTTAGAATGTTCACACCGACCCTCGGCAATCTTCCCCTCCTTCTCCTCTTCGTCATCTCAACAGCCACTCCTTTCCTCCCGTCTCACTTCTCCACTCGACAAGACCCAGATGGGCCCTGCACCTGTTACACCGACCAAAGCGGTCTCTACTGCGGATCGAGATCAGACGGTAGCGACAATGCATCACTCGCCGGACCCTGTGAGCCCAGCTTCCTCTACAGATGTGACGGCAACATAGGCTGTCCAGCCAGAGTCCAAGTCTTCGGCTGCGGAGATTGCGTCTATGGACCTGGATTGGGTGATGATGTTTGCTCTGAATAGCTTCAACTTCTAGGGAGGTGGAATCCCGGAGTTTTGAGAGGGAGTGGATTGGATCGGGAATCTGGTATTACGGTCGAGGTGGGAGGGTGCTTTTGCGTCACGTTGTTTTATGAGGAGTTTATGCTGTGTGAGGGCGTGGTTGCTTGGAGTGGCCTTGCACTACATGACGTGCTGTGGGGGTGGAACATTCGGGGTAGTTTGTATGGAGTTAATGATTTATGATGCTACGAGAATGAATGAGAAATGCAGGTCGTATGTGCAAGAATAAGACGAACATTAGATCGTGAGAAGCAAAGCTCTCAAAGTCTAAGAGCTATGGTAGGTAGACATCTATGGCTGGTGAGGCTTCGACGGGACTTACTTGCGTTCTGTGCAATATCTACTCCTGTTTCATCGTACAACACCAGCCAAGCCTTTCGCTTCACATATCCTTTCTCAGCTAACCGTCAATACTTGAAGTCGCATGATGAAGAAAGATGAATAGTAACAGGCTGGCACAAGGTCTCACGGCGAAGAGGAACTTTGGTAGTGTAACAATGAGCTTTGAAATTCATTGCAAAGAGGAAGTGCTCTATGTAATGCTCTTCCTCAGGTCGTGATGAACCTAACGCCATACCCGCTTGTGTATATAACCGACTACCTCGAAGCGGCAGCCTGAATCCCTATCCTGACGCCTTAATTTCCCAGACAAAGTCATTCAATCATCGTGATATCGTAGGAGTCGTGGCCCTATCCCATGAGGCTCAGTATCTCGAGCTTGCAAGCCTCGAGTAGCGTGGTCGCTCATCATATTCGTCCTCGTATCTTCTATCATCTCTTGTCGATCGTCGACGACTTTCGCTGCCCGAACTGCCACTACCGCTTCCACTCCTGCTCTTGGATTTAGACTTGGATCCATGCTCATGTCTCTTGCGATGAGCCTTCTCCCAATCCTCCTGCTCGCCATATGTGATTCCTTTGGGCCAAAAGTGGTGTGCACATGCGACAACACCAAGAATCTCGATAATGTGGACAATGTTTTTTGGTTCGACCATTTTGTTGATGTTGAGACCACTCGCTTGGTTGGTAGGTGAACGCCTTAGGGAAGACGATCTGCTTTGAGAGGGGTTGTGAATAGTTCTAGATCGTCGAGGGGAGGACTCTCGTTGGGTCATAAGAGAAAGCGATAGGATATAGTGAGAAGTACAGTCTTGTATCAATTGCACAGATGAGTTGACAGTCCAGTTTAAATGATACGAATAATTGATGTAAACAGGACAGAAAACATGGCAGAGGTGATCGCAGGCCCTTCCTTTTTAAGTCTATGGCTCCGGGAGCTATCACTGTACTGTGATGTTATGGCTGGACTGCGCCGCTAGACTCGGGCATGAAAATGCCTCGCTATTGTTCCGACCAAGTTATGAAACATGGGTGGTTCCCTCCTTTGCGGAAAGCTGCTGCAGGCTTTCGGGAACGTGCGCTAAGAACGTACTTCCCGCTTGCCTTGAGATAAGCATTTCAAGCGATATGCCCTGCAGGGAGGGCTGCTCCTCATCGCTTCTGGTTGGTCTTCATGGTCATTATTGAATGGTAAGGCTGTGTCTCTTACACCGCCACAAAGGATATTCCAAAGACCGCGTGGAGTCGGAACAACGAGGAAACCTCGAGTAAACTTCGGATGCTAGGTCAATCGATGGCAAAAAGAAAGTTTGCTATGAATGCCGAGTAATGCGATCGAAGTCAAAAGTATGGAGGGTCCAGATGTGCTGGCAATTCTGCCAGCATCTGCAAGGATTTGGCTTCGAGTTTTGTGGACAGACTGGGTACTCGGCATGCTCAAAAGTGAGGAGATGTTTGCTTCATGAAGACTTAACCAATTGCAATCACCATGTTGTGCCATGTTACAAAACAAATAACGTACGATAAAGCAAGAGATGCGCATGGAAAGAGCCTCATTTTCTATGAGAACGCTTCATTGTCATGACGGGTGCCTGTGGATGCTTGATCCAGGTCACCGACTTCTTGGAGTGGCTTCATCATGCTTCACAGGACAACTAGTGAGACCACATGCCTTGAAATGCTTCCCTTTGACAGCGAAGGAATAATAAGTCTCGACCAACATTCAGGCAGGCGTGCTGACATTCAGATACGCCCGGTTTCCGTGTGAGCCTCAATCAAATGAAATCATGCCAGCCGAGTATGGCAGCCGGTATCTTTGACCATCTACACCGAGGAGTGTCCTTGCGAAGGAAGATCAATCGGGCGTAGAGTGTCCTTGACATGTGCCATTTCGATCTTTTGTTTTCTCGACGTGGAGCGACAAAACTTTTTGCCAGACTAAAGATGTATATTATCGACGAGATATACCCGCTTTACCTAATTCAAGCTGCATAGACAAACGAAAAGTAAAAAGTGTAAACAGTTCTCCATCTTGGGCATGAAAACTCTGTCTCAAGTGCCGGGTATGAGCCTGGAGCTTTGCGCATCCGACGTCATGTTCAATGGAAGCACAACTCGTGCCTTCACAGATAGAATCATAGGAATACATTCAATAAAGCAGCAAAACAGATACATTTTGATCTCAAGCAGTGGAAGTGAAAACAGTACAAAAGGTGATGTTCAAAATGAAAATTTTATTGACCTGTAAGAACTAGGCTTCGGCTTCAACCGAAGCCCACGCCCAAGCTTCCAAAATGCCAAGACCTAGCTCATCGACTTTCCTCAACACCAACTCAACGTTGCTTCACTCCTCAGTCCGTTGTCGTACAATCTCCCAATCGCACAATTGATCACTGCCCACAATCATGGATTCTAGTGATACTCCCGCAGAGCGCGCATCAGCTACAAAACGTGGCCCAAAGCCTCTCCAGTCCAGCAACCCCAAGACTCAGTACCTCATCCTCTATAACTTCGTCTCCTCGATACTATGGCTTGTCGTTCTGGGACGGACGGTTTTGCTCGTTCCTATGGTCGGCTTTAGCAGAGTATATTCTGGTGTGGGGAATTTTACGAAATGGACGCAGACATTAGCTTGTCTTGAGATTGTTCATGCTGCTACTGGTACCTCACAGCTCCCCTGTCGCAGGCAATAAAAGCTAACAGATGAATTTTTGTAGGTGTTGTTCGAGCTCCGATATCCACGACTGCCATGCAAGTAGCCTCACGCCTCCTCCTCGTCTGGGCCGTCGTCAATACATTCCCATTCCTCGCCAAGTCTGCCGGCTATTCTAGCATGTTGATCGCATGGAGCGTCACCGAGGTCGTCAGATACTCATACTTTACCTTCACCCTCTCCGGTTTCCAACCTGGAATAATCAGCTGGTTAAGATACAACACTTTCTACGTGCTGTATCCACTTGGGATCAGTAGCGAGTGTTGGTTGATCTATAAAGCAATTGAGCCTGCGAGAAGGGTTCGACAGGAGTTTGCGTGGGCATTGCAGTTGATCCTTTTTATCTACATTCCTGGATCATATGTGTTGTTCACCCATATGATGGCACAAAGGAGGAAGGTTATGAGAGGGAAGCAGGTTCAGAAGGCTGAGTAAGAGGAACTGTGTATAGATGGGCCGGAAACTTAGAAAGCAGACATGAAATCCGTACGGAGCACAGGCAACATTTTGAAATCACAAAAACAAAGATGTGCATAGAGACCAAATGTCTCAAGAGTTCCTGACCCTATAGATAATTCTTAGAGACAATAGAACTTTGCCACTCGACCATGAAGAGGAGAGAACTTACGCCGCTTTAAAGTACTCAATTGCTATCAGCTACTCGATTAGCTTACTTTACCCTGAAAAGGAGAGTACTTATGCTACTTTAAAGCACTTGCTAATAGACAACTCAATTAGTTTACATTACATTAAAAAGATGAAAACTTATACTATTTCAAAGTACTCGGCTACTAACACACTATACGACTAGCTTACTTTACCCTGAAGAAAAGTGTACAAAAGGCACATTATAACGTACCTTGGTGGGGAGGGAGTTGATCATTACTATGAGATGATCGGGGAGCACTTCTATGTTAGAGCCTAGTCGGAATATGGATTGTCTTCGAGAGGCTTCTGAAGTCGTAGACCACATTCGCTTTCTCACCAAGATAAAGCAGCTGCGAAAGAGTTATGACCCAGTATCGAAAATGCTTGTACCCACAGAGGGACTGTTGAAGCAAAACTTTTAGCCAAACAACCCAGGGTATATGATCTGATGATAGAAACCATCTCATCCTCTCCTAAAACTTGTTCTAGATCCTGGATCAGTGTCATCAGCCTGCTTCCCAAATAAACATGTCATAAAGTTTGTAGGATTTACTTATGAGGTGTTAAACCTGTCGGCATATCTGAAGAGGAGAGTACTTATGTACTTGAAAGCACGTAATTGCTGACAAAAATCTCAATTAGTTTACATTACCTTGAAAAGAAGAGAACTCACGCTACTTTAAAGTACTCAATTATTCTACTTTGCCTTAAAGAGGAGAGAACTTATGCCACCTTGGAGTACTCAATTACTAACAGACTTTTAAATTTTTACACAAATTCTGTCTATGCACTTCTCTCAAATTAAAGCAATATGTTTATATTTTGGGCAAGCTAGGTAACATATGGTTAGGGTTAACGCTGTGTTATCGCAGGAGTCGAATTCAAGTCTCACATCAAATAACAGCAATTATTTTATGGTATTTTCATTAACAGAGTGCGATGGTCTATCAAAGTAAAGAGAGCAGCAACAATCAGATAACTCCAGAAGGCAATCCCATCCAGTTCCATCTAACCTAAGGCTGCTGATCGCTAAAATGATATCCAAACGCCAGAGAAACGCAAGAGAAACGCAAAAAGACGGCATTTTAATAACGGAGTGCGACGGTCGATCAAAATAAGGAAAGCAGCAACAATCAGAATAACCGAAAAGGTAATCCTATCCAGTTCCATTTAATCCAAGGCTGCTTGGTTCCAAAATTGATAATCTGTCGCGAAAGTATGTGCTGAGCTTGTCAGAAGTTCATGACGGGTCAGGCAATGTTCTCTTCCACCAGGGAAAAGATGCATCTGTTTGACATCAAAGATAGTATGTCTGAGAGGGGGACTTTATGCCGGCGGTGAAAGGAAAGTCAACGTGCTGTGTTGTGGTATCTTGTACAAACCTTCGACGGTTTGGGTGTGAGGAAAAACCAAGATGATCGTGTGGGAAGTGGCGAAGAGAAAGAAATAGACACTGAAGCTCAGATCGAAAGGCTGATATCCGAACGTAGTCTTTCACTCCGTGCTTCAATCAGAATCATCAACATCGATTTCGCCCAGGATGGCTTTGGCTCTGGATGATGCCTTCTTCTCAGCGTCCTTCTTCGCTTTGCTTTTGTCTGATCGCGAAGTAAGAGGCGAATGCGAAGCTCGAGAACTCTCCGAATTTTGGCTAGCTGATGCAGCAAACAAGTCCATATGTGGGGTCGACGGGCGGGAGAGGGCGTTGGGACTAGATGTGATAGGGCTAGTCAATAGACGGGATGCGTCGAGTGCTGGAAATGGTGAACCATCGAAACGAGGAACGGGAGGATTAGCGCCACGAGAAGGCGTATTAATTTCTGATGCAGGAGAGAAGAAAGATAGGCCTGGGCTGATATCAAATGTAGGTTGGTCCAGGCCAAGGCGCGACTTTGGGGTAGTCGAAAGCGGGGAAATATTGTCAGACAATCCAGCTACTTGGGTTGTATGAAGTGTCTGTTGCGACTTGGGACTGGCCAAAAGCGGGGAAGTCAATTCAGACAAGTCACCTACGTGAGATGTATGAATCGTTTGTTGCGAGTTTGGGTTGTCCAATGAACGGATTGGTTTCAATCCTCGACGACGTGAGTATGGCTTCTTCGATGTCTGAGGACCCAGTTCGACACTATCGGCACTCTGTGTGGGGGCGGTTTCGGAATGTCCGGAGGCTTCGTTCTTTTTCTTCATAGCTTGACGCAAAGCTTCTTCCATGGTCATGGAAGACTTTGGTCGCTTGGCAGGTTCAGCAAGCAGCGAATTTGCCGGACGCTTTGGTGCGACGATCCGACCACCAGTCACCTTTGATAGAGGACTCTGACTAGAGGTTGAACGCTGTGGTCGATACTCCGGGCTAGGAAACGATCCCATTGCCGGCATGCTTTGGACGGCAGCAGCTTGTGAACCCAAGCGGCCGTCGCTCTGGGCGACCATGTTCCGAGCTACACGTGGAGAAGGGCGCATAGCTTTCTTCGTAGGCTTGAGAGACTCCTTAAGAATGGGGGAACCATCATCCTCATCATCTGTATCTTCGGCATATCTTAGCGACCGATTCGAGACACGATTCGAGACGTGCACCGAAGTGCTGTTGTCAAATGAGAGAGCAGGTGGGGCAAGGTGAATCGATTCTCGATTTCGAATTTCGACTTCACCAGCGGTATCTGCGTAAGGTGCAATGACAACGTTTGTCTGGGTAGATTGGTGGATATACGCGCCAGACGGAGCAAAGCTATCAGCTCGTCGACGAGAAGTTCTGGCGGGAGGCGTGCCGCTCTGGGTAGAAGGCGTGGCGTTGCGACGGCTATTGCGCTTATCAAGCTCGGCAACAAGAGAACCTGGAGTTGTTGCCACAGTGAGAGGCTGTTCGTCTGCATTAGTACCGTGTTGCAGGTTGCGGGGTAAATACTTACCTGCTCAGTAGTGTGTTGATGCCTATCCCGAGCTCTATTGCTGAATCTTTGATACCAGTGCTGGAAGAGTCCTTCACCAGTGTATATTCTCCGAGCCACTCCTTGTCTGTTCATCTCTGTTTGCATAGAAGAAACCAGTTCGGCAAACTCAAGACCGCTATCGGCGACGAGTTCACCGGTGGCATACTTTGATTGCGGAATGATTACATCCCTGAAGTAGTCTTCCTCCTCCTTGGACCAGCATGGCTTACCCATCTCGAGAGATGTATGCAAGCTAGATGGTGGCGATGCTTGTCGTGTAGCGTAGTGTGAGTTCCCCTTTGAAAGCTTGAGGAAGGCAAGAGGAGTGACAGACTTTGCTATCTGAGGTTGCGGCTATGGTATGACGCAATATGTTATCCTCTTCAGAAACTTGGGAGAAGACAAGAAGACAAGAGCAGACTATGCTGTTCGAGATTGTTGTTGTGGGATTGCGCAATGCGATTATCGTCTTCAAAAGGTTGAAGAAGACAACAACGTGTGGGCAGAGTATGCTGTTCGAGATTGTTGTTGTGGTATGGCGCAATATGCTATCCTCTTCAGAAGCTTAGGGCAAGATAAGAGGAGAAGGGCAGACTATGCTGTTCGATATTGTTGTTGTGGTATTGGGCAATGCGATTATCCTCTTCAAATGGCTGAAGAAGACAACGGAGAAAGACAGACAGTGTTGCTTGCTAGTAAGGAGTGATCAGTCGTGACTGAAAGGGGAAGACAATTGTGGTTGTGGTGTGAAAGGTTGATGGAAAAAGTGGTTGTAATTTGGACGCGGGGTTTTCTTTAATAGACGAATTTTTCGAATTCTTCGAAATTTAGCGCCTTTCAACTTGCGATACATACGTCGGTGAATCAGAAAGTGGCGTCATCCTAAGAAACTAAAGAGAGTAAAAACACGCTTGTGCAAGGCTGGCAATAGGTGAATAAATCTAAACTTAAGCTCGAAAGACTACCTATCAATTCTTAGGAGTATTGTCCCAACTTAACTTGGTAAATCAGAAAGTGGCGTCATCCTAAGAAACTAAACAGAGTGAAGGCACGCTGGTGCAAGGTTGATAACAGGTGAATAAACCTAAACTTCAGCTCGTAAGACTACCTACCAACTTTTATGAATGTTGTCCCAATTCGATTTGGTGAATCAGAAAGTGGCATCATCCCAAGAATTCGAAGAGATTGAAGACATGCTTGAGCAAAGCTGGCAAATAGGTGAAGAGGACCATACTTAAGCTCGAAAGGCGACCAACCTTAGCAGTATTGTCCCAGCTTGACTTCTGACATGAAACCATAACAGAGAGACTATGATTAACAGAGAAATTCTATACATTGCATGATATATTTGAAGGAATTTTCAAGAACTGCAAGGCAGATAGCAAGGAAACAGATTTTGAATAGGCTTACCCTCACAAAGCCAGCACTGAGCTTTGTTCCACTCTGTTGGCAAGCACTGGATCCGCATTCTGTTACTTGTATAGAGTCTTCTTCTAAGACCTTGTCGGTAGAGACTTGAACATCTTCCTGCGTCAATTTGGAGAAAGCAAGCCCCAATGAAAGATCATTGCAACAAGTGTTTGGCAAAGACAATGAATTGGATCGGGTTCAAAGCTGTCACAGCAGCTTGTTTGAAAAGGGCTTCGTCCAATCCTAAGATATTGCCAATTTGGTTTGTTAGGAAGCATTCTCTAGCCTCAAAACATAAGATTGAGCACGATACAAATATATGCCAGCCTGCCAGGCAGGTGACTATGGGGAAGGTTATGGACCTTGCAAACCTAGAAAGGGGCTGGACATTGTCGTGAGAGACACAGCACTAGCGAAAAAGCCTCAAATCTGGCAACTGTGCTCGTCGCTCCGAATGTTGGTTGCATTGCCAGACGGCATGGAGTTAAGAGAAGAAGTTGGTCAAGGAGTGAGGTGTGGATCAGAGCTGAGGCACAAGCCGCGTGCTGCTCCCTCTAATTGCTTGGCAAAACAAGCTCCCGCTGTCCCGCCAAGCTCCACTCAACCTTCCGCATTTCACTCAGCATATCATCATGCTCTTCTTTGATATCCAAATTCAATAGATGTAACTATCATGAATCAATCAATCCCATCTACGAAAAAAGTGCATTCTATGCATGGTGCGAAGTATAATCACATTTTCATCACATCCATCAAGCCACAAACCACTTTCATCGCAGTCTGGGTTCCGTTATGGGGTCACGCTGAGGCAGTGCTGCTTTCGGTGGCTTGAGCTGGACACCCTTGGGTGCGGTGCTTTTCCATTGACGGTCAGGAACGTCGACATCATAGGAATTGGATCGAAGATCCAAAGGGCGGGACCTGTTTTTGAGATCTTGCTATAAGAGCAATTTGCTACCCCTTCTTGATGAATACTAACCAGATTGCGATCTCACAACTATCTAGCAGCTCGACGCTCTCCCTGCTAGTCCTCACCCCTCATTAGCTAGTTCTAAGGCTTCAGAGCCTAACCCAGGTATTCAACAGGGAAAGCTATCGAGCTTAGACATGTCCAGCATCAGTTCCAGAATCGCTCGCAATGGCTCTGCCATCTCCTCTACTTCATCGAGGCATGTTTTTCTCTTCCTCTGCTTCAATTTCGCTTCTGACTCGTTTTACAGTTCTGTTGACAACTCATCTCACAATCACATCGTTTCCTCATTCCGCTCTCTCACGAACCCTCCATGGCTCCACGAGATCATGGCCAAGCAGAACCACCGACACGAACGAATCGCTATAGGCACAATGAATGTGGGAGTGGCCGTCTTGACTGCAGAAATGATGCAAATGCACATTCAAAGGTCTCCGGATATCAGAGGCATGTTGGATTGCCTCCCTGTTGCTCGCAAGGACAATGCTGCGTTCCTTGGCTGGAGGCAGAAGCTGAGGACATGGTAGAAATCTCATACATGCTCAGGCGATACTAGAGGACTTGAAACTTGCCGTTGAAGTATACGTAAATGGTAGCAGAGTTGTGTTTTCTTTGCTGTGTATGCTCAGATATCCATATGCTAGGTAGTCTCCTGATATGTTTATTTTCATTCGCTCTTGTACTCCTACCTTGACGTTCTCTGTCCGTCCTTATCTTTGGTGGCACATTACAAGTTCGCAGATGGTTCGGATTTATTCTCCTGAAATATGAAGACGCTACTAGTTGAGTGTCCTAGACCTTCAAATATTCACCTCAAAGTGAAGTTTAGTAATTTTGTCTTCCTCACATATAATAAAAAGTAAGGCCCAGGCACTTCATGGTGGCCTCTGGAATAATCACTGAATGATCATAATATAAGGACATGATTATTGCGCAGTACTCTTTCGTGCTATCGATTTACTATTTTATACATATATCACAGGAAACTAAGAGTATGTATCTTGGGTAGAAAAAGGCACAAGTTTCAGCCTCATGCCCTAATCCAGTCAAACGCTATCTTAGCAAAACTTTGGCTTGGAACCTCAACTAGCCTATAAAACACCTCTGCTGTTGGAATAACAGTCAAGACACAGACAACCAAGCAAGCAGTTGTTGCTCCCGCTTCAGTAGCTCCCATGCCGTGCAACTGCATGAAAAGCTTGATGCCAACTGAGTAGATGATCAAGCTTTGGACAAGGAACCAAGCTGTCACATCTTGTTAGCCAATTTCGGACTGCACTCCTCCAGTTCAAGGCAACTCACCAAAGCTTCTCCGTCCAAGATACAACAAAGGTGCAGAACTGAACAGAAACTGTAAAAAGTCACTCGTCTCGATCAAACACAACAAGCCAACAACCACAAAGTAGTTGTCCATCCTAGCCTGTGGTTGTCTTAAATCCGGATTGTTGTTCAGACCTGCAGACCCGTATAGATCAGCATGAACTTTCAGCTCTCCGTCTTCTAGCTGAGGTTTCCATGCCGACCAAAAGAACTGCATCATCAAGCCCATCGCAATCAACAACCCATATACCACCCAACTCGGGACTCTCCATCTTCCACCAAATACTCTCAATCCCTTCAAGGACTTGCTTTGGAAATCCATGTTCATCCTGATATCCGCCAAAAGCAAGCCAGTAATTGAGAACCAAGCCCAATTTTGCACCCACCACGCCGTCAAGATGAAGAATACCCAAGCCTTGACTCGCCAGACTGGTCTTGTGTACGGAATGATGACCATACTCATAAACACCGTCCAACTCTGGCTATAAAGTAGCGTCACAATCCACAACATCTGTCCTGGAAATGCTCTACTTCCCGCCTGAGAAGCAAAGTTTCTGGTTACCCAAAAGAGATTGAATATCGCATTACAGAACCCCACGAAGCCGGGAAGTGTATATGGAGTCTCGAACGAAACATTTCCAGTCAATTTCTTGAATTCGTGGATATACTCCTTTCCTCCCGACAAGAAGATAACAACTAGGAGCGAAGAGACGAACGTTGGAATGAAGAGCCGGACTGAGCGTCTGAATGCTGAAGAGGCGACAACCAGTGAAGTTGATGAGGAAATGAATGGGATACTGATGCTGCGTGCCGACAAAACGATGATGAACGAATAAATGAGTGAAGAATTCCAGCACAAGACAGAGATAGTCTTCCGGAGGAACAATTGGATACCCGGGCCGGTGTCGTTATGAGAGTCCTTTACAGCTGCTGGTGCGAAGACAATGAGGAAGGTGTAGAGGAATGTTTGAATTGTGAGGAGGCCGCGAAGACCGAGGAGGTAGTCTTGTGAAGGGTGAAGAGAGGGCTTAGTACGAAGGCTTCGAACAGCAAGAATGATTTTCGAAAAACGTGTGAGTTCTGGTTCAGGCTCAGTTGCAATGTCTTCAAAGGACTGGTAAGGAGCGGCCATTTTGCTGTGGTGCCGAGAATAATACTTAGGTTCGAAGAACAAGTTGGGTGTAACGCACCAAGAGAAAGTAGGCTCAAGAGCAAGTAGATACTTCACCTTTCATCGTCGTTACTCATCTCAATTCTCAGCATTCTTTTTCCCATCCAAATGACATTTTTCCAACGCATAACCCACCAATCTTCCCTCCGCCACCCTCCAAAAATATCCTCGAGAGAAGCAAGATCTTCTATTCATCACAAAAATGTCTTTCATTCTCTGCCCTCCCCAAAAAACCAACAAATATTCAATATTTATGCATTGGCAATCCTTTGTTTTTGTTTCAGCTCATGAACCCTGAAAAACGCCACACGATATCAACCCGGCAAAAGCAATTCGAAACCCCTATCCAAAGACACGACTCACGGCATGACGGAAGATGTCTTTGGGGTTTCTTTTGCAAGCCATGATTGTTCAGAGGTCAACTTGACTGCTTTATGATCAGCGGAGGCGTCTCAATTTGATTGATGCGGTGACATCGAAGCTGGAACCCGACGAAGTTGTTTTCAGCTGAGGGAACATGTTGGATAAGGGTTCAGGGGACGGTACAGCAGGGAAGAAGAGCGTAGGGATCGGGCTCGGGAGTGTAGATCGATGCAGGTACGAGAATCATTGATCGGAGAGTTCCATCTTTCCAAGTATACGGGAAGAACTTGCCATACGGGACGGGAAGATCGTAAGGATGAAGGTTCGTCTGCGGATGTGTGCTAGATTTCCGGATCACTTGCTCTGAGAGCTTGGAAACAGAAAAGAAAAACATAGACCCGTCCTTGAATTAGAACTAAAAAGCTTGTCAATGGGATCTCAAAGATATGCACAGAACCAAGCAGGCCTGAAAGCCCTTCTTGATGTTGGGCACTCTCCCCTACCATCATCTGAATCTGGCGTTCTTTACTGATGGGCATTGGTAAAGTAGATATAGTGTTGCAGAGCAGGAGAGGATTATGAACTTTATGTGACCGAAATGGAATCTTTTAGAGGAATGATGACTATTTTGAAGTGCATATGTGAGCTCTTGGGATATGCAATAGAGAATGGTTGTAAAATATTCATTATCATTATAACCAGGTAACTCTATCTCAAATACCAACATTTTAATCTACGTTCTCCTCAACGCCTAGTTCTAGTGGAACAAGTCCAATGTAAGATTATATACAAGAAGATCTTAACAAGTTATACAAAAAGCTCAAAGGAGATTGAGCTCAAGTTCGAGCAGTTGGATTCCAGGCAGAGTACTTTGTGACAGCTCGAGCATGTCCGTAAAGACCTGCGTTTCTTGTTAGCACACAAAGCGATTAACTTCGGAGGATGTGGTCCACTCACCAATTGTAGCCGCAAGGACTAAGTAGAACGGGTAAATGACTGAAAAGGCGACGATCATCCATCTCTCGACAAATTCAGATCTCACTCTGTTGGTAATGTAAAGAGTGGCAATGAGGCAAAGCAAACTATGAACGTTAGCTACGATCTTGAAGTGGTTTAAAACTCATTACCTTATGATGAAAAACCATTCTGATAAAGGAAATTGGAAGAAAATGAGGCGAGCAAGTTGTCCAGCGGTCTTGGGGAAGTCCGTGATAACCATACTAACAACGAGACAGGTATACTGGGTCACGAGATAGTAAGACCACTCTCTGATCAGGAGCAAAGAGAAGAGTCCAAACCGTGTTCGGAATTCACGCTTGCGTACGCCTTCGGCTGGTTTGGTGAAAGACATAATCAGATGGCGAGAGCTTGCTTGCGCCCACCCCTGAGCCCATCGAAGGCGCTGCTTCCAGAAGGCTGGCCATTGGGTGGGAGCAAGCTCATATGAAACGACGTTCATGTCATGAACGGTCTTGGCGCCTTCAGACACAGCTCTTAGTGCAGAGTCTATGTCCTCTGTAAGCATGGAGCCATCCATCTTCAAGCGGCGTAGAAGTGATGTTCTCCAGAACCCGTTGCTGCCACAGAAAAGGCCGAACCCCCACATTGATGATCTTCCGGGATGCGATACAGCATAGATCTTGTCGAATTCCACCGAGATCATAGCTGCAAGCAACGAAGCAGGGGCGTTGAAGATCACACAGCGTCCCTGCACGATGTCGATTGCAGAATCCGACATGAAGCGTTCAGCGGCCCATCGAGGATTATTGGGATGAGGATAGTGATCGCAGTCGAAGATGGCGATGATGTCTGATCCGGTGTCCAATGAAAAGAAGTAATTCAAGTTGTCCGCTTTCGATGTTGAGCCAGGGACTTTGATGACTCTGGCGTGAGAGTACTTTTTAGTCAAGTCATGGAGTTGTGATTCCAAAGGCTCTATAGACCGTGGGGTGTTGTAAAGAATGTTGATTCTGATGAGATGTTGAGGGTAGGCAATTTTTTCGAGAGCGTAAAGAGCTCGGTCCATGATGATGTCTTTCTCGTTGGGTAGGTAGGCTACAATGAGCAAGTCGAGGATAGGCAGATCGCTGTCCGGCGTAGGGAATCTCCACTCGTTCGCCTGAGCTTTGCTGATGGTCTTCCTCGCATCTCGAATAGGTGCAAGGCTCATGAATGCTTCCAGCACGGTCGAACTGGCGATGTAGAAATTTGAGATCATGTAGATGTACCAGAATATGGCCATAATCCAAGGTGGAAATAAAATGTAAAGACAGATAGAAAACCAGTAATATGAAGCAACGAGCAGGAATGGTGTCCATTCTGTAATAAATGCAGAAACATCCACAAGCGATCGTTGAAAGCTGGTCAGGAGGTGTTGAAAGCGTGATTGCTTTGTTATAGGCTCTAACGCATCATCGAAGATGCTCATAGGCAGCTCAGTAACAGAAGTCATGTTTTCAATCCCCATGATGAACGAGTGTAAAGACAGCAGCACAAACGAATGTACAAATTAGAGATTAGGAACTGAATCGATGGACAAGAAATGAAATCAAGGAAACGCTCTCAAGATAAAGGTAACACACATATTCGAGAGCCATGATCGTAGCCTACTTCGGCCAATCCTTATCGTGGCTTGCAGCGAAATTGGATCATCGAATACGATGGCTTCTTTGAGCACTTGCGGAGTTGAGATTGACAGATCTAGATGTTGTCACACCAAAAGAACATGTATTGAAGGCGTCTTTTTGGAAAACCTTTACCTTGACTACATGGCCTATCAACGTGGTCGAGGTTGACTGCAAAGACCATGCTCCTAGCTAGAGTGACAGCACAGCTAAAGGTGGAATGGACAGGCCCAGAAGAGCGGGTCAATGGAGATCATAATGAAAGTTGCGCAGGGTACAGCACTTCCCGGGTCACTCTGTGCCTTCAACTTGCCGTGTGGAAGTTCCACGAAATCAGGGTCCATTATCTTTGACAGAATGCGCATCGAGGATTTGATTGAGTGCCACGCCGAGGGCCAACCGTCCAAGAGAGTGACTCGGGCGACATGACAGGCTTCGACGTGCCGCCACTCCATGCGATATAAAGGGAAGATGCCGAGTACCTGGCGAGAATTTGGAGTTGAATGGTCGTGGGGGTTTGAGGCTGACTTGGCAAGGACGAGGGACGTTGAAGAGAAGCCAGTGAAGGGCGCTATTTTTAACCTTGCCCACCTATTCGGATGAACCTGACCGAGGAGCTAACATTTCTTCCTCTTCCATCAACATCGACAATCGCTTATCGACGACAATGTCTTAGTTTCTTTTTTGTTTCATGGATGAGAACGAGGCTTTAGTAGCTGAAAATGCTCTTCCTGGCAGTGTTCCTTCCCATTGATCCGATCTGGTCCATAGAATCCAAGTGGAGATGTGAACACACTGCGGTATTGCTTTGCTTTTGATATTTTGCAGTTCGCAGTTCTGCAAATCAATACGAGTTACGAATTACAATGGTTTTTATTCATTTTTCCTCTTTTCAGATGAGTTATCCTAGGTAGCCTGGACGTTGCTGGACGTTAATCTCCCCATCAATCTAGCGGTATCTTCCTCGACACAAGGTTGGTCGGGAGTGGTCTCTCAAGTATCCACTCAAAATCAAGTATACCTTCAAGTATCTGATGATAGAATTCACCTATCTCACCCTCTCCGAGCATCTGTAGTTACTTTGTAGCCTATGTGATGTATTCTCTCCGCTGTCTATCGCTAGCAATTGCTGCAGGCCTGTGCCGGAGTACTATTGCAGAGTTATCGCAGTCACTTCGACCCCGCGATCTTGACTGCTCTTGCGGATTCCAAGATGATTTGAACGGCCAAGTCTTCACCGAAGCCATCATTGTTTATTTCAACGAAACGACAGGTATTCTTCAAGATTTCGCCTCAGAAGTCTACACCAACAACTACGAGAAGAGCTGGAACTCAATATATCGGCAAGGTGCGGATGCTGGAAATGTTCAGCTCAACAACACTTCAAACTCATTAGAGTTAAATATCTCGCCACCAGAATCCGATCATGTAGTGATAGGTGGTGGGATTGGTACTCTGCGTTCAGATATTCAATATGGATCTTTTCGGTCCCTGCTTCGACCAGCGGGACCTTACAACGGTGGATCATCTCTGTCGATGGTCCTCATGTATAATGATACTGAGGCGATACAACTGAATGTCATGAACACAGATACTCCAGCAACTGCTTGGACATCGACCCTCATAGGAGAGGAGTTCCCAGATCGAACTTTGGGTGCCAATTTCAACGTATCTAGTCAGAATTCGACAGCTTCTATTCCGTATTGGGATTATACGGAATATCGCATTGATTGGACTGGCAAGGACATCAAATGGTACATTGGAAGCAATCTCACTCGGACAGCCTCGAGCCACAACATAAGTTTGCCGACGGTACCATCTCCTCTATTTCTGAAACACTGGTCGACTGGAAATGCGTACGCAGAGCAAGGCCCACCACTGAATGGGGCCGTCGCCAATGTTGGCTATGCTCGCTTGTTCTTCAATTCGTCCCTCATGAACGCTGAAGGTCACAAGGAGTACGACTCGCAATGTCAATCCGCTGCGAAATGTTCGACGGAGGATTGGACACTGAGAGGGTCAACGCCATATACTGCTGAATCGACCCAGAAATGGGAGCAAGTATCTGCGAGGACGACAGTACAATGGATTGCTATCTGGATGGCGGTAGTTTGCATTATTTGCTCGACGCTTCTCCTGATGCATACACTATTGCCACGGATCTTAGCCAAGTTCAGGGCTAAGAAGCAGGAAGGGGAAGGATCAGTACGAGATCCTGAAGAAGAGAGCGGAGACAGTCTTACAGCTCGAGATCCTGGACGGATATCTGCATACGGTGGACCTTATTTAGATTCTGCGGATCTTAAGCACGATCCAGAGAAGGTTCTGCATCATATGCGCAGCGTTGGCATGACTCAATCCGCTTTCGAGACCACGATGTCTTTCACTTCTGGTACAACGGCATTCGTACGACCAGACACAAATCATTCCCTAAGTTTGAGCATGACAGATCGGAAGCTTGCTTTCTGGCAACAAGGTGGTTCAGCAAGGAGTGTGGTGTCTCTCAAGAGAAAATCCGCAGACTCGAGTATTCCCAGCACCCCGCGAGACAGTAGAGGAGGGACATCCAGTGCCAGTCCAATGCCTGGAACACCCGTCGACAGTAGAGCCACTACCATGGTCAACCTTCCTCTGGACAGAATCATGATTGAAGAAGGTGTCGGCTACCATACCAGACTAGCGAGTATCGAGTCTGTCAGAAGCACCGATAGCAAGAAGGACAAAGGCAAAGGACGCAGACATTCGGTCCTCTTGACCGAGGAGAAACCACCAAGTGTGAGTTCAGACAAGAAAGAGCCACTAACAGCCAAGCCTCGAGTCGAATACTTGGCTGGGCTGACAGCAATGTGCGCCATCATCGTGTCTGTGGATCATTTCTGCTCGACTTTCGCTCCTGCCGTCATCTTCCCCGGCGCACCTCATCACTATATCAGCGAGAAATGGGCAAATAAGATCGTGACTCCCTATCTTATGAATCAGATTTGGATCGGTGTTTTCTTCACCTGCTCGACTCGATTTCTAGTCTCCAGATATTTGAAAGCCGGAGAGCTTGACTGGATTGCACAAAAAGCCGTAACTCGTAACTTTCGAGGTAAGCAGAGCGTTCATGTCATAAACACCAATCAAAAGACAATGAAATGTACTGTTGTCTGTATATCATACTAACAGACAGGTAGTCATGATACCAATCGTTGCAGTTGCCATGCTGGAATACTTCCTCATGGAATGTGGTGCTACGACATGGCTCGAATATCTGCCGTCAATCACTTGGTCTACTTGGCCTTATACAACACCTTACAACACATTTGGTGACTTTCTTTCCGAAGTCCTCGAGGTTGTCTACCTGGTTCCAAACGCTGCACCTCAAATTATTTTCAATTATTGTACAGGTGTGCTATGGACAATGCCAGTCCAGGTAAGAACTCTTCCCTCTTCCTTTATGCAGGAATGTATCTTTGCGTTATTTTCATCCTCGGAAACTCTCCAGGACTGATTGTGCATGTCTTGCGATACTCTGTTGTTATGCCAAAAAAATTTGGAAGAGCCATACTGACTTTGATATAGTTACAAGGCTCATGGACCATCCTTCTAGGAGTTGTCGTTATCCGCGAAATCAAAAACCCGGCCAAACGCTTTGGATACTACGCCATGGCTGTTATCTTCAACTGGTATGCTTCGTCATGGGGTGCATATTTCTGGCTCGGACTTCTGCTGGCCGACCTCGACATCGTATTCAAATACCGAAAGCACATCTCTGCCAGACCGTGGCTATTCTACGTTTTGACCATCACCTATGGAATAACCACAATTCTGTCCTTGAGCGTTGATACCATCAATCAAGTGGCGAATTACTCTTTCATCGACGCAGAGCATAGCATACACCCTGACCAGTGGACTGGACTGCCAATATACAAAGCCAATCCACTGGAAGTAAGCGACTACTTTATCCCTCGCCTCAACGGCCTTACATTTGCCTTCAGTCTTCAGTCCCTGATAGAGCTGTCTCCTTTCTTCCAGAACGTGTTCGCTTGCAAACCTCTGAGGATGATTTTCCCACACATTTTCACTATCTACCTCTTCCATGGTCTTATCTTCTGGTCCTTGGGAGCAATGATTTGCGTCTTTCTCTCCAGTCATGGATTTGCCTACGGTGTCAATCTACTCATCACAGCAGCATGTTGTTACTCAGCTCTGTTTTTCAGCTTACCAATTGTTACGCCAATCGTGGAGTTACTAGGCAAACATTGGACGGCAAGTATCTGGGAAAGTGCACACGAGACTCCGCCACCAAAACGAGACACCCTCTTTCCCTTCACCAGAGAACTCCTAAGTGAAGAGAGGTCGGTGGCTCCAGATTCCAGCAACGAAGGAGATTCCAATGAGAAAGCAGACGAGAAGAAACTCAGAAGCGATCAATATTTCAATGAAAAGCAACCTCTATCCGACAAAGCACGAGAAGCAGGTCACAAGTCTCACTTCTCCGAGACCATCGTCGAAATTCCTATCGACAGCGAGCACAATACTGACAAAACCACCCTTGAAGCCTCCGTATCAGACAATTCATCAAGCAAGAAACGAGACAGCGACCGTAGCTCAAAAGGCCTCGAATACCTCCGCGAACTAGAGAAACGACAAAGCGCAAGAAGCGGCACCTCATCTTCAGCCTATTCCCAAGCCCTTTCCTCAAGAGACAGCAAACGAGAGAGTCAACGCAGCGGATTGAGTGTTCAAACTCATCTTACCCCATTCCTCGAGACACCACAACCAACATTTCAAATCGCACCTTTGGCTCAAGATCCCGTTATCGAAGTCAAGAATCCAGCGAGAGAAAGCGTACAAAGCTCACTCCATATCACGGAACACCTCGCGTACCCGGAACCCGTGCGTCCTCGCGCCAGTACACGGAGCAGTCTCGGGCTTGGAGAACAAGCTGGGCTCTTCGCACAGCAGAAACGACGCCCGAGCTCGACGAGAAGTAGTCAACAGGTGGCAGAAGTGGTCAGTGAGATGATTCTGCATAGTAAGTTGAGCGTTAGTGAGGTTCGGGAGATGGCGTTGCAGCAAGCGAGGGAGAGTAAGGAGCGGAAGAGAGAGGCGGAGATGTTGAATGAGTTATTGAGAGAAGAAGAAGAGACAGGGGAAGGGAAGGAGAAAGATGGTAATGGGTTGAGTGCTGGGTATGTGCATGTGTATGGGCCGGAGAGTGTTGCGGCTAGCAGTAGTGCGAGTTTGGCGGCCAGCGGGTCGAAGTTGAGGAATAGTAGCATGAGTGTGACCGCCGTTGGTGGGTCGGGGAAGAGGGAGAGTGCTAGAAGCAGGAGTTTCATGGTTGAGGTTACTGATCTGGAGCATGAGCATGAGAATAAGTTTTGAGATGGGGTTAGCAGGAGAGCAGAGTGGACGCTTCTCACAACAAAGTCACTTTCTTTTGTTACTATAGTATAGGATATTCGGTAATATATAGGGTTATAAATAAAATCACATATAATCGTGAAACTGCTTATCTGCCAGGACTGCTGAATCTTCATCATCTTTCCAACTTTAGTTTCGAGGAAGCGAAATACTTCGTGTCATCGAGGAATTAAGTGTCCCCTTGCATTAGACGTATCCAAACTTCAATAGTGAATCGAGAGAGCGAGAACAACTCGAAATTACCAAAGGACCAAGGCATTTACCCACAAACGAATACACCAAACTGCAGAATGTTTGTCGAGAGTAAAATCCTTCCCGATTATACCAGAACACATAATGAAAACAGGTCAAACATTTCAAGTCTCGTTATCATTTAGCCACAAACGCGAGGCAGACCGCAGAAGGTTTTGTCGAGACTTCGACCCCGCAGTGACGATGACAAAAACACCATTGAAGAAACGAAGGAGGGTTCGTAGTATGCTTTTGTGTATTCATCTCAACTGAGCAACTCATGGTATCTAACAAACTAAATCTTACAAGCCACCTATCACATCAGTGACAACATTTGGTCTTTTCCAAAAAGGGGTCTCCCACTCTCAACGCCTCGCTGACTTGTATATACCTGTCTGTTCCATCAACCATGCAGGTTAATGATAGTTCTACTGTGTTCTTGCTCCCCATCCTTCGCTGCCATATTCATATAAACATTAAATTCGTGTTTGTACTCCTCCGACCACACTCTCAATCACTCGTTCCACCCCTGGACGCCTCGTTGCTACCGGCCCGTCAAGACACACGCCATAACTAATATTACTAGCCCTAGGATCGAGTCGCCTCCTATTCGACTCGCGCTACTTGAGATGTCAAAGGGACTTCCTCCCCCTGACCCTCCCGTGTCTGGCTGGTTTGCTGGCTTGGTAGCGGATGACGTACTTGTTGCTACTGAGCCTTTCTTGGAGCTTGATGAAGTTGATGTTGTGGTTGTCGTTGGTGCAGAGCCTCCAAGTCCCCCATCTGCCGACTCGATTGAAGTAGAAGTAGTCGATGATGTCGAAGTCGTTTCGGTAGAAGTTGACTTCACCGTTATTGAAATGACGGAGCTTGTGTGATGCTCGCTGCTAGTGCTCACGATAGACTGCGGGGCAGGTGCCGAAGTTGACTTGATAGATGTCGACGTCGTTGTCTTGAACCCCAATCCTCCCGTATTTCCTCCACTGCTGGTTGGTATTGTGACAGAGACTGCTGGTGCTGCTGAACTGACAGCAATAGGCATTGTAGATGACCTCAATACAGTTGTGGTAGTCGTTGCAAGGCTTGGGCACAAAGCTGCCACTACTCCTCCATTCATCACAATGCCCAATAATGTATTGGAGCTCACTGATACTTCTGCACATGAATCACTGACTGCTGCTGCCGCCGCGTTCAGTCCCGCTATGCACGCTGCTGAGCACCCATTGTTGAAGTCTGACTTTGTGCATGAAGATATTTGACTGTCGTATGTCAATTGACATGATAATGGTATAAGAACCGAAGTAATCTGCTGGAAGTTCGCTAGGGACAGCGCATGCGCCGTGGGTAAGGCGAAAAGGATCGCAAGATGTCTTCGCCGCATTTTGAATATATCGTTCGCAAGACTCGCAAGCCACACAAAGAAGAAAATCGATTTCGAGAAGGTGGATGCCCAGGCTGGGGTCCTTGACGATAGATACTCGAGCGTGAGAACAATGATGATAGGAGACGAACTATGGCCAGGGAGCAGCTTGCTTGGACGTGTTCCCCACGGTGCAGGCCAAGTCGAAGCGTCGAGGGAATATGCTTATACGGTCCAACCGCACCACGTCTCAGGTGTATCGTTTTGATCGTCCACCACCGATGATTGTCCTTCGTTTGCGACGAGAGGTGTCGGATGTGATCGGCCGAGCGTACAGATTGAGGTACTGAAGTACCTTCTCTGGAGAGCAGGTACTAAAATGCGTTCCTGAATCCCGGAGTGACTTCCACAAATAATGACGCAGAGTCTGGATAGGCCAATGCAAAGAGAAGTCGGATGAAGCACCGATATGCGATACGAACCTGCGTGATCGGAATGTGCAGCAGAGTTCTCTGGATGTGTACTTGGTGTTCGGTGGGTGTTTGAATGCAACAATGCGAAGAGAGAGAAAAGGTCTACCTCTCCAATGCTGGGGAGAAAAAGGGAAGGGAAGGGAAGGGAACGGAAGGGGAGGAAGGAGCGACGGAAGAACTGGAGATAAAAAAAAAGGAGGCTCGCACAGGATGTTTGAAGCTTTTCCAGCTCCGAATAGAGGAAGCGTTACCTATGGACATGACAATGACAGCAAAGGAGGGTCCGGCTGAAGGACTGGGTGGGATCATGCCGCGCTCATCCCTCAGGAATTGGAAAGAGAAGAGATCATTGGACGGCGCCGAGGTAAACGTCCTCGAGATAGCCAATCATGGCGGCGGCGTCAATCCTGAAGTTTATTCTTCCTGAGCCTTGAAACTTGTGCTGCGTTTCAGCAGTTTGAGGTTGCAAAGCTGGTCCGCACGGTGATTGGAGTTGAGTAGCGGGTGATACGCCAACCTCCCTAATCTGTTTTCAGCACCTACTTAACCCCTGAATGGACATTGTGTCTGCAAAGAAAAACAAAATATCAAACGAACACCGTGGGAGTAATAATTTGTTTCATTGGCTAATTACCATCTACTTCCCCAGATTCTCATAATGATCACACGGAAGCCATCTCCTTTGGGTTTTCTGCAGCACGGAGTGCAGATGGAACTCGAAGATGTGTTCCTGTCGAGTTTGTGACTGTCTGTGATATCGCCAGTCATCTCATTTGGTGGAGTTGAGCACGTCGAAGATGCTGTTCGTGCCCATGTATGATCTTGGCTGTGCTCATAGATGTTTCAACTGCTCGAAGCCGATGTCAAACAGCTTGGACTTTTTTGATATACCCGCTGATGTTCAGATAAGTCTGACAAACAAGGTCTCGCAAGGCAATCCTATCCTTGTTTGTTCTTGGTGCTGCGGTTCTGGTTTCTCCATTGATCGGTACCAATGTACCTCTCCATCCAGAGCCGCATTACTGACTTTAAGGTTCGAAGCTCTTGCAAGCGGATGAGGATGTGTCCGGCACTACCGATGCCCAAGATTTTGTGGCAGAATATGGTTTTTATGCCATGCTCTTGATCCTCTGCGTGGACTGCCGACCGCCATCGCAGCTCTTTTGAGGAAATCCGTTTAGAAGGATTTGGCAAGAAGCTCAGCATAGATAATATAAAATTTGCATATGGAAATGATAGAATGCAAATGATTGTGGAATCGGTGTCAACATGTGTCCTGTTCCTGGCTTCTGTCCAGCTATTCATGGTCACTCAATCAGGAAAGGAATATAGATGTAACATAAGAACAAATTATGAAAATTCGAAAAACGAAACGGTTGAAATCTATAGAATCTTCCTAGATTGCTGCGAGTTCATCTCGCCATAATTCAAAAGTGAGTTTCTGACCTATCGTAGGAATTTGATCATAAGATAGTATCGTTCTAGAGTTTGTGGGACGACGTAAGTGGAATAAGTCCCAATTGCGAATTAACTTTGCGAAATAAAATATATGAAACCGATGCACAATACAATACCTTTTCTTCTATCGCGAAGAATCTGCTTTCCTATTTGTATTTTCCCACAAACTCTAGAATAATATCATCTGATATCAATTTAGTAATCAGATTGAGCTAGCCAATCTGCGTCAATTCGCTTGGTTCTCAGCCTCGTGGTGGTGACAATACTAAGTAACAAGGCTAGAATCTCAGAGCACCTAAGACAATAGCAACACACATCACAATAGGATCCCCACCACCAGCACCACCAGCACCACCCCCCAAAAAACTCTACAAAATACCCTCCTCACCTGGCTTTGCTTCTCTTCAAAACTTCCACAAACACCACTCAGCTCAAAATTCCAATCCTCCGAATTCACAAAGCCGGTCTTAATGAATTCCTCCACTCCCTCATCCTACAACTCGAAGTCCAATCCAGCTTCACACACCCACTCCACCCCAAAGACCAAGCAGCGCAGCACCATGGCATCCTCCCCCATCGCCGCCACCGCTCCGCCACCACCAGCGGCCACACCCACAACACCCATTCGGATCCCAAAGAACGCTGCCTCCTACTCGGCCGAGACGCAGGACTACGATTTGCGCTCCCAGATCAATCTGCAATTACTTGACAATGGCCACATTCACACGTAAGACTTTCCTCCCTACTACTTCTACTTATTTCTGCTTGCTTGAGAACAATTACTAACTCTACGACAACAGGATTCACGAGACGCTACTTCATGCACTACATGCCCACCCTTCGGACTGGCCTTCACGCATACAAGCACATGCCCTTGAACTCCTCCGCAGCGGACATGTCACTACGTTCCCGATGCTGATGGCGAGAGTCTTGGCAGATATCAAGGCAGATCAGAAGAATCCTGACAGAGTTGGGGGTACGGGGTTAGCACTGCCTGCGGTCGTTATTGAGGAGGGAGTACGGGTTACTAGGGAGAGTTTAGAGCAAGTTTGTGAAGTTGTTGGTGGCAATAACTGAATTCAGTTATGTTGCGCGGGTCTTTTTAGACAATGGGTATTAGAACAGTATTCAGGGATTGAAATATGGGGTAGATTGTATTCACAGCACAGCATGGTCACGGATGTACACATAGAACAGGCGTTCAGGCAAATTTGGCAATTGAAGAAATATCTAAGGCAGCTCTACCGACTCCCAACCATTTCCATGCATGCGTGAATAGGAAACGTAAAATACATGGTGATATGTGACTTTTTAGTCGTAGAGACTGTCATCATTACCCGCCTCTCCAAATCCACCAGCACCGCTATCAGCATTCGCAGCAGCCTCACCAGCCTCAGGGAACTTAAAGAAAGCACCTGGTCCGGCTTGCTTCATGCTTTGAGCAAAAGCTTCATATCGGCGGATTTCAACGTCGGAAACAGATCGTCGAGCCGAAGACATGGCCTCCTCAAAGTGAGCCTTTGTCAATTGGGGAACTGGGTCCTCAGCGTCATCATCTTCCATATCAACATCCTCACCAGCCTCCTCGCGAGCCTTGCGACGCTCAATATCCAAAGAGATGGCCTCCTTGATAGCAAGCTTGACAGCACGCTGAGTGATGAATCCCAAATCGGCACCAGAGAAACCATGTGTGCGAGAGGCGATATATGCAAGGTCGACATCCGGTGCAACTGGAGTCTTTCTAAGTTGAGCCTTAAGAATACCAGCGCGAGATGACTCGTTGGGCAGAGGAACGTAGACGAGAGTGTCAAGACGACCTGGTCTGCAAAGAGCATTGTCAAGTTGCTCAGGTCTATTGGTGGCACCGATGACGAAGACGTTCTTCTTCGAGGTCATACCGTCCATTTCTGAAACATATTAGCTTTGATCACCAACGGGTATTTTTGAAGACTTACCAGTCAAAAGTTGATTGACGACACGGTCAGAAGCTCCACCAGCATCACCGACGGATCCACCACGTGACTTGGCGATAGAGTCCAACTCATCCAAGAAGACAACGCAAGGGGCAGCAGCTCTGGCCTTGTCGAAAATATCACGAATGTTACTCTCAGACTCACCAAACCACATGCTCAGCAACTCAGGACCCTTGACCGAAATGAAGTTTGCAGAACATTCGTTGGCAACGGCCTTGGCAAGTAGTGTCTTACCGGTACCCGGTGGGCCATAGAAGAGGACACCACGAGATGGAGAAAGACCAAACTTGAGGAATTTTTCGGGGTGATCGACGGGGTACTGAACGCTCTCGATAAGCTCGCGCTTGACGTCCTCGAGACCTCCAATATCGTCCCAGCGGACGTTGGGAACCTCCACAACTGCGACCTCGCGAAGAGCAGATGGGTTGGAAACACCGAGAGCAAATCTGAAATTCTCCATCGTAACTCCCAAAGAGTCAAGAACCTCAGCGTCGATGGTGTCCTCATCGAGATCAATAAGATCCATCTTCTCACGAATTTGCTGCATAGCAGCTTCTGAGCAGAGGGAGGCAATATCAGAACCAACATAACCGTGGGTCTCGGAGGCGATTTGCTCGAGATCAACATCGTCACCCAACTTCATGTTCTTGGTGTGAATTTGCAGGATTTCGAGACGGCCAGTTGGGTCAGGAATACCAATATCAACCTCACGATCGAAACGACCAAAACGACGGAGAGCGGGATCGATGGAGTTAGGTCTGTTGGTTGCAGCCATAACCACAACGTTGGATCGGGCCTTCATACCATCCATCAAAGTGAGCAACTGGGAAACGACACGACGCTCGACTTCTCCGTTGGTCTTGTCTCGCTTTGGGGCAATCGAATCGATCTCGTCGATGAAGATAATGGCGGGGGAGTTCTTTTCGGCCTCTTCAAATGCCTTTCGGAGATTCGACTCAGACTCACCAGCCATCTTGGACATGATCTCGGGACCGTTGATCAGGAAGAAGAATGCACCGGTCTCGTTGGCTACAGCTCGAGCCATGAGGGTCTTACCCGTACCAGGAGGACCAAACATGAGAACACCACGGGGAGGCTTGATACCGATGGACTTGAAAAGCTGGGGGTGACGAAGTGGCAGTTCAACCATTTCACGGATTTGGGCCATCTGCTTTCTGCAACCTCCAATATCGTCGTACCCAACTTCGTTCAGGTTGCCCTCCTCATCCTCACGTTGGATGGGCTCTCCTTCGCAGTGGATGACAGTATCTTGGGCTACAATTCCGTACTCCGGAGGATCGACTTCCACAACCTTGAACTCCACTTGTCTCATACCACCACGAACTGTGAAGAGATCGCCTTGTCGGACCGGTCGGTAAGCTTCGCGGAAGTATGGGGCGAGGAAGACATCGAAAAGTGAGCCAGTAAGGCCCTCGACGGTATCGGCAATGGGGAGAACTGCAATGCGCTTGGCCTGTGAAATGTTAGCTTCTGAATATCCAAAAATATAGACTTTCAATACTGACATATTTGATGTCTGGGCACGGGTGAACAGTGACGATATCACCGTGCTTGACGCGCAGGTTATGTCTAACAACACGATTCATGCGTGCACTCCCATCATCCAATTCATCATCCGCCAGGACAATAAGAACAGTATCCTTGCGCTTCTTGCCCTTTACCAAGACAGTATCGCCACGGAAAAGTTGTAACGTCTCCATGGTATTGTTGGAGAGCGCAATGACGGAGTTATCATCGTTAACGGCATCAGTGACCCTGTTGCCACCTTCGTCAGTTTGAACTTGAGGAGGTTTATCTGCGAGATACGTACATCAAAGAATTAGGCTTCTTCTTCTTCTTCAGGATGGCTGTCGCCGTGTCATCTTGCTAGATGGATGTCAGTTTCAAAGCTCCATATTGGCAAGGCCAGTGGCGTCGAGGTAACTTACTGCCTTGTGCTCGGCACCTGAAGCATCGCTGGAGATACCATCAGTATTGAATCATACATATACTTTGCGCTTGAGATAACCTACTTCAAGTTCACCTTCTTCTTGTGCTCGACATGGTCCGGTTCGGCGCTCATGATGCAAGCTGTCGATCTTCAAGATCAAGAGCGGGAGGAGGATTAGGTATTGTTTGTTGAGTACGCCGGGATGAGGCGCGATACTATGTCGAAGATGATTCCTACTCAAGACGAAGAAACCAAAGCCGTTCGTGGAAAAAGAAGGTTGTGTTGTGGGATGGAGGAAGGTGTTTTGAAGGTGTTCAAGTCAAGATATCTAGTAGAGCTCTAACGAACGTACGGCGCGCTAGCCTAAGCGGTTACTTTGCCCGCCGTATTCACCATCTTTCTTCGACTTTCTGGCGACAACCACGCTTATGAGACTCAGCAGGCAGAACACGCACACGTAGGCAAAGAAAGCCTCAGAAGATGCGGCAAACACCAGTTCACGGTTTCGGACTTACCACGACAGACACAGCACGTGGATGAATTACGATAGAAAATTTCTGGCCTTTTTGTTGAATCCCTTTGAATTGTGTGAGGCAAAATTCATACGGTCCAAACCACGGGACGGAACGCGAGTAATGATTGCCATCTTGGTTCGGTCTTAATTAGACTTAAATTCACCAAACCCAGAGTTATGTTCATCTGGTAGCACTATCGACAATTGCCCTAGCTGCCTGTTACTGGTACGTGCCAAAAAGCCTGTATGATTCTTTCACCTCTAGACTTCATGAGCATATAGCTCTGATAGTGGAATTATTGTGAAGAACGCAGGCACATCCCTCATTGAAGCTTCAGGTTGCCTTGGATGTATTCTTTTGGTTCGATGCATTCTCAATTTGAAAGCGCTCGAGCTGTCGTGGCAAACGTAAATGCAAAGTCCATGTACGACACATGATCAGAACAGAAGTATATCCTCATTTTTGCGATTACTGAGCATAAAAGTGGATCCATCTCTCAACAGTCCGGGATGATGAGAAAGAGCTCGACTTCCACAGCCATGCACCATTGTTGATTCTTGGATGTCGGCATCCAATAGTATTTGGATTTGTCCAACTCTCATTCAAGCGATTGCGCCACAGACTTCAAGAAGCTGATGATTCAAATGTTGCAAACTGCCTATTAGTGGATCGTCCGACATAGTTGTAGAAGCTGTTCAACGTAGCGGTCTTTCGATGCTCGGGACCAGAATCTTCCATGTCTGTTGCCAAGGCATTCTTGTCCTCCTCTGCTTAGGATTGCCTTTGATTAAGAATATGCATCCAATCTGTCACTAGCCCCTTCACAACTTTTACTCGAACTTGCTCTTGAATACCTAGATTTCCTTGGCCTGCTCATTCATTCAATGAAGTACCTGTCTCTGTTGTAAAGTACCAAAGTCACCATCTGATCCTGATCTTCTTCGTGATGTTTATCTCCAACTTTATCTCCCCTCTCTTCTGTTATTGCATCCAATCCGCTGAGCCTTTGCATCCTCTCTCGTTCTTGAGTCTCCTGCACCTAATGTCCCTGCCCTTTGCGAAGCCCAACTTTCACCCTCACGTATTGTTTCTCAGACTCGGGTCCTGTTGATCATATACTCACTCTTTGCTTTCAAACGTCGTCTGATGCTCGATTCTGGCTAGTCGATGCTATCACATTCTCAAGCCTTGTATAAGCACGCCCACCAAAGGATACAGGAATTTCCCCTGTAATGGTCAAACTAGCCTCAGACACCGGCTTCCCCAGCAGACCCATCATTGCCCATCAACCTTTTCATTCTCTAGCAGAGTCCCCGTTGCATAGCCCTGATAGAACTCGTTACTGGCAATCCGCAGCAGATAATCTTCAGGAGTTTTCGGCAACCTATCTTGATCTCTTGAGCCTTACTTATTTATTGAACGATCACAACTCTTTTTAGTGCAATACCATAAGGCAAGCTACTAGCTTTGCTATCGACTTTCCCGTCGACGCAGCTATAAAGGCTCCACAGAACCTACTATATGCTCAAGCATCAACTCAGCTATTCCTCTGATAGTGGTCCATCAAGCTGTCCACCAGGCCGTCAAGCAAGCAGTTGGTCGAGCCGTCGACCCAACTATCGGCCCAGCTACCCCTCTGTGCACCCAAATATCGTCACTGTCATCGACTCATCTGTCAACACAGTCGCCACCTGCTGGCTTGATCGAATCTTTCACGAATACAATCTGGTTGGCCATTGCTACAAGCCGCCCAGTCTTGTTGATGCTCTGCTACCGAGTATCTGCGAAGTCATCAACCGGTGATGATTAGCCTTCAAGATCACCTCCTTGAAGATTAGGGCCTTGATGCGAGGACGGAGTTCTCAAATATAAACTTGAGCTTCGGAGGAAAATGGTAACTCAGTTGTAAGCTAGACGACATGAAGCGTCAAATGTGCTATATGGCTATCTCTCATGGTACATCAGGATGGAGAGTTTGAATGGCAGTGTCCGTACGTCTGACCAAGATGTGCAAGTTGAAGAATCGAAGATCATAACGGAAATCAGAGTTCTACCAGTAATAAAGAGAAAATGAATTAAAAACGAATAACAGTTTTTTTTTCTCCATAGCTGTCAAAAAACATCCGACTCCGAATGCTGACGAAGAAATATATACACCAAAACCTATAAAAACTCTACTGAATATCCCAAAGGTTTAGAAAAGAATACGAACCCCTTTCCGCCATCTCCACAAAAGCATCACCTTCTCGCCCTCCTCGCCCTCTTTCCTCGCCCTTTCGCCCTTTCGCCCTCTCCCCAAAACCATCCACTTAAAACATCCCATTTCAATCCACACTTCGCCCTCTCGCCCTCGCCATTCCATCGTGGCACCCTGTCACCCAATGAAGCCCCACATTTGCCTGAGGGCGACTGCGGGGTCGTCGCCCTTTCTTTTTGCGACGTGCAACAAAAGTTTCTATCTCCGTCACTTGACAAAGTTACTTTGTAAATATGGGACAGAGGAGTTGCGTAAGGTTAAGATATACCTAGATACCTATGGGGAAATTAAGAGGATCACGTGGAGCTGAGATGGAAGAATGCCGAGAAGTCCTTCCGTGGATGGGAAATCATTCTCCCGGACGAAGTCACCGATATTCTCTAGTGCAGATTCATTTCCTCTCTCACTCTTTACTTCGTTCTCATTTCTTCATATCCTGTATTCTTGCAGAGTTTGAAGGCTTGAACTTCTCCATTGCATTTACTTTCAAGTGGAAAGCTATTTACATACCCTGACCGTCTATCCCGAGTTCATTATAAAAAGAAACAAGTAATACAGCACTATCATCTCAACTCCTATCCCCCTCTCGTGTTTACCCCTTCCCTTCTTTATATTTATCTATTCCCGAGAAACATCACGGCCGAAGGCTTTCGATTTCAACCAGTCGAGAACGACCAAGACACGGTTACGAGCTGGATTTCTGTTAGTCTTCTTCTTACTGAGAGTTGAGGTGGAAGGTGGAACTTACTACTAAAGCACATGCTCAAATACGCACTTCTCCAGAACAAATACGTCAAGCCACCACCAGTAGCAAAGTTGCCATTCAACCAACTCACATCCGCCACAGCTCGCTCACTTCCAATATAGGCCAAGGAGCCTTGATGGGTATAGTGGAAGGGCTTGATGTCCTTGATTCTGCGCAATTGCTTCTCGTGAGATTCGATTTCCTTTGCGATTTCAGCAGTGTTACCGGGAGCCAGATTGAGGGAGGAACTGAGGTCGTGAATCTGCGTTTCGATGGCTTCGCTCTTGGCCATGGTGTTGAAAAGACGGGCAAGGAAAGCTCCTTCTTGCGAGGCGACTTGAGCTGTTGGTGCGTAGCCGGCGACGGCACAATCACCTGTTGCCCAGATATCTTTGGTTCCTTGGACGACGAGGTATTCGTTGACGGCTAGACCTCTTCTTGAGTCCTTTTGTGCGGGGATTTGGGACATGAGATCCTTGACGACGGGGCGGACAGCGTTTCCAGTGGCCCAGACAAGGAGACCATATGGCATGATCTCCATGGTCTTCTTGCCGTCAGGTCCAGTGGCTTCGGCTTCGACAGTCTTATCCGTTACCTTCTTCACAGCAGTCTTGGTCTTGATGGTGATCTTCTCCTCCTTGAAGGTAGATTCGGTATAGTCGATCAATTGCTTGGAGAACATAGGCAGAACGTTTGGCAGAGCTTCAATCAGGGTAACCTTGAACTTATCACTGATTTCCGGGATCCACTTCTTGATATCCTGGTCGAAGAAGTCTTGAAGCTCACCAGCGAATTCGACTCCAGTGGGTCCACCACCGACGACAACCATATGCAAGAGACGTTCAACTTCTTCGGGGCTTTGGTCCTTGAAAGTGGCAGTCTCGACACAGTCCATGATCTTCTTGCGGATTTGTTGAGCATCACCAATCTCCTTCAAGAAGCAAGAGTGCTCTTTAACACCGGGGATTCCGAAAGTGGCATTCTCAGCACCGACACTGACAACAAGCATATCATATGGGACTTCAGTCTTGTTGGTGGCGCCCTTGACATCAGAGTTATCGTCAATGAAGACAACCTTTCTTTCAGGATCAATCTTGGTGGCCTCTGCTTCGTAGAACTTGACAGCAGTTTTCTTATGTCTGGTTATGCTTCGGATAGGCTCCATAATGGAACGATGTTCGACGGTACCGGTTGTGCATGATGGCAGAAGAGGTGTGAAGAGGAAGTAATTTCGGGGCGAGATAACAATAACATTGTAGTTTTCGGTGTCGAGCTTCTTGAGAAGGGAGACAGCACCCCATCCAGTACCTATTGATAGCAGATCAGCAAAAGTATATAGAGGAAGTCAATTGAGATCCTTACCAAGTATAACCAAGTTCTTCTTCGTTGGGTCAGGCTCAAATTGATCGTCTGGGTGTCTTAAGTCCCAAACTCCCCAAGCAAGATAGGCCGTTCCTCCAATAGCACTGAGATATGTAGCTCTCCAAAGAAAGCGAAACCATCTGAACTTCTTCGGTGTCTTGACAGGAGCAACATCAGCATATCCTCGACGGAATTGCTGTTGCAATTTGCTCTTGTCAAGCAAGACCCGGGAGCTCGGTCGCGCACGTGTGAGAAGCTGTGCCTGGGATTGTGAGGTCGCAAAGCTTCTGCGAGCAGTATTGGCAGCTCTGAAGCCAATTGATGAAGCCGATAGCCCCATCATCGCTCTGGTCGTTGACGCCATGCTCCAGAGATGGAGAACGATGTGTCGTTCAGGCAGGAGTTGAGGAATTTGCTGCTGACTAGCTTTTTGGGATAGCAAAGGTCGAGCTAATTTTGTAGCAGATCCGCTTGTTTAATCGGGCTCGATTACCAGCCACAACTTGATAAGAAAAATTGCGGAAAAAGCAAAAGCGTGAATTACGGGCGCCAAATCACTCAATGTCCCACGACTGCAAAGGGATTTCATTTTTAGCTCTTGTGAGTCATTTCTCCCTTTCCTATCTTCAATCCAATTCAAGCCGTCTGAGAAGTTCCCAACCATTTCGGTGGGTTGTGCCTCAAAGTCAAAAGTGGGAATATCCCCTGCCCCGAATCAACACCTAGCTTCGCTCAGCGTCAACCGAGTCCCCTGCATCGCTATTGGCTCGATGAAGTCAGACTGCTTCATTTAAGCTTGTACTCACCTCTGGGTGGCTTTCTGAGACGGCTCTGCGGATGTGTCAAAGCGTGGCCTCATGTCGCAAGGATAGCGCATACAGTTACTTCACTTCGACCGGGTTGTCAACCAGGACGAAAGGATAAGCAGGAAGGGAAAAGAAGATTTTCTTGGTCCTTCGAGGGACTCTCTAGCTTGCAACATTGGATTGGTTTACTACTGAGCATTTCTATCATCTGAAAATGCCAATCTTCTGGGCACAGGTCGAACATCTTGAATGAGTTAAATGTTCCATCTCTTCTTCCATCAATCTATCATCTGTAGACACTCTGAGTCTAGTACACAATCATCTCTGCCGAACCTGACGATTTCTGAAGATCAGGTCAATCGTAAATGTGTTCTTGAGAACCTCAAGCATACATTAGTCGTTAACTCGAAGATATTTAGTAATACTCTCGTATCGTCGTTGAATGATCCATAAATACAACTGTTGATCCCGAAGACTAATGGGTCTTCCCCATATGTTCACCCACTATTGTTAAAACAAGCGCTCTATGTGGCCCAGACTCCAACATATACAATGATATCAAGATCCCGCATCAATACCCTTTTTTGATTCCCTTTCATGTGACCGTACCGAAAACCCAGACCAACGCCACGCTATGAAGCAGATCAATCCAATATCAGATCTCAACTATTCATTCCTCATTCGACCTGGGACGCCTGGGAGGAGCGGGTATGCTCATAAATGGCAGACCGTCCCGTCTTGGAGACACAGGTGAATGAGGCTGACTAGGAGTTCCTCGAGAGCTGATAACGGTTGGCGTGGCTCTGTCCATTATTGATATAGGAGATACAGGGCTCACAGCTCCATTGCGGTCTTGCGATCCAGGGGTTGCAAAGGAAATGGCACCTCTTTGGTGGATTGAATGGCCATTCAGGTCATTTGGTGTGTAGGGATCGCTCATTCTTTGCGGTTGAGGTGAACGTGACTGATCAACGGCCTCAGGGTCGGATGGTCTATCTGCCATTCTATCTGCCATTGTACTAGGTGTAGCGACCCAGGTATTAGAGCTGCTTGTGAAAGGTCTTTCACCATTGCCAGTATGTTCCAGCTCATCTAAAGTGGCCAGAAGGTCACGTCGCCGAGGAGGGGCTGGTATGACTGTGACTGGTAATGAACCAATATTGACCGTTGGGCGCTTCTTCTCACGCAGCTTCTCAGCCTGAGTAGCGGCAAAGTCCTCGAATCGTGCGCGAACATCCCATTTATTTACCGGTCCATGGGGGTTAACGGGTTCTTGAGGCTTGACAGTATGTGCTGATACTTCCGGCGGAGGGTCTTGAGCTTTTCTGCGGAAAGGATTGACTCTCACCAATGTTTGCCACGGATTCGAGTGATCTGCAACAGGGACAGGTGCTTCTTCCGTCTCTTGGACAGAGAGAGATTTCTCGGGTTGTTCATTGGTGTCTTCGTGCTCACTTCTGGCTGTTAAAATCTCCAAGCTGTTCGATCTTGAAGGCTGAGGTGGTATTGAATTGCGCGGTGGTGGTGTAGCATCGCTGATAGGATGATACCTAATGGCGTAGACGGTGCTTTCCGCGCTAGCAGTATCAGTACGACTAACTGGAGTAGCAGCCGGTGGTGGTCGTGTAGGCCATAGAGGCGGCTTTGGCCTTGGTTTCCTGCTGGCATGAGGCTTCGAAGCCTGATCCTCGTCTTCTCGGCCATTTTCAACATCATGAGTAGCACGAGGTCGGTAACGATTTGCTAGACCACTCATCGCTGGCCAATGTCTTCCATGGCTGCCGGTGGTAAGACTATCGCCTCCTCTGTCTACTCCCTTGCCTTTTCTAACATCTTTGTACTGCTTGAGACGATATTTCCATGTGCCATCCGGGGACGGGTCGACGTCTAACATTTCATCTCCATCGAAGACTTCGCGACCTAGAACGCCATCTTTCTTGTCGTTTCTTTCCAAGGCCTCGATTCTTTCTACCCATTCCCATACAACCACACTAGCAGCAGCAGCCCCAACCCATCGTACGTAATCTCCCCATCCAGCCAGGTTTGGTTTCGATATGTCTAGGACGAAAAAGACCACGGGCACCAAGATTGCCACAAGCGATAATAACGCTACCAGACAGATGTTTCTCATCTGTGGATGATAGAAAGCAAACCGCCTCTTTGTGATCGAGTAATATATGACCCAAGCAGCATACAGAAGACTCAAGGCCAATTGGAACAGATACGCCAGAGCAGGAACGGCGTCAACGAAACTGCGAGGTCGAGAGTTTCCATCGTAGACAAAGTTGTTGAGAAGACTGAAAAGGACGTCGAGGGAAATCAGAGCGAATGCCGTCCACTTAATGATGATCTTTTCCCTCTGGCGAGGAAATAACCTGATGAGGGTTTGGGCTTGTGCCAACCAGAGAAAAGTGTCCGAAATGACGCGGATAACCTTCAATTCCGTGCCATCCTCAACTTGGTTTTGTAGGGCTTGTGCGTCCATGTATCCAGTTTCGTATTGTTGTTCAGCCACTTTGAACGTGTCCGCAGTCGCAATTGTAAGTGATATCGCCACAGTCAACGCCGCAACTTTCTGGAGCCAAGGTCTTCCACCTATTCCAATGCCAGCATCACTACCGGAGGGTCCATTTGTAAAACCTCTTCTACCAAGTACCACAGCTCCTTCATGGAGGAATGTTCGAGGAGTGATTAGAAGCATGATTACGAGCACTACAGACAAATTAGCTCCCAGGATGAATACAAACACGGGCAGAATTCGACATACTATACGATATGACGGTTGCAGCCGCCAGCGCGTAACATTCTGGAACTATAGACAAATCAGTATACACTTTGATAGAGATCTAGGAGCCAAAGAGCTCATCCGAGGAGTTGAAACATCTTCTTGAATGGGAAGCTCCCGAGGAGAATCCTGACGATCTCGGCTCCTAGAATGCATATAGAACAAGGGTAGAACTCGACGTACTGGTTGAAGCATAGAAGGGATCTCTGAAATCTTCTAAATAGCTTGGGGAATCGGTGCCAGTCAGAACCGCATCGTTGCTGCCCGTACATTCCGGTTTAAAAACAGCCTGCCGATTGAATTAGCACCACAAAATACAGAAAATCCCAGCGGCCTGGAGTCTCGTTGCCAGAGGCATCTCCCAGATTCAATCCCCATTCAAGAAAACAGCAGGAGTACATGAAAGTAAGACGAACATCTGAGGTTAACGTCAACACATCGGAGACCCCTAATGTAAGGACTCCATTCGAAGGAAGCGTAAAAGGAGTACAATGAGCTCTCGTCGATGAAGTTGTCGAGGTCGGACGGGCTATGTTGATAATCTGTCGTGCGTGCAGGTCCATCGTGTTATCCGGCGCCCAGCGCTGTTCAATCTGTTGATCCTTCAATCTATCTCGACATTTTACGTGAGGGACTTCGGGAATTGCGTCGACGCTGCAAATTCGAGTCGAGTCGAGTCGTATCGTGTCGTGTCGTGTCGAATCCAGCGAGGATTTGAAGCGATCGAGTCTGGATCTGAGGATGAATAGTAATGGGCTGGCGTCAAGGTTCGTTTGAGATGGAGGTTTCGAGGGATCGTGCGAGAGGGAGTGAAACCAGACTTGCTCCGCGACCCATTCGAGACTCGCTAAATAATAAGCTTCCTCTCACGACCTAAGGTATTCCGGATCAAAGTGCTTCAGGTTTCTGGCAATTCAATCCGATTTGGTTCCTTGATATCTGCCTCATTCGAGATCAATCTGCGGTTGAAATGCTTGAATTGATATTGGTAGATTGATCGTGCTTGCGATTGGCATGATCCACCAAATCCCACCTACCCACTTTTGCCGAGACCCAAAGCTTAATCACCCGCCAGCAACAGGACAAGAAGAGGAAGTCATCTATTGCGGCCTTACGGGGTATTTCCATGTTCGGCGAGATACCAGTATATCGTCTTCTCATTGTCATCGTACCATTCTATATTTTGGAAACATATGAAGTCATGTGAAGACGGTTCAAATCGACAAGGGAAGCCTGGCTTTCTCAAACACAACCTTTCAAGATGTCCTAGGCGTGGAAGGCATTTCAATGATCTAGCTGCGCACTGGTCACGCCATGTCTGCTTTGGAATTTCACTTTCTCGTGGTCTTGCCTGGGTCAGTGTCAGCAGTACAGATTCACGATGCTCACACTTCGCTCTTATCCTCGGCGTTGGAAACCTGGGTTATAGACTGTCGAACTCACGATAGCAGAAGAGCATTCTGTTATTGAGTCTTCAGTCAACTTTTATTAGTTGTCTCAGGCATATCGTATTTGCTAACAAACCAACAGTCCTCGCGTTTCTCGGGTCAGAAACTCAAACACCATCTTGCCAAGCATCGATGAAGATCGTTCATCATGATTTCTCGATATTGGTGACCGAAAACTCTCTTCTTAAGTGCGCTTGACGATGCTTGGCTGGGTGACAAAAAAAAACCGAGAAACATTGAGGGTTCAACGTGTTGCCATATATTGACCGGCCATTCCATCCTTTACCGTACTAGCACATGCAAACGACTGGCAAGAACATTTGTCTATCTCACGAGCTTGCAAGCCAAAGTCATGCACTCTTCGTCCTCCTCTCAAGTGGGTGGGCATAAGGTTGGGGCGGTGGGTTTGGGAAATGTGATCCAAGGCGTGGGAATATTGGTTAGTAATTTCCAAGCGCTCGCTTTGGTATGCATTCATGAATACACAGATTAGGGCACTGGCAAGGAACCAAAAGTGGAACTTTTGGTCAATGGCCCACAAACACTTCCTCCGCCACCCGCATGCAAAGATTGGTGGTGTTGCGGATTTCGAGACTTGGACAGAACGGTTGAAGATTCTAGAGAGGATGGAGAGCTAGACTAAAAAAATTGGAAAAAGCTTGAAGATTGGAACTTGCGGTTGATATCGGTCCATTCCAGAGCTACTCAAAATTTCCGAGAGTTCAGTGCGAAAGCCAAAAAGGGAGGATGAGATAAAGCTGTTAATATGACTAGACTGATCAAATGGCAGCCAGATGTTGGCACCATACAGCAAGCACCAGAACTAAAGGAAATTCGCAAAGTGCACATTCAATGAACAAACATGACTTAAAGAGAATTGAGAAACCCAGAAAGTAATCAAGAGCAAGCCCGGATCACTTTGTCCATGCGTCAAGTTGTCCTCGGATCAGAATTGGTTGTTTCGTAATCCGATATTCCTGCTTTTGGCGTAGTTCCTAGCCACACTTGCTGCAAAGACTTTTGATACCTTTCCTCTTCACTTTTCTCGCCGATGATTCATAAAAGACGTCTCTCGCCTTTTGCGTCGGTCCCAATAATGGACGGATTTAAGGACGATGCAAAGGTCCGAAGAATGTCGTACATGTGGGAGCCGCATCCAATCACTGTCAGCAAGGCTCGACGTAAGCCTCGCAAATATATAAAGGAAGATGGTGGCATGATATCTAGTTCTGGTTCATTCTCCATACCAAACTTCCATAGATTTAATAACGTCGAAACTGATACATGCTATCGCGAGCAATGGCAACAATGAAAGCGGTGGTCATACATGAAAGTGGTGGCCCAGAGGTTCTGAAAGTGCAACAATGGACCAAGCCAGTACCATCAGCAGGCCAAGTCCTTATTCGTGTCAGAGCATTCGGATTGAATCGATCGGAGATGTTTACCAGGCAGTAAGTAATCCTGAGATGATGGTAATACTGATTGGATAATAATTGTGTGTTGGGTAGGGGACACTCTCCAGATGTCAAGTTTCCACGCGCCTTGGGGATTGAAGCTGTTGGGGAAGTGGAAGATGCACCCGGAGGAGAATTCAAGAAGGGTGATGTTGTTGGAACTTGTATGGTAAGGCCTTGACTTTTCGGAATGCAGGCGGAGCCATCGGGCCCAGTCAGATTCATTCATGTCCCATTCTGGCCCGGAGAATCATTCATCTCATTTCGAAGCTGTGTATGTACTGACATGTTATTTCAGGGCGGCATGGGCAGAAACTTCGATGGAGGCTACGCTGAGTACACTTGCGTGCCCACGGATCAAGTGCAAGTGGTAAAGGCCAAGATTTCATGGGAGCTTCTTGGCGCTCTGCCTGAGATGATGCAGACCGTATGGGGTTCACTTTTCGAGTCTTTGCAATTGAAGAAAGAAGACACTCTCCTCATACGTGGCGGGACAACGTCCGTTGGACTCGCTGCAGCGGCTCTAGCAAAAGATATGTGTGCTTCTGTTGCTGCTACCACTAGGAACCCAAAGAGTGAAGCTATGCTCAAGGCAAATGGAGCATCGGAAGTTTTCATCGATAATGGCTCTATTGCTGAAGAGGTCAGGAAGCGACATCCGGAAGGCTTCTCAAAAATTCTCGAACTCGTTGGCGTGGTATGTGTCCATCCGTACTATTGTAGTATATGTCCTTCTATCGCAGCCCCTTAAGCATATTTAAAATTGTCACTGACAATGGACAGACGGTATTGGAAGACACTTTGAAATGTGCAAAAGCTCAAGGTATCGTGTGCATAACCGGTATTGTTGGTGGAAAAGTGAGAACTCCTATTCTTATATCGCTTATTCACAGTCAATGTCCAGTTCAAGCCAGGAGATTTTGAAGTAAACCATTACTGACTGATGACTAGTGGATACTTGAGAATTTTAACCCTCACATAATTCCCACCTCAGTATGCCTTACTTCATATGGAGGATTTGGTGCACAGAGATTCAAGGCAATGCCACTTGACCAAATTGCACAGAGAGTCGTGGATGGAACACTCAAAATTCCTATTAAGACGTTCACTATCGATCAGATAGTCGAAGCTCATCGAACCATGGATGAGAATACAGCAGGAGGAAAAATTGTTGTTCTCGTGTGAAACTGAAAACGGGAAGGCGTGAAAATGAAACAAATCATCAAAAGAAATAATATCTCAGAGAACCGCCATGAACCGCTGCCTGAGTCGTGTGACCCTTTACAGAACCCTCTCAAACCCAGCATCTGAAGAAATGATCGATGAATATTGTGAAATTCCTGTTCAAAACTCTCCACCATACGCCAGGACATACAATATTCTCTCTGCGACAAAGGAGACTCGAGAATTTGATTAAGCAACTTGCCGTCACGGTTCCTATTCTTAGACTTCATTCAATCCCGACCGGGAGCTGAAATTCTAGACCAGGATGCCATTCGTCGCATTACTTCTGAAGAGCACACCAAATAAAAAACCCTCATGCACAGAAATGCGATTCTTGTCAGATGTGCGCCCTGAATTTCAGAACTGCAACCCAACCACGTGGCAATCGAAGTCATTCTCTTCATTGCATGCGTCCAGCAGAAAAGCGTAGTTGATCTCAAAATATCCGATACATACAAGTGAGAGTGTGGAAAAGGCGCGGCGCGAAAGGTGAAATTGCAGCAGGTTTTTAGGGTTGGAGCTTGCGCTCAAAATCGCTTAGCGTTAAGTTTCAGGTCAACTTGGGGAAGGGGAAGAGTCCCAGAAGGCCAGGAAAAACATCATCGAACAATTCGACGCCCACCTTCCTTTACGATCCTTTGCTACGACTTCGCAGGCCCTAGTCGGTCATTTCCCTTCCTCTCTCACTGCGACTCTTCTTCGTCTGCCGAATGCTGGAGAGTTTTCAACCTTCGCCGTTCTCTCTCTCCTCTCACACAGACCCGGTGCCAGCACTCCTCCTTATCGCGTCGTTCGAAGAAGACCATTTAAAGAAGATTTCCTGCATGATCTATTGGATGGTATAGTCTGCCTGGAAGCAGGGCGGAGACGTGAATTCCAATCGCTCAACTCACGGAAGACCCTGGACAACAATTACATTCAACCCCGAGAACCTCATGCAGGCAAGGCACAATGCCACGACCAGAAATCATACGGGCAGGTTAGTCGTTTGATGCCCGCGGAATGAGAGGAGCCAATTGCTGAACTATTGTCATCTGCAGATTCAATTGATCTTCAAGATCAGGAGGCGCCTTCGGCCAAGGATCACTCAAGACAACCTTCTCACCCAGCGCCCCTTGGTAGCGGCCCTCCAGCTCCTCACCAGGCAGAGACTTTAAGGGAATTGAAGGTGGAAGCCCAAGAAGAAAACCACCGATCACCAAGAGTGTGCGTTAAATTTTGTTTTTGTTTGGAACTCGTTCTACGAGCCGAGCCTTTCGGCATCATCCTCGGAAGCAATTCATCACAGAAGATGCATTTCAACTCCTCGGATGGGCTACTCGACTACTAGACCTCTTTTGCAAGTGTATACTAATTTGTCGATAGATCAAAAGAGTGGACTAGTGGCGAGGTGCAGCAATTACAACAATATGGGGACGATTTGGCTGCAGGAGTAACGTCAAAACTCGGCGCAAATATTCAGCAGCAGCAAGACAATTTAGCTATCGCTCAAAATGGAGGTGGCCTCACAGGATCGACGGCCGAAGACGCAGATGCGGAGGGAGACGACGGAATGGAGGATGATGATATGATGGACAAAATATCAAGCTCCCCGTCAATCGACGATGGTGGGTATCCCCTTCCACATCTATGGCCTCAACGCGCCGATTCCCTTACGCTTTCTACTCCGACCAAGTCTCCGTCACCATCACAAGCGTGTTGTGAGAGCTCTTCTCCGTTCGTGGAGACGCCGGAGTATTACCCCTTAGGACTGCCATCTGATCCCATCGACAAGGACGATGGTCAAGGCGATCATTCGGACAAGTATCGTCATCTTCAGGGTGAGTTATTGGATGTATCCCGCAGCGAATCAAATTACGACGAAGATCAGATGGATGATGTTCCTACCCCGGCTTCGAAGATCCACCGCCGCGTTGAGGTATACGATCTAGACTTCGACATAGATCTGCTCACCGAGGAGCTATTAAATGCGAATGAAGGCACGCTGGACGAATATGAAGATCTCTTTCATGCTGGCACGTCCGAGTTAAAAGGTAGAGAAATTGAAGTCGAAGTCAAAATGGCCGAACCAGAAGACATATCAGAATCGGACAACAGAGGAATTCCAACTATACCCTACGAACCAACTTCGGATGATGAAGATGACGATTTCGATATTTCCTTTCATGCTTATCCTCCTACGCGCGTTGACTCAGGCTGGGGTGGAGATTGCTTACAAGAAACAGAGGACATTGATTTTGAATTCGTATACGCATTACACACTTTCGTGGCGACTGTTGAAGGTCAAGCAAACGCTACCAAGGGTGACACCATGGTGCTGCTTGATGATAGTAACAGCTATTGGTGGCTTGTGAGGGTAGTCAAAGACAGCAGTATCGGTTTGTGTTTGCAATCCCGCATCTCCGAATGTTTTCTCATTCATATTCTAGGCTATTTACCTGCAGAGCATATTGAGACCCCCACGGAGCGCTTGGCACGTCTTAACAAACACAGGAATATCGACGTATGTTTTGGAGTGCTCACCCTTTTATGGTATATTATACTAAGTCGCACAGCTCACTTCGACGATGCTTGGAGACCAAGCTGAGAAATCGAAGAACCCGTTGAAGAAAGCAATTCGGAGGCGAAATGCCAAAACGGTAACCTTTACTGCTCCGACTTATGTTGAAGCTTCTGACAACGATTACTCCACTGATGAGGAGGAGGGCGAAGGAGACTACTATGGCCAAAATGTTCAACAAGAACAAAATGGAGAGCAACAGGAGCAGACTATCGAGGAGGAAGAAGTGGCTACAGTTGAGCCTCTGAAGCCGCGCGCTGAGATACGGGAGGTCAAGTCAGAATCGGTTGAGCCTGAGAGCAAGGACGTCGTCCTCAAAACCAGCTCAGACGCGACAAGAACAAGTGATGAAATGTTTGAAGGGAAACCGGAAAGCAAATCCCGAAATGGTACTGTCAGGAATACGGATTCGTTCTTCAAGGATGATACAGTGGAGACTCGAAAGATTACGCTCACGCCCAATCTGCTCCGAGACGACTCAAGTACTTCCACAAGAACATCGAATGATTCTAAGGAGCTCAAACAACGTCCAAGTCTTGACAAGCTGGAGAAGGACTCCCCAGAGAAGAACAAAGACAAGAAAGCAAAAGACAAGAAGGATAAGGAGAAGAAGCCGGGTATGCTCAGTGGTTTGTTCAAACGAAAAGAAAAGAAGAACAAGTCCTCAATCGATGACGAGATTGATGAGTTGATGGGCAGTAAACAGTCCACCGAGAATGAGAGATCGTCTCCTGATCCCACCCGAGATTCTGGCGATGTGGTTGCTGTTGAAGAGCAAGCTCCTACCCAGGGTTCTGAAGTACAAAGGCAACCGAGCAAGCTTCAGAAGCAACCTCGAATGGATGCATCACCCACCCGGAAGACTGGCCAAGGAAGAGAGCCTAAAGCCTTGGAGCCTCAGCAAGCACCTGCGCCTACACGTGCAACACCGGCCGAGTCTGTCCAGGCACCTTCAATGCGTTTAGTACAGCCTGACACAGTAGACGAAGCTACTCAGCAGACTCGAAATGCTACTCCAGAGAATCCAAGAGGACCGCAAGAAAGGGCTATCTCTGAAGCCACGCGTGCGCCAGCTCCAATCATGACAGCTCCTGAGAAGCCGAAATCTGTGGGAGCGATAACAAAGATGCTCCGAAGTAACTCGGAGTCGAAACCAGTGAAGGCTACAAAGGCCAAATCACGGGTTGAGCTGGATGACTTCGATTCTTCAGACGACAACTCACCTGTTGAAGAGCCTGTTCGCGGGCCAAGCAAACAAGCTCAACGTCCAATTCCTGGTAGCTTTCCAGACAGCTACATCGCGACGCCAGCAAATGAACGGAACAATCCGGCAGAAGATAGATTGTCCGAGTCACCAGTACAGGTGTCCCCTGTTCAATCATATCCTCCGCCCCTCATGGTTGACACTTCGAGCCAAGAAGAGCCGCCGTCACCTGTATCATCACCTTCGCCAGAGCTCATTGACGCAGAGGATGCCCGAGAAAAGAAAGGTGGAAGCTCTACGACTTCCACGTCCACTCCCACATGGAGTGATGCTCATCTCAGAACCTTCTTTGATGATGACGCGGATATCAAAGATCTGTTGGTTGTGGTTTATGATAAGTCAGGGGTGGTCCCTGCTGGCCCGGATCATCCAATTACGGGGAATCTTTTCAGGGAAGAAAACGCCAAGTTAGCGGACATCACTAATGTAAGTCTATATTTTCTTCCCAATCCGATACTTTTCACTGACCGGCCTGTAGCGTCTGGACGGTATGCTCGGAGACTGGCTTGCTCGCAAGATGCGAACGCAGGCTTCACGATAGGAGCTTCTTTAACTGTAAAAGTGTTCGGCGCTCGAGGGGAATTCTTCTACGCCGGATTTTCTTCTGACTTGTACATGATGAATACGAAAAATGATCAATGACATCAGGGAGGGCTTTCATCTGGCGCAACTGGGATTGGGGCAATCGGGGATATGGGATAAGGATCGGAATACCATTGTCTGCTATTTGTATGTTGAATTGCCTCTTAGAGAGCTATACATCAGACGAATGAGAAGTTTGGGGGCAGTTGTTTTTAATAACTTCGTAGCTGTGGTGCCTTATTAGCGAACCCCTACATAATCTTCTACTTTCTGTGTCTACAAGTGCTCATGTACTGTCTCACCTTGGTCGTGCCCCTGCTTCGTCGCAGAAAGCCAAGTTCAGTCGAGCAGCACAAACTCGATCCAAGGGCGCGCCTCGACGCGGAGGCAGAAAGGACCGTGAAATATTCTGGAGCGCAATATAATTAATTGATTGACAGTCAGAAAATACCAGTTCTTGCAATCACGCAGCCAGCGTCTCCTAGCCAATATCTCCCTGCTATTAATATCGGGCCCAGTTGCGGCTTGCAGTCAAAGCGTCTACACCTGTCGTCGCGCTAGGCCATTTGCGTACCGAATGGTCGAGGGTGTGAACCTCTCGTCTCTGAAGCAGAGAGGGACAACGACAGCCGCCATCGTCAAACTTCACGGCCTCAACATGGCATTCGAAGCATTCGAGTCGGGCACCGCCTATCCAGAATCGGACGCTGATGATGAGTACGAGAGAAGCTTGCACGACTCTAGCCCAGTCCTGGCCACAGACAGCGACGCTTCCCCGTCTTCAGAGGATTTCTCTTCCAACGACCACACGCCGACGTTCATGACGAGTCATAACAGCGGAGATAGGCTACCAGAGACAATAATCACAGAGTGGACGGCAGACGAGTGCGCTGACTTTGTGGGCAGTCTGGGTCTGCAGCAATATGGCGATCAATTCTTAGGTAGGCGCCCTGGCCTCGAGGACCAAATCAAGACATATACTTATCAAACGTAGAGAACGAGATTGTCGGCGAAGCACTCGTAGCGTTACAACACGATGATCTCAAGCAAATGGGTGTTAACAGCGTTGGACATCGACTTACGATCCTGAAGAGCGTTTATGACATCAAGATCAAGCAAGACATACCAATAGAGAGCGACCACTACGTTCCATTATGTGAGTAAGACATTAATATCTGCTGGAGGAAAACTAACCTTGTGATAGCTGCGGACGCGGAGGCCCAATATGCTACAGCGACGCTGAAAGACATTAAGCAATTAGTGGAACAACTACGGTTACGAGACGAGCGAATGAGCATTGCAGAGATGGAACTGCGCAGGATTACGGCTGAATATACTCGTTTGCGAGAAGACTTACTACCAGTCTTTCGAATGGCCAAAGAAGGACAACCACTGCCTCCGCCTGGCGCTGGTGATTATAATAACCAAGCTTCCTATAATAATTACGATGCCTCGAACACTATATCACCTCCCGCTCCCACACCATCATCAAGCCAATCTGGCGGGTTGTCAAGGAAATTTTCGACAAAGAAACTTTTCTTTGACCAGCCGAAGAATGCTTCTCCTACATATATGCAACCAGGCCAGGAACGATCCTTGATGGAACAAGCGCTAGATCCTGCAAATGCAGCAGAACGAGCAGTTCTATCATCATCACACCTTGCGGCAATGAACGGTGGCTCGCAACCCTCAATATCTCCTGGTCATCCCTCTCCAAATCAACCTTCACCAACCTCACCCCCTACACTCAGCGGATCAACCCTCGCGTCTCGTTCCTACCGTTCCGATCAACCAACCCCAGGCCGAAGCACCTTTCCGAACGAGACCGACAGCTACCAACCATCAACATACTCGAGAGATAGCACGAAACCAGCGCCATCGCGGCGAGCCCAAACACCTGCACTCGATACTCCATCTTCTGGCGGCTCCGTCGAGATATTCAAGTCTTTCCGGGTTAGCATGGAAGATCCATGTTACAAGGTCTTACCTGCAGCGCTTAGGAAGTATAACATCAATGCACCTTGGGAGCAGTATGCGCTGTATATCGTATATGGGGATAAGGAACGATGTCTAGGCATGGATGAGAAGCCGTTGATATTATTCAAGCAATTGGACAAAGAAGGCAAGAAACCAATGTTCATGCTTCGGAAGATCAGCCCGAGCACGGATCCACAATCAGACAATGTGCCAGGGAGCGCGGGACTCGATCGAAACGTTGGACGAGGCATACAAGCGACATATGACCCCCCTGGTGGCATCATATGAGCAGAGCGGGCATGATTGTCTTAGAATGTATCTGGTCATGGAGTTGGACGCTAGTGGAAACTTGCATAGCGAGCGACTGGGCGACTGGGGGAGCAAATACGGGAGTAGAAGCATGCGGCCTTTCGGTCGATGGTCACTCAAAATGGGTGAAATACCTAGTGTACGGTATAGGGTTTGTCTTATGGAAACAGCAAGCGGGACGTCTCGACTTTTTTGTTCTTCCGAGAGAGGAAGCTAGCAATCCGGCATAGCTAGTGAGCCTGCCCGCACGACTGTGCTTGGGTACCTCGATACGCATTTTCGGCGCAAGATCTGCAAGGGGAGTGGCTGACTCTTTTCTTTCATCTTCTCTCCGGTAGCGAAGTTTCGGGGTCACTATCTCAGTACGGTGTAGAAGTGTTCTGTAGTCGATAGTATGGCGTATGAGAGACGAGTCTACGAATAGTTAAATCAACAGTTACTTTTCATCGTCTAGTTTTGTTTAGCAAGATATCTCTTCGTTTCATGCTGTGAACCATATTCATATCATGATTCAGGTGCTTTTCGACATTTAAACCGTAATATTTTTTCTCCTTGCCAGAGCAGCATAGAGACACAAAAGCACACGTTTAGATAGAAATTAATTTCTCAGTCCTCTCAAGCACGATCTGCAAGATCTCATCCAATCGAATCGCTGCAACGAGAAGCCTCTCTTTACGACCTCCGCGTCGTCTGGAACAATTTAGAGAACGTTCTGAGCAGAGAATATACGGCGAGACTAAGAAGATTATCAGGAGAAGTACGTGGAAAGGGTTTGACAGAGATGTAAGGGAAGGCTACTGCTGTTACTAGCGCGCCTCGCTTCCCTGCCCCACAAGCTTCAGCCTTATTTTCCCCCACCAACTCGTTCCCTCTCTTAAGCTCTCTCACACGACAATCCTACCTAGGTACGAACTGCAGCGCAACCTCTTCTGTTCTCATCACAGCTCCCACTCAGGTCCTCGCAGAATACATGACTGCGCAATCCTCACAATGCCGTACCTAGACACAGCCCAGCAATGGCTTACACAATCCACCCTCCTCCTCAAAGCTCGCCCATCCACCGTACGTCTCCCCAGCTCCCCTCCCTCAAACCCCTAACTAACATCTCCCCAGACCAGGATATCAACAAAATACACCATCTCACCACCGACCTCCAAATCCTCCTCGAAAACAAAACCACAACCCGACCAAACCACACCCACACCCAATACTCCCTCCAACCCACCACCCGCGATCCTAACCCTCAAAACCTACGACCCGGCCTCAGGCGTAACACTTAAATACAGCACCAACAAAGCCGCCGAAGTAAGCCGCTTAATACAGATCCTGGGACGACTCGCGAGGCCCATGGCGGGGTTGCCAGAGATGAAGGAAGAGCCAGTGATGAAGAGCGAGGAGGTGGCGGAGGGGAGCGGTCCTGGGACGCCGGCTGTGGAGAGTGTGCCTAGTGTTGTGGGTGGTGGGAAGGTTGGTGGTGGAGGTGCTGGACAAGGAGGAGGTCAGGGTGGGAAGAAAGGGAAGAAGAAGGGGAAGAAATGAGGAGTTGTGGGTGCGTGATATTGAATGCTACTTTCAATGGGTCTTGAAGCTTCGGAATATTTGACTGGCTTTGAAGAACAATGGTTGGGAAGCAGTAAGAAAGGGTATCCCAAACCCTGAGTCAAACGATGAGATCCTCGACTATATTTGGGAATATGCATAGCGCGGCGCCTTTAAGATAGCATAGCATGAGCATCAATGCTAATGAGTGAACTGGGCAAATTTATTCACGACATTCTGCAAATCAAGAGAGCGAGATCTATGGTATTCTTTTTTCATTTCTGCCCATTCGTTATCCTACCATCCCCTAATCGTCCCTCGTTGTGTCAACCATGACCTCCATACCCATGCTCCATGAACGCCATCAGTATAAGTTTATGTCCAAACAATCCAAGTTAACTCGTTTGCACCCGGCGACCTCGCCATCTATGCAACAACGAAGAAGAGAAGAGAGATGCAATGCTCTGTACAAAGATGCCAACGCCAATTAACCCAGATATTACAGAGAAAGAAAATGCAAGAGGACCTCTAAAAGTCTTCGTCAAAGTTGAAGTCTCCACCATTCTCTGCTTTTGCCTCGGTCTGAGCAGTGGTGTCTTCATGCTTCTTTTGTGTGCCGGCCATGACACCAGCTTTTTGGTAGTCACCAACGCGCTTCTCAAAGAAGTTAGTCTTGCCAGCGAGCGAGATGTTCTCCATAAAGTCAAATGGGTTGGCAGACTTGTAGACCTTCTCATTGCCGAGGGCAAGAAGCAGACGATCAGCGACGAACTCGATGTATTGCTTCATCAGATTCGAGTTCATGCCAAGGAGTGCACAAGGAAGAGCCTCAGTCAAGAACTCTTGCTCAATCTCGACAGCTTCGGTAATGACGTCTTGGACAGCTTGCTTGCTTGGGCGGTGCTTCAAGTGAGAGAAGAGAAGGCAAGCAAAGTCGGTGTGGAGACCCTCGTCACGAGAGATGAGTTCATTGGAGAAGGTAAGACCAGCCATAAGACCACGCTTCTTCAACCAGAAGATGGACGCGAAGGAACCACTGAAGAAGATACCCTCGACGGCGGCGAATGCGACGAGACGTTGAGCAAATGTAGAGTTCTTGTCTTGAATCCACTTGACAGCCCAGTCGGCCTTCTTCTTGATACATGGAACTAAGATGGGTTAGAGCAGGAACAAATGAGGGGTATGTAAAAAGAACTTACTGGTCTCAATAGCATTGAAGAGATATGTGCGCTGGGCTTGCTCCTTGATGTATGTGTCGATGAGAAGGGAGTATGTCTCGGAGTGGATATTCTCCATCATGATTTGGAATCCGTAGAAGCAACGAGCCTCAGGGATCTGGACCTCACCACTGAAGCGCTCGACCAAGTTCTCGTTGACAATTCCATCGGATGCAGCGAAGAATGCGAGGACGTGGGAGATGAAGTAACGCTCGTCGTCATTGAGCTTGTTGTTCCAGTCGTGGAGATCCTTCGATAGATCAATCTCTTCGGCGGTCCAGAAAGACGCCTCGGCCTTCTTGTACATCTGCCAGATCTATTGAGAGAAAGTCAGACAATGTCGAACCACTTAACACGTTACGCGTGTGGAATACGCGACTTACCTCATGGTACTTGATTGGGAAGAGAACGAATCGTTGGGGATTCTCTTGAAGGAGAGGCTCGTCTGACTCGTCGGGCTTGATGGTAGGCGCAACTACGACGGACTTCTCGAACTTGACCTCCTCAACGATGGGCTTCTTGATTTCGATGTCGTCAACGATTGGCGCGTTGACGGAAACAGGCAGGTTCTCCTTGCCAGCGGCATGGAAGTCGAGCTTCTTAGCAGGCGAGTCGCCCATCTTGAGACCCTCAATGGCAGACGCAGCCTATGATAGATACCTATTAGCATTGGAGTCGACGCGAAGGTTTTTCAACGGAAGTGGCAAAGAGGAACTTACGGTCTTTGAGGGAGTGACCTGAGTATTCATGATGACTGATTGCTTGAAGGAAGATACAAGGTGTGAGGTTGGTGAAAGGCGATTGGGGAGAATACTGCAGAGTTGAAGTTGCTGTTGACAAGAAGACAAAAACTCGAGGGAGGAAGGCGCGTCTTATGAGCGCGATGCGAGTATGCACACGTGATTTAGCGCATAGCACGTCCTACGCGACGCGCCTTCCTTTCATGTTTTTGGGGTGGCAGGAAGTGGAACGGCAGGGGCATCAACCCAATCATGCCGGACAATCTAATCAAATTTCCAATTACCAGCTTTATCAGATCTTAATCCTTGTGCATGGTGTGAGCGGCTAAGGACAATTAGAGCAAGGTTTTGTTTTGGTGGATATTTGTAGTCATGATGATTCAAGTTCTGTAAGCTATCTAAGTCACCGGTTGGTTTACAGTCACTCCGGCCCCATCACGCAGGAGATTATCCGTGTGAATTTCCTGAGATCTCCAGGTCCTCTACTGAGTCTACTCGGTCGTTCCTTCTCGGCTCCCAGCCACAAATTGCGGGCTTTCGAGAAGGAAGCGCGTCTCGGCCCGTGCTCCTGGTACTGGCAGGATCAAACAGAATTTCAGACTCACTCTTATGGTTTAGGAATTGCATGTAGGTGAAATGGTCTGACAACTCAGACCTACATCTCTCGTAAGGTAAGTACGAGCTCTCCATGTCACAGACTGGTCTACACCGCTGAACTTGCCGATAATTGTGGTTCTTATTATCTTCGTTTAACACTACGGTAGCATTGATCTATCGTATGGGTATCTCCTTAATGAGACCGTCGCAAAAAGCCGAGACACCAATACAAGACAAGAATACAAGCAATTTCATCGAAAGGCGACTTTGGCAACGAGCAAAGCGACACTTTCGTCAACCTCTCACTCTTGAGCCAGAACTATCAATATCTGTTCTTCTGAAGAGTCGACTTGTTCCTCCGAGGGTCATCATTGGGAGACGAGGTCAAAGGTCCTTGACCGCGCTCTTCATCTGACTGCTTGGACCTGCCTAACCAACCACTTCCTTTGTTCGCTGCTGGCTGCGGTCTAGCTGGCTGTGGTGGTGCCTGCTCCGAACGTCCATGGCCTGCCTGTGTCCCTTGTCTTGACGGTCCCGTTGTATATTGCGGCGGTGGACCGTGTTCCGCTCGCATCATTTGGTCGAATTCGTCAGGGTCGGTCGGATCAAGAGGAAGTGCGTTCTGTCCTTGGGCTTTCAGAGCTTTAGCACCCTTTTGACGAAGGTACTTTTCAAGTTCGACTGCATTTCGAGTGTTGGCACGGAAGAGAGCGTCTGCGATATCACCGAGGAAAGGAACGAGACCAATGCCAAAGTCCAGGACGATATTGAACATCATCTTCGACTTAACAGCAGCAGGGAGACCTCCTTCGACTTGTTGGCAAGTTCGTAAGACCATCATAGCCATGAATGCATCGATGACGTCGCCAATACTAGAAGAGTGCCTTGTCAGCATTGAGCAGCAGACAATAGGGAGAGCATAACTTACGCAGGGATGATACCAATAACACTACTCCATCCAAATCTAATTCCGCAGCAATTGAAGAGACTCATGTCCAGGCGGTAGGCTCGTCTTTTGACTTTCGTGAGAATCTTTGCATCGTGTTCTGATATTCCTGGAGGTAAAGCCTTCCGCCTCTTCTTTCCCTTGCTCGAAGGTCGACCATCTAGTCTTGTTGCGGGTACAGTTTCGAAGTATGGGTCCTAGATGTTTTGTTAGTTGTCTGCGGCACACGATCAATAGTAATAACATACCTCTTTACCAAAATTATTCTGGAGAGATTCTCCCAGAACCCTCTTGCTGATGTACTTTGCTATGACGCTCGTCATGATGTATGATGTTGTTGATTGACCTGATTGACCTCGAAAGACGTGGGAACAGGACCTTTAATAGTAAGAATAGCCCAGAAAATTAAATTCCAGGTGATGGCGGCAAATGCGTTTGCTTGGTATGCGCTTTTCAATTCAGCTTTGAGTGGTAGGCGATGCCTCCAAGTGAAACAGTCGCGGCGCCTATCTGCTATTCTTGGCTTTCGAATGGTAAAAGTTGAAGAAAATAAATGGAGAGAGAAAGAGGGGTGTCTCCTTTTGTATTCACAGAAGTCTGGGCATTCACTCTTGGTTTCAAGCTTGATTGTGGCTATTGAGCTACGGTAGATGATTGTCTGTTGTGCCAGTATCCAAGTTTCGAACTGCGCCGAGCTGCGTCACTTTACTTCAACTCACTCCACCACTTAAGCTTTAACGCTAAACCTCATATGACTCCGGCTCCAGCCCAATTTAGCTTGCCACTTCTGTGGCACTCAATCAAATTTTCGATGCGGACTTTTTAAGAACTTTCATTGGTTCCAGAACTCCAGAGAATCCAAAGTAGGCAAAGAAAGGTCAACTTACCCGAGGCAAGCAAGCCACACCTGCACAGCCACGCCCGGCCACCTCATCAAACATTGAACACCACACTGTACAGCACTGGACTCGACTGACCAACCACGATATCTCGACCTCACTTTCTTCAGGAATCTTTCGCCTCGACTCGTAACCTCCACAGCAGATCTCCAGACTTGCCACAGTCTGGCCCTTCGAAAGCAACAACTCCACACATTTGCAGGCTCATCCTGTAGTGCTGCTCTGACTGCGCGCCCCAGCGCCGAACACCCTCATCCTCGATATGCTGAGACAACATGACAGAGACAAACATGCACCTAGAAGAATGTAAGCAGATTTGAAAGGCGGGGCCAGTCTACCAAGACCGGACTGCGCTCTACCCCACCTCGTTCGCATGTCAGCCTTGTCTAGCAGAGCTGACAATATACTTTAGGGCTTGAGGATCTGGAGGTTAGGTTCATTATGAACATTCCCCATGAAGATCTATCTTCCATCGAGCGAATATGCTTCCAAATCGAAGAAGCACAATGGTTCTACGAGGATTTTATCCGGCCTCAAGATCCTTCTCTCCCCTCCATGTCACTCAGGAATTTCTGCGAAAAGATATTTGCGCATTGTCCTATGCTCTCCTCCTTCTCTCAAGGAAGTCATATGCAAGCTTTCGAACACTTTCTGGACTACAAAGCAAGAGTGCCTGTGAGGGGAGCAATTATGCTGAACTCGGCAATGGACTCGGTGGTTCTTGTGAAGGGCTGGAAAAAGGGTGCGAACTGGAGCTTTCCCAGAGGTAAAATCAATATGGACGAAGATGATCTAGACTGTGCTGTCAGAGAAGTCTACGAAGAGACTGGCCTCCATCTGGAAGAAGCTGGTCTGGTCCCTGAAGATCGGCAAGTGAAGTTCATTGAGGTTAACATGCGGGAGCAACAACTGAGGCTTTACGTATTCAAAGATGTTCCTATGGAGACATATTTTGAGCCTCGGACAAGAAAGGAAATTAGTAAGATCGAATGGTGGAAGCTTTCCGAACTCCCAGCATTCAGGAAGAAGGGCCAACATGAACAGAATGCTGCTGCTTCTAATGCAAATAAATTCTATATGGTGGCCCCGTTCCTAGTGCCTCTCCGAAAATGGGTTGTCGAGCAGAAGAAGAGAGGAACCCGCACAATCTCAAACAGCCAATATCAATCAGCAGGCCTGAGTCATGACGACTTCCTGACGGAAGAAGATGTCGGTCCTGAGTCAGGCACTCAACTGCACTACCCAGATGCTTCTGGAGAACCGGACAATGAGACCATGGTGGATGCAACGGCGGCTTTGAATCGTCTTCTCCACATTCAACAACCTTCCCAAGATTCGGAAGTGGATGATGAAATGGATTTTCAACGAGTTCAAAGCACGAAAGGCTCTGCTTTGCTTGCGCTACTTCAGAGCAAGCCTACAGTAGATGTGCCACGAGCACAAAATGCGCTGCCGCACACTCCTCTTGAGCATACGGTCGGACAAGCCCCTATGCCCCGAACACCGCATCACTATGCACCACGACCTCCACCTTTCTCTTCAATGCCACCTCCACCTGCTTTTCCTCCTATGCAACAGCAGAACACGTTCTCCTACCAGCAACCACATATCGAAAACCACTATCGACAAAATAACCAGCCGAGAGGAATGCCAAATCAACAACAACCTCCACGTCCACATGAGAATCCGCATCATTATCAATCCCAGCACCTCATCCACCCGCAGCCTTTACCTCCCACTGTTCAAAGAGCTTTGTTTACTGGAGGTCCTGTACACTCCCCAGTGGCGCCGCAGCCTGTACAGCAACCACTTGCACAACAGCATCCAGCCAATGTAGCTATGAACAATCAAAATCCTCAGTTTTCGGGGCTACATGCACCTATGGTACCACCAATACCTAAAGGCTCGCCTCCGAAACTCACTAAGCATACTCTGGCATTGCTTGATGCTTTCAAGCGACGGGATCAAGATGTCGCGGACGCGAATGCCTCCAATGATCTTCCTCTACGGAGGTATGCACCAGAGCAGCCCCCAGTGCCACGCCATCAACCTCAGGAATTGCCTGCCGACCTCTCACAATTACCACAAGCCCCATCTGTCCCTCAATACATACCTGAGAGTGCTTCAAATAACACTCGAGCTCCAAATCCTGGTATGTTCACAACTAGACAGCCTATCAGCGAAACTCAAAAATCAACCCTGCTTGACCTCTTTAAGAGTCCAACTGCGACAAGCGCCAGCCCGTCCAAACCTCTTTCTGCTACGGCTCTACCTCCAAGTGCAACTCCTTCTGCAGTAGAACTCTCTGCCGTCGAACCGCTTTCCACCAATGCTGCCACAACCTCCGCGCTTCTCAACGATAAGAGAACGCCCGATCCTTCAGCAAGAGATGCACCAATTCCAGAATTGAACCCGGAAGCTAACCTCCCATATCGTGCCATGGCCATTCTTTCTCGACCTCCTGAGATGATGGAAAAAGAAGCTTCTTTGCATAGCGGCACATCCCACAGAAGTCAACACAGGAATCAGACCAATGGTAAAAAGCCATCTTCGAGGTCAGGGATGCAAGAGCCGCCGAAGAGGAGTCCAGAGAAAGCATTTCAGCCACAGATTCTCAAGCGTCCTCAGCCAGGCCAGTTCAATGGTCAGGAACCTTCGAGACCAGCTCAAACTTCCATGCCACAACCACCCATGCCAGAGCCTCCAATGGATCCTCGTAAATACCAACAAGCTGATCACAGACAAAACTTGCTTTCGTTATTCGGAAAGCCTCCAACGGGTGTTCAACAGCCCAACTATTCACCAAACAACGGCGTTTCGCTCCCTGCTGATCCTGCATTGAGGTCGAGAGTAGGAAGTCTGGCTTCCGCTGAAGCAGCCCCTCGTCGCCCGAGCCAAGCTCCAATCTCACCTGCAGACAAAGGATTCTTGCTCGACTATCTGGCGGCTGCCGTGGCAAAGGGTCATTGAAGAGTGGCACATGGTAGATTTAATGGGATATGAGGGAAGACTCGGCAGTTTGCTATTCATAGGTTTTCATCGAAGCATTTGAGCCTGTATGGTCATCATCAGCAGATTTATATTAGGCATTAGCTAGCAATCGTAGCTTAGGTGTGATGGTGGATGGTGGAAAGGAATGAATAAAATGTCAATAACGAGGTTGAGATTCGTTGCCAAATCCAGGAACTATAGCTCCTCTCTCTGCGTATATCATGAATATATATCCAAATTGTTTTACTTGGTACATCGATTCACAATTTTGTCGAATGAAGTACTGTCGACCCCACCACGAGGCTGAGAAATCAAGCTCCCCTTGTCTCGGAACTTCCCGCTTTACATCATGGCCATCAGAAATTCTCCCAAGCTTCCAAACAAAGCTCCTCATGAACCGCATTCTACCAAAAATGAAGCCTTTACGAACCATCCTGCAACCTGCCGCCGCAAGACCCTACATATGCAACAATTGCCTCTCCCGCACTCTTTCCCGCAAATACTCCACCAATCCTCCCAAGCCACCAACAAAAGGCTACACCCTGCTCCCCACCCGCCGACTCCTCTCTCTCAGCGGCCCCGACGCAACGCATTTCCTACAAGGCGCAATAACGGCCAATGTCTCGTCCTCGACGTCCAATCCGCGGCTCAATACCGGGTTCTATGCTGCGTTCCTGAATGCGCAGGGTAGGTTGTTGAATGATGTTTTTGTGTTTAAGGACAAGAGAGAGGGGGTAGATGGATGGTTGGTGGAGGTTGACGGACAGGAGGTGGAGAGGTTGGCGAAGCATGTGAAGAGATATAGGTTGAGGAGCAAGTTTGAGGTTAAGGTGTTAAGCCAGGAGGAGATGGGAGTATGGAGTGTGTGGGATGAGGAGGGAGGGTGGACGGCGCATTCGTTGGGTGGGGGTGGGGGTGAGGGAACGGGAGAGGGGAGGGAGATTGGGTGTGAGGATTTGAGGGCGCCAGGCATGGGGAGGAGGGTCGTTTTCCCTGCAGGGAAGCGGCCGGATGTTGAGATGGAGGAGAGTGATGAGGAGGCGTATAGGATCAGGAGGTATTTGAAGGGGGTACCGGAAGGGCAGGACGAGCTTATAAGGGAGCATGCTCTGCCCCAAGAGAGCTGTGCGGATTTCATGGGTGGTATCGACTATAGGAAGGGTTGCTATGTTGGGCAGGAACTAACGATTCGAACACATCATACGGGCGTGGTGAGGAAGAGAGTTCTGCCCGTTATGATATATGGGAAAGACGAAACTGAGCCAGCTTGGTTAGAATATGACCCTGAGAAGGACTACGGGGTTGAGGGAATTCCAAGAGATACGAGCATTGGTCGACTAGAAAAAAGAGGAAGAAGTGCTGGGAAGTTCTTGGCTGGCGTGGGAAACATCGGACTTGGTCTGTGCAGGTTGGAGACGATGACTGATGTACAAGTACAGGGAGCAGCTGGAGGCTACAAGGAAGGAGACGAATTCAAACTGGAATGGGAAGCCGAGGGAAGTTCTGAGATGGTCAAGGTAAAGGCATTTGTACCTTCCTGGCACCTCAAGCAATAGAGCATCGTTCAAGTCATATCCGAAGGTTCGGTATTCAAAGTTCTGCATATAGCACTTATAAGTGCGTCTGTATTCTGTACAATAAGATGGGGTATAGCAAATCAACTCCTGGGATATCTCCTCAACGCCGATGCTGATGCCAGTAATTCGTGATTCGTGATTGGGCTCAAACTCCATTAGACTCTTGTAGTCGTATTTTTGCTTCCTCTCTCTGTTTCTCCGCTTCCCTCAGCCTAGCCATTGTAGCCGCAAAGTCGTTCTTCTTCGGCGTAGGAATTGCTGGAGAGAAGGAGAACTTCGGTGATGCTGAAGACTTATCGTCAGCTTTCAATCCTCTGAAGATGTCAGGACGTTTGATGGGTGTAAAAGTATCCTGGTCTGCCACTTTTGGCCCCGCCTCTCCACCATGACTTGATACTGATGGCGAGTCAACGGGAGTAAAGACACCACTCTTCCTAGCTTTCTTCCCTGCTTTTCGCTTTGCCTTAGCCTCCTCCTTCTCTCGTATCAGACGTTCTAGTCTCTCTACTTCGTCTTCACCTGGTTGCTCAGAAGGCTCCGCAGGCGCTTCCTTCGGTGCTTCTTCTGGTGACGGTTTTTGAGGAGCTGGTGCGGGTGATGAAGAGGCAACACTTTCCGCCATCATGGATTGTCTCGCAGCCCTCCTCTTCCTTCCTTCTTCTGCTAGTTTCCTGAGCTCTTGTGCCTGTGTATCTTCTTCTCTTGGTCGCTTGACTCCTTTTTCTCGAGCCTCAAGGTCCTCCTTCATCTGTCGGCGTTTGCCTTCGAAGAGTTCGTTCGCCCTCTGCCTTTGGATCTTGGCCTGGCGGTGATTGTCATATTTGGCTTTCAATTCCGGATCACTCAGGATATCGTTCGCAGCCTGGAACAACTCATACTTGTCGGGGTCGAAGTCCTTGCCAACTTTGTCAGGGTGGTATTTGAGTGCTGTCTTTCGATATGCGCGACGAAGCTCTGACTCTGAGCAGTTCTCGAACGCAATACCTAACAAGTCGTAAAAGTCAACTTCGCTGGTGACCCATTTCAGCAGGTCATTGTTAGACATATTGTCGTCGTCAAATAGGCCTGTGAGAGTTGGTTATTGTTGAAGAATGGCCTGCGATGAGAGTAAAATTAATTCATGCAGAACAAGCAAGCGCGGCTTAGCGCAAATCGATTGCTGACTAACACGTTCTCCATTGCCATGGCTATGTGGAGCTTTCATCACTGAATGCTTTCTTTCACTTCACGGCTTTACTGGTGAAATATCTGGCCCCGTCTGGTAGGACGCAAAATGTCTTATGCAGGTGTTGATATGATCATTGATGTTGGATGTAAATTGAGTGGCTTGCATCTCCATCATTGATCAAACGGATTTCAATGATGCAATAAGGACATCTGAATTTTGCATGTGTGGAATCGCATGCATCCGAGAATTGCCATGTATAAGGTGGATCCAATGTTTCCGTGTGCTGCTCAAGCTTTTGGTGGGTATGTCCTTACAGTGATCGATTTTGGCCTTGGATTTTCATCTGAGTACGCAGAGATGGAGAAGGCAAAACAAGTAGTAAATTATTTTGCATGAAAGACCTTTTCCCAAGAATCCTAAAGTTCTGCAGATTCGTTCATAGATTTTTGTGAAGCTTGTGGTGAAGTGATCCATTGCACCCATTTCAGGCTCGCCTAGTTTCGTCCCTTCTTGATTTGGAGTTTTGTTTTCTCTGTATCAACATCGCCCTTCATCTGCTCCAGCAGACCATCCTGCATATCTCAAATTTGCACAGGATTCATGGTCTCATTGTCGTCATGCCAGACCCGGCGCGGAAGCAGCTGATTGTGAAGCTTCCAATGCCATCAATACAGACAACAGCACGGCCAAAGTCGCTGCATGCAGCCATCAGACAAGAAGCTTTGAAGCAAACTCCTGCATCGTCCACACCTTCCAATGTCTCGGAACACTTTTCTCAAAGTCAGATAGCAATTGCGCTCACGATTTGTAAATCGAAACCAGCAGGACTGTCAACGAAAGGTATGCCTATCTCATGATTCTATGCTTGGCCCGGTCTAATTCTTCACACAGAGTATTGTGAACAACTCAATAGACACTTTAAAATTGGTCAGCCTGTTCGAAGAGACCAACTGCGATACATTGAGACGGCCGAATTCTGGAAGGACCAATATACCTCGCTTCATTTGAAACAGAAAGCACTAGAGAATCAACTCCGTTGCTGTAAGGAAGCACTGCGGCTTTCGAGGAAGAGACATCACGGTGATGCAGAGGAGGATGCGTTGCAAGATAGTCAGCATGGGACGGACCTAATTAGGAACAACCAGAGTCAACCGCCGGAGGACTGGGAAACAATTATCGAAGAAAACGATTATTTACGGCTAAGCAGCTACGGTGAGTCGATTGCTCTTTAATATCTGCTATACTGACATTTACAGCACTTAGAATCCGCAGGCACCGCACTGCTCTGGAAGATAGTGCCATCGACTCTAATAACCTCGACAAGATTAACGCACACTCCACACACACGCTGCAACTCTTGACTCAGCTTGAAAGTGCTCTTCCTGATTGTTGCTTACCTTTGAGACTGTTTAAAGACAATGAGGATGAAGTTAAGATATCATTCTCGTTCCAACAAGTCATGAATCAATTTGCGCTTGCATTCCTTGCCTGTTTGGCATCGATAGATGATTTGTTCCGAACAATACCTGGCAGGGCTAAGAAAACGGAAATAGTCTACCGAATGGTCATGCTTTTTAATCGAGGCTTGAACATTCTGCGGACCATCAGTGCTGAGCAAGCTACCCACGATATGGCCGCTCGAAGCCACAGCCCCCAACACAAGCGACCAAGAATCGAGGCAGGAGAATACCTTGTTAATAAGTACCTCGCCAATGCACTTGCTGCAATTGCTCACAATGCTCAGTGGAAAGCCCAACAACCTGCGCATTGTGAGATATTGGAAGGCTGTCTGTTCTCGATACTTGAACACACGGGTCGTTTGGTATCGGAAGCTATATTTGGGGAGCATGTCGCGAGTTCGGATCTTCCAGCCAACATCACAACGAATGCCGGCTCGGTAGTTCGAGGCTTTGTCAGACCAGAAGCTCGTTATATAATCCAAGTGCTTCATGCCCTGGCTGGTGCTGGGGACAGACGCGGGTTGGTCACCCAAATACTCGCAGCTGGAAAGACATCTCTCAATGAACAACTACGTGCAACAAATCCAACTAACCTGGACATCTTCGGAGATTTGCTGTCGAAATCCAAAAGGCTCTTGCAAATTACACTAGTGAAGAGTGCTGTGGGTGGAGCAGATCTTGAAAGTCTTAGGCTCCCGACTCCGCCTCTCGAGACATCAAATGTCGCTACGGAAGAAAGATTGGAGAAGTATGGCAAGGAATGGCTGATAGAAATGGTATGGGGAATAATTGGATGGGATATAGTTTGCTCGAAGTGATCTCCATTATATGGAAGGACAATTATTAGCTCAGGTAGCTATATGCTTTATTTAGCTCTAGTCTCATGTCACAATAACTTCGTATAACACCTTACAATTCTACTTTTCCTGTAAGGTGCTACCCTTATATGCATATATGAATGAAAGGCCATATTATACGGAAGCATAGTTATGGCATGGATGAAATTTTGACATTGGCCTACACTTTTTGTACACGGAGCCTACAACTTTTTGTACATGGAGCTTAACAACTTTTTGTACACGGAGGTCAAAGTGCTCCTTCCGACTCACCACATCAACAATAACAGGAAGCGGCCGCTTGGCACGGGTCTTACGAAGAACAGGGAAGGACTTGGATTCGTTTTACATATGGTATTCACCTCAATCGACATTGTTGCGCCCCAGATCGACTTCACTCTTTTTCTTGAACTCAGCCGGCTGGATCTGATTCTCGGCGCCACAATTAGATCAGCATCTTCAACCACCTTCACTGACCGCGGATATTTTTATGTGTGTATCAGACGTAAGATGGGTCGCGTTTGTTGGCAATCAACAAAGCTAACATACAAAGTGCTTCTACAATGGAGCCGATTCCAGCAAAGTCTACAGACCCTGCCATACCAAGAGAGCACGAGGAGTTGGCTTTCTCTGGGGACCGGTCAGCAAATACCACTACAATCACAGAAACTTTCAAATCTACAGCGGAACTCTTGGAAGATCCGACTCCTCCTGGTCCCTTCGAGCTCGCCATCAAGAGATTGCCTAAAGACCTCCTCAAGCCATTCAACGCCACGAGTTTCGAAACAAAGAATGCAGATGATGACAAGTTTTTTCCGTCCACAGACCATAATACACCGACCATTGTGCCGAATTCCCTCGACTTTCTCTCAGCTGACGCTGCCGGCTTTGGCCCACCCTTTTCTGGTCCGTTCGGTGAGTCTACCTCCTTCCCTAAGACTTCCATAAAGAAGCCCACAATAGTTACCTCGCTCACAATATCAGACCAAGGCACATTCCCAAGATTTAGGAGCTTTCCAGTTGAGTTAAAGCTCAAGATATGGTAAGCCCTCGTTTCATTGCTACTGAATATATCATAATTTCACAAATGCAAGATAATACACGTGAACGTGTGCCCATGGCACACTCAGCATGTTTCTTGCTAGTCGACTGTTCGAAGACACGCTTACAGTGTACCAGGAACCATGCCATTGCTGATATCACTCCTCGTCTCGTCACATTGGCCCCTAAAAGCGGAAAAGTCCCAGCCTTGTTACACACCTGTCGTCTAGCCCGACATGCAACTAAGAAAGCCTATTCGAGCATCTTAGATCTCGGACTGAGGTTGGGACAACGTCATGGTTTCGAGGCATTGGTTAGGTATGAAACTGATACGGTCTTCCTGACTGCGATGAAACAAACACGCGGGCCTGGACAAAATCCATTATCGCATGCCATGGAATGCTATCCAAACATACTCCTTCCGATAAAGAAGCTGGCTATCAAGACGAGACGATTTGGCGACCACGACTTCTGCCGGACCGGAATCAACAATTTCTACTTCTGGGATAAGCTTGCTGTGGCATGTCCAGCCCTTGTGGAAATTACCTTTGATCTGAAGGGAATGACATATGACTACGGAGATACCTTGCTCACTAGCCCTTTTGCCGAGTGTTTCTTCAGGGACAGCTTGGAAGACAGTCTTGAAGATGAGCGAGTCAAAGGGCGCTTTTTAAGGTTGACCGTGTACACTATCTCTGGACTGGATGGACCATGGAAGAAGAGTAAAAAGGTGCGGAAGTGCCTCATCACTGAAGATGCAGATCGATGATGCTACACTCATCGGGAGACTATCCACTGTGGATTGAAAAGTAGATGAGATGAGTTCTCAAGGATATCTCACCGTGTAAATCGTAACGATTCTTCAAAGCAGATTGCCAACGTCCTGTCGTAGTGATCTGATGGTAATAATCTTGATGAGGGTTCTTCTGTATTAAGATCCTTCATATCGACAAGTTCAAGACCCTCACAGCGTTCCCTCCCAATGCAGCCAACGCCCCATCGCTCCCGCTTCCTAATGCACCAAAGATAGCCTCGTAGTTGGTCTCCACACTTGCCCAGGTCTCATTCTCTCCTTCTAGTGGTGGGAAAAACGGATGATCAGTTCCAAACATGATCCTGTCCTGTCCGCTGGCTTGGATGGCTGCCTTCAAGCCGACTTCGCTGTAGATGACCGCATCTAGGTAGATGTTCTTCTTTAATACGTCCCAAACGGTCTTTCTTCCTTTCCCTAGCTTTCCTTCTGCTTTCAAGTGAGCGTCGTGCTCTATGCATGACTCTATTCTTCCCGCAAGGAATGGCAGGGTGCCTCCTGAGTGGGCCAAGATCATCTGCAGCTCGGGTACTTTCTCGAAGACGCCAGATAGGATCATTCTTGTGACAGCGATAGTCGTCTCAAGTGGGAAGCCCAAGGCAAGTGGGAGCACATGACCATACTCGTTTGCTCTTTCTCCCCAAACAGAACCCGGTAAGCCGTAGTGAGGATGCAAGAAGATAGGAAGCTTGGCGTCTTGCAGTGCCTGGAAGATGGGGAGTAGCTCTAGATCGTCGAGTCCCTTTCCTAGGCCTGTCGTACCAAGAATGATACCCCGCATGTACTTCAGCTCTTTTAATCTCGCAATCTCTTTCACGATGACATCCTTTCCTCCACTTAGCGGTAATGTCCCAAAGGCAAATAACCGCCCAGGGTACCTCCCACACTCCTCATTGACCTCGTTGTTGATTCCCTCAGCGGCTTTTCCTGCCTCTGCTGCTGGTACCCAATCAAGCCATGGATTCGCCAAAGAGATAACCGAAACATCAATCGAATGTCTGTCCATGAACTCGATCTTCTTGGTAATATCATAGTACTCTGGCCCGACTGGTCGCCCACGTGAGGTACTCTCCGTGTCCTCGGCGGGAAGAATAACCAAGCGGAGAGCGGGAGACGGTGGAAAAGAGCGGATATAGGGGATAGCATCCCGGGACTTCAGGAGCTCGATGTAGGATGGCGGGTAGACATGTGTATGGATATCGACCACAGGAGACTTCGTGGTGGCCATTTTTCCTTTTCCCGTTCTGAGACCAGTATCTGTGCAGTTGTTTCAAGGGACAAGAACCTTATAAGCACTTTAGGGTTTGTTATTTAAGCCTTGCAGAAATGGAGTTTCGCTGACTCGCAGATATTGGTTGTGTTACCGGTACTCGCCTTATCTGCACCCCACCATTGGATCGTTATCTTCCTTCCCCTTACTTTGCCAAGACTATGCTCGCCTTCCTGATGAGGAGACGACACTCTTAACTCGAGGCTGTAAGTTTGGACGGGAAGCGCCTCGTTCCGTGATCAGATCATTGTGTTTTGAGTGCCGGAGAGATATATCTTCGTTGAGGGTCCTCTCTTTCGACTCCAGATCTTCAATTCGGGCACGGACTTTTACCCCACTTCAACAGACAAAATGGCACCACAAACCAGCGCTGTCAATAGCGACAACCTTTTCATACCAGTACGTATACTCGATTTTCCAACTCACAAGATATTTATGTTAATGCTCTATAGCTCGTAGACTTTTCCCTCTTCCTCAACGGCTCTCCGGCTGAGCGCCAAGCAGCAGCTCAATCCATCCTTGACGGCTTCCAAACCGCAGGCTTCATCTACCTAACCTCGATCCCCATCTCCTCCTCCACCGTCCAAAAAACCTTCGCCACATCTGCGAAATTCTTCTCTCGACCACAAGATCAAAAAGAGGCTCTAGGATGGACGACCCCCGAAGCAAACCGCGGCTACGTCTCCCACGGCCGAGAAAAGGTCTCCATACTCAAGAACAAAGAAGACGTTGCCGCAGCAAAAGCCGCAGCTCCTGATCTGAAAGAGAGTTTCGAGATCGGAAGAGAGGGAGCTGAAGGTCTACCTAATAATTGGCCGAGTGGGGATGTCGAGGCAGATGAGTTTAAGGCTGTTATGCTTGATTTCCACAATCAGTGCAAGGCGTTACATGTCGAGGTCATGCGTGCCATTGCTGTTGGAATGGCACTTTCGCAGTCTTATTTCGATCACTTTACGGATGTTGGTGATAATACATTGCGTCTGCTCCATTATCCTGAGGTCAATAAGTCGGTGTTCAAGAGTAATAAGTTACAAGTTCGAGCGGGGGAACATACGGATTATGGATCTATTACGCTACTGTTCCAGGACATGAGAGGCGGTCTCCAAGTCAAGAGTCCTAACGGGAACTTTATTGACGCTACGCCGATTGAGAATACGGTTGTCGTGAATGCGGGTGATTTACTGGCGAGGTGGAGCAATGATACGATTAAGAGCACGTTGCACAGGGTTGTTGAGCCTCCGGCTCCAGAAGAAGGGGATGTGCATCCAGCCAGGTATAGTATTGCATACTTTTGCAATCCGAATTTTGACAGCCAGATTGAGGCGATTGAAGGAACGTATGGTGGGGAGAAAGGGGAGAGGAAGTATGAGGGGATCAATTCTGGGGATTATTTGGTACAGAGACTGGCTGCTACTTATTGAGCGTAGGGAGAAAATGTTTCAGATGACAAATGACATTCTCTGCGTTGTTCTCCAGAGAGTTCTTATGTTGTACTTCAAAGTTCAGAGTCTTACAGTACTCCGTCTGTGATAAAATGCATTGCTTTGGGATTGCAATTACCAATCTCTCGTGGAGTATACTTGGTCCCTCAAAGACACCTACCGGGCTGACATTTCTTTTCCTTCCCAAATTCTCCTCGAATTGAGGATTGCTATTATAGTTCGATGGTTCCAGCATCTCATCGAAGGCTGAAACACGATGGCTCACGTACAAGCATGGCTTGCAAATTTAAGCTCCATGTGTCATATCCAGAAGGTGTGCCACAGATCCTCATCTTGACAACCTCTGCGCCATATGCCAGATGGGTCGTAGCCCTTGCTAGAAAATGAGAAAGAGGATCATAGATAGAATCAAGCTATCAATACGAGGTTTTCTGAAGATTAAATAGTCTGACAAACTGTTTGATGCCCGAATTACCACTTGCAAATGCCAAGTTCTCGCCAGATCTGTGTAGTCATTTCCGACTCAGACGAATGCGTTCTCAACCCATCACCCCCATTTCTTTCATCACTACAAGCTTCACGCGACAAAAGCTCGCATGTGCACGTCTTCATATTGGAGGAGATATTCGCCACTGTTCTAACAGAAAGACAGAAAGCTGCACAATATTTAGAACGCCGGAGGAATGCCAGCTGATAAGATTCAGGAGAACTCGCCTAAACTCGCGTGATGTACCAATCACAATGCTCACCACCTTGAACTCCGGACGAAGCCATTGAACAGAGTGAGGTCATGGAAAACCAGTAATGAACATAATTAATACTCCGGAACGTCTGACAGTTAAGAGTACAAATTCATCGCTTCGTAGCAACACCTCATTGTTTTGGGATCCTCCCAAATACAAGTCTGGCAATGCGCTACGGCTCTCTTAATTCTCCGTGGGAAACACCTCCGGCAATCCAGACATGGAAGGAGCGTAGGAGTTTCTTAAGAGAAGTATATGGATCCAATTTAACCTTACATCACCAACTGAAGATCATAGATGAATCCAGCCATCAACTCCGCACTCGACATGGCCGTCAAAATGCTCACCTGGCCCGGCATGACGAGCTCCCGTGCAGCCGTCTACCCAACCCCTCCTCCTCCTCAAACACCACCATCTCCAAGCTTCCACCTCTTCCCCTCCCTCCCCATCGAACTCCGTCTCAAAATCTGGGCCTTCGCCCTCAACGACCTCCAACCACGCATCCTCCCCATCCAACCCCTCTCCCAAACACCACCCGCAACCCCCTCTCTCCTGCAAACCAACCCAGAATCCCGTTTTGAAGCCCAGCGTCGGTATAAAAAACACTGTGCCCACCCCGCTATCGGAGAGCGCTCTTACTACATCAACTACTCCATCGACACGCTGTATATAAACAACTCCCTCGGCTTCCGCGCGAACGCGACTATGCACCAAGCGTGGCTGAAACCCGTGCGGCATCTAGCGATTGAGTTTGGGCAGTTTGCTCTGTTGACGAGTTTCTGGTTGGAGGAGGGGTTGTGGAGTTTGTTGAAGTGGTATACGCCGGAGTTGGAGACGTTGTTTGTTGTTGTTGGTGAGAAAAGGAGGCGGGATGGGAAGCAAGTGAGCTTTTTGGAGGTTAGCGGGGAGGAGGCGTATATGGAGTTTTTGGGGAGGGAGGAGAGGAGGCAGTTGGTTGAGGGAGGGAGGAGTTTCGAGAAGGTTAAGGCGGAGGGGGAGTGGAGGGGGTTGAAGTTGAAGTGGGTGAGGGAGGGGGAGGAGGGCGAGAAGGGGAGAGGATTGAGGGTTGGAGCTTGGGGGAGTGTGGATTGGAAGAGTTGAGGGGGTGAAGATGAATTTTTTGTTTTGATTGTGATATGTAGAATAACGTAGGCAACGCCACGAAATAAATTGACAGAACGCGATTTCTTGCAGCAAAAGACCTTGAAATATCCTAAACAGCCCTCGAAGAGGCTCGTTATCGAAGCCGAAGCCTCACAGCCTTACCCTAAGCGTGGCTTTCTCGCGACTGACGTCTGTCGACCAATCACAATCAACGCTCACTTAGCTGCTGTATAGAGTTAAATAAGCATTTTTTCCAACATTCCAAAAAAGTCAGAGGTGGTAGAGGGGTTGTGGTGTCCCCCCACTTAAGGTAGCCTCTACACGGCCTGTGACGACTTTTACCTTCAACCCACCGAAGCCGTTTGATGGTGCCTAGATGATCCCGATTTAGACCACTGTCATTCCGGTAATTAATGGGTGTAGCGGGCTGGTACCCCGTCTACCTGTGGCCCCGAGGGTCCCGACGAAGTTTTTGCTGCTTGAAAATTCTGGGATCGTTGGTGTTGTTGGTAATTGCACGTACGCTTCGCTTTGCCTGTGCAGCTTTTTTTGTTGTCTTGGGGATTTTTTTTCGAGCCTGTCCTCGCTTAGCTGTTTACGTGTTGAGACGCGTTCTTACTCGCATTGATTTCCCTCGAGTTGATACTCGGCATATTGTCTCCAGATTCGATTGACCATTGGTGGTCTCTTCACAGGTTCGTTTCTCCAATTCTTGGGCCCATCATAGACATTTTTGACATCTAGAGATAGCACTCCTGGCAACTTCGGCTCGACTTCGTGCCTCCTTTTCCGGTCCTTGTGCAGTTGTTTTATATGTGCCTGGTACCCAGCTTGAAACGGTACCTCTGAACTCCCCCAATGCAACATTGTAGCTCTTGTTGATTTTATCGAGGTATCTCACAAATCATGAATGGTTCAGAGGACACCTCATACTTGGGAGCGTGGCGCGTCAACATCCAACTTCATTCGCTTATGTTTCTCAGTCACTTTTATAAATCCTAGCATGAACTACACGCAGTGACTATGAGTGGGATAAAACTCCTGATTTATTTACGCGAGACTAATTCCTTCTTGGAACAGCATCATCGATGCAACAACATAGACGATACACTGGCTATCAATCCATTAAACATGGTCGACCGATGACTGCCTCCCTCTTCGTCCATACGAAAGCTTTCCGTGGTTTCATTCAGCCACTGGATACTGTTGGAAGCAGCGAATATTGGACATGGGGACTTGCGAATTCTAGAATTACCACAGCAGAGTCTCCATTCCCGGTCTTGACGGAAAGCCGAACTTCTTCAATTGAAGCGAAATGGCCTCTAATGTAAACAATGCACCATCGTCAAGCAAGTTTAATATGAGACAAAGTTAGAGCCATGCAAGTGTAGCAGCGAGCGATTCATACATGGTATCTCATCCTCCATATTTTTGAGTATCTGACAAGAGAACTCAAAAACCATATGCACGCTAGGAACGTAAATCGAAAAGTATTTTGAAAGCACAAAACAAACTTTGCTCAAATTTCAACACAGCAAGAATAGCTAGAAGCAAAATATGGCCCTTCTTTAGCTTTACCAACGATTCTCTGGGAAATGCCGCAGAGTCCAGGTTGTAATGACCAATTTCAGCTTCCTGGAAGCAAACTGCCATCAGCAGTAGATCTCAAAGTAGTAATCCAGCTAAAAAGCGTTCTCTGATCACTAAATCAGAGCCCTACCACCGAAGGAATCTCGAATGGTAGAATGTCTTTAGTGAAACCCATACTAAGGTTTGAGATCGAGGAATCCATTGCAAGGAGAGTGCATTGTTCAAGGTCACTTTGACTTCTCAGTGATGAACCACTCTACCTCGTATGCATGCTCGTTGCAATCTGCAATTCAGAGCCAAAGAAAAAAAATAACAAGAGAATAAAGAGATCTCCTCACCAACATCGGAACATTCTTTCCTAGCTCTCCAGCTACCAAACTCTGGGACCGGCCTCTATCCAAGCCACAGCAAGCCTACCAACATTCGTCAACTAAACACGAAGCCCGTACACGAACACCGTTCCTCCTCATCGGAGGTCCCCGACACGTTCCTGTCTACTCTACTCTACTCACTAGACCATTAGCCGAAAAGGGAAAGTACATCCTACCTCCAGACTCACCACGAAACTAGGATAATTAATGTAGTCATGACTTGCATTAAATACCCGGCCGACAACAACTTGTTGACGAACGGCCGTCTCAGAATTCCGTGCTCTCGCCCAACTTTTCTTCGCCGTCGGTGAAGGAGCTCCACCCGCCAGGCAAACCTTAATTCGGTTTTCTCACCTACCGTGCTAGGATCCACCCAGCCGCTATTCATAGACTGCATGGCCTAAATGATCTTTGACAGATCCGCAACAAGCATAGCACGTCCCTCGCTTGAGAAGAAGAAGAAGAAGAAGAAGAAAAGAAAAATTCTCGTTTCCATCGAGTAAGAAGCGCGTTCCTGGATAGCGAATCGGAGTTTTTCCTCCTTCCCTCCTTGGGCCTACCGAAAAAAAAGCCTTCCCGAGCCTATCCCGGTCGGTGTTCTTTTCTGGAAGACTCTTCTTTCTTGACGTCTTACCTAATGTGGCTGGTTTGGGACGGCATTGCGAACAGATGGCGGAGCACGGAGTTCAAAACGGAGAGGATGTGGATATTCTCGAGTAATCGTCGAGTAAGACAAATGCGGTATGCGGTGCTTGGGGCAAACGTGCTCGTTTGCAATATGGCATCTGGAACGAACGACGGGCGTCGCAATTCTAGGCACAAAGTCGTGATCCAAAGGATCAAGACACGGTTTGCTGGTTGTTATGTAATGGATTGCGAGAAGAGGGTCGTACGAAACGTGCTCTGGGCGACGAAGAAAGTGCGTCTTTTCTGGCTGTCGTCACGGACTAGAATGAGTGGAATGGACGCATATTTCATTACTTCATCGATGTCGCACAGCCTTGCTCTTGCGTGTTTGACGAGTCTGAAAGGAGAGGGGTTTGAGAGCCCGGGTTTTGCTCTGGGACGGAAGGCGTGCAAGGAGGCGCTGGCACATGATGCTCTCCGAGGAGATGTGAGGTCTCCGAGATCAAAGGCTTCACGCCATTTTGCGGGGTGCTTGCGATGTGCGAGCCGGTTTTGTTATCATTGATTGTTGGGCGATATTTTCCCCGCATTCTGGGAATACTAATTGGTGCTCATCGCCGACTTCCAACAACAGGAGTTGATTGTTCGGCATCCTAATTTCGGTCTGTTTGATGATGTGGTTGATGTTCTAGAATTATACGTCAGGTGAGATCTAGAGGACCCCTGATTGAGAGAGAGGCCGAATCCGGAGCTGTCTCTGCTGAAAGCTGGGGTCGGACAGCGCGACAGCCACGGTGGGATCGTGACTTGATGAGACTGCATGCATCGCTCGCCAATTGCGTGCTGCCGACGAACGAGATCTAAAGATAATCTCTCAAGATTATCCGCATTCGTGCCATACTTCCGTAGATTTTGAAAAGCACCTGATTGTTTTGTACAGATGTTACTCGATGTAATGTACTGTACTCAATGTAAGATTACCTTTCGTGTGGGCTGATTTATGGAGGGGTCATGTCAAAAAGAACCCCTCTGGATCGTACGGAGTGAACCGTTTGCGACGCGGTCAACAAAGAGAGAGGGAGAAATAATCTCCTTAAGAGAAATTTCCGCAAATTCATGACGATCGGCTCATGTCTTCCGGACTGCAGCCGTAATTTATCCTTCGAACCTAGATGGGGAAATTTTGATGTTTCTTGAGTCATCGTGAGATCCACTCGTCGTCCCATCGCTTCTACAGTATTGAAGCGGTTACAAGAGGCATTTGCTGCAGGGGCTGAGAGACGACGACGACGACCACTACCAAACCGGAACATCATTTGCGCGACGTCGCATGTGACAGAGAAAACGGACGTCCCTTGCTCTGCAGACTCGCGGTGAAGGAGAGAAGATTGAGTTTTTGGGCGGGCGCTGAATGAAGTCCGATACCAGAAATGTCATTGGGAGAGGGACAAAGGGGGCTCAATACTTCGATACTTGTTGCTGGCTGGGACTTGCCAACGCAAGCAAATGAAGGTGCCGATTCCGACGTGGAGGAGCCTCCTGAACCTTCCAGCCTTGTTTTCTCCACACGCCTTCGGTACTGTAAAGCAGTGATGTGATCTGAACCTTCTCTCTTCCCCGGCCTCTGTGCGACCTGGGCGTGCGTCTCGCCTCACCCTCACCCTCACCTCTCGCAAATGCGGCTTATAAGTGCCAGCGTTCCTCTTGCAGCCGTGAGCTTTCAGCAGCAAACCCAAAAGAGAGGACTGGTAACCCAACATATACTAAGCTGAGACTTGGCAATACAATGCACTCGCTCTGTCGCCATTCAGGGTCCAATATCCTCACTGTCGTTGTCCTCGTCAGGCGCCGAGCAGACAGTGGCGTGCGAGCATATGGTGCCTGAGTGGTAAAGCCACCGTTAGTCATGAGAACCAGGATGATGCGGCAGCACTACGATCAAGCAACCAGCTGCAATTTTCTTCCCAGGCCAGATGACTTTGATGACATGACTGTTTTTCCTACTCTTCAAGCGTCCATGCACCGTAGATCTCCACCACGACGAAGCGCGCCCTGGCCAGACTGAGAAAAAGAAGAAGAATCAGCCGAGTCGTTGCTTGGGCTTAGGGGGTTTCTCTGGTGGAGATCCAGCTTCCATGCGCCGGGCCTCGCAGCCCAGCTTACCACCAAATTGCACCATGGCACCAGTCCTCAAGGTGCTTGGGTTGGAGACCACTGCACTTACTCAATGGTTGACTTCGGCCTGCCCCTTAGACTGGTGCAAGAAAGGACGACTGCGTGACACATAGTTTCATGGTTTGAGGAAAATTTATATAGACTTCTGTGCCCCGCATACGAACGTGTCTTGGAAGAGTGAAAGCATTTTACGAGAGAACAAAGAAACGCCGTTTCCTCATATACCCAGCCATACCGTCGCCGTCCAGCATTTTCTTTGACCTTTTACATCATACAAAACATCAACACGCTGCAAGGAGATTCGAGCATCACTGGACACCATTTGGTTCTAAAAGTTGGAAGAATTGGAAAAGTTGCCCGAGTCGTCATAGTTTGTTAAAGAGGCGTTCCTGCAGTTTTTTGGCTGCCCCGCCAAAATATAAATTCGCCAAGATGCCTCACGCCGTCGACCGAGTTGCCTCTTTTTTTCGATCGCACTCGAACTCCTTCGATCTTCCAGTTGAGGTGAAAAAAGGATCCAGACGAGGATCACATAGCAGACCGTCATTTTCAGACAGATCTCCTTCGTCATCAGGCTCTTCACTTGCATCAGACGACCGAAGTCTAAGAACCATGCCAGAAAACCATAAGAGACTCTCTTTGGGTCACTTAACGTCTCCTAAGAGCTCTGCGACCAAAATCCCACAACACCATGCCGCCACTCTCGATGTTGTTATGGAGTCGCCACCTTTGGTGTTATACGGCAGTTCGGCAAACAGCAGCGGTGCATTGCTCTCTGGTCAATTAGTACTCAACATTCACGAAGACACTATGGCTATCGATTCTTTCAAGATGAGATTGGCTTTGGAAGTAACGAGGAAGAAGCCATTCCACGCCCATTGCCTAGATTGCACGAGTTCATCCACCGAATTGACGACCTGGAATCTTCTCGAGGGACCAGCGACTTTGCGACGAGGTGAGTAAATTCGCTCAATGCTGTACCTTCAATGCTGACATTCTCTAGGCGAGCACTCTTTCCCATTCAGCTGTGTGATTCCGGGCCATCTGCCTGCGAGTATGAAGGGAAGTCTCTCAACCATCGAGTACGTTCTGCGTGCGACCATGAGTCCACGTTCAGGCGAACCCCTCAAGCTGTCTCACAAGCTCGATGTGAAGCGTGCCATCTGCCCCGCAGAATCACCCCGTCATTCCATCCGCATCTTCCCTCCCACCAACCTCACTGCAAACTGCGAACTCCCATCAGTTATCCACCCAATTGGCGAAACGAATATCTCGATGCGAATTGATGGTGTAGTGAAGAGAAACGTGGAGACGAAGACACAAACGCAATGGAAGTTGAAGAGGGTTACATGGCGTTTGGACGAGACACAGAAGATGATTGCGCCCGCTTGTTCGAAGCACGCTGCCAAGGCTACCGATGAGCAGAAGAAGGGAGTCGCACACCAAGACGTGAGAACAATTGGCACAGACGAGATGAAGTCGGGCTGGAAATCAGACTACAACTCCCCGGATGGATCAATTGATCTAGAATTCCCAATTAGCATTCGACCCGAAACGAAGCCAATTTGCGACTTAAAAGCCGAGGATGGAACTGAAGTTTCTCATGTTCTAGTCGTGGAAATGATCGTGGCAGAGGAATTTGCACCCATCAAGAAGCCAACACAGGTTACACCAACTGGTGCTGCTAGGGTTTTGAGAATGCACTTCACTCTCACGGTCACTGAGCGAGCAGGTCTGGGCATCTCGTGGGACGAAGAGGCACCCCCAACCTACGAGAATGTTCCTGCCAGTCCACCAGGATATGGAAACTCGGAGGAATACTCAGGGCCACCAATTCCTGATTATGAGGATTTGTCACCTCTCGACAGCGTGATTGAAGGCAATGGAGAAAGTTCTTCTCCAGTACGAAGCAGCACGCACGCATTACAAATGATCATAATCGACGATCTTGCAACAGAACCTTAATCGCATACTTTTACGAATTTTACTCCGTCCTTGATTTGGATAGCTTTTTTCACCGTGGGAGGCATTAAGCGTTGTTAGAATTTTTGGGAGGATATACCCTGATTGCATGCAAAACAATTGGAAGGTGGAATGATCATATCAGCATGGCGTTTTTCGGAAGCAAAAGCATATTTCTCCGCTGGTTTGGGCGGTTACCTCTACTCTTGATGATGCACGGCGCTGGAAGTCGGGATTTGGCACACAGTACAACACATCGCAGCACCTTTGGAAAAGGTAGCTGGCATGGCATAAATGAGGTTTACCCATAGCGTAGCATAGTAGAGAGAGCAGGATAATTTGAACGAATGAAGAAAGAATGAAAAATTACATACTAGTTCCTTGTGTTGTGCTCAAGTTTGTGTGCAATGCCAGTTGGAGCTTTGTTGATGAGTGGCAGGAGTTTATGCTCTTTGCATTATGAGCTTAAAGATGAGATTGTCCTTCATGTCTCCAAGACATGAACCCAAGCTCAAATCCTAAGGATTTCCCAGACAAGCATCACCCTCTTGGTGTTCGAGTCTAGGACAGATATCAATTAGCTTTTATTGACTGGGTTATTTGAGCATGCATTACTATTTCACCTTAAAAATTGACAAGCACCTAATGAACCTTGGAAATTAGTTAGCAAGTAGTCTCTTATATCTGATGGAGATCTTGTAGGCGAGTTAGTAGCTGGCTTTAAGCTTTAGTTCGAAAGTGAATGAATTGCTTGAGTGGGTTGAGTGCAGTTCAAGTGGTACTGAACGATTGGCGTCTTGCGATGTGCAACAAAACTTCTTCTTGCAATATGATTGGGTTTAAACTTTAATTCGAAGGTGAATTGCTTGTGTAGTAAGACTAAAACTTAAGTCTTCAAACAAATTTTTGGGTGACTAAATGACTAGCGTACTTGCGATGTGCAACAAAAGCTCTACTTACAAGGTAGAGGGGGATGATATTGAATTGACATGGTTACTTGTCCTGCATCTTTGTGATTTCAGACCAGAAACTATCCGACTTAGTTGTTTTCTCACTTAGTAGAGCGCTCTGGCACTCTTCTAGCAAATGTTAAAGCAACAGAAACGTCCTCTCTTTATGCGAAACCAATGCAGGAGCTGAGAACAAGAACACGTGAATGCTGCCATGCGTTGAAAATCAAAATTTTGTATTGTTTGCAAACTGCTAGGAGGGAGAGTCGATAAGCTTCACGATCTTTGTGAGTCTTCGAGCTTGATATCTGCCTCCTGAATAACTTTAGACATGATTCTAACCTGTACTCACACAAATACTTGCGCTCTAGCGCTCCTGCTTTGCTTGTCCGTCCTTCTGCTTCTTCACAACGACAACATGCTCCTTCAGCTGCTCATTCGTATCGCGTACGTCCATGAACCTTAGCTCTACCTCTGTAAGCACTCCCATCCTTTTTGCAGCGTTAAAAGCAGCTCTGCTATTCTTGATATCCCAAAAGCTCCAGGCAGTGTTGACAGCATTCAAAGTCCGGATCCTGGAGAGACTTCGAAGGGTATCACGGTTATTGAGCTCTCTTCTACCGCAGATAACGTACAAGATCTTCAACTTCGGACACTGCTGAAAGTTAGTATTATGCTTTTGAGTAGAACACTCCACTGCTTGTTGGATATGTGTCAAGATCTCGATCCCTGCGGAAACGGTAGACCCCAAGACAGGATTTGTACATACCATCCTATGCAGAACCTCCCAACCAATTTCTCCAGAAACCCTCTGAGGCGCAAAGAACCACTTCACCATGTTGACACTCAGTGCCATAAACCGGATCTCTTCCAACCACTTGCCACCGGTTTGCGGACTCGACGCGAAATGAGGGACCCAGGAATACAGCTGTTGGACCGGTCTATCATCACGCAATGGCGCGATATCCCATTCCTGCATACCTGGAACTCTACCCTCGAAATAGACTATGTCGTGCTCCCAGTTAATGAACAGCGTTTCGCTGCCGAATACCGAAGTGAGCCATCTTTCAACTCTGTGATCCTCTAGGAATAGTTCGCGGGACCTTGCACAGGCATGTAGTAAGGGCGGGACAACGGGTGAGCGCCAGATGATGATGCGGTTTTGGATTGCTTGGATTGCCGCACGCCCTATAACCAGAGTCTCAGAGTCAGTATATCTCCTTTGTATGCCCCGGGAGCAGATATGCGTGGCCTAGGAGTACCTTCAGAGCAATAACTCCAGAGTCCGGAGACAACAATGAATAGGATTCTGTTCTCTGAGAACTTGAGACTTACAGATCAAAATTTGTATTTCGATTGGGAAGTCCAGAAATACGTGGAAATTTGTCAGTATGACTCGTTTAGAAACGCCCGTGGAGACATTGGACGGAGCTGGTGGTACCGTTGCGGTTGAAGGAGAGGTAGGAGAGTTTTTGTTGACAGACGCAGGCTTTTTCTCGCGCATCGCTGGCTTCGAAGACAATGCTTCTCCCGCTGACGTAAGAGCTTCTGCGAAGGAACTGTGTGGAAAGAAGGCGACAGGGTCCCGCTCCTTCTTCTTGCTCTTTCCGTATGTTTTGAGTGTCATCTTTGCACCGAAGCTAGAAACGATTGGGGGAGAATTGTCGACGAGCTGTTGTGGTCTGTGAGAACGAGGTTGAAAACGAAAATTTGCACTGGACCTAAAGTTTTGGAAGAAGACTACGTGATGACGAAAGGTGAATTCTTTAGTGTACCAAAAAAGTTGTGTTGACACTGGTAAAGCTGCATCTCTAGCCCCCGGCTCGACTTCAGATGGGACGAGCCGACCCGATTGCACCTTCTGATACTGTACAAGACGCTAGCATCCTCACCTATTTCTATCCTATTTCTATCTAGTAGTCAAGCGGTCGCCTACGTCACGAGATCCGACCTTTGTAGAAGTTAAGATCGTGTCTTCTTGTTCGCGTATTTCCGTTCTGTAACAACCACCTTCCGACCACCCACACTCTTTCAGATATCTTCTGTCAAAGGGAGCTCCACGATCGGCGAGAACTTGGATTACTTATACGTATCTCCACATACTTCTCCTGGCAATCCTGTAAGTTGCGCCTGGTTGCCTCTGAGAATGCCACCGACAACTAGATCGACTCGCGCTCGCACGCGCAACAATCCTCCATCGAAGAAATCTCCGCCTCAAGATGATGCCGTCTCCGACTTTTCTCCCCCCAGACGCAGCAAGAAACTCCGCACTTTAGGTCCATCTTCCATTGAGTCCCCTCCTCGCATGACCCGGTCCATGGTTCCAGCAAGTGTCCCCGATCTTCCTGGCACGCGGCGCGACTGGGTCGGGACTTTAAGAACTGAAAGTAAGATTGCCCAAGCCGTCGTAGCCAAAGAGCCTTGCTCCGACGAGACAAATGTCGAGGGCACGATATATTCACCGCTCGCTCTCTGGGCTATGAAATCTGCAAGCCCATTGGTCTCTGATTCTGTCTCCGCAAGCCAAGATAAGTCTGGCGAGTTCTATCTCTTTGCGAGGTTGCCTGCCGAAATCCAATTAATGATCGTAAGTAACTCCTTTATTTCCTTACCCTCGCTATTCCTCAACCTTTGTGTATTGCATTTTCCGAGCAACGTCCAATATTCTTCGGTGATTTATCTTCGAAGGAAACCCAGCACTAACTTTCTGCAGTGGAAACAAGCTCTTGTCCCTCGCATCGTTGGCTTGAAGCCCGACAAGATCCCAGCTATCTTCCATGCCTGCTATGCTTCCAGGAAAGTGAGCAAGTACATCTTCCAAAATAGCCAAGCACACAAAACCGGCGTCCTTCTCAATCCCGAAGTTGACATCCTCTTCTTCGATCGGTCCTCTTTCTCAATACAAGCCAGCTACCACACCAGTGCTCACCACACTCTGCGCTGCAATGAAACACCCTCGATAATTACTAGGCATGTCCAACGAGTGGCATTCAGTGTGCGCGAGATCAAGACTTGCTGGACTCTTGAGTGTTTCCACTGCTTTATGGTATACAAGTTAGCCGTACGCTTTCCCGAGCTCAAAGAGTAAGTAAATAGCTGATTCAACCTGCTTTTGTGCCTGTACTATGCCTTCCCTGATAATCATTTCCCCATGATATCCTTCACTTAATTCTTATTACCCCATGACGTGTGAAAACCATTACTAACTTTCAGCAGGCTGATTATCATTCTCCGACCAGGTCCCTTGGGAGCTGGCTATGATGATCTTTATGAGACTGAACTGAGTAGTGAGAATAATCGCACCGACTCTTTCCTGGGAGATATCAAAGACATGTTCAAGCACGCCCAGAAGCACAAGACTCTGAAGGCTTCTTGGAAGAATGTGCAGCTCAAGCTGATGAGAAATGAGACTTGGGTTAAATAAATGGTCGAGCACTTGGCGTATATGGGACTAGGTCTTTACGCAGTTGACTCTTGCTGTGTAGGGCTTAGGGAATAGTAGGTTATGGCATTGACGCCTTGCACACATGCTACCATATGCAGGAAAGTGGACCACTTGGTTTTCTTCGTCAGGGAGGCTTTTCTCTCATACGAAAAATCGTTGTAGGATTATTTCTTTATGGACAGCGCGGTCTTCATTTACAGTTTCTGGCAGTTGGAGGAAGATGCGTGGAAACATGGGAGCGCAGCCTTTAGTAACAGCCATAAATTCACCAAAATTTTCTTTGAACGATTGTGCTTCTTTCATGTGAAGGTGTTCTCGAACTTACGCTCGTGGGTTATGTGAAGCTCACTTTCAAGTCCTCAACTCGCCTACCTCTCTCGATTATTTAACCTCCTTCCCTGAACACAAACTTTTCCCCACGCAACTTCAACAACCTCAACAACAGCACCTTCGCAATTCCCTCAACCTCTCGCACAATCAACATGGATCTCGAAGCCGCAGCAGCGTTCCAACGAATTGCTGTGAAGAGAGGAATCAAGATCTCCAAGCCTCCTTCTCCTCTTGCTGCACCTACCTCGTAAGCTCCTCAATCTCACGCTCTACTACCTGCATCTAACGCGCAGCAGACCAACTCCCGCAATCGTGGAGCTCATCGCGTTCGAGAAGAAGTGCCAAGAGAAGGGTATTGCAATCTCGGAGCCACAAACCCTGGGTTTGAAAGTGAAGGTCAACGAGGTAGAGGCAGAGTTCAAGAAGGAGATCCGCCCCATTGATTCGGAGAGTATGTTCAGCAAGGCTTGTGTGGGAAGAGGAATCAGGATTGCGAAGCCGACGCCAATCTTGGAGGGAGAGGTAGAGGTCAAGATGGATGTTCGTGCCATTGAACCTGAGAAGATGTTCAGCAAGGCTTGTGAGGGTAGGGGCAGTAAGATTGCAAAGGATACAGAGGTGATTGAGGAGAGGTATGTTTTCTGTTCAGCTTCAATTGAGGTGCAGAGGATGCTGATTTTGTGGATAGTGAGGGCAAGAAGGAGGAAGCAGCTGTTGGCGGAAAAGCTACGAACGCTGCTGGCGAACAAGAAACGGAAGTCAAGTCTTCATTCGAGAGTGCTTGTCTGAACACAGGTATCCGATTCTCGAGTGTCGTGGAAGAGGAAAAGACCGAGTAAGTTTGATGAAATGGCTTCATGGTACAGCTGCTAACGAAATCTAGGGACAAGGAGGAGCCAAAGTCTGCCTTTGAGGTTGCTTGCTACAACAAAGGCATCCGAATTGCGAAGTCCGCTGCCGACGCGAAGAATACGTCTCTAACCTATACTGGACAGCTATCTGGTGCAAAATATGAAGAGATGTGCAAGGAATTCGAAAAAGCTTCCATTGAAGTCCTGCCTCAACTAAGCATGGGCACTGGATTTTCCAGGTAAGCAGCTCCACCAAAATTTAACAATGTTGTAGACGCTGACAATGGTCAGCACAGAAGCTTCTATTATTAAGCCATTAACCAAGTTTACCGTCTTCTCTGGCCTCCCTTACGAATTGAAAGCCGAAATCTGGAAATTTTCATGTTTTCCCCAAATTATCATCTGTGATGATACGACAACTAGAACGAGAGCTCCTTCTGCTGCCAAGGTCCCGGTCATCTTGCATGTTTGTCGACAAAGTAGGGAGGAGGGTTTCAAGCATTATAAGACGAGGATCGAGCTTGCTAGAGGGAATAATAAGGGAGATAGGTATGTGTATGTTAACTATGAAGCAGATCTCTTTCATACGAACGTCGACCTTCATCCGACAAGGCTCATCATCGGCTCAAGGCAGCATCCAGCGACCATACCAGTGCTGAAACTTGCGTGGTCTCAGCCAATCAAGCGCTTTGGTCTTTGTCTTTCCAAGGCCTACAACTATATTCGAAGCATTACGGCTCACCACGCACTTTCTCAACCATTGCCGATTCTCTGGCTCCTGTTCCGAGTCCAGTTTGCTTCAGTGCTTGAGTTTGTCGTGGTTATCGACACCGGCTACTTGCTCGAATTCTTACTCGAGCCAAACGATGAGCTGGTTGAAGCGAATTATCAGAACATGCTGGATAAGGGAAATGAGCCAAAAGAAACATTGAAAATGATGCAAAGAATCTCGCAGAGTTTGAAGGATATGCAAGTTAAGGGAGAATTTCTGAATCTGAAGCTCACTTTCAAAAAAGTGATCGAGGGCTCAAGATTTCGCAACGATTAAGGAAAAGTGCTAGACGGATAAGATGGTGATGATTTCTCTTTCTTTCATTTCTTTGAGATTCGGAGTTAAAGACATACAATGGCATTTATCTAAATCAGTTGCACTTCCAACGTGATCTTTGAATCTTCTGTTACACAAGTGCTGACTCCCTCGTCAGATACAGCAAAGAGGTAGAGACGGAGGTCACAGATCATGCTTGAAGGTTTGAAGGCTGTTGACGGAGGGTTTTGTATTGATTGTTTTCGATAGGGTACAGATGCAACAGAAGATACAGACGCAAACACGAGCGCGCAGAGAGGCAAGATGTATTATATCCCGAGGTATTATCCATTGAAGCATAGACTAGCAACCACCCTACGCCAAGAAAAGCTCAATGTCCCATTGTCCCAGATTGTATCCTGAGCCTTGTCCGAGTTTGGAGTTCCTGTCTAGCAGCAGCACTCGCAGCAATCCTTGCAGCACTCGAAGGCGCAAATACCAGCAAGGCTATTTGAAGGATTAGTTAACCATGTACAAAGAGGAACGCTATCGAGACTCTACACGGATGGCTAGATGCCAACATCGCGATCGAAAAGAGGAGGACAGGTAGCTTACCAGTCGCCGACGGCACCACCTCCACGCATGCTAACCTCGGGATCCGCAGTCATGGTTTGAGTCTGGGTCTGGCACACAAACAACCATCAGCATTGAACCAAATCGAATCGATGCCCAAGAAAATGACGCCATGACAAGCATTCATGAGGATATAAGGGTTCCTGCATAACATACCGGCTGTTGAGCAATGATACCATTTTGCTCGGTAGTCATCTCCATCTGCTGAGCCTGTGGCTGTTGGTTGATTTCTGCGTTTGGAGACATGATTGATTGTTTATTGAAACGATTGTAATTTTTCTTTTTGTGATAGATAGATTGATCGAAAGATGAATTTTAGGAAGGAGAAAAAAGAGAGAGGGGATTTCTCAATTCCCATCAGCCCACCTTATAAGTAGCGAGCTAGCCCTACCCCACGTCACCCGGCCTAGCCAAGAAAAAGCTTGTTTGCATCAAGCACGGCCAAGAATAGACTAGCTGGACGTCATTACGCCTGGTTCCTGAGCGAGTGGTTGGGAGTGATAAGATGCGTGTGCGTGAATGGCTCGAGTGAGGAGATCGAGATGAGGGAAGTGTCTTGGAGTTGGTTGGATGTCTCGGCAAGGTTCGTTGCCAAGAAAAAACTTGGTTTTAGGGGGCAGCTAGGGGTTGCATTTACCGATTGGTGGAGGTGACGTTCACGATTCTCCTGCTCTTTCCTTCTTTTGAAAATGTCTGAAACGGTTTTGGGGTTTTATTTGCTTGGATGAATGGATGAATGGTTTGTGCCAACTGAGGGTAAGCTCAAAACTACTTGATTGGCAGAGAAACTTAAGCTGGAAATGCGACACGTGATGCATGGAGTTCTTACTTCCATCGCATTAAATTGCTTCAAACTTCTTGATCTCCTGATAGAATGGTTGCAGCAAGCGAGCAGAATTCCGGTACTTTGGTTTGACGGCCATTAAATAAACAAGTGTAACTTTCTCTATTTAGCAAGTCTTTCCGCTATGATAGTTTCCATTCATGGAAGAATGTGACTTTTTGAATCCTATGAGACGACTTTCTCCAGGTCCAATTGGGCTTCACGAAACCTCAATTTCTCATTCGACAATGGCCAGCAGATAGCGCAGAGTCCAGACTTTAATTCTTTTCATAATTAACAATAAGTGTACGGAATCACAACAGATAGATTGAAATTGTACAGGTTAGGTATACATTCCAGCCTTCATAGTAGTTTTAAGTTTCTCCTTTGACTGAAGATCTCATGCTACATTCGAATGAAAAGCGAAACAAATATGAAAGGAATAACTTTGAAGAGCATGAGATCGTTGCTAGAAATAGAAGAGGTGCCTTTCAATCGATAAACATGGGTTATTAGTTCTGAGACCAGACGCCTGGCTTACAACCTCATTCTTGCAAGATTCCATAATCTGGGTAGGTTGGCAGGTGTTCGGAAAGGTATGCTTCACCGTTTGGAAAAAATTGCCCTTGGGGGACAGGCCTTTCTGTTGCCGGTCTTAAGCTACAACATGAAAGCGAGTAACTAGGAGCTATTCCTACATAAGGCTGTGGACTTGATTCAGAGCCTCGATTCGGATCACTTTCAACGCTGCTAAATCTTTCCGCTTATTTTTCGCGCTAGACTGTACAGTCTTACTTCATTATTCGATAATTTGTAAACAAGTCAGTCTCGTCTTCAAGAGTTTTGGCTTAACACCAAACCTTCTCTGGCGCCATCTCCAAAACATTACCAGACTTCTTGTCGATACGAAAGCACATCTCTCCACTGTCGCTAGTCAAACGCGCAACAAGAATGGCTACGAACGCTCCTCAACGAGAGCCGAAAGACGAACGTCCACTGGTTGGAGCTCCTCTCACTGAAGATGAACTTGCACCTACCTCAAACCCGCCTCATCCCATTCACGATCAGCTACGTTCTTTGTCGTCATCAATCACCAGCCTATCAATCTCCGAACCATGCTCCACTCCACGAGGAGACTTCGAACCCTTCGCCAACCTCGCAATTGAGCTCCGCCTAGCAATAGTACGTGGCTTTTCCGGAGCTTAGATTTTGTTCAAAGAAGTACGCTAACGAAGACGTTCCAGTGGGATATAATTGCTACCGAACCCCGCCTTGTGCACTGGCGACCCGGAGGCGGAAAGCAACCCACAATCCTTGCCGTCAACCACGAGTCCAGAGAAGTCGGCTTAAAGAACTTCACGCTCTGCTTCGACCGATACCTTCGAAGCGGCGTTTATGCAATCTTTGTCAACATAGAAATCGACACCCTCTACCGAAAGCAGATGGTCCCAAACCTAACGCGCATGCGCGACGCTGGCGCTATCCCACTTCCTTCCACCATGGGTGTTGATGGACCTGTTGGTCCGAACTGGAATGTGCGATACTGGACAAAGTCTCTACGACGACTGTGTATCAGCATTCATGAGGCTTTTGCCGTTCCGAAGACTCCTGGACGCATGCCCGGTGGAAGAGGAAGACAGCAGCAAGGTATTTGGCCAAAGCTGAAGGCTATGTGTCCAGATTTGGAGGAGTTGATCGTTGCTGTACCGAGGATCCGCCATGAGTCTGTGTACCAGGTACACACGATACTACCCCAGAAATTAGTATACCTTCACGATTTGATGGACCTCCCTGCCGGATATGGAACAGCAGAAGAACAGATGAAGATGGCGACGATTGTGGCGGATCTTGTTCGTGTGCAAGGTCGAGGGCATCTACTGAAGCTGAAAATGAAGTTTCAGCTGATTGGATCGAGACAAGAAGGTTGTTAGGCTGTCATGTTTCTAAGTTGGTGGGTTGTATGATGAATTCGTATTACGTATGAGAGGGATATTGGTGGCAGGTGAGCTCGATGATCGAACATGACGACGAAAGTGGGAGCTTGTTGGATTGGGCAACGACTCTGTAAATACTACGAAAGGAATTTGCTTAGAGTTCCATCTTACGCTTTGAGTGCTTTGTGAATTGAAGGCTGTTGTTAGGTTTGACAAGACCGGGAATATTGGTGAATGAGTGCCATGTTCGATTCGAGGTCTTTAATATCAGCCCCAATAATCAGATATGTTTCTTCCTTTCGCAGTTTCGTATTTGATAGGTCAATGGTCGTTGCAGTCAAAATGAGGTTCAAATGAATATTGTAAGCGCAAGTGACACCACATGGACGATGTCAGGTCGCTTAAAATAGGGGCTTTAAGCGAGTGCTTTTTTAGGCTGGTTCATCTCTAGAGCACATTATGCTCCAAATCCACAGATATAGAGCAAAACACGGAAGGGGCGAGATCCATCAAATGCCTCTACTGAACTTGACATGTTCGTTAATCAGAATGTCGGAATCAAGAGGATAGCTTTCCGAGTCTTAGATTTGTGGTATCCGATCTCGCAGTGGTCTCCACAAGCCTTTTAAACACCAGACATGAATAGATATTGTCCAAGTATGACTACGCCTTACTCTATGTAAAATCTCTATGTCAAGTTCGGCTGTGAGAATGCATGACGTGCGAATCGAAATATCCGACCACATTGAAGTTTCCGACATACTCATAATGCTCAACATAGGAAAAAGATATTCACCTGGAATTCTCAACACTGGCGATCGAAGTAGGATGAACGATTAAGCAGTACACGGACGGAGATCCAAGATTCCATGGACACAATTAGGTTTATTGAAATTCCCGAAGCCTAGTGGTGGAAGCCTGTCAAATGCCTCCTCGCTTAGCTCTACCAAGAGAAGTAGTTCCTGGTGACGCAACAAAATTCCCTATCCTGCAAAATTGCCAACCAGCGCTACGCTCCCAACCATGCCAATTATGTACGAGGTGTCCAGCAGAGGAAGCCAAGGATCAGCTGAGCAACTCCTTAATATCTTCAATACGCTGCAGCTTTTTCTCTTCATCGCTCATCATACCAAGTGAGCTCGCACTATATCTTATCAGTATTGTCCGTGTCTCAGATAAGCTTGTAAACTCACATAAACTTCTTCCTATCTTGAATCTTCAACATCCTCTCTTCCACACTTTCCTTCACAATGAATCTGCATACTTTCACTTCATCAACTTGTCCCATCCGATGCACACGATCAATGGCTTGTGCCTCGACAGCAAAACTCCACCACGGATCCATCATGTAGACCCGCTTGGCCATCGTCAAGTTGAGACCCACACCACCGGCCCGCAAACTTAGAAGTAGCACGATGCCCTTGTTGCTTGCGGCGAATTCGCTAAGTACAGCGGCTCTGGCTTTCTGTGCTATGGATCCATCGAGTCTCATAAAGGGGATTGATGCTCGTGTAAGAGCAGGTTCGATGAGAGACAGGAAGGATGTGAACTGACTGAACACTACTGACTTGGTACCTGGAAGCTCTTTTCTCAAAGTCTTGAGATGGGTTAAGAGTGCTCCGATTTTGGCAGAGGAATTGGATCCTAGTCTTTGCAAACTGATTTTCGGCTTCCCGTCAGCGCTCTCAGGGTGACCTTCGTCCTTGACTACCTCGAATATGTCACGAATATTAAGCACTTCTCTGCAGTTGAAGCATCTTGGAACTTCTCCCTTGTCTTGTTGATGCGTGATATAATTGAGGAGGCATTTCTTGCATGCGGAATGCCAACAGCCTGTAACAGTCTGTTCAACCATTGGTTCTTCAGAGCATATGGGACATTCACTATCAGCCTCGTCGCGAATCTGCTCAAGAACATGAGCGCCAAAGGCATTTGCATCTGCAGAGTCGTCCGTAGCAGCTGTGAAGCGTTCGATTAATGATTGAAGATCCATGTCATCTGCCAACCCTGTTGAAGCATCAGCCAGCTCAGCAGCTTCCAATTCGTCTGCGACAAGGTTCTGATTGCGAGTCAGAATTGGGTGGCAACATGACTGTCGAAGACGTAGAATCTGGGCGAAGATGCTAGTGTAGGCCTTCAAGACAGTCCCAGCTTCTACGTTCGCCGCAAATGTTCGCTTAGCTCGTGTAAAAATATGATCATAGACCTCCCTCTCTGGTTTCGAAAGTTCAATATCCATGATCTCGATGGTTTTGGGAGGTAATGGAACAAGTGCTTCTCCGGTAGGTGTCTTCATATCCTTTGTGCGGCGCAGTACCAGAGGTTCTAGGACAGTTTGGACGACATCAAGAGCACGCATGAAGTCTTTCGATTCGAACGGGACGGTGATAAAGGTCTTCCAGAAGGAGAAATTGCTCCAAGGCTCCACCCTCAAGAATTTGACCAAACTGAACAGATCTTCTAATCTGTTGACAATTGGTGTACCTGTCAATACCCAACGATGCTCTGCATCAAGTTCATAGCAAGCCTTTGCAGTCTTGCTTTGTCTGTTCTTGATATGATGAGCTTCGTCGAGAATGATACGGAAGTACTTTAACGAGAACAATCCACCATGAGTTCCACGGTCCCCATTCCTGGCAGCCACCTGATTGAATTCCGACAGAATGACGCCGTAACTTGTGATGATCACGTTGGGCGCAGATGCCGCATTGGCTTCGCAACACAATGCCTGTAGGTTGGCAGTCTTTTCACTACCGTAATAGACCATACTTTTCAAAGTTCCTTCTTTCGATGCATTCTCCGCCTCACTTTGCCACTGAGCTAGTAGAGACATGGGAGCAACTACTAGAGTTGTGCATGGAGCATATTCGACATTAGACGAATTGGCTGGTAATCTTGGTAGACTATTGACTGACGTGATTGCCGTATTCAGCTTTTCCAATCTCATGGCAATCTCTGACTTGTGAGAATGAATCAGACTCATCATCTCAATTGTCTTTCCCAGTCCCATTTCGTCCGCAAGAATGCCACCAAGGCAATGCTGCTCCTGGACGGGGAACTTAAGAGATAGCTCGCCAGAGTATGGATTAACATAGAACGCATCCTGACCGGCGACTTGAGGCAATTCTTTATCGTCGTTATCTTTGAAAGGCCAGGCATATTCTTCCCATAATGGATGCATTGAGGCCTCTCTGCTCTCGTCTTTTTCATCCTTCTCTTTCGACATCATCCAATGTAGGGCTTGTTTCTGATATTGCCGTAAGTCCATAGCAAATGTCTTAGCTGGCTCTGCAGCAGGAGCATTGAAATCAAACGACTGAGCTTTCTTGTATAGCGTGTCTAATTGATCTTGCTCCAGCTCTTTACCTTCCTCTTCCTCGGAAGGTGGAGACGATCCGCCATTCTCTGTCGATTCTGGTTTCTTAGACTTCTGAGCTTCGTATTGTTCAGCAACTTCGGCTGCTTGGAGCAATCCCTTACGTTTGTGCTTCGCTGTAGTCTCCGATGTCCTGGACGGAAGCATATTGATCTCCTCGAACAATTTGACAAGCGCCACCTGACGCAGCCTCAGCTCTTTCTCCTCCGATGTTTCCTTCTCCTCAAAAAGTCCGGTTGTCCGATTATCATGCAGCTTAAAACCGCCAGTGTCGAAAGCTGTCCGGAGTAACGAGCATCTCAGTTGAATAAAAATGGTGTCGTTGGTACGTATCCGCTCTGGAGCATAGATGCATGTGCCTTCAAATTTACAGACTTTCTGGTCTATCAGTGTAGATACCCAGTTGGCATGGTCTCGAGGTAGTCTGCCAATCTCTTCTCCTCTCGCATTAGTGAAGCGTACGACTACATCAATTCTTTTCGCAGCAGCACTGTTCGGCTTAGGGGCATTTTGTGCTGGTCGACCCTTTCCTTTTCCTGTTGGGGTTTTTGGTGGTTGTATCTTTTGCCTTTCGATACGTATAGGCTCGCCATGCTTGATCAAAGTTGTACCGCTCCTCGTTGCCCAACCACCAACTCCAAAGACGCCAACATATCTAGATTCAGGAATTGATTCTCTCGGTTGTACGTTCGAGACAGGACTTCTTGTCCTTGGGCTTTTATGATTACTTCCTTCGGCATTCGAATTCGACCTTGTAAAAGCATTGATTGTCATTGTCTTGGAACTCGAAGACTTATTGGTCGAAGCAGTATTCCAAGAACCATCAAAGTACATGTTGACGGCTCTCTCCATGTTGTCTCCAGATGCCTCCCGCAACTTCTTCAGAACATTCGGCGCCACTTTGTCTCCAACAAAGCTCTCAAATGTATCTTGATTAAATCCGAGCGGCTCATCATGATGAATTTCTCCATTTTCAGGAGAGCTCTGAGTTGCCGAATCTGCTGAGGCATGCGCTGAAGTCAATACATTTTCTCCGTGGTGTATTGGGTCCGAGAACGCGTCGAATTCGTCTGGTAATGATGGCTCATGCGTCAAGGAAGAGTCAAGAACAGCCGATTTTTCTGTAAAGAACCTCCTCTTCTTCGCTGGAGGTCCCTCTGAATCTGCGAAACTCATACTGATGTTGTTGCGTGGTGTACAGACATCTCTTCCTCCAAGGTGGAGTGGGAGAAGACGCGGCGAGAAAACGCGATGCGGGTCGCGTAAATTGCTTTCAGGTGACGTCCTCGAATCTTTTGAAATAAATTCTAATCAGAGCCTCCGGCCAGATTTTCTTGTGTTTGTACGCAAACCAAATTAATGTAATGTATTCAACGAGAGCAAGTATAAGACTTGGAAGATGTACAAAATTTCGCCCAGCTTCACGATGCAATTATGCCACAACTCCGTACAGCACGCCAGCTCCATATACTTCTCGTATAACTGATGCAGACGTCCATGCAGCTCGAACCTACTGCTCCGGCCTTCTGCAGTAAGTCTATATTACTTCAATTGAATTGTGTAAAGCTAAGACCAAACAGGAAATACGACTCCCCATCCTACACTCTCCAAACTTTTGTCCCTCCTTCAGCACGAGATGCCTACCTTTCTATTCGAGCCCTCAACGTCGAACTTGCTAGAATACCAGAGCTAGTCTCAAATCCGACAGTAGGAGCTCTGCGGATGCAATTCTGGCGCGACAACCTTACTCGAACGTTTGCCAATACACCGCCCAAAGAGCCAGTTGCAATCCTTCTGCATCATGCTCTCTCATCACTACAATCTCGCCACCCGGGGATCAGCACAAGTGTGATGAAGGGATGGTTCATGAAAGTTGTCAATGGTAGAGAGCAATATATGGACAATAGGCCGTACACAAACCTGGATGCCTTGGAGACATATTCAGAAAATACATATTCAACGTTAATGTATTTGACATTGGCAGCTCTTCCAATGCATTCAATGGCAGCAGATCATGTCGCAAGCCACATCGGGAAAGCTACTGGGATTGCTGCAGTGTTGAGAGGATTGCCGTTATTAGCTTTCCCACCACCACCAAATCATCATAGCAATAATGCTGCATTTGGTGGTGCTTTAGGCGGGAGCACCGGCGGTCGTCAAGGAGCGGTTGTTCTACCGTTAGATATCATGGCAGAAGCAGGTGTCAAAGAAGAAGATGTCTTCAGGCAGGGAGCCGATGCACCAGGGTTGAAAGACGCTATCTTCAGAGTTGCTACTCGAGCCAACGACCATTTGATTACAGCCAGAGAGATGTTGAAGAACTTGCAACAGGGGAAAGATGCCGGACATGATTTTGAGCACGAAGGAGAAGAAGGACATCAATACGCTGAGATGAGCCCAAAGGATCACTCGCAAGCAGATGAATTAGAAAGAGGATTTGGTGTTCTCATGCCAGCAGTAGCCACGAGATTATGGCTTGAAAAATTAGAGAAGGTCGATTTTGATATATTTCGATCCGAATTAAGGGCTAGAGAATGGCGACTGCCATGGAAGGCATACTGGGCCTATTCACGGAGAGCAATATAAATGCCCTTTGTCCAAACCCTCCCGAAGATATCTATGTTAGAGTGAACCCTTCCTTCAAATGATCATATTACCACAATTTCATCCCTCCAAATATCTTCTCGTCGTTATGTTCCAGTAAAGGTCTCACACACGTCAAACGATCTTCTCACTTGAAAGCGCTTTGATCTGGCGGAATATCATGTAATGCAGGGGTTCGCGTCTTATCGCATCGCTAGCATGAGCTTCTTCTCCCTTTTACTCAAATCACTTCTTGAAGTCCCAAAGTCTCGATGTCACAACCCACAGATTTAGTGCCAAACTTCGCAATGCACGACAATATGCCCTCTCAGAGTTCGAAATCCAGTGACCAGCCTACCATTCAAGTTACAGCAGAACTCTTCAACTCGCTTCTGAATTCAGTTGAGCTGCTGAAGCAAGATGTCTCGAGACTCAAGGCTGAGAATGCTTCCATGGCATCCGATCTTCAACTCCTTCGGCAGCATAATGGCTCCAGATTCTATCTCTTTTCGAAACTTCCGACTGAAATACGCCATATGATTGTAAGCAGTAGCAACAAGCTTTCCGTACACCTCGAATCCACGTCTTCCACGATGAACAAGCATATCGTAGTCAGGCAAATATGCTCATGCAGGCCTGTAGGGAAGCTCGCGAGATTGGGCAAAAGATGCAAATGCCATTCTACTCTTACCACGCTGATCAATGGTTTTTGACTGCTCCAAAATGTCGATCTTATATCAACATAGATATAGACACTATCTGGCTCCACAGGACCCTCGTCATGCCTGACCACGTGCATTTCTATAGGGGTCCGCAGTCCGTGTCCACTGAGCGTGACGACGTATCATGGGATCTCGAGGGAGCGAAATGTCAACCACAGTTTCGTTTTAACTGCTTGGCAATGGATGCCGATATATGGGAAGATCCCGTGGTTGACATTAGAAGAAACGAACACGTCGGATCGACCGACGTACTCCGCATGGCAAACAGCCCGCGTGAACTGTATATTGTTGTTGCTAGACCAAGGGTGTTCAGCTCGTCAAAGATCGTATTCGTCAAGCCATCATTACTTCCTCATGAGATTTGTGCTCCAGATCGCGCGCAGTACCGGACAGGCATGTATCCTCCGGACAATCTAGTACACCCGGACCACACATATACATGGGAAAAGGCAGCTCGAAGATTGGAAACATTGCTAACTCAGTTCAAAGACAAACGCGCAAAGGACAGAAAGACAGAAATCGAAGGTATGGACGTTTCTCCTGCAATAGTTCCCTGAGGTTGAACTGACGGTCCGGATAGAGAACGGATGGACTCTGGATGAGCTCGACAACTGGGTTGACTTTGTGGATCTATCTAATTTGGAGATTCCAAAAGTTAGATATGTGGAAGCTGTCGAGTATACTCACGACTGGGCCTAGCCCATAGACGATAGAGTCATCAACAAATTGAAACCGATAATGATGAATAACCTGGAGGAAGGACGGATAGCATGAAGAGAGTAAAGCAGCCTTCAGAGTTCAACCTCGACTTGCACGATACCATACATTGTGCAGATCTTAACCAACACTATTAATAATTCGATGTCTGCACTCAGTCCAAGTGATTGATCTGCATTGGTGATCGAGGAAACGCAGAGACTGGGTTTCTAATTCGTACTGAACTTGTTGGATGAGAGGTGGAGTTTGGAACATTGATAATATGTATTTTTGTACTTAAAAACGGGCTTTGATTCATTTCGAAATTGAGTGCCATCTATTGTCTTCTGATCGGGCGACTTCGAATCTTGACACATGGGAAAGCAGAGAAGGGTCCATCTTGCCTGTGCCCATTTCTATAACATCGAGCTTCACCTATTCATTCTTCGACCAAACCAAATGTATTTAAAGCATGCCAAGTCACATATGATCCATACTTAAGTGTCGCTGCTTTGATGTCAAGATTACACAGTCCGTACTTAACTCTCTTTATTGAATTCGTCATATTCTTATCTTGTTCATGCTCGAAATTCGTCGCCAATTTGAGGATCAGCAGAACTCTCACCCTTGTCTCCCTTCTTATTAAATACAGCATCTTTCATAAAGGGACTTCGTTTCCTAATCTCTTCTCCTTTCACAATCAGAATGACGGGTGCAAGTGTCAACACCAACGCGATGAAACCCAATAAACTGCTTGCCCATTGGAATCCCAAGTTTGTGTACAGTGCAGGCGAAGCCAGGGGCAAGAAAGCACCAAAGGTATTCCGTCCAAGCGAAGCAGCAGAAAGTGCTGAGGCTGCATACTTCTCATAGGAGTCGGTGAGATAAGTGACTACTGCGAGATAAATGCTGTAGATGCCAAAGCCAACAAATCCAATTCCAAACATGGGCACTACCCAAAGCACGTGCGGATAATTGGCCCAGCCATACCAGAATAAGCCAGCGGTGAAAAGCAGGCTTCCTGGGACGCTGGAGTATAACCTCGCTTCTGGGATAGTGTGCCCGTCTCTTGACCTCTTCGCCGATACCAGGTATTGATGATCCTGAATGGGATTGATGATTGTAGCCACCACTGCGCCAACTGAAAGTGCAAGTTGGATCAAGGAGTTTTCAAATTTGTTGAATCCGTAGTTGGTAGAGAATGTTTGAGGGACTGAAGACTGGAAAAGGAAGAGCAGACCCCACGCAAAGGACACCCAAAGTGTCTGCGAGAATACAACCCATTCGGTAAGCAACATTTTAATGGGGCGCTTAAACCATATTTTCAGGCGATGAATCATTGATGGCTGATCGATTTCTGCTTCCGCGTATCGAGGTTCTGCATCGGGATGCTCTTTTCGCCAGCGCTTTGCGTCTTGGGCAAGGATGATGTCTCCTCTCGTCTCAACCAAGAAGAACCAGAAGACAGGCAATAAAGTACCGATGGAGATGAGAAGGACCCAGTAAATCCATCTTAATGAGAGATGTGTTGTGATGGCGCCGCCAACAAATGGTCCCAAGGCTATACCAACAACTGATGTTGTCCCAAACAGAGCCATGGGCAAGCTACGTTGCTGAGCTCCTTTCCACACATCGGATATGGTACCTCCAACAATATTGATTGCAACCGAGGATGAACCTCCACCAAAAACCGACAGACAACCATAGTTTGGAAATTTTGAGCAACGCCACATGGAATCAGGAATATCAGGAAGATGATGTACGCTCCAAAGTACCCAGGCATTCGACCTGAAGTCTCGGTAAGAGGGACGAAGAGTAGAGGAAAAAGAGCAGCCCCCATGTTTCATGATGTTGTTGCAAAGTGGAGATATGGGAATCCGTCGTTGCTAACGATGAATACTCGAGACATTTCGTCGTTCCCAGCACCATATGCTCCAGCAGGTAAACCAAATAGAACCGACCTGGTAGTGTCAATCAGTGTTGAAAGTTACCCCTACATTATCGGAATTCTTACACGATCAGGACAGATACTTTAAGCCGCCATTTCACCCAAGGTGACCAGTTGAAGCTTCAATCAGATTGTAAGCAATATTCAAGTAGAATTAGAAATTGTGACGCACGGGTTCCTCTGGTCCTGGTCTCCATCCCAATCGTATAGCAGTGTGCCATCTGAATTCCGCGGTCGCTTGTTTTGATCTCCAGAAACTTCTTTGTCTAGTTCGACTACAAAAGATGATCAGTAGTTGCGTCTGCAAATCACTCAAGAAGACCTACAATGGGTGGCTGCTTCATTATGCTGAGCAGCCTCTTGGGCCAAGCTAGATTCTGAGCCTGCCATCTTAACTTGGTCTTGCTCTAAAGTGTAATGATTAGTCTCTGCAGGAGTTCGGACGCGCCGGATTGGATAGCAGTAGATCTCGGGCCCAAAGCAATGGATGAAGAATTATCACGCAAAACAATCCGAGAAACAATCTGAGGTGTCTGGTGTTCTAGAATGACAGCACCAGACTATTACTAACACCGCTACTCCGTTGTTCCGGGCAACCTCTTTTTCGATGTGGGACTTTCAACCTCAAGCAGTGACCACTACGACGAACTTCGAATCGGAAGTGAAGGAAATCGTACAGAACCATTACTTCTGCCCAAAAATCATTTGACCTAAATACTGAGAAGGATGTTTTTTCTTGCAAGGATGTATATCTTTTGTGGTTCGCTGTGCAAAGTTCTCTACTGTGATATCACAGCTCGCAGTATCACCGAATTCTCACCGTGACACTAAATCATCGGGTCCGTGACGCTATCGTACATGATACCGAGATCTAACCTTATCTCGAATCTGGAACCCTATCTTTTGAATCAAAAGATATGGAGCTTCCTCGAAGTAAGGAAGGAGCAAGGTTTGTCCCCAGGGGCCTTGTCGTGAGGTAGATATAAGTTTTGCACTGCTCATTGCAGCGGTGGAGAGAATGCCTCGACGACATCATATCAGCAACATTGCTTGGGATGACCGCTTGTCTGCTTGATACTTGTCCAGCTGATTGGTAGGCTCACAGAGACAGAGTATAACGACAAGCAGAAAGATAGGAAGAACAGAAATATATGGCGATGAATTAAGCTTAAGTCTCAAAGAGGCAAGGTCTCCCGAGGTCATCTCAGACTCGACACGTGATTCTACCATATCTGACTCTGCCATCTTCGCTCCTTCTCTGTCTACCTACATTTCAGTAACCAGGTCGGCATAATATCTGGGCAGTACCTTCTCTCCCAACACTTGATTGTTTTCCCCTGTTATTTAGGACAAAAAAGTTTGCATCTCGCATTTCACACATTTCGGACATCTGGCGCATTTCGCGCAATTTGCGCATCCTGCGCGCTTTTAGAGGAATGCCCATTGACCAGAAAAATATCAAAGTCTGATTGTATGTATGTTTCGATAAATTGCTTAGTCATTTCTTCTTTCTGCTTCGCACCCATTGTCGTTCTTCCCGAATCATGGTCAGCAAGTTCTTGAATTCAAATGCTTCTCGCGTCTGGTAATTCAGAAGGAATATTGCTATACAACATTAGCTCTGATCTTGGCCTGATGGTTTAATCGATCTTTCGTTCTATGAACAATGCTTCTCAGCGCTTCGCCTGCCAGCGGTTGGTATCAGTTGGGCAACTATGTCATACCTTTCAAGAATTGCATAACTCGAACTCCCTGCATCGAAAGTTGTAACTCTTAAACAAGAGTGCAAAGCTTGGCAGCTAGACACCTGTGCTTCAGGTGGTTGGAAGCACTGCTTTTTGCTGCACCGCACTTTTGGTTTTATCTTTTCACCGCTACCTCTAAAGCTTAGAAGATGCTATCTTCAGCTTGATGCTAGGTAATCCCCCAGGTGTTTGTAAGACAAAACTTTGACTGACTCGTCGTTTAACCTCTGCGATACTGTCATAGTATTGATGCACTTTCATTTAAGCTACTCTCGTGAATGAAGACCAGGTTCTTATTACTTCACACACCTTGGATCTCACATTGCAAGACAATAGCTATTTATGAACGCAACGAATTAGCTATTCGGCGACTCACACAAGTGCAATAGCTAATCAGAAGGGTTGGTGATGGAATCTTTGTCTAGAAATCTGACCCTACTGCTAAGAACGATCCCCAATTCGAAATGCTCCCTTCTTGCAGTCTTACTATCATGAGTTGCTTTCCGGCATCAAGGCTTGCGAGACCTTTGCCAAATTTCGAGTATATAGTTGCCACACGAAATCAATGAGGACCTCAACTTCTTAACGAACCAGGACACCTTCTCTTTTGCGAAAGTAACTTGGAGAAAATTTGCTTATGGTCTTGCAAGCGACGCAGATACAATATTCACTCAAGGCCAATAGAACACATGAAAAACAAATTTCCCCTCGGCGCATATCTGGCACGATTCACAATGTTAAGAAGTTCAATTTGAGCATGTGCTTAAAATTCGATATTTGCTGCCTTGAGCTTTTACCCCAGACACAAGCATCAGGACGAGCGGTGTTTTGTCCTATCTCAAGGCCCAGCTTACTTTCAAGAACTTTGTTGATACTATTGGTCTCTACAATGTGTTAAAACAGGGCCGAATCACCGGCTCCAATGTCCTTAGCTTTATGATCACTGATCACATTTGTCACTCGCAATACCTGCACAGCTGGAGCTAGGTTCAGAACCAACTTCCGCCACGAACAGACTTGAGCGCGCAAAGACAGTGACGGCAGAAGGATAATGTTGGAAGAAGTTTTGAAGCAAAATCAGGCAGGTCACATTACAGTGGCGACTTTGAGAGGCGATCAAGGCGTTCAAGATGCTCGGTGACACTAACTCCAACCCCACCAAGGGTCAATTTACCAAACATTGAATCTCGAACCATCATTCGATCATCCCCGCAACCAGTGGTTGGCCAAATTTACCAACTTGTATAGTTTCTCATGCCAAATTGGCAAATGCAGCCGAGAATGAAGCCGAGAAGAATTGTTGTCAAACTTGCAAGTGCGCTTACATCTTCATGCCTTGATGTGCTAAAGTAAAGTACATACAGCAAGGCCTTACAAACGGTGGCCTACCACATCCCGTCAAGGCCGAAAATTCCAATCGATTGGACCAGAGCTTTCAACGACGACATACTACCATTTTCAGCATAAATCCGTTCAAATAAGGTCTTCCCGCTATGAAACCAAACCTCGCCCCTCCACGTTTTTTTATTCTCCACACCCTGTTCATCAGCCTCTAGGTCCCTTGTCCAAACCGTTTCCCACGGCCACAGCCACGCGCAAACTTGCACCCCTCTCTCCCTTTCCCCGGGGCCTTGTAGTTCATAACCCTTTCCGGCGCCTGCTCGTTAAGATTTGTTTCTGCCGGGTCGCTTCGATACCTTGACATTTCCTACCCCCTTTCACGCTTGCAAGCTGCCCTCGCGACAATCATCAGATGGTGCGAGCTGCCCGCGTGCGGGTTGCGTCACGGTGGAGATTTTCTCCCCTCGATCGTCCATCCTTTACGAATTCCGAACAATGCTGTATCTAAATATAAATTAAGAATGTCGTGCGAAGAGATGCGAAAGGAGGCGAAAAGTAAAAAAGGTTATTTCCAGATCAATGATCAGCACCGTGAAACAGGAAACAAAATTCGCACTCACTCCCCACGCGCATACGAAAAAGTCTTCCCGCCCGTTACCAGAAAACCCCACCATCATCATCATCTTCTGGAAATTGTCCATCGAGAGGAGAGTCCGAGTGTTGCCCGCTGTGGCGACAGCCGTAGCTGTCATATCCACTAGAAACATTGGTAGTGTAAAGCCGTTGAGGGCTGAAACAAATCCAATCACTCTTGCCATCCAGTCAAATGGGCTCCACGACCAAGCTTCGAACAGCCCTTCTCGAACACCCTTCTGCCGACCAGCACGAAGCTTCAACTCGGCAATTGGAACCCCCAAAATTACGCCCCCGTCGAACGAGGGGAGGAAACCAAACTTTCGTCACGGCCAATGGAAGGGTTGCGCATTAACGCATATCGCTGTCATAAAACTCCATAACAGCCTCCATTATGCGGCAAGGGTGGCCGTCCAGGCACGATTATCTCGCCCCTGCCATGCGATACCCATATGGTATGGATAGGACGGCGGCGCACCTGAAACCAGCACCCGCACCGGAGCATGGAGAAAGTGTGCGCCCTACCTGGCTCGGTGCGGTCCAGGTGCCTAGGCTAGGTTCCTCAGCGCCGGAGACGAGCGAGGCTGCATGCATGTCTGACCTCTCATCGCTGAACACGTCATGTCATATCATTGAGAAGAAAGTGATGAGTGATGGATGATGGATGATGGAGCGGGTTTGATGTATGATGCGATTGTTATGGGATGGCTGCTGACAATTCATTCATTCAATCTTTCTGTATCGACAAGTGCCGGACCGCTGTCTTGGACGTGCAAATGTGAGGGCGGCGCAACAGCAAGAAAAAAAAAAGGAGGAACATATACTCTAACCTGTCGGTTATCTTCTGCCGGCATCTTCTCTTTCATCATGCAGGTCTGATCTGACTTGCTGACTGGATGGGAACCTGCAGCAAGGCACGAGAGATAGAGGGCTTTGTAATCCTACTGTAAGAGTAAAAAAAGACGGCGAAATTGTGAAGTGAAGTGAAAAAGTCCTTCCGGTGCATTTCTCCGCGCCGTTCGAGAAGCGCGGCATCATGCTTTGGCCCAAACTCAGACGCGCAGCGCAACGAACGATTTTCCGGCTCCGAAAAAACCGAACGTCTCAAAATGATAATGCAAGAAGATACTCCGTGAAAGGCCGATTATTTTTAACAGCCAAATTCTTTGGTCTGACACTAGAAAGGATACTACTGTCGAATAATTCTCTGCCCAATCCCATGACACCCCCCCTTTCCAGTTCCAGTTCCGGTCCGTCTATGATAGATGAATAATCCTTTTCTTTTTCCCTTTCATGTTCTCGTCGTAATCCCAGTCGCTGCCAGTTTCGGGTTCGTGCTTCACCAAGGAAAACTTTATCCCAATTCTGTGCCTTGTATCATGCCTCGTGAGAACCAAAGAAAGAAAAGGCCCCTCCCCCTCCACACGTCCACAGACCATCACCGGAGTATAAATATCCCTCCCTATAATAGAACAGAAAGGAAAATAATAAGATGATGTTTGATCCTGACAGGAAGAAGATCGACCCGAAGAAGAAAGAGAATGCTGACGTGCCTCGCAAGGCTGGTATAGTTTCTTCCTTGCGACAAGAAAAGTTAGGTAATTTCTGTAACAGGAAGAAAACATGAGTTGAAAGCCTAGGAACAAAGTAACATATAGAAGTAGAAGAAGAAGTCTTTTGATGAGCTGAGAATGAATACCAAAAAAATTTGGTTGATGCGATTAGAAAAGCCACCCTGTCTGCGCCCTGCTGCCTTGTCCGTCCGTCCCAATTAGGCCTCCTGATGGGTATATTTCGAAGAATGCGATAGTGATATATATGAGACTCCAAGATCGCTCTACCTTCCCCCATTGCGCCGTGATATGCTTAGGCATCTTTTGCTCCTCTTTTTTTTTGCAAGATTGCCCCTTGCCATTTCCCCCTTCCAAAAGCCCTACTTTCCAACCAGCGGAGCAAGAAGTCGTTATGTGCGTGACAAATTATGGGAAAGCCGTTCTAGATTGAAGAAGAAATGAATGTACGTGAAGGGTAGGCGCGCTCCAGTCGCGTGAATGAGTGTATATGTCGTAAATATGATAAAAGGGAAGTGTAGTGTGATGCGCCGAGTATCAGAGGCGTGTTTGTACAAAGTTGCTGGTGATCCAGTGGTGGTGGTCGTCTGGGTTGGCGTTGTTGCGAGGCGGGTGTTTAGACATGTGAAGTTCGGGTTTGAAGAACGTCTGTGCAAGACGCTCGAGGGCATCGGAAGTGTCCTCTTGCTTTGAGCTAATATTCGGTGTCCCCAAGATCAGAAGCGGGAGCTTCTGCTGGAGACGCTGAATGCTATAACTCAGATAACTCTCTGGCTTTGTCCTTGCATGCTGCCGATGTGAAGCCTGTGCCTACTTTCTGGGCCACAATGCGCCACTTCTCCTGCTCGTAGTCGTGCAGAGCGGTCCGAAGTTTTTGGATCTAGGATAGTTAGAAGATGTTCGAGGTGTAGCAAAGCTTAAGGACTCACGGTCTCCTCGGTCCACTGTGTGGTCTTGGCCTTCAACTTTGTGCAGTACCGGACCTGCAGTGTGCCTGACGAACGACCAGGAAAGAATTCCGCTATTTGCTTCCAGGTCAACGACTTGTTCTCTTTCAGATCCACAAGCAGCGCATCGTCTTCGGGCGTGAATTTCAACTTTGGACCGCGAGGTCTTGGAGCTGGCGCAGGCATGCCCTCGAGACCAACAACACTCGGAGCGCCTCCACTAGGCCCCACCATTGAATCGCCTTCACTCATCCGTGGCTGCTTGGCTCTATGTTGAGGGAGTTGATGCGAGTGATAGGTCTGCTGCGAGACTGGTCCAGGTCCGTATCCCACATTGACCATTGAAGGTCCTGGCTGCATTTGCGAGGACATTCCGTGCATCTCACCCAGTTGCTGGCCTCCCATACCCTCCGGAGGGTAACCTTCAAGCTCCAAATCATCAGGCCGCGGCCTCTTGCCCGTCACTCGCTGCGGCTGAGGTTGAGGGGGCCCATACATCATCTGTTGACCGAAGTGGGGGGACTGAGCCATGCCGTGCTCGTACACTTGATGCTGGGCGTGGTGGACCGGCTGTTGCTGCTGCTGTGCATGCGCGGCGATGTGCTGCTCGTGAAGCTGGACATTGGGGACGAAAACACGCTGATGTTCGCTCTCTGCTGGATGTGCAGCATAATCGGGATTCGCAGCATAATATGGATTGCTGTGAGCGCCATCGTGACCCTGTTGGCTCTGTTCCTGCCGAAACGGTCCAGACATACCGACATGGCCTTGCCAAATAGCAACAACCTCTCTGGCGAGGGTTGCCGCGGCCGGGGGACGTGCTATAATCAGATTGTCGCTTTGTGTTTTCTAGAAGTCGTCGTTTGTTTTAGGGTGCAGCGGTGCAGTTGAAACGTAAAATGTCGGATAGGATCTGATCTTAACAGTGGTATTATAGCTTCATCGATTACCCGAGCAAAGCATTTGAAAGGCAAAGGGGACGATGAAACTCGAAACCAGCAGAAGATGAGCAACTTGGTATGCAGTAGCAGCAATATGTAGCAGTGAGGGACACTGTATGTCAGAAGGGTTCGGTGACGACGACGACGACGACGGACGGCGGGGAAGAGAGAGTGGTATAGAGGGAACGACGAGACTTCAGGGCGTGTTAGAAGATGGGACTGGGATGGATTTAAATCGATCAAGTATTCGTCCCGACTTTTCTCAATGCATGGTTAATTAAAGCAAGCCAGTGAGTGATTCGCCATAGGCCGAGACGGAACGTGTACGAAGCCAGCTCGCAGCAGAGACCATTGACCATGGGACCAAGGGCGACAGCCAGGGCTCAACTTTGGGAGAGAGCATGAATTTCCAACGCTCGATTAGGATGGGTAGGGACCAGGAGGGACAAGGAGGGACATCGAGAGACATCGAGGGACCAGGACGCAGACGCACACCTGGCGAGCTGGCCTGGGTGGTGGTGGTGACCAGGGGACCAGGGCAGAGTCGATCCCGAGCGCCCTGCTGCCAAAGTGTCAGATAGTCTGATCTTAGGATCCCACAATCCCACAGGGGCCGCCTTCTGGAAGACTTCCATGACACTCCACCGCGCACTCCACTCTGCCACTCTGCCAATTGCTGTCCCTCGCTGCCAATTGCGGCTTTCCTCGACATGCGCCGGGATGACACAGACCGGCTCATGTCATGCGTACCAGGATTACCCAAAAAAGAACTGCTGGAGAGCGCTCACGGAAATGGCGAAAGTAATGCAAGAAGAGCAGCGCAACAGAAGAAGCAGAAAGGGAGGGAAAAGGGAAAAGGGTGTGCGAGAGGAAAGAGGGTCGGCGCGCCCAAGAGAGCAATGCTCGTCGCCATCCACATCACGCACTTAATTCCACATCCACCGGATCACCATGATGGCCATGGCCACACGGCAAGGCGACGAACGAGCTGGCACTTCCAGAGTGGACAAGAGAGGGACAGAGAGAACGTAGTAACAAATCAACACAGCGGTCAATTCCTCCATCTGTCCGTCCCATCACCATCCATGGCCAGCGTGGCGTGCGCGAGGGGACCTGGATATAAAAATAATAAATGATAAATAATAAATAATATCTTGGAACCCGGAAAAGGTTGAGGCGATCTTGACCTCAAAGCGGCAGTAGTTGCAATTGGCCACCCACACGCCCATCCAGTCGTGGGAGGAGGTCGTACAGTAGGTAGTAATTGTCCGTCCAAGCCATCGTTCAATTCAATCCAGGTAGCCGGTGCAGGGTAGCGCGAAAGGGTGCGGCTGTTGCTGCTGCTGCTGATGATGGTGCTGATGCTCCTTTCCTCACATCGTGGATCTTCGGTGCGCGGTATCAAGATTGTCCCCGGTCCAAGTGGCATTGCGTGTTCATGCGAGCGCCAGACTTCCTCTGAGCGCGACCGCGCGAGCGCGTTCGTCCCAGGGGTCGCGGTCAAATTTTTGGTAATGCGCTGCTCCTGGTGCCTTCATCGCCAACACAGACCGACCAGGGAGAGATCAAAAGAAAGTGGATGACGATTATTGACAATTTGTTTGTTTTCCCCAAGCTCTGGTCTCGTCATGGTCAGGATGGAGGTAGGAAAGACCTGAGGTCGTTCCCAATTTATGTTTAGATTGCACTTGCTGACCCACCCGCCTGCCCTCAACCGAGAGACATAAATAAATATGTACAGTGCATACATTGGACATTGGACATACATTGTACCTGCATAACGCGTGGATGAGGTGGGAGGCCTTCCGATACGATGTACGATGATGGATGTGCACAGTGCACGCACGCACGACCATTGACCATTGACCGCCCAATTCATTGGAGATTCACTGACCTCGGACGACCACTATCAACACCATCCACCGCCATACACGACTCTCTCTCTCCCCACTCTCCCGAGTCCCTTCGGACAACCAGGTACTATTTGGATTTTCAGGAACATGAGAGCCGGTGCCCCGCCATCTCAAAGAAGCCGAGGGCGCATGAGATCCTCTTTTTCGGACGAGAATCATGGGATGTTCCTCTCTGTCACGCTCGGCCAGTCCAAGCCGACAGAAATGCACGAACGCAGATCAAACTTTAAGGTTACAACACATCGCAGACGCCGCCGTGAGCCGCACTGCAACACTTCAAAGATCGCTGGTAACGCTTGAATTTTATGCTTAAAAGTAATATAAAGTACACTATGACTACATTCCCAGCCCATCAAACGCCTGCTACCAAGATTCGACATCCGGCATATGCAAAGATCCACCGCCAACGCACCACCCTTCCATCCAGATTCCCTTGCCCGTCAGCAGTGCGATCGGCTCTGCGCTGTCCATTAAGTCCTTCGCAGTATCATCAAAGTCCATATGATCGACTAGGCATACGGATCCTCATGATCAACAAAGATATCCTCCAATTCCATGAAGCTCTGAAAGTGGAGGGGTCGATGCTGGTCTGAATAGAACGGAAGGGGCGTATCGACCTTGACATGCACATTCTTCTTCTCCAATCCTGCGAAGCTTGATCCCATGAATGAGTAGTTCCACGAGTTGTTCTCTGGAACCAGGAAATAACCTCGGATCTTGTCGCTCAAAAGTAATTGACACTTCTCGCCCATGGACGTGCTGAATCCTTGCGGTTGATCGGAACCCATGTCCTTATTCTCACAACCCCAGGTATAACCTTGCGGGGTCAGCGCCCAAGAAGCCAATGACACCGAACCGGGCGTGAAGGACACGGTCATGCTGATCGTCTTCCGATCCCATTCCTTATGTACATTCATCAGACGAGCATGCTGGGTGACGTCCATGGCGGTCATGTACGGCGGCTCGTTACCGGAGACGGTGTGAATGATCCCCAGGGGTTCCATATGCTCCAGGTACTCATGCTGTGGTAGCTGCTGGGGAAGCTGGACGTCGCGTGTGCTACCAATCTGTGGGACCATCACTATGCACTGGATCTCCTTCACTTGATCGTTGTCCGGCGGAGAGGAACCGTACAGATAACCAGCTACTTGGACACGCAAATCGGCGATCGTGATGAAGCGTTTCAGAATGTTCTTTGGCATGATGTAAGTGAAGTGATCATCTTCCTTGATATCGTCAGATGAGATGTAGATGTTGTTGGCTCTGGTCCGAAGATTGGAGGTTGCAATGGCCCGGGTTCTCCACTCAGTCTTGGATGCAAAGGTCTGCTGCTCGAATTGGGAAGTAGTAGTCACAATGATGTCTTCTCCGTGCACGTTTTGTGTCTTGGTGGTCACAGCCGTGAGCTGTTGCTGTTCTTGTTGTTGCTTCTCGATCTCCGCTGCTTGTTGACGCTGCATTGACGGGGCGCTAATTTCCATTCCGAGAATAATGTCTCGAACTTCACTCATGGTCAAGCTTGAAGTGTTGACATTGTTCTTCTTGCCGTAGTCATTTAGGATGAGATCTCGTAATTGCGTCTCAACCTTGATCCAATCCTCATCTGACAGACTTGGCCAAATGTGATGTTCTTGGGTGATGACGGTCTTGTCTGGTCTCAGTAGCAATTTCGTCTTGTCTTGGTTCACATGAAGAGCACGTAAGATCAAGACCAGTCGAGAAAACGCCGTGTATGAAGAAATGGACTTCAACCATTCATCGTACAAGTTGAATAGAACCATCTGTGGCTCGGTAGCTCGAAGAATCATGTCACCAAGCTTTTCGACCTTCATGGCAGCTTGGAATGGTAATTGGAGCTCAGAGGCCCTAATTGAAATGTTGGGGAAGTCTAGAAGATGCACTTCAAGAGGATCGAGAAGACCCTTTCGAGTGACAATCAACTGTTTCGGCTGTTCTTCAACAGGTAGGGATCGAATCAGAGCAGCGACTTCTTCGGCAGTCTTCCATTTAGCCAATTGACCAAGACGTTTCTGACCAGCCCAAACACTCGTGTGAATGATCTTGAGGAACAGTTGACCAGTACGTGGATTGAAAATGAAGATTGCGCCGTTGATGGGTTTCGTAGTCAAATTGCCTTCGAAAGTTTTGTGAATTGTGACTCGATAGACATTGGTGTCGTCGATGAACAGCTGGATCTGGTTGCTGAATAGCTCTGAGTAATTTTGAGAATTCAAGAACTCTTGGTTGCTTTCAGAAGCATAGAGCTGGAGACCCTTTCTGATACGTTCTCTGAGCACATACAAGGCAGGGTTTGCTTTCATGATCTTCGCCATAGCCTGTTGAATGAGCGTCTTCAGACCTGGGAAGTATTGACCATAAGCCGAGTAAAGATTGTACGCAAGATCGATACCGATCATGAGACCAGTAGCAGAAGGATAAATGCTCATGCTATCTGTTGTGTAGTCGAGGTACTTCGCACGCACGTATCGTTCAATATCGTGGGAATCATAATCTCCATAACGGAGCTGGACATCAACCCAGAATTTATTGGTGGTCGTGGGCTCAATCACGTCCTTCGTGTCGAATAGGATGGATGGCCTGGTGACGTTCCATTTGTGACTTGCAAATAGCAGAATGTCTGCACAAGAACTGTTCATCTTGTACGACTTTCTGGGATGGATGGTTTCCTTTTGCACAGTCTCAATACCAAGTTGCTCAAGTTCTGTCAAACGAATTAGTATGCGCTTGTTTCAAGGATTAGGAAATTACTCACCCTGGTCAAATACTTGACACAAATCCATCACCACGGACTCGTGGATCTTTTGCCACAAATGGGCTCTGAAGATCTGGATCAAAGAAATTTTAAGGGTCGGAATCTTTCCGTGGAGGAAAATACCCGTCAGGTCCAGTTGCACTTGGAAACCAACGTATACGTTAGCTCTGTTAATCGTTGGTGACCACCATAGAGTGAAGCGACGGTTAGGGATCTGGTTCAAACCAGACCTCTGGGCGTTGGTCAATTTCTTAAACTTCATAGACTAATCACCATGTTAGCGCAGAGCATTCAAAGGTACGGAGAACGAGCTTACCTCTTCGAAGCCTGAAGCCTTCTCCCAAAACAAACCTTCCCAGGATGGGAACGCAGTGGCTTTGAACAGAGTGTGCTCTAAGATTGTTTCGACACCACCAAGTGCTTGGATCACATCTGTCCGATAAGCATTTAAGTTCCATAGCTTTCCATCGTGACGTTGACTAGTCCACCAAAATGGATTACTCTTCATAAGTTGATACGTCTTGAACTCAGTTCGGGCTCGGAATCCCTTGTCAAAACTCAAAGTGCTTCTGTCCTTCTGGAACAGAGTGTTGATACGGGGCAAACCACGGTCCCAGCTGTCTTCTAAGTCCTCGAGTGTGAGTCGTCGATTCTGTTGATTGGCTTCCTGTCGCTTCTGAGAATACTCGGTCCATACCCGTTGCGAGTCGATGAATTCAGCCTCCCACGGGATAATGTATCTGAAGATGTTGGGAATCAGAGTCTCCTCATCGTGGGTCATACCAGCCCGGTAATGGGTAACGCCACTATCTGTTTGCTTTGACCACCGCTTGTCGCTCGTTGGAATGAGGATGTGAGAACCTGAGATCATACCCAAGCCACCCAATTCCTTTGGCGTATAGAAGACTGCTGGTGGGAACCTGGAAGGCATCTTCGAATTCAAACCAATCTTTACTCTGGTCTGAATCTTCGTCTCGCACTTCACAATGGTGTCAAGCAAATTGACAGTCGAGACTGCTGCCTCACGATAGTAAGTGAAAAGAGCAATCAAGCTGGTATTCCACTTGTTGGCGATTTTAGTGAAAGTGGTTGATCCAGAAGACATGAGGATTTGACGGATGCGGTTATTAAATTTAGCAATGTCTTCCTCTGTGACCTGCAGGAAAGCATGCGCGGTCCTCTCCTTACTTGTATTGTCGACTAGAGACCAAACGCTGTCTTTGACCGGGAATTCGTCGTTCTGGTTACGAATCTTGGGAAGAATTCGGACCTCAAAGCCACACATGGAGAACAGGAGATTGGGATTATCTCTGCTGTAAACACTTGCGAAGGTATCATCCCATTCGATTGTAGTCACAGATCTAGGTAATCTGTTCTTCAAGTCCCAGAATACAGCTCGCCCAAGGTTGACATCGTGTCTCATGAGTCGCATCCGCGAGTCTCTGGGCCAACACTTCTTGTTTCTGTAACCGATCACGTTCTCGAAATTGGGATCTGGCTGCTCAGTGAGAAAGCGCTGAATAAGGTCTCTTGACTCGTCAGCTGTGAAGCGAAAGAACACCCAGATTCGATCGATGTATCTTGTATACAATCTAATTGGATGCCTGGTCTCCGTATCCCGATCGCGAAACTGGAGGAAATCGTTCGGGCTTTGAGGTGGACCTGCAATCTCGCTCGCGCGCTGGAGACCTAGCAAGAGTAGGTCAAGGACAAGTCCGTAATATTGAAATACGAATGCTGAGAATTGGAGACCACGGATCATTCCATAGCTGTTTACGTGATTCATATCTTTGTAGGTGAGCTGAACATTGTTCTTCGATGAGATATAATCAGCAAGATTGTGGTCCATGATAAGTCTCAACAAGCGATTAAGAAGAGTTAGATCGATCTTCTCGTACACCTTGGAAAGCTGGGTCTCAATCATGACGTTGCATTCTCCATCAGCACTCTCCCAGACCTTGTCAAGGTTGTTGATACCCTGAGCCCACTTGTAAGTAAGCAATGGCGGGACTTCAGAATCAGAAGGTTTGATCCACGCAGGGAACAAATGGCGCTGGTCTGCTTGATACCAAAGGTACTGATCAAGATAGGCGTCGCTTATTTTTTCAATTGGCTCAATGTCGTAGACAGGGTTGATGGTACTGTAGTTATCATTCATGTCGATACCAACTTCCTTGAATGCTCGTTGAGTAAGAAGGAATCTTTTAATTCTCTCCAGTGTGGTTCCGGGACTATCGTAAGCTTGCTCAATCAAAGCAAGCTCTTCACGTTGGCTTTGGTTCAGGCGGCCTTTGACGGAATAAGCTTCTCGCAATCGCTCTAGGGCCAGAATAAGAATCTTGGTGTCGTGCTTGTAAGAGACGCTGGGGAAAGGAATGGGGGAGAATTTTCGTGATTCGAGCCAATGAACGGTAGTGGTGTAAATTGCGACAGCCTCTTCAGACGATACATAAGGCCCGTCCTTCATGTAATTGTGTTGGCGTTCTTGCTCAGCCTTGAGCCATAGTCGAGTGAGGCGCCCTAGGTTCTTCTTCGCGACTGTCTTATCAACGGTAGCACCTCTGCGAATACGTTCTCTGTTGTAATGGGCCACAGAAATCCACCAATCTGCTTTGCTCTTCACATAACGCAAGATGATATTCTCGATAGGGGCTGGCAAACCAGGGACCTTCCAAGGAATGTTACTCTTCCAGCATCGCCATGCTTCGGAGAGATGCTGTAAGACAGTATTGACTTTGTTTTGCTTAATTCCCTCGGGCATCATGTCCATCAAGTCAGCCATGACTGAGGCGCGGAGCTCAAGGTCGAAATGTGACTCCACACGCTGCTTCGTTACAGTTTTGGCGACACCTTTACTGTGTCTACCTTCAAATTGTCGGGAAAGCAAGTTTCCAAGCCATCGCTCAAGCAAGGGAATGATCCCTCGCATGAAGAAGAGCCAGACTCTCCAAGCAGGAGCCCAGAAACCACATCCGGGGCCTTTGCCGACAGGGCCCGAATTGAACCGATAATAGATTAAATGCTTCAGATCCTTACACGATCGAATCTGATGCATGAGCTTGTACTTGTATCGATACATCCCAGTCAGCTGGCCAACATGATTAAAGGCATACAAGATACCATCTGCGAGCTGGAATGCATCGATGTTACCAAGTCGGTACTGAACCTGGGCGTCGACAATCAACTTCGTTAACTTCAAAATCTCACGCATGAGATGGAAGGCATTTCCAAAGCGAGACTTCTTTCGCTCTTTGGTGGTAAGTGTCTTGACTGGCTTGAGGTTGAAGTTGTAATCGAGATGGAGGTAGGTCAAGTTCTTTCGATGGATCAAGAGGTTGAGCATGTTGAAACCCTGGCGACAAACTTGAAGACCAGCTTCAACCCAATCGATCGTGGTCTGCTGAAAGAATTTGGTTTGTTTCAGCGACTTCATCAGACTTTGCTTGTTTTGCGCCTTTGGCTTCTTTTTGTGGAGCTCATTCAAGACATAAGTCTTCAGTAGCTTTTGATACGATACTCGTACCTTCACTGGCTGGCCTTGTGGGCAATGCTCAAGATACCACTGTTTTACGAGGGGCACGTCTTGTGCTCGGACCATGCGTCCCGAACGTCGGTCAAATGGGAAAGGAGCCCACCATAGCGCAATTGCAGAAGCAGTCTCGTCTGTGTACAACTCTTCGTCGGCCAGAAACGGTTCGACATCTTCAGGGAGTTCGAAAGCATTCTCCTCTGGCTCTTCGTTGTTTCCTGGGCCGAAAATCTCGTCCTCGTGGCTGACAGTTATGTTCTTCGGTGCAACAGATCTCGATGAAATGGGATTAATGACAGGGTCGAAATAGAAAGCTGGTAAACTCGGATCCTCAGCGCGAACATACACAATTTGAGGATGTGAATACCAAGACAGCTTCACGCTGCGTGGCAAAGAATTGTACAAGAAAGGAAACGCTACCCGGTATTCTGTACGGATGGGTGCGCGGAAAATGATACGATCGATGGCATTGAATTCGCCAAAGTCTTCGTCGTTGGGATCAACGTCTTTGTACAGTGGTTCGAATCTTGGTCCTCCAGGGATAGCAACATTCAACGCCTTCGCTGTCAAGAAGCTGTTCAGCTCAAACATGTGAAAGTAGTTCTTATCAACAAGATCACTCAGAAGCTGGTGACTCAGTCGATATAAAGTTGCCATCTGAGGAAGTGTGAGGTTCCATTCCTTGTAACTTGGACCATTCACATGTGGAGTATCAAGAAGAGGCCGATTCTCGTAGAGCCACTCGAAAACAGCTCCATCTTCGTTTTCGTCAAGTTCCATCTGAATCGGTTCCAAAGGCTCAACATCTTCAATGTTCTCGGACCAGGAAAGAGGTGGCTCTTCGTCATCGAAGGGTGGGAATCGCATTCTCTTGAAATGTCTTCGGTCGCTCTTCTCTCTCCTCATACACATCCACATCGTAGCCCATTGTGCGTGGAAGACCGGCTCAATGACTCTCGGTGTTTCGTTGACTAACGTCAGACAGCCATTAACGTGATATAGAACCTTGACCTCCCTCGCTGACTCCCAGGGCATCGGCATATTCTCCAATAGCTTCATAACGGCGTGAGGCATGTATTTCAGGGCTCCAAGATAACTGCGCTTGTCGCTGCTGAACTTTTTCTGAGAAACATCTCCGATATCTTTCACGATCTTTCGAAGATGCTCCGGTGGCATATCAGCCTTCTGCGTTTCAACGAAGCCGCCCTTCCTCTTCTCGCCGAATCGATTTCGTTGTGATCGTAACCATTCCTTCTTCTTCTGTGCGAATTTGGCCACCTGAGGGTCCGCTGGAGGCCTATATCCAGGTGGTGGAGGAGCTCCAGGAGGCGCGCCCATCGAAGGAGGCCCGGAGCTCCATCCAGGTGGAGGGGGAGGAGGTATTGAGGACATCGTGATGAGACGTCGATAATCTCCCAGTCTCCGCTTGATGGATGAAGTGATTGTGGAGGGAGATTGTCGCAGTCGCAAATGAACTCAAAATTATCTATCTAGACGCAGTTTATTTTGAATTAGCGTATTTCTCAAGATGCTAAGATGCCTGAATTTCTTGCCCCAGTTTCAAGGCACCAAGTCTTGTCCCACCTCTCGCTTAACATGCCTGATCTAGCTTAGCCTTTCCACACAGTTAGAGAATTTCAAAAGTTCTCATATCAGATCGCCAGAATCGCGACAACGACCTCAATCAATTTCGACCACCAACCGCAGAAATGGCGTCCAACAGATTAACATACAGACGTCGCAACCCGTGAGTTCTGGGTGATCAGGTAGTTCAGGTCAGCGAATTAATCAAGATCAGATACAACACACGATCCAACAAAGTTCGTGTTGTTAAGACACCCGGCGGCGAACTTCGATACCTCCACATCAAGAAGGCCGGAACTGCGCCAAAGTGCGGAGACTGCGGTATCAAACTCCCAGGTGTAAGTGATTTCAGAACTATTGCGAGCATGGACGAAAGCAAGGCATACGATTGAGGGTCTGGTGAAAGCTACTTGATGAGCATCAAGACGGGAACTGGGAGGACCAAACTGGCGAACATGACACAACAAACGGCGTCTTTGTCCTATCACCTCGAAAATGTTCAGAAGTTGGGATATCGAATGCATGCTCGCCAACCAGCGTCTGCAATGGAGGCTCCTAAAGGACGTATGGGACTTTTGCTAACATATTTCTTACAGATCCCTGCTCTCCGACCTCGCGAATACTCCCAAGTCTCCCGACCAAAGAAGACCGTTCAACGTGCCTACGGAGGTTCAAGATGTGCCAACTGCGTCCGGGATCGTATCGTTCGAGCTTTCTTGATTGAGGAGCAAAAGATTGTCAAGAAGGTTCTCAAGGAGTCTCAGCAAAAGAAGCATTAGGGTCGGGATATTGACGCGGTTGCTTTGGGTGTTCGTTGGGGCGGATTTGCATGGAGCAGCAGGTTTTAGCTGCGCTTAGGGCTTCCTATGAACCACGAGAATTCGATTGCCTGATACACCTTGATTGCCCTCGAGGCTTCATATCTTGCTACAGATCATGATGTGTGTGCAGAAGTTTCCAAGAGTCATGATGCATGGAGAGCCGTGGAAGTCTCAAGAATAGATCTCATGACGAATCTTTTCTCAAAAAATTATGTTTTGCCCATCACTCCTTTCTTTCCTGATTCCTTTCTCTCAGCTTTTTTGGTCTCTCAACTTTGGTTTGTCAAAATTCTTTCATCTGAATACCTTTATAGCTCGACTCAAGAGCACAAATTATTTATGAGCTCATGAATCTCAAATCAGGCCGACCTCCAACATTTCTGGATATGCTTATAATTGGAGACGTAATGAGAAAAGTGACTCTTGATCTAGCTTCAACATACTCTACACTTGTGAGGGCTGTTCCTGAAAAACAGCGCCATTTGCTACAAAGCCCATGTATCACTCTTATAATAGGTGACAATTGCATGGAGGATTGCGCCAGAGATAATGAGCCATGACATCTACTCAAAGTCACGACTCTCTCGCTGGTACAACCCAAGCTGCCGACTAACGTCCCTGGGAAAAGTCCAACGCCGAAAAGTCAAGGGTGAATTGCGGATGTGAACCCTTCAGCCTAGAGCTTCTAGCCCATAGGCTATCGTATTGTTGGGCTCTCCAGCCGCGGGCTCTTCGCCGGCCTGTAAGAAAACAATAATTTTTCTCATGCACCTATTAAAAAGGCATTCCTCGAGATGGTACCTGCACATGATTGTTGCATGAACCCTGTCCGTATCATCTGCTATCACCTCGTGATACCACGAAACCTCTACCTCGCGTCTTACCCGCGACTGCCCGACTCGTGCAACTACTCATACCAAAATGTCTTAGACACTAAAGCCTACAGTCTCACAGTCTTGTACCTGAAGGTGCTGCTGCACCTCTTTCCACATTCACGATCGAAGCTTGCCTGTGAAGCTTTCGCATCTCCAGAACGACTGGAAGAACCGCAACCATGGCTCCGAACGAACCTCTATTTGCAGACAGGAGGGGGTCCTCGATACATTCCGAGGAACGCGCCGCAGACGAAGACACAGCTCTTTTGACTGGACAAAAATCCTTCTCAGCTCCTCAGAATCGGTCTCACTTCTGGAGAGAGGTTGGATTATTTACCTGGGCAGTCATCGCAACTGCTGCAGTCATTGTTCTAGCTGTATTGTCCCAACACCAAACAACGTCTGAGGATGGCAAGAACTCGAAGCCTGCAGGAAAGCGGAATCTGATCTTCATGGTCTCTGATGGAATGGGTCCTGCGAGTTTGTCAATGACTCGAAGCTTCAGACAATTTCAAGGTGAGATTCATGTCACCATCCCGAAATGTTGGCTAACAATAGAGGTTCCCTTCCCTACGGCGATGTCCTGGTTCTCGATCAACACTTTATCGGATCCTCTCGCACTAGATCAACAAGCAGCTATGTTACGGACTCGGCAGCGGGTGCAACGGCCTTTTCTTGTGGGTTGAAGAGCTATAATGGAGCTATTTCCATGCTCCCTGATCAAACACCTTGCGGCACTGTACTTGAAGCTGCAAAGAGGGCTGGCTACATGACTGGTCTGGTGGTTACAACGGACATTACAGATGCAACACCTGCTTGTTTTGCATCTCATGTCAGATTAAGGTCAGAAGAGGACTCAATTGCCCAGCAAGAAGTTGGAGAACATCCTCTTGGACGAGGTAAGTGACCATGTGAAAACTCTCATTGTACAGGAAGCTAAGAACTTTTAGTGGTTGATCTCATGCTTGGAGGAGGTCGTTGCCATTTCTTACCAAATACCACTGACGGCAGTTGTCGCGAGGACGATAGAGATATCACAAAACTTGCTCAAGAAAGCTTCGGGTGGAACTACATTGACAGCCGGAAAGATTTCGATAATCTGAAGCTTGGCTATAACGTTGAGCTGCCGTTACTTGGACTCTTTGCTGAACACGATATTCCGTATGAAATTGATCGACGCAACATGAACGATGTATACCCTTCACTGGAGGAGATGGCTCGAACTGCCTTGAATGCTCTTACCGCTGCGACCAAGGACAGCGAAAAGGGATTTTTTCTCATGATCGAAGCTAGCAGAATTGATCATGCTGGTCACGGCAATGACCCTGCTGCACAAGTCAATGAAGTTCTCGGTTATGACCGAGCTTTTGCAACCGTTGTGGAATTTCTAGACGAGTCCGAGGTAGAAGGAGTCCTCGTGGCAACTTCCGATCATGAAACTGGGGGTCTTTCTGTTGCGAGACGTATGACTATATTTTCTTTTTTGGTGAACTATTTACTAATGCTTTACAGAGTTGCACCCAGAATATCCTCACTATGGGTGGTATCCTCAAGTCCTCGCTAACGTTTCTCACTCTGCCTCTTATCTTTCTTCGCAGCTTCGATCACATATCGGTCAGACGGTCGATCACAGCAATAGTCTTGAAGATGATGAAACTCGAAAGGCCAGCCTAGAGAAGTACATCAACGAGGAACTAGTCCAGAAAGGGCTGGGTATTCAAGATGCCACTCCGGAGGAGATCCAACGAGTAATAGACATCCCCCTTCTCAGTTCCTACACTTTTGCGGATATGGTCAGTCGTCGAGCACAGATTGGCTGGTCAACCCATGGTCATTCAGCAGTCGATGTCAACATTTACGGCTCGAAAGGTACCGATGCTCTACATGGCAATCACGAGAACACGGAGGTTGGAGAATTTCTGAGGAATTACCTCGAATTGGATGTCCAATCTGTGACCGACGAGTTGATTGAGAAGTCAACGACCATAACAACTTCAAATTCTGGCAATTGGTTTGGACGCGTTCCCTCAGAGGAAGAAATCCAGTCGGCCTCAAGACATTACGAGCGCTTATATCCTGAAGCTCCTTGACAATTTCATTAGACACAATACCCACATAGACTTTGCTTGTTATATCATCGATCAATTTCAAATACCTTTTGGCAGCGTTATCACTTCATTAGCTATCTTTACTTGGGCATTTTGCAGGACGGGTTCCACGTGACATTTTTGCAAACATTGGGATTGCCCCTCGGTGTTACACAGCCACCAGTCGTTTGTTGCAAACTCGCGGCATGTTCATATACATTTACCCAGTCTAAAAGTCCTCCTATCAAACACGAACAATGTTCAAACTCACGAACAACCTGCCTAACGCTACTAAGAAGTTTGCAAGTGAGTACAATGAGTTTGTAAAACCTGCAGTACTTCGCCCAGTCTAGTCCTTAACACTTTGTACTCTCTAGTCATCGCCCACCTTGCCGTGATTTTGCAATCACTCATAGTGCAATCACGGTAGAGAGCGCTTTTCCTCAGCGGTCACTCGGGCAAGGCCCCAATGGAGTCACTTCGACGATACCAGTGTTTGAAGCATAGTGAGGGGATCAGAAGGAAAGAATCAAATCCAATTCTTGGCCAACGCAGACCTACTCATCGTCTCGCGTGTTGCGAATACTTCGGAGCATCAGTGCCACGTTCGATTCCCAGATGATCATGCCATCAATGAGGGACTTATGGGTTGCACTCATATGTATCTCAGTAATTCCTCCGCTCTGGCCCTTTTCGAAGGATCAGGATTAGCAATTCTCACTTCCCCAACACCTTTCTACAAAGTCCAAGTCCTAATTCGACGAGTGTCTATCCTCACGCCATGTGTATGTTCTGGCTTGTAGAGTCACCATGTGGACATCGAAAACTCATGGCAGGCGCTAACTGCTACCGCATTTACGATCAGCTGCAAAGAATCAACGACCCAGCTGAATTCACTCGTCCTGGTGTACCATTTCAGATACCACGAGAATGTCTTCCGAATCGAAGGAATGTACAGCTCACCTACACGCACGAGTACTGCTCTTTCGAGTGTAGGAATAACAGTCTTTATGGAGAGAGGTGTGGGACGAGTGATGCGCAGTATGGGCCAGGATCGGAGAGGATTGGGGTTGGGTGGAGGTATTGAGGTGGGGGTATGGGATGTTGTGTATGATTATTGGTGGTTCTGAGTTGGGAAGGCGTTTGGAGGCATGGAGTTATTGCATTGTCTGTCTTGAAAGACCTGAATTTTTGAGGCTGGAGGATGAATGGTCATCACGACGTTCTTCATCAAAGTGATGATACAATTCAAGGGGTTTCATTCTAAGCTTACCACATCATGTCTCTACTGAACATTGGAAAGTTGAGAATCTTTTTGGATGTCCCTTTATTCATAGGAGATTTTGGAGGGTATGAATACGAGACCTTGCAACAGTGGTTTCACGGGAATTGTCCAATGGAGAGGAAAATACAAACAAAAGCTTCTTTTTTTCAGCTCTTCAACTGTGAGCTGCACTTATTGTCATCCTTACGTTTACTATGCGTGCCAGTTCTTCCTCAGTCTTTATTCAGAATCTTCGGCGCCAACCCAACTTGTCGAGGATATAAGTAGGTACACTCCCATCATCAATGCCACGCAACTGAACTCTTTTGGCTAGATATTCAACCACTACAGTGGTGAGATTTCCGGCCTTACCAAGAAATTTTTCTTCTTCTGCCATGTCCACCACAGGCTTGAAGTCCACACTGAGGGCGGCTCTGAGTTCTTGTCCTCCAAAAATTGAATCGGGATCGGGCTTGCTGGGTCCAACATTCAGCAGAACTCGTTGGCACTGTTGATTGTCCATCCTGACGAGGGTACCATTGATTCGCAACTCTCCTCCCCAGTGCCTGTGCCAAATACGAAGCCAACGATTCAGCCATTGTGTTCCTCTTAAACGCCATGGTGCTGCGTTTCGGTTGTCGGTTTTGAGTTCTGGTGGAATATCTATTATCATCTTTCTCTTGACCTTCGCCAAGGGCCCATTTCTCGCAATGAGAGAGCCAAAAGCTGCTACGACCCCTCCCACACAAGCAAAAGCACTCAATATCTCGGTTTCGAATGGAACATCAAGTTCGACAATTGCAGGAGCTTGGTGGCAAATGATATCTAGCCACATGTCGTCTTCAGGGCAGCGGCTTGAGTTGTTGCGGAGAGTGACCGATTGCAAGTTCTTGCAGTTTTTCAAGAGCTGGAATATTCTATACGCAAATTTTGCATGTCGATGGGAATCCATGATCGATAGTTCGACTTCTGCGTGTTTGAGGCGGTCCGTGAGGCCAGCGAATGGATTGCCCCTTGTCAGGCTGTTATCGAGTTCTATGCTTTTTGTATAGCTATTATCAAAGACCAGTCAGTGAATTCGATACCGAAACGCAACAGCCAAGATACTATTGATTTCAGTGCAGGATTACTTACAACGAGTAGTGCATATGTTGCCATTTTTCCGCAGTGAAGGCAAATGTATACCTATCCCAGAACCACTCAGTGTATGCATACATCTGCTTGCATGTATAGAGGATAGCAGGATAGATTCGATCATCCTCAGAATATGTCCGCTGCTTTGTTTGCTGCGGATCATGACAATAAACCCTGTATTTGACATTGATAGATGGATCATGGGGATTTCTTGGGTTAGAAAGAAGTGTGACGAGAGTTGCAGGTGGCAAAAGATAGCCCAAGATCTCGTCAAACAATTCTGCAGGTAGGCTGAAGAGACTGCATCCGGATTGTTGGGAAGGTGGTGTTGTTGTGAGCCTCTGAAGAGACCCCTCGCTAGAAGGAGAATAGGCAACTTGATGTGTCTCCATTGCTGCTAAGCGAGGGAGAAAGGGGTAGCTTTGTTGTTCTGATTGAGGTCGCATCTTGAGATTTTTTGCAGCACTTTGATGTATCCGAATGCCTTCTATGCTCGAGAGTATGTGTGGTAGGAAGAGGAAGTGTTCCAAGTCCTTGAACTGGATTTTGTGGTGCGATTTCGATCTGGACTGAGCTACGGACCACATAGTCACGTGGTCACGATTCTTATGTTAACTGAGAACAGCCAAGGCCAACTCGTTTCCTGTTCCAGATTAGAGAAGATGGAAGAAGCTTACATTGAGACAAGTAGGTAGGTTTGCTCTAAACAGTCCTCAAGCTTGGGCTTCGAACTGAAAAACCACCTTAGACTACCGCATTAATTGGCTTCGAGATATCTTATGAACGAATTTTTCCACCCAGCTGTCTGGAAAAGACCTCCAATTGGCTGGCAGCCCCATATCTTGTATGACCGTATCCTCTATTCCAAAATAATATCATGGAAACCAATCAATGTAGCAAGTCCAAGTTCTCCATGTTAACGATTCTCTGCAGATTGATGCCAATTCTAGCCATGAAACTGAGAACAGATATCAGAACTAGGATTCCATATCAAACATGCTTTCAAACTCTAAAATACTTCAACGAATATTGAATGCTTGACTCAAGATTACTGCATTTCGCTTGTACTGCAAAGTCCCGCTCACAGCGCAGATTCCGCTAATCGCGCATTTTGCGCAAAACGCGCGGACAGCGCAATTCGCGCAGATAGCGTAAGTCGAGCTTGTTACAGTAATAAAGGGAAGTACCTCAGAACTCTTAATCACACGGCTTCGAAAGGCGGGGAGGTTGTTCTTGATATCACTGAATAGGTTTTTACGCCGTACATGTATTGTATCGTGGAGAAAACAGTTGGTTGCCAATCACTAAGGAGAGGTCTTGCTACTCAAGTTGAAGTACGCACACTAATTACATCCTAGTAATTCTGGTTTTTGGCTTTTCTCCTTTGTTAAGCCTACAGATTATTAGTATGAGTTTGATTGTCCAGAGTCTTTATACGTTCTGCCACTTAGCAGTGTTGGGGGAGGGCATTGTTTTAGGGGTTGTTCACTTGAAGAAAGGAGGAGCATGCTTGCCGAGTTCATTGTCTGAGCCCTGGGAGAAACAATATTAGACTTTGGACCTGCTTCCCGAGTTTAAGGTCTGACTGCGGAAAAATGTACTAGACTTTCCAAGACGTGCCTATGATTTGCAATGTCTGAACTCCTCAAAATGTCCTAGATCTTCAGCTCCTCATCTCAAAATAACAACGAATTCATGCTTTTGTCCGCTCCCTCACTCAATAACGAACTTCCCTCATTAACCCAAACCCTCATCTCCCACCAGCACTTATGCACCTCACACCAAAACCTCTCTACCCCATCCCCCACACCCTGTAACAGCACCCCATTAAACCCTACTTTCCTCAACCACTCCTTCGCTTCTTCCAATGTGATCTCTGCCCAACGCCTTCCCAAAACTCTACTATTCGCGTTTAGCACCGTATCCTTTCCTCTGAGTTCCTCGCACGCGGCAAAGTATCGAGTAAGATCGTGACGTAAGGTGAGGGAGGCTGGGCTTTGGTCGTTGATGGAGGTGGGGTGGGCGCATTTGAGTTCGAGCATGGCGAAGAATATGTTGGAGTGGCCGATGAGGATGCCTCCTAGGTATTGCGTCAGCTTGAACAGAGTGTAGGTGGGTTTGGATGCTAAGAGATTGACTCGGCTGTTATATCTTGGCTTTTCCATAGCTGCTAGGTGAGAAGCTCCTAGCCAGAAGAATGGCATTCTAGCATGAGAACTTGCTTACCTGGCTCCGACGGGGAGTCTGATGGGACCTTGATGTAGTCTGAATCTTCAGGATAGGGGTTAGGGGTGCGAAAAGTCGCGGTTGGAAGCTTCGGTAGAGGCCAGGGTCTATAAGGTGAGTCGTCATGGCGTGGAGGAACATAGCTATCTGACCATGACGGAGCTGTCAACATTTGTGACCACATGGTGGAAGAAGAGTATGGAGAGGCTAGCTTATAGGCAGATGACGGGCGGGTCTGATCGAGTATTGCAGGAGGAGCAGATGGAGCTGGCTTGGGAGCAGAGATTGCCGTTGGATTGGTGATGACGAATAGGACGAAAGACGTGATGAGGGGTCCGGGAGAGATTGGCTCTTTCAAGGGATTGTGTGTTGCATTGGCATTAATGATGCTGTGTAGGTGTTGAATGGTGTGCGGAATAGCTGCTTGGCAGCAGAATGGATTTGGAGGCATGGTTCTTGCTGAGGCTATTGTTTCTCAATATCATTGGCAGTGTTAGTCCCTAATTTTCTGCTCCAAGATTGATGCCTATATACCAGATAAGATGAGGGCATGATTAGAGTTTGCTAGAGAAGACAGCGTGCTTAAAGAGGTAGTTATGTATGAAGGATAATCTCCAATGCCAGAGTACTGATATTGAAAGAAGATGAAATGAAGGCTAAAAATAACATAAAATGATATGGTAGTTCATGATGTCCGCATCTGGTGTTTGATAGAAAAGCTGCTTAGCCACCCCTTTGCTACCGGAATGTTTCCACCTAGTTAGATGTTCATGTAGGCTTCTTCAAGATTTGAAAGCTTTATTTCGTGCTGCAACTTCCTTCACTAAAGACATGCTCAAAGACTCCAGAGAAAGTCAAACAAACACTAGATGCAGTGAACTGTGTATAACCAAAAAAAGAGCAATCTCCTTGACGCAATTTGCTAGATGCCAGCGACTTCCGGTCTAACTTACACTCAAAAGAGAATGAAGATAATCCGGTAATGGGTGTTGTCAAAGATCTTCGTGCATTCAATTCTCTACGTATCTGCGGAGATAAATCAACGATTCTCGATGCCAAACATACTATACATCTATTCAAGGCCGAAGAAAGCATTGTCGAACTCCCCATGTTCCATGTCTCCTCCACCTAAATTGTTGGTCTCGTCAACAAAGAACATATCATCAAATACGCTGTCGCCAGCACCGGCCATGTCGAGGTCCAGATCCAGATCCATGCTGTCCCCGCCAGGATTTCCTAAGGAGGCGAATGGATCATCGTTAGGTTTGTTGGCATCATTTGAATTGTTGTTATTGGTGTTGGTATCTGCAGATGTATTCAGATCTGGCATGTTGAAGTCTTGTGTAGAGCTCCCGAAATTGGCAAGATCAAAATCGTTGTTTTGATTATTCTGTGATTGATCGTTTCCTTCGGTATTGGTATTTGTAAGGAAGTCCATGATGCCGAAGTCAAGGGCAGAGTCGCCGGCATTGTTGTCATCGGGCCCGAATAACGAGTCAATGGACGAGTTCTGAAGCTCCGCTGTCGCCGGACCTGGCCCATCTACTGCCCCGTCGGTGTCTATTCCAAGGCCTATAGGCTTAGAGTCTGCCCCATTTGCATTCCCGGAGCTTGGCGGAGTCAGATTCTGTCCCTTCATATCGTTTGTAGCTTCCGATGTCTCCTGCTTGAGGGTATCCTCAGACAGCACTGCCTCCTTCTCTGGGCTTTCGACTAGTCTGGGCTCTGCTTTGATTGGCGTAGATGTATCCTGTGTGGTGTCCGCAGGTGTAGAAGATGTGCCATTCATATCTGCCTCCATGGCCTGTGGTTCCGGTTCCTCGATGATGGGTTCTGGGTTTTCCAACGCCAGTCGTTTCGATCGTAGCTCTTCATAGTCTCTGAAGATCACTGCTTTCGCGCGTAACTATTCACTTATGAGATTTAACTTCGAAACCAAACGATGGGGATTATCTCACAATCTCGCACTCAATGTCATCGAGGGCCTGGTGGAAGTTGTCTGTAGTGCTTGGTACCATGGCGCGCAAGCGAGTGGTCGCGGCGGTCGAAGGACGTCCATTCTCTTTCTGAGCACTTCGCAGAGCTTTGCCAGTCTCTATGAGCTACCAAATATCAGTAAAAAGTCCAAGATGGGTGATTGATTTTCTTCACAATCGCGTTGATCATGCTCTGGAGCACATCCAAGGGATTCTTGGGCCGTGGTTGCGACATGTTGAATTGATGGCCGGGTAGGGATTTTCGTCGGGTATGTCGTCCTCGGGTATGTCGTCGGGTAAGTAGAGTGAAGATAAAATATCTCTGCCGGCTTCGAAATTCACAGAATTGAGGTTCCACGCTCAACGGGGAAGGAAGAGCAGTGCAAGGCTTCAGCCTCTTGACGTTGGTGTTCACAATGTCCGTGCTGTGCGGGACCTCACCCTGTCCGACGCTACTCTAGAAAGGAAAGTCTATTTTGGACGCGAACTTTCTGACCTAGCAAACGTTGGAGTTAGACTTCCGAACCGACTGGAAGCTGGAGAACTGAGTCAAAAGGTATGTATGATTACTGCGATGAGGTGAATCATAGGAGACATCAATTACTGTTACTAAATTTGGACATCGTACAAACTTCACAGTCGTGCACCGCTGCAGCTGTTCACATGCAGGCAGTACGAACTAGGAAGTTCTCTCATGTCGTATCTTATCGAGAGTATCACAACGTTTTCCCCAGCTGAAAGTTCAATTACAAAGCTTCAAGGTATTCCCTGTTATTTCATAAAGCCCTCTGCTGCCACGTCCGAATTCATCAAGCCTCGAAAAGAAGTAATCTCCCCAGAACTCCGTCATGGAAATCATTCATGCGAGCACCCCGGGAAACGATGCGCGAGAGGGGACCGTTCATCTCATCGCAACGTGCATGAAAAGTCTAGCGTGAAGGACATGGCGCCTATCTCTAGTTTGGGAGTCTTAGCTAGGTATGATGTGAGAGCAGGGCACGATAGTAAAAGGGCATACATATGACAAGACTATTGTTCTGTATTGGCGTCTTTGACCTCTTCAACACGTCTCAAAAGTACAGGACGGCCTCCCAATTGGCGGCCAGTTCGGATGCAGAAATCCTGCCGTACAGAAGCAGGGCGGCCCGAGAATTGAGTGAGCCTCTCCGTACATAATAATTGCTTCTTTGCCTCATACCGTATCACAACACTAGAAACGGCACACCCATCCACCAGCTTCAAGAGATATCAAGTCTGCACTTGCGGTAGCATTAATATATACAAATGGATAGCTGTGATTAAGAACCATCTTCAAAACAAAGTGCAACTCTCGCAATCCAACCCGATCATCACCAGATATTGCCTCTTCAAATTCGCTCGCGCAGGGTCCAACCATCGTCCTCCAGCGCCCGCGCAGCTGCGCTAGAGCCGAACCAGCAGCACCGCAGCCCTCTCACCATCGCCAACGAGAAACTTCCTCACGATATCTTCCTCTTCTTTCTTCCTCTACCTCCACCTCCCCCTCCGAGCGAGAAATAATATTCTGCGTTTCTTATCATCACCAGGCGTCTGGAATTTCGAGCGGTTTTTTCCCTCTCTTTTCCTCTCGTCCTCTTTCGTGTGATTCCTTTCTTCCATTCAAATTTACATCAGTCATCACCCGTCCTCTCGTCAATCCTCACTCGTCGTCGCCTTCTTCCTCTTTCACAAGTCTTCTCGTCGTCGTCGGCTCCCGTCCCTCTTCGTTGTCGTACCCATCTCGTCTTCCTGCGGATAGGTACATTTGTCGCGTCGTCCTCTCTCAAAGCAGCGCCTGGGCTCTTCTATACGCGGTTTTCTCATCGTCGACCCGTTCACCTTTCCTCATCGAACCATTTTCGCGCTGTCGTCTAATCGATTTCTCGAGTTTGAGCTCGCACTTCTTATCGTTCGAGTCATACGAGACTACCCCAAGCATCGAAGCAACATAAAGCATTGAGCTCTGCCTTCTTGTCCTCTTTACCATCTCGATTTTTTCGATCATCGTCGGCGTTCTGAACGAGTTGCTCTGCGGCTCAATTTTTCGCAAATCGCACAGCCTTCCAGCTCAACTTCAGTCTCATCTTTCTTGAATAGTCGAATTTCCTACGATGTCTGATAACGGTCCCCCTCCTTCTAGCGCTCAGCTCCCGCCACCACCGCAGACCACTGCTGGTGCGCCGGGCTACGAAAACGGTCATAACGGTCAAACGAATCCTCATATGCCCCCACCACCTCTTCCTCCGGTTATCATCCCACAGAACACCAATCCGATCCCGACGGCCATCACATCACCAATGGGCGAGAATGGAGGCATGATGTCGCCTGATAGCGCTGGTGGATTTGTGCGCCGTGCTGCACCTGAGCCGAATAAGCGTGCTTTGTATGTTGGAGGTCTTGATCCCAGAGTCACAGAAGATGTGCTCCGTCAAATCTTCGAAACTACTGGTCATGTCCAAAATGTCAAAATCATTCCTGACAAGAATGTAGGTGCTGTCAGTATCAACTTTATCTGTGTCAAATCCTTGAGAATTCTAGCACCTAAGGCTGCGTCAAATTCTCTTTCTAGAGGGATTTCACACAAGTTCACCTTTACTTTTCCAAACTTTTTTTTGTTGCCCCACAAATTTTTCAGCATACTAATCGCGGTACCAGTTTCAGTCGAAGGGATTCAACTACGGTTTTGTTGAATACGACGACCCAGGAGCGGCTGAACGAGCCATGCAAACCCTCAACGGCAGACGCGTTCACCAAGCGGTGAGTAACACCCTCCTTTGTGTCTTGATTTCGCTGACCTTCGATCTAGGAAATCCGTGTCAACTGGGCGTATCAATCAAACACCTCCAACAAGGAAGATACCTCCAACCACTTCCATATTTTCGTCGGCGATCTGTCCAACGAGGTCAACGATGAAGTCCTCCTCCAAGCTTTCTCCGCTTTTGGCTCCGTCTCCGAAGCACGCGTCATGTGGGACATGAAGACCGGTCGGTCCAGAGGTTATGGCTTTGTCGCTTTCCGTGAACGACAGGATGCAGAAAAGGCACTGAGTTCCATGGATGGTGAATGGCTTGGGTCGCGTGCAATTCGTTGCAACTGGGCCAATCAAAAGGGACAACCGTCGATCTCTCAGCAACAAGCTATGTCTGCTATGGGCATGACTCCTACAACCCCATTCGGCCATCACCACTTCCCCACCCATGGTGTTCAGAGCTACGACATGATCGTCCAACAAACTCCCCAATGGCAAACCACGTGCTATGTTGGCAACCTGACCCCTTACACCACTCAGAATGACCTCGTTCCCCTCTTCCAAAACTTCGGATATGTCGTCGAGACTCGCTTCCAAGCTGATCGAGGATTCGCCTTCGTTAAGATGGACACCCATGAAAATGCAGCCATGGCTATCTGTCAGTTAAGCGGCTACAACGTCAATGGACGCCCTCTCAAGTGCAGTGTACGTTTCCCTAACCCTAATAGTTTGATCAGACCACTAACATTTTTTTCAGTGGGGTAAGGATAAGGCGCCTACTTCGGCCGGAGGAGCCTTCGATGGATCTCAGCAAGGTTACAGCCCACAAGGCGGTGCGACTCCTGGAGGTTACCCAGGAACTCCCGCCGCTTACTTCCCTCAATATGGTGGTATGCCTCAACAACAAGGCCCTCAGTCAGCCGGACCGATGGCTAACCAGCAGTCTCCAGGCCAGTTCCCTGGTCAGCAAGGTGGATATGGTGGACCGCCAGCCCAATCCCCTGGTCAATATGCAGGTCAACAAATGGGCTATGGAGGTTCTGCCAGCGCTGGAGGATATGGTCGTGGTGCACCCACACCTACTGCCCAATGGAGTGCACCAGCAGCCCAAAGCTTTGGAGGTGCTTTCAATGGTTACCAAGGCTAGACGTAAATTTCTGACAGTTCTTGCAAACTATGTCAGGGTGTTTGATGGTATGAGTTTCTATGGTTTCGCAGGGATTGGGATATCAAATCTGGCAGCGGTCTTTTCTATTCTGCATCTGTTCTTCTTGTCCTGGCCCTTCACTTCGGCTAGGCCGTTCAGCATGCTTGCATAGGACGATTTCATTTCAAGATGCGCTTATTCACAATTTCTCTGTTCATTACTGTTGGGAAGGTGATTCTTCGTCGACAAAAAGTTGTTTTTCTAGGTTATCGTCGACTTTGGATCTTGTTCGGCATTCTGATTCTGGCTTCTCATTCGCCTCTCGTACTCATGAGTCCACGAATCTACTATCAGCGACTACCCAGTTCTTTCCGTCTCACTGCTTGGTCATTGTTGTCGTATCGAGGTGGGCGGTAGTTACATAAGTAAGAATGTAGTCTGAAAGACTGTAATGACAATATGACTTGTGTGTAAATATTTCCACCGTGACCTCTAGATGTTGAATGACTTTTGCTCCCAATCCTGGCGCCGACCTATCAGTGGTGATGACCATTTGCCTTGATTACATAATACAGTAATCAATTCACTAGCGTGTTTTCATGCGTCGCGCTTTCCACGCGAAGTCATCCAACTTGTACCTTTGAACCAAACCGAAGACAAAATCCATTACCGTTGCGACGCTTGATGGATTGACCACAATTCTCAAGCATCTTTCAGACCAAGTGTATGCCGCCTGGCTTGAGGTCTTCTGTGGCGTTCACCCTTACTTCGCGGGGACTACAGCCGCATTTCCGACTGCCACAGCGACCCCTTATCTCGTCAAGTTTCTATGTACACGATCTTAGAAACCGATACTCGTCCATTGCAGACGCGATGTTAGGACGAGCCGCGAAGTCCTTTGAGACTTCGAATCCGAAGAACGAATTGGCAAAACAACTTTTCCCCTCGAGCAGTCCAGCTCAGAATGCGAAAATCGACGAACAATTCAAGAAAGCACGCCAATCATCACAGTCAATTGGTGGATTTACTGGCTATACCAATGCTGCGAATCCTCTCCGCCCTAAATCCCCTAACATCAGACCGAACTCAAAACGAAGCACCACCAGTTCTGTTATGCAAAGTACAGCTCATAGCGTTCCATCCATCTTCAGCAAACAAGACTCCTTTCAGAATACCCCAGATACTATAGATCTCACGCAAGAAGATGCTGTTCGTACGAAGCAGCTCCCAGTGGACTTCGACTTGGACGATTTCGAAGACGATGCAGATATTGACCTCGACATCGACTACGAACTACCTATGTCTATGGCGCCTCCTCCAAATCCGAGCCAACATAAGACGGCAGGTCCTTCGCCATCTCCATATTCGTTACCACAACACAAGCGTTCTATACACCCACCTTCTTCACAAAATCTACCAAGCAGCGCGCAAACTTGGTCGTCTTCCTCACCGTCACATAAGTTGCATCCAACAGTCGTCGCGAAGAAAAGAAGTTCTGAGGAGCTAGCAGAGGAGGCTGGAAGTACATCAGCCGGTCGAGAGCCTGCCCAACAGAAGAAGAGAAGAACTCTACCTTGGATACAAGCAAATGCCGAAAGGGATCAAATTGCTGCTATGGAGGAGGATGAAGCCGATGAGATGGCAGCCATAACATCATCGACCTCGCCAGTTACTTGCGTTAAATGTAGGAAAACCGGGCACTCTGGGGCCAATTGTCCTGTCTACTCAAAAAAGGGCTCAATGTTCAATTTCACGCCACTTCCGAAAGACAAGAAAGACAAGCAAATGCCATGGAATAATACTGGCAGTGCTGTTGCGGAAGAGAAGAAGAAGTTCAAGCAAAAATCCAAAAAAGCTGTTGAGCAGGGAATTCGTGATGCAGCAGACGGTCATCATAAGTCGAAGGTTACTATGGCTGCCATCACATTGAGTCAAGAACAGCAGAGGGTCCTCGATCTAGTTGTTGGACAACAGAAGAGTGTATTCTTCACCGGATCTGCAGGTACAGGCAAGTCGGTCCTGATGAGGGCAATCATTGCCGAACTGAGGAAGAAGCACATTCGGGAGCCTGATCGTGTGGCGGTCACCGCTTCTACAGGCTTGGCTGCTTGTAATATCGGTGGCCAAACTTTGCACAGTTTTGGAGGTATCGGACTTGGAAAGGAGGATGTCCCGGCTCTGGTCAAAAAGATCAAACGAAATCAGAAGGCCAAAAACCGCTGGCTTCGAACTAAGATTCTGGTTATTGATGAAATCTCGATGGTGGATGGTGATCTGTTCGATAAGTTGGAAGGCATTGCACGAGCAATGCGGAACAATGGCCGACCATTCGGTGGAATCCAGCTTGTAATCACGGGTGACTTCTTCCAACTTCCCCCGGTGCCTGATCAGGACAACAAGAGCAGAGGAGCTAAGTTTGCCTTTGATGCTGGCACTTGGGCCACAGCGATACATCATACTATTGGCCTGACCGAAGTATTCCGTCAAAAAGATCCCGGTAAGTTGTGATCATAGCTTTCCACACTACCAATGCTTATTGGTACAGTTTTTGCAAACATGCTTAATGAGATGCGACTTGGGAAAATCACCGACGAGACTGTCGCCGCATTCAAGAAGTTAAGCAGGCCTATTCAGTCTCGGGATGCTGTAGTTGCTACCGAGTTGTAAGTGTTCTCTGTTGTTCACGATGACAAAAGCTCACGTGATTGTAGATTTCCAACAAGGAACGAAGTCGAGAGCTCCAATGCTTACAGAATGCGAGACCTTCATGGAAAGGCGTACAGATATGAAGCTCGAGACGGCGGAAACATGACGGACGAGACAATGCGTGACAAATTACTTTCAAACATGATGGCACCGAAGACTCTCGAACTCAAAAAAGGTGCGCAAGTCATGCTCATCAAGAACATGGACGATGGGCTGGTCAATGGTTCTCTTGGCAAAGTTATAGCCTTCATGACAGAGAAGAATTTCGAGATCTACGAGAACCATCCGGAGGCTATGGATGAGGACGTCCTTACGGAGGATCTAAGCGAAGATGGCCGCGATGCCAGAGCCACAATTGCCAAGAGGGAAGCAGCCTCCGAGTTAGGCCAGCTGTATCCACTTGTACACTTCCCCATGGCAGATGGCTCGTATAGAACCCTGTTAGTACAGCACGAAGAATGGAAGGTGGAGCTTCCTAGCGGAGAAATACAAGCCTCCCGGTCGCAACTACCTCTTATCCTGGCATGGGCACTATCCATCCATAAAGCTCAAGGTCAAACTCTCGAGCGTGTTAAAATTGACCTGAAGAAGGTATTCGAGAAAGGCCAAGCATATGTTGCACTCAGTCGTGCTACAAGCCAGGCTGGACTCGAAGTTCGCAACTTCGATAAGAACAAGGTCATGGCTCATCCGAGAGTAGCAGAGTTCTACAACAGCTTGTACAGTGTCAACAAGGCGTTAGAGCACCCGACAGTTGCGAAGCCTCCGCCGCCTAAGAAGGCAAAATCATATGAGGAGGAGTTCACAAAGGGAAAGATGTCTCGGGACTTCGACTTCGACGAGGAAGAAAGCGTCATGGCGGCTTACGGTTGAATGCCTGTTTGTGAAAGCTTGGGTTAGGGTCAGGATTATATCACGAAAGTATTGCTTCGATATTCTGAGAGTATATCATAGCTTCTCTTGGCCTTGCTAGAGTGTGCTTATATGTACAGAAAGTCAAGCAAGTCGTGTTGGTTGAAAGATTACCACCTGCATCCTTATGCTCGGGAGATGTCATACTTAGAGATATCGATGTGATGAATTGGAGCTGGCGTCTAGGACTGTAGTGGGAATTATATATGGCAGACTGCTCACTGCTTCTTTAGACAAAGTGCACTGAAGATAAAGAAATGAACAACCCAAACAATCAAAAATGGTTGATTAGTAAGTGATGTGTAATCTTAACAATACATTGATTTATTACCCAGTTTGACCTGCTTTAGTTATTCCATGTTTACGAATTAAATAAAGTTGCTCACTTGTTCTCACATATTCTTATCGCTTCGATGGTACCGTCCTAGATCTCACAGTTTGGTACTTTACAGAGTTTTTCTTCAAGAGTATCGATTGCACACAGCATGTCCGATGCTATCCCTAGAAATGCAAATGTTCTAAGCATTCTGGAACAATTTACAACCAACTGAGTAAGGGTTTCCTGGGTTGTGGAACGTTGGAGTATCAAACAGCACCGCGGAAATGTGACCCGAAAGTCTCAGTAAACGCTCAGTTTGCAAATAATTCACGCCTTGATATGAACGAATGACAGGTTTGTCAGGAAACATATCATGCCCTTTTTGACAATACAGTGTTAGTCTTTATACGTCTATCAAAGCATGACTCGACTGTCTGAGATGTTCAACTAAAGATGAGGTGAAGTTACACAGCAAGTGCTCTAGTACTGCCTATCGATAAGCAGACGAGCTAGGAACAAGCGGCCCGCCGTCATCCCGAAAATATACTTTTGTCTCACCCACGCGACTTCACAGGAACAAAAACCGATATCCAGCACAGAAATTCCACAACTGACCGATCTCGTTCGTAACCCTTCTTCTCCTCTCCTCAAACTTGGGCGCAACCCTTGCCTGCATAGCCCTCAGGTGTTCTACGAAAGTAGTCCTCTCTTGCGCTCTCCAGAAACGCTCCTAGGATCCTGAGAGGTGGAACACAAGACACGGTAGCAGAGATGTCGAACGCGTTCATTGGGCTCACCATGCTGGTGACGCTCAGTTCTCCACCTGGCGCCCAATTAAGAGGAGTCGTCAGTGGCATTGAACCTGGCAAAAGTCTGACTTTGCGGAATGGTATGCCCTTTTCAACTTATCTTTCCCTCGATTTCAAGGTCCATTGTCCTGACCTTCAACAGTAACTTGCCCTGCGAACGGAAAGTATGTCCCAGAATTCACGATCAATGCCGCCGAAATCGTTGAATTGATTGAAGCTCGCAACGAGAACACAGCTCCTAGTGCTACCGTGAAAGCTCAAAAAACTATCCCTGTCGCTCCTGCTGAGAGGAAGACTTTCGAAGATCCTGCCATTCTGAGTGTAGGAAAGCGACCAACACCGAACCAGAATTTGAGGCCGAACATACCTGCGCAATGGAACTCTGCTGCTATGGAGAGGACAGACTCGGCACGAACTGCGACGGGTAGGGAGAAGGATGCGACGAGAGACATTACTCCAGCTGCGACTCTGGTAGAACCCATGCAGAAGGTTCATATCAAGGAGGAAGTAGACGACGGACTGGTCTTGGAGGAACTTGATGCTGCACAACCAGAACCTGAGGTTTCGCCCGAGCCTGAGTTACAACCAGTCAAAGCACGGAGGACCCGTAGACGAAAAGGTCGCAAGAATGATGAAGGTAGTCATGATCCGGCTTCAGCACCAACGAAAGAGACCACTAGATCTAAGGGATGGAGACAAACACCTTTGCTGGAACCAGTGGACTCTTTCCAACCGTTTGCTACTTTGAAGAAGAACCAAAAGGGCAAGATGCGAAAGGAGATGAGTGGATGGGCGACTGAGGACGCTACTGATGTCCAGGAGATGGGAGACTTCGACTTTGAAAACAACTTGGCGAAGTTTGATAAGAGGACTGTCTTTAACCAGATCCAAGCTGAGGATAGTGTGGCCGACGAGGATCGATTAGTTGCTCATAATAGATTACCAAAGGCCAAACCAGGTACATCTGGTGGAAAGAATTTACACTACACCGAAAACGTCCTCGATGCAGCAAATGGAAATGGAAAGGCGAAGGGTGGTTCTTACAAGAGCGAGGCTGATAGTGATGAGATTGAGGAGAGGGCAAGTCAGAGAGGCTCTGGAAGTGGTCGACATTCCCGTCGAGCTGAAAGCAAGCTATCTACGAGTCGAAGACCTGTTTCTCGCAAGGGTAGCGCTGGCATGCAACCGTTGCAGCCAGCCAGGACGCTCTCTGTAAGTCGCAAGAGGACTGTCAACACTGGCTTTACTAATACAGTAAAGATGCCGACCAACGCCAAGGCTTTGTTCTACCTTGTTCCGTCGGATAGACGTTGCGAGCCAATCTCGTCTCTACAAATGCTCAATCTAGAGAACATTGCCGACAACGAGCTTGGTTTGTCAGAGGACATGATGACTGAGAACGCCGCTCGTGGTATTGCTGAGGTCGCTTTGTCTGCTTTACATACTCGCACTGACGGCTTGAATGTTGGAAACAATGTGGTCATCCCAACAGTCGTTGTTTTCGCAGGAAATAACAAAAGTGGTCTCCGAGCCGTCGCAGCAGCCAGACATCTCCGAAATCACGGTGCTAGTGTTGTGGTCTGTGTCCTTGGCTTGGAACGCGAATCGGAGCTTTTGGTAGGCCTTAGACGTCAAATCAAGGTCTTCCGTAGCTTCGGAGGCAAGGCGGTCACGAAGTCAGAGCTTCTTGAATTCATCAAGAATCTTGCTTCACCCGTTGAGCTTGTCATCGATGGCCTTCTCGGTCTTACCATTTCATTCGAGGAGCTCAGAACAGGAGATCAAGCAACAGCTTACGAGCTCATTGCATGGGCCAACCGAAGTAAGGCGGAAGTGCTTGCGATTGATGTTCCTACTGGCATTGATCCGACAACTGGAAAGGTCAGCATCATCGATGGAAGACAACTCTACATCCATGCCAATTATGTTGTGGCTATGGCTGCACCGAAGAAAGGTCTGCTGGAGGCGATGGCTCTTGGTGAAGGAATCGGAGACGAGGACGCAATTGGCAAGGGCCGAGAATGGCAACTCTACGTCGCTGATCTCGGTCTTGGTGCTTCCGTCTGGAAGAAAGCCGGCACGAGAGTCAGGAGAGGAGTCGAATTCGAGGGAAGTTGGGTTCTGGGCATGAGATTTGAGAGCGCGGAGTGAACGAGGGACAACAAAAGCTTATGAAGGTCGAATTGTATTTTTTGCTGAAACTTAGCATGGCGTTAGTGGCTACACTTTACGAAGGGCGGGAAAGCTGGTCGGAAAATCAGCTTCAGATATGGTTTAGCAAGGCGCATTACGATGGCTGGGGGTTATAGCTTTACTGCTATGGTATTCTTTTTTAACGTCAATCACTTTACAAGACCTCCTGTTTGTCTTCATGTGCGTGTGATATTGATTACAATCGAGATTGGACGGAATTAGCTAAGTTAGCTCTGTGTATAGCCTGTCCTCGGCTTACTTGGGGTAACATCTGTCATATGCTCCTATTCGCTATGGTCGAACATGCAGCACAAATGAGTCAAAATATTCAGCTTGTGTGAAGATGAAGTTAGCTTTGAAGCGGCAGGTATATCCCTCAAAGCGGCATGACTCACTCTCCTGCACCATCTCGGATACTTGGCATAACCTACTTACCCGATCTGGAAATCACACTTCTCAATCCACACGACGTCTTATATCTGCACCTTTCATCCCTCTTTCGTTTCCTTCAAGTTCAATTGTGAACGGTCAGACTTCCGCTAGTTTCTTCAAATTGTCTGTAGACACTCTTCTTTGTTTCTTTCGACAATGGCTACAGAAACTCCGGATGAGATAGCGACGAAAGTTCAAGCGAGTCTTGAAAACGGCCCGTTCGCTTGTTCAAGCCTGGTCAAATTAACTGGCGGGACGGCGAACTTCGTGTATAGAGGCACATTGAAAACGAAATTGGAAGATGGGACTGAGACGGTGGTTGTCAAGCATACGGAGGGGTATGTGGCTTCGAGTCCGGGGTTCAAGTTGACTGATAGTCGATGTGTAAGTTTACTTGGACTTTTCTTGCTTTTCATACTCGCTTGGCTATGTTTGAAAGTTTGATATTGATATTGATGACCATACAGGAATACGAGCGCACGATCTTGACGGATCTGCATTCCTTCCCCACTCTCGTCCATGCTGGGATTGAGGTTCAGACTCCGCATCTCTATCACTTTGACAAGGATACAAACACGCAAGTGTACAGCGATCTCCCGTCATCTCTCGATCTCAAGACTTATGTCCTGACTCATGCTGCTTCTGTCACGAAGCTTCAGTGTGAGCGGTTAGGTTATGCATTGGGAGCTTGGTGTAAGGCTTTTCACGTCTGGGGTAATAGCGAAGAGCGTAGAGAAGTGAGGGAGGAGATGAAGGGCAATAAAGCTATGAGAGATCTGAAGTTTGTGATCAATTATCAGAGGTTGATTGCTTCCATCGAGAGCTTTCCCGAGATACTCGAGGAAAAGAGAGACTTATTTGAAGATGTTGCACAGAGTGTGACGAAGGAGCTGAATGAGAAGGAGGGAGACCTGATTCATGGTGATTTTTGGAGTGGGAAGTATGTTCATTTTTCTATTCTCACTTCTACCAAACCTTACATACTGAGATGACCAGCGTCCTTCTTCCTTCTGGCCCGATTCCGGAGTCGTCTGATAAGCAACTGAAAGTCTTTGTGATTGACTGGGAGATGTCGCAACTCTCAATCCCAGCTTTTGATCTCGGGCAAATGATAGCCGAGCTGTACGAGTTGAAACACTTCAAAAACTACGATGCCGGGGTTTGGCTGATAGAGTCTTTCATCAAAGGATACGGAGAGATGGATGAGGAGATGAAGTGGAAGACGATCATTCATACTGGTGCTCATCTGATCTGTTGGGGAACTAGAGTTGCTGGGTGGGGGAGCAAGGAGCAGCAAGAGGATGTGGTGAGGGTGGGAAAGCAGTGGATCATCAATGGATGGGAAAGGAAGAAGGATGCGTTTGAGGGCATGGTATTAGGGAGATTATTCAATGAGAATTAACGAGGAAGAAGTTTATTATAAATCTGCAGGAGTATACTTGACCCATCTCAACTCGCCTCGCTTAACAAACGAGAAGCTCAAAACAACAGCAGCAATAAAACGCAAGGCTTTCCCCAAAACCATGCCACAACTTCAAAAGGAAAAGTAAAGAGTAAAAAGTACAAGTGAAAAAGTACTTCCGAGTGACAAAACTCTACGTTGACGCCAGGGTCCTTAAGCCTGTACGCAAACAAGTTCACAGACCGAACAGCAGAATGCCAATGCCCCATTCCTGTTTCCATTTCTGGAAAGCAGTGACTCTAAAACCCTCATGTTGCGCTTGAATAAGAGAAAGCTGTCATAGGGAAATCACCTGTCTCAGTCTGGGGATGACCGACGGCAGATGCCACCTCGAAATTTTTTTTGGTGGCGAAAAAAATGCGTTTAAAACTATGCAGGAGTTTGGCTAGGATGGAATTGAAGTGACGAGGCTGAGGTCACGTCGTGTGGAAACTATATTGATGATGAACGTGTGCTTTTGGTGCACCGGAAATTTGTTGTTCCGAGAAAGTAAAGTTATGTACAAGAATCCAACAGTCAACAATCCAGATGTTGACTTTCTCTCTTCCACTCCACGTTTCTTCCACCTCCTCTTTAGATATACTTGGTGAGAATATCGATATATGGTACATAAGCTGTCCCACTGGGCGGCTCCATAGAGTAAATGTAGTCTCCCCACCATGGTCCACCTCCCCACCACAGAGCACCCATCCAGACATCAGAAGCGGCTGCCAATGCATCCAGCATTCCGGTGACAGCTGTCTCACAATCCGAGTTCGCTCCTCCAGCGAATTCTCCAATGATACCCTTCTTGCCGTTCTCTTGGAGCCAGCTAGTGGCGGCAGCGATACGTTCAGCGCCGATAGTGGTAGAGACACAGGTGGCGGATGTGCCAGATCCGTCTGAGTCTAGGTATTGATGCATTTCATACACGATCTTGTCAGAGGGGTCGGTGAGGTTCGCCATTGCTACGCTGTTACCGGATGATACCCAAGTCCAGGCACCTGTGTAGGACTAGGGGGATAATGTTAGTATGAAGAGAGTATTGAAAGGGGTGGATGGAACATACAGTGCCTTCGACGAAGATATACTGAGTGGTGGCACCAGCTGCTCGGACACCATCGATACAGGCTTGGTTCAGATCCGCAACGACGGTATTGGAAGGTTCGTCGTGAAACTCGTTATTGCAGTCGAAGATCACATTGTCGTTGGTTGCAAACTCAGTAGCGACGTTGGTCCAGAAAGTCTGGAAGTCGGAGGTAGAAGTGAAGATCGTGCCGTCGTATCGTCCGAAGTTATGAGGATCAACAATGGCGTGTCCACCGGCAGTAGTGATGAATTCAACGGTCGTCTTCAAGGCTGCGAGGTAGGTGGCGTCGAGGGATGCAGTCATGGTTCCTTGGGCAAGACGTTCCATGAGGAAAGGAATGCGGAAGATGTTCATTCCCTTATCCATAAGGATTTGGATGGCAGAGGTATTGGGCCAGGTGTAGTCTGTGCCCAGTGTTCCTGGGATGTCTGTGCTTCCAAACTCTGCTCCGGATTCGTTCACACCAAGGAATTCGAGAGCTCCAGTACTGGCGGATGAGGATGCGCTGGATGATACTGAGGCCGAGCTGGTGTCTGCGATGGCGCTTGATGAGGAGGCAACAACACCTTCTGCCGAGCTTGAGCTGACTGGAGTTGATGATGCCACAATAGCGGCAACACTGCTTGCTGAGGTCTGGACGGGGACTGAGACAATAGTACTGCTTGAAGCTTCAACTATGGAAACAGGACTGCTCGAGCTTTCAATGGTAGGAAGACTAGTAGCAATGACGATACTGCTTGCTGAAATGGAGGCGGAGGTTGTAAGAGGCACGGCTGTAGTATGAGAATGTGTTCCATGTGTGAAGGTATGGGGTGCTTCGGAGTGACTGGTGAAATCCTCATTATCGCACTCATCATAAGGATCAAATGCTTCTTCTCTGATGGGAGCTGCAAGGACTGCCGCTGCTCCAGCAGCGACCAGGATAGAAGTTGAAAAGCGCATGGCGCAACGAATGAGCGTATAGAAAGAAATGTAAAGAGTGACTGATGCTTGAGAGAAAAGTTGAGAAGTGGAAGAGAGAAGCTTTATGAGTAGACCAAGGACCTATGTTGACCCACTTGAAGTCACATAGATTGGAGATTCGTGGACCCAGCTGCGGGGTGATGTATTTCGTTCCTTCATTTGAGCATGTTAGGTCTCGCCAACCCTAGAACATGAGAGAACGAGGAAACGTACATGGTTTAGATGATGAGGGCCAAGCCCTCGGGTCCTTACAGATGATTTTCCTGGGTCTGGCGATCAGAAACAAATTGCATCGAATGATAAATGCGGCAGCCAGTGTTTGGGGCAACGGAAATTTGGTACGGCTCACTCCCATTCAATGTACTTGAAACATCGTGATTCGGGCGCCGGCCCATTCCCAATTGAAATATCGCACCAACCGGACAGCTGCCATGCGTTTGAAGGATCATATCAGAAATTATATGAGGAGGAGATCGCGAACTGAAATTAATGATTGTATGGGGTCGGTTTATCTTCCGAGGGGTGTGATCTTAGAAAGAATTAGGCCAGAGAGAATGTGCCTCGCTTCTACCACTCCTTCAAGGTCTCCTTCCATTTCAACTTCTTTCTCGCTAGGCTTGGATCTTACATCGAGTTCAAGCTCTTAAGGACAGATTTCAGGGGGCCAGAAACGTCTTTGTGCGCTCAGCAACAGAACCATAATAGATTACATTATACACAGAGATTTGTGCAAGGCACTTTTGAGCAGGAGGGGCTTTCCTCTCTCCCCCGAGAGTTGCCTGACAAGCGATGTTCTGCCTGGTACGAGCCAAGCAATTGCGTGTGGCTGACAGTTCTGTTTTTAGTATTCAGCCTCATCGCTATCCTATGTTTCTGCGAAGTCTCGTACTGAAGCGCGAGGCTGAGTGAGAGGCAGATATCATCAATCTCTTGCTACCGTATGTCAAAGTTGCACATACAGTAATGTCTTCACCTTTAGTCCGCAAATTTATCCTCCTGTTATCTCTCGAATAGGAGTCATCTCATACGAGCTCCAGAAATTGTCTAGGTTCTGGGAAGTATTCTTTTCTTGTCAAGCGGTGGAAGGTAGCTGGGCACCACGGCCGTCGAGATGCGGCACATCAAGCTTTACAAGTGCCACCTCGCATTTCTGCTTACAGAAAGCCATTGTCAGTGGGATTATACCCTGAACATGAGGAGGCTTTGCATGCAGTATCACAAGAACACTCTCCATGTGTTAATCCTAAACCACTGCAGCGTTGTTTGTTTTATTTCCTTCTACCAACAATCATGAACAGCTTTATTTGCAACAACATGAATGTATTCATTCCTCTCCTGTTCCTTAAGTTACTCTTGGCGACGAGTATAGAAGCTTTTTCTCCCTGTCGTACTCACGTACCCACGACAGCCATTATGTGGTACGTGCTGAATAGTTGGGGCGGAGAGTTGTGATTGGCGCTTCAATACGACTCCAGTTCGAATACAATTGACTGCCCCACTATAACTCTTTGGCGGTTCCTATGTGACATTTCTACTGGGCACATTTACAAAGAGCAAGGCCCAACCCTTGCTTGATCTTCTTCCTTGGGGTAATGGTATGCCCTTCCTTGCATGCAGAATCCTCCAGTTTTGATCGGCAGATTGAGCCTTATTCTGCGCGTTTCTCCCTTCTTTGCCTTTCTTCACCTGGCACCAACTTTCGGGATCATCGAGTCTCTTGGTGCATCCAATATATTCGTCAAGATGTCAACAACGACTACTACTACAATCACTGACCCGGCTGCGATTGCAGCCTTCAACCGGGGTCCAGTGACAACGACATTTACACCTCCGAACTCATGCCTGTCTATCCTAACATTGAATTCTAACATGTACTTTGGGTATGGAGGCCCCTCGTATTACTTTGACCATGACTGCTATCCAAGCAGTACTGCAAATGCTGTTTCTAGCGGATGGAGCTTGTATTACTGTTAGTCTTTACTGTGTGCCTTTCCTTCTGAATATTGCTCATCTGATACCATGAAGACAGTCCTGCTCAGTGCCCATTGGGCTGGGTGCAAGCAACGCGGATGACAGAGAGCTATGGGGCTCAAGATACCTTTCTGAGCATTGGCGCTTCTACTACCGCCGTGCTTTGCTGTCCATCGTACGACTCCTTCTTCCATTACTTGAGCGACTTTTTCTGACTTATAGTCTAGTGGTTATTTCTTTGACATTCATAATTCATGCAGCAACGGATGCGCATCGGGAATATTATCTACTTCGACTACTCTACTCTATATCAACCCCCAGGTCAATCAGAACTCATGGTTTTCTACCTCAGCAACCGATCCAAGCACAATAACAGTCTCAGTATCAGATAATGGATATGGCATCTGGGGAAGCGGCATTCCCGTGTGGTGGGAGGAGTCTGATTCGACACTCTTTACCAGTGGACCTCCTACCACAAGCTCAACTCCGACTACACCACCTACAAATACGGCTACGGTACCACCCCCTAATCCAACTTACCCGAGTGGACTTTCGAGCGGCGCAAAGATTGGAATAGGTATTGGGATACCACTTGCTCTTTTGATATTCGGCATTGTCGGCTTTGTGTGTTTTCGCAGATTCAGAGTTCGGAGAAGGGTAGAGAGCGCTCAACCAGAACAGCAAGACGCCTTCATGCCAAACCCAGAGTTGCAACAAGCCTTTATGCCCAAACCAGAGCTGCATGGGGAGCCGGCGCCGAGAGCACCAGCTCAAGAGCTAGCGGTGTACTCGGACGATGAGAGACATGGTCGAGATTCAGTGGTGCATTACGAGCTTTCCGAATGAGAAGACAAGGCGAATCAGTACTGGTTTTGAATTTTATGGGTTTATAGAATAGAAATATGGAGGAAGGCGACTGCAGCCAATTACCACAAACAGAGAAGTGGTCGAGGTATCCAATCTTGTAGTCTACAGCGATCTAAGCAAGGAGTTCTGTTGATGTTATTTTAGCACTGAGACGGGCCTCTGGGATAGCGTAATTACCTAATACATCGGCCATTGCACTGCAAGCCTCGTTCACATCTTGACTGCCTTTGCAGACTTCGAGACACTGTTGGATAATTCGATGACTCGTCGAAGTTGTCTAGCCTAAGCTGCTGTCCTGTTGAACCTTTCGGTATTAACTAGACAATAGACGCAACACACCTCATAGTCAAGATCGATTAAGCCCTAAATGAACGTGAGGTTGAGTCTAAGAGAATCAATCGGCATTTCGAAATCTACCTAAAATACTTTCAATAGATCGCGGAAACGGTACCTATGAGCGGATTCAGCAAAAGTCTGCTAGTTGGCAGCATCTGCAAATCTTTGGCTTTCTCCAGAATATTGGTGCCGATTGTTTGGTCATCTTTGAGGCTCTTCAATCTTCTCGCGATCTGGTCTCAAAGAGGACTCTCTGTTCTACCCACCGGCCCTGGTTTAATGACCTTTCCCGTGCTGGCACGAAGCACGTGACTGGTTTGCAGAGGTGTAGACTGAGGCAAGAAATGCTGTAGCAAGCTTTGTTAAAAAGTATTAGTCGACCGCCTTTCAGAAAGAGAGTGGCCAGTAAGCTGATGGAGTGTACGTAAGGACAATGGGATCTAATGATGGGAAGCACATGACATGTTGGTTGCTGCGCCACAGATGTTCGATTGGACACATCGGATATCTTCGATATTTCCTTCCCGCTTTTCTATCACGTACACGTAGACAACAACACCTCAAGCTGATTTTCAGACAACAAGTCTGTATGCCTGGATTGTTGCACCCTATCTGCTCTGATATACCGTACTTCCTTCGGACGCTTTAATCGTCTTGGCGATTTGCTTGCTTCTTTTGGTCCAGTCAATGCTTGCAATTCCAAATCCCTTGTATGGACTCCCTTCGATCGATAGTGACATTTGTCATATCATTCAAAGATATAGTGTGTTCCTCTGATTAAGTTCTGACGTGTGCCTGGTGTGGCGCTCTTTCTAGGACTCAGCTCGCTCCAATCGAAAGATCTGACTGTCTCCAACAGTTGGGAACAGCTAGCTTGGTGTAGGATAAGGAGGAGCAGAGCTGAGTGACAGACTTCTCACTACTACACGCCATGCAAATCTTTGGTCCCTGAGGATAATCTTCATCATGGGTGACACAAGTAGTGTCTGTCAGCTATGCGCCGTATCTTTCAGAATTGGACGGATCCGGACTTCAAACGAATCAGAGGCTCACAGTTGGGACTACAGAGCGTCCAGACTCTTTGAGCAAGACCCCAGCCAATCTCTATGCTCTCTGGCGCCCGAAGATTTGGGATGTAGAAACATAACGATGGATAGAGCAGATGGAGTGTTGCAACATATTGCTGGTCCAGGGTGTGTGTTTGAAGCAGGTTACAGCGGATGCAGAATTGGAGTAGAAGAGATGAAAGGCATCAGTAAGTCGAATTCTGCCTTTCCTTTGTATTCAATTTAGGAGCCGATATCTTCGTGACCATCCTCGAGAGCTGCTTGTTAAAGAAGATTTGTTCCCACTCTCTTCGGATAAGGTCGTCGATTCCTAGTCAAATTGTGTACTGATTTGTCTATAGATAGAGCGAGGTATGTGGTAAAGAAACCCGAGAGAAAGGGCAAGGGTGAAGAATCATCAAAACAGCCGCAGGTGAATGATAATGGGATCTCACCAGCCGGACCTGCCCACGAAACCAATGGTGGTGATGATGGAGAGTGGTTGAAGGACTATGAGCAGAAAAGCGAATGGTTTCTGTCCACAAGCACTGTGACACCACCGGAGAAATGGCAGCAATTGTCGAAGCGCGCAAAATTCGGCATCGAAGGACAAGATATATGTGCTTGCAATTTCCCTGACTATCGAAATTTCGCTAAAGGCCAAGGCTACTCACCAGACATGGCTATGTGGGTTGGCATTCCAGTTCATGACGCCTGCTGGAAGATCTTCGAAAAAATATCTTTGAGGAAGATTGGAAGGGTCGATATCGATGGATTCGTGGCCTTGTGGTGCCGTGAAGCGTGCAGTAATTGCGGTTTCCAGAATTTGAAGCAAGATCCCGAGATAGCAAAATTGCAGAAGCTATGGTGGGTGCACAAACCAGGAACCGAGTACTTGGTTGCGAATCCGGTAAATATCCCAGGATTTGGCATCATGATGCGAGGGACTTATAAAGAAGAAATTCCGCTTGGTGATGGAGCATTCTGTGATCGAAATATTCATGAAGCGATGTCCAGCAACTTTGTGGAAGAAAGGAACAGACCAGAAGACCCATTCTACAACATCCCGCCGGAGATCAAGAATGATATTCTTGCTCGCTTATGCTCGAAGGACATCGCTTCTCTCCGTCTCGCTTCACGATGCTTCCGTCAGCTGCCGAAAGCTCTGTTTAGAAATCTGATCAAAAAGGAGATGCCCTGGTTTTGGGAGATCAACGATGTTAAGATAGAAGAGGAAGAATATCTAAGTGGTTCTTTCCAGGAATCTTACGGTGCCGATATGCTCGAGGTCTCTGATGACATCGACGCCGATGTGCTTGCCTACGTCCAAGCACGAATGGAGAAGAAGACGCTGGACACTAATTGGCTTCTTGTGTACGAGCAATTGAAAATGTTGGAGAAGGGAGTGCTGGGAGTGAGGAATAGAGCAAGGATCTGGAAAGTTGTTGAAGAAGTTGTGGACAGAATAGGAGATATGGCTGGGAAGAACGGGTTCAAGGGAGCTGTAGCAGGAGTGGACTTTCCGATTTGGCCAGGTGAAAAGCAGGTTCCTCTCCGATGCGGAAACAGCTTTGATCAATGTGCCCGATGTCTCGGAGTTTTGGATTGATGTTTAGATTGCCGAATATCTGGCTTCAAATATGATACCCATATTACCGCACGCTTTGCACGATCTGATGTCAATTCGAGATATATAGGTATGCTCCAATATAGAAACATAAAGAGGATTCAGACACACTCCATGTACTCATTCGAAAGTGCGGATGCAGCTCCCCTTCAAGTTTACTGAACATGAATGTGGTGAAGCTGCACTTAGGTTTGCTCAAGAGTCTGTAAGCGCCAGCATGAATTTGCAGAACAAGAAAGACGAAGACCTATGAAGCCCTCAAACCTTCAATCGATTCTTGCAAAGTCTAAAAAGTTCAAAACATCAATTCGACAGAAGTGCCAGCGTCCACGTGATCAACGCGCTAGCGCAAGAGCTCGGCTAGTCTGCTTTCACTTCAACCTCGAAAGATTGCATCGTACCATCAACCAAAACCCTCAATTGAACCACTATGTTCCTCTCACGCCCCGCCCTCGCCGCCGCCCGTCGCGCGGCAGCATCCCCCATCATCAAACGCAGCTTCACAAGCTCCTTCGTGCGCCGTACGACCCTCTGCCCCCTTCTCACTCAATCAATTAACAGCTAACCTATCCCTCAGGAGAAGCTGCCCCTACACCAGCGTCCGGCTCCAACGATGGCAAGATCAAGAAATTCGAAGGTAAAGAAACAATTCTCTGCGGAAAGGAAGTAAGGGAAAGCTGATAGAAGGGCAGAGATCAAGAGTGAATCGGATCTCGTCGGTCCCGGCGCTGCTGTTGGTGCGGTGCCTACGGATCTCGAGCAGGCGACGGGCTTGGAGCGATTGGAGATCCTGGGGAAGATGCAGGGCATTGACATCTTCGACATGAAGCCATTGGATGCCTCTCGCAAAGGTAACCATCCTACAATCCCTCTCTCAAAAAATATCACGTCATTTCGGAACAATGGCTGATGGGAGTGTAGGAACGCTCGATAACCCGATTGTCGTCAAGAGTTTCGGCGATGAGCAATATGCTGGCTGTACCGGATACCCCGCCGACTCACACAACACGATCTGGCTTACGGTATGTTCTCAATGTTGAAGTAGGTGTAAGGGAGGGGGGCTGATTTTCCCCCCGAATAGATGTCCCGCGATCGTCCGATTGAGAGGTGCCCTGAGTGTGGAAATGTTCTGAAGATGGAATATGTTGGCCCGGCTGAGGATCCACATGCCCATGATCACGGTCACGACGCACACGGACACGGAGATGGGGTGCACAACTACGAGGGTGAGCCGAAGACGTTTGCCGATTTCGTTCGCCCGGAATACAGATAGGAGGGATATACACATTCGGGGAAGCTACGGGGAAGTTAGACGAACGGAAGGTTGACTGTAGAATAGTAGTCAATTGAGAGTTTTGTCTCGTCCAAATATGGCAGCATCTAGTCAACCGGAAGAGTGTACATCAAAATGAGACATAGGAGCACGTGGGGTTGATTTGCATCGTATTATCTAAGTAAGAGCTCGCGGACTGCGTTCGCCTTTCTTTTTGTTTAAAAACAGCGGACCTTGAGCACCAACCTCTATGAGATTTCCCTTTAAAAGCACAAAAAAAAGCATCGCTAACCACCTTCATGCACCGTTTTATGCCTCTCGTAAACCTCGTGACGTGGGAATTTCCACTATTAACAGGGAATTTGTGCAAAGCAGAAGCAAAAGGAACGTAGATGAGCAATGAATGCATCATCTTTCTGGTGAAGTGGATCCTCGATCTCGATTGGCAACGAATTCGTGCAATCGTATCTCATCCGATGAAAAAAAAAGTTGTCATTTACAAGGGTTTGGAGTCATCCGTGCTCAGACGAAAGACTCCGGATCGTGTCAAGGATGTTTGGGTTGGTCGGTGGATTTACTCCGAGCTTGGTCGCTTTCCTCCTGTCCTACATTGCCATCAGATGGTCTGGTTTCGTCCGAGGTATCAAGCGTAGACTTAGCATCCTCGTGCTTGTCATCCCCGAAATTAGACCCATCTGAAGAAGAGCCTGCGTCCCTATCCCTAAAACTTTCAGCCGCGTGTACGAGAGCTTTTGAAGCAAGACTAGGAGTAACCAACGTCGAGCTGCTACGATTGTCTGCCTCGTTTTCGCTAACATCCTCACTGGGACTGCCTTCATTACCAGAGCTGCCAGGTCGAGCCATAGCAGCTTCTTGGAGAGCCTTGGCTTTCGCGACGGCCTGGAAGGCTTGTTCTGCTGCACGCTCGGCCCTAATCTGTTTTCTCCACATGTTGTAGTAGCGGCCTTTCATCATAAGAAGGTCTTGGTGAGTTCCTGCTTCAGCTACTTTACCAGCGTGAAGAACAAGTATCTGATCTGCACTTGTAATAGTTGACAACCGATGACTATAGGAAGTTAGTTGCTTAGAATTACAGCATTAGAGGAAAGCCCTTACGCGATCACCAGCATAGTCCTGCCCTCTGAGAGTGTTCGCAGTGCCTCTTGTATGTTTTGTTCAGTATCTGAGTCAAGAGCAGCCGTCGCTTCGTCCAGCATGATAACGCGAGGATTCTTGATGATAGTCCGTGCAATGGCAACTCGTTGCTTCTCACCACCACTGAGGCGAAGACCGCGTTCACCCACTTTTGTGTTATACTGGTCAGGAAATGCCATAATCTTGTCGTGAATAGAAGCAGCTCTGCAGGCAGCGTACACATCCTCATCAGTGGCGTCTTGATTTGCATATTTGAGGTTATACATGAGAGTCTCGTTGAAAAGAACTGTGTCTTGAGGGACCACCCCGATGTGGCGCCGAAGAGAGTCAATTGTGATATCCCGCACATCATTTCCATCGATTTGGATGCTTCCGTCCTGTGTATTGTAGAATCTGAAGAGCAATCTGAACACTGTAGACTTTCCTCCTCCTGACTCGCCCACAAACGCAGTTGTGGTACCTGGACGGCAATTGAAACTTAGCCCTTCGAGTGCTGGCTTGCGGGTGTCATAGGAGAATTTGACATTCTGGAACCGAATCTGACCTTCGCACGCTGGCATTTCACGAGCACAGGGCTCATCGATCACCGTTGGTTGTTCCTTAAATAGCTCCAGGAGGCGTTCTCCACTGATCATAGCACTCTGCACACTTCGGTAAAACGATCCAAAGAAGTTGAGAGGTTGCTGCAATTGTGCCATGTAGGTCAAGAGAACGGAAAAGTCTCCAACCGTTCTTACGCCCGTGGTGACCTGATAAGCTGAGAGAAGTGAAGTTGCCAAAAGGCCGGTCATGAAGACCATGTTTTGGGAGATATTTAGGATGTTCAAGGAAATCGTGACTTTATACTCCATCTTTTGAAAAGCAATGACTGCTTTACGATATCTTTCGAATTCGTAATCCTCGGCATTGAAGTATTTGACAGTCTCATACGAGGTCAGAGAGTCGTTCTTGACTGCATCCTCCTCTCGACTGAGATTTGTCATCTGCCGACGTTGTTCTGAACGCCATCGAGCCATTCGAATGGTCAGATATAGATAAGAGAAAGTGATAATGGCAACCACGAGTGCATAGTAAGCATCGAATTTAACCCCGAAGTAGATGATCGCGACGCCAAGATCAAATATCATTGGGAGTACTTGGAAGGTGATCTGCTCCAGGAAATTGTTGATCGCATTGCCCTTACTAAGAGCAGAGAGGACCTCTCCAGTTCGTTTGCCAAGGTGAAAGTCCAAACTTAAGCCATGCACATGTTCAAATGAGGCCGTGGTCAAAGCTTGATATGAGTATTGTGAGATTGGGATCCAGAGTACAGATCTGATGGCTCCAAGAATACCAGACGTGCCTTGAAGGAATTTGCAGGCAATGAGCAATGATATCGAGAGCCAAGGCATTCCACGATTGTCTGTGAGCTCATCTGTGACTCGACCAACCTGGAGAGGCACGGCGATGTTGACAATGCGTTGAAGGACCACCAGTCCAAAACAAATTACGACAATGATTTGTAGCCTAACTGACTTGCTAGGCCATAGGTATGGAAAGAACAGAGAATATCCTTTCAGATATTCCCACCAAGTTCTGTTTGGAGCAGTGGTAGGCTTGTAGAAAGCAGGATTTTCGTCCAGGCTTCGACGTGTAGTCTCTCCATTTGGAGTCGCAGTGCCAGTTCCTCCAATGGAGCTGCCGTTGTGAGCAGCACCATTGACAGCTTCATATTCCCCAGGTGTCCGAATAGTCCCATTCCCGTTGACATGTGCGTGTCCGTTGGCCCGGCCATTGATGAGGAGTGGTGCGTTTTCGTTGATCTCTCGGTGGTATCTGCTTTTATAACGACGTTCCAGTGAAAATATGACATAGAAAGCTGCTAAGAGAAGGATGATGATCACGCGACATATGTCGATTGTGATTTCAGCAATCTCCCAACTGTCTGGTGTTCTGTAAATAACTTCGTTGCTTCTCAATGAATTGGTTTCTTGGTGAGAATTGGTATATAAGGAAATCGTGCCTCCCAGAAGTATAAGCTCAGCGATTGAAGCAATGCACCATGTGATTTGGTGGGCGATGTTTGGTGATGGGGTGGTATCAACCAGTGAGATGAGGAAGATGCTATAGAAGAAAGCTGAAGCACAAACATATAACTGTTGTTGGGTATGTCAGTGCACTTTTTATGGGGAACTTCGGGCTGGATTGCCACTTACAGCAGTGGCTTCACCACACCACCAGTCATTGTCCGTCTGGGTCAGAGCGTGAATGATGATATTGGCCCCATTGCCAACGAATGTTGCGAGAAGCCCTGCCGAGAGATACAGAAAGAGCAGCTTTCGGCCAGGACTGAAGTCTTTCAGCTTCTTCCTCTTCTCGCGTTCCTCCTTGCTCTTTCGAGCCGAGGATTGTGGTAGGGGTTTTCCCCCGGGACCAGTGAGAACGGGCTCCTTCGAATTCGACGAGGGTTCTGCTGAGAGTACACCGTTCGCAACGAATGCTACTAAGAATACCACAAATAAGACCCAGGCGTAATTGAAGTGCACGGCGTTCAAGAGAACGATTGTTGCATCCGCATCGATTCCATCGTTGCCAGAATTCGAGCTCAGCTCGAGTCTCCCTCCTGCCATTACAATTTATGGATTAAGACCCGGTATCCTCCGTCCCACATCAATATTCCGTATCGAGAGGAGGTCGTGGACTGCTCATGGCCCATTCGATTAAGAAGGGCGTGAAATTGAGTACGTTCAGGTTTAACGCGAAGCTTTGAAGGCCTCGGTACAAGGGTTGCCACCTGCGAGATCACAAGATACTGTCAGCGTGGTGGCTTGTCGAAATGTCTCTGACCGATGATAAACACGCCATGTGATATGTGATTGATGGTCTAAAGGCGATGTTGAAAACTTACTGGAGAGTGGTACTCTGCACAAGGAGATGTGCGGGTAGGTACTTGTGGTGGAGAGGGTTCGTCCTTTGGTCGAAAGAGTGATAGACGGCTCGATGATCGACGGCGACCCCTCGATCTAATCAACAAAAGAACGCCGAGAGATGCAATCAAATGCAAATGACCGAACAATCGGGGGGGAACGAAGGACAAGGAGTGTATTCCCGGGTATTTGAGTGGTCTCGCCCACCCTCCTTTTTTTTTTTGCTTTCGAGATGCAGATATGCCGATGGAGGGGAGAGTCCAAAGAATTTGCAGTTTGAAGTTGAGAGACGAGAGTAATGCGCGTTGTGAGTGGCGGAGCCGAGCTGCAGCGTCTGGGTTCTCAAGTTCGCTGGACTGGGACTGCGACTGGGGGGGGCGCTGGGACGTTAGACTGGGCAATTTGACTGGGGGCGTTTCGCTTGTGGACTCCCAAGGCGGTGAAGGCGGAAAATGTGAGAGAGGTGAGAGTGAGAGACGAGTATCAGCTGTACATGTACGAAGGATACATACGGAAAGTACACACACGGTACCGGTCTAGTACTTCGTACAGTACAAGCGCAAAGAACCGAGACCAGACAACCTAGACCAGACCAAACCAGACCAGATCAAACCAACCAAACCCAACCCAACCCAAACCAAACCCAAACAGTGCAACGCAGTCGAGTCAAGTCGAGTCGAGTCGAAGTCTCGTATAGTAGTATCATCCAATTCTCAGATAGATATTTGCAATATGCAATATCTCTCGCACTTACCTCACTGCGCTTCCCTTCGGTCCAGTACGGTCCCAGATTCCCGCTCCCAGATTCCAGGATCCAGTTCAGCTCGTCCGTGGTAGCTAACGTACGCCGGCCAACTTATGTTTCTTCGTCGTCGACGCTCTGCGCGGTCCTGTACCGCACTGTCCATGTACCGTACCTGCAATAGGAGCAGAGCAGAACAGCTGTCCTGTCGGGGTCCGGGTTAGTGTGAAGCAGGAAAGGTTCCTGCTGGCTGGTCGCGCTGTCCGTCGTCGCAGACTCGCAGCTTCGCAGAACGCCATTTAATATCTCCCAGCAGCTATGGAGATATATCTGCGCGCAGGATAGGACGTACTCTGGCTCTGGCCCCTCTCGTCTGCCACCGGAATAGCAGCACCATCGACAGATCACAGCACGGGCGTGGTGCTGAATCCACGAACCAGAAAACACCCCGCCGCCTCGCAGCCACCACCACCGACACCATCACCGCACACCAGCACGGCAATATTCGACCCCTCCATCACACGCGCAGTGCCAGTGTGCCACACAACCTCCTGCGGTGGGACAACACCTTAATAGCACCACTCCACTATCGAGCCGGCCAGCCTTGTACGACAGCCGCCACGGCGTCCCCAATCCCTCTGGAAAGGACGGGGGTCGCATGCTCGGAACCGCCTCTTCATTGCTCAATCTTCCTCTTCCTGGTGCTCCTCATTGCTCATCCCGGCCCAGTTCTCCCTCTCCCCAGTTCGCTCGTTCGCTCTGCGCGTCAGACTACAATTGACACGTGGTTTTGCGGCATCCCGGTGCAGCAAAGGCCTAGACTAAGCGTCCAGATTCAGTCGTGAGCCGTGAAGCCCAGCAAATGCAAATCGTGCAATCCGCTCCGCACGTCTCGCTCGCTCGTCCAGGTCCTCCTCCGCGTTATGGTCCGGCTTCGACACCGGTCGCCTCGGATCCTTCCCCGAGCGTACGCTCGACCCCAGTGTGCCATTGCGCGTTAGAACAAGAGCAAAAGGCTCGCGTTTGACATACAGGGCGCTTATCCACAGCTACTCCGAGCCTTTTCAATATGCAGTCATGCAATGATGTCCAACGAACGCACACTGCATGCCCTCCTGCTTCCCCCAGCAGCGGCCGCACGAGAGGTGATACTTCCCACCTTACAAGTTTGCAGGAAAAAGCCCTCTGACATTGGAGCGTCGAATGAATCCAATACTGCCGGTCCGAACTCGCAATGCATATATGCATATAGATCCTGTGTGACGACGTAACTTTCCCTCGGTAGGATCCCTCGCTATTGGTATTCTGTCTTTGAGACCAGATGGGGAGGATTTAGATTCAGCGGTGAGAGACAAACGTCCTGTCTCCCGTCGTGCCGTCCCTTCCCTTTCATCGGCTGGTTCTTCTCCCCCTTCGCCATGCCATCCTCCTGGTGGTCAATCTCTGAGTACCGAGGAACCTTCGAGCATGCTCTGCTCGAATGGCAGGTCCTCGACAACGCCAGTATCTTTCAAGTCCACGAAAGAAGCAAGGTCTTGCGCCTCCGCCCTCAAGCTATCCGAAACTGGGGGCGTTAACGATCTATCAATGTGAGGCAGAAATCCATCCAAGCTCTTCCAACAAAGAGCAAGATCTTCCCGCTGATCTGAAAGCTCTGCTCTGAACGCGTAATGGCAATGCAACGCCGCTTGTTTAGGCCTTCGTTCAAATCAATTTTCTGGCCCAATGTTGTACAACCGATGTTGCAATCCTGGATGAAAGAGCATCTGGTCTGCCAGCAGCTCTTACGGCAGAAAGGGACACGGCAAGATGCCTTTGAGTGAGTCCTTGCCATAATTCAGGAGACGTGGTTGCCGAAGGTGGTGGCGGAAGAAGCAACAATAGTTCCCATGCAACACTTCCCCATGGTCCGATTATAGCCAAGTCGGACGGTGCAAGCCAGGGGAGGTAAATACACCGATATCCGATCATTGAGCCTGTTATAGCATGGAACTGAATATGTCAGCCTTTCGCGACATCTGGGGGCCAATGTCTGTTTGGCACGTTGAAGTGTCAGCGAGGATCAATGCACTTGCTGCATTAACTCACTGATAGCATGCAAGTTGATTGAGTACAATGTACCTCTCTTTGGTGGAAGTGGTGTCTCAAGTTGAAAAGTGGTGGCATCGTTGATTTCTCCAAGCTGGAGAACCTTGAAACCTGCTTTGCTTATTGCAGGTGGAATGTTCGAGCTCTTATGGCAGAATTGCCTGTAGTGATTGGACTTCTCGAGACCCAATACTCTTTTGTGCTCAGACGAGGCATGGAGATGCAGCCTTGGCAAGCTCTGAGTCCATGTCTCCCATCTGCGTCGAGGAAGCTGCAATGTGAAGTGGCCGTTCCGTTCCGTTCTTTTGCATTAAACTATTGAAAAGCTTAGACATTTGCCAGACGTAGTAAGATTCATGGTATTGGGACAATCCCGATGGAGAACTTTCCGCACACTCAAGATGATGGCGGGTAAAGCCATCGAGCTTTGGGCGTGAAGTTGCTCCCATGGGCGCAATGTGCGTGGAAATTGTGCGAGGTCAATTCTGGGAACGAGAAAGAACCAAAAATATGAAAACAAGCAAGATTGTAGCGTAGCATATTATCAAGGATGATACAAAGTACCTAAAAGACGTAGGACCAGACCAGGTACAAGCTACTCGTGTTCAAATGATGCAGGTTGTGCAAGAAAGTACTGTGTTCAAAAGTTCACTGCCCTCAGCTCCTTGTCAAACGAGTGAGGATTGACGAGAAGTCCAAAACTTTAGAGGAACTCGAGTTTAAGAACAATTCAGCTATTTGTCTTCATTTGCTTGTGCTCTCTCATATATAGACTTCACACTGACCCGCTTTCCCAACGATCAAGAAACAACACACGATCCCAGACTTCTCATTATCCTAATCCGCCCCTATCTCAACACTTTCCCCTCACCACGTCACGTCAGCAAGCAAAACTTGCGGTCAAGGAACCAGAGAAATTTTTTCCATTCAACTAACACGAAGCACGTTTCGCCCGAACAGGCCGTGTTAGTCGCACACAAGCGCGGCGAGGACGAGGCAACCAGGTCTTGCATTCCCGTTGAATGGGTTGCAAAGTCCAACATGGCCGATGGTCGCAGCAATCTAAGATCGAGAAGGCTCCGCTGTATAACGTTGGACGTGGGGTTTGGGAACGTGGAGTTAGGGGTCGCGTTGCATGTCTTTGGATGAGGAATAGGGGGGTTTGTCTTTTTGGTCATATATCAGATATTTAACGACGGGATTGCATATCTTCAACCTATACTTTTCGCTACCCGTGCATCAAGCTACGCCCTGAAGAAACATAGCATCGTAAGACGATCAGGTCATACTGTACTCGGATGTAGTAATGTTCTTTGTAGATCAAATTGCACAGCAGAAAATGTTGGTTGAGGGAGTAGTTTCGGTCTGTGCTTTATTTATTATAGTTTCTTTACAGGTTGAGAATCAATACAAGAAGTGGAACGACCGTTTGGGTTCCTTCCCCAATATACCTCATGAATACACACAAGGCCGATATCCTACACGGGATAGCCAAGGACAATGTAACGATCGTCATAAGTCATCGTGTCAACCCTTCCTTCTTTCACATGCTCCTTTTCGGAGCGGGAACCTCCCACGATACCCCGTTCATTACAGCCTCATGAAAGAGAAGAGGTAACCAAGAACCCCCCACCTCCAAAGACTCCGAGCCCGGGAGCCCCCCACGCCATCCAAACAAACCCATGCTGCCGAGTTTATGTTAAATCAAGCTTTCCTCCTGTTTTCCTTCCGATTCGCCGTCGCCGCCGTTCCGTTCGCTCGGGTCTCCAGCCCGGAGGCCTTGCCATTCCCGTTGACAGGTGAGCCGTTTACCAAAACCATCGGGTTGGCGGCCTTTTGGGCCTGCTCCCGAGCCAAAGCATCTAATCTCTGCTCCTCTTCAAACTCCTTCTCATCGTTATCGCTTCGATCGTCCTCTGCGACGTTGAGGAACACGAATCGGTATGCAATTCGGAGGATAGCCCAGAGCCAGAACAGGTTCAGGCTCTGCAAACTCGCGAGGAGGACTGTGGATATGACATGTGATAGTTGGCACTTGTATTGTTCGGTCTCCCAATTGAGCTCGTACGGGCCGACAGTTTTGAACTCGTTAAACTCGGACCAGAGGATTCGCAGATTTAGGTAATGTCGGAGATAGATCCAGGCGAAGACGAAGAATGCAAAATAGGGGCCCACGAGTGGGTGGTCGAGGTAGTTCAGGGTTTTGGACGTCTAGGGAGGTTAGAACTACGCGAGCGAGAAGAAACAAGACAACTTACGGCGAGGAAGAAATCGCTAATGTCGTGGGTAATAAAGACGGCGATTCCCATGTAGGTGAAGTGGAAACGGTAGCTCAAGGCAATGAGGGCCAGCGACACAATGTGGTGTCCAACCAGCTCCTTGTAATCCTTTCTGGGCTTCTCCATTCCCAGCATCAGAACAATTGCTTGCTGAGCCCAATATGCCGCCTGGAAGAGATAGTAGAACTTGAAATCTGCGGTGTGTGTCTTGTGCGGGAATCCTTCATACATTCCCCTGGTGTTGAAGTACCAGACTGGAGTCCGACTCATGACCCACAGCCCGACTGGTCCAAGAAAACCGAAGTAGATAGCAGTATACATCTGTTCCATGAATCGAGACTGTTTTGATCTGCTCTTTAGCCCGCTTCGCTTTGCCATAGGTCGGAGCAAGTTCTGCATGATGAATTCGCGGGTGAAGGAGAGGACGATAACATAGAATGACACGAATGCCATATCCCAGAGTCCCTTTCCATATTGAAGAGCTGTCCCTTCCGGTGCATCTGCATCAGCGGGTATCTTATAGGATAGGAAGATGAAGTAGTGTATAGGATTCGATTCGGTGGGATTGATCGCATATAAGGCTAGGAAGATGCCAATGAGGACGAGAGGAGTAACCCAGGTATGTTTCAGAGCGTACCTCTTCCATTGCTGGAAGAGGGTCTTCGCTTTCCGCCGCTTGGAGAAGGGCTTCTTGCGGTCTCTGTCTGCTTGCGCCTGCTGGATGTCAGATGGCCATTAGCTGTGACAATAGGGGGCTTGCGAACTTTGAGGGTGCCGGGTGAGGGCGGCCTCACGTCCAAGGTTGCTAAAGCTGGTGCACTTGTATCTCCTGCTCTGATCTCTCCTCCGAGTCCACTCGAGCGTCTGCGGACTCGCGGTGTATTGACATTGCCGTGTCCCCCTAAGGGTGCCAATTTATCGGTGGTGGAAAGGAGCGGAAAGGCCTCCGTAGCGGTCATGCTGGACATGCAATTGCTCAACGTCGCGAAGAAGAAGGTATAGAAGACCTGAGGTCATTAAATGGAAAGTCAAGGTTGGAGAGGAGAGTTGAAAGCTTATGGGAGGAAATTTGTTTTGCAGAGCATTCGTGGATCTAATACCGAGCATCAAACTTTAATTTCGAGATAATCCATTCGCCGAAAGCTCCGTCATTCTGACCGGCCGGTGTTTCCCCCCGTTTTCTCTCTCCACGACCAATCCGTTGGATTACTTGATACGGACCAAAAAACATCAGACGGATGAAATGCGGCCCAAAAATGGACGAAGAGCCTCCGTTAAACAACAATTGAGGCGACTAGACTCGAGTCCCAATCGAGAGTATGTACACGTGACAGTCATGCATCACGCACGTGTCCTCGTCATCTTGACAATGCTCATCGGTTTGAAGGCATTGGAAAGCTTAATTGTGAGTGGCATTTAACTAGCTGTTATGACTCAAGTAAAGAGTGCTGTGTTGCCATATCACGCTAGCTAAAGCCAGGCAATAAGAGCTTTCCTTTCCTCATGCAAACATTAGAATACATTCTTCATTGTTCTGGACACTCCATCAAGCTAATGCTCTTGTTATTGAACGGGTCAAATCTTTGGGTCTGCTTGTTTCTTTCACTCCCTATCTCCGATTTAATTCCCTGTGCCGCAATTGCAATGTACCTTCTCAGCAACAAAGAGGCCAAAGTTACCCAGAATCCCATCCCACCCGGTGGCCGGGTGGATCATTGCAGGATGTAGGGATTCTTATTTGGTTTATTATCCGAATATTGGGGTAGACTATGAGGCCTATGCTTCTCAGGCTCCTTGTATACCACCCGATGCGGCCAGGTGATTCTTGTAGGAGCTCGGTTTTTCATATATCTTACTCGTTAACGAAGGCGTTGGTCTTTCATCAAACAAATATTTCTTGTTTAGAAACACGATTTGATCAACTTAGCTCGACAAAGTCATGTATTGATAGAGGATATGCTATCACGCATGTTGAGAAGCTCTCAGCAGTATGGCATCCCTTAATCTCCTCCTTAAGTCTCATGTGGTGATAGAGATATTTCCAAAAGCAATGACTGGTGATTCTTAGAGCAAGTCATTCCTCATCATTCACCAAAGTGATTATGAATCACCTCCTTTGAACAAACAAAGTGCGCTCATCTGCAGAACATATAACATTCCAACATGCTACTCTCTTACATTCAGAGCACAGCATCCACCAGGACATCAACCTCAAAATGTGGTCCACCTGGTCCCATCCCCTCCAGCGCCCTGCCTCTCCGCAGATTCAACTCCTCATCCAACACCACCAAACCTCCCTCTCCACCAAAGGAACCCATCCAGTCTCCGCCCTCCAGAGACTCAACACCTTCACCAATCCCCAGCACAAAAGTGGAAACCTCACAGGAACAGCCCTTCTGCTGCCCCTCCCTCGACCTCCCAATCTACTCCCCAACATCCCACGCCCTAACCCTCTTCCTCCGTGCCCTCACTATCCGACGCCAACACATAACCACCATCACCTCCTCCTCCTCTTCAACCCTACTCTTCTCGCCCCTTTTCCCCCTAAACACCCTCCCATTCCCCCACCAAACCCAACAACAGCTAGAAATCATCGAATTCGAAACCATCTCCTCTGACCGAACATTCGATCGCAAGTTCCAGCACCGCTATTTCATCATTGTGCCAGGGAGGGATATCAGCGATGTAGAGATGGATCTCGGGGGTAATTTTAGGGAGGTTAGTATTAGCTGGGTGGAGGAGGAGAGGAGGAAGGGAGATGATGGTGGTGGGTGGGGGTTTGTGGGGAGGGATGAGGTTGTGAGGGATAGGGTGGGTTGGAGGTGTGAGGATTGTGGGGTTGGGTATTGGGTTCGGTTGATTGGGGTTGGGGAGTGAATGGATAGTTCGGAAAAGTGAGGATGTGGATGATTGAGATGAGGAGGTGGTAACTCCCCCCTTTTTGGCGCGAAATAAGCGAGAATTGAACGTGACTTCTTCTCGGGACTGACGAGACGAGGCTTCAATTCGGCTAGGGAAAGTCGACGGGAATAAAGTGGAGGAAGTCCAAAGATGGTTTATGAACAGAATATTTATATGCAAAATCGACTCGCAGGGAAAAAGGATATATTGCTACGATCCCGCGAGCCGCATAAAGACCACCGCAATCACCATCTCAGATCTCAGACCATCTCGTACTCAGATTCCGTGCTCTTAATACCCGCTAGTCCAAGGAAAAACTCGCTCAAACCCCAGGCACCAGGATCAGGAACTTGTTCAAATCCTGATCCACCAATGTACACCGTCCTACCAAGACTTGCCTTCATACCCTTCGTACCCTCTGCTCCCTTTCTTGATGCTTCAGCAGCTTTCTTGAGATCGCCGGATGAGCCGAGTGTTTCCACGAATGGATGTAAGGCGTCAATTAGAGTTCTGTCCCCTGGCTGTGCAGGTGTGTAGGTTGAGAGTGATTCGGATGCTTGCTTTAGAGCTGCGGCCCAAATCTTCGGCGTCGCTTCGCCTGAGCCTTGTTGGCGGAGGGAGTGAGTTAGAGAATTCAAGAAGATGGCGTATAGAGCTCCTGAAGTTCCGTCCATTGTGTTCTCGACAACTTGAACGATCTTACTCAGATCAAGAACAACATCTCCTGATAGCTTCGTATCCGAAAGTAACTTGAGAACAGCTTATCATAGTCAGTAAAATCATCCAACGGGCTAAGTAGCTATAGATAGAATATATACCTTCTGCACCACGCTTCAACCCTATACCGCAATCACCGTCGCCAACAACTGTATCGTATTTCGTGACATCTGCTTCAGCAGCAACCACTCTGTCCAGACCTGCCGAAAGTTGAGTCTTGAAAAGCTCCGAATCAACTTTCAGTCCGCTTTCCTTAGCCTCTTCTTCGGCGCCTGTAGCTCCTTCTCGAGTCTGCGTAGACTTTGCTTCCCAGGTTTCCTTTCGGATGGGTGCTGCCCAGCCGGCGGCTTCGCAAGGAGCATCCAGAAGTTGTAACATACTTGGTCCGCCGATGTTTGTGTTGACAACATTGAGGATAGAGATGCTAAAGCCAAGGCCGTTCAGACTCGTCATATATGTCCCAGCCAATATTCGGATCGGCTTGACGTTGTAAGTCTTTTCCAGTTGGCCAACAACTTCAGCAGTAATGCCGCCAAGCTCAAGAACACTAACACCACCGAGATTGTTGATAAGTAGGACCACTTCGTTCGAATTGACATTGAGATATGCTCGATCTTCGTCCTTCGAATCCAACATTTGCGCCAGCATCCGCTTCACCAACTCTGGTAGATCCACCTTTGCTCTGCCACTTCCAGCCTCGTTGTGAATGCCCATTCCAATCTCGACCTCTTCTGCGGATAGGTTTTCATCCGAATTTGGATCAGGAAGAGCTCGTCCTGGGACATGAACGTGATCCAAACTGGCTCCAACACTGACAAGATTCTCCGCAGTCAATTTCGCGACCTTGTAGACATCCTCCAAACTCGCACCCTTCGCAGCCAAAGCTCCCGCGATCTTGTGCACCAGCACAGTTCCAGCAATTCCTCTTCTACCAACCTTGCCTGCTGCTTTTCGTCCCACACCAACATCATCTGCCACAACCAGCATTTCGACCTTCAGTCCCGCCGCCTTCGCTTTCTCAACGCCCATACCAAAGTTCAGCACATCTCCCGTGTAATTCATAACCGTAACCAGGATACCTTTCTCGCTATCAACTCTAGACATGATAGCTCTTCGGATCTGCTCTGCACTTGGCGAGGCGAAGATTGTGCCTGCCACAGCTGCTGATAGCAATCCATCTCCAACAAAAGCTCCAAAACTTGGTTCGTGCCCACTTCCACCTCCAGAAATTATAGAAACTTGTGGAGTATGTCCTGGTCGTCTGTAGACAATCTTGTTTTCGGCATCGAGAGCAATAGATGGATTGGTGATGGTTAAGGCGTGGAGAGCAGTGTTCACAAGATGTGTTGGGTCGTTGATAAAGTGTTTGGCCGACATGATTGCGGTTATCAGTTGTTGATTGGGAGGAGAGGTTGAATTGAGTTTGGGAAAACTGTAGATTAAGAATCCGGGAAACCGGGAGAGGAGATGCAGAAAAGAACCTTTTTCTCTTACCGGAGGAAGGACGACGGTTCAGCTTATGGGGCGCGGGGTTCAATGGACCATCACTCCACAGCTTGTGGATATGGCCTTGGCTTGTGATGGTCGAGAAGCGGGGCGGGGCGGGGCAGGGCAGGGCAAACCAGTTCCTGGGGTCGGCGTCACTTTTCCGAAGGAACCACCAGAGCTGCCCCTCAACGCGCTAGGATAAGCTTCACCCTGTACAGGTCCACTGGGTACCAAGATCCGTTATCGGAAATGCGGAAATACAGTTCAATATTACAGAAAAATTGTCCAGTCCAGGTCAGGCCTAGCAAGAGAGAACACCAAGAGAGGGGTAATTGATGCCTCTTCTGAGCTGAGAAGGGAAAATGTTCTTTGCTCAGTGAAGGAATCTAGAGAGCGGGGAGAAGTCCGTTCATGAAGGCCCCACATCGGTGGAGAAATATTGACTTTCGGCTAACCTTCCTCATGAAGTATTTTCCAACCTCAGAATAACTTCACAATTTCGCCTCGTGCTCTTCAAATAATCAGCAATGGCACAAATACCATCCATTGCCGTGCCAGGCCAGCTACTCGGCTCTATAAGTGACTATCTACCTGGTCCAGGAACGCATACGCATAATGCAAACCTCTATGCCTCTATTCTAGGCCCGGTCACGAAAACGAATCCTCCCAAGCCCACTGGACCTCAAAAACGTCTAACAAAGATCACTCCTGCTGCGCCAGGAGGCCTCCCGACCCTGTCGATCGAGAGGAGCCTCTCCACGCCGGGCGCAAATGATGGAGGTGCCAAGAAGACCGAGATTCTGCCTGAAGTAAACAGCAACGTTTTGTGCAAGGTCACCAGAATCAATCCTCGACAAGCCACCGTTTCGATCCTAGTGGTGGGCGAGACTGTCCTCGATGGAGAATGGCAGGGCGTTATTCGAGTACAAGATGTTAGAGCAACAGAGAAAGACAAAGTCAAGATATTCGAGAGCTTCAGACCTGGAGATATTGTTCGAGCTGTGGTGGTATGTTCCGTTCCTATATTTAGAGGATACAAGCTTATTGTGATACCAGATATCTCTTGGAGATCAAGCAAGTTACTATCTATCCACCGCGAGCAACCATCTAGGCGTTATCATGGCAACGAGCGAGGCGGGGAACACAATGTATCCGGTCAGTTGGAAGGAGTATAAGGATCCAGAAACAGGAGCCAGCGAGAATAGGAAGGTTGCAAAGCCATTCTGAAGGCAGATCATGAGTATTTCATGAATCTGCGACCTGTATAGCATTGGAGTTTAGGCGTTATGAGAATACCCTAAAAGTCACGGGCTTCCTCAAATTAAAAAAGTTACTCTGCTGTGATGACAGCAATATGCCATCCATATCCAGCACTTTCAAGTGCTATCGTCTCGATTGATAGAGCGCTACGAGGTGGAAAAGGGTGGACCTTAGGGCAGGTATAGACAGAATAGAGTGGCTATGGGATTTCGACAGTGATGATGAGGCAGGGGCGTGAAGAATCTAACGTCACGAACACTTGGGAGGGAGTTTGTATTAAGTTGCTTCTATGTACGGAATACGATACCTAGGTTTGCCATACTTGCAATGAAAATCCGCTTGGCAAGAAGATAGGGTGATTCGATTTTTGAATATGGTGCTGGTGCTCAATTGTCCCCTAAGCCGGACCTACGGGCTTAATCACCTGGGCATGCTTCCAGGATAACCCCGCAAGGAACTCCAATTCCAGTCTCCATCAAATTGAAGGCCAAACCCCCAAGTTCCGCTCAAGGAAGAACTTCACAAGCCCCCATCTTTCTCTTCACCACCCACCCTTATTCGCCGCCCTTCACAACATCCTTCATCTTCTTCCTCAACTTCGGCAATTTGCTCGAAGCAATCAACCCCTTCAACCCACTCCCACCCTCCTCCAACCCCTTCCCCTTCGGAGACTTAGCCCCAACCACAAAATCCCACTCCCTAATCCCCTCCGCATTTAAAACCGACTCGTTTCCTCCAAGAAGACTTTCCTGCCTCGCCGTCATAGTGTCCGCAGTGACCTTAACCCTTTGGCAGCGCTTCCATCCTTACCGTCAGCTTTTCTCTCAGGTATCCAAAGAGAGATAGAAAGAAACACTTACCAGCTCCGCTTCTAATCTCTCAATCTCCTCTAACGCCAAGTCAGTATATGCCCAATAGAAAAGCGTAAATCCAACATACCATCCCACCAAGCAATCTCCTCCTTAACCCTCGCAATCCTCTCCCTCCTCTCCCCCTCCTCCCTCTCTCCCTCCACAACCCACACCCAAATCAACAACAGATTAACCGCCACAAACAAGATCTTCGTGCCCAGGATCCCGGAGGGGCAACGCATGATTTTCTCGTAGCCCAGGAGTTGGAAGATCTTTTTGTTCAGGGCGGCGATGAAGTAGGAGAATGGGATCGCGATGAGGGTGTTGTAGAGTACTGTTTAATGTTGGTTAGTTAGTTGACAGGGGGTATCGAGAAGGGAGGGGGGACGTACTGAGGACTAGGCTTGGGTGCGTCAGATCGAAGGTTGGGCTGTTTTTTGCGCGAGCTAGAGGAAGAGGAGGTGGTGGATCGATTTCAAAGTGCTGATCGGACATGATTGATAATATCTCTTGGGCTCTGTAATCTTGCAATCGGGTTCTAGATATTCTGAAGTTGCGTTTCTGTCACGAAGATCGTTGCGAACTTGGTGTTGTGGAGCGTATCAAAAAGGAAAGTTGCGATTCCATTAGCAAGCGAGCTTGGACAGCATAAAGGACGAGTAGCTGGATTGGATCTTCTATGACGTTCATCTTCGCTGTCAGGCTCAAAGGTGAATCGCAAAAAAGTTTGCATCCTTCTTCAAGCAAACATCTTACTAAGATTGCGAGAGGAAATGGGAGAAATACTTTGTATTACACAAACCTAACTTAGAGCATCGCATAGCGCCTTTGAAACTATACTGCAAACAACAAACAAAGGCTATTCGATACGGAACTTGACCCTTTATAACATATTTGTGTCATCCTTCCATCGCTATTCATAAGCTGCTATTGACCCAGATCAAGAAACTTCCGCACCACCAAGAGCATTCATTGTCTGTTCCACCCACACACTGTACTCACTACCTGTGACAATATCCTGAACATCTCGAACTACAGTATTAGTACTATAATCCGACTCTTCCGAGCTCGCCGCTCCATCAGTTCCGTTGAAGACTTTGCGCAGTGTCTCTGTCGCAGTGAGGGAGTCCGACGGGCCATCGGTCCTCGAGGAATTAACCCTATCCGAGACTCTTGACATAGAGCTATATGCCAGTTGAGTAGACATGCTCCTCGAGGGGTTTTTGAATAAAAGCTCAAGCTGCTTCTCAGCCACTTTGGCCCTTGTCTTCCACTTCTGTAACTCTTTTTTCGCTTCCCTTAATTCTTCGCTTAGACTTCCTACGTCAAGATTCTGCCGGGCCTCAAGCTGCTGCTTGAGTTGGAGCACTTCCTCCTTCTCCGTTGCAAGTTTCTTCTCAAGTTTTTGGATCTCTAGATAAAGCAGTGAGTTGCGGCGAGTTGGGGGATGGCTTGAGATAGGACTGGTAGGATTCGAGAAAGTGTCCTTGAATGGCGATTCAGGATGGACAAACTCGGGCAAATCTTCATGTACAGAATGCCTCATACGAGCGGGAAATGCTAATTCCGAAAGTCCACGGAATTGATGGATTTTGAGCTCTCCGGCTGGACCATCTACGGCTACGACTTCGGGGTTGTCAGTAGAAGTAGCATCTTGACAAGATGGAATTCCTGTGGTATCCTCTATAGAAACTTCAGTCATTTCTCGAACAGATCGCAGTGCAGCCGGGTGCAGGAGCGAGGGAATAGGACCTTTCATCTCCGTAACAGCTTCATCGAGAGATCGGCGTATGCTTGGCGGTGGTGTTGATGTTCGACTTGTAGATCTAGCCAGTCTCTGAACGACCAAAGCAGCTGGATCGATTTTCCCGAGATCGGGAATTTGCGACGGAGTACGGCTGTTAAGGTTCGATGCAGATCCATCAAGATATCTCTGTGCAGGCTCAGCCGTCTCGGGTCTTGCTCTTGGAATCTTAGAAGGTGAAACACTGGAGGGTATAAAGGCATTTTCAACAGACTTTTGAACGGGCCTGAGAGGAGTAGCATCATCGAGGGATGATCTAAGCACCCGTTTAGGGGCTGGGATTTTCGTAGGGCTAATATTCCTTTCAACGTTCAGAGGTCTTAAGGTTGCATCAGGAGTACGACGTGATTGAGGCGTCTTCTCAGACTTCCCGGACATCTGCGACCTCGTAGGAGAAGGTGGATTGATAGTATATGGTGCTATCAAACCGTCTTGTGGTGCTTCGATCTTTCGAGAAACCTCCCGAGGAATACTTTTGGAGGTAGATTTTAATGGGGACGGAGTGCTAGGAGGCAACACCGGTGCTGAATCGCCATTGTTGTATTTCGCAACCAGAGCCGAAATCTTACTACTAGGACTTCGTGGACTTCCAGTCCTCTTCCTGGGTGTGAATTGGACGGTTCTACTGTCGAGGTTGCTCGGAGCACGGGCAGGATCTCCTTGGATTCTGGGTGTTTGACCAACATTGGTTCCTTCGTGTACGTGCCCTGAGTACGTCTTTGAAGTTGCACTCTTGTTGAAGCTGAGACTGTCATGATCTTGATTATGGTGTTGGCTGGACCTTTGTTGATTTGATTTCTCATCTGACTCCCGAGTTGTTGATTTCTCTGTTTTTCGGGGTGATCCAGGTCCATCTGAGACTTGACTCTGGTACTCAATGGTGCCACTTTGATGAACTGACAAGGAGATACCACTACCATGACCAGTGGAGACATCAGGACTTTGTGCTTGCACATCCGCAGAGTCTAACGCTTTTGCAAGCGCTGCCAATGATGCTAAATCTTCCTCGTGCGAAATCCGACTCAAAGGATCTTTGCTCAAATGCGACCTCTGTAAATCTAGATGCTTATTTCTGCGTCGTAGATTATCATCCAAAGACCTCGACACTCTTCTGTAGCCAGGAGCGGTCAAGCTATGACCTATTGGATGAGAACCTGGCTCACTGCCACCTACTCTGCGAGATGCATCAGTTTTCACTTCTCCTAAGTCTCCAGAGGATGATCTTGTGATTGTGATCTCCAATTTCGAGCGATGAGCACTAGGCGAGGAGCCCGGCAATCTGTCGAGAGGCCAAAATTTATCATCAACTTGCAAGGCCTGATGTTTGGTGTCTATTTCTGACGTCGACGACTTGATAGCTGATTTTCTGCCTTTTTTCCATTTCTTGTAAGGTGTATCTTGGGTATCATTCTTGGCTTTCTGGCGGCCAACCAGCCCATCCTCTCGTGCTTTTGCACGTTCGGCAGACTTGGTCAATTTGTTGGGCCCTTGAGCAGAGTCTGCTTTCGATTTCCGAGGTTCATCACCTGAAGTCTGGGTCGCCGAGCCTCTGAAAGTAGATGATGGTGAATGGCGCTTATGCAAAGGTGGAGTATTTGTCTTGGATGCCTTTGCAGATGATGACGCTTCGGATGTTTTCTCCCTAGTTCTATTTCTCATCTCAGTAGTTGACTTAGCAGCTGCTACCACAGAGTGTTCTCCTTTGATCTTCGTTCCTTCGTCTGATGTATTTCTTTGGTCAGTCATTTCTCTCTTCCCTGTGTGGAGTTGTCCATCTTCATCATCCACTTTTTGACGGCCTGGGTCCAACACTGAGCGATAATCGCTGGAAGGAGGTTTGTTCTCTTTGTCAGACGAACCGTTTGAAGTGTGGATTTTTTGGTGCAAAAGCTTGCCGTCTTGGTGACGGCGAGGGTACTCAAATTTCTCAACCTCTGAGAAGCTCCCACTTCTTGATCGTGGCTTGCTTTCTGACGTGCCACGATTGGCAAGGTGAGAAGAAGTGTCTTTAGGGATTTCCTCCCGGGTAGGTGCAAGGACTGTCTTTGGGGTGTGACCAGAGAGACGATGGTTGGAAGTTGCTCTCTGTTTCATCCGTTGTTTCTTGACTCTCAATATGTCAACTTGATGCAAGCGCACATCGTCGTCGGACTGAATCTCAAGCAAACCACTGGGACCTACATATATCAATCAGTACATTAATGTTCCAAAATCCGTACCAAAGTGATACTAACGTCTATTTGGGGTTGGAGACACACTTCTCTCTCTGCGCCCTAGAGGAGATCCGAATTGATCCCAATCTGGAGGCTTCCGCAAAGCAAAGGTCTCAGAAGCAGATGGCCGCAGCATCGGAGGATTTGAATTCCGCACAGCCAGACTCTGCGTGCCTGCCACAACTTTGAGAGCGCTCAAGTTCTTCATGTGGCGAACCACATCTCGCCAGTGAGTGATGAGCATCTCAGTGATACTGTTGGCAACTTTGATCTTGTCAATGTGATTGCTGAACGTAGTGCCCTCATCGCCGCTCTTAGTCTTCTTCGATCGTTCTTTTCGAGACTTTGGTGGACTGATTGGGAGCAAGATTAATCCACCATGCGGATTGACGAGTCGCACCGTATAGTCCTCTAAGAGATCACCGACCAACAAGGGCCCAAAGACTATACCGAGAGGGCCATATCCCATGAGATCAGATGTAGGCAAAGGTCTTCCACGCTCGTCTTCTCGTGGGGCTGTTTCTGCAGCGCGTCCGATCATGGAGAGAAGCCCAAACACAGCACTAATAAGCTCCCGCCGGTATTGAGATCTCAGTGTGGCGACAGCAAGAGCAATGAGTCTTGCTCGGACCTTGCTTTGCTTGGTCCTGGTCAACTCTGCATCGCCATCCAATTGAGTCTGAATTGAGATGAAAGCATTGAAGAGTGCTAAAGATCCAAGAATGCCTCCAGGTATCCCTGCAAGGAACCTTTTGAAGGCTGACGCGACATCATGTGTATCGCATCTAATGTGATCAGGAAGCGTTGGACATCGGACTGTACCAGCGATCACTTGACCCTCTTCATCCATAGAACAATAGTGATTGTACAGTGCTGCTACTGCGTTTTGAGATCCTGGAATGCGGAATACGCCTCGTGTGCTTGGCGCTATAGATACTTAGCAGATATAGTATACGGTACTGGGATATTTACCATGCTGTACAAGGAATTGAGCTGTAGCCCGGAAGCAAGTTGGCACGGACAGGCTACCTGCTGCGTACTCGGTTGGCAGATACAAAAGGCTCAGGCCGCAAAGTCGAGCAAGATCTTGCAAGTCCTTATCCTTCAATCTGTCCCTCTTCTTCATGCGAAGAGAATCACTGATACTTCGCATATGTTTCAAGTGTCGATCATTCTTTAGCCTCACACTTTGAGAAGACGAAGTTCGTCTCAGGATCTTGCGAGAAAACCAGCTGTGCTGCTTGACGGAGGAAGCAAACGAGTCGTCCTTTAGGTATTGTCAGTCTCGGTCAACAGCAAAGAGCTCAGCGCTTACATTGGGCTCGTGTTCTTCAGGCACAATCACTCGTACTCCATGCTAAAGAGCACGTCAACAGATGTCTATATTTGTAAATGGCTAATGTACCTTTCTGGCGAGACGATTGTATTCTTGCACGAAAAAAGTTCGATCATCGATTTCGTCCTGGTCGGAAACAACATCCCCGCTCGACGACGTCCAGGTGTTGCTGGTATGGCCTGCGCGGCGAGATCTTCCTTCAAGAATTGGATCTGCTAACACTTCTGCCGCCTGCTGTGGGTTATCTGTGCCATCGAATTGGTGGCTTCGAGCAGATGCTGTTGTGAATGCGGATCTTTGACGTGTATGATTTGGTCGGTTGAGCAATTCTTGAGCAATCGTTATAGAGATTGGATCTTGCACGCCATTTGTTTGAGCCATTGATAATGCTGTTGATGAAGCACGTGAAATAAGACCGGCATGATTGGGTTGCATTGTGTCGTGTAAACCTGGTTACAATATTTCTTTTTGGAGCGTATCTCGACGAGTTTTGGTTCTGTTTTTGTAAACAAAGGCAAGTGCTCGAACGTACCTGCTTAATTTGGAGTCTTGGAAGGTCGAACAGAACGAGACTTGCGGGCAGACAACAGCCATTACGATTAAAGTCTTTCGTGTTTCTGTAGAAAGGTATCGCAATGCAAAAATCAAATTAAGAGACAAGGAGTTGAAAACAACAACAGTGGTATTATCGACGAGGACCAATGAGATCTAATGACCTCGCAGCACAATATTGCTCGAGTCTCGTTCCTTACGCCATTTCGCTATGCAACGCCCCGTACCCCAGATATCCGTCAAGATCCATTCCATTTGTGCCTAGTCGTCCGTCTCGCCATGTAGAAGGACGTACTTCAAGATATCTGATAGAGAAATAACTCCCCTCAGACGATTCTCGTCGTCAATTACCACCAGCCGATGTACTCTAGATTTCCGAATGGTATCGAAAATTGAATCTAGTCTATCTTCCTCGCTGCACGTGTAAATTCCTGCAAAATCTTCGGCCCTCTTCGACAAAGCCTCGCCTACGCTGGTGGTGAGCTCATCGTAAGCACCGCCTTTAATGATCGCTATCACGTCGACTGCTTCGAAAACATTTAAAACCCTCCTCTCCTCGTCCACAATAGGGACACTTGAAATGCTGTATTTTACCATCATGTGTATGACGTCGATCACTGAGGTATCCATGCTTGCCGTCTGCAAGTCGCCGTACGTCCCGAGACCGATTTCTGAGACACTTTTCTTGAGCATTTCCGTTTCCACAACATTGACGGCAATGAACTTCAGCAGCCTGTACTGGGTTATCACACTGACAACCATCTCGCGGCCAGTTTCATCATCGATATCAACCAGAGGTATACGCCGAGCTCGAGTCTTCAGCATTTGACGACATGCTTCGTACAGAGGTCGAGTAGGATGGACAGACAACGTCTCGAGTGGTAGAACGTTGATTGCCTTTTCGATGTCTGGGTAATATTCAGCCTAATTCCTACACGGCATGAGCAAGAATGCTGTCCTACCTCTCAAGCTGCTCAAGCGAAATTGGTCTATCTGGTTGAGAGCATCTGGATTCTGCCAGTAATATTGCACAACGTTGATATAATCCGAGGTGGTCAGGAGACCAGCGAACGTAGATGTGTGGGAATCCCAGAGAGGGGCAGATACAATGCCTGACGGGATCTGTTAGTTGACACTTCGAGGGAAATGACTCTAATGAACCCACCATTTTGAAGAAGGATATTCAAGCTCTTCTTGACAAGGAGATCGGTGTTGAGGATGATTAATCGGAAGGACAGTGGGAGCACATCGTAACTGGTTCGTTTCTTGAGGAAGTCCCTGATCGCAGTCTGCGGAGTGAAAGTTCGGTCAGCCTCGTGAACCTTGCGATGTTTCTGTTCTCCCGCAGATGCAGGTTTGCGCGAAATGCTGATGCTGGACCATCAAGATCAAGGGGCACTCACCAACCCGCTTAGCTGGTCCTTGTCAACCGTGGTCAACGGTTTGTCCTGCATCGCTCGATTGTGGCCTCGGGGAAGAAGGAAAGTCGAAGGTTGGGCTATCAGAGCTGGCTCGTGACCGTACCAAGCGATGTTCGTTGGCGATGTCAAGCCTTCAACGGGATTGGGAGGCCCCGCCCGCGGCCGAGTGTCTTCAGCCGTGGTATCAGACATTTTGGTAGAGCGAGTTACATTGAAAACGGGAGCTGTTCTTGGGGCGCAAATCGAGGTATACGGACCTGCGAAGATTCTGATGCTGTGGAAGTGTAAATAAATTCAAAATTTGCGCTTATCCGATGTTTGGAGATCCTGTTCGGGCTGGTTTGAGGTAGAGATCTACGTGGGGTGAAGTTTCACGTGCGGGAGTGGGAATCTGGAGATACTTGGCAATTGATTGGCTGTATTGACTTATTACTCCGGTATCAGTTTCCTTGATTTCGTAGGAATGTTTGCCCGAGCCGATAAGATTGACAAAATGCTTGAGGGCAAGGCGGCGGGAGGAGGCTGAAGAGGTCCCAGCGTTGTCGACTCGATCTCCCACTTATCTATGCTTTAAATGCTTAGTGATTATCTCGAGAGGCATTCACTACGCCTCACGGCTTAGCTCTTCAACGTTGGAAATTTCCCAAGAAGAATGTCTCCAATGTACTCCGGATGCAGTGTTGCTAACATTTTACCCTGAGGCGAGAATAAGTAATAAGCTTGGTTTGTTGTACGTAGCTATGTGATGTGGTTGAGCCGCATTATTAGGCAACCCACTTCTTTTTCTGAGCATGCTAGAATGAATCACCGAGCTAACGCCAAAGTTTGAAAGTCGATTTGGCTGTGTACGCAACAGTGGAAGCCTGGAAGTGGCCACTTCTAAGAGTAGAAATGATAGTGGATGCTAAATACGGGGTAACATACCTAGGTAGCTAGACAGCTTGGAAATGGGATCTGTTAGATTTCACAAGTAAGAAATCGACGGCATTCACTGTAGAAATGTAGATGTAGTAAAGGAATGTTGAGACATATCTGTGCTAATTTCTATGCCACGAAGGGCTATTGAATGTCTTGCTTTGGAGACGCCTTGCTAGGATCGACCGGCTCCAGATGTACCTGACCGGGAGGGAAATTGAAATGCTTTGAATGCCCCCAACGATATTCTGGTAACGTTTCACAGTCTGCCGACACATCTACAAAATGTCTCTTGACCATCACGAAAGTCAAATCTGGGTCGTCTGATTTATCATATTTACGCATGTGACGTTGGTTGTTGATGGTTGCAGGGGAAAAGGGACCCTGTGAAATCCGGAAAGAAAATAAACGAACGTGCCTTCTTTGGCCTGACGAGGCAACTTCCGTTGTCAAGCTTCCCGTATCTCAGAGGCAAGCTCGAAGCACCTCTCTGCCAACCATTTTTGACTCGAAACTCTTTCTCTTCTTCCACCCCGCGACCTTCTCGTTAATCTCGCGCATTCGCCTTCATGACTAGGTTTTCCCTCGTACTTGCCCTTGAAACGTCCTGTTGATTTTGCTTTGTTCAACCTTCTGTGTACTCGCATTCCAACAACATTTGACCTCGACAACGCCAACTCACCAGTCCTGCGGGACCTCCATTTGAGATGGGTATCTGCGGATCCTCGTGCTGCGGAGGTACTGCATGCCATTCTCCGAGCTAGAAGCGGTATCGGGATGATGCTGATGATGATACAGGTAAATCTCGCGATGGCCTATATGAACCTGTCTTGGCGGAGAGTGAACGGGAAGCAGTTGCAGACCTACTCCAATACCTTGAAAACGTAAGAATCCTAACAGCGAGGGCGAAGTCTCAATAGCTAATCATCATACAGCGTGGCGAGACCGACTTCTTCTCCGGCGAGCCCTTACGAGCTCTGAGTACATTAGTCTTTTCTGACAATGTCGACCTCCAACGAAGTGCAAGCTTAACATTCGCCGAAATAACCGAACGAGGTACGTTTATCAGGATATCAAGCTGGGGTAGCTATTTGGAGGAGCGGATGGTTGTCTTTCGCGAAAGACGACCAGGATGACGCCCTTGAAGCTTGAGATACCTCATCTTGTGCTGGGTAGCGATAGCATATAGTTGGCAGAGGCTGACAAATTACTAGATGTTCGCGAGGTCGACCGGGACACCTTGGAACCAATACTCTTCTTGTTACAAAGCCCTGATATCGAGGTGCAGCGAGCTGCAAGTGCTGCATTGGGTAATCTAGCAGTTAACAGTAAGTTACCGCAGCTCAGAACGTTTCGGCCCCCCACAGAATCTAACCTCGTCCAGCTGAGAACAAGGTAGCTATTGTTCTATTGGGTGGCCTCACACCTCTCATTCGCCAGATGATGTCGCCAAACGTCGAAGTGCAATGTAATGCGGTTGGATGCATTACAAATTTGGCAACACACGAGGATAACAAAGCGAAAATTGCAAGATCAGGAGCATTAGGGCCTCTTACTCGCCTTGCCAAATCGAAGGATATGCGGGTCCAGAGAAATGCTACTGGAGCCCTACTCAATATGACACATTCTGGTAGAGCACTCATGTAATGCTATTGCTTAGTTAGTTGCTGATCGTGGACAGATGAGAACCGACAACAGCTTGTTAATGCAGGCGCAATACCAGTCCTTGTTCAGCTTCTCTCCTCTTCCGATGTCGACGTCCAATACTATTGCACCACAGCGCTCAGCAACATTGCCGTCGATGCGAATAATAGAAAGAAACTCGCCCAAAATGAGAATAGACTCGTGCAGTCTTTGGTCAATCTGATGGACTCATCCTCACCGAAAGTTCAATGCCAGGCTGCTTTAGCTCTTCGAAACCTGGCCTCTGATGAAAAGTATCAACTAGAGATTGTACGAGCCCGGGGTTTGGCGCCATTGCTACGACTTCTGCAATCCTCCTATCTGCCACTCATCCTCTCTGCTGTAGCATGTATCCGGAATATTTCGATCCATCCCCTTAACGAGTCTCCCATCATTGATGCTGGCTTCTTAGGACCCTTAGTGGATCTTCTTGGCTCGACGGATAATGAAGAGATTCAGTGCCATGCCATCTCTACTCTCAGAAATCTTGCGGCCAGCTCTGATCGCAACAAGGCTCTGGTTCTAGAGGCTGGTGCAGTACAGAAGTGCAAGCAACTTGTTTTGGATGTGCCTTTGAGCGTCCAGTCGGAAATGACGGCTGCTATTGCTGTTCTAGCTCTTAGTGATGAGCTCAAGACCCACCTCCTGAACCTTGGAGTTTTCGATGTCCTCATCCCTCTGACAGACTCACAAAGCATTGAGGTGCAAGGAAATAGCGCCGCAGCTCTTGGCAATCTCTCATCTAAAGGTATGACTGCCTACAATGTGGTAATGTGATATGAATGCTAATGTTTCATAGTTGGGGACTATTCTATTTTCATTCAGGATTGGACAGAGCCCAACGGAGGTATCCATGGCTATCTCAAACGTTTTCTGGCTAGCGGCGATGCTACATTCCAGCACATTGCCATCTGGACGTTACTTCAACTACTCGAGTCCGAGGACAAGAAGCTTATCAGCCTTATTGGAAAGTCGGAGGAGATAGTTCAAATGATCAAGACCATCGCCGACACTCAGGTGGAATCCGATGATGAGGGCGAAGAGGACGGCGAGGGTGAAGTCGTACAGCTCGCTCAGCGTTCTTTGCAGCTTCTCGGGCAAAATAAGCCTTCGCACATCGAAGGCTGATCCAAATGTTATGGTATAGATCTTTCTTTGGTTCTGCATTTGGGACTGGTAGGCGAGGTGTTATGGCGCATATAATACGGACATCATATTTAGTAGCGAGCATTGGAGGAGTGCGGAACGGCTTCGCGTTATTTTGATCAACGACAACATCGACGGCAAACAACTGACTCGGTGCTCTTTACGTTTCCTTCTCTGTTCTAGTCGAACCTGTTGCAATTCATACCGGACTTTCGACTCTATTCCATGTAATTAGATAGGCTTATGATATCCAAACCTTCGAATCAAAATGTATCAACGCAAGCAGCGGTCCTCATGCAATCTACTATACACCACGATGTGAGTCTTATTCAGAGTCAAGAGACACCACGCCAATGAGGAGATGGAGTCGGAAAAATTTGCATGATACTCGACTACGCAGTATTACTGGATTCAAATGGTATATTCTGACATTGGAAGCATCCTGGAGCAGGAAGCCCACAAGTTCAGCCTTAGAAAGAAGGGATTCTGGAAATATTTAAGCGCTCATAATGTTACATGGGCGATAATCATGGAAACCTATGAAAATGATTCCTTTAGAGAGGAAGACCATCAGCGCCTTGCTTTGAAACTTCTGTACAATACATCCAGAGCAAGCTATTGTACATGCTTTAGCTCATTAATCAACCATTTTCTTTCACTCCACGGTAACACCTTAGCAATGACCTTTCCTTTGATCAAAGCCATGGGCATGGGTCCAAACATTCTCGAATCCCTCGAAAAATCTAGATTATCTCCAACAACCCAACAGTGACCTCGTGGGACCTTGAAAATGTAAGAAACTGGGCGCCAAACAGATCAACAGTAGTGCCTACCTGGATCATTTGACCACTGGTTCCTGGAGAATCCCTCAACACATAATCCCCTTCGAGCCCAAGCACCGTCTTTATCACCTGGCTGCCCGGCTCCACCACGGAATCGAATTGAACCACGTCTCCAACTTTGATGCCTCTGCCGCGCCGGTAGGCTTTGGAAATAAGAACGCTGTCTCCGTAAACTTCCAAGGTGGGGAGCATGGAAGCTCCTTCACATGCGCCCATCGTAAAGCCATATTCGAGAAATACGTGACTAACGAACAACGTCTTCAAGGTCGCGCCGACGAGGAGGAAAGGATGGCCAACATATTTGTCCCGCAGATAATTGAAGGGTCGTGATAGTCTCTGGAAGACTGTCATAGCATTACTGAGATTTGAAATGGGATGGGATGGGGTTGTAAGTCATATCACGAGGTGATTTTGATGCTCCTTTTTCGGGTTGGCTTCTTCACATTTTCGCTTGGGTCAAGAGAGCTTCAGAACTTCTGCTTGTTCAAAGTCAGCTCCGACAACCAGCATTGACAATTTTCCGTACAAAATGCGCAGCTCAAGATGTGTTTTCAGCACAGCTGCAGCTTTACATCGGGTTTTCATTGCACCTATTGAACAATCTCAATTCCAATTAGCTCGTCAAACCCTCGTCCTATCTCGATCGCCGTCAAAACCCTCTCCAATCCTGCTTCCTCAACAGAGACGCACACTCGTCAACCTGACAAGAGCAGAGAAAAGCCGGCTCCCTCGAGATGACGAAATCCAGTCCTGGTCCGTAACCCTCGTGGACGAGGATGGAAAGCTGCAGGAGCCGCGGTCTACAATGGCGATTCTCGACTCGATGGACCGAAAGAAAGATTCTCTCGTTGTGGTGAAACCTGGTGAACCGGGCATTCCTCCAATATGCAAGATCATGAATAAATTGGCAATGAGGGAAGCAGAAAAAGCAAAGCGGAAATCTGAAAGGAAGGGTGGTGTTACGGTCAAGAATATGGAACTCAATTGGGCTATTGATGGGAATGATTTGGGACATCGGCTGAATAAGCTGAAAGAGTTTTTGATGAAGGGCCAGAGGGTCGAGGTTCTACTTGCGGGGAAGAAGAAAGGGAGGAAGGCTACGGAGGAGGAAGCTAAAGCTGTTATCAAAAAGATTAAGGGTGCTATGTCTGAGGTTGGGGCGAAAGAGATGAAGCCTATGGACGGAAAGATATTGGCTATGGCTACACTGTTCTTGGAGGGGAAGATTTCGAAGACGACATCTGAGGCACCAACATCACCACAAGAAGCATCAGGTGAGACGTTATGATCAACAGGAGCTAGGACGCAACTTTCTCAATCGCCTCAGGCCAAGATGACTCGACTGTGTGTATGACTCAATTGCAAACAAGCCGTATGTTCTTGCTGCGTGGCGAAGGATCTGAGAGATCATGGTTGCCTTGTGGAACATTGGGCTGTAGAGAGCAATTAGTGCCTATAATTGGAGTTCGAACTTGTATGTAGATACCATAGACACGTATTTGAAAGACAACTCACTTGTACCCCCTTATCCTACGTCGAAGGTGAACTCAGCGGCAGCTTCCGTTCCTGGCCTCGTCTGACAGGGGTGCCGAAGGACGCCAAAAAAGATAATTCCACAGCCTCACCTTCGTCCGGAATTCAAGTAAACATTGCAGCACACGAATCCAACAGATCAGCAGAGGGAAAGAAGCAATTCTCGCCACAGTCACCGATACCGAACGGTCTGAATTTATGGAATCGTCTCTTGCCCTGAAATCTTCTAACCTTCTAAGAGTGACTCACGTCAAATTTTGAAACCCCACGTTGCGGATGAATGCTATTCAGCCCAATTCGGAGTACCGGTTCAAGAGGACCATTCAGCTGTTTTGCAGCAGACTTTGTGTTTGAACTCTACAAGATATTGTTTCGCAAAGACCCTCGGAAAGACTTATGCATTGCGAGCGAACATCCTACCATAATGCCGTCGACAGACTCACCTTCAGCCGTGGAAACGTCGCAACCAGAAGTTGCTGCCCCACTGGCACAGACTCAACCGAATGGAAAAGGAAAGCAACCGGAAGGGGCTCAGCAATCATCGGCTAATACAGAGAAATCAAAGTCGAACAGCAATGGAAAGCCAGCGGGAAATGCACAGGAGACAAGTTCGACAAAGAAGCTTACGCCTGCCGAATTGAAGAAGAAAGCAAAGGAAGAGAAAGCAGCACGGAGAGCACAAACTGTTGCAGCGAAGGAGGCGGAAAGTGCACCAGCGGCTCCAGAGCTTTCCCCAGCAGGCCCATCCACAGTACCTCAACCAGCAGGAGGTACCTCGGGGTCTCAGCAGAGAGGAGATGGACAGAAGGGTTCCAGGACACAGCAAAGAACAGGAGGTCCAGTTGGTAATTCGCGGAATTTGCCTTTCCGGGGATCGCAAAAGGTTGCTGCTGCTACTGCAGCACCTGTTGTTCCAAAGAAAGAAGACAAGACGGTCGAGTTCTTCAGACATCTGTACAGACAAAGGACAACCTCGATTGCGGATGCAAGTAAAGAGGTTCATCCTGCGGTTCTAGCATTAGGCCTGCAGATGGGCAACTATACAATCTGTGGAAGCTGTGCTAGACTAGTTGCTATGCTACAGGCATTCAAGAGCGTAAGTTTATCTTGTCGTCTAACTTATGGGACTCGTAGCAAATACTAACCGACTATTCCAGGTTATCGAAGCATATACAACTCCTCCTGGTAACTCACTTACACGACATCTGACATCGCATGTCCTCTCACCCCAAATCGACTATCTGGCCTCCTGCCGTCCTATCTCAATATCTATGGGCAATGCAATTCGCTGGCTTAAGCTTGAGATCTCGAAAGTCGATGTTGATACTCCAGAAGCGGAGGCCAAGAAAGATCTCTGCGGAGCTATTGATGTCTTCCTTCAAGAGCGTGTCACTTATGCCGATAAGCTTATAGCAAAAAAAGCAGCCGGGAAGATCAAGGACGGAGATGTCATTATGACATATGCGAAGAGTAGCGTAGTACAGAGAACACTCCTTAGAGCCTTCAGCAAAGGAAAGAGATTCAAGGTTATTGTCGTTGACTCACGACCATTGCATGAAGGGAAACATCTGGCAGCAGCTTTGGTTAATCTGGGTATGGATGTCCAATATTGCTTGCTAAATGGGCTAGTTCACGTCATTCAAAATGTGACGAAGGTTTTATTGGGAGCTCATGCCATGATGAGCAATGGTCGATTGTTTGCTAGAGTGGGAACAGCTATAGTAGCTATGGAAGCCAACGAGGCTGACAAGCCAGTAATTGTCCTTTGCGAGACAATCAAGTTTACGGAGAGAGTGGCTTTGGACTCAATTGTTCACAACGAGATAGCTCCAGCTGATGAGCTTGTCACACCTGGTGGACCACTTACGAATTGGGAAGATATGAAGAAGTTGCAAATATGCAACATGATGTATGATGTCACCCCTGCCGAATACCTTCACATGATCGTCACAGAATCAGGCAATGTGCCACCAACAGCGGTACCAGTCCTGCACAGAATGGGCAACGAGAGCGGTTGAAAGAGGAGGATACCAGCACTATCTAGAGGCTGCGTTGCTGCAAAGCTAGGCAAAGGTATAAGTCATCTCGATGGGCGCACCTGTGTACGATATGTAATGAAGATATGTCGGATGCACAGTTTCACAAGGCTACTCAGCACTATGCTCAGACATTAGATTGAGCATAATTGCTCTGCTTACGAAAGTCGTTATCTCAAGAACAATCGCTCTCCAAATGTGAAAACCTGTCCATCTAAAAAGTCATCCCCTCACCACTTTCGTTAAGATAGAAATATTGGTTTATAGTAACAAAGATCGTAGTTCTCTCGAAAGGGGCTCATGTTCGGTACACCACAATCTCTACTCTGTGGTGAAGCTATGAAGCTGTGAATCCATATTGGACACACTGACAACTTACGACATTTGTGTTCCTGGGAAGGATATCCCGTTCAGAGGAACTCTTGGCCAATTGTTGATTTCATTGTGACTTTGTACATACATTCCCTTTCCCATACCGGCATTCTAAAGGTCGCATCAAAGTATCACACCCATGCCTTATGATTCTGCCTCAGCTGCCTCCCTTTCTGCCCTCCGCGCCCTCTTCTCCAATAGACTCGTTCTCCTCGCACCTAGAATCGCCTGTTGTCTCTCCTCAACGCCCATCAACCAGTATCCGAAGCTTCCTCCAACACCAGCGAACAGCGGATATGCCCATAATGACCCTCTGTTAAAGAACGGACGCATCTCAAGACCAAGTTGCCAGACACGGACGGCAAGTCCTATGGAAGAGCTCTTATTAGCTCCTTCACAGGATATCAGAGGGGGAAGACGAACCGAAACCGCCCCAGAAAAGGACCTTGTGAACCATTGTGTGTGCTTTTCTGACCAGTCGTAGCTTGTAGAACGTGTAGTCGAGCTCTCAGCTCTTTCCTGAGGTGTCCGGATGGATTGATGTGTGGATGCGTCGGCAATGGGCTGATGTACACTTTGATCTAGAAATCGAGGTCGTTTGTCAAGCTCGGATTGAGCCGGCGCTAGTCTGTATCATGTGATCTGAGTAGTCTGTGCCCTGCTCAGTCGCATTTACAAGTCTACCACTCCCAAGCTCGTGAAAGTATTGGACAACTTGCGCTCAGCATGAATCCAATCACAACCACGTCGCTCATTTGATTATTCTTACGACCATGCAATGACCACCGCAATGGCGTTCAGCAGAGATGCCCCTGCGGTGAACGGGAATACCAAAGATGCTCCAGCAAGAAAGAGATTAAAGACAACAGACTTGCCTTTAGCCAGTGCGACCAGAGCTGCCATTGAAGGTCTTGCACATACTTTCAAGAAGAAGGGAGGCTATGATTCATTGCGCAAGCAGGTTTGGGACGATTTCGAGAAGAGTGTAAGCTTTTCTACCCTGTGCAGTCGCAAAGCAACTATCTAATCAACTTTATTTACATAGGACCTCGAAGCAGAATTTACAAAGTCAGTTCTTAGCGTCGCCGAAGAAGAGCTCGAGAAAAGCCCTTCCGCCCTCTTGAAACTCGAAAGAGGCAAAGCCACACTTCTTATTGAAGGTGCCGTCGACCGAGCAGGAGTCTACCAAACAGCGGAAGCTAGGATTGATGCCTTGATTGATGCGCATGTCGAGGAGATTGAGACTGGTATCAGGGCCTTGAGACGGGAGGACATTGGCGAAGAAGCCGCCGCTGCGGAACAAGCCAGAGGTGGAAAGACAGAGGAGCAGTGGGCTGAGGAAGCCAAGAGGAAGCGGGATGCCAGGGAGAAAATCCGACAAGAGGAGAGGGACAGAGAGAAGGCAATCATTGACGAGAAGAGAAGAGAGGAGCGCGCTAAGAGGAAGGAGGCAGAGAGGAGACAAGAGGCTGATGAAGAGAGGAGAAGAGCTGATCGGGAAGCTCGCCGAAAAGCTGAGCGCGAGAGAGAGGAAGACAAACCCAGGGACCGCGATCGAGACCATGATCGAGACCGAGACCGAGATAGGGATCGAGACAGGCGTACGGACAGACGTTCTGATAGAGATCGTGGTCGCGATGATGACCGAGACGACCGGTATCGAAGACGTGAGGATGATACTTCCCGCCGAGGCTCTATTGTAGAGACGAAGGAGCATACACCAAAACTCGAGCTGTCAAAGGAGGAGAGCGAACGCTTGGAACAAGAAGCTTTGAACGACTTGCTGAAGGAAGGAAAGCGGACCTCACAACGTTCGAGACATCAATTAGAACTCGAAGTTGATGAGAGCTTGGCCCCACCACCTCGGAAAGCTATGCCAGCCTCAGCTATCAAGCCTATATCTCGAGACTCGCCGGTCAAGTCAGATGTCAAGAAAGTCCTTAATGCTCCTACTGGTCCAAAGGCAGATCTTGAGGGCTTTAAGACACCTCATCTTCCTGATAAGCGTGTTGAGGACAGTCGTGACAGGAAAAGAAGTCGAAGTCGTGACCGAGATACTGTCCGGAGATCAAGCAGAAGCAGGAGCCGTCATCGCCGAGATAGCAGAGAGAGAGACTCTCGACGAGGCAGTCGAGATCGTGATGATCGACGACCTTACGAATCGAGAGACCGAGATGACAGACGCCGCCGAGATAGCCGAGATAGACACCGAAGATCTGATAGGGATCGTTCACGCTCTCCAGATAGACGTAGGGCCAGATGGTCTCGCAGTCGTAGCCGTGAGAAGCGTGAGCGTGATGCTTCCAGAGATCGCGTAAGTGTATTCAAATCAGGGACCCCCAGGCTTACCGATACAATCAAACTTGCTAACATGTCCAAGCGTGAACTCGCTGCAAAACAATGGAAGGCAGAACAACAAGAGGCCAAAGACAAAGGCTTACCCCCTCCAGTTTGGGTTGATCGCACTGAACGGAAACATGATGACAGTCGCATAAATAGTCCTGTTTCCGCCAGAAAGCGAGAGTCCTCTCGGGACAGAGACAGAGACCGTGATCGTGACCGCACTTCTCGTGCCCGCAGCAGATCCCGTTCTCCAGTCAGACGCGGCAGCAGGATCGAGAGATCTACTAGTCCTATCAACATCGATCGTTATGTACCAGGAGCATCATCTCGCCGTCGCGAGAGCACTACTCACAAGCGAGACAGAAGCCGCAGCAGAGATCGCGATCGAGATCGAGACAGGGATAGAGATTCTCGCCGTACTCGTGATGATGACAGAACTCGCCGCAGAAGCCGTTCACGCAGTCGCAGCCGAAGGCGTGATAGAAGCAGAGATAGGTATCGTGACCGTGAACGAAAGAGAAGCCGCAGTCGAAGCCCTGATGTCAAGCGAGAGAGAAGTCATCGAAGCCGGTCTCGAGAGAAGGAACGCGAGAAGGACAGGGATAGGAGACGTGAGAGGAGTCGAAGCCGGGATAAGGAGCGTGATAGGAAGAGGGAGAGAAGTCGATCCAGGGAGTCGAGAAGAAAATAGGTATTGGAACTCATGTCATGCGATGTACGAATAAGCAAGGATACTATGGAGGTGGGATCACTAGTGGGAGGTGATGGCGTTCTGGAGCTGGTTAAGTCGAGCTGAATCGAGGTCGTTGCTTGGGTCCAGGATACTTCGGAGTCACTGGACTAAGACTATGGCAATGAAATGACTTGTACTGTATGTATTTTGTATGTGTACAGAATTGCCGTTTGAGGCACTACCATTGAAGCCCTGACTGTCGCCTTGTCTCTGTCCCTCATCTTATATACCTATGCTTGACTCAATTTCCAATCTCCTTTGTGTGGTGTCTCGCTGACTTACTCGATCGTTGTTAACTTTGAATCACACCCCATTTACATTAACGACAGATCATCGGGTATTTATGCATGCTGCAGTCTCAATTAGTCTCAAGCACTCTCAAGCACAGTCCACAAACCACGAACAACAAAGACCTCATTACCAATGGATGAAGACTACGAAAGACCCTTTTTGCGAATCGGACTTGACGATGTCATCTCCCCACCTAAGAGGAAGCTCCTCCTCTTCGGAACCGGCGTCACATGTGCTCTCATGTTCTTTGGCTACATCCAGGTAGTTGGGTCTCACAATCCAGACCAAGGGCAGAATGGGACAAGCTATGGGGATTGGAACGGAATGGAAGGAGAAGTGGTAGCTATTACTGCTGGTAGCGAAAGAGGCAGCCTGATGAATGTGGGGATTGGTATGTGGGGAGTATTGGTTGGATGTTGGCTGCTGGTTTTTGGTTGATGAAGGGGGTGTATCGAGGACTGGGTGTTTTCAAAAGTTGTAGCATATGAAAAAGAAAACTACAATGTGTGCCTTTCAACCCATATTTTAGGTGGTATATCTGTAAAGGTGGGTCTCAATACGTGCTCTGCAATATTCAAGTGGCAGTGCAGTAATGTACTGGAATAAGGGCAGGACTTGATATCCATTCAAGAACCTGTAATATAAAGCTCACATCATTGACTTTCCGTACAAAGTGCATGGTATTACAGTGAATCAAGCGCTTTCAGCTTACATCTCGACTCTTCTTTGAACCTACTTAAACACTTCTTGAGATCAGTTCCTCTTTCCAACTACCTCAAAACACTTCTCGACCCTCAATCAACCCTGTTGTGGAAGATTCCATGTCTACCAAAGCCAACATGCCAGAACCACTCAACGAAAGCCACAGGTTGCCTATCGAAGAAAACACACCTCCACCATATCACGAAATCTACAGTATTCAAATGCACGAAGCCGAAATTACCGAATGGACTATTCTCCGACGTTACAAATGGTTCATATTGTAAGTGAACTTCATCCTTATTGGCTCACTAATAGTTTACTGGGCAGCAACACATGGGAGGGAAGATCAGGATGGGGACAACACTGTTATGCATGTGCTGACTACAGTTGGTTCTGTGCCTGTGGAGACTTCTATTGCGGAGAGTCGAGCCGGGAAACGAGCTGTGGTAGATTGGGGACTGGGATGCTAGGGAATTTTGATAGCATTCTTGGTATTAGTCTGGGGATGAGCGTTTCTTGGACATGTTCAAGAAGAAATATCTTTATCAACTTGAACACCGCAGTACACGGTACAATTATGGGGCTGTGATGAGCATGGTCATAATCTCGGCTCTTTCCAAGTCAGGACAATTTTGGCGCAGGAATTCTTTTCAGTCAGGTCGAGCCACTTTGACGGAAGAATTCTTTGATAGCCAAAGAGACTAGACGAACCCAATTCAGACATTCTAAACCCAATCTTGTTGTATCAAGAAATAGCATTTCGCCTGATTTCCAATAGACTTCAGCTAGAAATAGATAATTTGCATGAACAGACTAGAACCATTTCATCTTGTTGCTTTTGCAGTCAACTAGTGTTTGGAATAACTCTTGAAGCCGTGGCTTTTCACAAGTCTACGCTTGGAACTGTGTTGAAAATTGAACCGAAAAGATGAAACCAAAATCGAATGAATTATTGTATGGGTTGAGTGTTGAGTCGACAACCAACAATTATGCTCATGACTGAATATACCAAGGTTGATTGCTGAATCACTCCTAGGTTCCTGATACCCTGTCTAATCTGGCAGCCCTCTCTTTTTGCTCTCTTCTGGCTCGACCTCCAATTTCTCACTGTCTCCCAATCAAATCAAGATGGGTAGCAAGCCTGTGACGAGATGGCCCGGCGCCGACCAGCAAGACCCAGAGCCCGACGATAGCGGAGTAAGTCTTCGGTCTCCAACTCCTCCAGAATCCGGCAATGGTGATAACTCCACTATACGAATTTGTCCAAATTGGATGTTTCCAGTCGCCTTGGTGCTGATGGTAGCAATTGTTGCATATTTCGTGCTCAGAAGTGTTAAACCTGAATCCGGGACGAATGTGAGTTCGACGCAACCACAAACCTCATATCTGCCAAGGTGGGCAGGCAATTCGAGATTTCGAACTACTGTGAAGTCACCGACACAACAAATTTCACATGTACCAACATGTACGGACAACTTGCCTTTTGGATGCGTTCCGAGTACTACTGCCCGATAGAATAGGAGTTGAGTGAAGCTTGGACCGGATATTAGATGGAAGGAGCATGAGTAATCTGGGCATGTATTAGTCTATAAAACGATTTGGTGGTCTGGAATTATTCAAGAAGCAAATGAAGAGTGAATCACAACACACTGATCTCTTCTTACTGGTGCAAAATCTTACTCCCAGTCTTCTCTTCTCGAATCCATAACAACCCTACGTGTTTGAATCGTTTGCAGAAGGTCAACGGGTGAGCTGAAGCACAAGATCATACCATGGACAGCAGCGATAATCGCAGTCCGTCACCGCGGAGGCTCAGTACACTTCACGAATACACTGAGCCAAATGAATCCATCTACACAGGCGATCCAGATGCCCACTCTCTTCACACTCTCTCCACCACGCGAGCTTCGTCGAGCCACACCCAAAAAGATTCAGACTATGTTATCGAAAGTCCACGAATCGTGCATATGTACACTGTGGCACCACCAGCCCCAGCACCTCCCACAGAAACCTGGTTCAAGAAATTCAGAGAATCTAAGTGGTTTTGGCCTGCAGTTGCTGCGCTCGTCTTCATGGTCTTGGTCGTTGTGTTCTCAACATTTGCGTCTATCTGGGGCATGGCGCACATGACGAGTGTAGAAATGGTCGATCAAGGGGTTTTCACAACAACGTCTGTTACAGTCGAAAACGCCCCAGTGACCATGGGGCAGAACATTGCAACCGCTACGTCTACATGCTCAGATCGGACTTGCTCTGGTGACTCGGTACCAAGTTCGACGTATGATGGTCTCATTATCATTCCGGTATCGAGTACGGCTGCAGCAAATAGCACAAGTTTCGGTTCAAGGAGAAGCATGACATCGTCAATATATATAGAAGGGCTCACAGCTTCGCCCCAAACATCTGAAGCATCAGCTGCACCTACTTCAACGGGTACCATGCCTTTCTTAGTGGTAGAGACACGAGTCGCCAATACATCTGTAGCCGATAAACGCCAGTTGCTCGAAAGAAGGTTGATATCGAAAGGGACGACAGAAGGATTGGGTATGGGAACAACGTTGAAGAAACTAGTGCTGATATTGATTGCGCCGTACTTATTGGGCGTGTGGAGATGAGGATCGGACGGTGTGATGAAGGATTTGTAAGAAGTAGATACAGGACTTCTTGCAAGGGCGAAAGGGAGTTATCGTTCGTTGGGTACAGAATGAATTACCATTTTCATGGAATACTAGTTCGATTACGGTCGTGTCATGGGCACAGCTCCAAGTCTGTAATTGAAGTAATTGAAGGTGCAGTGCTAAACAATTGACTCCGGACCACCTTGGCTTTGGTTCTGTCAGACCAGCAGCGGAGTCCTAAGGCATGCGTGAGTTTCAAAGATTCATGAATCACACAACTACAATACACTTCATGCCCACTGGCCTTTACTCTGGTCTGATTGAGGATTCTATGTTAGCGCGCCAATGACTCCTTATTATCTTCGCTTAATTTGCCTGAAATGGACTTTCTCTTGGATGTTTGCACAGAGCAAGCATTTTGCGCTTATTGCGCGATTCGCGCTATTCGCGCAGTTCGCGCAATTAGCGCTGTCTGCGGATTTTGCGCAATACAGATAGATGAGTCAAACCGTAAAAGCCACTGATCAAAAACAGAACATACTCAGATTCAAGAAGTAAGAGCACAGCATTGCATGATTCGAAAAAGACTGTCAGATATACAAGACTAGGATGACGTTATTCTGAATTTGCTTTAAGGATTCTGGAGTAATTAAGCAAGGAACAGAAAACAACGAATCAAGAACTGTACAAACAATACAAGTTATGGTTAACAAACTAGTCAACAAATATTAAGTGCTTCAGCTTGAAGAATTATATGAAGAGGTAGCATGCAAACGAAAGATTTATAACACGAAGAATAATTTTAGTAAACAATGCGTTGTGGCTTGAGTACAGAAGAGCATACACTGGCTCCTCGATTCATAGTACAATATGATACAGTTGACAAACTCTCATATAGATCATCTTCTCAAAGATTTATACTTGTCAGAAGCATGTCTAGCTTCCCATCCTCTTGCCTTTTGTTTTGGCTTCAGAGCCACAACTTTCTTCCTCTTGAACTCGATGTCCGCACCTTCGATACTGGCCCTCTCCATAACGCCAGCAGTTCCATCATCCCATGTGGCACGGAACATGTTGAATCCGATAGGAGTCATTCTCGTCTTGCCAATGAAGCTTTTCAAAAAGAAATTGTCTCTCTCAGCCCATTTTTCTGCTTCAACTTTTGGTTGACCTGGTTGCTGCTCAAGCACAAACACTGCAAGGCGATGATATGGCGATCCTTTCTGGGCGAACGGCGGTAACCATGGCTGAACCAATTGCTCTTTGGTAACTTTCGAAAGAGGTATGGACGTGTCTGTTGGAGATAGAGGAATGTCGGTTGCGATGAAATGGCTTCTAGTTCCAAAGCGGTCCTTCTCAGCATCTGGAACATCGCCATCAATTACCACAACAGTGACTAATCGCTCTCCCTTGTTGAATACCTGCACCTTCAACCTTGGTGCAACCTCACTAACTCGCGAGTCGATGTATTCGCCAGGCTGGACATTTCGGTTCTTGAAAGCGAGCTGAACCTCAGCTGTTGGTTCGAAGTGAGGTAGGAAATCCGGTACGATGCCGAATTGTTCTATTCTCTGAACGATAATCTTCCGCTGGTATTCTCGCCATTTTCGGTCTGCCAAATATCGATAAATAGGCTTATTCATGTCACCTGCAGTTCATCAGTACCTAGCTTTGGGAATATTCGTAATATCCATACCTTCGCCGTCCTCGAATCGCTTCTTGATCAACGGATCATTGATGTCGGCCTGGATCTTCAGCCATTCCAGATATCTTCTCATGCTACTTAGTTTTGTCTCCTTTTCCAAAACTCCTCCTTTGAAGGTCGAAGGATCTCGAGCCAACATGTTTGATATTCGTAATCGTTCAGTTGCAATCAGCTTCAGCTTCTCCTCTCTGTCCTCCTGCAGCACTTTTCGTGCTTCTTGAAAGCAGAGGTATGGTAATTGTTCAAAAGGAATGTTGTCAGAGCTCTTGATGGCAGCACGACGACGTCTTGAACCAATTGGAAGTATCCCACTCTTCATCAAGGCCTTCTCCCCCTTTATACTGGTAACAGTCTCCGGGTCGAATATGGGCTTCTCGGGGGTCGAGTCCACAACAGCTTCGACATTGCATCGTGCTGAGCTAGAGAGTGTTCGAAAATTGTTCGCAGATTGACGTTGTGACTGTAAACTTCGAAGGCATCGTGCCAGAGGCCTCACGGCCTTCTGACTGGTGGACATTGTCGTGCTGTTGATATCAATTGAGGGTGCATGAAATTTATTGAAGCAGTCTGGACGGATCCGGAAAATCTTTCGTCCGAGGATTCGTGGAACGCGATTTTTGGGGAAGTAGCTCCAATTTTCACTTCGAATCAACTGGGAAGCCTCAGCATCTCAACAATGGCCTCAAAGGGCCTTCAGACGTTTTCGAGGAGCTTGAGAACTCTGCGGACTTTCACTCCGAGTTCGAAAGATCCTCTGACGGTATGGTGTACCTCCTGAAAGTTGACATACGAGCTCATGAAATGTCCATAGCAATGTCTAGCACCTCGACTTTGCAGGTCCATGGCGACAGAGACTGCAATGCCATCCGAAGCAAACAGAATGTTTGGCAATTCTTTTCTCCAGACTGCCTCGGATCCCATATACGACCTCCCAGGTACATCTAGCAACCCGCGTTAAGGATGCATTCTAACCTGTACAGACCCAACCGTTACGACCACAGTCTACAAGTTCCCTGAAATGGAACCTCTACGATTTGAATCATATGATAGCAAACATTTGCACCTCCCCTTACGAAGAGATATCCTCCACCGCGCCGTAGTCTTCGAAGGAGATGCCACCCGTCAAGGAACAGCCAGCACGAAAACCCGGTGGGAAGTCCACGGATCGCATCGCAAAATCCGTCCCCAGAAAGGAACCGGCAAGGCACGTCTAGGAACGAGACAGTCTCCCATGTTGAAGGGAGGAGGAAAATCATTCGGTCCTCATCCTCGAGACTTCTCGACCGAATTACCGAGAAAAGTGTATGATCTGGCGTGGAGAACTGCTTTGAGCTGGAGATATAGAAGAGGAGAGTTGATCATCTGCGAAGATGGGATGGATATCGAGTATCCAAAGACGAGATATGTGAAAGACATCTTTCAGCATAATGGATGGGGACAACCGGATGGAAGGTCGCTGGTCATCACGGGAAGCTTTAGGAAGAATCTCTTCAGGGCTTTGCGACATGCTGGAGAGGATGGAAGGATCCAGATGGCTAGAGAAGTGGATGTCAAGGATCTGTTGGAGCTGGGAAGGGTTATCATTGAGAAGAAGGCTTTGGACGAAATGCTGAAAGAGCATTCGAGTGATCTTGGCCCTAAATTTAAGAGCGTTATATAGGTATCATATCTAGCCGCTGTTCGTAGACTTCACCAGCTTGTACAAAAATGTATCAATTACTGATGATAACCAGCTTTTCCAGTACTTTTGAGAATTCTATTTTGCTTGTCCTGCAAGCACAAAGTTGCGAATGTCACCATTCTAGGCCTCATTGCTTTCAAACATCCTGATTCATATACAATTCTCAATGCTTTTTCTTAATTCAACTGCTTCTCCTTACCATTGCGCTCAATTCCCTATTTAATACAAACTGCACGTGATTCGTCGGAGTGCAAGTCCACCAGCGCGATGATCATCGACGATGACATCCCCTGGTCACTTACGCCCAGAACTCATTGACGAAAGCGACACCGACGTCAACAGTTTTTCTCAAATGCGAATTGATCCTCGAAAAGTACAGAGGCCAAGATCAAACAGTTCAGATGTCGTGCAAAGCTGTTCTTAGAAAGAAGCAATATAGCACTGAGGAATGACTTATCGATTAGTTGAGATTGCACGCAATTTTCTATACTTTTTTCCCTTGGACTTTGTCTTGTCGGATTTCCTTTCCGGTCGAATGTCAAGGATTGTGTTTCACGGCGACGTCGTTACTTTTTGCATGCATTACATCACAGTGTGAAGGACGCAGTCATATAGGTCATCGTGGCAACACTCGTTTCTCTCCTCTTTAAATATTTTCTGTTTCGAATCTGCCAAAGAGAAGAGTTATTTTTGTTTGTTTGTTAAGGTAAGACTTAGGAGTACCAAAAAGGTGGCATCTCGATATCTGGACCTCGTCCCTACCAAACACAACTGTATCACAGACGAAGTCAACTTAGCGGTTCTTGTAAGCATTATTCGAACTAAAGTATAAGCAAGTGGCTATGTGGTCTTCGGAATCTTAAAAACCATCTCGCCATCATAATCACGAGTGGGCATGCCGTCGACTTCTACTCTCTTGCTGGATGGACGACAACTATGGATACCCTACTACGCCTCTACAGCGTTGCAGCACAAGAGTCACGGATTGTAAAGAGACGAATGGATCATTGAGCTGGCGAACGAATGTCAAGAGGAAGAACAAGTGGCCGAGCTTCATCCAGTGCAACAACGATAGCAAGTTTGACTTGTGATTCCTCGGATCTTTCGATGGAACATCTCGGCACGCTACAAACAAAGACGGCCCCGGGATACATGTACGAACTTCGGGATGCACGTTGGCTCATCCATACTCGTGGACGACTCGGCGATTCTAGAAGAACTCTGAAAAGACAGGGACGGATGGATAGAAGAAGGTAATGAATGAAAGATACTAAGATGCTGACATATTCAAGGACACTTGGCTCGACTATCGACACTCGACAGTCATCGACTACGATATGTCGTCCTTACAAATTTTTCGGAGCTTAACACTGGCCACGCCATTGTTGCAGACGAAGAAAGAATGGATAGTCAAGAAGTAGCCTTCAGGAACAAGGCTCGTGGTAGAGCAACCTTACCATCGAGAGCCTATGGTGTAAACAAGTCTTTCGACAAGGAGCATGGAAACAGAATCGCTTACTGGTCGACTGGAGTACAGGAGCATTCCCGTGATTAGAGGGAACAATTCCTTGAGAGGGGGAAAAGTCGAAGCGAATTTGCATTCCAGTACAGTCCTTGGCCCGGCAAATCCTACTTCACAACCATGGCCCTACCTACCAACAGGCAAGACCAACTGAGAATTACCTCCTCTGCTTGGACCCAAGATAGCTCATCAATCTCCACATCAGATCAACTCTACAAATACTCATTCCCTCTTCGACTAAACCCCTTTCCACACTCACTCTACTACACCCACCCACCAACACATCAAACCACACCCACTTCATCCAGACCCATCATCCAGACCCTCTCACCAAGACCTCCACAATGACACACACCCGCTTCTCCACCCGGTACCCCATCCCCATCCACCCCACTCCGCCCACCCCTCCGCTCCCGCCCTAGCGGAACTTACCATCCCACTACCGCCGCCCCAGTCCCAGACTGCCGAGATGATGAATCATCATTCGGCTTTAGGGGAAGGGGATTAGGACGTTGATGTATTGCCTAGTGTCTGAACAATGTCTTGGCGGTTTGGAGAGTAGGATGAATGAATGGGTATGTTCGGGTGTTGGGAAGGTCTGGATTGTTGGGTGTGAGTTGAAGTCATTGTCGTATGAGGATGATGTCAAATGGGTATTGGTTGGTCATAGGTAAGTTGTAGGGTTGGTGGTTGTTGATGGTGACTTGGGCGAGAGGAGGGAAGGAAGAGAGAAGGGTCAAAGGTGAGTGGAGTTGGATTTCATTGCCGACAGCTGGACGTGGGATTGAAGATTTGGATTTTTGATAATGGAAGAAAAGAAAGCCGTATAAGAGGCAAGAATATAATCTAACTATTGGATAGTCATTACATCCAAATACGAAATGTTTGAGATATTTAAAATGAACTGATATACTTGTTAGGGACAATCCATGTTCACATCACTTATACATGTGTACTGCGTTGATATTTTTCATTCGGTAGCTCTGATCAATTACAGCAACACTTTTCTTCTCCCGTTCGAAGCACATATAGTTGCTAATGTGCTTGCAGCTCACATGTAAGAGCTCACTTAGCCAACTTGCAAACATCTCTCCTTGATGTACTCCAGCAAAAAACCACCAAGTTTCGTTCGTCCACAGCGATCTGGCGCTTTGTTACCGGGTATATCACCTATCTTTACAGCCAAAGCAAAACAAAATACCTCCCAACTCCATCGCAACATTTACTCCCATTCCGAAACGCTGTCCAGCCCCTGTCGTTATTGCATTATACAATTGGTCCCAGATACCACTAGAAGGATCCAATCAATTGATTTTCGCAGTCTGCCGGGGGTATCGAAGAGAGTACTTCAGTTGACGAGACCCAAGTAAACTGCAGGATCCATCAAATCATCTGGACCATTGGCAGTCGACTCGTTGCCCCACATACCCAATCGTTGGTTAGGCATCATGTTACCATCACCAAAGAAGTTACGACCATTATCAAGATCGATTCCCTCATCGACAGAAGCTTTTGGTGTATCGTGGGTCTTCGCATCTTCTGGAGTATTGCCGAGAGAAACACCGGAATCATGTCTCTCAGTACGTCCAGTTTGTACATATGCGCTCCGGCCACTCTGCTGCGATGTTCGTCTTGACATTTCAAACCCGCTTTCTCCATCATTCTCTGCAGCCGTGCGTTCGCGTTCGCGTCGATCTCTAAGGAACTGGTGTGCAATACTAGCTTCGTCGGCGAAACCATTCGCTTCTCTCTTCAAGAATTCTTCATATTGTTTCTCGGCTTGTGGAAAGTTGCAGGTGTGAACACTTCCTGGCATACGCAACTTTGCTATTTCTGCCTTCAAGCTATCAATAACATAATATGCTCCCGCCATGTCAATCTTCAACCTGTCGTTTTCGTCCTTAACGGCGGAGGCTTTGGTTGAAAGATTGTCGGTCCATTCCTTCTTGCGTTGACGACACTTATGAGCAGCGGCCTTGTTTCGATCCAAGAACTTCTGACGCTTCTCGTTGGCTTCTGCTTCAGACAATTGCTTGCTACGCTTCTTCCGTTGCTTTCGAGGCTTCTTCTCAGTGGACTCGGTGCTGGCTTCGTTATTGTTGGTCGAATCTCGAGGTGCCTTTTGTGAGGAGCTTGTAGCTTGGCGGGTAGTATAGCCCGGGTTTTGTGTGTCCATTAAAGCACTCGGAGCTGCAGTTTGTAGAAAGGCAAACCCCGCGGATACTGGTACGCCATGGAGGTATGCCGGTGCGTTATTCATAGGTCCTGCAATGTAGGTATTGAGAGCTTGAGGGGGGACGCCGAAGGGAAGACTGTTCTGGGTCTGAGGAAAGGGGAACTCGGTGTTGCGATTGATGTCAATGAATTGACCCATGCCCATGCCACTCCATGCTGAATTGGTCGAAGTCGAAGCTGGCTCCATGGGGTTGAAGAAGTCGTTCAGGTCTGAGTTGTCTTGCATGGTGAGGTTTGGGTTGATGGTATTGTCTGTCATATCAAACATGTTTGATGGTGTAGCCATTGTCGGGAACTCGTCCGCGACTGATGAGGGTGAGATTGTAAGGACCCAGGTTGGAGACGTGGAAAGCTCTTAGTCTGCTGCTGCGGATCAGATTGTTAATCTTGGTATGATGTCGGTCGTTGTTGCGCTCTTCGCCGGGTATCTTCGTCGGGTAAGTAAGGCAGGTACGTGAGATTGACACTCTCCTTTCGTCTGCTATGAGATGGGAAAGGTGAATCTCGGTCGTCTTGTCGTGCACGTTAATCTTGGTATGATGTCGTCGTCGTTGCGATCTTCGGGTAAGTAACACAATTCGTGAGACTGGATCTCCTTTCCTTTGCTTTGAGATGGGAAAGGTGAACGAGATCAATTTCGTGTCGTATTGTTGTGCCCGTTTGTCGGTGAGAGTCGACAAAGAATGGACGGCGGGAAAGTAAAGTGGTTTTGATGTAGGTAGCTTGGTTGAGCAGGAGGGGCGACCAACACTAAAGTAGCTTCGCAGCTAACGTACAGGTACAGCACCAGCACCAGCACCAAGACGACCTGATGCTGCTGCCAGGCTATTATTACCGTGCTCTGTCCGTTTATGCTCGTTTTCTGTTCAGCTTCTTGTCGCCAAGACGTCTTTCCTTCTTACAGATGAAGTTGGAGATGGGTAAATATTCTGGACTCTGAACCCTCCTCCAGTGTTACACGCCACATATAAGTTACAATTAGGACTACCAACACCTGGCAATGATGACGGGGCGGGCACACAGGCCATGTCAGGGACTGCACGACACCAGAACGAAACGAACAAGTGGTATTCGTTTGGAAGCTCTTCTCCCCTTCCCCTCCTCTCCTCTCCCAGCAATCATCAACAAGGTAAGACATAGCCCATGCAGCGTAAGGAAGTCATACAGGGATAGACAGCCAGGATCACGGCAACCACAAAGGCGGCGAGCCAGCCCCGCCCCGCTCTCCCTGTTTGTGGGTGGACCAGTTGTTTCTTATTATTTGCCACCCGTCCTGAGATGCGACACCTCCAAACGTGGGCATTCAGAATTCTACAACTGGATTCAAGACAATGCTGCAGAGCATGGACACATCCCTACAGTCCACGGGGCCGGGTGGTTTCTTTTCTTGTAGTGGCTTGCGCGGTCATTTCTCTCCTCTTCCAATCCCATTGGATTGCGCCTCAGCAGATGCGAATAAACTCAAAAAGCAAACACTTGGAAGCTCCGCGAAGCTCCACGACGAATCATCAATTGCCCCGGACGACGATTGTTATTTTGCGATGTTTCTGATAGCTTACTGTAGTAACTGGTGTTGCTGAACTCATGCGCCCGGCGACCCCACTACAACTGCAAAGAACCTTTCTACTGTAGTGTCTGAGCGATGAAAGCTTTTTACGGTCAGTCCAAGCCTAAGAGGGTATGGTTTCCTTGGAGCTATGATTCAAAGCCAGATCAACCCCCAGATTCTCGATCAGTGACATCAAACGAGCTCTCATAGCGCCACTTTCCGACTTTGCCGCTGCAGACAAACATGCGAATTCTGAGAATCCCATCTTGGCCCGCAGACCAATGAGAAGCTGCACATGGCAATGGTTGGGCGAGGATCCTGTAACATCCTGGCCGAGGTCCACATACGATTCAGGCAGCGGGAATCTTTCATGTGGGTACCTTGTCTGTCCGGAGCAAAAGCTCAGGTCAACTCTCACTCGTGAGTTGTGAGTCGTGATACTTAGGTAAGATTTTACAGTATACCTTTACCAAGAGTTTCCAATTGATGCCTTGTCGAATTCCTACTTTTCCATTTTTTGGTATTCGGTGGCACAGTTTTAGGTATCTAAGATCACCGGACAGACACTTACAGTCATTTTTGTCTTTCTAGACCATACCACCTGTTGACATATTCGCCACAACAGAGCTCTATGGCAACCGGTGTTGATGTCGGCTCAAGCCGAGTACTGTATACCGTAAGTTTCCTTATTGTCACGTTTAGGCATAGCTTAACCACTTTATCGCCGACGTGGTGGCTCTAGTTTTTCGGACGTAGAGACTAGACTAAATGTACCGACCGAGTACACTCATGTGCTAGGTCAAGGCCTGCACGCCCAGGCCCCAAGTGCCTATTGTGGAGACGTTGACGTCGATCATCATCGGACCCTTCTTTGCATCCCGTCGTCATTCTGCATAGACATTGATGCTAAGGGGAAAGTTCATAAGGATGTGTGCCTTCCTCCGGAGAAAACTCCTCCCAAATGAACCGAAAAACAGGATATTTGTAGAGGAGTTCCATTTGACAGGTCAAACAGTTTAGTTACTACTCTATTCCACGAAGGATTTCAAAGCAGAGTGATGATCCCGACTTTTCTCCCCCAAAAAGAAATTCTTGGTCTTTGGAGCAATTGATCAGATCCCGAAAGGAAAGATAAGAGGATGGCTATGGCGTTCATCCTGGGAAGTCGACGGCATGGGAATTTTGATGGATTGCCATGCCGCCTCTACCACGTTTGACAGATCAGCATGCATGACGCAACACACGTGCCATGCAACTTTGAAATAGAAATGGAAGCAACTCCCCTATTCGATTTGCCTTCCATTCCAGAAAACTATGTGACACGAAGAAGTGGTGGAATCGCAGGTAGTTCTGCTAACAGCTCGAGTGAAAGCGTTCGATTGAATATCGCTTACTTGCTTCTCTGTCTTTGCTTCAATTCTATTTTAAATAACAGAATCGTTTTGAAGCTTTGATTTGATTATTCATTTATACTAATATTAGTGAGTAAAAAAACTCGATCAATTAAATAGTTTTAAAAAACACACCTATGCATACCTGCTCCTTGACACATCTAACACAAACACTTTCACCAAATATGCCGTCAATATCCATCTCTCCGCTTCCACTTTCCTCGCAAAAATACCCCCCCGCATCTTCAGCGAGCTTCTTTTGCTTCCGCTGTTGTCAATAAGAAGCCTAGCATTGAAAGTCTCAGCCACGTTCCAAGTCTTTTTGTATCGCGCACTCACACAAGACATTTTCTCCTGCGTTGTGTCGTAGACAGTTTACTCTCGGCACAGGTCCTGTGTCTAGCAGGGCTTGGTGAATTGAGACCTCGGCTCCAATCCTGTGGATACAACTCAAAGTGGAAAAAATGTCCCAGAGAGTCTGTCGAACCTGCAATTCGTCCAAGCATTGAGTTTGGAAGCACACGTTTCTTGTTTACGGTGAAGTTCTCGAGAATCATGTACTGTATCGGACATAACGACTGGGCTTGGAGTTCTCTGCAGGTCCAGGAGCCGGAGCCCCCAGTACAATATCTTCGCAATGCGTTATCTCGCAAATATGGAGTTCACAAGTTCTCAGATCTCATTCACTAAATGTGTTCTGCTTGCTTGCGATCATTGAGCCCGAAAACAAAATCTAGATCTGAGGGTCCTGCACGATGGGACATGAGACAAGATGTTTTTTGAAGATTGAGTTTCGCAAGCGAAAGAGGGGTCTTTTGGATTAGTGATCGAGAGTCACTTAGCTATTAGAGTTTTACGATCATTAAGCTGAGTCTGCAAGTATCGAATTTTGCAAACGCACCAATTACTTTCAGAAGAGAGTCTTGTCATGACGATTATGGTCTCCAGATCTCTAGGGGTTCATGCACGAAGGGACCAGCAGGGAAGATCCACTCGCAAACATCGAATATACAAATGCCGTTGAATTTTTTCTCCTGCCGATCATCTGTCCATGATCCACGAAAGTCCTTCAAGCATGCATGCACGAAGGGACAGACACGTATCGATCCCGAACGTTCGAGATAACCGCTCAAATCTCGACGAGATCAGCACCGGCCACACCTAGAGCCTTCAATAGCCAGCGCCAGGCCTGCGCGATCTCCTCCACCCTCTCTACATCAGGTTCACCGGAATGGGACTTCCTACCTTTTGACCAAATCCTCTGGCAACAACTCCTCTTTGCTTTCAAATCAACGCCGTCCAATCGCCAATTCCGACTTGGACCCCTCCATCCTGTTTCTGCTCCTGAAAGCCAACGAACCTATACACCTTCCGAAACAACGCCGCCAACATTTGCAAGCGAACGAACGACCCCTCATTCACCCAGCCGACGACCAGAAGCAAAAGCAGCACTCTCGGACCCTGGAGACGAGAAGCCCTCGACGCCACCATGCACATCCGCCTTGGAAGAGAGACACTTCCAACGGAGACACTCTCCGGATCCCTGTCGATGACTATGTACGAACGGTAGATGCCAAAGAGAATGGTGGATAAGACCGGTCTGGCCGAGGAGGGAACCTGGAAGCGGTCTCCCGGTGTCAGAGGTTCGAGAAATATTCGCAATATCTTCAAGAAAAGAGAGAGAGAGAATGGTGGCATTAGAGTTTCATGTATACTCAACCGCATCAAGACAGCCAAACCTTAAAACACACACACACACACACCACTTACTCCAAATTCTGTTATGTAAGTCTTTCAAACCAGAGCTGTATCCCCAAAGACGGCCCAGCCCCCTGCGATCCCAGTCCGCTTTTCAAACAGTCCACAGATCTCGGAAATTTCTCGACTTCTTATAGTCCCAGAAAGCCAGGACATGCAAGCGTTTTTTTGGTGGGATTGCTTCGAAGGCAGGTCTGCGTGTGTGGTGGCGAGAATTGCGGCCCTTCTTTTCAACTGCGAGGATTTTCAGGGAGACGAGAAAAACATGTGACTTGCGCTGTTTCCAATGCCTGGAAGATGGGGTTTGATGATGGGTATTAGAAGGGCCATAGTCTAGAAATAAAGTGGCGAGTATCGAGAGCGATATTCAACCCCTCCTTTGGAAGACTGTTGGAGCTGTAAGAGGAGAATTAAACACGTGATATCCACTGTAGGACAGGCGGGAGTTGGTAGTTTCCGTTCGAAAGGTAATATAGGATTCTCACGCTTTTATAGCGATTGTGGACTTGAAGAAAACTCTGAATGTCTACCTACATTCTCTCTCCTTTTATCAGACAACGAAATGCAGAAGATGTCCAAAAGCTTGCCGTAATTTAGCCCTTCACGTGCTACCGCGAATCGCGTCAATTTCGCGTCTCTCAAACCTTCTCCATTTTCATCTCAGCAACCTCTCCACGAACACCAAGCCCAGCCCACTTCCACCACCAAACCAGCTCCTCTACTCCCCACCCATCGACCCCCCACAACCAAACAAAATGGCAGAACCAACCCTCTCAACCCCCCGCATAACCTCCCAATACCTCGACACCTTCATCTCGCGCACCATCCGCCTCATCGGCAAAGTAACGCAGCTCCGCGGCGAGACGGCCACCATCGACAGCGAAGGCAACGTCACGGCGCTCTTGAACCGCGACGCGCACCTCACGGTCGGGAACGCGGTCGAGGTTGTGGGGAAGGTAAATCAGGATCTGAGTGTTAAGGTTTTGAGGGCTACGGATTTGGGGAGAGATGGTGAGTTTCTTGTTATGGGAGGGGGGAAGAGGGGGTTGGGCTAATGTTGGGGTGATGTAGTGGATTATACGGCGATCAGTGCGGTGGTTGATGCTACGCATCGGTATAAGGAGATTTTTTATGCGGAGTGAGGGATCGACTTAAGGGACTATGGGAGAGGATTGGAGTTAGGCTTTGCTGCTGGGAAGGGATGACTGAAGAATAGAGACTAGCTTCCAGCTACAACATGAAGGACATGATTCGGTCTCTTAAGAATTCTTGGCACGATGAATGAATGCATCACGAATTACTATAACGAAAAAGGCTCGTTTAATTATTGTGATTCTTTTACATATCGAATAGTCATTGAGCTCGTTAAACAGTACTGTCGTACGCTAAGGATTGGCAATTGTATGCTTTAGCAATGCAATCATGCTGCTCCTCTCGAAAATGCTAATCAAACGCCATCTCCATGCAGAAAATGCCCATGTATCCTGACAATAATCCAACACCACGCTATGCAAAAATATACAACATAAAGAAAATATGGCAACGTTCAGGTTGACGGTTCGTTGCTCGCATCCTTGTCACCCAACTTGCTCGGGGACTCCATAGGCTCCTCTTTGACCTTGATCTCAGGTGAGACCTCCTGCGGACCGAAACGGCCGAATTCATCCCAATTGATGTTGCTTCCACCACCACCTCTGGTCAACGGATCTTCGTACAGGTTGAACGTCCTTGGAGAACTTGGCATAGGAGCATCAGTGGAGAAGAGGTCTTCGATATTGAAATTCATATCGTAGTTATGATTCGGCGCCATATTTGGCAATTCTGGCAGGTTGGCCAAGTTGCTGAAATCAAACTCCACGCCATGTCGTGTAGGCGACGGTTGATTATTGGCTTCAGACATCATTTGATTAAGTGTCGCCGTGAAAGGAGACTCGAATATCGAGTCATCGTGATTCCGTGGTGAGCGACGTCGTCCAGCAGTGCCCGGTGTTCGTGTTGGTGTTTGATTGAATGCGAGCGACTGCCCTGGCGATTTGTTGGATCTGATCGATCGAGAGACGCTTCGCGTGATGGGCCGGTGGCTAGGAGTAGGTCTCGTTGGTGTTTTGAAAGGATTCGCAGCCGGTGACTTCTGGACTGGTGTAGTAGGTCGAGCATCGTCTCCTTTTGCCAATTCCTCTTCGAAGAGCTTCATCAGATCGGCATCCATAGCATCTGCGTCAATGGCAGGCGGGCAATTCTCCTTATTCTGAGACTCAATCATGCTCCCTTTCGGCGACCGGAACTCGGTAGCGATGGTGACAACATTGGCTACCACCTCTCCCAACACTTTAGGGGAACCATCCTTTCTTGGTGAAGGGAAGAGCAATCTGCGTGTAGATCCTAGTTCCTCCTCTTCAACCTCGATCGGACTGTGCTGTGTTCCCGCCCACCGAGCTGGACTAGATTGAATGGCCCGCCTCAACGCGGCTGATGCTGCATCAGAAGTCATAGCATTTAGGCGTTTCTTGGGACGCCCGCTACCTGAACGCTTTCGTTGCTCTTCGATTGTCGCTCCTTGTGGTTGTTGGTTTTGAGTTGCTCTGTTAATTTCATTAGGAGAGATGCCTTCTGGAGGTCCCATTCCGTCAAATTGAGGAGGATATCCTTCCGACTGAGGGAAGTTCGCTTCAGATTGAGGGAAATAAGCCTCTGATGGGGGGAAATTTGCTTCCGAAGTCGGGAGCATAACACTGGAAGGCTGAGATTTCTTTGCCCTTGGTCGTTGCTGTGGTTTCTTTCTCTCTCCACCTTTGGCTCTCTCTTGTGGCCCATTGCTCTCCCATCGATTTTCTGGTCGCTGAGTCTTGTATTTGGACATCCAAATTCCACAAGCTATGTCTGTTAGATCAATAACCACCCAGATTTGATGTTAGACTTACGATTGCAGAGTAAAAACTCCGTGAACTCGGCCATATTTTCGCCTTCTGCTAAGAACTTCTTGATCAGCTGGTACGAAGTGGGTTCGCCATTGTCATCCCGAGTCAAAATATTGATAGCGGTGACACGACCTGGGTCGTCAGAGTACTCGTAGTATCCGGGCCGGCCCAACATATGCTTCGACCAAGCTTTTCGCCAAGTAGGAGTGTCAATAGCGCCACAGTTACTACAATACGGAGGCATTTCTCCATTTGCAACTGCATTCTCAAGCTTATTTTTGATCGAATCTCGCTTTGCTTGCATTGTTCGGCTAAATGGTACACCTGGTCTTGTAGACTGCAAATCTTGCTGTGGCGGTTGGTAGGACATCTCCGCTGGAGGTATAGGCGCCTCAGTAGCTGGATGAGGAGCTTCTGACCATGTCTGGGATCTTTGGAGGCTGGAAGGTGGCAAAGCTGGATCACTGGCAGGAATCTGGGGGAAAGTGAGCGATCCTAACGATGCAGTACGTGCCATCATTCTAGAGCCAGGCCGAGAATTCGGGGCAACAGTGGACACAGTAGGTTGCTGCATTTCTGGAGGTTGAGACGTCGACTGTTGGGGCTCAGACGAACGACGCGCCACATTGCCAGGCACTTCGGGAGTTGCTTGCTGCTGTACTGGGGCCACTATGCCAGGATAGCTCATAGAGTTTGTCCTGGAAGCTGTTCGGTTTGTCTTCTTTAATGGCGGAAGGACTTGACCGTCTTCTGACATGACACTGCCAGCACGAGACGTAGCTGCTTTAGATTTGGCTCTAGACTCTGCTTGACGTGGTGGATCGATGATAGGCATCCTGGTTGGCAGAAGTTCAACTGGGCCGGGCATAACCTCTTGAATATTGAACTCAATATACGGCTGTTCAATAGGAGATCGCTGGTCTTGAGGAGGTTGGGTTGGGATCATGTCGACCTCATCCTCGATTCCCCCGCACAACAAATTGTCGTCGTCACCAAATAGATCTTCTAAAGAGCCGCTCATGAAGCCAGAGTCTGTTCTTGGCATTTGTGGTAGGACCGGACTTGACAGGACGGGTGGACTTGACCGCATGGGCGTGCCTGGTCGTGTTCTCATCAGTGGAGGTGACGAGCCGATTTCGGGCGGGGTGGGAGCTGGACTCATATTTCGTTCTGGGGAAGGCTGAGCCGACTCGATAGAGAACATAATTTGGTCTTCCGGCCTTGGGAGGGTCGGATAAGGAGAGATGTGTGGTCGACCGTTGCCTAACATCTGGTTGAAGGAGTCTCGTCGTACACTGCTGTCCGCAGGAGCGGTGGTCTTGATACTCGGCTTCCTAGGCACCGGAGTAGGCGCTCGTGGCAACTCCTGGAGATGATTTGGGCCTACAGTTTGGTTGGGATTCATGGCAATTGGACGGAAGAGTCGTAGTGAGCCGGAGGTGCTTGCTGCAACTCGTAGAGAATCTGATCCTGCGCCCAACGATGTGTTGCTGTTCCAGTCTGCTTTAGTAACTTTAGCTCTCTTCTTGGGAGCTGGACCTTCGTCTCCATCCGTCCCTTCCTCGTACCCAGATGTATTTCCACCAGCATTCTGCGCAACCTTGGGTTTCCGAGGCGCTCTAGGTCTCTTTACAGACGCCCTCGAATTGGGCCGAGAATTAGCCTTATTCTTCCCTGTGGCCGTCGTTGTGTTGCATGGTACATCACTTCCTGGGTTTTCTGGCACCTTCGTCGGGTTGAAGGGGTCCATTGCGGTCTGCTGTTGCATGCTGGGGCTCAACAACTGATTCATTACTTCCATACTGACTCCATCACGTTGATTGTTGTTGGGAAGAGGCTGAGGAACTGGCGAGGGCTTGTTTGTCATCTGGCCGATGCCCGGATTCGATTGAAGGAAAGATGTCCATTCGTTCGGGTCAAATCCAGGAGGCAAGACCTTGCTCAACTCTCTGTACTTCTCCATTGTGCTCAGGTATTCACTTTGTAAGACTGTTGGTACAGGGACAAGTCTGAGCTTGACCTCCAGTGTTTCCTTTACTCCATTTGTGAACAGACCCATGATATTCTTGCAGACTCGGCCAGTGATAAGCTGCCGTGACTGATGTGCCGGAGCATCGGGAGTCGGGGAAGCAGTAGCCAGTGCCCACGATAGCATTCCTTGTCCTACGAGCGGGTTATCATATTCGGAGTAGTCGTATGCGTAAACCGTATAATCTGGACTCAGTCGGGCAACAAGTTCTGGGCTGCACTGCACAATGGCGTTTATGCAGGTCTTCAACTCGATCACACCAATAGTTGTAGTCTCGTCCATAGCGACAGTCTGTATCTGTAACACATGGGGCCATCGTGCCAAACAATTCGTCTTGTTCTGGTCGTCGAACGTGTAAAGAACCTTGACTGTGTACCGAACATGATTAGTCTCTCAATACTTGCTAATAATCTTCAATACGTACGCCTCATAGGTCTGACTGATACTCCTTCTTCATTATCCCCATTGCTTGGAGCCATTGGAGGCTCTTGAGGTTGTGTATTCTGCCAGGGAGAAAGGCTTGGAGGTGTCCCAGTTGGAGCCGACATTGCGATTGCTTGCTAGCCGCAATGCCGGAATTGAGAAGTTTATTGCGTCTTATGAAGCTCCAAAGGTTTGAAGAGAAGTGCCCGAAGTCATCGAACAAAGGTGGAGTCGCGTCTTTCAAGATCTTGGAGGATAATTCTGGTGGCTAGTACCATGCTCGCGTGTTCGGTCGCGACGCGTTGAAGAATGTTGAAAAGGTGAATCAGAGATTATGATGCGGGGTGGTCGAAGAATTCACTATTAGATCGAACCAGAGTAACCGATTGCACCTCTTGAAACTATTTCTAACAAAGGCGTTTAATTGTATGAGAAGTCGTGGTACTTTGAAGGTATGTTGACTCTCGAATGATGGCAGCCAATGAACACGAATACGCTAGTATTGCCGCTAGCGTGAGTTGTGGCCTGGCTCAGCGGATAAGGCACAAGGCACAAAGCCAAGAATTTATATCTGCGTTCTTGGTATCTCCCGGTCGACCGTAAATTTCACAAAGTGAGATGGAAAAAGGCAGCACACCAACTCAAAAATCATTCATTATTTGCAGAGCGGGGTAGAGCTCCCTTTTATAATTTCGGCAGAAGAAAAGTTCGGTGATACCGCGCTTAATGCCATGACTCAGCCAGTTTTAGGCCCATAGGCAACATACCAATCACATGATTCACCCTCCTTTCTATTCTTTCAGCGAGATTATTTTTCTCCTGCGACCGCTAACTTATCAACACCCGCAACATTGCCGTATCATCCGATCTGATGTACAAATCTCACACATCTATCATACACATCTAGTACATTCGCCACATCGTTCTAAGTGTACCTACTGGGCAACTTCCTGAGACTCAGATATCCACTGTGCCTTGTTGTTGTGATCCACTTGAGTTTTTCTGTTCACCACTTCCTCCACCACCTCTTTCACTCCTTGCTTGCCCTTTCTTGCATCCACGAAGCGTTTCACAATATCCTTTCGACTCAAGACGCCACCCTTAACCACGTTCTCGATTTGTTTCTCGGTAGGTACATTAAATCGTGCAAATGGGTAATGTTTGTAGTCGTCTGTACTGAGTAACTGAAGGTTTTCCGCACCAGGCTCGATCTCGAAAAATGGATCTGCAATGTTGTCCTCAGGTTTGATATCCTCCAGAGAGGCTGGCTGCCACGCGGGCTTTCCGTCTTTGCGTATCAGCAGCGCGTGCACGCCTTCGGTGAAGTCTGGATGACGCATAAATTTCCCGGCAATTGAATATTCTCGTTGGAAAGTCTGTGATATACTCCACTCGCGACCAAGTTGCATCTGTCGGAGGGTCACATACACACTAGTAGGTGAACGCTTGTGTAAGGTGGCGAGGGTCTTCTCCGCCCATTCTTTCGTTTCTCCTTCCTCCACTTTCAGTGCTTCGATAATCTCAGGCACATTTGTCTTGCCGAAACAGCGATCGATCGCTTGCCTCATGGCCCCTTGGATGAGCATAGGCTCGTCGTGTGGGAGGCCAGTACAAAATTCCTCGATGGTAGAATCAATGAGAGTTAGACGTTCTTCCAATGTATCGTAATCTTTAAATCGAAGTTCGGCCAATCGTCGTTCCAGTGCAGGTAATGACGTCGAATGAATGTAATGTGTCGCAACCCCAGCATAGAAAACGTTCACACCCTTCAGCTTCTCACTTGTTAGAGCAAGATATGTGCCCACTGCGCCTGACATTCGTGGTAAGAAGAATGAAGCTCCAACATCCGGGAAGAACCCAATCGTCGTCTCTGGCATGGCAAACATCGTTCTCTCCGTAGCTATCCGGAATGGAGCATGTATACTCAATCCAACTCCTCCTCCCATCGTTATGCCGTCCAGAAAAGCAACATACGGTTTCTTATATGTGGCAATCAGATGGTCCAGCTTGTATTCAAGGCCAAAGTAATCCGTCGACTTTGTCTGACCCTCTTCTCCTTCTAAATTGTCTATTGCAAGAGCTGCCACATCTCCACCAGCACAAAACGCCTTGGGGCCTGACCCCTTGATGACTACCACGTTGGCCATATCTGACTTCGCCCATTCTTGCAATCTAGGCACAATCTTTCGTATCATAGATCCATTGAGGGAGTGCAGTTTCGAAGGCCGATTAAGCTCGATTGTCCGAACACCGAATAACGTATTAAAGAGTACATCTTCTGGCTCGTCTCCTGGTAATTCTTTGATGACTTCTGTAGTTGTAACACTCGCATTTCCCTGTTGATCTCGCCGCGAACCGGTGGTTATCTGGATACCAATTAGCCACATAGTCACTAATGAATGTAAACACCCTTCACCTGTGCTCTGGCTGCAAATGCAGGATTGGTAATTTTTGCTCTTAATGGCATAACGGCAGATTTTGAGCTACACCTTGCGGTCGATCCAGCTCCTCTGCCACATAAATATCTTGCGAACATTAAGAAAAGGAAGTCTGAAAAGTCCAAAGAAAATCGATGGGTGGTGAAAGAATGCGGAGTACTTAAAGCTATTCCATTGACCTCGGGTTTTCCACTTGAGCTCGGCTGAGGCTGCACATAAAATAAAGTCGGAATAATAGTTGATCCGGCCCGGCGATTCTCATTTCAGACAATCGACGAGGCAGCAAAAGGTTGTTTTGACGTCTTGAACATCAACAACATGGCGGACGCAAAGATTCAGTGAGCACAATCTGCCTTTATACTGATACACAAACTAACTCGTTCTCAGGGAACTGCTGGCCAAGCCGCGCAACGAGCTCACGTACGTTTCCCTGAGGCGCATTGCAATCTTGCGAACCATCTACTAACCCCTCCTCTACAGTGAGTTCGAGATCGCGCAACTCGAGGAACACGAATTCACATCAGGTCCTCTCTCTATCCTCCAGACCGCCGTTCGATCGCATACCCAAGTCCTCATCTCGTGCCGAAACAACAGAAAACTCCTTGCACGTGTGAAGGCGTTCGATAGGCATTGCAATATGGTATTGGAGAATGTGAAGGAGATGTGGACGGAAACACCGAGAAATGCACAAGGAAAGAAGGGAAGACCTGTGAACAAGGATCGGTTCATTAGCAAGATGTGAGTGTGCTCTGGATATAAAATGCATCTGCAATCTAGAGGTTATATACTAATGTTTGATGGCAGGTTCTTACGGGGAGATTCTGTTATTCTGGTTCTTCTCAGTTGAGCTTTCTATCTGGCGCTTTTCTATGGATGGTATCTGGCAGTGGCATGGGTTGGCTCATAGTGGTTTCTCTGGAAATGAATACGACGGCGTCGAAAAGTGGCTGAATATACCAACTCTCATGTCAAGAATGCACTGAATGATATCTCAAAATTGGTCATACGTGCTTCGATCGTGTACGAACTTCCAGCAAGAAGATGAAAAGACTTCATAATGAAGGACGAGCTTCTGCAAAACTCTTTTACCTTCCCACTCGTTCGGAAGTAGAAAGTTAGTATCAAGATTGTGGGAGCGTGAAAGCAACACCAGGTTCGTAACTTCATACTTAATCTTTCATTGAATTTGGTGCGTTGTCACAGATCGAATTAAAGCAGCCACAGCAAGTCTTCGAGCTTCATTCTTCCAACGAGCACTGATTACTTTTTCGCAAGGAAATGTTAATATGAAACAAGCCTTGAAATCAACTTATGTCGCAATTCATCTCAAAGCTAAGACAAATGCTTTTTGATATCCCTAACACACCAAGTGGTATTCATCTACAATCAACTCCGCTAGTGTGCACAGTAACTACACCGAACTAAATCACCTCTTCAGGGTCTTCTGCTTCTCGGCATCCTTCACCAACTTCCTTCCTTGAACCATCAAGCCTTTCCTCTTCCTCACACCATCCATATATCTCTTTGCTACATTTTCCTTATCAGCCAACTCTCCCAGATCTTCCAAATCATCTTCCGTGAATGGAACCCAGAACGGATCTTCATCCAAGATTTCATAACCCTGGAAGATGAGTTGCGGAGAGGCGGCTCCTGATGTACGCTTTCGGATCTCGTCACTGAAGCCGAAGGACTCCGCCACGGGGAGAAGTGATTGGATGGTGAAGAACGGGGTACCTTCTTTCATGGCTTCGGAGAGGACTCGACCGCGACGTCGGGTGAGGACATCGTAGACGCGACCAAGGACTTCAGCTATTCACGTTGTCAGAATCAATACTTTGAAGAGGTAATTACAGAACTTACTGCTTGCTTGGATTTCACATGAGTACATGGCGAGTAGCAGTCTCGGACTCCAGTCCAGAAAGCCTTGCTTAATTGCTTGTTGTACCGTCTTGATCACTTCTCCTGTGAGGCGACCGAGATTATCTCTCGTAGAAGACTCCTCGTCTGTCTGTGTAACTGTCACCTCTTCAAGGAAGACGGCAATACCTTGAACAGGTTCATTGCATAGTGGTCCTTGTGCGGTGGCAAGTTGGAATGCATAGCTGATCTTGTCTGAGAAATCCCGTGCTTGAAGAGTCTCGCCTACTGTTTGCTCCTTTTCATCCGATGGATTATCTCGAAGGCTGCTAAAGTCAGTGTTTATACTCGTGTATGCGAAAGCATGCTGCTTACAACTTGCCACAGATTGCATCATCCGTCCTGTCAATCAGCAGATTTGGCCCTGTTCTTCTAGGCCCAAAAGCAGTTATTTGCTCCACAGTGTTTGCCCAAATTTCTCTTTGGCCTTTAACACTGTCGAAAGCGGCTTGAAGCTGCTTCTTGAACTCTGGTAAGGACAAGACCTTGGTACTGTCTACTAAACCGTCCTCGTCAACATCTTCCTTCTCGACTGTACCATTTGATTGAGCGCCCTTCTCTGCTGCCTGTCGGTCCGCATATAATCGCCGTATGGCTGCTGAGTTCTTCGCTAGGAACTCTGTGACTTCGGCTGGCAATGGTCGGATATTGATCTTGACGGTGACTTGCTTTGAGGTTGTGGAAGCAATAACTGTGCCTCTGCCGAGCTCTTTACTTGCAGGCGGTTTCATCTCTTCTGCTCTAACTATTGTCTCCCTGTAAGGTACAATCGGCTCACCAGCCTGGATCTCACACCTGGCGAACCGCTCTCGTAAGTCTATCAAACAGCGTTCAAGATGTAGTTCACCAGCGGTCAAAAGTACGTGCTCTCCACTTTGAAATTGTTCGTACTCGGCACAAGGATCACTCTGAACGAGGAGTTTCAGGCCCTGAATCATCTTTTCGAGATCAGCAGGATTTTCAGGTTCCAAAGCGACTCGAACTATAGGCTGAGAGCCCATGTTAACACCTGCGAGGTTGACACTCCCTTCAAGTTGACTGCATATCGTGCCAGACTTCAGTACGTGACCCTCTAAACCACCAATACCAAAAACAACGCCGGCAGGGACAGAAGTAAGAGGTTCAAGGCCTCTACCCATCAGAAGGTACAGAGCCGTGACGGTGACTTTTTGCGGCTCTGGACTTTGATGAGGGTTCGCAGGTGTGAACTTCGGAGGGATAACGTAAACCGAGTCTCCCACTGACAGTGTACCAGAGTAGATTCTGGCAAATCCAATAAGATGTTCTCGATTGGGTGTCTGTTCTTCCTCAGCTGGGACTTCTAGGCTAGTTCCTCCGATTGCTTCAGTGAGATTGTCAAGAGGATCAGGTGTTCCACCATCCTCTAGAGCTCGGGCTCTTGCGATTTCAGCACGTTTTCGACGACCCATTTCCCTGGCTTCTTCTGGACTTAAAGCTCCTCCTCGACGTTTGTTCTCTGGTAATTCGCTCTCTGGTATGGAAACCATCTTGCTGATGTACGCAACGATTGGGGCAGCCTTTGAGGTCTTGAAATTAATCATAGCATCCCTGAGGACGGGATCTACATGCGTAAAACCAGGCGAAGCATCAATGAGGGCTGGAAGTCTGCTTTCTTGGGCTGCAGGTGGTGACGGTAGAGATTCGATAACCGAGACTAAAAGTGCTGTAGATAATGGTAACCAAGAGCTGAATAGTGTTGTGAGAATAGCTCGAGGGTCTCGAGATCGTGTGATATGTGACGGAAGAGTAATATTCAAGCTTTTGGTTATCTTTTCCGTGAGGACAGGGTCACTGTGTTGATTTTAGTCAGAAATGGCACTTGGAACATTGATTGATGCTATTGTAACAATGATGAACAGAAGGAGAAGGAAGTCCACGCACCCCTTCCCATTGTCACCGCCTGTCGTAGCTTGATATACAGCCCAGATCTGGTCAAGCACTAGTTGAACAAACATCGGCTTTAGATTTCGTCCTTTCAGATGCTTTTGAGCCAAGACCTTTTTCGTCTTCGGATCTAAGTAGAAGTCTCCCCATAGTACTTTTTCCATTGCAGTTCGTTTGATTCCTAGCTTTTTCTCGTAAAGACTAGCAAATTGTCGGACAGTAAATGCCCATCCATCGATGGCACTACTGAAAATAACATTGTTTTTCTCCGGTGCGAAATAGATGTCTTCGTCATCTCTTTCTTCGTATTCATTGTTCGAAGAAATCATGCTCTCCGTGTCTATCGAAGTGCCGTTTGCTCCATTAATATCATCCTTTTGTGCTCGTTCTTGTTCCTTGGCTGCAGCTGCAGCAATTCTCTCATCCATTCTTTCTCTCCAGTTCAGATCTTCTTCCATTCTCTCACCTTGGAAAAAGCTTCCGAGGACAGCGTTGACTTGTTCTAGTAATTTGCTCAAGTGGGTATAGGCCTCGCCCGGTGTCATCTTCAGCTCTGTGACGAGACGGTCCATTTTATTGATGACCAGTAAAGGCTTCATATGTTCTACCCATGCCTGACGAAGGACTGTTACAGTCTGACTGCACACACCCTCAACCGCATCCACTAGGATAACAGCACCATCGCATAGCCGGGATGCAGTCGACACTTCGCTGCTGAAATCGATATGTCCTGGTGAGTCTATCAAATTTATGAGGTATTCTTTTTGTTCGGGCGTGGCATCTGGCGCAGATCTTCGTAGCATAGAGAAGTATAACGAAATGGCGGATGATTCCATTGTAATGCCTCGAGTCTGTTCATCTGGTCGGGAATCGAGGTATCTTATTTTGCCTGCCAGCTTTGGGGAGATGATGCCGTTCGTGGCAATAAGTGCGTCTGTGAGGGATGTTTTTCCATGGTCCTAACAACTTTTAGAGAACGTGAGAACCAAGAAGAAGATAGGTACTTACAACGTGTGCTAAGATGCAAATCTTGGATTGTTGTTAGCAAAGCAAAGATACGAAGTATGCCCCTCCATCACGAAAAACTCACATTTCTGATGCCTTCTGGATTTCGCTGCAGCGCAACCAGTTGTTCGGGATTTACGACAGGCATATTGAATGTCAGATATGTAAAGTCTCCTGGAAACCAGGGAAAAAGAGAGACGGAAGGTCGAAGCCTTTTAAAAAGTTGCGGCCGCGAATATATTTTTTATTTTGGTTATGATTCATAGCGAATCATACCAGATGCGACCCCGCGCCCGCCAAGCCAGGCCAAGCGCGCCATCTGGCAATCGACCACACGTGACTGTGATGAAGCATCTGCTCTCGTCTCCTCGTCTCCTCTTCTCTTCCTCCCACAAAGCCGCTGAAGATTTTCTACAGTTTCTGAAAGAATCAACAAACTCCACTCGTTTCTCTTCTCTTCACCAGCATTGAACACAGCCTCACCAAGATTGAACTCTTCAGACGGCGTTTCTATTTCTGCGTCCGCTTAGGGGTCTCGCTAGAGCCTGTAACATCATCTGAAGCGGCTTCCGGTGCGATCGTTGGTTCTGAGGGCGTCATCCCTGGCTCAACACAGTTTCACCAGACTCTCATTCACCCAAACTCTGGATCTCATTTTAAGCTTCGTGCCGATCAATGCTCACGTACCAATACCTTAATATCGAGCAGCATCCCCGAAAGCTATGATGGAAGAGACGGACTTTGAGAGTTTGTGTTGAGTACGCCCGTAGCGGTCGCAAACAGAATATCAGGTGGCTGAAAGAGGAGCAAGGAACAAAAGACACCGAAGAGACATCGCCAACCACCGAGCATCGACTGCAATATCAGTGGACGCCACGCCCAAATTTACAATTGCGGAGAAGCAACCTTCTGGAGCTTCTTTGCAGTCAACTACTGATCATCATACTGGCGACACCATCATGACCGAGTCATACACAATAACCATGCAGGAATCATCTCAGCCTCGTGCAATTCCAGAACGAAGCATACTCCAAATACCTCCCACCTCCTCGATCACTCTACCTCCTCCGCCTTCATCAGCTGGCCGGATACGCAGCTCACATCTCAACCTTGATACCTTTTCTCCTGTCAATCAAAATGGCAGCTTCGAGTTCGACCGTGTATTGAAGAGTGGATACGTGCAGAAGCGGACAAGGAAGACGAAGGTAGGACATTTTCAGCTGGTACAGATACAGCACCCATACTGATAATATCTCGCAGGCTTGGAAACCCGTATTTTTAGTTCTGCGACCCAATTCCCTCTCGATTTACAAAGACCAGAATGAAGATAAACTAAGACACAAGATCCACCTTTCTGACCTCACCGCTGTAGCTTTTCTGAAAGACCCCAAGCAGAAACGCCAAAATGTCTTCGGTCTATTCTCTCCCTCACGGAATTATCATCTCGAAGCACGATCGCGGAAAGATGCTGAAGAATGGGTTGGACTCATCAGACAAGAGGCGCGAATTGAAGAAGAGGAGGAGGAGATGCTCCTTGCCAGCCCCTCCGGAAATTTGACGAATCCATACAACGGCTTCGATCGTGCAATGCAAAAGCATCACGAGCAGAAACTCCTTCACGACGAGCGCCTGGGATCAAGTTCTCCCGAACCCACAGATCCCATACCCCGCACTCAACGAACAGAAGCACTGGGGCTCCATGCGCCTAGACGGCCCTCACATACAATTGAATACTCAGGAAACGAAGTCTCAGACATGTCAGACGCTGATTTAACGCGTGCTCGAAACCACTCGTCCGTGTCCATGCCCGAAGAGCCGCTCGCTGTCCAAGCGCCAGGATCTCGCCCAATATTAGACGCTCGAAACACCAGTCAGGTCAGCGTCACATCACCGGCCACAGAGCAAGACCCCAATTCGTCCGAGCGCGTAGTCTGGCAAGGCTACCTCTTATACTTGAAGACCATTCGTGGTGTTCGCCAATGGAAGGATCTTTGGGTTGTCGTCCGTCCAAAAAGTATTCATATGTATAAGAATGATTCGGAATACTCACCTATCTTGATCATTCCGCTGAGTTCGGTCATTAATGCGGTTGAGATTGACCCGTTGAGCAGGAGCAAAACACATTGCTTGCAAGTAATCACAGAAGAGAAAAGCTACAAGTTCTGCGCTCATAATGAAGACACGTTGGATACCAGTCTTGGAGCATTGAAGAGCTTATTAGCGAAACGAAAAGAGCATGAGGGCAAGATTGTCAGGCGATGATCGCCGTGATCACTTGGATTGTTCGAGTAATGATGATATTGCGGTGTTCAGGATATGAAAATAGGTCTGGTTGGGTGACGAACGAAAGCACGTACATAAACGAATTACTGGCCGGGCCTGGTACATTTGGGCGCTGGCGGCTTGGGGCTGATTGCTGTACGTGTTACGGCTATGTCTAACGTATTATGAGTTATGATTCTGTAAATGTAATGCTGTCATGAACATTAAACTTTAACTTCGAGGCCCATTCTTCAGTGATGTACATGCGGAATCCAAGTGAAGCATTACTTCTTCTATTGCTTTCATCTATTCCTACACCGTCGATGTGCTTGCATATAAGAGCAAGCCATCGAATGCTCTCAACGAGCTATTTATCTATCCTACAACTTCATTGCATTGCACGAAGAGAAAGTATTCTTTCGACCCATGCTCCCTCATGCTGTCAACAAATCAATCATTAAGGTTCCCCCAATCATCGCGATCATTCATGAAACGTAAGTCATCAGCCTCAAAGCAGAAAAAAAGAAGGAAAGAAACGCTAACGCCTAAACCGCATAAAGCAACAATTGAGATGGGCAGATCAGTACTGAGTGATGACGTCCGGAATATGATCCTCGACACTTTCCTCGAGAACAGCAACTCCTCCTTCGACTTCTAGAGGCTCGCTGCTGAACGAACCGATTCCTTCGCCGTTGGTCAGTTCTGCTTCTTCCATGGGTGTCAATACAGTGAGTTCGGAACCATCTTCTGGGGCAGTCGAGTACGCAGTGTCGGAATCCTCTTCTTCTTCAGCAGCAGCAGCGACGTCCATCTGAACACCGGCTTCAGAATCATTAGGGCAAGAACCTGGTCGACTAATAGTCTCGATCTCCTCATCGGTTTGCGTGGGAAGAGGGATGTTGAGAACACCTGAGATGGGGCGGAAAGGTGGGCGTAGGCGAGTCAAGGTTGGAGTTGGTGGGAAGGGAATATCGCTCCAGTAAGGGGTAGGTGGTGGGAAAGAACCATTTGTTGGTGACAGCGGAGTCATGCGGGCGGGAACTTCGGGAACGAAATTTGGCATGGATAATGAGGTAGGAAGTCCACGGGATGCGGTGCCAGTGCTGGGGGAGGTAATGACTTGAGACTGGGACGACGAAGGATCACTTTGAGGACCCGAGATACCGAGGCCTTGAGCTGCTGGTGATGGAGAGCGGCTGGCGGCAGGACGATAATAGCGACGCTTCCTGTAATAGTTGTTTGGGATGAGTCTCTATTAGAGAAGTTAACCTTGGTTATGAGCATCGAGGTTGGGAAGACCTGCAGAAGGCCTGATGTGTAACTTACCAATTCCTTCGTAGGGTTTGGACGTAATCCAAGGTTTGCAACAACTCGAGCAGATGCAACAGTACGCTGGCCCGTAAACCTGAAGCTGAATCCATGAATAGCCTCACGAGGAAGATCTCCATCTGCAATACCACCAAGGCTGAGCCATGATCGCTCACGGCTGTGTGGCTTACAAGTATGGCAGAACTTGACCTTGCACTCGCCTCCTAGGACTGGCAACCATGGCTTTTGGCCTGGCAGCAGCGGTGGATCTGGCTCTCTTTCTGGCTTTTCGGACCATATAATGTCTCCGTTGGCATCATGGGACCATTCGTAAGGAGCATGTTGGATCCCAAGAGTTGCGATTCTAGCCTGCTGCAACAGAAACTCTCTCTGATTGAGGATCCTACTAACCTGGTCGAACGAGTACGTCTCTAGTTGTGCATCATTAACTTCTTGCCAGAAGCCCGTCTTTCTCTGTCGCGCACTTGGACTTCTGATTCCTGACTTGGCTTTGAAGATGTCGTCGAGAGCATCGAACTTTTTCTATGCTTTGAATCAGTGACAATGTAAAAGTGGAGGAACATGATTAGAACATACCACAACACCCTTCTCTTCTTCATCCTCGAGGTACATCTCGCGGTCTTGGGTGCAAGCCCAGAGCCAACCATTTGGGGAAGCTTCGCCACAAATAACACATGGAAGCTTCTTGGTGAAGAAGCGCGTCATTGTGAGGTGGGAACATTGTTCAGCGTAAGGTTTCTCTTGTGGGAGTATCTTAGGAGGGACAGATCTTGGACGTGGAGGTAGATCAGACGGGACACTGGAGGTACTTGGGGCCAACGTGCGCCGTGGTTGCAGCCAGGTGGGTTCGAGAGAGGAAGTCGACATGGTGTTCGATGTACTCAAGGTAGAGCTCGACGATTCGAGAGACGACGCGCGTGGAGGATTAGACATTGCGCACTAATCGTCACGTTCGATCTGGCTACGCCTGGGCGTGTTGTTCTCGGGGTGGTTTGGCGTTTGGAGTTGAGTTGTGGTTGAAGAGAGACTTGCCGCTTATTTTGATATCGCGATTCACCACTGACGTGAAGCTGAGCATCTATCGAAGGCTTGAAAACCACAACGCGAGTCTCTGAAAGACTAAAGAAGCCCAACAAAATTTTTCAAATACAATGCAACTCAATTCATCAATTGGAATGACCTGGTGCTGAATTAAAATTAGACAAATGTGCTCTTCGTCCAGGGCACTTCATATTCCTCATTGCCTCTCTAAGCACTCTTCTGAGCAAGGACATTACAATGGGACGGAACAAGTACAATGCTAACGACAGACATTCTTTCGTGCAGATTGTCTCTTCTGAGTACTAGCATTCGGCCACCAGGCAGGCCATTTACTTACTTCACCTGGCGATGGTATAGCAGCAGTGTTACTTACGCACAACGCAACAAAACAACACAATACAATACATAGTGATAATACGAAGGATTACGATTGGCTTGATCAATAACATGTGCCAAGTCTGATCAAATGGAATCTACTCCGCGAGACTTGATTGAAGACAACAGCATTCTGGTCAGGTCATCAAGTACCAACAGCAGACGAAGACACAATCGATACCAGAGCTGAAGAACGACTATCAAGCTTATCACAAAATCAGGACCAAGTGCCAGAGGCCTTTACCCGACTTTGGAAATAAGTGATTGTCTGTCATCCAAAGGGTGATGCAGAGAAAATGCAATAAAGTAGCTTCCCAGGCTGTGCCATACTTGTAGTATTACTTTGTCCTTGACTTCATGCCATCCTCTGGCTTTAAAACCTGTTGTTTACGGGCCGTTGCGGGATTCGGCGCGGTTGCAAAATTTGCTTTGTTGTCATCGTGCTCCTCGACGTCGCGATCGTGTTCAGCTCCAATAAGGTTACCCCTGTCACCTCGAGCCGCTAAGCAAGTCGCCTCCTCACCTCCTCTTTATTTTCAGACTTGCTTTTGATGCGCATACCAACCTCACTTCGCAGATTGGCATATTGTCATCAGTGAATCGCGTTACAGTCTATCTAAAGGTAAGTTCAAGCATCTGCATCCTCCCAGCGACGTTGGACAACGAGCTCTTTTGCACCCGGGCGGCTCAGCTGCAGTACAAGTACCTCGGGCAGATAAGTAAACATTGGGGAATACCCGAACAGTGTTACAATTGGAATCTCGCGCTGATTTTCGATCCCATCTACAGTCTATATCTTTGGAGTGACAATCAATCTAGCGCCTTAAGCTTCCGAGCCGAGGATAAACATCCATCAGCTTGCACGGTCGCGATCTCAGCATTCATCATAACAATACCCAACAACCCGCAAAATGAGCGTCAAATTCGACTCTACAAAGATCACCTCCTCCGGAGTCGCTGCTGCGCCAGGAGGAGTTGACGCGATGAAGGGCCCCGCACACGAGCTGGCAGATGAGGTCGGTGTAGCACTGACGGGAGGGAAAGGAAATGTTGGTCAAGGATACTTGGCAGTATGTGATGAATCCGTATGATAGCTATCACGGACAATTCTGACGAGGTCATATGCAGGCATATCTCAAGCAACTCCAAACCAATCCCCTCCGAACTAAGATGCTCACTTCCGGCACATTGTCTGCATTACAAGAGATCCTTGCTTCATGGATTGCGAAAGACATCAACAAACAAGGTCACTACTTCACAACTCGAGTGCCCAAGATGGCAGCATATGGAGCCTTTATAAGTGCGCCATTGGGGCATGTCTTGATCAGTATCCTTCAGAAATTGTTTGCAGGACGCACGAGTCTGAAGGCCAAGATCCTACAGATTCTCGTAAGCAACTTGGTTGTATGTTGTGATAGCTCATCCTACTTATTGATCCTGCTGACATGAATTCAGGTTGCGCCCATTCAGAACAGTGTCTATCTGATCTCAATGGCCATCATCGCAGGAGCTAAGACGATCCATCAAGTTCATGCTACATGGAAGGCCGGATTTATGCCTGTCATGAAGGTCAGCTGGATCTCTTCGCCGTTGGCCCTTGCCTTCGCACAAAAGTTCCTCCCCGAGCATACCTGGGTGCCATTCTTCAACATCATTGGTTTCTTTATTGGTACATATGTGAACTCAGTCACAAAGAAGAAGCGTCTCGCAGCTCTTCGAAAGAGACACTTTGATGAGAGCAGAAGGCCCGACGAGGGTTATGGTGGACCAGGACCAAAATACTAAATGCACAGCATATTTGGACGGAATATCCGCAAGATACTACAGGTCACTAATGTTGTGGATTCTCGATCTTGACAAGATCCCGCTTATGCAATCTGGATTTGGCGAAATCGGCTGGATATGGATATTCTCTTGGCTGGAGACATGCATATGGTTGTTCATGAGGCTTTGCTTGCTTTATCGCAAATTAACGGATACGGACACCACACACGGAAACTTCGTTCCGAACTTTGTACAATGTCCTTTTTCATTGGATGCGCCGTTTGTTAGATACGAATTGATTGGAGAGAAGCTGGTACCACTACAACACACGTGACCATTGTACGATGATATTGTTACCCTCTGTACGTGTCCAGGATTTCTTGGCACTTTATAGGATACACGTTTTCTCATTGTTACGTTCCAGACGGGAAAGAAAGAGGAGCCAGCTACAGGTCACTCACCAGCGGCACAAGGTACAACACCGTCAAACCAACAATGTTGTAAGTGGCGCTGTCTCATAAACAGCTCAGAGGATGCTAAGTCCTTGTGTAACTCATCCGGAGATCCTTGTGAGCCCCCACAAGATTCAAAGGTTTGCCCCTTGCAAACTCCCCGCACTCGTCATTGTCGACTCACTGCTTTCCCGTGTTCTTGGTGCCGCGTTTTCATGAGCTCGACTCTTTCAATTTCTTTTTCCCCATAATCTCGTAACTTTTCTCTTGAAATAAGATGTCACGAATCCCGTTCGGCGGTCTACCTCTTGGATACGGTCGAATATCATCTCTTCCAGGGCAGGTTCCATATGCCTACCCCCCTCTCTTACCAGCAGGTCAATTGGGCGGTCTCCTTGGCCAACGAGCAGCTCTTGGCGGTCTTGCCCTCCAAAGGGCATACGGTGGAATATCCAACGATCTTGCGCCTCGGCCAGGGGCTTTGACTGCATATCAACGACAAAGTCTCTATCCTGAATGCCTTTGCCGGGATTGTAGCGACTTGCCGCGGCATTCTGAGGACGAATGTGCCTATCTACGACACCGCCTCAAGTATGGCCGACACGAAACATCATGCCACTCTTCAGATCACAACGATCACAGGAGAGGCCTCAACTACAAGTTGAAAGATATTGTTATTCGAGGCAAAGCTTTCTCGGTGAGAGCAAGTTATCTCCAAGATCAAGTCAAATTTGAGAAGGACCTGGTCTCTTTCCTGGATAAGAAGTCTGACGAAGAAGTTCCCATGCGGGTAGTAGATATGTTAGTTGCATTCATTAACAAAGAGGAATACTGCAATTACGATCCGCTCGACGAGGCCACTCTTTGTATTCTTGCGAGTAATGTCGGGGCAAAGTCCGTCGTTGAGCACTCTTTGAATGAAATCAAGAAGCAGGACCGCGAGGTCACTGCTGGAAATGTGGTGGATATCATCATTACCATCATGCTGTCTTCGAATGTGCCCGATAAGTTGAAGGAGTGGCTACAGCAGTATCTGGATGCACCTGGTCGCTGGATAGAGGTTAACACTCTTCCAGATTTCCAAAGGAAGATTTATTTCGAACTCCCGGAGACTTATATGGATCTTGAGAGGATGCTGGGGTACAGGGAGGAGAGGAAGCTAAATAGGGGAAGGATCATGTGAGCCTCATCAGACCACTTCAATGACTTGGCTAATGTCTTTACGCCGGAAGCTCTTCTTCTTAATTGTTGTATTATTGCATTCGTCAATGCCCATACTCCTGCTTGAAGCAGGTCGGAATTCTTGGAGTTTTTGCACCTGGGGTGGATATGCATATGAATTCGGGAGGTGGCTTTTGTCTTGAACTAACTATGAATATGGTAATTATGTGTGTGTTGAAACGGTGTCAGAAATTCGACAACAGATAATGTCATTTACGTAACACAATCTGTCCTTCCAGTTTGACTTACTCCACAATTTAGTACTGAGAGGATTCCACTCTATGTAATCCTACTCTTGTCACATCTTCCAGTGCCTCAAACTTATGTTAGGTCAGAGGTTGATCACATCATTATGATCATTGAAGTGGTCATATTTTTGATACAAATGACACATTGCGTTGGATTTCCAAATATTTCTTCTTTGCTCAAGCCTTGCACTTCCTATGACGCCTTCGCTTCAAGTACATCCCATTCCAATTCCAAAGGTCCTTGTGCCCACCAGCAATATCTCTGATCCTAGACCGTCCAAATCTATCCACTTTGCTTCCACAGCTCCCTCAGACCAGTGATACCAGCGACAGTACCCAGAACTCCAACCCAGAAATCACTCACAAGTCCCTGCTCTAGACTCCAGTGAACTGTCAAAGGTGCCCAAGCCATATTGAGCACCATCTCTCTTCTCCATCTCGCTTTCCACTCCTGCTCACTCTGGCTAATCACTCCATGGTCTACTTCCTTTCCTTTACCCTTGTTCCGTCTCATAGTCCATTCTCTTCCTAACCGCCAGAAGTCTAATCCGACATGCATCACCCAGAACCTTGAGCTCCAAAGCCAAGCCTTTCCTTGCTGTTCCTTACTCCACCCAAGAACACCCTTACTCGACAAATATGCCCCATTTTCTAGGTACTGATATGCAAGGTTCACAATCACTTGTGCAGCCTCTATCCTCTTCGCCGTCCAATCTTTATCTCCTTCCTTTTGCAAATCTAGCAGAACTTTCTTTCCCCATTTCCATATTCCCAATAAGCCCCACAAGCGTGCGAATATGCGGAAATCAGAGATGAGATCGCTCAGAGCTTTCAGCCGCTGACTCGTGATCAGAAGGCGTGAGGGAGGTATTGAAGATGTGTCTATTATGACAGTCGTGTTTGGAGGAAGAGAAATGGCACTTTCGATAAGCTGTCTTGAGAGACGCTGTATGCGAGAGAGACTGAGCCGAGCAAGGACGTTTGAGGTGAGGAGTGATCCATAGCCGAGTGTTAGGAGGAGAGTATCTGTGCCGGAAGGTGTGGAGAGGATCTTTGATAGTTGGGAGATAGTGGCATCGGTTTTCTTGAGGTAGAGGGGTGCCCAAGATTTGAGGGTTTTGATAGAGGGAGGTGATGGTGGGGCAGGTACAGGGATAGCTTTCTCGGGAGAGGTATCAGGAGCTGGAATGGCGGCGATTTCGGACATGATGCTTAAAATCAAAACGAAAAGAGAGTTATCATGGCTGTTAGGAGAGAAGGAGATTAGGAATTTTTACAAGGGATGACAAGAGCTATTTCTCTATCTCTATGGACAGCCGAGGCTGAGCCGAGGCCAAATAATGTGGCCCGTGCGTTTTACAGTAGTAATTCACCGACACCTCGACTTGTGATCCTTAGAAATTACAATCATACCATTTCTATGCTCGCATTTGCCCGCATCTGTCGGTGATTTTGATTGATATTAATGAACTATGGACAAACGAGTGTTTGGTCAGTCTCTTCTTGAATAAAGACGAGGTTAAGCTTCTGAAGTTAGAGTCCTAGCCGGGCTGAGACAATGCTGCAGGATGTGTTAGTCTTTTGATGTATTTCATGTTCACGTTTGCAAAGCGTCAGTTTCTCACTCGGATCTCATGTGGACAATGCTGAAGAAGCTTTTCAATGTTGATACTGAAAGAATGTGATGCAAAGTTCGCCGCATTGATATCTGAGCAGCCCCCACAAAGGAGGGTATAGCTGTGATATCTCAAAACCAATGTTCATAAGGATCGCAGAACAAGTCAACGCCTCCAAAATATCCGGTTAACAGACAGCCTCAAACTAAAAGCCAATTGCTCAAGCCACACACTTATCATACAAGCTTGCACGTCCTTGCTTCGAATCACTCTTTTGACCCCAGCATCACCAGTATCGTTTCACATTGTCGTATAAGACATCCTCACCGCCACACTCAACTGCCGAAGACGAGGCCTGCTCCATATCCAAGTTTGATACCGGTTGTGGCATCACAACCCCTCCTCCAAGAAATCCTGCCCTGCTACCGATCATGGAATATGCAACATAACCTCTATTGTGAAATCCTGTTCCATTACCGGCCATTAGATATGCAGCTTGAGCTTCTTCAGGAACTCCTGTTCCGTTACCAGCCATTGGATATGCAGCATGACCTCCAAGAACTCCTGATCCGTTATCGACTATTGGATATGCAGCTTGATCTCCTTCATAAACTCCTGTTCGGTTACCGACCACTTGATATGCAACATGCTTTGCGGCAGTTGTGCGTGTTGGTGCAGAATAACATCCTCTCAACCGCAAGTTTGGCCTCAAAGTCAATCGAAAAAACCGAGAATCCTTTGTGCACTTCAGATCCCACTTCTCAGCCTTCATGGTGAAGTCTGCTCCTTTTGCAAACCACTGTGCCTGTGAAGCCTCTACCCAGTCATGCGACAAATCATCGGGACAGACGAAGTAACGATGCGAATAGACAGGGCCGAAATCGTGACGGGAAGTGAGGTGAATCGCATATGGGGGGTTTGAGGCCAGAGGGTTGTCCTTGAGGGCTTCCTCAGTGAGGACTGGTGCCGGAGGTGCTTGTTGTTGCGTCGTCGCAAGTGCAGAAACCAGACCAGACTGTTGGAATGGTGGCGTCGGGGCAAACATGGCTCCAGAAACCGGGGAGCGTGAAACAGGAGTGGAATCGAAGGACTGTGGAGTTGAGAGTCTGGAGTCTGGATTGAGAGCACTCATAAGCAGTTGAAGAAGTTCTTGAGCTTGAATGCTGGCTTTCTCTTGACGGTCTGCTTCTTGGTGTTGGCGGATAGCGAAGGCGATGAATGAGCGAAATATCGTCTCATGTAGCTCTCGATTCGGATCATAGTGAAGCTTTCTGCTGGAGGCGGTAACGACTGGAGATGCTGCGCCACAGCAGAATATCGGAGTCGCGACAGCAGACATACTGACGGCTTTTGATAGGAGGATCTATTGCTGGTTTGGTTCCGTCAGGATGTTGTAGGAACGTCGAACAAGACCGAGGATAAGGTCGGAGGTGAAGACCGAGAGTGCAGTTGCGTGGGAAAGTCGGAGATGAAGAACGAGAATGGGTCTGTGGTTCAAGATATAGGCGGTTGTGGGAGTCAAGACCAAACGGACATCTCATTCACCATCTATTGTGGACGATACATGTGTTGGTCTAGCTGCTTCAAGGAATCATGAGGCTAGTCTCCTGTCCATTCAATTTGTACGCAAACACGTGAATTCGCTTACGAGGGGTATCACGTGTTCGGATCCCAACCTTCATCACCTACTCCCCATGTTGAGAAGTTTGCAAGAGCCCCGAGAGTGCGGGAGAATTTAGGCCACGAAATCTCGTGTGGTTAATGAAGACCAGCCTCAAGCATCTATAAGAAAAAGTCGACGAAAATTAACCCGTACGTTTCAGGCTCTTTCAAACTTCTGAACATAGCGAGTAGAAGGCTGTTTTGCTGCTTATGCTCAGGCTGGTACTGTCTACATTGCACCTGTTATACACAGTATGGAAACATTAGGTGTCATGAATTGCACCCCCGCAACTTATGAATGGCATATGCCATTGTAAATGGTGGGCGTTTACGTACGGCACTTCTGGTTTATGAATGGAGTGGCTGTTTATGTATGGCTGGGCCCGCCATGCACGGTCAGCGCCACTGATAGACACCTTGTTCCAGCATCTCTGCAGCACCTCTTCAGTAGCTCAGTATCCTAAGACTCCACCCACTAGAGCAATATAAGACTGCGCGCTACACGCACCTCTGCATCCTTGCCCCTCTGCAGAAACCTTCACCCAGGATAGTAGTTCAATTGAAGTGTCAAGCACAGAGGTGAATGTTGTTAGAAGGCTGAATTGCTTGGAATACTGCAATGTTAAAGTGTTATAATGCTGTAGTGCTAAGGTGCTGTAGTGCGGTGTGCGGTTTCCAACTGGCACCCCGCCATTCATGAGCTCTTGCATTAAATAGACAAGGTTTAGAACAAGTATTTCATTTTAAAATACCTCCCCATATACATAAACACACCGCTGTTCATGAATGGCGGAGTTCACGAACACCGGGTGTTTATGTAGGATCTAGAAAACACCTCGCTCTTTTGTGGCACTCTACAGTGTTGCAATAATTTTGATGTCCGCACATAAGAACGGGCTATCCACTCTATTGCCAGCTCAAATAACTCCAATCTGACACGAGAGTCACACGCGGTCTATTCTTGCAAAAATTGTAAGAAGACGCATCTACAGAGTTCCAAAGTCCTTCCACGGGTGCATTAATTGGACATCTGAGCTCCGTACCACTCATCACTTCCAAGATCTAAAGTGTTATAATGTGCTTTTGGCATTTTTTTTACAGCAAGTGGCGCCGTTTCTCATTAGTGCTGTCGTATTAAGACCGAATAAGAACGCTACTATACCTGCTCTTGAATCATCTCTGAGGTTCTCGGATGCCCATGGTGCAAATCTTGCATTTAACCCCTTCTGGCACTGTGAAGCATTGGACTAATAATTCACCAGAATAAACCACCTCGCCAGAAGCACTTGACTCATTGGACGAATTATTCACTGGGACGAATGATTCACAACGATGAATTGCATCATCGGCGTCTCTTGACTCATGAGACGAATTATTCACCCAGACGAGTTGGAACATTTTGGAAACTCAATTTGTTCAAGTCATTCACTGATTAGCTTGGGATTCCATGGATGCGTGAAGCACAGACAATCATACATGAGCTCAATTCACCAAGTCAAATTAGGCTATTCTAGCATTTCGACCTATTGGAACCATTTCTCAAAAATAAACCAAGTCCTGTTGGATATTCAGATTATTGTCAAAGTCTGGCCACCGATGTGGAAGGCTTCACATCTTTTCGTTGTGTCACGTATTTTCATTCACTTATATTCACTTAACAACTCCTTCATGCTGGGACGCCATGTACTCAATATGGAAGAAGGTACAATCCGTTCCGTTGCATTACGCTTAATATTCACTTGAAAATGCTGTTTGAACCACGAATGATTATTCAACATCAAAATTCGTGTGTTTGAGGGTGGATTACAAGTCTTGCCCGGCTACACGTAGTATAATCAGGTGATATGAAAGTACTTTGTCTCCCCATGTAGGCTGACAGTTCCTGGCCATGTCTTTACCCCTTTCCGGCAGTCTTGAGCACTCTAAACTGTTTGCTTGTTTAAAAGAAAACAGCACGTAGAAACACCAGTTTCGAGGCCGCTGCTCTCAACGAACGTTGTGTTGCCAAAATTGCTCTCCCTTTGAGATGAATTCAGGTATCAAAATACAGGATGATTTGATATCCAGAAACTTCTTGTATTAGAACAGATCAAAATTATTAGATAATCAAAGCTCGAGTCACCGGACAAGTTTTTTAGTAGATGTCTTTCTTTGGTATCGAGATTATGGAACCTCTCGAATGCACAAAAGATTATCAATCATACTTGTAATCATGCTAGTATTCGATGATTGACTGTATGAAATTCGCTCTGAGTGCTAGAAACGGTCTGCATCAAGAATAAACCCATATACAAGTGAGCAAAATCACAACCCCTGAGTATCCTTGAAATTTCCCTAAAATATAAGTATCGCCTGCCTGCGTCTTATTTATTAACATAATCTCTTCTCTTGGAAATCTTCCCATGTGTCCTTCTACTCCCCGTCTCCTAAGTTTCTCCCATATGTCGCCTTCTTCAATTTCCTCGTCTATCGAAGAAGAACATTCGCATTCCAGCCAAGCAATATCTGACTTCAAAGTCCAATTTCTCCTCCATTGCCTTCTTCTTTTCTTGCTCTGTAGCACGATACAAACGCCAGCTCTCTCTTAACTCCTGATCTTTGTCCTGGATAGTAGCCTTCTTGATGATCTCCTGTATTTGATCCTTCCGGCCGTAGCTGAGCTTTCTGATCATGAATCTTCGCTTCTCGAGAGAAAGTCGGCTTGGGGAGAGAACTGGTCGAGAATCGCCATATCCTTCGGTTGTGATGGCACTTGGCGACAAAACGGGCGTAGCTAGGATATCTAGCAGTTCAGAAGACTTGTCATCGACAATTAGACGGTCTTGGCGGCCGAGTTGATAAGTTTGGCGGTGAACGGGGCAGGTGAATCTGTCTTTGGTAGTCGTCTCGTCCCATTCGCTCGTCTCGAGCAGGTAGGTGTAGAGGATCGAATCGATTTCTTGGTACTCGCTGACGCTCTCTAGGTTGGCAAAGTAACGAGTCTGCTTCTTAAGGGTATTTGGATTGGCATGCTTGGAGGTGGGAGTAACGGCAATCACGTGCACCCAATCAGCCCCAATCGATCTAACCGAGCCGTCGAAAAGGGGGCAACCAGACTGTTCTTGGACGAAGTCATGGAATCCATCTTGTTTGAGAGTTTGAGAATGAATTGGACAGCAGAAGATAGGCTCTGTGGTCGAGGTCGAGGAAGTTGGAGGTAGATCAAGGTCGTCGAAGCTTGTGGTTGCCGACTCGAATCTGAATCTCGATCTGGAGGATGGGGAGGCTGGGGCGGACTGGGTTTCTTGAGGTCGAACTAGAAGAGCGTTAGAATAGTCTTAAGAAGATATCGAGATACTATTCTTACCCATTGTGATTGTTTTCGAGAGGCTTGAAGATTCTTGTTATTGTGGCTCCTTGGTATTGTGGTTGTAGGTATTGTCGTTTGGAGAAGATCGATCTATCAGGAATATTCATCTTAGCGAGAGCCATTGAGAAGGTGTTGTCTCGAAAGTGATATTGTCGGAGGGGTTTCGTTTCCTGCAGTCATATGGATGTTCGTGGAGTGTTTTTGGTTCGCGAGTGAGAGGCTTCTCCGTGCATCCACAACCTTCACCCCAAGCTTACCCCAAGACAAGTTTCATTCCAAAGATTTATTCTAGAGAATCAATTAGAAAAGATTTTTTGATCTGCGATATGTTACCGGTTTTGAGGTTTGTGCTGGCAAACGTTGCTGTCACCTGTAGGCAAAATAACCTCACTTCGGCAAAGGGGTATATAAATTTAAATAAACATTTTTGCTATCGCCAACTGGCATACGACAAGAGTAAGTCAACTAGCTCACTGTAATGTCGTTACTAACATCAAAATAGTTCAGCACTTCCAGCACTAAAAACTAAAAATGATTTTCAAAAGGAGAATCGACAGGGTGTTTAAAAAGAAGTGCTCATTCTCGCCATGAGTAGCAAGATCTGTATTTCGGAGCGGGCAGCCCTTCTCTTTCCGGCGATGCAGCATTCGACAATCGTATACGGAAACCTATTAGATTAGGTTTGTATCGACCACCTCACATTTCAAAGTGGGCTGGGAGAGAGTTTTGCTACTCAAAATCATTTTTTTGGTGGTTTGATGTTGATTCACTTGTCATTTCAGCTGCACACACGTATAAAAAAATCCTTGCTCCTTCAGCCTTCATCAGACAAAATCATCGCAGTTAGTTCCGAGTCACAAAATACACTACTGGACCTCTGTTCCATCCTATCTAAGCCTCATCCTCCTTGACAAACGTGTCATCTGTGCTAGCTTCTGAAGCTGTATCGGTACACGCCTTCTTATGCATTCCACTCTGATAGTTCGAAACGCTCTCTTTCCTGAAATGAGCTTCAGTAGCATTTCTCTTCTTTCCGTCTTTCTTCCCCATTTGTTCAAAATTATGTGCCAATGCATCCATATCGCTGACATCATTTTTCAGTGGCAGACAATCCCAGTCCGGACGCTGCAGCCTCCAGACATTATATTGGTGGAATTGACGGCATGGTAAGCAATGGTGATCGGAGGTTGCGTCTCTGGAGAAGCCCGATTGCCAATGTGTCCATCTCGCGTCATCTACCTCGTACCATAAATCATCACCGTTGTCATGACAGAATTGGCTCAATCCCACATAAGCTCGACGGTGTCCCTTTTTAGAAAGATCTTTTCTGACCTCAATGATAATTCGCGGCATTCTCTGTGGACGACCAGGGAATTCAGCCATCACTTCACCGCTGTGGCCAGACCAGAAGAATTTGTGGAGTTGGGCCACTGCGACTGCTTCTTGTTTGTACTTGTCAGGAAGATACATTTCGCGAAGAGATGCTTTGCAGCAATACCAAGTATCATTAGTACCCCCAGGTGCCATTATTCTATAGTTTGAAACGGAACGATAATTGTTCAGTGTAAGTGATGAGAGCGAGTTGATGATGAGAGTGCAATGTGTCGGAGGGGAAGCAGACATGTAAGACTTTATACATCTCTTCTCTCGAGTGCATATGCTAGATAATTGTCAGACAATATTGTGTATACAAGATGATGGCATCAATATTGCTCATCTCCTAAGTCTGTTCCTTTGTGACTGTCGCCATATTCATGCATTGTCATCGAGAACTATTTGCCATGCTGTTGTTGACATCTTCAAAACGATCCTTGAAGGTGAAGTACCAGACTTTGAGTGAATCTGACGGATCTAAGCGAAGGCAAACACTCTGAGTACAAGACTTAGCAGGATTTCGTGTAATGAAAGCTCACTTCAAACTTTGACACATGAGCTTTGCTAAGAGGATTGAAAACACCATTGCATGACACAGGATTCATACAGCCAGTGATTGAGCCGATGTCCACTGGGAAAATGACGAAGTGTAAGTCTTGACGTAGTCGAAACCAGCAGAAAAGCCTCTTGTGTCGTTATATTGTGAGTCTAGATTTATATAAAGCTAGTACCTTCCTCACCTGGCACTCTTGAAGAGACCTGGCTGGCATATCGAAGTCACGTTATTACACCCTTTGTTGTTTTTGAGGTTATTTTGAAACTTTCGCTTATTAGGACTCGCTTAAATAGGAGAAGTTCAACATTGTTGTCTCCACTGCGAAAGGTTGTACTGACGGAGGAGCATGAGCCTCTTGAGCGACTTGGATAATATATATATTCATGTGACTGTATAGAGGGGGTTTTGGGAGCCGCATCTTAAGTCTTGGTGTGGTGACATTGACAATCGCTCTCCATGAAGAGATTTTCGCCAGCCCATTTGGAATTCAAATTTGCTTCAGACTCGACCGTTCGCTGAGCGTCTCAATGTAGTGCTTTCTTCCTCTTCCATAACCACTGATAAATTGGGCATGATCTACTCTGAGATTCAGTCAAGAACGCCTTGTTTACCTTTCTTTCGTTCCCCAAAATGGTGTCCCAATGGCACTTCTGTTGTATTTGTTGTCGAAAATCATTTCCCCGGGCAACTTCCCATGAACCACGAACCGCTCTCTTCTTCCATTGAAAACCTCAATATACCCTAGAACCTTTTTTTTTGCTGCACCTTCTGAACACACGGTCCCACATCCTTCCTCCCATCCATCCCATCACCCACAACATGCTCCCCAGCCATCCCCGCCAATCTCTCCATGAAAACATCATGAAAACCAGAAACCGACTCCCCGCCGGGCACGCCTCTCCCTTATTTAATGAACGTGGCCTCAAACGCATCCGGAACCCATGATCCAGATCCGCGTCTTTTGAGTTGATGATGATGTTTTTTGGCCAGTTCGAGGGTAGCGGATATAACATGTGAAGCAGCCGTTTTTGCGGCATCGGCTCCAGCGGCTATTGGAGGTTTTCGTGATGGGTGTTGGGAGGATAGGGGTTGAGAGACTTCGGAGCGAAGTCTAAGACGAAATGCACGATGTTTGGGAACAGAATTGTGTGTAGGACTTGGATTATACGGATGGAGATTAACGGGGCTGATTCGCTGGGTTTGATGATTATTGGATTGCCTGGTCTTTTAGTATTCCTGGTGCTGGGGCGTCACTATGTGGTTTCTGAGGGTGAAATAGTACTTTGCTATCTTACGAAGTCTGGCTCGAAAACCAGACAATCAGCTGTTTTGTTGCATATCTCAATTTGCTAAAAAGATTTCCACGGGATGCTATTTCTTGAAAGCTAGGTTCCAGGACAGACAATGAGTTATTTTTGTTGCACATCGCAAGTTCCTAACGGGATTCCTGCGGGGATAAAAGATTTTGTCACCTCCCGAAAGTTGGGTTGAAGGACAAATATTAAGCCGTTTTGTTGCATGTCGCGTTTTGCTGGAGGGATTTCTGTGGGGACCAAAAACTTTGCCATCTCCCGAAAGCTAGCTCGAAGGACAGACAATCAAGGCACCTCGCACTTTGTGATTAGCATTTGCAACTGCGGTTCCTCCAAGAAAAGAAATGTCACCCAAACTCTCCCTATGAACTTGCACATAACTCCCCTGATCTCAAACAGATCTCACGATGGACCTCCCCATCAATCCCACGGAATACATAAGAATCTCTACCGTGAAGCAAACACGCATCAAGGAACGGTTTCCCGTTCTCCAAGCACGGCATCTAGGCTAATTCCTCAGAACATCAGCTATTCTCATGAGGAATGTGCCTCGGTCAAGTGGCCAGACCCAATGGTAGAGTTGCTCAGTGGCGAAGATCGCGGATATCATGATTGAGGTGGAGGCGCTCGACATTGTGGTGAGCGGGATTGAAGGTTATAGGTATTTTGGAAGGGGATGTAAATATCTAAAATGCAGGTTGATTTTGTGGGGATGGGGAAGTGCTACTTGCTGTCCTACGGAATGAAGAAAAAAAAAACACGTGGGAGACAGAGTGTATGTGTGTATGGATGCAGTATGTATGTAGATGCGAGATAATTGAATAGTAGCAGAATTGAACAGAGATTGCTTGAATCTATGGTCCGGAATAGCCAAGGTTATACTTGGACATATACAAGGTCTGGATTAATGGTTTCCCGTATGATCGTGTGATGAAAGAATATGACTATGACTTCAGGTGGCTTAGACACAATTATATGACTAGCTAAGTTTGCCAGGTACAAAATCTGGTGATTCGATGTTCTCATTACGAACAGTGCTGTACGTATCGAGAGCTCCACATACTCGACAAGATTGTTCTGTTTGTACACCCAGGGATTTTACTTGGTGAGGTAAGTACGATATTTACAGCCCTTCAGACCTCAGCTCAATGTCATTCTGGCCCTCTATTGCTTATTATTCCGCGATATTGGTCGAGATGGTTTGGGCTAACATTGAACGAACATCCCACTTCATTCGAAAGCAAGTCGGTAGATGATCCCCCATCACGAGGCAACACCGACATCCTCTCTCCACCCAATAGGAACCAACGCCGCAGCAACATTCCCAATCCCCCTCTCCGTAGCCAGCAAATTATACTGCGCAGCCGCATTCCTCGTATCCTGGATATCGACTCGAATGCCGAGACTATTAATATACTGCCTAACCCGCGGACTAATCGGCCTCATATCCTTCCCCAACCCTAGGATCAAAAGATCTACTCCCTACCAGTCAATACTTCATTTCTCTCTCTCATATCTCGGGAAAACATACCAGGCTTCGGCCAAACCAACTCCAACACCCCCCAAGCCTCCTCCCCCACATCCCACTGCCCCTTCCCATTAACCAACTTCAAGCTCCCCTCCCCTCCCGCCGCCACTGCTTCCCACGGCCTCCAACTAAACGCCTCCCCAGCAATAAGCAGCACGCCCGTGCCACCCGTGATCTTGACCCCGCTATCAAGATGAAATCCATCCCAGAGACAAGCATCGATACTCGTGCTCGGAATCGGCGTATTGCCCAGCACGTTCAGGGCACCGAAATCGGTCTGCGTGTCTTCCGTCGAGGCGGGGCCGCGGTCGCGAGTTTGTGGTTTGGGGGAGGCGGTTAGGAAGGAGGTTGAGGAGAGGTTTCGGGGTGTGGAGGGGAGTTTTGGGGGGTGAGGAGCTCGGCGGGTGAGGTGGGAGATGCAGCGAGGTTGCGTTGGTGGGGAGAGGAGGAAGTTGGAGAGTTCGCGGATTGTTGGGCGGGAGATTGGACGTATCGAGGGCATTTTGGGTTGTGCTTGGGATGTGAAAGGTTGTGTTGGTGTTGGGGTGTGGTTTGGATTTTTTTTGGATTCTCTGACGTTGATATTTCCTCGTTTGGAGCTTTGCTACCCCTGTTGATAGCTCTTGGCGCTAGCTCTAACTGGACATGAAGCAGCATGGATGTGGAGAATTAGTAGGAAGTCGTGATGAACAAATCAAGGATATCAGGTTGTTCTCATGGTTTGGGGACATTTATCGTCATGGAAACGTTTATGTTCATTATTCATAGAGGTACCCATGGAGCTCTAACCAATCCTCCCAGGTAATTTCTCGCGAAAGTCCATCCTTCTATGAAACCATTCCACCTATCATACAACGCCAATTTGATGAATTGTCATAAAGTGGGAGCTCTTTTGAGTCCCCGACAAAATCTTACGAACAGCTGATCCAAGAAATGAGCATGCTTGATACCCTTTGGCCTTTGACGAGCAAACTCATCGATGGCGACCTGAACATCATATCCCAACCTCTCAACCAGGTAGCAGACAATAAAATATCCTGTCCGGTTGAATCCATAATGACAATGAACGCCAATGTACCACTTTTCACTCCAACCTTCCTTCTCGGCTCTGACTTTTTGCTCTTCCACTAAGCGATCAACGAGTGCAATGAAAGCAGTGACTTCGTCGCCAGTTGGTGGTATCTTCGAAACAGTTGGAAACTTGTGATAATGCACACCACCTTTTTCGAGTCCTCTAGGATCGTACACCGGACTCTCATGAGAAATATCAATGATGTCCTTGATCTGAGAACCCCATTCTCGCACAAATACTTCCGGACAATGCAACTCGTCGACTTCCCGTAAAGTCTTCATGGCACGGAAGATGCCTGCGATAGGTTCAGAAACTGGGGCTACCTTCTTCCATTTTTCCAGATTCTTCACGTCCCATTTTCCAGATGTTGAAAGGAATTGTAATTGCCAGCCAAGAGATAATCGAGGCGAAACCTGACTACACAAGAAGTCTGATATCAGACCAGCCAGTATCCGAACTTGAGCTGGCTGGTAGATGAGCGCATGAGATGCTGGGGCGGGAAGGATGCTGGTTTTGAGGACTTTCTTTGGTCTTGTTGCTTGGGGCGGGATAACAGAAAGTCCATCATTGGGTGTTGACGGGTCTTCATGCGCATCCTCGACCGTATCCGGATTTGGTTCCAAGAAGTCATCAGCGCTGATTGAGTCGACCTGCCTCGGACTCGTCCTCGATGCCTCGAGAGAAGAGTCGACTGGTGCAGCCGCATCTGTAAGCGGCTTGCTATCCTTGTCTACCTCAATCTGGACAGGATGAGACTTGCCTAGAAATGCAGCAATCTTCTCGATCTCAACAGGTTTCGTAATGTTGTCTGCTTCACCTGCGACCAAGAATACCGGCACCTCAAGACCACCCCAAGCATTGCTGCCAGGAAGTCCGCCTTTAGCAGTTCCATTCTCGTAGTGAGGTAAAGAGCCGCTGGCCATGCGCCTCCAGACTTCAGTCTTGCTTTGTTCATTGAACCGATATTGAAGTTTCTTGGTTTCGATATCGGCATCAGCTCCAACGAACCGATTTACACTGGCACTTTCAATTCCCCCACGACGATCCCATCTTCGCCAGGCATTGAAGACCTGACCCGGGATCCAAAGGAGCTTTTTGAACGAGTCAACTTGTGATGAAGATGGCGGTTCGGCTTTTGGGCAGACTGCTACCAGTCCAACAATGTGGTCTGGCAGATCCGTGCAGTGTTTTATGTTGTTTGATGCAATCATTGCCGCAAGAGAGCATCCCATGCTATGTCCTATCAGAACAACTCCTTGCCCAGTATCTCTATCTCTATAGTCTTCAATTATATTCTCAAGCAACTCTGCAAGGTTCTCGGTTGTGTAGGCGCCCCATGTCTTAGGTGCAAACGCAGAAAGACCACAGCCGGGTAAGTCGATAGCAAGACATGAAGAGTTGTTCACCAGGCTTGTGAGCAATGGATGGAACTGTGAGGCGGAACCACCGAGGCCATGTATGAATACTAAAAGAGGAAGGGGTGCGGGGTCTGAAGGCAATTTCGCTATTTGAGGATGCGGACGATAGAATACTCGAATTCTTGGATATGCGAATTGACTCGTTGTATAGGATGTGTATTCGCTGTGCTTCTTGAGCAAACCAGGATCATACACTTCGGCATCTGCGATAGCTTATTAGCACAGTTACAGAAGCACTCTATGCGACTTGCCATTCTCATCTATAGGGTATGCTCCATCACTTTGCAGACCCTCCTCGGAGCCTGAAGACAACGACTTGCCATCCTTCTGCTTCTTCCGCACCCACCACCAGCCAGGAACGAGGACACCGCACAACGCGACAATCTGGGTCATCTCCCAAAAATTGAATCGTCCTCTGCAAGTGTGGGGGTACAGCCACCGAAGAGACGACGAGATGTGTAACTGTACACCGTTTGTGATTCGTGAGAAGCTGGCGTTTTGCTGGGCGCAGAGCGCAATGTCAAGATAGAGAATTAGAAAACATGATAAGAGGATGGAACGGCGCATCTTGGGATTAAGAATGCGCGATTCCAGGAGAGTAATTCTTTTTTCCTGTGTGTAACTGTCTCACAGGCACAGCAATGACGGCGTCAAAGACGCCCACAGGGCAGTCTCTGGCTGGTCAAGAAGCAGCGAAGTACCGGTCGCGTGGGACGTGTACGGACATCGATGGCCTTGAAACAAACGTGGCCGCGCCGGGGAATATTGGTGGCTCTCCGTAGTTTGGGTCTTACGAGAGACGGATCTGCGGTGACGCTGGGCTGGGAAATATTCTTGGTCGAGGAGGAGAGGTGGTTGCGGTGCGTCGAGGGCTGGCAGAGCAAACGTCAAGGAAACGTGCAATGACGAGCACCTTTCATTTGTGCTTTGGTGCTTCGGCCAGCTTCGGGTACGACGACCATCCGAAGGAAAGAGAGAGGAGAGGCATTTACGCCGAGATGCCAGAGTGCAGTTTCCCGCGACCTACCTATGAGAAGGACAATATCTATTGCAGCCGTCCTGGACATCTTCATGAAGAAAGATGGAAGATGGAAGCCATTCGATGGGGCCGCCAGCTGAGTAGAGGCCAGGCCAAATGTGAGCTGGGACGGCCCGAGAATCGTTTCGAACCATTTGCCCCGATGGCTTGGTGCCTTGTCACCCTGTGCCCTTTGGAACCCCCACACGACGAGGACGAAGGATCGCAATGGAGGGGAAACGAGCCAGTGGAAAGGGTTATTCAGTTTGGGGGAGGCGATGTCAGGGAGGCCAGGCCAAAGTGAAGCTCAGGTACCAAGGCTGCGAGGCTCATTCCTTTGCTTGTGTGTCTCTCTCCTTCACTGGACTTGGAGCTGGTTAACCTTATGCTCCCATTGGCTCTTGCGGCAGTCCCGAAAAGAGAAGCCGTCGACGTCTGAGATTTCTTAATGCTGCGAGGCTTTGTCTCACATCGAGTCAGCACGAGCATGCAGCCAATCACCCACGACTCAACTCGACTCCTTCTCGGGGAAGCATCCTGAGCATGACATATCTCGCATATCTTTCCAACTCGCCAACTGGCACCACACAGGCCGGAACAATGCATGCAGTGCAGCGCAGCGCAGTAGTGCTGCAGCCAGACCCTTATCAGTTTCGCCGAGATACCGAGCCAGGGGACGACTACAATCTTTATCTTTCTCTGTCTCGGGAGCCAAACTTTTCTCACCTTGTCGTCCTCTCACACATGCAAGATTTCAACTGCCATCATGCCCTTTTACCCTGGATGGCGCCGATTGCGGAGTGTCGAGATTACTCAAGATGTCCACCATCTTCAGCTTGGGACAATGACGGATACTCCTAAGGGCGTTGGATCCCGATATACCCCTCTCTCTCGCGTCGGAAGGGAACCGTCCACGAAGGTGGGGCTACGGAAGTCACTCTATCCTTTAGGTGCATCAGATATACTGAGTAAGGTACAAGTACCTAGGTATACTTCAGAAGCCAAGCGGCTCTGGATATTCCTTGTCCTCTGGTATCCATCAGAAGTGAGTCTTGGTAAGAAGAACATCAGCAGACTTTTTGAGCATAAGTCTTGATTCGTTTTTTACTTTCTCCATTTTCTTGACCCCTCAATTGACGCTTTACTCATTAAACCCTTCAAACTGCTCTTCCTTCCGCCCTTTCCACCTCCTCTCAAAAGTCGTCCACCGAATGAACAATGGCATACAGCAATGGAGACTCCAATGGGGATAGCAATGGGGATAGGAATGGTCATACCACCAGAAAGACCAACGGGAACGCCAATGGGACCGCGAATGGGAACGCCAACGGACACAGCAATGGACACAGCAACGGATACAGCAACGGGCAGACCTATGGCAACAAAGAACAGCCAAAGTATATCGACTTCCCTCACCTGGAACCGGGTACTATGCTTGAAGGAAAGCAAGCTCTCAATCGCTGGTCCCATAAATTGACGAAGGGTAAGAATCTTCTCAAATCCTGCAAACAATAGCTAACATAGCAAGATCATGATTATCCAGGCGCACAAGTGAGTGCCAAAACAATACTAAAATATCTCTAACCTTTTCAGGCGATGCTCTATGCTGCTGGTGTTCCAGATCGTGAGACAATGAAAACGGCCCCTCAAGTTGGAATTGCAACCGTATGGTGGGAGGGCAATCCATGCAAGTAAGGACTTTGAAGCACACAAGATAACAAGGTAGTACATTCGCTAACATAAGAACAGCATGCATTTGAACAACCTCGGAAAGCTGGTCAAGACAGCAGTTGAGAACCAAGGTATGCTTGGATGGCAATTCAATACCATTGGAGTCTCGGATGGAATTACCATGGGCGGTGAGGGGATGCGATTTTCGTTGCAAACAAGGGAGATCATTGCAGATTCGATTGAGACTGTCACGTGTGCTCAGCACCATGATGCCAATATTTCAATCCCAGGTTGCGATAAGAATATGCCAGGCGTTATCATGGCTGCTGCTCGACATAATCGTCCATTTGTCATGATCTATGGTGGTACAATCATGAAAGGCCATTCAAAGCTCCTGAATAAGGACGTTAATATCAGCACGGTAGGAGATGAAGATATGATTTTACCGAATAAGATCTTAATATTCTAACATAATGTAGTGCTATGAAGCCTCCGGTGCGTTTGTCTATGGCAAACTCCAAGCTTTCGAGAGACCTGGCGACAAAGGCAGAACACCATGTGATGTTATGGAAGAACTCGAGCAGAAATCTTGTCCGGGAGCTGGAGCGTGTGGTGGGATGTACACTGCAAACACTATGAGCACAGCGATCGAAGCTATGGGTCTCTGTCTTCCTGGTTCATCGTCAAATCCTGCCACATCTCCAGCTAAGATGAGAGAATGCGAAAAGGCAGCTGATGCTATCAAGATCTGCATGGAGAAGGATATTCGACCACGAGACCTATTGACCAAGGAGTCTTTCGAAAATGCTTTGGTACTGACCATGGTTCTTGGGTATGATATCTAATGTTACCGTTCATACCTTACTGATCGTTCACAGTGGCTCAACAAACGCCGTCATTCACCTTCTTGCCATGGCAGGCACTGCGCAAGTTGACCTAACTCTAGATGACTTCCAACGAGTCAGCGATAAGATTCCGTTCCTAGCAGACATGGCTCCCAGCGGTAAATACTTCATGGAAGACCTGTGGAGAATCGGCGGCACCCCATCCATGATCAAATTTCTCGTTGCAGCCGGCCTAATGAATGGCAATATCCCAACGGTAACGGGCAAGACCATGGCTGAGAATGTTTCATCCTGGCCCTCTCTTCCTCCAGATCAAGCTATCATTCGCCCTCTCTCCAATCCTATCAAAGAAAGTGGCCATTTGCAGATCCTTCGCGGAAACCTGGCGCCAGGAGGTGCTGTGGCTAAGATTACCGGGAAGGAGGGGCTGGTATTTACTGGAAAAGCGAGACTGTTCAATAAAGAGCACGAGCTCAATACCGCCCTGAGCAACGGTCAGATCCCTCATGGTGAGAACTTGGTTTTGGTTGTGAGGTACGAGGGACCTAAGGGTGGACCTGGAATGCCTGAACAATTGAAGGCTTCTGCCGCTATCATGGGTGCTGGCTTGACAAACGTGGCTCTCATCACTGATGGAAGATACTCCGGCGCCAGTCACGGGTTTATCGTTGGCCATATTGTTCCAGAAGCTGCTGGTATGTTCTCCCATCTATCTTTCTTCTATGTTCCCGTGTGCTGATTCCCATAAGTCGGTGGTCCCATCGCAGTAGTTAGAGACGGTGACACAATTACCATCTCAGCCAAGACCAACACCTTGAGTATGAATGTCAGCGACTCTGAGATTGCTGCCCGACTCAAGGGCTGGAAACCACCTAAGAAGAATGTCAATCGTGGCGTCCTCGCAAAGTACGCCGCTCTTGTTGGAGATGCTTCTCATGGTGCCATAACGGATCTATTTTGAATGCTCAATTTAGCGCTTGCGTCTTGTTGGAGTTTTTCTTATCATCCAGATTGTTTAGACATGACTTTTAGTTCCGATTACTAGCTCATCTAGTATGGGTTCTGATGAGGAGGAAGGGCGAAATAAATAGATTGGATAAGTGGGCGGGATTTTTAGATCACCTACATTGCATAGCGGGGTTTAGATAGAACAAAAGCGTAGATTAGAGACGAAAAGAATGAATTTGAGATTATAATTCCGAGTCCAATAACTATCCAAGAAGCAGCATTCAACAGAGAGAGTTCCGCATGCCAGGACATAAGAATGAGGATCAAATAAGCTCCAAGCTTAACTTTTAAACTTGTCAATTTGCGGAAGGAGACAGGGGAAGGAGGCAGGGACGTGGGATCAGTCAGGCCAGCCACTTATCTTCCAAGCGAGTCTGGTTTTGGGTATCACTGCGGACCCAATGATAGTAGAAAATGTGCCAACATCGTCCAGCTGTACAATATTTGTTTTTCCTCCAAATATTTAGGACCACAGGAACCATTTTCATTGGAGCGTATCCACCTCGGTTCCCCTTCTTTCGACCTGTGCTTACGCTGCATGATAATCACCATGCATAACAACATTCCACAACCGTCGCAGAAATCTAAACTCCAGTTTCCAGTACGAAGCAAACGAAAACAAGAAATCGGACCCGACTTCAAGCCGACGACTCGGTATTCGCACCCTCGTATCCGGCACGAGAACATCGCCAAGCCTTAAGGCTGTCCCGAACCCCCGTGCTGGTAACCCGATACAGCTAGATCAATCGCCACAGGGATCCTCGCCACCCCTCGTCACCGCGCCGCAGCTGGGCCTTAAATGTCCCTTTTTTGATTACATCCTCGCACGACTGTCAACATACTCATTTCTGAGTTTATGAACACGTCGATGACAAGACTTCTCAATTGATTATTCATTCATTGAATTGAAGAAGGTCTTCTCACGATGGCTGACAATCCTGAAGTCCAGGAGCAGCGGAAGGTGCGGGATGGCGCTGCTGCAGAGGAGAAAGATGAGGGGATTCGGAATGAGAGTAGTCACGGGTCGAAGGGCGAGAATGGGAATGTTGCAAAGGGAGAAGAGGCTAAAGAGGAGAAGAAGCCGTCGAAGATTAAGGAAGTGATGGGGAAGATTGGGTTGGATGTTGGGACGTTGATGATGATGTTTAAGTGAGTTGAGTTTTTGTTTTGGTAGTGAATACAGGATTTGGGAAAGTGAGCTAATGGATGGAAAACCAGGGGCTCGGTAGCTCCTACTATCGGTGAGTGTAGTATCCTTGTGGGATGAAATGATAGCTGATATTTGGGATAGCAATTGCGTTCTATCAAGCGGATTCTGTGGCGGCGATTTATTCGACGTTGGGGTATCTTGTGGCTATTATTTCGGTCATTGCTATGCCTATCATGCCTAGGGCCAAGTACTTCCAGACTTTGATGCTGAATCTTTTCGGTATCTGTACTGGCTCGGTAAGTTCTTGGTTTTTGTTGCCATTCAAGTAGTTTACTGAGACATAATTGTAGGCTGTGGCATTACTGGGTCTTTGGTCGGGAATACAAGCTCGACAACATACTGCTCCTGGAAGTACTGATTATAACTCTTCTCAAGCAGCGTAAGTTTTTTGAATGCTGCTCAGTTTTGTCTTATTGCTGACTTGTTCAGTGTTTGCGCAATCTGGTTGTTTGCCAATATCTGGTTCGTCAACACATTGAGAGCAAAGGTTCCGGCACTGCAGTTCCCGGTCATTATGTATAGTATCTTCACCAACGTGGCTTTTACCTACGGGCCATTATTCCCAACTACCTCTGTAGCAGAGGCTTTTATCAAGAAGCTACTGGAGAGCTTTCTGACTGCTTTTGGACTTGCTACTGGGGTCAATTTGTTTGTCATCCCGATCACATCCAGGACCGTAATTTTCAGTAAGTTACCCGCCTCTATTTCGTTTAGGAAATCTTCTTATGAAGAGCACATAATACTGCAAGAATAAGTGACTTACTCGTCGCAGAGGAACAAGCTGGATACATTGCCCTCGTACGGGGCACCTTGAAAGCTCAGAAAGCATACTTGACGAGTCTAGAAACTAGTGATATGTTCGCACCAGCAGAGGTTGATACTACCGAGGCCAATGGAGACGGAAGCAAGAAAAAGAAGAAAGCCAAAAAGAATGACAAGGCCGAAACTCATCCAGCACACAACACGCAAGCCAAAGCTTTACAAGGCAGTCTAAAGGCCCTACTTGGACTTCATGGAAAACTGCACGGAGACATGGCATTTGCGAAACGAGAGATTGCTTGGGGAAAGCTCGATGCTAAGGATCTTGATGAGATCTTTAGACTTTTTCGGAGTATCTTGATTCCCCTCATTGGTATGGGAACTATTACGGATATTTTCGAGAGAATTGCAGAGCGAAGAGGTTGGGTGAGCGTGCCGAAATCGAAGCCCAATGAGGCTGAGAAATGGGAGGAGTGTGGAGAGGAGGCGAAGGAACAGGAGAAGGCCACGTGGAACACAATTATGAAGACATTGCACGAACCTTTCGAAGTGGTAAGACTTTTTTTTGGTTGGACTTTCGCTGGCTTCTGATCCCGCTCAAATATTTGATCAAGCCTAACATGTTTGCTAGGTTGTTCAAGCTATGGATGAAGGACTCGAACATGCGAGTCTGCTTCTAGAGCTAACACCGCGACCAAAAGCCAAACAAGGTGATGATGTCGAAGCGAATGCCGAAAATCCAAAACCTGGTGACGACGGATTCGCCAAACATCTGGATCAGAAAATGCTGGATTTCTATAGCAAACGAGGAGAAACTCTGAAAGCATGGGCGAGACAAAAGGGCTTGTCAGAAGATCAGTTCAACTCAGTCAAAAGTCCAGGCCCGGGTCAAGAATGGACACCCGATGAGGCTCAGCATCGTAGAGACCAGCAGCAGCTTTATCTGATCTTGTATCTGGAGCATCTTCTGTATTCGTGCGGAATCGCGATCTCAAATCTAATCAAATTCGCCGATGAAAAGGTGGCGGATGGGACAATGAAGAAGAACCACCTCATTGCTCCTGGCCTGCGAAGATTGAAGAAATGGGTTTTGGGAATTGGTCAAGAAGATGCCTCAGTAGATACTGAAACTCCAGATTCCTTGGAAGCCGGCATGAACACCATCTATCTCGGATCTGGATTCAACCCGAAGAAAGACCCGGAGCACTTGCCACCAGAGACGGCTTGGCAACATTTCGGCAACGCTATTAGAACAATTCCACATTTCTTGGGTTCTGGAGAGTCTGCATTTGGCGTCAGAGTTGCGTAAGCCAGCTTCCAATCTTTCTTTTAATGTTCGAGGCTAATTGAATTTAGCTGTGCAACATTGAGCATGTAAGTGTATCGAGCACTTAGTGATTGAGACGAAGACTAACTTTGAGTGAAGCGGAATTGTTGCTTACTTGAGGGACACTCAAACATTTTTCATAGAGCAGCGACTAGTGTGGGCAATGATTATCATTGTAAGAATCTCTCCCTTGCTGTCACTCGATTCCAAAACACTTTCCTAGCTGTCATTCTCTTTCCAATATGCTCATATACTGACTTGACACAGGCCATCGGCATGACTATGACTTCTGGACAATCTCTCTTCGGATTCTTTGGCCGAATAGCAGGCACTGCTATCGCTATGGTCCTGTCAATGCTCATATGGTACATTGTTGACCAGAAAACTCCTGGTATCATTGTCTTCTTATGGCTCGCCATCTTCTTCACCATGTATTTCTTCCTCAAATTTCCGAGGTTCATTGCCGTTTTCTTGATCTCTATCGTTACTCTGGTCATGATTACTGGGTACGAATTGCAGGTCAGGAAGATAGGTCTCAAACTTTGTAAGTTTGCTATCGCTCACTCAAAGAAACTTTACTAATAAGGTCACAGCCGAATCGTCAGGACAGCCATATTATCCGTAAGATATATCTTCATCTATCTTCATTCTTCGCTAATTACTCCCTAGTATCTATGAACTTGCTCCCTACAGACTAGCATGCGTTGCAGGTGGATCATTTGTAGCTTTCATTTGGACAATATTCCCATACCCTCTATCTGACAGAGGCTGGCTTCGAAAAGATCTTGGCTCGACTCTTTATCTTCTTGCCAACTACTACGCCGTCGTGCACTCGACCATCAGCGCTAGAATGCGTGACAGGGAAGGAGACATAAACTTAGAGACCTCTCCCGGCAAGGCCCTTGAGAAAGCACGACACAAGATCTTCGGCAAGCTGTTACTACTCCTCCCATCTTTGCAGCAACATGCAGATTGGCAAAAGTGGGAACCTACCATCGGAGGCAAATTTCCAAGAGTATGTACTGATCACAAAGCCCCGCTTCGCCTCGTCAACGCTAACTTTCCAAGGAAACATACGAGGGCATCACCCTTCGCGCTACGAATATCATGAACTACCTCTCCTTAATGGCCTACGCAACCAACTCCTGGACCAAAGACTCCGGCCACATCTACCCAAACAGCCAACCCGCCACCCGCCGCGAATGGCTCAACGATCTAACCCACCTCATCGACAGCATCAGCCCCACTTCACACTCCATAACCTCGATCCTCTCCCTTCTCTCCGCATCCGTCAAACAAGGCTCCGCCCTACCTCCCTATATCCAGACGCCAGAACCCTACGACCTCAGCCGGAAACTAGAGAAACTGAACCCGGGGATCTTGGACGCGAGACATGTGGAAGAGCCAGGGTATAGCGCGTATGCCGTTATGCAGGTTTGTTCGAGTCTGGTGAGGGATGATCTGTTGAGGTTGGTGGAGCATGTTAAGGATTTGGTGGGGGAGACCGATTTCTCGTTTACGGTGAAGAGTAGCGAGACGAGTTTTGAGAGTACGGGGAGTGAGAGTGAGGGGAATGGGAAGGGGAAGAGGGATTGAGGTTGTTCTGGACAGCGAGGTGTTTTGCGGCGTTCTGGTGGGTTGGGGTGAGGTGTTGGATATGAGTATACATCAAGATTGTGACAGGGAAATAATTCGGAAAATACAAGGCGAGTATCTTCGTACATTCACTCACAGCTTAAACTTCCATTCTTCGCTTGCCTCCTATGCTCGCTTACCAAACCCAAACGCAAAAGGACTTTATCCACGTAGTTCGTTTATTGTACGGCCACGAGGCTTAGCGGCACGGCCGGTATGAAGAAGAGATTCAGCTCTATATTCCGAGAAAGAATCTGATCACTAGGGCAAAGCTATTCCTTTGCATATTTCTTATGTCTTGAAGAGCTTTTATTTGGCTTTTGTTTATACTTTAGACGAGTAAATATCTCGCAACTACATCCGATATCTGTTTTATTTCCCCTCCTTTTCAATTCATGCACAACTCATATTCACACAGACATTCACCTCACCACCTTCACAGAGCTGGCGAGCTCACAACAGAGCCAAAGCCATCTTCAACCCACCAACAAGCACAACCCAAGCCGCAGCACCAACAGCACCAAACTCAACCGGCTTCAACACACCCGCAGAAGCGCTCTTCGTAGCCGTGCTCGTACCCGAAGTGGTGGAATCAGTGGCCGTAGGCGTGCTAGATGCAGGCAGGGAAGAAAGTTTCGCGTCTGAGGTGTAGGTCGCTGTAAGACCTGTGACGTTTGTGCAGACGGAGGGTGTGGAGTTCGAGGAGCCGGTGACGAAGTTCACTGCTGCGCACTTTTTTGTTGTTAGCCCCCCTCTTTCGACTCATTTGGAGGGGGAAGTGGGGGGAGAATTACCTGGTAGAGAATTCCATCAGGAGCATCCTGAACCACGCCAATAACGCCCTTACTCCCAGCCCAGCTCGAAGGAACATTGATACCGGTCTCGCAGTACGCTCCCAGCGCTGTCTGTAAAACGGCTGGTACGAGACTTGTCCAGTTCGAAGAGGCGGTGGTGTCGAGTGTGGCACGGAAGAGCCACGTTGCTTGGGGATGAATGGATTCCTGAGTATTGTTAATATGCTATATATATGAAGGGGGGAATGCTGAGAAACGTACAACGGCAATGACATCGTTGTCGACGTGGAAATCGGTTACGTTGTCAGTGCTGAAATCAACAGTGAAAGAGCCACATGGGGCATCCACTTCTGCGTCGTCGTCGAAGCCGATTGTGGAGGGGTAGTGGAGGAGGAAATGTGCTGTGGTGGATTGCGCAGCTAGGAAGAGGAGGACGAGATTTCTGAGAGGAGACATTTTGGATTCTTTCACTTCTTTGCGTCTTGTGATACTTGGGATTCAATTGACAGAGTTTGAGGAGCAAAAAGGTCTGGAAATTGAAGCAGGGAAAGAGCTCGAGGTAAATAAATATGCCCACCGTCGACACCGGACCTTCTAGGCTTGGCAAGCCTGGGATTGAATGCATGGGACTTCATTCTCCGAGTCTACCGCCTTGGCATATAGCTGACAAGCTTTGTCTTGATTATGAAGCTCCATCTGGAGGATGCTTGAGTGGTGCCAAGATGTTGATCCGAGGAAGTTGAGCTTAACCTTGGAATCCAGCCGCGGGCGAGAACTGCAAGGGCACCACGGCGGGGTCATGCACAGGGCATTGTTCGGCAGGTCAGACTAAGTGGTGGTAAGAGGTTCTGCTTACAGCCAGCGGTGTTGGTTGCGGATGTTGTGGACGTTGAAGTTCGAGTCGCTTCATGGTATTTTGTAGAGCTGGCTGGATGTCCGACAAGATCTGGAGGATTTTCGTCCCCTCTCGTTGTATTTTAACGATTCCAAATCAACTGACTCAGATTCTCTATACAGGCAGTCGTAATAAGTGGCATACATACCTGTTCTAAAAGTGTAAGGTGCAGCTTTTGAGGTCGGGATATCGCACGGCTTGTGATTGGCTCGCTACACCAATTCCCACTCCTTTTGAGAGGATTTGAGGGCATTGTGGCTTGCCAAGAACAACACAAAATGAAGAAGACTCGCTCTCGCTGAGGAAAATGGGACCAGACCAGCACTGTCTGACTTGCACGAACGGATCGAGATTTCCTGCTGATAACTTATCTGGCTGGCTCAACTGCAAAGACAAGGATTGATAGTTCAACCCGAAGTCGTGGAAGAAAGTCGAACGGACTTGCCTGTCCTGTCGAGTGCCCCGCCACTTCTGTTATTGTGCTTGTCACCTGCGTCACTTGGACATATCGCACTTTCGACCTTGGAATTTTCTGTTTGCGCATCGTCAAGTGGTGAATTCAGAGAATGCGCTGCTGGATATAGGTGTTGAACTTTGATCCTTGCAAGACCTTCGCCGTCACAGCCTCGGAACGCCGACAAGATGGACATGAGCGGCATGGATATGAGTGGGGGGATGGATAGTTCGAGTGATCCTATGTTCAGACCCTTCAACCAAGCACTGGCTGAGGACTATTGGTATATTATTGTTGGCATACTAGGCTTCATTGTATTTTTAAGAGCAGTTGATTACTATCAGACTTGGAGTAGGTTAGTCACGCCACTTCCTTCTCAGTCGCAGTCTCTTGAGGCCAAAAGTGTGAATAGTTCCTTCTTACTGACAACTTCACAGATTACGGATATGTCAGACCAGGAAGTCAACAGCATATCCAACGAGGGTCAGCAATCCTCTGATGCAAGCGTATGCCACTGCAACAGCCGTCGTGCGGGAAGCCAGTTATCCACAATTCCACTTCGGTGGATGGCTGTCGTGGCTAACTCCTCCTTTATCAGGACGAGTCATCATCATTGTCATCTACTGGTCGGTCATCGCCTACATGATGTTCTACAAAGCCTTCGTAGACGATGCATATTATTGGGAGCGAGTTGGATTTCGGGGAGCGTGGATATCTGTTACACAGGTGCCTCTGGTCTACCTCCTAGCATCGAAATCAAGCATCATTGGTCACATTATTGGATCTTCACATGAACGACTCAACTGGTTACATCGATGGGTATCGAGGACACTACTGGTTACGGTGACGATACATGGCTCTTTCTTCTTGACAGAATGGGTACGAGCAGATTTTGTCGTGTTGGAGCTGAGTATGATGCCCATGGTCAAGTACGGCATGGGGGCATGGGCAATAATGGTCTGGACATTCATCACCTCCTTATCTCCTATGCGCAGAATGGCGTACGAATTTTTCGTTATGCAACACATCGTGTCAGCCGCTATCATACTTTGGCTCCTCTGGGTCCATGTCCCATCTTATGCGCATTACAACATCTGGTTCGCTATTGGCGCTATATCCTTCGACTGGGTCCTCAGAGGCGTGCTGCTCGTATTCAGGAACTTGCGTCTGAGGGCTTCAAAGTCTTGCAATGGCGGACAGAGAATAGGTCACGAAATCGAACTCGAAGCCATCAGTAACGACTTGACAGTACTGAACATCAAAGACGTTCATCTCTCATGGAAACCAGGGCAACATCTTTACCTCTGGCTACCTTGGCTGGGGCCTCTCGAATCACACCCCTTCACCATCGCTAGTCCATACGACACGAACAACAAATGCCATTGCAACGAAATCCAACTTGCGATCCGTAAACACAAAGGTATCTCCAAGCGAATGTATAATTTCGCAATCAAGAACCAGACCCCCTTGACGGGCTTCATATCTGGACCTTACGGAGCACCACCGGCATGGGAAGCGTTCGAGACATTGATCCTGATCTCTGCATCCACAGGAGCGTCATTTACCTTGCCTATCCTAGAGAGTCTTTTGACTGCTTCAACAACGATCTGCACCCAAAGGATTCTCTTCTTGCTTGTAGCGAGAGACAGGGCACATATCGAGTACTACGTCAACCGACTCACCAAAGCTCTTTCCCTGGCCGAAGCAAAGGGCATTGAGCTCCAAGTTGAGGTTGCGATCACCAATGACGCAAATTCTCTTCATAGCAAGTCTAGCGGTGCAACAAAAGCTACCGAAGAGACAATCGTGAAGGAAGAAGCAGTTGAGAAGAAATCAGCAGATCCGTTGGTCATCGTCCAATCCCGGTCTCCTTCCTCAAGAAACTCATCACAAGCCTCTCATCCGACAAAAGAGAAGGGAGGCTGCTGCTGTGCCAACCCATCCGGATTTCCCTCATCATGTTGCAAGGATAGCACATCATCTCCATCTCGTGAGATAGTGTACTCATACTCCCGACCTAGTATCCCAGCTTTCATCAGGAGACCAGTTGAAATTACTGGAGGAGAGACGAGTGTAGCAGTGTGTGGAGGCAAGAGTTTGGTTGCGGATGTGAGGAATACTGTGGCGAGGTTGAGTGATGATAGGGCGGTGCATAAAGGGACTGGGGCTCAGGGGATACATTTGCATGTCGAGGAGTATTGCTTTTAGTGTAACGATTTAACGAAATGATTATGAAACAAGACATGCATGTGTAACGTATTGCTACTGCTGAATCAAGTGTCAATCAAGAACAAAAAGGTCTGTAACCGGGGATTGGTCGGACACGACTTAGGGGTCGTTCCTTCCGTGTAGAGTTATAACACTGAGGTCTGTAAGATGAATTGGACAAGAACTGGAGCATAAGGAAACTTATGTCGGAAGTAGAAAGGGGGAACAGTAAAAGGGGACAACAAAACAGAGCAAGAGCGAAATGAACTCGAAAGTATTGTGAGAATCCACTGCAAGCCTCTGTCAAGGATTTGACGGTAAGTGCTAGACTCACTCTGACCAATGGGTTCAATAGCTACCAAGAAAATGCTCCTGACTCTCACTCTCAAGCTTCGCTTTGCAGCAACATAATTCTTATTCTAACGATAAAGAACTACAGATGGTAAAAGTCCTAGTACATATCGGACAACCAACCTTGTTAAGAGTCCTATCCACTAGATACCGATATCGGCGTCAATTGTAAGAGTTCTTATTTCGATAATCTTCCGACTTGCTAAGAAAGTCCTATTCACTAGCTGGAACCTGCCTCAGGCGCAAGAATGATCTCGCATACTCTCCAATTTACTAAGAAACTCCTATTCACTAGCTGGAACCTGCCTCAGGCGGAAAATACCCATTACAATCTTGCCCGACCGCTAAGTATATATATCTCGTCGCCCTCGCCCCCGTCGTCCGTCGCACACACAAGTCATGATTTTAAAGGTCGACGATGCCAGAGCAGCTGGAAGGTACGGGTGGTGGGTCACGGTGTTGGATCCAAGGAAAGGTATATGTATATAGAGAAATATTCTTGTAGTAATATTGTGGAAAAGTTGACAGCAGCTATAGAATTGACAACGGCTCTACAGAGGAAAAGAAATTGTGTAAGAATACCCTTCACAATCTTGCTCGATCGCTAAGTAGGTGTATATATCTCGTCGCTCTCGCTCCTATCGTCTGTGGCACACACTCTTGGTGGATGTCGGTCCTAGACCGAGGAAGAAGGAGAAGGAGCTCTCTTGGTACGGATGAGATGATATTGGCTGGAGTTTGTTTGTGAAGATATTTCGATTCCGTTGTCTGCTAGATGTATATAGAGAAATATGTGGAAAAGTTGACAGTAGCTATAGAGTTGACAACGGCTCAACAGAGGAAAAGAAATTGATAGGACTAATTTCTCTTAGGATCTATATGAACATCCTTTCATCAACTACGATGTGAAAGCGCAGACACTTGACATCCCCAAGAGATATAAGGAAGTTCCCTCCTTTCATCACCCAGTACGGGATCTGGAAGAAATTTAGACCGACGTTATCGATTAGAATAGCAGATTCGTTCAATAGAAACGTATGGTAGCGTAGTATACCGACGTCAGTCCCCTAGATTCCTTTTCCGCCTCATCAACGAGTGACGAGGCTGGCTAGCCGCACTTTACCCTCGATCTCGAGATCAAAACAACAGCCGATCTCCCACCATCTCCGCTTCCCTCAACATCCACAACGAACAAAATCGAAATCGCTGACACGATGGCTGAACCACCCCTTGAATTCAAGACCAAGTTCGGTAACATTTGGGCCCTCTTCATCTCTCGCTGCAAGGAGGTCAATGGTATCCGTCAGAATGAGGACAGAGTAGGCCACGACAACCGCAAAGCCGAACTAGACTTTCTCTCATCCCTCAAGACCCCTGAAGGTAACGCCGCTTGGCAACGCGCCTTTGAAGAAGACAAGAGACTCTCTGCTGTATGTGCCAAGCGTAATGAAGCCGATTCGATTATCATCCAAGCTCTATTCAATGCCATGGTCAAGAACGCGTGGAACCTGGCCGCTGAACCTAACGGTCCACCTCCATTGATTACTTTAGATACTTTCGGTATCACTCATGGCGTACACGTGGCTCTTGCACCATATGCTAATGACAATCTTGGCTTCCAAGGTATGGGGTTATCATCATCTTGTCGCGTCGTGGCTAACCCCATTGCAGTCGATCCAGCTCTCCAGGCTTTGAGTCCAGTCCCATTCCCGTCTTCAACAGTCAACGCTGCCGGCTCCGCAAGCCAATCCTCTTCGTCCCAACCAGCAAGTATCCCTCGTGCCGACAAGGCTAAGACATCAAACAAGCGCAAGGCTGGAGCCCTAGAGGAACCCGAGACCGGTCCAACTGCTCGAATGGCAGACCTGACTCTCGATGACAGCATTGTCAATTTCCCCCACAACTCAGTCAAGTTCTGGGTTATGACATGTCCCCTCTGTGGCCGCAATTTCCAGAGTGCTCACGGACTCTATGGCCACTTGGCGCAGAGTGACGAGGAACATCTGGCTGTGTTTGGCGGCGAGAAGACCTTCAACAAGGCTGTTGCTATTTGTGGCACGCGCATCATCGATGCTGATAAGGCGAGCGCTGAGGCACATAACAAAGCTGCTATGAAGAAATTGATGGGACGTCCTGGCAAGGACGGTATCTAAGCAATGGTAAGCCTTCCTGTAGCTACTCATAGCTATCGTTGGAGGTGGACGTTTGTTGAGAGAGGTTCGTTGATTGGTGTTCGACAGAACCGAGTACAGAAAACATCCACGGCTAATGGCGGTGATATTGATTGGACGACGGTAAGCTAACACTCGCGACATTGTGATCTCCACAAGTCGGATCGATACAATGAATATTCGCTGATTTTGGTCTGAACAGGAACAAAGATGGTGTGAAAGTTGGCGTTCTGGTGCAGTTTCGGAATGCATGTGCATAGCACCAAGCAACTGACGAAACAATGACACTTGCTTCATTTGCTTGATTGTCTTCTGATTACCTCAAATGTGCCTTGTAGTTCCTTGTCTTTAGGATCGTTCCACTTCAAAGCTGGTAAAGTGACTTCAAAGACCCTCAACTTCCCAACCTGCAGCAACTCACCCAAGTAACGTGCTTCTTCAGCACCGGTAAGGTCTGTTCTCCACCAGACGATCCTGCACCAGAGGTGCTGCAAGCTCTTCATACTTCCTATTATACGCCACATGCGCTCCCATCTTGAGTAGTCGTTGCTAGGGGTTCCTTCAGAGAAAAAATGCGAGTAGTTGAAACGCAGGTCCAGCTGGACATTCTGGATGCAGTCGAATCGATGAGGAACGATGCATGTGGAGAAGGAGATGAGTGACTCCATGCAATCGAAGTCAAACGTATTGCTAGTGTAAAGCACGTTGATAGCGTCGACGTATCTAAACGTGTCAGTCCTGACTTCAAGTGAGGTAACCGAACTCACATTTTTCGGCACGTTTGCAGCAAGGGGATGAAGCTGTCGCGACCGTGTCCATCTTGCACGGAGACTCCGTTCGGGAGCTTCGTTCCTCTGCATTTGAGATCTTGGCAATCGTCGTGGCTCCCAGAACTTTTGTTGCTACACGTAGCATGACCCAAATGGTTGGCTCGTCGAACAATATGCAGGACGTTGTTGCCAATTACTTGTTCATAGATCAGAAGCAGAATCTCTTCTGGAAGCTTGAACAGGGGCGATTTTATCTGGTCCAGCTCTTGTGGAACGAGAGATGGAGGAGTGATGCAACCACTTCGTCGGGTAAGAGACTGGACGAGAGGCGGGGGCTGGTAGTTACTGGCGGTCCTTGCTGGTGAAGCAGGATGAGGATGGTGTCTTCGACGATAAGAGGACATTGGCTTTCTTTCGATTTCTTTTCCATGTTTTGTTAGGTGATCCAGGGCATACCAGAGAATAGCCATTTTGAGGCTGGGAGGTTCGCGCTCTCGTATTGCGGCCATGATGCTGTAAATCGAGTTGGAGTTGATGTGAGGTCTGAGGACTAGAGGAAGAGTAGAGTTCAAGCTATTTAGAGATGAAAGGTTCTAGTTGACTGATGAGAGACTATGGGATCGTCGACTCAAGGTATAACATTAATGCCTTGTGGAAAAGGAGGACGAGGCACATTTCCGCTTAACCTATTCCATGCTCCTGCAGGTACGAACGGGCCAATTGAGAAGCAGGCATCGTTTCAAGGCCAATAACCCAAAGTCTTCACCGTGAAATGAAAGCCAGCATATTCCGGGCATTTCAGGAGAGGAGTGCGTTCTGCAGCTTCAAAAGATCAGCAGCCAAGCAGCAAATACGACCTTCACGTAACCTAAAAGGTCCAAAGAGAAATGACTCATGCCGGTCAATTGAGTCGTTATGAGTGATGTTCCATTATTCCTACGAGAGATATTTTCTGAAGAATGGAAGGGAGGGAACAAAGGTCCTTGGCACTTCGCAACATGTTGTTCGCACTTGTGATGCTAAGTCAGCGCTGATAAGAGCAAAGACCACTCTTTATCGCTCTGCATCATTAACAACCATGAAAGAAGCACAATGAAGAAAACGTTATTGCTATGCTTTATCCACGGCTTCAAGGTACTTTGCTATCTTGCTTGATATGCTAATCCAATGCTAACATGAAATTTCCAGGGCGGAGATGACACCTTTGGAGGCTTTCCAGAGCACCTTCGAGCTCTGGTAAGTCATGCGCTCCCCAAGGTCGATGTCCAAGCAATAGTGTATCCCAAGTTCGAGACTCGGGGTGATCTCGCAGAATGCGTCTCGAGGTTTAGGGATTGGTAAACCCCCTCTATCTACTTCAGCAGAAGATCCTAATCATACCCTCAGGCTCCTCGAGAAAGTAATAGACATCGAAGTCTCCCGCCACACCCCCTCCCCCACAATCGACCCCTCCGTACACACAATCCTGATCGGGCACTCCATGGGCGGCATCGTCGCCGCAGACACCATCCTCGCCCTGACATCCGACCGAGCAGTAACCTCCTCCCGACCCACCTCCTCCCACTCCACAACCCAACCCGAAGGACAAGCCCCCGCACCTCCTCCAAAACCAGAACTCAACACCCTCATGTTCCCCTACATCCGCGGCGTCCTCGCCTTCGACACCCCCTACCTAGGCATCTCACCCGGCGTCGTCGCCCACGGCGCAGAAGGCCACTACAACGCCGCCTCCTCGCTGTTCACCGAGTTCAGCGGCCTCTCGTCCGCTATCTGGGGCAGCAAAGCCACCACCTCTTCAGAGGCTAAAGAGGAGAAGAAACCCATCGCAGCACTACCCGCTCCGCCCTCTGTAGAAGCAACGTCTTCCTCCTGGGGAAAATGGGGTCGAATAGCAGCTATAGCCGGGACGGGCATCGCCGTTGCGGCGGGCGGAACAGCTGCGTATCTAAACCGGGAACAGATATCGCAGGGCTGGTCGTGGGCATCTTCGCATCTCGAGTTCATCGGATGTCTAGCTCGACCCGAGGAATTGAAGAAGCGTGTTGCCGGGATAGTGACCCTGAACAGAGAGCTCGGAACCGGCTGGGGCAATCTTTACACTCGACTAGGCCAGAAAGCTGTCAGTAAGAGCGACGGGACCACGTTAGTAGGCAGCGTGATTGGGAACACGAGGACGTTTTGTAATTTGCCCGTGGGAAAGAGTGAGGCGAGGCCGTTTTGGCAGGAGGCTATTAATGATGCTGCTAGAGATGAGGCGGGGGCACATATGAGTACGTCTATTCTTCTGTCTAGTGTCTCTTTAATGCTAATAGGAATATCAAGCAATGTTCTACCCGAAAGATAACCCGGGATACTACGCCATGTCAGAGCAGGCCAAGACATTGATCGTGCAGTGGACGATGGACGAGTGGTATGAGTCCAGCACGGGAGAGACAGTACAATTTGCTATTGAGAACGAATTATAGACGTCTGGGGTCGGACGGTTGAGGCGTTTCGGGGAAATGTCGGGTGGGAACATGGTGGCGTATTGGCCATTTTGGGTACGGATTAAGTACTAAGAATCATAGCATTGGCATTGACATTTCAATGAAGGAAGACCCTTTCAACGTATCCGAAACCCTTCAGACCAAGGGGCTTTGATCATACGTTCAATACCACGTCAAAAAGACACAGTGATCGAGTCACACAGCACATGTTTAATGCAAATGAATACATGTGGCAGGGTAGGGAGTCAATTTGTGACTATGTCTAGTTCTCGTAGCTGTGTTCACTACCTAGGTCTCTGCCTCCACTCAACGCTTCCCTCAACAAATCCTCCACTCCGTCAGCTGTAAAGCTACGCACGTCTGAGTACTGTTCTTCAATGAACAGACAACATGAAATGCAAATAAGCAGTCGAGCATTCCTAGCATCGACGATGAAAATAAACTCCAGAAACACCTTGCCATGCTATGGTATACCAGCGATCCTCATCTTGTTGAGTCCGCTGCAAAAACGCCTGCACATGCTAATCTGCGAGCCTCCTCGGGGAGTTCGACTTTCTTTTTAAGACAGGGAAATGAAATGCTCTATTCGCTCTTTTGATGCTTGCGGGCCACAATCGGATCGATGAGAAAAGTTTTGAAAAATAAAGAGTCGACCCTTTATGCATGAAAATTGGGTTGCGGAAGGACCGGATAGTGGTAAGAAGGGTGAGAAGCGTAGTCGGGTACGACGCCAGCTCGATAATCATTTCTTTTTCCCAGAGGTTGGTAATGCATCTGGTCGGTGTTGACCGAGTAGTCGTGCATCGACGCAGATGGTGGAGGATAGAGAAGCGTATTGACATGTCGAACGGGTTTGTACGGTGAAGAACGTTGTTGAAGGAAGACAGAAGGTGAAATGTGACCAGGGTTGTGGTTAGGGTAGTTGCCTGCTATCGGAGACGATCCGTAGGAGAGAAGGTCATGAACAGAACCAGGACTGTGGCGTCGTGAAGGTGTAGTGTAACCGTTGTTAGTGGGTGCCGGTCCGGTTGGGGTTAGCATAGGCAACTGAGGTCCCCAAGACGATGGTGTTGAAGGGTAGACAGTGGACATAGCCCTGCCATTAGGAGGAGGAAGAAGAGGAACGTTAGGAACCATATTCGAGGCCGAATTGTACCCATTAACCATTGGGGGTTGGCTTGTAGAAATGGTAAGATTCGGGACAGGTAAACGAGGAACATCCGATCGTGCAGTTGGAAGATTGGGTACGTATTGACTTTGGGTCGTGACTGGTCTCGTGACTCTCTTGGCAACGGGTTCCTCATCGTCTCCGTCATAGCTTCGCTTGCGGTTGTATCCTCTGAAATCTAGCTCTGGTATACTAGATAAAGGCGAAGACAATGGGGCCTGAGAGAGAGGAGATTGATAGTGGTGGCCGGTCATTAAGCCCGAACTAGCTGGGTAGTGGTGCGAAGGAGGCGAAGGCTGCAGCGACGGTGGTGATGGCAAGGTCGATTGAAGGCTTGGAGTCGGCAATCCTGGAGGAAGTACCGATGGAAGAGGAGCATTGGCAGCACGGTCGCAGTAAATGCGGAATTTCCTCAACTTCTGGTGCCACTCCGCCCACTGCTTTTCCGACGCTAAGAGACTGTATCTCATGTTGCTCAAGAACTCAACTTCCATAACATGGATTTCGGTTACGGAAATGCCAGAAACCTCGGCCCACGTCTTGTTGGTGTAGGTATTGTCATCCAAGACTGTGATTGTCAGTATAATTCGCCGGAAAATTTCTAGGGAACATACACTTATTGCCCAGCATCAGAGCCACGGTCAAAAGACGGTACTCGCTGCCACTCCTGCCTTTAACGGCCGGGTTGCTCGTCTTCAGTCGGTAGATGAATAGAAGAGCCAGGAGAATGACGTTGTCAGTCACTTGCGTAGTTGAAAGTATCGTCACAACCCATTTTCTGAATCCGCTCGAAGGTAGTGCCTCTCTCTCTAGTCTCTTTATTGGTGATGAAGAAGGAACGAGGCCCTCAGCCTTTCGAAGAGTTTCGGTGGATTCGAACCAGAACAAGCAGGTAATCTGCAGAATATTAGAACGTCGACTGTTAATATTTTACATGGGAAATTACCTGCGCTGCAAATTCCGCCAGACTCCCTCCATCCTCGCAGATTGAAGTTGGGATTTGTAAACTTGGTCGAATCATATCGCCGTGGGCACTCTTTCTGCGAGATTGATCTTCTGGAGGAGCTAAATTGTTTTGTCGATTGCCTGGGGCCGGGCTTGATGGTTGTGTCGGCAGCGGATGCGAGCCTTGGACCTCTCTTCGCAGAGTAGAAGCGGAAGGTGCTTGATTTGACGTAGAATATGATCTGCTATGCGTGCTTGACCCCGAGTATGTCCCAGCACTGTAGGTGCCTGCAGAAGAAGCTGAGGGGGGATATGCAGTATCTCGCCCTGTTGCGTAGGGATTATATTGTCGATTTGAATACGTAGTGGCCATCTCGTCCGCAGGAGGAGTTCGAAGCCCGCTAAGAGGAGCCTCGAAGAAGATCGGTGTACGTTGGGGGAGTGGATGACAGATCCCAATATCCTTACGCCGGTCGATGTCGTAGCTCGAGTGTGCAGAAGGTAAAAGGAAATCGAGAGGAGCAGGTCTCGCAGAAGTTCGATACATGGAGGAGATTTGCGTGGTTTTGTCGAGGGTAACAATGGAGAAGTTGTAGGCAGGTTGTAACAATAAGAAGGCCTTGGAAGGTTAGGTGAACCGAAACCGTTTTCCAGCACAATAGCAACTTTAGAGCAGAGTCAACAACCGAAACAATTGTCTGCCCAGAGCTTCCAGCACTCCGATTCACCGTTCCCCCTTCTTGTTTTGCGAGATGGTTCGCCTTGAGTCGACCTCTATCACCGGAGAGCCATGGAGGAATGTGCCGATACTCAAAGATGTATCAGCTCGAATTGCAAGATATATTCGAGAAGCACCCGGAGAATGAGTGTTCAAATAGAAAGTCGGAGTGAATGGTAGGGCCCGCAAGGTGAATGAGTCGGAGAGTCTTTGGGAATTGTGATGATTGCAAAAGAGGAGGGAGGCTCGTGGTGAATTAATGGTACCTGGGAATGTTCGATTTTCCGACTAACCCAAAACAGCAGGGGTAACGGACAACAAATTATTTGGCACGTAGGAAAAAGGGAAAGCACAAAAAGTTTCCGCTGCAGGCGAGGAATGACGAAGAACTTAGTTTTGGGCTTTGCAATTTGGTTTGGTTCCAGACACGAGTGCAAAGGCAATGGTGATAATAATGTTGCAAAGTGGAGGCTGATCTCAAAGAAGTCGTTCAAGGCCCGGTTGATGTCACAGGCCGCCGACTGAAGGATGACCAGTAGGCTGCGGGCTTGCCTACAGGGATGCGCCGCGAAAGCAGAGACACCCAGAAAGTGTAAGTGTGGACGCTGGACGCTGGGCCGGACCAGGGCTGGCTCTAGGAGTGGAATGGGAATGAGAAGGGAAGGGCAAGGGAAGTCTGCCTGGGCTGGGATTGGACTGGACGACTACTGAGACATGGGGCTAGGGGGGGGAGGTTTATGGTTCTGGTTGCTACTGGAGGTGCTTGGGCTTGGGCTTGGGCTTGGAGCTGCTGCTGTTGCTGTTGCTGGCTGGGGGCACTAGAGCAGCGCAGCAGAAGAAGAGGAGAACTTCTTTATTAGGATGGGAGGGTGGCTGGAGTGAAACGCAGCGTTGGGTCACAGTAGCGAGCGAGCGAGCGAGCAGCCAGCGTGGAGGTGCTGCTTGGTGGTTCTAGTCCGGGCCGGGATTTCAGAGTCTGTCTGTGTGTAGATTTGTACGAATCAATGGGAGACGCGCCAAATGAGAGCACGAGCAGACGAGGAGATGGGGGCCAGGATACGTACGAAAGGGTGACGGCAACCGAAGCACCAAAACACGAACGGGGGGTGGAAGTGAAGAAGTGAGGTGAACGGCGGGCTTGCTTGCTGCTTCTTTCTCGTACATACCGTCACGTCCGCATCCGCGTTCGCAAGAAGCGAGCCAGCAAGCGATTAATCAAATGATAAGTATTACTTGATCCTGATAAACATCCTCGTGCAGCTCGGAAAGCATCTTCCTGCCCTATTCACGGCAAGCTGATGGATGGAGCATGAGTACAGTCGTCGCCTGTAGAAAGAACTTTTGCAGCAGGAGGAGCCTTGGGCCGTGAGTGCGCCTTCGTTTGATACCCACGCCCCGTTGAATGGGCTAGGATGGCACCCCTACAAGTCGCCAAACCGGGACCCCAGAACTGACCAGACCATGGCACGATGATGAACCCTTTCTCCGTCACGCTTCGTGAGCTGCGCTGCGCTGTGCTTGTGGTTGTGCAAGTCAAGGGTTTAGTGCCGTTGTGCTGTGTTAGGTGTTTCTTTCTGTGTGTTATCCTCTGGCTTGCCCTGCGCTTTCATGCCAGTAAGAACCCACCATTCGTTTCCGCTTGTCAAGGCTGGAGAGAGTCTCGCAAACCAATAGTGGCCAGCGTGCCACTGAACAGCCCAGCAATCCAACCCAGTTGCCGTGCGTGAAGCTGCTGCGGTGCGTGGAGAAACAGGGAAAGGCAAAAAGAGATGGAATTATCATATCGCGACCTTGCTAAGGAATCCGCAGCGGAAGCAAGCACAAGCAAGCACAGTCGGCATGGCATGCAATGGCTAGCATGGAATGGAATGGCAATGGCATGCTCCGACAAGGAACGCGAGGCGGAAAGTGAGGTGAGGCCCTACCTACAGTAGTCAGAAGAGACGAGACGGCGACGACGGGGGCATTCGTTGGCGTTCCTGTCGCGGAGTCGTGTAATCTCCTGGTGGAGCGCGCGTGGAAAGGGAGGGATGGGATCATTGGGATGGGATGGGATGGGATGGGATGGGATGAGATGGACAAAGAATATTGAGAAAATTGGATGCGCGTTCCGTTTAGAAAGCCCTTGGGTTTAGGAGGTCTTGCCTGGTCTTGGACAGAGTGGGCTGGCTTGACTTCTCGCACGCCGTGGAGGACTGGGAGCATGCTGAGCTGGGATTGGCGTGGCAAAAAAAGGCGCTGCGAGACTTGGGACACGGACGATGCACGCAGCAGAAACAGCGAATCGCAACAACGCCTACCTTGCTTGCTTCCTTTCCGCTCCTTCATCGAACCGGGAAGACAAGGCTCAGGCCGGAAGGCTTACACATTTACAGTGCGTGGGGACTGGGAAAACGACAACCGCAGCGAGCGGCAGAGCCCTGCCTGCCTGCCTGCCTGACTGACTTGACTTGCTTGGTGTTTGGCTCTGGCGCACAATCAGAATTCAATGCTGCCGCATGATGGCCGCATGGTGTTGTCGCGGGCGCCGAAGGCAATCAGAACCAATCAGCGCTGGCCTGCTTTTGCTGTAAGGAGTCTTTACTCAAAAGGTCAGCGTGACACCGATTAGAGTGCCACTAGGAATAAAGGGTGGTACTATTGACTCGAGCTGTGAGGACTATCTAGACAAGAATAATAATCAGTCGGTTCAACTTCGATGCTATGCTGGGTCCTGTATCCTGGACCACGGGGTGAAATGTGTTCTTGGATCCTTTCCTGACCTGGTCGGGTTCCACACTTCCGTTCAATCTTTTCATGGCCACAGCCAAGCAGAAATACTCTGTTTCGGCGTTGGGATTGCACTTCTAGAACGCATCCCTTCGGAGTGTCGGAGGCGTCATCCTCGGTCAAGTAGAAAGTAGCAGTTGTCTAGGGGCTGGACAGCAAGGCTCGACCGGCTGCAGAGTGCAAGTTGAAAAGCTCTCGGAGATTCGCTTCTCACTGACCACAGAAGAGGACGATCTGACAGGCTATGCCCGCATTCAGCAGCTGGATGGCAGAGTCGGTTCACAATCAGGTAAGCAATGGTGCGTGCTGAATTCGGCAAAGCAACTATCCTCCTCTCATCACCATGACAAGATGTCATGAAAGACTCATCAACGCGTAAGAGTGACATTCGGCTACGGAGTGCTATCGCCATGAATCAGGCTGATGTTTTTCAGAGACAGGCATTTTGACTTCCATCTTCCACGCAATAGCCAATAGATGATACAAGGAACGGAAATTATTCGTCGACGTCGATCTTTCTGATGGCTGCCTTCTTCAGACACAGGAAAGCAATTCAGCGGCGGAGAACAAGCCCTAGCTTCCAGCTGGCGGTGGTGCATGTGCAGCTGGACCTGGTAGATTACTTATTGTGACTCGATATTGAGACTGATGCCATGACTTGCTCGGAGAAACGTCCTCAGAGCGGTTGTAGTCGAATCTCGATACACGTCTTGGTTGGGGGTCATGCCTTTCCGACCTGCGTGGTGGGTTCTCAAACCTATTAGCCGTCGGTTGGTGGAAATAGAAGCAAATCAACGTCCAAGCGACCTTTCGACATGATGATTGTGGTCTCTGACGAACGCTGCTCGCGGCTTGGATGGCCAATCAATAGTCATGCAGCAGCACTTCGCGATGTTTCGATTTCATCCGGCTGATTGTAATCGCAATCGCCGGCCGGAACGACAGGGACAATAGAGTGGCACCTCGTGATATCTATTTGCGGGCTTGCAGAGAAAAAGAAGGTGGAGAAGAAGGGGTCGCACTATGCTGCATTGAGCCCAAGTAAAGTGCAACCATCTGGTGGGGTGAGTGAAAATAATCTTCTCCCAAAAGACGCCCCTCACAGTCTTCGCCCTGTACCCGAAGTACGAAGTAGCATAGTTTCTAGACCCATGGTTGCTTTTCATAAAGCGCACACGATAGAGATCCAGTACAGTAGCAGGATGGGTCATTCGTCCCAAATTTAGTGCTGAAGCGCCAGGCGGATCGTGGGAGCCCAGGATTCCTAAGTCTTAGGTCACCAAGTATGAGTAGTGTCGTACAGTACTGTCCTGAACTGTACTCGTGGTAGTGTGGTGGAGTGAAGTGTAGTGTAGTGTAGTCTAGAATGATCCTCTGGGCTGGAAACCGCCCAAGCACCCGGCTGTGGTGATGATGATGACCGTCACCACTACCACCGTCACATCTAATTTTCTTCTGCCGGTGCCTTTTGCGGATCTGGGATCTTTGGCCACTGCATGTCTACTTGATTGCTGGTACTTGCCGTGCTGAGGAATGCGAGCGTGGTGCATAAACACACTGGCGATCCAGACGCCATGGTGTTGGTCCGTACGTTTAGCAAGGCGAAAGGCATAAGATGGGTTACAAGCTGACCGTCAAAGTTTTACTCTGCTTTGCTTTGCCGGGTCTCGTTCGAGTGGCTCCTCGTTTCCTCGAGCGGGGGAGAGAGGAGCGGGGCCGTCAGCTAGCCAGTGTGGCCGTGGCAATAGTGGTGGGATGAGGCATCGGCGCCTTCTGGATCCGTCTGATAAAGAGTGATGAAACTTTTTGCTATCGAGGATTTCAAGATCTCCTGATCGCCGATGGGTACCGTATCTCTCGTACCAAGGTCCCAGGGAGGGATGGCAAGCCTCGGTCTGCTGCCAAAACATCGCATGATGCGTGAGACCGCGTTGCAATGCATAAATATGTGATGTGTATCACTGGCTGAGTCACGAACGTTGTTTGTTCGAGGATATAACAAAAAGGCATTCTGGAGAGACCGGCAGAAACACACCGAGTCGGCCAAAAGAAGTTTCATTGAGATCAGGGGTGATGGGCGGTGAGCGGCTGCGAGGGAGTTACACTAGGATTATGAGGTGTGTCTCCATCACATCAACTGGCTTTCTAGTCTAGTCTATCTCGCGGCCGCGCTTTTCACGTTTGGTGGGACGAAGGAACTTTCCTCAATAATTCGAGCGCACTCGTCTGAGTCAGAAACGGTCCAGTAGTCAATAATATCGTTCCTCGATTGCTCGTCCGTCTCCAATATCAGAAGCCGTATGTGGAGTCGCTGAGTATGCTTGCTTGCAGTGGCGGATGGCATGCCGCGGCCTCCTCAACCCCCTTTGTGGGCGTGGATGATGGACCACCTGGAAAGACACAATTCCGCCTGTGCCGTTACTTCGGGATCTTGACCGGAATCAAGGCATGTTCCATCTAACTGAGCAACGTCCATATCTCTCTGGCTTGATTTGATCGTCAACCGCGGTCCACGGTTCACCAGTGAGTCTCATCCATGAATTGCATCCAGTGCGTGCAAGCATCATGCGACCCTCAGGCCCTCCGCCTGCTCAGCTGCAACTCTGTGGCTGCTCAGGCGAGAGGAAAGAATGATGAGGGCCAGTACAGTATCAACAGGGGGTTTATACAGGAGGCTCAAGGCCAACAGCCACACACGAGGACGAATCACGCTAAGCAACCAGCAGCAGCAACAACCGCACCGTCTCCATCTCACTTCCTTGTAAGAGCTGTCGGGGACGGGGTCTACGGCGCAGCACAACTCACGAAGCGTCAATTTGGATCAGCGCCATGGGGTTCTTGTGGAGGATTGGTTTCGGTTCACTTAAATCTTCAATATCCGATAATCCCTCGAATTACCCTCAAATAGAAGACTTCAGGGGCCGATCTGGTTGATGTTGCGTTGCCGGCAGCAAGCTCAATATTGGAGCACGTCTGTATACGAGACCACATTGTATCGTTCCATCTAGATCTGAACAAGGCTGGCTGCTAGATCATCCACGATCCATAAAATGAGGAGCGCCGAGAGAGTCTCGAGAAAGTTCTCATTTTTTCGTTCGGTGTACCTACCGTATCGTTTCGAGCGACCTCGTCCATGTCCATGTCAATGACAAAGCGATGGATTGGAGGTGGTGTGGCCAAACTAATAATTGATGAGCTGCAGTCTCCACCACCACACAGAGCGCCACAACTCCAAACGACTCCAAACGCCGTTGGTTAGCGCGTGGACTCTCCTCGAACTTTCGTAACACGGTACATACGGTAGGTAAGCTTGGAGCAATGGTGCTTCAGCCCTTGGGCGGGACACATGGAAGCAAGCAGGAGTCGAGGACTACTCCGGGCCCAGGATGCGCATGGAAGGAAGGCCAATAATTCCAAGGATGCCATGCTGCAGAACAAACGCAAATCTTCTTCCTCAATCTCAAATCTTACTCCGAGCTAATCCATCTTGCAGTGTTTAGGTCAAAGGAACGCGAAACATCAGGTGCCGGAACAAGAATAGATAGGTTTTGGGTATTGTGTTGCGTACATGGGCGTTTTCGATGACTCGTTTGACGCTCGACGGACCCCTTTTTTGCCATCCGGATGCAACAGCAATCATTGACTTCCGATCTTCTCCCTCTTCCCACCCCTCATCTCATCACTGCACCAAGGTCGAGATCATCTATTTGTGGTGGAATCTAACCACCGCCATACTAGAGTGTTACCTTGCGCCAAACGTTATACTTGGTACGCCTTCGCTGAAATTCGCCGCGGATGCCTGAAAAGGGCGAAAGAACACCTGGTCTCGGATCAAATACCCTCAGCAGGTCTATCCGGCAAAAGTCACGAACTTCATACGAACCCACAAAAGGATCTTTGACATCCATCTGAGACTCTTTCCAATAGCCACGATTGTCCACCATCCATCCGGTCATGCGATCTCCGTGGCTGTACCCTCTCTTGGAAGAGTCCACGTCAGTCTGGATAGGAGCAAGAAATCAGCACGAAATAACTGCATAGTGTCAGCCGTGTTCGTTCAACGTCGCATGCAGCCATGCTGATATGCCAAGGTCCGCCTGCAATCCGATGTCTTGATGATATGACATGATTCGCCGAGATGGCCTTCCTTTCTTGCTTTTCCTTTCTCGAAAGTGCCCGACCGCTCATGGTTACACGACAACAATATCAACATGGTATTGAAACACTGACCAGAGACACCGTCAAATTAGGTGCAAACAGGCCTCATTCTTTTTCCTGCTCCTGCAAACGTTGATCAGCGCTTTCTTTCTTACCAGTTTCTTATATATCTCATTGGAGCAGCAACCTGGACAGACGCCTGCCAGTATGCCGCCACTCTCGGTTATATTGCATCTCGATCAATGCAAACTTCCGCATTTCCAACCCCCTCATGTTCTTAGTTCTAAAGGCTCCAAAACACCAAGGCACTTCCCAGCATTAAGTGATTTATGGATTTGCTGGCATATGTCCCGCCACACATTTCCTAGAGCCTTCCGCTCGGGCGTTTGATGCACACCGTCTCTTTATTGTCTTGAAGATAACTCGAAAGCCTGATCTGCAGCAGCAGGCTAGGGAGCTCGAGGTCCTCACCAGCGGATCGAGTCCTCCGGTGGTTTGCACCACATTCTGTTGCGCATGTGTTGCCAGCTATCTTTGCCTCGAGGAACTTCTTCCTGAAGCACAAAGCTGCTCAGTCCCGCATGATTCGTAAGGCTTTCATTGAGTATGTCTTGGGTTAATCGTTTGTATGCACCTGGGGACTCTAATTTTGCATGTGCAAGCACGCAATGGATGGCACAGAGTGAGGCTTCTAAAAGACAGCTGATAAATTGCTCACAACCGACATTCCCAGCAACCAAATGTTGTTCCATAGCGTTGGCCGAGTAGGTATAAGCTTCGGGTACGTTTTAAACGAACGTGGGATGCGGGTGTGCATGAGTTCATTAGGCATTTTTTGTCCATTTCTTCATTGAGCATGTATTTAGGATTTTCATTTGATAGCGCATTCAGTATATCAGCAACGACTAGTTAATTCCATTGCCCAAATACTCCGAGGACCTTTGCCACGTTTGCTCCAAAGACTATACTTCGAAAGTCATCTAGTTATACGCTCTACTGTCCTGCCGTCAGAGGTACTTTATTTCTTGAAGTTACTTTCCGTTCTCTATATGCTAAGGCAGTCGTACATACAGAATTCATAAGGCAGGGTCATCTTCCTAAACGAAAAATCATGATCGTACTCGTCTCAGATAAATCGAATCCGCAGATAAATTGAACCATTTCAAGACCAACACGTGACACCACGTACTTTGCACTGACATACTCCTTGATGAAGCTTTACAAAGATGATTGAGATTCATATTTAGAATTCTTGCCCATGGATATGTATAGAAGTCGAGAACTGTCGAAATAAATATCCGCTTTCGATATCACCTGATTTTCATACTTCGTGTTGCAAAAGCCGCTAGCCTTGGTTACGGGGTAACGACGATCTGCCAAGCCTTAGTGTACGAGACCTGTTTGTTTAGAGCCTCCTTTTTTCCAACCTCAACCAACTTATTCCTTCCAAGACTACACCGCATCTCCGCCTCCATTCACTTGGTAGAAGGAGCGTTACGATCGTTATCATCACTTTCACTTTTCGCTATCACCACATTACTCTGAAGACGAATCTTACGACGATTATCCCTCGCTCGACTGGCCAAGCCACTGCACCAACATCACATCGAAATATCGATACAATACACTTAGGAAGACAAGATGGGGTTCGGAGACTTCTCCCAGATCTGCGAGCAGGCGCCCGTACCATTATGCTCTGTCGTCGGCGCCATATCGCACATCGCAGGCTCGCACGGAATCGAAGCAGACTGCTATGCGCGAAACATTGAGTTGGCCAACACCATCATCTTCCAGGGCGCGGCGTCATTCATGCATATCGTCGCATTGATTATGACCGTGATCATGATCTTGCACGTTCGAAGCAAGTTCACTGCTGTCGGTATGCTACCACTTTGTTCATTCAGCCAGTTTTGTTGATTGTTTGAGATTTCCGGACTGATGTTTCTAAAAATAGGTCGCAAGGAAATCACCTTCTTCTTCTACATTTACATGATGCTGACCTTCATATCATTGGTTCTTGACTCTGGTGTTGTCCCTCCCGGCAGCTCAGCATATCCTTATTTTGCTGCGGCCCAGGGTGGTCTCGTCTCGTCACTTTGCGTCTGTCTGATGATCAATGGATTCGTTGGGTTTCAATTATACGAGGATGGCACAGCGATTTCCGTCTGGCTCCTTCGAGGAGTCAGCTTGGGTGCGTTCATTATCACCGGATTCATCTCACTGGCGACATTCAAATCATGGGCTGGCCTTGGCCCGACGAAGACGATGGTCATGTTCGTTTTCCTGTACTTGGTTTCCGGGCTTGAATTATTGGTCTACTTCATTATGCAAATCCTTCTCGTCGTCCAAACATTGCAGGAACGCTGGCCACTGGGAGACCTCGCCTTCGGAGCATTCTTTTTCATCATTGGACAGGTCATCCTTTATGTCTTCAGCAACACAATTTGTAATGCTGTGCAGCATTACCTTGACGGGCTTTTCTTTGCCACCATCTGCAATCTCTTGGCCGTCATGATGGTTTACAAGGTTTGTTTTCCGGGTGCAACTCTTGGTGGATTGACATTTGCTTACAATTTATTAGTACTGGGATTCGATTACCCGCGAGGATCTCGAATTCTCTGTCGGCACCAAGCTCAACAACTGGGAGGTGAAGGAGCTTCTTCCAGAAGACGAGCGCCGAAATACAATTTACCAAGATACCGAGTACTCCAGCAACATGTACAACCACCCGCAGCAAGCACGAAACTCCAACTATGGAGGTTTTGCCTACTAAACCTAGATTTTAGCATTGGATTATTAAAGAGCTGAAAGCGGTTGGAGAAAAGCAAGATCCCTGATTTTGATTGCATAGCGTGGATTTGGTGGTTTGACTCTTTGAAGTGGGATGGCGTTCGTCTGGCAATTTGTTGATTGGAAGTGTACATACTGTACTTTGGATGGGTGGTTGGACATCAGTGAGATGTTGGATTAAGGGCTATGGCGTTGGGACTGCCATGAGCAAGCAGGCGTGCATGTTTGTAGATAAGACCTTGTCAATCACTAATAGATTCTTTTCAACTGTGCTGGATGGATTTCAGTGAACTGGTGAGATTTATGACCGAGAGGCTTGGGATGTGGACTATGGGCAGACATTCGAAAGTACCAAGTCGAGTTGGTAGTATTCGTCTGAATTCGATCTGACAGGAGACAAGTGTCAGAGGCAAAGCCAGTAACTCTTGTTCATAGCAATGTCTGCCTTGAATTATATCTAACTGACTTTTCTTGCGCCAACATATCTTTAACAACTCAAAAATCGAGCTCTCTTCCAATCTAGCCTCCTAAACACTTCGGCAAATGAGCCACCCCTTTCTAAGCAAAATCTCGCTTCTAAATAGAACCAAATATATCCTTCCCAACTACAACCTCGCCCTCCCATCCCCCCTCCACCCCGCCTCCGCAGCAATCATCTCCGCAGCCCTCTCCCCAATCGCCAAAACAGTCAACATAGGATTAACAGTCGTCATCGCCGGAAACACCCCCGCATCCGCAATCCGCACCCCCTTCAGCCCTCTAACCTTCAATTCCGGATCCACGACCGCCATCTCATCGTTGCTCGCGCCCATCTTCGTCGTCCCGGCTGGGTGGTACACGGTATGTGCCACTCTCCGCCCGTACTCCGACAGCTCGGCGTCCGTTTGGATGGCTGGGCCCGGGGCGACTTCTTTCTTGATCCAGTTGCAGAAGGGGGCCGTTTGGGCGATTTCTCGTGCGGCTTTTAAGCCCGCTACGATGGTGGCGGCGTCGTAGCCTTCGGGGTCGGTGAAGTATCTGAAATCTAGCGCAGGCTTGACGCTAGGGTCTGCGGAGGTGAGATATATCCTTCCTCTGGAACGGGGGCGCGGGATATTGGGCGTCATGCAGAAAGCGTTTAGGGGGGCCTCGTATCCGAGTCTGGCGGTGTTGAGGCAGAAGGGGATTTGGTAGCAATGCATCATTATATCGGCGATTGTGCCGTCTGGTAAGTGTTTGGGGTTGAGGAATGGGTCTGAGTTGGAGGTTGCGGCGTTGGCGATCTCGCGGCGGAGGAAGATGCCTGCGTCTGAGTCCATGGTGGTTTGGGGTGGGATTGGAGCGTTGAGTTCCCACATTATGATGCTTTCGGGGTGGTCGAGGAGGTTTTCTCCTACGCCGGGTAGGTCGTGGACTACAAGTATAGAGAGGTCTGATAGTTGCTTGGAAGGACCGATTCCTGATAATAGCATGAGACGGCAGGTATCGACGGCTCCGGCACAGAGGATGGTCTCGGTTTTGGGTGAGATGGTAAGTTTGGTGCCAGACTTTAGGGTGATGTTTACACCTGTCACGGTCTTGGACGAAGAGACGTTGATCTTGCTCACCCAGGCATTGGTAAGGACTGTGAGGTTTGGTCGGTTTTCTTCGCCGCGTAGGATGGGATGAATGTATGCCACTGAAGCCGAGCTTCGATTTCCATCATCTGGGTTATAGGCAATAGAGAAGAAGCCTACACCCTGCTGTAAACTACCCGTCTCTTTGATCTCCTTGTTGAAGTCTTTCAGGACTGGGATGTTCATGGAAGTGGAGCACGACTCTATCCAGTCTTTGCAAACTTGGTTGCGGTGGCGGGGGTGCACTGGCTGGATTTGGTTGCGCAGGTTGTCTATGAGGCGCATCATGGTCTTGAACCCCCAGCCTCTGGCTCCCATGCTCTCCCATATTTGACAGTCGTATTCGAACGGTCTGAATGAGATCAAGGTGTTGTGTGATGAACAGCCACCTAGAACCTTAGCTCGAGAATGTCTGATATGTGAGTTACCTGAAGTCCGTTAATAATGGGTTTGATATTTGTAGCTTTCCTCCCTACCATTGGGTTGTTCTACGGTGCCATAATCGTAATCTAGGTCACCTCCTAGCAGGGTAAGCCAGTCTTTAAGCTTCAACACTTTTTCATTGTTAAAATCGCTTGGACCAGCCTCAATCATGAGAATCTTCTTCTGTGGAAGATACTCAGACAGCCTGCTTGCAATGACACAACCAGCCGTCCCACCGCCAACAATGACATAGTCAAAATCCTTGACTTGAGAGGAAGAGAGGAAGTCTGTAGTCATATTGAATGCTTGACTTATAACTTAGGATTGACATCCAAGATTGGTTGGATTTGCAATTACAATTGCTTCGTACGAGTGCGTAGCAGACTTCTTCGATTTATAGAAATATTTTTACAAGCTTGGATCCCCACATTCGCCGATAAGGATAAGATATAGTGAAGGGAGCTTTATCGAGGACAAGGACAAGCCCAAGCAGGAGTAGGTGTAGGTGTGCGGGATCAGAGATGGAGGGGCCGGATGCACCTTCTTGCTTAAGAAGAATGGATCGATCTCCTTAGCTGGGAAAGAATGATGGACGGTGAAAGCAGAGTCTGATGAGATACGAGTTTTCTCCGGTTCCTGAGACCGGCCCGCCACCATTCATTCTTGGTATTCTCTTCTCTTGCAGCCTTGTATTCGCAATTGGGGCGAAAGGTGACGGTCAGCCAGCATGCGCTTGGTAGGTTTCGTTAGGTAAGGTTTATGCTGGCTGGTGGTGATGGAATTTTTTCGGTGTGAAGTTTGTTACTGTAGTCTATGTTCAAAAGACCGGGGTCCAGCTCCACTCCTGACTCGATTGACGAGTGACAGCTCAAGTCAAACTGACTAGCGCAGCACCAGTGGGATGGAAAGCACACCAAGGAGAGAAAGGAAAGCTTTTCCATAGCGACAGAGAGTCAAGAGCCGCGCTCCATCTTGCGGCCAGCCCCGCGCAACACAAGGATACCGTCGGATCCAAGATAATGATTGCGTGACATCGAAAACTCTGGTCCAAAAGTCTTCCTTGTTAGGCAGATAATTCAAGAGCCACCATCTGCACGACCCGAATCGCGTATTGGGGATCCGCTTTCCCGTCTCGGGACGTGGACGCTGAAAACTCTCGGCTTGCACATATTCGGATCATAAAATTACCATACCCCACTTCAACACATAGTACCTGGCGTACTACTGTGCCTCTTTCCTTTTGCTTCAAGACTAATTACCATATCTCAAGAAGCACACTCGACGGTGTGAGAAAGATCAGACCATGATGTCCTCCTACGACGCCCAACAACTTTACTACGACGGCAAAGTCCAGAGGGCTACTTCGGGCAAGACTTTCACCACCGTCGACCCTTCAACAGCCAAACCTCTAGCAGAGGTACACCAAGCTGCTCCAGCTGATATCGATGCTGCCATAGCCTCAGCAAAGAAAGCTTTCCCATCATGGTCTCAGACACCTCCCATTATCCGTTCCCGCATCCTCCTAAAAGCCGTGGAGCTACTTCGGTCACGAAATGACGAGATTGCCAAAATAGAAACCCACGACACTGGCAAAGCCTTCTCAGAAACCAGCACAGTCGATGTGGTCACCGGCGCCGACGTATTAGAGTACTTCGCCAACCTCGTCGCCAGCGGCGGACTCAACGGAGAAACCACCCAACTCAGACCAGATGCCTGGATTTACACCAAGAAAGAAGCTCTGGGCGTCTGTGCCGGCATAGGAGCCTGGAACTACCCTATCCAGATCGCATTATGGAAATCAGCACCTTGTCTGGCGGCAGGAAACTGCATGGTCTACAAACCATCAGAAGTCACGCCCCTCCACGGTCAAGTCCTAGCTCAGATCTTCACTGAAGCCGGTGTCCCTCCCGGAGTATTCAACATCGTTCATGGCGATGGAGCAGTGGGCGGCTACCTCACTTCTCATCCCGGAATTGCCAAAGTGAGCTTCACAGGCCAAGTCTCAACCGGTCAAAAAGTCGCAGCATCATCAGCCGGAGGGATGAAGTACGTAACCATGGAACTCGGCGGCAAGAGTCCATTGATCATCCTGCCCGGCACAGAAGTCGAAAACGCAGTCGATGGAGCCATGATGGCGAACTTCTTCTCCACAGGTCAGGTCTGTACCAACGGAACTCGAGTCTTCGTCCCAAAATCCATGAAAAGCTCCTTCGAGAGATTACTCCTTGAGAAAATGTCCTGTATCCGCTCCCTGGCGCCCATGGATTCAAACAGTAATTTCGGCCCCCTCGTATCGGAGATCCATTACAAGAAAGTCCTCTCTTACATCCAACATGGAATATCCGTCGACAAAGCCAGACTCCTTCACGGAGGAGCAACGAAACCTAAAACCATCCCTGCAGGCTATGAAAACGGCTTCTGGGTCCAACCAACGGTCTTCACAGATTGCACTGATACCATGAAGATCACCACAGAAGAGATCTTCGGACCAGTGCTCTGTATCCTTCCTTATGATACGGTGGACGAAGTCATTGCCAGAGCAAACAACACCAAGCTCGGCCTCGCTGCGGGAGTATTTGGCAAAGATGTGAACAAATGCCATGAAGTGATTAGTAAGTTGGAAGCGGGCATAACGTGGATTAACACCTGGGGAGAAAGTCCCGCTGAGATGAGTGTGGGAGGTTGGAAGATGAGTGGTGTGGGTGTGGAGAACGGGAGGAGGGGATTGAATGCCTGGGTCAGGGAGAAGAGTACGTTGGTAGAAGGGAGTGGGATCGTGGGGACTGTGTTTTCGAAATTATGAGTTGGGGGAAAGTGATGAATGCATGATTTGGCGTATGGAGGGAAAAGAAAGCTTTGCATATATATACATAGAAAATGGCGCTCGGGTAGGGAATCCTAGAATTCACTTGGTACTCAACTTGCTCATATTTTCCCACAGGTCCTAGAACAATCTCAGCCGGTTTTGCTCCTTCGATTCGTTTCGTCATTTCTCGTAATCATTCGCTATGCTGCTTGGTGTACGAATCGCTCATGAAACTTTCAAGAAGCTCTTGAAAGTTTTCTCCGTCGTCCAGTACCTGTATCCTATACAATTATTCTCGTACAAATAGTTTCCGTATCGTCCTAGTCCTCGAAATAGCGAATGACTCATTTAGCAGGCTTATTTCCACCCAAGCACGAATCCATCGGGTTAACGGCATCGTCCCTATATCCCTCATTAGCAACCCGTCCAAAAGTGCCAACCCATTTCCAAAAATTCCAACGTCTCCAACAACCAAGTAGTCTTGACCATCACATTAGTTCCATCAAAGACAAAACTTACTTCGACTCAGGATAAACCTTAAACAAGCTCCACTCCTTCTTAAAGCTCGTCACGAAGCCCTTCACAACCTCCGCCTTCGGCTCCTTAAACTCCATCCACAGCTCCTTCGGTCCTACATCTTCCTGCTTCAACTTGATCACATGAATCACGCCCCATTTCTCCCAGTAGAACAGTCGCGCCACCGTGCCTGGTGTGATGCACCAGCCTGCCGGTCGACGAACGTCTTTCCTGGGTTCGAAACCGACGTACGTAGAGCCCGTGAGACGAAGTTCTCCGGTTTTCGAATTCGGGCCGGTACGACCCTCCCACTCGTACTTTTTGCCTGGTTGTGGTTGTGTTAGTGGGTTTTAAATGTCCGGAGAAGCTGGGGACTCTTACCATCTTCTTTGATGAACTTGACTCGGTGTACAGGGAAGTGTGTTAGGAAAGCGGATGGATTAGGCGTGTTTGGGACGACATATCGACCAATGGGTAATGTGCCTCCTGGAATAGTGTGGGCAGGTGTGATTTGAGTCTTAGCTAATGGGGGTGCTACATTATTAGTAGGGGCAGGTACAGGAGTTAGAGGGTTAGGGGAATTGTCCGGCAGCTTGTGGGTGATTGTCTTGTCCCCCGAAGAGCCGTTACCGGTCCATTCCATTGGCTGGACAGGATCGTTAAACGGAGTGTATTGCTGGCGAGCCTTCTTCTGAGCATAACCTCCTCCTGCTCTCGGTCCAGTTGGAATAGTCCGGTGATTGTCCTCCGTGCCCCGAGACATTGTATTCGGGGGGCTGACGGAACGTCCACGCTTATTACCTTGTTGATAATTGCTCCAATTCCTCGGACCGCTTGGTGGTTGACGTGGTGGGGATCGGGAGCGGGCCCTATTGTAAAAGCTATCTCGCCTCGGGCTAGGTGGACGGTACATGGAGTACGAACGGTTGTCATTATAGCCGTTAGCCTCATAGGCAGGACGGTAGCAATTGTCCCGATCGGATTGGTATCGTGGTGGTGAACGAGCACGCGGTGGCGATCCAGCTCTTCGCGGTGACCTGTCTCTCGTGCGCCAAGCATCTCCACCCCATCCTGAGGACCTCTCACGATACCGGTCTTGCGAACGGCTCCTTAGAGGCAATGCGGTGACCTGTTGATTAACAGAATCTCGGGGAGCTGGCTGTGCATTACCAACAGCCGCAGCTGCAATTACAAGACTATGTTCTCTCGCCGTCTGAGAGAATTAGCTTTTGACAATCTCGGCGGACATTAAACATATCTTACCTCGAACAGCTCATCTTTGACCTTAGCGTCCTCCTGATTTCTCTTGAACTTGATATCAGCCTTATCGCTCTTGAACTTGACAATGATCTCTTCGCCCCTAGAAGTAAACGCGTCAATCATGTTAGTACGAAGACCCTCATGCTTCTTCCTCAATGCCTGCATAGCGGCATCTCTCTCCGCAACCCTGTCAGTCTTCTCTCGCGCGTGACGTTCTTGAAGAACGCGTAGTTCCTCCGCATGTCGAGCAATCAAAGCCTTCGTCTTCTCCTTCTCGTCGTCCTCCAGCTTCTTCAAAGCTTCTTGTGCGTCGTTGTCGTAGACCCTAACCTTCTTCTCCTTGTCCTCCTCGAGCTTGGCTTGATCCTCTTCAAGCTTAGCCGCCAATTCAAGATCTTCTTTCTTGCGACGACTCTCAACGACTCTGATATCAGCTTCCACCTTCCTGTACCCCGTGCCGTTGGAGTTCTCCATGGTTGTGTTGCGTTTCGGGTTTTGGTGGCTTGTTTTGTTTTGGCGTTGAGGTCTAGCGAGGTGGAGGTTGAAATATCGAAAAGATTATCTAGGTAGCCTCGCTCCTTCCTCACGTGTTATGAGCAACTCAGAAAGCAGAGTAGCCCCAAAAGAGCCGAACTTAGCCTCGTATCAAGTTGAATACATACTAGATAACAGATGAAAGGACAGACAGTAAGAAGATCGGATGAAAGCACCACGTTTGTTTACTCGAGCTGCTGACTTCCAAGATTCTTGTCATAGGGACAGGGTGTTACATATGCTATTGAACTATTACCAGGACTTTTTGCATAGCAGGAACACAAAAGTGGCACGGGAAACTAAGAAATAGCTCTGCACCATCTGCACCATCTTCAAGAAGGACGGAATTGAATAGTCAAACTATGGTCTTCATACAAGCTGATGCACTGTCCAGCATGGGGAAAGAACACATCAGCCTATGCTTTGACTCTAGAAAAACAAGAATTCCAAAGCCAGTGAACAGACCACCTAGTGATAACGCTATTGCCTGCTTTTTGGCCTCCAAAACACCCACTATTCCCTGTGTTTCAGACAAGTCATCAATGAAAGCACAGCTTTATCTCTCCAAAGCTCAAAATGAAAGTGGACATAATCTAGAGCCGGAGTCGTGTGGACTGGTCCTTTCTCTGTATGCTTCTAGCCCAGCTGGCGAGGTCCTTGGTATGATTAGCTATGCTAAGTGAATCAGATAAAGTCCATAAAACTTGCCTTGTCTGCCCTTTGCAAGCGTACCCCAGAACATTCCAATCGTCCGAGAAGTCGTACAAATGATTTGTAGTGCCTGGGACGAAATTGAATGTACAAGGTTCGGCCTGTGCTCCATTCAATCTTGATGGAAGAAGCATGTTGGTCGTGGCAGATTCGATAGACGTTGCGGCTATTGATCTTGGGAAACCACTTGGAGGATACCTTATCTGAATTGCTGCTTGACCAGTACGAGAAGGATATGGACAATCCGCCATCATCAATCTCAGCAATACAGCATTTTACACCGCGTTTTCGTATAACCCATTGCCTGAATCGCGAATCGGATAGTTCATCTTGGCCATCCACAGCGAAGACTTTGATGTAGAATTTGCGGGGATGGGCCAGGGGTTTAACAGGAATGTAGATTTCTGGAGTAGACTGCGGCGTGAAAAGCGTTGTAAGGTGTCCCCCTCGCAAATTTGTCTGCGAAGAGGATAACTTAGAATGGCTGAACACCTGGCTACCATTGTATGGGTTTGATTTCTGCTTGCAGGAGTAGCTTTGACGACCGTGTCCGCCATGAGATGCCAGTCGACTGCTCGTCTGCAATTTCGCGAGTCGAGCAGCGTTCCATACTTGCCCATCAACTTCTATGACACTGTCGTCGATGTCTTCTGCGGTGGTGGTATGTTCTTGGTTCATACTCTTGCAATCATTATCCGCGAAGCACTGGTATTGTTGCTGCTTTTCACTTGTCTTGTGTCCGCGATGTTGACCAGGAGCCTGGTACTAGATGCCGAAAGGTCTTCGTTAGTATGCTAATTCCTAGATCCGAAGGGGTCAGGTAGAGAAAGTCGGAGATGTGGTTGCTAGCAGGAGACCACATGAAAGAATGAGAGACTCACCATGTAGGGATTATAAGCAGGCTGTCCTGTACTGGATTGAAATTCATGGTAAACAGTCGGTCCTGCACCGGGTGGAAAGTTCCCCTGGTATGCGGGATTTAGGCCACTTGCGAATGGCCCCCTTAGCCCTGCGTGCTCTCCTTCCCGTGGAGGTTGTCTAATACCGATAGGATTTTGAGGACCTGGGACGTAGATGGTGATAGGGGCGTTGTAGCAATAGAAAGCACTTCCACTGTTTATTTTACACTGTCCATAAACATCGTTGACTTGGTGTGGTTTCGCTTGACCTGCTATGGCTGGAAATGCCACATATTCTGGTGGATTGCCGTTATCTAGCTGCGCACCTAGCTGCGCCATCTTGGAGACTTTTGAGAAAGGATGGATCGCAAGAGAATGAAAGGCACGGACTTTTCGCCCACGGCTCTCTGACAACGCTGTTTGATGATGCCTGCGAATGGAGCACTGATCGTGGATCAGACTGTTGAAATATGAATGGTATCAATACAGAAAGATGGTCAGATTTATACTGATCTTGAGAGTCGAATGATGTGAAATCGAAGACACTGTACGAAGGACGGTTGAGTGAGAATAGGTAAGGAAGGTAGAGCAAGAAGGGAAGGAACGAGAGAGGCTATAACTTCAAATATGGGGAAGGAGCCGTGCTTCGTCAAGCTCTATTCTATCTCGGAAAGACTCTGAACTCCAATAGATCAAGGATCACGCTGGCTGAACCATACAAAATGTAGACTCGAATTTTGACTCCTTGAAGATTATGCTCTTTACGTTCAGAACTTATTGCTCAAGCAACAGTTATCGAGCAGATGGGAACCTTCTGGACCTGCGAAGAAGCTGTGGTGCCACCGAACTCTATAGTGTGCAATTCCATAATGATATAGCATAACAAAGACAATTATTATCAAGTTTAACGAGACAGCATGGACTGAGCCGGCGTAGCCAACTGAGGCTCTTGCCTTGGAGCAAAATGTGCACCACCGTCACACGAACAAATCAGACGTGGACACACGAAGACTCGACCCGGATAAAACATTTGTAATGGAGACACGAATCAAAGAATGCAAGATTATCATGAAGAAATGTCCATTGCTGAAACATTTTCATTACTTACAAACAGTAATACACCGCATGTTGAAATGGTATCATCCCATTCTGCCAAAATAGCCATTATTACGCCGTAAGCAATATTTAGTCGTGTCTGCACCCTTGATGTCCCGCCGGTACGCCATGCTAAAGACAAGACCCCATGCTTGATCCACGCAATGCAATTCTCGGAAATGTGACCACAAGCCGCAACCATATGTACGGGGATGCAAAGTTAAGTATGAGTGCGGATTTGGTGTCTCTGTACCTAGAGACAACTATAGGAACACGCCAACCCATTTCTCCTTGCTCTTCACATCACTATGGCAGTCCTCAATATTGCAAGTAAGAATCTTAGCCTTCTTGCCAGTAGATTTCTCTACTTCTCGGAACTGTACCGAATCGTGCTTAGAAGCCTGTTGCCGAAGTTGATAACACTTGTTGCAGTAGACCTGTAAATCATATTAGCAAATGAATCAGAGAAGAGAAGAGTTGGGGGAGCTCCATACATGACCACACTCCTTTATAACCCAGAAAGGATGCTCCTCTCTATCTTTCCGCGTAGGTGCTCTGCCACCCTTCTTCACAGGAGGTTCCTCGTCTTCCTTCCGGTGTACCAACTCCTCTTCACAACTGGGGCAAATTACAATATCTTCGTCTTTTGGAGATCGGGTGAAGCCTGCTGGGACGGGTGAAGGAGCGACATGATCAGGCTTCCGCTCTGCAAAAGCTGCATTTTGGTAATTCATCACCCCGGGCATTGCTTGCTGATTTCCAAAGTGGTCATGGTAATGCATGTGTATTCCGAGAAAGTCGCGCAATGCACCTGGCATTACAGCACCTCCCAAGTTCCCAATATGATTGACGGCTCCAGTGATGTATCCGATAGCATGAGGAGAAGCAACCACGCCGCCGAGATGGCCATGTTGCGGTCGATTGGGCACAAACAGAGGTGGCGAATGATTCCTGTGAGGAGGTTCACGGCGTACAGGCTGTGGTCGTTGTGGTCGTTCCACAGCACTCTCCCTGAGAATAACAACATCTGAACTATCTTCTGTAAGATCTATCAGATCTGACATGTCCTGTAATCGGGAAGCATCACTTCTGCCGAGGTGCGGAGGTCTCGAGGCTCGATTACGGCTCGCATTTCGTGGGGAGGGTACAGGTGCCTCTTCGACATCGTCTGTAAGGTCGATAATGGTTTGCGATTGCCTGTGCTCGAGTCGAGGTCGTTGAGACTGTGATGCCTCCGCCATTTCCACCGAACTTCGCTGCGAATGATTGTGGTTGTTGTGCGGGTGAGAGGTTCGACGGCGAAAGAGGGAGGGAAAATCGTTGGAAGGTGCAGAGGGACCTGCGCGACCAAAGAAGTTTGAGGCCGGCGAGTCTCCAAAAATGGGCGAAGGAGAAAGGGTTGCTTGTGACATTTCGGTGAATGTTCGCTGTGGAGGTGAAATCACGTTAGCATCATCATTAGAGGGCCGTAGACTGTGGTTTGGCAGGTGGGTCTAAAATACCTTGTGGCGTTGTCTTCCGTCCATAACAAACGGCTTCAAAGAGAGTGAAAAATCCCGAGACTCACGCAGTACCCAAGAATGCGATGAGCTTTCAACTCGACTGTGCACTGGAATGCGTGGTGGGCGCGAAAATGGGTGTGGTGTTGTTGATGTAGGAGTGGAAGTGCTTCGGAGCAAATCAGAGTATCTGTTAGCGGCCCCTCGCTTGAACGTGTTATATCCGAAGTTTGCCTTCACCTCACTTTTGTAGTACCTGTCAGCCTGCTATGGATTTCTCATGAATATAATAATTATTCATCCAAGCCTACCGGTCGTAGGTAACAGTGAAGAATAGAGTATAGAAAGAATATTCGATTTCGATCGCAGGATAACCTCGGCCTTTTTCACAAAAACAAAAACACTCCTATCATTCACAAAGAAATGTTTAACTTTGTTTCGATAACATGAAGAAAAAGAAATGCCATGCACATAATGTACCTAGGTAGCCTCTGGGTAAGAGTCATAGTCTTTTACTCGTGCACAGGCTGCAAAAAGTACTTGAAACGCCACTCAGCAGAAGCATCAACATCTACCCAACCTCACCGAATGCACTTTGCCTGCCTGGATGCTCTCAACGCAAGTAAATCTATCGAATGATGAGTTTATCAAGACAGATCAAGATTCGATCACGAGTAGATGGGTCCCTGATATAACTACCGTGAAGTATACAATCCATAAATCTGCATTGAATTCCTGAGTTCTTGGTATTCGCCGTTTCTAGAAGTACATTACATGCAACAAACTGTTCAGATTTTTCTTTTGCCAGAAGCCAGAATTGCAAAGCCCAAACTCCGTAATCTTGACTCATCCAAGCACAGTTACCACCCCATCGTTATTGACAGTGATCAGAGTCTTCGCCTCCGGACCCCACTCCACCGCAGTTGCTGGTACAGCTGTGCTGATGACATCTGACCATGACTTCGACGACTTGGTATACTGCGAGATAGTAAGACCCCTTGGTCCCGAGGCAGCAAGATACTGTCCTGTGTAATCCCATCGAATGCTGTCGACTTGTCCACCAATTTCCAAGATCTTCGCCTCGGCAGCCTTCCCCTCTTTTCGGAGATCGAACACAACAACGCTATTGGAGCCTTTCGCCACAGCTGCAAACCAAATACCGTTTTCCGAGAATGCAAGGTCCTGTACAGGCCCTCCCAATTCAAAGTTTGCCGCATTCTCTCCAGTTTTCACGTGAAACAGTTTGATCTGTCCATCAGCACCTCCAGCTGCAAAGAGATGTCCATCAGGGTGGAATGCCGCTGTAGTTAATTCTAGAATAGAGTTAGCAGCTACAAGATGAAGTAAACTGGGAACTGCTTACCTGAGTCAGTGTTGACTTGAGTGACAGCCTTGCCTCCTGGTAGATCGTAGAAAACGAAGCTCTTGTCTACACCCACAGATGCAAGAATATCGCCACTAGGATGGAGAGCAATCGCATTTGCGCTGCCTGCATGTGAATTGAAGGTAATCTCGTCATCTCCGAAGACCTTAATGGCTCCAGAGGAAGTAGAAACCACAGGCTGTGCTCCATACCAGACAGCTCCCGTAACAGTGCTGCCTGCCTTGAAAGACTGCTGAACCTTGTTTTCCTGAATAGCATAGACGCCGACAACCCCATCGGATCCACCTACGATAGCCAGCTGACCAGATTCATCTACAGCGAGTGATGTACAGCCTGGGTATAGAGGTTCTGACTGAATAGCAACACCAAACTTCTCAATGACTTCTGAATCGGCCCACTCCTTAGGTACTGGTCGCTTTCGACGGCTCTTGGAAAGTCTGTTCGACTAGTTAGTAGGAATTTATAGAGGTGAGATATCAAAACATACTTCTCTTGTGTAGCGTCCACTTTGGCAGCAAGCTCCTCAGGAAGTCCTTGGCTGTCAATCTGCATAGCATCCCCATTGTTGGCGCCTCCACTTCCGATTGTGACTTTCGACAGCGCATCTCGGGCCTCATCGCGCTCTCTAGTCAGTCGCGCAATAACTCTAACCGCTGCATCATGCTGATAAAGTGCCGTGGCCAGTTCTTGTCTCGTCTGCTGGAGCTGTTGCCTTAATGTGAACGACTCGAGCGCAAGAGAGTCCCATTCGTTCTGGAAAGTCGACAGCAGAGATGGGATGGACGTCAGAGCTGGTGGTCGCGGAGTAACTATTTTGGCAGACTTGAGGTCGATGAGGTCTGTAATCTCGAGTTCCTCCCCATTCACTGGATCCTTGTGGTTCTCCGTGATATAAGCCTCGATCAAGCGCTTTTCGTAGACGGTGCCGGACTTCGAAGAAGCCACAGGGAATTGCGGAGCTTCACCAGATATTGCGCACAGCATTTTCAATTGTGTTGTTGACTGATCGCGTTCTGGCAGCCTTGTTCGCGCTTTTGGCAGATGTTGAAAATTATGGCCGATGGGGCTAGTCCAATTTGGGCTTTGGCGCTAATCAGTGTGGGATATGGGGGTTATCTTTGAGAATCGACTTCAACCCTCTCATTCTCTTCTTTATTATTCTCATAAATACTACTTTATTTCTCTCCCAATATGTCAGAATTTCAACTACCGCCAATTGAAGTTGTTCCCACTCTATCTACAATCGAGCGGTCCTCCATTCTCGATGCACTTTTCGAGCCATGTCAGGCGCTACGTACTCTCTCATTGGACGTGCTTCATACACAGAAATTTGATTCATACTTCGACTTGATTGCTAGTGTTGGAGTTCAGTTGACAGAGTTGTCCGAGAGTCCTTCCACAAGTGATACGGAATGGCTTGATCAAATTCTTGGTGCCCATCCAAGACTTGGCGAGAAGAAGGTCGATAGTGCCCAGTCAAAGGCCGAGCAAGCACAGCTGAATACTGGAGGAGAGGAGGAAGCTACCAAACTCAGAGAGCTGAATGCTGAATACGAGAAGACTTTTCCTGGCCTCAAATATGTGTAGCGTGCTCCATCACCCATACCAAGTAGGTGTGCTGATGTCACCGCAGTGTCTTCGTCGACGGCCGTCAACGTCCTCTTATAATGGAGGACATGCGTTCAAGGATTGACCGAGGAGATATCAAGTTAGAGAGAGCAGAAGGTATCAAGGTGAGACGATGTTTCGAAAACTTTGAATTATAAATCTGATTCACATGGATCGTAGGCTATGTGCGATATTGCAGCGGATCGCAGCGCAAAACTCCAACAACCATGATATGCACCGTATCCTCCCATGCCATCCGATGACCCAACCTAACCGTACCATTTTGTGGAAGACTGTTCAAATGTCCTACCCGCGGGCAGACGTACGTACATACATACAGCAAGAGCAAGAACCATGCAATGGAAGATTACCCAATACAAAAAACCATGTTGTCTTGAAGACCCCACTTTCCAAATTATCTTTCATCATTCTCTGATCTGCACAAACATACTCTCTCCTTTGCTATCCTCTCTCAGCATCTCAGCAAGGCTTTCTTCTGGTGGTGCCGGTGGAGTATCAGGCAAATCTTGTGGTGAAATCCCATCCAAGGCATCGAGGTAGTCGTAATCGTCACCCTCGCTGCAGTTGGTGGGATTCATAATGTTAAAGTCGCTGTAGATGGTGGACACCTTGTCAACGTCCTCGTTGTCTTCTTGGTCATAGATGTCGTCGTCCAAGTCCAAGGCATCATAGTTCGATAAGCCCAGTGGTGACGGAGGGAGAGGAAAGTCAAAGCATCGAGGTTTTTGCAGGACTATCTCACGCAGCGACAATCGTTCCCTGCTTCTCCTCTCCTGCTCAAGACGCATGAAGTCCTTTGCGGCGTCCATCCGTCTCCGTACTCGATTCATGATCGCAGCTTTCCTGAGCACGTTCTTGCCGTGTGCTTTGTTTTTCGCTCCCCAGACGGGGATCTTACAAAGGCCACGGTTTGCGATGTTCGACGCCGGTTCGGAAAATGGACGACTGAGACGTGATGTGATGAGATGTAACCGGAGACGTCTCTTCTTCCGGCCTTCTTTTCCTTCACCGTCGACATCAGATAGTGCTCGGCGTCGCTTGAAGGGCCGATGCAGCGGGATGGGCGCTGACAACGGCCAGTCGAAGGACAATTTCAAAGAGGAGCCGGCCGAGAAGGTGAAGGTAAAAGTCTCTGTAGCGGTCTCTTTGCTTCCAAAGCTGTGTATCATGCTCACGTGTGATCGTGTGCTCGAAATGGTTTCCCGTCTTGTTGTCCAGAACCCCATTAGATGGGCGATTTCATCTCCTCCACGAAAAATAAGACCTGGTCCCTCTCACTCATTTGGCGATGCGGGGTGGGTTTTCCGTGCAGCTCTGGCAGGTGATGTTTTCGAAACCGACAAACAACAACACCTGAAGAAGACAGAATCGAATCTCGAGAAAGGAGGAGGAGAAGAGGAGGCTTATGGCAGACGCTGGCTGAGGCAAAACATCGCACGCACCAGCACCCTGACTTGGCTTGACTCGACTTGGCTTCATCTCATCCCGCACTTCCACAGCCATGGCCATTTGCGGGGAAACAGTTTTTTACAGGGAAGCCTGCAGCATGCACTTAGCCAATCCAGATCCTTGGAATTGGATCACGAGCGCCTCCAAAAAGCTTTTGTCGTATGCCTCTGCCAGCGCTTCCTATTGGCGCAGCAGCCCTGTTTGACCCTGTGTTTCCTCACCTCTGCTGGGCCCGCGACGACCATTGGGTGGCCATGGGCAGTAGGTTAAGTCATTGGTGTGCTTCGTGGCGGTGCTGCCAGAATTTCGCTTGTCGTCACCCTCGCTCACGGTCTCCCTTCGCTCGGCGAATGAAGTCCTTACCCATTTTAGGCATTGCATTGGACCATATTGCTTCTTTGATCAAATTTTTACGTTTCCATGAGGCTGACTGGCGCCCGGTCTGCAAAGTTTTCGCTGGAAAGGCTGAAAGGCCCTTCGCGACAGCAGCACGATTTTCCAAAAGCGCTCACGCCAGCTCAGGGGATTTGCAGGTGATCTGCGTTTCTTCATGCGCATTAATCATTTTGGATCCTGGTTGGACCGGGGAAAAACTCTGCTCCAGCGATGGATCTGGACGGGACCCTGGCTTTTCTGGGGATTTCTTTGCTCTTTCGGTTCTCAGATCGGAGATGAGGCAACAAAAAGCTTTGGAACACTGGTGGAAGGATGGAAAAGCTTCTAGCAATCCCAGCGATCCCAGATCCAGTTTCACCGCTCTTCATCTCCTGCTGCTGATGTGAGGCATTTTGGCCGGTGGCCGGTCCCAGCAGTCAGGTTGAAGGATCGAGATGGGCGTTTTGGAAAACTCCGGCGACTTCCGAACTGGCCTGTCTGTGGAGAAATCGATGACTTGGAGCAATGACTTGTCTCTTTTCCCACATGTCCTCTTTCCACGAATGGTCTGACGCATGAGACATTTCACCTGCCCAATGATACATTTCGACGACCATCTACTTGGCCGGACCTGAGACGGAGTCCAATGATGTGAAAGACATCTTGAAAATGTGCTTTTTGGCCCCCATGACAAGAAAGGAGAGCTTCCACCACCAGCAATTGGCCAGCGACACACTTCCTTCAGCTCATGTATTATTCTCGAAGCTTGTGGCACTCGATCATACCTAGAATATGTGCTTTATAAGACACTTTCCTTGTCCCTGATTACTGATACATTCAGACTGCTACTTTATGGACGAGAAAATGCTGGGGGTATACTTTTTCATTATTTCAGACGCTGATGGTCTTAAAGACGTTAAAAGCCTCGCCGGTACCAACTAAACAACCAGGTATCTGAGGATGGAAATGCAGTTCCTTCACCTTCTCCATGTAATGGACGAACAGAAGTTGAGGAGGAACCTCTGTCACACCACCAGTATCCTTACTCTCCTCGTCATCAAGTTCCACTGCCAAGTCCCATAAAGTCAGGGTATCGTCACCAGCAGCAACTGCCACGATACTGTCGTCTGTCGGATGCCATTCCACGCTAGTAATCTGCTCCTTATGGAAGTTGAAACTGGCAACTGGCGTTGGTTTTGCTGGTGTAGATGAGGCGGTGTTAGGTTTCCACTGACGCAGATCCCAGACCGCCCAAACACCATCGTCAGCCCCTGAGGCAAGCAAGTGCGTGGTTTGGTGAGACCAAGACATCACGTTCACATCCGTATTGCTGACTTGGACGCTGAGAGCCGCGGTTCTGCTTTTGCTCCGCACATCCCAGACCTTGATAGTACCATCGCTAGACGCTGAGGCAAAGACATTCCGTTCCGAGGGACTCCATTGAAGTTCTTCGACACTGCCTTCGTGGCCAGTAAACGGACGCGAGTCCGTAACCCATCCTTCTCCAGCTGTTCTTGTGGTGACGAATATCTTCCCATCATTATCTCCGGTTAGGAGTTTGCCAGTCGACACGAGAGGTGACCAGTCGACAGCATAGCCTTCTGATTTATGCATTCGAAGCGTAGATAATGGTTTGTTTTGTTGAGGGGTGATTATTGTGCCGGGAGTATCGAAAGATGCGAGATGAGGAGTGACATCGTGGATCAGAACCTGGCCTGCTTCTGTCATTGAAGCTGTGAGAGTTGTAGGAGGTCGAGAAGAGTCTGATGCAGGAATTTGGTGGGCACGTATCCGGTTCGTAGCTGATGTGAATGGTATCGATGCAGACTCGAGAATTGGATCTGCGTCTTCATCCTCATCATCTGAAGAATCCTCCTCGTCATGCTCTCGGTCCATTCTACTGAGCCCACTAAACTTCATGACCATCAACTGGTTCTCCTTCTCTCGTCTGCTCTCTGCTTGGGTTCCAGCAACAGCATACATCGTGGCGGGGTAGGTTTTCCGGTTGTCACCCAAGCTATCCTTGACAATATCAAAAGACAGACAAGGCCATGGGGTGCTCAGTGCATGGAGCATCTCGTATGTGGATAGATCTGGTGAGAGTGTTTGACCCGGTTCCAGTTTGTTCCTACCAACTATGAATGTCTGCTGGTCTACATCCATGGCTTCTACAATAGAATTAGCAAAAGTTCCACAGCTATGCGCCCAGACTTGAATATGCTTCCATATACACTCACCAGCTTTCTCTTCCGCCTCTCTCTCTGCATCGGGTCTGCCATCTACTCCAGCCTCCAATATCTCATCCTCGCTCTCATATTCGTCCTCGAATTCATCCTCAAACTCCCCCACCTCGTCCTCCAATCCAGACTTTTCTGGCCTCTCCCCGCTCTTCAATGACACGCCACCATTTTCTTGATCGTCTGCTCTTCGTTTCGACATGATGACAAAGTATTCGTAAAATTATGCGCGAGGTTGAAAGACCAGAAATATTTTGTGTTCCCCTCGATTTTTTTCCCTTATCGAATCCTAATCGTACAATTTTTTGGGGCGGCCGCATTTTAGCGTGGAAACCTTGAATTCGATTCAATCAACAGGAGCTGGACGGCAGGCAATCTTCTTGCATCTCTAGCACCACGAATGTAAGGGCACAATGCTGTATGAACTCATTGCTGTTGTAAGTATCTCGAATCACAGTTCCAGGGAAGTGCTGACAAGATCCAGGTCCGCCCAGGAAACCTCTTAGAGGTTAAGGAGTACATTTCCCCCAATATTCTTACTTCTCACGGTCATCGATACTAACACGATGCAGAATTGCTCGTACGGCCGGAGCGCTCATCCTAAGAAACGGTGGCACGATAAGAGGGATCAAGAACTGGGGGGTATGGAGTCTGCCAAAGAAAACCCGGAAGCATCAAGCACAATACACGGACGGCCATTACTGGATTATGCGATATGACGCTTCTGTATCATGCTCGAAAGAGGTCAGGATGACTCTAGGCTTGGACCCTCGAATGATCAAGTTCAGCACAGTGAAGCTGGGGGATGGTACACTGTCGAGTTTGAGTAAATTAGGAGGCGACATAATATGGAGAGAAGGCCGGGCTCATTGAGATGAATGCTAGATGGGAGGTCATATGTATACTAGGGCATTGCATGGCGCCATGGGGCTTGATATGTGAGGAGTGTGTAGACATGGTCTGAACTCACTACTTGTAGAATATGGCGCAAATCTGTATTGTTCCGTTGTCATAAGATCATGATATTCTCGTGCCGAATGCAAATCTAGACCTAGGGTTGTACCTAAACGCCGTCCGTGTGCAGCCCGCTGAGGAAAAAGAGACATGAGCAAAGAAGATTGCCTGGAAAATGTTGTCTAACATCTCTAGTCAGTCTCCATTGATTCCGGTACATCGCCTCTCTTCTCCTTTGCATAGACAACAAAGTCATCAATCACGCCTGGCCAAGCGCCATCTTCACTCCAGAAGCTCAGACTCTCGTCCTCCATGGTCTTCTCAAAGAATACGAAGGTTTGATTCCACATATCCTTGTTGACAGACTTAGTCCATTTAGCCTTCAAGAATTCCATCCAAAGATCTGCCCAGTTTGTGGAAGCGGTGACCCAGGGCTTTCCAGGTAGGCTGAATAATAGCTCCCAGTATACCAGAGCGTTCTCAAGCGAGAGGGCTTTCTGTCCTTTGTCCTTAGCGCAGATGAAGGTGTGTCTGTAAACTTTCTTGAACAGAGAAATATCGGACTTAAGGTTCTTGATCTGTCCAGCCACATATGACTTTTGCTTGCTTATAGTATCCGCTCTGTCGGATGAATTAGTAAAATATGACAAACATGAAGAAAAGTAATTACCCAACAGCACTCCAACCATCGACGAACCCTTGCTTTGAAATCTCCCCCAATGATGGTGCCTGGATGATTTCCAGCGCGACAAGCGCTTCCGCATTCTCAAGGTTGACACCCAAATCGGTTAGATAGCTCATGGCACCCTCAACACCCACTGTATCCCTCTCATCGGTCGATGCTGGGAAGTGTCAGTCATGTCAGGTCAAGTCTTAGTATTCTAACTGACCTCGATACTTCTCGAACATCTTGGCTAAAGCGTCCTTATTGTTTGGAACAACAGCATTTGCGTCTCCAGAAGAGTAGAAACTATATTTGACTTCATTAGCTTCTAATCTATCATGAAATGTACATTGTAGAAGGAGGACGCATTTGATCCAGCTGTAGATTCCTGAAGCAGGGACTTCAGTGCTGAGGTATCCTAGGACAGTAGATAAGTGATCAGGTAATAATATCAGTGACCCTCGAGGGACCGATGTCGAAGAGCGTATGGACCGGACCGTCCCTAGCTGGCCACAGTTGAAGCAGAGTCTCCACCGGCCGCACTACGGTAGCAGTTCATGCTCAGATACCAGTCCATTGGGAGTTTTGTGTCCTTATTTGATAATACTGCGTCGAGTCTAAGGACCATACATCTAATGGAGGTGTTCGACTTCGCGAACCAGCGCAGTGTATCCTTCCTTCCCGGGCTGCCACACCACCAATGCACCATCTAGTTTGTCCGCACAATGTTCCGTCCCGCCCTGGCCGAAAAAGCGACAAGAAATCGACTGCGTTATATTCGAAGTGGGTTTCCTTTCCATGAATCGCATACCAAGGGACGATGTGTAGGTTTCCGATATCCTCGGTCGATTGATTCGTGAAAGTGGTGGCAGGTCTCGGCGTCCCGATCGTGTGCGCAGAAATGAATAAAGGCTTACCTATTGAGAGCCGCGTCTAACTTCCAGTTGGATTTCTTCAAGTGCTGTAAGTCATGTACTGTCAGCTACGTTGCGCTTTTCACGACGATTATTCAGGCAGTCAACTCACCCCCATAGCAAGTTTTTCTTGAGCACCAGTGACTGAGGAAAATTGGCTTATCATCGCCTTCTGGGCGCTTTTGCTCGTAGCCATGATGGAAGTCGGATCTGGTGCAGTAGGTGTTCAAGTGTGGAGTGGCGGAGGGAAGGAAGCAGTCGATTTAATCGTCGGGAGTTGGGAAGTTGAAATCAACAACAGCCTCCTCCTTATCATAAGCGAGAAGTTAGATAAGGCGGGGTCGTAGGAAAGGGGCTAGGGGGCTTCGCGTCCGCGTCTTTTTTTGAATCGAGGACAAGAAGACAAAAATGTTCACCATCCGATGTTCCGAGTCTTTGTGCTCGAGGTGTCAATACTTTCAAGTGCAAATTTATGCTGGAGTCGAGTTATCAACGACCGCAAAGAATTATCTCCGTCAATGAATCATATCTATACAACGCTAATCGAACGAACAACTACTGCTTCCTAAATCGAAGGCTACCAGGTGTCCACCTATGCAAAAGCAAGCATAGAGCAGATGCAACAACTCCCCAACGCCGGCCGAACGTCCCCCATACAAACTTATTCGCCCACCGGCATGCTCTCGAGCTCATCATGCAATTGCTTCCAGTTGTCGGCCTGAAGCTCAGAATACTTTACACGCTCTTGCGCCCAATCTTGATGCGTTCTGCTGACGTGGTATTGCGTTGATTGGAAATAAACCAGCTCATCTCGAATACATTCTTTCACGAATACTCCTCGAGCGTGTTGTGCGACGATGGATTCCTTGTCCTTGTTGACTGTCAGCTTGTTCGCACTCACGGGTTTGTTAAATCTTACCTTGATTATGGCATCGGTGACTTTTTCAATCTCTCCTGGCTTGACTTCTGGCTTTGCTCTAATAGCAATGAGCTTGTTCTCATTATTTTGTATCCTTCGCTCCAGCGCAGGAATGTTGTCCCGGTCATATCGATCTCTCCTATCGAACATTTCCCTTACGCTGACTAATGAGTCACGTTGCCTTTTCATATCTTCAAGCACACCTAGGTCCCAAGCTCGAGCCTCGTCCTCTAGGAGGCTCTGGCTGTTCGAAAGGTGTTTGGCGGTGGCATGAAGCCCTTCGTTAAGAAGTGGGCAGTCATTTGTGTCAGTGGCGTAAGTATCTTCCGATACATCAGCAAGAGATTGAAAGGAGAGCGAGAGCCGTAGTGAATCTGCCGCAAGACCTTCGTTGCGCTTGGTAAGCCGGTCCAGCAGGTTGCAAAGGTTGATGTAAACTTCTGCAGATCTACGAACCCCAGTTCGAGTCCTGTCAAAGAGATCATCCAAAGTCGGCGGCAAAGAATCTTCAAGTCCTGGGGGGAGAGATTTGCCAGTGAACTCTTCCTGTACTGATATTGTCGCCTGCTTGCGCCATACGGCAAGCTCCTGGTACTGATTAGCTTGGACTTAGCCCAAGCACTTCTTGCTCGAACGTAGGGGTTCAACATACCGTAGGAACTGTCAAAAACATGATAACCAATTGTTCTTGGCTGAGCACGGGATGTCGGACCAAAGCGTTCGCAAATCGCGCAAGCCCTCTTCGTCTCTTCTCAATGAAGGTACTATCGGCCGCAAGGTGATTACCGTTCACTGCCATGATCAGAATCGATACTGATAATAATCGAAGTAAAAGTGGACATACCTCCAACTCTCTTTGGTGGTAGAAGTGGTAAAACTCTGAAGGGGAATCGTTTGTGAAGGCAATCGAGGAGCCAGACAAAATCGCTATAACGTCTCACTACTTTGCTCCCTCGACGGGCACTTGCAACCTGGTAGTTATGATGCTGGAACATAAACATGCCCTCTTTCTCGGGCAATAGAGTTATGACCACAGTTTCTTCAGGTCCGCTCGTGACTCGACCACCGCCAAATGACCGAATGGGGTCCGGTGCAGGTCGTTCTCCCCCACCTCCTGAGCCATCATACCCACCATCCCCAATGGTTGTTTCCCCAGAGTCCCTGAAGGGCGCGCTCGAGCTTCCGTCGTACGAGCCCCAAACACCACTTGTGGGAGCAGACTGGTCTTCGGATGGTTGGCCAGATCTACCATTGGAACCGTCTGTAGAGGCTGTTGTGAAGTTGCTCGTGGTTCTTGTCGGCTCCCTACTTCCATTACTTGGCCTTGGTATGCCATTTGTTTGCGGGAGCGGTTCGTGGTTGTGGCCTTTATGTAACGCTGGGCTGGCCCATGGGTCAGCTTCCGGAAAGTCGAGTGAATTTCTCTTCATTGTACGAGGTCGTTGAGGTGATACCGTATTAGCCGCGGGAGGAGGTGGTGGTGGTGAAGCTGGTCTTTGAGCTGGCTTGGCTGCTAATTCACTCACTCCAGCAAATGCTGCACGTGAAGCTAAGCTCGGCAGATTTGGTTCTGGCAGATCTGAGATAATGTGAGCGGAGTTCTTGCTGTTTGACTTCGAATGAATGGACTAACTCTTGCGTCTCTCGTCAACACCATCTAGAGTGATGTCTTCGTTCTCTTGCGCTAATCCAATCAATGCGAGTAGTACGTTGAACTCATTTCTGCTCAGTTCTCCAGATCCGACAATACTTAGAATACGGCTTTGATTGTCTGCAGATAGTTTGCCGTCACTGAGCACTCTTGTGACCCCGGCAGCACTGATCTTTCCTCCTGCGCCATCACCGTTCTTGAGGATGGTGTCAAAAGTATCAATGTAGCTATCCGGAACGTCAGAGGCAGGAAGTAAATTCTTGATTAATTCTCCTCGGCCAGCTTTCTTTGGCGTTGGCAGACCCCACGGAGAAGGGCCATTATCGTCGTCTGCGAACAAGCCAGACTTCGAGGGTGTTGACGTTGGCTCATCATCAAATAAAGATAATCGAGACTTGGACGCTGGAGCTGGAGATGGCAAAGACTCGTCGTCTCCGAACAACGACATTGCGAAGGATATGTACAAATACAGTTACGAATGCGGCCACACGAAGATGTTATCGTAGGTTGTTGATGGAGCTCACGAAGCTCAGACCTTGGCGACGCTAGAACGAACATCCCTGCTTAATGTCTCATCCGTTGCCTTCGACTGCCAAGATCCTAAAAACAATGCCGATTTTGCATGACATCAGTTTTAGACTCTGAATTCATGTCTATGGTATCTAGATTTATACTTGAGCGTCTTATTTACCAATATTCGTACTTGAAACCTTTAACAACTGCTCAAGGCGCAATGGACAGCCAAACACCAAATCCACCATCAAGTTCTACTCCCACCTCCATTTCGTATCAGATTTTGCACAAATACCTGTTCCATCAGAGTATAATGAGTCCTTATTCTATCTCCTTTTAATGCTGCTAAGTGAGTAACTGAGTTTCCTTGTCACAAGGGTTAAGGCATAATCTGCATTCGTATACACGAAATCAGCATAAGCTCAAACCAGTATGTTGACATTCGTAGCCAATTCGTTTTCGGCAAGGGATTGCGCTGGATTGTTCGTTCATTCGTGTCGTAGAGAAGGTATTCATTAGGATGTTCTCGTGTATGTGTGCTGTGTGCTTTACGCGTCGTAGTAGTAGTCATGGACTGACCACAGATCATATACTATTGCACGCCACATCTGTTGTATATTTGAAAATTAGAAGTACTGTGGGTGTCTCAGACATTTACGTAGTCCACTAAAATATACTAGGCAGCAGAAAAGTCCTTTGAAGAAGTAGGTCTCTGCCAACGTTGGTGGTTACTTGATCTCTTGATTCATAACAGCCTCCTTGAGAGAATGTCTCGTCTATCACCACGACCGTGATAAAGAACCAGCAATGTGCAAAAGTTTTGAATGGTGAAATGTAATCTGGAAATACGAGCAAGCGATCCGACCGTACAGCAAAGACGAAAGTTGTGTGCTGGAGAAGAAAAACCAACTCTTTATCAGAGTGGGCACTTGCAAGAAACAAAACATGTTCAAAATGTCTAATCATAAGAATGATACTCAAATGAGAATCTACTTCTCCGTTGTCCAGTTCTCACTCGGCCAAGCGACACTCAAAGTTGCATTGCAGGAGCTTTTGCTGATTGATTGGTCATCTCAAGATATCACCAGGGGTCATTTTGTTGTTACACCAGGGCTTCCAGCTGCGCCTTATTCAACTGCACTACGCGAAACAGAATCCCTCCAATAGTATACACGGACAAATTCTTCTGCCTACCACAACTTGTTCTCCCCAGCAGCTGCAGCAACTCCTGGTTTCTTCGCTTTCCGGCGTGCTCCCGTCCCTGGAGTCTTGAAGAACAAACTAGGACCATGGCCTTCCTCAACCAAATGGCTCAAATATCCTCGATGTGCCGAATCGCGATAATATTCCAAGTCTTTTCTGCTAGTTGGATCAGGTAATCTGTACGAAAATCGTGACGCAGACGCCGCCATATTCAAGATGGGAGATTCGCCAGTCGGAGCAGGTGCCAGACTCAATGGAGTGAAGCTGTTCTCAGATTCCCCCTTTAGCAGCCTCTTTATCGAGTCCTTGGTATAGTATCGTGTGGTGACTGTTCCACCAAGGGCCTCGATGGCTTCAATAGCTGCAGTGGATGCGCGGGAAACCAGAATGTTGATTGGAGTCTTCAATTCCTCCTTCCCCCGTGCTAATAGCTTCACTCCGTCTTTGATGCCATGAAGACAGCGTGATTTGGCCAACTCGTTCAAAGTTATGGGTTTGGTCGGATCAAGTCGACCTTGGTCTATCCACGACTGTATTCGATCCAGATTGATTGGGGACATTTCGACAGAAAAGCTAGGTATTTTTTAGTTTTCAGCAAGTCAGAGTCCGCGATTGACGTACGGATTCTCAAATCCTCTTGTTCCATGTACAATCTCCTGGGGTGTTTGACCACCCTGGAATCTTGCAGGTACTTTTCCATGTGCCTTTTGACCCTTCTGACCTCTTCCTGATGTTTTTCCTTTCCCTGATGACGGACCTCGACCACGTCGTATGCGTTTGTTGTAAGCTCCTACATTGTCCGAGAGGGTTGCCAGAATCGAGGCATTGCGCGATTGCGTGAATGGAACCAAGAAAGCTGCGATTGGACTTCGGGCAGTCGGTGCTATCCGGCAAGCTGCCGTGAGAGATGATAATCGGGGAGGCATTTCGTTGTTGTCGGAAACCTCAAGGAGGTCTTGAATTTTGAGTTGCGGCAGCTCTAGATTATCGGACACCGTGCTGCTTTAGCGAATTTAGCCACGCGTCTAAAGTAGCGAGACATCGCCTGACTAGGGTCTGGTCCAGCCAAAAAGAAAGGACTTTAGCACATTTCACTCTGAAGTATGATTTAGCGCACACGACTCACTATCCCTCATGAATAATTGCATTCTGTTCTCCTGCTCAGTACCATGCTTTGTATATATTTAATATCAAGCTTTATACTTGGCGCAACATCCATAACTTGATTGGCGCATTAAGTATGGCTGATTTCGAGGTGGGGAGACGACGTTTCTTCCTATTTCTAGCCGCCATTGGCTCTGTTATTCTTCTTGTGAACCTCTTCATGCTCTCGGGCACTGATCTGCGATCCAAGATCAAGAATATTCCTATCAATATACCTGGAACGAGCAAAGGAAACGGTCACGAAACAGCTCCAAACCCTGATGTAAGTGTTCACCCCTCTCCTATCCTCTTCAAGAATGGCTCACTTACACTTGTGGCAGCTTCCCAAGCTACCATCTTGGCACGAAGACAATGGAAATTTCGAGGAACATGCTGCGGTGAACGACAAGCATCCGATCGTTGACCTTATGCAAGCTGCCGACCAAGCATGGACTAAGTACGAGGAGGATCGGACCTCGACATTTAAGGAGACGGTTGCGAAATACAGAAGGACTTACGGCAGACATCCTCCTCCGGGATTCAGAGATTGGTATAAATTTGCGCGAGAACGGAATGTACACAATGTGGACGATTTCAGGCAAGTTACCCTTGCTGCACGCTTCAACCATCTGTGCTGTCCCCAGGACCATGAGACTGCTCCAGAAGCACCATGCCTTGCTATGACACCCCCAAGATACACCTTCACCTTAGCTGAGTGTGTATGAATGTATATACTGACTATACAATAGTCAAATCATGGACGACTTAAGACCATTTTGGGGTGTAGAACCTGCGGTTATCCGCTCTCTCGCTGCGCACTTGCACGAAACCGAAGGCAATGGCGTTTCCGGTCTTCACATTCGAGATGGCCAAGTCTGGAAGCTGACAAATGCGAATTGGCGAGTTGATACTATGAAAGAGATGGTTGGGTCGTTCGTGAAATATTTACCAGATATGGATATTGCAATGAATCGACTTGATCAGCCCCGCGTGGTTGTTCCGTTCGAAGACATGCAAAATCTCTTAGCCAGAGAAGTTTCAACGCGGCAGTTGTACCCTGACGCTCTAGCGGAATGGACGAAGGATCTGCCTGGTAAGCATTCTTTTTAAAAGCAATTTCGCATGTTCGCAGTCCTTGCTCTAGTCATAAACGTTCTGCTTCTGGGACATTCTCCCTCCTCAAATGTAACAACCGGTTACTAAGCCAAATATTCTGGAGTATAGGTCTATTTAAAGAAAACGATACAGCACCCGTCATCACGGACCCAGAGTTCGTTCTGGCACCAGGCAAGCAATATATGCTGATTGCTAAGGAAGCATGTCCACCCGAGTCTCACGCAAGGAAGGAAGACTCATCAACACGATCAGCTGAGGTTTTATACAAAGAGGACCGCGGTGGTTTTGTTACCAATTTCAATCTTTCCTCCGATCTTTGCACTGTCGGACCTGAGGTTGAGTCTAAGCACGGTTTCCTATTTGCTCCTAGCACGGTAGTAGCGAGTAAAAGGCTTTTGCCTATATTTGGTGAATGCAAAGTCAACGTTAACAATGACATTCTCTTTCCTGTAAGTAGAGGAGCCAGCCTTGAAGACTCAGAGGAATTTTGCGCGCTGATTATGATAAATCGCTAACTTCTTTCCCTAAGGCGAATATGTACTACAAGAACGATGAACGATACGCCTATGACCCAACTTACGATTATGACTGGGATGACAAGGAAGACAGGATGATTTGGAGAGGCGTTACTTCCGGTGGCACAAATACAGCTGACAACTGGATGAACATGCACCGTCAACGCCTGGTACTCCTGACGAATGCTACGGTTATGGCAGATCAGGAAGTACGAATCATGAGTGAAGACTCCAACATGCAAGGCGACTATCAGAATTACGGGCACTTTAATCCGAGCGAGTTTGCAGCTAAGCACACTGACATTGGCTTTACGGAGGCCTTCGCCTGTGTGCCGGACTGTGGTTTCTATGATGATGTCTGGACATATAAGAATATGACAACCTTGAGTCAACAGTTCGAATCTAAGTATGTCATCGATGTTGACGGTCACTCGTTTTCTGGAAGATGGCATGCATTTCTCCAGAGTAAGAGTCTTGGCATCAAGAGCACGATTTTCAGGGAGTGGCACGATTCAAGATTGTTTGCTTGGAGACATTTTGTTCCACTCGATAACAGATATGATGAGATTTATAGCATTTTAACATATTTCATTGGTCTTGGAAATCCTTCGGCTGTGTCCAATGGACAGCCATACATACCGAGACATGATTTCGAAGCTCGGAAACTAGGACGTCAAGGGAGAGAATGGGCTACGAAGGTTCTCAGGAGAGCGGACATAGAAGTAAGTTGACTCAGGCACGTATCAATTTCAGTACACTGACCATTTCAAAGATATATATGTTCCGTCTTCTGATAGAGTATGCACGAATCATCGACGATAATCGTGATCGATTAGGATATTCTGGAGACGGGAGTGAACTCGACAAATATGATACCCAACATCCCTTGAGCCCGTCTATGGCTAGCAAAGGCGGTGGGGTGTAATCTTTTGGATATCCTTCTAATAGCATTGACGAGCTTGGCGTTTTGGAGTCAACACAATTTACATAGGTATACCACGTATATAGCAATTATTTACTGCACATAGCATCTTAACTGTTTTTACAAAACATGTTCTGCAAATGCTGACTTTGTTCGGGTGTTTTATGAAGAATTATATTTCTACCGCAGGTTATGAGGTGGCTTTAGGCATGTTCTTCCTCGAGCAGCATGACATGAGTCTGTTCAGAGATATTGGTGCATCTTATATCTTCACTGCAATACCCACCCAAGCAATCATCTCAACCTTTACTCCATCATTGGTTTCATTGTAGCCAGGGGCAGCACTGATCTCCTTCCTCATCACTTCCAGCAGTCGCTTTACCTCTTCTTCATTATAGCCCTTGAAGAACATATCCTTGAAGTACATCAGATTCTCAACAAGTTCATCAAGACTACTAGCCTGCATGCCTCCTTTCACGAGCTTCACCTCAACGTCGGCATCAAATCCACCCTCGTCAAGCATCTTCATCAACCACCAGCCTTTGTTCCACTCAGCTGGGATTTTCCATGCGGAAGGCTCCTCATTTGGGCGAATGGTCCTGCCTGTCGCTTCGAAGGCCTTTTCGAAGTTGCGACCTGTTCCCCTTCAGCTATGTTCACAAAGACCAAGAACAAGGAACTCACGATACCAAGTCGTCACTACCGCAACACCGCCAGGCTTCAACACCCTCCACATCTCCTTAGCAGCTCTACCTGGTCCAGTTAGATCATCCGCATCCGGTGCAAAGCCCATGTTCGTGATAACATGCGTAAAGGTCTCGTCCCGGAACTCGTTCAAGTTTCTGACATCTTGGGCCTTGGTATCGGTGTTCTCCCAACCGTATCTACGTGCTTTGTCTTTATAAATTTCAAGCATACCAGGAGCCAAGTCGGCACCCATAATGCGAGCAGCAGGACATTGGGCCTTTATGACTTCGGAGACGATGCCGGTGCCACAGGCATTGTCGAGGACGTAGGAGGAGTCGGTGATGGGGATTGGAAGCATGGCGATAGCTTGCTTTGCGATGCTGAGGGTACCGCCGCTAGTCATGCGGTCATAGCTATTGCTGTGGGTGTTGAGAAAGGTTTGAGAAGCCATTCTGGATTGCTATCTGAGCGACTGCTTCACGGGTGTTAAAGTTCTTGAACTGAGAAAAGATTTGGAGATCATTAATGTTCGGATGAAGCTGTCTAATGTCTATTTATATCGCCGCGAAGGTAGATATGTCACCATTTGATGCATTAATGTCTTTGGCAATTATTGTTGTGATGGTTTTGCGTGCTCGGATACATTTGAGTACGAGCAAAATTGTGGCCTGTGATACGCTCAGGAAGTCTCCGCATAATGTATTGAGAGCTTATAATTGGCAGAACATGCGAGGAGTAAGTCCAAAGCGCTCCCGAGTGGATTCATCACACTCGTTTGCTCGCATATTATTGATAGCTATTCACTGCATGATGCTTTCTAATCTTTCTACTAACACAGAGAGAATTCGTAGTGAAGGAAAGGAAAGTGTCAACAAAGTAATATGGAAAACACAATGACGGATATTTCATGCCCGAGGTACTCGCAGAACTGGCAAATCTGTTAGACAAAAAGCTTGCCTCCGCTGACAAAGACCGTCCAGACGAGAAATATGCAAAAGGGGAAGGGACAATTCACGTGCTTTGGGGTTTCGTTGACCCAACATCCCGGAAACTCAAAGCGCGTTTTCTAAGTTTGATTTCAACGACAATCTTTCCAAGAAAATCACTTGTTAACCAGTACTTCCACTTGTACTATCAATACACTATCAAATTAAGCAGATACCGACAACGGCAGACCCGGCACCATGCCCGGAACAACGAACAACATGGGAGTGTTCCAAGCCTCCGCCCACACCAGCGAAGCCAATCGACTCCAAGCTGTAGGCAACCACAAAGGGGCAGAACAAAAGCACCTCGAAGCCTTGGGCATGAAGATCTCTGCCGCTGGTGAAGATTCAGTCCCTGTGGCCTTGACGAAGAATGCTTTGGGGGAACTTTACCTCACGATGGGAGAGCTAGATAAGGCGCAAACGATGCTGGAGGCAGCCGATGTGATTCGTTCTTCTAATCCTTCTTCTGATTCGGCCAGCAAGTTCGATGAAGTTTGTACGAAGGATAATCTTGGTCGGCTTTGGGAAATGAGGGGTGATTTTGCAAAGGCAGCGGAGTTGCGTACTAAGGATTCTGAGAAGATGATGTGCTCTAACTTTAATGTGAGTTCTTCCTTTTCCGTCGATGAGTCTCCTCTGCACTGTCTCGAAGCAGAGCGAGCTCAGCAAGTGCGCAAGATGTCATTGTGTCTGGTATTGTGGCAAGGACTGCCAGAGAGGGGACTGGAAGAGACACAAGGCATTTTGCAAGGCTGTATGAATGCTTAGCTCGGGATCTGAGGTGTAATCGGTCCATTGCCAACTTGCGGATTTAAATGGAGAATTGGACAAGGACCGAAAAGCATTTAGCATTAGTTTCTCAAAAGTTTTCGGCGTTGATTAGAGGAAATGGAAGGCATGCGGTCTTGGATGCTGAACGGCGGTATTTCTGATTTTGGAGTCTAGCTGGGGCTTTGGAAACTTATTTTGAGAGTTCATATATTCTTGCGTTCTTGAGCTTCACGCCTTCAAAGGATAGCAAATTGAGGATTTTGATCTCGAAACAGAGTTTCTCCCTTGAGCATTGAATTCCAATTGTGCAGCAAACTTCCTTCTCCACTTTCAGCTAAAGTATCAAGAAATCGGCAATAGGTAACTTGGTATGATTCCCCTTCCATTTTCCATCTGACCTTCTACTAAAAACCAAAACGATAGACGACAACAAGAACAAACTCAAACTTTAACAACAACGAAATATATGACAATAGATCATATCTTGGCAACAGCTATCTGTTCTTGCAAACCTCCAAGCTTGTCCGTTTGAAAGATATGCTCGGACAGGGTAGATCAACACGTCTTGGCTCAGTCCCCGCGAAAGCTCCCGCACCCGGGTCTGTGAATGCTGATGGGAATACCTTGATTATTTTTTACTTCCCCACAGGTGGAGAGAGGGTCTTTTATAGCCTCTACATATGCTGTCAAAAGTCCCAAGAAGTGAATCAGAGAAAGATGTCGATGAATAGCCAGGAGAGTGAATTGGAGGTTTAGGATCTTGAGAATAAGGCTACTATTCACTCTAATTACCTGTACAATAGCTGACAGAAAGGTGAACACTCGTTCATAGCATAGAGAACTCAAATTCACCGTAGAACCCACAACGGAAAGAACTCCGTCATCAAGACTGATCACGACAATTTTGAAATACAATTCAGAGACTGCCATAGTACCGCAGCGCACGATGAACGTACAGGTCCGGGATTCCATTATAAGAATCTACCAATATCTACTTCGACCACTCCTTATAACTCTTCTGCCGCTGCCTCGTATTCCACCCCAACTTCCCACTAATACTATTAACCCAATCCTCACTCCGCCTCCCCTGCGGCATCACATTCGCAAACGGATACCGACTCGCACTAATCGTCACGTAATCCCCCGGCCGCAACTCCACCCTCTCCCTCCCATCGAAGCTCGCCCAGCTGCTCGTCCGCGCATCGTACGGCACGCCCACCCGCAGCACGATCGTGTCGGGCAGGATGATGGGCCGGAAGGACAGCGTGTGCGCGCAGATGGCTGTTACCAGGATCACGGGGTTCTCGGGATGGCAGAGGGAACCGCCGGCTGCGAGGTTGTAGGCTGTTGAGCCTGTGGGAGTGGCGACGCAGACGCCGTCTGCTTGGACGGAGGTGAAGTGCTCGTCGTCGCCGAAGATCTCGGTGGAGGACATTGCTGTTTGGTTGTTAGACGCTATCGTGGTATAAGCTAGGAGGAGACTTACTTGGATTCGGACCACGGTCAACGACGATGTCGTTTAGGATCTCGTATGTGCCGTCCGGTCGATGTGTCCTCTCATCCTCCTTCTCCTCCCCAACTAGTTCCTCAACTAGATCTCTGTTCTCATTGCTGTCTTCGTCTTCTTGCTCGGGGGCTACTGATGTATCCCCATTTTGTATCCTGGATCTTTTCCTTTTTTGACTCCGCATTACCGTGCCTTCGAATCTAAGTCTCAAACTAATCGTAACGCCGTCTTTGAAAGCCTTCGTTAATATCTCCTGATATTCATCATAATCGAATTTCGTCAAGAATCCCAAACTGCCCAAAGCAAAACTCAGCACTGGAGGAACGATCCGCTGGAACAGCCAACTGGCATAGAGAACCGTTCCATCACCTCCCAGCGTAACCACAAAGTCAAAAGTATGAGGCCTCGTCCGGCACATGTCGTTCCGCCAGTATCGTAACCTCTTCTCCAGCTTCGGTTCCTCCCCGTTCGCTTTCTCGTTCTTCGAGTAGTCATCCTCGAGTTCTTCCAACAAGCCCTTGGCGTTAAACTTTCTATTCTCCTTCAAGTTGTCTTCCACCCAAACCGTGTACCTGACCTCCCTCTCAGGACTCAGCAACCACTTTGCAACTTCCCTCGTATTGCCAATCAAGCCCTCATCGTGAGCCTTAGTCAGAAGAAACACCGTCTTGACCTTAAGCTTCAACCGAATACTCCCCAACCTCTTACTCAACTCCCTCACTCCCCACGCCATATCCGACAGCTGCTTCTTAGTCAAGAGCCTGCTATGCACCGCATGCGGATCCTCTCCCACCGCAACATCATACTTCTGATTATCATTAACATCGTGTTCCGCATGCTTAGCCTCCATCCTCTCCTTCCACGACTTTTCGTCTTCCTGCCCACACGGATCTCCAGCATCCTCGCCGCCCTTGGGCTCCACAGCTGTATCTCGATCTGTATGTGACTCCATGCCGCTGGCTATCCGACTCTGCGACAGCGTCTCGGCGATGGATTCGAGCGCGCCATTGTGCGAGCCGTCGTGCTGTCGCTGGCTTTCGAGGAGTGCGTGGACGTAGCATTCCGTGTTTTTCCTCCGGAGGAATGCGTTGGCGGGGTCGGTTGTTACGAGGGAAGATTTTCTACGATGGGCATTTTGAGGATCGAAGACGACCTATGCTGTTCCTCAGTAAATTGAAAAGGCATATATATTGTCACTAATGAGCTCACCTCTAGAGCATGCTGGTACTCGGTGTCGCTGGCGCTGGAAAGACACTGTTGACATTCGTTAGTTCGAGTGCGAGTGAGCTTGTATCACCATCTACGGACCTCCTCGTGCGGACTGAAAGGGCCTGAACCGTCGAATTGCTGCCGGTCAGGAAGAGAGATACTGGGAGGAGCTGGGAGAGGCATTGTGGTGGTTTGGAAATTTCAATCCGCGGATTGATTACGATTCACGGGTCGCGAAAGCTGCAAGGACTGACGTTGGCGACGCCAGATGGCATTGGCACCGTTCGCATCGCAAGGAAAACACATAATCTTCCTACCTAAAAACCACCAAAGAATATTTACAAACTTACCTCTCTCGTTCGATGAGCATACTGTACGTAGATCAAAGATTACTTGAGATGTTTGTCAGACATATGCTTCTGTTCAGCATATTTTATCTGCATCGAGCTGATTCATCAAGATTTGGTGTGATGGACTTGGACACCCGCCACTTTCCTCAGCTCGGTGTACCCCGCCCCGCTACGTATCTTATCGAGAAGCGATAAGGAAATAGGGGTACATATATTGAGGCACATCCCGCATTGGCACTCAGGGGCGGAGGAGAAGGTGTGATGCGACACTCACATGCAGAAACGAGACGAGAGGGAGCAACGGGAGGCGAACTGGACTGTACTGTCCTGTCCTATAGTCCTGTACGTGAGACCAAGAGATCTCTCGTGGGGTTCTGCATTTGAGACCCCTCTCACTCACCCACGCCTCAAGCCATCCATCATTCATTCTGACCGGAAAAGCGGGAGTTGTTTGATGCACCACTGCGATCTCTTCTTCTCATATGACATAAGACCTTCACCCATATTGCACCGAGCAGCAGGAAGAAGAATGGAGCAGCAAGTCCAGAACATGGGTCAGATACGCATGTGCGAAGGCATTCGTATCCCGCCAAGGTCAACAACTCCACTTCTCCCTGCCCTCCACCATATGCATCGTCACATCTGTATTTGCCTGCACTGTTGAGCAGCCGTGTTGATACACACCGAGCCCAAGGTGAAGAAAGCCCAAGCCGAGCCCCAACTTGGAACGTCGCAGGGGATGTGCGTCCGGTAGGGAATACCTCTTCACGATGCATCGGAAGCAATAACTTACAAAGTAAAAATAATTGACCGCCTCGAGCGCCGGAGCCCTGTGATCCACGAGTGTATGAGAGCGAAAAAAGCCCAAGACTTTGCCTCCAAGACAGCCATCGTATCGGAGGCCAGTGCCAGAGTCGGTGCTATTCTCCCATTCACCCGCATGGTCCTTCACGGAGTTTCTCCAGCATGATTGATGACCGTCGAGAGCCATGGCGACGTCCTACCGTCACCAACGCAGACAGGCTATCATTGCAAGCAAGCATTAGACAGATCACAGTGCACCACAACTCGCCGAGGACAATACATCACCCGCCAAGCGAACTGACACCATCTGATCTGCCCCCGAAGCAAGCAAGTGTTCATAAGCCATGCATACGAAGGATGTTGTTGAATTTGACGCTCCACTACCACGACCCGGCACATACTTCCTTCCATTTTGCTTTGACGAGTCGTCATTCGATGGCTTTTCTTCGCTGACTCGCCTCAGATGCTAACCTCTTGGAACTTGCGCACTCTCGTGGCTGAGTTCTAGACGCAAAAGTAGGGTGGGCTTGGATGCAGAAGCGTAATATGAGCCAGCTGTGGATGCGAGTCTGCGAGGCAAGGAAGACGAGGCATGTCAGGAGCGAGGAGAGCGGGCCAGCTCCCGCTGTTCATCAATGTACGAAAGCAGTGTCGTACACTTTGCTGTTAGCAAGGTTCGATCTCTCCGTCTCCGAGATGATGAGACCACTGCTGGTTCAGCAATTTGCTTGCTGGCTACGATAGTTTTGGGCCGAGGACGAAAGTTTCCATCTCGAATTCGAGCAAGGGATGTCACGATCTCCGCCAATTCCGTCACCAATCCGAGTGGAGTGAGTTCGTATTCAAGTGCTGGTGCCAAAAGCCTTAGAAGTAGCAACTACTGCGATAGGACCAGTCTGGCTCTCTATCCTCACCAAAGACAAGAAGAAGCATTGAAACCTCACAGCTTTCAATAGAGTCGAGGAGTTTCAAACCTAAAATAACCATCTTACTTCAAGAATACCAGTCCCGGATAATGCACATCCAGGTACAGCCTTCCGCAGCGAGATTGATTGTTTCATCCTGATTCTTTGACCTTTGTGAGACTAGGCATATGTCGCCGGAAACATCGTGGGATGCTATTTCTTGGATCATCAATACTAGGAGAACCCAGCTCAAAGAAAGTTTCTCGGATGAGGTTTTAGATCTTCCAAGTCTCCGGGTCCTGTCCCTCGGAAAACATAACTTACTGATCCGCACTCAAGGCGAACTTGTCTTTTGATTGTACTGTAATCTCTCCTCAGTCCACTGAATGAAGCTGACCAGGGCGCTCGATTCAGCTGCGGCTTGCCGTAAATGAGGATGTGGTTGAAAAGCACGGCATGTATTCCTCCATGATTCCATCGTCTGTATGGGTATAACCACCGAGGTATGGGCGGACATTGGCGGAGCAAAGTGTTGCGGGTATCTCGTTTGATGGCTGAAGAATATCCAAGCACATGGAAGTCACTCAAGATATGATTCACATATTGCATAGTTAAGTCGATGTAAGGATCACACTTTGAAGGAATGATGACTTGTCATCTATTCAAACAAGAGGCTTTCGTCTCACCGACACCTTGACTGGCGTGAGCGGTAATGCTGTGATTGGTGTAGGTCTTGCTTTGGCATCTTATTGGATGTCGATATAGCGAGTGCCTAGAGAAGGTGGACCTGCAAACCTCTGCAAAGTGCATACGAAGTATGACTTCCTTGTTGTAATCGAACAGAGTTCGCGTCCTGCCAACCAGGTGTTTCACAAGCGCTCCACCGAATACACCTGCACGCCCCCTTCGCTCACACCACCCGAGTTAAGAAATTGATACTGTATAGTGGAGAGCGAGCGGTTACAGTTGATTTGTGAGATCGGCGGCGATGGCGAGTGATGGAAGTACTTTCCTGGGCTGTCATGCAGGAAGGAATTGCCCGGAATAGGATTCCAACGGTGCTGAAGATGGCTGATAACCGGCTGCAGCGAGGATAGGGATGCCTGGAGGTTTCAAGATTTCGAGCATCCACCCACACTAATTACGGTAGCATGTCGCGGGATGGTGCATTTGCGAGGCGCCACCTTATCTCAAGAAGGCTACGCTTGCCTTAAGTGGTCGCAAAGGGGAAGAGGCCATGGCGTACCGCCCAATGCACATCATCTTCCAGGTTCCCAAGTTCCAATTATTGGAAAAGCACCCCATATATTACTTATTTTGACCGCTCGTTGATCCATCTTGTTTCCACGAGATGATCATGATACTGCTAACCGGTCTGGCTGAATGGTCGAAGGGTCTGAGGAATTCGAGCATGGTATAGTCAGACAAATGATGCTTTACTTTGCTTTGCCTTGTAGAACGAAACACTGCGCGGTCAGCTGCATTGCATGACTGTAATCTGAATCTGGGGACCTTTCAAGATATCCTCGGTCTTCCTCCTGCTCAGGCTGAACGGGTGTCCAACACTTTCTTGACTTGATTCCAGAAAATGGTTGTCGTCCGTGCTTCCGCCTGGCCCGTTGGTTGGGGTACGGCTTATATGAGGCTAGGGTAGGGTCTGTCTCTGAATAAAGATGGCGCCCTGTGTGCCTCCACAGATGCAACGTGGGTCAGATATCTCACCTGTCCACAGCCTTGCCGAGGAGGGGAGGAGTCGGAGATCAAGGGTTCGAGATTTCGATCGAAGCCGAAGAAGACACGAGGCTCGAGACATCAAGCCCCTTAAGGCGATGATCGTTTTTCATATGGAAACCCTTCCTTGTGCTTGGTCGTGCATGGCAGCATCGGATCGGTGCATTTGAACTGGTGTCAGACCCAGTTCGGACATTATGCGGAGATTCGATTGGTGGTCTTTCGACTGGACCCAGCTGTGAACCCCTCCTTCCATCACTCTCGTCAGGGCTGGTTAGAGCGGAATTAGTCTGCTAATCTGTGCTGTGAGCCCTGCACGACCAGGGCCTTTGGGGGGTTTGCTTCCGTCCAGAGAAACCAGCGCACATCTGTCTCCGCTTGAGATCGGCCCCTCGATACCAGCAGCGCCACTAGAACACTGGCTGGGCAGGGGCTAAAAGAAGGATATCATGGATGCATGCTTTAACTGTTCCAACTTCCTACTTCAGCGAGTAGGAGTTTTGTGCAGTCGTTTGTTGACCGACCAGGCGGATGGCCGTCAGAAAGGACGCGCCAACCACCTTCTCCTCTCTTCACTAGTAGGGTGGGAAATTCCTCGCCCAGCAGCGTCCAGCACAGCCAGGAGATTGACGTCAGCAGACTAGTGCAGCAAGCATATTGGGAGCGTCATTGATCTCTGATGAATCCATGAGATCAATCTGCCTAGGCTCAGCTCAGACAAGACTGCATCCACTTGAAGAAATTCTTCAGTCCCTGTCGCCTCCGTTAGTTCGCCACTGGTGTGGCACTCAATCAGATCTTCAATTCTCGGTCTTTGGGAACATTTGATTGGGTCGTGATACCCTTGAGCATGTTCAAACTTCAAAGCGAGGTAAAGTGTCCGGGGGGCTGGCCTGTAGGGCCCTAAGCGGCCCCAGCTCAGATTTGTTCCAAGGGAGTGGTGATGCTAGTTTCCTGGGATTAATGTGGGGAAGGTTCGACGAGGTCAAGAAGAAGAACAAGAAGCGCGGGCGAGAAATCTTCACATCATCAGACGGATCATATCCAGGATCTCAACATTGTGGTCGTAAGGAGCGAAAGAGGGCTGCAGCCTCCAATCGCAAACTCAGGATACCCGGTCGCGAGGGGGTAAGTCGGCCCCTGATACAGGCGTAGAGATCTTCCAGCTTCTTATTCTGTGTGTGTATCCTAAGTCATTACACATCGTTGATGATGGAAGAAACAGTTTCAGCGCCGCAATTCTCCGCTGATTGATTGATGTGCTTTTTGCCTGGCCCTCGTATGCGACGTATGACTCGACGTTTGTGGTAAAGTAACGGAAGCGCAGCAACATGCCTAGGCCTCGTGTCTCCTCCTTGACGGATAGTGATGCGTGTTGCGTGAGCGAAGTGGGAGTGACGGACATGAAATGGAATTAATGAATGGATATCGATGCGATGCATCAGGGAAGGAAAAGCTTTTGTGCTTGGTTTGCATGGATCATCTGCAACCTTGTGGCCCGCGCCTTCGGCTTCGCTCCAGAAAAGCCAAAAGGACCAAACAAAGCCGCCTCAAGGCAATGGGCATGCTTTGACAGGGATCGCTGGAACGTTTCTTCATCTGCCATCCACCCGCCGCTGCTGGCCACGAGTGTGATGGATCTGCTGCCGTGGGCCGGCGTTCCCCTAAAATGGTCGCTGAGCCAGAGCCTTAGCCTTAGCCCGAGCCTGAGTCTGAGCCTGCACTCTCGTACAGTCAGTCAGTCCGTTAGTCAGTCGTACCGGGCGCGCGCTGATGCAGCAAGCAACCAGGTCAGCGACGCTGCTGTACCTTACGGGTTCATGCTGAATATGAATCGAGACGGGGTTGCCGCTCAGAGCAGCAGCACGAAATCGCAATCCAAGGATGCACCCGCCGAAGGGTCGATTCCGCCTGGATGCAATGGACCAGGAGGAGGACCAGAATCTCTGACCTGATCCCCCTCACACACCGCACTGAACCGCATTCTTGCGCTTGTTGCTCGCGCCCACCAAGACAAATATCGGAAACAAAGCAGCAGGATGTGTTGCTATTCTCGGTGGCCATTCCCCATTTCCCACAAGTGTGTGAAATGGACCGGATGATGGGTGCGGCGATCGACACGACGACTAAGACTCCTGAATTCCACAGTGTTGGTCAAGAAACTTCGTACATTCGTAAGTCGACGCCTCCGCCCAGCGTCATCTCATCTCAGGACGAGAAAAGCGCCGTGTTCCAGTAGTTTGCGCGGTAGTTGGACAGTTAGGCCCCCTAAATTCCTGGACGGGACCCTAATCTTGATCATCGCGAGATTCTGGAGCGTGTTCAGCATGGCATGGCTGGGCGGCTTCCCCACCGTACAGTGCTTTACCGCACCGGCGTGTTGTTGGCTGGGCCAGGGCTTCAGGAGGGGAGGGAAGTGTAATGTGGATATGGAAGTGGAAGTGATATTCCAAGCCTCGAGTAGCCGACTACGGTATAGGAGTGGATATCCCACTCGATTGATGGAACTGATGGAACGCTGTTGACGCTGCTGACACCGACAGTGGGCTGGTGGTGCAGCGCAGTGCAGTTGCTACCGATGGTGGAGGAAGAGAGACTGACTTGCATGGGGCCTGGGTGGTGTCTGGGTTCTGGGTATGCGAGTTGTGAGGCAGGAAACTCCGTCGTCGCGTTGTATGGTGTGGTACGGTAGTGTTTACTGTAGTATGCGCGTCCAGGCCCTCTTAGAGAGTATTGAGCGAGAGATGTGACCCGAGTCGTGCTTTTTCTGGTGAGAAGCGACCAAGACCAAGACCAAGACCACGACGACCACGACCAAGCAGAGCCAAAAGGCACCGTTGCCGCGTTACATTGGCTCATTCCTGGTCGACGACGCCTGCATTACTGTACCTACCCAGTCCGATACAATTACCCAATACTGTACCGTACCGTACGCATTTCAAGGGCAGCAGATAAAGGGAAAGGGTCGGCGAAGGAGGAGCCCAGGGGATCGTGGCTGCCGTGCCACATTTTCTGAGTGCTGTGCTGTAGTCGGTCGGTCGCTCGGTGATTAAGAGGAGCTTCTTCTTCTTTGGAACATCCAGAGACTTCCCCTTCCCTTCCCAATCCTAGCCCTACTCACCTCAACCCGCCGCCCCTGGCCTGGCCTTTCTTTGCTTTTGCCTTTGCCTTTGCCTTTGCCTCGAATCCTCACTCCGGAGACACCCCTCCTTCTCCGAGAAGCCGCACTACGTGTACACCCCTCAGCTCCCTGGTCTGTCGACGTGACAGAGAGTCGTGTCGTCTACACGCCTCCGCTGCTGACCAACGCCGCCTCCTTGGCATGCGCCCCGGGAATCTGTCGAGAGTCAGATAGTCTTTACGGTAAGGGGAGCAAGGTCAGTCAAGGTAAGGTAGGCCCTAGCCACTCTCCTCCACTACTGGCCAACGAAACCTCATTTGTGTGTGCTCACGCTGGCCTACTCAGCTTTCTTGTGGAACAGCTAACTACCTACCTAGCTAGCATGTCCCAGCCCCAGCAGTACAGTAGTCTCAAAATCCATCCTGTCCCATCCTGTCCTGACCGGACCTGTCCCACAAAGCCGCCGTCGTCAAGAGAGAAGGAAGGGAAGGAAAAAAAAGCCTGCCTGCCTTGCCTAGCCAGCATTATTCCCATCGTCCCGCCGGCTACACTGCTCCTTTCATTGGTTCTCCTCACCTCCAAAGCACAAAGCACACACAACAACAATGCAGACGCCGACTGTGGAATTTGATACACCCACCCTTGCAACACCCTCCTCCCCCCCAACCTTACCCTCGGCTCGCTCGTCTGACCGCTTTTCAAACTTCCACCTTTGCTCTCCCTCTCCTTCCCTGCGAAACAACCTCCGAGCAATAATAAACATCACACTTGCGCTACTTACCGGATCATGCCAGTCATGGTCTATCACTGACATAATTCGCTTGATCGTCGCACACCCGAGCGGCTTCGTATGGTCGTGCGCCCCCTTCCACCACCATCGACGTCGTCTTCGAGCCGTGGGATGTATGTTGGTAGCCTGGACCTGACACTTGCCTTTCCCTTCCCTTCTTTTGTTCGACCAGGGCCTTTTTTTGACTTTGACCGCCGCAAACAAAGCCCATGCATCCCCAGAAGAAGCTCAGACCCGGCGGATTCCCTAAGGAACCCTTGTTCGTTCGTTGGATCCATCTCAGCCAGATGACACAGACGACATACCGGAACTTTAAGTCACTTTCGCAAGGTAGTGTCCATTCTTGTACTTCCCGTTGTCTAGCCTTGATATGGAGATGATCCCTTTCCACCTTATTAAACTACCACCACTTCATTCCCCTCGTCTTGGGCTATGGTCTACTTATGATTCTTCATGTCCAGTGGACAACACTCTTGACTTTCTCTATCTCTCTCAACTCACTTCTCTCTCACCACACACGCTTCTTCCTTCAAAACCCATAACCGCCGATCACCAGTATGATGATGAATTCCGGACCGTGGGAGGGCAACCCAATGGGGTACACCACAGTCGAGATGCTACTGGATGATGTGTCAAAACAGATGGCATCCTCGAATCTCTCTCGATATCCTCGCGGACCGCAAGGACAAAGGACAGGAGGATCAATGAGGATAGTCAAACCCAACAGTGCCAGCAACAGCCCGAGAGGTTCGGCGGGACTCGGCAGACGGAGGACAGTAATGAATGATGGGGCATATCGACGAAGGCTTGCCATGCTGGAACAACAAAACGCAATGGCAGCTGGTGGCTTCATATCGAACGATGGTCTCCAAGTGCCTGCTCGATCGGCTCGACCTATGAGCTGGCATCCAGCTTCCCATTTGGCTCCTCAACCTACTTACCAGCAATCATATCCACTCCAAACTCCGGAATATCAACAACAGCTCCAGCTGTTTGATATGCCACCCACGCCTGCAGTATATTCTGGATACGCTTCACCAGACTCGAGCTTCTCGCCATTATCGATGCCGTTCAACGGTTATGAACAACCACAATGCTCATATCCGTTCACAGCTTCGACATTCCAGTCACAACCTCAGTATCTAGCTGATCAACCACAATTCATAACACAACAAACACAACAGATTGTCTCGCAAAACACCAACACAGACCCTACTATGTACTCTCATTTCGACTGGAACAACTTTGCTGCGAATGGATTTGAAAGCTCAAGCACGGCCCCACCAACACCCGATAACTTCTTGCCTATCCAGAACCCAGAACCAGCCTTCTCGGCTGAGGAGTCGATTCCATACGAACCCCTTGAGGACCCCGAGTCCGGTGGTGAGGAGCTCATCGGTATGGGTCTGTATGACAGTCCCGATACAGTCAAGACCTCTTCGTTGGATCCACAGCTCGACAACTATCGAGCTCTCATGATGTCTCACCTTATGGGCTCAGGCCACCGGAAGACAGAGTCGACTGGCAAGGGCTTGAAGCTTGAGGAGACCTGGGAACCTCCTGCCAGCGATGACGAAGATGCAGACGATGAAGAGCAAGACGGCGAAGGAGAGGACGAGGAGGTCGAAGAAGCACCTCAAGCACTAGCTGGCTGGCTATGAGTTTCGTCTTTAGAATATGATTTACTACTTTTGTCTTTTAGCGTGGAGTCTCGGGTGGGTTGGAAGGGTCGGATACCCATGGGACATGGACAGGAATGCATCATCTCGCCGGCGCGCGTAGAGTAGGAGTAGGATATCATCTCACGAGAAGAAATGTACAAACAAATGTACTCTACACAACGAAAAGAAATCAGAAACATTCAAAAAAAAAACATCTCAACATTCACAAACTCGCATGTGCCCCAAACTATCTTAGAAATGCAGCCTCCGAAAAACTGCTCAAGTCTTCTTTCCATCCCAACAAATGGTGCTATCTCGTGACCATCAATCTGGACCCCGATTTAAGGTTTTCCTCGCTTAACACTCACCCCACTCTCTTCCCGCAGAGCCTCCCTTGGCATCAAAAACCTGAACTCCTCGCCAAGACAAGAAGACAAAATCCATCTCCAACTCCAACCCCAACACCACGACGTTCCCTCTCCATCCCCTCTTCCCCTTCCTCCCCCTCTTCCACATATCACACAAAAACCATGGTACAATACATAACAACCCCCTGGCGCACCCGCGCCGAGCTCCTACGCGTGCGCTCCGCCCTCTACCCATCATCTTCTTCTGGACCCATGAAAGAGGAGGAAATCAAAACGGCGGTAGCGAAAGTCGGCGTTTGGATGCAGAGGGGTAATTGTCCGCATTTGGTGGAGAGCTCGGCGGTGCTTTGGAGTGCGGTGTTGAATGATCGGGTGGGGAACTCGTCGTATTGTGTTAGGGCTGCTTATGCGGCGGCTTTTTGTAGGTATGTTTAAGTTCTGTTCTTCGTTTTTGGGCTTGGAGTTTGGTTTGCTATCTTTGTGGTGTCACATCTCTATGACCCAACCTGCGAGGAGTCTTGTGGGGATTGGATTAGTAGGTCGATTTGATGCTGTCAATGGTGTGTCTACTTCATGAGAGTAGCATGATGCCAAAAATCTACATGAGCTCTGTAGGTCAAGTCAGACGTTGAGCATCGGACTATACCAGCAGTTATCGAAAATGGTTGCTTTTCATCCGCTTTTAAGCTTTACGTCGATCTTATCCAGTATCACTCGACCAGACCAGACAAACTCTTCAAGTCAACACAAAATAAGAACAATAATCCTCAAATCTAACAATCCCCAGATTCGTAACCGGTCTCCTCGACAGCCACCAAGACAAGCGCCGCAAACTTAGCATGTACTCCATCGCCAAAACCCTCGGCCTACCAGCAACCTACGTCGAGCTCCGCCACCAAGCAACCCACGAAGAGCTCCCCTCGCTCTCCAAGCTCCGCATCGCGACTCACAAAGCCTTGAAATGGATCTGGGACTACTACTGGGTGCATCTCAAAGAAGAAATCACGAGCATGAGCGAGAACAGGGAGTATGTGGAGAAGTTAGTCAGGGAGAAAGATGCTGGGATTAGAGCGAGGATGGAGGAGTTTGTGGGGAATTGGGACCAGGATCGTTTGATGGGGATTCTGGTCGAGATTCAGGGAGCCACGGATGATGTGGTTATTCTAGCTAGGTCGAGTCGGTTGCAGCGGTTGGTTGTGGATGGGGGGAAGGGCAATTCGAGGAAGAGGAAGTTGGACTCGGAGGTCAAGAGCTTGGATGAGGTGAAGGCCGAGATGGAGATGATGAACCGGGAATTGGACAATGAGATGGAGGACGATGGGCCCCAATCAGAAGTGGCCCACCCTGAGGCACGAAAAGAGCCTCCCACAAGCAAAGGCTGGACAATGTGGGAAGGGCCCTGGACACCGAAACCCATCGGCGTAGTCTGACTGAGAGAGGCATCTCAAACAAGAAAAATCCTTCTGCAGTAGTGTCAATCGAATCCTTCAAGTCGACAGACATCACGACATGGAAAGAAAATCTCCGAAAAGACTAGCTATCGAAAGCGATCCTCGTCTCGATCCAACCGACGACGAATATCTCGGCCGCGATCCAGCGCTATTTATACCGAGGCTGAGGCCATCCCGACTAAGATTGACAGTTCTTTTTGAGTCAAAACGCGGGTGGATGGGATGTCAGCTTACTCGTTTGAGTCAAGATGATGTGCGGACGCTAAGGCACGGGATCAGAATGGGTTTGGAATTAGGATCAGGATCCGCTTCATGAATTTGACGAAATGATGCTATGGAGTGAGCACTATTGCTTTATGTTTCAGACCCTGAGTTCCTTCGTAGATGGTTTGCGTTGTGGAAAGTGCTGCTCGGTTGGTTGATGGGAAGGTTGAGAGAGGACTGCAATGTCTACGAGCGTTTCAAATTCAGAGAAATCCTTCGTGACCGGTGTTCAGAATAACTGTCCATTTCCTCCTCCCAGTATGTTGAGTTAAGCGTTTGCATTCTTCGTTAAAATTATGTCCAAGGTGGTTGTGTCGTTGGCCACTCTCTCTACACGAGCTAACATCCTTCTCGGTATTTTTTCCCGTCTTTCTTCAGACGCTTGCTTCTCCACACGATTTCTTATCACATATCATCATGAGAAGAATCACACTATTCAAGACTCGGTGCAATCAGAACCGTGATTAGCATATCATCTTCAGGTTTGCCAAATTTTGTTGTCTTGCATCTCTCACTTCACAAGCTTGCCACCTAGTCAACTTTTACGTTCCCTTTGTCCCTTTTCTTTGCTTAGCCTTGTATCGAAAGTTGGGTCCTTCCTCTCAAGGGCCAAGGTCTGATTTGAGTGTCATTATAATCAGTGGTTATTGTGAAGGGTGACGTACAGTGTGTTATTTGGGATATATGCGAGGTGAAAAGAGTGGATTGGTGGTATGTTTGGTTTTGGGGAAGGTGTTGAATATGCTACGGAGGATTTAAGACTGAGATGATGGTGAGAGGGCTGAGATTGAGACGTGTTGGTGGAAACTTGGCTGGAGAAGAGGGGTTGATGAGTGCAGAGTTGGGTCTTGATAGTCTAGAGTAAATGTATTGCTGGGTTTTGAACTGGAGGAAGGCCGCTGTGTCCACCTTAGGATGACGACGCTCAAAAGATGATAGTTCATGTATGAAGTAAATAAACAATATATCGCATTTGCTCGTTCGACATTGACCCTCTTCCTGCTGCTTTGCAATAAGCGAGAGCCTTGCTCAAAAAATAACATCATCCCAAAAGACAGCGAAAGTAGGAAAAAAGGACCCAAAAAAAGACAAGCGAAGCAAAAACTCGGACCTCACCATCTCGAGATGGGGAGATCGTAGAAAACTTGCTCGGTATCGATTGCAGTTTTTAAAGTCGCGATTCGTTCGATCGATCGTATGCGGGCCAGGCGATTTTTAACAATTCCATCTCTTAGCATCACAATTGACCAGATGTGGCTGCCTAACCAACACGCCATGTGAGCTTATGGCTAAGAAATGATTATTAGAAATTATATGGTTAGGTAGTTGGGTGGGTGACGAGAGACGATGGTAGCGAGTGTCAACATTCGTCATTATCAAACTCAATTTGACCTCAAGCTAGACTATAGAGAGCGGCAACCGCCTTGCACTGCCAGGGTTTTCTGCATCAATTATCTCCATCACTTCATCCATCCAAACTGTAAATAGGGTATAAAGACCGATCCCAAATCACGCATCTACTCAGCCTTAGGAACCTGCTCATCAACTCTCGCAGGACTCCTCTCATCATGGCTAGCCTCGTGCCCAAACTTATCCTCAGCATCCAACTCTCCCCTCTCCATCCGTCTCGCATGAGTATCAACATGCGTCTTCCAAGCCGGCGTCCCAAGGAACCTAATACTTCCCGGCGTCGAATCATCGAAGATCTCCTCGACCTCCTCCAGCGGCTTCTGGCTCGTTTCCGGGAACAGGAACAGAACGTGCACGAACATGGCGAAACAGAAGACGCCGAACACGATGTAGACTTTCCAGCGGATGTTGGCAAAGGCGGGAGGAACGAAGTAGGCGAGTGCGAAGTTGAAGATCCAGTTTGCGGATGTGGAGAGCGCAACGGCTTTCCCGCGTACGCGAAGGGGGTAGAGTTCTGGAGGGTAGATCCAGGAGACTGGACCCCAAGTGGGTGCGTAGGAGGCGACAAATAGGTATGTGCATGCAATGACGGCTTTTGCTGGGGCACCGGTGATGGAAATTGATTCTGCGGCGGAGGGGAATTGGTTCTTGTATGGAACCTTGCCGTAAGTGGCGAGAAGACCGGCATTGATGAATAGCCACACCATCATGAGGAATGCTCCAACCAACATGGTTGGGCGACGACCCCATCTGTCGACGAAGAGGAGAGCTGGGATGGTCATCACAACGTTGATGATGAACTGAATGGAGGATGGCAGTAAGACGTTCGAGCCAAGTCCAGCCATGGTGAAGATGTAGGTGATGTAGTACATCATAACATTCATTCCAGTCAGCTGAGACCAGATCTGACAGAAGACTCCAATGTGTGTTCTGTTGATCATGTTTGGCTTGAGCAGCTCGAAGTATGTGACGTCCGAGTTGGCACGTTCGAATTCGACGACCTCGCGAATCTCGGCCATTTCCTTGTGCACAAAAGGAGAGTTGGGGTCACCCTTAGCATGAACAAGGGCCAGAACCTGGACAGCTTCTTCCCATCTGTCTTTGCGTGCGAGCCATCTGGGTGACTCGGGAAGGAAGAGCATGGCACCGAACAGGAACATGGCCGGGAGCATTTGAAGACCCCATGGGACTCGGAAGGCGGCTGTTCCGTTGATGTACGAGCAGCCGTACGAGATGTAGAACATGATCAAGATTCCCCAAGTGATAGCCCCTGAATATGTTAGTGACTGCTTTGGCGCTCACGATCAGGTACTTACATTGTTGGCAACCGACGAGACGACCACGCTTTGATGGAGGTGCAATCTCGGTGATGTAGACAGGAACCTGAGCAGAGCAGATACCGACAGAGAAACCGTTGATAATACGGCCTACAATGAGCATAGGAATGTTCTGGGAGGCGCAGACGATGATTGAGCCAATGCACCAGATGACAGATCCAACTTGGATTGCTTTCTTTCGGCCAAGCATATCAGAAATATAACCAGAGACTAAAGCACCAAGCCATGATCCACCTGGCATAGAAGCTGTGATACCACCTATTTCATTTGTCAGGAATGTTTTGCCGGAATCGAAAGTGTCGTCTTACCTTGAACATTCGCTGTTGGACCAGAGCATTGTCCGTCAGTGTCAAGATACTGAGGACCTTGGTTGAAATAGCAAAGGTAAGCTTTGGTGGAAATGATAGCACTCATAGAAGAGATATCAAAACCAAACAAGGCTCCACCCACGACAGCTACCGCTGCGATTACATAGACGTTTCCGATTGTATACATCTTGCCGGTTGATCTTCCACTGCCCAAAAGGAGAGAAGTTGTCCGCGAGACGCTATGAAAGAGAGAAGTTTGATTGCGGGGTGTCTCTGGGGACTTATATCACGCATGGAAGCCCTACATCAAGGCCGACATTTTTTTTGGTTCTCCCTAGACATGGATTACCTCCAAGAATCAGTCACGAAGTAACATTTCATCCCCCGCAACGGCTACACGGAATCCTGGAACTTGGCCGCATAAGAACAACAAGATCCACACCACGAAGGAAGACAGAAGTTTTCGCTCCGAGCTACTATTGGCGGCTGAAAGTCCAAGGACCAGGAGCGCTTGCATTTTCCCGAATTCTTATTAGCTCGCTCAATGGTCTTGGGTGGCACAACAGGTTTACCTTTGTCCTAGGGTAAATAAGTCCCCCCCTGTCATTCACTTCTAGCACTTTCGACCCCACAATTATACCACATCTTAGCTTCTCATTGACCCAATACCCTAGTTGAGGCTGGCTTGAAAACCCTCAGGGGGGGACCTATTTACCCAAGGACAAAGGTAGATCATGTCGATCGTTGAGGGCATTCGCAGTTGGCATGCTTGGTTGCTGTATGTCAAAGTCAGGGGCCTCTCGGGGAAAACTATGCAAATTCAGGGATGACGGCGTGGCTATCGAAGCCGGTCTTGTGGGGAGGCATCCTCCTTGGCTAGCATCGGATATTGCTCCAGCACTAAAAAGTACAGTTCTTACACCACGAGGAAAGTTTTGGAGACGATCTTCTCTGTCAAATGTGAAGTTCTTGGTAGCGAAAGGACCGGTCTGAAATAAGTCTGACGATTTGGAGAAGATACCCACAGAATTTTAGATACATTGACATCTTCAAGAACACTCGCAGGACATAGAATACATTAAATCTCAGGTAAATGAAGCCTTCTCTCAGCTGTGAGACAAGGATAACGTCATGGTCGGAGTGATACAGTACCTCAGATCGTGATGCTCCCCATGTTCTTGGCCGTTGAAAATGACGAGAGCGGCGTCCCAGTTGGAAATTGAAGTGGGTTGCACAAGACTCCCGCACGCCACACCCATACGCCTTAGCCGTTTTTAACATGGGTATTGGTCAAAAGTGTTCCGAGTCGTGCATTTGACTTCTTAGCTGAATGCAAAGACGGGAAGAGTTCACGTTGGCGGGCCCTCTTAGACCATCATGAATTGGTCCGTTCGGTTGTGACGGCTCTGATGATGTTCAAGGAGGGCTGAAGTTGCTGTGTGAGAAGAGTTCAGAGGAGGCAAATCGGTGTATTCGCTACCGAGTAAGGGCGGGGGCCTGAACATGGTTTCCGCCGTGGGGGAGCAGAAAAAGCCTGCGCAATGGAATATGGACTTGGGTTATCCAAGACCCAGCGATTTCCCAGCTTCAACATTTTGGAGGATTGTCCGCGTGATTACCGTGAAGAGCAGTCGATGCAAGCACTCCGTTCCAAGAATGGCAAAGTTGTCAGCATGTCAAAATCCGACTTTTTGATACTCCGGAAAATGGTTAGCGGCAGCGTCGAAGCATGAGAAAGTGATCGGCGGTTTCCAGAACACGAACGCCACAAACGGTCCGACTGGTCCACGAATAAGGTTAATGAATGAAGAGTGAGGTGCAACGTTGCACATATCTCTTCTCTTCAACCGGAAGACTGCTTTCGAGAAATTATGCTTGAGCATAAAGCAAAGTTATGATCTATGCATAAAATGGGCAGATACCACACGTGATTGCGGGGTCTCCACGATTGTGCCTGGAACGACAAGCTGTCAGTGTCTCAAATCTTTTGCTTCCGACTTAAAGCTTCACTTCTGTAATAAAGGTCTTGGTTCTCGATTTTGACCCTGTCCGTGACGTTCCTCTTTCGTGCCTCCAGATGAATCTTACCTCTTCATATTTAGCGTGAGCAATTCGCTAAACTAATCTGTCGTGCTACCTCTCCTAAGTCTCATTCTTCAATCTCGAAGCTGGAGATGTACAGAAGTCTTTGAGGAAGCTATTTCAAATTGTTCTCACGACATGATCTAGAACATCTCACCTCAGGTAAGATTCTGGACAGCTTCCTGGTGCGCTGCGCCTCCACGACAGATAAGCTTTGGCCTCGATTTGGGGGCGCCTGAATCGTTTCATAGACGTCGCGACCTCTTTCTATTGTCAACACTCTCAACTTCTCTCTGTCAATCGTTTCTCTGGTCTCAACTGCTGTCACCATACCTTCTTCGTGCCTCATCAAACCTACAGATCCTAACCCGAGCAATCTCCGCTCAAGATGTCGTGTAAGCTCTATTCCGTCCACCCCTCTCAGAGTATACTGACAAGACCAACAAGTCCTCAACTCCTCCACCGAAGTCAAAACGACAACAATCCTCAAACCACACATCACCAGATCTCACGTCCTCCGCCTCCTCCACAATCCATCCAAAATGCTCGCCCTCAACCCAATAATAAAGTCCCATAGTCCCCTACCCGATTCCTCCTCGAAAGCTTTCTTCACTAGAGTCGCACCCGAGAACAAGCCACCAACCACTGGCCCAGAACAGATCGTGCCCGTGTACGCGATTGTCGAATCCACAGATGCGGAATCCTCAGAAGGGGGCGGAAGCTGGCGCGGCGGTTGGGCAAAGAGGTTTATACCGGAGAGTATAACTTATGAGACCAGCATGCAGAATACGGAAGAGGGCATGATTTCGATAACCCAAGCACCGATGGGCGTCCAGAGTGTGACGAGATGGACTGTCACCGAGAAGCCGGGAGAGGGTTTGGTGCTGGAGAAGAGGGGCAAGGTTACGAGTAATAGGATGTTAATGACTTTTATCAAGACGACGATACAGGGTAGCTATGAGAAGTTAGCGAATGATTTTGTGATCGAGTTGGAGAGGATGATCGATGAGGAGGAGCAAGAGAAGAAGAAGGAAAGTGAGGAGGAAGTTGTGGTTGAGAAGGTTACTTGAAATTTTATGGAGTTTCATGGGAATGGGAATGGATAGATACTATCAGGCGTTCTGGTGTGCTTTATGGGTCTAGCATAAGATTAGAATTGCGTGGGAAAGAGTGTTCTACGTTTGCTTTCAAGACTAGACGTCTAGATGCTCAAGATGTTGATACATGGTTTCTGCTGTCTCGCACATTCTGCATATTCGGTGTTTCATTCGGAGTCTTTCAGCGTTCGGTTACTTGCTATGAGCTGTAAAGACCCGCCCTGATTTCGTTAAATTTTCATCTGTGCTCTTCCCTTTGAAAGATCAACCTATTGTCTTCGACTTTACTTGCTACACTCGTCTTTGTTCGCTTAAAAGAGGTACTAAGTGTCACTAACACTTTTACTCAAGTTCTCAAGCGCTTTCCTATGTACTCGTCGGCTTTTCAAACAAGTTGGCCCAACTTTGGACTAGCTAACTAGTAGAGCTGGTGGGGCAAGTTTCGTGATCTTTAAGATTCCATTAAAGACGACGGACACAGGACTCAGACCACAGATTGTTGGGTACATATCAATGTCAGGAGTGGAAATTATCGTTCATTACACAGATTAGAGATATCATGACAGCTTTGTGACACCAATAGGTTTGGATTTGGTGCTTTCCCTGATGACTGACGACGTCAAGAAGAAGAAGGGCTTCGGCGTGTCTGCTTAGTGACATGAAGAAATGTTAGCACCGTGGGAAATTTAAGGATCAACCCGCTGGGAGCCTTCAGACATAGAACATATAAGTAGAAGAGGGAATATGCATCTTGAAGTGTCTTGATATGCTGGAGATGGAATCCTTGAAGGCCAACTTGTATGAGGGTCACTGACACGACAGTGGTTATCAAGAAATGAAGTTTTTCACGCATGGGAGGTATATGAAGTCTTCTGAAATTCCGTGTCTAAATATCTGGAACGCTCAGCTACGTGAGATATATGGTAGACGATTCTATCTCAGAAATTTCGTCATCATACGGCAAGAAGAAAGATCCCGCCCGTTTATAATCATTATTCTGCTCCCTCTTCAAGACGAGACCATGAGCAAATGATAAGATCTCTGCAACCAACAGGCACCATAGCCCCGAATCTGGCAGGTAGCTTTTCACATCGAGATTCTTTGTATCTAAGATCGGCGTAGCTTCGCTTGCTGTTTCGCTTCTGAAGTCCATAAAGAATGAGTATTTAAGTACTGTTCCTTGCAGACAGAGCGCTGAGTTCTCGAGTCTAGCCTCCACTAGTTTACCTCGCAAGCGAAGCCACTCGCCGGTATGTTCTACGTCGCCAGGGGTATCAAGATATGTGCCCTCCACCTCGATCATTGAATGGCAGTAGTCTTTGTCCACATCCGTTGCAAACTCCAAATTATCATCGAGAGATGCCCAGGACCATGACGGCGCCCGCTCTAGTTGTTTCTCCGTGGGTACCTTTGGGACATTCCGATGACGATATAACAGCCATTGCTGTTGCCACAGAAGGTCACAATAGAGGAACTTCTTCCAGTGTCCCGCCAGATAGATGTCATCCACGGTAGTAGCTTGGCGGTATACTGCCGTCTAGTGCAGGGAGCTTATCATTTGGGTCCTTCATCGACCGCCCGCTATAATCCCGGACGATGGCCATCCAGTCTCCGTGTGTCATTTGCGAAGGCAGCCTCCATGAGATAGCATTTGGAATGCTGTATCCACCGTTACCTTTCTGCTTCTGACACTCCCACAACAGTTTCTTACTGCTGAGAATAAGCAGTCTTGGGGAAAGCATCCGTTCCTGCAACGTCCACGCTCTAGAATAGATCGGTTCGTCCTCCAGCTTTCGTCCCTCCGTAGATGTTCTCCCACCAGCATCAGAATATTGTGACTTGACTAGTCGATATGTCGTGTCTGAAGCGAGGGCAGCAGAGATTGTCAGAAATGCACCCCCGTAAACTTTGGCCATTTTTGGTGCTTCTGTTTCGAAGTCGCCCGCGTCGCCCTGGCTCTTTTGCACAATGCACAAAGCGTCAACCCAGAGATATTGTTTTCCAAGTCCACGGGTGATCAAGATGGCGTCCTGGATCGTTGGAGGTATTTCATGCCAAAATATATTCTTCTTCATTTGTTCTATATTACCCTCAATTGTACGAAGATTCTTCGCATCACCCCAACAATAGCTCAATGCTAAATATGGATAGATCAGGGAGTTTATCGCCTCGGAGGAATTGTCATCGTTGGTCTTTGCTTCTAGTGCAGCAGTGGTGACAAGTTTGGGATCTTTAGATCCATCGGAAGGGCCAACATCGATCAATCGAGTGGGAAGCTCGAAGTCCTGCGCTCGGGACTGGCATTCGAGATGCTCCGGATCCGCCGTGCATTTCTCGATCCATGTCTTCGCACGTTGCACAACGGTTTCTAATGTCTCCCTTTCCAACGTCTCCATGGATCTTTGATTGTATTTGAGGTAAGCTTGGTGAGGCAAAGAAGGGTGAACAAGTTGGTAATAAATTACATAGACTGTGCATGAGAGATTTGATAATGGATCAGGATTAGCTATGTTCATTCAACGCAGCCTTATTTACACAGATATAAATAGACGCGGGCACGTTCATACATGTGACCTCTAGAAGCGGTGCTCTAAGAATTTGATTCATGTCTAAGGCTTCGTGGTATCAACGGACTGGTGTTGAAACAATCCAGAGAAGAATCGTCATGTTCTGCAACCTTGCTAGACGATCTTGTGAGCCAAATTGAGAGGTGTGTAGCAAAGTCAAGGTTGAGGTTGATGTCTGCATCATGTAGCTACCAAGATCCGTTACACCATTCAAGGAGTGTCAAGAAGTAAAAACGCAAATGTTCCAAGACTTATTGAACATATTATCAACCAATATAGTTCCTGCACTATGATGACACTCAAATTCTAGATCTGATTAGACATCATTCAGGTGGCACTACTAAAAGGAAGTCCGATGCCTCTCACAAACTGAAATGAGGGTTCTTGGAAGCGCAGAACTGATACAGAAATCACACAAACATACAGATAAAATGAACTTTTGGAAGTTAGAGACTTTTTCAGTGTCTTGGGACGTGCTGGACTGTCACGTCGGACACTTTGAGCGGTCTACTGCAATACAGTGCAGATCTGGGTCGAAGTTGGAAATTTTGAACATCATAAGGTTCGAGAGAAACGATAAGAAACAAAAATGTCAAGTGTTCTAAGATTTATTAGACATTCTCATGAAACAAAGTGATGTTATATGATTGACAATCTCTTGTGATACTTGTCAGGATATCGTATTTGTGAAGAGAAGGATGATTCATTCTTCGTAGCAAGAGCGTCGCTACAATAGCAGGCGCTAACTGATTTTTTTGCTTGCCAATCAGAAAGTCCAAGAGATTAAAAAGTGAACTCCAAATGTCCCAAGACTTGCTAGACATCTATCACACTGGATTCTGAAGTAGGCTTAATGTGTGGTACGAGCATAGAAATAATATGTGCAAAGATCTTGAATTTTGGTCTGTCTAAAGATTTAAGGAGGTGAGGTTTGGAAACTCTTTATATACGGTAGAGCACAGCACGTGCTGTGCCCAGAGCGTGAGATCACGTGCTCTCTGTGCGACAACATCCTTGTTAGCTGAAATGAGGGCTACTATGGAATAGTAAAAGTGGCCTAAAGCACCATAATGTGCTTGTAAATCAGACAATCCAAAAGACTAAGCAGTGACTTTCGAAATGCCCCAAGTTTATCTTGGTATTCTAGCTTGTGGAAAAGAGGTTTACAATGCAGTTCAAACTTGAGTTGGTGCCAAAGATCAAAGATTGCAGATATAAAGTTGAACTTTCAAATGTCCCAAGACTTGGTGGACATGTATGTTGCCAAGAATGATGGCTTTTATGAAATGATGAATCTAGAGAAGGCGAGGAACAGGTTCCAGTGAGGATGATGACAGGTCTAGAGGAGCTTGCTGCGGTAGAAGCTCCAGCGAAAGCACCTTGGATAGCATAATGTTATATATAGCAATAAAGAAGCAGTCAGATAATCAAGTACTTTCGAATACCTCAAGACTTGCTAGACATTCTTGTTGGCTGAAAGAAGGGCTGCTGTAGAATGTTTGGATTTGCATTAAACACAGAAATATTCTTCTAGATTAGATAATATAAAAACTGAAAAATGTATTTTCAAATGTCTCAAGAATTTCTGGACATTCTCGTATATTGTGAAAAGGACCACAATGTGGTTCAAATTGAACTTGAAGCCAAAGAACAAAAGTTTCAGGATCGAGTTTTAAATATCCCAAAGACTGTTGGACATTCTTGTTATTCAGAAAACTAACTTTTGTGAATTAAGGAAATCCAATATATAAAGCAATATTATAGTTATAAATAAATAAAAGCTTTGAAATAATCAAGTAGTTTTGAATATTTGAGGACTTGTTCGACAATCTAAGTAGTCAAAGTGAGGTCTCTTCACGAATTGGTAGGGTCTGGCATAAAGCATATTGTGCTGGCAAATCATATTCAAGAGAATAAGGAGTTCCAAATGTCCCAAAACTTGCCGGACATTCTACTGCTGAACTGAAATGCCCAAATAGAAAACATGGTGAATGGAAAATATACGCAGCATCCTGCGACGCTAGCTTCATCGAGCTAGTGGAATCAGAGAACTCCATGCTTAAAATGCGGCCGCCTCGCTTCGACTTCCTAAAAGCGTTACATCAACCATGGGAACTCCAGTCAGCCCTAGATCCGGCGGAACGCTTAGACTTCGTACTTCCAGTGGAGACCACTTCGTCGACCAATCAAATCTCTCCTGGATAGACGCTAATTTAGCGCACCACACCAGAGATTTGAAAGAATTCCCCATCGAAGACCTCATTCTACTTCCCTACGAGTACAGTCCAACCCCCGTCTACAGCGAGAACCCGGTATGTCCTCTCCATCTCTCTACGATGAGCGCGCTCAATTCTAATCTAAATTACGGTCTCTGCAGATTTCGAACGCCTCCTCGAACGCCGCTACGAAAGGTTTCTCCGGATCAGCAAACCGTAATCGTACCTGCAAATCGCAATCATGTCCCACGAATCCGTCTGGAACTCTCGTCCCCGCACCTACGGAAAGGGAGCCCGCGCCTGGTACGTCTACATCTGATTCTGGGTTCTTGAACAGAGAATTGCCATGTATAAGGGGAATTAGGGCGTGTGGGGCCTAGATTTGAAGGGATTGAAGAAGCTGACAAGAAATTCTACAGCCGTGTCTGCACCCACAAGGCCGGTCTCATCCGCAAGTATGGCTTGAACATCTGCCGTCAATGCTTCCGTGAGAAGGCCGCCGACATTGGTTTCGTCAAGGTAAACCCCAATACCCCCTCTGGAGTTCAGAGCTTTGTGTAACATGGGGGAAAACAGCACCGTTAAAGCAAACACCCGATCTGGCAATTACCACCTCATAACGAGCCGAACGATTCAGGGGTTTCTTTTCACACCACATGGCAAGGAGTTACGGAGGGAACAGACAGGGATCTCTACTTTCAGGCATTTTCGGAGGAAGAGAAGCGTTCATGGACGGTATCTGACGATGGATTGCGCTGGGAGGATAAAGAAGAGCCTTTTTTTTCGTTGTTTTTCGATGCATGGACTTCTGCGTCCTGGCTGGTTTGTAAATTTGCGGATAGGGTGTAGATCTAGGTCTACGACTGCTTCTCTGGCATAATTGCAAATCCAGTCATACCAACACACGATTTGCCATTGGATGTGACCGATGTTTCAGGGCATGCTTGATTTCGGGAAGACGGACACACATTTGACATTCCGAAGTTGTCTAGTTCACAACAGAAGCCTAAGTTACGAGAGTTTGGGACAGACAGATACAGAAGCAAGGGCTTCACCTTGCAGATCAAAGAGTTTTCACCCAGTCTGCAGTAGAGGGAGGCAAGTGCCGTGATTGTCAATTTCCAGGCTGTCATACTCAAGCAAAAGCCAAGGCCAGAACTGTTCCAATTACACCAACCTCAATCCCACTATGCCTTCACACAAACAAGTTCAACAGCAAAAAGGCTCAAGCCTTCGTCAATCTAGCAATCTGCCTCTCCAACAATCTGATTTCTGTAGCACCAAGCTCATCCTCAAGTAGGTTCTTCCCCGTATCATGAGCCTTGTAGTAAATACCGCCTGTTCCCTTTGTCTTGTCATCCACTAGGGTATAGTTACCCAATGCTTTTGGAGTATAGCTCTTTGTTTCTGCAAGCATGTCTGGGTGCAGTCCTAGAGCCTGCTTGCCCAAAAGTAAGAGTTTGTCCACGGGAGAATTGGTAGTCCATGCCTTGAAAAAGAATGAGAATAATGATCGAAGATACTTGTGCAGCAATAGAGAGAAAGTTGAACTTACCTGTATGCCTGGCCCGTCTCCTTCCATTCTTTGCCTCACACATCGATGAATGCATTCGTGTGTATCTTTGAGCGGTGTTCCATTTGGCTTTCCGGTTCTGATATCAGTCTCCTGGTATCTGCCCGGAGTTCTGTTGATTGGATCAATTCCTTCTATAAGAGACTCTGGGTCCTTGATGATCGAAGAATCATACAGGGTTCCAAATCCCCATGGTCTGACGGGCTGCTTGTTTGCGATGTACAATTGATTGGCAAGATCTTGGACATAATCCAAGTACTTGGGATCGAAGGACAAGATCTTGCCGTTGTCCTCAAGCTGACTGACCATCCATGCCAAGCTGAGGACTGAAGCGCTAGCATCTGGATATCCTCCTCCGATATTGGAATGGGAGCCAGGGAACCAGCATTGCTTCAGCTTCTTAAGCATTGCTGGTTGGCCTGGAGCAATATCGTCTGGCTTTTCCCAAACCGTTGGGGAAAAGAGATTTCGACGCTCATCAATGGCAATTGCATGGAATGCATATTGGATATGTTGAGCCACCTTGGTGTTAACAAATGCATATGGTCTGACATTCTTGGAGTTCAAAGGTTTTGGGATACCCAAAGAACCTGTTCTGTGATCAGTTGAGTCTTAAGTGAGGCTAGAATGGTGTATCTTACCAACAGTGTCCCAGACACCAACAGCACGAATGGGCATACCCCACCTTGTCAACTTGTTCTGAGGCTTGTCAGTACGACGTCTTGATTTCAGAGTGTTCGAACTCACTTGGATCAATGCGTTCCTATACTCCGGATCCGTGAAGATGATACTTCTGCCATTCGCAGCCTTGAAATCACTCGCGATCTTTGGGTAATTGGCCATGAACCATCCACTCTCCTTTCCGTCGACATCCTGATTCATCCAATCTGTGAAAATGCCCCAGAACTGCTCCATTCCCTTGCGAGTCAAGAGACCCATATCAGTGATGATGGAAGAGATAGCTCTGGCAGTGTATGCTCCTCTCGAGAATCCCAATATGACAATCTCGTCCATGGGCTTGGTCTCGTCCTTCAACGCAGCTTCCAAATCTTCGGGTCTCCAGGGATCATAATTATTAGCCACGAAGGCATACGCTTCTCGAATATGCTCGGAGATGTCGTTTCCCGTCATGCCTCCAATCAACTTATCCTCAAGATCGCCATCTGATCCAACACCTCTCTGATAGTATGCGATCTGGGAGACGCCATTCTCGTCTTCGTGGTTCAGAGCTCTGACAATGCGGGTAACATTCGTAGGGATTTGAGCTGTAGCTGGTTGTCCAAGAGATTGCTCGAATCCTGCATCGCTGTTCTGTTTGATTAATCGTCAGTGATCGCCGAGCTTCGTTTTAGTGGTCAGGTCTCAAGCTTACCTGCCATGTTCCTGTAAGCTGTCAGCAAATGTTCAGCTGGAGGACGATCAGTCAAACATACCGTCACAGGCAATAACCAGCTTCTTTCCAACAGGCCTTTCGGGCTTGACATTTGAAGACATGCTGAAGGCTCTGCGGTGTACGTGCTGTGAAGATCGGGTTTTGAGGAGAGAAACTTGAGATTCGAAACTGATGTTTGAACCAAGTCGAGTACTTCGGACGAAGAAACGAGAAAGCATTCAAAAACAACTCAAATAGAAATGTTAGGTAGTAACACTCGTTTGACAAATCTCCAGATGATCGTGCGATTTTCGCTTTAAATTGAGTCACTTACTCACTCTCGACAACTGAGGAAAGAGCAAGCTTTGAAATATTCTCACTACGCAACAAACAAACAAACCTCGAAGTTTCTCAGCCGACACATTGCGGGGTCATATATGATTCCCCGTCGTTGCACAAAGCCAAAAAAGAAAGCTCATCTGTTTTCAGCTGGGCTTACGCCCAGGAAACTGTGATCAATGAGGCTGCTCCATCAGCACGCCTCTTCCCGACCTTTTCACCGCAACACAGAACACAAACACCAAACGGGATCCCTGCACCGTGTCACTGCCCCTCCATCACGAACCGGTGAACACCCACTCAGCCCTATAGCTAGCTAGCTAGCTATCTCCACAAAGGATCAGCAACCACAGCTATCCACAAATTGTAAGCTTAAATAAGTATCTCCACCCGCCCAGCGCCCGCGGTCACGAACCACAACGACACATCCAGGAGCTTTAAACCTCCTTACTTCCCACCCTCACCCTATTGGTAACAAAAGAAAAGCAAGGGAATGGAATGGACGGCCGCCCACAAATGTCTCACACACATCTCAGCCTTGCGCCACCGCCCATCACAGCTGACACTGTCCCTCCTCTCCCTTCCGGACACTCCTGCATCGCTCTTCTGCATGCAAGTAAGAGAAACAAAACCAGCCATTCCCAACCAAATGAAACGCTCGAGTGGAACCGAAAACGACACGAAGGTTCTGACCAGCAGCTGCAATACCACGCTGTGGGTTCTGGAACCGAGCCACATACATATAGTACTTGCTTCCAGCCAAGGAAGCCGAGGCGAGCTGTGCAGTTGTGCCGTACCGTACCTCAACAACATGCAAGGAAGGTCTCCAGGTATACACTTACAAGGGAGAAAGAGCTTATTCGGCAGTCAACTCAAAATATGGAATTTTTTGATTTTTGATTATTTTGTGTGTTGCTTCCGTACTTGCAAAGTAGGTATTCGGCTTGAGAACGTACCGCCGCTGAGCAGCAAGGCAAGTACAGTAGCAAGCAAATCATCGCCCCGATTAATCAATCCTTTTTTCATTCCATTTCCCAAGCAGCAAGAACACCCCATCCATCCATCCATCCATCCCTCCTTCCTTCCTTCCTCCCCTTCCGGTGTTTAAAATCCCTGGCCATCTGCTCCCCATTTTGCTCATTCAATCCTTAACTCGTAAATTAACATAAACAGCAAAGCGCCGGCCTCTCCCCTTTTCGCCATCCATCCATTGCAGGCATATCGATCGTCAGCATCATCAAGCAAGCTAGAACAGCAAGAAGATGACCTCCCAATTCCCAAAAATATCCAGTCGTGTGCAAATGGATAAACCACGCCTAAGCCATGACAAAGATGAGCAGAACCAGCCAATCCAAAATGAAAATTTCCCCAGGCCGCCTCGCAAGTGTGTTTTGCAAATGGATTATGAAGTTTCGAAGCATGTTGCTGAAGTAGAAAGTCCCTATATGAACATTGTAATCTGACGTTTTTTGTAAAGAAGTAGTTGTGTGGAACGACACTAACGAGTGTCTCGTGTTGGTGCTCGAAATTCTGCCAAATGCTGTCGATAGATTCGTCGTACCATGAGCTCAGTTGATTTGAACTGAAGGTAAAGCAACGGCTCCTGACAGACAATCTGACCGCCCATATGTACCAGTTGGATCTGATTTGCAAGTCGATATTGTACCACCAGATTCCTTTTTTTTATTTTTGAAATGCTTTTGGGGTATGCTTTTTGGTCTCTTTCTTCGCTTTTGGATTTGGGGACTTTTGTGTTTGTGAAATAAGAACTCCCTTATTCACGCTGTGCGACTGACTCCTCAGCACGCGCCCGCATGTGGCTAGCCTGTGTCTCCAAGCTACGAGCCATAAGATGGGTAACTAAACGTGTTAGTAGAATTCCACTTCAGAGAACCTTCAGACTTACCAGGCCAAATGGCAGCCCTATCCAACATGTAGGCTGTCACCTTCAAGATCTTGCTACCATATCCACAATTGTCAAGTCTCTGAGCAGCTGCATTCATTTGCGCAACCGTACCCATACCAGCAAGCTCGTAGTTCATCTTAATTTCAGCGCTATTGAGAACCTCTTGAACTTTCGTGAGCAGCTTGCAGTCTTCCTCTTCCAGCAGCATGATGCCAGGAACTTGTGTGAAGTCAATGTCATCCTTGCCAAGAATTCCAAGGTATCGTCCAACACGCTCTTGAACAGTTGCCACCCATTCTGCGAGCACTTGAGCACAGTCAAATGCACACATCGCTGATTGTAATGGCAACTCCCGGGAAGTGAAGTCTGCAAACGTGACTCCTAATTTATCCGACATTGACAGCGAGTCCGCAGCATAGAAAGCAGCTTTGCGGAGATGGCGCTCACGCTTAGACGTCGAGACTGAATTCATAGAGCTCACACTGTTTTGAGGCAAGCGGCCTGCTTTGAAGTCCGGAGACGACGTCGAGGTTGGAGGCGAATCTACAAACACCGAGCTTGCTGCGGAATTCTCTGAAGGGTCGGAAGATTCTGCGTTGGAATTAGGTGAGTGCTGGGCGTGTTGGATGATCTCGCTACCTCGTGACAATTCTTCCGCCATTCCATCCCAATCTCTCTGCCAGAACTTTTCTTTCGAACGTGAAAGGTTCACGAATAATCTTACATATGCAAGATCAAGCAGAGGGATGCTATCAGCAGACAATGGTCCAAAGCCATATGGATTTGGTCGCTCGAGACTGTGATGCGGATTGCTTGCCCACGCAGCTTGCCAAGCTTTCAAGGCGGGCTCGATATGACAATGCATCTTTTCCGTCTCCTCATTCGTCCAAACCTTGTTGTGGTGTCTTTGTCGAGTCTCCCAAATATAGTTGTGAAGAGCATTGATGAGAATAAGACAACCAAAGGTGCTGGGCTGGATGTCAGGTTTTGGAAGTTCTTGCATGTTGACGTTACCAAAAGCTTGTCCTTGCGCCAGCTGCTGTTGTTGCTTCTGCTTTTCGCTGGTTCGAAGAAGTTCGCCAAGAGCATCATGGAACGTGATTTGGTTATTATCCGCCATTCGAGAACCTCCTTTCGCATAGAAGCTCTGGGCATTTTCCGATGACCAGAACTCCTCGTCGCAAGGAAGATCGAGCATGATCTCGGAATTTGTCAAGGCGGGCGTGTGGTTGTATGCAGAAACCAGTAGACTTGACATGATGAAAACAGCGTAGAGTGTTCTCTTACGCTCCTCCATGTTTTTCCAGCTGTACCACTCCTGTTGTTCATCTGGGATCTCGTTCTTGATGTTGGCATAGTACCCCTCTTCTGGCGACATCGAGTCGTCCTGCATCTGAACGTCTTGCTGGTTCTGACTGTGACGTGGGGTTGGTTTGAGCAACTCTGCAGCGCGAGCTAGGCTAACCAATGCTGCACAGTGCGTGCTTGCGATGTCACCAGCAGTCTTGTCCCCGCAGTTATGACCGTACACGACATTCAGTAGCATCGCTTGAACAAGCCAAACAGGTGTATGGACAGGAATCTCTGATTGTCGTGGGCCATGATCGATACTAGCTCTACGATGGTCGGCTCTTCGAACATCGGCCTTTCGTCTCTCTTCAAGGTAGAGTTGAATCATCTTCTTTGCAGAATCGAACAGATCCTTCGATTGTACCTGCTCCATCTCATAGAGAGCACCGATTGCGGCCATTGACAGAATAAGACATCCACGGCCTCCAACCAAACCAGCACTGGTTCGACCATCGTTCGAATATGCGGGTACATCAAAGGATAAAGTGGGTATGTGAAGAAACGGCAAATGTGGATGGAAGTATCGAATGTAAGCCCCAATATATCGTTGCAGGTCATGTGTACCTGATACGTGTCAGTTGTAAGTGCTTGCAAACAAATGACGGAGGGAAGAGATGTGAATGATAAATAAAGCCATATCAAGCGAAAACTTGATAAAGAAACAGAGCACATTTCAGGGAAAGTGCATGAAAAGTTCAAAGGAGCGAATTCTTACTTGGAAGGTTCCTTGACGAATCGCTAACACTCTGTGCACGTCCAGGAAAATGCGGGGATAGAGGTGAACTTTGTGCTGGGAAAGAGTATTTTCGACCACCAAAAGGTGTGCACTGTGCCAAAGCAGTTACAAGGGCTTGTCTAGTAGCATCTGTAATCGTAGCTAATGGACCAACAGAATGCATACTGCCATTCATAGACATTGGTGTTTCGGGGCCAAGGTTCATTGGAGGATGGAAAGCTTGAGTAGTAATTCCTGGCATCATTGAGGGACTTAGAGAGCTCATCGAAGGTGGAGGTGTCGAAAAGTAAGGGTCGTTAGCAGTCTTGGGTGGCAGGCCATGTGGAGATAAAGATCCACCATTCATCAAATCGTGGAAGCCAGAATTGCCCAATTCCATGGTGAAAGGATTTGGAGTCATCATTGGAGGTGCCATCATCGATTGCTGCCACATTGATGCCGAGGCAGCAGCGGTATTGTTGGACCCGTCCAGCATAACTTCGCTGATGCCACTTTGACTCGCGGTGCTGATTGCAGAAGGAGAGGACTCGTCGTGAATTGCATTTTCATTGGGATCATGGAAGGACATATGTTGTTCAAAACCATTCATCCACTCAAAACTCTCTTCCATAGCTTGGCCTCCAGACATATCTGGGAAACCCTGTTGGTAGGGAGACGGACCGTCAATTGCCATTGATTGTGGAGAATCGTTGTAGTGCAAAGCATTAGGATTAATGGTCGAGTCTGGGCCAAAAAGAAGTCCTTCGAAATCAAAGTCCGGGTTGTATCCACCGACTACTGGTGCAGTTCTTAGGCCACCTCCAAAGTCCATGGTATTGAAATGTTGAGTTTCCAGCTTGGGTAATCCATGATTCATGCCGCGCTGACCAAGGGCTGCTGACATCCCACCAAATTGGTATTCATTGTGCATTGGGAGGCCCGCAAGACTTGGATGACGGCTATGTTGCTGTTGAAGGTTCTGTCGAGCTACATTGGCATTGGCAGCCGCCATCAGTTGCATGTGAGCTCCGTCGACATGACTAATTGTGTTCGCTCTTGGTCTCATTGTCGTCGCGCCATTGCTATGGGCTACTGATCCTTTTCGGACTCTACCTGAAGCTGCAGTTGCAGTACTCGCAACACTTTCTCTTCGGTTCCTGGGTCTTGAGGAAGGTGTCGTAGTCATATGAAGCTTCTGTTGGTGCCGTAAAAGCAGATCCCGTCGGGCAAAGCATCTCGCACATTCGGGACATTCGAATGGCTTCTCTTTTGTATGTGATCGCTCATGACGCTTGAGATGTTCTAATCGGGCGAATGATCTTTGACAAGTGCCGCAGACGTGAGGTCGAGGTTTGTCCGTCTTTGGTGGGGGGAAGTTGTTCGCGGATTTGGTATTGGAAGAAGCACCTAGATGTAAAGCTTTAGCTGCGAACTGCCATAGGTGGGACAAGAATAAAAGCAATTTTGTATGTCGGATCTCATATATTCGACATCGGTCTCTTGCAGCAACAGGGAAATTACTCACCATTCTCGCCGTTACTCAGCCCACCATTGGCAGCACCAGCAGATGACGTTGCAGCTGGCATGGCGGGCGTCTGGACATGAATTGTCGACTCGCTCAGCATCGTCGAGGAAGAAGGAAGGAGGCGTTGGAGAGATTGTGCGAACAGCTTCCAGAAACTCGGTTTGGCATGCTATGGCTATGGCCGACTCAACACTTTCATTCGTTCCTGACGGCGTGGAAAGCAGAGCGATCGTGGCAAAGGGAAGAAGAATGGAGGTTCTGACATACGGGCTTTCCAATGGCCACAGACTGAGCGGGTCCGTTACTGGGGACTTGCAGACTTGCAGCGACGAGGACCAGAGGTGCAGGAAGGAATCTACAGGGCCTGCTCTCGTCTTCCACTTATCGCTTCCGTGGATGCAACCACACAGTCGCCGTTGTCTCTATTAGCCGAGTGCTGCCGATGCTCTCTGCAGCCCCGGTGCGTGCAAAAATAATAAGGTAATGCGCAGCCAGCCAATCGACGGTGGGCCGGGGACAGCGGTCCTGAGCCTGGTCGTGGTCGTGGTCGAGGGCGAAGGAGAGGGTGAATTTCTGTTTACTGTTGAGGCGTTGCGGTTGCGGATGTGGTGGGGGGAGGTATGTGTATGTGGAGGTACGAGGACGAAGGTCGACCAACTAAGGGAGTTTGTTGTTTCTGGGCGAAAAAGGGTAATGGGACTGACTGTACCAGTGGTCGTGGTACAACGAAAGTAGGTCCTGCGGCGGACCAGAGACAGTGGCTGTGGGGACGGATTAAGGGACCAGAAGTGTGTGTCTGACTTGTAAACGCTGTCGTCGTCGTCGTTGTGGCAGCTAGCCGCCTCGGACACTGGAGAAGCAGAGGAAGAAAGTTCGCCTGTTGTTTCTGCTGCTGCTCTTCGGCTGGGCTGGACTCTGCGTAGGACAGTTCACGGTCACCTCTGCACTGCACGGCTCCACCAAAAATTTATGGATCCAAAGAGACACCGCAATGCACTGACAAGGCAGGTAGGCGGAAAGAGAACAGAGAAACAGAGCAGCTGAAGCAAAGCAGGGCAGGCGCAGAGTTTCTCGATTCCTTCCTCCCTACTATACTTGACTCTGCGCTGCTCTGCTCTACTCTAATCGTACTCTACTCCGCTGGGGCTGGATTCCCCAGGATGACCAACAGCCAGCACTCGGAACGGCAAGACTCCAGAGCGAACATGGACGCTGGCAACTCACTATTACTGGGACGGGACTGCACTGGACATGCACTTCGAAGTCGACAAGGATGCTGATTGGAGCTCCACTCACTCTGAGACGATTTTGAGTCGGGAATGGGAGACTGGGAAGAAACTGGGGCAGCAAGCGTTGTCTGATACGGAATAGCGCACCTTGGTGGCATTATGGATCGATCTTGCGATGGAACTTTAAGTCGCAACAAGCAGAGAGTTAGTTGGTGGAGGCAACCAGACCCAGAGGCAGAAGCAGCAGCAGCAGCAGAGATTGCAAATAGAGCATACTAGACCTCCAGAGACCACCTCTGCACATCTAGCACCGAGCTGCGGGCCCTTTCTACTGGCTATACAGCTCTACCGAACCCTCCTCTACCCGTCTGGACGTACATGTACATACATACTTTACACTTGCAGATCCGGTCTGGCTATTCCTGCTTCTGCTGCTGGTCCTGAGGCTAGCATCTAGGCACAAAGGAGGATGAACACAACCGCATGGTCGTGCGGCGCTCGAGATTCGAGAATAATCGAATCACTGCACGCTCAGGACCACCGGTGGGACAAGGCCAGCGAAGCAGAGCAGCAAGCCAGTGGACCAGGCCAGGACGCCATAAACGAACGACGAAACCGACCTGGTCAAGCCTGCCATGCCATGCCATGCCAGATGAGACGACGCTCCCGAGCAAAGAGGCAATTCAGGGAGCTGATCTGACTGGCTGCGAATTTTACTTCGAGGAGAGACTGCCGCTGCGAAAATATTAATAGCAAACTACAATTAATCCGATGTATGTGCGTATGGATTCGTTTATGTACTGTATGCTGGCATGGCAGCAGGATCAATCTACGCCGACATGCTTGTTTCTTCCTAATAAACTTCTCGGCAGCAGTCACTGGACGGTTCTTCCTGTCCCTTTGGGTGTTACACAGCGCTTTCGGCATGAACGTGCAGACATGTCACTTTGCACCTTACAGAGTCGATACTGCGAACCCATGGTCAAGTCTATGGATGTGTGAATCTTGCAGGAGAGCATCAATATCAAGAATCAAGGACCGTTTCGGCCAGGACAAGAGCGCTCCCCTTTCCTACTACTCTACTCAATTGGCTGCGCATTAGCGGAAAAGGCCGCACCAAGAGTTCTTTCAAACGCTGGAGCTTCTTCTGCTGGCTTACAAGCTCTGTATCCACATCTCATCATGCACGACCTCACGAGGTTCCGAGGACCCGAAGTATGATTGAGAGAAATGGCCGTCTGACACGGCCGAGGACGAGTCAGAAGAGAGGCGCAAGGTAAGAGAGGCAGTACTCTAATTGTACCTGAACCTTCCGAGCTTTCCTGTTGCTGCTGCGTGTAAATTGCCCAGTATGTACACACGAGATGAAATGTCTCTCCTTCCCCTTTTGCAGGCTCTGGGGTGCGACGGAGTGGTGTCTGTCGTTTCTTCCTTTATATTGAAGTTCCATCGCGTCCCTCGTCTCCTCGCTGGTCCTGCGGCAATTTCCTCTCTTCCCTGTGTTTGACTCTCGACGGGCTTCCCATCTCTACAGTCTGAGTTCTGGGCTCCCCGCGGGATTTTCTCCAAGGTCAGCTTGTGACCAAAGCGTCATTCTGAAATATCGGGGACAGAACCAGGGGGCTCGATAAGCTTGGTGCTGGGGACGGATAGTGACTTCACCACACCTCACCTCGTGGTTCTCAAGTCTCACTCAGATCCAGCGTACCTTACTTCATGACAAGAGTGATAGCAAACGAAGTGCGCAGGACCCGGTCAGCGAGGCTGCTATTCGCCCGCACATTCCAGAATGGCATGCATCCAGCATTGAGGATGCAGATGGATGGATACAGTAGTTCGAGGTGAGGTGCGGTGCGGCAAGCCTCCTTCGGCTCAGGCTTATTACCGTTCTCCGTCGACGCTGTTCGGTGGGACAAGGAACGCCTGGGAGTGGATGATCTGGGAGGCTGGGAGGGTTCTGCTGTTCAGGTGATGTGCTAGTAGCGAGTGGGCGAATATTATAATGGCGGGTACGATGATGCTAATGCTGGTAGTTTGGGGTGGCTTGGTCAGTAGAGGATCAAATTATGGACCGGCTTTCTTCACACATCTTGGTTCTCGGTCATCACGACCGCCAACTGCCATTCGATGCGATGTGCTGCGCTGCACTGCGCTCCTTCGACTACCTTCTTCCTTCCCACCATGAACCACGATGTGCAATGCATCGCACCGCAACCGATCAAACGAATCTGCTCTCCACCCAGTCGGCGGCGGGCCAAGTAGTCGAGAGTGGGCTGAACATGGCTGCAGCAGCAAGCAAAAGAGGCCTGCCCGGCTCGACGACGACGACGACTGTAAAAGGCGAATGCAGAAGACGTTAGATGTGTAACCCACAGCTGCACACGCATCCCTACAAGTGCTCGAGCTCACTGCCATGGCCCTGCTAGGCTCTACCCTTGCAGGAGGTCGATAAAACACCACCAATGACCGCCACTACAGCACATAATCCCAGATACGAGCCCTGATGCAAACTGCAGTACCCTGGAGGCTACCCTGACCACCACCCTGACCACCACCCTGACCATGACCCTGGCTTTCCCCAGCTTTTTACAAGCCACTCGCACCGTCGTCTGTCATCTTGTGCGGATCTTCTGTCCTTGTGCCGTACGTGCTGCTGCTGCTTGACTGCTTCACCGAGGCGATCAAACTGTGTTTCTTGCGATGCTTCAGGTTTATCCGGACCAGAGTGTAAACCGACGTCCGACTGCCTGCACTGCCGCACCACGCTTGCTGCTAAAGTGACGTGGTTTTATGTCCGATGGAGCGCCTTGCTCGCAGTTGGTCCTGCAGTTAATCAAGAGCGGAAGGAGAGCGGCGAGCACTGTTCGATCTCGGGTCTGGGGAAAGGTTTTGACCATCTCGTTATGCCTTCATCTCACACCTTACCAGACAGCAGCAAATGATTACAACTCTGCAATAGAACGCGAGGAGAAGACCCAGCAGAACCTTAGATCTATCTAGCAGATCGGGCCCAATCTCGCACCAGTGTCGATAAAAAGAGCGTAGCGATATACTAACCACTTTGACAAAAGTAAGTATCGCAAGGAGCCGCGATATCAACGCACTTGTACTGACAGCCCACATCCATAATAACAGCAATAACATGAATGCAAAAACAAGTAGGCTTTCCAATCTCCGATCGTGGATGAGGGCCCTTCCACGCCAAACCACGTTCTTTCAAGCCACCGCCCTGTGCCTTGCCTGTGCAGCTCTCGTTTCTTATTCTCATCCTGGCCATGGCCATGCCATGTCCTCTCCCGGCGGCCGAGATTCACCCGGCAAACTTACCCCAGAATTACGAAGCGCAGAAGTGGAAAGTGAAGCATGGTATGGAATGGAGCAACGGCTTCGGGATGGAGATTGGGGATAGCATTGTGGAGTATGGAGAAAGGAGAAAGGAGAGAGGGCGCTGCTAGCGAGGTCAGTTGACTCTATTTTTTCCCTGGAGACGGGCGAGCTAAGTGGTCCTCGGTGGACGGTTCAACGGACTGGGAAAAAGGTACAGTACCGGCGATATCCAAAGACCCAATTTCGGAACCACACCAAGACACCATCTTTCTCAAATATCTCGGTCCAACCAGCAATTCACCAATCGCAAAACCTCATATCAGCCCACCAGATTGGATGGCTTTTTCGAAACTTCATCCTCCTTCCCTGGTCCATGCCTACCGAGCCCCAGGCCTCTCGCTACCCTGCCTTTTCTGGGGAAGAGACAACGTCGTCATGCAAGCCCCAATCTTGTCAGATACATTACTCGCTCGCGGTAATACTCTTCCTCCTTGAACGATCACCGGTTATCCCCAGACATCTGCAGTCTTGTCGGCCGTCCACCTGCTCGTACTCGTTCTAAGACCTCGCGGATGGAATATTATTAATCAATCTCCGAAAAACCAGCAATGAGAGATCTTCTTCCTAATTAAGGAGCACCAGGAAAGTAGTTCGGCCGGCATTCCCCTCTGAACTTTTACCTTTCTATGAAACCACTTAACAATCAAGAACAGTCTTCCCTTGCTACCGCAATCTCATCTGTACCCAGATCAAAAAGATATATTGAAACTCATATGGAAATCTGAAGCCGGAGCCCCCATACTGTTGCCAAAGTATAATCCCCATCGTCAATAATTAGTCGCAGATTTTACCTCAATCCAGCAGCAAAAGACCCAAAAGCCGAGTCCTGTACAAAAAAACTTTGGTGGAGATATGCCGTTTCCAAGACTGGCTCTCGACTCACTCTTTGGCTTGCAGCTTGCTCGTTTCGCCACACCGGGCAAGCCAGCTTGCAGATCACATCGAGGATCTTCAACCCTCCATCACGCCCACCTTCCCATCCAGTCCATCCATCCAAGCCCATTTGAAATTTTCTTTCTTTTCTTTCTAGAACATACACGTAAACGCCGAAAACTTTTAGGTAGGGAAAGTCATCCATCCAGACAGTAATTGGAGCGGCCTTCACCTCCTTCCCGCCACCACCACCAACCCCTCGTCATGATCTCCTTCTCTTATACCACAATTCCCAATCCTAAGCAGACGAGGGCAGATCTCCCTTCAATTCATGGCTCAACCTTAAATCGTCCAATATCCCGAGACGAGAGAGAGGATCCGTCAGGGAAGTATCTCCAGTCCTGTAGCGGTTCCAATGAGTAGGCCGAGTGGCGAGGGATCGGCGCGTACAGATGCGGGTTTACGCAACGGTGCATTCACGAGGGCTTCAGGGTCTCGTGGTGGTGATCTTGGTGCCGGTAACCATTGGGTTGATGTCATTTCTTGAACTTTGTATTTTTGTTGTTGCTTCGGGGAGGAATGGGATGGAATGATTGTTCCGGGAAGAGTTCGTACATGAGGTGTGTGAGAGGATTTGAGGTTCAAGGGCATTGATAGATGGAGTGAAGTCACGTTTTCCAGTGCTGTTTTGTGTTTTGGTAGGGCTGTTGTTCTGGACTTGGTCAGTACACAAGTGAGGCTAGAATCTACCTGAGCTTCAAGGACATTCATTGATCAAGCGATGATAGTCAAACTCTACATCTCTAAGTACCCATTGTTCACAACCCTTTAGCACATGTCTCTATGCAAAGTCACTAGAACCTCAAGAACATCAAGCAACTGCTTGATCTCTAAGTCAATTCACTCCATCCACCACAGACCACATCTTCCCCCTCAAAAACCTCGCTAAATCTCGCTTCGCGCCACCGTTCGGGAGAAAAAAAATCAGGAAAATAAAAAAGATAGAGTGTCGTCTCCCACTACGCCAGGCGTGGGTGGGAGCAACTTTCTTGCTGCGTCGTAAGGAAGGTAGAGAAAGTGCGTGTTTAACGCTATACGGCTTGGTGGGTAGTAGTATGATGATTTGTGATTTGCGGTTGATGGTTTGCGGTTGATGGTTTTGGTGTTTGGAGATTTCTTGGGTACGGATGTTGTTCGATGAGAAGGTGCATTGGAGAGGGGGTGTGTGAGAGGGTGGTGTTGTGTTGGTGTTGTGCTTTTGGTAGTTTGGAATACTTGAGTTGAGGGTGTTGTTTGGTTCGAGAGAGAAGAAATTCGGTGAGGTTTGATGTAGGATAAGGCTGTTGTCTTGATTTGTGGTTTTAGTGTCCATGATGGTCTGGACGCATTTCAGTCTCAAGTGGCCTTCGACAAAAAGAGGTTTCAGAGAGGTTCTATATGTGGTTTTGCTATTGCATTGATGCTGTGTTTCCATTGTCCATGATGGTCTGGATATATTTTAGTTTCAAGTGTTCTTAGAAGAGGAGAAAGTGCACAGAAGTTCTGTGTATGATTTCACTACTGTGTTGATATTGTATCTTTAATATCCATGATCCTTTTGAGACATTACCGTCCTGTTTTCTCACTGCTACAGACAGACCTCAGGGAAGTTCTCTGCAGGATGCAGTTATTGTTTTGATTCTGTGCTTCTAATATCCGTGATGGTGTGGGTGCATTTCAATCTCAAATGTTCTTTGAGTAGGAGAGATGTCAAGAGACTCTGTATGTAATTTCTCTTTTGTGTTAACATTATACTTCTAGTATGTATGATATCTTGAAGACATTTCAGCTCATATTCCCTGCTACCAAAGACAGGCTTCAAAGGGGTTCCATGCAAGATAATGTTATCATCATAATTTTGTGCCTCTGATCTCCAATATGGCTTCGACGCATATCAATCTCAAATGTCCTTAAAGAAAGTCTCTAGAGAGTCCGGAAAGCTTATACATGATCTTGCTATTGTGTCTCTAGTATCTATGATACCTTGGCGACATTTCAATCATAGATTCTTACTGCTAATGACAGACTTCAAATGTTCTCTGCGAGGTGATTAAGCTGTTGTGATACTCTGTTACGAATACCCTTGATGCTCTGAGTACATCTCGCACTCAATTATCTTTTGCGCAAGACGAACATAAACAAACCCTTTACACAGTCTCTAATTCCGTCTTTATCTACCGACTTATGTACACGTAAAGTCCTGTTCCCGCTAAGATCTTTGAACCTCATCGCCGCGGAAACTCGCTTTAGCGTAACTTAGTCCGCAACAACGTTTACAAATTACACGTCCACTTTCCTCCTCCATCACCATCACCATCACACAATCATGGACGTGTCTCTACGAACGCTGGAGAACCTCCGGGTTCGAGCAACCCAAGTCTTTTTGGACGCTACGTTTGCAACGGTACGTTCTCGCTCCCGCTCCCTTCACGGCTCTTTCGTCTTGTTGTTTGATTTCCTCCACTGTCGTTGTTTACGTGTACATTGTCGTTTTGTCTTGTATTTGGTGTTTGCTGCCTTTCATTCACGCTTTTCCCTGGAAGTCCATGGACTGGAGACGTGTCTTTGGCTTGCAGTCACCCAGTCATTCTTCGTGTCTGTCCGTCCTTTCTGGTAGGCTTGCGACACGGTCTTGCTTTAGGACAAGTTCACATGCCCAGTAGGCATTCAGAATTGCTAGCAACCTCATGTCTTGCTTCGTATACCTACATTCACGCTGGTGTACGTGCGCTGGTTTTGGGGCAACTTGACACGTTAGTACGTGCTCACATTTTGATATTATTCGCTCTTGTTTTTGCACGAATTCGCATTTTAGCACACACTCTTTGATTTTGATACAAATTCACTTTTCAGCAAGTGCTCACGTCCCAATACAACTTTGAGCTTCAATATGTGCTCGCGTATTCATATGGACTGTACTTGAGTGCATATTACAAGAGTGATTTAGTACAAATCCTTGCCATGTGTATTCATGTGTTTTAGAACAGTGTTCTCTTTCCAATTTTCTCGCGTATTTTGGGCTACTATTCTATTCATACGTATTCACTCTTTTCGAAACGCTCCAGTTCTCATACCATGGACGATTGTTCATTGCGCTATCTTCTAATATGTATTCATGGATGTCAAAGTACTGTCATTCTGATGTGTATTCATGCATCTAAGACTATTTGTCAGTATAATGCACTCTACAGAACGTTCTTCTTCCCATACGACTTCACGCATTTTCATGGGCTGTTTTCCTACTCATGCATTTTGAATGGCTCACGCCTCGCCATACCCCGCACACTCACGAAGAGAAGAGTGCTATTATTCTTATACGCATTCACATATGTTCATGCACTATTTTCTTGTTACATATTCATGCTTGTTAAAAGGCTGTTCTTCTCATATGTATGCACACCTTGTCATGCGCTATCTCATTATATTTTCAAGCTTGTTTAAAACGCTATTCTTCTCATATGTATTCACCCTTATTCAAGCGTAGTTTTCTTGTTAAGTTTTCAGGCTTTTGCAAAGTGTTGTTCTTTTCATATCTATTCGCGCTTTTTCAAGCGTAATTTACTTGTTAAATTTCCAGGCTAATTAAAGCGCTATTCTACTCATGTATTCATGCCTTTTCATGCATTATTTTCTTGTTATATTTTCAGGCTCTTTAAAAGCGCTGTTCTTCATACGTATTCACGCGTTGTCAAGTGCAGTTTTCCTATTGTACCTTCACGCCTTTTGATACGTTGTTTCCTTGTCATATTTTCAGGCTTATCAAAAATGCTAATCTTCCTTTTCATGCGCTGGTTTCTTGTTATACTTTCAAGCTTGTTAAAAGCGCTAGTCTTCTCATAAGTGTTTATGCGTTTAAAAGCTTCACGCCTTTTTAATGTGCTGTTTTCTTGTTATACTTTTGTCTTTATTAAAAGCGGTGGTTTTCTCATACGAATTCACGTATTTTAAGGTGCAATTTTTTCATTAGTATTTACGCATTTGAAAAATTCACGCTTTTTAAAGCGTTGCTTTTCTGTTATATTTTCGGCCTTATTAAAAGCGCTAGTTTTCTCATATGTATTTACATATTTTGAAGTGTAGTTTTCCTATTAATATTGACGCATTTTTATGCGTTCTTTTCTTGTTATATTTTTGGCTTTAGTAGAAGCGCTAGTCTTTTCAAACCCATACACGCATTTTTATGCGTTCTTTTCTTGTTATATTTTTGGCTTTAGTAGAAGCGCTAGTCTTTTCAAACCCATACACGCATTTTCAAGTGTAGTTCTATTAATATTCACGCAATTGAATACTTCACGCCTTTTTAAAGCGTTGGTTTTGTATTATACTTTCGGCCTTATCAGAAGCGCTGGGTCTTTTATACGCATTCACGCATTTTAAAATGTAGTTTTCCAAGTAATATTCACGCATTTTTATGCGCCGATTTTTTGTTATACTTTCGGCCTTATTAAAAGCGCCAGGCTTCTCCTACGAATTCACGCATTTTGAAGTGGAGTTTTCCTATTGATATTCACGCATTTGAATAATTCACGCCTCACATACCCCGCTTACTCACGTATAAATGACAGGAACGTATTCGAGCCGTCAACCCCATCCTCCCCAACTATCTTACTTAAAACAACTCCCACAACAATATCAGACTCACCTACCACTCCTCCTCGGACCTGATAGCCATGGATGAAGAGGGCAGAAAAACGATGATAGCCTTAGCTCATCTCTCAGGATGGTCAGCAGAACGCATCTCTCAGAAGATGCGGAAATGGTACCACATAGTTGTCACTCCTGGAAACATCTACATGATGTATCAACAGTGGACCTCCAACTCTATCCTTCAAGCTCCACAGGAAGAGAAGATGCGGGAACTCCTGTCGGCCAAGCTTCACGCAGACTTCGGCTTTCAACGTCCGCTGTCTGAGACTCCTGGTGGATGGCCAGTAAGTCCCCATCACGCCACTTCTCGATTCACCGATGGTTGGGGCTGACGATGACGCACTAGATTACAGTCAAGTTTGCTAAGAGATGGAATCCAAAGGTAAATTCACGCTCTGATCTAAACACTTCAGCCACTAACTACTCTCAGGATCTGGACAATCGCAGTCTGTGCAAGTACTACAATGCTGCCAGCCGTACCCACACTATTGGACACTTCCTTGCTATGGTTCGACCACTTGATGCTATCCACGAACTGTCGCCAACAGAAGAAGCTGCCGTTGCACGACTTGGTCCTGTTGTTAGCTCGATTCTCACCTCAGTCCTCAATCGATGGGCCGAGCATTTCAGAGGAAAGCTTCAACAACTGCCATTCTGGAAGAACATCTCGAGAGACAATCACGCTGAAACGATCATGGACTTCCTGAAGATCTTCACCGATGAGTGGGAAGAGCAATATGGCATAATGGCTGACTGTGGATCTGTCACACCTGATCAATTGATTCGACACACATTTGTTATTCGGTCCACCGGACAAGGCGCAAAGATTCTGCTTGGACTGATGCTTGCTGATCGAAGTATCGCCATCGAGAAGAAGAGAAAAATGCTCAAGGAGTCCGTTGGTTACATCAAAGTCTACTGCCCACTCCCGATGGATGAAAGAGCATGCCCGATTTGTTCTGACGATCTCAACTTTCCAAATGCCGAAGATGTTACGGAACAAGCTATCCGACTTGTATCTTGCTGTGGTCAAATTATCGGAGCGAAGTGCTTGGTCGCCTGGATCAATCCTCTTGCCGGTGCAGGTGTAGGAATGAACAACAGTTGCCCACACTGCAGGAGTTTCTTCTCGAGGGAATTTATCAACAAATTGGCGGCAGAGGAGGGCGTACAAGAGCAATACGAAGATAGTCAAAGCGATACTGACGGTGATAAGGATATCGAGGATGATGCGGAGCCAGGCGGTGAGATTCAAGATGGTGTTGTTGAGGATTTTGCTGGTATTGAGGTTGGTGAAGAGGGCAACGTGCACTTTTGAAGTGACGTAGCTGGGATTATTACATTTGAGTTTCTATGGGATATTATGGGATGGAATCCGTTGAGTTTTATGGCATGGATTTGATGGTTGTATGATAGGGTGTGACTGCGGTGGATGCTTTGCATTGCGTTGCGTTTGGTGGAACCCGTTGTACGATGATACCCCCTTTTTTAAGCGAGATTTTCAGCGTCCTTTCAGAGCAGATAGTTTGACAGACTAATAATCGCATTGCAAGGGTCATTTTTCATGAATGCAACAGAGATTGATATTGTGCCAGATGTTTGAATCTGCAAGGGTTTTTAATTTGTTGTTCTCGCATAGCACACCACTGGACATTGTGAACCCAAAACTAGCTATACGACTTCGTGGATGATTGTAAAGTAATGAAGTAAGTACTTAGTTTTGCGTATATAACACAATTTAAGTATCTCTTCTCAAAACCTGCAATGGTTGTCTATGAATATAAATAATTTAAGTAGCACATTATCCTAAATTTTCTCTGATGCTAGGAGGTGTAAAAAGCCTCAAGCTTTTATAATTATTATAACACTCAAAATCTGGAGGCATAACTTTATTAGGCACGGAGTTCAGCTTGTACCATGTTATTCGGAAGTTTCAATGTCGAATCATAGAACAGCACATCTCGAGCCATAATCTGGGGACGATTTATTGCGAAATTGACCAGAACTTTGATGTTTGTAGCCATGTTGAAGCATCATGGATTTCAAGAACAGGTCAGCCACTTGACAATTGAGCTTAGCGCTAAGACGGTCTGACGCGATCTTGCAATATCAACAACTACCCCTCCAACGCAATTCACCCCACAACGCACACATAAACATCAGCACAGAATGGCAAGTCATTTCCTCCCAACCCCCATCCACTATATCCTAATTCTTGCTAGTCCAAAGATTCAAACTATACCTACATCCACTTCAATCGGCCGCGGGATGCCGACATTTTCGAAGACTTCTGCAAAGACAAGCTGCCCGACGACGAGATCTACGTACCGCCTCATAATCAGCCTATCAATCCCGAAGATGAAGATGATGTAGTTCCAGATCAGCATGCGGCGTTTGGCATCCAGAGAGCGACGCAGAAGACGAAGGAGGCTGCTTGGAAGGATTTGGGGCTGAAGGACTTGATGAAGAAGGGGCCGGAGAGGGAGAAGTCGAAGACGTTTGCTATTGGGAGCAAGAGTCTACCTAGATGAGTGCCTCTGTGTGATGGATATACTCAGGTCGGAGTTCTGGACGGGATATGGATGTTTGGAGTTCTACGAAAGGTCTTCTTGCAGGCGTTGTATGGATATTATACGATTGATGACTCGGGTTCGAGGATTGCATATCGTTACGGATCGGGAACAACAAGATTGTTAGTCAAAGTTGGTGATGGATTACAAGCAGCGATGCGTTATGAATGAATTCAATAAGCATTTCAGCAGAGCAATCTGCCATGATGATATGTCCATTTCCTCTAAATACCAGCTTTCCCATTCCCAAGCTCCCCAACTCCACCAATGCCCAATTACGCCGCCCAATGATCTTTGATATCCCTCTCTATTCTTATATCTCGTCTCAACTCCTCCCCAAATACGCCTCCCTCTCCACAACCTCCGGCTCAAACTTAACTAAAAACACCGTCTTCCCAGGCCACAACTCCCCCTCCTCCCCCTTCCCCACACTATGCGCCGTAACCCTCGCCGGAAACCCAGCACCATCACAAACACCCTCCACAATCCCCGCCACGAACGCCGCACAATTCAACTGATTCATCTCCTTCGGCACACTGATATACTGATTGACCAGCGGTTCGTTGTCCGAGATCATGTATTCTTCAGGCGTGTCTGGGTTCGAGGACTTCTCTAGTGCGTCGGCGGGCCGAGAGAAGAGGTGTCGCCAGAGGATCGTGGTTATGAATTGGAGAAGGGCGATGATGTGGAGGGGCCGGGTTTGAGTTCGTGGTGGTTCGCGGTAGAGGAGGAGGTCGAGGAGTTTGAGACCTATTGGGTGGCCTTGGACATTTAATCTAGAGAGATAATCGTGTCAATCATAAGTCCAATTCTGCGAGAATCTGCGGAGAGGTTGGGATGAGAGGCAGCATACCTTTTCTCTAAATCTTGAATACCAGTGACGCGCTTCTGCGCATAGCTGACCATCTCCCCAAAAAGGTACGCAAAGCTAGATTGGCTGAGCTCCTGCGTCCGGCTTCGGTTTAAGGGCCTGTGGTATATGGTCTTGCCGTTCGAGGGGTATCGTAGCCCTGGCTGTGAGCCTCGCTGTGCTTGTGATGCTTGGGTTGCCAGCGGTGGCTTTACTGGTTGCGAGGATGCCATGATGCTTGATGGACCAGCTGGACCATATGTGGCGTGTATGTGAAATAACTTTCTTGTGAAGTCTGGCGCATTCGTTGTGGTGAATTTCGAGGTGTGGCTTCGAGTTGGGCGAGATAATAGCTTGCTGCTATCTTGAATGTACGTCCACTGAAGCGAGGTTTTTAGGGGTTCCGGCAAAGGCTGTCGTCACACGACAATGGAAACAAAATATGATGTGAAGGTATTACATATTTCTACTATTATAAGAACGAACAGTCTATACTAACATCATCATGTAGGGACTTCTCTAGTCCGCAAACTCTATCGTAACTTCCGAAACGTCCCATGCTAAAACATCTTCAAGTCCTGTCCCCCTCTGTTGTGATGATTGGGTCTGGTTTTATAGCCATGACATCCATGTTACCATTGGATTGTGTTCCACTTGTTTGAACCGGTGTTTTTGCCTCCGTGGAAGCAGGTTCAGCTGGAGAACCATTCGCCTCGCTCTTGACCTGTTCTGCATTTGGGGTTGGGTCTACCGCTGAACTTTGAGCTGGCTTCTCGACAGAAGATCCAAAAAGACTTGGTTCATCTCCTCCCTTCAGATATATCTCACTCTCGCCATAGTTCTTTCCAGCTTTCACCCAGCGAGAAACCAGCTCTGAATGCTTCTCCTCGCAAAGTCTCAATAGTGCTGGCCAATACACGTCATGTTCATACTCAAACTCCAAGTCCCCATGAAACTCATTCCAAAGCTGCTCAGGAGGAACATGCTGTCTCATATCGTCGTTGAATTTCAGCTTTTGCCTCGTCAATGGGTCTATGAATGGTGTTATGAGTTTGAAGAAGCCATTGACGATCCAAGGAACTACACATGTTAGAAAATGCTATCTTTGAATCAAGACTTGAAGGACGTACTGTTGATGATCAGAGCTCTACCCAGTCTCTCAGGGTAATGGGTCTGAAGAATGTTCAAAACCTCTCGTCCTTGACCGAGACCAGGAGCCGTATTGGATCTACTCTTGCTAGACTTGAAATTAATCAACAGAGCCAATGTCTCTTGGCCCGGTACCATGAGATTGATAACTCTCTCAACCATGAACACCAAGTGTTGCACTTGTCTCGGACTCGGCTCGGTATTCTGTCGTCCGGGGTTGAGATAATGACATGGTCTAGCAGCAATATCGTATCCAATGATGATCTGCTTTCCAGTCTCGTTCTCCGGCGATATATGATCTCCGGTCAGATCTTCGACTCCATATTCCCTCCGCCATGTCAATGTACCAAGCAATCGTTTCGCTGCTTCAGCTGTAACCCATTTTGTAGCTCTCAGATATCGTAGCAGACACTCCCTCGTCAACCACATTATCTCACTCTCCGTAATTAGGCCTCCTTTCCCTTGCGTAGATGGAACCTCCTTCCATGACTTGACAATCTCCAACAATGATTGGTACTTGGACTTCTGTTCGGCGGTAAGCTCTACTGGGCGTGGAGGTACTGCAGATTCGACAGGATCAACAATTGGAGTCTTCAAAGGTCCAGGGAGCTTTTCCCGCAGTGATGCAGCTACGGACGAGGTGTTTGAGGCTTCAGCATTCGTGGCAGATTTATCCGTTGGTGGTGCGGCATCTGATTCGAGAGCGACTTCTGCAAGCTTCTGTTCGAGTCCTGGCTCTGGCGCGGCTGCCATTTTTGAAGGTGTTTTGGGAGAAGATTTATTCAAGCTGAGATAAATTACTACAGGCAGGAAAGATTGCAAGGTCTCTTGGCTTCCTAGAAAGATGAAGATGGATCAGAAGCTGTGATGCCGCAAGCACGAATAAGACATAAGATTTGCTGTGGCTCCCAATCTTCAGCCTCGCGATTACCCCTGTTGAGCCTTGTCCAATGAGCTGCATTTCTCGCCTAGCAAGAGACAACCACATTTGCTTAGGAATTGCTATAGGGCTCACATCCTGATATGGACACAGCTTTGGGGGCTATAGCATCAAATATAGAGAGGACTATCATAAAGTGGGAAAGGGTCGTGACCCTGTTTCGTTTATGTCATTATACTTGTACATGATCTACCTTTCCGGTCTGTACAATACTCATACACGCCATGTACACTGCAATACATGTTTCCGATACTCCCCAGCTCATCTTCTGCCTAACTTCCATCTCTCAATACGATCCTGAATTGCCTCCCACTTAAAGGGTTGTCGGGTAACTCCCTCCTCTTCGCCTTCTTGCAGCACCACAGTTGGGGCACCACTTCCCTTTCCTGGGTTATTGACCATACCACCAACGACAATCTTTGCCACTCTTCGAAGATCTCGTATCGTCAAGTCATCAATCTTCTTGCACATTTCTCTCACTCCAACTTTCCTGCCATGAACTTGGACTTGTCTTCCTAGATCTTCGAGCTCTACCATTCTACTCTCGAGGTTCATCAACAAGCTTGATCTTAGCTGATTCTTAGCTCTGTTCACCTCGACAGGTTGCAGAGCAGAATATCCAGTATCCAAGGTCAGAGCTTGTAGTTCCCGACACATGACGTCCAACATGTTGAGGACATTACCTGGCGAACAGCTAGATGATATGCCGAAAAGCCCCGAGTCGGTGTATGAGTGGTTGAACGCCATACATGACTCGACCCAGCCAAACTGGTTCAGGACGTTCGTATATAAACGAGAGTACATGCCTTTACCAGGACCTCCAGCCGAGAAAGATCCACCTCCACCAAGAAGAGTCTGTAAGGTAGCTAATGCATAGATATCCTCGGATGATATAGGAAGTGCTTCGAAAGCCAAGTGAATGTGCGTAAGCGGAGGGAGAGCAGGATTGACCGGAGGAGGTAAGGAGGGCAGCGAAAGGAAGCCACCGGTGTAGTGAGACGGTGTTGTGATATCGAACGAGGACGGGGAAAAGTCGGTGGTAGACTGCACAGATGCATTATTTGATGCTGAAGTGGAGAGGTTTTTGAGAAAGGGTATTCGTGAGAGCAGTTTAGAAGGTTGTTGTGATGGTGAAGGAGGTAATGAAGATATCGACGAGGTCGAGCTATGGCTTCTTTCGCTGATTGACTCGGTGGATGTCTCTGATCCAGTTTCCAACAGTTCCGATACCTCTGCTTTCGGCATGTCTCCAAAGTGCTCCTTTGCGAGTCTCACAGCTTCATCATGCTGTACGCCTGCAAATGCAACCACTATCCTCTCTGGGCGAATGAATGTCGCCCTGTATGCCTCAATGACACTCTTATCTATCTGAGAAAGTCTTTCCTTGGGACATAATAATGGATTTCCGAGGGTATTGTCCTTGAAAGCAGCCATATGTACCAATTCGGGCAGAATCAACTCCGGCTTCGACCAAATCTCCCCTATTTCATAGGCAGCGGTCTCCAATTGCTGTTGTACTTCTTCTTCGATTATTAAAGGATCACGAATTGTTTCTGCCAACACCGCAAGAGTCGTAGGTACTGCTGAGTTGAAAGTAGCCGATTGATACATCAGCGACTCCCTTGAGGAGGCACAGTTGATGTTTCCACCCAAAGATTCCAAAGTCTCTAGCATCTCGTCGCTCGTACGGTGTTTAGTGGACTTGAACGCAAGCCTGTCCATGATATGGCTTACACCCCTTAAATATTCATTCTCGTATCGGGATCCAGCATCGATGAAGACGCCTACGCCGGAGAAGGGTCCAGGTAAAGCTTCTGTTGCAACGCGAACTCCATTTGAAAGAGTGGATATCTGATCAAGTTCTGCGGGATCCTAGGTTCTTGTAAGTCAGGATAGGCAAGCGTAGAGAAATAATGTACCTTTTGGATAGGATCAACAACTGTTGCCAGGTTTCTAGAACGAAATGTAGGAAGCACGCTTGGAACAAAGGATCTTTTTGGAAGTGCCCGAGTCAGCGTTCTTGAAGATGCGCCTCTGAACATGATTGTTGTTGAAAGTCTGTTATCACTTCTAGCCCTCACAGCAAAATATTCACGAGAACGCCAACGCCATCATAAGAATCCCGGGACCGGCAACAGCCGTTGCAGCTCCTATCACGTGCACCCCCCAAGTCTCCTGTTCCCTGCCCCCTGCTCGTGTGTCTATATTGGGGACGAAATATTGTATCGAATCTCGAGATCATACGAAGGTGAGATAGACACTCTGAATGTTGCGGAGCAACCCGACATCGAACTGCTGCAGAGTCGTCGATTGCTTCATACATACAGTCTACGTCCCGTCCTTCAAGGCTCTGGACCCCTTGGTCGGAAACCGAACAGGAAAGCGCATCATCCACAGCTCTGGGTCTAGACTGGAGGGAAGACGGTGGTGTTGACTTCCACTTCAAGAACAGCTCCCGCCCCATGTAGCTCGTCTTCGACCTCTGACTTACGAATTTCTTCCCTTGATTGTAATCATCTTCTGTCTTGTTTCCCTCGAGATATTTCAAGTTCACCTTCGGGACGAGGTTACGAGGCATCGCAGCACCTGCCTTCTTAACGACTGACTCGGATTGAGTGAAATGCCAAACACAACAAAAGTCTCAGACCGACGCTCAGCCACCTGCCTCGCCACACGATCCTCTCTCTCATTAGTCTTTCCAAACTGAATCCTACACTGCTCCGTGATCTTTGAAGATATTTCCTATTCGGACCAATGTATTCGTCGGTTCCCAGTCCACCGCAGTGGAATTCTGGACCTGTGTCAACGCCAGCCCTAGACAGGACCAGGACTCCACCCCCGGCCTCCCCAACTTCGCCCACACGAACAAACCGACTCCGAGGGCTCAGTTATTTACGTTCCTACACACAGAATCATCTGTTGTCACGAGATAGTCCTAGCAACTCGACATCGCGTCCGTCGATCGGCAGGGCCACTAGCTATCCGTCTCCCTCATCTGCGAACTCCTCGCCAAATCCCAGAACTCGTCAGACCCCGACATCACCTACAACACTACGAGCCACCTCGGAGGCACCCACTGCGAGATCAGATAATCGAGAGACTGTAGGAGGCACCAATATCTCGGTAGTACGATCAACACTGACAGCGACGTCTTCTGCGGTTGTCACTGAAAACCACCCGGCTGCAGCCTCAGATCTTACGAGTTCGATGGTCCGTACTAGATCTGCCACAATGGGAGGAGCTGCAGATTTACCACATGGCGAGGAACCCGAGTCGCAAGCTACACCGCAGACAAATGGCAATAGTGGAAGAGACGCCCATCATCAGCTCCCTTCGATACGGTTTTCTGCCCACCAAGACCCAAGAGCTCAGCGACCATCTTTGGTTTTCAGCCCTATGTCCCGCATTCTACCTACTGGCTCCGAGATCATTAAAGTCGGTCGATATTCGGAACGAGACAATCAGCCGGTACAAGCAGTTAATGTACCCTCCGCTGCGGCGGTTGGCTTCAAGTCCAAAGTTGTAAGCCGACGACACTGCGAGTTCTGGTGTGCTGGTGGGCGCTGGTTCATTAAGGATGTGAAGAGCTCTTCGGGCACATTTCTCAATCACATACGACTCAGTTCACCTGGTACAGAGTCGAGACCCTTTCCAGTTAATGATGGCGATATCGTACAATTGGGCATTGACTTCAAGGGGGGGGAGGAGATGATATTCAGATGCGTGAAAATCAGGGTTGAGCTCAATAAGGGTTGGCAGACAGGACCAAGCAGCTTCAAGTGCGTTTCTTGGTCCTTTACGGTACCACCAAGTTGGCTAACATTCTGTAGTGTACAGTCTCACAAACGTCTACGTGAGCTGAATAGCATGAACAAACCGCCCGCAGGTAGCTCGTCACAGGATTGCTCTATCTGCCTCGGACCGATCGCAGTATGTTCTCCGTCGCTTTATGGTTATGTGATGTATACTAATTCGCCGAATCGTACAGCCTTGCCAGTCCTTGTTCGTTGCACCATGTTCTCACACCTGGCATTACAAATGCATCCGAGTCATAATCAATGGCCCGCATTGGCCACACTTCATCTGCCCGAATTGCAGGACTGTAGCGGATCTCGAAGCAGAGCTTGATGATCCATACGCGAATGGAGACTGGGAAGAAGTCGAAGCTGCTGAAGTTACAGAAGCTCCGGGACAGGCACCAGTTGAAGGAGCGGCAGCGAACGCTACCGTGCGGACCGAGGGGCAGCATAATGACGGCAACGAATCTAGTATGGCCGTCGAAGCAGAGCCTGAGACTTTGAACCACAATCAGAATGGCTCAAGCGATAGCGAGCTTCCAGACGCAAATGAGAACTCCGGACATGACCACACAGTCAACCAGGCGGCAGAGGATCTAGGTTACCTTCATATCGAAGACTCACCCTCACCATCCGAGTCAGCCGATTCGCATCATGGTTCAGCACCTTCAGGTGCTACTGTCCCTCCCATAGATATTATCTCACGGAAGCCTGTTCCAAGTTCCGGTAGTACTGCACGCCTTGATCAACCAGACTCTCGACTAGAAAGAACCATGACTCGCACGCCGAGTCCAAATGGACTGGGTTCTCCTCTCGGTGTAGATGCCATGACCGGAGTGGAAGGCCCTATGACACCGAGGAACGACGCTGGGCCTTTCATATTTGACGGAAGCGGTGGCCGTCCTTCGGATGTGCGGTTGGCTGCTGTGGCGACGATGAATCTCAACGCTGCTGCAAACACGCCGCCACCCCCTCCTCATGTGGACAGCGAAACAGCATAACAAGCTTGCTATGCTTTATTTGTGCATTTTAGCGCGGCGTGATACGGCCAGCATGGGTTTCTTTGGGACGAAGTTTGTAGACATACCATACTGCATCAAACGTGCCTACCACGGCACTTTATATATGGAGAGAAATGGTGGTCTTAATTTGGCAGTGGGATGATGACTTACGAATGCTGGCGTTTTTGGGGGAACGATTTCTGGTCGGCTGATGGAGTCTATCTGCTCAGGTGGTGGCAAGAAATCTCATTGCATAGCCGCAGAAGCTGCTATTAGTGGCATTCGTCGAATTTCGGTTGCATGGACATCGCAGATACTTTGCACATCATACAGGAATAATTACTGCTTGCTTTGACTTCTCTCTTGTACATGAGTGCCCAAACCTTCATCTCTTCAATCCAGCTCCAATCCTTTCAATTTCACGTCCCTCTATTGTCCCAATCCCCGCTGCATTTCTCAATCTATCTACCGATTCGACATCTTTGATCTTGACGGCCTCCTCAGCTGCTTTAACGCGCATACCGCATTTCTCGTACATGCCGATCGTCTCGCCAGGTTGCAGAGAAGGTGCGGCTTTGGGTATGAAGATGCTGGCGAGTTTGGGGTTTCCAGCTGAGAGGATAAGTGCAAAGAATGGCTTCATATGTGGTTAGTGTAGTCTTCTTTCACAAAATAACGAGACATACCTCCCAACCAATTGGGGATTTTCGAGTCTTAGACCACTCTTCTAACTCGTTCCAGTCCCGCTTGGCTACTAATGCTCGAAGTCTAGAGTGTACTTGTTAGCGTCGTAGTTGAGTATATGTGTAATGATTAAGCTTACCTGATCCACCAAGCAGTCTTCTCAGGAACTTTGAACTCGCTTTGCACTTTCTTAGCTCGGCTTCCGTATCCTAATCTGATCAGCTTGAACATCGTCTCGTTCACACTTAGTCCGGTGAAAGTTTCAGTCAGATCTCGATCGAAGGCATCTTGCATTTTGAGCAGTGTTGCTGTTTCGTGGAGAGCTTTGAGCTCAAAGGCCGTATCTTTCGAATCAGTCAGAAGTTTCCCTGCTAGAGCCAATTTGTCCGATGCTGTCTTCGAATCAGGCTGTTTCAAGGCTTCTCGTATGAAGACGTTGGCACCGTCTACTCGGCGATCGTCTTGGTAGTAAAGATCTTTCAGAAGTTCAGAGTCGTCTTCTTGTGCGGAGGACTCGATGAGGGCTGTAGCTACCGGGCGTGTGTTAATCACGCGGAAAAAAGAGGCGAGAGGGAGCTTCTTCTTGAGATGCAAAAGGACGAAGAATACAAGGTCAGAGTCTCCGCTTTCGATGGCTTTGTCAAGTGCTATTTCATCTTCTTCCATGTTAAGAAGGAGAGGGACTTGTTTTCCGGCTCGTGGCTCATGGTTTAGGAGCTCGGTAGCAAGACGTCCTCGACCTTCATCATAAGCCGCTCTTGCTATTTCTTCGAATGAGATGCCTCTTTTCCCGGCGAGCTTTTCTACGATGAGACGGCAAATTGTGTCCTCATCTTCTGAGCCAACACGCACTTTTTGTGAAGCCCAATGAACGTAGATCCGGTCTGTTGGGAGGCGCAGGTAAGATGATATCCGGATGGCAAGAAGATACTCTCGACGATTGATGAGACGCCGGACAAGCTTTTCCGGTGTGAGGCGGAGGAATTGTTCGTAGGATAGTGGCAGACCAACTTCATAGAATCGAACAGCGTTCAGAACCCGTAGTGTTTCACACATATCCACGAAATCATCACTATTGTATATGTCGAGAACAGACTTGCCGAAAGATGCTGCTTTTAGCAATTGCTTTTGCCAATGAATGCTGAATTCGCATCCTGCTGCTTTGACCTGTTATATTCATTAGACTGTACGGATATTGCAAGCAAAGCAGAAACACATACACAAGTATCCACGGCTTCTACCAAATTCGGCCGAATAAGCTGAATGTTGTCATCAGCTTTTGGCGACTGATTTTCAAGCTGCTCAACTGCATCGAGTAGAATTGATGCTGGTGACTCGGTGCCAAATCGGAACACTTCGTCAGTCACCTCAGGCACCTTTTGTAGGAAATCACAGACATCATTGGTGATCAACCGTACTCCATCGTGATCTTGCTGGCATTAGCTCTTGTCCAGCCTAGAAGTCTTTCTCGCAGTTCGGGATATGTCACTTACCAGCAATGAGATGCACTCTTCCCTCATAGAAATATTTAGCTGCAGCATTGTTCGGTCCAATTAGATGGACTTCGTCTTCCCAAGCAATGACCACTGCATCATTGCCGCACCATTGCACATCTTTAGGTGCTATCCGTGACCTTGAATCATGTTCGCTCAACCTGCTTTGAAAATCGCTTGTGATGACATATGCTCTACCAGTTTCTGTGTACAGCGCCGCAAACTTTCCGTTTGGCGAGACACTGATATGAGTGAAAGGGCCAATATCTAGCATGCGATCTTCTGACTCGGATGCATCAACGACATGGATTGTCTGGCCGATACTTAATAACACTTCAACTGAACGTGAAAGCGTGTATGCAGGAGGAATCAGCGTCCAAGAGTGCACATCTCCCTCAGGTGGCTCGGCAAGCAGTTTTGGGCGAGGCTCCTCATATCTGGCAACAGATATCAGATGATTATTTGTGAGCAGAGCCACGAATCCGGTGCCATAAAATCTACACAAGTAAGCATATGTGCCTCAGAAATCTCATCATTGACGATACTGACTTGCAAGCACTGACACCATATTCTTCTGCTCCATTCCCAAGAGAAAACTGGGTGAAATCTCCTTGCAAATCATAATAACATCTGACTGTCCCGTCCGCCGTCACTACGATGAGCTGCTCATCTTCCGACCACCCAAGACCCTTGATAGAGCCCTTGTCCCAGTTGAGACTCTTTAAGAGCTTCCCCGCACAGCTGTAGAGGTCGATGCTGGATTTTGATGCTTGAGATCCTCTGAAAGAATGTAATTTGGACTCGTCTCGATAAAGAGCTAGAGACCCCCAATATTTATTAGCAAATCTTCTTTAGCAAGCCTCATGGAAAGAGCCTCTTTGTTACACATCACGTGTTGTAGACATGGTTTTTCGAGGGTTTCTGGCCTGTTGGTCTTGCAATCCTGCTGTGAAGAAAAAAGAGGGGGAGAAAGTTTGAAGACACCACAGGAAGAGCAGAGAAGAGGTCTAGCGCATCTTATAACCACGCATCTTGCTGTTCTCTCTCTCGCTGAAAACCAGTAGTAATGCCACCAGCCCGTATAAATTTATACCCAAAGCAGTGCGTTAGAGCTAGAGCATCTCAAGAGCTGCATGGAAATAGGAAACTGTGGGCGTACCGATAGCTCCCCCATACGAACAGCCAGTGACGATGTAGTTTTCTAGTTCCAGATCCTGGTCAAAAACAGCGGTGTAAAGCTGTATCTTTCTGTAGAACTTGTCCCCAACCTTCTCCCAATCTGCGGTCGGGTTCGCCATCTGGAAGAGCTTTTGATCATGTCTCTCCCAGCATTGGGTCGAAGTTGTTGATGTTTGCCTGCCTGAACGTGACCTTGAAGCTTGCTCTAGGACCAATAAGATGTGGTCATAGCTTGAACGCTAGTCCTCTCTAGGGAGCAAATTCAACGACCAAGATGTTTTGCGGCTCAACACGGGCGGAATATTGGCCTCAAAACGTAGAATTCGTTGACCGGAGTGCTGTTCTTTGGTGTCTGGATATGGGCGGTTGACGATTCCAAGTGGCCTCATGGCAGAAGAATCTCTTATCAGCAAGGTCCAGAATCTGAGCGACCTCGAACTTGCAGCCCTGATCTGCCTCGTCACACAAGAGCATTGCATTATCGACACGGAGCCCGATATCCTAGATGACTTGGTTCAAGAATTGGAGCTGGTATTCTCTGCTATTTCTACCTTCAATATTCTGCTTATCCATAATAGGTTGCGACCAAGGTCTTTGGCCTCTCACATGCGGTGATCGATTGTTCGGAACAGACCTCACTTGACGATTTCGCGCATGCTATTCTGAGCGTAGAAAGCAGCCCTACTCGATTGAACTCTCCTATAAGGACCCGGCAAGATTCCTACTTCCTTAGCAAGCCTACATTCACGTCGAATACTCGTTCGCCTGTATCGGAGACCTTCACGGAGAATAGGACAATTGCGAATGTTATTATTGCTAAGAATCTCGACGAGGCACCGAAGCAAGTTCAAATACAAGCTTTAGAATTGATGAGGACAAAGCGAATATTCACAAGAACTTCAGTCCAAAATGCCCCCAAGCGCTTCCTGTTTATAGCACTGCTTGCTGGTGGAGAAGGTCCAAGGTTGACGATGCATCTCAATGATTACATGTTCATATCACACTTTCATGATCCAGAGGACGGCTTTCCACATTTGGAAGAAGTGTATGACGATGGGAAATCCATATCTTCTATTGTGAAGAAGAATCCATTGAGAGATTCTGCGGATGTCCTGTGGCCGAGGATATCAGCTACAGTATGTCGTCTACCAAATCGAAGCAGCTACCATACTTACCCTATCATCAGGAGATTGAGCATTTGGCACAACTCAGCAAACATGCTACAGTCAGTGTAGAAGTGAAGCAATACCAGCAGAACATTATATCCTTCCTCAGGATTCATCGAGCAGTGGCAGGTGGAATCTCTGCTATTGCAACAAAGCATTTCGACAAGCTGGTCAGGTATGTACCTTTCCTGAAATATTGCCACATTTGCTGACTGTTAAGATGCCTCGCTCCTCTGCATGATTTATCGTATGCTACGCCATCGCTCATTGCTCTGGCTGCTAGAAAGATATACCTGCATCGAATTCGCATCGTGAAACCTGAAAAGGAACGAAGCATGCAGTGGGGAAGTGATTTAGAAGCTATTAAGACGTTACTGGATGGCTTGGGCGCGGAAGATGTCATTGAGGATGTGTTAGGTAGTACTGGTGCAGAAGCACCCTTGTGAAGACAGAAATGATACCCCAATTATGCCACCTGATTCCAAATGAAGTACCACGAATAAATAGGTACCCATGTATCTCGTGGATTAAGTCACAAGGACACAAAATAGTACAGATACACCGAGGAGCAGGAATATTCACAGCCTCGGACTGGTCGCTCAGGAGAACGAACGAACTCACCATTCTCTTGAGCTTTCTATACTAAGCTTCTAGATATCTCTATAGAGCTTGTTCATCCAACACATATTGTTTACACAATCGGAAACCATCCGATAGCTGTCATTGAATTATGTACCCATCTAATGAGCTTTTGGATCCTAAGCCTTATTACATGTCCGGAACGCCTGCAATGCCATGCCGACCATATACCGATCGTTTACTGATCACGAAACTTCCTTAATCCTGCATTGCCATCCCGAGCCAGAACTCAACAAGGGAAGACTAGAAGATGGATTAGTAAATTATAGTGGAATGTTCGAAATGACTAACCTTGCACCCAGACACCACCCAAGCTCGTTGCCCTTAATCTTCTTCGCAATCTTTACCTCTCTGTCGATCGGCATTTCATAGCCAGTGTGGAGTAGGGCCATCATGAAGTTGAGGTCGAGACAGTGCTCGGGTCGATCCCTCAATTCCTCCAATGCACCAGGGACATTCTCGAAGACATCCCAGTGACTCTCGCCACCGCAAACTTGATCGGTCAAGCTGTGAAGTTCTTTCAACGTGAATGATTCAGGCATACCGAGAGCGTCAGTGCGATCATAAAAGTAGGAGAAGGTATAGACGTCTTCTCGCGAAAACGTCTTGGACAGAGATGGCTGATGAACCCCGTTGAACGAGCAAGGAGCAAGAGCACACTCGGCGTCTTTGAATAAAATTTTCTCTGCCAGCTTGCGGCATTGTGCTGGAGCTGGAGAAGAGGGTCCTGTCATATTGACATTAATCTTTTCGCCCAAGGCATGATCCTTTCCAAGGCTGAGCTCAACAGGTCGAGCCATACCAGGTGCAATGCAAGGGTTTATGATTGGTTTTGAAACCCAGGTGGAGTCAGATGGGTTCAACGTGTGGATATCCTCAATAAGAGTCTTATGGATGGACTTGCGTGCTTCCATTAGACCATAACCAAGATGAGAGTGCTGATAAAGTTCGAAATCTCTACCTCCAAATGTGAGCTTATATTTGTGGTCGCCCTCCGCCAATTTCTCTGGAACGGCGCCCTTGAAAGTAGGCTCGAAGACGATTTGTGTAGAACCACCGCCCAAATCAAAGACAGCAGCAGTCTCGCTGTGATCAGGACCACCAATTTTCCCGAGAAGATAATTCGTCGTGATCCAGGCGTAGACACCTTCATCGCTACCATCCATGATTGCGACTCCGTTTTGTTCCTTGGAGACAACTGGGAATGGATACACAGTTTCTAGCCTGTTTCGAACGGCATCAAGGATAGCTTGACTCATTGTGTCTCCCAGTATACGTAGTCCAGCGGTGGCCTTTACAGCAATGGGTGTGCAGGACTTGAGCTTGTCAGGAACTGACTTCATTGCGACATCCATTAAAACATCGAGAGACTTCGCCGCTCCTTCGGCATCAGCCTTGTATGAGCTCAGTCCCGAGCCTCCTTCTTTCTTCGCTGTCATCTCGAAGACTTCGTTCTCGAGCTCGGGGGTCGCCCCGCAGTTGTTGAATTTGTATACATGGATGCGTGAACCGGTGCTTCCTGCATCTATCATCAAGGCATACTGGACAATTGGCTTCGACTTATCGCTGGACCTCGAGCACTTCGTAGTCCCGTAGGACGAGTCTGAAGGAGTTTGACCATCTTGATTGCCTATACCCGTCGCTGTATATTCAATTAGCTTCCTAGCAACCCCAGAATGTTTCTCGTACTTACCTCCACCATATAGATCTGTTCCCTTTGGTGACAGATAATAGAATAGAAATACGACGAAGAGGAGTATTCCTCCAGTCTTTAAATACCTGGATCGCTGACTTTGCGTCATCCAGGCGGTCTTTATTTTCTCCAGCGTGCTTGCGGCGCTCTGACTCGCGCCTTTGGAACTATATCGAGCGGGTTTCTCGTGAGGGTCGTGTGCTACGTTTCTCGTCGGCAGCGAGACCGAAGTGCGTCTCATAAGGGAATGCTACGCAGAATAACACAGGTCCGGCGGCAAGGAAGTCGCTCGGTCAACGATTTGAATAGGAAGGCTGTGGTATGTAGAAAGAGTGGTATGAACAACGGTCAAGTGAAAGAAAGGAGGTAGGGAGGAATTTCGAAGTTCTGGACACGACCCCTGACGAAATTCAGTTGTGGCGGAGTGTCCAAATCTAAACTGAGTTTAGCGTAACGAGGCTTGACAGTGGCGCCGATAACTTATCTCAGCCACATCTTGAAACCTCAAGTCTTTCCTACTCGCGTCACTCGTTGCCTATGAGAAAGCCAATTCCGCCGCTTCGTCTGTTATTCTCTCCCATAGAATGAAATAGAAACAAATCAAATCCTTTACCTACAAGCCTTCTCTCCACCATGCGCCGCTCTTTATGATCCCTTTCCTGCATACCGTCTTTCCCCCCAAACAACAGTGACGAAGCTGAAGATGGCAGACTTCAGTTCTTCCGGCATGCTGGTACAGCTCTACACCTACGATTTATCCAACGGATTGGCGAGAACAATTTCTACTGCTCTGCTTGGGACACAGATTGATGCTGTGTACCATACGTCAATCGTTATGGATGGCATAGAATTTGTATACGACGGCGGTCTGAAGACTATTGATCCTGGTGGTAGTCATCTAGGCAAGCCTCTGCAAGTCATAGACCTCGGTATAACAAACTTGCCTATGGATGTTATTATGGAATACCTGGAGTCCTTGAGAGCAGTTTATACAGAGGAAGTGAGTCCAATTGTTAACTTTCTGTTCTGTCGAAGAGTCAAACTAACCTACGAAGGCATACGATATTTGGACTCACAACTGCAATAACTTCTCGAATGACTTCGCAACCTTCTTGCTTGGCAAGGGTATACCATCTCATATAGCCAACCTTCCTCAAACGGTCCTCAATTCACCCATTGGCAGAGCGCTTCGACCAGAGATTGATAGAATGGTACAGCGGCGACAAGGGAAGAAGGGCGGCTTGCTTGGGATAAAAGACACCACCGAACCTCCCTTGACCGCCCAACAGCGTGCGCACGCAGTAAGAGAAGCATACTCCAACGCCGATCTGGAGAAATACCTTCAAGAGGCCGAGAAATCATGCGCAATGGTATTCTTCACCTCTGCGCACTGTGCTCCTTGCAAGAAGCTTTATCCGTTATACCAACAACTAGCAGCGGAAGCTGCACATAAGTCTGTTCTGATATTGGTAGACATATCTAGGACATTTGAAGTTGGGACTAAATACTCGATCAGAGCTACGCCAACCTTTATAACCTTTTTTCACGGGGCTGAGGAGAACAGGTGGTCGTCATCAGACCCTTCAATGCTTCGGAGTAATTTGGAACTTTTGATGAATATGGCATGGCCTCCACATCCACACGAGTCTCTCTTACTTCCGAATCTACGTGGTGCCAGCACCAAACCAGTCCTCTTCAGCAAGATGCCGCCTTTAAGAAAATTAAAGGCTAAGATGGGGCCCAGTGCAGACGATGCGGCCATTTCAGGAGTCATGCACTTTATACAGGCTAGAGCGAATGAAGGGGCCGCAGAGGCCATGCTGCCAGATTTGGATGCATTTAGTCGTTTCTTACGCAACGCTTCTACCAAACTTCCTGCAGAGGTCATGTTCACAATTGTCGATCTACTTCGCATCGCACTTGTGGACCCGCGGTTTAGTGGCTACTATGCCGAAGAGAAAGGGCATGCCACCATTGCGCCACTCATCCAGTACGTCAATGGCATTCCCGATTGCCCATACTCTCTTCGACTGGTCGCTCTCCAAATGGCATGCAACTGCTTCACAAGTCCGTTGTATCCTATACACATCCTCAACTGTCCAACCTTGACGGAACCGATCGTGCAGTTAATCACAACCAGCTTGTTAGATGATAAGCACCACAATGTGCGAGTCGCAGCCGCAAGTCTAGCTTTCAATATGGCCACTGCGAATAGTAAGCTGCGAACAGAAGAGCACCTTGAGACCTTACCAGAAGGAGAACAAGTCGAGCTTGCAGCCGCGCTGCTAGAATCTATTAGCGTCGAAGAAGGATCCCCAGAGGCATTGAAGGGCTTCTTACTTGCTCTTGGACATCTAATATACTGCGCTCCAAGACATGGGGAGTTGATAGATCTACTTAAGGGTATGGATGCTCAGGGGACGATAGCTTCGAAGCAAAAATTGTTTCCACAGGAATCATTGGTTAAAGAAATGGCGGAGGTGCTGTTAAAGCATGGTTTAGAATAGACTTAGATGCCTAAATCGTAGAATTGCCCATGATTTTCAGCTTGCCACCCGGCCCAAGTGCACCTTCTCATAAAGCTGTTCTCATAGGTACTCGGTAGAGATGTATCACGTGAACTCGCTAAGATAAAGGAGGTGAGGCCATTAGCGAAGTCCCTTGACAACAATGCTAAGTGTTGAAAGGTGAATTACAGCGACAGTAAATGATAGAGCCAGAAAGGCGAAACTTCGGTAAGCCTTAGTACCGCGGCTGTCTAACCACAACAGTGATCGCTCGCCCACAAACCCGTCACAATGATAATTGAAAGGCGTTATTATTACATGCAGTTTGATATTACCTGTTGCATGGCAACAAGGCCATTGTCAGAGATGATTGCAATTTGGATTGACAGTAAATGCTACTCCATTTCTATTCAATGAAAGTGTCATGGTACTTTTCTTTCGATGAGAGCTTGTTGGCAGCCATTGAAGCTGTTGAAGGTGTATTTGACCAACTTCATTGTCAACTTCGACTCATGAAGGACCTGAAAGAGCATCAGTAAGACGCGTTCGAGCTTTTGATCACCCTGACAAGGTACCTCGAGACTTTTCTGCTTGCAAAGTTGAGCTTTGGAAGACTTTGCGTCCCGAGCTCCAGCTCTAGTGGCAGAGTGCGAAATCGGACTGCATGAAATCAAGGCTCGAAGCATGTTTGATTGAAGAAACGTAATAAAGCAAGAGAATGATGACCCAAATATGTCCGTCCCCTTGATACCAAAAGGCTCACTTCAGGACAAGGGCACTTTGGGGCAGCCAGTTGAAGGGCGTGAACCCTCGTCAGCTACCGGAGGAAGATTTTACTAGAATTCTGTTTCCGAATTAAATATTGATAAAAGAACAGAAATGGGACCTAGATCGAGTGAGGCCGGATCTCAGAGAGCCCTAACGCTGACAATAACTGGTTTCTCATTCGCCAGCCGTGCTGATCTTGGAAATCAGGCCACAATGGTGATAAACAACAATGCTAAGAACAAGCACATTGCATTATGCTGGCAACATATTAATAGACTTTTCCGTCTTAAATAATGGTTCTGCTGTCACCATAAGTCACATTGATGATATATATTAGCTTATTAGCCTGAGACTTTGTGATGTTGGATAATTTTCCGTGCAGATTTTGCTTGCCTCGCTTACTCGCAACCAACGACGATGTCGATGATCAACGTTGACAAGAAACCACGATGTAGTTGGAAATTGTGACTTGACTGGAATCAGGCCAAGATAGCACCGCAAAAGGTAATATGTCTCATAACAGGAAGAAATTGACGTTGGTCGAACTCTTTATAACAGACACTTAATACCTGAGTGACACTTATTAATTCCAGAAGCAGATTTTAAACTTACCGTACTAGAAGAAAGCATAATTCTATGATTGTTATTCCTCCGAAGTTCTCTTAAGGCAGTGCACCCATTCATGGATCTAGGAAGTCGTCAGTCCCCCAAGGCTGGCTGTGGAACGGCCTTGCATTGGGTTGCTGGGGTGACTATCAGTCAGCCTCGTTGTCCTCCTATGACGAGATCAGCTTGCCATAGAATACCCTAGGAAAAGTACTTAGACTTGAATGTAATCATTGTGATGCCTTGTTAGCCTCAGACTCGGACCCGGCAGCAAGGTTTGGCTCGATTGATCCCCGACTCGGAGCGCGCTCGCTTCCATCAGGCTTCCACGATATAAAATCTTGACCCTTTTCCCCAACTCTTCCACATAACACACTCCTTCACTCACACGTTCCCTCAACTTTCAACTACATACACTATTTCTCGTGGTACACGTCCGACAATTGTTCTCTTCACCTGTCCCTACCCCTGCGCTCATCTGAAAACTTCACTTCGCCTCGTGCTGCAAGAATCTGCCTTCTTCAGAACACAAGCTCTGCAACTTCCACGTCGCCACGTACTCGATCGCCCTTAAGTAAGCTTGGGTAAGCCTCCTCATCTACCTCGTTCCCTCTTGCCTGCTTCCTGTCCTGCGGGGAACGTTTCTCCTCATTCGAGACCTCGGACCATTCTCTTCTATCGACCAAAGTTGACCTCGACAACAGGCCCCAGTCGCATACACATCACTTCTCAAGGTCAAACTTCAGCTTCGTACTCATTGGTGAGTGGTTCCCGACCTTAAAGCCTCCTGATTATTACTCGGTCAATCGATTCGAGCTTCACCTCAATCACATCTCTCCTCATACGTTCCTCTCCTCCAAGCCTCCTACACCTGATCTCCCCAATCGCATATCATTTCCTCAAGGGCCACAAGTTAAGTTCTTCGCGGAACAGATCCACTCAACATCCCTCAAAGAGCTTTCAGCACATCGTGAGTAAAGCCGGTCTCTTTTCCGCACTCTCAGATCGAACTGTTCCCTCCTTGCACAACCCAATACACACACCCATTCTTTCCTCTTCATTGAACCCTCCCTGTCTCCCCTAAAGCACATTTTCTTCCGATGAACCTCGTCTTCGAAGACTCCATGAGTAGTCGGCGGCCCGGGGGTGGTCTGATTCGATCTCTGAGGATTCACTCCCAGTATCTCCTCACACTTGCTTCACCTCCTCTCATTAAACTCCATCATGGTGCCCAAGGACTTTTGCTATCCTTGACTACACCCAATCCCTTTCCTCTCTCCAATCTTCCTCGTCGTCCTCGAGACCTTCTGCATCACGTGGCTATCAGTCGAGGGGTAGAGGTCCGACTCCCTCATCCATACGTTCAGCTTGGACATAGTATCCGCTTCCACCGCCTGCACCGCCTCCCCCTTCCTCTCTTGACCCTTCAATCGCAATTCTCATCACGCTTGAACATGTGCTAATACAAGCTTCTGTGACAGTGCCAAGATGATTATCGATCTTCAGATCATCGATGAGATGAGCTGCCAACTTCAAGAATTGCCCAAGAATGTACGCCAAATGGCTATCCTGTCGACCGAGTATCTTGATCTTGCGTTTGTCTCCGAGGACCCGGCACAAAATGAGCGCATCAAGGCTGTCCTGTCAAGCGATTACCTTGATCTGGCTTCGCTTCCAATCACAAAGAAGGCCGTTAAGCAACTTCTGGCCGAGGGAAAGTTGATCGTCAAGAACCTCCCTGCAAATGGTTTCAGACAAGACCGATTCATCATGGTTCCAAACGGCAAAGTCACAATCGTTGACAATTTCAAGCTCCAATTGCTAGGCCCAAATGGTCAATTCCTCTTCTTTCCGAATCTGCCACTTGAGCTCAGAACCAAGATCTGCGAGTTGGACCTCCCTCGACGTTTACTCCATGCTATCGAAGTTCTCAATCCCGATGGCATCGGCTCGCACTACGTTGTCATTGGTGCTTACCGTCCCGCAATCTGCATGGCATCAAAGCAGGCCGAATCTGACTTGACCGCAACCAAGTATGCAAAGATGTTGCAGACTGTTCCAGGAGGACGACGCTTGTACTTTCACCCCAAGTTGGATGTCTTGAGGATCGACAGCCTCTTGCCTTTGGGCCCACTTGACTCCAATTACCGTGTTCGTGCTCCCAGAATGGCTCTCCCAGCTGTTCGTGTCCATGATGGCCTCGGCCTCTCTAACGTCCAGTGCATCTGCATGGATCTCTTTACTTTCATGAAGTACCTCTCTTGGGCTCGAGCAAATACCGGTGCGATGGTTTCTCTCAAGGAGATTCACCTGAGCGTGGTCATCCCCACCCTTCGACTCCCAAAGTCCGCCTGGGATATGGTGAAGTTCAAGAAGAGTGAGGAAGGATTCACCGCAGAATACACCAGAGACAATGTTGCCGTGTACGGCGTTGGTGCTTTCGATACATTCTCCCGAAATGTGGATGACATCTGCTTCATGAGAGACTTCGAAGAATGGTCTGGTCTCCTTCACACACTCAATGACAAGTTGCACGAATGCACCATGCTTAAGAGCAGTGGCCTGCCGGACATTGTCAAAGTCATCTTCCGCTTCGAATACCTTCCAGGTGTGCGCTCACTGCCATATTGATGAACGAAATGGCTCTCCTTCTGGCTTTCACACTGGCTTGAGCTTCGCCCGCATCCTGGTTGCTTGGTGGCTCTGTGGATGGCAGGATATCTCGGTTGGTTTGCGCCACAATTTTGTCAAGTACCGCGGGTTTGCGGAGGGTTTGATTTCTGCGCTGGCTATTAACTTGCTCCTGTAAATAATGAAGACTTCCATCAGCTCAAAGTGCTTTGTCACTGTACTTTATTTACCTGCGACCATCCGTGACCAATGCATCTTCCCAGCCCCATTCAAACGCACGTCTTCTTGACGTGCGAAATGTCTTCTTTGATGTATGCATGCTTCTTCGTGTATTTGTGTGGCGTTGATCTTCATGCTTCGTTGGTGTTGGAGGTGGTGCGTTGTGGGGGGTTCTGTACCTGGTGGCTTAGCGATTATTCAGCGCCGAGACACTAGCCCGTTCTACTTCCCTTCCTAGGTAGGCTTGAATGCTTTGAACATCTTCGAAGCACCAACGAAGTCCCATCTTTTCCCCTGTCTCCTCAAGCGAGATAATTTTTGTCTCGGTGTTCGTTGGTAATGGCGCTCTGCTACTAGTACGACGCAGCAAGTGTGTGTGTGTGTGTGTGTATTCTTGGCTCCGAGGAAGCGTTCTCTTTCGAATTTCGTATTGTTGAGGCAGTGGCGCTTGCTGTGTTCTTCTTCCTCTGACAGATCATCTTCTCTGTCCGTTCTCTTTCAACGCTGTCTCTTGACGTTCTCTTCAGACGATGTTGACGTTCTCTTTCGATACTTTTGACGTTCTCTTTCGACTTATTGTTTTTAATCATCTTCGTCGGGTAGCTCATGCTCTCTTGAACATCGCAACATTAAAGTGAATGATCATCTTGTTGCCCTTTCCGTCCAGCAAGACGTTCTCTTTCGATAATCACTTGCGAGTTTCGTATTGTTCGAACAATTGATTATCTTGCCCACGTCTCCGTTTAACAAAGTATTCTCTTTCCACTTTCATGTTGTGAAGGCGCCTATTTGTTTTGTCTTAATTACTTGTATGTCATCTCTGTCTAGGCGAGCGTTCTCTTTCGATTTTCGTATTGTGGAGGGATAAGGCTTTTGTCTCGACGACCTCCGAGTCTTATCTGTCCAACAGAACGCTTCTTGCAATATAGCCCAGCAAGTACGCTCGGAACAGGAATGCGGATCCAGTGAGCGTTCTCTTTCGATTTTCGTATTGGTGTGGCAAATGGGCATTTTGTTTCATGAACTTGCAAGTCGTCTCCGTCCAATTGAGTGTTATCTTGCAGATACGTGCCCAGCAAGCGTCTTCAGGCTAGCTCTTCAGGGCTTGGTAAAGTGTTCTCTTTCGACTTCCGTGTTGAGGCAGTTGGGCTTCGCTTCCAGGGCTTGCATTTCGAATCATGTGTACTTAAAGACGTGTTGTTGTTAGCATAGAGTCTTACCATAAGCTGTCATTACGGTTTCAACTGAAGGACAATTGGTTCCCTTACCTGAATAACCATATTAAATCAAACGTCTATTTGTCGGTGACCACTTGTTACCAGGCACTCAGTCCTCCGTCGACAACGCAGAACCCCACGGCTACCAACATGAGAACCACTCAATGAGCCCCGAGTCTTGAGAGGATAAGCTCCAGCTTCTTTGGATTATTGACAGTTTGTTGCAAATATACATCCTGGCGACGGCGATGATGTTGCGTTCAGTCTCTCGTTGCCCCAGGGCTCCAAGATCATACAGGCTACTAACGACCAAAGACGTGGTGGCTACAATGCAAGACAATCCTTTCCTGCCCAGAACTTCTTCCCCAATGTCTTCAAAACAGCCCACTTAGTTATCGGACGATGCAATGTGTCAATTTTCAAGCTAAGTGTGTTCGCTAACTGGATAAGGGCTACTTCCCACCTGGATCAGACCAGAAGCCCTAGAAGTCAGTCATTCCGAGATCGGACCGGGGACTTGAATAGCAAAATTCAGAGAGATCATTTACTCCACTAAGTTACGAACCGTGTCACACGGATGATCCTGGCATAATGGTACTCAGTTGAGGTCTCACTCGTAAAGTGCTTGACATTGTTTGCCATATCGGCAAATTGCAGCAGCAAGAGCAGTCCAAGACAGTTATCATTACACAAGATATTAGCTCTAAGCTCACAACCCGCAACATCAAGTGAAGACCAGTTTTATAAGGCATTTCATAGGGGTAAGAAGAAACAAGACAGCACAATCTCTGTGCAAGAGTAGATTGGGCATAGCTGGACTTAAAGACTATGATGGCACACTTCAGAACACAAAATACAACTTTGTAAATATATACCAAGATTTTGCTACATAGGACTAGACACTCAGTGTAAAGTGTAATATCAAGGTATCCGTCAAGCACAGATCTTCTCCAGATATTCTGAGGCCCAAAGAGTGTCTAGGTAGTGCCTAAGGGCGCACAGCTGACATCAAAATACAATAGGGTAGGCAGAAGCTGATGAGCCAGGTCGCGAGGATCACAAGGGGTAAATTTACCATGATAATGACTACCTAGGTAGGACCACTCTTATTTCAAACCGATAGTCATGTGATATCAAATCAAGGGACACTTCGACACTGCAGGTGATTTAGATTTAGAAAGATATCTCCAACAATCAAGTCTTTGCTATTTACACGTGTATCTGCAGTAAGCCATTAAAGTTGTAAAGCAGAATAGAACCATCTGCCGGTATGAAGGAGCCATTTCGCACTAACACGAATCTAGCTTTCCCGCATTGCTTGGATCTAAGAACGCGTCTTCAATGAAAACAAAAGTTATTTGCTTCAGACTTATAATCTCACGCTGATAATTTCGCCCTTCAGATCATGTAATTCTGCTAAAGTTGCCATCCATTGCACCGATCTATTCATCACGTCCGCAAATTCAAGTTCGTGTGGTCCCCGGTGGGGTCCCTGCGCTTATCGTCACGTCAACCGAAGTATTTACAACAACTCTACCATCCTCGCATCTATGTACCACAACCTCCAACAACGATTTTGCTCATCATTGCTGGACATACACGAATCATTGATTGGCATGGCTCTGGATCCGCGATTAATGCCCGGCGTGGCTGCAGAAATGCGCAGCATCAGATCGTCTGCCTCAACACCCTCTTTGCGTGGAAGCATCTCTTCATTAAAGATGGACGGCGGAGGAAACGTCAAGGTGGTGGTGAGAGTTAGGGCCTTTCTTCCTAGAGGTAGGATATCGGACAAAATTAGGATACAAGATGTTGACATGTGGTAGAAATCCAACGAGGCGCAGAATGCTTGATCCAGATGAATCCAGTGACCCAAGCAACCACTTTACTTGTTCCCAACGATACGGATCCGGCAAACAAGCAATCAAAGATGCGGAGAGCTCTGGAAGAGAAGACTTTCACGTTTGACAACTCTTTCTACAGCCATGACATCGCGAACGAGCACTACGCGCATCAAGAGGATGTTTACAACAGCTTGGGAGAAGAGTTCTTGGATCACAACTTCGAAGGATATCATACTTGCATATTTGCCTACGGTCAGACTGGTTCTGGAAAGAGCTATACTATGATGGGTACTCCTGATCAGCCAGGTTTGATTCCAAGAACCTGTGAAGATCTCTTCCAGCGAATCGAAGCAGCACACAACGAAACTCCCAATATCTCCTACAACGTCCGAGTGTCCTATTTCGAGGTATACAACGAGCACGTCCGCGATCTACTTGTACCTGTCCAAAGTAACCAACCCCCATACTACCTCAAGATTCGAGAATCGCCTACAGAAGGACCCTACATCAAGGATTTGACCGATGCACCCGTCAGAAATTACTCTGAAATCATGAAGTATATGCGTATCGGAGACGCTAGCCGAACCACAGCAAGCACAAAGATGAATGATACGAGTAGCAGAAGTCATGCCGTCTTTACGATTATGCTCAAGCAAATCCATCATGATATGGATACGGACGAAAGCACTGAACGAGTAGCGCGCATACGTCTGGTAGACTTGGCAGGCAGTGAGCGAGCAAAGGCAACAGAAGCTACCGGAGCCAGACTCAGAGAAGGAAGCAATATCAATAAATCACTTACCACTCTTGGACGTGTCATTGCTGCACTTGCTGATCCGAAACATCAGCGTCCCGGCAAGAGAAACAAGGATGTCGTCCCCTATCGAGATTCGATCTTGACCTGGTTGCTGAAGGATTCTCTTGGAGGAAACAGTAAGACGGCAATGATAGCCTGTATTGCACCATCCGATTATGACGAGACCCTATCCACACTCCGATACGCCGACCAAGCCAAGAGAATCCGTACTCGTGCTGTTGTCAACCAAGACCACATCTCAGCCGCTGAACGTGATGCTCAGATAGCTGCTATGGCTGAAGAGATCCGCTTACTTACTCTCAGTGTGTCCGACAGTCGTCGGCGAGAGAAAGAGACGATGGAGCAGGAGGAAAAATTGGAGGAATATCAGCACAGTGTGACCGTGCTCCAACGAATGATGGAAGAGAAAGAGATGATTTCAGAAGGGAAGATTCGAAGCTTACAGACCGAGAACGAAGCATTGAGAATGCATGTTAAGCTTCTGACTGAGACAATTAAGAACCCTATCGAGATCAGAAGCGCTAGAAACAGCGTTCAAGGTGGAAGCAGAAAGGCAAGCCTTTTGAACGATCAGGCTGTGGGTGATGAGAACAAGGAGAACGACGACGAGACCGAAGTCCCGGATGACGAATACGGCTACGATGAGGAAGGTGTTGACATTAGCAAGCACGAGGAGAAAGCTCATGAAACACAAAAGTCTATGAAGGACCTCTTAAGACAGTTAGGCTTGTTTAAGAGAAAAATTGGCGATGACAAGGCAAGATTCATCAAGCCATTGGGCGAGAGGATGAATGTTTGAGTGAAATCATGTCGATGATGAAGTGGCCAGGAAGCTTGGCATTGCAGCAACAGGCACTGGATACATAATGTCAGGAATGGACGAGTATAAATGGATGTATTGTACGCATAGGATGATCAGCAGATTCATACGATGGGCAGGGTCCTCATAGCGATGGCGTTTCTGGCTTGTCAGTAAGGCTTATGTAGTAACGAATGAATCATAATTCTTTTACAGGTCAAAGGTGCAAACTGTACGGATTGCAATGCAGAAAAACTACTGGTAAACACTTTATGCTTCTTACTCGTTATGCGGTACTGAATCCTCTGCAAGGAGCTTTTTCGCAAGCTCAGTTTGTCATCACCAAATCAAAGTGCTTTTCCGAACAGAAACACCCCATGGTATATACTTCAAGAAGCGAATCGGAAGCGTTACCTGAGGAACCTTTTGACAGCTTCATGCTTCATGCCCAACCCAAGATGCATGCACACGGGCTGAGCCGCCAGCGGTCCTCGGCAAATCTTAGCTCCCGCGATTCGTCGCTGTTTCATCGACAGTCACTGCATGAAAGGAATGGGAACTTCGTCCGAGCTGGTTTTGTCTTGACATCCGACTACCGTTCTTTGTTCGATACTCGTCCCTGCTTCTGTTTTAGATCTCTTGCCCCTCTTCAAGTTTGTTCAATATTTCTCAAACTTGTTCCCTCTTTCAAAGTCACGCGAGGCTGTGAACGATTGCCCCTCCATAATTGCATCAGCTCAACTCTCACCATGGCAATGAGACCGTCACTCCTCACGCGAGGACTCAGTTCGGCGTCCGGACCCAGCGACACTGGATCACCAGCAGAACAACGCGATGATGCCAAGAAGAACATGTTGAAGGCAATGCGACCTTTGCCAACTCAGCACTACTGGAATGTCTACTTTGACAGGTATGAACCTATGCTGACAGCTGCCTACGTTGCTCTGAATTATTTCAGTATACGAGTATAACTAACTATACTGAAGACAGCAGAAAGACCAGCCGAAATCCGCAGACGGCACCTACACAGCAACTCTTGAGCAACTTGGGTCCCAGATTGAATCCATTCAAGACTTTTGGAGGTACAACAACAATACCCCAGTTGACCAGATCAAGATGCGCGAGTCTATATACTTGTTCAAACAAGGCTTTCAGCCGGTATGGGAGGACCGGAGAAACATCAATGGTGGTAGCTGGACATTCAGAGTGCCAAAAGTCAATGGACCGGACTTTTGGACTAGAGTTCAACTGATGGCTATCGGAGAGAAGCTTCAAGGCTGTCTGGATCTGGGTAAGAGCTCTCTTTCTCCATACTGGAAGTAATCTGACACCCAATATAGGAGACCAGCTCTGCGGTGTTGGCCTTTCTGTCCGCTTCAACTCTCACCTTATCTCAGTATGGCATCGCGATGCTTCGAAACAGAAATCGATTGACGCCATCCTTGCGACTGTGCTGGAGGAACTTCCAGCCGAGTTGAAGCCAAAGCCAGATAATTATTTCTACAAGAAGCATTCTGATCATGCTGGGTTCAAGGCTCCCGTCACCACTCCTGCCCCTCCCGCACCTACTATTCAAGCTCCATGAGCATAATACCCAAGAATTGGAAAGATAATGGAATCACGGCTCCCACATGTTGCATTTAAGAATCTAGGCTAGGTGTTTTGCGTTGCATATTTGCTGGCGTTATAGTAAAGTAGTTACTATCAAAGTTATGTGATCCTCAGTCACATCTCACCAGAGGCAGAATCCTTCGTATCATGTGCATTCTCATCATGCAACTCGAGATCCATAAACGCTATAAACGCCATGCAAATATGCCGAAATCCAAAGTTAGGAACCCAATATCCGCCGAACCAACGAGCAAGTCTTACCTCAATTGTCCGTCCCATATGTCACTTTGAAAGTCCACCATTTTTGGAACATTCAAGACGTGAATGCACGCTGCCGAAAAAGGTCTCGCCCTTCAGTATTCTTCATCTCCAGACGCCGGCCTTTCTCATGATCCCCTCAAAGTCTTCTTTATCCACTCCTTTTCCCACTCCTACCCCTTTATTAGCTTCCAGAATCATGTCTCGCAGCACATCCTCATCCACATCCTCCTTCAGCGCTTTCGCAACTCTCTTCAGTGTCCCGAGAGTGATCCTATCCTCGCCGCTCTCGGCTGTGAATAATCTGAAAGCATCCTCTACTTCCTGTCCATGGGAGTCTGACGTCCTACTTCGCTTGTGAAACTTTAAGGCGCAGATTGCAACGAAGGAGCTGTAGACAGCAAATCCTTCCTCTTCGGGGTCGAGAATAGATATGAACTCCTCCAGCTCTTCAGGATCGGGTGGAATGTCTAAGGCTCTGATACACTCCACATTAGCTTGACTTTGAAACCGCAATGTTTGTAGTGGGAGGCTCAAATGGAACTGGCGGGGTAGCCAGACGAATGGATAATACATACGACATAGCTCGTCGCACATCATCAATTGGTATTACTCCGTCCTTCTCGCCCTTATGTTTGATGGAAAAGAGCTCAAAGGCCTCCTTGATTTCATTTTCCTCCTCGCCAGTTATCTTGTTCTCTTTCGCAAGTCTGGACTGTCGGGCTTTGGGTGTGGATGTCTCTGCAGGCTCTGCCGCCCGACGTCTCGCAGGCTGGATTATCGTCAATTTATAGATTCTCTTGTCGCAAACCAAATATCACTTACCATGATGCGCGATCACTTCTGCCAAAGCTGTTGAAGTTCCGACAGCTCGATGACGCCTGGACGCCTTGCCCTGCGAGGCTGACAGTAAGAAGCCAATCGGAGCAAGCTACAAGTGGACCCAGCGTTAGCGGTGTCCTTAAAATCTCCATCAACGAATTTTCTGCTTCTTCAACATCCAACCTATTTCCCATTCGAATCTCCTCATTCTTCTTCCATGCTTCCACAAGCAAGGTCGAGATCATGTATGATGTATTTAGAGCATCTGAGACTCCCACTGGTTTGTATTTCTTTCATTTAAGAGCTTCCAATGTCTGGGATCTGGTCATGAAGACCAAACATCCGCTTCAAAATTAAACGCTAGAGCCTGCCGTATCTATTTCTAAAACGAGCATTGGTGTGGACGCTGAAGCTAGAAAAACATCCGGTCGAGATTTTGATTCTTCGAGACCTTCCTTGAGGTACCTAGCTGCTGCTCTTCATGAGTTGGTGTTTGGGAGTTCAAGGAGACAGAGTTTTAAGAGGGGTGTTCTGTATTTTGGTACAGACAATGGAAGGAACGAAGTTGTAATTCAATTGCTCATTGCTCATAATGTCCCATGTGCATTCCCGTCGTGTGTTTTCGTTATTGTTGTCTGACTTTCATCCCTCACGACTTCCAGCAAGAGTCGGCATCTTCGTGAATTTGGGCCTCTTCTACACCTTTCCGAATTTCCTTCTTGTGACTTGTGTCAACTCCATATCTTGCATCTCTGTCCTTGACTTTCTCCCATGGTACCTGTTTGAGTCAACAGTCTGCCGTAGACAACGTAAGAGCTTTGAATCGGCACTCACTTGCTCATCCTTCGTAAAGCTCATCATCAATTGCGGTTGTCCAAGTGGGAGGGTATCACCTCTATCAACCTGCCAGAAATGAAATGTCTTGCCATACAATCCCACAACCTCTTTCATCTCTGCTGTCTCTGCGACTTCCCAGACAGCATTCGGGACATATGGATTGGGCATGATGAGCATTCCACTACGGACCTGGTGAGTGTAAGCCGGCCTCAAATTCAAAGTGGGGAGAATCCGGGAACATCAAAAGAACCCTGATTTGTGTGGAAGCATACCTCGTAATCATGTGAGTGCCAAAGCTTCCTCTCTTCTGCATCGAGTGTTTCGTAAAGACTTGGGGTGATCATATACTCTACTCCAATCAACCTCGCAGGATTGGTAGGTGCATCATAGATCAAACATTGCCGGACCTAAGCTCGTACATTAGCCTCCAAATCTAGGTCGTTCAACGAGAGTGCCCGAATGCTGGAAGGGAAGTGGTACATCAGCACTTAAATGTGTGCAATAGTGGTTAGCTTCCACAGAACGAGAAGGATCAGAAGCGTAGACATGGAAAGCGTTCAGGTGAGCACATATAGCTTTGATAGGCTCGAAAGACTGAGTGGCTGCGGCACCAGTCTCAAGGATGGTGTCCTTCGTGGTAGTGGGCGGGCCTTCGGCGCCGTGGGTCTGTTGGCTTGTCATATTGATAGACTAGACACTGGATGCACTAGTTCGAGGAGATTGAAAAAGAGGATGGGGAGATATGGCAGACGATGGTCAGCATTTTGAGAATTTGTTTTGAGTTTGCTAAACAGCTTGACGTCATAATGATGATGATGATGATGTTACTCAGTCAAGGCACCTGATGCTCGTGGATTTGCAAGGAAGGCATTGATAAAAGGTTCTTTTTGTTTCTGTTCTGATATCCAATCGTTCCTCGATTCTTTACATACCACATGTGATCACTTATATCTTCGACTCTGGAGGTTGTCTGCAAATGATGAGGTGGATTTTCTCCGAACAAAGCAGAAATTCAATTTGATAGATGTACTTACTCACTTGAAGTTGTTCTTCATCTCTCGGAGCTTGGCCATAACCTCAATTGGATCCTCTTTTCCTGTAGCTTTCTTGATCTCCGGATCCTACTAACGTCAGCCAATGCTCAGAAAGTTAAACAGCAAGAACACGTACATCCATTCTCATGAAAACATTGTGTTTCTGTAGGATTCTGGTCAGTGCATGCTTTCCACTATCGTAAGAATCTAACCTTTTCATCACCAATTGTGAATTTGCCTTGAGTTTCCTTATTGTTCTCTGCAAAAGAGTGCAAGTTCTTCACTGGCTCGCTTTGGAGAACAGACATAGCAAACTTCACATTGGCTTTCGTGTATTCGTGGCCAGGCTATATTGTTCAGCCGAAGTCAACATTTGGCTTGAAGGAACTCACATAAACTTTGGTATCGTCAGGCACAGCGGCAAGGGTCTGGTTCAGAGCAGTATTCATCTCCTCTGGAGTGCCCTCGAAGAATCGGCCACAGCCTACATATGACTGTTAGATCATCTCGATTTCCATAGGTATGCTCATGGAAGCCAGTCAACTTACCCCCGTGGAAGAGAGTGTCTCCTGTAAAGATGACCTTTCCTGTGCTATCTTCCATAAACCAGCATATACTGTCTTGAGTATGGCAAGGAGTGTATAGTGCTTTTACAGCAATATCACCAATCTTGAAGCCTTCACCGTTTTTGGGTGTTTGAGTAACACCTTCGCAGTCCTTGCCTCCAATAATTGGCTTCCCCTTGAATTCAGAATACGCAAGCTAAGAACTGTAATCAATATGGAAGGCCATCATATGTCTAGATAACTTACCAGTTTCTTATTACCTCCAGCATGATCCCAGTGGCTGGTATTTGTCAGCAAATTCAAGACGAAATATGAGCTTCATGAGGCCATACTGATGGGTATTGACAATAGCCGTTAAATTAATCTTGCCAGAGCTAATCTGTTCTTTCAAAACGGGCGCAACTCTACGATTTCAAATCAGTCATCATTCTCTACTCATATTGTAGCTCAGTACACACTCGTCCGGATTTGCGGGATCAATGATCACAGCATCTTTGCTCTTGTCGTCCACGACCAAATAAGCATAGTTATCACTACTACCCGTCCCTAAGCTGGTCTTTAGCAAGTGTCAAAGTAGATGAAATGGGCACCTTGAAGGGTAGCTTACACATAGGAATTGATTGGATATGCATAGCGCGAGTCAAAGCTAACTGTTTGATTTGAGCAAAGGTTCTTCAGTCTCCTATCAATACTTACACTTGTAGTCAGGGTTCTTAATGAGCGTCCAAAGATTGGTCTTGTTACAGTTAAGAAGGTCATTGAGATTTAATTTGTTGGTCGATTCTGATGACGACAGGTTGGGGTAAAGCAAAGTTCTTATCTTATCTTAGCGTCATGTTGTTTATGTCCGAAAAGGGCAGCAATTTTCCCCTTTTCTGTGTGAGTGTTCTTAAGTTCGACCACGACAGTAATGAAATTTGCCGAAGCTGCGGAACACGTCTCTCAAGCTTGTGTCTTGTTAGCTGTCCTCTTCGAGTCTTCGAGGCGGTCCTAAGTACAGAGTATGGACCCCACCAGTCGCAGCTTTACGAGCATTTTCCATGCAGTCCAACTCTCTGAATTGGAAGTATCTTCGATATTTTATACCGTACAAAAAGGAATCAGAAACTATTATTCCAGAGCTTGTGGGACAGTATAGGTGGGAAAACTCGATTGTTCGGAACAAAAGGGACTTGCACGTCGTTCCCAATACCACTTCATCCACAAATAATTATTCACATTTGGGACATGGCCTATTTGTGTTGTCTCACAAACTTTGGAAGAATATCATCTTATATTCCTATTTCTACGGTACTAAGCATGTTCCAATGCCAGAACATCAGATGAAATTCATCCCACCACTTGCGCTGACAGTTGACCCAGTCACCCAGCGGCTTTCCTCTGAGCACAAGAAACTATGTTGACAATCAGTACAACGTTTTGGACGCTTCAGGCCATGCTTACGAAACGATTGGGACAATGTCTGACACCTCGCCGACTCTGGCAGCTGCCGGTGTAGCATCGATGGAGGGTTGAAGAGCTGCCACTACGTCTGGTTCGCATTCTGTCCACATGTCCGTAGCCACGGGGCCGGGGCTCACGCAATTAACTGTAATATCGTATTTCTTCCCCAGCTCGGTCGCCCATACCTTACACATCCCTTCGAGGCCTGCTTTCGTTGCTGCGTAAACTGTCTGCTGAGGCATGCCCATACGTGCTGAAACAGAGGATATCAGGACAATCCGACCTCCTCGAGCAATATGAGGGAGTGTAAGTTGTGTCAGGAAGATTGGTGCTACTCCAGAGTAAGCTGCTAATATACTTCTTCATCGCATCACCCCCACCTTTCAAGTTGACGTCCGTTTGAGCTTCATAGAATTCTTCAGTCATCTCTTCAAGATAGCAGTCATCCCCCGTAGCGGCATTATGGACAAGTATGTCGACCTTCCCATTCACTGATATTGCGAGTGCAGCATCGATGAGCTTTTTGAGATCTTCCATGATTGCTATGTTTGCTTGGACTATTGCGACTTTCGCTCCACATTCTTCTATTTCTTTCCCGAGTTGAGCAGCTGCTCTCTCTCCTCTTGTTGATGTGTAGTTCACCACGACATTTGCACCCCTCTTAGCTAAGTCCAGTGCTATTCCAGCGCCGATTCCTCTGTTGAGTCCTGAGTATGTATTGCTAGCCTTATTGTGGAAACCCACCTCGAGGATCCTGTGACGATTGCCGTCTTGCCATTGAGATTCTTGGGCTGCTGTGCAGCCATTTTGGTATCATGCGTAAAATGATCAACGATTTTGTGATCGATAAAATGTTAAACACAGAAATCGAACAATGAATTGAAATGCTGTACTGTATATGCAATGCAGCCTTAGTTCCATCGCGGCTGGCGCGGTAAGCGCGTTCCGCGAGCTCAAAGATTATCTTGGTATCTATGTGTAGAACTATCAACAAGTCCGAATTTACAGCATATGTGGAGAAAGGCTTCAATAGTGAAGCAATGTTTATTTGTTATTTGGAAGAGAGCTTTTGTCCAAATTGGCATTGCTTTCTAGTCTTGCTCAACTTCTTCAATTGTACCATAACTCGAGGAGCACATAATCAATGTTCATGAACGCACAATAGGTACACAGACTTGTACAATATCCAATAAATACTCAAATTTTGATATTTGTGCTGCAAAAAGTACTTACTCAATGTGGCTCAGCATCAAATCCTTGTGCTCTTTGCAGAAGGTAGCTAGCATCCTCGAATACTTCCCATACTCTAAGTGTAACACAAATCTGCATCGCTTGCCGCTCAGCCTTTCTGCAGCTCCTCAGCTATAATTAGCGAGGCTGATTGACCACTTGAACACACCGAGATGCTGGCCCCTGAAATGTTGGCCTGCAGTCGAAAACCAACATTAAGCGAGCACCTCGCAATGGTGATAGGTAATTGACACGGCTGGGTATACCCTTATCTGGAAGGAGAGCCTTGAACAGGAGGGGCTGCGTGTCACTATATCTTGAAGAATGGCCGACGTGCAAATTCCGAAAGCAAAGGATTGTAAAGCGTTGGTGGTCTTTCGTTCATGACCATGGCTTCTCCTAAGAGCTCGAGGACCAGTCGTCATTGTGTATACAACAGTGGGTCGGACTGCTTATACCCCGCTGTCACCTCTCTTCCTATTAGAACGACAGCAACACCGACTCATGTCCGATCGATTCCTGCAACATTAGCTTCGAGTTCTTCTGCTTCGAGTTCGAGTACTTCCTCGACTGAAGATTCGGAGAGGATCTTCGACCATAGCCCCCTTGGTCTTCGAGCCGATTCGCCAACGACTCCTCCTGACGATTTAATGAACACTACTGGGAGTGGTAATTCTAAAGCCAGCACCGATTTCGAAAGGGAAGGTACACCGCTTGTAAAAGTACGCAGCCGGCCTAAGAGGCCGTCCTTAGTGTCTACAGCAGCAGCAGCAGATCCACGGTACCGGATAGAAAAAGTCACGGTCGGCCCTCGAGCATCTCGAGCAACTGCTAGACGATCAGCATCTCCACCACAGATTAAGCCTCTGATACACACAGATGAAATCAAACGACTTCATCATTCGTCTCTCGCCTTCTCAAAATCCACAAGTTCTATACCTCTTCCACTCGAAGATGTCTTCGTGGGCTCTCCTCAAAACCCGCACATCTTGGGGTCGGAACAAATGGAATGGATAGGGCCGAATGCACTTGAAAACTCGTTGGATGTAGAAAGTTGTGACGGAGCGCATCGAGATAAATCAGAACAACTTGGAGATGGAGTGTCCATGCTAGAAAGAGAAGGCTCGGAACCAGACGGGGTGCAGTCGGAAGGAGAATACAATGAAGACGCGACAACCAACTTTCAAAGTTATAAATGTACTCCGGAAGACGCTCCAAAGGACAATCCTCCAGATTCCACCAATTTAAAGTTCATCCCTTTCCGTCGGAAGGACAGAGACTTGTGCTCGATAAACGAAAGTATCATCGAAGCCATGAAGAGCCACCGCAAAGCGAAAGCCGCGCCCGGTTGGACATATGTCTTCGAATGTCCCACACGAGCACCAGGACATCTCAAGATCGGCAGCACAGTCCACATGAACGAGCGCGAAAAAGTCTTGAAAAAATGTGAGAGAGAATTGATACACGTGAAAGACAAAGACAGGAATGCTTTCGATTACCATTCCATTGTCGAATCTCTCGTGCATCAGGAATTCCATAACAAGAGAAGAGTGCTGCGTTGCATTTGTGGGACAAACCATCAAGAATGGTTTGAGGTGAAGAAAGATGTTGCATTAAAGTCGATTTGCAGGTGGAGGACTTGGGTGAAGATTCAGAGACCGTATGATAAAGAGTGGAAATTGAAACCTTATTGGCAGTGGAAGGTGAGGAATCTGCCAAAGAGTCTCGCGAACGTGGATTGGGATGATTGGGTCCGGCCGAATCGCAGGGAGTATTATCTTCAGTATTGGTACGAAGAGTTTGGAAAGGATTATTACCTGGCTTTGGAGGGACATATTAAGAGGAAGGATAAGCATTTTTGTCAGATTGGGGTCATTCTGCTGCTTAGCATGTACCTTTTGTTTGGAGGGACATGCTTTGCGTTGACAATGGTGGGGTTGATACTCCTATGAGGATTAAAACTCGGTAGACATTCATAACGATGGGGGTTTCTTCGTACAAGTCGTGCCGAAGCTCTTTGACATGAGAAACGAAGTCCAACCATTTGTTAAGGTCACGTTCATTGATCGATTAAGCTCGGCCTAACCAATGTCGACTTCATTGACACACAAGCTTTTGGTATGTGCAAGAACTGCTTGTGGGACTGCGTACGGCGAATACGAGTCTGGCATGTCCAATTGAGTCTGGAATGACAGAGCTTAACAGACCATAACAGCTCGTCACTTCCTGTGGCGAAATACGGCGAGAAAGCTGAAAAGCGGTGAAGTCTTGGCAACGATGTTGTGCTTCAAGATCGCTCTAAACTCGCTTAACCATGCAATGAGGTCCGAATCAGGACAAACTTGAGTAGAACGGACCAACCAGAGCGATCACCAAGTCGTGATTCTATCAGAAACTTGATAGGTAGTAGAACTACGTTTCTATCCGAGTCCGCAGGTCCGGGATCTTCGACTGGAGACAAAGTTCTCTCAGCGAGAGCTACAGATGCAGAATCCTTGTACTTGCAGTATGCACAATGCTGCATCATCTGTTACTTCTGTCCACTTACTCCGTGCGTCCACATGAAGTCTTTGAATTGGGATTATCAAGAAGTGACAACTCAGAACTTTTCGGAGGAGATTAGCAGGGTTTAGTTGTGACCGAGGATATCTTGTTGCACTTCTTAGGGGAGGACAATCGAGAAGATACGATTGCAAGTATGGCGACACATACGACGAGCGTTACGCCAAGCTCCATACCGGTACCGGTTCTAAAGCTCAATAATGGGGTTGAGATGCCCGTAAGCCTCATGCCCTCGGGGATACCTCCTATCCCTTGCTGTCTCTAGCTTGATGCTCCAGATGCACTCCCAAGAAGTACAAAAAGGGTTTGCTGACTTCGAGATTCTGGTGCCTAGGCCCTGGGATTTGGCACATTCGCCAAAGAGGGGGTTGAGGGGAAGACGTATGAGGCTGTGATGGCCGCATTGGATGCGGGATATAGGCACCTGGATTGTGCTTGGTAGTGAGTCTTCCTTCTCTCTTACTACTTGTCGTATGTCGAATTGGGGGATAAGGAGGGGGTACAGTATGGATGCAGAACTGACATGTGCTTGCAGCTATCTCAATGAGGATGAAGTTGGAACTGCACTACGAGAATGGTTGGACAAGAACCCGGAAGTGAAGCGAGAGGATCTCTTCATTACGACAAAGGTTGCTCTTATGTCAGCTCTTGCCGGATAAGGAAGCTGATTGAGCTTGCTTGATTAGGTTTGGCCTCACTTAGCTGAGCCGGATGATGTGGAATGGAGTTTGAACAACTCATTGCAGATGCTGGGCACGGACTATGTCGACTGCTTCTTGATCCATTGGCCCTTCGCTGCCGAGAGGACGGAAGACCGCAATGTCGAGCTTGGGCCCGATGGAAAAGTGCGTACCATCATCCTTAGACACTTCCATAGCTGACGATTTTGGCTAGTATATTATCAAAAACGGTCTGACTGAAGATCTGTCACCAACATGGCGCACACTCGAGAAACTTTACAAATTGGGGAAAGCGAGATCCATAGGAGTGTCCAATTGGACCATAACAGGACTCGAAAGACTGCTCGAATATGCAGAGATCAAGCCGGCCATCAACCAAGTTGAGATCCATCCGTTTCTACCAAATAGCGAACTCATACAATACTGCATGTCTCACAATATCCTGCCTGTGGCATATTCTCCCTTAGGATCACAACATCAAGTACCTACTACCGGGGAGAAAGTATTGACTCATCCCGAATTAACAAGTATTGCAACAAAGAAAGGGATAAGTTTGGTTCAGTTGCTAGTTGCGTGGGGGCTGAAGAGAGGATATGCAGTGTTACCCAAGAGTGGAAATGCGGAGAGGATCAAGAGCAACTTTTGTTTGGTTGAGCTGAACGAAGAGGATTTTGAGGCTGTAAACAAGATTGCCGAGGGACGACACTGTCGATTCGTCAATCCGAAGGAGATGTTTGGGTACGATGTATGGTCAGAGGAGAGTACAAAGTAAGCAGTCGTAAAGATAATTGCCGAGCAATTGTTGGACAACAGAACAGGGACATCGTGCGCATGATGTTTGGTGGAGCATCCAAGTGGAACCCATGTTCTTGTGCAATGATGTGGCACGACATTTACGCCGTCAAGCATCAATGACCACGCTCTTTGTAATGTTGATACTCTGCAGATGCGAGGCACAGAAGCCCATTTGCCGGAGCTTAAAGTCAAACTATTGACTCGTAAAGTTGCGCCTATGAAATACAAAGGTACCAAAGTTTGCCAACGCACCAACCTTTGATAGAGAGGCTTTCCCACGGATCCCTTTCAACCGAGATATTCTATGTCTTGTATGACGTTGTGGAAGTGCATGATCGGAAGCGATGCGGAGGTTCGTCAGCATTTCTTCAGCTCCACCGGGTTGCTGCTGCATGTACTGTACATACGCAATGTGGCATGGTCCGAAGCGAGGCATTGTTAGGAGAATCAAGTGACCAACATCCGGCGGCTCGTCTGTCACCCTTGCCCTATATCTGTTGTGACAGTATACATTGTCCATGCAGGTTGGAGGACGACGGTAAGTGAGAGTGGGATAAAGCTAGCAGAAATTGATGAGCGACTTGCGTCGGGACAATTGTTCTTTACTGTAGAATAGACTTTCATCTGATCTTCATGCAAAGAGATCGTGTCATTTGAAAGGCATTGTCCCGTACACTGTTTACCCTCAACGTTGATTGTGGTTCGAGTATCGAATGATTACGCCGAGCGCTGAATGTAGATAGAAAGCATGAGCTGAAAAGAACATGATGATAATACAATGCTTCATATGCTCCGATGATATAACAAGCTCCTCTGAGTATACAAGAGCGAATCTCATCTTTTGCCTGCTTCATAGTCTGCCACAGAGATGGGGACTTCGCACATGGAGCACAGCCGGAACAGGTGCCTAGCTTGAGCTGATGTATCATAGTCAACTGTTCCAGTATCTGTACTTCGTCAGAATGCGTATGCTCAAAATAGGGTTGATGAACGGCTTACGGAGTGTCGTCCTGTTGTCAAACATCACAACACTATGCTTCTCCCAATGGACTCTTGCTTGGAAGTCGTGTCCATTGCGGACAAAATCCATGAGGAATTTCATGACAACATCAGCCTCTTGATCTTTCAAGCCTATGACTTCCTCAGGCCACTCCATGTTGTAAAAGAGGGCCCTTTCACCTGTGACTGGATGCACTCGGACAACTGGATGAGTCGAATCGATGGGGTCAGCACGTACGACTCCCTTTGCCCTTCTGGCATGAGCAATCAAATTCCTTGAAGTATGAACAGCCGTGAGTTGATTAATCATCTCCTGAAAGATAGGGGAGAGACGTTTGTAGGCCATACCCATGTCAGCCACGATAGTGTCACCGCCGATATCTGGGCAGGCTAATATTCCGAGCATGACATATCCTGGAGGCTGTCTCTCATAACTGACATCATGATGCCAGATTGTCGTGGTCATCTTGTGTTTGAAAAAGTTTTCAATCTCTTCCTCATTGCCATCTCGGTGGATGACATGGAATTGCGGGAATCCTTTGATCGCACCAGTCACTGGCTGTTGGCTGAGCTTTCCAAAATAACTCATGAAGTCGACTTGGTATTGCGGCCCTTTATGAAGGAAGTCCGATTGCTCTCTCAAAACTACAAATTTTCTCTGGCAAATAAGGAGCGCCAGTTCGTCCTTAGCTTCTGGTGATAGAGTCTCCATCTTCACGCCTGATAAAATCGTGCCCATTCGTGGCGTAACTGGCGCAGCTGTGACCCCCGGAGAGAACAGATTGGGCATCTTCTTGTTTGCTCGTAGGGCTGGATCGTGGTATTCAAACTCCGGAAAGTCATCGTGCCATATGCCTTCTTCCCAGACAGGTAGGTATTCGGGGAACTCGGTTCTCCCTCTGATGCGGCGCTCGTACTCTTCTGAAAGAGCGTGATAAGGGACATTGATGTCGTAGCTCGTCTTTGGTTGAGGAGCCTCGAAGACAACCGAGTCCTGGGGGAGTTCAGTGCGACTAGGGGCCATGGTCGAAGATGGTAAAGCTGTGCAGGAGAAATGATCTGGGAATGAGTAGAAGTCCTTTTGTCTCTGCTTGGAGGGGCTAAGGATTAATACTGTCGTCGAGCCAATGCCATGATCCTGTGATTAAATTGAACAGACCAGATGGGCTGATTGGAAGCCTCGGGATTGACCACCGGGTGGTCAATCCGACCAAGCGGTGAAGGGTCCACCCAGGAATGAATCCCATGCTGAGAGATTCGGACGAAGGACAGAAACAGGGGAGAAAAGGCGATTAAGTTCAGTGTCGAGGAGATCCTTGTCGGAGGGGTATATCGTATTGACAGAACGTGGCAGAGAACAGGGTGCGGGAACGCCTCCACCGCTCTCTCCTTTACGCGTGGGCAAGTTTATTGCTGCAATAGCGACATTGATCGGATGGCTGTCTCAGGTTTCGCAAGAGGCCCGGCGGCGCACGCTGATCACGCAGAGGATTCTCCTGTGCCTTGCGCTTGCATCATCACCATGCAAAAGATATATGTGAAGATCATATCAGCAGCAGCCAGATGGGCTTTCTCATCCAGATTGTGTGTGGCGTGGTCGGACGTTCATCTTGTAGTTCGCTTCTAGGCAAACTCAATTGAGCCCCTGAGCAGGTGCGAGTCTATCATAGTCTAGCTCTACGTAGACCGAACGATTGGGCTACGCAACGCCTCCGTTTTTTTTAATATTCATGTTCATGCTGCCGAGTGGATAGTCTGCAGCAACGTTTCTTCACCGTGGGGATTGACGTTCTGGGAGCAAGGGCAGGCAAACTACAAGGCGAGCAGAGACCCAAAAATCCCAGTAAGCTTCACTTCCCTCGAACCTTGATGCCTCACTTCCGGCACTCCAGACCCGAAACATATTTCCGCGGTCGACTAAGTTCATAAGTGTTTGTTAGCAACACCGGTAGATACATGCTCTCGACAACAACGGTACATAACTTACAGTTCAGACAGGGTCTATTGCTGACTTGGCCTTGCACGTGACCGACGCAAGTCAATGACCCATCGTAGATGATCGACATTTGCATTACGTGGTGACTTTTGAAGAATGAAAACAATCTATTTTACCGCTTTGATGCGTTTGGCCATCGGTACGACATGACTTAGGGGCTCCTCCGCATTGTGTAGCTCACAGACGTTTGAGGCTGTGCTAATCAATGCGAGTGATGCTCGGAACAGTATTTTCGGACACCTTCACAAAAAAGGGGTCAGTATTCCTTACTACATAAGTATTCGAGGCTCTAGACTCCCATGCTCTAGTGAGTAAGGATAACCTTAGATCCATGAAAAACAGACTCTTCGCTTCTCCTATTCGTAAGCGAGTTCAGTGTACAATGCACAAGCATGATGGCAATAACGAGTCGAGTCTTCACAGTCTCTCGCTAGACCAGCCCATCACATATCCTATCCTATCTTGCGCTTCATGTGAAGCTAGAAGTATGGTAGTATCAAACAACTTGTCATGTCATGTTCATTGCCTGTGTGCATTTGTCGTGTCTCAGGACAGTCGCACCTGAGTTGTCGTATCAGATCCAGGTGAAGCTTCCTGTCTTAAACTGAATCGTACTTTACTTTTATATTGTCAAGAGTCTGACACAGAAGGAAGGTTGACTTCCATGATATGTTCCCAGGGGGAGCGAAAGTGGCGCTTGTGTGAAAGCAGTACCCTCAGCTTCACAAATTAACTACTTTAAGAGTAGCACCAATGTCGTCGCGGCTATGAATCACCATTTTAAGGTCTTGTTCTCTTTCGTCATCTCATTCAAAAAAGGTCTAGATATTTTGAAGTCATATGTCACTGGATTTATATTGTTAGGTATTTCAAGTCATTGCAGTAATCAAGTCGCCCAAGCAGGGTCTGGTCTTTGAATGTTTGATCACGTTTTGAAACAACTTTAAAACTTGCGTCATATATGTATTCGCCAGTATTGCTATTGTACGACGAGTCCCAAAGGCTAGCAGACTTCCCAGGAGGCTTTAAGCAGAGGGGGGTTGACAAGCGAACAAATGATATTGAATCCGTGCTTGATATCGAGAGATTATATGAAGCTTCGAAGTTCGAGGGACAATTTTAGACTGAAAAGGACCGCTTTATCATAATAACAATCTGTTACCAAACCCAAGTTTGGGCCTTCATGTCCATGTCTCCAGTGTGAGCTATGGTCTCACAATGTACTTGAAATGTACTAGCAGCAAGATTGTCAATTGAGATGACAAACATACTATATTTAGTAGTGAGTATCGCCTTTCGATTTTCATGTCCTAGAAGACCAGGATCTACAAATACAAAGCATCTAGGTCACAAGCTAGATGATAAGAATGATCCAACATGATTATTCATCCCGTACCTGCGTTCGGACTTACTTCTGCAGCTGGATTAGCGCTTAAGTAACTTCTTTTCAGCTCTGTATAGGTCAGTATTCTTGAATTTTGATTCCTCACTCTGCCAAGATGCCATATTGACCTATAAGTAAGAGCGCTCGCTCACAGAATACCATTCATTCTTAATCAATTTTAGATACAGCTTATTTGTTTCTTCACCAACATCTAAACTTGCATTTTAAATCGATACCATTCACCAAACTTCTTCAAGATGTCCGTCTTCAAGAAGCTCTTCCGAAAAAAAAACGTCCCATTGTCATGCACCATTTCCCTCGATGATCCATCCCACGTCCACACCTCAGCCTGTTTCCACGACATCAAACCTCTTTCCGTCGTCGAGCTCTTTCAATCCCAAGGCTGTCAGTCCTGTCCACCCACCATCCCCAAAATCCACGAAGTCACGAACGATCCCAATCTCATCTTGCTCACTTACGACGTGACTTACTTCGATAACCAAGGATGGGTAGACACATTTGCCAACAAGCAATCCGATAATCGTCAACGAGCCTATGTGATGAAATGGGGACGCAACAACCTTTTCACACCACAAGTCATCGTCGATGGGCTGGCGGATGGAACAGGAGCCGGAAGTAACGAAGTCCAAGAAATCATCGACCAAGCACGTCAGCTGCGGGCTCAGATGGACTGGCACATTAGTCTCGACACCAATGGTACAGAGCTGAGAATCGACTCAGACAAGACAGAAATTGAGAGTCATGATATTCTGTTGGTGAAATATGATCCACAACAACAATTGATCAAGGTGGGGAAGGGAACGAACAAGGGAAAGAAGCTGAATCATCGAAATCTGGTCAAGGATATCACAAAGGTCGGCGAGTGGACCGGTGGCAATCTTACGCTACCACTCCCGGAGCAGGAGCATCAAGGGTTGGATATGGTGGCTTTGGTACAGGCTGGCCCTGGTGGACCGATTGTGGCTTCTCAGAAGATCTGAGTGGACTAGGAGGTGGTTTATGTAGACTTTGATGTACAACATATATCATTGTGGTTGTTTAGATTTGACAGTATCATTGAAATTTTGACAAAAAGTTAAAGCAGAGAAGTGGAAGTCGGTCTTTAGGTAGTGAAATTCTTATTATGACAATATTGAACTGGCAGACATGTCCGTTCCCGTCAATATCGAGACGGAGAACATCCTAATTAGAGCGACTGATTCCAAACATTGCTTCACCTGCCCTACATAGACTGCTTTCCGGCAATTTGATCAGACGAAAATATGGGACTCAGCTGAAAGGAGGCTGATTCCAACTCAACGTCGGCCGACATGCCAAGCAATTTGTTTTCCTAAAGCATACAAGCCTAACCAGTCTTTATGATGACCCCGACGTGCATCTCAAGCGGTCCGAGCCGAAATTGAATGACCGAAACATAAATACTTAATATACAAAAGTTAAACAGTCTACTGATCGGTGTTCAATGAATTCTCCCAGTGAGAAGAACTCTAACAGAATGGAAATATCACAAAATCACGCTGATCTTCAATCCAGATTACTTCCTCAGATGCTTCTCCTGCGAAACGATCATCATCATACCCCCAGCACAAACCACCCCAGCGGTGACAGCTACGAGCGCAACACCCGCAATATTCGGCCTGTAAAGCCCCCTCTGCAACAAGTTCAAAGTATTAAAATACCTCAACGTCCCGTAAGTTAGGCACCCGGACCCAGACCCCACCAAAGCAGCAGCTGGGATATGTAAATCCCCGTGACCGTGCTTCAACGTTGGGGATAGAGCTTCCAGAGCATCGAGTTTGGCGAGAGCAACTCCAAGAGCGACGAAGCCGAGACCGGTACGGGTCCAGGAGAGGAAAGTACGTTCGTTGGCGAGGTGGTCTCGAGCGGTGCTGCCGGTGTTGGCAATTGGCTTTGAGAAGAAGAATTTGAGGATGCGAGACATGTTGGGAGTGGAAAGGCAGAGACTGCAGTGCAAATTTGAGGTTGATAAATCGGTAGGATGACGACACCACAGAGCAAGGATGCTTCAAGGATGAGTGAGTAGGGAAGACATTGATGATACAGTCTATATTGATATGAAAAAGGATAGTTGTGAAAGTCTCGCACTCTGTGTCGTCGAAAACGCGAGAGCAAAAAGCAAGGAAACCAGACATCACTTCGGATAAGAGGGCATCACGTGTATTGTGCATGTGACAGAATTCTACATGAAGAAATATTCAATGCTAGAAAGGTAGTAAGTTAACTCGGTATTTATATCTCAAGTAGTTGAGGTATTGTATGTCGCGGTGTTTCGCAGCCAAAGCAAACCCCACCCTTCACACACATTCAAGTGACTCATCCCAACCCTTATAAATCTACCTAGGTACTTCATATAAGCCAAGTAAAGTCTCCGCTAGTTTAACACGAAGACTTCACTGCAATGGAGAAACAAAAAGCCTCAAAATTTACGATACGACAGCCAGAATACCCACAAGATCTCCCAACTATCCGAGGACTTTTCACTGCATACGCTCTTTCTCTAAGCATCGACCTCTCCTTCCAAAACTTCGAGAGCGAACTATCTTCCTTGCCGGGAAAATACTCATCACCACATGGCGCACTTCTAATTGCATTCCTAAACGAAACCGTTAGTACTGAAGCCATTGGCTGTATTGCTGTTCGACCACTTTCTTCAGTCAATAATGGAACTGACAAGAAGGTCGGTGAGATGAAGAGACTATATTGTACTCCTGCTGCTCGAGGCCTCGGTATTGGACGAGCACTAGCTGAGAAGATTATCAAGATGGCAGAAGATTTGGGATATGATGAGATGAGGTTGGATACTTTGCCATCGATGGAGGGAGCGAGGAAACTGTATCAGAGCTTGGGATTTGTGGAGACTGAGGCGTATTATGATACACCGTTAAAGGGTACTATTTTCCTTTCTAAGAGATTAAGTCCTAGGTGATGTTGAAGGAAGTCTATTGCAATGATGAGGAGAGACTAGGAGATTTTGGGAGCTCAAAGTTCGAGGATGATGGGACTCCAGACCTTTGGGAGAAAGAACAGCAGAGAGCTTTTCCAGAGGGACCATAAAAACAGAAATCACGCTATAATTGTGCATGTAGAGACTGTCATGATACCAGCGCATACTTGATTTGGGCCATTTCTCTATTTATCGTTACATCAACGTGTTCTATCGTGATCATCATAGCCGCCAACCAGACGCTTCCAACCAAGTCTCTTAAAACGCCTAGAATGCACGCTGCATACGCCCTCTCATGACCCCATTAACTAAGGTCAAATCCTGCTCCCGAGTTCACCGCATATAGCAATTTTTGTCGTAAGATATCCTCCGTGGAGTATCTCGGAAGCTTTAACAAGTTCACACATGTACTCGTGCTAGGTAAGCGTGTTTCATCACTGCCAGCATCTCGAATACTGAATCGAGGATTCAATTGGGAGAAGCCGAGAAGAGGTGCTCGAGGAGTTGATGTAACGTATTTCAGAACCTTCCTACGGTCCGAGTCGTCGAGCGCTTTCATCACCTTCCAGAACAGCTTAACAGTTGGATGCTCTTGGCCATCGTCACCAATGACATATACACCACCATAGAGAGTGTTGCGTCTCAGGTCTGCAACGTCAATCTCAGAAGAATCGCCACCGATCAATGTCTGCAACTCAGACTGATTAAACATGGACAGCCAAGACGGGTTGATAATTTCGCTAAGTCCCTTAAGAAAGGCTTGAGTCTGGCGGTAAGGCTGTTTCTGCAAGCGATGTCGTGCCACGCACGACACATACAGGAGTCGGTTCTCATTGGTGACGGCGGTCTTCGAACCATTAGGCATGAGATCTCTCTCGATGGTCTGGGTTGGTGCTCCTGGCAGTGATATTGTGTCGGTGATTGTGAAGTCAAGAGAGAAGTCTTCAACGTTGCCGGAATAGTTCTTCAGTTTCAACAGACCTTGATATAGTCCTTCGTCAAGGTCCCTGAGATCATTGATGTTGGGACGATAGCCTGACTCGGCTCCAGTGGCACCGGCCGCCGCCCACTTGAGAAGGAAAAAGCCGGCAAAGCCAATATCAACTAGAATCCCCTCGTAAAGACACTTTCCAACTATCCGGCCAAGGAACTCGTAGTGTCTTAAGAGCTCATGGATGTTCTCTCGCCACTCTGTTGACGACTCTCTCAAGCCCGCTTGCTTCAACAGTTCTTGTCGTTCGTCTAAAGCTGCCGGATTTGGATAAAGTAGATTCTGATCGTTTGTGATGAACAGATTAGGTCCATCCTCTGCTCGGAATGCTTCATTCGTGACGCTTGTCAGAAATTCTTTGGTCACGCCTCCGCCATCGATACCCGCTTCGACTGTGTCAAATTGATCGACGAAGGTAATTTGAATTGGCTCCTTCAATCCTTCGCCAAGCTCAAAAAATTGTTCATAGGCATCTTCGAAGACTTGGTCTCTCCTGATCTTCGCATGATGTGGGCCTAGTTGTTCCTCGCCCGGTGTCCGGTTGGGTCTATGAGGCCCTTGAGTTCGCGGAGCTCCATGAGCTTGTATGATGGACATGCGCCAAATGTCAGGATCAACGTTGCCGCCTCGCCTACGAAATTGGTCTCGATACACGAACTCGCGAAAGATCTGAACACGAGTCTCGAACGGAATGACAAAGGGCATGTGCTGAAGAACCTCTAGTCTTGGCCCTACTGCCGCGAGGACTTTTTGACGAGCTGCCTTCTGTTGCTGTCTCCTGAGATTCTCGATCTGACGGGCACGTCGGTCTCTTGCCATGCCAACTAGACCGCTGCCTCTCATGTCAAAGAGAGGATCATTACCGGTGTCTTCATCCTCACCTTCTTCCCCAATCTGGTGTTGTCTCTCCTCTTCTGCAACTACCGCTGGAATGAATCCCTCCATGTCAAATCGGGATGTCATGAGCCAGTGATCTTTCGGCAGAAATCTCCGTCGGGAGTCTCGTTCGTAGAGCATGCGCATGACACCTGTCACAATTGTTCTGACATACTCAAAAGTCATGCCCGCGATGCCGGCGAAGGGTCGATTTGAAACAGCTTTGGCGATCGTGGACGACTCGGACTCAAATCTCGACGAATTAACAACACTCGTAGCAAAGTACGATCCAATACCACTTTCCCCTGCTGGCTGAACATCGCCAGAAAGTTCCGCAGCGTTATAATAGGTGGTGAAAGCCAAGTTCTTCAAGAATATGGTAAGGTGTTTGACGTCTTCGATTGGAAGAGCGCTTTTGCGAATCCGAGAATTTGGGGCGTCCATCTGGCCCAAATTCAGGTTGTTCCCACTCAGGAACTCTTCGTCATCCGTAAATCTGAGAACGAAGGTATAGAGTTCAAGAAACAAAAGAATTGTCCGCCATTCACGATCCCTAAACAAATCGTTCGATGCTACAGCTGATGAATATTGTGTTTGAGGTCTTAGCAGAGTCAGTGCAGCTTTAGAATCCGCTGTGACGACAGAAAATGTATTTGTCAAACTCATGGCTTGCCAAAAGAACTTCAGCGCTGGGATTTGACGGCCTCTAGGTTCAGTCATTGATCCGAGGTAGAGCCACATTCGAATCTCATCCCCACGGCGGGGGAAGATTCTAAGAAGGGTCAGCGCATAGCTCGCAAGTAAGCTGGCATCCTCTTCTCCTGCAGTCGAGGCCTTGGCGTAATCTATGTTGAACTTAGCTAGCAAGCCTGTGATGCTTGACTGATTAACCAACGACAGGAGTTCATCCTTCACGAACGTAGGAAGTGGTATGGGAGGAATCGTGTCTCCGTCCTCACGTTCAGTGATTTCACGCAGAACTTCAGGGTCTTGTACATCAATACGGCTCAGAATATCGCCGGAAGAGCTCGAGAGTTGTAAAGATAAAGCCCTCAAATATTCAGGTTCCTGACTGCTACGTTGTTGAAGACGATTCAACGAAATGAAGTGAGCGAGCAGCCATAGCTTTCGATCGGCGCCGATATGGTCCACAACGTTTGACGCTGCATCTCGTGCTAGAGCCGATGACAGAAGAGCACTCGACACAAGAGACACATCCACGACTGAAGCGAGCCCATCAAGAAGTCCGCCTTGATTGGCTATGTTGGGCGTCGTCAAGAAATAAAGAGCAAAGGCCTCATACGCTTGAATAGAGACGTTGCCTGCAATCATTAGTATTTGTGCTTGTAAATGTTTGGGGGAAGACGTACTAGTTCTGCCCTGCTCGGAGTGCTCCACTAAAGGAATTCTGACAGCAGTGAGAAACAGACTAGGATCGATTTGTGAAGCTTGACCATCTGTAAGAAGGGCCGATAGGTATGTGTAATAGCTTCTTGATATATGAGGGAACAGGTTCTGCTGTTGATTGACAATCGACACGAGAAGTTGAAGGAGGGTAGATGGGCACTGGGGCAGAGAGCTGCACGATAGTCAGATATTATTCGGTTCAGTGTATCGTCACTGAAGCTTCACTCACGTTTGCAATGCTCCCACGGTAACATGGGCTAGTTGAGGGAGTAGAGGTTGAACATCTTCACGAGCGAGGACTGTTTCGAAGCCAAGGTTGGATAGTCTGGTGCTTAGACTCGACAATCTTTCGAGGTCGTCTCTTCTTCTCGAGCTGGAGAAAGCTACTAAGAGCCTGATTTGCTCAACAGAAACCGAACGATCCGCCACTCTCTCGGTTTGTATGCTATCCCATGATAGTCGTTGAGACTCTGCCAGCTCTCTTCGTACCTTGTGGCCCCTCCAAACCCGCTGTATCTTCTTTGAGGCATTCAGCCGTTCTCGTTCTCGCTGTCGTTGCTGCCGTTCTTGCTGGGCATGTGCCACAGTCTGCTGAGTGCCAGAGCCTGAAGGGCCGAAGCCGCTTGCAGCAAACGGATTTACATTTTGGCCAGAGAGATTGACCTGCCGAGGACGACGAGAACTGCCGCTGAAAGTTTGAAACATATCTCACGATTTTGTGTTGCTCGTCGCCGTCATGGACTGTGCTCTATCGTCGTTGAAGAGGCATGCCGTGGTTCCAGAACTGTTCCCAGCTTCTAAGTTCTGCAAGGATCCAGGAAAAAAGGTGGAAGAGCAGGATATTCTGGAGTCCTACCTCGGAAACAGAAAAAATGTTCTTCGATGTGTTTCTGTGTGGCGCAACACTTGGGGAGTTGTAACTGTACCTACTTTTAACGATTCATTGCGTTCACGTTCCAGCCTAGACAGCCTTCCCTGAGCTACTATCGCCGTCGAAGCCCTATTAGTAAGGCTGCAAGCCTTGTCAAGGCGAGCTAACCGCATTGAGAAAGGGCCACAAAATTTCATGAGATGCTCCTTCTGTCGCGCATGATATTAATCTTTCTTCTTCAACCCAAACCCACATCGAAAAACCTTTGACTGCGCGAAACAAGTACGACCTTTCGTGCTTTTTTCGTTCTTCTCGCCCTCTTCTTTCAGAAAATCCCTCTTAAAGAGACCAAAAAAACTTGAAAACCCAATAAAAAACCACAGTTTCGCGATCGGTTTTCTCAACCGCCTACACCCTCACCTTCCCTCAAACCTTCAACTTTGAGCACTTGTGCCCAAACCTGCTCCGATTTTCGCACATCCTTCCAGGTCCAGTTCTGTACAGCTCCGTTCGAAAGACAATACAACTGTTCCTATACTCTCACTTCAAGGATATCTCGACGTAATAGGTACGTGTGGACAGGGTTTTCTTTGTTCAAACGGTCGCGCGAATGCTGTGACGAAGATGCACGCCCTCTATCACATCATTCTCTTCGTACTATACAGCTAACATTCATCTTAGCATCAGACTTAGTCACGATGTCCGCCGCCGCTACGAATTCAGCTGTCGACCAGCTTACATCCGAGCTCAACAATGCTTCCCTCAATGGCGGTGATGCCAACGGTGCTCCTGCCCTCAATACCGATGTCTCCAACATGAACTCTGAGGATCCTGACACTGCCGGCCCCACCCCAAGCTCTGCTGCCCCTCACCCACAAGCTTCCGCCTCCCTCTATGTTGGAGAGCTCGACCCATCTGTCACTGAAGCCATGCTCTTCGAGCTGTTCTCTCAGATCGGCTCTGTTGCCTCGATCCGTGTCTGCCGTGACGCTGTCACCCGACGATCCCTTGGATATGCCTACGTCAACTACAATACCACGATTGATGGCGAGAAGGCTTTGGAGGAGCTGAACTACACCTTGATCAAGGGACGCCCATGCCGTATCATGTGGTCCCAGCGCGATCCTGCTCTACGCAAGACTGGTCAGGGTAATGTCTTTATCAAGAACTTGGATACTGCCATCGACAACAAAGCCCTCCACGATACCTTCGCCGCATTTGGCAACATTCTTAGTTGCAAGGTTGCTCAAGATGAGACTGGTGCCTCAAAGGGATACGGCTTTGTTCACTACGAGACAGATGAGGCCGCTAACCAAGCTATTAAGCACGTCAATGGTATGTTGTTGAACGAGAAGAAGGTCTTCGTCGGTCATCACATTCCAAAGAAGGATCGCCAAAGCAAATTTGAAGAGATGAAGGCCAACTTTACCAACATCTACGTCAAGAACATCCCAGTCGAAGTCACCGATGAGGAATTCCGGGAACTCTTTGAGAAGTTTGGCGAGGTCACTTCTGCATCTCTGGCTCGTGACTCGGAGACTGGCAAGAGCCGTGGTTTTGGATTTGTCAACTTCATCAACCATGAGCACGCTTCTACTGCTGTCGACGATCTCAACGGAAAAGACTTCAAGGGTCAGGATCTCTATGTTGGCCGTGCCCAAAAGAAGCATGAACGTGAAGAAGAGCTCCGAAAGTCGTATGAGGCTGCTCGTATCGAGAAGGCTTCAAAGTACCAAGGGGTCAACCTGTATGTGAAGAATCTTGACGATGAGGTCGATGATGAGAAGCTTCGTGAGCTGTTTGCTCCTTTCGGAGCCATCACTTCAGCTAAGGTCATGCGTGATACCCCTGCTGAGACTGCCGAGGCTGAAGAGAAGGAAAAGAAGGAAGCCGAGAAGAACAAGGAGAACGAGAAGGAAGGCGAGCCAAAGGAGGAGAGCCCTGATGCTAAGCCAAAATCCGAGAAGCGATCCAGTCTAGGCAAGAGCAAGGGATTCGGTTTTGTTTGCTTCAACAATCCCGAGGAGGCCACCCGAGCGGTCACCGACATGAACCAGAAGATGGTCCATGGCAAGCCGCTGTATGTTGCCCTTGCTCAACGTAAGGATGTCCGGAAGAGCCAGCTTGAAGCTAGCATCCAAGCCCGCAACCAGATTCGCATGCAACAAGCTGCCGCCGCTGCCGGTATGCCTCAACAATTCATGCAACCCACGATGTTCTACCCTCCTGGTCAACAACCTGGCTTCATCCCCCAAGGTGGTCGAGGAATGCCTTTCCCAGCCCAACCTGGCATGCCTGTTCCAGGAGCTCAAGGTGGTCGCCCTGGTCAATTCCCAGGTGGATTTCCTCCTCAACAAGGCGGACGTGGTGCTCCAGGCCCTCAACAGATGCCACCAAACATGTACGGCATGCCAGGTCAATTCCCTCCTGCTGCGTATGCCCAACAAAGCAACCCACAATTCCTAGCTGCTATGCAACAAGCCCAACAAGCTGCTGCTCTCGCTGGTGGTCGTGGAGGACCCGGTGCTCGTGGACCTATGCAAGGACTTCCAGGTATGCCTCCCAACATGGTTGGTCTTCCAGGTGTTGGACAACAAGCAATGCCTGGCTTCCCTCAAGGTGCTAGACAAGGTGGCATGGCTGGTCGTGGCACTCAAGGTGCTCAGGGTGCTCAAGCTCCTCGTGGACAATGGCCAAGCGGTTTCCCACCTCAAGCCGGTCGTGGTGTTTCCCCACAAGTTCCTGCTATGCCTGAGTTCAATGCTGGCCTTGGTGGTGGTCTTCTTCAAGCTCAACTCCAGGCAGTTCCACCTCAACAACAGAAGCAAATTCTTGGCGAAGCCCTCTTCCCCAAGATCCAGGTTATGCAACCAGAGTTGGCTGGTAAGATCACTGGTATGCTCTTGGAGATGGAGAATCAAGAGTTGGTTAATCTGTAAGTTCCAAATCCATAGTCAACATGAATTCTACTAACAATCACCTAGCATTGAGGATGAGTCCGCTCTTCGTGCTAAGGTTGACGAGGCTCTCACCGTCTACGATGAGTATGTCAAGAACAACAAGGGCAGTGACGATGCTGGCGAGAGCGGAGAGGTCAAGGAGGAGAAGTCTGAAGAGAAGGCTTAATTGCCCGATCTCTTCTTTTTATCTCATACCCATAACGATTCTTCTTCACCATACACATTTCTCACGTATTGTCAATCTGCTGCGGCAACGGGCCGCCGGAAAAGTTTTGCGCTCTCTTCTTCTGGTGGCACAATTTCGATTTCGGCTTCTCTGTCTCTATTGTGCGGCACGGCTGGCATCTCTACAAATTTTCCTTTTACTGATGGATTCATCTGGCGAATGGACTCATCGATCATGTACTCATAGACTAATGTGCGCTGAGCCCCGATGGCTTCCGCATGGTTCACCCACTTGCGGCAACAGCGAACTGGCACAATGCCTCTTTCGATGTCTTTTAATTGCTTCATGGCGAAGATGGATGGATGGTGGACGTTGGCTTGGTGCATTTTGCTACTTGCCTTGTTTGCCAGTAATCTGGTCGTTGCTGATGAGGTCTTAAAGCAGACTACGGAACCAATCAAAAAACATTGCAAAATAACTTATGTTCCGTGCCTGTGCCTCGTTCAAGCTTTAAATCTATTCTGGACCTCTATTCTTTGAGATTCGTGGTAAAGACTAAGCCTAGCGGTGCATGAGACAGGGTTTCCACCCGACCCGAAATTGCATGGCGAACCTGCCACCACGTGGAAGTCTCCATCTAATCTACGGCACAGTGCAGGACCTAATCTCCATCGTACAATACCTACAGAAGCTGAGACCTGGTTCTACAATCCGTTCTTTGGACAATATCGTGGAGCCGAAGCAATTTCCTATAGACAAGACTCAGTCCGCCGGAATTAGTACAAGACATATCCAACCAAGATAAGAGAAATGTGAGACATTCCACAATAAAAAAAAAGTAGGATGTCGATACAGTAATCAAGTCTTTGGCTTTTGGAAGGTTTAGGATTCACAATAGAAGGAAGATGTAAATAGAAACGAAAGAAAGTGCGTATAGGATGGGATAGATGGGAAGGCCAGACTCTCTCTCTCTCAATTCTCCACGTCAGCATCGCACGACGACGACGACGATAGCGACAAGCACAAGCTAGGTGGTATATAACAGAATAAATCAACGGCAACAAATAAGGTATCTTGTAACAACGCACGCGCGCGATCCATCCTACCCTCCATCCGTCCTTCCATGCAAGCTCGCGTGCCCTCCTCCAGGTATTATTCTTCCTCCTCCATTACGACTACCCTCCTCCTCCTCTCGTCTGCAGATAGGAAGGATATCCCCTATGCGGCGGCAGCAGCAACAGGCTCCTCGGCCTTGGCTACCTCGGGCTCGGCGGCAGCTGCGGGTTCGGTGGTCGCAGCGGGCTCGTCGACGGTGGGTGCTGCGTCGGTGGTGGTGGTGGTGGTGGGCTCGGTGGTGGTAGCTGGCTTCTTCTTGCCGAAGCTCTTGACCTTCTCGATGATCTTTTCGACGAATCCCATTTTGTTGGTTTGTGGTTTTGAGGGTTTGGGCTGTTGTTTTGCTGGTGAGGTTGAGGAGAAGAGAGAGGGGAAGTGGGATGAGGTGATGTGAAGAATGGATGATGAGGCTGCAGGATCGGAAGGTTGAGCGAGGGTGGGTGATTGGAGACCTTTTAATAAAAAATGTCGAGAAGAGGGAAATGCTGGCATGTGCATACCATCGGCTACCTACTTATGGGATGCGTGTTAGATTGCACGTGTTATCTCATTTGTTGAGCTGCAGAGGGCGGCGGTGAATCAAGATCAGATCAGGGTGCTAATTCAACATGGAAAAGATGGACACTGAGACAATTTTTCCTCGTCCCATTTATAGCAGCGCTAGGGAAGATATCAGACGCCACCCAATCTGGGATGAAGGGCTGGGGTACGTGGATATGTCATCTGGGATACATGGCTTGTGTTCCTCGTCTATAGGTTGTCACTCGGCCCTGTTGTAGAGACTTTGTCTCGAGGCAATGTTTCCAGACTCATTTCACCTGACGCTCACCGATAACCCAAAGCGGTGCTCGTGCTGAGCTCCAGACCTCCTTGGGCAGTCTGGCAGATAACAGAGAACCCTGTTTGGCAGTTGGGTGAGAGACAAAGATGTACTCGGCAAGTCCAAGTAGACAACCCGAAGTTTCCTTTCGAAATATCATTCGCCAGAACAGCAAAAGCGGCCACTCAGCCTTGCGATCCGGTGCACACACCTAGTAGGTGGAAATCCGGTGACTCAATAACAGCAGAAGCAGGGAAGGGACGTAAAAGAGGCACGCGGATAAATCTGACCGGATCTGCCTTGGAAAGGGTGGTAATATGAAGGCGGTGTTCTGTTATCTTGAAAAGATCATGTGGGGTGCGTTGATAAGCGGAGAGCAGCTGCCTGCGATCATGCAATCGCTCGAAAGTGAGACTGGCAGGTGATTTTTGCAACCAAGAAAAAGCAGCAAATCAATTTAATCAAACATCTCCGCCATTGGCTTCAGAACTACCCTGCCGTCCAAGCGAGTGAAACATGGCACTTGCCCGCCACCAGTAGAAAACTTGGCAAATCGCACTTCGAGTCGTGATGTTCCTTTTAACTTCAGATGTCCGACAATTTTGGGAGAACTATCAAGCCTACCTGTGACTTTGACCCTCAGATCCAAGCCGACCCATGCGATTCCCGAATTGAACAAGGAGCTGGAGCAAAACCAGTGTCACGTGTCATGCTGGAGCATCATACCAGAGTAAATCAGAGTGGTAGATTTATCATCGAAGCCAGAGCCATTGCAAACGTGGAGATCAGCCACCGTCGGAGCCCTTTCACAAATGTGTATGCTAGCTCTTCCTCATTCCGAACCCGTAGCCATGACGCCAGAACTCAGCCTCCGACCTCCAACGCCAGTAGAAACACTATCCCGAGTGCTACCAGATACCCACCCCATCGCCGCAATATCGGCGGGTTAGATGACAAATCCATTGTCAAAGCAGATAATTCTCCACCGCTTGATACAAACATCGCTCGCTCGCTCGAGGTGAAGAAATTCGTTGGTTGCTTGAATATAGACGCGCACAAAAAGACTCACACACATATGCCTAGTCAATCTTTGCTGAAGCCAGGCTTTTGACTACCGGGTTCGCAAGATTATTGGCAAGACGCACAGGAGGACGTTTGTACTTGGTGTGTTTACGGAGACGCTTACGTGCAACCATAACAGGGACCGAGGACTTGGTAACGAGGTAGTTGGAAAAGGAACCAAGGATAACACTATGCGGAGGTTAGCTAAGCCGGGACTCATCTCATCTATCGACAGTGAAGTCTTACCCTTTGAGAGCACTCCTTCCTCTACTGCCCAAGATCACTAACGTAGGAGAGATGAAATCGATCACCTCCGTGATCAAGTGCTTTGGACTCTTGCAATGGATAACCTCGATAACAACTTTTACTTGAAGCTTCGTTTTCCTAAGGAGTTTTGCGACCCTGTCTGTGATGTCTTGCACAGCTCTGTAGCGCTCCTGTTCTGCTTTGGGCTTGTCTCTGCCCATTGGACTAACCGTCTCACTACTCGTCTCCATTCCAGAGCCATGGCCCAGAGGGCTTGGAGTGTGGACAGGGTTGAGGTTAGGAGTAGAGACGGAAGGTCGTGCAGATGCTGCAATAGCAGAAACTTGATCTTTTTGGAGGGCATCATCCGCACTTCCGTCGTTCGGCGCAATTCCAAGTTCTTCGTCCACGCAATAAATTGCAAGAAGTGTATCACCGTCTCGAAGAACCGTCCCAATCGTCCATTCCAGAGCATGAGCTGCTTCTTCGCTAAGATCAGTAGCTACTAAGTACTTTCGAACCCGACGATGATTCTCTTGCGCTTCTTTCTGCATCTGTAGGAACTCGCCACGGTAGATAGTCCGTACACAGCGACTGGTAGCAGGTGTGGAAACGATCGAGGTCATGTTAATCGACAACTTTTGAGCACGTTTGATATCCGTAAGATCAGCTTCGGTATCTGAATCTACTGGAGTGTTAAGTCCTGACGTTGCATCATCAAAGCTGGTGTTGGGGTGGACACCGGGCTTACTAGTCTTGAGAACTCTGTCACCAGCAGGAGTGGTAACTGTGATCTCAGGCTCTAGCAGTGACCGGACTGAATGATCGTCGTGCTTAGCTGCAATCTGTTGACCTGCCAAGAATATCAGTCTCATGGTCTTTCGAGATGAAAAGAGGCCCTTACGTTCTTCCTCAGCTGCAGCCATGAGACTGAGGGCTGTCCTGGGTCCTTTGGCTCGTCCCATACCGAGAGTTGACTTTTCATTGTCGCTGCCTTTCCTCATGGTCTTCTTCCTTCCACGTCCTTCTTCATCAGAATCGTCGTCGCTGCTAAGTCCATGCTCGCCGTCTGCAACCGTATAATCTTTCTGTAGTCTAGATCCCGAAGGCCCATCTCCAACATTGTTAGCTGCCCGTCTACGCTGACTTTTCTCTGCCAAAACGGACAAACCGCCCTTAGACTGGGCAAGGTTGGCGTCAGAAAGCTTTCGATACGCATTGTTTGAATCGATGACAGTGCCATTGTCTAAAACAAGGTCTGTGTCTGATCCTAGCGAGGGAGAGCTTGACCGCAAACTGAAGCGGTTGTGAGGAGACTTCGACTTGGAGTTGCCCATTCCGATACCCGTGCTTGCAATGGAATGTCGTCCTCTATCCCGGCTCCCAAAGACTTCTGACATGGCATTTGGTAAGGAGGATTTCTTTCCGCCTTGGGTATTTCGTTTTGGCATAACAGCCCCGAGATTAGTTGGTAAGTACCCAGAAAATTGGTATGCGTCTTCTTTCCTTCCAGAGGATGATCTTGGACCAAATTCCGAGGGCCGTGAAGCAGCATCTGACAAGCTTCTTGGGTGCTGTGTCTTGGTTCTCTGATTCGGATCTGTAGGTGATGTCTGGGCGCTTCTGGTCGAGACGGTTGTATGCACCTTCTCATTACTACTGCTATTTCCATTGCTGTTGCTGCTGACATCCAGCATACTTCGAATTGGGGGAGGAGACAGTGGCGGACTGGTAATATCTAACATACTTCGTACAGGTTTTCGTGTAGAGCTGGGTGATCCACTTCCAGCTGATGAACGTCTGACAGAAGGCGCATCACCCACATCAAGCATGCTTCGTACAGGCATTCTTTGGTTGGCGAATGGCGAAGAAGCGCGCTCGGCGGCTTTTGCAGCAGCTTTAGCTTTCGAAGAAGCCTCCAGTAGAGCCAGAACATCTCTACGCTCTTCGTCCAACATTGCCTCCAACGACATAGTCTTGTTCGCCATGGTTCTTAGCCTCGAGAGCTTGCGCTCCGGGGAGTTTTCGCGGAAAGTGTAACTTCGAAGAGACAATATGGAATAGGTTGAGACTATTCGGGTGCACTCAGAGCAACAGAGGCCCCAAAGATTGGCGTTATCGTGGGTAGATAATTCTTGACCGTTCGAGGAATTTGATAGCTGTCTGCATCGTGGATTGTGGATTCGTCCTTCAAACCATGTCTACCATCAAGGTGTTGTCTGTTGATTCCTGTGTAATACGCAAGTCGGTTTATTCGATCTCGAGAGGTGGATGTTTGTGAAATCGAAAGGTATACCTGTCAACAAGGTTTAGTGAACTGAACTCTGGTATGCACACGTTTCTGATGTCGAAGATTGTGTGGTCAAGGATGATTGCACGTACCGTACTGCCACTACAACATCCGGAAGGCACGGGTCCGTGTTGCGCAATATGGCTTCTTGGAGACTGAAGAGAGTGATGATAACAGATGGAGTTGAAGATTCGAATGGAGAATAAGCAACCTGCAGACCGGCGGTTGGTTGAAATGCAAGTCGTCGCCGTACTTGTAGCTGTACGTTGGTGGTAAGGCAAAGCAGCTCACTTTCTCTCCAGTCTAGCGTAGTGTAGGTTTCCGGGCGGGGATGAACCCCTAGTGATTCAGGCCAATGGGACCCAGGTGTCCGCTTCGGCCGCAGCAGCGTAAGCCTAGACGGGTATGAGAGATTCAAAAGAAAGAATGATAATGACGAACAACCATAATAAGAACACCACCACACTTTCCGTCGCAAAGTGCTCGCAAGACGGGACCTCGTTCTTCCTTTTGAATGACAATAACGGGTCTCTTCATTAACGTTCAGCAAATGAACATCAACCGTCCTTATGCCCTCTCCTCTTGGCTCCAAAGATCATCAACACCACTCGGAATTCATCAATGTCAAACCTAAGATAGTCTCTGTACACAATCGAGACATCCGCAACATGCACCCCTCTTTGACGCCCCGCAAGTCCGCAGTTCGCGCCGAACAAGTCAACTCGAGTCAAGGGCCGAACATCTTGCAAAGTATCAGGTACAGAAGACGGTCATTGTGAACCACTCTTTTTCTTTGCATAGTTCCTCCGAAAGATGCATTCAAACAGGGACGAAAGCCGCGACGGTATTATTCAAAAGCAACTCTCTCCTGAAAGGCGTCCACTTCAAAAGCAAAAAAAAGTCCCCCTTATCTTCGTTCGAGCTGCGCCTTCCCGTGAAGAGATGCCCAAAGGCTTACCCATCAGCTCCCGCATTGGCACCGTTCCTTGGCTCCAATGCAGCTGAGCAGGCACGGCGTGTTTATTTCCCATTCGCTGCTCACTATACAAGTGGACTCTTAATTGCATACATTCATGACTCCTGCCTTGCCAAGAACAACAATTACTCGCCAGACCCAACACGAAAGAGAAAGAAAAGAGCTCAACAGAACGATGTGTCAGATTCAGCCTTCCTGATAGCTGTGTAACATCCTGCTTCTGCTCCTGCATCGCGTGCTCGCGCTCCTCCACTCCTGAAAGCACGTGCAAGGTGTGGGAAATGCAGGCATGGGTATGACTTGCATAGATATGTAGGTGGAGGAAACAGATATCACATCTCTTACTTGTCCGGGCCTTTTGCGCCATCTTGGACTCCCCGGTTTCTGCGTTTCTAGGCCTTTATCAGATCATCCTTCGTGCACAACCGCCGAAAGTCGGAAGCTTGCTTTGCATATGCTTTTCTAATTTTGCATGTGTTTTGGCTGAATATCAATCGTCCTGGTCAGCGTTCAGAGCGATATAGCTTTCTTTCAGGATTCAGGGTTGTCAGTTTTCCTCGGTCACTCGAAAGTCATGAATGCCTGACTTTTTGAAGGATTTTCTATGTCCGAGAGCTCACAAGAGTCAATTGAGTTTGAAGTAGCCCAAATAGTAACATCTCGGAATTACTTTACTATGTGCAGACAAGGTCTGTAGAGACGGTTAATTCTCCACAAATTTCGGCAACATTTGAAGTTCATGTTCTTTTTGACTTGTCTCCTGCAATGTGCAGTTCAAAGTCATGGAATCTCGGAACATGATCCGGCTAAGTGTTCCCTGTTCATCCAAGGAGAATCACATCATTCAAGCTTTCAGAGTCAGCTTTCACAACTATGTTTTCAAATTGAATGGCAAGTTTCAAGGACGACAGGTGAATCAAATGTCATGTAGTCATGTCAAGCTTCCAAGCCTCAATGGTGGACCCCTAATATATTTTCTGACAAGTCGGTCCCGAATATCATCACTTCAAGCCACCAAAAGAGTGGCTTATGGACCCCTAATCGATCTATCATTCTACAAAAGCTTCAAACACAAAGTCTCAGGGCTCAAAGTCTACGATCACATCCTCGAGCCCAAACACGTACCTGAACAATAGATCAGATCTCAACCCACAACGTGCTGATCAGATAAATCGATCACATCTTCCCTTTTTCCTCACGCCCACATCTCGGGCTGGCCCGCCCGCCCGTCAAAGCTCCGAATACTGCTCAGATCACCGCCGTACATACAGTAGTACACTGACATCACTACTTTCCTTTTTGCTACAGCACAGTACATACCCACAATTCCGCTCAGGAAAAAAAATGCGTGGAAAGGACAAAGGCAGCTTTGTCTGTTTCTTTTGATACCATTGTTGAAGCGTGGGAAAGGAAGGATAGAGCTACTGATTGATTGATACGTACACGCTGGGAGATTCCGTTCCGCTGATCGGCCGGGCAAAGAAGCAATTTGATGGGAAAGTAAGTAGCTGATAGCTGGGTTTTGAATGTACGATAGAGCTAATGTAGTATCGGGAAGTTACGTTCTGATTCTTGACTAAGACTCTAGATTAATTTTGAGTTTCCACATGCAATGTTGAGTGATCAAAGGCGGGAAGTGATGAGGGACGGGAGGAGGATGGATGAGCTCTATGGAGAATTACCAAATTGTATAGACCGGACGATTACCTCTTGGTGTTCTCGACAGAGGGTTTGATGTGCCAGATTCGTAGACTAAGCTCCCGAATCAAGATGCAAAATTATTAGGTAGACAGACGTGAAGAAGTACCTTTCATTGAGGCTTCCGAGTATACAGTATGATACAATTCCAAACCACCGCCAGACCGATCATAAAGACCGCCTTCCGCGTACCCCATAATTCAAGTTTGCTCGCGCCGATGTTCCCGTCTTATGTACCAACTGCCTCCTCTCCCAAACACCGCTCTTCCCCTCCACCACACTAATAATCTCGTCTGCAAACCTCTGAGCGAATTGTCCCTTCCCACTACCCCTCGATTTCTTCTTGCTAGCTGCATCCAAGATCCATTGCACAGCCGTCCGCCTCCGTTGTTGCAATCCCAGCGGGACGGGAATCTGAAGCGCGGCTCCACCACCCGCTGCACCACGCTGAGACCGGATTCGCAGCAGTGGCGCAACGGAGTCGATGGCGAGAGTCAGGTAGCCGATTGGATCCAGTGGAAGGTGGGAAGGCGGCGGAGAACCGGGGAGTAGAGGACGGGAGGGATTAGGAGTTGGAGGAGGGGCTGTGCGGAGCTGGTTTAATATGAAGGACATGTTCTATTGAAATACTATTAGCATCTTGAGTCTGAAGGGAGGAAAAGGTTCTGCGCAGCAATTGACCGCAGAAAAGAAATGTAGAAACTGACGAGCCTACCCTTTGAGCAACACTCTTCTTGCCGTGCCTCATGATGAGGTTCGTCACTTGGTTTACCACGGGATCGTACCTGCGCTTGAAGTTGAGGTTGCTTGCCAGTGGCAATTGCGGTATGCCGTATTTGTGTCCTACTGTGACTGGGTCGGAGCCATGTCCTCCTGCTGCGATGTTCTCCATTTGACCCAGAGCCAGCAGGTTCGCGAAGGTGGTTAGGTTGTCATTGGCACTGGCTTTTGAGCCATCGATCTCCTCCTTGATGACTTCTGGGGCTTTCTCTTTGCCCTCTTCATCTCGTTCGAGGATCTGTTGAGTAACGATCAGAATGTGTATCTTTGAGAAACGCTGATGTCATGGCTCTTGTATACAGCTCGAGGGTCTGCCACGTACTTCTTGAACAGGTGTTCCTTGGCCGATATCAGGCTTCGTGCCTCCTGTGATTCTGGACATCTCCTGCTCGTATTCGCTCACATGGCCCTCGACATTTTCATTTGGGCCCGACGGAGGTTGATCCTTTTCGTCGGCATATCCCCTCCGTGAAACCGCATTGAGGATTCGAGGTTGTTGAGAGGCAATCGAGGGCCTCGATCGAATAGCCAGCGATCGGCCTGCACCGAGTATGTTCAACCGTGGTGGCATGGTGACGTTGGTGGGAGAACAGTTGTCATCGTACAACTTTTGGATAAAGCTTCAAAATATCAGTTAGTCTAGTTGGGTGCCTGACAATCGAGGCATTGAGAACTTGCGGGTTGCACAAAATGAACAAGCATGGACCGAGCGACCAGGGACGATCGTCGTTCGTTTTGACAGCTACCGGGATGTTGGAAATTCTGGTATGACCTTCGGCATAGAAAAGTTTCTTTCTCTCAGCACGGTAACTGAGCACTTGACCAGGCCGCTAAACACGTTTTACATCGACGCATTGCAGGCATCTTGAGAAGTTGACGTTGATCGGGAAAGATAAAAAGTAAGAAGGTCAATTGATCATCAAGACACATCGCTTCCAAGTCACAGATTGTCTGGATTCGTTCTTGGTACTTTTGGAGGAGATCTAGGTTAAAAACAATTGGGTTCACGGGAAAACCCCACTGCTCAGAGTCGAACTTCTGACATTGCAAGATTTCCAGTCAAGTTGAAAGATCCAAAATTGTAAAAGCAAGTCACTCAATTCTAGAAAAGACATGGAGCATCTTCGAATCTAAAATTTTCCGTTCCTTTTTTGAAATAAAGAGACCCAATGTCCGAGAATCATACTCTCTCAACTCCAACGCCTTTGCCGCCTCGTTGATGGAGACTGAAGCAAATCCGACGCCCAAAGCCACTCGTGTTGCGCCATTCCATGCTGTACCATCCCTTATGGTGACCCTTTATAGCTCTCATATCCTACACGCCTGTGCGACTCGTTCATTGAAGTGGTGTCATGTCATGCTGTGGTGCTGACAATGTGATGGTGTGCTGGCAGGTCTACCAGCCAGTTCGACTCTGGGAAGGAGAACTTGGGGTCGATCCATTGAGGTGCTTCAAGGCCACTTCTGCAGCATCCTCCTTCGCATTGTTGACGTGTTGTCCATCGTACCAGAATCGAGCGGGGATGTTTTGTCCTTGCACCGTGACGGTGCTTGACCATGCGGTTCGTCCACCTGTTCAGATACAAGTCAATTGACTTTCCTGAATCAATTGAGAGTGTGGATGGCATACCTCGTCTGTCAGACATGATCTGGAATACCGGTGGATGTATCTGAGCTTCACGGCACTTCTCTGCTGGTTGTCAGCAACAGCCATTGGCCTCTGAATTCGATTGCTTTACCTTCCAATCTCTCCTGCCATGTAGCAGCACTAGAGCCGTAGCCAGAATAAGACATTGCTGTTGATACTTGTCGACAACGAGAGAGAACGACTACAAACAGAGTGCTTTCTGTATAGCTCAGGATGCGGAGCCGAAACAGTGGAGGTGCGGGTATCGGAAAAGGCGTTATGAGCTGCAGAAAAGGTGGCTCGAGGGAGTACTTATAGAAGGGTGTGCCTTTGGAAAAGGACGAGGAGGAAGCTGGGGTATTGCAATGAGGTGGCAGTCAGACTATGAAGAGAGATGAAGGAAAAAGCTTGCTGCGTTTGCACTTCCGTCCATGCAACTGCAACACGGCTACTAGACTCACGTCTGTTTCGGCATAATGCATCTAAACAGATGGAGGAACGTATTCGAAGAAGTAACGTCGATCAGCCGAAAAAACATAGGGCCGTGTGTGCTGTCTCCATCGGTGGCATACCACAAGTCGTGTACTACCATGCCGAATGACCATCGGTAAGATGCCAAAAGCAATATGGGCTTTTGACAAAATTATACTAGTGGAAATGCAAAGCCAGCGCTACAGACTCTTACAGCTTCCTGCAGATGGCAGCCGTCATGGGACATTGGAAAAAGAGGGTCGTTGGGCAGTGTGTGTGAGGAAATCCAAGGCGGGGAATTGATAGGAGTAGGAGATAGCCCAATAAGCACAATCTCACTTTGCGTCTGGAGTCTGGGACGGAGGTAGGACAAATCAAGTACTATCCCTCTCTTTTTCTCAAGACTTTGACGCATTGTCAATGCTGGTGAGACTCGATGTATATTTTTTGTAATTTCGTTGGCGTACGAGGACATCGGTTTGCTTTTGTCTGAAAAAAAATAAAAAATACGGTTGCTGATCCTAGGACTTTTCAAACACAGGTGTGCGGATATGAAATCCAAATCAGAATCTGCATCGGCCTGCTCTGGGCCCAATTACCACTGGCCGCTTGTCGGACGAATCTCAGACTTTGGTTCTGTGATGGTCCATGGAAGCATCTTCGACGTCTTTCTGGTGCTGCAGCGGACGCGGTGTTTTGCATCTCATCTGGTATTCCCCGACTACTGTCCATTTCCGAGACAAGTCCATCGATCGAGCTACACTGCAGGAACGGGTGGCTACATAGTTTATACGATGAACTGCTGGTGCTAAGCCCAGGAAGCCCCTTGATTCGAGCTTTGAATTGCGGAGAAACCCATGGACTGGTGACCGATGAAGGTCCTGTCCACCCCTAAGCAATCAGCCCTGCGACTTGCATCTCTGTCCTGATCAGCATGTACAGGTAGTATGTAGATGCCAACGTGATCACCAAATCTACACCGCTTTGCCAATCTGCACCGCGAACCCGACAGACTGGAACCCAAACAGCGTCCTGGACAGAAGGAATTATGGCCCGGACGCAGCGTGAACCCAAAGTCTGACCACTCATGCATTACCGTTCGCAATGTCCCAGAAGCAAAAGGGCACGCACGATATGGTCTGAACCCGCAACTGCAAGCCTCTTTCTTCGTTAGCAGATTACCAAGCCATGGACTGATGATGGGTGCTGCTCTTGTCTCGGGGAAGCAGGCGTTGTTCGAGCCAATTCCTGGTTCCTTGAAGTGTGAAGGGTCGTACAATTCGTCGAGCGTACCGCGCATTCATCGTTAGCCAGTCGGACGACGACCCTTGACTCCCAGCCACAGAAAGCTCAAGCCATTGGCAAGTACAATCGTGCGCATTGAGAATTTGTTGATGATACACCATTTTGACGACGACGACGACGACGACGCGGACGTTGCTCAAGAGAAGAAGAAGGATTTCAATCGCTGCGTGGCGACTTGAGACGAAGCCAAGTAGTCTATTAAGATTGCAGCCTTGATTAAAAGCTCCCGTTTCGGACAGCCTCATAAACCAGCGCATCGTTCCAGCATTGATGCCCAAGTGATACAGCCTTCATTTTGGCCCTGAGTAGCTTCCCAGAGAGGGCAGCCTATCGTGATACAGCATGATGCGAGTATTGACCGGAAGTTGATAGCCGTTCAGGGACCGTTTCCAGTTGAAGAGTTGGGTGTAACATTGGAACATTGGAACAATTATGGTAGCAATTCGGAGGGTACGAGAGCGGATGAGGTGGAACGAGCAGATGTCACCCGAAAGAGGTGAAGTTCTCGAAGAATTCCATTCAGGTTGGAATTGCTCCTGCCACACGTGATTTTTCCAAGTCATGTCAATTGCGCTGAAGACTCTACCCAGGTAGCCTTCAGCTTTCTTCGACGGTGTTCAATCTCCCAGAAGTAGAGATCTTTCTGACCTCGTGCAAAAACATCACGAGTGAATTATCACAGCAGGTGACCGAGGACGAATGAGTAATCAGGGTCTTTCACAGGGCATGGCGGCCTTGCTTAGCCGTCTCCGTGCCTCGGCTTTGGGGATCGTGGGGAAGAGCGGGAGCTTTTGTCAACACGAACTGACATAAAATGCCTGATTCTTAACAACACCACAATAGATGCTACATAGAACATAGACCAGATCTCCTTCCTATCACACATTAGAATACTCCTACACCTTCACACAAAATGCCTTTCAACACAAAATTAACCAGAGCGTTAGGAATCAAAAGTAAGCTCAATGGCCTCTGCAACCCTTCACATGTGCTGACTCGAGCCGTTTCCAGTTCCCATCGTCCAAGGTGGCATGCAATGGGTAGGATACGCCGAACTCGCCTCAGCAGTGAGCAACGCCGGCGGCCTGGGAATCCTCACTGCCCTCACGCAACCCACGCCCGAGGACCTGCGAAAGGAGATCCGGAAATGCAAGACGATGACCAAGAACCCATTCGGCGTGAACATCACGCTCCTGCCCTCGATGAACGCCCCGGACTATGGAGCATACGCACAAGTCGCCATCGATGAGGGCATCAAGGTCGTGGAGACGGCGGGGAATAGTCCCGGTCCGGTCATCAAGAAATTGAAGGCGGCGGGGATTATTATTTTGCATAAATGTACCACGATTCGACATGCTCAGAGTGCTATCAAGCTTGGTGTGGATTTCTTGAGTATCGATGGCTTTGAATGCGCAGGACACGTTGGAGAGACGGATATCACGAACTTCATTCTCCTCAGTCGAGCGAGACAATCGCTTGATGTGCCGTTCATTGCTTCGGGCGGGTTTGCAGATGGTCAGGGGCTGGCTGCTGCTTTGAGTTTGGGTGCGGAGGGGATCAATATGGGGACTCGGTTTATGTGTACGGTTGAGGCGCCGATTCATGAGAATATCAAGAAGCAGATTGTCGAGGCGCAGGAAACGGATACGGAGCTTGTGCTAAGGAGGTGGAAGAATACGAGCCGGTTGTATAAGAATAAGGTTACTGAGGCTGCGACGAAGATTGAGAGGGAGAGTACAACGGGGAAGTTTGAGGAAGTTGCGCCGTATGTGAGTGGGAAGAGGGGACGGGAAGTTTTTATTAATGGGGATCCTGATTATGGAGTAAGTTTCTCTCTTGAACTTTGATAGTTTGGATACATGCTAACCGCTTGTAGGTCTGGACTGCTGGTCAAGTCATTGGACTTATTCATGATATCCCAACGTGTGATGAGCTCGTCAAGAGAATTGAGCGAGAGGCAGAAGAGACTTTGAGTAAAGCATCAGCGCTCATTGTTCCTGCTAGTAAGCTCTAGTTGCATTTTAAGAATAGAATAGCTTGCTGCTTAGAAACCATCGTCCAAGAATTCTTCAGCACGTGTGAACTAACATCAATCTCAATTACTTGCTGATAAACTACTCTGTATTGTTGAACGATTATATGCAAGATACTAACGAGCAAAGCCAAGATAAAAAGGGGTTCGGTTCGTCATAGCCTCAGGCGCAAGCAAGATGAAGGTTTCCTTCTATTTCAAAAGTCTTCAAGGAAGTCCCATTTACTGCTTGAGTAACCGCTAACTTCCTATCATCATTCAGTCAATAACACCACAGAACGATTCCCTCTCATTGTCTCTCCTAGCACATGATCCGGAACTCAACTTCCCCTATTAAAACCGAAACTAACATACCTAATATCCAAACTTCGATTCACCCCCTCCCAAATAAAAGCCCCATCCTCAACCTCATCTTTCACATCTAACTCCAGATAAGCAAATGTTCGCCATCTCACGAGTTAGCAGCCCCTCAGGATCTAGATGTTTTCGATAGCGATTGTACCTCTGTCTTCCCTTATGGGGTCCTGGAATATGGAAAATTGACGAGCCTTGAAATCACGCAATAGCTGTGGTGTTGGAGATTCTCCCGCCTGGGAGGATTGAGTTTTCCTGTTGGGGTTTATGAGCTTTTTGACTTTTATTTTATTTTTCCATTTTATATATATTTATGGTTTTGGCTGAAAGGGGAGAGGTCTTGAACTCCTTTCCATCTGGGATCTCGAAAACTTTTCCCTCCTATTTGTCGCACAAACTCTAGAACAATGTTATCTCAATTTCTGATTATTACAGTACCTTAAGATCTACATTCTCCTTCACTCTTGGATGGACTTTTAAATTCTTGGAATTTTGACAGCAAATCGAATCTATTTCCTGAGAACAAATCTTCATCAATTACTATCTACCATCCCCATCTCCCCCACCTCTTCTCAATAAAACCCCCAATCAATCCACCCCGTATTCCCAAACCTCCCCGTCCCCTGATACTGAAAGACCTTCTGCGGACTACTGTACGGCGCCCACCCACTCTCATTCAACTGCACATCAAACCTCGCCACCTCCCTCCCCGTAACGTTGTACCCCGGCCCAAAATCCCTATACTCGGCTTGCAACGTATAATTATCATACCGCGCCGGATTCCAATCAATAAACCCCGTACTCAAAATCGACGCATCGAGATACGTCCGCGCGAAAATCGCCCGCATGTTAGCATTCCACGGCCTGCCCAGCGCGCACTTGCCCTTGATGACCGCCGCGATCGACGCGTTCGCTGCGTGCACGGCCGAGTCGACGATGTAGACCCCGTACTTGTTCTCGAAGGTCGTGTTGGTGCCTTTCCAGGCCGTGATGCCGCCCCCGCAGTTGCGGAGCAGGATGGAGCATGATTGTACCCATAGGGTGCCGAAGCCGTAGAAGAAGTCCGTCTCGCCGGCGATGGTGCTGCTGTGCATGTAGGCGTTGCCGAGCTTGCCGACGTAGATGGTGTCTTGGTAGGAGTAGAAGCCGGTGTAGTAGAAGCCGCCGTTGGCGTAGGAGATGGAGAGGGCGAGGGAGGGGTCGTCGGCTGGAGGAGTTGTTAGCTGGATGGAGGGAAGGAGAAGGAGGGAGACGGACAGTAGGGTGCGTAGTCGTTGATTAGGTTCAGGTTGTAGGTTCTGAAGTCTACGCAGCCGAAGGGGGTGTCGGCTGGGACGGCGAAGCCTGTCGTCCCGCTGCCGGTGAGAGAGGCGTTGAGGTTCGGTGCTATGGTTAAGGTGCTCGTGAAGGCGTTGTCGAGACCGGTGACGGCGATTGCTCGCCAGATTATGTTGACTGTGTTGTAGGACTGATTCATGGGGTTCATAGTTTGACCCAAAAGATAGGTTGGACCCCGGCGGGTGACGTTCACCTATTGATCGTTAGATACACCAAGAGATATTATGGAGGAAAACATACTTGCTCCGTATAGTTCCCCGACGCAATAAGAACAATATACGTATCCGTATTATTCGGCAACGAAGCCACAGCTATCCCACCCACATACATCAGCACCTATCCATCTTCCCAAGCAGCAAACCACCAAGTATAAAATATATCTCACCGGACTGCACAGTCTTAAACTTCGAGCTGGCACTCACAAGCACAGTGCGCTCCTGATCACAGCCCTGCATGGGATCTCGAGAGTATGCTTGACATCCATGGCGATCATTCTGATTGCCGATATCCCACGCAGAAACTAATACGCTGAAGAAAAGCGTCAGAAAGCAGAAGGAGAAAGCTATTCTCGCCATCTTGGAAAGAGCTCAATTGATAGCAAACAAACAGAACAAAGAGAGAGAGAGAGAGAGAGAGAGAGAGAAAGAGATCCATGACTTCATGAACGAATCTATTTATTTATCACCCAGCATCGGAAAAACTGCTCCAGTCCCCAAGGATCTGGATACCCATGCCCTTGCCGAAAGCTTGATGCCATATTCAACCGCGCGGATGCTCGTGGTTGGATGTCAAAGATTGACATGCAGGTACTGGGCCAGGCTAGGATAGATTGGGTATGGTGTGGAGAGGGGAGAGAACGTGGAGAAATGGGTGCGGAGGCGGGGGACGGGGGCGAGATTTGCCGCCAATCGGGAGGAGGTGGGGAGGTGGTGGGGTGGAATAACTAATTTCCTGACAGGGAGCTTTTGGGGTGGTGATGATGATGTGGGAGGAAGGAAGGGAAGATGATTGTGGTTGATGTGATTATGGTGGTGTAGAGAAATTTGAAATTGGGCCAAGGGGGGCGATAGGCAACACGTGATGGCTTCCTTCTATTCCTAAATTTGCTGTAGAACATGAGATTTGGGTGTGGATACATGTATATATATATATATATATATGTACTTTTATATACCACCCTACGCTAAATGGTATCAACTATAAACCTAGAATCAAATATCGAGTAGAGATACACTACCAACAATAATATACAACTCTCCATCTCTCTCTTCCATATACACAATCCACTACACAACCGGCACAACCCCCTTCTCCTTACCCCTCTCCTGCCCATGCCCCTTTTTAACACTCTTCCACTCCAACCCACACGCGCAAAAGAACGCCGCAATAGCACACGCCGCCGTAATCCAAAACGTATGCCTTAGCCCATCCACATACGCCCGCAACACCGCCTCCAACTGCCCCTCCTGCCCCATCTCCTTCAACAGCGTCCTGATCTCCGTCGCGCCACTGTGCAGAAAAGCCTGCGCGTCCAACGCCGGCGCGTACCGCTCGATCCCCGACAGCAGCCCGTTCTGGAACAGCGTTTGCGCGACCGAGATGAACAGCGCGCCGCCGAGGGATTGGAAGAAGGATACGCATGCGGTGGCGACCGGGACGTCGACCAGCGGGAGCACGGTTTGCACCGTGATAATGGCGCCTTGGAAACCGACGCCGATGCCAGCGCCTGTGAGCACTTGGTACCCGAACCACATGCCGGTGCCGGTGTTGAGGCCGAAGGTGGTGATGAGGCCTGCGCCGATAGAGAAGAGGACCATGCAGACGAGCATGATGGGGACGTAGTAGCCGAGGGCGGTGATGAGGCCGCCGGTGGCGATGGAGGAGAGGACGGTGGTTATGAGGAGAGGGAGCAATTGGATGCCGGCGTGGGTCGCGGAGGAGCCTTTGACGGATTGGAAATAGATGGCGAGGTAGAAGATGAGGGCGAAGAAGGCGGAGCCGAAGAAGAAGCCGAAGGCTAGAGCCAGGACGACCTGTTTATTGTGTCAGCTAAGGAGAGTGCTATTCAGAGACGTGAAAGTTCCACATCATCCACAGCTTGTGATCTTGAAAATATTGAATCTAGCACGAGCAGTGAGGGGCTGTGAACAATTCTCGGTAATAAAAAGGAGTCAAACTCACATTCCGATCCTTAAACAACCTAGGAGGCAACGTAGCTTTATCTCCCAACCTCAACTGCGAATAAACAAAAATGATCAACATCCCCCCAAATCCACAGAACAACCCAATAATCCTCGAATCTTTCCAAGGATAGGTCGATCCTCCCCACTGTAGAGCTAACAGCAGCATGATAACGGTAGGGATGATTAGGGCAGCGCCGATGAGGTCTAGCTTGAGGATTCTCTGGACGTAAGAGAGCTTGTCTGGGTTGTTGTCTCGGTCGATTTTGAGAACGAGGAGGATTACTACAATGGCTATGGCGCCGATTGGGAGGCTGAGAGTTAAGTTGGCGGAGGGCTGGAATTAGAGGAAGGGAGGGTTACTTGATGTAGAAGCACCAACGCCAAGAGACCTTATCACTGCAATTCAAGTCAGAACGTGTGTTGATAGGGAAGTAGTCGAGACGAGACTGACGTGAAAACTCCTCCCAAAAGAGGTCCAGCTACCGACGCAATACCCCACATGCCACCAATGAGACCAAACGCCGCTGGTCTTTTTCGAAGCGGTACTGTTGATATCAATATCCAAAGATCACAGTAAAGAAAGGGGCAATAAATCAAGCGAGGAAATGTGGGTCAACTTACAACAATAGGCGAGAATGACAACCGCACCAGAGAAGAGACCTCCTGATCCAAGACCAGCAATAGCTCGTCCTACAATTAGAGCTTTGCTTGTTGGCGCGGTTGCGCAGACGAGGGATCTGATGTTTGTCAGTGATGGATGGAGGATAGTGATAGGATGACGGACCCTAATTCGAAAAGTGCAATGGCTACGATGAAGGTGCTTTTGATCTGTATCAAGGTCATTTTGGGTTCAGAGTAAGCGAGGTGTTATTGAGAACTTACGCTGAAGATTGTGTAGATGCGTCCAAAGGTGGGTTGGAGAGCTGTTGTGGTGAGGAGATATGAACTGCCATACCAGCCTGGTTGGAGGTTAATGACTTATGCCTTTTGGAGGCTTTGAAGCGCAAACCTATGTCTTGGATACTGTTGAATTTGTCTGTGATTTTGGGAATTGCTGTAGAGATAATCTAGAAGTGGAATCAGCTGAGGACTTAGATTGATGTGAGATGCTCTCTTCCACCCAAAAGGGCGGGAAATAATGAATTGGAGCCCTACCGTTTGATCAAGAGCTACCAAAAAGACAGCTAAACAGAGGGCAGAAAGAATAACCCATAATTTGACACCATGCGGGTACTCGACACCGTCCTCATTATCCACCTCTCCTTCAGCTGGCTTCTCCGCCACAATCTCATCGTCCTTGGTTTCTTCTAGATCCGTCTTGGACCCATCTTCTCGTTTGCTTGTCTCCATGTCCATGTCTTTGGGTTCTTCGAAGGTTGTCTCACTTGCCGAAGTGGCTTTCGACCCTCGCCCCTCTTCCTGCACCATGATGATTATTTGTACAGATTGCCGCGGAAAGACTGGTCAGTTGTCATATATACAAACGCAACTAGGCGCCTAATGATCTGAAGAAAGAGAGGTTTGATTTGTAAGAAGCTGCAGATTGGAAATTTTTGATTTTTATATGAGAGCTGGTCACGATTGTGGTTTTCAAAGTCATGCAGGGTTGTTTGAGGATGCCGACGCATTTGATTGGCTGCTGTGGCCAAGCCAAGGATTTCCCGTGCTTGCGGACTTGCAAATGGAAAATGTGCGGGCTCGAAGGTGCACCGAACCCCGATCTTTCTTACAACGAGGTACGTATTGACTTTCTTACTTGTCCCAATGCTGTCCATGTGAGGGTGATCTGCTCAAGATCGTGACATGTGCGGAAGGGACGATAGAACGCAAGAAGAAGTCCGAAATGGACTAGGACAATCAATGATGACTCCGAAAGTCGAGCCTGATGTGCTGGCGGCGCTGGAGCACTTACCCGAGCATTCTTCGATGGCGGTCGGCATCGCACAGCAGCAAACGGATGCTCAAAAGATACAGAGGCCGCCTGAATATTGGCAGACTGGATAAGAGATGGTGTGATGCTCAGGCAGCAGCGAAGCAACGCATTCTGTGTAACGCTTTGGGACGATCCAAAGCCTGCAACGGGACCATTGCCATGGATCAGGCATTTATTTATCTTGAGCCACGATCGTAGATGAAGGCTGTGGAAGAGAATCGTAACTCCAAAAGAATGCAGTAAGTCGGAAGCGGTCCTTACAATCTCCCCAATTGTTTCGGGCAAGAATTCTATGTTTTCTGTCACTTCGAGTCGAGTGAGAAGATGGATGCCGAGGACAGCAGAAATATGGTGGTGCCGCTGTAATCTTACCATTTTCCTGCGCCTCCCAGACTCGTGTTCAAGTTACCGTACAGTACTCTAGTACAAGTATCACATATCACTTCGGGAAGCAATTGCGAGCAGGCTTGCCGGCAGCATCCCGAAGCGGCCACCGAGTGCCACTTCCCGGCCAATTGAGGGAATTGCCAGAATTGAAGGACGTGAGTGGCAGATCAAACAAGATGGCTGGGATTCCAAGGATTCCAAGGATTCCACCAGGACTGGACTGGACTGGACTGGACTGGACTGGGATCTTGATGAGGAGCCACGTGAAGACGTGCCATTCAACGCGCAGCCCCCAGCCCAAGCGGGGCTCATTGAGCGCTCCGGCAGGCATCCAGCGTCATCTGCATATGCAAGTTGCAACAACAAACAGAAATTCCCAAACAATTTCTCGCACAAAAAACAAAAAAAAAGTATCAAAGCAATCTCTGTCATTTTTCTCTAGAGTCTCATGCAATAACCCGCGCGCCATATCGAGAGTCTTAATTCCTCCCTTTCTTTTGCTGGGCATAAGCTGAAAAAGAAGAGGAATTGCTCGCCCAGCAGCTAGTATCACCGGAAAGCCTTCCGACCCACCCTGGTCCTGTGGGAAGATCACACCAAACCTGCCTTTTGACTTTCACACCGCTTTGAGAGCTCCTCTTTCCCCCAATTCTCGTCGTCGCAGTCGCAGTCTCGTTCACTTCTTTACAGTACTTCGCTTCGACTACTGCCCATCTATCCGTCAATCAGCGTGCACTCATTTCCCTTTTCTTTTGCCGTCGTCATCTTTCGTCTCTTCTGAGACTGTCTCTCCACCCCGCAACAATTTGCACCACCTTTCGCAACAAGGCTGGAGCCTCATTACAAGTTGCAACAAACGCATCAGCATCGACATCTTCTGTAGCCAGAACATTACTCTGGGTGAGTCTATTCGCTTTCATGAGGTTGTTTGCCATCTATCCAAGTCACTGATCCGCGCGCGTTTCACTTCCCCTTCTAAGAGAGATACACCACTCACTTCACTTCGCTTTCAGAGGGGCACAGTTCTCTGGATTGCTCGCATGATCTCCTTTGTCCAGAAACTGCAGAGCTGCAGAGGCCCGATCTCGGAAGTTGGTACGTATCAACAATTTTCTTCCGCCGACAAGTCGTGACGGGCCGGCCCTGAGCCTTCCCCGCCCGCCTTTCCCTTCCTTCCTTTTTCAACTACACACAATCTGGGGTAGTTCCTGCTGAGAAGGAAACACGCCATCTCTATATTTACCCAGACGACTGAAGGTTATTTCTTCTCCTTCTACCTTCACCTCGATTCGCTCAAGATTCCCACTCGATATAAAATATCTCCCTTCCCCTACATCTTATCCCTTCCTCCTACAACCTTCCATCTACATTCTTTCATCCACTTTCAACGCTTTTGCCTTTCCAGCATTCTGATTCTGGCACAGACAATACCTGAACAGCAATCTCTTGGCATTTGCTTCTGCAGACAACCTCTGGTAAGTGTTCCTTGTCTTCAGCATAATTACAACCCATCGCCTTTAGCACTTGCACTCCTTTAGCGTCTGTCATCTTCATCTCGTTGTTGTCGATTACTTCATATCACCTTTGTTGATTTGCTTTCGCCGATCTTTCAAATGCTAATTATTCACCATCGCTCAGATTTCATCCCATCCACAAGTAAACGAATTACCGCATTTGGCGTCATTGTCTCTCGACAGTACAACCGCTCTCGTTTCGAAAACGAGTGACTGCGGGTCGGACACGCGAACCGTTACCCTCAAATCCAATACATATCACATCAACAGACATTGAGACATCGAGATGTCTGGTCGTGGACGTGGCGGCTTTGGTCGTGGAGGCGGGGATCGAGGAGGTGGTGGTTACCGTGGTGGCGGCGGTGACCGCGGAGGAGGATTTCGAGGAGGACGCGGTGGTGGTGCTCCTCGCGGAGGTGGTGCTGGATCTGAAATACGAGTGTTCAGGTAGGCATCAAACATTCTGATTATATAATTTATCTAACACAGGGACAGAGATCCGAACGCTCCTGCCGGATACCCAAATCATGATGCCGCTCTTGCTACCATTGAGGATGGCTTTATGGCCAAGTCCAGAGGCATCGGGGCTATCGCCAACCTGTCAACCGGTACCCAAATGCCCCAGCGTCCAGGCCATGGCACGCTTGGGAAGAAGTTACTAGTCTACGCCAATTACTTCAAAGTCAACTGTCCTAAAGACCTGTTCCTGACTAGATATAACATCGAAATCAGTCCAGAGGCCAAAGGAAAGAAGTTGAGCCGAGTGATTCATCTCCTTCTTGAGATGCCCGAGTTCGCTGGAGAGACCATTGCGACTGAGTGGAAGTCGTTCATTGTCTCTACCAGACCATTGAACATTCCACCAGATTTTACCACTCAGATCCGTTATATGGCGGAGGGGGAGGACGAACCTCTGGAGAGATTCACCACTTACTCCGTTCGACTGGTGACTCCTCTCTCGTTTTCAGTCTCCAACCTCGTCAACCATCTTGCGTCTGTCGAACCTGGCCCTGGTTACGATCAAAAGGCCGAGATCATCCAGGTCTTGAACGCTGTTCTGGGCCATCATCCCCAATCCCATAATGGTGTCGTTTCCATTGGCCAAAACCGACATTTCAGTTTGGATAGGGCTCAAAGCAACGCCAACAACATTAAAGTACTGGGCGGTGGACTGGAATCACTTCGTGGCTACTTTCAGAGTGTTCGCCCTGCTACCGGAGGTCTTCTCCTTAATGTCAACGTCACTCATGGCGTGTTCATTGAGCCTGGCTTGCTCAGTCTTCTGTTTCCCAAGTTGGGCACCGGGAACAAGATCACATTGAATAAGAAGATGAAGCTTGTTCGTGTTCGCGTCACCCATATCCCGCCCAAAAAGAACAAGAAGACCAATGCAGATATCCCCAAAATCAAGACAATTTCCGGCCTCGCTCACCCTCAGGACGGTCGAACGTTGGCACACCCTCCACAAGTTCAATCCCAGGGCGCGGGGCCCAAGAACGTCAAATTCTGGCTCGATGCACCCCCACCTGCTGCCAAGCCTGTCGGTAAGGGCAAGAAGTCTCCAAGATCGTCTGGACAGGCTCTTCCATCAAACACGTACATCAGCGTGTTTGACTACTTCAATAGAAGTGAGTTCAACCTTCATATATTGTACCATAAGCTAACATCCTTTCAGGATATCCGGCAATTCGATTGGATGAACGTCATCCAGTTGTCAACGTTGGAAATCGAGAGAACCCGAGTTACCTTCCTGCTGAAGTCTGTGTGGTACTTCCCGGACAAACAATCAAGCGCAGACTGAGCCCCGACCAGACTGCCAACATGATCTTGTTCGCATGCCGCAAGCCATGGGAAAATGCGAACTCTATCATTGGTGATGGCAGAGAGGTGTTGGGTCTCAATCGCTCTGCCGACTCTATGGCAGTAAGTACTTCTCCTTAGTCCCTAGGACGTCTTGCTAATAACCGTAGTCCAAGATGGGCTTGGTCGTTGCCGCCACTCTGTTGACAGTTGCAGCTCGAGTGTTGGCTTCTCCTCAAATCCTGTACAAGTCGCCACAGAACAAGGAGATGACATTGTCTCCTCGATTTGGTTCCTGGAACATGGCAAATATCAAGTTTCACCTCGGCAGCAATCTCGGCCCCTGGACCTACATATACTTCACGTCGAACAGAGGTTACGATCGATTCAATGAAGCTGATCTCAACCGCACCGTCCTGAACTTCCAGGCTTTCTTGACAAAATCTGGAATCAACGCTGGAGGTCTCATCCAGACACCGCCTCCTCCAACCATTCCACTCTTTGATGGTGAAGAGGCTCGCAATGATGCCACCATCAATCAAATTTTCCGACAAATGCACCTTGCTCAGAAGGGACCAAAGCCTCGATTTGTGCTCTGCGTCCTTCCCTACAACGATGTTGCCATCTACAACAGCATCAAGACTGTGGCGGATACCAGAGCTGGAATCCATACCGTCTGCGTCGTTGGTCAGAAGCTTATGAAGGATCAACGCCAAGACCAGTACTTCGGAAATGTCTCCCTCAAATTCAATCTTAAGGCTGGCGGCATCAATCAAGTCTTGGCTAAAGACAAGATGGGCGTCATTGGCGAAGGCGAGACCATGGTCGTTGGTATTGATGTAACCCACCCTTCTCCTGGATCGAAGGAGAGCGCACCGAGTGTTGCTGGGATTGTAGCCAGCGTCGATAAGTTCCTTGGCCAATGGCCTTGTGACTTCAACATTCAGGAAAGCCGAAAGGAGATGGTTTCCGCTCTTGAAGGCATGATGATGTCTCGTCTTGCTTTATGGCAGAAGCACAATAATGGCAATCTGCCAAAGGCCATCTTGATCTATCGAGACGGTGTTTCTGACGGACAGTACCAACATCTCTTAGATCAAGAGCTTCCCTTGATCCGCAACGCATGTCGGCAAAAGTATCCTGCGGATGCCACAAAGCAAGGTTTCCCGAAGATATCCATCATCGTCTGTGGAAAGCGTCATCATACCCGTTTCTATCCCACCACCGAGGCTAATGCAGACCGATCATCCAACTGTGAACCAGGCACTGTTGTCGATCGTGGAGTGACCGAGGTGCGCAATTGGGACTTCTTCCTCCAACCTCATGCATGCCTGCAAGGTACTGCTCGCACTGCGCACTACTATGTCATCCTTGACGAGATCTTCCGGAGCCGAAGAGTCAAACCACCTCATCAAAACCCTGCTGATGCTTTGGAGGAATTAACTCACAATATGTGCCATCTCTTCGGTCGTGCCACAAAGGCTGTCAGCTTGTGTCCTCCGGCATACTATGCTGATCTCCTTTGCACTCGGTTGAGATGTTACTTGTCTGACCAATTCGACCCTAATGACACTTCAGCTACCCCAAGTGTTGCTAGCGGCGCCACCACTCAAACCAATCTTGACATCAAGATCCCCGACAATCTGAAAGACTCGATGTTCTACATCTAGTCTAGTCAGGACCAACCGTCAACGACCGTCACGAATCTCTTTGCTTCCACATTCGATTTTCGACCCTAGTCACGGCCTCTCATTTACGACTTGCATACCAGAAGATACGAACGATTCTCTACACCCTCTTTGTCTACGGTAGCCCACGGAGTTTTCGTCAGCGATGATCATTGATGAAAGAGACAACTCCTTTACCCGTCTCTTGGTATGAGCGAGCGTTTGCTTTTCGAAAGTTATGATGCTTTCATTTCATAAAGAAAACATCTTCATACCTATTGTGTTTGATTGGCAGCACCCTCTTGAAGCGACAGATTTTGAGCTTCTTCCAGATACTTTTCCCCACGCGCGCTACACTGACAGGCATTGGGCTCCTCTTCTGAGGACTCTTGCCATTGACTGTCTATCGAGCTGTGCGAAGCGGAAGTGGAATTCATAACAATGTTTTCTGCTTCATTAACTCACCAGCGATTCGATTTTTCATGAAGCCAGGCACTTATCGCAGGACTTGGTGGATGTTTATCAACGATAGTCAACTATTTTCTTTGCATAAATCAGAAATGCCATTTCGTTTCGGCGACCAAACCATAGTGTCTTGTAATTGATTCATAGTGATGTGATTATTTGTGTACTTGATTCGTTGTTTTTATTGATATTGTCAGACCTCAATTTGTAAGCCAGGTGAGTTGATGGTCAGGTATGTTTGCTAGTATTATTTTTTGACTTTATTCAATGCGAAGCTTATGTTCATGTCCATGACTTTATAAATGATTCAACAATTCGCACGTGCGATCAAAGATGACCTAGATCATCGTCATTCCTATTGGAATGTGGAATGAAGCTTGCCGAGCTATGAACATCCATACCATCCCGACATCCATTCTTCACACCAAAAGAACTCAACATAACCTCACCTATCTCCTTCTTATCTAAATCCAAAAAAAAATTCCCCATCTATCTATCTATTTCACTTCACTTCTATCCAAAATGCACACCCTCACCCACACCATCCTATCCCTGCTTCTCTTCTGTCTAACAACAACAAACGCATGCATGCACTACAAAGCCACCTTCCCCTTCAACCCCACCCTCCCGTTCGAAGCCTCCATCTCCGACAACCGCATCACGACCTGTTGGATCAGCACTACGTACGCGGAGCACAGGGCGTTGCAGATTGCTGTCAAGGCGCAGAAGAGTGAGGTTAGGGCGATGGGGAAGAAGGGGAAGAGGAGCAATGGGCATTATGTTAGCTTGACGGAGTTGAAGGGGATTAGGGGTGAGCTGGGGGAGGTTAAGGTATGTTTTTTTTTTTTGAACTTGGGGGAGAAGGAGTGTGGGATTAGGGAGGGGGAGGGGAGAGGGGAAGGGGGGAAGGGGGGAAGAGGAAGGGAAAGGGAGAAGAGGGCTAACTAGTGGATGGTGGTAGGGAATGAAAATGCTAGATGAGGAGGAGTTGAAAGGAAGGTATAGGACGTACGGGCAGAAGAAGGGACTTGATGTCCCGGCCAACGAGAAGGAGGCGGGGTTTCTGCCGTGGGAGTTTGAGTGTTTGCGTTTGTCTTCCCTTCTTCCTTTCCTTCCTCCTTCTCCTCCCCTTTCCTCCTCTTTCTCTTCCGTTCCTTTTTTCCATCTTTTAGTAAGAAATAATAAATGCTAACAAGGGGAATAGAAGGGTACAAAGCCCACGCAAACGTAGGCGCGCGAACGGTCACTTATATAGCCCACGGACAGGAGTTCTATTTTATTCCCAAGGAGAAGGAAGATGTGGTGGGGGAGAAGTGGGTTTATGATCTCAAGCTGTGGTGTGGGAAGCCCGGGAAGGGGGGGTTGATCGCTCCTTGAGACTGGGGGAGGAGGAGATGTGTTGCGTTGTTGAGATGAATGGATTTATGAGTAGATAATCTGAAGTTTTTTTTACCTTCGATGCTGAGGTTGCTGGCTTATGTCTAAGTTGTTGTGTTTAACGGAGCACAAGGTCGGTGGTAAGCTGGTCTTAGATAATCCAGGTCAAGTTGTATGGTTCTGGTGAGAGACGTGTAAACATCGCCTGGCTCGAGTAATTAACTTTATCTACATACTCCATTCTGGGGGCAGTCCCTCAGTGACCAACGCGAGACGGTACATATGTAGCAAAACACCGACTCTTGAAGCTGTGAAGTCTTTCGTTGCTTGCTCGGATCTTGGGGACGTGTTTGGGAGGGGGTTAAGCGAGGAAGGGACAGGACTCGCTTGTTTGTGATTGGGGTGATTCTTCTTTTGTTATTGTATTGATTAGTTGATAATGTGTTTATACAATCATCAAGTGCTGTATTTATTTTTTGCGTTCACTCTTCGTCATTTAGCATACTTTGTTTCATCATTGTATTACCCACAACCCCTCAGTCACTCACTAACTCTTCACTCACGAAATGTGCGTCCTCCACAAAACAAAACATAAAACCTGTTCATGCATAGATTTCAGCATCCAACGCTGTCCGCGCTGTCCAGAGCAAGGTTTTGAGATGTGTGTGGATTACACGAAAAGTGTAGAGTGGAAGCAAGGGAATTGTATGGCTAGTTGTTGGTCTCCGAGAGGCTCGGATGAGGATAGGGAAAGAGAGGGAATGAGTATCTGTGAAAGACTAGCTATATTTTTCGGTGGGTGGGGAGGAAACGACGGGGAATTAGACGTGCGTGAAGGATTATTGTTTTTGTAAATAAATGGATGAGTATGGATTCGTATCGTATGAGTACTTTCTATGAATCATCTGGGTATTCACACTGGCGTGACTCGTCCCCAATGTGGAAGGAAGCCCTTTCCTTTCTTCAACTTCAAGTCATGAGCATGAAGTCACGTCATCTACGAAAATACCGACAAAGAATTTCTCAACTTGAAATTTGAAAATCGAGCAAGAAAGAAACAAAGAGATCAACATGTGCGAAGAAATTAAAAACGATACTTCGAGCGCAAAGAGTGCAGACAGCGCGGACAGCGCAGAATGCGCAAAAGTCGCACATTGTCCCGCTTTCATCTACGTCGCAGCGTATGCCAAGGAACATGGCGAGAAGGCTCCGGATTATAAGTATTGCGCTTATTATGATCCGACGAAGGGAAGTGGTGCCGGAAAGGAGAATAAGAAATAAGGATGGGTTGGTGCAAAGGCGGGACATTGGGAGATGAAGGTATGACGTTTGTTTGTACGAAAGTTCATGAATGGAGTTGACGAGATGCAGGAATGAATGATGGAGATGTGAATCATTAGGATGGCTTTGGTGTTATTGTTGCTGGGAATCACTCGCTCGCTACTCAATCAAATTTGCTTTCGTTGAGTTTGGAGATGGCGTTGCTAGGAATAACTTACTCACTACTCAATCAATAAAAACTCCTTATATCCTCCACCACCACCCATCTATCTCCTTCTCCTCACCAATCCCAGTCTCTGCATCAATAGAAAAGAATGTGCACCCAAACCCTCTCAACCTTCACCCACTGCCCCTGCCGTCTTTCCCGCGTAACTCTCTGCCCCCCCTTCCGCCAAAAAGAAGAGCGAGCATGCCCACACCTCGAACAAGTCCGAGAAGCGCTAGATGTCGATGATATACTGGGCTGGATCGATCACAGGAATTGTAAGACTCTGAAGACTGTGGATGAAGTGGTGGTAGGCACGTGTGGAATGGCGGAGGGGGGTGGGTGTCTTTATGTCAAGGGGAATTTGAGGTTGAATGATAGCGTGAGGGGGGTGGGAAATCGGAGGGGGTGATGGTGTGGTGATGAGTGGTGGAGATTGTTTGCGATTTTGGTGGTTAGAGGATAGCTAGGATATCAAGCTTTGTGAAAAGAGAACCTAGACCCCAACTTCCTAGAACTCCGATACCGCCAATAACGAAAGTCTTGATCACGCCGCTGACTTTCCAGTCGTCGAACCAGGCTTGGATACCGACTAGAAGAACAGGATGTACTAAGAAGGCTGCATATTGATATCTGCCCACATTTCCCCATTGTCTTCGTAAAATTTCCTTGCGCTTGAATAGATCCAATAGGTAAGTACCGATCAAATACCCCGTCGTCTCATTCCAGACCGCATATGAAGCTGCCACGAGGTTCATCCCACCGTGTATATCCTCGAATTTATAATCGTGGGGATAGAGACACAGCAAGCCGATCAGACTGAGACCAGATGTAACAGAAGCTGCCAAGAGCCATTCCCGTTGAGATTCGGTGGCACTATGAGTAGACGTCCTGGATGAGCGAGCACCAAGGACATAGGATGCTATATATTGAGGCAGATATCCTAGCTCGAGGTTTAAGGGCGTGTAATCTCTCCCCAACGGAAACGGGATTCTGATCAAGAAGTTGGCTAGGATGTCTAGCGTCATGGCTTGTTGAAAGTCCCAATGAAAATCGAGTTTTTGGAATTGTGGCTTGAAGAGAGCGTGTATGGAGTCAAAGACCAAAAGTAAAGAGTTGAACCATAGTGGACCTCTGACACTTCTTGGACTTTTGACATGTCTAATGAATGTATCCTGGATCTGGGTGCCAGAAAGTTGTCTTCCACGACAGACACTTACGAGTAATGTCTGAGCAGGTGGTGCGAGCAGAGAATACGCAGCACAAGGAACGCCTAACCTCCACCATCTCCCGGACAAGAACTCTGAAGGTGCTTTCTTTTGCAGACTTTGGAAGGTCAGGAGACCAGAGAGGTAGAAAAATGTGCCCATGAAGAAAGTTTGGTTGGTGGCGTTGAATGCCACGAGGGTTGGTGAGGACGCGGATGGGTAGTGGGGAGAGATGTATGGCCATGAGCCGAGACCACCGTAGGGGATTGAGGTGTGGTGGAGGATTGTGAGGACTGTTAGGGTGGTTCTGAGGTTTGTGAGGCTGTGGTCTTTGGGTGATGCTTGGGGTTTGGAGAAGGTTGGTGCCATGTTGGGAAACCGGACGAGGACATGGGAGAAGGAAATGTAGAATGGAATGAGAGGAGTTTTTTATATGACATGATATGAACACGCTTATGTTGAAGACAAGTAGAGACAAGATACTATTACACGGTCGTGAGAGAAACTTATGTAAGATGGGATAGACAATTGCTTAGGTAAGTTGATAATTTGGGCAAATCACAACTTGGACTAAAGAATAAGTTTGCCAAGCTTGGCTGCCTGAAAATGCAAGCTGACGAGGGAGAGAAATACCATATCAGAATATTTGAACTCTCCAACTTATGGTCCTCAAGTTTTTGGGGAGAGTGAAGCCAGCTCATCCCCTCGTTACCAAGAATCGACCAAAATGAAGAAATACCGACATTCCCCCATTCTTAATATCTTCAGGGTAATTTCTGAGGATCTCTGACCATGCAGAATAGCTTACACACCTCTCCCTCATCATCACAATCCATATCTTTCACAAAATGAAACCCCATAGCCTCGTAAATTTTCATGTTCGGCAAATCTCGACTCGACTCCAAGTAGCATTTCCTTCCTTCGGCATCTGCTTTCTTGGTGACCTCTCTGGCAAGCAACTTGCCGATACCTTTCCCTTGATGGGAAGGCGACACAACCATGATATTGAGAAAATAGTAGCCTTTGGGATCAGTCCAGATCTCAGATTGGGCTTCTGCTTGCTTGGTTTTCCAAATGTAATACCTCTGTCCAAAGAATGGTCAGCTTGTTCTGTCTCGGGGTATTCTGAAGCATGAGCCAATTTTCAAAACTCAGTGAAAATATATCAGATGAAGACGAAGTACAGAGCGTCAGAGAACAACGGCGCCATTACAGCACGCATAGACAAAATGACAGCTGTCTTGCATCGATCTTGGAACAGTATGAACCACGAACAAAGTCTGACCACCGCTCCCATTTCCCGATGAACAAGTTTGAAGTCAGATCACTTGATCTCATCCAGCGACAATAGGCCCGAACCGTGAAGAAAATTCCATCGTCACATCTCCTCTCCATCGAATGTTTCACCCCAACCCAGTGAAACAAAATGCCTCAACCTCGCTAAAGTCACTCACCTTAACATTCAACCCTCCTCTCCCATACCATAAATTCATAACCACCTGAGAACCCCACAATCTCCACCCTTCAATCCATTCTCCCCACGTCTCTTTCAGCTCAGCAGGCCGCGGAGGCATCCACATCGCAATGCCCAAAACATTGCCATCTGGATCATCAGAGTCTTTGGCTACGTAGAAGAGAGCATTGCGTATCCCCCAGTGGCATCGTATGCCGAGAGAAACACGGTTTCGATTGAGGTTAAGCTTTACGTGGGATCGTCAGCCAAGCACTGGAAGCTTTCGAGACGTGCAGAAATCAAGGCAGAGAAGGAATAGGGGGAGAAGAGAGGCGTGTCCTCATGTGATCGGCAAGCAGCTCTGCCTCAATCGAGGCTGACTTGACGTGGAGGAGTAGGTTGAAACGAGCAGGCCACTCAACAAGAAGAATCAGAGAAACACATTCGTAAGCATCACCTGATCCAGCTCGAATCTGCCTTGGTACTCGTCAAGAGCGCCTTGAGTTCAAATCCATGAGGTTGAAACAAGAATGTTTATGCGAGACCATTTGACGCGAAGCGCCAAGATATGCCTTCTCTCCACATTCTTTTTTCATCTTGAGATGATGGATGCGATGATTCTTTCTGATCGGATGGCATGTGGGTTGCGAGATCTGCTATGTGCGAGATAATTGATGGATCATGGATCTCACCTTGCTTCGATCGTTGTAGACCCATTGGTTGTATGGGTCCTCTGCAAATGCTTCCTGGATGGCGGTTACGGCGCCTGGGATGTCGGGTTCTGTCAGAGGGAGGACATGTATTGGCATTTTGATCTGATGGAGTCTGTAATGGTGGAGTGACAGGTTGATGGTAAGGTTTTTGTAAGCCAAGTATCAAGTCAAATCCTCTTCACCTCCAGCAATGAAGCTGTGCTGTTTGAAGAATGGGGATGCTGCATCGCGATAAGGCTTGATGATAAGCTGAAATCGTGGCTTGAATTAGCTTAGGACATTCAATCATCACCAGTACTTCCTTCTTCGTTCACACTCTCAACTTACTCTCATCGAACGTGCTTGCGCTGTTCACAGAATTGACTTTATCGCACGTTTCGACTCGGAGATTTTCATGCTTAACAACCCGAGATCCTCGAAACCTACCTACTCTCACATATATTGTGTTTTCATTATTGCCCGGCTTCCAAGTGAAGCATCTGCAATCGCGAGGTGTGTGTGTGTCAAGTTGGCATCTTCGGAGGAACATCCTCCTCAATCATGGTACAGATGGAATCATTGTGTGTATGCACTGGAAGGAACGGCGGATCGTTCATTTCCGCCTATGCAGACGTTCGGCATCTCACAAAATATGCTCGTCGTTCTCTCGGAAGTCAATATCCTCCTACTTCCTGTCTCACATGATCAGGAGTCTTCGATACTCTGAAGCATTGTACGACTCATAGTCGGGCATCTGTGCGATGCCATTGGAATCTACACAGTATTTCCTGCTCATAGCGCTTGCACCCGATTCAGAGGGACCGTTTATATATATGCTTTCATTCATATGAACTCGGCTCCTTCATGCCTCTTCGTGATCTGATCTGCAAGTACGGGTCGAGTCATGCCGTCTCGCAGCTTGAGCAGAAAACATCGCGAAGGGGTTCACAACATTGGGCGATTGTTTATGTATAAGCTTTCTCGGTATAAGCTCTCCATGAGTCCACTATGATGTTGTACCACATGATTTGGAAGCATGGTAAGAATTACAGTTCGCATCTGCATATGCTCGGGTTCCTTTTCATAACTTTCGAGAAGATAACCTTACTGTACGAAAGGCTCAGGATGCACAGCCAAGTCCTTCATCTCTCGTCGCTTTTTGAAGTAAGAACAAAACAGCTTCGAGCAGCTTATCTCGCGTGCATCTTATTTCTCCGACCACGAGTTTCGCATGAAGACATTAATGAGACCGTTTGCATGATTTCTCTGAAAACCACACGGGACGACGTTTTGATGTTATTGTGGCGTGAAGTGCGCCGTTACGACCTGCTCTCAGCGTGCGGTGGTTTCCAGTCCTCCCAGCAAAACGGCCGCGCTTCATTCGCCGCAGCAGCAGCTGGCATGCTGGCATTCCAGAAGCACGCATATCAGTCGCTGCGCATCTTTATCCGCTGCCGAACAAAGTTGTGTGAGATCTGGTGTCTCTGGGTGTCTTCTGGGTGTCTCTGGCAGAGAGCATTGCACAGACAGCATTCTGAAACAGGGGCATCCGCCCCCGAAACACAACGCCTGTCTCGCCAGGCCCTACTGCATCACTATGCCTGCATCCACCCACTACGAAGTACAGCACCACCATCGACCACAGCACGATTGAGTTCCACACCCAAACCAGCCAAACCAGCGCATCCAGAGCCTGACAACTCCCTCTCTTGGCAACCTTCGAGGCTTTGCACCTCCACCGCCCTTGCGACTCTGCAGAGATCCTGGACTGCACCACCTACCTAGTCTTCACAATGCTTGATCCTGCCTGATGATCGACCCGCAAGATTCGTTCCATCATGACGCCGCTTCTCATTGGCAAAGTCCCTGGTTCTGCGGCTGCTCTGCCCTGCACATGGTGCGAGGCCTCAGATCACTGCAGTCGCAGCTTGTCATACTGTAACGCAATAAGCGAGTCCAGCTTTAGGGGAAGCTTATTCGGGGGTGTTGCATGTACCAATCCTGCGTGTCGTGACTTTCATGTGCTAAGAATTCCAGTCCCAGGTCCACGATGGCACGAACCAGAAAGCCCCCCCTCCGTGCGTCGTCCACCGAACTCGCACTCTGAGGCTGGCCCTGAGACCCGCTTTCTCCTCCCCTCGTCTTTCTTCATAGACCCTCGCTTCCCTCTTTATGCCGACTCCTGGTGTACACCTGGCTGTGGCGTCTTGATGACCGTTGCCGATCGTCGAATCTGATACATTCTTCTCCCTCTCCTGCTCTTGGATCTTCTTCCATCTCTCTTCCTCACCACGACTGGCTCGTGATTTTTTTATTCTTGTGCTGGGTTTTGCTCGAAGTGGTAGAGATTTGCAATCATTACGTTCTAACAGCTGGTCTATCTTTTGAAGATTCCATCATATGCTGGACACCTCTCACATTTTGGCGGACGACAACAAGGGCCATTGAGCGCCTGGGCAGAGGATGAATACGACGATGGCACCAATGGATCAATTACGGCAGGACACATTAGAAGAATTGAGAAGGCGAGACGATTTGAGGCATGCGGCATCGTTAAGGCGGAGGGATGGAGGAAACGGAGCTGGTGGCAAGGGAGGTGAAGGAAAGAGAGGGGACGGAAACGGTGATGATAATGGTGGCGGAGGAGGAGGCGGTGGGGGAAACAGCGGGAATGGAGGGGGAGGTGGTGGGAATGGGAATGGCAACGGTGGAGGACCAGATTCGAATGGCAATGGTGGAGATGGGAAGAACAACAACAACAATGAAAAGAACGGCGGAGGAAGCGACAACCAGAAGCACAACAGTAGTCCTCCGGCAGCAGCAAACGAACCGTCGCCACCACCAACCATTGTTTCAACTACTCCCACAACTGTTGTTTTGATCTCGACGACCACTGCTCCTGCAATAGCAGCAACCTCGTCATCCAATGTAGGATTCTTCTCGTGTGAGATAATGTTCCCATAAACTAACTCGACTAGACTCTCGTTTCGACATTCTTCCCTATTACCCCATCTACTACACCATTCCCCACATTGAGTGCCTCTGCGTTTAGCAACCCTCCGGACTCTTCAAGCCAACCTCGAAAAGGCCTTTCAGATGATCCCGACTTTCCCCCAAGCAGAATTCCCAAGACGATTACCGCTACAACTACATCATCAATGTTCCTCGTTCCAGAGTCCGCATTGGCATCTTCTACGTCGTCGGCAAATCCCTCAGGCATTAACAACAATGACAACAACAATCATCATCCTTCTTCGAAAGCCAAACATGGTCCTGGTGATTTGTCACCGCTAGCTCAACATCTTCTGATTGCTGCTGGTGCCATAGGTAGTACTTTCCTCGTTCAATGCAAAATCCACATGACTAACTTTTTCAGGTGCCTTCATTATTGTCGTAGCAGGAATTTACTTCCTGACTCGAGTACGAAAGATAGATCTTCTCGCATTCTTTCGCAATCGCAAGTTTGGCAAAGGTGGTGCTCGTGGATGGTATGGCTGGAGAAAAGAGGAGACAGACTACATGTCAGAACCTCCTCCAAAGTACTCTGGCGAAGTATATCCACCTGAAAAGACCATTCCTGCTCAGCAACAATTTGACGCTTTCTACACACCAACGGCTATGCCACCAATGGCAAACCCAGCTTCTTCTGCTAATGCGTTGGCACGATCAGATTCTGGACGTCAAGACATAGTCCGTGAAGCTCTATTAGACAACCCTGCACCCTTCGGAACTTCACCAGCTCCACAACCTGCCGCTCTCTCAGCAACAGAGAACTTTTACGGTGTTGCTGCTCAGCCTACTCCCCTTTCTCGCCAACCCGGCACACAAAATTCACAGAGCACCTTCGTTTCTCAGCCAAGTTCAAATTACAACAACACAGGCACACAAAATACTTTCCTAACAATGAACACGATGAGGACTGTCCAGACACAGGACGCATATGATCCAAATCAGAGAGAACCCAATCATCTCAGCTATCTTTCATCGCTATCTTCTGGTTTCGGCGACGGTCTCATCATTCCTGAATCAACAGTAGTTGGAGGAGGACGACAGAGCTACCGTCAATCGAAGGCGCCCGGAGCAGGAAGGTTCTCATGGATGACATCCAACCGAGGATCCAGAGCTCCAGCATATGGTGACAGAGATACCGTATACACGACCGCTTCCATCGAATCGGCACCAAGATTCAGAACCGTCAACTCATGGGTAGCTCAGCAAGCTGGACGGGTAGAGCGTCAACAGGATGTCCCGGCAATGCCTTCAATTCCAGCGCCTCTGATCCCAGCACCCCTCCAAATCGGAGTAGGAGTTGATCACCAACGGAAAGCGAGTGAGGACCCAGCATTCCGCCAGCATCCAGGCGAAGAGATAGAAATCTCGCGAGGCTCTCGAGTGCCAAGTTCGATCTTGGACAGGAAAGTTGGTGGTGTTAATTAGGAGACTTTCTCACGAGAACCATTCTTTTTTATTTTTACAGGGTGGAATCTCGGTTCTGTGTATATATCAAAAATCTTGGGGTCGCGGGCCTGGTGCCTGGTAGACTGAAAATATTCGGCATAGCGTGGAGTTGTGGTGGAAGAGTTGGATGATTGAAATTATTTTAATGTCCAGATGAATAGGAGGGATCGGAAGATCAGAAGATATTTTACCATAAGACTGAATAATCAAAGTCTTGAGCTGCTATCTGATTTTCAAGCGTGAATCATTCGTTGCGTGAGTTTCTATTTTGACTCGAGATGTTGAGGTGGGAAGAGTGATTCATGCTTTAAGAGTGGTTCAGTCGAGAACAGATATTGGCAGACAACTCAACACCGCAAGTCTAAAGAAATGAGCTTGAATAAAGCTTCCATAGCAAACTCTCGCCTCAATTCTCATATTCATGAGATCATTGCCAAAGAAAGCCTTGGGCTTGATTCCAGACACGTGAACCATTTGGAACCTCATGCGGCCGATGCGAACGGTCTAAATTTAGACCGAAGCTCAAGTACGTCCGTACAAAGACATAAACTCAGCCTCATTCACTACGCATTCTTGACTCGCCAGCCCCGCGAACTGCGCAATCATTGCCAAGCAAACCTTCTTCATCTTGCTATGTCGATCATGATCTTCGACTTTAACAATTATTGCACGAATTCATCCCCGACTTGACGAAATCAAGCTTGTCCTCCGACAGCCTCCCGTTCGTGATACTCGAAACAAACCTTGGTGCTACTGCAGCCACAAGCCAAGATGTTGGACGAGAACTTACCAACGTTCTACCTGAAGCCTTCTTCCGACAACCCTCTCTCCAGCACCATCTTCCTGAGCGAGCACGGTTCTGAACTTCAGCCTGAATACACGCTTCGGCGTCCAGATCCAAAGCTCCCAGGTTCCAAAAACTGCTATGCAGTAGCTCTCTACGACTCTTACAACCCAGAAGTGCTGTACGCAGAAGTTCTGGTGCATCCAGAATGGCAGGCTCCAACACTCTCAGCAGCAGAGATCCGAGCTCAGAATGGCATACCTCCACCACCCGTACCGATCGTCCCGAACCAGTTTGCTGTTCAGCTGTATAATCCAGATCAGCAAGTGATGGTTAGGCAGATTCCAGGGACAACGTTCACTCCAGCACATTGGGAGTTTGAGATGCCACAGACCAGCTTTCGAACACCGTCCGCCTCTGCACTTGACCGAAGTCAAAGTGACCCCGCCGCCTCAGACATCACACCGAAGATTAGCTTCAAGTGGAAGAGAGACGGGAAATTGTCGAAGGATATATCATGTTTCCTGTATGGGAAATCGACGGATGGGAAGAAGAACAAGGATCCTGATATCGTGGTTGCTATGTACAAGAACAGCAATCTTACGGTCTACCAACCGAATATGCATCGAGTGGAGGTCGAAGATACAAAGGGATTAGAGGTTGTGTTGATACTGGGTGCTGCGGTTATCAAAGACATATACTTTAACGCAAGCAGAGAGCTATTCAACATTGGAGCTCCTGGCGTGAATGCCCCTCCTGTGAACACGAAGCGAAAGAACAGCGGTCCAGTCATAGCTGGAAAACCAGCTACACCACCCGTCATGTCCGGAGCGGTCCTACCTCCCAGGACAGCCGTACCAGCCTCCCAAATCCCTCCTCAGCAACCCCCAAGACATGCTCAACAGTCAATATCCAGACCCCCCGCCGCAGATCCTCGCACGCAGTGGGAAATCGACGCCGAGACCGAGCGACTGAAAAAGGTAGTCGAAGCCGAAGACAAAGCCCGCGAGAAAGCCGAACGCGCAGAGGAAAAACGCATCAGGAAAATGCTGGAACAAGAAGAAAAGGAGGCCCGCAAACGCCAAGCGGAAGTCGACAAAGAGACCGAACGGGAGACCGAACGGCTGAGAAAGCAGTACGGTGTCCCCGCCGCCGCCGCTGCTGGACCTAGCGTCTCCTTCTCTCCATCACTGCCGCAGAGACCTCAACAGCAAGGAATGCCGCAATGGCAAAGCGCGCCGCATTCGCAGCCTCCTCCTGTGATGAGGCCGCAGAGCACGCCATCGGGACCGGGACCGTCGGTTAATACGTGGTTGCAGAGGCCGGCGCAGAATTCGTCGCCGTATCTGCAGGCGCCGGGGAATGGGACGGCGAGCTCGAGTGGGTTCTTTGGGTTGGGGGGGAAGAAGATGCAGAAGAAGAGGTCGGTGTTTTTCTAATTAGCGTTGTCTTATTCATATGGGTGGTGTTTGGGGTTGCATTAGATGGAGTTTTTATACTGTTGCGATTTTATGAGTCGTAGGGACGATGGCTATGATGAGATGATATGAAATGCTAAAGATTTATATGCCAGTCTCGCGTTCATCATGGTGTGAGGTTTTGAGGAGCGTCTGGTTGTAGTGCTTCTCTTTACATTTTCATCTGCTTCCTTCTGCCCGTAAAGATTAGGGGTTTAAAGGAAGTATATTTCACGTAAGTATTGTTGTTTTGTTGCACGTCGCAATGAAAGTGCTCAGCAAGTGCTTAGCAAGTACCCGAGAAGTGCTGAGAAAGTGCTGAGAAGGTGCTAAGAACCAACAACGAACAAAGGCGGCCGTACACAACTCACAGCTGGTTGTGTTTATTGCACGTCGCACCTTGAAGGACTTTTAATGTGCCTTGAAAGCGCTGTGAAAGTGCTAGTAATGTACAAATTTCCCCCGTCTACCTCGCTTGCCCATTAAATAAGCGAGGGTGACTTAGCCACTCTTCTCCAGTACCGTCTGTACATGAGGTCTCTAATATGAAGTAGATAAATCCACTTTATTCATGTCTTTTTTTCTGGTATTCGGCAATGTTTTCTTGGGATTGAGATACACTCCATGTATTTTGGGTTATGATGTGAAAAGACCAAAGTCGTGAGTGCTTTATTACTATGCTTCACCTTATGATTCCATGGCTCACTGCTCCATGATCCACACATGAAGCCCAGAGCTTCTAGTCCATCGTTCACCCCCCTTGCTCTTCCCAACGACTTGAAACTATTTCTGATCTCCATCCAGAAACGTGCTTGATACAAAAATCCATGTCTTCATCATCCTCAACAATTAAAGTCTCCCGGGGTTCTTATCCGAAGCCACTTCCGGGGAGCAGTCAAGTTGCTTACGCAATTGGTAAGAAAGGAAGAGGCTCTTACCCCTGAATCTCCTGGAGCGAGAATCGCTTTCTCCGCCAAAAACAAGGGGGAAAGAAAGCTTGATTCCTCGCAAGTTTTTGTTGGAGGGGGGCTGTCTTTGAATAAGTACGCAACTATGCTGGGAAGGAAGTCTGGAAGCGAGTCAACTATGTGAAGAGAGGATAGGACATGTTTGTGGCGGAAATAGATGTAAAAAAGGGCTATAATGCTACCTGGAAGCTATAACCTATGTTGATAGGATATTAGTTAGCCTTGGGTTTTCTGAAGTTGATGGGGAGTAGTTGCTTTTTTATGTTTTTGTAGAGCTTGGCAGTGTTGGTTTGAAATAGGGGTAGAGTAATAGAGGCGCTAAGAGGTGTGAAGGTGGTGAGAGACTAGAGTGGGTTTGAGGGGGAAGAAGAGCTCGTTTGGGAGGAGGGGATAGATGATGGACTGGAAGGTATGGGGTTTATGAGTAAAAGTGTGGATTATGTAGTACGACACGTAAATCATGAGATTGGGGATCTGAGTTTCTCATGAATTTGTTACTTTATTCCTCTCCAATTACTACGTTACGCTCAATGATTTTTCACGTCTTCCTTACTTATCAGTCTTCATCACCGCAACTGTCCCTTCAACAATCATCAATCTAGCTGACATACGCTCTCAATCCTCTCTCCTTTACTTATTAGCCTTCATCAACGCAACTTCACCCTCCATGATCATCAATCTAGCTGACATATGCTCAACGGCATTGGTAAGTTGCATAATACTTCCTTCCAAGCCAACGGGGGCAGGAGCAGCCGGAGCAGGTGCAGGTGTAACAGCGGCACTGACAACTCTCTTTCGAGAAGGAGCCCTAGCCTTCTTGACCGGAGAACCACCCTGAGAACTATCAACTGACGACTTTCTCTTTCCCTTTGCACTCTTGCCCTTACTCTCAGGATCAGGGAAGTTTCCGCGAAGGTGCACAGGCATATCAGGAGCCTTTGGGATATGGATATCTCGAGGATCGGAATGGATTTCCGTAGCTTGCGAGTAAGCGAAAGCAGCCTTGCGCATAACGAGCTCCTGAGCCTCGATCTTGGACCAATTCTCCTTCCAGTCCTCGTGCCAAGCCTGGCGAGCAGCTTCGGCCTCCTCAGACTTGTCGTTGGGGTCAACGGGGCAGAAACCCTTGGTGGGGATAAAGGGGAACATGACGTCCTCGGCGTGCTGGTAGTCGGGGCCAAGTTGTTGGCGTGCGAGCGTGCCCATGCGCGCGTGCTCCATGTAGATGGCCATGGCGTCCGGGCCGTGCAGCTTGGCGACCATGTCCTCGAGGTGCTGGTCGGCTTCTGCTTTCTTGCCGTCGCGGACGAGCTGCTGGAATATGAGACAGTCGGCGCGAGCGCGGAGGTGGGAGGGGGAGTTGTTCAGCTCGTCCATCATCTTGGCGGCGGATTTAAGCTTCTTGGGGTCGATGTAGACTTTCTCTGCAACCCAGCCCTTCATGGTGTTGACCATTGCCTTAGCTTGATCGGAACCAGGTTCAATGCCTAACTCCTTGACCATGGCGACATACTCTTCAGCTCGCGAAGCCGAAGCCGAAGCGTCATATGGGACTGGCTCTGGTTGACCTAGCTGCTTTCTTCGGTTTCGAAGGAAGGCTCGGGCCTCTTCTGTGTTCTTTCGGCGAGTCTCTTCATCAGAATCAGTGCCTTGATATTGACCAGCTGTTGGCAATGTAGCACCACCAATTTGTTGAAAGCTACCGGAAGCGTTGAATGGATCACCCAAAGTAGGTTGAGGATAGCCCAATTGAGGAGGAAGGACAGGACCACCTTGTCCAGCACCATACCAAGCGTGACCAGAAACTTGAGGAGCACCATACAAAGCGTTGCCAGAGACTTGAGGAGCACCGAACATTTGAGTACCAGGATAGCCATTCCTGTTAGGAGCAGCCATAACGCGACCTTGCTGAGGACTAGGATAGCCGTTCATGCTAGGAGAAGACATTACACGACGTTGTTGGGGGCTAGGGCGACCGATGTTTGGATATGGATTAACTGGGCCTTGTTGTTGAGGATCGGGATAGCTACCCATTTCAGGGGAAGGAGTAGCACCACCACCTTGCTGAGGACGATTGCCAGCATGGACATAGACTGGAGGAGGACCACCTGATTGCGAGCCATCCATGTTAGCAATAGCCAGAACACCACCTGGTTGTTGACCACCACGCAGCTGAGAAATGGTTACAACACGATCATTGACATCCCTAGTAGTAGTCTGGATACGGTAGTTACCACCAGATGGCGGGCTTCCATAAGGACTCTTGTAAAGAGCGGATTGTGCAGACGGGCCAGCGCGTTGTGGGGGAGTAACTGGTTGTTGAGCAGCAGTGATGGTATTGACAGGTGTTGCCGCCCCGCCACGAGCTTGGACGGTAGTCGTAGAAGTAGTCTTAGCTTCACTGACTGTGGCAGAAGTTCCGATTTCAGACTTATTGACCGTAGGTGGCGATGGTTTGCATGGGAAAGGCAAGTTACCAATCATCTGGAAACGACCGTTACCATTGGTGGAGTCCTCAACTGGAGTCTTGCCTCGGCCACGAGATTCCTCATCCTTCTGTTTGTTCTTCTTTTGCTTCTCGGGAGGAGAGATAGGACCATCGATTTGTGGGATACCACCAGCACCAGAACCACCATTGCCGCGGCTTGTAGCTTCGCGCTTGCCGAAGTTTTGGACTTGTTTAAGAAGCTCTTGCTCCTTGAATGCAGCGGTACGAGGAGTGTCGGTGGACTAGAAAATCAGCATGTTTCTCAGGTGAACGCTGAGAGATAACTCACAGGAAGCATAGCGTAGAGAAGATTAAGGCGTTTTTGGATCTCATTCGGGGACAGGACGTCGTTGGACCTGTCTGCAAAGAAATCACGGTCGGAGGTAAGAGGCTGGTTGGTATAGACACCCGGAATGGGTTCAGTGACGAAGTTACCATCCTTGCCCACTTTGATCGTCAATGCGGGCTTGAAGCGACCTTTGGAGGGGTGGTCTCCTGGCTCTGCTCCGGAGGTCGAGGATTCGGGGGCATTGGTGGGTTCTTCAGCTGGAGCGGGAGTGGTGGAGGTGGCTTCAGTGTTCTTCATCTCTTGATCGAAGGTGGCATTCATAGGAGATGGGGCAGGCTTGAAAGTCAGCATGCAAAAAGCAGCATTCGAGAGTAGAAGATTTACAAAATCTCCAAAGAGTGCATTGATTTCCTCAGCACTGAGATTGCCACGGAGAGCGGCAGATGGAAGAGGCTTGAAAGTCAGCATGCGCAAAGCAGTATTCGAGAACAGAAAACCTACAGTATCTCCGAAGAGTTCATTGAAATCCGGACGGCGACTCCAGAGCGCGGGAGATGGAATAGGCTTGAAAGTCAGCATATGAGCGGAATCTGGGGGAGAGCAAGAAGCTTACAGTGACAAAATTGGCGAGGTAGTCCAACGTCTCTTGATCTCCTTGCTCTAGAGCCATCTGACGAGTTAGTCGGTGCGGAAAGACGCGCGGGAACATAAGACACTTACTGCCTTGAACTGTGCAAGCTTTTCTCGGTACTCTTCATCGGTCAACGGTAGCTCGAAGGACTCATGACCGGGTTCACACATCTTGGAAGTAGTGCTAGGGGAAGGTACAAGAATTGGGAAAGCTCAATTGCGCAAGTATTGGTGTACAAAGAAGTTGGGGAACTGTTGGTACAGAAGTGGTTGTGCGAAAGCTTGATGGATGGAGAGGAAAGGTTTGTGGGAAAGGAGATGGGTGCGAGGTGGAAAAAATTTTGGTGCTAAGGTTTTTTGAAAAAGGTAAATCTTATGGGTGTTGGAGAGGGTTGAAGGTGAGGTTGTGACGAGGCTGCGAGACGCGTTGGGAGTTGAGGTTCATGAGTTCACTTTCAGCAGAGGCAAAGATTTGATGTCACGTAGTAGGTATGTGGGTAAGCAGCTTGAATACCATTAAGGCAGCTCTTTGGTTATGAGGCTATTTAATTCTACGATTGAGGTTTCGTCTTCGGATATTCAGAGATATGGTCGCGTCTACATCACAGCATATCAGCACCATCTCCGCGATACGCTCTTTGGAGCCTCAAAGCGTCAATTGGTACCGCACTCTACTGCTAAAAGACTGATGTCTCTGTGTCTTGGATGGTATATTCTTGAGATATGGGAGGGAGTTGAGCTCTGCAAATGTTCGTCAGCACCAGAGTTGAACTCGCTTAAAAAGGGGAAAAGTCTTGGCAGCAGAACGGACGTTCAGCTGCTAATACGACGTCACTTTTCACACTATGCTTCCCATGATGATAGTCTAGTATGCTTTGAAAGTATAATCTTGTTCCTAAATGATTTTGCTGGAGGCGAGGTCTGCCCCAAATATTAGCTGCCTCAGGCATGAAAGTCTGAGTGCTCAAAGTGTAGACTCGGTCAAAAAGATGTTGACAGCAGATGAACATATTCTTTGTAAAGCAGAGATGCTCGGAACATCTCCTTGGTGGTTCACCTGAAATGGTTCCATGCGGAAAAATGAGTTTCTTTCACGATTTCCTAGACTTTAAGTCCACTGGATCTCTGTCTCCGAGTCACGAACATGTACTAACCTCCACACAAGGAGAGTGTCCGCTAGAAAGTGAATGCTCCACACATGCTGACGGATGCTTTCAGATCTGATCTGGTTCTCAGAGACCCACAAACGGCCTCAGCAGGAGTGTTGCATGTTGAGACGAAAGCTTCCCTCTCTGCTGTTGTTATTATATTCATCTCCCATCCAAAGCGGGGCGCTGAGCACTGGAGTCTGTTGCACATCGCAACTTTCACATGTTCGTCGCACCTTCCAAGATTGCAGAGCGTGGAGATTTTGTTGCACGTCGTCTTGGCGGTCGTTCTTTCCCGAGTACATCAAACAATGACGAGTTCAGAGGAAGGAGGCCAAGTGCGGACAGCTTTCTCTTTGCCTTCGCTGGAGGTAAGTGTTTCTGGTTCTTTGCTAAAGACTAGACTCGATAATGGTTTCCTGGAAGGCAATGACGCTTCTGCCTCTAGAATTCGATACGGATTACTGCTGCCAGTGCTCGAGTCTCCAATGAGAAAAAGTGATCAAGGTTGGAAGTAGTCTAGGAATGGAAAGAGCGTTGAAGTAATGCGATATGCAACAAAAATAATTGAGAATAAGTCGGGAAAGAACTGCCCGACCTTGCGATGTGCAACAAAACTTGTGTAGATCTTCCAATAAAGGACGGCAAAGGTTGATCTTCTGAACACTGAGCAGCTTTAACAACGCATTCTTCTTCTCTTCTCACGAAACAAAACAACGAACTTCTATTGCCCAATGGGCAACTTCATCAATGCACGTTCTATTCTCACATCAACATACTACTTCTGCCTCATCTGTAAACCACGCAGTGTATAGTAAGTTCTAAAGCAATCTACTCCTTCCACATCAACCCCCTCAACCTCTCCTTCTCCTCCTCGCAACCGAAAATAACATCTATTGCCCCTCTAGCAAGCTCACAAATCTCCTGCCTCCCCAACCCAAAATGCTGCGCAATAAGCGAGTACTCATTCGAGAGACTGCTTCCAAAAACACCTACATCATCCGTCTATTCTCGTCAGCTTGCCTCTTTCCCCAAGAATTGAGAAAGGTGAACTCACACTCAAAGCAACAACACACTCCCCCCTCCCCCCATCCCACCACTCCCCAAAATGATGATCCCCAAACGACCCCGTAATCATCCTCGCATGCACATTACAACTCAAACACAATTCCAAACCTATCTTCCTCCTCCTAATCTCGCTCTTCACGTCCTCGGGCACGTTAATCACATGGCCAATCCTGTCCGGTTGGTAACTCAACATGGTCCAGAGTTCGTCTGGAGTCGTCGTTTGAGGCGCCTCGGCGAAGTGGATGGTGGTTTTGAGGCCAGCGGATCGAGCGGATGCGAAGGCGGGCGCGAAGAGGGAGACGGTGCCGGAGGTCGGGTCGCCGCAGAGGTCGATGCCTACGATGCCGTGGGAGCGGTGTTTTGTTGCGAGGGTTATTGCTTCTTGGGCCGCTATGGGATAGGAATCAGTACGGGACTTGGAAAAGTGCCGAAGGAGGGTTCTAAAGGTTCTTGGGGGCAAAGAGAGGGAGATACGTACTGGGGAGGTCGTTCCGGCGGTCGATGGAGAGGATGAGGGTTGTTTTTAGGGTGGAGGTGGCGTTTGAAGCGGAGATGCAGGAGAGGATTGTGGAGACGTAGTCTTCTTTTGTCATGTGCGAGGGGATTGCTCGTGGGGTTGTGCGGAGTTCGAGGTAAACTACGCCGTCCGAAGCGAAGTCTTGGAGGACGGAGTTGGTGGTGTAGATTAGGGAGTCCCGGTCGTTGCAGAGGCCGTAGATGTATTTGGAAAAGAGGGGAAAGAATCTGGGAGGGGAGATTAGCTTGGGAAGTGAAGCGAAGGGTGTCTCGTGATTAAGGAGGATTGGAAGTACATGAAAACATGATCTGTTCAGCTCGATGTATGGGAATCTTGAATGCTCTTCAAGATCCATCTTCATCTAAGCATCAAGCATATGAAACTAATAGCAACGCAGGGAATATCACTCACGTGTCGAGATTATAATCAAACTTACCCTCAGGCATCACAATCAAAGGATCCTCGAGCTCCGTCTCCCCTCTCTTTTTCTTCTGCACCCAAACCTCATGAAGACATTGCCGACTAATACTCCCACTCAGATGAGCATGCAACTAGATGACCCTCAGCCTTATGTCAGTCGGTCAGTCAAGCAAGCAAGCACTAGCCAGCATATTGCGTCTGCGGACGGCAACAAACGAGGTGCAGCCGCATCTGCATGCTTCTGACGTGGATGCATGTCTCAAATGACGGATGCGTTCTCACCTCAATCTTGGGCAGGGCCTTAAAGTCCATAGTACCGTAGTATTCGGGGCGGTAAATTTTGGTGTCTCTCTTCAATGCGGGATGGTTGAGGCTGAGACTATTGAATGGAAAATGGTTTCTGCTTTTGGGGTCGCTTACGGCATCAAGAGAGATTGGAAAGTGGGTTGGGCGTCGGACCGTTTGGGGAAGAGAGTTGTGCGCGACAAGAAGAGGAAAATGATAGGCTTATTTTTAACAGTATGGCTGAGACTTCACCACCCTCACCTCAAACTTTCCCATGAAGCAAGCCACTGCAGAACGAGATAGAGAGAGAGAGACAGAGGATCAAGGTTATTTTCGGTGCCGGTATGTGTGTGTGTACGGTGTATGTGATGTCTTGCTTGGAAAGATTAATGAATAATATTCGATTAAATCTCCGTTCCCTGCTGGTGGTTTCTGTTCTCGGGATGCCGTGGCGCACACTGGTGGCGGATGAGAGACCTGGTTCTCCCCCGACGGTTCTGATGGAGGTGTTCGTCTGGTCAATTGCACTGGACTGCCCGCTAACAGATTGGATTGGATTGGATTGGTTCATCTGCGGGCATACTGTCTGAAGCATGGGATCCGTGGGTCTTGGGACAGTGAAGGAGAGAGAAAGGGTGAACGAACCCCATACGAGTAATGAAGCACCTTAGCCTAGCCGATCTCGATACCTGATATGTAGCTTAATTATAAACTTTTGCACTTGAGGGGAATCATAATCTCGTCCCTTCGAATCCAAAAAGATTGATTGATACGGGGAGTTGTACAGGTGCGACATTCGTTCCCTCTACTCTGGCTTCTGGGAGGCGTGAGATGTTTCATGCAGAGCAGAGCGAGTACCGACGGTGGTGCTGCCTCCCCTTTTGGTGTGCCTACCAGGTTGCCCTCTGCATCGTTATTTAATCGTCTCCATCTTGCTGCAGGAGACGAGAAAGAAAGGCAAGTGAAAAACGCTGTGCCTGTGTAGCAGCAGTAGGTCAGCACTCACTATTCTTGGCCTCTGCACCGAGCACTTGCGTCGCCGTCGTGCAGGGCAGGCTTGGAAGATTATTTGCAGGGAGGAGCAGTAGAGTAGGTAATTTACTTGCGCTCTGACATTTCGGGCGAGTAAGATGGAAGATGATCGGCCAGAGAATGTTCTTCCTCCATTCTGATCTGAGTGAGTGAAGGCAATACCGAGCCGTGGTCATTATTGGCATCCCCATTAACCTTACCGTACCGCTGCAGCGTCTGTCTGCTGTCAGTCACTGCCACTGCATATCATTCATTGCACTACTTATTGCACCATCTTCAGACCGTTCTGCCGTTCCCCAGCTCTTGGTTTTAGTCGGTCGCAGTCGAGGAGAAGGGGAGGCAGCCAAGGAAGTGAGTTCGGGCTACCGTAGACGGAGACAGCCTCATCGTTGATCGCTCTTTGTCGGCAACTACCGTACCGTAGAATGTGTGTGTGAAGGAACTCTAGTCCGCTCAAGATCACAAAGCACATCTCCCACTTCTCGTCATCGTACTCATAGCAACCAACATTCTTCTCCCCCCCAACGAGAAGATTATACTGTCTGCACTGCATCGTACCGCAGCGCACGCAGAAATAAACCCACCCAGCGGTCGACCAGACCAGCCCAGCCCAGCCCAGTGCAGCCAGAGACCACTTAACCGAAGCTGCTAGTTCGGCCTCCACACCTCGATCCTCCCCAATCCAATCCAATTCCATCCACCCAGCACAACTCCAACGTCCGTCGCAACAACTCTCCTTCAATTGACCTTCATCAACCACCACGCTGCTGCATCGTCTGTGCCATTGAGAGCGCTTCTCCCGTCGCCGGCGATCCTCGACTGCGGTTTGCAACGACACAGTCACCAGCCTCGGGGAGCTATCTTCCGTTTGGCGCACCCCCCTACGTAGCCTCATTTCGACTCTCGGACGTCGTCAACGACACAGCTTCAGCTTACAATTTCAATTGCTCCTGAATACACACACAACCACCATGTCGAACGAAGTCTCGCCCGATCAGATGCAGGCGCGCATCCAGCAGGCCCGTCGCGAGGCCGAGAACCTCAAGGACAGGATAAAGCGAAAGAAGGATGAGCTGGCTGATGGAACGCGTGAGTGACCGATCCCTTCCCAAGCTCATCTCAATTGCGAGCATCCGCCATGCGCAGCCGCTCCAGACGTGAACTAATGATATTATCTAGTCTCTGGCATCGCTAGAAGTCAACAAGAAGCCCTCCCCAAGAACCAGATGATGAAGACCCGAAAAACATTGAAGGGACATCTCGCGAAGATATATGCCATGCATTGGTCGACCGATAGGAGACATCTCGTGTCAGCTTCACAAGACGGCAAACTTATCATCTGGGATGCGTATACGACTAACAAGGTCCATGCTATTCCTCTCCGATCATCGTGGGTTATGACCTGCGCCTATGCCCCCAGCGGAAATTACGTCGCTTGCGGTGGTCTCGACAATATTTGTTCGATTTACAACCTGAACTCGAACCGTGATGGCCCTACCCGCGTTGCCAGAGAACTCTCGGGACACTCTGGATACCTTTCTTGCTGTCGATTCATCAATGATAGGAGCATCCTCACCTCCTCTGGTGATATGACCTGTATGAAGTGGGACGTCGAGACCGGATCAAAGGTCACCGAGTTCGCGGATCATTTGGGAGACGTCATGAGCATCAGCATCAACCCCACAAACCAAAACACTTTCGTCTCTGGTGCTTGTGATGCTTTTGCTAAGTTGTGGGATATCCGTGCTGGCAAGGCTGTCCAAACCTTCGCTGGCCACGAATCCGATATCAATGCCATCCAGTTCTTCCCAGATGGTCACTCATTCGTCACTGGCTCTGATGATGCTACTTGCAGACTGTTTGATATCAGAGCAGATCGCGAATTGAACCAATATGGCGTATGTTTCACTTTCGATGTGCGTGGATTTATGCTGACAAAATACAGAGCGAGGCTATCCTGTGCGGTATTACTTCCGTAGCTACCTCCGTTTCTGGCAGACTCCTGTTCGCAGGTTACGATGACTTTGAGTGCAAGGTAAGCTGGACATACATAAGGCTGGAATACAGAGGCTGATGAATAATTTAGGTCTGGGATATCACTCGTGGTGAGAAGGTTGGCTCATTGGTTGGCCACGACAACCGAGTCAGTTGCTTGGGTGTTAGTAACGACGGCATGAGTTTGTGCACTGGATCTTGGGATTCATTGGTATGTCCAACCCCGCGGTCTCTTCTTCAAGTTCTCACTAACTTCTCTGCAGCTCAAAATCTGGGCTATGTGAGGTGTATAACTCCGACAACTGCGGACGGTATTCCCCCATCGAGTTGTGCAGAGCAATTCGAGGCTCCTATCCACCGAAATCCGACCACATCTACAGATTCCTCTAATCACTCACACCCGATACCTTAATACACCCTGTTAATCTCTGCAACTGGGGCGTATATTGGACGACGTTATGAAACCACTCCATGCCTTTGCGAAGCAGGTGTTCGTTGCTGGACTTTGGATCGAAACCCAGCGTGAAGATCCAGTCGGCTGGTTGCGAGATCTGAATTCTGTGCTGAATAATTCTTCTTTTCCCAGTATCTTTGTTCGTATGGGCGGTTCTTATTGCATTGCCTGCTGCTCTCTTTTTTTGCCGGGGCGCCTTTTGCTCAGGCTCTTCGCGATGATATCCTACCGAGACATCTGGTTCCAGGCCCCAACCTTCGTCCCATCACCCCCGTTGCCTCTTTTTCCTTTCTCTCCATGTCGTTTTTCATTGCCCAAATACTACAAAAAGCTTGAGTTGTCTCGGTGGGGGTGGTCTGCTGTTGTTGTTGCTGCTTCTGTTGTGCGTGTTGGGGGAGGGAGGCGAGTTGGGGGTTGTTGCGTGGGTTTCTGTCGAAATATTTATGTCTTGTGTGTGTTTAAGAATTCCAGAGGCCTGCACGGTACCTTGGGTATGTGTAGATAAGTCAACTTGGGCGTGGCATGAATGAAGCAGCGGAGAGGGAGGGGGCGCGAGAGAGAAGAGACTGTTGGACCTTTTTCCAAGCGTTTGTTTGCTGCTTCTTCGTCATTACACCTTGATATTGGCGTCGGGATGAATAACAGACAAACAATGCTTGTAACATAGTCTTAAGATGCATCCTCCATAGAAAATAATTGTGTAGGGAAAATCTTCCTGTTCTTCTCCACGGTGATACGGACGAATGCAGTTTCGTGTGCTGTTCTACGGGATCCCGGCCTGCCTTTTTATCTATGTAAAGGGAAGAGAGAGAATATGTTTCCCTGATATACCATCGATGCCAGGTACTTAGGTAGGTACTGTATCTAGCCCGTCACCAATGTTTGGGGCGTTGGAACGGGCGTGTGGGGACGGACGGCACTTGGTTTTCTATCTGTCTACGTCTGTCTACGTACGTATCTTGACTACTACGAATGTGGAGATGATGCTGATTCGGGGAATTTCTTGCTGTGGCTGTTACAGGAAGCGGAGGCTTGCATATATGGCGGGATATTCCCACTAGTGGTTGCAAATCATGGTTGAGGTGAATATGATGGAGGAGGGGAGGGCAGATTGTTTTGATGTTTTCACGTTTCAGGGTTTCGAGGGACGGGATTGTGATTGTGATTGGGAGAGGTTGAGGCTACGAGCTACTGCAAGGTTTTGTGTGTGTGAAACGGAAACGGCGGAGGGCGCTACTGTGAGATGGTGGTGGAGGAGAATGGAGGGCTGGGATTTTTGTGGTGGGGTGTGTGTGTGTGTGTGTGTGTGGCTTCTTTTTACTTTGATGACTGACTGAGTGAGTGAGTGGGAAGCGAGCAGGAATTAGAAATGGAAATGGAAATGGAATAGGAAATGTATGGATAGAGGGAGGGATGAGATTCAGGATTAGGGTAGATAGACCGTACCACATCCTGAAGCGCTTCAGTTAATATATGTACCCTCATCTAACACCCGTCCGTCCCTCGCTCCTCCCCGTCTTTGTACATCATGTCCCCTTTCGGGCATACAATACATATTTATCAGAGAGAGAAACGAAACAAACGACCACCAACCGGTCAAAGCTCGCTCGCTCGCGTCTAGATCGGGTAGAAGGGAAAATCAGCAAAGTTCGCTCTGACGTGTGATTGATAGGTACAGTATGACAGGATGAGGGACGCGGCACCATGTGGCATCTGGAAAGGATGTCTTGCGAAGGGGGGGGGGGGGTGCGGTGAGGTCGGCGGCTTGTACCTCCTTTCTCGAGTCCCGGTCGTAAGGTACCGAAAGGAAGGAAGGCCACAATAATAATAATTAATAATAATAGTCAGTCCTGGTGGTCCCTTTACGCATGCATCATCAGCGAAGCGGATCTTAACATTCGTACATACGTTTTTCTCGTGTAGCACTGCGAATACCAATTTCTTTCTCCTCCCTTTTTTGGAATTTGTTGTGGCTTCAACAGCCTAATCACGGCACTCACTTTTCGAACCGGGGTACGTACATATTATTTTCGTTATTGCAGCGCAAAGGCATAAGAGCCGTGGTATGGTGTGGTGCTAAGGCTAAGATTTTCTTCGTACGCATTGTGCTGAAACAACTCCTTACAGATCTTACATCACCTCCTTTCTCCCCCTACGCGGCACCGAGCTCACAGCACCGCACACGCGAACGTTCCTATTCTTGGCTGCTTGACCTGCGGACCCGACCTCTAACAGCGAGCGGGTCTTATTCAGCCGAGGATTGCTTTGCTTCACAGCACCTCCTGGTCGAGGAATTGGCATTGAGCGTGGACTGGGAACCCTGGATCGAGGAGAGAAAGACGGACGGATCCACTCCTTCCTTCTTCTAGAAGCATTGCATTACCGTTCTCTTGCTTCTTTCATTCTTTCTTCCCCTCCCTTTCTCTCCCCCTGCTGCCACCAGCCACGAGAGCAGAGTCACACCAGAACGAACGAACGAACCCGTTCCCACACCACATATAAAACCACCCATCCACCCCCTCCCGCCAACCTCCCCTTCAGAATGGCCTCCAAAACAGCAGCCCAAGAGGAATTCGACGCCATCATCGACAAAGCATCCCGGACCACCACCTCCAACACACACCACCCCTCCGACCTCACCGACTACAAATCCGACCACCTGCCCCTCGACCCCGAGGACCGAGACGAAGAAACCCTCTTCCGCGAATCCAAACTCGACCAGACCATGCGGATCCCGCTCCTCGACCCCCGCGGCGGCCCCATGCACCTCCCGCACCGCTCCTTCGACTCGGGGCGCACGACGGGCGTCAAAGGCGTCATCGCCGACGCGCGATCCTTCGAAGAGGCGCGGCGGAACGGGAGCTGGAGTCGCGAGCGGAGTCGGGAGCAGCAGAAGAGCAGTAGTAAGCGGGCGAGCACGGCGACGTTTTTGAAGGAGGATGGAGAGGGCAGCGCGAGTGAGGACGAGGAGTTTATTGAGCGGTGGAGACAGCAGAGACGGCAGGAGTTGATGAGTGAGGGGAGAGATGTTAGGAATCGGAGGACGAGTCCGAGTGTGCGGCGCTATGGGCGGTTTGATGAGGTGGATGCGTTGGGGTATTTGGATGCTATTGAGAAGGTGACGCGGGATACTGTTGTGGTGGTTTTTGTTTACGATTCTGAGGTTTGTATATCCTTCCTTTCCCCTTCCCTTTACATTAAAATATGCAAGAAAGAGTAAAAGCTAATGAGGATAAACAAACAGTGTCCCGTCTCCCAACTAATATCAGACGCCCTCACACCCCTCGTCCCCATGAACCCAAGCATCCACTTCGTCCGCGTGCACTACACGGACATCGAGTTCGACAACGCCGGCGTGCCGGCCATCCTGGCGTACAAGAACCAGGGCGACCTGTTTGCGAACCTGACGTACATCATTGATCAGATCCCCGACGATACACTGTTCGATACCCGCGCGCTGGAGAACGTGTTAAGGAAGAATGGGATTTTGTGATTTCTTTCTCTTCTTCTCTTCTCTTCGACTTCGACTACTTCTATGTATGGTATGGTCTTGGGCTATTTTTTCACCCCTCCTATGGCGAAGAAGATGGATATGTATGGGATGAGCATTACTGTTGTATTGTACTATATGATAGCGAGCAAGCGAGCAAGGGAGCGGGCGTACTACGAGATATAGACATGCATGGATGGGCGGGAATTTGGGGGGTTGACTGATTGTTTGACTTGATATTTTCCTTCGCTCGCACGCACGATACCAAATCAAAAAATAAATACCCTCTCTCTCTCTCTCTCTCTCTCTCTCTCTCTCTCTCTCACTTCCTCACACAAAAAAAAATCTCCTATCTGTCTCAAGATCAGATGTCACACTAACACACGCGGGAGAGCCCGTGTCCAACGTGACGTGACGGAGGCTAATTCTTAGTCTGGTGTCTAGGAAAGTTTATCTCGTTTCACTTCAGTCTGGGAGGTGACATTGAATTGAGTCTAGCCTGTGCGAGGGAAGGTATAGACGAATCGGATGGGATGAAATGGAATGTCATTCATTGAGATAGGTATGTATGTATAGCGAGCGTGATGTCGTACGTACACGAACTAACACTAATGATTTCTAGTAGTAAGTTTTTTCTGCTTTTCTTTTCGTGGGATTATATCCAAAGCTCCTGAACTCCGAATCGTGGAATTGGTGAAAGAAAAGAAGTGAAGTAAAATGAAGGAAACGCCAAACACCTCTGCGCTGAGACCGAAGTACAAGTAAAGACAGTCAGACAGAACCTAAAAACTACCATCCCCAAAAGTAGGAGCATCTAGCGCCATGAAGTCCAAAAGATCCATACCACCAATGTTGACACCCTCTGCCGTTTGGGTGACACCTTGATCATTAATATGCTGATAGAACGCTGTTCCCGGTGGGAGATACCACATCTCATTATTACCATTAGCGTTCCAATCGCCGGCCGCGGATCCAAAGACATCCTGCATGTCGCCGTAATTGGATCCGGGAGCTTGGTTGTATGGCGTTCCTGGAGCGGGGAAGAAAGATCCGGAGTTCAGATCGAACGGGGTGGCTGAGACATTGAGATCTGTCATAACACAGTTTAGTATGATGTTTATTAAGTTTGAGGGGAATGTGAGACGAACCTGTGTTACCCATATAATTTGGTGTTCCGGCATTCCATTCTCGGATCATGTCCGCCTGTTCCGCTTTCGTCCTCTTTGCGTTTGGGTCTTGGTGCATGACTGGACTGCGATTTCTGCTGACATTCTCGAGTGGCGGTGGGGGACCCGTTGGGGCGCTGATGAAGCGACTGCGAAGACGTGATGTAAGTGTTTCAAGGAGATCTGCAAAACGGATACCAAGATGAACGTCGTCGACGACGCAGTTTCGTAAAGCATCCACTGCTTTATCCATCAAGCCTATGCTGATTTCAACATCAGCCTTAGAGGCGCCAAGTGCAAATGTCTTGAGCAAGAACATGGCACCGCTGATGATGCGGAAATAGCTGCGAACAGGTGCGTGTTTGAGATAATCCCCTGGCAGCAGTCCTTCCACAACGGTTCTGAGAAGGTTTCGACTACCATCAACTACCTCACGAACATACTCTTGGTCTGCTTTGTAAAAGCCGCCGAGTCTGGCAAGTGGAAGCTTTCCGTAATAGTTCTGGGTTTCTGGAGAGAGAACATTTCCATTGGCTGCTCCGGATCCAGTCGCCCCAGCGGTATTGGAAGTGTTACCAGCGTTATTCGTACACCTCTCTACGACGGCCTGCAATGAGAGCGAGTTGACGTAGATTCGGACATACTCATACTCGATGGAAAGGATATGTCGCATATAGGGAGGAAGTCGGAATCTTTCAAACTCCTTCCGCCATCCATTGAGTAAAGGCTGGAACTCTTTCAAGAGTTCTACATAACTGCCATCTTGAATGATCTTGGTTGTGTACTGTCTTGACTTGAACAGTTTCTCATTGCCAATCCGCATGGCATTGCTGATACCTGCCCAACAGTGTATGATCTGATCATCCAGCTCTAAATCTGGAATATAGCTGAATGCGTTTGATACAGATGTATTCGTCTCAGGGGTCTTGCCTTCCATGGATGCTCGTCTCTTACGAGGAGCAAAGACGGTATCTGTGTTTCGCAGATTCTCAGGTACCATGTTCGTCCATCCTAAGCGACCGGCAAGCTGAGTGACATATATCAGAAGTAGTCTCTTGATTCTCCGAGCTCTTTGTTGATATGCTTCGTCTTCATACTCTGGTCGTGTCATCTCGCCACCTGCAGCTAATAGCTCCTCGATATTATCGAAGACACCGAGTTCATACGAAAGACCCATAGCCGTACTGAGAAGCATCCAACACATACGATCACTTCTCCAGGCTGGTTCCAACCAACTCTCGATCCTCTTGCCTCCAACACCTCTAGGAACCCGAGCACCTGCTTCGTCATCCGTGCTATAAGTATCTGAAATCTCATAGGACGGAAGCATGAGCTCGTCCGTAGCCTCAGCAGGCGGAAAGTGAAGAGCACGTGGATGCCATTCCGTAAGCATCATTAGACTCTCGATCGTACCCAATGTCCTGAGACTTCCCTTTCTAAGACCTCGCCACGGCGCCGTGCTAGATGTTTGGGCTTCCGCATCTGCTCCTGACCCACAGAATCCACCACCGAAGGCTTCTTGACCCCAAAGACATCTCTCAATCATACCTCTGAGGTAAGTCCAGAGCTGTTCGTGAATAGCATGTGACCTGCAATGACCACCAGGACCCGTCATCTGCTTGTATCGGGATGAAATTGTAAGAAGGGTGACGGTCAAGATGGGCTCCTCGGTAAGTAATGTCGGGTGAGTGCCAGGATCCTTGAACGTAGGAGGGGAGATAGGAGTTAATGGAGACAAGTACGTGTAATAGCTAGTCAAGTCAGTTACGCTCGAGTTTGAGAGGTATGGTTCGTACTAGTCAATATAGTCAATGGCTTCCGGTGGTGTGAACCATCCTGCTCGGACGAATCTAAATCGTGACCATGCCTTAATTGCATCCTTATAACCTTGTTCTTGAGTTCTCTCGGGTCTGTCGATACCCTCAGTTACTAGAGCAGGATCGATTGCGGTTTCGCGTCTCTCCGGAGGTCGCATAAAGTTATCCGGAAAAGCTTGATTGCTACTTCGTGATGGTGGAGGAAGGGATTGGTGTAAGGAGGGATTGTTGCCCACAACAGGTGAAAGTTGGCTATTGTTATTACTTCGCTCTCTTTTGTGACCAGGGTGGTCTCCTTGGGTAGCCTTGTAGAGAAGATCAAGAGCATCGTGAGGGCCTGAAGAAAGTTAGTCGTGTATCTCATGATTGAAGTCTGTCATATTCAGAAACAAGAGAGATTTCTCAATTGTCCACTACAATATCGAGGGGACAATGTGCATTATATTGTGAGACATTCCAAAAATAAGGAAGCCTTTGGAGGCTTACAGCTGAACAATGCCGATTGTCCAACGACCATCTTCAAGACGACAACGGAAAGTAGAGATTGGCTCACCATAAACTTCCTGTCGCATCACCTCTTGGGCTTCCGGATTATCGAGCTGAGTATTCGATCCATCTCCATACTCCTCATTCCGGTGTTCGTTATCGCCCTGATTCGGTCGGCGCAAGGGTTGTGGACGTCCAATCGATCCGCCAGGCGTCAGTGGTGGTCCAGGGACCGTAGGACTCTCGTTGTAGGATACAGGTGCACGAGCAGGAGCTCCCATTGAAGATTGCCGTCCAGGAGCTGGCGGCGAACCTTGTGCCATCTTCCTGCCATTTCGGACCATATAATCATCTTGGTCGTATCCATCGAGGCTATCGGTGCCACCATCGTCGTGCTTCCGCTTTCTTCTCGTCGCAGAGAAGAAGCACTCTTTGCTTTCTCTTCTGCATCGTACACAGGGTGGGTCGCTAGGGTTATCGACGCTTCCCAAGTCGCATTTCACTTTGCGCCGACGACATGGTATGCAAGCTTGGTAGACTCTCTTGTGCTGTGGAGGTTGTCCTTGGGGTTGCGGGGCTGCGGGGGACGCACTCGAGCCATTGGAGCTGTCAGCATGCAGAGGGTACTGCAATGTCCTGGACTAAATGAAACATTAGCTATAAGCTGTATGTAAGATTGACTTGCTGTGTTGTATTACCTGGGTATCATAGCTTGGTGTGGACTGCATTTCGATGGCAAGAAGAGGTGGCTACTGTCGGCTGAGGTTTGTATCGGATGGAAGGGTTGATGAAGTCCGGGAAATATTGTACAACTGAATCGCATAAATTGTGCTGACTGTCACCGAAATCCCATGATCGTGTGAAACACTGAAGCGATGGAAACGGCCGAAGGAAGTTGTTGATGCTGGAGATCTGAAGCTTGCGATTGAAGATTGTAATGGAAATTCATGACCGTTATCTTGCCTTCCGTTCTGGTAAGGCTGCATTGCGCCTGTTATTTTTGTGTCACATGCACGGGAGTCTGAAGATCAGGGATTAAGCCGTCTAGAGCCAGGAAAGATATTGATTAGTTTAGTACAGACTTATTGAGCGAATACGAGAATGACCATGAACTGTGTGGATTTGAATTGTTATTATTGTGATTTTTATCAAAGATATACCTTCCATAAGGGCTTTTCGAGCAGGCAACGTGGGCGCTAGTACCACAGACTGCAAAGAAAGGAAGTATTCCTACGGACTACAGGTAGACAAATGAATTTCAGATCTTTTTTCTCTCTCTCGAAGGTTCTCATTATCTCTATAATCGTACAGCACTTCTTTTCAACCGGGCCACTTGTATACGGTGACTTTGAAGTGGTCTGATTCCATTTTCATGGTACTGACTGGTGGTATTTCAGAAGACTTCCCTGGACAGGTCAATAGCTTCATTGCCGACATAACGACCAAGTGCTTTGGCAAGAGCTTTTGTTGCCCGACAAGATGATCATGTCTTCTACCATTCGTTACCATTGTTCATCCGCGGCATGGCAATGTCCCAATAGTCATCTTCTTGGTTGGGCACAGCCGGAGGTAAATTCCAGCCGATAAGGAGGAGTTTCACCAGCCGTCAAAATTGCCAAATCCTCCAGACTTGATCTTCTTCTTGACCGGCTCCGAGTCAAGCACGTCATCCTCGACATGCTTATTATTGGTTGTATCTGCCGCAGCGGCCTTCAAGTATTTGCCTACCCCACCAGATTGGTCTGTTTGTACGACAGTGCCATCATTCCTGATTCGCTTGCCGGTCCACGTCGTCTTATCGTCTTCCGTACCACCATGCTTCTTAATCTCCTCTTTTTGCTTCTCCTGATCGTCCTTCTCTCGCTTTTGCTTCTGAAACTCTTCGAAAGGATCAACAAAGACAACAACGTTCTCCATCACGATGTCGTCTAGAGGTCGGTTGCCGTCATCAACTGGAGCATTCTCCAGCTTTTGCAATACATCCAAGCCACCAACAACGCGACCAAATATTGTATGCTTCCGATCGAGGTGCTTTGCAGCTTTGTATGTAATGAAGAATTGACTCGAATTTGTATTCTTTCCCTTGTTGGCCATGCTCATGACGCCTCTTGCATCGTGTGTAAGAGGTCCATCGAATTCGTCCTGGAAATTCTTACCCCAGATACTGCTGCCTCCTTTGCCCGTACCTGTGGGATCACCACCTTGGATCATGAAATTCCTGATATTTCGGTGAAACTTGACACCGTTGTAGTAGCCTTTCTTTGCTAGGTGGACGAAATTCCAAACAGCTCTTGGTGCTGTCTCTGTCTGGAGCTCGATGTTGATAGAACCCAGATTAGTCTCAATACGAGCATATCCTTTGATCTTAACCCTTTTTGGCCGAAGCATGTACTCCTCATCACTGAGTAATGCCCTTTCTCCACTCGTTTCGGGTGTCAGTCCAGTGGAAGTAAAACTTGCCGCTGCTTTTCCAGTCGTGTACTGAGCCGCATTGTAAGCCATTTTCTTCTCCTGTACCATCGACGGTCTTGGCGCAGAATTTGCTTGTCCAGTCTTTATCATGGCCTTCGATCGATTGATGTCTCCACCTGCTTCTCTTTCTCTCCTCGCCTTCTCCACTGCCTCTTTTGCCCTTAAGACTTTGTTTCCGACCCGTCCAAGCGCATCGATATTCACGCTGCCCTTCTTCCTCTCTTCTTCTTGTTCCTTGGTGAGCACAGTCTCCCCGTCTTTCAAGAACTTGAATTGGCTTAGATCTCGACTCTCAATATTCTGCGGATCCTGTAGCGTGATAATATCTGATCTGCCGAACTCTCGATCATCGACCAAATCTAACCACATCTTCGGCTTAATGTTCAACCTCTCGACAGTCTCCCAAGCAAAGACGTTCGCCTCACTACCATGCCTGATAGCCACGATATGGGTATTATCCGTGAAGACCTTAAATGTAACAGGATCGACCATTTCGCCTTTCCCATCGCCGGCTCCACCTCCGCCATCATGCGCGTCTGTGTCTCCGTTTCGTGCAAAATTGAGCTTAATAAGCTCTTTATCCTTTAATGGCTTCCCTGTGACAGGATTCGTTCCATGTTTTTCCAACCATTGACTTATGACTTCAACGTCGAATATCGTGCCTTCTGCGGTGCAGACAGGATGCTTGAAAGGCTGGAGACTCGCGGCGCAGAAGTTGAAGGGTAGTCTTTTGAAGTTCGCGCCGTTTGGGGCCTTCTGCGATACATTCGAGCCAGCGCTGGCAGAGTATGCGTCGGAAGAGGACCACTCTGAGTGTGTAATCTACTACAATGTGAGCAACGATTCCACAGGAGTTGCCAAAGGAAGCTTTGGCTTCTCATGAGATTTGGTGCTATTGTACTCACATAGAGCTTGTCAGTGCCTACAACGAGAATCAGCATCTGCCCGTAATCGTACTTTGAGGCGAAAGTATGCGACTTACCTTTTCCCATTTTGAAGATGTGCCCTGGCCAAGGTTGCTTGGCTGAAGGTTGTTTTGAGGTTGTTAACTCCTTGAAATTCTCCGGATCTCATCTTATCTTATCTTAGCCCCTAAGCTTGAAAATCTACACGCCCAGCTTTTCTGTGATTCGCTGTGAAGTCGACACCTTCCAGCAAAACTAGCGCCGCACTGAAAGCTGTTCTGCTGTGATCCCGGAGGGACTTTAATCCGAAGCCTTTCACGAAAAGAACACGGCTCTAGATAGTGAAATGTTTATTGATTCAATCGCTTTCAACCTCACACTTGTGCTCTCACCTCAAACTGTGAAAGAACGAGATGTTAACTCTGTCGTGAACACATGTTCATATCTTTCTTGGGAGCAAAGGTATTGGCTGTCCCTTGGTCTTTGAGCACATAAAGCTATGGCTCTGCATCCAGTTGGGGAATGCCCAACTTTTCCATGTAGAGGTTTATGCTGTCATATCACCAACCTAGTGGTATTGGTATGAAGCTGGCAAGTAGACTGTCAACGCCATTGCATAGAGTGTCCCATGCTTTTGTGTTCCTGGCCGATTATAGGAAGAATTTTTGTCCGTCATCTTTATTGCATCAGATCGGGCTTTCCAATCTTTCCTGGGAACATACTCGTTCCAGAAGATATTTTCAAAATGAAAGCTCTTGCTTCATAGATCACATTCGTAGGTCCAGATTTGGGTTCAATCATCAATCCCTCAAGCGAAGCCATTGAATCGCTATCCATGATACTTTTAGGATATATGTGGAAAGTATAGTGAGGAGAAAAGCGGTAGGTTTTTCGGTTTCCTTTGCTGGACAATCACAACCTCATAATAAATTTTCCTATTTGGGCGACTCTCTGCACAATTCTCTCACCCTTAGCCTTCCGCGACTTAATACCCGACGAATCTACGATCACAGCAAAGCTACACTGCAAACAACGATGTCTGGCACCCGCAGAGAAAGAGATCCTGTCATGGATGTAGGAAAGACCGCCGAACATGACAGATTTCTTGAGACTGTATATACCAATTCCATTTGTTCTTTGAGCGCGAACTGAAAGTCTGGACTAGACACGAGAGAAGTTGAAGACATCAGGCTACGAAGGCCGCAAAGAAGCAAGAGAACGACTCCTTGCCCGATTTTCTGTCCCAGATAAAGACCTCGATGATTTGAATCGTGCAAAGACATTACAAGTCCTTATCAAGCACGCTCACCTACCCGCCGCCGAACTTCGTCTGCACGTCGAACAATTAATCGAAGTATGCAAGATGCTACAGCAGGAATTTAGCGACTCCCCTAACGAGGCCGTTGGCGAGGAAGGAGAGAAGCGAAAGTGGGTTAGCGATATCAGGGGGCAAGTTGAGGCTATACTCTACCATTTAGAGGTAGCGGGACGTCGCGAAGAACGCCACAGGAAGCGAGAGGAGCGTGACGATATGTTGGACGAACAACGGAATCGTGTTGATGACTGGCTCGAAAGCATTACAGTCTCTGGGGCTGATCCAAACAGCAGCGGATGAGCAACGGATGAGCAGTGAATGATGGTCATATTTGGGCTGGCGATATCTGATGGCTAACGATATGAATTTGCTCAGAACGCACGGACAATCACTTCTTAGTAAGTGAGTATGTGAGCATAAGCTACGTACACGATTCAGCAACGGACTTGCTTGAAATATGGCCCCCAACTATCATGTGATGTGATAGCGCCTGACAATCAACCTTGTGCTCAGCCACAATGGTCACCTTTCTTCCACAAGATCACCTTCCTCGTTTTTCATTGAGAATATTTCTTTCTGAACAAAGCACTATATATTTTATCAAAATCAATGTAAACCAAGCATGGAGCAAGACGGAGGTAAGTGAGTGTGACCCTTTTTGCAAGTAATTAATTTAATGATTTGTAGACACCCCAGCTATGCCTTTGAGCACGACTGTGGTATCCTGGCAAACAGCTTTATGGACCTTGCTACCTCTGGCTCTCAACTTATGGGGACAGCCAAGCGGTAGAGTACTATCTCTCCCATCAAAACATGGCTCTATGCTGCGATCTTTTCCACCTCTTGCGCTCATGGACAGCATCTCGCTTCTCGTCAGTCTTGTGTATACCTGCTTCTTCCTACATGTTGGGCCATGTCAATCACTTGCTCTGGTCTTTCAAGAACGCTTCAGCTCTCCAGATCAAACTATGCATTATCGTCAACTCCTACGGGAAGGACAGAGACTACGCTGGTTGATGTTCGTTTGCGGGGTAGTGCAGTCCTCCATAAAACTCAATTCTATGACTGGTATCTTCTGGACGAAAGCCTGTGGAGCGTCTTGGGTCTTTTCATGGCTTTTAATTGAGATTCTTTCATTCCTAGCTCCAGGACCAACTTCGGACAGCCCAGCAGAAGGAACGCCCAGCTCATCTACTGCAACTGACGACGAATGGCCATCATATTCCGGAAATAGATATCAGTTGCAGCTCTGGCAAGCATACTCGAAGAGGATCCACTCAGAGTACCTTGGAATAGCGATATCGATCCAATTCTGGATCAGTATCAGCATGTTAGTACATCTTATTGTGCCCGACATGGGATTTCCCAACTCTCTCACGACGGCTATGCTGAGGTGGATCATCATTGGATACTGCCCACTGGTAGCCGTACCTAGATGGTACCCGAAGGTCACAATGAAACTTGGACAGGTTCTCTCAGTTGGCTCATTCATAGATTGGTGGAGCGGCACTTCAACAGTCTTGCTGTTCTGTGGTCTCGTACAATGGATACTGGATCACTTCGAAGTTTTTCATAACTATACTCGGCCGTGGCAACCGTTATTCGTTCAATATACTTTCTGCTTCATGTCAATGATCGTGATCACGGTCATGCGGAGTATACTCAGAAAAGTGGTCCGGTGGCTTCGCAGCAGAAGACTGGGTAGATATGGATGGCCTACAGATATTAATGCCAGACAGAGAGTCCTGGATGATATACGAACATCAACTGATGAGTCTGATGGCGAGACCTTGTGGCTTGCTTGGCTATTGGCCACGAACTTCGCTGTATGGGTGCTATGGTATGCGTATCGATACAATAGTGAAGGAACGAACAATCCTGGCTGGACGATGGTGTTTGGAAAATGAGTTCTTTTTTTGACAATATTGTATGAAATAAAGCTATAAAAGGTTTGTTATTTAATGATCGTCAATCACATGACACTTCCACGCCGTGATGGAAATCTCCCAAGGTCCTATAAAGGAAATGTAGCTCCCGCTTACTTTTCAACTTTCCGCTTCAGCTTTTCTTCTCGCCATCTCTCTCCTCGCAGTAGCTTATAATGTCCTTTACAAACGTCGAAGCTCCGGCAACTATTGAGCCCCAAGGCATTTACCTGCCATCTCCTGACAAGACAAGATCAACCGATACCCCCACTAATGTCAAAGATCGTACCATACCTCTAGTAAACATTCCCTCAGCGCCAAACTCGCAGCATGTGTCAGTTCTGGAGCCAAGCGGTCGTCAGTCGATTGAACGGGATATAACGGAAGTTGATCGACTAGAAACTATCTGGAATCCATACAAAAATCGCTACCGTGTTCTGGCAGCGTGCATCACTCTGCTCGGCAATGGTATGAACGATGCAGCCACTGGGACCCTGATTCAGAGTTTTGAGAGGTAACACTATATACGCTTGTTGGCAGTTAAATTTGTTCCACTAACATCTTAGGCACTACTCTATCAACTACGGCACATTGTCGATTATTTTCCTTTGCAACGCCGCTGGGTTTCTTGCTAGTGCATTCGTTGCCAGCACACTCACCAAAAGCCTTGGCCGAGCTAAAACACTAATGATTGCTGAGACTCTGCTAGTCGTCGGATATATCATCGTTGTTGTTACTCCTCCTTTTGCTGCCGTGTGTGTCGCGTGTGTAACATGCCTTCCTTGATTTATGTATTATATTGCTAATCCATGATAGATTCTTTATTCTAGGTGCTGGAATGTCACTCATTCTTGCCATAGGACAAGTATACTGCGCGAATTTAGCTAACAACACGGTCATAACGGGCCTCTATCAAGGGGCATACGGAATAGGAGGGATTATAGCCCCGTTAATCGCTACTTCTATTGTGTCTCGTGGCTACTTGTGGTCGCGCTTTTATCTTATTCTACTGGGTCTTGCTGTCTTCAACTTTTTCTTCGCTTCTTGGGCTTTTTGGAAATACGAAACGAAATCAGACCCTATTTTACCCCGACAAGTGAACGAGCCTCGAGCTACAATGTCCCAACGAACGAATTGGGGTTCTATAAAGGCTCTGTTGACTCATAGGACCACAATCCTAGGTGCTTTGTTTATATTTGCTTACCAGGTAATTGAAACATACTCCTTGGTTTCTCGTACGGCAAATTGACCTCTTCTCACACCAGGGCGCTGAAGTTGCTATTTCCGGTTGGGTGATTTCATTTCTCATCCAATTCCGCAACGGAGACCCAGCGAAAGTTGGGTATGTTACTTCCGGTTTCTGGGCTGGTATAGCGTTAAGTATGCTCCATCTCTTACTTATAAAACTTCTCGCTGACTTATAGGTCGGTTCACACTTTCGTTTCTAGCTCACCGAATTGGTGAGCGTCGAAGCGTGTACGCTGCCATGGCTGCTGTAGGCTTCTGCTATTCTTCCTTCTATTTGTCTCGCAAACTTACATAATACATAGGCGGCAGCGTTCGAATTCATCATCTGGTTTGTCTATTCAATCCCAGGTGACTCGGTTGCTGTAGCATTTTCAGGTCTAGTTCTCGGGGTGGTGTCTCCAGCCGCGATTCATATCTTCCAACGTCTAATACCTAATGAGATGCACATTGCGTCTTTGTCGTTGATTGGATCTATTGGGACATCTGGTGGCGCTATTGCCCCTTTCATGGTGGGAATAATTGCCCAGAAGGTTGAGACTTACGTATTACATCCAATTTGTATTGGGTTGTTTGTTTTCATGGCGTTATCGTGGTGGGCTTTACCGGAAACTGAATCAAAGAGTGAGTAGACCATCGTGGGGTTTGGAATTTGGAATTCTTAGCTCGTTTATACGAGATAATATGATTAAAATCGCTTGGAATCCACTTTTATGTTTCTGCTCTATGTTAGGCTGGTGTAGCGGTCGTGGATGTAATGGTTTGAACCACGTCGTCCAGACCTAAGCCGGTGGCCGGACCGGACGACCTGCTTCTCTTGCTGGTTCAGGATTGGGCTCGTGACAAATCGGTCTTTCCAACTGAGGACGACCGACTCGATATTTCTACGATTATGCTATTCCAGTCTTATACAAGCGGCCGCTCCGTAGAGTTTGTTTATTTGTCGAAAGGTACGGCTAGTCAGGACCCCTTTGGCGAAGCAGAAGATGCCAAGAAAGTGAAACGAGGGGCAATCACTAAAGAAGTTACAACGATGACCCTACTCCGTACAGGGCCTTTTAAAGGTTAATGCTCAGACCCCTTGCCACTCTCTTTCCACACCTAGGCGCACCACTTATGGCATGCTTATAGCACGCTGCTTTTAGTCACTTTCATAAAAAATGAAGCTATTTAGACTACTATTTTATATATGCTCCATGGGCATCTATGACATCCTTACAGCGCTGGGGCATAGTGCGAATGATGTCCCATGCCTCATTTACAGCTGCTCTGGCCCTCCTGTAGTTTCTGTGTACATGAGGATCTAATGCTTCCAGAATATCCTTCATTCTATTCCATATACTCTCTATAGGAGAGAGTTGAGGGTGCTGGAGTAGAATGTCAGCAATAGACCAGCCTGCAGTATAATAGAGGGTCTACAGCCTAAGCTTATCATCCCTAGAGAGCTCTCTATTGCGTGGAGTCTTGGGTACAAGAACATAATAGTTTTCCATGATAAATTAGAGTAGTAAAGCAGCATCAGAGTAGCTGGAGAGAGCAGGAGATGCCCTTTATTATGATTGGAAGATGGCCCTTGCACCTGACAAGTGATAGGTGGAGTGAGGGGTGGCAACATCACTTCATTTTAACCTTTAAAAGGCCCTGTGGGTTGTATTGAGGGGGGGGGATAGTAATAACAGCGTGCCCCCTCCACCAAACCAATGTCAGATCTACTGTACTTCGTACCCGGGGTATCAATTGTAAAAGCAGGGGTCGATTCTTTTTTGGAGACTTTACTCAAGCAAGTAAAGATTCACCAATCCTCCAAACCTTATTGGACAATACCCCCATGCAATCGAAGAAGTCTCTCGAAGGCTTGGCACAATTGATACCCCGGGTACGAAGTATTTGAGACGCAGAATGAGATCACCCAAGACGACTGTGATACGTACACCCAGAACCTGGTAAAGGGCTCCGTGACACCAGGGCTGCAAGCCTGATCGCGTGCAGCAAGCGTCAAAGGATAATGCGCTCGGCTGCTTTAACGCTTAGCGCCCGCAAGCGCAGATGCTTATTCATCTTCCCCTTCAATCTGAACAATTGGCATTTCTGAACTTTCTGACAAACGTCAACACTCAGCCATTTCACAACCGTTCGTCATGCACTTACACGAGAACAGCTATTTAGGAACGGAGAGATGCGGCCTATGTCGTTTGAAACTTCCGTGGGACGACGACCTCTCAGACCTCATGCCTTGGGAGAGTACCTTCCGTGCTGGTATGATCCATCCATCCTTTTTTGCCACTTTGTAACTCTATATAGCGTTGCGCTTATGCTCCGATAAAGATGTTATTAGGATCACAAATCCTTCTAGCTTTCCAAGTGACTACAATAGCAAGGTTGATGTGACTTTCAATGACGGTTAGTCGACTCAGTCGATTACTATTCATAGCTGGAATAGAAGAACTCGAGAGAGCCAGGCGCCCGCATTCTGTTTCCACGATTTTTGCTACTTATATATCATCAAGGTCAAAGGCTGCACCAACTCGAAGATCTACTAACTTGCTCGAACACTTTTACAAGATTCGGTGGCGCTAGAGGACGTGTATAGTGGACGCGCATTAGAGTCCAAGATTAGGAACACATTTGCCAAACTTACAGATTCCAACCCGTATAGCACGGCTCTATTTCCAATGCAACAACTGCCTATTGAAATCAGGAATATCATATGGGAATACGTGAATTTAAGGATAGTAGCTAGCGCTTTTACAATAGTCACTAGGGAAATACTTCGCCTTGCAAAATCCGTCAATTGGCTAGACCGTCGAGAGATATTATTGAATTTAGGCTCTCAGATCTCTCTCAAGATGATTAGTGTCTTCGGCACTTCATATATCCAAGCCTTCGAACATGGGGGTATCACCAATACCATAACTAGTGTTGTTGATCGCCTGAGCTTTGTTATGGCCCTTGGTGGAATTTGCGCGATCAAGCTCCTTGGTACTGGTTGGGACTCGGGCTAGCTAGGGAAGATACCTATCACGGGGCCCGTCTGGTGTGGAACTATACTAGAAGTCGGTTCGGGTCTCACATGCAGCTTTAATGTATGTTCCCACCTACCTTGATATGCTGTTCTAATAGAATTAGGATCTCTATTGCACTCGTATATTAGGCTTAGGTGTTATAACGAGCCAGATTCTATGGGATTGACCAACCATCCCAGTCTCCCTTACCTTTCCACGAGCGGCAAACCTCCACTTTGATCAACCTTGTCTACACCTTATCTCAAGTCCTCAACCACGATATTTTAGATATCTGCCATTATTCGAAGGTAACGAATACGCAATGGGACTTGTTATATATTACTTTGGCAACGGCATCGTAGGGCTCGAGGCCTATTTCACACGAACTTCACGGTTGTTAGGGAGTCGCAGAGGTTGCCCTATATACTTTCCCCTTAGTTCAAAGGAACGGATAGATTTCGTTTGGCGTCGAGTATATAATAAAAGTCCCGTTAACAAGGCACCAGCATTGATAGTATGTCACGAGTCTGTTTGATAAAGAATATTTGCTTATTTCTGATAGATTCACACAACTCTAGGAAGAACTTGCTCGTTCGGGTCACATGTGTTGCCGGGACTAGTCCAGGACGACAAATACGAGTGGATTCCTTTTGATATACGTGGATACGTTACTGGATTCTACTTTGAGGCACCAACTACTCTCTCATCAATTACAAGACTTGGAGTAACCACTCGTAGTGTGACCACTTGGCCTACAACCCACCCGACCCCGGGATATATTGTATGCAATATTCCACGGAACCCCTCAGCAGCAGGCGCGGACGCTGGCTTGTATTTATCGTTTGCTCGTCTTAGTGGCCTAAAGGAAGTTCGGCTTTGTCGACTCGGAAGTCGCTGCACTGGTATCATAATACACTACCTTAACTCTCCGCCAGTAGTCCTTGGTCAATGGCATACCTCGTGTCTTTCAAGGCATACCTCTATCGATGTTAGGGACGTCTCTACAATGCATGTTGAAAGGGCACAATCTAGGGGATATTACATTATTTCTGACATCACATTCTCAGCGGACGTAAACAGAGATGGCAAGCCCGATACATTTAGTATCAATGAAGTAAGTACTCAATTTATCATGAAAGTAATCCATTAACAAGTTGCCTAGCCTATCGCATGGTGGTTCTCAAAGCTTAGTGATGACATCTGTCCCTGGCGTGGCAAAGTTCTCCCAGTTCCAAAAAAAAGTATCAGGAAAACGGAATGATTCAAACTGTTATACTAGCATTGAATAGAACACCCCTAGCAGATGACTTTCAAAACTTGTACCGTGTGAAATAATCCGTCTTCCTTCGGCTAACAAGATACCGCTGGATAACTAATCTTTATTTAGCCTAGCACCAACCGATGTCCGTTGCGATCCGCAAACTTTCTGTATCTCCAGAAGTCGGTATTCCAGCACCACCAGAGCTAACCCAAACCAGCTCGACTTCTACGTTTTCTTGGATGAGCTAGTCTCAGATGTGAGTGGTTCTGGATGAAGGGATGCTGCGATCGCGAAATGACAAAAATAGGTAATCGTTGCCGCTGCCATATTTCATCCCAAACTCTAGCGCATTTCATCACCGACCACCCTCGTCTGGCGCTCTCTCTCTGACTCTTCCTTCCACCCCCATCCATCATCCCCAGCGGCAATATAAACCCACTTGTTATCCCTCCTCCTTCTAGTCGATATGGCCCCGCGTCAAGCAAACCGAAACATCCAAAAAGTTGGGCGCCAACGCTCGGTGCCAAAACACGAAAGTAAGCCATTCACACCGGTCGTGTACTTTGACTGATTGTTGATAGAAGCGCGGCCATAAGGTATTCAGAAGGAACGATCACAGCTATCTTCTCGTAAGAGCGCACGCCTAGAAGAGATACAACGCCCCCAAGAACGAACTGTCACACGACGGGAATCTCGATCTTTCACCAAGATACGCGCAATGTTTGCGAATGAGTATTAAAAGTCAACTAGTATGTACATCGAGTGTAGCCTCCCAACTCCGGACAATGCCTCTCCAACGATATGCTTTGATCTATCTCTTATAGCCATGGCATCAGAGACTTCGGATGTCAGTATCCAAGTCGAGATCATCGTCTCCAAGCAAACTCTTGTGCCCAAGCCAGCATGTCAATCACTCACCCGCCCAGCTCATGTCGTTCATTGTGCGTATCTAGAGAAGGCAATTCTATCTTGGGTGCAATGCCATATTGGTTCTGTGAGTCGCTGTACATTGGAGCATTAATTGCAGCCTCTACCCCTGCTCGGGCTGCTGCTCTCCTCTTCTTCCCACGTTGATATGCCCAGAATGCAAGTCCCGCCATCGTGAGGACAGCAAGTGCTACTCCAATCCCTATTCCTGCATCTGCGCCTGGTGACAGAGAGCTGCTATTTGAGCTCGTTTCGTCGACTAAGAGGCCCGTCCCAGTGGGCGAAGTAGAGCTACTTGTCTGTGTCAAGGGGTTTGGAGTGTTGGAGGCTTCTGAAGGAGTTGATGTACTGGAAGAAGAAGTTGTTGTACCAGAGGAAGTAGTCGTTGTACTTGAATATGAAGCACTTGAGGAGCTCTGCGTCGAGGATGTTGAGGGTGTTGATATGGAGGAGGAAGCAGCAGCTTGGTTGAGGTTACACCTGACCAAGCTATCAGTCTGATTGAAGTTGGAGGGACACTAAATATTCAAGTTAGCACTTCTTCAACTCCTGGCCGTTGAGACAACTATACTGTTGTGAAAGGCGGACAACACGCCTTTGTAACACCAGCTGCAAGCATTGCTTTATATTGTTAGCGAGACATTCTTTCGTGTGCCAAGAAGCCCTCACTTACTACATGGGACTGAATTGGATGCAGCACAGTCCGATTGTGTATCGACGTAGCAATCAGTGTTAGAAACACAACAATACCCTGAGCCCAGAATAGTTTGGCATTGCGGAAATGCGCTGTTGGTGTTGTTGGGAACGCAGCAGAGGGTACTTCCAGGTGTACAGATTGCATTCTTCGTCCCTGGGAGTGCATCTGAGCAAACATCTCTCTTGGTCAAAGCCCAATCTTCGTGCAATACAGGCATTCTCGCTATAATTAATCCGTAAGTTTGCTCGTCCATAAATCCATCGATGGCAGTGATTAGGCTGCACAGCGCCGTGAAAAGAAGTGCAAACTTCCTTGCACTTCGAAAAAGCCCCATTGCCGAACCTGTATAATGGAACAACAACAGTACTCAATACCGACTCGAAGGAAGAACTTCAGAATGGAAGAAAGCGATGAATGCTAAAGTTCCGAGAACTGAAGTGGCCACCAACGGCGTGGCCCACACAAGTCCTCCTCTTATCATAGAACCAATCACATCACGAAATGCAGGCCATCAAAGCTTGGTAGATGTTGGTATTATGCTTACTGTAGTTGCCACGATGGAGCTGAAAAGGAGATTAGCTGCTGCTGCTGCATGCAACCAATCCAGCCTATGAAACCACCCGAGAAAGAGACGTCCGTAATGGTGGTACCGCCAATATACAAAGGAACAAAACCCGGAACGCCAGCAGGTTTCTTCCTTGCTTTCAACTTCATGACCACTCATTACCGTACTATCTTACCCTTTGTCCCGTTCCGCCCTCTTGTCACTTCACCTCTCGCGCTCCTGGCCGTGAATAGCCATGGTGGAATTGAATGTCGTACAACTTCATAATACAAACAATTGAAGTGTATGTTTTACGGACCAGTTTTGACAGAGCGGTGGGTGGTTTAGTTGAGCTTCATTTCCTTTACATGCAGATCTCTTCTTTTGTCGTCTTCTGATTACTTCCCGGTAATACTATACCCACCCATAAACACTTGCTCCCACCGCTCTTTCTACCCCACTTTACTTTGCCCTTAATATCGGTTAACAAAGCTCTGGACTTCATTGAATAACGTAAAAAGAACGTCTCTTTCGCTTCGGGATCATAGGGTAGCCTCGAACATTTAATGTTAGCAGGGTAACTTTCGATGAGTGTGATCATCCGCCGTCAGCAAACTTGAAATGCTTTAAGAACTGGGAAGCTGTACTACAGCTGAGGTCCTCCAGGATTGTTCCGAAGTCCCGACAAAGACCAATCCATACAAGTGCCAGAATGTCCAACATTTGCTGGTAGTGTGCAAGGATTGCTATTGAACTCATTGAATAAGTGAGCATTTACAAGCAGGGTTGGTTCCAGCCCACCGGTACCGAAGCTTTCCTCTTCGACGAACGCCAATGCTGTTAGGTTGCATTGCATATCAAAATGTTGGACATTCGACGGAGTTGCTCTATTCGGCTAATTTAACGAATCATGTTGCATAAGTGAGTCTATAGAAAGGGGTTCCCCACGGCCACAGCGATACGAAATATACCCGCCCGGTTGGCCACCTCTTGCTTGGCCACCTCGGTTAATTGCCAACATCAGATTTAGAAATGTTGGGTTTCAAGTTTTGGCCTCTTTCAAACCCAACTGTATCTGCTGTCAGTAGCATCAAAGAAATGAATGTTGTTCTGCTCTCATGGCGCGTGCTCGAAGTTTGCGCATGGTCGATTATCGTTGCCCTTAGACCACCTACCGCCAGCAGACACCATGAGTGATGTAATAAGATTCTCAGAGTTCATACAAAGGCTTCTTTGTCACGACAACGTACCCTTCGTCGTCTTGTATTATTGCTTGGAGTAATTACTGTCATTCTCTTTACCTTGAGGAATAGAGCCTCCTACGTTGCATCACACGACAACCTACCCTCGACTCACTTCGACAGCAGACCTAGGATACCAGCAAAGTCCTTTGTCGTTGCCAGTCGTCAGAGAGATGATACAACCTGGATCGAGGAGAATCTTCCAAACTGGGATATTGTACGATATGTAGTTGATATGTAGTTGACAATCCAGAAGCGCAATACACAGTTCCCAAGAACAAGGGACGCGAAGCCATGGTATACCTCACGTGAGTTCTGTCCAGACCCTGTACTTTGAAAGATTTCTAACGTGCTTTACAGATACATAATTGGTAATTATGACAGACTTCCGGAGCTCTTAGTGTTCATGCACGCTGAGAGATATAACGATGACCCGATCTACGACGGAGTTCCTTTGCTGCAAAATCTCCAGATTCCCTACCTCATCTCTCAAGGCTATACGAATCTTCGTTGCGTCTGGACATTGGGTTGTCCTTCGGAACTCAAGCTTGGAGAGCGTTCTCAAGAGACTTCTTCAGATCCTAACTCCGCCAAAACCACAGAATCCGCCTACCCTACGGCCTTCAAGGCTCTCTTTCCAGGCGAAGAACTCCCAGACATTGTTGGAGTGGCTTGTTGCACGCAGTTCGCAGTTACTCGACAACAGATCCATGAACGACCGATTGAAGATTATTATCGATTCCGAAACTGGACAATGGAAACAGACCTGGAAGACGGTGTTAGCGGACGAGTCCTCGAATACAGTTGGCATATCATCTTCGGGAAGAAGGCGATACATTGTCCGAATGCGATGGAGTGTTATTGTAACGTTTACGGACTTTGTAGCTTAGAGTGTAAAGAAGAAGGGAGATGTGGTGAGCGATGGCCATACCCGCCATTCGCGTCGTTGCCGAGTGGATGGCCTGGAATTGGCTGGGATGGAGAGCCAAGGGATGCAGAAAAGCTCGCAGAGCTCAGAGAGACGGCTATGACTGAGTTGTAATTACATTAGAGAAGTGTATTCGCCATTTGTCTCATGACCATATTGGTCGCATATGACCCTATCCCGTATCTTAGAATTATGCGTATCGATACAATAGCGAAGGAACGAACAATCCTGGCTGGACGATGGTGTTTGGAAAATGAGTACCCCAGCAGTCTGTGTAAGAGCTCACTATTATCGACGACGTGCAACAAATTTCAGAGTTGGCCTTCATGCCGATGAACAACGAGCTTTCATCCATATGGGTCGAAAGTTAGCTCAAGTTACAACACTTCCAACCGCGATGAGTTATTCGGACATGAGGTACAACGAGCAACCTCGATTCAATACCAATACTTCTTCAACAACCTCTCCTCCTCCCCACTCCACCTCGCATACGCGGCAACACTCTTCGTAACCCCATTCCCCAACCAACTAAACAGACCCGGCCACTTCAAATCCCCCAACTCAGAAATCACGCACAGATGCAAGAAACTCTTCGGGACCCCAGTCTCATCACACTCGCCATCATTGGCCAACCCGTACAATATATAGATACTCTTCTCAAACCCTAGATGGGCCGGTACAAGTTTGACTATGAAAGAGACATCAGAGTCCGTGTCGTTGAAGAAATTATGCTTGGTGTTAAGTGGGACTATAGCCTTTTCCCCAGGTGAGAGATGGAGGAGGTCGTTGTTGTTATTGACGCCAAGGGTTCCAGTTGTGCATTCGAAATGCTCGGCGTAGGAGACTGTAAATTGAGAAATTAGCTGCCTTTCTGCTGTACTTCCAATAGAGCGAGAAGAGAGAACGGGAGGAATTGACACAATGAGACGCTTAATTAGAAGGGACAGAAGAGAAAGTTGTTTTGGTTTTGTAGGAGAGATGCACTTACCATGGTAATGCAACGGTGACCCGCCACCAGGAGCAAGAGTAACGCGAGCCTCAGTACATTCGCCATCTGTCTCTTGACCATATCTGTCGAATATCACCCTATCCCGTATCACAGGATTATAAAGATGTCGACGAGAAGCATCGCGAACACCCGGCGGAAGAGAAAGATCTTTTGGGTCCGCCATTTTCGTCTTGGAAGCGCAGGTTCGATAAATTTAATTCAAACAACGAGACTGAAAACGAAACCACAAGATGAAAAGCCCATGAGAAACCTTCATTTATATAGGTCGTGTCCACCACTTGCTCGCACTTTCGTGAACACTTGCTTCTCGGTCTCAGGCTGCCTGCCATAGGTTCAAAATGCGACAGAGCCAAGCATCACCTGGTGTCACTGCACCGTTCTGCGTATCGCCCTTAACCTTCCCAATCGCCACAGAAAACCCACAGTATATCCCATAGCTGACAACAGTCCCCTCATAGATCACCAAAGGCTCGACAGAGCTGACCCAGCTTGAGTTTAAATACTTTACTCGCACCCGCCCCTAATTCCTCGCTTAGCCGACTTCGCATCCGCCCCCTGCTCGGTTAAGGTCACTATTCTGGATCCAGGTTCGGGTTCGGGAGATATGGGACTGGAAGGATGATCCGAGGGCTGCAGTGGAAGAGCTCTGCTTGTGGTATGAAGTCTTGAGTGGTCATAACTACGGGGAGAAAACCTCATTGGGAAGTCGGACTGAATAGCGAATCAGAGGCGGGTGAGAAATAAGAGCCGCTGTCTGTGGTGAAGGGAAGATGATGAATCGAGATGGGAGACAAAGCGTATAAATGCCGTGTGATTCCCACAGCCTAAGATGGGGAAATAAATTGCTTTGATACAGGTTGACTGTTTTTTGAGTGTGCTTTACCTTTCTGCCCGCCCTAATCTTTATTTTGAACATTTTGAATACCAGGAGCAAAATGGCAGAATCAACAGTACCTTCCACCACTAAGAAGATCGCCATAATTACAGGCAGCACCCGCGCTGTCCGCATCGGCCCCTCAATCACCAAATTCGTACATTCAGTCCTCGAAGCACACCTCTCCACTTCCAAAACCACCAACATCGAACTCTCCATCGTGGACATCGCAACCTTCAACCTCCCCGTCTTCGATGAAGCAGTAGTCCCTGCTTCCGTGCCCTTCGCTGCCCGTAAGTCATCTTCTCTAAATGACACTCTTCTTTTCAATTCAGACCTCCCACCAATACTCGAGCACTGACACCCCCACAGCATATCCTGGTCCACCGAAATCTCCAAATACTCCGCCTACATCCTCATCACCGCCTGCTACAACCAAGGCCCACCGGGCGGCATCAAAAACGCCATCGACTACCTCTACAACGAGATCAAAGGCAAGCCCTTCCTCATCATCTCGTACGGCATGGAAGGCGGCGAGAAAGCGAGCGAGAGTCTGGCCGTCAGTCTGAAGAGTATGCATACGGTGGTCATGGAGACGAGACCTATGTTGAGTTTGGTGAGGAATGAATCAATTGAGTTTGGGTTGCCGTTGGACTTGAGGTTGGCGGCTGGGGGAACGCTGGGGGAGGAGAGTTTGAGGAGGTGGGAGGGGGAGAAGAAGGAGGAGGTTTTGAAAGGGTGAGGGGAGTTGAAGGGGTCTTTGGAGAAGGGTGGTGAGGAGAAGGCGGCGTAGTGAGAAAGCCGTTGGATGTCCCAGAGTGATCAGGATATCATGGCTGATTTTTCGGCGGCCTCAATCTCCTTCAGATAATTGGCTGTTATCAAGTTAGTCAAATTACCCCTTCTTTCATCAAGATCAACTCACCATAAAGTCTATACTTCGGCACATAATACCTCAAATACTTCTTCAAGACCTCCAAATCCGCTTCCCAAGCCTCGTTCCTCTCTCCAAACTGAATATGGATCAAAGCAGCAACGGCACAGATTCGATGAGCCCAGAAAGCAATACCATCAAGATCCATTGGTACTCCTTCAAAAGAGGCTTTGGTGGCATAGATGATGATTCTTGTTAGAGATTGGAGAGCACTTGTTGCTCGGAGGATCCCTTCTTTGTCGTTGGATTGGGTGGACATGGCTAGTTCGTGGAGATGAAGAGAATATGCTGCGCTGGTGCGGAGACCGTATGGACCGCAGTATTTACCCTCAGCTTTTCCTCTGGAGATCATGGTCAGCCTTGATACAACGACCCCCAGAAACTTCACGTATGTAAGTCAGAAGGTAAAGAGGACTCCACTTACGGCGGCGGAATACAAGCTCCACTAAAATGCTGCAACGCAATATCCAACTTCGCAGCATCAGCGACCCGTTCCTCAGGACTCTTACTCTCATCCAAGATATGTTTCGTAGTCAAATCAGTAAGGTAAGTCATCTGAACCACAGCAGCAAACGGTCCAAATCTAGTGCATCCCCTATCCGCCAGATCCAGATTCTCCAGATCAACATCCTCAGGAAGTACAATCTCATCTCTAACCCGGTAAGTAACTCCATCCTTAAGCGGAACAAGAGGAAGATAATCATCCGGCTCCGGACCCTTAGAAGCAAACGGCAATCCACTACCCCTGAACTCCTGATTGATAATCCTACCCACATAATCAGCGCTTTCCCTCCCTCTCTTGCAAATTACAACCTACCTCTCAAGCACAACAACACACCACCAAACACACCTCTTCTCCTCCACCCCATCTCCCTCTCCCCCCACCCGCCTCACGGTACCATGCAAACCCAGCACCTGCGCCATCCTCACCGTCCCCCCAACAGTCCCCCACGCCTCCCCCAGCATCCCCTGCACAAACTCCCACCCCGCAACCAGGCACCCCATCCTCACCAACCCTAGGCCTACCCTGCCCGCCCCGGTCAACAAACACCAGATACTCTTCACCGCACCATAAACCTCCTCTCCGCCCTGGCCCGCCACCAAAAAGATCGCCAACAGCAGGACGCCGAAATAATCCTCCCCCTCCTCCCCCTGCTTCCCATCTAAGCTATCAAGCTGAGAGTAGAAGGATTCCTGATCAACAACCGGCAGCGACTGATGGAACGTCCGGAAATAGGTCGAGATGTAGAACTCGCTTTTGCGGGTAATAGCGCTCAAGAGACGGGACACCTGGAAGCTGACTTGTTCGTCGATGCTAGAGGAGGGGTGGGTTTGGACTAGGGGCGGAAGCGGAAGGGCGGGGCCGCTCTTGCTTCCGTTGTTGGTTTCGGGGAGGGGGAGGGTGTATTTGCATTTGACGAAGAGTCTAGTGTTCTTCTTTTTAGAGACTGGGTGAGAGAGGATGAAAGTTGGGTAGGACATACCGACTACATCGTCCACAGGCAGGAAGAGCTTTGTTGCAGCTCTTCTTGCGGCGTTTGCAGGGTTCACAGACGGTAGGGGCTGTTTGTTGGAGGTGTGCTATTGAATCGTGGTTGGGCATTTTGGTCTAGAGATAGCTAGCTGTGTGATGAAGTTATTGGCATGGCCTTGAGTTAGACAATTCTAGAAGGATATTATTCTATCTGAGATTTCGAATTGAGGATATGAGGTTTTACGTGAAAGCAGTGTAAGCATAGACTTGAGACGTCAATGCAGTCACGTGGTGTCAGACATCTAGGGAGTTAGTGTGACCTTTCTTGGCTATTTATACTTTAGATAGATGGATATCCATGCTAGGACATTGGAAAATAATCACAAAATGTCACCCTTTCACTAGAAAACTTTTTGGTAGGTATTGGGTTGAGTACAGCCCAATACCAATCCATACTGATTTTTAATAGCGCCTACGACATTTTCCTCCTACCAGTCTCATGTTCTGCTAATCAATAAAATAACCTTTTGTCATGCAACTCATTTCCAATCCAGAAACCAGTTCCAATTGCTGAACGCCGAAACTCAATGCAGAATTGTTCCTCCTTGCTCTTCCTACCCCAAAACGCCCCAAAGGTGATGAGTCCTCCTCCCTATGTACTCCCCGAAAAACACCTGCAAGACATGCAGTATTAATAACCATTACTACTCCTCCACTGAATTAGATGGCCGGGACAGAGGCCTCCGCGCCAGGTTCCCTTCCAAAGGCGTTATTGTACGTCCCAGGGTTGAACATGAAGTTGCGGTCAATCTCCATACTTCGATTAATTCTTCCACCTGGGGTCCGAGGGTTAGGAACGTTAACTCGTCCACGGGTGGTGGTTCTGTTTAGTTCCTCATCGTCGGTGTGCTCATCTTCAAACTCACCGAGTCTAGAAATAGTTAGTGACCATATGCATGTCTGGGATACAAAGAACATACCTCGCAAAGTAGTCGGCGAGACCATCATGACTCGGTGTGCCAACAACTTGATCGTAGAGAGGTGGGGGTGTTGGCATTGGTGGCGGTGGATCTTCGGCATCAAAAGCGGGTGGGTTGAAACTTGGGGCTCTGATCAAATGGATTGGCCGTTGCACACCCGCAGCAGCATTCATAGATAAATGCGCTTGGGGCGGTCTCGCCAAGTCAGGCATGGCATTCTCAATCCCGTTTGAAATGTTGCCCAAATCATTCGATAGGGATGATGCAGTGTTGCTCGCAGCGGCATTCGGGCATCCACAGATTCGTTGCATATTCAGTCTGCCGGTGTTCAGGTCGGAATACTCTGGCAGAGCCAAATTCGCTTGAGTTGCTCGGCAGCTCAAAAGGGAGATAGGAGAGTCGATAGAAATTTCGAAATGACGACGCTTCTTGCCTGTTGGATCGTCCGCATCAAGTCTTGATATTCGCATAACGATCTAAACAGTGGTCAGCAAGGACACGTCAATGAGTTCTGAGATCTTACCTTGATCCAGTGATGCACATCCACATTCTTCCACGTGCAGTCATGATGAAGACGCTTTCCTCGGTCTTTCTCCATCATTTCGCAGGTGGGTAGTTGCACGTCCATCTCTATTTCAGTTCCTCCTATTATGGTTTCCAAGTCTTCTGCCAGATCAAGATCACCAAGTAAATTCTCCGTCGCCTCGGGAAGTGGGTCAGGGTCAATTCCACGTCTTCTGGCATCGTTCCTCCTTCTCGCCTCGGCCATAGCCCTATTACGAGCTCGTGTCTCTGCAGATGGCTCGCCTCCTCTTTTCTGTCGTATCTCTGTTCCAGCATAGTCTTTGCTCAGAGACTTGCCAGCCGATTTTTCGACCAAAAGAATCTTGCGAGAGGCGTCTCTCCTCGTCACCTTTTTATTGCTGGCGAAGTACTCGATGTTCTCGCTGACATAAACCTTGAGCTTGTGGACTTGGACCTTTGCCAATGGCATAAGCTTGAATGCTATTGGAATCTTGGAACCTAAGGGGAATGATTTCCCCGAGATCATGATTTCGTAGTGTAACTGGTCCTCCCATTTCCTGCTAATTGAGATTGGCTCCACCAGTTCTAATGAATCTTCGGAAGGGGATCGAATCACTGGAATCTCTTTGAATCCTTGGAGATTAGCCTTGAAAGTTCCTGCACGTTCCACTAAGCATTCCAATTGCCACTTAACGTGAGCAAGAGGCAATGAAGTCGTCTCGGGGCTGTTGTTGTCAATCGGCAACTCAAAGCTGTACTCGTAAACTCCAGGATGAAACACCTTGTAGCCCTTCTGTTGAGGAGTGGGGCCGAACGGCGAATCACCTTTGGTGAAGCTGCGTGACTGGTTGCTCTGCAAAGACAGTCGCTTTGCGTCTTTGGTAGATAACAGAGTGCTGGATCTACTTGATCGAGTGCCAATACCTGGAAGCGAAAAGCCACTGCTTTGTTGACTTGGAGACGGAGGACCCAACGTGCTCGCAAGATTGGTGACAGATGACGATGCAGACCTGTCTCGCAAAGCATAATTGCACATTGCCCCATACCCTGTATCCGAATCCTCATACGCAGAGTTGAAGAATGGAATAACTTGAGTTCTCAAAGACTCCTCTTCGAACAGGTCAGACTTTGCAGGAGGAATACCTAGGCAATTTTAGTCACTCTCCATTGACAGCGTATGATACTCCTTACCTTCTGGCCACTCGGTTCGAGCTCGACCTGTGAACTTCAACGTGACAGCCTTGATCTTGACACTCTTTGTAACATTTAGCTGCAATTTTCCTCGCAGAAGCGCAGAAGTGTTCGAATGCGAGTGATTCGTAGTACCATCATGGTCGAGACCGGTCAAATAAATCACTGGCTCAGCCAAAATGATCGAACAAGATACACCATTGCCAGAGCAAACCGGCTTTTCCGAATCAGACCCTATCTTTCCATTCATCAAGGAGCCAGCGCTTATACTGGGTCTGCCAGCAGAAACATTGCTCATAGTACTGCCTGTTTCAGATGAACCTGGCGACTGTCTTCCTCCGAGAGCGTTCTCTAGCGAAGGTCTCGACATTGTTGCGTCTCCCATAGACGTTCCCGGAACCGACCTCCGAGCGAATATGGTTGTAGGGTCAGAGGAAGCCACTGACAGAGACGCGCGAGGGGATCTTGGTGTATCCGGACTGGCAGATCTCGTCGAGTTGGCCGCTGAGGACGTAGCGGTAGAGGAATTAGAAGATGAGGGAAAAAAGACCGAACCCAACACTCTCTTTGCGTTCTCGCGGGAAGCCAGCTTTTTGAGTTGTAACCGAAACTTGGAAGGGTTTTTTGGAGGAGGTGGAGGAGGGGAAGGTCGAAGGTCGAACGGCACGAACCCCGCCGGCAGACGTGTGATGTGTATGGAATGAGGTCGTCGTTGTCTGGGTCGGCAAGGAGGTGTAGGTAGAGTTGGGGTCTGCGACTTGAATGCGACGAAGCTGGGAGGAGTGTAGTAGACTGTGCCTCTACTAGTGTAGTAAGATAAAGTGATCGGTTCTGACATGATGATGTTAACGAAAGAACCCTCACAATAGCAACAGAAACACTATCGACTATATCGATGGACCTGAGCTGAACAGAGATGATTCCGAAAAAAAGGAAAGAGTGGTATTTTGACATTCACGATCTGGCACTGTACCCAAGCGCAAAGGAGACTTTGGACGCTCTGGCAGCCGATTGTTGAGTGCCAACCATATCATGCAATCAAAGAGAGCAGGGTGAGTGCCGGTAAGGCTTAGGGGATATAAATCATGATACTATGCAACATGCGACAGGGTGACTGGATAGACTCACAAGACTAGTTTGGCATGCGTCTGTTGTCACGACGGTGTGCAGGGAAGAAGGGGTGCACGCTGCCAACACATGAGGGCAATCGACAATGGCGGGTAGGAAATTTAGGAGGAAAGCTCCCCAAGTTTCCCGGATTGTGAAGTTTGGGTCGCAAGGACTCGCCGTGTAGTGAGTTCGGGCTGGCAGATGTATCCCGGTACCTGCGGCTATCGATGACGGTGAGCGACGAAGCCTGAGTCGCAACGGAAATAATGCACTGCGGGGAGGAGAGAGTTGAGAATGTTTCGTGGACGGCCGTGGACAGATGCAAAGAGAGAATGCAATGAATTTGGTACAGAGAAGAGTGAATTGGATGCCATATGTACAGTAAGTAATCGTCGAGCAGCCTTAGGGCGCAGGAATAGAATCTTTCCCCTCCCGGAACTTGGCAAGAGTTTAGTTGGTCGACCAAGTGTGGTTGTGGTGTTTATAGAAAGGTACGACGATGCCGAATGGACCGTCGCGGCCAATGAGCACGGAGTCGTGGATGATGTCAACAAGTCTCGAGTGGAGCGACCCAAATGATACTGGACGGGACGGGACTGGCCAGCACTGCAGGAAAATACCTCCGACTTTGGGAGAGGCAAGAGTGCGTGGTAGATTGAGTCTACAGTAATAATGTCTAGATCTAGCCCATTATGGCAGCCTCAATCATCCGTCTACTTTGATCCTTCCATTAGGTTTCTTCTCTTCCTCTCTGGCCCGCAGTAAGGTTACTCACTGGCCAATTCCCCACCAACAACTTTTGTCGGGTTTTAATCTGATGTTCGAAATGCAAATGTGCAACACATGTTTCGTTCCAACGCCGGCGCATCGAATTCATCGCGACAGATCGATATTCCCCCTAATCCAGATGAGATTAATTGGATCTGCCATGCCAGATAGATGCCAGATAGATTGTTCGCAAGCGATTTAAAGCAACCTCGTCCACAAACAGGGAAATCGTGATCAGTGCCAACCTAGACTGCCATAGTTTCGAGTGGGACGGGGTTCATCTGGCTTCGACGCTTCGTCCAGAAAGGGTCAACCCGGCAAAGCAGGGTTCGAGAAGCTCATGCATGAAGTTTCAAGATGACTCTTGAAAGAGATGGACGTGATTGTCGAGACGACGTCTGCGAGTCTAGCTTGGCACATCAGCCCAATGGGTACCCATCGCCTTTGCAGTACGTGCTCGGTCAACCATCAGCGCGATTGAGAGACTGGACGATTGTACAAATCATCTTTGATTGTTTGGGCTGATCCTCACCAGTGTCCCATAGAAAAACAATTCTTAGTCAGATCCAAAGCTTCTGGAACCCCGGAGACGGGAGCGAAGCTAGGTGGAGTCATGGTATGGTCAGTGGCAAACTCAATCTCTGCTCCTCTCCTCAGAATTTCCAAAAGGTTGGTCTGAAACCTGCACACCACCGAGCTTGGAACTGAGTTGGATCGGGCGCAGGTTGTCTCTTGCGTTTCCAGATCATGGCTTAAACGGAGCTTCAGAGGCCATTCAAAAGGATCTGCTCATAGTTCGAGGCGTTCCCATCAATACCGATAGGCTTGAACTGGCGCAAGGCGAACGCCAACGAGGCGCCGGAAGACCGGAGGCGTACCTTTTCTCGGACGAGAGAATCCTTAAGAGGGCAAGCCACTGCCATCATTTATCTCACTTCCTTTTCTTTTCCTTTTCATGTGCACGAGATCTGGAACCTGTCGATCCTGGCCTATTGGAACCCATCTTGACCGCCGTGACATCCCGCACGCAGGCTTTACTCATCCGCATGCTCCTGCTGATATGCAGGCCACGAATTCAAGATGACCCGCTGGGCTAAGCCTCTTCGACACGTAATGATTCTTGACGGCAGACCGACTGATAGTATCCGTTTTGTGATAGAAAACTTGGTAGCTCGTCGAGATCAGATGCCATTCGAAGTTCCAAGGAGAATAAACAATCTGATCATGCGATATGTTCGGGAAGACGAGATGAGATCTGATGGATGTCTTGGCGGATCTAACCCTAGCGCTGATCATGCGGGGAGAAAGGCGGAAAGCGGTTGAGTCACATGTCCTGAAAAGAGATACAGTACCCAGGTATACATGAAAAGAGGATTATAAAGCAATGCAAAATGTATCTTCTTGAACGTACTCAATTTCAAACATATGGGATAGAACTCAGAGAAAAGAACAGTGCATATTGAACAGATGAGTAGAAATTATATATTTTGTGATCTATTCGTGGGATTGCTTTGGTCGAGGAGAAAAGTCTTGGTTGTTGGACAAAGTAAAAATTGGAAAGCCTTATCTCTTATCGCACGTGAACACGAATTGTGGGTCAATTTTCTACGCGACTCGAACGCGTCCAGACGACAACCACAACAGTAATTTTCATCTGACATACTTTGGAAGAGTGAATATGGCAGACATTGAAGGTAGTGCATCGCCAAAGCGTGTACCTCTCAATGAATCCGCCGACCTCTCAGCACCACTTCGAGGATGTGTCATATGCTGTACATCTGTTCCGGACGAAAAGCGTGTAAGTTGATACAGATGCAACGTCCCGTCTCTAGGCAGCTCCTTCCTGACATCTAACCTCTGCAATAGACAGAAATTGCGCAATGGACAGAACAGATGGGTGGAGTCCATCGCTATGACTTGACCCTCGACGTAACCCACCTCATTGTTGCCGACTACAACACGGATAAATATCGATATGTCGCACGAGAAAGACAAGATGTACAGCCAATGACAATACAATGGATTGAATCCGTGCGGGAGCTATGGATGAATGATAAAGAGATTGATTTCACGGCCTTGGAAACCGAGTATCGACTGCCTACCTTTCATACTCTTAGGTTCAGCATGACAGGCTGTGATGACCGTAAGCGCATCAACGCTCTCCACTATGACCTTCTACTAATACTAATCCGTAGCCCAAGAACGATTAGAAATTGCCGAACAAGTGAAGGCTAATGGGGCAACATATGAAGGCGACCTAACAAAGCAAATTACACATCTGATATCTTTTCGAACAGAGGGGGCAAAATACAAGGCAGCCAAGAACTGGAAGCTGAAAATTGTATCTGCTGAGTGGTTGAGGGACAGTATTGAAAGAGGCATGATCTTGGATGAGAGGCTTTACGATCCAATATTACCAATAGAGACGAGAGGAATAGGAGCCTGGGACAAAACGAAGCCGAAGAGGACATCACTTGGCAAAAGATCTCGAGAAGGCAGTGCGGCAAGTCTGGATGGAGGGAGGAGAAAACTCCGAAGAACGGCGAGCACAAAATTGAGCAGCCAAAGTGCCAACATCTGGGGAGATATTGTTGGAGGGGGAAGTATTGCACAGGTGTCTAGGAGTGGTGTGTGGGATACTGCCGAAGATGCAGACTTACCCCGGGCTCAAGAAACGAGGGCCAGAGAACCTATTGCGCCACCGAACCCTTCTTCAATGCAATCAACAATCGAGAATCCATCGATGCAGGGGATGTTCAGTGGCTGTCGATTCTATGTTTATGGCTTTGTCGCCTCGAAGGAGCAAATCCTTCGCGGTCACCTAATTTCGAACGGCGGTGAAGTATCAGACACAATCGAGGCTTTGGTCGACACCGAACCACGGAAGGACATCAAAAGGCTTTTCCGAATCGTTCCACACGACCTTCCAGGAGAGAAGTATCCATTACTGCCAGATTCTCAGCTTGACATCGAGACCATCACTTTCTGGTGGGTGGAACGGTGTCTCCATAACAAATGGTTTCTGGAACCTAGCGAGAGCATCATCGGCCAGCCTTTCCCCACATTTCCAATCCTTGGTTTCAACGAAATGACCATTTCCTCCTCCGCCTTCACTGGAATAGATCTTCTTCATTTCAAGAAGGCTGTCGAGCTGATTGGAGCCAAATACAGCGAGGATACGACACCACAGTCTACAGTTCTAGTCACAAAATCCGTTATTGCACTAAGGCACGATAAGTCTGAATGTGCTCAAATATGGAACGTTCCCATTGTGACAGCTGATTGGCTGTGGGACTGTATCAAGTCTGGTCAAAGATTACCATACGCCAAGTATAAACTTAGATTAACCAAAAAGCGAGCAGAGTCAATACCAAATGTAAAGGAGCGACCTTCTTCCAGAGCGTCAACTCGACCGGAGCGATCGAAGAGTGAAATATTGAAACCCATCACTGCGTCGTCTAGCGGCCACTCGTCCAATACAACTCGACCACCTCGAAACTCCGGTCTGGACGTTACAGCATTTGCAGATGACGGCGCCAGCAGCAACCTCACAAGATCTGCTCGACAATCCGGCCTCGATGAGACTGCATTTGCAGACGATGAGCCTGATAAAGCTACACGACCTGCTCGAACTTCTGAATTGGATACCACAGCATTTCAGAAGGAAGTGCCTAGTGTCAAGGACGAACAGGTTTCTCAGGTACTATCCTTCGGACAGACTTCGTCCACCGAAGATATCCCAATTAAAGCACCACCTTTATCAGAACGAAGCATAAACTCACCAACAAGAACAACCTCAACAGCCTCAGCACCATCAGAACCACCACCACCAAGCCGACCCTCAGAAGAGATCAGTAACGCTATCTCATGCCTTCTCGCAAAGTCCAAAAGTGCCGCCGCTCCGGCTCACACCGATCCCTCCGAAGGACGCAGGCGAGGCGGGAACCGCATCCTCGGCCGTGTGACCAGCAATGTCTCAACCGCCTCTGCCAATCGCTCGCGAGCTACATCTGTAGACTCAACAGCAAGCCATGGGCATCCAGTCCAATACCCATCCTACCTCGCGGGCAAGACAGCCAATGACCATATAGACATGCTAGTCAACGGCGACCGTCAGCGATTAGAGAACCTCGATAGTCAGCCGTCGAGTACACAGGTGCAGTACGATGATCCGGAGAGTACGACGGCGAGGGAGATAGTGATGGCGAGGATGAATGGGGAGAAGATTGAGCCGAAGAGGGCTGGGCTTAAGGAGAAGGCGGCTACGATTGGAGGTGCTGGTGCGAGAACAACGCGGAGGACAGCGAGGACGCCTGGGTTTCGATAGATTGGTTGGGTGTTGGTGTTCGTGACTTGAATTGAATAGTAATGAATTGGAAATCGAGACTTGAATGTTTAGCTTCCCGAGATGCTGTGACTTGCGTGATTGTGTGGTGTTGATACGAACATTGAGAGATTTATGTCGACTTCCCGCCTCTAACCTCGAGAATTTAGCTCCTCGACGCCGACGTCTCGTTCCCACAGTCTTTAATTGCTGAACAATTGAAACGTACCTAGCTAGGTATGCATCCCATCATAGGCAACGCTCTCTCCCTCCCGGAAAAGAATTGTTGATCGATACTCCCCAGCCTCGGCTCAGCCAATCAGATCCCCGCCTCGCTAAAGGTCCTATAACGTTGAATAAGCAAAACGGTAAACAAGAATTAGTAGGGCTAAGTAGAGGGATACAACGGACCTCTTTCAGGACGCCTAAGGAAGCAGCTGTAGCTACTAAGGATAAACAATGGTCTCGCCCTTGTACTAAGCAGCAAAGCTTCGGGCTGACGGATCCTGATAAGACCCCCCGCTATTTAGGCACGACTTATCTATGAGGGTGTTACTGCGAGCTGTCCGTCGGGAGTCTGTGAATGGTTTTGTCTTTTGGTTGGATGGTGGGATGGTCGCTTTTTGGGTGGGGGGAAGGGGGGGGGTGGGGAGCAGGGGGAAATGAGATTTTTGTTTCTTAATCAGGAATGAACATTTTCTTCGATGTTTTCTTTGGTTCTGACGACGAGTCTCCCTAGTCTTATAGCACGAAAATAGGGGGCAGAAGTAAAAAGGTTTGTCATTGTTTTGTTTAAGAAGGGGTTTGGTTCGGCTTTTCACTTCGGGGTGCTGTCTAACTTTTCATGAGTGTTTATCTCGAGAAGTACGGGCAAGAGCATTGAATAGAATGAGAGACGGAAGATTGAGGATGGAGGATGGGACTCAGATTGTTAGGCTTGCAACGGCATATCTCGCGATATCAATGTTGTGGCAGAGTTTAATGTTGTTGAGTGATGCTCATCAAAGGCTTAGCACATCTAGAATGAAAATTTGCACGGCCTTTGTGAACCTTTCATTTTGATTGGTCTTGAATTTCATCGCTTTCCTCGCACTCAGGCTTTCTTGCTTAAAAAAATCATACGAGCATCATAACTGGATTGAATTTTCGTATATCCATCAGCCACAGAGAACCACCCAGCAGGTCATGTTTGATGGTAGTATAACAGCTCAAAAGTCTGCTCTGCTATACTATTGAGCGGTAATTGGAAAATCGGTTGATTTCTTGCGACATCTGGGCTTAGGATCGACACATCAACCATAAGTCGAAGATCTGAGATGAAGAAGGATCCTGTATATACACACAAATCTCTTTGTTTTGTATCAGATACTCAATTGCAAGTCCATGCCTCTACATTCTCATCCCATTTGCTGTATGCATTCTTTACGACCTCTGTAGCAACTTCGAGCAAGTAAATGTTCGGCTCCCAATCAAACAATGCTTGAGAGAGTAGCTGAGCGATCAAGTTACTCGGATCACCGTAACCGCTCGGAGCGTTGGTCAGGACAACTACCGCGGAGTCGGTTTGGGAAATGTCATGTATGTCGATAGGAATCCGCCCAGACCGCCGGTATGTCCGACAATCTTTTGTGATGCGAAGTCCTGGCTAAGCTTATACGGTGTAGAGATGAATTGTCTATTGGTGATGGTGTTCCATTTATCGGTCAGGGTCTTGAAATTATAGAGTCCTAGTCCATAAGCTTGCAATGATTAGAGGCGAGAAAAAATTGCGGCTTCGTCACGATGCTCATAGCTTCAAGGACGTTTTGGAAGCTTGAGGCAGTTGAGCCTTTTGCCTCGAGACTAGTGCCGATACAATCAGAGCCATTGCTAAAGCCCCCTTCTAATCGACCGTCTGCCATCTTCGTTGCGGCGATGAGGATTTGGCTCCAGAGTAACATGTCATGCACACAAGAGCGCAGAGAGCCAGACCCATCAAATGCATCACCGTCCTTCGGCGTTGGATCGGAATTGTCGTATAGGAACCATCGTCAAGAACAATATATGGCCTGGCGTAATTATCGTCCACTTTCCATCGAGTCACGTACGAGTCAGTCCGACCTCTTGAAGTATGTTCTTCTTGACATAGGATCTCCAGGATTCACCGCTCAGTTCGCTGACAAGAACTGCTGCGAAGGCGTACGTCCAGTTGTTGTAGCTCCATTCCGACCGAAAGGGAGAGGCGCACGGAAGATGGTTTGTAATGTGTACAATATCTTGGCGTTTTACAAATACTTGGCCGTATCGACCGATGACGGTAAATGGTAGCCCCGCAAGACCGGCAGAGTTGAAGAGGATATCGAGTAAAGTAGCTTCATTGCTGACAGTCTGGTTATGAGGATTGTTGAATCGCGGGGACCAGGTGCTTATTGGGGTATTGAGAAAAACTTTATTTGACTTCGCAAGAAGGCTTAGGGCTATGGAAGTGACTTGGTGCAAGACACGATGTGATACATGGTCTTTTCATCAGGAATTCTGCTGTCGTCTCTGTCACAGATTCCGAATCCTTTAGTGTAGAGTGTTTTGCCATTGTGCATAACACCGATCGATGCCGAGGAAGCTTGGAAAGGTTCAAGTATGTTGACGATGGTTGGAATCACAGCCTCGATGCTAGAACGGTCTCATATTTAGCTGTGATTTTGGGAATGATCTACTATCATCGGGGAAATAACTCACCGGGCTTTGCTAGACGCATGCTCTGACGATGATGACGTGGACATTCGCGACATTAGAAAGGCTATTACTATGAGTTTGAATAGTCGAAGTTGATAAAGTGAAGCTGAAGTTGAATAGCTCGCCGGCTGCTCGCCGTGTTCGAGCTGTGACATGTTGAAAAAAGAGAGTCAAGCATCTATGCCATGTGGTAAAGTTGGCAGGAAAAAAGTTAGGCCGACCCTAAACCTTAAATAATTTTGTTGCACGTCGCAAAAATTCAAGTTTCTCAAACGCCAACAAGAAAACCTCAAGAAATTTGAAAAGTTGTGCAAGTCAGGAAATTTTTGCGCTAGTGGACCATCAGCCAATCAAATTACAAGATTTCATTTGTATGTGTTCTTCGTTGAGAAGAAATAATTTGGTGGTTGCGATACGCAACGAAAGATTTAAGGTTTTAAGGTTAACTTTAGCTTCAAACCTTAAATATTTTTGTTGCATGTCTACAGAATTTGTCTCCTCAACGATAAACTTCTCTAAAGATTTCAAATGTTAAGCAGTCAGGAAATTTTGGCGCTAAGAAATTCTCGGCCAATCATATTGCAAGGAATTTTTTGTATGCGTTTTCGGTGAGAAATAAATTTCTGGTGAGTGCGATGTGCAACAAAACCCAGAATTAAAGTTGGACCAATGAGAGGGCTGGGAGGCTTTAGTGTGAATTATATGGACTATTCAGCTTTGATTGGGTACAATAATGACATTTTGACATCGAGACAAGGCACTTGCTGCATGCCTTGAACTAAAGTCCCAATGTTATCGCCATGGCTATCAAGCCCAAACTGATCGTGGGGAGTGCATCGAAACAGAATTAGAGGATACCTTTGCAAATATCGCTCCAAAAAAAAATTGACGCTCACTAGGCATCACTTGAATCTAAAATCGCAACGCTAATCCCTCGACATCCAGAACTTCTCCATGCTCTGACTAGCTTGTAGCAAAAGTCCAGCACAACTTGCAATCTCATCTCGACAAAATTGGTGTGGCATTGGGTAACACAATGCTGCTTCACGATCAATGCCAACAATCGAAGAGAAGGCTTATTCTGGAAGGTCTTTGAGAAGTGTTCCTCGCAGAGCTCAAAACGTCGGTCTATCAAATGTAAGGAACAACAACTGTATTCAGTATGGACTGCGGCCGATGCTTTTCTTGTTGTCATGGTAAGGCTCAAAATGAGGCACAATTCATCTCAAGCAAGGAACACACTAGCGGCATGGAATAACAAACAGAAGTGTGATTGTTCTGGAACTACCAGTGAAACAGCGAAGCATATGAACTGTAGACAGGCGATCAATTATGCTCAAATCACAAGAAGTGTGACACAAATGGCAACCTTATTGCTCCACGAAGGCTCGAACGTAGTCTCATCCAAAGTCGATGACGTGAAATTGGTTCTGAACTGGATTTGAAAATTTAATATTGTTAAGGTAAGGTAGCTAATGGCGCATGTGATTGCCCATTGCTATTCGCTCCTCTCCTCTCTTTCTCTTTGCCAACCAAGGACCTCGAGGACGCAGACAGCCAGATATCCGGACCTATAGTCTCTTCGTCCATACGATGGGCTTCAATGGTCGATTCCACGTCCTTGGCCACGGCGCCGTTACTACTAATTGTTGTCTTGCCTGTTGACCAGCCATACAAGAATACTGATTTGTTGATAGACGTCAAACTCTCCAACACTTTCTCGGCGACGGGAGGAAGGCTGGCCATGATTTCTGGTATGTCAATATCAACGACAGCAATAGGTAGAGCCCATCCCAGCGGGACAGCGTAATCTGAGAGCTTTTGGAACTCTCGTATACGGTCCTCTCTGCTAAGCTGACAGTCTGTACTCGTATCGAGCAGCAGCGTAGCTCTCCTCTTCTCCGTTTCGGTTCCGATGATATCCACGATCTCTTGCATTCGAACCGCGGCTGCTCGAGTACATACCATTTTCCGATTGCCACACGCAGGCCATAGGTTAGAGGGCAACAACTGGTCCTGGTTCTCTACTTCTATCTGCCGCGAGATTGCTTTGTTGTGCCAATCCTCAGGCTCAACTCTTCCGTGGGACAAATCGCTAGCGAATGCAAGCAGAATAGTGCAATCAATATTGAGCGACTCAGAAAAGAATTCAAATCGATCTGACGCCATTCGATGAATCACAGAGGAGATTGGAGGGTATTCAGAAGACACTTCTTCGGACGTTTGTACATCCACCCCCAACTCCCTGATCTGCTTTAGGACATTTCCAACCTCTTTCGAATCCGGTACGGCCTTGATCTTTGGGAGAATGAGTCGTACGGTAGGATGACGGTATCGTATCCTAGTGACTCGAGAAGCTTTGACAAGTGCTTCGATTTGTTTCACCAAACCGGGCTCATCGTCGTCGTCATCCAGAGATTGCATCTCGTCGTCCTCGTCACTAGATGAGTCACCGGCCCATCCAGCTCTTGTGAGATCCCATATTATTCGTTTCTCTGTTCTGGAAGATACTTTGATCCATTCCATACCATCTTGTGACACAATGTCTACCGTTGCGACATCTTTGCGATGCCGAGTTCCCCTCGTTAATACCTTGCCATTGGTGTCTCCATTATTTTGCTCGTGTTGCCAGAAGAATCGTTTGCCCAATGCTACCACACTGCTGCGAGTTTTTGCTATGGACCATACTGTATCGAAGAAAGATAGATTGGACGATCGTAAACCGTGCTTCGTCTTGGGTTCATTTGGGTCCGAAACGGCAAGCTATGAACTGGTATTAGTATGTGGCAGATGTATAGGCAACAGGGAGCACTCTGACTTTATTCAAGAGCTTCATCTCAGCGTAAAGGCCTGTCTTAAAGGCCCTCACTTCAACCCGCTTTTCTTTCTTCTGCTGTTTGAGATGTGCCTGGAACTCCTCCAACTCTTCTAGTAATAGCTTGCATCTCTGCTGCATTCTAGTTGCCATTGCCTGGGTCTCTTCTGCAGAGGCAGATATGTCGAGTGCGAGTATTTTTTCATCGAGCTCATTGTCAGGCTGAGGGGCATGGCTATCAGCCTTGCCATTCGTGGCAGACATTCTCAAGGTCGTAGTGGGGTACTTGGAAATATTCGAAAGCCGATTTGGCTGCTATGAAATGACAGAGCGGCCTGCATTCTACGTATGCAGACGTGTCTTGGTATGCGATCATGGGGGAAATATTTAGAATTGGGTAGAAATAGTTGTGGTCGAGTCATAGCTAGCAAGTGGCCGACGTCCAATTTTCGAGGGTCACGTGTTACATGCACTTTTGGAAAAAAAAGTCCAATCGACCTCGGACCTCGAAGTCCCAGACATTATTGGAAAGATGTCATACTCAAATCAAGTGATCTAGCTGAGAAAGGGAACAATGTCGCTGCTGTGGAACACAGAAGCACGTTTCAAATTTTCTTGAGATCGCCCTGCAACTTGGGCGCCCATGCTCATGCTCATCTACACTATATTGTTGGCAACGCGCCAGCTAGTGCTGAGCCATTGATTTTCATGCTGCTGTTGCGGATTGCAAGTACCCAAAGATGAAACCTTCAATCTCAATGCCCTCCCTTGGGATCGCTCACCAAGACTCTTCCGTATAGGAGTGGGACATGCGACCATGCTAGTGTTGCTGTTCCCTGCCTGCTACTCCTCAATACTTCCTACTCATTTCAAAATTGGTTCAGGGCACTGCTTCTGCCTTTGAAATGTCCGGAAACGACGTATGAGGCGTCTTTGAGCTACTCTCTCCTCATCTGGGCAAAAGTTCCTAGATTAGAAGGCCTCATTGTGGCTCGTCCATCCAAGATACGACTTCTATAGTCTTACCTGTGTTTACCGTTCACGGTACTTGATAATTCTATACCATTTTCTACCAATTCTCTGGTAGCACTATACTTGGTGTATGATATTCGGCAATACTTAGGTACTTCTCGCTTAACAACGAGCAGCAAAGCGAAGCAAAAAGGGGGCTGAGCAGCACCACCCGGTATGACTCAATTGCAACCGAAGGACTCTTCCCCGTTCAAGCTGCATAGAGAGTGCTCGAAATTGTTAACACACCATCAAGTCAAGAACTAAAGTGAGGCACCGTCCCTCATTCCACCAAAACACAGTCATTATCACAAACCCACAACTTCCTCCCCAACTCCTCCACAACGGAACTGCCAACAATGGTCTCCTCTCAACCTCCACCTCCCCCTCCTGACCCCGAGAACCAACACCTCTCCCTCACCTCCTTCCACATACTCCTCCGCTCCAACATGCTCCCCAAACCCCGCTCCCTAACAACCCACCAAGAAACCCACACACCATCTCTTTTCTCCCCAACAAGACCGCCAATAACCACCCTCCTAATCGGCGACTCCATGTTTGAACGCTTCAAAACCACTGGCATACACACCCGCATCGCACAATCCGGCTCTCAAACATTCAACGCCGGCGTCGGTGGAGATAAGGTCGAAAACGTGCTTTATCGTCTCGATCTCGGGCTCTTAGATCTTCTTTCGAAGCAAGACGAGAAGATCAAGATTTGTATTGTGATGGTTGGGACGAATAATCTCGGCAAGAAGACACCATTGAAGGTTGATAAGTATCGTCTGTTGGTGCAAGCGCTGCTGAGAATCTCGGACCGGGTTCTGTGTTGTGAGATCTTCAAGAGAAAGGATATCGAGTATTCGGTTGTGGAGGAGAGTAATAGGATGCTGCGGGAAATGATTGGGGATGTGAATACGAATCTAAAGGATGAGAGGGTTCGATGGTTGGAGGCGCCGCCGGAGATTGGGATGGAGAGGTTGGTGGATCATGTGCATCTTGATGAGGAGGGGTATGGGATCTGGGATAAGGTTTTGTGGGAGAGGATAGAGGGCGAGAGGGTGGGGATGGAGAGTTAAGGAAGTGAGGATGAGTTGTTGAGACGATGGTTTGATGCTGGGCTCACACTAAGCTTCACGCACAAATTGCGCATACTGCGCGGCCAGCGGGGACAGCGGGGACAGCGCTCATCGCGAGCAACGCGCAGATATCTGATTGTCCAGTGATTTGATCGAAAGTCTGCGACCTCAAATTCCCACTCGAGATCATGGTAGAAGATTTGAAAGAGACTAAAAGCTTGCTAGTCAACTGAGAACGAGCGTTGTCAAGAAACGCCGTTAAATGGAACAGTGCTTATACAAGAGTTGGCACATTGCAGAAGGAAACAAATGTAGTGAAATAGTAATTATCAATAGTCTATAAAAAATATACAAATGAAACTCAAGTATACGCTCCTCCAAGCGCCAATGCTAATGCCAATCACATCCTACTATTCATACACTTCCCTATTATCCGTCCCCTCCCCAGGACACTATTAACGAGCAGGTTGCTGCATCTCGGTATTCCTCTCCTCCTTCTTCCCGCTCCCAATGATAGCCATCACGATCCTGCCAATGATCGTCTTCTTCGCAATACTCAACGCCATATGCTCCTTCTTCGGTTGCATAGGTTGAGCGCTATTCGAGCTATCGACCTGTCTCGCAGCCTGAGCCTCAACATGTTGTTCCTTAACCTGTTTCTTCAATGTCACACCCATGACCTCAAAGATAAACACGATAATTGCTTCCTCGATGAGAGCCACGCAGAGGAAGATGGTGGTGTTGCCAGTGAGGATGTTGTAGCGGGAATTTCTGGAGAAGGTGCTGAGACCCGAGTAGACGATGCGGACGAGGAGGAAAGGGAGCGCGATTGCGACGGCGACGAAGAGACGGCGCTCGCCTGCTTCAGCATGCTTGACGAAGAAAGCAATCAGGATAGTGAAGATAACGATTGCGACGTATGAGACGATCAGCAGACTGGTTCCGGCCTTGTTGAGAGTACCTGGGTGGTATTGTCCTGTTGATTGAAAGTTGTTGCCAGCGTCAATGCCACCGACAATACCGAGAATGAGACCGATGACGATGATGAGTTGAACGAGCTGCAACATGCGTGGGTGGAGGAATGTGTTGTATGATTTGTGGATGCTGTCGAGGAGGCGACTGAGGAAACCCAGTGTAGCGATTTCGAGGGGAGAAATTCCGATGCTGTTGAGGATTGCGGAGCCGGTATAGAGACTGACGCTGTCGGGGTTTTTGATTGTAGCTAGTTGCATGATAGGACCGATGATTCGGGCAAGACAGAAAAGGATAAGATAAATCCATCCTGAGTTGCGGCGGAACCCATGCGTGATTGCGAGGTAGATAGCGACGAAGAGACTCGGGATATAAAAGACAAGCTCTGCAATAGAGACATCATTTCGATACGTGAGAGTCATCTTGAAGGTATGAATTGATAACAAGACTGCTTGATTGTAAAAAGCTTGAGAAGTAACAAATCTTGCGAAAGCTTTGAAAGTGTTGGATAGAGAAGCAATTGACTTGAGACTGAAGTGTTTGCTTGTTGCGAATGAATAACAATCAATAGACAAAGGAAATGTGAGAAATATATACCCCCTTGAACATCATGTATAGCTCCCCATTGAGCGGCATCAAACTCCAATTGAGCTCTCTTTGGGGATGATTCTACGTCGCGCTAGACCCGATATGGCGCTCTCGACGCTCGCGAATTTGCAGGGCGGTCCAACCGTGCCTCAGCCCCAAGGAAAAAAATTGGGTGGTGAGTAATGTGGCTGCTCCACGACACGACGCTCAATCCAGCTGTATCCGCGAGTCAACCAATAATGATTCATGACCGGGCCATTTTACACCCTGTTGTCGGTTGTGATTCCGGGGGTGGCTGACATTCAGATCTCTGTCGCCAGCACACAAGCTTTCCAGAGCAGCCAATATCGGACCAGGTCGGAACTTCATCCAATTGTACTGGACGTATCAGTGCGAGACGTTTGATAAGATTGACAGATCCCGTGGGGATGGTCAGCGAGCTGTCTCCATCATGGTTAGTGAAGTAAAGCGGGAGGATTCAGAGAAGTGAATGAAGGTTGGGGACAGAGCTTCTTTGCGCCGACATGGACAGAAGCGGTCTAGCAGCTCGCACGTCAAAGTGATGACTGCTCCCGCATCTCAAGGTTGTCTCAAGTCGATGAAACCCTTCATGGGGAGGGTAATGAAAGAGGCTGTGTCAGCACCTTAGAATGGAATGAGTGTCTGTTTGAAGAACTCGATATCCTTCATGACGAATTTTGTACATGTTTTTGCTCGGTGTCTCCAGGAGATACGCAAGTGCTCCTAGCATGCCGTATTAGGATTAGTGGCGGTAGTGTGGCCGAGCACTCAGCCACAGCCACAGAATGGCGTATGTATGACCAATCAAAGGCTCCAAATACATTTTTTGCGCGTCGACACTACTCACTCTAGATGTTGCTCTTCTCGAGATGTGACCAGGCCAATTAACTCCCTCAGAGTGCTCCACGAGTCGGCTTTGCTCATCATCTCGAATTATGGCCAGTCAATCAACCTCTTCTCGAGATGCTGCTCTTCTAGAGCTGCGACCACGCCAATTAACGATCTCAAAAGTGCATCTCGAGATACTTTATATTTCGGCTTTGCTCATCATCTCGAGTTATGGCCGGCGAATCAATCTCTTCTCGAGATATGATTAGCTAATTACCGACATGAATTTTTTTTTGGGTTGCACGTCAATGAAACATGTAGAAATGCTTAAACTTCGGCTTTACTCAACTCCAGTTGTGACCGGCCAATCATTGACCTCAAATGGGTTTTTGTTGCATATCGATGGTTTCTGCAGATTTCACAAGCAAGCAGGGGCGATAACGGCTTGCTGAGTAATGACCCGTGACCACAGCCCTCTCGGCTTTCCCCGTCACCGTAAATCCGCGTTCACCTTGCTGATTTCTACATACCTTTCCTAATGAAGCATGCAATGCGACGTGCCTTGAGGCGAACATCAAGCATTCCAACTACACCCACCATACAGCAAGTACTGTAACTGTTGACCATGAAGCTGATAGACTCCAATAAGCTGACCGGCGCAGTTTTACCTGCGTGTATACATGTTTTTCTCCTGTATTTAAGCATGAGTCCTTGAATGTTTTCAAAGAAAGGAGCCACGTGAAATTGGAAAGCTTACCTTTATGTTTTGAAGCTTTTCTATACTGCTCTTATACCTATCCTCTTCAATCATTTACCTCCCGTTGAAAGGTTTGATCTGTAGCAATTGTTCCTTGAGCCATGGTGTACTGTGGGAAACCTTCGAAAGGATGCAGCCATTGCAGGCAGCGCAAAATCCGAGTGAGTGGATGCCCCCAATCTTTATAGCAACCGCACAAGCAAGCCATCTGGCCCTATTAGACGTGGGGTATGCATTGCGAGAGATCGTCTTTGATTACTCAACTTGATACGACGAGGAGTATTAGGGAAGAGTTCCGACTGATAGCCTGCAGTGTGATCAAGGTGTTCCTGCTTGCAGTCAATGTATTAAAGCACAGAAAGAGTGTTCCGGTTACAGGAATATGTTAGATCTGGCGTTCAGGAACGAGAGCGAACACGTTATCAAGAAAGCAAATGCAAAGTCTCGGAAGACGCCTCCTAGATCCAAAGAGGCGTCGCCCATCCCCAAGAAAGATCCCCGCGCTGCAGCCGTACCTGGACCAGCAACTCCCGTCCCATCAATTATCGTATCAAATGTGACGAGTGACACCTTCCCAACATTATTCTCCGATGACTGGCAGAATACTGAATCGGCCACACCATCCTTCCCATTTTGCATGCAGCCGACTGCCCAGGAGAGTGGTTTCAATTACTTTATATCCAACTTCGTCAGGCTACCCAATGGCCCGTCGCACGGACATTTCTCATATGTCGACCACCTATACAGGACTGGTGCGCTCAATGATACATTACAGGTAGCCATCACGGCCACGGGACTCGCGAGCCATGCCACCAAGACGAAATCAGCAACACTTATGGCTCGGGCCCGGAGAGAATATGCATTGAGTCTTAGAAATATCAACGCTGCTCTGATATCGCCAACTGAACGTCTGAAGGATTGCACATTGATGGCAATTCTTGTTGTAGCTGTTTTCGAATCAATAGCAGGAGCCAAATCGTGTAAGCAATTCGTTCATACCTCTACCATTCCCTATATATGACCCTGATCAGTACTAAACTCCATAGTATCCCTGAAAGAATGGACAGAGCATATCAATGGCGCTGCGACCCTCGTCAAAATACGGGGTCGCAACCAACTCAAGGACCGATGGAGTCGAGGTCTCTTTATCCACGCCACATCACACGTGGCGGTCAGTTGCATGCAACGAGACGCTGCCATGCCACCTCAACTAGTTGAACTTCGAGCCGAAGCGCTCAAATTACTTCCAGTGGATCCAGGCTATCAATATTTAGGCACGAATGACGCATTAACAACTTTTCGTAACGCCCTGAAGACTGGGGCAATTAAAGACCCAGAAGCCGTCATTGCAAGGGCACTGACGATTGACAAAGATCTCGTCCGTTGCTTTATTGATGTGCCTCATGGCTGGATGTACGAGACAGTATTTACGGAGACAGATTGTGAGGTAGTGTTTGATGGATCTTATGATGTTTATTTCGACCATTGGACCGCTCAGCTGTGGAATGCTATGCGAGCAAATCGCATCATGCTCCACGAAACTATTCGCAGTCAACTCATCCAAGGCTTCACATCCACACCACCTCAATTCACAGTCGAGTATTTCCAAACACGGTTCCAAGATTCCGTAAAAATCTGCACCCAGATGCGAGACGAGATTTTCCGGGGCGTACCTCAACATCTAGGATTCGTCACCCGAAAACCCTTCACCTCACCCTACAGCTCGACGACTTCTTCGCCTCCTTATATGGCGGATATGTTCTCGGAAACAGAAGCTACAAGATCACAGCTTCCTACCACCTCATTCACAGACCTCCTTTCCGACAACACCTTCGACTTGCCCCCTCCAAAAGAAACCCTCGTCCAAGACCCAACACACCCTTCGATCGGCGGCTACTTCCTCCTCTGGCCACTATACGTCTCGGGCATAACCCGGGTCTCCAATGCGGAACACCGAAAATTCGTCGCTAACACGCTTCAATACGTGGGAGAAACGATCGGGATCAGAGCTGGGAGTAATCTAGCAGCGTTTATGCGGGAACATAGTATGCAGCCACCGCCGGCAAATGAGAGTTGGAGGGGGAAGATGGGTCCGGTTACTGCTAGTTCTATATCAGTGGATGAGGTGTTGATTGATGAGAAGCCGAAGAGACCACTAATTGAGATGTTGGCTAGGGAGGAGATGGAGAGGGAGGAGAGGCTGAGGGCTGGGAGGGCGGAGGTTGAAGGTAGAGTTCTGTAATGTACATAAGTCTTAGAGAGATACAGAGATGAACTATCTACACATAGGACAGGCCGACATGAGTGAAAGTAGGTGTGATGTTTTTGCGAGATTGAGACAGCAGAATCACGTGGATTAGGTTTGGCCCGTTTCCCAAGCCGTTGCTTCCTTCTCGAGTTCCTGCTGTTTGCGCCTTACGAGACACATCATATACATCTGACCAAGTTATTTGACATTCTCATCACTTTCATCATAATTCTTGCAAGCGAAGATTTCATCCATACGTACCAAGCATCATGTATTATGTTACCGAGTGTTCAACTTACAAGAGCATCGCACTGTTATTGACTTTGTCTATGTACATCCTGCAGATCAATTCCCCGTTATCAATGTTATAGGCCCCCGAGAGGCTAACGGCGAAGCATCATCCACGTCTCTCCCAGAGCGACTGTGTCTGCTACAAAACGAAAAACAGAAAACCATCGATTTCAGGTCACACCTTGCACATCACCATCTTTGTCTTTACTCGCCATTCTTTGCTGTTGCACCCTGGTAGTTGTTTTCTCCGGCTTTCTGGTCATCAATCTTGTTGAGCTTCTCACACATCGCACGCGCAACTTCGTCGATGAGCTGAAGCTTATGCTGTTCTTCATCCTTACAATCACAAAGGAGAGAGCCTTCAAATGGAACCAAGGCAAGTCCATCTTTCTCCTCAACAGCTTTTCTTGCCGCGCCTCGAATTGCTGGACTGCTGGAATTTCGGAAGCCCCTAGTGCCGTAGCTGCCTTCTGCGGTGAGCAAGAATGCCAATCCATGGTCAATGAGTGGATTGAGCTTTGCCTCTTCTTTCTGAACATATTCTGCAACTTTACAGTTTTGATAATGACTGTGAGCGCTTATCAGTCGCGCTGGAAGTTGAGCGAGCTGCTCCTTCTGCCGTTTCGTGGCCGAAGTGTGTTGTCGGACTGCTGAGCATGACAAGAGCTTCTTTCTCACTGCATCGGCCCGGACAGAGCTTACACCCTTAGGAGGAATATTCCATCCTTGCTTGGAAAAGAAGTAATCTGCTGTGGGCTGAATGGCCTCTTCAATCCACTTTTCTGTCAGAGCCTTTCTCTCTTCATCTGATCTGGCGTTTCTGAACCCTGGTGGCATGTAATCGTCAAGACCATCCTCTCTTGCGGCTTCCTTCTGGTACTGCAGGTACATTTGTGTGCAAGGATCTAGAGCGTCGTGCCGCCATTCTGGATCTACATTATCATATGGTTCTGTTGCCAAGTTGATTTGCCAAGCCCAAGTTGGATCTGTTGGCTTTACTCCGAATTCCTTCTTCGTCCGCGCATACCAGGAGAGGTGACAGCTGAGATAGTCGATCACCTGGATCCCAAGTCCATGAGTTCGAGGGCGGTTCGCAAACGGAGTGTGATGACACAATGTATCCGGTACATAGAGTTCCCTTTCTACTATGATCCAATTGTGTACTTCTTCAAGCAAGAATGGCGGGCCCCACCCAGCTCGCATCAGCAGCTCCGACTGGCGCGCCGCGATAGATTCTTTGGCAAATACTGTGCTGGCATTTCTTTGAAGCTTCACATAGCCCCGAAGTTGTCGAAAGTTCGGTGGTAGGAAGGACTCATCGCACTCTTCTTCCGAAGCCATCACAATGTGCAGGGCGTAGAAGAACCTTTGTACGGTATACCCTTTCCGCATGTCATATGCTTTCCAAGTGTATTTGTGCGTGTAGTCCTTCCAATGGCTGGGACTGTCCCTGCTTGGGAGTAGATGTTGAATGCCATCACCTGCTTCGACAGCATCTGCCATTTTTTGGATCCTCTCATCGTTGAATTGCTCATTGAACTTTGCATACTCTATCGATTGGTGCAAAAGCACCTCAGCAAACGAAACCTCGTTCGTGAGTGATTGCAAGTGCCCGGTTGCATCGTGGATCTTTGGATCATCCTCCGATAATTCTTCGAGACCTTTGGTTGCATTTTCTTTGGCACGCTCCAAGTGCGACAAGACCATGATCAGAGATGTGTCAAGTGTGTCGCAGACTCCTCTGCGGCAGTAATGACCAACTCTCTCAAAGCATCCATGTTTTATGAAGCTAACGTGAAGGTCGCTGTCCTCAATATATTCGCCATACCATCTCTTCGCATTTTCAACAATCTTCCCAATCTTCAAGCTCTTCCACGGACTATGTTCTCCGCTCTGGATTAATTTGCTGAATTCATCTCGGCTTAATTTAGATCGAGATTCAGGATCTGCTTTTCTAAACCCGGCCGGAAGTCGAGGACCAGGTGAGGTTTTCTTCTTAGTCTCGAAGCGGAAGTGGTTTTCTTCGCAAAAGTCCAACATGTTTGCACAGACTTCATTGAAATGGTAATAGAGCTCTGCCATATCTTCCAAATATGACTCGGACTCTGGAACGAAGAAATTTCTTCCAATGACAACGGCTTCGCCGCTTGACTGGCGGGCTGCAATGTTGCGAGCTTCGATCAAGTGGGCCAAGGCTAGACATAGTGCTATTTCGTGTTGATAGCCCCTGATGAACAACGTTAGCTATTTCTGTATTCAGAGGAGCGAAGGAGCTTACCAAAATTGATCGTATGTCCATCCATCAAAATCGCTGTTGCAGACCGGGTCATCTGGGAGTACGATCTCGAGATCGCCGTTCTCGTTCTCTACGTCCTTGTTGTTGGAGATGATGGACTCAATAATAGCTAATTTCTCCAGCTTCGCATCCTCATCATTGGCGACAACAGTGACGACCTCTTCAGCAGCACTTTCACTTTCTTCGTGGATGTCAGATACTCCCTCAACCTCACCACTCTCGCTTCCACCTGGTGTAGTGGGTAGGAATCCCATTCGAGCAGCTGTCTCAGTCTCTTCGGCTGTAAGTACAATAGTCCAAGGCGCTTCTTCAATGATATCTCGCATAAGATCTTCCTGGGCTTGGGGAGTAATGCTGCCTGTCTCCGTCCGAGAACTACTCGTAGATCCTTGAGAGCCATCCTCGATATCCTCGCTGCTGATTTTGGAAGTAGCATCAACCTCTTCGCCATCACTCTCACTCAGGGTCTCTGTTTCAGCCCAAAATTCCTCTTCCTCTTCGAGAAGGGATTTAGCGAGCTTAGCCTGAGAAGACTCCTCTGCGAGGTCTCGTATGTAGTTCTCGAGTTTGGCTTGAGAAGATGCTATTTCAAGTTCTCGCATGTTAGCCTCGAGTATCTGCTCATGTGGTAGCAGAGCATTGTCTTGCGTTCTGCTCTGATGTGTTTCGCTCTGTTTCCCCCCCCGAGAAGCTAGTTCAAATTGTCTAGCAAATGCCCTTTGGATAGCCTCTTCGCTATCTCCAAATCGGTCCCAGGTATTGTTGCTTGTCTCGCTTTCGGGACTGTTGGCGGGCGCTTCGATACCCTTGGATGATACCTTCATCTCATCGAGTTCTGCTCTTAACTGAGAAACGAGTTCCATCCCTTCGCCCAGAATTCCGACAAGCAGAGCCGGGTAAGCCATATCGACTTTCTCGGAAGATTCGGGAAGGTTGTTATCCGTCTCGCTTTCAGAGACACTCTCACTTGCTGCCTTGACCTTAACGAGTTGTGCTCTCAGTTCATCACAGACTTCAAGCTCAGCATCGAGAACTTCGGAAAGTATGGCTTTTCTAGCCAACTCTTCGTCAGAGAGGCTTCGTAGGATATTGTTGCCTCTCTCGCTTTCGGGACTGTTGATGCGTGTCTGGGTGACCTCTTCGGGGTTGGTTGGCGATATCGATATCCGGGTTAGGGAGGCGATCTTAGGGAGTTGGGTGTTTTTGGCTGCCATTTTGCTTTTGCGTAGTGCTTTGTTTCGACGTCCTTTTGCCATGTACTGTACAGAATGTGTTTTGGTACTGGGAAAGACGTGAAGAAGTTGTACAAGAAAGATGGAGAAAGGTGGGAAGCTAAGGAGAGCTGGTTCTTAAGTATTGCCCAGGAAAGAGGACCGGACCTGATGAATCAAGGCCATTCGGGAATGTCAGTTCGGGAGGGAGGATGTGATTCATTGCACTTGCTGATAATCCTTGTGAATTTCCGCTTGGATGATATCGAGTCAGATGACGGCTGGAGCATACAATAACATCTCAAAGAAAGTCGCAACTTGGGAATCATAGAATGAAACGAGCATTCGGACCCAGATTCTCGAAATGATAAATTGCCAGACGCGAAAAGTAATTTCACTCACGATATAACACATCACAGCAATCTTTCCTGCGCTTCAAGATGCCATTCCATTTCATGCCAACCATTCAACTCTAGAACGCCTGTTGCAAGTCAACTTTTGGGTATCCGGCCAAGCAAGCAGATGAGTTAATGCCAGTCTGTTTTCCTTCGCCTCAATATATCATCTCCAGTCACGTTATCTTCTCAACTCGCTGTCTTCTCTTCTTCATCAGGCCAAACTTTGATCGGGCAACCAGAACACAACCTCCTTATCCGCTGTAGCAAACATATTATACCTCGGATTAAAAGCCATCAACGCTGTATCGCCAGCGTAATCCAGCTCATGAGCAGGGACCACAGATCTCGAAGTCTCAGTCGAACCACCCAATGTCTCCCACACAAGCACGTTCCGTTGTCTTGTTCCACTGAGCACATATCTTCCATCAGGACTGAAGCAGCAATCACCCGTACTCGGAAACAGATAATCGCTAGACATGGGATCCATGTTCTCGGGATTATGTTCACCAGGGCCAAGTCGACGAACGCTGCCTCGATCCTTGCGTAGAGAGGCCTTGACGTGGCCATCGAAAGCGTCGAGCAGGAAGTGAGAATTGCCTGTAGTGCCGAGAAGAAGATGTTTACCATCATTACTGAATTCGAGCTTATTCCATCCACGGCTCATACCCTCGCCCATCTCTCCTGAATACGGCAACATGTCGAAACTTGCGAAAGGAGCTTTGTCGAAGTTTCTGAAGTCATAGAGAACGATGGCTGCTGCGGTAGGAGAAGCTACGGCGAAGACATAACCAGAGGGGTCCCAGGCTGTGAGATAGGCGCCATGGAGGTCGAGTCGCCCGGCTACGTTCTTTGTGGCGGAGTCCCAGATCCGGAGGGTGTTGTCGTAGGAGCAGGACAGGAAGGTGTCTTGGCCTGGGTGAAGAGCCAGACACGTGACGGCTTCCGTATGGCCTTCGAAGTAGCGGAGGTAAGAGTTATCATGGGTCGAGAGGTAACGGATTGTGTCTATAAAAATATCAACCACTATATTCTACAGGACTGAAACAGGAGAAGGGACAAGTACTGTTTAGCTTGGTACTCGAATGAATAATACATCCAGTCGCGTGACCAAAAATCGCCTTCGCCACACCGTACTTGTGGCTGAGGCATGTTTTGTGTTGTTTGCCCTCTTTGACGTTGTATATTTGCATACTACTGTCACTTTCAGAGGTCAAAAGCAAGCCACCTTCATCGTCGAAGTCAAGAGAGAGGATGGTGGTGGGTGCTGTATTTCTTGATCCTGGAATGGGGGTATCACGGCGCCAATGCTGTCCAAAATCAGTGTGATCTGGGGTACAGTGATGGGTATTTATTTACCTTTGTAGGTCGGAATATGGGAATCATCTCTGAGAGCATGGCTGTAGCTTGGACTCCATTGGCTCTTCCTGTAATACCATTTCCCATGGGAGAATCGATTTGCATAGGTGTTGAAGACATAGCTGTAGATTTCCTCCACCTATCTTTTACAGTTTCGAAGTAAACCTAGATGTCTCAAGCGAGCAAGAACATGATGCTGTTGATAGTTTGCGCACACTCAGAAGAAGCTCTAAATCGCAACGCACCCAATATGGATTAGCTTCTCCTACACGTGATTCTCACTTGATCCCTGTAAAGGGTCTTGGCATCACTTCCGATCCTCGGGACAGCGGACCCTGGCCATCCCATGCAGCAGCGCAACTTAACGCAAGGCCCGAAGCTATGCTGGTAAGCAACACTCGAAAAATAATAACGGAAATTGGCAAAAGCTCTCTTCCCTATCTGAGGCGACACAGTCAGCCTTTGTAACCCTCGAAAGTCCACCACTACTTAAATCACTGGTTACTTCAGTGCGACGTAGCTGTCTCACAAGCTGGCTTCGCGATAACAGAAATTTCAAGGCCCTCTTAAGAGGGCTGAGGGGACTACAGCTTGGGCTGAGCAAAGATGTCTACGACTTTGGGGTGAGTTCTGGTTTTGTTGGGAGAGATCATAAGATTCGCTAACGAGAATAGGTCTTTCATAGCTGGTGGAATTGCTGCTTGCGGAGGTTCGTTCTAATCCTATTGCTGCTTCTTCCTTTCCTATGGGTTCTGGAGATGGGAACTGACAACCATCTGCCCTCATGTCTCGGCTTTCATACTAGCACGACTTGAAGCTCTGCACATCTCTTGGTATAATGCTAATAAACTAATGTGCAGCTGTAAGTGTAACCCATCCAGCAGAGACTGTAAAGATCCGGTACGATTCCATCCCACTATCCAGGAACAAGTTCCTACTAACAAGCTGAAAGCATGCAACTGCAAGGTGAACTCCAAGAAAAAGGACTACAACCACGACTGTACAGAGGAACATTACACGGTCTCACAACCATTGTCAAAAATGAGGGAATCGGAGGACTCTATCGAGGAATCGGAGCTGCGTATATATACCAGATGATCCTCAACGGCTGCAGATTAGGATTCTACGAACCGATACGGCAGACGCTCACAGGCGCCATATACACAGATGCAAAGACACAGAGCTTGGGCATAAATGTCTTTGCGGGAGCTACGTCGGGAATACTGGGAGCTGCTGCTGGAAGTCCTTTCTTCTTAGTGAAGACGAGGCTACAGAGTTTCTCTCCGTTCGCCCCAGTAGGGACACAGCATCAGTATAAGAATGCTGTGGATGGGATGCGACAAATCTACAAGGCTGAGGGAACGACTGGATTGTACAGAGGAGTGGGCGCTGCTATGGTGCGGACGGGATTTGGTAGCTCGGTTCAACTGCCAACATATTTCTTTGCGAAGCGGCGACTGGTGAGGCATCTTGGAATGGAGGAAGGACCCGCGCTACACTTGGCAAGCAGTACTGCCAGTGGTTTCGTGGTATGCTGTGTGATGCATCCTCCAGGTAAGCTCTCCTCAATTTTGACGTAGTACAAAGCTCACATAATCAGATACCATTATGTCTCGCATGTATAACCAAGATGGGAACCTTTACAAAGGTATATTTGACTGTCTGGCAAAGACAGTGAAGACCGAGGGTATCCTGGCTATTTACAAAGGATTCTTGCCTCATCTGGCAAGAATCTTGCCCCATACCATTCTGACTCTCAGCTTGGCGGAACAAACCAACAAGCTGATGCGAAAATTCGAGGACAAAGTCCTCCCAGCCTCGGTCAAGGACAATATCTGATCTAAAGCTAGATAATCCTGACTTATGAGCCGCTGATCTAACATCACCTGTATATATGCCATATTGCATGATGAGAGGAGTCCTGGAAGGCCGTGCAGAGCCTGGTATGCCGATTTGTGGCTGGTAAAAGTTACCCTTCAGCCGTTGATAGATCTGGAGCATCCATAACATAGAACACTATCTTGGTCGACTGCTCTTGCCACCCGTGATACCGAGTTTTGGTCTCCTCCCCATCCGTAGATGCCATCTGTTCCCTCTTCAACCGGGAGACCACATAGACCGCAATCCGTTGTTTCATCTGAAGGAAGTGACTGTAGCTTGCTTGATGTTCTGACAACATTTGCGACAATACTGGGGTAGTCTTTCTCAACCGACTCGAAGTATTGCGCCATAAGATCATCAATGGTAGTATCCTTAGATGAAGTAGATATGTTTGCAGATGATTCTTGAAGAATGATAAGATCCTCAAGAGAGGGCGTTGCTAGAGAAGAAAATGTCACGAGTTCTTTCTTGAGCAGATCTCGTAGAGGATAGTTGAATGCAATACCATATGGAGAGTTCCCGTCAGAGACTTGCCATGGTAGGGAGAAACCACGACCTTTAGCTGTTTCGGTGAGGGTCTTTTCTGCAAGCCGTGTGGTAGACTCTCCGAATAGCATGCCTTCACATTCATTCTTCTTGCCGACGTCCACTAGGAGTCGGTTCAGTAATGTTGTGAGAATGTCCGTCCTAGAGGTAGGCGATGGCATGGAACCAATCATCTTTTGTAGTCTCTCTGTCGCTGGCTTTACGGCATCCTCCTCGGAGAGATTTGGCAGATTCAGCGACTTCCAATCTATGCTTTCGAGGTTCAGAGCTTCTTCTAGACCAATACTGATATATGTATGCCTTGGAAATCGAGTTTTATACTTTTCCAGTAAAGTCTCGGAGCTCTTTCGGTCTTTCTCATCCACATATTGGTCGACATGAACGACAAAGAGTTCATACGCAGCTCGATTCATTCGGTCGAATTGTCCTTGCAGATGTCCGTCGAGGATATGTAAAAGAGATGTGGAGCATGGCCCAAAGGAAAGCGGAAGCAAGAGCTTTCTGGCAACAACTTTATGGGAACCTCTCATGCGATATGTTTCCATCCGCTTGATTGCTTTCGTTGTGACATACTGACAGAAGCATTTCCTGGACCAGAGTCAGTGCGACTTCTAAGTTGTGAAGACCAGAACTTACGAGCAAACTTTCTCGGATCGTATAAGCTGAGTTGCTGTCTCCACGTTGCATCTTTTGCAAATTATGTGTGTGCCATTCGATGCGACCGGAATGCCAGGATCTGCCATCATGTTGAGAGCAATTTGGGTTGTCCGTGAAGGAAAGTAAAATTTCTTGGTGACTCCAAAAAATTATGACGAGGCGGGAGAGCCTCGCAACCAAAGGGCGGGCTAACTACCCGACAGGCACTATTCTGATGACTGGAGATAAATTGCAGTACTGAAAGAAAATAAAATAAAATATGTATTCGACTAAAGTATATATTTCGTACTTCTCCTGAGATTTGATAGTATTTAAAAGTGTTTTGAGGTAATTTTACCAATACCTCATACAAAGGGATGTTTTGAGGTGTGTCTAGTTATGAGCGAGAGCCTCGTCTTGGCCTTACAGTAGCCCGCCCGTGCCGTAACGCCCTAGCTCATGCGTACGTTGCATCTATGGGTCTGGAGCTTTGAGCAAAACGAAACCATCACTTTCCCCTTGTCCCTTCAATCGAGGTCATATTGAAGTCCGCGGACCCGTCTTTGAATGGATGCATGAATCGCAACTGCTCTCCCATTACTCCCCGAACCTGCCGGTCCTGAGACAGCGAAGAACTAGGTATCAGCCTCGAGGCTACGAGCAAACATGAGGAGCTGGCTCCATGGCCTCCTCCTGTTGGGGCTGTCTGCTATGACAGCCAATGCGATGGAGATGAGAATGGTCCGTAAAACGTGTTTAGAATGAGGATGTTTCCTAACCTTACAAGCAGGACCAAACAAATGACAACAGACAAATATGCGCGGGCATGTATTCGAGGAACACATGGGGCGGAGCTGTCGAACCACATATATTGGTGAAGTTCATAAAAGAGACGGTCGAGGATGACTCGGATCCAATTGCTAGTATGGTCATTTTTGAATGGAAGGATTATGATCTTATTGGAGTTTTACCAACACCAGACTCTATGCAGGTATGATAGGAAAGTTTATGGCTATAACAAGATACTGATGATCAATACAGAAAGAATACATCTGCGACCCAGAAACCATTAACAACGAATACTGCAATGTCAATCAGACGGGAGAATTCATCCTGGCACCGAATGCGACAGACCTCTCAGTTAACCTGATATTTACACAAGCAGTCCACCTTAAAGACCCAGGTCTACCAATCAACTATGGAATCAAGAAGACGGGCTATTATTGTGTTGGGACAACAGCATATTCTCCTTCTGATGTGGAGTATACGGCGACTGTGGAGTTCCGAAACGCCTATGGAGAATTGCCAGCGGCTCAAATTGCCAAGCTTCCATTCTATGGAGGCATTACGATTGTTTATGCTGTTATTGGAGCGTAAGTCGTTGCCAATGCTTGCAAACAAACCTTACTGATGCATTTTAAGATTTTGGGCTTTCCTCTATGTCCAACATAGACATGATATCTGTAAGTATACACTCTAATTATCATGCTTGGCCAAAACATTAACAAGACCTTCAGTACCCGTGCAGAATTACATTACAGCAATCATTATATTCTTGATTGTCGAAATGCTGATGACCTGGGGTTTCTATGGTATGCCCTATTCTAACTCATGTCCGAGATGACACTGACAATTTTAGACTACATGAACCGCAATGGCTCTAATCTCGGCGCCAAGGTTCTGATGATTGTAGTTGCTATCCTCAACGCTGGACGAAACTCGTTCTCCTTCTTCCTCCTGCTCATCGTCTGCATGGGCTATGGTGTCGTCAAGCCTACCTTAGGCAAGACCATGATCTACGTCCGATGGCTCGCTGGAGCTCACTTCGTATTCGGCCTAATCTACTCCATTGCAAGCTTAACCGTGACCCCAGAAAATGCTGGTAAGTACCCACTCCCTATCCCCTCCATAACTACTTACTAATCTACCAAGGTCCCCTCGTCCTCTTCGTCATCCTCCCCCTAGCAGGAACCCTAACCGCCTTCTACGTCTGGACCCTCAACTCCCTAAACGCCACCATCAAAGACCTCCGCGAACGCAAACAGACCGTGAAAGAGAGCATGTACCGCTACCTCTGGTGGTCAATCCTCGCCTCCATCGCCGTAATATTCGGCTTCTTCTTCTTCAACTCCTTCACGTTCGCCTCAGCCTCCGATCCCAACTTCGTCCCCTTCCACTGGAAAACCCGCTGGTTCATCCTCGACGGTTGGCTGAACCTTGTGTATCTGGCCGATGTGGTGTTTATTGCGTATCTCTGGCGGCCGACGGCGAATAATAGGCGTTTTGCGATGAGTGATGAGCTGGCGCAGGATGATGAGGGGTTTGAGATTGCGGATTTTGGAGCGGATGATGATGAGGATGACGATGATTTGGAGAATGGGACGGCGAATAGGGGGCAGGAGGGTGCGAGGTATGATCCTCCTCCTGCGTCGAATACGGCTAAGGAGATCCCGAGAGAGAGTTTGGATGGGGAGACGATTTTTGCTGTGGGCGATGAGAATGATAGGTGGAGTGACGATGGAAGTGATGAGGAGAGAGGAAAGTTGGTAGGGAAGGCGGGTAAGGATACTTGAAGTCACGTTTTGAGTGCGGGTTTACGACTGTAACATTAGATGCGAGGGTTGGGATATAGAATTCTTCTATGATTAAGCATTACTCGGCATGGTATAGTCCTATCCCTCCTTCTTTGGGCGTAACTTTTCTTCCAAAACAATGGGCTCGGGATTGGTCTTCTGCACGGGATCGAAGAATTTGCGAAAGGACGGATCATTGATCACGTTGTTGGGATGAAACCAATGTTGCGGAGTCAGGTCGTCTGTCTCGATAGTCGGTCGAGGTGTAATGCTCGGAAGACCAGCAGCTGCACGTGCAATGCTGTCAAAGTTTGGCTGCGTATTTTTGGACATTCCTCCTAAGCTGAGGAATTCTGGTGACGGCTCTTTGTCTTTTTGTCCTTTCTTTCTTGCCGCGTCAATTACCGTGTCCTTGTCCAGTATCGATGCGGATTTCCCGATCCTGAATAACCACGAAATGCCCCGCTTCAGTTCTACATCCTTACTTCTGTGTTCGACGGTGATTAATTTGTCCTCTACCTCATATTTGGTCGTGGCTCCCCATCTCAGAATATTACAGTCCGCCAACCTTTGCAGCAGCCTAGTTGTAGATTCGTTGTCCCAGTGTGAGACAGCATGTACCATATTAATATCGAACTCTTCCGCCGCTATTGTGAAGAGAGTGCAAAGAGCCGTGAACATGACTCCTCTGTGCCGATGATCAGGGGAGAGTAAAAAGCTTAGCTTCGCATACTCTTTGTCACTCGTGACATGCCCAGATATAGGTCCCCGTGCTGGACTCAATGCACAATGACCTATGAGTTTGTCATCATGGCGGATTATCTGGAATGGGATGGACGCTGTAATCGGATTCAATTCGTCGAAGAGTGAGGCATGACGCTCTTTGGAATTGTTTAGACGAAGGATGAAGTTGGTGAAGTATATTGTATCCTCGAACCAAGAGTGGATGTTCTCCTTATTGTACCTGAATGCGAGTCAGTAAGACTTTACGTTCTCATCGCTCAACATGAAGTTTCAGCTTCAGCTTTTGGAAGGATATTCGATGAACGCAAGAGCCCATAGAGGAGAAGAAATGAAGTGCGGATAACTCACGGTTTCTTGATATTGATTGGTCCATTATTGAGGTAGAAACCCAGCAGTACTTGCATTGACCACGCATCACCCTCTCTTGGTGTCGTAAGCGTATATCCATCATAGCCTGGGACATTCAGCTTGACCGACTTTGCTGGCTGAGGTGCTGTAAGTCGTTAATACTCTGCTGTCTTGAATCATTGGGGAACATAACTCACGTGGAACATTAGGGGATAGCAACGGATGCTTTCCTTTCCAATCAGGATCTTCCTGGTGTTCCTTCTTGACCACATATGTCGGCAATCCTCCCTCTGATTCTGCTTCCATTGCTATCACGTTCCTAAGACGATCCAAGAAACAATGCCGGTTTAAAGAATGTTCAAAACTTCAAGTGATACTTCTGCCAAATGAACAATGTTGACTTTATGAATGAGCATGAGGGGAGGTATGGATCAGACGAGCTGTATACTTGAGACCAGAGACGAAAGGAAAGTGCTATATGAAATGTAACCTACCACTGTGGAAGGAGCAACCCGTGTGAGCAAATGTTCATGACAAGCACTTGCAGCATCGTAGATGGAAGGCCCGTTTCAAGCATCAAAAAGGTCGACACTAAACGACTTGAGCCCCAGAGTTCGTACACATCGGTATTTGCAAAACAGTCTAAGCACATGACCCCAGCAGCTATTCTTAATTTTGTTTATTGACTTTCTACTTCATACAGTTGAGTACCTTATGATAAACGCCTTGTTACAAACCTCTCTTCGCAGGTCCATCCTGTACTCCAAACACCAACCACAGACCGCGCGAAGGAGGATCAGGCCATGTGCTGATATCCTATCAAAGTACCTAAACAACAGATCCACATGCTAGAAACAAAATACAAGAAATGAATCAACTTTTGCTGAGAAAGGACTATTGAACTCCGACTGTTATCCGGCAGTTCAGGGCGTCATAATCATCAGAAAGCGTTGCTCGTGACCTTCGTGGTAGGTCTGCTGAAATAAACAGCAGGTCGAATCTATGAAGCACATTGCAACTCCGATGTAACTCTAGACAGAGGAAAGAAGAGAAGGATAAACTTAGAAAGCATCTTCGTCAGTCCAATTCGCTTCACTACCGGAAGCAATACGGACACCATCTGTTTCTGTGAAGCCTGCACGAGCATCATACGGAGGAATTCCTCGTTGCTTCTTGATGGGTTCGCTTTGAGGATAGTCTTCTGGGGTATAGCGTTTTCCGTGAGTGGCTCGAAGCTTTACATAATACGCCTCTGTTGCATCTCGTTCAGGCTCAGAATCATCTTCGATAGTTTGCCAGTTCTCTGAACCAGACACTGTCGTATGAGATGATGTGTTTGAGATTTGGCGACTTGGGGGCGCGTTCGGGTAAGAGTGCATGTCTCTCTCATTCGATCTCATGGAAGACTTCAGTTCATGGTATGATTGAGGGCGGCTGCGCTGAGAATGAGTCCCATCATAGAAATTATCTTCAGGAGAAACGTGACGAACACTGCCACTCGACGCAACGCTCTCTGATCGAAAATGGGTGATGGGAGTGGCCACTGGGGGCGGTACAAAGAGGTCACGCATCCTTGGTGGAGGTGCTCTGCTTGGTGGCGGTCCCATCTTGCCCCGAATGGTGGCCTCGTTCTGTGGACGGCGTTCAGGCGAATTACCACCATGATTGAGATTCGAAAGTGGAGCGCGGGCTGGAATACGAGACGGGGATTTGCCTGCAGGTTTGTCGACTGATGCTGGAAGAGCGTTTCGTCTCAAAGTGCCTGTTCCCATTGCTGTAGGTGTCTTTGCTCCAGTTCGTGGTGGTGGAGCCTTGACAACACTATTCGACCGAGCGGGTGGTGCAGACTTGGGAGCCTTGGTTGCAGTAGGCGGAGGTCCTGCTGGGGTCTTTGATCGAGGACCGGGAACAGGCTTCGCCTCAGAAGCTTCGAGTTCATCGAGGTACCTCTCGCCATGTACAAGGAATGGTCGACCGTATTCGTCCTCCCATGACTCTAAGACCTATCAAATGTTAGTGTCCGATGGATAGTCAAAGAAGCAACTGCTTTGATCTTACCTTTCTCAATTCGACTGCAACCTTCGGCAGATCCTTTGCAATTCGCTTTCTCATCTTCTCTTCCCTAAGCAATCGCGTCGGATCTCGCTTCTCACCCTTTTGACCACGACCCAGCAGTCTTGATGCATCTTGACTCGAGGCCTGCAAGTCGTCGCGATCCTTGACCAATGATCGGTGCTTGTCGATAAGAGCCAAAGTTGGTGCACGTTGTTCCTTGAGAGCCTCTAGTCGACCGATTTCCTGTTCATGCGCCTCAAGCAAAGCGTCACTGTAGACGTCGGAGAATGCAGGTGTAAACTCCAGCATTTCCTCCTCCGAGAAGTATAGACTGTCCCATAGCTCTTGCAGCTTGTAGCGCGCATCTTCAACGAACAAGTGGAGGTTTTGTCTCTTCAACTCATTCAGCCTAGACAGCTCATCCTCGAATTCGTTGATCTGTCGAACACCGCAACCTCGATTGCCATTCAAGAACTGCTTTCTCTCCCGCTCCTCAACGCCCAACTTCTCCCATAAAGCTTCGACGGTGCTCTTCAGATCCTTGAGGCGCTTTTCACGTGATTTCTTCTCGTCTGAAAGCTTGTCCCTCTTTGCACGCAGTCTAGCAACATCCTCTTCATGAAGTCCCAACTGCTCGGGTGCGTCTCTATAGTACTTGACAATAGTTCCATCGGTCTGTGCCTGTGGTGTGCCGAGTTCTGCCCATAGCTGGATAATGTTCTCTGACAATGCCTTCACGGTCGCGACTCGTCGGGTGTATTCCTCGTAGACTCGAGTAAACTCATCATCAAGAGCAGTTACATAAGTAGGTGATAGGTCGAATGTGGGTGGGATGCTGGCGTTCGGAGAGGTAGGTGGTAGAGAGATCTTAATGAAGGAAGGTTCCAGGTGAGAGGAGTATGACTCGAGAGCTTGAACGAGTTCTATCGGGAATTAGCCTACCAACGTTGCACATGAGAAACTGTACTTACTCTTGACTTGCTCGAATCGCTCCTTGTGCAGCTTAGCAATTTGAGAGTGCTTTTCCTTCAAGCCCTGCAAGCAACGTGCCAATGGGTAGGTGATCTTAAAATCCTCATCCTCTGCCTCGTACTCGTGCCGTGATTTCCTATCATCCAAGGATGCCTCCATTTGCCTAATTGTAGTAATGATACGTTGAGCCTCCTCGGTCATCTCATTCTTTTCAGTGGTGACTCGACGGACTTGGTTTTGTAAGGTTTCGGAAAGAGCAGCAAACAGCTTGTTCCAGTCAGCAATAGATACACGCATTGTTCCCCGAGTTCTGAAGTACCTCTGCTTCCCGCGTCTCCCGTTCATGGTTGGGAACGCCAATCTCGTCAAACAAGCCATGAAGTTGTCCAATGATCGTCGATACCTGCTGGGACAAATAGCTGGAATCCATTGCGAATGAGGTTGAAAAGACGCGTCGAGATGATAATGTCTCTCCAGTGACTTAAAGGTGTAGCGAATAAGGAAAAGCGGGCGAGGAAAGGCCAGTTTCGGATGTTTGTTGACTTTTGAGAATTTAGCAGTGATCTAGACGTGATCGCGACTGCGAAACCTCGGCGCAAACTATAAAGCTGCTCATCAACGGAATTGCATGCAGTGAGGGGCGCGTTGAATGTGATGATGGTGAACCTGTAAATTCATGCAGAGGACGCAAAACCCTGGAGAGCTTTGCACCGTTGTTGGCACAGTAACTGAAGTTGTATCGCTCGTGGTTCGTCAGCATTTCCAAGTGGGTCTGGCCTGATCGGCCTGGTTTCAGGTTTAGCGTGCCGGCCCCGCCACAAGGCTGCCAAAATCGAGACCTCAATAAATCCGGCTCTGACTTCAAGCTCAACTCTTGAATTTACATCCACCTCCAGATTACTCAACCAACGCCCATACGACGGCTCTCGTTGATCATGGACACTGCGTACAAGACTTGGGGTAAGTATCTACAGAACATACCTCCACTACAACCCCTTTCATGACCCCTCAAAGCTCACCTTATCGATAACAGAGCTCGACAACAATGTCACACTCGTGGACCCGCAAAGAGACGCCCTCTATACTTACGATACCGCCGAGCAAAAAGCCATAGGAGATGCCAAGCCATGGAGAAACGACCCTCATCACTTTAAGAATGTGCGAATATCTGCGGTGGCCCTGCTGAAGATGGTCATGCATGCGCGGTCTGGAGGCTCAATTGAGGTTATGGGCTTGATGCAAGGCAAGATTGCTGGAGACACATTTATTGTCACGGATGCATTCAGATTACCAGTCGAAGGCACGGAAACTAGAGTTAACGCCCAGGACGAAGCAAACGAATACATGGTCTCATACCTCCAAGCTTGCCGTGATCAGGGCAAGCTCGAGAACGCTGTTGGCTGGTATCATAGTCATCCAGGCTACGGCTGTTGGTTATCGGGTATCGATGTCAGCACGCAAGCTACCCAGCAGACTTTCTCCGATCCCTTCCTCGCAGTGGTCATCGATCCGGACCGTACTATTTCAGCCGGCAAAGTCGAAATCGGTGCCTTCAGAACCTACCCCGAGAACTACAAGCCGGCAGATTCTGGTTCTGGTGACGGATACCAGACTATCCCGCTCGCCAAGATTGAGGACTTTGGTGCACACAGCAGTCGATATTACTCGTTGGAGGTTTCTCATTACAAGAGCACTCTCGATACCCACCTGCTCGAGTTGTTGTGGAACAAGTACTGGGTCCAGACTCTGAGCCAGAGCCCACTGTTCACGAATCGTGAATACAGTAGCAAGCAAATGCTTGATCTGAGCTCCAAGATTAGACAGGTTGAAACGGGCATTCAACGTGCTAGCAAGGCCATGCAAGGTATGGGAGCAAGCAAAGCTATGGATCCGCAACTGGACAAGGTTGTGAAGGACAGCAACAAGATCGCAGGAGAGGAGGCAACTGGCTTGATGGCTGGTGAGGTCAAGGCAAAGCTGTTCAATGGCCTAGGAGAGACCGCGAAACCTGCTGCTACACCTGTCGAATCGTGAAGCTTTACACCAAGAATCTTGAAAGCTCTGGCGGCATTGCTTGGCGAAAATCTCATGCATAGGCGTTCTGGCAAAACACGTTGAGGGTGTGGGAAACTTGGAGCTTCTCAGCATTACTACTTAGATGAATTACGAAACACGCCATAGGTGATGGTAATGAATAAAAATGACATACAAGCCGAGATGAACCGCCTTTTCTTACTCTATCTTACAATCTTACAGTGTTCTATATGAAGCTATCATCGTCCAGATCGCTCCAGTCATCCAAATACACCTGCTGCTGTTTTACAGTCTCCTTTTCCTTACTCTCACTTTGCTCCATCCCATCCAGCTTAGCCATAATCGGCACCCCATCATTGCCCAACCCTCCCTTATCCCTCTCCTCAATCTCCCTCGCCCTCAAAACAACCTTCTCCGCCTTCTCCAACCTCCTAACCGTCTCCACCTTCCCCAAAATCCTCATAGTCTCCCCCCCATCCGGCCCCTGATTCCCCCCAAAGATAGCCCACCGCAGATACCCATGCACAAGCGTACTCCACGCTTTCTGCACCAACGGGCGCATCCTCTCATCCAACTTCCCCGTTTTGCTACTCGCTAAACTCATCGTCACGCCTCGATCTACGACGAAAGTCGACATGTTCTTGATAGATTGCCCGTTCCAATCCGCGTCGGGGATCAAGGATACGTTTTTGAATAGCGCGAGGGTTTCGGTGGAGACGGGGTAGTTGATGGATGGTGGTACTTTGTGCAATTTTAGGCTGGGGATCTTCTCGCGGAGTTTTTTGGCGGAGGGCCGCACGAAGAAATAGATGTTTCGGGCTATGAATTCCGTGGGTGTGGTGTAGTTTGGTGCATCAGCTAGAAGGATTGAGCGGACGTAGTTCTCTCTTGCTTCGCCTTGGGGAGTGGTGGTGTATAGGCTTAGGTCTTCGAAAGAAGAGCGGTGGTCGAGTAGCTTTACCATGGGCTGTACGGCAAGTTCTGTGAGTGAGTGGCGGGGATTCATGGGAAGTCGAGGTGGCATGCTGGCATAAAGGGCTGCATGTTTTCGTTGCAGAAACCATAGTTTCTCGAAACTGACGACGGAGTCGCCGCGGGTGTATTTCATGCTTGCATTCTCAATGAGCTGTTCCATGGTCATGACATCCTGCTTTTCGTTGTGTGACCAGCCAAGGAGGGCTACGAAGTTGTTGAGGGCTTCGGGAAATACGCCTTTGTCGCGCCAGGTGGAGATGTCGATGGCGCCGTGTCTTTTGCTGAGTTTGTTGCGGTCTTTGTCTAAGAGAAGGCCTACGTGTGCGAATGCTGGAGGCTCCCAGCCGAAGGCTTGGTACATGGCAAGATGCTTTGGGGTCGATGACATCCATTCCTAGGAAGACATGAGTATAAGGTTACTTGAAGAGGAGAACATTCTTACTGAACCACGGATGACATGTGTGATTTTCATGTGGTGATCATCAACGACATTGGCAAGATGGTAAGTCGGGAATCCATCTGACTTGAGAAGAATAGGGTCGTCAAAAGAGCCAAGGGCAGAACCTTGAACTCGACGCTTGGTAGTGAGGAAACTCGCTTGCCGAACCAAGCCATATACCAAGTCATTGAAGACTGGGTATAACTCCGGAACCTTTAACCTCACCACATGGGCTTCTCCTTTGGCAGCTCGATCATCTGACTCTGCTTTATGAATATGTGCACAAGCTCGGTCATAATCTACTGGTAGGCCTAATTTGCTTCTATAATTACCCAATTCATGAAGGCGTTCGGGTGTACAAAAGCATCGGTAGGCACTACCGTTTTGTAGGAGGAGCTCAGCATGCTCTCGATACAGTGCTGTTCTTGCAGACTTTCATAGGGTCAGCACTGTTAAACGACCTTTTTTTGAAACAGTATACTGACTTGCTTGTATGGGCCATGTGGCCCCCCTATTTTGGGCCCTGAACGTTGTTAGCAGAGGTATTCGGAAAGGAACAGAATATTAACCTTCATCCCATTCGATTCCAGCCCACTCCAGATCTTCAAATAGTCTTGTTTCAGCATCAGGAACTGTTCTTTTCTTTACTCTGATTAGTAGGTGGCTTTCGTCCCAGCGGCAAATTATAAGTCACCTGATCAGTATCTTCTATTCTCAGCAGAAATTGTCCCCCTGTAGCTTTAGCCACCAGATAATTAAACAAAGCCGTTCTCAATGATCCCAAGTGAAGATAGCCAGTAGGTGAAGGAGCAAATCGAGTTCTAGCTGGCTTGTTTTGCCGTAGTTGTTTGGCTGCCCGGGTTGCTTCTTTGATACCACGGCAGGAGTGGCAAATCCAGCCAGATGCAACCCTGCGTCTTGCTGTGGCCAACAGCAGCTGCATTTCTTCTACAGCTATCGATTCGTTTCGAGACACATTGTCTGTCTTTGAAATCTCTTCCTTGTCGCTTTCACCTGTCAACCTTCGCTTTCTGCAGTGGCACGGGCCACCATCGTACTAGAGTTATTTTGGCGCTATCTTTATGCATTGATTATTCCGATTTTGAATTTCAGCAACTCCACAATCCAACTGTCAGCGCAATTTTTTTGGCGGATTTCGATAGTAAATTACTGCGTCAAGGGATCTTTCTTAATACCACACACGCCCGGATTTTGCATTGAATTCCTTCAATCTTCTTCAAGACCTGCCAAGCCGAATCTCCACCATGGCGTCCAACGGTGCTACTGAGGAAATCGACCTCTATGGTAAGTTTGGTACAATTTTGTCACAGCATTTTCTAATTTCGTCTAGAAATCCTAGGAGTCTCCAAGTCGTCCTCGAAGAACGAGATTAAGAAGGCATATCACAAGGTTCGTCAATATCTCAGCCTGACAGACTGTGCTGACATAGCTCTAGGCAGCGTTACAACATCACCCCGACAAAGTCCCTGAAGACCAACGAGAAGAATCCGAGCACAAATTCAAGGAAGTTAGCAAAGCATACGAAATCCTCTTCGATGAAGAAAAGAGAGGTCTCTACGACACCCATGGCATGGCTGCCTTTGACCCAAGCAAAGGCGGACCAGGCATGGGTGGTGGGGTAGATCTGGATGATATTCTGGCGCAAATGTTTGGTATGGGAGGAGGTATGCCACCAGGATTTGGCGGAGCAGGAGGACCACAACGACCACGGAGAGGACGTGACGAAGAACAGACATACCAAGTCACTCTCGAAGATCTCTACAAAGGCAAAACCGTCAAGTTTGCAAGCACCAAAAATGTCATTTGCAGCCATTGCAAAGGCTCAGGAGGGAAGGAGAAGGCAAAGCCACAGACTTGCGAACGATGCAAGGGTAATGGTGTCACAGTGGGATTACGGTCGGTTGGCCCCGGAATGGTCACTCAGGAGCGTATGATCTGCGATACCTGCACTGGTACTGGCAAGATCTTCAAGGAGAAGGACAAGTGCAAGAAGTGTAAGGGGAAACGAACAACATCCGAAAAGAAGGTCCTTGAGATCTATATTCCAAGAGGTGGCCGAGAGGGTGAACGAATAGTCCTTGAGGGTGAAGCCGACCAAGTACCGGATCAGACGCCTGGAGACATTGTTTTCACACTTGTGGAGGAGGATCATGAGACATTCCAAAGAGCTGGAGACGACCTCTCGGCAGAGCTGAATATCACTCTTGTAGAAGCCCTGACAGGTTTTTCGAGAGTTGTCTTAAAGCATCTAGATGGACGTGGTATCCATATCGATCATCCCCAAGGCAAAGTATTAGAGCCTGGACAGGTGCTTAGGGTGGAGGGTGAGGGTATGCCGCTTAAAAAGAGTGACCAGAAGGGAGATCTCTTCTTGATCGTCAAGATTGATTTCCCGGAGAGCAATTGGACTGCGGATCCAGCTGTCTTTGAAAAATTGAAGGAGATCTTACCTAAGCCTGAGCCTCCGATTGAAGCTACCGAGGTAGACGAGGTAGAATACGACTCAGAAGCTGATATCGAAGATGTGAGTATCCACACCTCTCTCTAATGGGCTTTTACTGACATGAAATAGTTCGGCGCCAATTCAGGAGATCCTCGAGCCGGTGGTGGATGGGAGGATGAAGATGACGAGGAAGGAGGGCCCGCACAATGTGCACAACAGTAGAGGACATATTTTTCATGTGTTCATAGACAAATCACGTTCGTCACGCAGCGATTGAGTTATGGTTTTCATGCATGCATATAGACCGAAATATAGGTGGTCTTGGTATGCTTATGGGTAGAACTCAACTCTGGTTGAGGGGATTATCAAATGAAATAATACTCTACCTTCATCCTGCGTCCCAGTTTTGTCATTATATTATTGAATTACTCTGTGATCTTGTGCACCTCTCGAGATAGAAGGGAATGGATGTCCAACTGCCAACATTTATGCAGCAATTTTAACCCGGCACTTCCTTTGATGTAGATTGAACATTCCGATTTGACCGAAAATTCAGTGACGGCAATCAGACGCCCAATATTACCATTGGCAAAGCCTCCTTAGGTTTGGAATACATTTCATCATCATTGGCCTGTATATTTTAGCAGCCCAGATGCTCCCTACCAGCACGTGTACCAACTGTCTGGAAATGATAATACGATCTCGCAGTACTGAAGTTGAAGAATAAGTAGTATAAGTTGTGAAATATCTCTATGATGCAATCAGACTCTTGCCGTAGTATGCTCATGGAGCAAGAATTGTCTCAGTCCTCACCTGCCCAGGTGTCCTGTAGGTATCTAAACGTGAGGGCTGGAAACTTAGTCATATAGCGTGGTGGGCGGATCTCCTTATGATTGGCTAACTAGACGACAATATTTTCCACACAGAGATTTTGAGAATAGAAGTCGCGACGACCTCGAACTTTCAACACCAACGACAAACCCGACCAGAAACCGACGTCAAGGTATGTTGCGCACCTCTTGAAGATAATCGGAAGTAGATTGTCTTCTGGAATAAATGCTGACATGGCAGTCTAGATGGTTTCCGCAAAGAAGCACGTTCCGATTGTGAAGAAGCGTACGTCAATCCCCAGAACAATCAATCTCGAATTTCATGTGTGAGGGATCATGGAATGCGAAGAACGGGCTGTGTATATTGCGAAGTGTAGTTGGAAAGAGGGAAATGCTGCAAGATGGTTGTCTTTACTCGCCGGCTCGAATGTCAACGACGCAATTATCTCTCCACTGGTCCACAGCACATTGGCACAACCTTTGTCGAAGCCCAGCACGAATTTACTATACACCTTTATCGAGATTGAATTGAAACTACGAGTAAAGAAATCAACTTGGCACATTACCTGGCTCCTCCTACGATACATCACAGCCTGGATACTTCATTACCGCGAATCAAATGGAATCGATACTGACATTTTATCTACAGGCGTCAAGCGTTTCCACAGACATCAGAGTGTAGGCAATGCAACAAGTTAGAGTATATGTCGCGTTTGCTGACTTCTTAAAGGACACATACAAGTGCCTCGATGCGAGCTGGAGAAAGCCAAAGGGTATCGATAACAGAGTCCGAAGACGATTCAAGGGTCAAATGGTTATGCCATCGGTACGTGGGATCATTTGGGAGGTTCAATATGGCTCAAAGCATCCTCAGAGCCATTATGAACCTCTGCTCGAAGTTGGAATATGGACTGATGGATTTACAACAGATTGGATTTGGCTCGAACAGAAAGACTCGCCATATGATGCCCTCCGGCCACAAGGCTTTCCTCGTCAACAACGTCCGCGATGTCGACCTTCTCTTGATGCACAACAAAACTTTCGCTGCTGAGTGGGTACTTCTGACGAGGCTGGAGGAATATTTGGACTAATCTTTTCACAGGATTTCCCATGCCGTTTCGTCAAGAAAGAGAATCGAAATCATCACTCGCGCGAAGGAACTCGGTGTTAAGGTTACGAACCCCAAGGCCAGAATCACGACTGAGGTTTAAGGTGATGGTTTTTCATTTGGGAACTTGCATGGGGTACGGGATTGCTAGATCATGAGCGTGGGCATAAAAACGTAGCATATGCTCTACGATCAATGAACTTGCGCAAATTATTCTTGGCCCTCGCTTTCTTGTGATGTTGATGAGGAATTCGGGATCAAGGAGAGCTTCATTGTCCGTACGCGACCGAACGTCAATTGCATTAACTTCTCGAGACCTCATAGACTCTAGGAGAGTTGAGACACCGTAAGAAAGTATTGACGCACTGGTCTAAGTTGAAAGGACCCTGCAAAACGTTGTTCGAGCCAAAACCCCATTTTCGTTCAGATATCACCAGTATCTTGTTCCTCAAGCCACCCCAGTAGCACTTTCAGTCCTACTTTCGTCCTCATAGCTTGGGGTCTGTTTGTATTCGCCGTAAGCCATCGCTTTGCAATCAAGATCCTGAAGGCTGCCTTTTCATAACAGTTCTCTGGAATTGATATTTACCCTGTCTCGAGCTCGATTCTGTTAAGTGTCTGCTGGTGTTGTCATTTTTCCTCCGAACTTGCCTTGAACCTTTAAGATCCTATGCTCTTAGCTTGCTGTACCTACATTTGCTATCGATAATATCTACGTCCTGATGCCGCTAGTCCTAGAATGGCCAGTTCGGCCACAGCCCTGGATAGATTCAATTAAGCAAAATCTTGCCATCGCCAATTCGAAGCTGACTCACGTAAGTAACTCCCACTTTAAGATAAATCAAATTCAAAACTAACAGATTAATAGCAGCCGCCGGGCCGTGGCTCAACCGCCCTTGTACTCCCGGAGACGGGAAGGGGGTATCCCCAATAGAAGAGATAGTCTCCCAAACCGCTAAAAAGCAAAACTCTCTCCGAGGGTGGTGTTCTGGGCAAAGTGTCGCACTACCCAGTTTGTTTTTGCCATTTAGAGTTATGGATGTCTGTTTCTTTTTTGCTTTGAAGGTTCTTGAAATTTTTTTGCGCTTGTTTTCCTCATTATGTGCCCTTTACCGAGTCCTGTTTGATAGAGCAGTACGTAGCAATACTGTAATGGTTCAATTTTTGTATATTTTTACATCGAACGCATTTCAGATATGTGCGCAGTTTCTTCTCTCTCTCAGTGGACCTCATGCAAGACTTTACTGCTGATAAGTTCAAGGTCAAGGTCAAGGTCAATTCCGAACGCTCTGTGCCGAGATTCATGGATGAAGATGAGCCAGAGAAGAATCTCATTCAACCGCTGTAAACGACCTGTATCAATAACAGCTAGGATTAATCTGCTGCACTTCCTAAAAAGAATGTAAGTCAGTGTATTTGATAAAGCCATGCCATCCAGGCTGTCGTGTTCTCACGATGAGGTTTCCTGCCATCGCAGCTTCTCGCTTAAAACGGGAGATTTAAGGGGGACCATCCAGATCGGGATGGCTTCAGTCCAAATGCTCGGTACCACCAGAGCTTTGTTTTGGTTTAGACTGGGAGAGAGAGTCATCGCACACAAACTCGAGATTTTGATTATTTGTCCTTTCTTCTGTTACTTTCATTCTTCGATTTTTCACTGTCAACTGAATTCTACACAACAAATTCTACAGTTCAAGCCAAATCTCGTAAAGATAACCACACAACACCCAACAACCACCAAAAAACATCAATCTCACGGACCTTCTGAATTCTCTCTGCCAACACAACTTTCACAATGGCACCAAATCTCTTCCTCGCTGCCAAGAAGGTGGCCACGCCCTGGACTTGGTACAATTCGAAGAAGTCGAAAACAAACAACCCTCGAAAACTATATTTCTCTCACGAGCCTGTTCCTGGAGTTTACGCTATGACACCGGATGAAAAGCGATACCTGGCCGCTCTCAAACCCAGCGGGAAAAAAGACGAGGACCATATCTTCAGAGAGCTTACCTCGAAGGAAGATATTCGGCTTAAGTCCACAGAAAGACTCAAAGAGTTGGCAGGTATTTCTTCTCTTTATGGTCGTCTTGTTGGACTAATACCCGGCCAGAAAGGGGATTCACGGACCAGATTCAACGAAGATGGGTCCATAAACCTCCTTCAGCTGGCCGGTCCATATTCGGCTGTCGACTACCAAAGCAGCGAGGAAACCCTCGAATGCAATCATAACAGCTTTCGCACTCAGAATTCCTCGGCTAGCAGTATCCTCTCTTCCACCCACGCAGTCAGATCACTTGACTTCGACACAAACAACAACATCACCAGACACCATGAAATCTCACCAATCGTCAATCAAAGCCGGAATCAAAGCTGTTCATCCCAAAGAACAGTCAGCACCATGTCTTCAACTCGAGAAGTCCACTCCGTGGCATATATACTAAAAAACGACGGGGTCCTTCCTCACCAAAACTCACCATTCGGACGAAAGAGTAGGAATGAGAGTTCCCACTCGCTCACAAACTTCGGCTTTCATAAACATAAATACGCCATTCAAGGGATCGAAAAAGTCGACCTCAACGGCTACAAATTCCTCCGACAACCGCTCCGGATCGAATACTGCCAAATCACCAAACGATGGATGTTCAGCTCCGAAATCCGCACTCGAAAAGTCATCGTCCCGATGTGCAGAGATTTGAACTGTATGGCAAAAGATATGAGTCTTTGCGGAAAGACTGTCGACATGGAGCTCTTTTGCCTTGATGATGCGGAAAGCTGGGTCGTCATTGGCAAGGGAGGCCGAGGGCATCTTTCGAGAAGATGGGAAAAGCACTTGGGCGAGAATGGAAGGTTGTATTGTGTGGATGAGAAGACGGAGTGTATGAGGAGACAGACTGTTGAGGAGGTGAAAGCTAGCCGCTTGAGGCTAGAGAGAGAGAAGGGAAAGTTTGGATTCTTCGAAGAGGATGCGAGTTACATGGCCGTTGTCAGATACTTGGAGAAGGAATGAATGACCGGCGAGGGATCAAGGACTTAATGCAGTCTGAAGAGGCTGTCATACTCTGGATCGAAGACAGACTTTCGCTTGCAAGCGACAATCCAGCCTCAGACCGCATCAGAAAACGACAAATTTCTCCGACAAACGGCAAAAGACTGGCACCAAATGATTCGGAGGGCTCTTGCGGTGGACGAGGGTCAATGTGAAAGGAATGAACATAAAGTCAGCACTCCTGTGGTAAAGAGAGTGTTTTCGGGCTAATGCAAGGTCTCAGGCTAGAAATTCAGAAAGGCTTTTGCTAAGATTTGGAAAACAGGGAGCAAAAGCTAGAATGGGAGAATACCTTTTGTCCTGAACTGCAAGTCATACAAGCAGCAGGTTTTAACGGTGCTCCTAGTTAGACAGTAATTTGTGGATGAACATTTTCCATCAAGGAAATGTTCATGCGGAAGAGCAAGAGTGGAATGAAGCAGGAGAGCACACCACAATGACAGTTGAGAGATCAACCATACGAAATACAATGAAAGGAAAACAACAATGATTTGTGACAATATGTTATGATTGAGACTCCTCGTGACATACCAATTACCTACCTGCACTATGTATCTTTCTGGGTCGAGAAGCAGTTGCCGAATGGCCTGAACTATGTATCATTCACGACAACTTACACAATATGGCTCTATGATTCAAACTCATGACGTGGCCCTGTTATATGAAATGCAGCATGAAGTTGATAGGCGCAGTGCTTCAGAAGTATTTCGATATCCACCGTTTGAAGACCCTTGGAGGTTATGCATAAAGTAGGGATAAAATTAGCATCGGGACTAAATGACAGCGGTTGCCGATCAATCGTGGCGTACATCCCTGCGCCGACATCCTCGTATTTCGAGAACACACAAAATACCTGACGCCCCTCACACGACATTTGCTCACATTTGCAAGACATTCTCGAGTCTCGCAGCGACAAACAATCGCTATTGTCTCAAACAATAGCTACAATAATCAAAAGAAGGAGCAAGGCTGGAGCGAGGCTGGGCAACAAACTTCACAAGTCAGAGAACACTCACCGACAAGTACCTTCAAGGTCTCCTGACCACATCACACATACACGATGTCAACAACCGCAACTATCACAATGTCGCATGCGACGGACCATACATCCTGTCCAAATTGTGGAGTTGGTTTGCCAGTTCACTCAGAGATTGCAGCGGAAGCGCAGCGACAGATCGAAGATCTACAAGCACAAGTTCGACTGTTGACTCAAAAGGCTACGGCAGCAGGTTTGTATTCAATCTTTCTTCACCAAGTTCTTTTTGCTAAACCGTTGCAGTCGACAAGTGGGCAGACTACGAAGACGAAATTCAACAGCTAAAGGCACAAGCACAGGCCCGGAATTCGAATGAAGCTGCAAGACAAGAAGAAGAGAGAGCAGGCAGCCCAAGCAGATTTTCCTACCTCCCGGTACAGAACCGACTATCGTCCTTCCTCAATTCTCGCAAATCAACTCCGAACTTGAAATCCCCGCCTCCGCCGCCCACACCTTCAGCAACTGATCTCGCAGCTGCTCTGACGAGAGAACAGGCTTTGAGGGCATCTGCGGAAACCAAGTTGGACAACGCGAGTAATGAACTGGAAGAGCTGAGCGCACAGTTGTTTGAGCAAGCTAATGAGATGGTGGCTACGGAGAGAAAGGCTAGAGCGAAGTTGGAGGAACGTGTGGAAGTCCTTGAGCGGAGAGATGGGGAGAAGAGAAAGAGGCTGGAGAGGTTGGAGGGCGCGGTTGCAAGGATCGAAAGGGTTAGGGGCTTGCTTGCGCCGGGGAGGTAGATGTACCAAGAAACGATACGATGGCCGTTGCGGGAAAATGGTCAGAAAGGGTTTAAGGTTATATGTTAGGATGCGGACCAGCCGGAGGATATCGAGAAAACGAGAAATGACCCTGGAAGAGCTTCATGGGGTACGACGCAAGATCAAGACCCTCGTGTCATCCTCACATCGAACATCTTTTCGACACAATCTACCAATCTCACCGCCATTAGAGTTACCGACCCTTCCGCCATCAGAAATAGAACTCGAATCCTGGTTTCTGGATCTTTACCACGACTTTCTGATCGAGCCAACCCCATACCTGGTATGCGGCTTACTATGCTACTTCGGCTTCATACTCCTATTGTCGAATTATTACGAGGCCATGTGGCGACTTCTTTGCTTTCTTTTCTACTTCTTGCCGTGGGATCACGGAGATGGTTGGGATTATCTACTCTTTTAATGCAGTGTTTTTCAGCAGAGCGAGGGACTTTCATGCATTATTGTAAGAGTATACGGAGCCTTGGGCAGGGCATAGACATGGAGTTTGCAAGGGTGTTTAGAGATGATACCCGGAATTTGCGAGAAAGTGCCGATAGCGTTCAGTTAGCGAGTAGAACAGCAAAGTATGGTCTTTCAATATATTCCTTCTATTTCTGACAGTGATTATAATTGTATTCATGTGATATGAAACTCTCTATTGTCCAGAGGAAAAGCCAAACAAATCGGCAAGGCTAGATTATAGCTTAGTGTAGTGCAATAAGCATGTTTATTGTCCGAAATATGGCGGACAATGGAGACTCCGAATGTCCAGTATCAAGTTGGATAACAAGTTGTACAAAATGCTCTGGATGGTTTACAAGGTTTACTCAAATTGTCTTGACTGACATTCTTCTTATTGAGCATTGCTCTTACCAAAAAGCTAGCATCTAACCTGGTATCCTCCCAATAAAGCCACAAAACACCAGTAACCATGATTCAATTCAAAGACCTACCCTCTCTCCTTTCCTCTCACTTCCCAATCGTCAAAAACAACCTATCCCCCACATCCCCAAGACCAGGTCTAATCATCCCCCTCTCATTACAATCCTCATCCACACCCGCAACCCAAATCTCCACACCCTCCTCCCATTCCTTCGCCGCTCTCAACATACCAGGCACAGCTCCCAAAACCGCAATCACGATAACCCTTTTAACGCCCCACTCCTTCAGTGTTTGAATTGCGGCCGCACTCGTTCCTCCCGTCGCTATAACGGGATCGAGTAAGATGGCTAATTCGGACGCGGAGGTGTTGTGGCTATTCGACGGCGAAGACGGCGCGGGGATGTGGTAGGGTAGGTTGTTGTAATATTCCACGGGTTCAAGTGTTACTGGTTCGCGGAAGAGTCCGAGGTGATGGACTGGGACGGCGTGTGGGAGGAGGGTTTGGATGGCGTCGAGCATGCCGAGCCCGGATCTGAGGATTGGCACGAGGGAGATTGTCGAGGGTGAGATGGTCGTTGTTGTGTATTCGTAGCCTAGGGCAGTTTTGGCCTGTGTATATTAATTATTAAGTGGGGTGAAGGAGGGGTAAGTGAGGGTTGAACGGACGGCTGGCCCTTTTACGGCTGAGAGGCCGGCGGCGGTGGCTTCGCAGCCGACTATGAATGATATCTCGTGGACTAGAGCTTTTGTTTCTCGGGCGTTGGTTGTGCTGGCTCGCAGTTGAGAGAGCTTGGCTTGGAGACATGGGTGTGTTGAGACGTGAACGTTGGGTGGGAGGGAGTGAGACATGGCGGACGTGGAGTGAGAGACAGGACGGAGGAAATGGGTATCTGGAACGAGAGGTTATGAACTCGAGGAAATCATGGACGTGAGGCTCTTCTTGGAGGATAAATTCAAAGCTTGCTGGTAGAATGCAAGGCCATGCAGGTGCAAGGATGGTTGGCTGTGGCGGATCCGGCGGAAGCAATCCGATTACTGTTATCGAGGAATGAGCATTGATTGGTTGATAATCAGCTTCCCGGCACGATCATCGACAGGGCTGAGGATCTCCATTTTTCAGAAGAGGAGTTTCCTCACTTTCACCATGTTCTGAATTATCTGTTATCAAGCAGACCATATTCTGGCATTTCGCCTCGAAGCGCCTCAATTCGTGACGGCTGCTTCGACTAGAGCGAATGACATGGACAATGTACAGCGGGATCACAACATCCTCTCACAGCAGAGGAAACCGTCACACGATGCTGGATACGATGTGCCAGACGATTACGCCAATCTCGATGAGGTAGCTGCTCCAGCACCCATTCAAAATCCAGACGACAGTCCTATACATCGACGGCGGACGTTGGAAGGGCGGAGCCATCACTCTGGAGATACGAGTGCCTCAAGAGGCGCGCGGAGACCGAGTTTTGGGAGGTCAATATCACATTCGTCCCGGAGATCAAGACGGGTATCTGATGGAGGAACGAGTTACGATTTCCCAGATAACTACGCCCATCTCGATGAATTAGCCACGCCTTCGCCGGTGGAGAATCCCGACGAGGCTCGTGTATATCTGCATAAGTCGTTAGAGGAAGCGAAGGACGAGGAGCAGACTTATGAGCGAGATCAGGAAAACCGCAGAAGGGCCTCATTAGCAGGAGGTGTGCAGCCGCAGGAAGAGCAGAAAGAAGAAGAGAAAGCTGCTCATAAGGTCTCGAGATTTGCCACACAATTATATGTCATTTCTTATCTGATACTGTTCTCTTTCCTCGGAACTTTGGCTCGACTTGGACTACAAGCTATCACCTTCTACCCCGGAGCACCTGTTGTATTCAGCGAATTATGGGCAAACTTTGGAGGTAGTCTTCTTATGGGCTTCTTAAGTGAAGATAGGATGCTGTTCAAAGAAGAGTGGGGCACGCCAACTTACAAGCAACAACTTGAGAAAGCAAAGCAGCAGTCTCAAGACGAGGAAAGTGGCTCAAGTTCTGATCAAGCTATCGATTTGGCGGCGGCTAAGAAGGCTCATGCTGCTACAAAGAAGACAATCCCTCTATACATCGGACTGGCAACAGGCTTCTGTGGATGTTTCACCTCGTTTTCATCTTTCATCCGCGATGCTTACCTGGCGATGTCAAATGAGCTGCCGACTCCTTTGAACCACCCTGCCGATTATGGTGTCGGTGAATCAACCACTTCAACAGTTTCGAGGAATGGTGGTTATTCATTCATGGCCTTGCTGGCTGTCATCATCACTACCGTTTCGCTCTCAATGTCAGCTCTGGTGATTGGCGCTCATCTGGCTATACTCTTAGAACCCTGGACTCCAAGCCTACCATTTACATTCTGTCGCAAGGTTCTCGACCGTGTGGCTGTCGTTCTAGCATGGGGTTGCTGGCTAGGAGCGATATTCCTCGCCATCTGGCCTCCTGACCGACATGATGGTCACCCAGAGACCTGGCGAGGTCGAGCAGTCTTCGCCCTAGTCTTCGCTCCTCTTGGGTGTCTAGGACGCTTCTACGCCTCGATCTACCTGAACAGCAAGATTTCCTCTTTCCCACTTGGGACATTCGTTGTAAATATTTTCGGCACAGCAATCATAGGCATGACCTATGACTTACAGCACGTGCCTTTTGGTGGGGTAGTGGGGTGCCAAGTACTTCAGGGGATAGAAGATGGGTTCTGTGGGTGTTTGACTACGGTCAGTACTTGGGTCAGTGAGCTGAACATGCTGAGGCGAAGGAATGCTTATAGATATGGAGCGGCAAGCGTCGTTGTTGCGTTCTGCTTCCTGGTCGTTATTATGGGTAGTGTACAGTGGACGAGAGGGTTCTCTAAGTTGCAGTGTGTACATTGAAATGCTTTGTTTGCGTTACAAGATTAGATCTCTTCACCAAAAAACAATGGATATATCAGATATATTGGAAAGAAGTTCAACACCCAATCAATCTCTATACTAAAAAAGAAGTAAGCTCAATTCGGCGCTAGTGCTCGCCTAACGAGTCTCAATCTTCCTTCGTAGGTAAAGTTGTCAACTCAACTTGGTCAGGTCAAATAGAAAAATAAATGCTCAGTAGCTATGCAGGAGAGTCAAAAAGTTTGGAGACGCGGAGGATTGAACTCCGGACCTCACGCAGATCTGCAATTTGATGCAAAGCGTGCATTCTACCACTGAAATACATCCCCAGGAAGCCATCGCTCTGATTGGCTGTTGTGTGCAAAGATATGCTTATTTAAATTCATAAGGTATTAGAGAATTGGGTGGTGGTGGGGATTTTTGTCGGGTGTTTGTGGGGACGGGACGGGACGAGTGTCGAGTATCGAGTGTCTGCTCTCGCTTAATTTGGAAAAGGGGACGATCGACAGATTGTTGAATGAGATGAGATGAGAATGGAACTTTGGCAGGAATGAGGTTGAGTCAGTGGAATCACGTTCATGTTGTGGACAGTGAGGTTGGAGAGAAGTCCTTCATTTTTTGAAGGCCTTCATATGCAAAATTTCAGAAGTGCAACGCAATGCTCGCAAAAACCATTATTTCCCTGCCACTGATGCATCCATAATCCAACCCCCTGATCCACCAACTCCATTTGCTTTCTATGATTCTTTCCATAGTGTTTGTACCTCTCACAATTTGCCCAAGCTACCATTTCCACCCCAAAATTTACTTGATGATAATCTTCTCAGGTGTCCTCTCTGTTTCCATCCTAAGCACTCGGAGCCCAGAAATCGTTGTTCCTATCATCCACCTCAGAGACATGAAAGTCGTTCAAAAACTTGGTGTGCTGTCCAAGTCCCTGGTACTGGATACGCCAACTCCTAAAACGCAGTGCGTAGAACGGAATCACGTAATACGCAGGGAAAGCGGGAGTTGGGCTATTGCTCTCAAAGCCCGGGTGGCCTTTGGGAAGAACGAGGACGATGCGCATCCACTTCATCGATCTGCAGGCTCGAAGTTGTCGCACGAGCCGGTTCAGGAAGCGCCGAGTTGGTGAGTTCATGTAGTCAGCCTTCGTGGTGATGAAGTTGGATGGCAAGGTGATCTTGACGATCAGCTTCTGAATCTCGTTGAGGAGAGGAGTGAGCTCCTGGACCTTGTGGAGGATGGATGGGTCGCTAGGGCCGGAACTCAGACTCTGGACGTCGACGATGATTTCCCAATATTTGGAATCCATGATCTCTGCCTTCCGAGCTTGGACAGACATGTTCTGAGTGAGATCCTTAACAACGGAGTAGGTTGGAGTGTTGTACAGATCGATGTTTCCTGGGAGCTTCATCGACTTGGTGTAATACTTTCCGCGCTCTCGCATCTCGTTGCGAGTGATTCCGCTGATGGTGATGGAGAAGTCGGCGCTTGCGCCAAGCTTACGGATGACAGGCTCATCCTTGGTGCAAGTCTTCTTGTCAGCCTTGGAGACTGTCTTCTTCGGTGCTGCTGCAATAGCAGTGAGGCGCGAGCGGTTGTTGATGTAGGTATCCATTGTGAGTATGTTGTGGATATGGAGTTTTCGGGGAAGAGCACAAGTGGGTAATTTGCTGTGGGTGGATTTAGGTTGATCAGTGCTCTTGTTGTGAAGTGGAGGTATCTTGAAGATGTATGGTCGATGATTGATAGTTGTTGATCGATGATGGAAGGTGTCGAAGTGTTCGAAAAAGTATGAAGAGGAAGAAGAAAAAGTCTCGAGAAAGTTTGCGAAAGGGTGCTTTTATACTACCCAAAAACTTGCGACTGGCGCACTAGTAAGCTGTGCAAACAATGAGCCGAATTCTTCCTTCATGTGACTTTCTGGTATTGCTACAGTCATATATGGAAGGTAATCGTGTGCTAGTGTCTCCCAGAATATCCTGGAGAGCCTAGTGCCCCTTTCCAATGTCTGGCAGCCGGGGTAACATCCGTCATTCGCAATATGTGCAGATTTTGTATGGGTGGGTTAAAGAAGTGATAGATATATATTGCAAGTCTCTGGGCATAGCGGATTTAGATCACTTTGCAACTACTAATAATTTCGGGACCTTATAGGTGGGTCGTATTGTGAGCGCAATGGCTTCAATGACTATGTCGATGTTACTCACATATGCCGTTTCAGTTTATCATCTCAGTATCTGCATGACTGCTTCTCTACTCTAGAACAAGGTGATAGGCAAGATAATTTCAGTGTGTCCATTTCTATGGTTTGCGCCTCCTCAACCTGCCTCTTTTCCAATGATACCTGAGCCTCCGCAATACTTCAAGTTTCACAGCTATAAGACTGCAACTTTCCTGGGTACTATCTCCTTTACTTTGCCTCGTGGTATCCTCTCGTCTAGAGCCGTGTCCAGAAGGAACTTCGTAAGTGGTAAGAAACTCGCAAAACGGCAGTAAGCGCAAACGATACTTGAGAAGGAAGGCTAAAGCAAGACAGTCGTCATGAACTTTAGTGCTTCGAAAGGACTAAGTTCCTGGACTAATTTCTCTAGGAATATGTGTGTGCTCGAAGTTCGATATTCGGCATCTATCTTGACGTATGAAGTGGGGACTTGATATTAATGATTTGTTTTTTGGATGAGGCTGCAAACAAGATTCAGGCGCTCCGGTTGATCAGTAACAGATGGCTCCATTGCGCCTTAATGAAGACTTTGTAAGTCGATGAAGACCTCAATGTACTTCTCGGTGAGGTATTGAGCGCAAATACTGTGATTGCCAGCATTCGCTTTGCGTTTGGTAGGAACAGCTTTCGACAGATCTTCTTCAATGCGATAGTCATGTCTGTTGAAGATGTCCACATTATGTGACATCTGCTTGCGTAAAGGCCAATATAGGCCGATTTGCTTCATCTCATCGCGCTGGATGCCGCCTATGTGTACTGTGATTTCGGCATCATAACCACGCTTGCGGACAAGCTCTTGCCGGTTGGTCGCTTCGGCGCCGTGGGAGGAGGAGGAGGTGCTATTCATTGTCCTGGATGTTTGAAAGTAGAAGCTTTTGTAGGTGTCTAGAATATGAAGAAGAGCGCGAAATTGACAGATCTAGTAAAAGCTGTGCCTTAAGATTGGGAAGATCTGTTGGAGTAATGGGATCTGGGATAGAAGAATGGCAGGCGTGATGATGGCGGAAGGAGATATTAGGGAAGAAAAGAAAATCTTGGCAGTGAGTTGAAGGCATTTCTCACGTTTTTTAAAAACTTTTATGTGGCATCCACCAGCACAGCCTTGCCTCACTCTCAAAATACCTACTTAAGTCGAATATTTTCTAGAAAGTATTTAATTGCACTTCGTGTTTCCTCCGTTACGGTAGCGAAAGACAAGAGTTGCTGAAGTTTGAGCTGAAGCGAGTCCGCAGAGCCGACACAAGTCGAAGATCTTCATCCTGGTCAGTATTGGAAAAACAATAGTTAATGTACTGATAATCAAGGGTTGATAGTAAATTCTCAGCTACGGCATTCACCATCGTAACAACGCAAGGCAAGGCAGCGCCTCACCTCGCGGGTGGATATAAATAAGCGAGCTTATTCCCGATGCTTCATTTTGATATCAGGAACGGTACTCGCGGCAACTCCGTACCGTACCGAGATTGGCAAGGGGTCAATAGTTCGCTTGATCGGGCGAAGAGTAGCATACCGTCCTTCGGTTACCCCACTTCACGCTAATGCGGCACAGGTCAACCACTTGAGATAATTCTTTGACTACATCGTTAGCATCGATCTAGGCTTCGAATAGAGAAGAGAGAAAATCCGTGTTCTTAGAAAGGAATTCAAAAAGCTTCGCTTCCTACGTCATTTCCTTATTACCGAAGACTTACCCGCGACGATGCTCTAAGATATACCCTAGTTGCGTTTAGTAATGACATCGACCAGACATTAGACCCGAACAACTTCAAGAATTCGACAAGTATACAATATCTCTTGCAGTTGACTTTTCTCTGATCTCTCGTCTTTGTATCGATTCAATAGCCATCGCCAGCATGAGCCCAAATGAGGGACGAATTCGCAGCCCATTTCGGGCACTCGTCCAGGACTTTACTCCGATATGGTAGGTATAATTTCCCGTGGTACAAGGGTGTTCCACTCTAGCTTACATCGACATAGGTTCACCTGGTGTATGAATGCTGGTGTCATTGGCATCCTCTTGCACCAATTGCCCTACCAATTCAGTGGGCTTCCTGTCTTGTCAACTATAGCCTTCGTCGTTGACCTCGTCCTGTTCATCATTTTCTCGGCCATCATGATTACTAGATTCATCTGGTTTGGAAGGCAGGCGTACTATGAAATAACCGACAATATCAACGACTTGGCCCTCGGGGCATGCTGGCCTATTGCCTGGCAAACGCTGTCAGCTTTGACATGCCTGATCGTCAGCAATGCTTCGTGGGGCGGCCATGCATTCACTCTTGTTGGCTATGCGATGTGGTGGATTGGAACGGGATGGATGGTGGCTTACCTCCTCTTCACCTTTCTTACTTTGATCCGTCGACGCAGCGTCAAAGACCGGAAACTTCCCCTGACAATCGTGATTCCAGCCGTTGGTGTCGCTACGGTGGCTACAACCGGAGGTCTGATAGTGAGCTTTGCAGATGACATTTCAGCCAGGCTAGCTGTTCCAATTATCATAGTCTCGTTCATGATAGTGGGAATAGGGCTATTTATGTCGATATTTCTTTACACTTACCTTCTCCACTCCCTGTTTGTGGACGGCTGGCCTCCTGCTGAGAACATCGCTTCCGTTTGGGTGTTTCTTGGTCCCATGGGACAGCCAGCAGCCGCTATACAGCTCTTGAGCTCTGCAGCAAACAAATACGGTCGGTTTGCTGGCTACAATCGAGGTACTTTCTTGACGGAATCGGCAGCAGAGCCATTAAGTGTTGCTTGCATACTTCTTGCACTGTGGCTGACCGGGATGGGATGCGTTTGGGCATTGATGGCCTTCGCAGCAATGGCCGAGAAGGCATGGCAACGGCAGTTGATGTGGACCTTGAGTTGGAACAGCATCATATTCCCTACTGGCACACTTACGACCTCTTTCTTGCTATTCTCAATTGCCATGGACTCCCCCGCTTTCAGAGCGGTCACCACGGCTTTGGTCGTTCTTATGGTCATGTGCTTCTTTTTGAACGTTGGGTTTGCCATTCGGCGCGTGTGCCAGGGCCGACTGCTGATCGTTCGGCGAGACCCTAGACAAACCGATTTCGAGAATGGCCATGTTGATTAGGAGTGATGGCCTATGCCGACTGGTCATTTACTATATTTTGGCTCAGGAAATGAAGATCTGAAGATTAAACTGCCCTGCTCAAAAGCACTGCAAAAACCTTTGTAGAAAGTCATCTTCAACATATCTAATACATCTTCGCTATATCACATATATGCCGAAAGGTGCACCCTAAAGAATATTCACGGTCATGTGCACATTCTCGACTTGGCAAAATCTACGACTTTTTAGTTCTTGTATCATTCGTTGTTTTATGCAAACGATGTCCACCTAGGCTCGAGTCCCTTCCACGCCGGCTCTATATTTTTTTCGCTGACCTGCCGTGCCGAGTGGTACAAATCCCACGCCTACCCGAAACTCCAAGAGTTGCTCCATACCAGACTATCATGTTGGCAAACGCGCAAATAACCGAAAAGAAGAGACACAAATAAAGTCGCAAGCCTAGCGGTGGCTACAAAATTGAAAGTCTCACCATCCTCCACACCCCACTCAAATCGTCACCTCCACGCTTAACCAGCTGTGTCCATCACTCACAAACAACATTCCTCCATGAAGATAACTTATCGTCCACGACGCTTCATACCACCCTTCGGTGCAACCAGGGTATAGTTGATTGGGGCGCGGGCTACGTTGTTCATTCTCTTTTCATCTGCGCGACGCTTGCGCTCTTCCTTCACCTCCTCTTCCTCCTCCCTCAAGAACTCTAAGTTCATGGCGTCCATCTGAGCAAGGCGAACGTCATCAACCAGAAGGTTGGGCTTGCCGTCAACATGTAACTTCAACTTCCATTTTCTGAAGCGCATGCGGTAGAAGGCGCAAACATTACTAAAAGGGAGTGTGCCCTCCAGATCCGAACCCTTAGGCATCTCTAGGAGGACGTCCATACGCTTCAAGGACTTGAAGAGTCCAACCTTGTAAGCCAACTCTTCAAGGAAGGCTCGGGTGCTCGAGGCCTTGTAGTCGGCCTTCTTGCGAATTGCACCAACGACTGGGACTTGGACTCTGACGATCAAGCTTTCGATCCGGCCGATAATGGGAGCCAAGCGAGCGAGTTGCTGGAAAAGATCCATGCCGTCGTTGCCAAAGTTTAGGCACTGCTCAGTGGCGATGATTTCGAAACTCTTGGTCTTCAAGAACTCGCGTCTGACTTGAGGGGACATCTTATTCAAGAGTTCATCGACGATGGAGTAGGAAGATGGGTCGAAGTCATCAAGTGTCTTCATTTGCTTGGATGGATAGTATGAGGTGACAATTTGGCGCAACTCGGTGCGCTCGATGCCAGTGGGAGTAATTGTGACTTCGGCATTTGCGCCGGGCTTTCGGACAGTTACTGGCTTTGCCAGCGCAACGTTTCGGAGAAATACAGAAGACATATTGGGGATATGTCTGAGAGATTGCTTTCTTCGAAAGGTCGGATGTTTGTAGAAGGTTTGGTAGCTTTGCGCACTGCTTATCAGTCGCGCGAGGTATTTGATGTGTTGTACTGTACTTGGTTTGGAGTAGCAAGCAGTTTGATGTTGATGTAAGAGGTTGACGTGCAACTGTAGTAGTCGGAAGTCTGATGAGGACAAGAAAGTTTGTGTATGAAGGAAAATTTGAGAATATTGCAGAGGAAATTTTAGGGAGACAGTATATTCCCAGGGAGGGCCACTAGCAACTCTTGTACTCGTTGCGCCTAGTCTGCCACTTTACGCGGCTTAGCATAGAATCCGTAATTTGAACACTAGTGGCTCAACAGTTGACACCTCTATATATATATATCTAGTTGCAAAGATGCTTTCTGGCCTGCTCACTGCCAACTAGGCTACCGTATGATCCTTAGTGATATAGTTAATTGGATATATAGCCATAACGACACAATGTACTAGTCTCTTCTGTAGAATGTGCTTTCTTCCTGCAAATTCATCTAGTAGGCATCTTAATTTAACTCATCAATCTTTCCACTCATGGACACATGAACCATGCACTGAGATATACTATGTCATATGAAGTCTCACAGAACGAGGACGGATCGACTATGCGAAATGTTTGCTGAATTTGCTACTGAAGTGATGTCCATACGTAGAGGTTGTCAAGCCCCAGTGCCAGTTCTGCTACCCTCAAATCAGAGTCCCATACTGCCCAAAAGAAATGAGCCATTCAGAGTAGTCCTACCCAAGTCACTTTCTTCGTCACCTCCTTGTTCTCCTTCGTCTCCTTGTGAAAGGCGCTGGGAATAATGCGTGAAGCATTAGCAATAGCATCTTCCGCATCCAGCTTAGCTTTGACCGCCTGTCTCTTGCGCTTCTCGAGCTGTGCGGCCTTCTCATTGACTCTCTTGACATAACTTCCTCTCACTTTCTCTGGCGGAAACATACCTGGATCCTGATGCATCAATCTCCAGGGTGGAAAGTTCTTCAAGGTACAGAAGGGCAGGGCATAGACCATTAAGTCCCAGAATTCATAATTCTCGAAATTCTTGGATAGAGCTAAGACAACATCGAGCCGCTTCAGAGAGTGAAAGTAATTAATTTCATTGGCGACGCCGATCAGGAATGCACGAGTTGGAGACTCGGCGTAATTCTGGTCTGACAAAATTGGGCATCCACCGAGAGGAACGATGATCTTGACCTTCAATCTTTGAATAAGTGAAAGGGTAGGCTTCATGCGGAATAATTGCTCGAAGAAGTCTCGCTCGTCGTGACCGTGGCGGAAACTGCGCTCGTCGACGACCAATTCGAAGCAATGGTTCTTCAGATACTCCTCCCTGGTATCGCGATCCATGTTCTTGAAGAGGTCGGTAACGAACTCGTAAGAGGAGGAATCGTATCTGGCAGATCGGAAAGGAAGAGTTCTTCCGTTGCTGTAGACTTGAGTGTAGTCGACGACTTCATTGCGCACAATGCCGTCAATCGAAATCGAAACCTCAGCGTTGGCTCCAGCTTTGCGATGGATCTTTTCGTTGGTGATGTAAGAAGTATTAGGGAACTTGGATGTATTGTTGAGAGGTGGAGACATTTTGATGTTGTCGGACTTGCCGAGTCGAGAATTTATAGGTGATCGCTCCTGGAAAGTTTCGATGAAGGACGCGCGATACAAGGGTATCGAATCTCTGGCGCAGGCTGCTTCTCCAATCCTTGTAATTGTCAGTATACGGAAACCAATGCGCATTGAGGAGTACTTGCGATCAGTGGATGCTCGAAGCGCAAGTGGAAAGCAAGATAGAGACAATCTCAAAAGTCTGTGCAGCGCAACTCTGTTGATGAGGCACTGTGAAATTGAAAGACTCGGAAGCGCTCGATGGAAGTGTTTTTGTTGGTATGAGCGTGAGAATAGAAGTTGTGTGCTGATGTGGTAGATTCTTGGAGAAGTGGCAGATGTTGAGGTACTTGCGAGAAGCTAGATAATATAAGTCAAGAGCTCCTAATGAAAGCGTCACTAGTGCGCAAGCAGATCTATGAGCGTAATGTTAGTTCAATTCTACCTAATCTTAGAGCCACTGAAGATATGGCTTACGTACACCTGGTCTAAATGCTTCCCAGTTACTTTGTCAAATTCTTCCATTTGAAGACAGACTTCTTGCAAACGCCCACTTTTAACATACGAGCACACTTCATGACCTAATATCAACATTCATGAACATCCGTTTATAATGAAATACTTAGTTGCTCTCCAATTTATCTTTCCTAAATCGTCTCTCCAGCACCATCGGTATTGGTGTGTGGAACTATTCACTGCATTATTATCCGTTCCGGCCCAAAGGATAGGAACTAGATCCTGCTATTTCACCATTAATCTGTAAAGAGTCTGCAACGAGTTGGTTATGACCTCCGTCGAGCAAGTTCCGTCGAGGCAAAAGCTCACAGCATCCACGTGATCGCGTCGTCCCCTATCTTCACCTCGCTTATTTTCGCTTCGGATACATCGAACGTAGGTAGGTGACTTCAAATGTTGCATATGTTTTCCCAGGCATCGTAAATCGTAGAAAAGAAGAAAATATTAAGGTATTTGTTCTTTGCCAGTCAATTGATTCATGATGTGACTCGTAACTTAGGCATCAGCACTCGACTCTGTGCAGGTTAGGCCATGTTAGCATCGGGAACGGCAGTGAGTAGCTCGTTCTGAAACAGAGGAGTGGGTCGATATTAGAGGAGTTTACTCTAGAACATATAGTTCACGAGACACAATGGCGCAGATAGTAGCATCGCAAGTCTGAAGAATATATCACTTTCGTTTACCTAAGATTGAAAATCAAAGAGTGGCAGAGCGACTGTTCTCATATCAGGGAAGAATCTACTTATTAATTCTGCTTTAGGTATCTAGGGTGTCTTGAATTCAAGAAAGTAGACTGCATGAATTACATCTAGTACCCGCTATCGTCCTTTTGCCATGGTTGATCCAAAAGCAAACCAAGAAACCCCGGCTACTCTCCCTCACACGACTGACACGAAAACATGGCCACCAGAACCCTCCACCATCACTGATTCCGGTATCCTTAGGTAAGAGTCTCTGGTTCGTAAATGCTGTGACGTACAAATACAGCATTTAGCACCCGAAGCTCCTCATCCTCCTTGCGCTTGACCTCGATAGCACGAAGTCCATTGAGGGAATTCAGGTCCTCCCTGAGAATCAGCTTAGGCTTGTACATGCCTTGAGCCTGGATATCTACATTCCAACCAGTGAAGCTCATAGGAAAGAAGGGCAGAGCATGACTCAAGTGCTGGTCATGAATGCCATCTTGAATACTGTGAGGGATGCACAGAACCACGTTCATTCGTCCGATGGCGGGGAACTGGAAGATCTCCTGGACGACTTCCTCAATGAGCTTGTAGCCTGCGGAAGCTGGCAAGAGCGCAAGGGTCATCTTCGATAGTTCGGCCAAAGGTGGAAGCTTGAGCTTGATGTCAAGGTTCTTGATGTGATCCGTGAACTCCGGTCCAAGTTTGGCCAACTGGTTGACGACGTTACTGGCATTTGCGAAGTATGCTCGAAGTTCGACGACTACCTCAACCCAATTGGCGGCGAGGAAGTCAACTCTGTCAGCGGGCGACATAGCCTTCATGAAGTGGGCGACGAAGTCGAAACCCTGGTTTTGGAAGGGATACGCCTTTACGTATGTTGCCAACCCATTGCTGTAGGTGGATTTGGTGGACTTGTACTTGTTCAAAGTCGCACCAGTTGCGGATAAGGTGATATCGGCAGATGCGCCTGGTAAGCGGACGTATGTGATGTCGACCTTTGTTGGGCTTCCGGGGTTGAAAGCTGATTGAGAGAGGGGAGCTCGATGAGCAGATCGAGAGGCAGGAGCAGCAGATGAGGACTCGGCTGCGACCTTGTTGTTGGTAGCAACCTTTCCGGGACGTTGGTTCTGGTCAACCATGATGGAGATGAGGTAAGAGATTGTGATTGAGGTGTTGATTTGTTTGGTGGGTACAGAACAACGGGTGAGGGTGCTCAAGTTGTTGTAGAAGGATAGATAATAGACAGAAGAGAGTGCGAATCAGTTGGTATGTGTGGAAGAGGTTGCGATTGAAGAAAGATTGTGCGGAAAGGTTGTCAAGAAAATCGCAAGTTGGAGCAGGTCGAAGATTTTATAGTAGACTCTCGGCTACCGCGAAGAGAATCTGTTCACTAGTGCGCATCAATCTACGAATGGATTTGCTCGATTCTGACTAGTGGCCCTTGAGAGGCAGCATAGATCATGGGATGAAAGCATTGTGAAAGCTCTGATGGGCAATCAAATAACAGATACTAGATATTCCACCTAAAGCCATAGGGTATACAGGCAATCTTCTCTGGATGGGAATACATTATAATATACAGGTGTGTCAATAACGTAGATTCAGGAGTCATAGATGAACGTCGTCACAGAGGAAGTTGTTTTGTATTTCATGGAGGAGGATTTGATTCTCTAAGTATATTTTCAGCAAGTGAAAATCAGTATCAGCGATGGTCCTAGCTGCTGTGCGTAGGGCTAGCGGCAGAAAAAGAACGTCGGTCTTCATTGCTCCCAAAAACAAGAGTACTTGGCCGAAATATAGGCTCACAGGACCATCCATGAACGCAAAATACAGGCTCCCCAAAGAGAAAGCCAAAAAGACCAGGTGTAATTTCGGACAACAGGCTTCCCAAAAGAAGATGGAAAGTAGGTATCGGCAGGTGGAATCTCAAAACCTAGGGCACACCTCACGAGGTGTATTAGTTCGCAATCCACCACCAAGCTTCAGTTATTCGTCTTCCAAGATCCTAGCACACCGTATCCAGGAGGATGGCATTATCAGACCGATGTTCAATCTATTCTAGGGAGAATCGAAGAGCGATTGATCAAGGCGACGAAGCTGGAGCAAATCATCGTCAGAAACTACCTTCGAGCGTGTCATTGAAGGCACGGTATATCTCAAACCCCAATCAGTGAAAGACAGGTAATGGAAAGGTAGAGAGTACACCATTTGGAGCTCATGCAGACCACGTGTAAAAGTATGTGGGAGCTCCAAGACAACGTGAAGCTTCTCCAGTGCCACGAACTTCTCAACTTCGTCAACAATTCTCTCAACCAGAGCGTAGCCAGGCGTTGAGACGATGTTGGACGGCGTCATGACCGCTAGATTGGATAAAGCGGGGAGAACAAGCCTAACGACCAGGTTGCTGACCAGCTTGAAGAAGTCTGGACCAAGGCTTGACAACTGTTCCAGGACAGCTGAATCTGATTCGGATACAGAGCTGCTGATTTCGGGTATCTTGACCTGCATCTCGACCCAACGATCCTTCAAGTACTCCACCTTTGCTGAATATGGCATTCGATTAGACACGTCGTCGGCTAGGTCGTACATGGTCGAATTATAAGGATAGGACCGAGCTGTTTCAACCTGACCATCGTCGAAGGTTTGAATGACAACTTTCATCTCATTGCGCGTAACTTCAGTAGCGGAAATCGAGATATCGGCGCGTGCGCCTGGAGTGCGCTGGAAGTTTACCGTGGTGGATAGTACCTTTGGCAAGATTCCAACGGTTGATGGTGGACCCGTCGACAAATCAGTGGGAACAATAACCAGTGACTTCTTAGACGCTCTGGTGGTTGGATTCTTCTTCCCGAATGGGAGATTTGCGTGTCTGTCCTTTGCGACCATGATGATCGATGGGTAGTTGATTGACTTCAAGAAGGAGTGTTGAGGCTGATGCTGCAATGATATTATGCGCGTAAGTGGTTGGCAGATAGCGTTCGTATTGGTAGTGGAAACAGTCAGGGAGTTTGGTGAAATCTTTCTATCAAGGTGATGGCACTTTTAGGAGAGTGGAAGATATGAGGAGGTAGTTAATCGTGGTCGGATACGTCGGTGAAGAGGTTGTGTTGCGAAGATATCGTTGAAAGATGTAGGAAAATATGCTCTCGGCAGAAAAGCGCATTCTCGAATATACAGGCTCGAACTGGATTCCCCACATGTGCACTAGGATCGCGAGCGTTGAGGAGAAATGGATCACGGTGAGCATAAGTAAAACTCAGCTCTTGAATTGAATCGGACTACCTTCTTTTAGTATGATGTCTAGTGAACATCGAATTTGGGGGATGAGAGGAGTTTATAGCTCAAGCGAACATGCGGTAGTTACTTAGCTATGAACGCTACGATCCTGTTTACTCTGATGTAGATCTTCTGATTATACCTTCTGACAGGTTCGAGCTTGCAAACAGCTTGTCGAGTAGGTTTTGTGTTGAAAAGTTGTCAAGCTTCTAATCACGTGGTGACTCCAGCGAAGCCTTCCGACTCCAGGCCAAGCTATCTTACTCTTGGAAATGCTCATGCGAGATTACCAACATCTTCAGATTCTTTAGCAGAAACAAACTCTCAGTGCAGGCCATCTTCATCTCCAGAGTACTGCATCCATTCTCGTGATCTCGTGACTAAGCACGCACATCTAACATGAGCCCACTTAGTCAAACAAGAACACATAACTACAATCATGCACTGAAGCCAGTTGACTTTTCAGAGTCCACGATGAAGTCGTCAAAAGAGATTGAAGCGTCAACCATGGCATGAAGTTTTCCACACTCAAATGGTCATATCTTCCGCCAAGACATCAGCAATAAACAAGAAACAGCTACAGATATATAATGAAACAGACAAATGGCTACATACAATGTAACATACGAGGCGTCCCTAGACTCTGAAGTCCAGGAACGGCTTTTCCAAGAGGTTCGATGATGATATCAGTATGGAATCTGGCAAACTATGTCACCACAAATGATACTCCTCTCTATCCAAGCGTTGGAGAACAAGATTCCAAGTTTGCGGAACGATTGAAGAGAGTGAAAGAAGAGGTGAAGAGATCTGGTCGTGGGATGAAGTAGCTCGTTTGAAGCGATTGGCTCGGACGGACCCCGTGGTTCTTCACGATTAGCTTCGTTCCTATGACTTTTCAACTTGGGCATTCGACAGTTACTTCGACATATTCATTACTAGGTCATTCAGAGAGTCGGGTTATCCCTCTGAAGATATATGGAGATATGCCGCCTTGAAATGAGTCTTTTGCAAAGGTTGGCACTGTGCAATGTATTATCATCATCCATTGTCTTTCTCTTCATCATAATCTCATATCTACACACTCCACCTCTAAGAGACTCTATCTCCCATCTTCATCCGCTGAACCTCTTCGTCTTGAAAAAGAAAAAAGCCATGATAGTGGTATCGCACCTGTAACCGTCTTACTCCTCTTTATGCCCATTTCCCATGTCCTAGCCCATAAATTCCAAATGCAACCCGCTATGTAGTCTTACACCGCAACACAAAAAATCAAATCCGTAAATCAATCGCTATGCATAATTCTCCATCCTCGTTCCTCCTCTCTAATCCTCCACTTCATAAATTTCGGCCAAGTGTTGAAGCCATTCCGACTTCGCTGCGGATCGTTTCGCGCAACTCGATGACCGAAGATCCAGGATGTTCCTTTCCGGCGAAATAGCCCCTATTTAGGTTCTTTTTGCATGAAATGATAAGCCGCGGCGTGAGAGTTGCAGGAGGTTGAACTCCGAACACGTGTACAAAACCTCTCTGCTTCACCGACTCAACCCAGAACCCTGAAAGACCCTGAAAAATATTATCCCCGTCTGTGCTTTGACTCCCATGTCGGTTTTCAATTCTCCCGACGATCGAAAAATGCCACACGATCCAGAAATTAGGGGTCCTTATCTGCGTCCCAAATTTCAATGTTTCTGATGCACAGGCCGTACGACCATCATCCGAAAGAAGAGAATCCAGGCACAGCGGCGTTTTTCGGAGTCCAATGGCCGCCTGTTCCTCGTGTGCATCATTTAGGCGAACCGGTACGGAATACATCCTTGGCGCATACCGATCCTGGACCCCTTTCAGGCGTTGATGCATCCGGTAGGAGCCCTGACGATCCCAGGTCATTCGAGATCCTGCATTTCCGACCTTCTCCGGAGGTCAGCGGGAAGACTGCCATAGTGAATCCTCAAATTTTGCTGCCTCTTGAATTCTGAACACGACGCAATTTCGGCGGAACGTAATTTCCCGGCACGATCAAATTTTTGTTCGAATCCGTCGCCGTTTTGATGTGTCACGAACAAGCGGGCAACTCCGCCGCAAGCGAATAGTGGGATAGTGGGGTGCATCGTAATACCGCAGACCTCTCTCATGGTATTTTGAGTTCCGTATGTGGGTCGATTTTCTTTCCAGAAGGTCGGCATTCAAGGAAGAAGTGGATGCGTTCCATAGGCTCGGAAGTTCGTTTCAGGTACGTAATGTTGAATATGCCTCAGGTAAGTCGCTGCCAATGGTTTTGTAATAACATGTCGAAGATTTGAGGAGGATCGCGTGGCCTGACAGGTGATCGACTGGCCACAATGTCAGAGTGTGACCCCAATCCACCGTACTGGGACTCCGTTGGCGTCGCGTTCGTAGGGCTTCGTAGGTGGCTGTCGAGCTGGCAATGCCCATTTCGCCCTGCCAGGCTTCTGATCATCCAACTTGCCTCTCTTGCGCATCAGCATTTCCATCACGGCTACCCGAATAAAATCGCTATTCTCACGCATGTCTCTCTGACGTGCGAGTGGGCCGGTGGCGACTTCGATCGGTGGTTCCTGGGTCGAAGTACGTCTGCTAATAACAGAAGGAGATGTGCCTTTCTTAGATCGTGAGACATTGTATGTTTGCATCTGAATGGACGCAGTACACTGCGTTGAGCTCATGGTTTGTGCCAGTGACGAAGGAACATGAGCCTCGATCGGCGCATTCGTAGTGGGGTTGAGATATCGTCGGAGTGCTGGGGTAGGAGTATCCTCAAGCCGTGGAGGCATGCGCTCATCTGTAAACGGAATCTGTGGATCAATAGTGATGATTGACCTTGTGAGGAAATCGTCCGGAGGAATCATTGGCGTTGTGAGTGTTTGGAAAGATTTGGCAGCATTTCGGAGTGCTCGGAGTGAAGCCGTAAGGTTCGACTTGAAAGCTGATTTGCCCGGAGGGGTTGCAACTTCAACATCTACGTCAGACCTTGCCTCTTCTTTTGAAGGTGATTTCTGGAAGACTCTGAAGTCTAACTGGTCCACATCGATCTCTGGTGCATGTAATGGGTGGTCTTCCGAAGTTCCCAGCGGCGAAGAGAGTGTTCGTATCCTCCGCGAAGGGGTTGATCTCTTGCCTCGGGGCATCGATGTAGGAGTGACCAAAGACCCCAGAGATGGCGAGTGCTCGTCGATAGATTCATCGTCCAAGGAAGGCATCGAATCACTCGACAATGTTCTCGTAGACATGACTGACTCCTGTCCGTTCTCACTGCCTGCAAGCTCGTCGTCGTCCTCCGGGGGACTAAGTAGAAAGTCTAGAGGACTCTTTCCCAAAGATGTACCTAGATCCTTCTCGGAAACGCTCGTATGTCTCATTATCGCATCGACAGTCAGCTTCTGACCTGATCCACTTCGAGTGCGTCCGCCATTGTGTCTCTGTGGTGGAATGGCCGTAATAGCGAGGAGCGCAGCGACAGAGGGAGGGAGCGCATCGGGGGAATGGATGCGCGCTCGACGATCTGCCTTTGCAGAATCTCGTCTGCTACTCTGCGGACCCTTCCTTACTTGCGACTTCTGTTTCTCGTGGGAATTATGACCTCGCATAGGTATGACGACAGGTGAAGTAGGAGTTGTTGGTTTCGTGTCGGTGATGGTGGTAGTAACAGACATGTCTTTCGGGGTCGATTTTGAAGGTGATCTGGTCCGTCGTTCCTCCACTGGTCGTTCATGTTGGTAATCTGTTGTCTTCGGTATGTTCTGGCGGGTGAAGAGGAAACTCCTTGGGGTCATCATCTTCACGCTGGTAGGGCGAAGTCGCGTGAAGGCCAAGGTACGGCACCTGCCTTTTACCAAGCCGAACCGATGACTATTACTTGATGGAAACCCCAATACAAGTTTCGCAACCTGGGATCGGGAAATGCTGAAATGGAATATGTGGATTCTCGGCTTCTGTACCTGCAAGAGCGAAGTCTTTAAAGGCTTATCGGAAGGTGGTTGCGGTCGTCTCCAGGAGTTCACTGCACAGTTGCGATTGATGATCACGGTGCGGCATGGCAGTCTTCCAAGTTATTACTGAGAAGGCAGCATGTAGTTTGATACGTGAGAGATTTTTGCTGGCGTGGGTTGACTTTGTTTGAAAAAAAACGGAACAAAATGAGAACCTGCGTGGGAGAAAGGATTGCAAAGGAAGAAGACAAGTGGTATGTAAGCTGAGAGTGATTGTGGTTGGGAGTCGAGCGAGTTGGGACGTGGGAGTTGATGAGGGAAGCGGCGGAGCCATTTGATCGGCTTGGGGCCGCTACAGCCTTATTGGCGCTGATAAGGGATTCATAGGGGAGGATCGGAAAGACACACGACACGACAGAACACAACAACAGCACATTATAGATTTGAAAGCAGTCTTTCATCGAACAACGTGGGTGCTTGTGACTCTTGCACTTTTACATTTGAACTTTCGATTCTTTGGATTATTTTACTGCTCTTACTATCATAAATAAACGAGCATGTCATACTATGATCATGTCACTGCTAACTGCACCATCATACATGTCGTATTGAATTTACAATCATAATTGCAGCCTTGCTTCTTTCTTTTGCTACCTATTTATCTCTTGTTATTCCCACACGACTGGCAATTTGTTAATACAAGGAGAGCGTGATGGACAAAGAGATGTACCCCCATCATCCCACTTGCTCTACTCAATCTTGTGAGAGAATGGACAAACTAATGTATCCATCCGGTTTCCATCTCCTTCGCCTTGACCGAGTCTCAGCCGGACCGTACGTGGGTGGACCGCCCACTCCCGCCCAGACGCTGCCCTCCGAAGCCTGGTGAGCCGTGGGGGATTTAACTTTCGCAGTATCCGATTCCTTAGGTATCACTTTCAGCTGAGCGGAGACGTCCCCTCGAGCAGGCACCAGAGGAGGATTCATTGATGACCATTGCACATCATTTGCCACGGCCAGGTCCATCGGCCAGAGAACTCATCATGACTGTCTAGGCTTGCATGAGGCTGCATCCCGCCATGGCGCACCTCTGCATGGCCCAGTCAGCGATTCGGGAACCGGGACTGGGGATCGATAAGACGGTCCATCATCCCATCTCCAGCTTAAAAATACTAATGACCAGTCTATTTCGGCCAAGGGGACGTCGTCGTTGGCCGAATGAGAAGAAGTATAATTATGCTCTCCACACTCTGGGCAAACCCACTGTGACGACCTTTGCCGGTACTCAGCGGTACTTGAGTTGTTTTTGTACGAGTATGTACTGCATGCAATGCACGAGGAATAATTTTTCTACGGCTCAGGGTCTTTTCAAACACGTCGACCTGCAGCCTCACCGCTTTGCTCGTGTGCCCCCAGCATGCGTTCATTTCGCACACGAAAATCCAAAGAAATGCAAAACGAAGCTTGTCCTCTCTCTTCCTTCAGGAGGAAGGTCTTGACGCCTCCGCGATCGGTACCTCGAGACACTATGTCAGTATAAGAATGTGGAGAAGGTACCTAGGCCTAGGTAGCTAAGCAGCAAATCATCCGCTATGAACGAAACCGTCTTCCTTGAACACTTGGCACCTTCAATCCTCTTTCTGCGGGAACCCGGCAAAAACATCCCACTCTCTCCACGATGACCAAAAGCGAGCGACGAGCCTGGTAAGCATTGTGAGCAGATGATGGATGACCTCGGTTGTATCTCCGTAAGCCCTCTTGCTGCCCAAAGGGGATTCTGGCAATTCTCACCATGCCATCTTTCACAAGGAAATAAAAAAATCCTCACGTGTACCATACCCATACATACATATCGCAAGAGATGAGATCTCGATGCATCACACCCTTTCATGCAGGTCGCCAATTCGACATTCCTCTTATCAGTGACCTGTCAGATCTCCAATCGGGATTTTGCGATGGCGCAGCCTAAGATTCTTTTGCGCTTCCAGAAGACGATCACATGGCTCTTTCGAGAGGGATTTGTTCGTCGACGCCGTGCGGGTTTATAGAGTGGGCTGGGAGTCGTGCGAGTGTCCTTTTTAAGATGTCGCTTGGCTGAGATTTGATATCGACACTACAAGATTTGGTAGAGGCAGTTCTCGTCAAGCTTTGTGTGCATAAGGGTCCCCGTTCAGCCGAAGATGTGCTAGTTGGGTTTGAAGAAACTCTATGTTTTTGGACAGAAAGTCTACTTGATACTTCTCAGAGACTTGGGCTTGAGAATTATGTAGGCACCCGAGGTTGGCGACACAAAATGCGGTACTACACATGGGGGACAAAATTTGGCTAATGTGAACGGAGTAACCCTAGCTATACGAGACTTTGTGTGTATAGGGCAAGAGTATAATGATTGCTGAGGAATTGATCGATATAAATGGTATAACGCAAGATGCTGTTGAATAGGGGAGGCTCTCTTTGAGACTCTGAGCATGCAACGTACTGCTTAAGTCCAAGTAGAGTTTCTTTTGCTAAAGTGATGAGCGAAAATTCATCATCTAAATGGCCAACCATTCGATATTCAATCTCATGATGGATATCGAGAAATCTGGAAGTAACCTAAGGCGTTCACATCTTCCGGGCCATAACGCGTGCACGTGATCATTGCCTACCTTATTTGCAATACATTTCCAATATCCTGTTGACAGTACGGATAACCGTCATCGTTGTCTTCGATAATAAGAAGCAAGATCGTTAATATCCAAATTCGACGAAAACGAGTTTTATCACATGGCTTCTGTCATGTCACGGATTTTCGTGATTCCGTCGCGACTGCCTGATTGAACCCTCCACTCGATTCGACGCGTCTACAATGAGATTGCGACAATAATCTCCATCTTTGCTCTCTCACCTCTCGATGTCAATAAGTTCATGAATTGATCACGATCAAACGTCAATATGGCTAGTCAAAGGGAGCCGGATGATGAGGCCATCCAAGACGATGAGCTTCAGTACGGTCATGGCCCAATGACCATGGAAGAGCTTGATGACAAGTAAGCATCTCTCACATACAAAGAAGGATAAAACTGAACTCTGTAAGGTATGGTGGTGACGAAGATACTCCACGGCCTCGGAATCATTCCAAAACACCTCCATTCTCAGAGCTGCTAGTATCTCTCTTCAATCCTCTCAATGACAACAAGAAGCGACCTACTGGCCCCAAAGTTGTTGCAAAGAAAGGCCCCGGATCAAAGACCGTATCGCCGCATGAGCAGCGGCGCAACATTATCCAACAGTTCATCTTACGATGGCGCAGTCAGGTTGGCAATGACTTTTACCCCGCTCTTAGACTCATCTTGCCTGAGAAGGATCGAGACAGACCAATGTACGGTCTCAAAGAGAAAGCGATTGGCAAGTTGATCGTCAAGATGCTCAAGATCAATGCCAATGGCGATGATGCTCAAAGTCTGCTCAATTGGAAGCTACCTGGTCAGACCACTGCAAGTCGTATGGCAGGTGATTTTGCTGGAAGATGTTTCGAGGTTCTATCCAAACGAGCAATGCGACAAGATTTTGGGGACATGCGAATTGCTGAGGTGAACGAGCTTCTCGACAGACTTTCAGCTGTCTCGAAGGAGGAAGACCAATTGCCTATCTTCTCGCAATTCTATAACAGAATGAATGCAGACGAACTTCTTTGGCTGATTCGCATCATCCTTCGGCAAATGAAGGTGGGCGCATCTGAAAAGACCATATTAGAGGTAAGTGCCCTCCACAACACAAAATTACCTGCTGACCATTTTCGAGATGTGGCATCCCGATGGGGAAATTCTCTTCAACGTCTCTTCAAGCCTGAGGCGAGTATGCTGGGACCTCTGGGATCCATCAATTCGGCTTGATGATGATCGGAGGGGCATTGAGTTGATGTCATGTTTTCAGCCTCAACTAGCACAGTTCTCACAACATTCAATCCAGAAGATGATCGAAAGAATGGGTTGCACCTCTGACAATCCGGAATTCTGGATCGAAGAGAAATTAGATGGCGAGCGCATGCAGCTACACATGAAACCAGACCCCAATGTCAAGGGAGGACGAAAGTTTGCTTTTTGGTCTCGAAAGGGTAAAGACTATACGTATCTGTACGGAAGTAGTCTCGAAGACCAAAATTCGTCCCTAACAAGGTTTCTCAAAGATGCCTTTGATCCGGGTGTTGAGAGTATAATTCTAGACGGCGAGATGATCACCTGGGACCCAGTGACAAGATCCATGGTTGGCTTCGGAACGCTCAAAACCGCAGCTATATCTGAGCAGCGGAATCCTTACGGAGAAACAGGACATCGACCTTTGTTTCGCATCTTTGACTGCCTTTACATCAACGACAAAGACATTACAGGCTTCATGTTACAAGATAGGCGCGAGGCTCTAGAACGTGTTGTCAAGAACGTTGATATGCGCCTAGAGATTCACAAGTACCAAGTGGCAGCGACTGCAGCAGAAGTCGAGACTGAACTTCGCAAGGTTATTGAGGAGGCATCTGAAGGACTTGTGTTGAAGAACCCACGATCTGTGTACCGCCTAAACAGCCGTAATGACGACTGGATGAAGGTCAAGCCTGAATATATGACTGAATTCGGAGAGTCCCTGGATTGTGTTGTGATTGGAGGATACTATGGTTCCGGGCATAGAGGTGGGATGCTGTCCTCGTTTTTGTGCGGCCTCCGCGTGGACGATAATGCCATCAAGGCAGGTGAGTATGCGCGAACCACTTACATGAATCATTCTGACTTTCTAATCTAGGTGCTGATCCAATGAAGTGCTTATCTTTCTTCAAAGTTGGTGGCGGTTTCCGAGCTGAGGACTACGCCAAAGTCCATCACAAGACTGAGGGCAAATGGCGTAAATGGGACAGGAACAACCCTCCGCGAGATCTCATTGTCCTTGGAGGCAACGATAATCAGCAATTCGAGCGACCTGATGAGTGGATCAAGCCATGTGACTCTGTTGTTCTGGAAGTCAAGGCAGCATCTGTTGCGGCGTCGGATCATTATGGATACCAATACAGTTTGCGATTCCCTCGATTCAAGAAGCTAAGGGATGATAAGAGCTGGAAAGAAGCGCTTTCGACTTACGAATTTGTGGAGCTGAAGAGCCGTGTTGAGGAAGAATCTAAGAACAAGGCACTAAAGATCGATACCAGTAGGAGAGCCTCGAAACGTTTGAAGAAGGAAGTGTTGATCGCTGGCAATAATACAAAAATAAGGACGCCTTACGCAGGACCTCAAACCAAAGCTTTCGAAGGTTTAAGTTTTTGGGTCATGACTGGCAAGGAAGATCAGCCGAAAAAGACCAAGGCAGAGATGGAGCAGATCATCAAGAGCAATGGCGGGAAAATCGTCCAGAGTTCAACTGCAACGGATAGTGTCATTTGCATCGGCGACAAAAGAGTGGTCAAGGTCGCAAGTCTTATCAAAAGTGGAGAAACGAACATTGTAAAGCCTGCTTGGGTTCTTGATGCCTTGAAGCAAGTTGAGATTGATGGCGCTGAGAGACAACGGTTTCTCATACCTTCGGAGCCGGCGCATATGTACCATATGCTGGAGGAGGTGCGCGAACACATAGAAGGAGCTGTTGATGATTATGGCGACAGCTATGCGAGAGACGTTAACGTCGACGACCTCAGACGCCTTATGGAAGACATGATACACCCTAAGGACTCAGAATTCTCAGCAACAGAATTCCTCTCGGAGCTCGAAGAGCGCGGAAAAGGCTTTGGAGAGGTCCCAGGTTCCATGTTCAGGAGATGTGTTGCTCGTTTTGTACCTGCGAACGATGAGACATCTGGCATTGATTTGGAGATTGCCAAGAACCAATTTCTGTTTGCTGGTGGTACCATCGCGGGAGATGATGAGGACGACAGCATTACTCATTACATTGTTACGAGCACGGATTCAAAGCTTGTGAGGGATTTACGAAAAAGTATTTCACGTGGAAGTTTGAGGATACCTAGAATTGTCAGTTTGAGCTGGCTGAGTGATAGTTGGAAGGAGAAAACTGTTCTAGACGAAGAGCAGTACGCCATCGTTGTTTGATTGTTATTCGGTGCAACTTGGCCACAACCGCCGCTCGGACCGTCGCACAATTCAAACCGATTTTGTTAGCAACGAAGGAGATGGTTCCAATCTTGCTCCCGTGGGACGCATGAAATATTGCACGAGTGATATTCCAGCCTTGCGCGTTTACCTCTTAGGGCTAAAAAAAAGGAACAAGCGTTCAGAGACACTGTTTGGTGATCTATCATGACTTGTTGACTCTATGCCGGAATAGCAAACACTAAGCTGGTAGTCATTTCCAGATGAGCAAGTGCCAAATTGTATGTTCATAGCGTAAAATACACCAAGAAGGCCACTTCTGCTTCCTTTCAGTCTACGTTTTCGTGCTTATTTCTACATCATCGTCCTTACCGCCGAAGGGTCTCGAGCCACAATCTCCATTTCCGAAGCATTTTCCACAACGGAAAGCTTCTGGCGCTGTGCGATGTGGGTCATTGTAGCGCTAGTCGTCTTGCTGCTCTGTTGGTTCTGCGTCTGGGTATTTTCACCACCACACTCCATTTCGTTTATCCTCTTCGCTTCAACGATTTTGACAGCAATAGTAACTTTCACATGGGGAAGTTTCTGGCGCCGTGCGATGTGGTTTATTGCGGCGACACTCAGCTTCATGCTCCTCGTCATGGTTGTCTCACCACATTATTCTGTCTCGCTTACCCTCTTTTCGTCGATGATTCTTGCAACAATAGCAACCCTTCTCCAGATTCCCCTTTTCCCAATTCTAACGCCAACAGGTCTTCAGCCATCGCTTCAGCATGTAAGCTCAAAACAACACAGGAAGTGGGTATCAACATTGACTGGTCTATAGCTCCCGGCAGATCTTCTGAGAAATCCGGGACAGTTATTGCCGAGCGAACAAGCGCACATTGATACACAATTCCCAACACTAGCCAGATTCCGATTCAAGGAGTTCTCTGCTGAAAGAGCAATCAACGAATACCACAACAATCAAATTGCTTATGCTCTTGCGTTAGAAAATGTGGATCAGGAGTTATCCAGTGTTGTTTCACAGAAATGCCAAGACGAGTTTAAACAGCTCCACGCTCGTCAGACCATCAAACATTTCCGAAGACATCATATTGGCAACGGAGCAGTCAATATATTGGTGCCCTTGACTCTTGTCGACTGGCTTCAGATCTTTTCGTCTTGGTATACGATATGGGAAGCCCAGGAGCGCAAGAAGCACGAAGGCGCCACTGCTAAGAAGAAGTTCAATGTTAGCTATTACCAGGTTGGCAAAGCTTTCATGCGCTACGTAGTTGGAAGGGATGAACTGCTAGATTCAAAATCTGGAAGTGTTAGTGACAACAATCCAGAACCTGAATCTGCAATCCAATCATCTCCGGGCGGGGGTATACCGGTTGCCTCACCAAGCTCCGCCGCCAATTCAGACACCGCTTCCACCTCCACACCTATTACCACACCAAGCACTTGGATGGACGTTCACGAGACTTTTATGAAAAATGTTTCAACATTCTGCGATCATGCTGGAGTGACTGTTGACCGTTTTGCTATGCCGGCCGAGAACATCAGCCGCCTCAAAGCAGTGGCAGGCGCGGGTAAGCAAGAGGTGCAGCGGCTTTATCAACAAGTAACGGGGTTGGAAACTGAGCTCAAGGGCTGCCAACGTGCTCTCGCAGCGCTTCAGATCCGACATACGATTGAATCACTTGTTCTCGAGCTTGATCCTGAAGCCTTTAAGGTCCGAGGCAATGGACCGAAGTGGCAAGATCTATGGAAACAACTGTGGCCCGATGCCAAGCCCAACGAGATTAACCCATTCCATGCCCTTAGAACTGAACACAAAGGAAGATACGACCCCGATGCTTTTGACAGAAAAGGCCTCAACTTATTCAAAGATATGAGTATCTGGATTCACAAATACAGCCAGCAGGGCCATGAGACCGGCTACAAAGACTTTGATCCTGTGACAGCGGATATTGCAAAGCTTATGGAGCCAAAAAATGTCGACGAAAATGGGAAGGTGGATTGGAAAAAAGAGGTCGAGAGATATCTAACTAGAGCACCTGTTGAGGAGCTGGCAGCAGCAGGTCCGAAACCCTATGTCGAGTCTGCGAAGAAGACGCAGAAGGCGGATCGGAAGGCTGCAAAGGCTTCAATGGCTGGATCTCCTCCGCCTTCCGAAGATGACCTTTGGAACGCTGCTGACTTATTTCCAGATGCTGAGGGCTCAAGTGGTTCCGAGGAGCCATCTACAAACGAAGAGCCAGCCCACACGGATGAGGCTCTAGCTATTGAAGTGCACGTGGAAGAGCCTACCGTGGTTGGCGAGTCATCATATGTCTCTCTTCCTGCAGAGACTGGCGAGCCAAGTGCAGAAGGCTCAAGTTGATTAGAGAGATGCACACTAAAGCTTGCTGTCTGATTGATGATATGTTGCTTGTCTAGATTCCAAATGCTACTAGATCTCATAGAAGGGAAGAGTGGGTCACTCGTGACTTAAAGAATGCCTTGCTCTATAGAACCTTTGTTGATTGCGAGGGCAAAATATCTAAATCCTTTCTTACAAGGGCATACTCACAAGCTGCTTCCATCCTCTCGCTTTTCCCTTCCCACTACAGGATACTTCCTAATGGTTTCCTTCCAATCCACCTCCCCACTATCCTCGTCCACAACCAGTGATTTCAGAAGTATCTTCGCAATTGCGTTGGTTGCCGGATCAAATTGTGCGTAATCTTGATCCCTCTTGTTATACCCATGGATCTCTGCACTCATATCGCTAAAAAGCTCCTCTCCCTTCTTTTTCAGATTCTGCTTCTCGTGCTGCCCTTTCGCATCTTGTCTCGACTTATAGAACAAACTCTTTTCATCCGTCTCGGCAGCATCCCAGATATCTCCCCAAAGCTTTCCCCATCGTTGAGTTACGCGACCTGCTCCGTCATCCGCAGGGACATAGCCTGCAGCAACTTTCTTTGGAATCTTCTTTGGGACTCCGTAGCTATAATGTGCAGTTTTTGGTAACTCAAACGTAAGCTTGTCGATAGCTCGACGGATCTGCAGCGCGGCGATGGCTCTTTTCGAACTTTGTACTTGTCCTCGCAGTTCCTGGTTTTCTTTCACGAGGGATATATCTGGTCTCCGTTTCGCGGCTGAGTTGTAGAGGTCCGTCAGAGTGTCCCATGCTGGGCTGAGGTGGTCGATTGCGTGAACGCTAACGGTGTCACAGAAGAGGTTCACGTTAAGGGCAAAGGTTTGGTATTCTGAGATCCAATCAATACGGACAGGTGTGTTCGTGGTGGTCGGTGGTATTGTTCCTAGTTCAACATCGCCATCCATTGATACAGCGAGACGATTGGTGTTAGTTGTCGATGCACCAGCGCTCGCTTTTCGATTCGCCACTGCCATGGCTTTCTCACATCTCTTAATCCTAAAATCAGCAATTGCCCATTCCAGACTTTCGAAAAGGGAGATCCTTATCCAAAGACCGGTAGCGCCTTCACTGGCGCGGTTTCGTCGTTTGGCGTCATGACTCTGTTTCTGTAAGAGGCAGCTTAAACCTTTCTCGTTCTTATCCAGCAGGACTCGTTGGAGCTGTATACTGATTCTCCAGAGCTCACGAGCGTAAGTCACTGGATTAGCATCGTATTGTTCTTTTGCCTTGTCCAGGGACAGGTCTGAAGAGCGGAATAGTGCCAACGTCGAGAAGGCCGGTTCATCTCGTCTCTTCTCCTCGATGGGCAATAGATTCTTGGATTCATCGAACTGCATCAGTGTCAGCAAGGACCGAGAGTAAGGGAAGTGCGGATACTGACGTCCAGTCGTGGTTTTGGCAGACCGTAGAATTTGCGGAAGGGGATTATGATGAATATGATAGCGGAAAGTAGCATGACTAGCAATGCGACGAAACAACCCACTGCAATGTCGACCAGCAACATTGGAATTCTGCTTGAAGTATACTCTTGCATAGTAGAGGTTGGTGGCTTTTGAAAGATGGAAGAGAAGTAGAGAAGGGGATGAGAGATTTGATAGATGCAATGAGCTGAATGATGCCACTTTTCTCGTGCGGGGTCTAGAATATATAGATCTGACACAAGCGTACTTTTGAGTCAACTTTGTGCCATCCGTTCACGAAGATAACTCCCATGACCTTGTCGACGGGCTTGTGGACAAAAAACTTGATCTATATCAGGATATATCTGAGACGCTTTGTCAACAAAAAAGGGTAAAGAAGATCACTGACACTTGTCAGAGAGTAGAACAGACTCGACGTTACAATGGCAAAGTGGCTGAGAAGGAACTACGACAAAGGCTCCGGTGTCCAAACATGCAGTTTCTGATACTTCGAACAAGAACCCAACTTCGAGCTGCGAGACACCGCCAAGAAAGTGAATGATAAACAGGCATCATGAAGTATTCATTATCCCCCAAACGCCATCGCTACCCAATGCAAGCATCACCCATCTTACAACGGCGGCAGATTCTCTCTACAAATTGGACACTGCAACCGAAACCTCATCCAGCCCTCCAAACACGCACTATGAAAGACATGTCTACAAGGCGTAACCATATATTGTCTCCGAGCCAGCATACCGGCCACACCCCCCGCCGCTCCACTACCAGTCGCATCCTCGCCTGCTGCGACAACTGGAACTTCGAGAACTTGCATGCAGATAGCACAATCGACAGATCTTACGCTGCCGTCTTTCTTCTTCCTGCTTCCTTGCTCGTCGCCTGTGTTAATTCTGTCTAGTGTTGGAGAAGAGGGGATCTGAACAAGTCCGATCGGGAGACCTCCTGCTTCGACGTTGTCTTCTCGGAGGATTGGGTGGTAATCCCATCCTTCTTCCGTCCAGCCCTTTGGTAGACCCCACCTAGGACCGAGCACTTCTTGTGCAACCAATATCCAGATTTGGATCCATACCCAACCTGCTAACACAGAGAATGCTTTCCAGTCTGTGTTCGAAAACATAACGTTATCTTCCCTGAGGTAAAAGTACGCAAAAGGCAATAAGCGTAAGACGGATTGTCCAATTATGAACTTCCAGAGCAGAGCTTTGCGGCAATTACGCATGATGTTCCGTCTGATTTGCGGTATCCAGAAAGAAAGATAGACGAAACTGAGGATATGTATGTACACATTGCGGATACCGACGGGCCAGGACATGGCGGAGAGTGAAGTGAAGAGGATAACGGTCAAGGTGAGTACGAACTTCATGTAGACGGCACCGAAACTATTATTGCGTGGAGGTACTTGCATTCCTGCTGGAGCGTTGGTTGTTGGAAGTGTAGGAGCTGGGGCGGCGGCATTCTCTGCGATTTCAGCGTCGATATCCTGATCTGAGGGGATGATTATAGGCGCTAGATTCAAGTTGGCTTGTACTGGAGCCTGTACTGGAGGCACATCTGCACCTGCTGCTGTGATGATTGGAACAGGAGCTGGAGTCGGGTTCGGAGCTACTCTTGCAGCAGCATTATTTGCTTCCGCAGCTTGTCGAACCCGTTGCCGCTCAAGTCTTTCCGGCTCTTGAACATTGTATACCACTGATATGAACCTTACTCCGAGAGCTACTGACATCAAGGCAGCGAACGATGTTAAAATAGCAGATGGGAAGAAGGTCGTAACTGTCGCACTTAGAAGCGACATGCTAGAGAATAGGAGTGCATCTGCCATAAGCATCATGCCTATTGTGTATAAGCTGACTCGTCCGACGGTAGAAGGTGTCGAAGCTTCCTTCGACTGGATCTTCATGAGCAGTATGTGCCCAAATATCACAAGAGCAAAGATATGCAGCCAGTACTGGATATCATGAAGCCATACTTCCTGCTTCTTACCAGTAAGATGCTTTCCAGCAGTCTGGGGGAACGACGGCGGCCCTTTCGATTCCAAAACGAATCCACAGTCAGGTGAAAATATAACTGCTGATACCTGCATGTCAGGAATGTGTGGAATAGGGGCGCCATTTGGGAAGCGAAGCTCCTGCTCCATGTCGTGTACCACAGTGGTCATCGTGAGACCCCCAGCATCAATAGCATGGTCTGAGTCCACAGGATATACTTGGGCATATAGCACAAACTCGCAATGAGGAGCTGGCATAGTTGCATCCCCTTGATTGTTTGGCGTCGCAGTCCACGGATTGCCATTATCTCCCCAGGTTATTCTCTCCATACCCTCGACGACATCCTCCAAAGTCTTGTTTAAAACCTTCTGACTCGTTATATAATGATCCAAATCTGGAGTTAAATGCGGGAGTCCGAAGATACCAGCAAACTTCTCGCTCGTAGTAGTCATAATCATAACACCATTCCTCGGCCAATGCACGCCATGGACTTTCATATCCCACCCATCACCGCTACTCGTCTCATCCTGCACAATGAGAGAAGCTTCTACCTCTCTCGCATAATCCGTATACCAACTCGATGGTCTCTTCTCTGCACTCCCAACGTCCTTGTCCATAACATCAAAGGACATACCCTCGACATTTCTCTCATCAATCCTAATCTGCAACCTCCCCTCATTCCCCGTAATATTCCTCGTCCAATACTCCTCATCCCTAAAGGCCCAATCAATCCCCGGCGCGATCTCCGTAAGATTCAGATTCCTCTGCCTCTGCTCCCCATTCAAATCATCTGTATACCGCACCCACTTCCCCACCACCACGCCCGTTACGTTCTCGAACACTTCGCCCGTCAATCCATTGCCCGTCCCATCTCCCTCTCCTCTCGCCTCAACGCTGAACTCTCTACTGCGCTTCTGGAACGCAGAAAGTCTGTCCCAGGCATAATCATCCTCCTCTCTAAACCCTGTGAGGTTCAGGTACCGACTTGCTTCACCTCGCGGAGTCGTCGGTCCTTTTGGAGAGAAGTCTTGCCACCGAGAGGAGTTTAAGATGTCGAGGGAATGACGGGCGCGAGCGGCACGTTCGGCGGCGTAGTCGTGAGGAGAGGGGAAGCCGGGTGGGACATTCTGGTCGGGAGAGGTGTAGAGGAAGAAGAGGAGGATGATGATTAGAAGGACGCGGGCGTATTCCTGAGGCGGGGGTTGATTGGGCGGCATGATGAAGTTGAGCAGATGAAGCTGTAGGATAGGTGCTTCATCTTAGGTATGATGATAATTCCATGGAGAGATGCAGGTGTAAAATGCTGGAGAGGTTGGATGATGCAGAAGGCTGCTCGCGTGATTGGGGTTGATGTTGATGAGGCGAGGCTCTGGAGAAGCCGTGCATCACCGATCAGCCTTCCTGTTGATTTGAAGTAAACACCGAACACAAAGCTCTGATTCACAACTGATTCCTAGTATTTGAATCTGCGATACTGTTTACCGACTTGAAGTCATACATCATGGCATCGAATAACGAAGCGTCAAGTTCTCCGACCAACGAGACCGACAATCGTACATCTACCAACTCTGTTGGTTCCCCTTTTTTCCTCAACTTGCCATCATGCGACTAATACGTTGAACATTAGCTGAGCGCGGAGTCATCTGCCCCTGCAGAACTATCTGCTGTCGTTGATGAGCTGCTGAACACATTATCAAATAAGTTTGCGGGCGTGTCGAGCGAGATATTTGCGAAGAGTGCGCCCTGAATTCACAATCTACTGGAGGAACCTATACTGATGGAATGCATTTTAGTGGACGAAATGTCGAGACGGCTAGATAATTTGGAGACCCAACTGCAGAGTGGTGGGCAGAACGATGGGAGGAGTAGCCCGACAAAGCCACAATGATCAGGGACGTGTGGGAACATTAGAGGCGCTCAGGAGTACACATGGATTTCAGACAATGGGAGCTTGATAATTATTGGGCGGCGCTTTGAGGACATTCGGGACATTATGGCATACCGTTCACCGTAGACTTGGACATGGGGATAGTAGTACTTTTGCAAAAATCCTCAATTCAAAACGCCTCCCCCGAGATCAATTTTGCTTGCGAAATCCCACCCAAGAGTACCCACACGGATTCTGTTATTTACAATTCAGACTTACCACCAGTAACCTTGTCGACAAATCTTCTCAAGATGTTGGTCTTGCTGGTGAACTCATCAAGCTTAGCTGGTGCCAGACCTCCCTTCTTCAAGATGTTGTCCAAGCGAGCCAACTCCTTAGCAGCATACCCGTCACTCTTAGACATCTTGTCAAAGACCTTAACATAGTACTCGGCGTACTTGTACTGGGCTTGCTCCTTGAAATCAGCAGCAGCCTTGGTAGCTTCAGCAGCAACCTCAGAAATGCTAGATCCACCAGTAAACTTGGAAACGAGAGCATCAAGAGCCTCGATCGTGCCGGCAGTAGCATCAAGTCCACCACCGATAACTCTGTGTGTGCCAGCTTTTTCGTTCAAGTATGTAACGAAATCGCCCTCAGTACGTCCACCCTCGTATGCGACTGGCTCTGTGGCGCCCTTGGGGAAGAATTTAATGGTTGGGTACGAGGAAACGCCCTGGTCTTTAGCAGTGGCCTTCGAGTTCTCGGCTTCGGCATCAACTTTGGCTACAAGAACATTGGGCTCGTTGACGAAATCGGCAGCAACCTTCTCCCAGATTGGAGCAAGGGATTTGCAGTCTGCGGGTAATTAGTAACAATCTTCACCAAGACCAAGTATATACTTACGTCCGCACCATGGAGCAGTGAAAGCAACCAGAACGTCCTTGTCTCCGCCAATTTGCTCCTTGAAAGTCTTGTCGCTCAACATCTCAACCGAGCTTGGGGCAGCCTTCTTGGTCCTGGGCTTCACACCAGTCTTCTTAGAGATGAACTCGGTCAAGCTCTCCAAATCTCTGCCACCACTGTAATCCTCTGGCTTGTCGCTCTTGCCATCGAAATATTTGATCGTTGGGAAACCTTGGATGCCGAATCTCTTGCCCAGAGACTTCTCAGCATCAGCATTGACCTTTGCAATGCTAATCTTGTCCTTGGCAAAGGCGAAGTTTTGTGCCAACTCTTCGTAGACGGGAGCGAGGTTTTTGCAGTGACCACACCATGGTGCAAAGAATTCGACAAGAGCCGGCTTTCCACTGATGGCAATCTTATCGAAGTTATCTGGGATGAGGTCGAGGACGGCAGAGTTATCGTATGTTGGTGGAGGGCCACCAGGTCCTTTTGCTAGCGATAAGGTTGCGAGGCCGGTAAAAGCCAGCAGGCTCTTGAGAAGAACCATTGTGAGGTCGAATTTAGAGTTTATTGCGGAATACTATTTTGGTATCGAAGTGTGTAATTCTCTGGGGCGGTGGGAGGTGGTTTTATGTTGCAATGGTTATGGATTTCTAATCCTGGGTTATGGACACTTTGCATCTGCGAGCTTCAATGGTGGCGTAGCCAGGGAGCTTAAAGTCTTAGCGCCAACTCTCCTTAGACGGGGATGTCACACGTGATCACTATACTAAATCAGGCTATGCAGGTACAAGATACGATAGTACCCGAGTCTTGCGATTGTAGGATGATTTAAATACAAGAAGATCCTCGATGAGGGTTCGGTTTGCTGAAAGTAAATGCAACCCAACTCCATAATATTCATTCCACTTCGGCTCCCACTCAATCACTCCTGTCGACAATGACATCAACCCAGCACGGTCACAAAGGCTTATCCAGCCGTTGGGGGAGGAAATGCTATGGCAAAGAAATTGAATCCCGGGTTATCATGGCCACCATCCGCTGCTAAGTAAGCAGCATTCGTACCATATACGCCTTGATCGTTGGTTGGTTGTACACCCAACTCGGCCCAGACAAAGAGGCCATGGGAAAGCTTATTGCCGAGCATGATGTAGTTTGGAAATGGATCATAAGCTGCAGTGGCAGAGTATCCGGTGAATCCATCTGCGTCGTTTGTGGTATGCGGAATCTTGTTCGTATTATAAGGAGCGGTAGCTTCAACGGCATTGATCAATGCAGTGTCGAAGAAGAGTTGCGAAAGATGGGAGATATGACCTCCACTAAAAGTACCATTTGGCAAGATGGTGGCTCCAGTATGGGTCAGAATGTGCTCATGAGTTGCCCGGCCGGAGTAGTGTCCAGGAAATATGGTATCAAACTGGACCACACCATCTGAATCGGTCTGCTGAACTCCTCGCAGGAAAGTGGTTTGCAGACCACCTTCACCTGCAGCACTTACACCTGAGTAGGCCCCTGTGGCGTTGCAAGACCAAATATCGACAACAAGTGGTTGCAGAGGCTTGCACGTGGTAACATCGATGAATTGCAACTCCAAATGCATTGGAACTCCTACTTGGCCTTCAACAACATTGCTACGAATGTGTTCTCCCAGGACGTAGTACGGTCCATTGGCATTGTCTGGGGCCAGAATGCAACTTAAGTTGGTGCCGAACACTGTTGCTTCAGGTGTTGTGGAGTTGAGACGAGAGCCAGTGGTCTTGTCGTGGCTTTTGGTCTCCCACTGCTTGAACTGAGCCATATTACGACGGGTGATGAAAGGTGCTAGGCACGGTTAGAGGAAAATATTACACACGACACACAGGCAGAGACTCACTGTCTGTAAGACCTCGTTCTTCTCGGAGTTGTTGAACAATAGCCGCTCGACGCTGCAAAGCACGTTCTTGTCTGGCTTGCGACTCCTCGGAGTTGGAACATTTGCTCCATGATTCTTGTTGTTTTGCGGCCTCGATACCACGCTCTCTCATTTCCTTCAGTATCTCGATTTTGTCATGATGCTCTCCAGGGTGCGCTGTCGAGAACGACGAAAGCAAGGAAACACAGATCGCCGCAACGGCAAGAAGTCTAGAGACTGAAGCCATCGTGAGATACCGAGAATATGGAGTAAGTTACACCGCTTGAGGGTAACGTTTTGGGAGCTTGTCTCTCAAATACATCATAGGACGCGAATATAGTTCCTCGTCTTACAGCTGCCGGCATATTCAAGTCTCCTGACGCCAAGAGAGAAATTTCTATTAGAACTTGGAATGTTACAATCCCAAACAGGCTATTCTGTCCTGAAGGAACATTGTGATGGGCGGGGATTCCCCATACATTACCCCGGATTTTCACTGCGCGTTTATTAAAAGTTCTATAGTTCTTGGCGCTCGGGACTTGGCTTTGCGGCTGGGGGGATTGCCGGTCAGGCTGTTCGAATCCTCGACTATAATACTTCGCTTACAGTGGTAACGAGTTTTTTTCTCCTACCATTCAGAAGTCGTGAAGTGAAAACGTCTTGGAAAATAGAGTAGTTGAGTAATATCGTGAGGTCGAAATGTTGGATGTTGGAAATTTTGTGACTAATCGGGGGTCCGGGTAGTTATGATCTCGTCTTGTTAAGAAGTATTGTATTTTTATTTGTCTTTTAATATACGTCTTTGGTATTATATTTCCGTTTCTTTATATTGCCCACATGGCATTGAGGAGGAAGGAACAGTCCTTTTATCTCGGTTGTCATGGTTGAAAGTTATTTGCGAGTCACGATCTTGATCATTGAGATGAGATTTACGAGGTCCTGTCTTGTCTTCTTTCCGGAGATTTAAATTGTGGCTTTTCAGTGAAAAGTCTGTTTAATGAAGATCAAGGATATGGTCAGCTGCGAATGTTCTGGATGGACACGAGCCTTCTCCGTATGCAATCTGAATAGTTGCCAAGAGGGTTCCCAACATGATGCCGCCATTTCCGTTCATCTGTTGCAAGAGGGCATCGTTACTTTTCGCTCGTCCCAATATTGTTTTACAAGGATCAATCCAGGGAATAACAAAAATCAGAAACAAAACAATATAACGGGCTAATATCCAGAATCCTTTGGCCATAAGCTTATTGGGACGAACGCATCTGACCAGGCTTCTGTCGCACACCCCGCTTGTGATCTTTCTTTGCCGCAGCCATTGAGATGTCGCTACTCGAGCATAACGCCTTACAGATGCCTGAAGATCTCATTCAGCTCATTAATACCACTTTCAGTCATGCGTCAAGACGTAGCTTGGGACGCCACTGATGATGGGTACTGGGTTTTTGCAACTGAGACCCATGATCAAGAATCACATCGCTAGCGGTCGAGGTAGTTGCTCGACCTCGAAAACTTCACTCACGGCAGACTTCTCACACGGCCCTGGAAGCCGGGGCAAATTTCGTCCTAGACCGCGCATACTATCCGTACTATCCGATATGGCTTCTATAAAATGAGAGCTCGTTTAAAGACAATGGTCGTGGTGTACTTGACCCATCCCCTTTGTCCAGAAGTGGGTATTCTCAGTCTCTCGTCGTACGATTGTTCGTTATGGCGCCAAGTATGCCGTCTCTCATGAGAGTACTGTGCGCCCTTGGCTCAGTCTTACTTCTGTTCGCTACACTCGTTTCAGCAGATGCAGTTTTGGACTTGCAAACAAAAGGGAAGCCTGCTTTGCTAGCACAGTTGGCAAAGTCGACGACATGTACAAAAGATAAGATCATGGTACGAAAAGAATGGTAAGGAGAGGATCCAGAATCACATGAACTCCTGCTAACATCTTTTAGGGGCGACATGTCCAAGCCTGATCGAAAGGCTTACATCAAGTCGGTATTGTGCTTGATGAACGCCCCATCCAAGCTACCCGCTGGGAAGTTCCCTGGAGCAAAGAGTCGCTATGAAGATTTCCTAGTGACACACATGCAACAAACGCTTTCAATCCATAGCACCGTATGTTACCGCTCAGAGATTCCAGGATCGTTGTTGATATTTGTTTAGGGAAACTTTTTGTCATGGCACCGCTATTTCACATGGTCTTACGAGCAAGCTCTTCGCAACGAATGCGGTTATAACGGAACTCAACCAGTATGTGACATGACCATCATTGATATTATACTATCTGACAATCGTGTAGTACTGGGATTGGGGCAGATGGGCAGCTGATCCAGAGTCTTCGCCCATCTTTGACGGCTCAGATACTAGTATGAGTGGAAATGGAAAGAAGATCACCCACGCTGCTACGTTTATCTCTCCAGCTCAGAATGGAGGAGGCTGCGTCGAAACAGGTCCTTTCGCCAAGTATGTCTTTCTTTCTTCCTTCAGCCTTACTTCAAGTTTACTGACTTCTCCTAGTATGACAGTACGACTAGGGTAATGAACTCCTCATTCCGTCACCTTACCCATTTCTTCCATGTGCGACCTAACCAACCCAGTTCACTAACACACAACCAGCCCCGTATCCCCCATGGCCGACCCAGCACCACCCAAGAATCCCCAAGCCGACGGCTTCGGTCTCAACGCTCGCTGCCTCCGTCGCGATCTCGGTCCCTACCTAACTAAAAACTATGCTACAACAGCCATCATCGCCTCCCTAATAACAAGCTACAAAAACGTCGGAGACTTCCAGACCGTTATGCAAGGCGGGAGTGGTGTCCACAGCGCGGCACATTTTACCATCGGTTCTGACCCCGGCGGAGACTTCTACACTTCTCCTGGCGACCCGGCGTTTTATCTGTTGCATGCCCAGATTGATCGCGTGTGGACGATTTGGCAGATGCAGGATCTTCCTAATAGGATGCAAGTCATGTCTGGTGGGACGCAGATGTAGGTCTCGACCCTTTCTGTCTCATGAGTTGGGCTTTTATGTCCCCTGGAACCTATAGAAAGATTCGCTGACCACAACAGGTATGGCGGAGGAGCGACACAGAAGTTGACCGACAGTTGTGACATTTCGAATGTGGCGAGTAAGGTTTGGCAGTTGAAGGATCTGATGAGTACTGTTGATGGGCCGTTTTGCTATGTATATGATTCGCTATAAAGGCGGAAGATTGATACTTTGATTGGGAGAGAGGGTGTTGGGGGTGAGTTTATCTTCTTACATATGTGCTTGATCAAATATGAGAGTTGAGAATTTTGTTGAATAATATAAATGCCTGGCTGTCCGCTCGTTTCTCTTTGTTTCAATTGCAGTGTCTCTTCAAGTCTGTTACTCACAAGGCCTAACACTTCGCTCCACTGAACAAAACTCGACAAGGTTCAGTGCGGTCGACAATAGAATTGTAGTGCTAAAGTTCTCTGACCCTCCAACTCCACTCCTCTCCACCAACTCGCTCCCTTACAACCACCATCAAAACCACCCAAACCTCTCCCCAAAATCTAAGCTGTCCCATTCCCAAACGCAGCCTCAGCACTAATCTCAAAAATATAATCCCCCACCCTCTCCGGAAACACGCTGCCCACCCTCCTCTTCAACTCCTCCTTCCCCCTCCCCACCGCCACCGTATCCAAAACCTCCACCTCCCACCCCCTCAAATACTCCCTCGTCCTCGCCAAATTCTCCACCCCAAACCCATCCCACTCCTGCCTATGCGCCGGAATCACAATTTCTGGCTCCAACCCCTCAATCTTGACGAGAGCTTTCAACCACTCCGCCCGCAACGCCGGCGTGCTCGTCTCTTGCAGGTACTGGAAACAAGACCCGTACACAGCATCGCCCGCAACTACCATGTTCAGACTCGGGACGTGGAGCACGGTGCTATTGTACGTATCCGTCTGTCCGACCTCGACGGCCTGCATCGGGAACCCGTCGAGATCAAAGAGTCCGTTTTCCGGCAGCGCAGTCCAGGTCTGTGTTTGCGGGGCGATTTGGCCGGGGAAGAGAGGGCCCCAGAAAGTGTCGAATTGGGAGGGTTCGAGTTGTTCGAGGGCGTGGGCAATGGTGCCGGCGGTGGCGATTAGGGTTGCGGATGGGAAGTGGGAGAGAATGACGGGGGCGCCGAAGAAGTGGTCGCCGTGGCCGTGGGTGATGTAGATGTATTTTAGGGTGAGGTTGTTGGGGGATAGTTGGGAGGTGAGCCAGGAGGAGACGGTGAGGGCTGAGACGTTGGAGAGAGGGGTGTCGATTAGGATTGCTTCGGTGGAGCCGGATATGAGGGTTAGAGTGGTGGGGGAGAAGCTGTAGTTGTTTGGAGGATCATATACTGGGAGAGCTGGTTGGAGGTAGGTTGTCCATTTGAGTGTTGGTTGAGTTTGAGGATCTCGTGGGTCGAGAGGTGAAGAGAGAGCGAGGGGAATGGCGAGGAGAGTGAGAAGGGTTGGAATATGCATATTGAAAAGGCGGTTACAATGAGATCCAATGAAGACTTTTCTGATATTGCTTGAGCTGTTCTCCAAATCTCAACACTCATATCATATTATATACTCTCACTGGAGGATTGCGACGAAACCTGATGCCTACCTACCGTCCGGATCTTGAGCTTTGTCACGATCATACATACCTAGGTACTGTACTCGTGCATGTTCATTAATCTTTCCATCGGCCGCAAAACGTTAACCAGACAGCCACGAAAAGATTGCCTTGACATCGAATGCAGGTTGCGAGTACAAGTCCATGCTGGGGTCACTTACTGAGGGCTGACTGCTTACAAAGTTGAATTTAAATGTTGAGTGATCAACACGATATTCAAGCGAGCTGGGTAAACTCCGAAAGCCCAGCTTTCTTTTCACTAGTTAGCGCTGCACAGAAAAGGCAACATCTATGGTTGAAAGTGTGAACCGTCCGCGAGGCGATTAGTCATGATTAACTCGTGGCGAACGCGAGCTAGTGGTTGGACTACAACCAAAGACGGGAGGCAGACGAGAAAGTTGTCTTGGCTGACACGTTCGGTCATAAGACAAGAACACAGATGAAGTGGAGTAGCAGTTCGGTTAGCTCGATACGCTCGATTATGCTTTTGATTGGTCCCAAGATCTTCTGCTTACTGCCACGCACATGACTCTACTCTGTGCTATTAGTTAGGATATTCCGATACCCATTTGACGATCTGTGCAACCTCATTATCAATCACTTGCTGCACGCCGGCATTGACTTGACCATTTTTCAGTCTTAAATCCGAGCAATGGAAACCACCTGGAATGATTTGAAGAGGGTGTTGAGTAGTAGAGGCGAGAGGTCCACCAGGTCGGAAGTCTGAAGAAACACCAGAAGTTCTCCAGGGATCGAATTGCCCGTTCGTCCATATCAGACGGGTAGTGTCCTCTAATCTCCATCCCTGGGTGTGCTTGTTGACTTGATGCACGTTATTGTTGGGGGAGATGTTGGAGCCGTATGTGTATCCGTTCTCCGTTGGGAAGAATAGACTGCATTGTCGTTGCCAGTAAGTAGCATCGATGAGACGGGAGACGATGGTCGGTCTGTTTTGAGGAGCACCATCTTGCCAGTAGTCAAATGGCTCATTGCAAAGCATCCAGTTCCACTGCCTGTCAATAGCGTTGCCAACGGTTCTGTTTGTGAACTGCAAATTGTTCTCATCATAAGTGTTCATACACTCTGTGGACAAGAGTTCGGTGTAACCGTATGCTTGGCAGTCTGTAGCATGAAATATGAGCGCTCGAAATGATACGAGGGAATCTAATCCTTACAGCCAGGAATTATGGTAGTGTTGACCCAGTTGGCATATCCAGCGAGGGCCTTCTCAAGGCCAACACCGTTCGCGTCAGGAGTCACAGCAGCACCAGCCACGACGTTCTACGAAGTCAGCGTTCTCGAATTCAAATCAATAATGATCACCTTACTTCGATTGCATCACAGAACTGATAGAAGCCGGAATAATTAGAGTAGAAGCTATTCGACTGCCACAACCATGGACCATTCTCAAGGACACTGAAAATGTTAGCTCAGATCGCATCGAAGACATCCAGATACATACGCCATGAAATCATCATCATGTTCTACAGACTCTAGACCGAACATGGTTTTCAGAGCAGTCTTCTCGTCTGCCGTTCCGTGCATCAAGACACCATCCATGTAGTCGATCACAAGTGAGGCGTCCTTGCTGCAGTTCGCTGGCATGCCTTCTTGGACGGGGTAAAAGTATTGCCACTGCGGTTGTAAGCAAGATTCAAAGAGGATCAAATTCTGGAACTTACATAGTCTGAGATAGCTTCTACTGGAGCACTTGACGCATGGTATGCCCAAAATGTGCCAGATGATGTAGACTCAGTCCATGCAGACAAAGCACCCGAGTAGGAACCTCCCGAAAACACCCAAGGCGCCGAGTCGGCATTACTACTGTGATCTGTGTCGAAGGGCAGGTCCGCTGTCTTCGCAAAGTTTACGAAATCTGCAATTGCATTTTTCAGCGTCAACTGCTGCAGATTCTCGGTGGTGAGGTCGTCATATGGAGAAGATTCGCCCCAATATCGGTCTGCGCCTATCTGTCAGTGCGTGTCTAGCTCTTTGAAAATTTGACTGACGCTCAACCATCACCACTGCACCTTTAATTTCTTGAGCGAACAAACCGGTAATGGTAATGTTCGTGAGGTAACCACCGTATGCCGCAGCGGCGACTTCACCTGGAGTGAAGAACACAACCTAATATTACTCTCAGTAATTAATTTCCAAATTCAAGATCTCAACCTACAGGCGAACCTGGTCCTGCCCAATATTCCGCATTCCACCAGAATTTCTGCTGGAAAGTTCCCTTGCTAGGATCATCGTGGTCGAGAACTTGAGTGAAGAACGCTGAGCCGGTAACATTGGCAGCAGAAGACGTAGAGACTGGAAACTCGTCCGCCTCCTCGAATGGAGGAATCAATCGGCCCAGGTGCACAAATTGGTTCGCGGACACCGCACTGGCGAATGCCAGGACAGTAGAAACAAATGAGGCCTTCATGTTGAGAGATCAATGCTCGAAACTGCAACTGATGCTCTATCTCAAACACTTCGACCAGACAAGCTTCAGCTGAACGAAAAACGATAAAAGGAGAGAGAAGGACGAGGAGCAAGAAGAGAAAGAGGACATGATCCTTATCTACTATCTGTGGTCCCCAGGAAGGGACGTACTCCGTAGATTGACGAGGTAGCACCTACCAGAAGTGGGACAGCTTGCAGATGCGCCAATCCGGGACAATAACAGGAGATCTGCCGCCAGGAGAAGGCGTCCGAGTCCAGACGTTGGGCTTCCCGAAAAGATAGACAACGGGCAAAATGGACCGGAAATGGGATTCTTGGAACAATTTAGAAGGAAATTATAGATGAAGCTGTGCTGAGCCGACGGGAGCCTCAGCGTGGTGATTGGCCGGTACCTGAATTTACCAGGAGTCAGGGACATGATGGACATGCCGTGGACCATGTCCCTCGTCTTTCTCCCAACCAGTGATATCAAATTGAAGATGCGCCAAGCGTCATGTGCATTGCTCTTGTTGGTCAATGTTACATTGCTCGAGGGTAGCTGCATACAGCTTGCATGATTCCTTGATACCTTGCGAGCGACGATTCCGAGAGGAGAAGATTGTAAGGAAGGTGGAAATAACATGTTGTGGGGGAAAAGCCCTCGGCACGCCATTGGCGCTAGCGCAGGGCTTGGCGTTGACTTTATTTCAGGGTAGCTGCCTGAAGAGGTTTAGACCCAAAGGCTGCTAGATTGATAAGAGAAGGAGATGTTCGTGAGTACGAGAGTCCGTTAACCGCTTTCTACTCTTCTAAAATTTTAAAAATAAAATTAGTTCTAGGCAGATTGAACACGAGCTCTTACTTAATCGGTCGCTTTTGGTACACGTTACATACCATTATATTGCCGTTTGAGCCAAGTACAAACGCACCTAAGACTCCGCACTATACCAAATCCGCAAGAGCGGCCAGGGAGAACTTATCACAAATGGGCTGCTGAAGCGGTAACAATTGCTTTTCACTCATCTTTCTGCTAAACATTTGTTTTGACCAGCGCTCTTTCTGTACCTTTCATAGCCCTAGATAAAATGCTTACTTCAATCAAATAGAGCCAGGAAATGATGAATTCCAATGCACAAGCGTGTGCAAAAGTTTTTGTCTTCGTCTCTTGCTTCAAGGCTCCAAGTTACTAAGCAGTTCTTCGCGCTGATTGTGGCATATTCTTCAATCGTCGAGTTTCATGAAAGCAAGAGGAATGGGAATTCCAAACTACCAACACAGTATCACACGATACCTTGTACAAACGAGAGACAGGATGATACTTTCGTCTTCTCGAGGCCACTCGTGGCAGCACCGTGTCGCGGGACATCTCTCAATTTCGAAGACATGAGGCTTACAGGCGGGGTAGTTTCACAATCATACCCAGGCCTACGCTTTTACAAATTTCTCGTTGGGCCAAAATTGCTGGTTGTGAAAGTGTAGGAAGATGTTTGCTTGTTCGATTGAATAAGAGGAAAAGAGCTGGGAGAGAAATACTAGCTGATAATTCGAGGTCATTCCCGTATGCTCATTGTAGAAATAGGTGTTGTTTGTGCTTGGCGAAGATGGTGCACTTTCAGCGCCAGTTGCGCGATTTGCGCATTTTGCGCAGCCTGCGCTATTCGCGCTCTCAGCATCACGATTGCCCTCTATCACGTGGAATAGCTCGAAGAAGTATTCGAGGCAGATTGACAAGGTTCAATTGCGAAGTCCTGACGACGTTTGGAGTCCGAAGTGGAAGAAATGGGCCTATTCGATTTAACTTAAGATTCACGTCGAAATGAAGTGCCCTCGTTCTTGTTTTACTGTAGGACATTATATATCATGAAGCCAATCAAGTCGAGTCTTTAGCCGCTGTTCAAGTGAATTTAAGAGATTGCTAGTCCAAAAGTTGTGAACTTTTCATCTCCTACCAAGCAGTCAGATGGTTATGTAGTTGAAGTCCTTCGTATAGTCTCCCATTTAAAACCATTCCTCTTCCGTCAGCGTGGCTCTAAATCTATTACGTGTTGGCTGTTGTTTTGGTTAGGATACTCCTCTGTACACTTCTCGCGGTGCGTCTCATCAAAACCTCTTTGATACAGACCGCTATCCTGAGTTCCTCGAGCTAGGGTTCGAGTTATTCAAGGATAAAGATCGTTTCGATGGCCATTTCATTGCTGGGGATATTCTTGCGCTAAATGGAGTTGCTGAGTTTGACGGAATGATGGACATGATATCCGCAACGGCATTCTTGCACGTATTCTCCTGAGATGATCAAGTTGCTGCGTGTGTGCGGATGATTCAATTCCTGAACTCGTTTGATTCGAAAGAGGTATCGAGACAAGTCATCTTTCGGAGGCAGACGGCGAGTGTAGCGCCAGGAGTTAGGGTTAGAGAGACTTTGGAGTGGGGCAAGAAAGAGTTGTTTATGCATGATTTGGGGACGTTTATGAAGCTGTGGAAGGAGGTTGGGGACAGAACTAGAACGAAGTGGGAATTCAAGGGGAACTTGAAGGCTTTGCCTTGGAAGAAGGTTAACGGGATTGTGAGCGAGGAGACGGCGAGGTTGATGGAGTGGGAGGTTTGGAGGGTTGGGTAACAGAGGGTTCGGTGAAGTTCAGAGAGTTGGACGTCGAAGCGAGAGATGTGAAAAGGAGTAGATGGCTGGCCACGTGATCGTTCTGCTTCGTGTATTCGATACCAGACTTGCTTTTAAGTCTTTCAACGTTGGGTTTGCAGAATCCAGATTGAATATTCTAAGTTTGCACCATATGACGTGAAAACGGTCATACTTCTCTGCGTGCTGCTAATCCCCGTATGACTGACGGACCCACCTGATCGCAAGGCTGTCTATTTTGGGACGGCTTACGATTCCGGGAGCCGCGTTGACAACATATTTCCATTCAGACATACCGCAAACCTCATCTCCCTCACCTATAAAAACTCACAAATTGTTAGAGACCTCATGAGTCTCACCACATGCATGCTCTCCTCTCTAATACGCCATCGCCTCTCGCCCGCGATCTCGTCGTGGCCCGATGACCGCCGATAGACCAAAACCCCAAGATTTCCGGCTTGGCAACGTTGCACCGTCCAACGTGAACGATACTCAGAATGCGGCTCTGAGAGGCGCGTCCCTGGCTTTTGGCAAGCCGCCTGTGAAACCGACACCGAAGCTAAATGATTATGCGGGCACGAATGGAGCCATGGCTGCCGCGAAAGCGGGAGCTGGGAGGGCAGCAGCTTCGAGGAATGCTTCAAGCTCAAGTTCGAGATGGGAGGAGCAGGGTGTTGATGACAAGTTGGCATATCATAATACGGGATCAAGTGCTGGTGGAAGGTCGTATACAATGGAGCGCCCTTCTATTCAGCAACGGCTGAGCCACTTTGGGGGAGGGGCTGGGTATCTACAACCTCCTGGCGGAACTCCGGATCAGTCAAGGTCGGCTTCGTTCATTGCTGCTACCTTGGCAGCTTCGAGATCTGCTTCAGTCAGTCCAAATCCGACTGGACAATCCCACACCTCGAATGCGGACATGAGAAGGCCTCAGAGCTTCATGGCGAGATCGCCTTCTGTTAGGAGCGTGGCGTCATCGAAGAGCTCAGATCAAGCTTTGGACACAACCTCTATACCTCCTACGACCTCCTTAATTGGAATGTTTGAGCAGAAGGATACTTCCCCTACTAGAGTGAAACGTCCAGCTGCGAAGCGGTCGGCCACATCTGCGAGTGTGAGGAAGTCACTGGTTACAAGCAGTCCAGGCTCTGCAGAACCTAGCAGATCGCATTCACCATCTCCCCTCTCTGCCAGACCCAAAACCTCTGCAGGAGGCCGTCCAAAACTCACATTAGCACAAATTCAAAAGCTTTCCGAGGAATCCGAAGCTAGAAAACCTTCACCTCCAGCTCGAAAACCATCCATACCTGCTTCCAAACCAATACCAATTCCTGCAAAACGAAACCCCAAACTTCCCTCACCAGAGGTAGAAAAGGAAGAAGGCGCCTCATCAGACGACTCGTTCGTCTCAGCATCAGACTACAAGCCTTCCTTCCGCGCAGAACTAGCCCAGCAACGCCGTCTAACCTCTGCCTCAACCCAATCCCTCGACACCCAAGCAACCATCGACTCCATGGCAAACGCCATAGTCGCCTCTTCCCTAGCCTCCTCCCGCGCTGCCTCTCCCTCAAGATCCTCCCTACAATCCTCCTTCTACCCTCCGCCTCCTCCACCTCGCCGCAATGGCCGCCAACACCACCTCTTCCACGGCAAAGACAAATCCCGTACTCCTAGCCCCGCCAAACCAGTCGGTCTCCGCATGACGATGCGGAAATCGAAAAGCAAGGACTCGCTAGATGAAGGGGAGAAGCGTCGCGGGAAGAAGAACCTAGTGAAGAAACATCCTAACAAGCACCACGAAGGCGATCGTAAGCGTTGGCGAGACGCTGTTACGGAGCGGGAACGGAAGCGCTATGAAGCTGTTTGGGCCTCGAATAAGGGGCTGTATTCTGATGGGAGTCCTGGTTCGGAGTACTGTGTTTGCAGTTTGGTGGTGAGGGATATCTTCTCGAGGTCAAGATTGCATGTTGATGTGCTGGAAGAGGTTTATGCGCTGGTTGATAGGAGTTGTAATGGGATGCTAGAACGGGAGGAGTTTGTGGTGGGGTTGTGGTTGATTGATCAGAGGCTGAAGGGGAGGAAGTTGCCGATTAGGGTTAGTGATAGTGTTTGGAAGAGTGTGGGGAGTTTGGGAGGTATCAAAGTCAAGAAGGCTGGTAGATAGAAGTTCAATCGCTGGTCAGAGACTAGACGGACTGGATAACGGTTGAGAGGCTCGCTGATGATTTTGCACAGAGATAATACCCGGTGTGTTAAGAGGCGTCTGGATTCTAGTATAGAGCAAATGGACTTTGACGTTGTCCCATGATCATGTCAAAATTGGCGTGAGGGTCGACTCTAGTGTCCTTGGGTCTGCTGTTCAATGTTTTTCCGCCCAGATGTACCACTGCATTTCGGACATTGGTGAGGTTTTGTTGCAGATCGCACCAATTATTATTGTCATTCAAGTATTTATCACGATTCGATTGTTGTCACGATTCGATTGCTGTCAGCGTTTCCAGTATTTTGCGCGTACTCTCAACATCCTGCCTCTATCTAGACATTCACTCCAAGCTAAGCGCTCGCCTTCCTATGTCTGTCATGTACCTGGGATTTCTCTCGTATTCGAATCACCAGTCTCGATCCGGACATTATGTTACTTAAATGTCTAACCCAGAACGGAGACTTAGAGGTCATACTTCTTCCAAATACTACACATCTCCCGCTAGAAGCTTTTTCTGCTTTTCAACCAGGAAATGGAAATACGGCAGGACTTTTATACCCGTTACTCCCAACACTCCTAACCCCAAAAATCATATTATCCTTACTAACCCCAATCCTCGCTCCGCTCACATCTCCAACCTCCAACACGCTCCCCCAATCCCTCTCACTCGTCCCTCTCCACAGAACCTCATATCCCTTCGCTCCCACAACCTTCTCCCACCTCAGCTCACTATCATTCGTCAACTCCTTCGCATCAATCGTAACATTCTTCGGCATATCAGGCGCCATAGCCAAACTCCACACCGCCGCACCAGTTACTCTCCCAACTCTCGCTATATAATTAAAATCACAAAACTCAGGCAGATCACCAAACTGCATCCCATTCGAAACACGAACATCTTGATGCTGATGCGCGAAATTCTCTCGAGGTTCGGTAAAGCGGACGGCAGGGTAGCCAGCGCGGAGGAAAGGCATATGGTCTCCTCCTCGAAGGTAGCGGTCTGCTCGATATATGAGCTCGACGTTCATACCAGTCACATTGTTACTAGCCACATCTCTCGTGAATCTTCCAAGTTGTCTAGCCGGAGAGTCATTTTCTCCACCAATACTTAGACGTTGCGAGGCTCGAGTGCTGGTTTCGGTGGTAGGAACGCCTTGGGCAAAGAGACGGACGATATTCGAGTGGTTCTTGCCGTCGTCGCCAACGGGTGAGCCCACTATGTCGTTGGTCCACATTCCTTCGACGTTTGCCGAATGGTTGGATAGGAGTTGGGCGAGATAGGTACTGCCGTAGAGACCTTGTTCTTCGCCTGCTACAGCGGCAAATATTATTGTTGCTGTCGGGCGGTGTTTGGCCATTACACGGGTGAGCTCTAGCGAGATGGCTACACCGGATGCACTTCTCATATGTTAGCTTTCCGCATGCATGTTGAGGATGAAGAGGACTTACTCATCGTCAGCACCTGGAGCATCGTCAACGAAGTTCATCACATCCGTGTTTCTCGAGTCATAATGCCCACTGTACTTATCAGCCTAATCCAATACATTAATAAGAAATACTCACCTTATAACAACAATCCTTTCCGGATCACCACTCCCCTTCAACGTCGCAACAACATTGCTAATATTCGCCAGAAAACTAATCCGATTCGCAACACCCTGCACATAACTCTGCAACTCAATCTCCATCCGCTCCTCACTCTCCTCAGCAAACCCCTTATACTGCCCCAAAAGCCAATCTCTAGCAGCCCCAATCCCTCTCCCTGGATCTGTTTGTGTGCTCAAAGTATGTCTCGTGCCGAATGAAACGAGTTTCTCGATGATGGCTTGGATTCTTAACGGATCGATCTCTTGCAGGATGGTAGTGAGTTCTGTGTCGGGGAGTTGGGTTGTGTAAGAAATGCCGACTTGGCCTGATGTCCAAGAGTCGGTGGGGTAGAGGTTTGTGGATGGAATGCTGGAGTTTGAATATTGATATTTGGCATTGCTTGGTATGAGAGAGGCAAGTAGCGAACCCGCGATATAGAGAGAGGAAACCATGTTGGAGAAGATGGATTGAGAGCTACTCATCTTCAATAACGTCATAGTTGCGTTTTGGAACATTGTAGATATCAATGATTTTTAGATATCGGCGATGATTTAGTTCTAGATGAAAAAGAGATGAAAGCCACGGACCCAGGGAGCCAAGAACCCCAGGTTCATGTTAAGAAGCATGCATGGAAGTGTGGTTCGAAAAGAAAGCCTCATGAACCTCGCAGTACTATGACCAACTTGGCCAGAAGCGGCAGGTCGAAGATAGAGATGGCATAATGCTATCAGACAGGAGTAGACTAACACGGATAAAACGGTTGTGGCCGTTGAAAGTGGGATGGGTATTGGAAACGTCGATTTCATTGCAACCTTTGTTAATCGCGCTCAAAACTATGGATTAGAGCGGCCATGTCTACTTGATGACTTCGTATATTTGTTTATTCGAAACTCGAAAAGCTCATTTCCTCGATCTGAGTCACGTGCATGGAAAGCAGCTGGCGTTTCAAGTAGTACTCGTGAGCAGATCTAATATAAAGCTAAGTCTGTCTGTTTTCTGAATCTCGGCGGCAAGTAACTATTGACTAGAATAATCCAAACTCAAGAGGTTTTCCAAGTATTCCCCAGTCACGTGTCCTGCTTCACTTCCATGCAAGTTTTGCCTCCTTTAATTCATATCATTCATATTTGAGTCTGTCTAGAGGGAAATTCGAATGATTTACGTCATTGTAGGGTTAGCTAGATATTGTCAAGTTTCCTACTTTAATAAAGATAGCGATGCGGAAGCTTATAACACCTCCGAGAAACCTCGAGACCCTTGATCTCGAAGGACATTGTAAGCCGAACTTCTCAGCCAATCTTTGAAAGCTGAGCCCCGAGATCGTATAGCTATAGCAAATCAAGGAGATGGGTGGTTGAATATAAGCGCGCTAGTCCAATACTGTGAATGCAAGGAAGTGGCCCAAGAGACATCCAACAAAAAGCATTTTTGTATCACTAGGCTGGACTCCTTCCGTGGCGTGAAATGATATCTTCTTGATCTCTAAGACCTGCCTTTCGACTGAGAAATTCAACCAGTACTCAAAAGATGGCTCTTCCTCAGGACGTGAAGACAGCGACTCGCGCCCACTACCACAATGACGATCCAGAATACCCGCGGCAATGTGAGCGATGGGGTTACAGCTTTCCTTGGAACAGTAATCATATGACCGCTGAAGAGTTGCACGTTTTGCGTAACTCTCATGACATTATTGGATTAGCAGCATACGAAAGTCTGAAAAGCATCTTGGACGCGGAACGTACACCTAGCAATGACAAAACTCTCAGTATAACTGGCCAGCAGTCTGATGACTGGTACGACGTCTTGAGAATTCACCATCATGAAGATGACGCCCTTCAGGGATTCTGGAACGGGGTTCACACCGTGCCGGACTGGGTTGATTGGAAGCAGATTGAGCGTGGTCAGAGATTGTTCGCCAAGTATGCATCAGCCAACTTGACCTTTCTTTTCTTCTATGGTTTCCTTCGCGGTAGTGGTGTAAGTAGACCGAACCCCCAACAAATCATCTGAGTGTCTTGGATATTCACGAACTTTCCAGGTCTCCGGCGTGAAGGAAGTCTTCACTCGCACAACTAGCTTTACAATACAAAAATTCCTTCCACAGTTCATGGGAAATTTTGCCTGGCTGATCAAAGTCACGAACTCATTGGAATACATCCAACCTGGAGGCGAGGGTCATATCGACACGATTCGAATTCGCCTCATCCACGCCTCTGTCCTACATCGCATTATGAAGCTTGCTAAAATACGTCCCGGCTATTTCAACGTGGAGAAAATTGGTCTTCCAATCAATTATTTCAACTCTCTGCATGTTCTCAGCATCGTTAGTGGAAGTGTGTTGTGGGATGGCCTACCTAAACTCGGAATCACGGCATCGAAGCAAGAACAAGAGGATTACATCGCTTTGTTTCGCTACCTTGCTTATCTTAACGGCGTCCCTAGCGAGAGGTTCGAGAACTGCGAAATGGCTAAAGCAACGATGGAGAGCTTTCTGTTGGCTGAAGAGCAGCCGACACCTGCCTTGAAGATACTGGCAGAAGACTTTGTTCGCTGGATTGAATTCAAGCCTCCACTATTTTTGTCTCGAGGATTCTTAATGGCAGGGTTTCACCACTTCAACGGCGCGGAATACTGCCAGGCTCTGGGGTTTACTTCTCCTAGCTTCCACAACAGAATGTCTTTCAAGGGCTTATGTTTGTTGCTTAATCTGGTCTCGCTAGCTCAGCTCTGGATTCCGTCTTTCGATCAGTATATTGTCATAGTAAGCAAATTCCTATATCATATCACGAGGAATGAACATGCTAAACATCTGATGACAGACTTTCCGTACGTGGTTCCTCGGTTTCCTCGATCAACGATCTGCTCTCGCAGATGCTGTGGTTTCATCATTTGATATAAAGGAGGAGAAAGTTTCCACAAACAAGGTCAAATCGAATAAATTATTCGCCAAGCCGTCGCTTGAGGCATGCTTCTTCGTCGTCTACTTGACGTGCGTCTTTATCCAGCTCGTCTTTATCATGATTTTTGCATACTTCTCAGTCAACATCTCCGTTAAATCTCGCTGTTATGAAAGCATGCAAGCATTCGTTAGCGGTAAGTAAGCGACGGCCAACAGAGAGGTAATAAAGTCAATGTATTTCAGGTAGCGAAACTCCGGGTGGGAAGGATGTTCACCTGCAAGGTTTTTCTTCAAGCATGAATTCAGCTGGCAGGGAGCTCCCAGATTTCAATTTACAACATTGACTACTTGAGAGCATTGGTAGATTCGATAAGTGATCTATCAGGAATTGCTGCGAACGATGATGTTCACGTGACCCTCGTTATTGCGCCTTCACACAGTAGCCCAGCACCTCTTTTGATTTGGCCATACCTGAAGGAGCAGGGAATGATTAGCTCACATGCTTGGTGAATCTTGCAGACTAGGTGGCAAGGTACGCATATTGTGGATTAGAATCCTTCTGCGTGCATTTATATCATTTTTCAAGAAGCCCCCCCTTTTCTTCGCGTCGGCCGTCTCGCTTATCTCATGAACGAAATATGAACTCTCGAACCACTTCAAGATCAATGTCCTATTCTCGAGTTCTTTTCTAGATTCCTTCTCCTGATTTCATGTCAACAAAATTCGTTACCTGGACTATTCCGTCTGCTCTTCCTTCCCAGTGTGTCTATTCATCCAATCAATCACTGTCCGATACCACAATAGCGCATTCTCTGGCTTCAACACAAAATGCCCCTCGTCTGAAAAACTCAAGAATTTACTTTCAACTCCCCTCATCTGCGTCATCGTGAAGGCCGCAAGTCCCATGGTGTGTGGGCATCGTCTATCCAATTCACCATGTGTAATCAAAATTGGAGTTTTCCATAGATGAACGAATTGTATTAAATCCCACTTCCCAAGATTCTTGATGAGCTGGGAAGGATCACTGGCGTAGCCGCCGAAGAGAACTTCCCAGATATCTGGAACATCGGATGCGTATAGTGAGGGGATGTTGAAGATGCCAGCATGAGCGACGAGTGCTTTGAATTTGCTGGCAAAGGGTTGTCCGGCTAGCCAGTAGATGAGATAACCGCCGTAGCTTCCACCCATGGCTACTGCATTCGTGGTATCGGCATAAGGGACTTCTTGCTCGATGTAGTCAAAGCAGTGTTCAAGATCGCGGAATGGGCGACCGCCCATCTCGTCGATGGCAGCTTCTTTGAATTCTTCGTTGTAGCCAATAGAACCTGGTGGGCTGTGTCAGTAGTAACAGAAGAGAAAAAATCCTCGAAGAGAAGCTTACCGGTGACGTCAGGAGAGACTACAATATATCCTTGCTCGGCAAACAAGATGGGATTCCAACGGGTGCCCCAAGCGTCTTGCCATGAAGAGTGTGGACCACCGTGAATAAGAAGTGCGACAGGATATTTCTCCCCTTCTTGAAAATATGAAGGTCTGGTAATCCAACAGTGTACTTGATAATCGCCATGGCCTTTAAACCAAGTCTCGATAATTTGGCCTCTATGCAAGCCAAGATTCTCGCATCCTGCCACAGCAGACAGAACTTCTGGCGATTTTGAGGAGGAAGGATCAACAACCAAGAAAACACTACTCTCGATGAAGCTTGACTTGCTGACCAACAGTCGACGGTCGGACGGCGAGGAGGAACAACGATGTACACTTGATATTGAGCCGTGTCCGATTTCTAGGTGTATAGGGACGTTCGTGAGACCTTCAGGCCCTGTGGAGGTGTGGATCAAGATCTCGAAAACCCTCTGGTGTCCCATGTCTGCGGCCGAAACTAGCAGTTTCGACTCATCGTTACTCCAAGTTAGTAGTTCAGGATTGAGAGGCCAATCATCTTTTCCAACTCCAGAGTGGAGTGATATTTCTTTTGGGTCACTCTCGCAAGCTCGATTGACGAAGAAAATGTGATTCTTGCTGGCCACTTTTGCCTTGTCCTCACTTTTCAGGAAAGCAACGCATCCCTTGTTTGAGATTATGGGGAATGCGATAGTCCCCGAAAAGCTTGAATCTATGATCTTCTATGGCACTATACGTGCTACCATCTCAGGTGACTGTAGTTGAGACATTGGAATGAAGAAAAGATCAGACGTCCAAGCTCGCCGATGTTGATAGGTAGATTGTTCCGGTGTCTTGCCCGCGAAAACGAAGCCATAAGAAGATACATCACAATTTGTTGGACCCATAGGCACTACGCTAGAATGAGAAGCGAATTCCAAGCCAGTGTCTTTTAGGATATCGATTCTGTGCCATGACAGAGAAAATCGAAGCCCACCCTGGAATTTGCGGCCGTCAAACCTCATGTACCACAGCACTTTCTTGACTGGTGGCTCGGCGAAGAAGCTCCGAACCGGCAGTGAAGAGTAAGCCCGTCCTGTTGAATACGTAGATTGCTCTGCAGCAACGGAGTCCGTGCCAAGGGCAACAATTGCAAAAGCATCGTCAGCCAAGCGTGTTACCTTGAGAATTGAAACTAGAGCATCAACGCAACCGGCCTGGTACTGTCTTGAACAATACATATGTTAGCCAAAATTTACTGACAAGAGCCATGATGTGTACCTCAAACCAGGGGCAGCAGCATCATCAACCCAAAATTTAGTCGCGCCGTCAAGCTGTTTCTGCCAGATAATTTCTGAGCCGAAACCAGTCCATGCATAGCCACTCGATTTTGTATCTTTGGGAATCGAGCACAATTCACCACTGTTGAAGTCCAGTACATAGGTACCGGCTTCGCTGCGGTGGTCCTGAAAAGAATACTTGGAAAGACTGAACAATGCATGCGTTCCAGTGGGGTTAGGCGCAGCCCCAGAGCGAAGCGGGGCTGCTAGGAGATCTCTATTTAGTGTTAGAACATATAAAGACATGAATGGTGTACGAGCCTCACACGGGGTCGCAGTTATGGTATCCAGTCGACATTGCGCATAGATGTCAATGGAAAACTTCTTTTGAAGTCTTAACAACAAAGCTGAGGATTCCTCCCCCATCCCCTCCCCATTAATCTTACTTTCCTCACTTCTTCTCAATTCTCAAGCTTCCACTGCCTCTTCTCAATCCACGTAAGAATGACAATTTCGGGAGTTTTCAATTATCCGGTATGCATTCAATTTGTGGTCGCTTACAATACTCTATAATCCGGCAATTTAATGTTGGACTTTTCATTGCGACCAGAGTGCTGGGACTTCTGCACCTTCCCCATTAGTACACCTATGGCAGCTTATGCATTATGTAATTATTTGATGTAGTTGCATCTGTCCGAAACAAATTGCCATTTAATGTTAGTTCTTTCGTGTCACATCGGCAAGTTATCAAGCGACATGGTTTTCTGTAAGAAAGCTGTAAAATGGGATGGGCCTGCAGGTCTCACAGAGGCGCCCAGCTGAAGCCTGGTGCCCTGTCCTGCAAGAATTGACTAATGAGTTTTCCCATATTTGATAGCCGCAGTATCTTGGTCCGCTCCACATTCTCATTTCATAAATTCTTCCCCAAGTCAAAGGTTAGCTCCTATTACCAATTGTGATTCACAGTTTGAGCTAGTTCGTTGTGTGAGTGTGTGCCACAATACCCACATCACCGTTAATATCTCTCCTGTATTGCCGAGTACTGTTAAAGATGAGTAGCCTCTCGGGCAACTCAGTAAACGTAAGGCACCGTGCTCGCTGTAACGCCGCTGACACTTTTTGTAAGGCAATAATTTGGACCGCTGATTTCGTTGCTGTTGCTTTCACAGCAATTCGCCTGTACATCCGAGGAAGCGTAACCAAGAAGTTCCATTGGGATGACGCTGTGCACATACTCGCGATGGTATGTATGATTATTCAATCTGCCATATACTCAGGTGGCCGATCGTTGGAGAAGTCTGTTGAAAGTTACCTTGCCAAGGAAACCCTCGTGGCTCCGAACTTCACGCTTTTCTTGAGATTAAACATTGCATCTACGGTCATTACCTTCACTTGCTATTGGGCTGTGAAGTTATCTATTATGCTTTTCTATCGCATGCTCTTCTGGGTCTATGACACATTTATGAAGGCATGGTGGACTGTTCTTTGCTTCACCTTCGCCACGTACTGGGTTGTAATAGCTACAGCACTTGTGCAATGCGATGGCAATGGTTTGGAGTTGACTAGTATTGGTTAGTATTGCCACGGACTATCTTTCGTCGTAGTGGAGCTGAATCACTAATCTCATTTAGCTGCTTGCTCCTCGGCGCAAAGCTCGATATTGGATAAGAAGATATACAAAATTAGTGTTGTCATGAATGTAGCGTCGGATCTGGCGAGTGAGAATGCCCCTTTCGCACTCCACATACCGGGCTAACATATATTATTCAGTCATGGCTCTACCATTAGTAATGATCTCTAGAATGCACATCCGGACTACTCAGAAACTTGGGGTAGCGCTTATTTTCTGCCTCTCATTTATCGTAGTTGCCTTCGAGATTGTGCGCTTTTTTAAGTCCTTTGGAAGCTCAGGCATAGCTTTACACATCATCTGGACTAGCGTGGAAGCAAGCATTGCTGTCATTATATCTTGTTTGCCTACCTTCAATATACTTTTTCGCAATCGAGATAGAGCAGACAATATCGGCATCACTACTACAGAAGGCGAAATGGCTGTTCCCAAGGATACAAGCAAGATGCAGAGCACACGTGGTTTGATCCGCAGCCATGTTGTCAAAACACAGGATGATAGCTCTCAGGATGTCCCATTAGAGCATTGTGGTTCTTACAGCAATGTATGATAACTTATTCCAAACAGTAATGATGAAGTCAGAACTCGTCAGCATAATCAAGGTATATCAAGTAGGAAAGACTTCATACTTAATAATACCTATTTCCTGTCTATGTTACTAACAACGGTTATTATACATTATGAGGCAGAGGATTTCCGTTCCCGAGGTGATTTAATAGTCAAAAGCCCAAATCTGTAGTTGTCACTATACGACAAAAAATAATATACTGTAGAGGGGGTAAGAACATGAACCAGCAGTACGCGAAAACAACCAAAACAACAACAAGTAGGCACTGCGCGAAGCAGACCACTATTCGCAGTAGCAGAATAGGTTTAAAACATCATAAAAAGCATTCGAAAGCATATCACTGTAAAAACTAAGAGTGGGAGAAGAGTTGTTGTTATTCTAAGAGTGCGCGACCACAATATATGGGAAGCGTCACATGATAAACTAGACCCAGTTGAGTATAGTGCTAGGGAAGACTAGCGTTCCCGGGCTGGCCTCCTCCTCAACCACACGTGCCGGTCAGCGCCAAAAGGACCAAAAAGAGCTAGCCCTGCCACAATACATATCTTTGTTTCATAAACTAACTCCACATCATAATTCCTACCACTTGTTACTAATAGCACTGACATACTGATGTGAATCCTTGTGCGTTCATGGTAGATGATCGAGGACTACAGAGTTAGGCATCTTCACCAATTCGTCTGACCCACTTCTCAGCACACGGCGATCTGCATGCCAACTCCAGACTCTCTTCAGATCTCTACACCTGTGGACTGTGTTAAAGTTCGGTACTGGACTTTTATGTTTCTCCAGCCAATCGTATGTAATAATACCCACATCTGCATCACACATCAACTTTTGTCGCAAATTGTCTGCACAGTGATCTAGATCCATGAGCCAGGTTGAAGTCGAAAAAGTCGTACCATCTTACCAATATGCTTTCTGTAAATTGAATCCTTATCTTCCGACTCTAATTGGGTGGCATTGTAATAAGTTGGCCATGTATTCTGCCATAATGTATGCTTGAGTCAGATATATATTAGTGCTCTGAAGACTTGGGACAGGAAGCCAGGACGACATACGAGACAGTGCAGTTGATGATATACTTCCAACCAAGCCATATAACCTCCGCCACGTGCCGCCGGCAACAGGACTGAATTGTTGGAAGCCCCTATTTTGAGAAGTTCCGAATAAGAGATGCTAATGGCACCATCTATTCGATAAAGTTAACCATATCCTAGCACCGAATCATGATCGTTGTGTACCGTGGATCAGAGCCTTCCAATGTTCATCAATCTCAAGCGAAGGTGCCCCTATGTATGGACTACTGCCAAATATCGTACTGTTGAACCTTACGTCTTCGTAGTCGTCACCCACAGCAACAAGTGCCGGTGCTGAAAACTTTATCAGCGTAAGGAAGAACGACGAAATGGGAGAAAGCTTACAAAACATGGACAGTTTCTCGGCACAGTTGTGCTCGGTCGAATGTGGGAGAAGAATGGTAATGGAAGTTAAAAAGAGCAACACTTGCATTGCCCAGCTCAACATGTGAACGTATTGATAGAGAGGTGGCTTAACAGGAGCCTCGTTTCTGTCTTCGACAATTCTGTACGAATGTAAAGAGTCGAATTCATCTAGTAGAGGTGAAGATAAAGACTGCGCTCGAGATGCATGAGATTCCTCTCTTGGTGAAAGAGACGTATTCGTTAAAGATCTCGGGAAAATGTAGAATTCAGAGGAAATTTCGAGCATAAAGAGGTCATACATCAAAGGCAGAATCACAAGTTTCAATTCTACTGCTTACCAGCACAGGAGAATTGGGGCTGATATCCAGATTTCCAAAGTTTAGACTGCAACAAGGTAGGGGCAGTGATGGTGGAAGCGTGTAAGAAGTGTGTAGGGTATTTGGAAAATGTAAGGTATTGGTCAAATTCACCAGGAAAGTATCATGTCTCCAAACTTTGGACTCTGTTTAGGATGCAGAAGGATGGATTCTGTCAATTAATCTTACGAGTGATCCTCTCGCCTGCCTAGCCGACATGCTGACACTCGCACCAAAAATGGACCCGACAGTTCGGACCCACGCTGACTGGTTCGTGTGAGAGTGGATCGGACCTTGCCCGTACCGCTTATTTGATGAGCCGCGAGCCGGATCGTTACGAGAGATTAATTTCTTCAAGTAGACGCTTATTCCGCACATTTAGCCTAACACGCAATGACTTCCAACATCGCCCTAGTCAAATTTGTACAACCAACAAAATTGATGAAAAAAGAGAATGGTATTGGTAGAGTGTCACTGTCAATTATTGGTAAACGACATTATCCTATCTCAATACTATCACTATACCATCTGCCGTTCCATGACGCACATCACAGCGAAATAGCATGCCTGATCAAGTCATTGAGCTCGGCAGCTGCTACTGCCAGCGCAACTCTTATTTCTTCGAGACTCTGCTTAATACGCTGACGAATACTCCTGAATTTCACGAACTTCCAGACTGCCCATCAAATTGGCCACCAAACTTTCCAAATCTTAAAGGAGATCATTCGCAGACATACTCCGAACACCACATAAATAGGAAAGCCTTCTAACAATGTTTTCAATACGCTTCATAGCCATCCTCGGTGCCGTCTTGGTCGGCCAGAGCATTGCGGCTCCTGTGCCAAACTGGTATGCAAATCTTTATTTCAGAAGCGCTCAAATTCTATGCTAAAGCCGTGAGTAGTGCAGAATCACCTAGCGAGTTCATTTCTGCCGTCACCGGTATCTGTAGCTATATAGAAGACGGCGTGGAGGTAGAAAATGTGAGAGCATAACTGCTCCAAACAGCCTTGGTAGGTCAAGCTCAGGCCATAATCTTCCACAAAACGATGCCTGATCTAATCAGTTCCCCGGAGATCATGTACTATTATGGAGTGATACGAGTGTCAAGATATATGTCGCGTGGCCAAGAGACCTTACCCTCCCTCCTATATGCATGTTTCAGCGCCATTCTCATCGATCTTGATAGCAATCTTGGAATCATGTCATAACTTGGGTTGAGTTCTTTTGAAAGATCGGATAGAATGTTATATCACAATATCATCAATTCTCTTCCTTGCATTGAGATGTGAAAATTAGTGGTAAGGCTCAAAGGCCCTTTCCATGTAGCTACACACAAAACATGTCATCCGAAAACACAGTCAGGCTGCCGTGTTCTTGTTTAAGAAGCTTCCCCAACAAGATGATTTCCATAGATATATATTTGAGATATTATTCAAATAATCGTTACACATCGTGACAATTGTGAACAGAATCGTCTGTTCCCAGCGCCTATAAACAACGACAACAAGAACTAACAGAGGATATACCTACCCAGTCACTACATCCAGCCTCCAACTGGAGGGACATACTCCTCGTCATCCTCATCGTCATCCAAAGTCTCCTTGTAAGGATTCTCCTTTCGTGTGTCTGTCGCCCAGTTGAACATGGGTGATACTTTTCCAGCTGGTTGGCTCGCTTTTCTCAAATTTTCGACTTCTTGAACCCACGTTTTCAGGGTTCTCTCTGTCGCGAACTCCATGACTATTTTTTCAACGGTCGAGTCTTCTCGCCTCCATAGCTGGCATTGGTAAGATCTTAGACATAATTAGATGACACTTCCGTACAATTAAGACGCGTTCAGCCGAGCCTTGTTTGGACAGACTCACGATGTCTGTGACGTTGGTGAGATTGACTCTCCCTCTTAGTTTGAGTGAGTCTCTCATATCTAGCTAGATATTCTTCGTCCGTCGGAACAAGCCGCTACGTGAAGGCACGAGTTCTCTGTAAAACAGGATGAGCTCCTGAAATATAGATAGACCCGGAACCATGCGTTCTGTTAGTTCACAAATGCATACGGGGAAAGTGAGGCCGCAAGTTAAAATCGGTCCATACAGTTTTTGCTTCAGGCTTGTCGTATAAAACCTTCACAACGTCGAACAATAAGAGTTTCTCACGTTGTTTAAAGCCGATGTTTCTTCCATCCTAGACTCGGGCAACTAAGTTTTCTTGGGCTTCTAGGAGCTCCTCGGCCTTGATGGCAGCATCAACCTCCCGTAGAACGCTCTGGAGAGCTGTCATGCCAAGAGATATATCGTTCAGCTGTGTCGCAGAAAGATCACCCTGTCGCTCGATTTCCTGATTGATTTTAGCGAGCCTTGTAAGCGGAGTGGTGACAAGCAAAAGTTCAAAGGCATGGCAAGACAGAACGTACCAGAAGAAATGCAAGAAATTTTGGCAAGCATTGATGAGGGAGAGAAAGCAGCTGCAGTGACGTCGTGAAGACCAATCTCAGACCCTCATTTCGAGACCACTCTTGCTTCACAAGAATAGTCCTAATCGACTCTTTTGCTCTCTTCTCGGCAACGATGAAGCTAGTATAAAACGAAGATATGCGGGACCAAATTTCAAAAGGCTTTCCCCATCTTTGCTCTTCCCAGGGTTTGCGCGCAGTCATTTCCATTTGGAGAAGTAATTGCCTCTGAGCATCCAAAACTATAGGTAAAGACCAGCTAAAAATAATGCGAAGGAAGTGATGCGTCTGAGAAAATCTACTATCCTGGTCGAATTTCTCCTTGAACTGGCCGAGTTGCTCCATTTTGGCAACATATATACGCTCGCTGACGAGAAAATCTTCTATGATAGCGTCCCTAGAAGGATATCCTAGCGCATGTTTTTGCTCAGGAAGGTGGGTTGTGAGGTCGATACGTTCAGCGTCATTTTGAAGATCGAGTAGGTCAAGTACCCAATCAACGACCCTAACAACCTGTATGATAAAATTTGAAAAGTGCTACTAGATTCTGTACATGGAATAGAGCTGACCTTCATGAATCCTGTTGAGTCGTGGCCGAAGAGCTCGCTCACTGAGAAACATTTGTCAGGCGCGAGTCTAAGACCATCCTGATGGACACATGTCGAAATAAACTTGTAGGTGGCCGCTTTTGGTAACTTCAATGGATCGTTATAATCGCTACCCACTTCGGTACAATGTTCAAACCCTTGGAATTTTTCTAAAATCATCAATAAAGGTAGGCCTTGTCTCAAGACCAGAATGAGACGTGTCAAGGGATCCTCTTCCAAGTGGTCATCTGTCACTTTTTCGAAATACTCTGGAATCCCAGGTATTCGAGATAGGCGCAGCTCCAGCTCGAGACATTCTTCACACAGAGATTTCGGACCACGAGCAGTAGTTGGCGTCGTGATCGGTTCAGCTGGAGGACTGGTACATCCATAATGCTGAGCATTTTCGATATCTTCTCGGTACAAGGGCAATGCTATTACTGAGATGTTGGACACATCGCTCAGACTGAGGCCTGAGAAGACGGACCAAGCGTTCGTGCGTGCTATAGAACTCCGAAAAGAAAAGTCCATGCTCTCTCGTTGCGCTTTCCGGTAGACCCTTGAAGTCTCAAGATCATTTTCAAAGTCGAAAGTTGGCCCCGCGATCGATTCGTCTGGCTGCTGTTTCATTGAAGAAGCATTTCCATCATCGATGGCCCGGATGGTGCGCACTTCAAGGGCATCTTCCAAGTTCAGCAATCGCAGGTACAAGGATCGATTGCTCTCTAGAAGAGCTGCAACATTCTCTGACAATTGCTTTTGGTTCTCAGCGGCCCGAGAATCGGAGTCGCTATCGATGTTAGCTGGAATGTTAGAGTGAGAATGTTGCCAAGGGGCGTACATTGAGATATTACTTGCCTTTGGAGAATGGTCAACATCAATGAGATGGAGCCCTTGAACCCCTGCAGCCTCGTGAACAATGAAGTGAAGGTGCTTTCTTTCCTCGCCCATTTTAACCGCGACAGAATAGGCAGGCGTGACGTGCTTGACTCGGCTGATGGCGGCGATGGCAAGGAAGCTTCTAGCTCTGAGAACAGAAGTACTCCATCTGTGAATACTGCTACTAGCTGGTCGACTTGGATGAGAGCGGCACGCCTCACTGGGACAGATGAAATATTTTTGATAAGACCTTCTAATGCCAAGAGGGTAGTGCGGGTATATACTACCTCGGAGTGAACCTGTCTGACGATCTGCGACGTATCTCTTGCAGCTGAGACGTATGGGCCCAGGTAGCCGGCAATTGTTTCGGTAGCTTTAAGGAGACCGAAAATTGAGGTAGTGATAGTTATAGGATCCATGACTGGGAAGATCAGACAAGGACAAAGCTCAGCTGCTCATATCAAGTGGAGTAGTCGTGCATGGCTCCATCGACCGCCGTTGGCAGCCTCATCCTGCTCGAACCGTAAATGTCGACGCGTGCTGCAATGCAACAGAATTAAAATGCTCCAAGACGATACAGGTAAGGTGATGTTTGCGACAAATTTCGAGGGATCTGATTGTGAAAGATCTCCATGATTGCGAAGAGAAAGCCAGCCTGATCTACTCGAGTATCGTGGCTGAGGAAGGTGGGCCGGGCCGCTGAAGCTGCCACGTGGAGGCTGTGCAATCGACCAGCTCTCATTGGCCCACTCGTACGGCATCAATTACCGTACTAATTGGACTCCAAGATATGATTCTGAAATAAGGGATTAGGGCATATAAGATATAGTCCCCCCAAGCCTCTCCTAAGTGAAAACCTCACATAAGATATGCTAGCTTTTCCCTCTTGCCTCCCTCGCTCCTTCCACTCGTCCTATAATAGAGTCTTCTTAAAATATAGCTTTCGTATGAGAGGGGCCGACGATCGTAAAGTTAAGGGATCGTAAAAACAATCGTTTTGTGTAGTATTAGATATATCTTGGGAATCAAACAACCTAATTGGGTATAGCGTATTACTTTTAAAATTAGATATCGTTATATTATGATGTTTTAGAGTCCAATTAATACGGTATTGCTCGCTTGGAGTTCGTTAATCAGGACCGTTGCGCGCGATTGCTTTCGAAGTATGGCTATCCATGTCTGGATGAAATGGACAGGGTAAGGCATTAGGACGGAAATCTGAGAGATTTGGACAGAACGCTTTGAGCTAAGTTAACCTGTTTCGGTCAAATCACTCCTTGTATCTACTCCCAAGTACTAAAGCCAAAGTGAGACTCCTCTTAGTCGCAGCGCGGCAAGTTTTCCTATCAAGTAAGCATTATGTATAGACCCTTTCTACCAACATTCCCCAATCTATTTTCAAGAAATCAACCTCGCTGCTCTAAATCATGCCAATTCATCGAATCCAGGAAATCGAAACACTAGAGCTTCCAGATATAGAGGAGTTAGTGCGAACAACATTGTTCTGCTCAATATCATAGACCGCAGCAGCAGACAAGCCAACTACAGACAAATCAGTATACACTTTCAACAGAGATTGGCCGAGTTGCATCTTCTTTGATGACCCAGGATGAACAAAAAACCAGGGCAAGATAGGACCTACCAGTCTCACCAGCCGCAGTCACATAACTCGCATTAAAAATCCCAACAGTCCCAAAATCCGCAAAAGTCACAAACTCCAAATTCTCCGCAAAATACTCCACAATCCACTCCGCATCCGTCCGACACAGCTCACCAAACGTCTCCGCACTCGTTCACGAGTGGGAAATACTCTTCCCCGTACTCTTGTTAGCGAGCGTCGCCGTCCCAGAAGTCAAACTCGTCGCGTGAACAGTTGCCGTCATAACGTCTCCGGCTTTGATGGGAAATGAGGAGGTGGTCCAGTACGACATGCCGGCGGGGAACCACTCGTACCAGCCCTGGTAGGTGGTGGTTGTGGAACCGGAGGCGCGGGTCCAGATGACGCCTGTTTTCAGGATTGCGGTGTAGCAGTTGTTGCCGTCGATGCCTACCCAGGCTACTCCTTCGCCTGTTTGATGGGTTGTCAGTTTTGGTGTTCTTTTCCGAAGGAGAGCGGAGATACAAACCTGGAGTTGATGGACTAGGAACAGTGAAGGTCCCGGTTACGGATGTCACGCCTGTTGTTTCGATCACCGCGCCTGCCCAGTTGGTATCTATCAAATAATTAGTATACACCATTGGTAGAGATTTGGGAGTCGAGTAGCTCCAGAGGCAGAACTTGGCTAACCGTATACATGGGCAATTGCGTTTCTGCTGACATTTGCAAGTCTTTGGAAAGATTGTGATTTGTTCGTGAATTGCCGCGTAGCTCCGGGAGCAGCAATGACGCTACTTATGAAAAGCAGGACATTGGTAATAGTCAGAGGTCTCATAATGAAGATAACAATAATATCTCCCTCACGTCCAAATCGAAGTTTGGCAGGTAATTATACGACACAGTAGCGGGGTAAAACACTGACAAATTTAACGCGTATCCTACTGAATTCTACCCCTCCAAAGAAAGTCGGAACAAAACATTGATCTAGGGGTCGTGGAGATAGCAGCGTGAATTGGACACATCGAGGAACTTTCAAACGCACGCTGGATTAATAGTGTTCTCATTCAAGATATCGATAGGATAAGATTGCATATACTGGAAAATAAAGTGATCTGTGAACGACCTACCACTTCAGGCTAAAGCTACCAATGTACTTTTAACTCTGCGGAGGACGACCGGTAAAAGTTTTAGATGCTTGTCAAGGGGTAGGTGCGCTAACAGGGAGAAGGAAAACATAGGCTGAAAGTACTGCGAACAACCTTGCCATGAGCTCATGTGGTGGCGCCAATTGACAACCCCCTATGAATATTCACTTAATTAGGTACAGTATTTGCCTCCATTTCGAGCACTTGCTGAAGCATGACAAATGGAAAGAACGTAACACCTCCATCTCATTGGAAATAATCGAAGCTTGAAATCTTGTATATATACTAAACGCTTTGAACAAGCAAAGAAGACAAGATCCTCCCCAGAGCATATCTCTCTTATGGCTCCATGAACGCCGTCCATGCATATGCTTTACAAGAAACTCTGGTTTCTTGCCTCCGTCCCAAATCCCGACCCATTTCCTAAAGAGAAATCACGGTAGCACTGTGATGTGATGTAATATACAAATGAACATATCCACCTCCACTCAAACAATAGTCGTACTTCAATTCAACCCTCCGAGTATCTTCTTGATACTCATTTTCCTCTTCGAGGAATCTTCCTCGTCTCCATGGGGATCGGGAGATAGTGTATTCTGACGATCCTTCAATTGCTTTAGACGACCCAAGGTGTTTGCAAGAACACCTTCGCTGTGGCCATTCCTGATGCTTTTTGACCCAGAATTCTCATAACTGCTGCCCGGACGTTGATTCGGTTGCGAAGGCGTCATTGACAACGCCGCAGGAATGTTTTGTACACGACCAGGACCTTGGAAGGACACAATACTGCTCGAGTCACTAGGTGTGCGGGTCAGGCCGTTGCGACTCGAGGCGAAGGAACGACGTGGACTTGTCCCTCGCTCGGACTTTGTGAACGTGGTTGGACTGCTGGTTTTGATACTTGCATTGCTGTTGTCGTAAGAATTGTCTTGACTAGAAGGTGCTAGGAGCATGCTACTTGTCGCAAGCTCTCGCAGTCGGTGTTGTTGAGCTGTATTCGGTCGATGCTTGCTGAACTTGTTTCCAATGATGGCACCAGTGTGGGAGATCAGAGCACGGATAACGTCTTTCTTGAGAGCGAGTGCCAAGTCGAGATTCGACCAGGTCTTGTTCCTGTACTCAATCTCTGGTAGACGAAAAACGAAATCATGAACATCTTCAATGTTCCTCTCTCCCTTTCCTTTGTAGCTCAGACAAAGGACCACACTCGGTATTTTGACATAAGCAAGGGTCATATAGTTGGAGGCTCGAGACATCATCTGGGTCAAATCATCCGAGGGCTTCTCTTTTGATTTATTCCGATGAATCGTGAAGCGCTTGGGCTTTGCGTCGCCGTTCAACGACTGGATATCCTGGTTGGACATGCTTGTAGAGGTTCGACCAAGCGTTGGTTTGGACCCAATACTAGACTGTAGACTCTCAACAGAGGTCTTCTTGCCCAAGGTCCTCGTTGAACCTCTAGAGCTTGCAGAGATCTTGTTGCCCGATGGGAAGAGTCGGAAGTGGTGTCCTTCGCCAGAGTGCATGCTAGCCGCTTTAGTCTTGCCTGATAGAGCTGTATTTGGTCGAGCTTCTGAAGTCATGGTCGGTCGCAGTCGAAGTTCCAAAGATCCAGCTCTCGTACTAGTCACAGAATCATTTCTCCCTGTAGACCCATTGGTGTTTTCATACGTTTCTGTGCCGTTACTGTCTTCCTCGTCGTCATCGTCCACCGGTGCCATTGTCTTCACCATAAATGGTGATTTGTTCTTCGTCTCATTTGATCCGGGGAACATGTAGTCAAAGAGTCGTTGCGCAACCTCACGTTCAAGCTGTATCTTCATTGGGAAGAGGTTAACTTCAAAGTGATCCATGACAGGAATACCAGCAATAGCTTCAAGCATATACCAATAAACTCTCAACATCTTCTGATTTCCGCCCTCGTTGAAGGTACCTCGGTCGATGTCTGTGTAAGGTGCAAACATTTCTGGATAGATGGCATCTGGAAGCAAATTCAAACCCACGATCTTTCCGATCTGCATTAGATTGTTGTGAGATCCATCAGAGTTATCAGTACGGTCATACTCAGCCTTTCGAAGTTGAAACTCCATCAGAGGCTCATTGTTGTCACGAATCAGATGCCAAACAATCTGATCGGAGGAAATGTTCCATCTCAGCAAGCCAGCAGACTGAGAACCATCATACTTTCGTTGTGAAGACGTGATGGCCTTCATCATGAAGAAAAGCTCGTCTTCGCAACTAGTAAGATCTTTGTCGAGTGCAAGCCTGTCCTCCCAACCTCTCTTGTCAAGGTATTTCGAATTGATCTGGAATTGAGTCTTGATCTCATCCAGCTGCCTGATTCGCTCCTGAAGTTTAGTGACCATCTCAGGCGCTCCACGTAGATCGCTGAAGTCCGATGCAAGCATGATCTTCTCAAGACGCTCAGTCCTTGTTTTCTCGAGTGGCTCGCTATACATAAGGAGATCGAGAACGATTATATACATCGCATAGTATTGGGCTGAGTTGCAAATGGCTCGAACGATAGGAAATTCCACCCAGAGGTGATCCATGCGACTCTCCTCGTTGCTATGACTTGCTGGGTGACCAGATTCGGTGTTGATCTCATCGTTGTACTTCAAGCGCAACGTGTTGTATTTGTCGTATCGTAAAGACGCCGACGTCTTCTGGACAACACGCTTGAAACCAAATGGATCAACTTGAAAGTCGAACATGACCTCCATCGGTACCCATGGTGGCCAAGCGGATCCGGCAGGAACGCCATAGTGGTTTCCAGAGTACATGGACAAAAGCTGTGAGGAGAACCACTTCTGGTGGGTAACGAAGAACTGCGTGCTGTCCATTTCAACAGAGAATCTCCGTTGCACGAGGCCACTAACATCATCGTAGATTCGATCCTTGTCCATGACTTCAATAACCTTGCCCTCCATTCCTTTCGCTGTGACCAGAACGACGGCTTTAGGATTCTTGTCGCTTTGAAGTTGAATTTGTGGGGCGATGAGTCGCAAGTGGTAGCTGTTCTGTGGCATGAAATCGTGACCAATATTTGCATCCAGATGGTCAGACGAGACTCGCTGATTTGTTACATGCCGGCGTGCGGTAGGATCATCCGCATCAACAAATTTCTTGCCATCCGCGAGTATCTCGGCAATGCGATCTTGCACATCTTGATAAGCAGAGTGATCGCCTGCATTGGGATCGGGCGATGCGGCCTTGGAGTCTTTAACAGAAGGTTCCGAAGCCGGCTTCGCCGTCTTTGCTTTGCTCTGCTCTTCCACGATATCAAGGATGAACTTCACAGCTCTTCGTGATAAGTAGTAGACAAATCCTCGCCTTTGACTGACCTGGTGAATATATCGCAGGACGATATTTCTCAATAGATTGTTCCATTTGAGTTGCATGTTGTGAATGACGAAGCGATTATTAAAATCACTAATGAAGTCTGCAGCTGGATTCGTGTCCATTCCCTCCATATTTGCATCGTAATCTTTTGGAGACGCTTGTTCGCCATCACTATCAACATCAGCGTCTCCATCCGGGACTGCTCGCTTATTGTTTGTGCGTATGCGCATGTTCATGCGTCGCATCATAGACTCCAAGAAAAGTCTCTTGTCATGCAAAACGCTACCTTGCTTATTCAATTGATCTAGATCTGCCTTGAAGATGGGATTGTTCTCGTCTTGTATGAGTTTGAGTTCCGCATCACCAACCGTTCTGGTGTGAGTCGCCATTTGTTCATCGATCTGGTCAAGACGCTTTTGTATCAACTGGCACTGTACCCTTCGAGGATCATCGTCCTTGCTCATGATGCAGAAATGAGTATTCTCTGCACCGAAAGCACTCGTTCTGTCGGGATCGCCAGATATTGTGTCTCCATGATCGGTCTGCCGGAAGTAGGTGAAGCGAGGAGTGTAAGCTAATGGTAGAATCTTCGTTTCCGGATTCGCCTCTGAAGGGAGAATCCAGTCTAATTCCACAAAGTCATCCATATCAATCCAGCTAAAATCATTATCAGGAATTTCGAAGTGCGACAGATCTGTGTTGCCTATGTCGGCCTGAGAGACTAGATTCAGCGGAGCAGATGCCTTTTGTAAATCCTCGGGGGTGGTGCCTGCGATGCTGGCCGATACTGCTCGAATGTCTGCTGACAACAGATCTAGCTGGGCTTGATGCATCTTCATAGCACTGGTCTTGCCTTGCGTTTTTCGACCTCTATCTTGAGTGTGGAAATATTCGCGGCGTTGATGAACATCTAGCATAAAGCTGTCAAGCCGCATCTTAATACCAGTAGCAGAGACGACATCCTCAGCATAATCTTCCGCATCTTTATGTTTATAAATGTGGCTTAGGAAGAGTGGTGCTAGCAACAGATTGTACTTGATCGTAGCTAAATGGCGGCCGAACTTCTTGCTAGATTTCTCGAGACCAGGCCAAAGTTTACCTTGCCGGATTGGAAGTGACATAGTGCCACCAAACATTGACCACCAAGCAAAGAAGTGGTAGAAAAATCGTGGGGTCAGATGTACCGTATTGTAGCTCTGTGAAGCCTCTGTATTGGACACCGACCATTCTCGGTCGACCGGAGCCTTCACGGCAATGGACATGTGAATATGATGGCTACGGAACCCTCTGAAAGCATCATATTCCAATCCAGGAGGAGCCTTCGCATACTGGGGTTCTTTCAATACCACATTATAATGAGGCTCGAATTCAAACGAACGACCACTGGAATTCTCCAAATTCCTCTCAAACATCAACCCCGCAAGCCATTGTACGTTGCCAGAGAGTTTCATGACCACTTTCTTGAATGCAGCTCCACGTTTATAGCTATCAGTACTCGAAACACTGTCGCTGTCGCGATCTTGCTTGGCTGCAACGCGAGCTTGGTGGTTGAAGTCAGGGACGGCAAGTATGAATTCTCCACTGTCGACCGTCATGAATTTCTTCGGATCTTGTTCGCGACAGATGTTCCATCTGACGTCGTTTCGCCAGCACATCAAGAAGCCTGCACCATTGCCCGTAACTAGGTATGGATCCCTTGTCCCTTTGAGCATGAGATGAACGTCACCATCGCCCTTCCACATAACACTGACACGAGAGTGGAAGCTGAGACGAATCTTGTCCCAGAAACCGGTGCGGTCTGACGGATCAACCTGAGTTTTGGTGAAGGTTTCAATGATCATCATCATGTCTTGGATAGCAGGTTGGTACGATGCACCCCATGTAATGCGGGTAGGGAAGCCCGTGTTGATGTCGATGTTGATATCCGAGTACGATTTGACAGGGGTTACTGTTCTCCGTACATCAATTGCAAATCCGCCTTCATTTGATGTTCCAGGAGAGCGGTTCCTAGGCGGAACAATGTCGACTTTAACGTGACGGGTCGATTCTGGGCCACGGAATTCTTCAGCGACAACAAAATCTGTCTTTAGCGACCAAGCAGGAAGTCTGGGTGATTGACCTGGTTTGATCGCAGGAACATGGAGAAGAGGCAAGGGATAATCTCTTAGTGTCATTCGAGCCTCGCCCATGTCAATCTGGACATGCATAGGGAGCAAGAGTGAGTACTTCATGTCCCGAGGCATACCTTTCCCAACTCGATGGAGAAAATCTGGAAGTTGGCTGATCGGGAAGGAAGGCTTGTCGATAGTGATATGTAAATCACTGATTAGTGTCCCCATAAGAGCTGGTCGCTGAGGAACCTCCAATATGTTCTCTGAGTCTTCCATATCATCTGGTAATTCGTCGGGGCCCCAAAAGACCCCTCTGAGATCTTTCATCCCATTCTTTGACATGTTCAAGACACGGTCAATTCGTGATCTCCAGCTCTGAGAATTAAGCAAGTTCAGCTTTTCTTGAGCATCTTGAATGGAGATCTTGGCCGATCCAGACAATCCACAGGTGCCTTCCGGATCATAACGCATAGTTCGACCACGGTGAGATCTAGATCGGTGTCCCGAACTGTCGTCTTCGCTTCTGCTGCGATGACGAGGCTGATCATGATGGGTGCTACGTCCCCGTGGGTGCGCTGACCTATTGCGATATCGATTGTTATCCCTTCGAGCTTCCTCCTCGGCAATCTTCTTTGCTTTGACTTTGAAGGCCGCATCGCGCGCTATACGCTGTGCTTGCTCGACGAGACCCGTTCGGTATATAGTACCAAGCTTCCATTCAAAAGCGCCATCTTCGAGCTCAAAAAGCAATGCTTTGCTGCGAATCGATACCCTTGGCACTCGTTTTGGTCCCTCCGGGTGCTTTTCAAGAATGTACTCATTGGTGCCTGTAACAAATCGGTGATGAAGTTGTTGGACGGACTTCATCGTATTGATGCAATTGTCGAATACTTTATGGATAACAAGCTGATGTGGAACAGCAAGTCTAATAGCATCGGAGTTCAGATCGATCATCTTCTCCTCGTGCATTTCACCGGTACTTGTCTTCCGTCTATTTTGCCGCATATCTGCCCTCAAAGCCTTGACACTCACAATTCTTGCCCAAACGTGGCTCATTTTAGGAGCTGCAGCATACAATCGCATCAGTTTGGCATGAAAGAATGGTGGTGCCCATCTGTGTCGACCAGCTTCCAGGCCATATATTTGCAGCATCATTCTTGGGTCTGATGGCATCTGTGCTTTGATTTGGACCAACGTTGACCTAAAATCGACGGTGATAAGCTCCGGCGTAGTAAAAGGGTATCCAGATCCATCTCGAGTATAGAAGTCCTCTGGACTTTTTACCGGGGACAGATAATCAGATCCACCAAACACTGTTGCCGCGGCTCTTGCCTTTTCGGCCTCTTCTTCGTCAGCTCTCGTACGAACGAAAGCTTTCCTCAATACAGTTGTGGCGACACCCATAGCATAATGGCGGTAGAGCGAGTAATGGACAAGCAACGACTTTACGTGGGAATTGACGTGGAAAACAGGACCTTGGTTATCACTCGATGTTGACAGAGCGACTTCAAAGCGTGGCATTGCGATAAATGGCTCTGCCTCCCACTTTTCTGTAGACTCAACGACGAACGCATCGAGGCCTCGGACATGGATTGCTAAGCGGCGTCCATCAGTAGGATGTTGCGCATGCTTCTTCCGTGGCGATTGTGGCATCTTGAGGAATAGGTCAGGATCTGGAGTCAAAGACCGACTGCTGCCAGCTCTCCGCCGGGACGATTTTCTCTCAACAGCCTCAGCTTTCTGAGCTCGATATTCGGCAGTCCAGGAATTCAGTTGCAATGCAACACCTCGTGTATCATCTGAGATGTCTTCGTCCACACCTGCAACTTCTGCGCTGAAGTCTGACCCCGAAATATGGAAATGTAATAGCCAATCAGGAATGGCTCGAATGAAATTTGGATCGCGGGATGTCTTTGCCCTCGCCTTTTTAGTTGGCTCGACATTGAGGCGCAACTGTCGGACAATTTGACGAACACCATCACTAATCTCGGGTCGAATCATATGAATGGAGAAGGTTTGCAAATTTCCTGTGGCAACAACATATACCTCGGGATTGGCGCTAAGTTGGGCTTTAAGCTCCAGTGACTCCGTTTGGAGAAGATCATAGTGAGCACCAGATGCCGTCTGATAGTACAGATCATGGGTCTGAAGTCTCAGTGTCGACCCAAGACTGTAGTGAAGATCTCCAACGGCTGAATGAGAAGACTCGATGTCAAGGGATATTGACGAGATGGAAGAGATAATTAGGTCGAAATCATCCTCGGCGGCATCCTGCTCCACCGGAGGCAAAGCAATGCGAATAACAGGCTCGTGCATAGACAGCTTAACGTTGGCCTTGGGCAGGAGTCTCGAAATAAGAATGTGCTGCTGCTGAGGCGCGCGGTCCTTTCTCGGTTTAGGTCTTGGCTGCAAGATAGCTAAAACGAGGGGTAGGTGTTTTGGGTCCAGATCAACAGACGGTGATGTGATAACCACATTAGCATAGAGGATGTTGGCGTTGCGCTCATCGGCACTGTTGTCCTGCACAATCTCCACCGTCTTAGAAGGTAGTGTTGTCCTAATAGTAGTCGTTGCCATTGGTACATAGATCAATCGGTCGGATTTACCTTGTCCATCATCAACGCCAATGGCAATGGAGAGTGCTGCAACAAGGGCTTGGTGGGCAATGTCTTTGGACGAAAAGTACATTCGATGGGCTGGAGACTTTGGGTCAAGTCTGTGTAGATCAATACCAACCTCCTTCATGGATGCATTAAGGTAAATTGGTGAACCGTGAGGCTGCACCGAGCTGATCTTTTTAGTGAAGCCAACAAAGCTCACCGCAAACTGGACCTCTTTGATACCACGAAGGATAGAGCTCACAAACTCTTTGGAGTCCGAAACCGTCTGTGCAAGCTTCTCTTCTCGGCTACCAGGTCTGTCGAGCTCCTCAATCAAATCTTTGACTGAGATCTCTTGTGCGGAAGATCGTCGTTCCCAATGATAAAGCTTCTGGCAGCTCTTGTACCGATTGATACACATGTTGATATCATCATAAGGAATATGCACACGCCCTAGCTTCAAAGAAATGGCAGCATCTCGTAGTCCGTCCAATTCCTTGTACAATAAGCCATGTATGTTAAGTGTCGCGTGATCGAGGACTTCGAGCGACTCACGTCCATCTGGTGTGAAGAGGACACTGCGGGCTGTAATCATCCATTCAGCAGGGCGCTGCTCTTTCTTGGGAGTCTTGACATGCGAGAATAATCTGCCTCTGTCCACCATCTTGCGCCGTGTATCCACTGCCATGGTGAAGCTGCCAACCTGAACCTGCCCGACGTCGACCAAAGTCAAAGAAGAGTTCGAGGCCACGACATCCACCATACGGAGCCAATTTATGTTTCGATGCAGGCGCTTGATTCGCTCCTTGATACTGGTCAGTCGTTCCCAACTCTTGCTTCGATGTGGACCAAAGCTTGTCCTCCGCGACAAAGGCCTCTTCTGCAATGGCTCGACCTTGCGGTCCAGAGCCTCGTCCTCGTCTTCATCCCCATCTTCAGGATCACCTCCCTTGTCCCCGTTTACAGCCTTCAAATCTACGGTAACGGCAAGCTCGGTCAGGACAATGCTCAGCCATGTTGGTTGCGCAAAGGTTGGACGATGCAGATTCAAGCCCAGACCGCGAATCTCTATCTTTATGCCATCTTTAGGTGTGTATGCTAACCTCCGCAGCGAGAAGTAACCAATGCGCTGGATAGATATGCCAGTGATTATTCGAAGGACGGCGAATAGGATGAAGGACGAAAGGTATGCGAGGACGATTACGCCGAATATGAAGGTCGGGTTCAGGAGCGCCATTAAATCGTCAGTCGCAAGACGCCATTCGCCGCAATGGCTGCGGTCTTCTGGCAGTATAGATGGTGTTTCCGCCTCAGCGCCCACCGAGTGCAAATTCGGCCTTCAATGATGATGCCATCCGCAGTGGTCGTTTCTGCAGCGAGGGGAAGGGAGAGAAAATTGATCGGTTTTAAGGTTGTTTATTCCGATTCTGCCGCCAGACGATACGATAGACGCGGAGGAACCGGATCAGCATGCTCTTGCACACTGGCAGTCATTCGTTATGTGATCCGTATGAGATGCTAATCGCGTTATGGTGTAGTGTGGGCGATAGATCAGGGCTAGAGATGTTGGTCAACGGTTCCTCCTGCAAATAGCTGGCGTGTAAGAGGGATGACGTCGTGGCTGTGTTCGAGACCTCAAAATGTACAATTTGACAATCTCGAGACCGGACCCACGGATGGGACGAACCAACAGAACTGTTCGTCTTTGTGGACAGTGATCGTGGTTGTTGGGAATACTCCGTCGTGGTTTCTTTGACCTTGGCCGGGATATCTCTTGTGGAATTGGGAGACAATCAATCATTAATGTGCCACCCATGTTGCTTAATAAGGTGTCGGCGGCCGATTACATTGGATCAGACGCACAATGTGGCCTGTGCGCGCTTCAATCCCGGGTGACGGCTTGATTTGATATCGATTGACAGCAACCTTAAACAAGGTTCGTGAGAGCTACAAGACATCCGAACTACATGCACCTCTCTATGCTCATTTATATTGCTTTCGAGAAAGTCGCTCAAGAGTACGCTCATTCACTGAGTATCACATCACGTGTTTGCTCTGGTGTTTCTGCTCCTCTCGCCCTCTCGCACCCCTTGATAACACGACAGGATTTTGCTATCGCTTATGCATGAGTAAGATGCGGGGTCTGAATGTAGTCGTATTGCGAATTGCGCTTACGAATGGAACAAGCTTATCCTTTCTTCTGATCAAGATAAAGTTCAGGCCAATCATTACCAAGGTCATCTGCTATTGCCAGTATTCGAGTTTCATATCGCCAAAGCGCAAGCCAATAAGCATAGACTTTGTTGCATGTTTCTTCCAGAATTTTTTCGTTTTAATATCTATGCCATTGATTAAGTTGTTGTGTTGAAGATATTCAAAGCCAGCCCAAGTCCCATTGTGCAGTACCGTCATTTTATCACATTTTCGCCTCCAATCATTGTCAAGGGGAACGATTGACAATCCGTTTCTCTGGTTGTCGGGAAGTGGCCCAGCATCTGAAGAAAGTCGACCATTCTGGACCTCATGTCGCCTGAAGTTCAACCCAAAAATTGCTCCCAATACAAATACTCGAGATCTAAAACTTCCCAACCTTGGTTCCTCGTTCGGAACAAGTACCATGCACAGCACTTCCTCATTCCTCCAACAAAAATCTCAAAAACGCTTGGGCAACCACCACACCATCCTGATTTTTGTCAACTCTGCTGATTGAGTCCTCGAACAATTCCTTATCAAAGAGACCCGAGGCATGTGCCGTAACGAGCAATTCTCTCATAATCTCCTCCGTGAATTCCGGATGTCCTTGAACCGTCATCACCCTTTTCGGGATATACATAGCTTGCACAGCACACTTATCCGTGCATGCCAACTCCTCTACGCCAGGAGGGTAGTCATACACCACATCCCCATGAATTTGATGTAAATCCTGTCCGATCTTTTCAGCCTTTCTCCTCTCTAGGACACTATATTCACAACGAACAGAAACAAACTCACCAAACCACCCTTCCCAAAAACCTCCTTCCCCCTCTACGTCAACCTCATCTCCGTAACGCTCGTCTCCCACCCCAACTCACTCCTCCCCACCCTAGCCCCCAATGCCCTCCCCACAACCTGATGTCCAAAACACGCAGCGATAATCCGTACGCGTCTCTGCTCCAACACCTCCTTCACAAAAGCCACCAACTTCAATATCCACGGATCATCAGCAAAGGCGTCGAAACTTGATGCTGTGAGGAGGATGGCGTCGATGTCTGGTAAAGAGGGGTAAGAGAGGGTATTTACGACGTCGAATGTTGAGATGGAGAGGCTGGTGGAGGGGGAGGCGGCAGATTGAAGGAGTGAGGTGAAGACGCCGCCGTAGGTACCGTACTTGGTGGCGGTAGCGGGGAGCGGCGCGCCACATTCGAGGATGGCGATGCGGAGGGGGAGGGAAGGCATTTTGAAGAGAGGGTGGAGAGGAGAGGGGATGAAGTGAGGTGGAGATGCAAGAGACACAAGAAGAGCTTTGGGACTAGAGTTCAATCTCGGGGAGGAGGTTGCATATTAATGGTAAGTGAAGATGCCATGACCAAGCAGATGATAAGTCTGACAGGAACGGATATTCAGTCTCGGTGCATCGATTGGTATTTCCACTTCAGGACTGAATTACTGGAAGAGGTATCTTCGAGGGTCCTGGGTTGTGTTCGTGACAGGCAAGGATAAGATTTGGGCTAGGTACCAGGAGAGAGAACGGTGTCTGTTCTGCAAGAGCATAAGCACCCTGTAACAGGCACGCCCAGAATATCAATGCCGAGTAGAATCATTGCATCTTAATGTACAAAACAATACCGAATACGGCTATTGGCACACATTTGCCTACGGCCGTACCAAGCGGTCCCATGGCCATGCAGACTGCTCATTGTTAGTGGTTGAGCAGTGCGAGAGGAACATGGATTTTACATGCCCACCTACGATGACTCCGAAACCTGCATGCATTTATCTAGTCATCAAGAGAAGGTTGATTTTTCAAGCCTTGTGCTCTTTGAATTATGAGTAAGCCAAGGTTCGGGAACGGGTAGATTTCTGGACTTGGCTTGAACCATGTACATCGATATTACTTCTCTTGCATACCATAGAACGATTTGCTCCAGGGGTATTGGTGCCTGGCTTTGACGATTGTGGACAGTATGAGTCATCTCGCTTACCCCCCTTTGTGCTTTGCATGCGCGAGCCGACCGATCGACCGATGATCAATGTAAAATTTCTAATACATCAATTGCGATCATAAATCTCGAATCCCAAAATTGCAAGCTCAATAGAGATATCATGCCCAACTTCTCACAATTAGTGATCTGAGACCTCTCATTGCCGTTCAAAGACACTCTCTCCCCTTTGAAAAATGTCGCGTATGTCTTCCTGTCCCTCTACCGGACCACAAACCCTCTTAGAAACATCAAACACAACGTAGAATGGACAAACTCTCGTTGGACAACTTAATCTCGGAGACAAACTGCAGGATGACCGAGAGGTACTTCAGTCTTTCGGTCCAAGTATTGGAAATCGAAGCTCGCTAAACTTAGGGGTTCGCTTAGGCGACCGACGAGGAGGCCAAGATCGTCCATACATATTCGGAGAGACATTAATACGGCGCGGTGAAGGTTCACAGATGCTCCTACCATGTAATATATTCCTTGATCACAAGTTTCAGAATTCAATATGTTCAATTGCCACCTGCCTCAATTTGAACGGCCTGCTAGGTTAGACAGCTTGAAAAAAGCATGGTCGTCATTAGGTTTCGTGCTCGCTCTTGATTACATGCATATATGCAACAAAATCTATATACCCCCTCTCATGTTCAAACTTCTCTCGTCTTGAACCTAATCATAGGTCCTTCCATATAGCTCGTGAAATAGCTCTTCATCTGAAATTCTCCTTCCCTCTCCCTCCCTTCTCCCATCCCCTTTCTCCCCTCTCCCAACGTCCCGACCTTCTCAAAATCGAGTCTCACGAATACATTGGCCATCGTAAGCATCAATTCCATCAGCGCAAAATTCTTCGCAATACACTGTCGAGGACCAGCAGAAAACGGCGCATAACTCTTCGACATCTCCTTGATCCTCTCCTTCTCCTTCTCCTCATCCTTCTTTGGATCTATGATCCAGCGTTCGATGTCGTATTTGTAGGAGTCTGGGAATAATTCTTCGTTATGGTGGAGGGAGAAGATACCCGAAGCTACTTTCAGACCAGCAGGGATGAGCTCCCCGTCGACCAAGCACCCGCCCTCTTCAGCTTCGCGCCATAGTGGTTGAGGTGCAACGGGTGACATGCGCAGCGATTCGTTGATGGCAGCGCGGAGGTAGACGCAGTTGTTGAGTGTGGGACCAGCACGAATAGATGCTACAGAGGGAAAAGCTGAGCGGACTTCTTGTGCGACTTTGGCGTAGGCAGTTGGGTTGTGACTCAAGTAGAAGAACGTTGCTGCGATAGAACTAGCAGTTGTGTCGGAGCCTTTGACACATCAGTAAATTGTGAGATATCATTATCAGAGAAGAGAAACATACCAGCAATGATGAAATTCGCCGTATTCCTTCTTACACTATCGGGAGTGAGTGCCAACTCGCCCGTGTTCGGATCTTTCACAGAGCTAAAGAAGCCGAAAACATCTTTGATGGACGGATCTTCTATCCTTGCCGCCTTACTGCTTGCCATGACTTCCTTGGAATATTTCATCAAATCCTTTACGCTCCAAGCGAGATGGGGGAGCAATATCAGGGAGCCAATTTCGTGGGTCGGTTGATGAGGCCAGTAGTGAAGGATGCCGACCAAGCGGACTATCGTCTTGAAACATTCCGTCACACCACGGTTGGCGCTCGAGGTCATCAAATCCCAAGATGTGGTGAAGACTACCTTACTGACGACGTCGGTTGTAAGCCAGTTACCTGGAGATTGTTAGAACTTGAAGCAGCGAAGGAAGAATCATGGGGAGAACTTACACCACAGAGCCATGTTCTTGGGATTGGTCCAATTATTGCCGTTCTTCTCAGGCGTCTCATTTTCTGATAGTTTCTCGATAAATGTATCGATTTCCTTGATCACTTTGGGCTCATGCTCTCGAATTGCAGTATCGGAGAATCCCTGCTGGAAGATTTTCTTGTTCCACGCGTATTCCGCCTTGTCCTGAATCCCTATCAAGTTCCCCTGGCCGTGCACCTTATAACTTTTTGCTTTTTTGACTTTCTTCAAATTATCATAAATATCTACTCTAGTTAGATTATAGACTGCAAACCGATTGCAAGAGGAATACCATGAAATCCTTCTGGAGAATCCACTAGAAGCGAATTTGGAGCATATCGAACGAATTTGCCTGCCAAGAAGTGAGCATGGTTGCACGACTAGGATACAACGGCTTACCGTATTTCTTGTGACACCTCTCAACATCAAGGTGAATATCCCCATGATATGCATGGTAAGCGCCGTAAAGACTTGTGAATTTTGCGAGGAAAGGTCCCGGATACTTGGCGTAAGGATGGAGTGTGACTCGATATAGACAAAAAACGACGATCTGTTGTTGTGTCAATCCCTGCTGCATATCAAGTCAAGAAAATCGAAGTCAATCAAACCTACATGTGCAGCCAGATAAGTCAAAGCAATCGACACCAAATCTTTGATCGTAAACATTGTGCAGGGCTGAGAATATTCTCCAAATAAAGTCCTAAAATTGAAGCAGGAACCAGAATGCGACATGAAATAAAAGAAACTGTGCCGCTGACAGTAGTGGGGCGGCTTCAGCGTCAGCTTCCGTCGGAGAACATGTTTTCAATTTCGATAACGATCTGTCAGCCAATTTGAGACATCGTTCGTTGGTATGAAACCAGGGTACTATGGGGCTCAAAACTCCACTTCAACTTGAAAAGGCGGTCCTCTCCGTGTCTATATTACTCACGTCAGCTTGCAACCATTCCAGATTGTGAGTGGCTTCTAGTCTCTGAGGTGATGCACTCAATCCAAAGTATTTTATTTTCTTGGTCTTTCCCCCTGAGTTTCTCGTCTCCCGTCGCGTACTTCTTAGCGTGACTTATCTCGCACTTTTGAGCCAATCGTAGACCGACTTTGAAACGAAGATTTTGCTCCCATCATGTGCTGTACTTGAGAGTCCTCAGGAACGTCCGCTCGGCGGATCATGTCACAATTCTATCTAGAAATGTTTAATTAGATAAAGCTCTAGATAGAAGCTTCTCCAAGCAATCACCCGTACGATGGCCGATGCCGTGAACTAAGTCACGTGGCCGGTGTGAGCGCTTGGATTCTTTTCATTTCGTTGTGTTTTCCTGGATTTCAACATTGAGTAAAATCACATCTAATTGTGCAAGCTAGTTGTTTGCCCTAAAAGATGATCATCATTACCAAGGGTCTAAAGATCGTTGATATCCATGAAGTGAATCCCTCAAAATGAGGTCAAGCCTAATAATGTCCTAAATCTCAATCACTCGAAAACAAAGAAAAGTTCATGTGAACAAGCGCCATGACTCCGTTGAATTATCCAGAGGGATTCCAATCACCCACTGTACCGTCTATACAGCGCAGCAAATCCCTCAGTTGCTCCCGGATGGACATACGCAGTGATACCTTCAAATTTCATACCAGAATTTGCGCCTTCAGAATCGCTAATCGTGTAGAAATGCTGAGATTTGCTGCCCACCCATCTATAGAACGGTACAGTCCCCGTGGCTTCGTGGGAGAAAGCGTAAAATGCGATCTTTTCATACTCATACCCAGCCTGCGGTGCGAGCTCTCCGTTGAAATCAGTTGTATAGAAATGTAACTTCGAACTAGGATTATACCACTGGTAGATCGGGACTGTGCCCTTTAGCTCCGTAGTCGCTACGTAGCAAGCGATCTCCTCGAGGTGATAGCCGGAGGCTGGAGCAGATCCTCCGTGTGGGTCAGTAGTGTAGAAGTGATCAGCCATGTACTTCTGCCAGACGGTCAATTGGTTTGGATATATTTGATTGAAGATTCAGATGCGAATGATATGGAAATACGGAATCGGCGAACAGGAAACCATGAAATATTTAAAGGGAAAGGCCCATCTGAAAGAAATATAGAGAATGACACGCAACACTAAATTTTAAAACCTGCTGACATGGCTGCAAACGTATATATTCTTTATCATTGTTATTCGCTACCTCCACAACACGTTCCGGGCCGCATTTTCCGGTCTTTGTTCTCTCAACTGCGGTCAAGTGATGGTCCCCCTGGTGAATGTCTGTATTGAGGAATCTTTATTGCTAGGGTGAGGCTTGGACATGCCTTCCAATGGGACCTTCAACTAATGCTCGAGATGTTCGGTAGATGACCTAAGACCGGACTGCATATAACCTGGTGGCGAGAGGAGGAAAGTGGATATGCTTGCAGAATGAAGCATTTACGAGTTTGGTAAGTCCTAGCCGAGGTAGAAAGTCGAGAGACATCACGAGAGGGACGGTTTGTCGTTTTGATAGACAGCTGTTCCATTCGCTTTATTGCCATGAAAGCACTAACTCCAGGAATCCAGAAAAGTCCAGAGATCGGAAGATTCTCAATGCATATGCCCACCTGACTGACAACAATGCTTTGGTGAACTTCTTCAATCTTGATCTTGAGGTTCTGCTTCAGTTCTGAAGGCGCACAGTGACCGGATACGCACTGTCCTTATACAGAGGAATTGCTCTTCTTCAATATGGACCTGCATTTTCTTCCTTGCTCTTTGGTGAGGAATGATCTGTATGCGCAGGAGCGATAACATCGTGTATCGAGTGCTGAAGACAAATCTTCTCGGTGGTATCCAAGGCTTTCTAGAAGCAAGCCATTTCAAGCCTCGAAATATAAATGGTAATGGTTTCGACAGCCAGGATTGAAAGTTGCCTTGCAATTTGGACAAATGTTGTCACACCGTAGATATTCTGTGATGTTCAATTCGCGGCGACAGTTCCCACAAAGCACAGCTTTGGTTGTTTCCTGTTCCTTCTTCGGCCACACTTGATTTTCGTGCTCAGCGATGGCCTCGTGACAGGATATGCATGCATAATACATGCCGCAGCATTTGTGTTTGATGGCGATGATATCCTTTGCGGAATGCCAGTGAGCGCACTGGGTTTTGTCACTGACATCGAGGCCATGAACTGCCGGCGTGCCGTGGGTTGTGCTGGTCGACATTGTTTAAAGTGAGGGTATTCAAAAACTCTGACGTGAATCGCGATCCTTCCTCAACGTCGGGTAGGTAAAGTTACTCGAGTGTGGGTCAAGAAGCGCTCATAGATATTACAGGCTAGCTGTGAATTTCTACGAGACAACGTATCAGAGTGCTGTTCAAAAACCGAGAAAACATTGAAGCTAATGATGAATGATGAAACGAGGGGATGCAAATGGAATGTGCTGGTCGAAAGCCACCGCGAGTTATCACGTGCGGTCTCATGTTTCCTGCCGGCCCGGGGGTTTAAAGCAACGCGTCACAGTTTGGAGAACAAATTTTATATCCTCCCTTTAAACACTTCGATGATGGCCATACCCAAAAACTTATTCAACTCCCTCTTTGCCAATTGCACAATTCCACCAACTCTCGTTATCGGATCAGCGTTACTTTCTCGACGTTATGGACAAAAGAAGGAAGTCCACGTCCACCATCTTCTGTGCAAGCACACCTTTGATGTCGACCTTTTTGAAGAGAGAAGAGATGTGGAACTGCGTGAGGATTCCAAGGGCGGCTATCGAGAAGTACCTCGAAAAGGTTGGCCAGACACCACCTACAGAACGCAGGACTCTAGCCGCCTTTCGCACATGCTTCTAGGACGGAAGGACCTGTGAGGATTTAGGATTCGATCTTAGAAGCAAGATTTGTTTCATTGGAACTCTTGCAGATGCTTTGTTTCCTACATTGGGGTGGCTATGAACTTTTTGCATGTTGAAGTTTTGTTTTGCTTTTCCTTGACTATTTGATTTCTTCACTCATGCTCTAATTGGTTGGATGCGTACTGTGATTCTGGATTGTTAGTTTCTGTTGTTTGTATTTCCTTGCATCGTCTTGGAGTTGGTTGAACTTGGCATCTGGGTTAGTTTTGAATTTGAACTTCAGAATGGTTGCAAGGTTGGAGTTGGGCGAAACTTGCGGTGTGTGATTTCTCTCCATGAATCAGAGCATTACTTTGTTTGCTGGATAGAGAGACTCTATTGTCGGATAATTCATGGATGGAAGAAAAGGACCTATAGACTGGAAATGAAATCACAGGTCCACAAGTCTCCAAATACAGTGAGCACTCTTTTGATAACATGATGAGATGTTACTTTGAGATATGAAGATCTCGTTACTGCGACAAAGCGGGTAGCGAGAAAAAATATCTCGGCTAACATTCAGGGAGCGATTTGAATATTGGAGGTCACGAGAGGTAAGTAGTGGTTGCAAAACAAGCAGCATTCTATCTACAGCTAGCCAGAAATCTAATGTTGAAGAAGAAAGACAATAAAATTAGAGATTGGTGATGCTTCATTTGGTAATCATGGCTTCTCTTCCAGGTCCAGTGCCAACGTATTTCACCTCGATTCCCACGAAATCTTCAATGAACTTGATGTATGCTTTTGCCTCTGCAGGAAGATCACTGTAAGTCTTTATTCCTGTGATTGGCTTTTCCCATCCTTTCAACTCCACGTATCTCACTTGGACGTTTGCGAGAAGTTCCAGGTCTGCAGGGAAAGAGACTAACTCTTCACCTGATGAGGGATCGATGTATGCTGTAGCAACCTTAATGGTGGGGAACGTGTCTAGGATATCCTATAATCTCATCAACAAACATTCTGGCATATACGGAAGTGTTACCAACCAATTTAGTTAAGTTGATGGAATCATAGTCGTTCAGTGCTGCAGAGTATTTCACAACGACCTAATTTTAGGTGTTAGTTACTGCTCAATTTGAATCGCTCCAGACGAAATTCTCAATGAGCGCATATTCCCTGATGACTTACCAAGTCCAACCAACCACAGCGTCTCTTCCTTCCAGTGGTGACACCCCATTCCCGTCCAATGTTCTGGAATTTGGCCCCGACCTCTTCAAGGTCTTCCGTGGGGAAAGGACCACCTCCAACTCTGGTTGTATATGCTTTAACAACGCCAATGATGCTCTTGATCTTTCTTCGCTTCAATCCAAGTCCAGTATAGCATCCTCCAATTCCTGTGTTAGAAGACGTTACATAAGGATAGGTTCCATAATCGATATCGAGCATGAGTGCATTTGCTCCTTCGATGAGTATGGGTGCATCAGACTCTTGTGCAGATTGCATGAGAGGGACTTGGTCAACGACAAAGGGAGCCAATTTCGCACGGAATTGCTATAGACGTCAGTCCAAAGGTCACCATTAATACAAGATCTCCACTTCAACTAACATCGAATTGCGATATCTCTTTTTCCACGTCATACTCCAGCAGGTCACCGTACCGCTGCTTGTATCCGCGAGCTAACTCTCGTAACCGTACATCAAAGAGTGTCTTGTTGAAGATTTCGCAGATTCGAATACCACTTCGTGATGCTTTTGTACTGTTGGATATCTTAGCATGGTACTTCAGAAGGTAAAGCTAGAATTAAGCACTAAAAAGGAATGTTTCGATAACATAGCATGAGCTCTGGACCGATTGAACGTCGGAGACAACTCGGAAGTTCCGAGAGCCCATTGAGAAAGTCTCGATCCGATACCTGGAGAACAGACTCACCTATATGTTGGTCCAATTCCCTTCCTTGTTGTGCCAATATTCTTCGTGCCCAATTCAACCTCTTCCAGCCCATCTACCAACTGGTGCAAGTCGAAGACAATGTGCGATCGGTCGCTAATGAAGATACGGTCTTGGGCTCCCTTGAGGCCTTTCGTCTCGAGGGCCTCAAGCTCTTGAAAGAAAGAGGGTACATGGACCTATGAGATATTTAGCAAAAATCCCTTCACATGTTTAGAGTCCAATTCTGATCTGGAATCTGGTATGCCAGCGTTTGCGCAACTTAACGGAGAGGCCCACTCACCACTACGCCAGATCCAATTAAGTTTTGGCAGTCGGGGTTGATCAATCCAGATGGTAGAAGATGGAAGTCGTATGTAATTCCATTGACGACAATCGTATGGCCCGCATTGTTCTAATTATTCCGGTAGTCAGTGAAGGCCGTCCATTACTTCGGATCAAGACTCACTCCACCTTGTGCTCTTGCGCAGAGCTTTTGCGAAGGCTGTCAAACGGATTAGCTCGAGTTTCTCCTAACCTGCAGAGGACTATATTATGCGAGAAAGTGTAAACCATTGACAGCAATATATCGCATCGCGTAATCGATTGTAACGATAAATAAGCAGCTTCGTCGTCATGTCTGCTTTCGCTTTCAAAGTCCCTCAAAATGTTGGACTTTTGACTGCAGGAATTCTGGCAAGTCTTGGAGGGTATGGACTCACACAGAGAATGTCAACCAACTTTCCCTTACCCTCGTCTCCCCACTGCGCGCCCAGGACAATTGTAATCATATCGATGTGTATTCCTGGTTGAATGGTTGAGGAAGATGGAAATTCGCAAGGAGTCAGAGTAAATTTTGGAGTTTCCGATGATGCGACCGACCGACAGCGGCGAGGCGGGGCAGATTTTTACTGCCCCGCTTGTGGCTGTGCAACCGCTGACCAGCCACAACCCCACCACTAGCGTCACTTCCTCCTCCTGATGTTGAAGACTAGAAGATCATCAATTCAAAATATGTGGATAGCGATTGCGAAAGTGAGAATTGGTATGGATAATGTGCTCCGTATGTATACAATTATGCGTCTCTCTAGTAACTGGATAGACTTTTCAGAGGAGGTCTTGGCAAATATGTGGGATTGCATTGTGGAGATCACAATTCGTCCATTGATTCGTCCATGTCAAGACTTGACCAGCATCAACCGCTTCTATCCAGCTCTCACCTTCAGATCCTCTGATAGTCAGACTTTTTGCTCTTTACATAGGTAGCTAGGTATCCAAGCTTCAAATATTATTGCTTGGGTATGTCAGGGACGAGTTTCTCGATTGAGCCCCTGATGCATCTGAATTGGTTAATAGGTAGTCTTTAAATGTAATATATGGTTCAAATAAGATTCTTTACATATTTTATAAGGGTATATCAGGTGAAAATGAGGGAAGTAAGATATTCTTGTACACCTGACGGATCAAACAGAACCAGAAAACTAGATCCTTCTCTGTTTGTCCACTTCTTCACTTTGCAAATTGCACGAGATCCACCAAGAAAACCTATGTCGTTCAAAGCCTAGAACCAGAGGTAAGAGACCCATAGTGCTCCCTAAAATCGACTCGTATGGGAAAGCTTGATTCAATAGCTCATTATAGATGTCGCAGTCCAATCCTTCAACGCCTTCCCACACAGGAAAACGGCCCGCACAGGGCTGCGCTCGACTTCAATCAGCTGAACAAGATGTTGTTGAATTCTGTCATATTTGGCTCCTTGTTTCACAATTCTCCTTTATTAATGAATTTCTTGTCCGTCAATCTTGATCCCGTGTCCGCCAGACTTGTCTTTCGATAAGAACCTGAAATTTCTTTGGACATAAATAAAAATATACACAGTATAGAAGATTAGAGAGAGTAGCTACTTATAGCTCCAACTGATAGAGAGAAGCTCCTGGACGCTCGTGTCATTGCCCCTAACTTCTAAGCTAGAATCGAGGTCTTGAAAACCGACATTAGGAGGGGAAATTATTGGCGGATCAGAGGCGGAGTCTATTGGTGTTTTACTTTGGCTCGGTGTCTCAAAGATGAGTGTGTCTTTTGGGCAGGCTTACTATTGAGGGTCAATGGCGCTTCGCCGGGCGAAGCTTTCCGCGCTTCGAGAGAAGATATATCGAATATTCTGGCTAGCCACATTGTACTTCCACTTTCCAGGAGTGTCTCATTCATATTAAATAGCTAATCCGTCAAATGCACATGTTTAATATTAAAACGAATTTACAAATCTCTTGCAGAGCATTCAGCCGTTCTGAGAGCCGATGCCGTAGTTTAACTTAAGCGAGCTCGCTACCCCTGAAAGAGACCTCTCACACGACTCTCACTCCAACCTCGTCCTCAGCCATTTAGACTTGATCATTGTAGCATACTAAATAACATCGCGGGATATATATACTCACGCTCGAAATGCAGGGAAGAGCAATCGCGAGCATGATTGATTTATGTATGACTTACTGTTGCTTTTTCGTATCACTTCTTTGTAACGAACATGGGGACAAAAGTCCGTGCGTTCAGGCTGTAGAACCTCGAAATTAAAACTCTTCACATTAGGACTAAACTATCAACAACTCCACCATTATGGATCCTTTTACCACTCCACCTATGTCTCCACGTCTCCCAGGTGCAGAGATCAGAACCAAGCACAAAGAGGGCATACGCCGGCTCTTCAAATTCGCTAAAATAGGCCTGCAACAGCTC